TTTTGAGGCGGGCTACGTGTTTTGGTGTAATGTAATGCATACTGTGCCTGCACGTGTGGTGTAGAATATCATGATATCACAGTGGTAAGGATAATACCATGACATAGCGAATTCGCAAGCGTATGTTACTCCTTTGTTACACAACGCACTATGTAAAGGCGCACGCACATCAAATGCACATCGCACACTGCACATTCGCACATGGCTCTCGAATAACCTTGGGATTAACGCGTAATTCACGAGTAAAGCAAGGTAAATGTGAATAAATGGGCACCCACATCGTCCAACAAGTCCCGCATGCGCGCGTGGCGCGTGCGGACATACGGGCATGCGAGGGCACGACGTTTGGCTTGGCTCCTGCGGACCTCAAGGCCGCACGCTTAGGCCGATTGACGGAGGATGGTGTACGACGGGGACGGTCCTCGAGGCGCATCGTGAGGCGTACCATAGCACGGGCAATATTTGTATTGAATTATGGTGCAACTTGATGGGGTGGACCGCGTATGCACATGTCTGATATGTCTGGTGAGAACGATTCAATTCAATTCAATTACAATGTACTTCTGCTCAGATTATCATTATCAGTGATCGTTGTGAACAAGGCGTACGATTGAATGAGATGGTCACGGGTCGAGGAAGGACGTCGAGAGAGACAGACCCACTCTAACCGAGGGGTCGCAGCGATCGCAACTCCGCCGTGGACGCCCCATGACCACTGCTGGACTAGAACGAAAAGAACGCTTGAGAACGACGCAAATAGCGGCGGCAGAGACGCGGACCCGGAGGGAATAACGGAATTCGAGAGAAGGAAGATGTCTGAAACCATGCCGCAATGTTAATACATCGCCGAGTGAGTGTATTGAGGGTCACGCGAGCAGGTGGGGTGAGGGAGCGTCCGATAGATGGTCTCCAGAACTCTCATTCGAACCCGAACTCTTAGAATTGGGGTGGTGGGGTTGAGTTGGGGTATCTATTGATTTCTGATGCGTGTATGTATGGGTCGATGTATAATGCGTGTATGAGTTGATGTGGTGTGAGTTGATGTGGGTACGGTGTGGTAGACCGTACGCCGCGGGTCCGGTCGCGTGACGTTCTACGAGACTCCTCCGTGTTCTCTCCCATGTTCTCGTGCTCCCGTGCTCTCCAAATATTCTCACCAGAGCCCTCTCCCGTGTTTCTATTCCCCTGTTTTCGAGTTCCTCAAGACGATCTGATCAGAACCGCAGAACCGCAGAATTGCAGAACGTTCAATGCAGAATGTAGGGCAGGGCACACGACCGAGTACGCCAGGGGGCTGCTGATCGTGAACCTTGCAGAATCTGTACACCCGGCGGAAGGTACGAGGGTCGCGATTAGAAGGATTATATCGAAGGAGGACGAGAAAGAGTTATGTCACCGCTACTCAGTGCCTGCGACGACGACCGTACTATCACCCACTGTTCAATCCTTTGTATTCTATGTATACTCTGCCTTTTGTGTTCTGTATTTGCGTACTCTGTAGTGTGGTTTTTATGCCATCTGTTTTCTGAGGAATGGAAGAGGGGTATAGGAAGAAGGACAGACTTTGACAAAGTATGATCGCATCGCGCGTCTCTCTCGACTCCGGAATCCGACAATTGAGCATCAGTAATCATTCAGTATATAAATCAGTATATAAATACGAATCTCGAAACGATCACTAATCACCTCTAGTCTAGTTTACATCTAGTAGCGGTATCAGTCAACGAGCACACGACGCAGATGTTTGCCAAACAACTCGATTACGGCTTGCCCATGCTTCCTACCCCTATCCTCCTTTCGCACTCTGTCTAAAAGCACCAGAAAAGCATCAAAGGGTAAAAGGGTAACAGAGTTGGCGCCAACGAAGCGTCGCTTCCCACCGCTAGACCCCCTACGTCCAGACGTACTCGAGTAATTAATACAGCCCTTCTAATCTCTGGATAATTCAGGTAAGTAGAACCTATATCCTATATATATATTAATGGTGATAAGGCTAATACGAGGCCAATGTGGGACTGGGACTGAAGGACTATAACCACCGAAATGAAGCACGAAAAGAGACCCATTCAGTCATTTGGACACCATACATCATCATGAATCATAGTGTCCTTCGAGTGCCCATAGCGATTAGTTATCTCTCAACTATCGACTATCTAAGCCGCGAATCGACCTCGACTCTAATTCTCCAATGACTCGTGCACGCGTAATGTTTGTCCTCCCCATGATCCAGGCTTGAAGGTAGGACACCGAGAGAGGCGTGCTGGTAAGGAAACACACTCGAGTCGGAGTCGGCTATGTGACAATGGTGCACACCCTTTTACGTCGCCATGAGAGACACATTGCAGCCCTTGACGCTCGTAGGGACGAGTAGATAGACCGGTCACCGCCTCGTGTTCTTGAGTCATATCATCGTCGATGCGTGACATACGCTTTTGTCGAGGTCCCGGTGCACGCTACACTACCTCTATGCTACCCACGATACCGCAGCGCTACTCGAGCACCGCAGCACGCCTCACATTGTCACATTGCACCGGTAACGGCTACGATCGCCTCACTATCCAGCGAGATTACAGATTGGAGATATCAGCCTCGTGTACCACCACACACATCTTCGTATCGTGTCCGATGACAATGGACCACCCCCAACCGTAACACCAATATCTGGGCATCTGGGCTGTAGCTAGGATGACAGGGGAGGCAGGGGCGACAGGAGGAGCAGGGAGGGTGGAGAGGGGATAAGGGGCGAGGCGCTAATATAAGGGGCTACCGCCTCACCTCTTGCCTCAACGCCGGGGGAGGATGCTAGGGGATCTGTTGGTCTAGTTACTGCGATCTCTCATGTGAGTGATACTACTAGGTTTTGGGATGGTGTAGCCGACAAGGTGTGGCTTTACGTTTACTATTCATTATTCACGATTACCCCAGCAATGATGCCTCCCACTATCTGACCACTATTTCGCGTAGATAAGGATGAACGTTGGATGCACAGTCGCTAGATGCACAGTCGCATATTAATACCCATATCAGTAATTATGTACCTTGCTGTAATACAACCCCAATTACCGCGCATGCAAATGAAGCGGAATGAAGGGAAATGAAATCGCGAACTCGCTATACAGCGCATGATTTACGCTAGTAATATCGTCCTTTTGCCTTTCCTTGTTCTCGGCATTCACCTTCATTCATTCATGCATGGACATCCATTGTTACTAGTTTAGTGTGAGACGGTGTGACCTGAAGAGCTTGCAGCTGGAGATCGGCGCAGATAATACACACAATCCCTGTGCCACTGCGTTTCATTTATGTGCACTCATACACATTAGATCGAAATTGACAAACCATATCATATAATGCTAACGAGGTACGAGGTGTCCTGCGGAGCTGAGGCTTTGAGGCGTCGTAATCTACGTTCGGCTTCGTTCGTTTGTGTTTTCGAGAAACACGATTATCATCAATCACTAATCTCTACCCATCTCCAACGGATCGAACGGTGGAGATTGCACTTGCACCTACCATCCCTGAAGAAGTACGCCCACACGCCCACGAGCCACCGGAATGACACTGTGTAGGCTTCTGGAGTAAGATGAGCGTGTTAACGACTAGAATACCAGATAGTGGATGATGTAGCAAGGTATCTAATAGGCTTCAAGAGGCTTTAACGCCACGAAGGCACAGGGCCACATGAGTACAAGGCCACAAGACGTCGATGGGCGTTTATGTTGAGGTACGATGAGGCGATTAGATGTAGTTAGTCACTGGCACGAGCAGTATACTGATATCGATCACCGATCGAACCAAGAGCTTGAGTTCCGATTGCTGATTGCTGACTGAGAAGGCGAAGGAAGGAGCGAATGAGTGATAGTGGAATTTGGGGTTGAACGTGGGGGTTGGGGTGGAGTTGCAGAATTAGGGCGTGTAGCGTGTAGCGTGTAACCATTGTCCTTGAATTTGGGAATTTCTGGGTTCCTGGCTCAGACTTCTGAGAGCTAGAGACTGCAGGGCGAGGCGAACGTTAAGATTGATATTGATCATGATCATAGAATGTTCGGAGTGAAGGGTGGGGAGTGGGGAGGTAGAAGCGGAAGTATAGCTTATGTTTTGTATGGAAATTAGGATTCAACGACCGAAATGAAGAGAAGACCGATGTTTTACTCATCCTTCAATTGTGTTTATTCTTCGTGTTCCCGTTCTTGATGAAACGTCCAATGAGGGGGCGAGGGAATGAGTGAGGTGTTATGCATGTCATTGTGGACGTTGGTGGTAGTGGTCTGGATCTCCAAGAGAAACTCAGGCGAAATTCGAGGGTCAAAGTGTAAGCGCCTTCGGAAACTCGGGAGGCTTCCCCCTCAGCGGTGTGGGTGCACAATTAAGCCCCCATGGGATAGTCCTCTTTCTATCTCAGCGACGGAGAGACTAACCGAATCGCTGCGCGTCGCCTCGGGTGTGCGCGTCAAGTTTCAAGAACCAAATGGGTGGTATAATACCAGATATATACAGCGATGAACCCAATGAGTGATTCTGCACGATATACGTTGATTAATGATGGGTGACGGGTGATGGGTGTCCATTATGGATGATCAGTGATCAGTGATCAGAACCGGAACGACGACGGATAAGCAAGTAATCGATCTTCGGTATCTACGCTTACCGGTTCGTTGAGCACACGTACAAGATGAGAGACGGACGCGCTGCATCTCAGGACGGATTAGACGCGTTTTCGGACCGAGTGTTGCCAGAAATGATATTTGGGAGTTTCGGTGTCGCGCCGCGGGAGGATATTTGACAGATAGTACGCGAACGAGCGTCGAGGGAGAAGCAAGGGCGACGATTAGTGATTCCCGGGGCTGACATTGACGTGCTCCGAGAGTCTATGTTATTTTGGGAAGAGGTAGGGAGAGCGGATGTCTGGGTGATAAATTGGATCGGATGTGTGTACTATGGACCGACAGAAGGCACCAGTTTGTCAGATCTAGCTGCGAGAGTGGAGCCGAACTGGACGGCTACAAGGTACCTAGCGCAGTTCCGTCTACCGAGGTTTTCTGGAAGTACATGTTGCCTGTTGAAGAAGCACAAACAGTCCTCGAAGCAGCTTCTGTCCAGCCGCATGCCTTGTCTGACATGTCTGAGATGTCGAGGACCTTGTGCTATCGTTTCTGTCTGAGTTGGTTTTCTGACATACCAAATTCGAAGGTCTTCGGAGGCCTTCGAGGAGGGCACGAGGGCTTCCGAAATGAATGATCAACGAGAAAGAATCGACGCGACGCCAGCCGCGGAGGTAGTTGGAGGCACTGGTATGGGAAGATATGGATGTCGAGAACCTCGAGAAGGCAGGAGTTACCGAGGTCACGCGCCGAGTCGCGTATCGTCCCAGGGACCACAGTGCTACTTTGTTGGTTGACCATCTGCCAGTGGGATCATCGATCATTGAGGATGTTGTCCGTCCCGAGGCCGGTGTGGAGGGCCGTGGTCATTTTGTTGGTTACTGATCAGAATCACGAAGAACAATCAGTTTGCAACCAGAAGAAGGTATACGAGGCGTGTGCACACTGGAATGTCTAGAATGCGGTAGAACATCGCTAAGCGATGTATTCTGAAGAGAAAGAGAGTGGAGTAAGTACTAGTCTTGCTAGTTGAATCGAGAAGTAAAGTGACGACACGAAGGTTACATCTGCAAAGTTCAAACTCCATCGGTTCGGCGCGGGTTGTAAAGCGCTTGATACAACATTGGCGGCCAAGCAAGGTTAAGCTACGGGCCCTCGAGGCAACGACTTTGCGCCATCCAGTGAGATCAGAGATAAAACATACTGAAGGTGTGTCATAAGTTTGGCAGGCTGACTGACGATCAATCGATAAACCCGAACCGGCAGCAGTTGGCGCGAGGTGGCTAGCCTCAAGGCAATTGTTTAGAGATCCGGTTGAGTTACAGCCAGTCTAAATATACATAGGGAGAATGAGATTGTTTGGCCGGGGTAGTGAGACCGAAAGCGTTCTGCATTTCGGTGACAATAAAGTCGACTCCTATGTGGCGATATCTCCAGCATACACGAGGTGATGCTTGCTGTAGTATCTTGGTGCGCGGGGAAACATATGGGCCGGTATGGGGCCGCCCTGTGCTTGATAGTGCAGCCCGGACACGATGAGATATCAGCTGGCCTAGGTAGACTAAGTCCTCTGCTGAGGAGGGGGCCACGTCTTCGATCATTAGAACACGAGTTTCGAAAACAAGACAATGTGCTTATGCGGCGTCACCGTTGCTCTGTTTGCATCGTGTAGGAAATATAAGAGCAGTCTCCATGAAACCATCCGGGGACTCACATGTCGAGCCTGCTTAGGACATGAAGACGGAACCAGCCACGTGTAAACGGATGAGATGAACAGACTCGGCGCCACCAAGACTGTTGCAAGGGGGGATGTGCGCCAGGTAGTGCACAGCAATATCAAAACTATTGTAGGTTATCAACAGGACAACCTACTTGGAGAATCAGGACCACACGGGCGACATGGAGAAAGGAGTTGAACATGAGGCTTTCTTGGTATGATGCACGATGCCCGACGCGGGCTGCGGTGGATAATACCGAATGTTCAGATCGCTCCGAGACACCTAAAAATGGGAGATATGAAACGACGCATGATGCAAACATACGGTATGGTATGTTGGGAACAGGAGAAGCACCTATATTAGCGTGTGTCGTGAGCCACCATACTTCATCACTGCACCACACTGCACCGCACCAAGGGCCCACCTCCAGAAATATGTTGCTAACATGTCACAGTGATCGTTTGAATGTTTGATTTTTTGAATGTTTGCGAGTGATCGAGCACGATACCTGTCGCTGGTGATGGCGGCCAACCCCTGGGTGGAGTGATTTTGACGTCGAGTGTCACTAGTTTATGGTTGCCCTGATATCTGATATACCTCCGCGACGAGATGGCAGTATATCATATTCGGAAGCATCCAGGAGGTGTACCTATTCGAAACTTGATGGGCGTTATGGCGCTAGTACTTTGTTGATTGGCAATCCAGGTTGTGCGATAAGATACAGCTTGAAGGAGACCTCCAGTGGTAATTTGGCCAATACAGGTTGGTCGCAAATGAGTTTACCCTGCACATATCCTGAACCATACGGTGACGATGCAACGAGTCAACGACGTCGAGGTCGATATCGAGAAGCGCGCTGATTGGCCTTTCTGCCGGGCGCTTCAGGGCGTTGAGCCCTTGAAATCAACAAGGCACAACAACACCAACGAACGCGTCGCAAATCGCGGCAAAAGTTTTGTGACTTTTTCAGGAAATCATGTTCGCGCTCCGGAGGGTATGTGCGAAGCCACTCACTTATACCGCTAGACGGGGCAATGCGACGGTCCAAGCGGCCACGGAAGCCACCAGGCCTTCAGCCGCCGCCCCTCCGCCACCACCCGCCGTTGAAGGAGCACCGAAGGCTGCGGCACAAGCAGAGGGAGAGGCTGCACCGAAGACAGGGGGGAGGAACGTACGCAGAAGAAGACAAAGGCCTAACATCTCTCTGGAGAAACCCAAGGAATGGAATCGACCGGTAGCAAAGGGTGTTATTCCTGCGTACGATGAGGCGTTGAAGGTTATCCAGAAGGATAGTGAGTTGCTCATGGCGGAGGCCGAAGAGCTGCGGGCGGACATCCAGAAGGCAGAGACAGAAGTGGTCCGGAATGATGAAGAGTTGGAAAAAATGAGGAAGAGGTTGAACATCTTGGAGGTGCAAAGTCGAGCGAATCTCCCCGAGATTAGGTGGAAGTTTGTCAATGCCATGGGTGCTTATTCTGCAACTCGTACTGGTATCTCATGAACTAACTACTATGCATATATAGGCGACATGTCCCAGCCTGTTTATCGTCACCTTGCAGAACAACGGTGGCGGAAGGATGGTGACCTCGATTTGCTGGTTTGTGGTTTGTTGCCGTGGGTTGTGATTGTCATTGAGCTTCCGTGACAGATGGAGCGTATTCATCAGATGAATGTGGTGCCCGACGTGCTCCCCGACCTCCACCCTTCCATTGATGTGCGCCTTACCGTTCCGTCGACTCTGAAACAACTCCGAGAGGGACAGAAAGTGCATGCCCCAGTGGAGCCAGGCGCCTTTGTGTTCCCACGTCAGGTTGGTCTCCTCTTATCTACTTCAGACTTTTGACGTTGACGTCTGCACCAAATTCTCTTCCCCGAACCTTGTGGAGAATAGACCACAAAGCGCCCCAATGTCTTCACCACCGTATTCCATCCGGAAACTAAGCTGTATACTCTTTTAATGGTGGATCCAGGTAAGGACCTTACAGAGTCATAAAGGCATTTTACTTACCGATTTACAGATGTTCCCCATGTGGAGACTCAGACATTTACCACCTATCTCCACTGGCTACAGTGAGTAATTCCTAGCACCTTGCCCAGCCCTTCGAAGGCTTACGACTTGTCATTAGGCCTAATATTCCCCTTTCTGCTACTACGCAGTCACGGCTAATGGACCTCAATACCCATACTCCGTATATCCCTCCCCACCCCCAACGTGGAACACCTTACCATCGCTATGTGCTTCTTTTACTCCCCCAGTCAGATCCAACAAAGCCACTGGAAATACCAATTGTCGCCGACTCCGATCGCTTGGGCTTCGACACTCGCTCCTTTTTGCAGCAATGGGGACTGGACGGCGCGAAAGGTGGAGGGGCGCACATGTTCCGTGAAGTTTGGGATACGGATGTATCAAAGATTTATTCTCGAGTACTTCGTGCGTACCTGTCTTCTTCCTTCCATGCACATTCATTTACTCGGATGTATTTGACTGTTTCTGTCTTGTTTTCTGATTGGCATCGGTTACAGGTGCTGTGGAACCCAAGTTTGGAAGACCACCCAAGTTCGATCGGTATGCAGATGTCAAAAAGGTCAAGAAGTACGTTTAATATTTACTACCTTGACCCTACCTCTCGTCGACGATCACCCGGACACGTATGTTTTGCTTTCGGTATCTATCTGTGGGAAGCATATGTGATGCAATTACAACCACCGTTCCGTTGTGCTCCATGCGCACACCTGAGGCGTCATGTTCCATATATGTCGTATGTTTCTCTCTCCCCGGAAATACTACCCCGCTTGTTTACAGTGATCGCGCTATAACTTCGGGCAAGCTGCCACGGCCTCTATCCACCGGCGCCACAGCCATGAAAAGCGCATACGATGTTCTTCAGCTGGTGATGGATTCTGATGTTTTCATTCGTCCGTCTTTTTTGGACTTCGTCACCCTTGAGAGTTTTGGAACATCTGGGGTAGTCTGGGGTAAGAGAACAACACAGCATGACAGACAGCTTCTCCGAGCCTCTACTTCGGCGCAGTGATCCATGTTCCGGTGACTCAAAATACTCGCAAGGACTTTCCTACCATGAGCGGCCGCCTTGCAATACTCATCAAACCCGCTTACGTCCCTCCGCACCAAGTCCGCATTGTTGCTCGGGGAGATCAGTTCTCTCAGGCGGAGGCCGATGATTCGTGGGAGCCGGCCAAGTACCTTACGACGAAGCCTCGGCCGATCATCCTGCTGTGGAAAGTCTCAACGCTTGTACTTACCATTCTCGCTCTATAGGACCCATCTTCGCATGCGCCGAGTCGCATTGAGCTTCGTCGGGCCCATCCCTTCAGGTCCCCAAGGCTCAGGACCCGACGTTCGTATGGAACGTGCGTTTGTTTGTGCTACTTCCTGCGATGCCCGCAACATCTTCGGTGTTGCCGCCGCTTTCTTCTGAGAAACCGGGTATGCGGTGGTTTAGGAGTTTCTGAAGGAGTTTTCGTTTAATTTTCCGTGTTTAACGTCTACCTGGTGGCGCACCTTTGCCATGCCAAAGATCAGCGCAGATCTCGATGGTGGTTAGCGGGGAAACTTCCAACTCATCCTCTCTGATGTCTGTCGCCCTCAGGCGCTTTTGCAAGGCCGGTTGCAGTTTCTGGCAGTCTCACCTGACTTGGGTATTATATACGCGAAGACGGACGGTTTCTTGACAATCAATCACCCCACCATGTTCTATGTCGAAGGCTGAATGTCGGATGATCGCCGTTCAATAAATATGATGCCGGTATGTACCTCTACATCGATTACTTGGTGCGGAATCTTTTCTTTCTGTTGACATAGTATGAAATTTCTCGACAACTTACAGGTTCGCATGCTGTATGGATGCGTTGGCCGGGATGTATATGACGGATACAATACACCCCAGCCTCGTTTTGCTACACTCTAGAAGTCTCGGACTCTCGGTGGACTTCGTACCTTTGATCATATCGACAAGGCATACATACGTATGCAGATCAGGTACATCGAGGACGGTAAAACTACGGTATAAATTTGCGCTTGAATTTGCGAAAGGGTGGCAATTCGATGCGGGATAAACATCGGTGGATACAGTGAAGCAAGAGGTTCCAACGTTCACAAAGTAGGTGACCGGTGGAGTTGGTAGGATATGAATAGTTGGCCGAAGGCGTGGACGGAGGCAGAAGTTGGGCTGATGGTGAATCTATTAAGAAGGATGAGGTCACAAATTCTACCTTAGAGCAATTTCTGTATTGCCATATAAGACCCCGTTTGTGTGAGCCAACTCAATGCCCGTACAAGGTATGGCTCTCAAGGTATGTAGGCCTGTAGCGGAAGCAAGTATAGAATGCTACAAGAGAACGGTATAAAATTACTATATGGTATGACTTCGGCCTGTATATCGAAGGTACACTACTAAATTTGTCGAGGGGGTCAAGACGCTGAAGTTGCAGTAGCTACTGTGAGCTCAAACTGGGAGGTAACTAAAGCGCTCAATCAGAGGTTACATAAGCGTGAGAAATGGCTTAGCGCCCGAGTTCTGCGTCGTTCACTGATACAAGTCATAACTTTAGTTGTACCACTACTTACTCGAGGCGCTCCGAATGTCTGAAGATCAGCCGAATAGCTTTCTCCACCAAATAGCCATCAAATTATCCCGCGCACTGAACATCATAAACCCCAATGACCTCCTTGCGCAACGAGTGGTGGATATCGCGAACACCAACTCGGTAGAAGGATTCATGAAAGGTCTGTTGAGTATTGTATTCCGCTGGTGTTTAAATCACTAATGGACGTATTAGCTGCGAGGGCATTCGGCAAGTTTCAAGACTCCTTTCTTGCTGAGCTGCATGCCGAAATATTGTCGCATGCACAACAGGAAGCCAGCGGACATGTTCCAAAACCGGTTGAAGGTATAATTGTTCACGATAGCGAAGTCTTGGAGCCGGATCCCGTTAGGCAAGGTGGATTGATGCGTAACGATGCCGTAAGTGTATTCTGTTGACTGCATGTACTCTCGTATTTATTACACCAGAGGCATACCTTCCGACAACCAGCCAAACCCTTGGAACCCCCGACTCCGCGCACTTCCGTACTTGGACTGGATCGTCTCGCTAAAGAAAAGAGACTGGAAGCAGCAAATGGTGATGCTGACAATCGGAAGAGAAGACGTCTAGACGATGATGAAGGCCCAATGTTCAAAGGTATGTGGGCCTAAACTGCTGCCTTATCAACATAAACCTAATGCAACAACACAGTCCCTAATCTTCCTGCATCTCGCTCAAATACAATGCGTCAACGCGGCGAAGAAACACCATCACATCCGGGAGGTCTTTCTGAAACGGGGCGCCAGCGATTGGAGGAGCACCGACGAAACAGGGAAAAGCAAAGAGGTGTGCCTACTACTGTTATATTGGCATCATACGTTAACGCGCTGTATATAGAGGGTATAGTAGCTAGGCAAGAACCGAGGCCCGATGCACCTAAAGGTCTCGGCGACTTCCAGCGTCGTCTCAACCGTGACCGTGATCGTGGATGGGGCGGCAAACGTGATCACGACAACAAGCGCGGCCAGTCTTGGGACTCTACCCCTCAATCAGTAAGAGGTGTTCGGGATGCACCGAGTGTCCGTATTCCCAATGCTGGGTGGGACTCTACGCCCAGGATGTCGAAGGGAGGTGATGATGCGGATAGTGGGTGGGGCGGGGCACGAGGTCGTCGCTGGGATGCACCCACGCCCCGCGTTGCAAGAGGCGGCAGTCCAGACGACAGTGAAGGTGCGTTTGGTTTGGACGCGCGAGAGTGGGAAGAAGAGCAAGTGAGGTTGGATAGGGATTGGTATACTGGTGCAGAAGAAGGTGTCGTTGCGGGAGATGAAGAACACAATCCCTTGGCACAGTACGAAGACCTGAGTGCCTTGAAGGAAGCAGAGATTGCTACGAAGCAAGTTGTGAGTATCATCTACCGACTTTCTTATGAGTGCGTCGCTAATTCCCTACAGAGAAAAATATCTGCTCGGCAGGCTCAGTATAATGCCGATAACGACCTATGGGAAGCCAATCGTATGGTCACATCCGGTGTAGCTACACGAAAAGGCGTGGATCTTGACTTCGAAGATGAATCCGAGTCAACAGTACATGTGATGGTACACGACTTGAAGCCACCGTTCTTAGACGGGCGCACTGTCTTCACAAAGCAGCTGGAACCTATCAACCCCATACGAGATCCAACAAGTGATATGGCCATCTTTTCGAAGAAAGGGAGTGCTTTAGTCAAGGAGAAGCGCGAGCAGGCTGAGCGAGCCAAGGCTGCCGCGAAACTAGCAGCCTTGAGCGGTACTGCGCTCGGAAACATTATGGGTGTTAAGGATGAAGAGGCGGAAGCCGAGGGTAAGTACAATTCCTACGGCCTGTCTTATGGGTTTTCGTGGATACGTGGGTTGGACATTCACGAAGGTTTTATTTCGTTTTATTTTAACAGCCGAAGCTGAAAAGCAGGCCAAAGAGAAGGAGAAGAGTGGCGAGAAGGAGGATTACAAAGGCGACTCTAAATTTGCCTCTCATCTGAAAACTTCCGCCGGAGTCAGCAACTTCGCCAGAACTCGTACGCTAAAGGAGCAAAGAGAGTATTTGCCTGCTTTCGCATGCCGGGAAGAATTGATGAAGATTATTCGAGACAATCAAGGTATGGATTTACTCTACAATCGTCATGCAATTAATTCATACTGGTTTATTCTAGTCGTCGTTGTTGTTGGTGAAACCGGGTCCGGGAAAACTACGCAACTGACGCAGTTCCTCTACGAAGATGGTTATTGTCAACATGGACTGATCGGATGTACTCAGCCTCGACGTGTGGCCGCTATGTCTGTGGCAAAACGAGTGAGCGAAGAGATGGAGGTCAGTGTGATTCCTATGGCTACTCACCTCTCTAACTTGTGTGAATAGTGCAAACTTGGTTCGACTGTGGGTTATGCTATCCGTTTCGAAGATTGCACATCTTCAGAAACCAAGATCAAATGTAAGTACATCGCTGACTGGGGACTCCCTTTGTATTAAATTCCCGTTTCCCGCTAGATATGACAGACGGTGTCCTCCTTCGTGAATCTTTGAACGAGGGAGATCTGGATCGGTACAGCGTCATCATCTTGGATGAAGCTCACGAGCGTTCGTTGAGTACGGACGTGCTTATGGGCTTGTTGAGGAAGAGTATGTATCTTCTCCCATGTACCGTTCTACTCAACTTACTTATCGAATGCAGTCCTGTCTCGCCGACGCGATTTGAGGTTGATTGTCACCTCTGCTACTATGAATGCTGAGAAGGTAAATGTCATCCTTTGACCATGCATTTCCTCCCTAAACCTTGCACACTAGTTCTCCAAATTCTACGGCAATGCACAGTGCTATACTATCCCTGGTCGCACGTTCCCCGTCGAGATGTTCCATTCCAAATCACCATGTGAAGACTATGTCGACAGCGCTGTAAAGCAGGTTCTACAGATACATCTATCTCTCCCTCCTGGCGATATCCTCGTCTTCATGACAGGACAGGAAGACATCGAAATAACATGTCAAGTGGTCCAGGAGCGCCTTGATCAGCTTGATGAACCAGCACCCCTGGCGGTCCTTCCCATATACTCGCAAATGCCCGCTGATCTTCAAGCCAAAATCTTCGAAGCCACTAGCGACGGTCGACGAAAAGTTATCGTCGCCACGAACATAGCCGAAACGTCATTGACTGGTGAGTTGACCTGTGGATCTGCAGCTCCTGTCGTGGACTAATAAGTGTAGTCGATGGTATCCTCTACGTGGTCGATTCTGGGTACTCCAAGCTTAAGGTCTACAACCCGAAGGTTGGTATGGATGCACTGCAAATCACGCCGATCAGTCAAGCCAACGCCAACCAACGGACTGGTCGTGCCGGCCGCACGGGAAATGGGTATGTATTCCTGCTTTACTACGTATCGTGTATAATGCTCAACGGAAGGTTGACAGCTTCTGCTACCGGCTCTATACCGAGATGGCGTACCGCAATGAAATGTTCGAGAACAACATCCCCGAAATCCAGCGTACCAATCTCGCCAATACGGTGCTTCTACTAAAATCCCTCGGTGTGAAGAACCTCTTAGAGTTTGACTTTATGGACCCTCCTCCCCAAGTAAGCACACTATGCCATCTCTTTTAAGTCGACTAACGCAGTGCTCGAAAGGCAAACATGCTGAACTCCATGTATCAACTGTGGGTACTAGGGGCATTGGACAATGTCGGAGATCTTACACCTGTTGGTCGTAAGATGTCAGAATTCCCGATGGAGCCTTCGATGGCCAAAATGTTGATTGTGTCGGTGGACTACCAGTGTTCTTCGGAAATGTTGACTATCGTCTCCATGCTGTCAGTGCCCAGCGTGTTCTATCGACCCAAGGAAAGGATGGAAGAAGCCGATGCTGCGAGGGAAAAGTTCAACGTACCCGAAAGTGACCATTTGACCCTGCTGAACGTGTTCAACCAGTGGAAGAGCCACGGGTCTGTATTCCGCTATTCTGCCACGCAACTTGCTGACCAGTAGCACAGATTCCGAGATGATTGGGCTATACGGCATTTCTTGCACCCCAAGCTCCTACGTAAGGCCCGGGAAGTGCGCGTCCAGCTGGAGGATATCATGAAATTCCAGAAGATGGAGATCATTTCTGCTGGGACGGACTTCGATGTTCTGAGGTAAGTGAGAACGCTGGTCGCATGATGTGCCCACTGACTAACAAGGCTTCCAGAAAAGCGATCACCGCTGGGTATTTCCACCAAGCGGCCCGTGTCAAGGGCATTGGCGAGTTCGTCAACATTAGATCCGGGCTTCCGACCCACCTTCACCCCACCAGCGCGCTGTACGGGCTTGGATGTACGTTCCTCCTTCCCTACCCTTGTTTCTGATCTCATGACGATTTACAGACACCCCGACCTACGTCGTCTACCATGAGCTCATACTTACGTCGAAAGAGTACATGACTCAGGTCACAGCTGTCGATGCTTACTGGCTTGGTAAGTCGCACACTCGCTTCCCTTGTGTGTTCCAATATCAATGTAAATGCTATTCAGCCGAGCTGGGATCTGTATTCTATTCGGTCAAGGAGAAGAACTTTGATGGACGGGGGATACGTAAACAAGCTGATCGCGAGTTCTCAAAGCGAGCTGAGCTAGAGACCGAGATGGCTAGACAGCGAGAGGAGTGAGTTTGATATTTTGCGTGTCCTAGTGAGTGTGCTAACGAATGAATGGGTTGAATAGGACGGCCAAGAAAGCTGAAGAGGAGGCGCTTGCTAAGAAGGCGGCTAGCGGGAGCAGTGCAAAGATCATTGTGCCCGGTACGCCTCGGCACACGGGGATTGGAGCGGGCGCGAGGGTTACTCAGACACCTCGCAGACGAGCGGGTATATAGTAAAACCTTACACCCTCGCTTGGGAAGGGTTTCTATCTTTGTTGATTTTGTACCCTCTCAGGCCTTGTATTTGCTGTGTTAGATTTAGAGGAACCCGACTCCGGGGTCATCGACGAACATTCGCATTTTAGGAACAGTTCGTCATTATAATTTCGCAATGTAATGCTACTATTTCATTTATTTGGTACTGCCTAGAGACGTGAATTCAAACACCTAAGCTTAGGATGTTTGTACTTTCCGATGCTGCAAGTCGTTATAACGTAGACCCGGTACCCAGTAAAGACGAACTGAAAGGTTGCCACTGCGGTAATATCTACAGTAATTGATTTGATTTAGTCAAGGAAGGATTTAGTGATATAAATGTGAGCTAAGCCAAGCTCAACGACCGAGTTCGCGCCTTCGCCGAGGACAACATGCTCTTCTTCTTCCACGACTCCATCGCGAGGAAAATACACAGCTAAGATGGCAGAAGCAACGTCCAACGACGCAAGCCTGTGGAACCAGCATTCCCCTCTGGATACACTGGTTCGTAGGACTTCGTCAAAACGGTTCAAGCAACGGACAGCTGTAGGATATGTCGATCAACAAGGCGGCCAGGGTTATGGAGGCTATAATGAGCAGTACGATGAGTCCGCAGCTTATGACTATAATCCACCCGAACCCTCGACTCCGGAGAGAAATGGTTCGCAGCAGTTGGCGACCTCACCGCTGCTACATAGCCACTTTGCTCGGCATTCGACCGCGACCTCATCGTCCAATGGCGATAATTCATATTACATCGACCGGTCGTCGATGGGCTCTGCTGCAACCGACGGCGTGTATCCGCCATACCAATACGACGATGATGCCAGTGTGTATTCTGACGCCCCGGCCTTGAGGGAGTCTTGGCAATCTACAACAACCGCCAGGCTGACACAGACTGGCAATACTACGATAAATGAGATACCTGGGGCAAGAGCTCCTCCTCGTTCCCCATCGCCCAATGAAACTATGCCCGTAGTGGTCGTTTCGTCTCCAGGCGGTGGCCAGACGGCTCGACCTGTTTCGAAAGGTGGGCGCGCGCCGATAGCTGCGAGTGCACAGCTTACGGCTAATTTCTCAAGACCTGTGCGGCCACCCACTTTACCCCCTGTCAACGCCGAAGAACAAAAGAGGCTTGTGTTGGAAAGAAATGCGGCGCGTGCCCGGTCCCCCTCGAATCCCTCACCTCAGCCAAACCAATTCAGTACTCTTCAACAATTGCCACCACTCCCCAGAGGATCATCGACATCATCCATGGGTAGTCATCCTAGTTCATCAGCACAGGCGCAAGATTACGGCGCACCGCCGTATCTCACAGACCGCTCAATCAGCTCTCATTCATATCGACCGCCCTCACCGAATGCGTATATCAACCCGCAAGCCCCTGCTAGTCTTCGATCCGTCGCATCTTCCCCAAACCTAAACCCAATGGCAGGACCTTCGAGGCCACCACAGTCTGCACCTCTTTCTCGAGGGGCCCCTGACGGAAGGTCGGGCTCTCCTACTAGTGTATACTCTGGCTATTCTTTCTATCAACTTCCCCCCACTCCGTCAAATGAGCTACCACAACCCCAACTCCAACTCTCTCAGGGCAATGCATCAAGAGCGCGTTCTCCGCAGCCTGCTCCCCCTCCGACCATAACTGTCACACCGTCACCAAGTTATCAGAGTCATGCACCTGCACCTCCTGGGCCTCCCAATCTCGACAACCCTCAAACTCCGCAAGATTACTTGCAGCTGGGGATACAGGCTCACGAAGCCAACAAATTACGCGACTCTTTCGATCATTTCGAGCAAGCTGCCAAGTTGCAAGGGGGATGTGGGGTTGGTATGCTGATGTATGGATTGTCGTTGCGGCACGGATGGGGATGCGAGAAGAATGAGAAAGTGGGCTTCAAGTGGCTGCGGAGGGCTGCGGAGAGCGCGGTGGAAGACTTGGAAAGCGCAAGAGCGAGCAAGATGATGGATGTTGGCGCAGTTCAGGTGAGCGATCCTCGTTTCCATTCAGCATCCTTCTGACAGAGTTGCTTGGCAGAGTGAACTTGTGCTAGCAATCTACGAAGTTGGGCAGTGCTTCTTCCAAGGATGGGGTGTGCCGAAAGATCAGAAGATGGCTGTGGTGAGTGTCTATGGTCATCTAACGCTTTGGTAGTGCTCATGTCTGCTCCAGAGCTATTACAGAGTTGCAGCGCGGCTGGGCGATCCCGATGCACAGCAAGACTTGGGCTTTTGCCTTGCCAATGGCAAAGGGTGTAAGAAAGACAAGAAAGAGGCAGCAAAGTGGTATAGAGCTGCAGTACGTGTGCCTGCAATGACTACATCTCCAGATTCTGACATAGCATTTATAGGTTGCACAAGGTATCAGCGACGTTGGTCTAGCATGGATTTTCAAAGAGAAATATCAATGACATGGAACTCTTGTCTTTCTTTGTATGTATTGTAACTTATTATACCCAGGATTTCCATTATTCTCTCCAATCATACGTAGTCTACTATAAAGTATCTCGAATGCAGCATGCTTATCCATGATTATATTCGGACCCCGTGGGCGCTAGCGCACTGTCTCCCATTTCACTTGCACAGTAAACTACTTAGTATGGCCATCGTCGCTTGGGAGTTCTACAGTGGCATAGGTAAGATCTTTGTACGTATGTCGCAGACTACGCTAACAATTGTCCAGGAGGCCTCCACCTAGCACTCCAAAGAAGCACGATCGACGGTAACGTCGTTCGCGCCTTCGATTGGGACCAGACGGCCTGTAAAGTCTACAGCGCAAACCACGGGCCAAATGTTGTGCAAAAGGTCTATTTCCAATCCTATCCATGAGATTTGTACTCATAGTGGACTTGTATGCAGGTCGATATATCATCCTTGACCTCTTCGGTACTGGCCTCTAGTGCTACTCCCGCCAATCTCTGGCTACTATCTCCATCATGCCAACCGTACACAGTCCTAAATCCAGAAGCAAAGGGTGCTTTAGATCCTCGAGCGCGATCATTTCTCCACCTGATGCAGACCATTCTTCCTGAGTTGGTCAAACTGGGTACTGGTGTCCATCCCACACGACTCCTGATAGAGAATGTCGCCGGATTTGAGGTGCATCTGTTTCTTGGATCAAGTCATCGTTGGAGAATAATCGATAATCCTGGTTCAAGACATCCACTACGCGTCAAGCTCTGTTAACCACGCTTCGTTCGCTGGGGTACAATACAATGGAGTTTCTCCTTACGCCGTTACAGTTTGGGATACCTAATTCGCGACTGCGATACTATCTCCTCGCCAAGATGGCACCTCTTGGCTTTCCTACCCCGACGACAAGCCCAAGCGATGGGTGGATCTGGAGGCATATTCCTGGCTGCGATGACTCCGATTGGGTAGATCCTAGAGACTCTGCGTCGCCGCCTAGCCCCATTTCCTCAGCTGGAAGCCAGTCATCAGTCGCCAAGCTGAGGCAATTCCTTGACCAGGATGGTGCCCCAATACACGTAATTCCAGACCGCGTACTCTCTAAATGGGGCCGACTTTTCGACATCGTCCTACCCTCAAGTACACGAACGTGTTGCTTTACAAGAGGTAAATCCTTCGTGTCAATTTCTACACGGGCGTTCCTTACGGCTTCTCGGTATGCCAGGCTACACTCAGCTAGTTGAACGCGCAGGCTCTATCCTACAAACGAACGAGCACTTGGACGTAAGTTTCGGGCTCCCTACATTGAACACAAATTTATAACATATGAACCAGACTACATGCATCTTCGATGAATTCCTCGAAGCTCAAGCTAACAATAACCCCAGCGCTATGGACATCCTTCGCCCCCTTGGATTGCGCTATTTCTCACCGACAGAGCTCCTCCGCCTGTTCTACTTCTTGCGACCTGCCTCTCAAGATGATTTTATATGGCCAGAAGGTTTGTCTGCGAAGACCAAGTATCGACTTATTGGCAATAGTGTCAATGTTTTTGTCGTTACCGAGCTGATAAACTTCTTGTACGCTGAATGGGCATGACCTATCATTAACGCTGTCCGTGCCCAGAGACCTTGCTTTATTCAAGTCCATAAGGCAGAATCTCGGGGCCTTTATATATTTCATTGCCAGTCGAGCTATCCAATATGTATGCCGTGCTATAATATATTAGAAACCTCGGGCTCTTGTCTCTCTGTAGCATTATTCCAAGCGTCTCATCTCCCCAATCAAATACGAAACCCATTTCAAGGCCGTTACTTGAAACTTCGCAAAGCCCGAACTTACTATTCCAGAAACTCAGGGTCGCCTTTCGGTGGCGGAAGACGCGCTGACGGCGGACGCGTGATACAATGCAACCACTTCTCCGCCTCCCATCATATCTCAATGACGTCCAGGACAGTCTAATAATTGCTTTGTCTCGGTTCTTCCCGCTATAACCTTCTCCGATATCTTCGTTGAAGAATCATATATAGGTGGCTGCGATCTTCCGCACAGCGCTACGTTTCACTCCCACTTCGACCGCTACCACCACCATGCGACGTTTCCGACAGAAAGCGAACAAACGTACCAAACGGAAGGGGACATTCGATCCCGAACACCCCACCAACATCAAGCACACGCGTCTGGGCGTATGGGATCTCTACGATGAAGTCGCGCCGGAGCTCGCGAGCGTTCCAGGTTCCTCAAGCTTGGAGAAGTATATGGAGATGGCGAACAACCTCCCATACGTCTGGAGGATGCTCAAGGATATTGTGACAATCCCGTCGTGCTTGCCCTTGCTGGTGTCGTACTTGATACTCGAGTTTGCTGTAGCTTTGGTGCCAGCGGTTTCTCTGTGGTGCGTGTCTAAAACACAGGAGGTCTAACGTTTGGCTAACTCAAGTTATAAGGTACTCGAGCCAAATGTTGATAATAGTGAGTCGATTAGACCATTCACGGGAGGCAATTCCTGATGGTTGTGCGCGTGGAGGTGCAAACAGCCGTGGACAAGAGAACGGTAGATACACGACTACTGTCTCAAGTCGCTCTCGGTCGATTTGGATGTGCAGTGGTCACCCGATTGGTGCTCTTCGTGAAGTTCCGCATCATGACTCCATTGAACACGCGAATCAAGCTGTTCTACTCGCAGCACGTATTTCGCGCGAATGTACGCTTGGATGTCCCGACTTTCGATGACGGGGCAGTTCAGCGCCAGTTGGAGGAAACTTCTCCCCAGAATTCTCGATCCAGCATCGCTTGGGACACGGTCGTTCTGGCCGCCCGTATATCGAGTACTTTCCTCCGTCTCTTCTCCGAGGTGACCGTGCTTGTAACTGTTCTCCACGAGCAGCGGGATGGGTTGTTAATGGCTGCATTGTGTTTCGCGCAATCCGCGGCTGCATGGATGTCTGTCAGGAAGACGATGCACCCAGGGGGCGGTATGTTGTCTTCGTGTTCAGCTATGTACAAGTTATCGATGAAACAATAGTCTGGGCGGCCACGACGAAGAATGACGATTATATCAAAATGCAAGGTCTGAAGCAGCTAGTCACAGCACCCGAACACCGCAAGGAAATCGTTGCCGGTGGTCTTTGGGAGTACTGTGTTTCTTGTGGGTATTTCTTGCTATGATCCCTCGTTCGCAACTAAACGATCCCTTCCAGTGTATCATTCTTGCCTGGAGAAACTTGGTGACTCAGCTGCCATGGACTTTTATGACGCACTGCACCACTTCCGCACTAGCGATCGTCTCAGTATCTCATCTTTCCTCCACGAACCTCTGAAGGAAGCCCCTCACGTAGGTCAACATTCCTCAAAGTCTGCTGTTCCTGATGGAGTATTCCTCTGCAGATTCTATTCACCTTGCGCGCCGTGCAATACCCTGCATCGATACCCGTTTCAATAACGTCCCTCCATTTAGTCATGAACACCACGCAGACATTTATCTACGGGCTTTTTAGTCTATTAGACGAAACCCGTTCTGTTGCGGACCAGCTCTCTCGGATACGGAATATCTACGAAGTCGGAAATATACCCAACAAAATCGCTGATGGCAAAGAGCCATACCCGGAGAATCAGCAAACCCTCACAATGGGCATGGCCATCGAGTTCAGGTACGCAACTGCCGTGGCACCCCTGGAATATGTCTAAAATGGCTCGGATAACAAACAGGAACGTCTCGTTCAAATACCCAGGAAGCGAAGGGTATGCCCTCCACAACGTATCCTTCAAGATTGAACGAGGGCAACTATGTGTGGGTTTGAATAATGATTTCGCTGTAATTTCTCGAATTAACACGGCGTAGGTTATCGTTGGTTCTAATGGTTCTGGGAAAAGTACTATCCTCAAATTAATTGCTCGTTTGTATGACCCCTGCGAGGGCGAGATCCTTATTGATGACCGGGATATACGGACGCTCAAGCTTGCGGACTTAAGACGTGCTACGTCTGTTTTATTCCAAGACTACACTCATTTCCCCTTATCCGTAAGTCCCGATCCTATACGTTCAGTGCTTCTCAAAGCACTCACTTAACATTATTTTTGTATATAGATCAAGGATAATATCGGTCTGGGTGACCCAGATAACGCCAACGATGAAGACATGATCATGCGAGCTGCTACCCTCGGTGGTGCGAAGGAGTTCATCGACAAGCTGCCCGAGGGATTCAATACATATCTCGAGCGCCCTGTTAGGGATTATTACAGCGGCCTTCCCGAAGGCACGAAGACGCTGTTCGGGAGGCCGGTGGATTATAGCTCAGTAAGGACGTTCGGTAACATAAGTTCGAGCGGGTCCATCGGTTTGTCGGGCGGCCAAATGCAACGTATTGCTTTGTGAGTCGTCCTCGTAGTAAGCTTGCAGGAGAGGTACCTAATAATGCAACAAAACAATCACAGGTCCCGGACATTCATGCGCTCACTTGCTTCAGAGTCCAAGGTGGGGTTGCTCCTATTCGACGAACCCAGTGCATCACTCGATCCAACGGCAGAACATGGCAAGTACTTCATATTCCGGCTAAAACCTTCGACTAGACATTCCTGCAGATCTCTTTGAACGATTGCGCCAATTGCGTGGAAATAAAACGATGATCTTCTCCTCACACCGATTTGGGAATCTCACTCGGCATGCCGACCTAATATTGTGAGCTCTTCTGCACACCCTTGCCCGAAGTATTATTGACTCATGGATGGTCTAGGTATATGAACGACTCCGTTGTTGTGGAAGAAGGCACCCACGATGGGCTCATCAAGAAGAATGGAGAGTACGCGCGTATCTGGATGTTACAAGCACAAGCTTTTCTCCCATAACATCAAATCCACGAACCAATTTGTGTTTATATCTTGTCTTACCATCTCTGCAATGCTATCTAGAAGTATATAGTATCTAGAAACTTGCCCTGTTAATGCATAATGATAATGATGCATACTGATTCACTTCCTACGTCTGTCGTCGAACTTCGACGAGACTGGCGAGTCCCAGGTTCCAAATGGCATACAACGGTTCAAATACACTTGATCAAAATAAATGCAAATGGTCCGTGCGCGCTAGGAAAGTATAAAACCCCTTCGCTGGCTTCTGAGCAACTCATACTTACCTTGATGGCGTAGATCCCTTCAACTACCTGGGTTTACGGGCCGTGGGGATCCTCCATAGCACGGCGACCCTGTCCATACAGGGGATGCCTTCGGCTTGTATGGGCTTCGGCTCATGCACCGTCTCTATATTTTCCTGTCCTGCATCGGCCACTCTGGCTGGGCAGGCCATTATTTTTTGATCTTCCGCTGCTCTAACCCTAACCCTATGCTATATCTCAAAGAGACTTATACTGTACCTTTTGTCTTACTGTGAGAACTCTTCAACTGATTGTGGGAACTTATTAAGTCAATACATTCGTGGAGCGCCTGCGAGACTTGTCATAGAACGTCTAACGACCAAGTCAGGGAAACCAATGGCAGTGATGATGTCGATGTGTTGCGATATTCCTGCTTGTCAAGAACCTGTCGTTTCACGCTGGCTGCAAGTCTACAGGGCTTGTGGCACCTGTACTCATCGCGTCTCTAGAACAAGGCGACTGTGGTTCAGCTAGTCGACAGCGACTGTTCAAAACGTACTTTGACGGAAATCCTCTCCTGGGGGTTGCCTGCGGATGCTCTGGAAGATGTGACTAGACCTTTCAGCTTCCGTTATCATTATATCAACAGTGGTATGGTGCTTTGCTGTCGCCCGTGCATTCATACTTACCTCTCTTCTCATTTTGTTTGTGTTAGGATCGGGAAAATGCGCCGCATCACTGGGGCGCGGTCTTGTTGCTTTTGAAAGCACATATACCGTGGGCGCTACAATGTACAGGCTTGCTTACATTGTGACGTCTGCAACCTGACAAGTGTCGACATTGGTCAGTTGCTAGCGGAGTGGCAGGCCTTTATCCAACATCAACATGACATCGTTCCCGACGTTTGGCTGAAGCTTCCCTGAGGTCCGACGAAGCCTTCAAGCCTCAGGACGGGTATAAAGGCGGGTATACCTACTCCCAAATCTTCATTCGCTTCTTCACTTCCCAGTCCTTTACCACTTCGACTTCGTTCCCTTTATTCTATCCTCTTTCCCATTTTGTGCATCTTCATTTACTTTCCTTCAACTTTTTTTAAGAAAAAATTATTATGAAGTTCACAATCGCTCTTGTTGCAGCTGTGCTGTGTGCCTCGGAAATCCTTGCGCTTCCTGCCGGATACGAAGCTCGGGGTTATCAGGTAAATACAATTCGTTGTTAGCTGAAGCTGCAAGCTAATGTGTACAATTTATGTTAGAAGCACCCTGCACCAGTGCAAGCTTCAACCACGCTAGTGGAATCGACCGCTTCTGCTTCCGTTACCACTTACGCTCCCCTTCCTGCATCTACGGACGCTCCGCCCCCTGCGAGCAGCGAGGTACCTCCAGCTTCGTCAGCAGTCACACAACCGTATCCTGCATCCACGGACACTTCGTCTGCGGCAAGCAGTGACGTACAATCCGCTTCATCTGCATCCACGCAGCCTAATCCCTCTGCCACCTCCGATGCCCCGGTCTCGCAGGCCCCCACCCCCGCGATCTCTGACTCGTCAACTCTCACAGCGAGCTCTGCGTCTGTGGCTCCGCCCGCCTCGACATCTATCTCACCTTCCGCCCCACCTGCGAGCTCTGAGGCTCTAGTTTCTACGCAGCCTCCTGTCCCTTCGAGCTCAGCGGTCGCTCCTCCCCCAGCATCCACTCAGACTCCAACGCCGCCCATCGATGATTGCCCAGCTGCATCCAATTCTGTCCCCCTTCTTCGTGGATTCGACGGTCTTGCGGGAGATCACTTCTACACCACTGATGCCAACGAAATGAGCAAAGCCCACGGGTACGCGAAGGAAGCTCACGCTGGCAAGGTGTACCCCACCGCTGCGAAGAATACGACGCCACTCTTCCGTATGTTCAGCGGGCACGCAAAGGATCATTTCTATACCACGTCGGAACAGGAGCGCGATAACGCCGTTCAGAAGCTTGGTTATCAGAGCGAGGGGGTCACTGGGCATATTTTCAAGACTCAGATCTGTGGAAGTGTCCCGCTGCACAGGTTGTACAACCCCAGTGCCAAGAACCATTTCTACACCACCTCCGAGCCAGAAGCAAACAACGCTGCTGTCGCACTTGGGTACGAAAGAGAAGGCGTTGCTGGTTTTATCCTTCAGTAGAGGCCCAAACCCGGAGACTGACTAGGCGAGTACACGATCTCCTCGAGTATCCCCCAACATTCTGACGCCCTAAATAGATGACTGAGACAAGATACCCGCATACTTTCACGACCATATTGAATACCTTCATATCCTTTTACTACTTTGCTCAGCGATTGGACGACGCTCTGGATTATATTGGACCTCTATTTTTACCTCCTTACTGTACAAGCGGCTTGCTTACATTGGTATATATACACTTCGTGTGCTTTGCTAGGCTACCGGTTTATAACATATATGGCATTGTACAACAGCGGTGTACATAAGCTTGAGGTCGCGTGAGCATTTTCGACCCCCGTTTCTTGTGCATCCTTCACATTCTTCGCTTGAATATTCCACAGGAAACCCTATCGCGCGCACCATATTTCCTTGCCATTAATCATTCGACAACGAGACGTGGGTATTATTAGCTTACTCCATCGCCGCGTTGGTATCGTGCATATCAGCGAATGGAGTAGATGCATTGAGGTAGTGCCGGTTCAATGATGCATCAGAACCATCATTGCAAATCCATTCAAGCCCGTTGACAAGCAACGACCCCGAGTACGCCGGGGGTGCAAATGATGAACATTTTGAACTCCTCAATTCCCCAAAATTCTCGATGACTTTCCGACGTGGTAACAATGCGATGAACACGAGTCTTAGTCAAACAAGGTTGCTAATTTCGGCGTTGGCTGCTCGGATTCGAGGAAGTAAGTCGTTCATGTTTGTATAGCAAGTCGTTACCAAATATTGCCACGTGGAAAGAGTCATCTCAAAATAAGTTTCTGGTCGCTCAAACATCCGAATTGTCATTTTACTCAACGTCTACACTACGCGCCATGTGTAGAAATGACTACCCAAACGTCGCAACAGTCAACGTCAATGACGGACAAAGAAGAATTACCTAACTTCCAGAGGTAGTGTGGTAGGAAGCGCGTCATGAACTATAGTACAATAACTCGAAAATGGGGGCTCTAAAATGCAAGACAACAATGGGTATGCCAATGGGCGGACATATAAATACTAACGCAGATGCTACAGAACGGGAACAATGAAGAAGGGGGAAAGGCTTTCAAGTGACAGAAAGCGCTTTACAGCTGCCTGCGGGTGAAGAGCATGCGGCGGCCCCTGCCTCCGTTACGGTTGTTGTTGTTCTGTTGTTGTTGGCCACGGTTCTGGCCTTGAGCAGCCTGCCCAGCTTGTCCGTTCTGACCTGCTTGTCCGTTGCGGCCAGCCTGTCCGTTTTGACCAGCCTGTCCGTTGCGACCTGCTTGTCCGTTCTGGCCGTTACGACCGGTCTGTCCTGCGGCACCAGCGTTACCGGCAGCACCTGCGTTTCCACCAGCAGCCCCTCCGGCGGCGGCACCTCCAGCAGCGGCGTTGCCTGCGGCAGCACCTCCAGCAGCAGCACCTCCAGCGGCGGCGTTGCCTGCAGCGGCACCTCCAGCAGCAGCACCGGCGCCAGCGGCCGCTTGACCGTCAGCCGTCACAGTGAACTAATGACAGAATCGTCAGGACATATTTACTGGAAAGACGCTAGATTAGATACTCACGTAGACAGCGTCATCGAGAGAACCGTGTTGAGCAATCGGGACGAGGACAGGCTGATGGTTAGCGGCGGAGTTGATTGAGGAAACCTTGTAAACGCCGGCTGGGAGACCCTCCGTGACATCAGCAGTAAGGATACCATTCTGAGCGGCAGCGTTGAGACCCTTGAAAAAGGCGAAGACCTTGGGGTTGGTGGGAGTGGTTTGGTCGAGGGCTTGGAGCTGCTCAACAACGACGTGCGAGTGGCCTTGGATCTGGCCCCCACCATTAAGCTGTTGGGGCGCGGAGAAGTAGTTGTTGTTTGCGTTGACGAAGAAACCGGTCTGCATTCCACGGATAGCCATTTGGATGGTGAATGCTTTGTCGGCCTGGATGGTATCGCCGTTCTTGGGGTTGACGAACTTCGACGAGGGCATGTTGTCAGTCGAGGGGAGAACACCCATAGGTGCGGGATTGCAAGAGCCTCCCTGGACCTGTTTACCGTCGGTGATGGGGAGGTTGGGAACAGTAAGACAGAAGTTGATGAAGTTATTCGTGGAGGTCAACGAAGCAACTTGGCCTGAAATTCGGCTTATTTAGCAGCAAAACCTGATGATTGGTTAAGGTACAAACCATCAGCGGGAACATCCTGTCCGTCGTTAGCAAATCCACCAGCAATAACCTTGGGGTCCAGCGTCAACGAGGTTTGGGGATCGCCACCTGCTGCACCACCAGCACCGGCTCCAGCGTTGTTTCCGGCACCGGCACCGGCGTTACCAGCGTTGTTCCCGGCATTACCAGCGTTGTTCCCAGCGTTGTTGTTGTTATTGTTTCCGCCCTAAAGTTTTGGGTTAAGTTGAAAGGCAAAGGATCAAATACGAGTCGCCTACATTGTTGTTGTTCTGGCCCTGGTTAACATTCTGCTGTTGGTTGCCCCTGTTCTGGCCAAAGCCACCCTGTCCTCCTCGGAAACCGTTGATTTGGTTCTGGGGCACAGCCGAAGCAGCCAAAGCGATCGCGAGCGTAACGAAGAGCGAAAGGTATTGCATTTTAAAGAGTTTCGACGTTAAGAATGAAAGTTTGAAAGTTGTAACGAGAGTGGGGACACCAGGTCAGGTCGTTGAGTGTGAATGGACTAGCCGGTACTACGATCACTGATCGCACGGAGGAATGAGCGATTCCGAAAAGTAAAGTGAGGAAAGGACGAAGGGGTGGAGGTGTGGAAAGAAAGAAAGGTGCATGATACAAAGAGCTTATATAGGGACCTTGGCTCTTGTTTGTTGCCGACTGATCAATCCAGCCGTGGCAACCGTCACTTACAGAAGAGCTATTTCGGCCACAGTGTCCAATCGCACTCTTTCTCACCTCGCAGGAGGCGAGTTTTCTCCTGCTATTTTTTGGTGTATACCATTCGTGTCCCCTCATCGATTAGTGCGTTCAGCAATATTATCTGTATTTTTCTTTCTCATTTCATGAATGGGAGCAGTGAAGAGCGTGGGAAGACTCTGCCCATCTGCCAATCAGAGACGAGCGCTCAGAGGGGCACTCCACCCAGGACCATCAAGCCTTGCACAAAATTTCGTTTCCTATCAACGGCCGAGATTCCCTTCACGACCATCGATTCTCTTGCGGAAAGGAACCCAGTACAGTGGCAGCACGTTGAAGGCACGTCCCAGAATTCTGGGAAATCAGTGGTTGTGATGATGAACGCCTGCAACTGATGGCTCTAAAATAAACACCAATTTCTACCGCCTGCTCGGTGAAGTCGCCTCCAGAAGGGTGGAGCGGTTGCATGGATTCTCTTCCATCAATGATGAGGGGATATAGCCTCCCTTGCCTTGCCAATAGGCTGCGCGTTTGAACCCCTCATTCAAGTTCAACCAAGCAGTAAGTAGGACACTACCGGCGACTCTATGCTGTGAGGGCATCCAGATTTGCGCTCAACATACAGTTTGGGGCGCCCAGCTTTTTTTAGTACTCAAGGCACCATCTGCGCAACATACGTGCTTGCTCGGAACATCTACATATCACTCTTAGGCCGTCGGCACTATGAAAAGTGTCGCTATTTTTACCACCGTACGTTTCAGTTTGTTCAATCTCGCCGGTGACAGATTATCACCACATTTGTGCACACGGCCTGATGATGCTGACATGGAAATACTATAGGATGAACGAAGGACATCATACGGCATATCACTCCGCCCGCGTGTCATGATCCTTGTCGAGCCGGCGCATAGCGCCCTCCATTGGCACGAATGATGCGCTCTCCTTGCTGTCTGCGTTGTTTCACGCCACCAGCCAATGCAATCCTTTACCAGAATATTGGTTGGAGATCAAGAACCCGTTGTGATCAACTACTCTCCAAGCCCACGCTAACGTGAACACCCTCACTTAAAGGCGAAAACCAGCACAAAGGTTGCTTCAAGTTTAATGCTACGCCGGGATCAGTCCCATGATAGGGGAATATCAAGCCCACCTCTTCAAGGGGGTTCATCAACGCCGTAGTTGTGCATCGAGGGCATCATCTATGCGCAGCGACGGGTCTTGGCACGCAGGCCCCACGCTACCTGTGAGTAGGAATAACCTCGGTACGAAACCTACACAAGTCGATTTCATCTCGTCACTACGCCTCAACCAAACACTCCCTCACCTCCAACTCGCCTTGTGTGCTACAAATAACCACAGGACAACCATATAGGGGCTAGGCCAGCCGCTTCTTGTAGTCTGTGTACTCGACAGTCGTTACCTCATCGCGGTTGGTAGCGAATGACTTAATTCTAACCCCAAAGCTATAAGTATAGCTCATTTATTTTTTAAGTGTGTGACTTAGGACGTAGTCGAAGCTCAACACGCGTCCGGTCTCGTTGGAAACTCAGCAAATATGAATTGCCTGGCGTACACCTAGTGTACATTGACCCTCGAAATCAGCAAACTCAAAATTAGCAAGCTCGAACGCTCGGATCAGGGTGGTTGACGTGGCAAAATTACTTGCTACTTACTCTACCACAGCACCCTACCCCTAAATGAATAAGATCAGAAGGCACTCGCCCCCTTCTGTACACCGCGCTTCCATATTTAGACAACACTTGATTTACGCGACGTGCATTCCATGCCTAACGGTCGGGTGAAAGTTGGCATCTAGCAAAGGGTATACTGATTGCAGAACAGGGTGCTGGAGCAGTATGGATACAGTAGTGCGTGCTGATATAGCGACGGCAATAAATAATCGTGAATAGGGATCATCTTGCGTCATGAAGGCACCGGGTATATCACTTGAACAATATATGATGGTCTTTCAGATGATTACTTCCCGGCAGCCTTTGCTTTCCCAGCTGCTTTCCCGTTGCCAGCAGCCTTAGCAGTGGCAGCCTGAACATTGGCCTTGGCTGCATTGCCGTTGCCTGCAGCGTTGGCACCAGCAGCCTGGGCGTTCGCCCCAGCGGCTTGTGCGCCGTCAGTCACAGTGAACTATACCACAAGAAAATCAGTGAAAATTCGAATACTATTGGGGGTAAGCCTTACATAGATGATATCATCCAAAGATCCGTGCTGAGCGACTGGGGCGATAGCCGGTTGGTGATTCGCCGCACTGTTGATAGAGGAGAGCCTGTATACGCCTGCTGGCAACCCATTTGCGACGTCTGCAGTCAGAATACCACCTTGCGCCGCTGCATTCAAACCCTTGAAGAACGCGAATTGCTTCGGGTTGGTAACTTGAGTCGAAGTCAATGAATCAATTTTCTCGACCACGACGTGTGAGTGTCCTTTGATCACGCCTTGTCCGTTCAACTGCTGTGGCGCAGCGAAGTAGTTCGCTTGAGCATTGACGAAGTTGCCTGTCTCGAGATTCTTGACGGCCATGGAGATGGTGAAGGCCTTGTTGGCGGGGACGGTGCCCAAGTTGGGCGGGAACGTGAATTTCGACGAGGGCATGAGGTCAACACTGGGGATGACACCAATGGGAGCTGGGTTGCATGATCCACTCGTAATTTGTTGGCCGTTGGTGATGGGGAGATCAGGAACGGTCAAACAGAAATTGATGAAGTTGTTCGTAGATGTAAGGGATGCGACTTGACCTGGAACCAAAAATCAATCGACGGGAAGTGAGATGGATCACTGATGGTAGAGTATGTTTATCGTACCGGCAGCCGGAACATCTTGACCGTCATTCGCGAAGCCATTCGCAATCACCTTGGGATCCAGAGTCAATGATGTCTGCGGGTCGTTGTTCGCATTGTTGCCTCCTGCGTTTGCCTACGAACAAGACGTTTCAGAGATTAACTATCAAAATCGAGGTGGATGAACTCACGTCGACGGCACCCGTGGCAGCCAATCGAGTAGCCAAATCGTCAGCCGTAGTACATTGAACCAATGTTCCAGGCTTGTTATCAAGAGGAATGGCGGCGCAGCTGCGGCGGTCGCGTAAGTGGGCGCGTCCACACAGAGCGAAGCGTGTTCAACCTACCTCGTTCCTGGAGCACAAGCTTGCGAGAGCAACTTGCCATTCACACATTGTGCGAACCTGTCGCCTACGCATTTGAGTTCGCCTTGTTGACAAGGTGATCCTTCCTTGGTGGTCTTGAACTGATTGCTATTGCGGCAGTGCATCATTAGCACCATTCTATTTAAACGTGATCGAGATGTACTCACTTCAAGGCAATGGCATCTTGGCCATTCTTCAAGTCGAATGCGGCGCGACGGATGCGATCGAAGGAAGGGCGTGCAGAGGCGGCTGCACTAAGTACCGAGATGGCGATTAAAGCGTTGAACTTCATGGCTACGAGGTTTGATTAAGGATTCGAGTAAATCAGGGAATGAATATAGCGAGTGGCGGGACTCCGGGTCGAGCGAGTAAAGAAGGGATAAAGTTAAACAAATCAAGGGAGCCTAGCCCTTGGTGAAAGAAGTGGAGAAGAACGAAAAGGAAGCGGGGAAGTATTAAAGAGAACGAAAGAAGAAAAAGCCCTAAGACACAAAGGCCATTCCACCCTTTGTTTTATAGTGTGCGCATCGGCTTGCCGAAGGTGGCCAACGAACGGCTTCTGCAGTTGGGCCATTCGGCATCAACATTGCGCTTCGCCACTCGACGCGATAGTCGTGTTTCATCAGCTCTCTCCGATTCTCTGATGTGTTGGGAGACAACAGGGGCAATCAGCAAATGCGATGATGATGAACGAAGATGGTACATACCAATCCACGTGGTATCTTGTTCCGCCTCCGACCCGCATGGGCAGAGGTAACCCCGCAGGGCCGGCGATCCGGCTTCCCATCCTATTGCATTTCGACTCTTCGAGGAGTACCTTATCTGATTGTTTTGCTCGCTCGCCAGTATATGCGTTATGTCTGACATCAAGAAGCTCTACGTTGATGCGGTTAGTCTTGGACCCCATAGTTCATAGTTGAATGCCTCATGCGAAATAGATATTGTTTGATATGGATGGGTCTGTGGGTTTTCATCAACTCGCGTATCGGCGAACTCACCGACGTACTGGTATGCCCCCATTCGCGACATCAAAATCGTTTCCCCAACGTTGTTTTGCTTGGATGCTCGGTTGCTTCGGGGAAACGTTGTAGGACACTGATCGATTCGACGCCCGGTGTGCTAAAGGCATGGGAGCGATTCTGCGAGGACTACAACCTCGGCAACTATGTCGAGGTGTCCCATGCCACCCACGGCAGGCGATTGTACGACACTCTGAAGGAGCTGTGTCACATCAGCGACGAAGAGACTCTCCAGGTAGGATTCTCATACCAGTGTCTACCATCATGCCGTCTCTTGGCAACGATTGCGCTCGATTGTATTCCCCGTGGTACAACATTTCTGTTACATCTGACCGGGTCGCGTAGAACGAGATTGATCGGTTTGAAGACCTAGTCATTCAAGGCGGACCAATACAGCTTCCCGGCGTCCATAACCTCCTTACGCAGGTAGATTGATATCTATTGAAGATACAGGCGCCTATAAACTTGAATACCTATACTAGCTGCTCAGTGAACCACGGTCCGCTTCGAAATGGACAATAGTCACCTCTGGTACGATCTGTTTGAGTTTGGATGACTCTAATTTCCGACCTCCTCCGTGACTAGCAACGAACAAGTATGCTCCGCGTGCCCTTGAACGATGCGGCGTTCCCCTACCCCTCTGCGACTATATCACGTCGAATGATGTATCCAAAGGGAAGCCGAACCCCGATCCCTATCTTGCCGGGGCACAGAAGTGTGGTATTGACGCGACGAGATGTGAGCTCAGTCCAACGATCTTGCGCGCGCAGGCACGTCTGCTGACCGCGGCCACGCTCAGGCCTTGTTGTAGAGGATGCTCCTTCTGGGTTAGCAGCGGGTCGGGCCTGCGGTTCAAAGGTTCTCGCGGTTGGCACAGGTATCGGCTGTGAGGCGATTGTTGACTCCAAGGTTGGCTTTGATTATTGTGTTAGGGACTTAACAAGGTGCGCCTTGTAATGCGCCTTCCATGGTACCGGTCACTGACCTCGACGACTATCTCTAGAGTATCAGTTAAAGCAGTGGAAGGGCAATTGGAAGTTACCATAGACGAAGCCATGATATGAACGGTCACGAATGGCTCACTGGCTTGTGCAGATAGAGTCTTAGCTTATCCATTAAGGGTCTACCGAAGCGTCCATAATTACAGCGTTTACATTCCTTCTGCACAACTCTCCATGGCTCGAATTTTCGACAGCCTAATCATGGCTTGGTGGGCTCGGCCTGTTCAAGTGGTGGAGGGCCGTCATCGTCATCGTCGGAATCCTCCACGCTGGGACCGGAATCCTCATCTCCCCCGGAGGCGGGGGCGCCACCCATGCCGCCCATCGAAGCCATCATCTACGAAGGTCTTAATGGAGAACAGATGGAGAACCCGACGAACGTACCTTCTCAAAGTCCATGCCACCCATACCACCCATACCACCCATACCCGGCATACCTCCCATGCCACCCAGGCCTTCCATTCCTGGCATGCCACCCATGCCGCCACCCATGCCACCCATGCCCTCCATCAGATCTTCGTCCACAGCCTCGGCGCCGTCCTGCTCATCTTCATCTACCCATCGGCTGAAGTCAGTCTTGATGAAAGGATGCTTGATCTTTTCCTTAGTGAGACGAGGCCAATACGCTTCTTTCGCCTCCTTTTTGCGGAGGACGAGAACCAGGGAACGCGTAGTCAAGCGCTTACTTGATTTCTACAAAAAAAGCTTCTCAGTATTCTATGCGATCGCTAGTTGACTAGTTTCTCACTTCAGGATCGATCTCTTCGAAAAGATCGAGAGCAAATTCATACTCCTTTTCTTCGATGCCTTTGGTCGATCTACGGGGTAGTGAACGTAAATCGCCGTCCAAAAGGGTAAATGTGAACACATACGCTCCAGCCGTCGCCTTGAACGTGAGTTTGGTAGGCTCTAGCTCGCAAACCAACGTAGATTCTTTGATCTCTGTTAGATTCACGGTGAGGTAGATGACATTCTGTTCAGGCAGCAAAAATCGCGACGCGTTCGCAATCAGTGAATGATCGCGACCAGATAGAAAGTGAACCGACCTTAGTCTCGTCACTTGCTGAGCTTCTTTGTGCCCACAAAACCTCAGGATGGGAAGGCATAATGTCTAGTAACAGAGGGACAGACGATGTTGCTCGGATGGGTTTTTGAGGGGAAGACCTTGGAATTCTCCAGAATCTTCACGCGCTTCACCTGAGGGCGCTTCGCCAGTGGAGTTTCCCCGGTCACGTTTCCGTCGCCGCGTGGTATCCGCCGCAAAACTTCTCCGAAGTGCTCTACGACGACAAGCACTGTTGCGCAACATGTGGTACGTGAATTCATGTCTTGCCCGGGCCTTTCCTGAATTCTTTATGCTCACAGGTGCACAAGGTGGTTTCTGCCATTGCTGTTCCTCCCAATCCCAACAGCATCACCTTACTTCTTGGTTTTGTTTATACTGTCCTTGACAATGCATGCAAAGCCGTGGTATGTTCGCCTTGAAATATACTGAAGAGCTGACTGGAACCAGAATTCTAGTTTTTACTGTATAATCCTCTTGACCACCCTATTCATCTCCTCGTGTTACTGGCAACCGTTTACCCTCGACACACCTCTTGCAATTCCTTGGTCGGAGAATATCACTACCTTCGGCGCAGCCCTCAACGCTACCCTCTCCAAAGACTTGCAGAATATCACCCTCCCATCAACTATCCGCGTAATCGATCGCTGCTGGTGTGACTTCTCCACCAACGGCTTCTTCGAGCCATACAATGTCACGCAATGGGAATGGAACAGTGTAGACAAACTCAAGACAGATCTAGAGAAGCAGGCCGCTGCGACGCTGATGTTGGAGTTTGCGGAGAAAGACCAAGATGGTGAACTTGCGTCGCCGGCTGCCTCGCTGACTACATCACATGTGGACATGCCCCGTACCGCCGCCCCCAATCCCGCCTCGCAAACGCCTACCCAGTACTCAAATAGACCTACTTTCCTTCGGCAGGTCCTTTGGGTTCTGCTATGGCCCTTGGTACCGAAGCCGGAGTTCGGAGTTCCCGTACATCTCCCCCATGGATTTGTTCCCCAACCAGATCCCTCGGAAGCTTCTGCTGCGACTTTCCCCCCCGAAACAGAGTCTCCAAAATCCTTGCCACTGCTCCGAAAAGAGTACGATCTCCGACCGTACGGACTAAATATTACGATAGACTTTGGGTGGTCGCGTGCTGTTCCATGACCTAACTTATGCATGTAGCACACTCATAATGCAATATACCACTTCCGACAATGTATTCCCCCTACTATTGTACTCATATTTTAGAAGACAATCACTTCGCGCCACTCCACACCTCGTTGCGGCTGAGGGTTGCTCCTGCCTGCTCCTGACCAATCTGTAGGACGGTAACAATGCTACTATGTATTGCACCGCGATCTGTAACATAATTCGGCGGATCTACAATGTAACCTCCAACGACATGCAGGCCTCGTGTTGACCGTTAAAGAGGCAACCTCCATCTTCGAATCGAATCGTATAGTGGTCCTCGTCGATGCCCATCGCTCCTGGCGGCGACCAACGAGAGCCATGGATGCAATTTGGTGGTTTATACCGCCCAATCAATGACCTCAGTCAACCGTGGGTCGCTTCACCAGTTGTCACCACGCCGCAGACTCTGCCACCAACCAAATCCGCGCTACCTGTCGAACATCGTGCCGGTTCATCGTTTTCGAGGATCCCTATCGCACAGCCAGCGATAGATAGCGGTGGAAGTAACCCTGGAACGAATAAGCGTCGTAAAGGATGGGGGCTCTTGGAACGTTTTCGAGGTAAGCAAGCCAGCGCTCGTCCCAAAGGTGCCAATCAATCGTTAATGATTGCCTAGGATCGTCTAAACGGAATGCGTCGGGGTCGTCGACGTCGTCGGTTCCAGCCACTGAGTCGGTGGTGAATGACCGAGTCCCTCTTGCTGAATGGAAAGCATACGGTTACTATGCTTGTCCGAACGTTGACGGTGTCACGGTAATGAACTTGTGTGTCGTCTCCCGTGTGCACCAAGTTCTGACTTAGGTCTATAGGGAGCAGCCCCTTGGCCGGTGCCCCCTGATGTCGATATTCAAGGGATGTTTGACTCTTTACGCAGTGTTGACGGCGACCATCCAGAGCGGTGGATTTCGGGGACACAGCATACTGCGCTGCCTCCTCGTCCGACAAGATGGAAGGTGCCGAAACCACACGAACCGCTTCCCTTTCCATGGGAATGCCAATTAAATCCTTTTCTCGAACACCAGCTATTTGGTCCTACATCCTTGTGGTTCGACATAGGTCAAGATCCTTCTATGCTTTGCTACGGCACCGTCGAAACTATGATACCCATCTCACGGGCGGACAGGATTCAACCAGCGACATACCCATTTCTCACTCACATGTTCATCAACGCTATCGGCGACGACCCCATCCAACCTTTCCTCTGGCCTTTCATGGTCCGCAATCCTGAAGGAATCAAATGCGAAGATATATACAACGCAGTATACGAGAATTTTCAGCAATACGTCTCTCAATCGGAATACTACGATTGGCCGCAGGTTCGCCAGATTCAAGTCACCAAAGCGTACAGAGCAAGACTGTCCTCCCGGTCAAATCATAACTCTGGTTTCGTAGAAGGGATACAACGCGTGGATTACCTTGGGGATAATATCATGTTTCGAGGCCTCGAGCCCAACCCGAACATTGACGGATGGGTGATGTTCGTAGGACGGACATGGTAAACTCGCGCTTTTGATGTCGGGTCACGTTCCTCCATCAGACAATTCACTTCAATACTGTATGCACGCCAAAGATCACCGCTTTGGGGAATGGAATTTCAAGTCATGTCGAGGATCGTGCAGCACTTACTCGTGGGATTGAGGCCGCATCACTAGCACCGTAAGCAATTCACCCCTGTGGGCGGCCTTGGGCTTCTGGCGAAGTTACGTTCAAGCAACCTTCTGATGCTTCGCGGCCAAAGCCAAACTCCCCAGCGAATTGAATTAGTACTCAGCTCTCTACCAGGTCCACACCGGGGGCTGCGGTTGTGTTCGCTTAGTTTCATCCCTCAATATGTGGACATCGTGGACTGCGAATTGGAGGTCATCCTACTGGTTCATCACGGCTGTCGTTGGCTTAGGTTAGCAGCCCTACTTTGGTCCATAACATAACAAAGGGATACTCAGCATCCCCCATTTTCCACAGGAATTCTAACCGACCTTTTGGTATACTCCATAGTAATCTCAGTCATGTCATTTCACCTGGAACGCTTGGGTTATAGTAGCGCTTCTTCATTGACTGGATGGCTTCTGTTCGCGTATGTAAGTAGATGTTCTTCTCCAAACGTCAACGATAGAGCTGACCCCTCCCCCTCAGTCTGCAGGCATCGTAATTTGTACGTGCGCTTCGGCATTCTCACTGCTACCTCGCCATGCATTGATACACGCCGCGAGACAGTAACCATCCCGACAAATAACGTCGCCTGTTGCAGGATATTTACCGGACAAAATAGGACCGGAATGGGTACTCCCACTTGCGCTGTCGTCAGCCATACCATGGTGGCTACTCATGATCATAGGCAAAGAACTTGGCATTTTTATCACCTTCTATGTCTTCGCAAGTACGCCATCGCCTTAGATGGTTGCTAACTAGTCTGATAGAATTCTTTGTATCCGCGGTGGTATCACCCGTGACTGATTGTGGTGTCTCATGTCTACCTATGTGCAGTCGGACCCATAATTGGTGGTCAAGTATATGATCACGTCAAAAACTATGGATGGGCGATCATCTGTGCATGTTATTTGTTGCTCCGTTTCTTGTTTTTCTATAGAGCGGTGATCTACCACTGTGCAAAAGAATGAAGAATCAACTAGCGTGCTGGGGCCAATGTCATAACTTTCCTCAGCATAAGTAGAATATTTTACTGGTGGTATATGTAACCATCTGTATACAATGTCAGGCTTTTATTTTGGTCTTACAGAACCTCATTGACAGCACCCCGAAGAAAGCTTGTAAATTTCGCCTGCCCTGCAGCCAATCCTATTATCATGCCCGTAAAAGGAGCGTCGGCGTACTATTCTGCCTTCCTTTTGTGGCTGGTACACGAACGTTCGCTCCGGACGATGTTTTATACGGTAACTATTCCCATCGGCCTCATGGTATAAGAAGACATCGGGCTGCGTCAGACCACCTTGGCGTGGGCTCGTATGCCGCAATATGACTCCCAGGCGCCGAGCCATATATAAGTTTCAGCTTCAGGCGTTTGAAAAGTCGACATCCCCTTTTTGTCAGACTCCCCAACGGGTTGAAAGCTTATACCTCCCGTGTCTCTTTTAGATTTAGATTCACTATCAAGGCCGAACATTGCAATTGATGCATCGGTGGTCTGGCCAGACCTCATAGATCGATATGTTAGCATCGTGGGGCACGAAGTGGAGATCCTCCTACTGGTTCGTTACGGCCGTGGTAGGCTTAGGTCCGTAGTGCTTCCTACTTAGTCTTACAGCCAAAGGCTAATCATCCCCTAATCATTCCAGGAATCGTCACCGACCTTCTGGTATACTCTATAGTACTCCCGGTTATGCCGTTCCATCTAGAAAGCTTGGGATATACCAATGTTGCCTCGTTAACTGGATGGCTTTTGTTCGGATATGTAGGAATCCGCGATCTACGACTGTTGGCAATGATTCTGATGCTTTCTTCTTCTACGTCAGTCTGGAGGCTTAGTGGTCGGTGGGTGCATTTTCCCATTATCTTGCTCCGTCGTATCTACTGATCCATGATACAATGTGATACAGCGACGATCCCAACAGCCATGCTGTCCGAGCGTTATAATTCCAGAAAGGCTCCCCTGCTTTGGGGGTTGCTCTTCCTTATTGGCTCGCAGGTTATGCTTATGGAGGCTCCTAATTACCCTGTAATGGTCGTTGCTCGTATATTGCAAGGATTGAGCTCGTCCATGGTCTGGGTAGTCGGCCTGGCACTGTTGTAAGTGGCTCTCTCCTGCTACCGATTACTTCGGCTAATAGTTGTTATCATAGATGCGACTGCACTCCGAAAGAAGTCATTGGTCGTAAGTGTTCTAGGTTATGGAAGGGCGTTACCCAAGACGCTCATTATGTTGCCAATAAATAGGTCAACTTGGGATTGCGATGACAGGCCTTTCCGTAGGGTGATGCTTTACGCGCCATTGTTGGTTGACCTGCGGTGACTTACGCTATACGATGTAGGGTTATATTGGGTCCCCCACTCGGTGGCTTGCTTTACGATCGCTTCGGTTTTCGCGGGCCTTTCGTTTTCGGGATAGTCTCAGCTTTTGTCGACCTCGTCGGTCGCCTGCTCATCATTGAATCCAAACTTGGCCTTCTTGAGTCTCCTGCCCCTGCCCCTGCCCCGACAATTACACCACCGATACCCATATCAGACACAATCGTTTTCCCGAACACTAAGGATGCCAACGACCACACAGGTGCGACCTCTATTCCCATGACGCCACGCACATCGTCAAGGGCGAGTCAGCCCACCGACGTCGACTCGGAAAGCCAAGAGAAAGCCCATTTATCGCTGTGGCAAGTTTTGGTCCAGCTAGCCAAGTCACCCCGCGCTTTGTCTGCGCTGTTTGTAACACTTACCAACGGGTATGTTGCGGCGATTCGTTTTCCGTACTGCAGGGATACTGATATGTTATCTTTGACGGTCAGGCTTGTGTATGCAACTATAGAGCCTGCGCTTCCACTGCGTCTCCAGGATGTATGGCACCTGGATTCTACTCGCGTTGGAATAGTTTTCATCGCTGGCCTTGCACCTTCGTTATTATGTTTGTCTTACCCACTGAAGACTCCATTAGCAAGACTAATCACCACACAAACAGCGGCGCCTATTGCGGGATATTTGTCCGACAAAATGGGACCCGAATGGGTACTGCCCTTTGCATTACTGCTCTCCATACCATGGTGGCTACTTTTGATCATTCGCAAAGAACTTGGCATGTTTATAGCCTTCTTCGTCTTTGCAAGTACGCCCTGGTTCTCTCATGGCTTATCCCCCTTCTGACAAGATTGATAGGCTTTTCGGTCTCTGCGGTGATATCACCCGTCACGGCAGAGCTTGCCACTGTTTCAAGACACATCAAAGGTATCGGATGTAAGCAAGCATTGAAGTTTGTTCCAAAGATTATTGCTTAAGTGACCGCCTCATTGTAGTCGCCCACGTATACGGCGCTTTCAACGTGGCGTACGGTGTCGGCTCTGCCCGTAAGCTATTTAATCTATCACTCAAATTTTGCTTCTTACTTCTACTTCCGTAAAGTCGGACCCATCGTCGGCGGTCAACTTTATGATCATGTCAAGAATTATGGATGGACCATCATCTGCATATTCATTGCAGGCATGTTAGTAGTGGGCCTCCCTCTCGTCCTTTGGTGGAGTGGCGATTTACCACTTTGGAGAAGATTGAGGAATAAACTAGCGTACCCGGGGCCACGGCCACAGCCTTCCTCTACACCACAAGTAGCGCATTAAAATGTCCGAAACTGATGCTATAACCACCACCACCACTCTATCTACAAATTCCTGTTCTGCAAATGATCTTCTTAGACCTATAACCTGGAAACGGATGACAGTACGATCAAATCTGTTCATCATAAGGGCATCACATGATTGAAGGACCTGGGACCGAGGTTACGTAAGTATATAGTGGCATTGTCCCGAAGCGTCAAGTGCTCTCTTTACTGCCTCTCTCTTCTCCCCGACATCCACTTCTCCAATATCGTTTGCGACAGTGCGTGGAACTTAGGGAGTCTCTTCTCGGTGCGTGTGCTGGCAGAAACCGTCTAGTTACTCACCGGCGAATCTGCCGGCTCGCAGTGATCATGAGCAACAGTTCATATCCATCGCCCGTCTCTGTGAGACCTTCTCCCCGTGTCCGCGAGCACTCGGGGAGCGGTGCGCCACCAAGGGATCCTTCCGCAACGCAAAGGAGTCTTGCTCAAGCCTCTGCTTCTTTGGAGGCTGCATATGATCGCATTCGACAAGTTCGACTGAGCCTCATTCAATTACAAGAAAGCTACAATAGTTTCGCATCAAGGTTCCCAGATCAAGTTATTGGGCCTAACCACGACGCGATCGTCCTCACTGGAGATAGCACCTCTGAAGAACCTCAGTCACCCGCAGGCCAACTTTCTCAATATGAAATCGACTTCGAAACCTCTACTAGCTCAAATGCGCCCGCGCGATGGGATACTTATTTTCCTGACTCATTCACTACTGCACCAACAGATCCACTCGCTACTCGTAACAGTGTTGCCTCATCTGTTAGCCTTAACTCCCCAGTCAGCCCTCATCGCAGCTTACCTTCACGCCGCTCCCTGCTCGATGCAAATCCTTCTCAGCGCAGAGAATCCGATGATCCGTCTACCTCCCTCGGAAGACAGGTTGCCGCTCGGCAATCTAATCAATCCTCACCCTCCCAGAACTCACTTCCTGCCGATATCGTAGCTCAGCAACAGTATCTCCGCGAGGCCCAACAGACGGTTCGCGAACTGGAGAGGATAAGTAACGAGTACCAACGGCGCTTAGGTTCCATGCCAGAGCTTCCACCTTTGCAAGAGCTGTCTTCAATGGAACCAATCCTCGAGTATCCGAGACCAACACCCGCTGAAATCCTCTCTCGTCGAAGCTTGGATGCCAACGTCCTACAAGCTACCAATCAAACTGTCCAATCTTCACAGACTAACTCGTCACTTATGCCACCCCGCTTAACCTCCAACGGTCGCAGGTGGCCCCGGCTCAGTCGTGCGGATATTAGACAAGGCTCGATTCAATCGCCTTCTTCTTCTCGCTCGGACGCAACTCGTCTCTCGATGTTGTCTAACTTTTCGATCAACAATATGTCGACACCCTCCAGCGCTGTCAACCGTGACCGTCCCCTACTATTTGACGAGCCGATGAGCTACGAGCCCGGCGAGTTGTTCCCATCCCAGGCAGCATTGCAAGACCGCTTTGATACACTGGCAAGAAGGGCCATCATGCGAAGGCAGTCGACAGTTGAGGCTCGCGAGTACGTCCATTGGTTTTCTTATGGCAATGAAGGCACTGATGGTCGACATGGTAGTCATGGTCGGACGCTTCAGCAGGACCTTTCACATTATGTCCTCCCTCGATTAATCTCCCCTACCATGGGTGCCACAGCAGACTTCAGTTCGTTTTCCCCCACAGATACCACTCAAGAGCTTCGGCAATCCAGCGGCGGTGCTGCTTCCACGCATAGCCGGACACGTAGAAGAGGCTGGGGTATGTCTTCTCACAGATGACATAGGTGCTCTTACTGACGTCACGTCTTTGGTAGCCCGTTTGGACGCAGACGGTAACGAGATACCCTCTGACGAAGAGGAGGAATTGGAACGTTTGCGCTCTGAGCAACGTGTTCGAGCAAACAACGTCGCTCGCTTGACCCAATTGGCTGAGCAAGTGGCTATGTCGGGCGAACGACGGACAGGTTCCAGCGACGCAGAAGACACTTCGTCTATCCACATACAGCGCGCGTACGACAGGATGGGTCGCCTTGTTGGCAGCCGGTATAACTCAGAGCCCAAGTCTCGTGGAAATGATGTCCCGTTGGTAGACATCGGTGAAGTCGGCTATGAACCCTTCAAACCTTCCCCGTTGCCAATGCCACTTGTCAAGATGGTGTCTACGAGAGCAACAGCACAGACCGGAAGGCGGATGTTTGTCCTCAAAAAGAACCAAACGCTCGATGATAGATGAATGATCGTTGTCATGTTCCTGTTGTGACGTTGTCCATTCTTTTATTTTCTTTCGGCGCGCTCAAAAATATTAGCCAAAAACCGTTCAAGAAGTTGGCGGATATGCTTTCCTTTATGGTGTAGTGGTCCTTCATTCGTCTAAATTATATTTCCTCTATCCTTTGACCATAGAACTTGGTTGGAACATATGTATTCATTTTGTAACCATTCAATGTCTTATTCGAACAGGAGAGATGCATTGGGTCGTAAAATACAGAGATGTTACCTAGGATATATACATCATAACACGTATCTAAAGTCTCTGTTCTGGATGTCTGTAAGATCAAGGAACTCTTTGTCGACCTTAATCTTGACGCTCTCGCCCTCTTTCGTGACGCTTTCGACGTACACCTCGTCGTATGTGTCGTCGCGCGGTTCTTCGTCTCGACGCTTGTTCTCTGCTACCAAAAGGTGGCGGATGATCAGCATGAGAGCCATGCAGCAAGCATAGCAGATGCCGATTATTATCCACGGGACATGATTGCTGTTTGAGAAAGAAGGTAAGCGCAAATAGGATGCCACTAAGAGATATACTTACCGAGGTTTATATTTGGCTTGCCACATGAAGGGGCCAGCCGAGTTGCCAATGCAGTATGCGGAGAGCATTATGGCGTTGGTCGTGACTCGTTTTGTATGGCCAGAAGTAACGCTGGACAACCAGGAAAGCGACAGGACAAATCCGGTGGTACCGACGCCTAGAGTAGTAGGCAATCAGTAACTTAGTCGACACAGTGTGATGGACTTGAAGGCGAACCCGTAAGCCAGACGCTGAAGAGGAGGCCAACTTTATTCTCCCAAGGCAGGAAGTTAATTAAGAAGACACCCAGGAGGTTAGGTACCATATATATGACGGCAACGTATGCACGGCTATTTGGAATACGAGCAGCGATATTGACACCGGTGTAGATGGTGACGATTTCGACCACACCATCTACGCACCCCAGCAAAGTGGTCTGTAGAGGCGAGAAACCAAAGGAAGAGACGATGATTTGGCGCTGGTTAGTCAGAGAGTTTGGGATGTTGTCCAGAGCTGAGAACAGCGCGAAAAGCCATGTCTTGGGATCCAACAGGGCTTCGATCATCCTACGTGATCCTGCTGAGTGAGACGCAACGAGATAAGGGGCCAGACTCACTGTTCCTTCTTGAAATGTTTGTTCTCTACTCCGGTTTGATTTTCCTATTGGGATTTGCGGTTAGCCGACGTCCAACTCGAGATGCTTCGATGTGATACCTTGATACGTTGAACAGCTTTAATCCGTTCGTCCGGAGTCAAGAACCAGGCATTGGTTGGCGAATCTGGGAAAAACAGCCTGTGAAATAAAGATGTTAAACTACACCCGTCTCGTTGTACTGAATGCGATTTACGAACCAGAACGCTACCGCTGTAAATAGGGTTAGAATTCCCGTGATGATCATAAGCCTAGAAAATGTTAGTCAGTATCATGGTAAGGATGATGAGAAGCATGGTTCTTACCACTGCCAGGGGGCAAACCCTCCAGTTTTGATGTGGAGGGTACCGAAGCTGATAAATCCGGAGATGATTTGTGCTGTAGAACTTCGGTTAAGCGACATGACCTCGACTACACACGCTTGATCGACATACCGGTTCCGTTCATCAAAACTGTACAGCCAAGATTATTACCATCCACGGGAATGAGACAAGATTATTATCATCCAGAGGAATAAGATAAGAAAAGGACCTACACCAGTATCCAACCCGTAATGTCTGTTCCGTTCTTGTGTAGAACATGGAGCTTACAATCATGAATCCGGCCGTGATGGATCCTTCACATACGCCAAGCACAAATCGGACGGCAAACAGCCCACCGAAATTCTTGCAGGCTGCATGAGCGCATAATGCGACTGCCCATATAGAAATGTTCAAACTACATAGCGTATCAGAACGGATATAAGACGGTGAAAGCATTCAGAACTGACCTCATCCATTTGCCTACTGGGAAACGCTGCAAGGCGAGGTTCTGGGGGTACTCGAAGGCAAGATAGCTCAGATAAAATATTGTCCCAAGCCTAGTTGCTTTGAGATCAACACTTGTAACAAAGTCCCATGAGACGGTAGCACAAACCAGTTGTATCTGAGGGAAGATATTGAGTGACTGTGTATAATGTTGAACATGTACGTACTGATTGGTAGTCAAATGCGTTGCTTCTCTGTGTTCAGTGGTAAGATCGACAGTGCCAAAACTCGAAGTCTTTTTGAACAAACCGAATGCCAAGTATTGCGGAACTACCCAAAGTGGTTTTGTCCATGAACTGGATCCTAGTCCGCGTTGAAATGGTTGACAGCGCGTAAAGCAAAGCAGGGAGCTTACCAGTAAAGTACTACATATCCACCAGCGGTTCAGCCACAGTTCTGGGTATTGGTGAACGTACTCACTGCACATTAACGGTAGGATATTTCGATCAATTTTCTTCCTGGATGTAAGTTAGTCTGTGGCCATGTTACTTTCTCAACCAGATGATACCTACCTTATCCTCAAAGCCTCCGCAGGGTCAAGCTCGGCGTCTCCAGCAGACACCAGTGCCGCTCCGGTATCAACCTCGCGCGTCGAAACAGAAAAGAAATTGGCGTGCTTCTTTTCATCCGGATAGTCAAACTCAGAGGAACCCATGGTGGACGACTGGAGCGAGTCAAATCCTACGTTCAGGTACTTCGCATTGGTCTTATAAGATAGCTGAAAATAGCCTATAGGCTCTCCGAAGACCGTATGCTCCTAGGCCTCTCCAAATCCGCTTCCTGGCTTATCAGTGATGGCGTGGAATAATACTGGTCTTATGGGTAAAGAAGCGGATTTGCCGAATGGTCACCCGATACAAAAGGTCCCAGAGGGGGGACAGCGCTTTGATGGCGCAAGCGGCCAAATCCACGCCAAGAACATCCTCCGCGACCCTCGGTATGATTGGTTCGAGGGCAATGTAGCAACGAGGTAATGGTCATTCATGGAGAGGAAGAAGTTAGAACTACTTGGTCAAATGGTCTGATCGAAGTAGGAAGTTAGTAGTGCAAGGTGGTTGTTTGGTAACCCACCGTCAGCCAAATAATCTTGGTCGTATAAACGGATCTCTAGGATTTTCCCTTCCTTCCTACACACGCTTTTCGTTCAGTCTTGCTATTCTCTATCTCCAATCAGGGTATTCAAGGCGTTTCGTTCGAAGCTTTCCTCTTTAGTAGGGTACCGACCATCATGGTAGGGCGCTCTAGGATCTAAAGAGGTGGTTTTGCGTGTGAGATCGATTGTTGATGTTGGATGTCAGTTCTACGCGCGAAATCCATGTTACTCGGCATTAGGACCTAGACGACATCGCACACATAGAAATTTTTGGTGGTCTGTAGTAGTTGTTTGCATTGTTACACATAAATGAGTGAATAAACAACAGATTGCGTGCAAATCGTGCTTGTATCTACTTGAAGTCAAAGGTCTATGTAATCAGAGAGATAAAAATGTTATGAGACCGAAGGAGTCGTACTGAGAAAATGGTCCGCGGAATAGGTAGGCTAGAAGTTCAACTTCTGTCGCTGCTACACACAAGAAACAAGCCAATGATATGAGTCATGCGACGGCGCAGCCCATCTCGGTGCCAAAGTTCAATCCCATACGGGATAACCATGATCTGAATTTCCCGGTGCTTCCAGTACTTCGCACACTTCCCAAACTCCTCGTGCTGCGTCCCCCTGTGCTCCTCACGCTCCTGAAGCTTTCCAAAGAAGGTGCCATGCGTAGGGGAACCGAGGAGGATATCGAAGATGTTCGTGAAACGGAAGCCAACGAAGAAACAGATCTAAGGCTTGATGAGTCGCTAGCGAAGGGGAGGGGAGGGAGCTGTTCGGGTTTTGATTGGGGCTTCATGCTGCCAAGAGCGAAAGGCCCCGATATGAATGGGCGGGAGGATATCGGAGACGATCTTCGTTGTAGGAGCTTGCCTATGCCGCCGGTTTTATTCTTCTTCGTCAGCGAGGACCTTCTGACCACCGATGGAGTGTTTATTTCCTCATCTATCATCACATCTTCTTGGGTGCAAATATCCGTGCTATCCACGTCGTCCTCGTCCATGTCCCAGTAACTGTCGCTTGCATGGTGTATTGTCGGCATTTCCACGAATTTTACGGATTTATTGCAGGAAGCTGACATAGAAGAACTCTTGGTGGCGTTGGACGACGTGCGGGTCAGAATCGATCGCGAAGGACCTGTATGCCTATGTCTACCCCGAGATCCTGGTGATACTGGCGTAGCGGGTCTCGAGGACGACGCAGCTGTTGTTAATGACGAAGAAATGGAGGATACCGAGGAGGAGCGGGGCTTCGGAAGAAGTCGAGTTTCGAGCATAGGAATGGATCTTTCAAGTTTAGACCGTGGGCGGATCCCTGCACTCCACAAATCCTGTTGTTCGTCAGAATGTAGTTGCATGGAGGTCTGGTGGTGTTCGATGTGGTGGGCTGTGGGAGGGATTGGTAACGGGGGCAATGGGGGAGATGGTATTACTGGTTTCGAGCGGGGATAATTCGGACGACGATATAGCCATTCAGAAGGATATGCGGGTTTGGGAAGAGGGAGAGAAGAGGGTGGTGGGGGCGGTATATATATGTCGTTTGGAAGAGATTGCGAAACAGGGAAAGTTTGGGACGGAGGAGTGGGACGGCGTGACCGTCGAGGCCTTGATGGGGATGTAGGTACAGGAATCGAATTTGATGACTGAGACTCCAATCAAGGTCCGACCAAGTTATACAGTCGTTTATGTACTCACCGTGACGTGTGTCAGTTCTGTCCGTATGTAACTGGCGTCCTCGATGGAGCTCTGGGTGGGGAATGGTCTTGGTGCGGACTTAACTGACTTTAGACCACACCAGGGGAAGAAAGAAGATAAATCTCACCGATGAGGGAATATTTATGGGGGGCGACCTGGAAGACGACGGCCGATCCCAGTCCTTTGGCACACGAAGCGTTAGAGAGAGAGACTGACTGAGACGAATGTAAGGACTAACATCTGAGACGGGTGTGATGGGCACTGGAATGTCAGCATCGATTCCGAGGTTCAGCCAGCTAATTTCTTGGATAACAAGAGGGTCTACGTCCTTCAAAGTCGTGAGTACCAATGTTGAGAGTAGGAAGGTGAGAGCATACCGTCATATCTTTGAATTGCAGAGCGCACACGACAAGAGGAATAAATGGTTCGGAGGTCGAAGTCGTATACGTAGGTGAAGTAGCTATAGAGGGTAGGGCAAAGGGGGAGGAGGTATTAGTTTTCTTACCCCCAAGAACTTGTAACCGGCTGGTGAGACCTCGCGTTCCACACGTGTAGGGTGATATAAAGGTTCAAAGGTTCACTCATGCAATACCCCCGGCTGGTGTCACGGTCGCGGGAGTCCAGGCTGGTAAGGTCCACAGGGTTTGAGTCATTTCTGTGCATCATGGCATACACGCCCTTACACGCCCCCCTTCAGTGTGAAGCCTTGCCTTACACGTGATGGGCGGTGAATGGAGGTGAGTCCAAGGTTGCCCGACAGGTGTGAAGAAGCGTCAGTATTCCTGGGTAAGCCTATGTTGGACACCTGAGAGAGGTGCTTTAGATTCCGGCATATGTGAGAACGGAAGAAAACCGAAAAACTCACTTGATTAACGGGTGTATGTAAATGGCGGCAGGAACGATCTTCAAGTGATGTCGATAAGTCATCAATCGATAACGGAGGCCAGTATTTAGATCTTTATTGATTGCACCCGGTCCGTGAGAGGTTAGGCGACCTGTTTGCGGTCGCCTCCCTCGATTCCACTGTTGAAAGGGTGACGAATGTGAGTAACGTCCCGAAATGAAACCTGCATAGCACACTCACCCAGAAACTAATGACTCACAAAGGACACGCCAAGTCCTTACTACGAAACAACAGAAGTTACTATTAAACTGTATAATGACATGAATCAAAGGATAATAAGTACACAAATAGTTCTGTGATTTGTATCATAATGTAACACGTCTATGCCATCAAAACGTTGGGGGATCGCCGCCTCGTAATGTACAAGCAGCAAACGGGGCAGAAGTGATGATAACGAAGGAAGGTGAAATGAGTGCCAAGCGAGGAAAGTACCGACAGAAAGAAAGGAAGGAACCGAGGGCTATCGTGGTGCTGGGGTCGCCGCGGATTGCTGGTACACGTTGTAATATGGTGTTTGTTGCTGATAAGCCCCAGGTAATAAAGGGGCGGGCGTCCCAGGTGTAGGTGTCCCAGGAGCAGGTGTGCCAGGCGTGGAAGAGGGTTGGACGCCTTGGGCGGCGGAACTCCTAAGGTGCGCGGGCAACGTGGGCTGAACGACAGTTTGTCCAGCAACCGGAGGCTTCTGTGCTGAATACCCATTAGCGGTGGAAGGCCAGAGAGGCTGGCCGCCCTGCTGCTGGGTTTGATAGCCTTTGTTCGTGACGGTATTCGCAACAGCAGGGGTTCTCACAGGTTGAACCGGTGCTGCCGATGTTGATGCAAAAAAGCTGCCGTAAGAATTCGCTGTCGGTATCTGAGGCGTTTGTGTAGGTGTACCCCGTCCAGAGTTCGATCCACCCGCCACGCCTGTCGTATATTGAGGGGCATAGCTATACCAGGAGCCGTAAGACATTTGTCCTGTCGCAGCATAGGGGTAATTCTGGGGAGCATATGCTTGAGGTTGCTGAGTACCCGGCTGCTGCTGGTTGGCGTACGCGCTCGGATAGTAAGCGGCGCTCGATGCATGAGGCTTGAAGGTATACGATGTTGCGGCTTGAGGAGGTCGATACTGTTGAGCTGCGGCGCCATAAGCACCATATTGATAGTATGCAGGGGTGGGAGTGGATGGTGCGGCAGGAGTGGCTATCGTTGGGTTCACAGTTGTAGCGCTTGTGGTACCTGCCCCGACTTTGACTTTCACGGTAGTATTGTCATGCAATGCCATCGTCTTCTGTGCTGGAAGAGTACCATACCAACCGGGTGAAGCGGAAATTGGGATGGTTTTATACAACACTCGGAGTAGGGCGGGTGGTGGAATCAAAGGTGCTGACTCCGATTTGGACGACCTGGGTCTTAATGAGGCTAATAATTCTAACGAATCCATTATAGCTTTCGCTGTGCAGCGATTGAGCTCCTGTGGTCACAACTGCGAATCATTGGACTCACCTGTATCGAGTTCCTCTGATCCCTCGGCTACAACGTACTCCCTATTCAACAGACGCTTTCTTTGCAGCTTTTGCAATCGTACCAGGGCACGAGCATTTCGATCTAGTAACTCTTGCACGGCAGCCTCAAGTTCGAGACTATCCAAAGCTGACTTGATAACATCGACCTCTTCTGGGGGCAACAACTCTGTCAAAGCTTCCTCTAGTTCCGAGTCCTTCGACTGGCCTGCTTTGCGTAATTCGGGGTCAATATTATCGTCGTCGTCAACTTCTATAGCCGTAGCCCTGCTCTCCATATCTTCTAGGATATTGGCCTGGCGCTCTCTCCTCCGTTGTTCCTTTCTCCATAAAAACTCACCGAGCTGTTGTCGGCCCACCTCAGCTCCATCTTGACTGAACGTCGGAGCGAAACTAGCACATGGACCGTAGTCCAGAAATGAGCCTGTCGTTTTCACTCGACGAACGGGCCATGGCTTGGCCTTCAATGGGGGTGCTTTGAGATAGGTATACGAGCCAAGGCTTGGAACAACTGATGCGGTGGAGGAGGTTGATGGCTTGGAGGACGAAGCGGAAGAGGGTGCGACTGATATTGCAGTAGGGGCAGACGGTGTTGGTAAACTGACGACAAGTTCAGAAAGTCCAGTCGACAGGGCCTTGAGGGATTGAGGGTCCGAAGAGTTGTTGGCTAATGACGTCCACCACTCCCCTGTGGGGAGGCGCTGCTTCAGTGCGTATCTCTTTTGTTGACGCGGTGGTGACGAGGAGATATCTTCCTCGTCCGACTGAGTCTCCGGTAGGAGGGAGACCATATCTGACGGTATGGTAACATTATGGAATGAGGCTTCTTCAAAAAGAGAAAGCGCGACGTCGCAGAAACGGCGTTGCTGTATGGCGGGTTTGGAAGGTTTGGAACGCGACTGCGATGATATTGGAACCAGGTGTTGAATAGCAGACTAGAAAAGGCGTGAGAGTAGGTCAATCATTCGAGCTTTGGCGACGTACCCGTAAGGTGGATAATTTAGGACGTGGCGAATCTTCCTTCAGCAGCCAACGCAGTGAACGGTACTGTGGTGGTGATGCTCCATCTTCACTTGGAGAAGGAAAGACCCGGTCGAGCAGCCCCTGCGAATCAATCCTGGTGTTATGCCAGTCAGAACAGCTGACAATTCATGACAAATTTGAGCACTCACGTCTCCAATATGTCTGTTATTTTCTGTGCATCTTCTGGCGTAATCGGTATGTCTCCAGCAAGTGGAAGCACAGGTCGTTGGCTTGTTTGAGGCCGAGCTTCAGGGTGCTCTTCGTCTGGATGAGGTTCTGTAATGTCATTCTCCTCCTTTATCGCTGCGGAGTCAGTTTTGTGCTGCTTCGAAACAGGTTCATCGGAATCCGGCTGGTTGGGACGTTTGCGTTTCTTTGAGCCCGTTTTTGGGCGAGGAGGTGATGTGTTAGTCGCAGGTGTGATGGTGGTTGTGGAAGAAGATTCCTTTTCCTGGTTTTGGGTAGTCGACCGGGTTGCACGAGCCATCCTTATGCGAAATTATCGCCCAAAATATGAGCCGATGTGAGGAATAATGAGAGAGCAAGTCGAAGTGGCCTCGACGCGTTATTTGGTCGATCCCCGAGACGCGTCTGCAGAGATGAGTATAAACGCCGTGCTTGCGAGTGACGCTATTGGACTCGACGGTCTGGCAGGCAGATGACCGCAAACGGCCACACATCAGGTCACTTCACAAGCGGAGATTGTAAATTTCTAATGGGACACTACAAGTATTGAAACTCCGATTACTAGTGATTTTGGCATTAGTCTCTTTGGGCTTTCGTCTTCACAACATGGCTTCAGCAGCGAGGAAAGTCGCCCCAGCCGTACCCATCTTCAGAGCCCAGTTGCGCTCTCGGCAGGCGAATGGACACTCGATATTCATCCCACAAGTCCGGAAGCTTGTCTTCGAGTTCTGTGACAAGTGGCCCTCCTCTGCCAACACCCGCACCTACCTCCTCAACCACCTCGAGGACCTTGCACGCGAAAATCCGCACGTGGAAGTAGTGGTTAAGCAGCGAAATCAAAATGAACCTATTGTCCGTGGATTCTATCGTAAGTAATGGGCATATTCTCTACGCGCTCCGGTTTATCCAAATGTCTACTTTCTAGTCAACGGTCGAGATAAAGTCATCCCCCTCAACGAGTTCGAGGTCACGGGCATTCAAAAGAAGGTCCAGCTTCTACTCGACTCGTCTGGCGCGAAGATAAAATCACTGAAGCGTTCAACTGTGGAAAGTACAACGGAGGCAGCGAGGGGAATATGGAGCGGGCTTCACGCAGACAGACCGCAGTTGTAATTCACCCCTTCATATCTTACGGACTTGATCCTCGCAGTGCACCTGCTCACGCAGGACGATGGCAACTACCTCAGACTGCAGTCGAACTCTCGATCAATACAACCACAACGGCTACAAATTATAGATAGGTAACAAACGCGTCAAATTCAGTGACTGCCTGCACAGTGGGCATTCAGGCTGTAACGAGGTCAATAAACAATATCCAGAGACATGTTCAACTCACCTTTTCTCGTCCCCATCCGACAATGCAACTCCAACAAAACAGATGTCCACACTCCGTCGCGCAGCTATCCGTCCGCTCCTCCAAGCAAAGTGTGCAGTTCCGCGATGCCCGTAGCTCGGCTGGAATTGCGCGTATGTCAAGCATTGTACGTTCGTCTTCCTCCGCGGGTCGTGCCGGCTCAGCTTCTGGATCGATAAATTCCAGGAGAGATGATACGGGTTGATCGTCGATGTACAGTTCGTTATCCCTGTATGACGCCTGGGTTTTCCCCTTTGTTTGCGGTTGAGCACGAGCGGAGCGAATGTAAGTCAGGAGCCTGTAACACAGGCGGACGAGGATAAGGACTCCAAGTAGGGAATAAGAGGGCGGTCGGACGTGAGGGTTCTCGGGAATAGATGATAACTACCCTGGAATCAGTTTTTAGAGTTCAGTACCATGAACGGTATACGTACATGTCGTATGCCCAACACCCGCTTGATCAGGTCATGGTAAGACCCCTTCAGATAGAAGATGGACAGGTTGAGGTCTGTGGCAACTTCGATGTATATTGGAAGGGCTCTCAGCATGCTGGAAAGTTTATGTGGCAGTGAATCCAGCCGTGAACCGAAGCGGGCGATGATGTATGAAGGGAGTGTCGACAAGAGGATAAGAGCGGCGCGTGCCCGTGCGGTTGGTGCTCGTTCGGTGAATGCTGAATGTTGCCAGATATCCGTATACTCCTCGCCCAGAGTCTGCGTGGCTAACGTATTGTGAAGTTGGACACGATGATATGGTGCCGGTGCTCACCTCGCCCGGTGGTCAATCCATAATATGCTAAATTGACAAGTAGATCAACCTCCTTGTCCCAACGTGTGAGCCATCGACTGCCTATATTCCCCCGTCAGTCTTCACAATAGTCGTGGTCCTTGGAAGCTCCTGCCTAGCCATGAACGCAGGACATTATCTGTCTGATTCTTGAATGACGATACATGAATCAGGTCCCTCTGGTTGGCACGAACTAAACACGGTTTCAGCATCGGAATATGTCTCTATGACATGGCTCACGCACTAATCTGAGCTTGTTGCGCCGTAGGAAACGAGGAGGGTGCGCTTTGGGACATTTAGTGGGTATGGTGGAAGGAAATCATGCACTTGGCCGAACTGAGCCGGAGCGCGCGTGAAACAAAGTTGCGGCGTTTTCCCAAGTCTCTCAGTTCACTTACCAACTACAGCACCTCCAGCAAATTCTACCTCCTTCAGTATGCCTCCATCAATGGTTCCCCACTCAAACGAACCGTCAGTATGGCAAAAACGTATGTACAATAAACCCAATCATCCCAAGAAAATCGCGACCTGACTTTTATTTATAGTAAAGTTGGTAGTACTTGCTCTTGGTCGTGCAGACCCTATTTTGCTCACTGTACCGTCACAGGATGGGTGCATTGATGGGAAGTGGTGTCGGATTGACCATAGGCTTCATCTTTGGTTCATATAGCATCCTGAGGTGAGTGCATGCAAGTTTTCTCAAAAGAACCTCTATTAATATCATGGTAGAGGGGGAGCAGGTCCACGAGGAGCACTCTCGACACTGTCGCAATACATGCTTAGCAGTGCTGCTACGTTTTCTTTCTTCCTGGCTATTGGCTCGGTAGGTCCAGTTCTTGCGTTCAGTGGAGCCGGTCGGTTTATGTTGAATAGGTCATTCGCACGGACACATTAATTCCACCCCACCTTCAAGCCGTCCAGATGCAGTTAACGCCTGCAATGGTCCTGAGGTCGAGAATAGACGGCGCGAGGCTAGTGCGCGAAAGATGGGAGGCAGAAAGGAAGCGCGAAGCTTGAAGGAAGGCGACGCGGATGCTGCAACTACTGCAACACGGTCATTCACACCAACAAAACCTTTCGCGGCTTTCACGCTTGAAAGTAACGTCCGTCTGTGCCCTAATACTTAATCTTTATGTCCGCTTCTCACTTGCGCGTGAACATGAGCAAAATTCAGACAGTTCCGTACCGGGGGTCATTTTGCAAGGGAATAACGTAGTTTGTTACAGCATTTTACGGGTGAATGGAACAGATTCATGCTAAGGGTACAGGAAATTACACAATCTGCTGTATTAGCGTGATATTGTCTCCCTTGAGTAGAATACGTCCTGGATAATTGTGAGTGATCGTCGTCTACTCAAGAGTAGGTAAAAACAGACCCAAGTCCCGTCTGGGCTTCGCGTCCTTGACGAATACCTCGGCGGCATCATCTATCACTAGGTTCATGAATTCGTCAAATCCCTAGATGAACCAAGACCGTTAGCACTGGTCCTTCCTTGTCCCGACGCAGAAAAGGGGAAATGCCGCTGGCATATGTATGGGACAATGGTGTCAACAGGGCATCGCCTTCAATAAACCAATTCAACACCATTGGTGGTGTGCCAGATGCGAAGAGATTAGACGCACAATAATGGTCCCCTCGATACGCATCTCGATGTTATCGTACAGCCATATGACAACTTTGGTTCTCTACAGACAATGATCGATGGTCAGTCTCGCGTTTGGGGTAAAGATTCGTCGGACGTACTTGTTGCAGATTTTTGAAGATGACGTTCTAAAGCAAAGGTTAGCCAATCATGTATCATAAAGGCTACGAAAAACATACGATGGGCTGAACCATCACGCGTTGTTGACGTCCCGACATGGCTGGATTATGTTGAACGGGACGAGGACGAAAGTGATGAGTCGAAAGGGCAAGTTGCTTGCATAGGTTGAGGAACGTCTTACGTAACACAAATATGCCACTTTTGTAGGCGCGTTGCTAACACACCCTCTCATCCTTCTGCCAGACGCGTCCGCGTGCAGTAAACATGGAGGTGAGTAGCTCGTTGCAAGCTTCTCGGTCATAGACGCGCTGATACCTTGCTTCATAGGCCTTCGCCTCAAACAGCTCGTCGACGGCAGCCGCCGTGACATTCATCACATTTGTTCAAGACCTCAAGAAGAAAACGAAAGCATGGGGTCCAATGATAGAACTATGCGCCAGCGGAGAGAAAACGTTAGAACGTTTCAGATACCAATTTCCGGACGACTGGCTGTATAGCGACCAGCTTCGAGGCGAATGGAGTGCATACAACGAGATATTGAAACGGAAGAACGACTCCATTCAAGAACAACTTGGTGTGTTTCATTCAGATATGAACAACTACATAACATGAAACCTCTTCCAAAACATAGCTGGGTTACAACTGAAGATTGTTGCTGAAGACAAGATAGTCGAGAACAAGATTAACGATGTCATTGTCGAGTGGGAGCAGAGTCGGCCCGTGCAAGGCAGTTTGCGCGCGGATACGGCTATGAATACTATCAACGTACTCGAGGGAAAGATCACTCGCGTTGCGGAAGAGTACGACCTCGTCTGCCGAGCGAAAGAGGCCCTTGATCTCGAATTAACGCGTCATACCCGCTTGGAGCCTGTCTTCGAGGAATTACGCGACTTGAAGGCCGTCTGGACAGCGCTATCGGGTGTATGGAACCAGATTGGGGAGTTGAGGGAACTTGCGTGGGCGACGGTGCAGCCGAGGAAGCTACGTCAGCAAATTGATGGCCTGCTCTCGTCGACGAAGGAAATGCCAACACGGATGAGGCAGTATGCCGCTTTCGAATACGTGCAAGATGTGTTGAGGGGTTTATTGAAGTCGAATTCATTGATTTCGGAGCTGAAGAGTGAGGCGTTGAAGGATAGGCATTGGAAGCAGCTCTTCAAGGTGTTGAAGCTGCCTGCTCAGATCAGTCTGACCTTGTGCGTCACTCTCCCGGATTACTTTGAGTGTTACTGAAAGGCGAACTAGAATGGTGTTAGGCAACGTTTATGACTTGGATTTGAAGAGGAATGAAGCTTTGATCAAAGAAGTGATCATCCAAGCTCAGGGAGAGGTGCGTCGTCTGTCACTGGGGTCAACCTCCTTACTGACTCTGTTTAGATGGCCCTCGAAGAGTACATCAAACAAGTCAAGGAAGTTTGGACGAACTACACTCTTGACCTGGTCAACTACCAGAACAAGTGCCGTTTGATTCGGTAGGCCAATCTGTCGTACTTCAATACAAGTACCTAACATTATTCTTAGCGGATGGGATGATTTATTCACCAAGTGCGGCGAGAACTTGAATTCCTTGACGGCGATGAAGCTTTCGCCCTATTACAAGGTGTTCGAAGAAGAGGCGAGTTCATGGGAAGAGAAGCTCAACAGGATCCACGTCCTCTTCGACGTTTGGATTGACGTGCAGCGCCAGTGGGTTTACCTCGAAGGCATCTTCTCCGGCAGCGCCGATATTAAGCATCTCCTTCCCGTCGAGAGCGCTCGTTTCCAGAACATCAACACCGAATTCCTCACCGTGATGAAGAAGGTTTACAAGTCCCCCTTCATCCTCGATGTCATGAACATCCAAGGCATACAGAAGAGTCTCGAACGTTTGGCTGACCAGCTCAACAAAATCCAGAAGGCTCTTGGAGAATACCTAGAGCGGGAGCGTTCTTCCTTCCCCCGCTTCTATTTTGTTGGTGACGAAGATCTTCTCGAAATCATCGGTAACAGCAAAGACATCCTACGCATCATGAAGCATCTGAAGAAGATGTTCGCGGGTATCTCCAATGTTAGGCTCGACGAGGACCTCACCCAGATTCAAAGCATGTCGTCGAGGGAAGGTGAAGAAGTGCAATTCACGGAGCCCATCTTACTCAAGGATTACCCGAAGATCAACGACTGGCTAGCCAAGATTGAGTCTATGATGCAGGTTTCACTCGCTAACCTGTTGACTGACGCCGTCACCGAGCTGGAAACATTCTTTGGCAACGGGTCGAAGCTACAAATGGAACCATTGATCGAGTGGATGGAGAAGTATCCCGCTCAACTTGTCACGTTGGCGATCCAAATTGCTTGGACAACCTCTGTCGAGGCATCACTAGAGGCTTCCCAACCCCCGGAGGAAGCTCTCGACACTACGCATCAAGCACTCGACCTCCTGGCTGATATCGTCCTCCGAGAGCTGAGCGCCGTCACCCGTCGCAAGTGCGAACATCTCATTACCGAACTCGTCCATCAGCGTGATGTCATTCGATTGCTTATCCAACAACGTGTCCTTGACTCGAAGAACTTCACTTGGTTGTACCAAATGCGCTTCTACCTGAACAAGTCCGATGAGAACCCCCTGGAAAGACTCGCGATCAAAGTCGCTGATGCTTCGTTCCCTTACGGCTGGGAGTATCTTGGTGTCCCCGACCGACTCGTCCAAACCCCATTGACGGACCGTGTTTACTTGACGCTGACGCAAGCACTAGATACTCAACTCGGAGGCGCGCCCTTCGGACCCGCTGGAACTGGTGTGTTTCTAATATATTTCTGTCTGTTGTATTGTCCAACATATACCACAATAGGCAAGACCGAGTCCGTCAAGGCTCTCGGAGTTCAACTTGGTCGGTTTGTGCTGGTGTTCTGCTGTGACGAAACCTTCGATTTCCAGGCTATGGGTCGAATCTTCATTGGGTTGTGTCAAGTCGGTGCCTGGGGATGTTTTGACGAGTTCAATCGACTGGAAGAGCGCATTCTTAGTGCCGTTTCGCAGCAAGTTCAGACTATCCAACAAGGTCTTTCTTTGGTAGCGAAGAATCCCAATACGGAGATCGAACTTGTTGGCAAGAGTTTGAAACTCAACAAGAATATGGGTAAGGGCAAGTTCATTTTAGCCATGGACACAGTGCTTATATTTTACCAGGTATATTCATCACGACTAACCCTAATTATGCCGGTCGTTCTCAACTCCCTCCAAATCTTACGAAGCTCTTCAGACCGTAAGTCATACTTCGAATTGTCAGCGAAGCCTCTAAATCCCACTTCAGAATGGCCATGACACGACCCGATCGAGAATTAATCGCCCAGGTCATGTTGTTCTCTCAAGGTTTCCGTACCGCCGAATCTCTCGCGTCGAAGATCGTCCCGTTCTTCAACCTTTGCGACGAACAACTCTCTCCTCAGCCCCATTACGACTTCGGTTTGCGGGCGTTGAAAGCCGTCTTGTCCAGCGCTGGTATCCTTAAACGTGAACGCCTGATAAGTGACAAGGCTGCCGAGTCCGAAGATCCCAATTTCGGGGGCCTCTCCGACATCATTTCAGAGCAAATTATCCTCATTCAGAGTGTCACTGAGACAATCGTTCCGAAGCTGGTCGCTGACGATGTTCCTCTTCTAACAAGGTACTACTTCTATAACAAGTGTTTTTTCTATGTTTAATCCCCTCCCAGTCTCTTAGCAGACGTGTTCCCGGGCGTTGACTACGAGCCCGTGGATTTAGATGCCCTCAGGCAAGAAATTCTTAAGGTCTGCGCTGACCGCCGTTTGGAGACAGGAGATCGTTGGATTGCGAAGATTCTGCAGCTATATCAGATCCAGAAGATCCAACATGGACTGATGATGGTTGGCCCGTCTGGAAGCGGGAAGACCCAAGCTTGGCAGGTTTTGCTTGCGGCATTGGCCCGACTAGATGGAACAGAGGGCGTGTCATATGTTATTGATCCCAAGGCCATGCACAAGGATGCGCTCTACGGCACATTGGATCCAACTACGCGAGAATGGAATGATGGTCTTTTCACGCATATCCTACGTAAGATCGTCGATGATGTCCGTGGCGAGAGCAGCAAACGTCATTGGATTATCTTTGACGGTGACGTTGATCCAGAATGGGTCGAGAATTTGAACAGGTACGTGATTGGTTTGGGGTTAAAAGCTGGAAGTTAACTCGTTCATCATAGTGTTCTGGACGACAACAAGCTCCTGACGTTACCCAACGGAGAACGTCTGAATCTTCCTCCTAATGTACGGATCATGTTCGAGGTCGAGCATCTCAGATATGCAACCCTCGCCACCGTCAGTCGTTGCGGGATGATTTGGTTTAGCGACGACGTGGTCACGCCGTCGATGGTCTATCAAAATTACCTGGCCACATTGTCCACGAACCCTCTTGATGCAGACGATGAAGACGCTGCCGACACTCTCCGCCGTCGTACTGAGCCAAGCGCCACCGATGCCGCGTCATCCCCGCACCTCAACACGCAGAAACTCATCGCGACTATCTTGGAGCGTTACTTCGAACCTGGCGATCTCGTTAGCTCGGCTCTCGAATTCGCAGAATCAATCGAACATATTATGGACTTCACCGTGACACGCGCCCTGAACACTCTCTTTTCGCTGATCAATAAGACAGTCCGCAATGTCATCGAGTACAACATCCAACACTCCGATTTCCCTCTGGCCCCTGAGCGTGTTGAACAATACGTTACCAAGAGGCTTTTGATCAGCATCATTTGGGCCTTTTCTGGGGATGCGAAGTTGGACCTTCGCGCGGAAATGGGCGAGTTTCTACGCACTCGGACTGGCATTGATTTGCCTCCAATGGCCTCAGGCAGTTCTCTCATCGATTTCGACGTTCAAGTTAACACTGGAGAATGGGCCGGTTGGCAGTCTCGAGTACCCAGCATCGAAATCGACTCCCATGCAGTTACTGCCTCAGACGTCGTCGTACCTACGATCGACACGGTCAGACATGAGGAAGTGCTATACTCGTGGCTATCTGAACATAAGCCCCTCATGTTGTGTGGGCCACCGGGTTCCGGGAAGACCATGACGTTGTTCAGTGCTCTCAGAAAGCTGCCAGACATGGAGGTGGTTGGCCTGAATTTCTCCAGTGCAACTACTCCGGAGTTGATTTTGAAGACATTCGAGCAATATTGCGAGTATCGGAAGACTCCGAACGGCGTCCTCCTTTCTCCTGTTCAAATTGGAAGATGGCTTGTCGTGTTCTGCGATGAAATCAATCTTCCAGCTCCAGACAAGTACGGTACCCAACGCGTTATCTCTTTCATTCGCCAGCTCGTAGAATGTGGCGGCTTTTGGCGCTCTAGCGACATGGCATGGGTGAAACTCGAACGAATCCAGTTTGTCGGTGCCTGCAACCCTCCTACAGACCCCGGTCGAGTGCCCCTTACGCATCGATTCCTCCGTCACGCCCCTCTTGTCATGGTGGACTATCCTGGCGAAATCTCTCTCAAACAGATCTATGGAACGTATAATCGTGCTGCCCTTAAAGTTCTACCTTCTCTGAGGGCGTACGCGGAACCCCTTACAGACGCCATGGTGACGTTCTACCTTGCATCTCAGAAGAGGTTTACCACGGACGTACAAGCCCATTATGTGTACAGTCCTCGTGAGCTGACACGGTGGGTGCGAGGTATATATGAGGCGATCAAACCCCTTGAAACACTCTCGGTCGAGGGTTTGGTCCGAATTTGGGCTCATGAGGCTCTACGTCTTTTCCAAGATCGACTTGTGACCGAGGATGAGAAACAATGGACCGATGAAAACATTGATTCAGTTGCGACAGAACATTTCCCCACTATCAACCGTGAGGAAGCGCTGGGACGACCAATTCTGTTCTCCAACTGGACATCCAAACACTACATCCCAGTCGACAGGGAGACGCTTCGAGAATATACGAAAGCCCGCCTCAGAGTGTTCTATGAAGAGGAATTGGACGTACCTTTGGTCCTCTTCAATGACGTACTGGATCATGTCCTGCGGATTGATCGTGTGTTCCGACAAATACAAGGACATCTTCTGCTAATCGGTGTCAGTGGAAGTGGCAAGGTAAGCAACTTTATGTCACACCATCATTGATAGTGACGATTTCTTTAGACAACGCTCTCCCGTTTCGTAGCCTGGATGAACGGCTTGAGCATATTCCAAATCAAGGTTTCGAACAAGTATACCGGTGATGACTTTGACGAAGATCTTCGGACGGTTCTTAGACGTGCAGGATGCAAAAGCGAGAAAATTTGCTTCATCATGGACGAGTCCAACGTGCTCGACTCTGGTTTCCTAGAACGCATGAACACGTTATTGGCGAACGCAGAAGTTCCAGGTCTATTCGAAGGGGATGAACATGCGGCGCTCATGACAGCGTGCAAAGAGGGATCACAACGTGACGGCTTGATGCTAGACTCGCACGAAGAGTTGTATCGTTGGTTCACGCAGCAGGTCGCCAAAAATCTGCACGTCGTGTTCACGATGAACCCTCCTGCCAATGGCTTAGCTTCCAGAGCCGCAACCTCGCCAGCTCTGTTCAATCGCTGTGTTCTTGATTGGTTCGGAGATTGGTCCGACCAGGCGTTCTATCAAGTCGGGATGGAGTTCACCCACACTCTTGATATGGATTTACCATCCTACAACCCCCCTGTCAACTTTCCTATTGCCTACAGGGGCTTACAAATTCCACCCACCCACCGTACCGCCGTGGTCAATGCTCTCGTACACGTACATGCCTCGCTGCACGCCATTAATCAACGACTCAGTCGACGTCAAGGCCGGTACAACTATGTTACACCTCGGCACTACCTTGATTTGTGAGTCTCGCACTATCTGAAATTCGAGTAACTGAACCCGCCAATAGCATCAATCACTACGTACGACTGTACAATGAGAAGCGCGACGAGCTAGAAGAGCAACAACGCCATCTACACGTTGGTTTGGATAAGCTCCGCGATACTGTGACTCAGGTCGAAGAGCTGCGGAAGAGTCTTGCTTTGAAACGCTCCCAACTCCAGGCCAAGGATGCTGAAGCTAATGAGAAGCTGAAACGCATGGTAGCCGACCAACAGGAAGCTGAGCAAAAGAAATCTGCCTCCATTCAAATCCAAGCAGCCTTGGTAGAGCAAGATCGCCATATCGAACAACGACGGGCCGTGGTTATGGCAGACTTGGCCGATGCGGAGCCTGCAGTGCTGGATGCTCAATCAGCCGTCGGCAACATCAAGCGCCAGCACCTTCAAGAGGTTCGTGCTATGGCTAATCCCCCAGAAGCTGTCAAGCTTGCCATGGAATCTGTCTGCACCGTCCTCGGCCATAAAATCGATAGTTGGCGAACCGTGCAAGGAATTATTCGTCGAGACGACTTCATTCAGCGGATTGTCAATTTCGATACGACAAACCAGATGACCAGGCAAGTTCGCGAGATGATGAAAAAGGATTTCCTCAGTAGGCCATCGTTCAACTTCGAGACAGTCCAGCGCGCAAGTAGAGCATGTGGGCCTCTTGTCAAATGGGTAATCGCCCAGGTTCGGTTCTCCGAAATCTTGGATAAGGTGGAGCCACTGCGCAACGAGGTGCAATCATTGGAAACCCAGGCAGAGACGACCAAGAAACAGGCTGCTGCCATTATCCAGATGATAGCTGAGCTAGAGGCGAAGATCAAGACATACAAAGAGGAATACGCGCTTCTCATCAGCGAAACGCAAGCTATCAAGTCGGAAATGGAGAGGGTACAGAGCAAAGTAGACCGCAGCATGAAACTTCTAGAGAGTTTGTCTTCCGAGCGTGGCCGATGGGAATCCGGAAGCCGTACCTTCGATGCTGAGATGAGTACTATCGTCGGAGACGTCCTTCTCTCTGCTGCTTTCCTTGCGTACGGCGGCTTCTTCGACCAGCATTATCGCGAGGTCATGTGGCAGGAATGGTCTAACCACTTGGTCGAGGCGAACGTCAAGTTCAAACCTGAACTCTCCTTCACGGAATATCTATCCACTGCGGACGATCGTTTAAGTTGGCAATCCAAGTCGCTACCCTCTGATAACCTCACTACCGAAAATGCCATCATGCTCAAACGTTTCAACCGATACCCTCTCATCATCGATCCTACAGGCCAAGCGACGAAATTCTTGCTTAATGAATACAAGGAGCGCAAAATCACTGTCACCAGCTTCTTGGACGACGCGTTCCTCAAGGTTTTAGAGAGTGCTCTTCGTTTCGGTAGTCCTCTCTTGATTCAAGACGTCGAGCACCTTGACCCTATCCTCAATGCCGTTCTAAACAAAGAGATCCGACGCACCGGCGGTCGTGTCCTTATTCGACTAGGAAACCAGGACATCGATTTCTCCCCATCATTCACAATGTTCCTCTCCACTAGGGACCCATCGGTAGAGTTCTCCCCAGATATCTGCAGTCGTGTGACGTTTGTCAATTTCACCATGACGCGTAGCAGCCTCCAGAGTCAGTCCTTGGATCAGGTACTCAAGGTTGAGCGGCCAGACACGGAGCGCAAACGAACAGATCTCATGAAGGTTCAAGGTGAATTCAAACTACGTCTTCGGACTCTCGAGAAATTGCTTTTGCAAGCCCTCAACGAATCGTCGGGGAACATCCTTGATGACGACAAAGTCATCGACACCTTGGAAACCCTCAAACGAGAAGCAGCGGATATCACCGCCAAAGTAGAGGAAACAGAAGTTGTCATGAAAGAAGTAGAGCAAGTTACGGCGGAGTATCTTCCATTGGCCCAAGCCTGCAGTTCGGTGTTCTTTGTCTTGGAACAGCTGAACCTCGTGAACCACTTCTATCAGTTCTCGTTGCATTTCTTCCTCGACATCTTCGACTACGTCCTCCACCACAACCCAAATCTCAAGAACGTCTCGGACTATGGTCAGCGCCGGGATATCTTGCTCAACGACCTCTTCTTGGTCTTATACAGGCGTACCTCAAGAGCGCTTCTCCACCGCGACCAGGTGATGTTGGCAGTACTGCTGGCACAAGTGAAACTTCGCGGCATCGAAGAGATTGGTGACGAACTTGAATTCCTTTTGGAGAGTGGGGAAGGCGTCGCGACTACCTCAAACTCCTCTACTCAAAGCAACGTCCTTACCACTGAACAAATCCACCGACTTGATAACTACGCGAAACACTCAATCTTCAAGCCCGTACAATCACACCTCATTGAAAACGAAGATGCTTGGCTCCCTTTCTTATCTTCCGCCGTACCAGAGAGTTGTGTGCCAACGCCGTGGTCGCCTGGAACTCGTACGTAGTCAGTTCATCATTCACGATCTACGTTGACACTAACACCCAAACCAGCCGTCATGGAGGCCATACGCGCGTTACTGATCATCAAATGCTTTAGGCCCGATCGCTTGCTGCAAGCTACAGCAAATTTCGTTCGAGTAGCGTTCGACCTCGACCTTTCAGCTGAAGCCAGCTTCGACTTGGGTAGTATGGTCACGGATGAGGTCCCCCCTACATCGCCAATAGCGCTGGTCTCTGTCACAGGCTATGATGCAAGTTATAAAGTCGAGAATCTCATCAAAAACACAGGAAGCCGCTCTGCTTCTGTGGCCATGGGCTCTCAAGAAGGGTTCACGCTTGCTGACCAGGCTATTGCTACTGCATCTCGACAAGGAACTTGGGTCTTACTGAAGAACGTCCACCTCGCGCCTTCGTGGCTAGGTCAACTTGAGAAGAAGCTTCAGACGCTTAACCCTAATCGCAACTTCCGTCTATTCATTACCATGGAAGCCAACCCTTCAATTCCGGTCAACATTCTCCGTCAATCCCGTTTAATCATGAACGAACCTCCTCCTGGGATCAAAGCGAACTTGGTTGACTCGTTGCGCTCCATTCCTTCTGCGCGATTATCTCAAGGACCTGCTGAGAAAGTTCGCCTGTACTTCCTCCTCGCTTGGTTCCATGCCGTTATACAAGAACGACTCCGCTATGCGCCCTTAGGTTGGAGCAAGATCTATGACTTCAACGATTCCGATATGTCGGCTGCTTTTGGCATGATCGACACTTGGCTCGCTTCTGTGTCAAAGGGTAGAGCAAACATCAATCCAGCCACAATACCGTGGGATGCTCTTCGGTCTCTTATCAAGCAGTCCGTCTACGGAGGCCGAGTAGATAGTGAATTCGATCAGCGAATCCTGGATGCCTTCGTTGACGGGTTATTCACCGCATCAGCATACGATGTTGATTTCGCTTTGGTACCAAGCCTGGGTAGAGACGAAGTATTGGGCATTCCCGATGGCACCAAAATGGAGCACTTCCTTACTTGGGTTCACGGTTTACCGGATCGCGAGCCACCGTCCTGGCTTAGCTTACCTCCGACGGCCGAACGAGTTATAGCCATCGCTCAAGGTGAACTCACTTTTGTTGCAGAAAAGAGCGTTCTAATCTCTCTTCTTCCAAGGCAACGAGCTCCTGGGGAAACTTCGTAAAATGCGGATGTTGACTGACGATGATGATGGGGCCACAGTCAGTGGGCCTTCAAAGGCGGAATCATCACAACAACCTGCTTGGATGAGAACATTATATGAGCGTTGCCGTGAATGGCTTGGAGTGCTGCCAACGGTGAGTATTTCATCTTGCGTTAGCCTGGATGTTAGACTGACTAGTGCCTCTAGAAATTCAACACTCTCACCAGTCAGAACGCTGAAAGTCAAGATCCTCTCTACCGCTTGTTTGCTAGAGAAGGTTTCATTGGACGTAAACTTCTCGACCAAGTGCAGAAAGACCTCAGTGACGTCACCAAAGTTTGTCAAGGGGACCTCAAGCAGACGAATCACTTGCGAACATTGATGAGTACCCTTACCAAAGGCAAGTTCTCTATACCGAGGCACGGACAGCCGAATGAACTAACATTGTTTAGGTACAATCCCCGACCATTGGCGTCGTTATAAGGTCAACAAGGCGATGACTGTATCAGGATGGGTCTCGGACTTTGCTCGCAGACTTTCACAGTTGGACACCATCTCTGGCCTTGAAAATCTTGACAACGTAGAGGTCTGGCTCGGAGGTCTCTTCTTCCCGGAAGCCTACATCACGGCGACTCGACAAGCTGTGGCTCATCGAAAGAGATGGAGTCTCGAAACATTGCATATGCGACTTGATATCGAACGCGTTAACGACCCTGAAGCATTCATCATTGATGGTATGTATTCGCGGGCTATCGTTCTTCACCGTATTCTCAATATTTTATAGGGTTGGCATTGGAAGGGGCTGCTTGGGTGTCGGATAGGCTTGAGCTCAATGATGGAGCTGCCGTCAGACTGAATGCCTCGCAGATCCGTTGGGTTCAGGTCGACCCCTCATCCAACGAGAATCTTGTCAATCTCCCGGTCTATCTGAACGCAGATAGGAGCGACGTCTTGTTCACCATAGACTTGCCATTCGACCTTAGTGCTGGCGCTTTGGTTTCCACTCGCGCAGTTTGCTTGACTGCTGGCGGTTAATTTGTATCAACGATTATCAATACGGACGCACGCCCACTACTAGATCTTTCCTTTACACTTGCATACCCATATCACGATACCTATCTAATGACTTACTCATGATATGTTACGGTTTACGGTTTAACGATACATACGAAACGGATAATGCACCCACCGCTTTGCTGTCCGAAATTTACCCGCGATGGTGTGAGCGTGCTTATATCTACGACCTAAAGATACACAAAATGTTGCTTTATGCTTGAGATACAGAGCTACCTCCAACCACCTCTAGTAGCTTCCATTCGATCTCGACCGATTTCTCCTTGAAAATAGCACGAGCATCCTCGGCAATGGATTCAAAGCCACTGGTAGCCAAGGCCAATATCGTTGGTCCTGCACCAGACAAGCATATTCCCAATAGACCTGGATGGGTAGACGGAGTGATGGATGATGTGACCTCTGGTAAACCAGGTATCTAATACGCCGTTAACGCATCAATGACATGAAGCCAGCGACTTGGGAACATACTAATGCTTTGCGATATGGTTGGTGGACGCGATCCTTCATAGCTTCGTATATCAATCCCGGGTCAGGAGGTGATTGCCCCAAAGCCGTCGTCAACACCGCCAGACGTTGTAGATTAAAAACCTAAGACGGTATTAGCTGGTTTGGCCTTAGGGCGGACTTGAGGTCATACCAAGTCTTTGCGGGAGTACTGCTCAGGCAAAACTTGTCTAGCCTTTGCAGTGCTCAACTCAAATTGGGGGATAATCGCGACAGCTTTAATCTCCTCTGCCCAGCCAAACCGGATATAATGACCGATCCCAAGCGGCGGTTGAGGAGGGTGCAAACCCCACTCTTCGCCAGCGTCTGGTGGATATTCAGGGAGAACTTCACTCAGGGGCACACTCGCCGCCTCTGTTGCTTCCCTGTCGAGTTCCTTTAGGTAGGAGCCGACAAATCCGCCAACTAGTGCGGCGGTAACATTGTCCGGATGTCGTTCGACCATCAATGCGAAATCGAGCAGGCGTTCGGTGCTGAGGCTTAACTGCCCCAGCTCGCTTCCAAGAAGGACCCCAGCTATAACAGCAGCACCAGATGACCCAAGACCCCGTCCAAATGGAATTTCGTTATTGCAGTGTATTTTCAGGCCAGATGGGAATGATCGGATATTATGGCACCGTAGCACATAGAGGGCCACGCGGGTGGTGAGGTTCTTGTAAGCGTCCAAGGGTACTTCGTCAGCACCTTCTCCAGAATGAGTTATCGTTGGGAGTGTGTACGGTTGTTCGTCAGGGGGTGCGACGGTTACAGAAAGCGTCAGGTAAAGTGATAGCGAGAGGCCGACAACGTCAAACCCAGGTCCAATGTTTGCAGAAGTAGCAGGCACGCGAATAGTAAATTGACGTGAGCTACCTGGAGGCATCTGCTTGTCATCTATACAATTCTTGCGGCCAGGTAATTTGCGACACTCACATTTATGAAGGTGATCGAACACAAGCTGCTAGACTCCGATCTGCCAGCACATGGCGTTGTTTGGATCCAAAGATGTCAACTCTAGAAGATAAATATATTGTTCTATCGCTACGTATATGATGTCGAAAACCATAAATGTAAGTGAATAAGTGAATAATATGGTACATCTGGGATTGTGTTTATGGATAGCTGTGCTAGGTATTCTTTATAGCAAATCGAAAGCTCTTAATTAAAGAGAGGGGCAATCGTTACAGCGACCAGACCTTTACGGTAGAGTCTTTGCCCCCAGATACAAGGTACCGGTCCATGTATCGAAGGCGCTCGACAGGCCTGGTGTGTCCATTAGTGGACAGCATCGAGTGCTGCATGCTAGTCCGATTGTAAATCTACAGGTTCTGGCTCAGTCTTAGGTTCAGCGAAAGCAGCGCGTAACTCACCTTCACGCCATTTTCCCCAGTGGCCGCAACGACCTTCCTACTGTCGAACTGAAGGGCCGTGACAGCGTGATCGTATTTAAGCGTCTCGAATATGCCTCCCGTTCGCAAGTCCCAGATCTATTTAGACAGGATCAGAGTGTGAGTGACGTACAAAGGTTGATGAACGGACCTTGAGAGTCTTATCAAGACTACCGCTAGCAATGTGTAACTCGTCGAACTGCAAGCAAGTTACAGGCCCAGTATGTCCGACCAGCGTGCGATGTGACTGTCCGGTTCGCACTAAATGATCGGTTAGAAATAAGGACAGAGATTATGATAGTCCATAAACTTACTATCCCACATCCTGACAGCACCATCTCCACTTCCGCTCACTAAACCGTAGCCCCAGAACTGAACTCCTCCAACGAAGTCCTGGTACATATCCCAACTTCCGTCGGCGTAGGGAGGAGTGGGGACCGCGAATGTTCCGGCTGCTGCTGCTGCGCCAGAAAAGAGGGGATTGGAGCTGCCCGGGAATGTTGGCGGTGGATGTGAGATAGCCCAAAGGATGTCCATTGTCATCACACACTGTCCGGTTTGAAGATCCCATTGACGAAGTGTCTTGTCCGACGCACCGGTCACCTAGAAGCGCAACGGCTCAGCTACATAGCAAAACGAAAGCAACAAAGAATTACCAGGCAGTTGTCTTCAAAATACAACGAAGTGACGGCCTTGCTGTGACCTTCTAGGACTCGGACACAAGGGTCGTTGTCCTTCGGAGTAGCACCCACTTTTCCGTTTCTGATGCCACTTGACCTACTCTCGCCCTCGCTGGAGTTTTCGATGACCCCAAACTCGTTGATATCGCCTTCCTCCTCCTCTTCCGCCACGTCGCTCAGACTAACCATCTCCCCTTCACCACCCCAACCTTCTTCATCCTCATCAACCCTCCGCAGATCCCACAATCGTACGCAGCCGTCTTCTCCTCCAGTTAGGCACACATGATCTTCCACTTGAACGCACTTCACCGTCCCAACGTGACCCCGCAGCCGCCCTATCTCAGTACCGGAGAAGAGGTCCCAAACGCGTGGTTGCGGGTCATCTTGCGAGGCGCTCACTAGTGTACCATAGGGTTCCGAGAAGTCAAGGGATGTGATGGGAGTGGTGTGGCTTTCCAGAGTCTTTATAGGACAGTTGGATTTTTGAATAGCAGAGATAGTAGACGAGACGTACCATGAAAGCTACGCCTGGGGGTAGTTCATCGTGTTCAGAGGGGAGGAATGCAGGTCCTTTGCGACGCCGCGAACTCTGTGGGAGCTGCAGCGGCTGAGCAGACGCTTTCTGGGGTTTATGTGATGACTCTTCGAACTCGAGTCTCTCCCCAACTCCTTCTACTATGGCAAACGCTTAGAGACGCGTGTCCTAATTCTAGACATCCAAAGACTTACATTCATCATCAAGCTCCAAGTCTTCTTCCTGCAGCTTAAGCAGGTCTTGCTCGAGTTTGACTCGTATTGAATCCAAAGCTTGGATTTTGCGAGTGATTTCATCAATTTCGTTGTTGATCAAGCTCTTCATAACATAACTGGCATTAGCACCACCTGAACCAACAGTAGAGGCTACGCACCCTTTTGACATGTATGTTTTCTTTGTCTTTCATGATCTCTTTCTTCTGCCTGCTGAGTTCATCCCTCCCAAGCGTCTTAGCCGTACTCAAGCTTTCCCTCCCCCTCTTGCGCCTCTTCCCTTTGCCAGCCTTCCCAATGACGACAATATCCTCCTCGCTAGCAACACTCTGGCCCTCGTGATCAGCATGGTCCCCATCATCTTCATCCCCCTCTCTCAAGAGGCCTCTGGCACTCATGCCCATCTTGCGTAATCCAAGCTTCGGTGTGTCCACGTTCCGCATTTGCCGTCGCCGCGAACGTCCTTGCTCCGCACTGGGTATCGTCGCCTTGAAACCACGCAATAAACTAACACTAGTTGCCAGACCGTCAGGCTCAGGAATTTCGGTTTCCAAAAGCTCATCCGTTGCTTCAACAATTTGAAGGTCACGCGAAGTTATGCGCCGCGTCCCAATTCCAAGTCGAAGTGGAGCACGGCCCAGTGTCGCGAAATCCATACGTGAAGTCGAGGATCCCACCGAAGCACGCGGTCGATTAGAAGACGATACCGTACTCATCATACGCGGTGTCATGATTATAGGTGCTACTGCAAGTACGACATTCCACAGAGAGAATATGACGATGTCAAGTGGGGTTTCTAGGTAATAACAAATAGAATCACGCACGGTCTGATAATATTCGCGTGGAATCGTGCTTCCTATGACTGAAAGGAGCCATAAAGACCTTTTGTACAAGGCTCAACTTGCTTGTACTTGACTCCGAATTGTTCGAGGTTTCCAATGGAAGACGTTCGGGTCGTGGTTTAGCATCTTCGGACGATGGACGACTACGCGAGTCGGATGCCATGCGGCGATTCCAACGTCGTGGTGGTGAAGAAGAAAACCGAGACGAGAACGCTTTGACACAGACGGGTAGGCAACAGCGACCACCGGCGTTCAACTAAACTCGGACATGGCAGGGAACTTGACCGGCCAAACACAGCAATATCCTCCCACGAACATTGTCACCTTGATCACATGACTTCAATCCTATATGGGTCATAACCAAAAAGGAAAAAGACCATCAAGAGCCTTGAAGGTAATTCTAATTTCTGGCGACTTCGCCCAAGAGCAGACACTGATGGAGATCACAGCCAATGGTGTGACTAAAAACTCCCCGGTAAGCCAATTACATTCTAGTCACTTTGCACAACTATAAAGCCTATTTAGGCCACTAAAATCAGGAGATATGCAGAAGGCACGGCTTCTGTTGGGTTCGGTGCAGAAGTCGGTCACGACGAACAAGCCGACAACGATCTGTCGCAAACTGTCGAAGGGGATCTAGATGTTGACGTTGCCGAGCTAAGCCTTGGTCAGCGACTGACAGCACTCTCAGGTGGAAAGCCAACCACTTCATCTGAAGACGAGGACAGCGATGGCGGCCAAAAAGCCCCCAAGTCGGGTCGCGATGCGAAAGCAAAGGCGGAACCGCTAGTGCCCGCGAATTCGCTGACACGCACACTCATTCAAGCACTGCACTCCTCAGACGCTAAACTAACCGAGACCTGTCTATCTCACTCCGATCCAATTCTCATCAACAATACCGTTCGACGATTGCCCCCTCAATTAGCTGTGTCACTTATCGACGCGTGTGTCGAACGGCTGGGCAGAGGAGCTAGAGGGGCAAATGTGAAAGGACGTGGGGGTGGTGCAAGCTCTCAACGTGGCGCGGCACTCATAACTTGGATAAGAACGGTTTTGATCATCCACAGTGGCCATCTCATGACTGTTGGTCCTTTCCTTTCCTCGAAAAGATAGATGATCCAATTTTTGTAGATGCCAAACTTGATTGCTCGACTCTCTGGCCTCCACGCGACCTTGACACGGCGGCTTGCACTACAAGAAAGCCTTCTATCATTAAACGGGCGACTGGACATGGTGTTGACACAAATCGAAATGCGTTCATCAGTTGCTCCTACACCTCTTAGCATCCCACGAGAGAAAAAGGCCACGAAACAGAGGGCGAGGAAGGCGAGACAATACGTGGAGGGCGAGAGTGAGGAGGAAGGTGTACAAATGGATGTTGAGGTGGATGCCGACAGCGGCGACGAAGGTGGAAGTATAGAAGATGTGGAGTTGGGTGGTGGCAGCGACGAGGAAGATGAGGAAACGTCAGAAGAGGAAGAGGACGAGGACGATGGAAGTGAAGAAGACGACGATGAGGATGAGGAGGGACCGACATTAAATGGTTTCATTGATGACGAGGCTGAAGAGGACGACGAGGACGACGAGAGCGACTAAACGTCGTCACAAAAATGAGGAAGATGCTTTATCTTGCTTTGTTCATCTGGCATCATATTCCCTCCACTTGCGTTGATCTACATAAATTATAAACGTGCATATCGGTACTTAGATATTGTGATTTGCATAAACTGTATATTCAGTAATGAAATATTACGACTGTCTAGCACGCTTCTTTGACCCAGGATTTGGCTTGGAGGTCTCCTGGTTCTTGAAATGCCGAGACGTACGACGAGGTGGCTGTCGCTATCCTTCCTAGTGAGGGTGAACGATCTAGAGGGAATATATAATTTACCTTGCGCTTTGCCTGTTGTACAGATTGAGGGTCTTCCATGTCCGAATCGGTTAAGTCTGGTAAATCACTCTCACTACCCTCTTCAGCATCCTTTACACTTATACCTGGTTTTCTGAGCGGCTGAAGCTCCTCAACAAATGCTGAAGTCCTCCCTCCAACTGTCACCCATTTGATGGTAGCCAGACCTCCTGAAGGCTAAATAGCCGCGAAGGAATAAATTGATAACTCTATAAACCAGATCGATGCTGGGCGTACCAAGTTGAGAGTGTGAGCTTTCTTTTTGCCTTTGCCCTAATGGATGCAAGAGGGTGAACGCCAATAATACTGAAATATATTCAAACGTACCCATCTATGTTTCATAAGCCAATCCTCGGGAAACTTGGTGTCGTCTGCATTGACCGCGACGGCTAGTTTGCAGACTTCAGCGGTGTGGTGATGAATGGCAGCTATATGTTCTTCGAGTAACGTGTTACACCTTTGCTCGGGGTGTACGCGAGCGTGATAAAGAATTTCATCTGTAGGTCCGTCATGAATTTTCGCCAACTATGAAATACACAGCAATCCACCGACCAGCAACCCAATTCCCAACACCAGCGGTGAACGATTGGTCAAGCAACAACGCCTTTATCGGACACGTGCGCTTCAACAATTTGGCTTGAAACTCGGCGAGAGGAGGCATCGATATTATGGGATCGTATCCAAGGTCACATATTGGAGGTTCCTCCAGAGGCGAAGCACAGAGACGGATGCGACCAAGTCGGCGAGCATCTAAGAACGCCAGATGGGTTGTCTCTCCAGAGACGGGGTCGTGTAGATGTAAGATGAACTACGCAAAAGGATTCCCATTTAAGTGGATTCGTGAAAGTAGTAGGACTGCCATCTCACTTTCATGAATCGTGGCGGCCATTGTGTTGAAGCTGAACGTGGTGTTTCCTTATAATATGTCGCTAATTGACCTTTGACTTGAAGCATTCCCGTCATTCCAAAGTGGAGAACAGGTAGTCTGCCCTCGCCATCGAGTTGAACGTAGAACACTTTCCCTATAGGAGTACAGTCCGAAGTTAGAACCTGATAGTTAATTCAGGGGTAGCTTTACCGTAGCGCCTTGCATCTTGAATGGTTCGGCCAGTGATTTCATGAGCCTAAGATCTTTCCATTAAAGATTTTGCGTATATAGAGGAAGCTTCATGTTCCTTACAAATTCGTTGTGGCTTATACCGGAGAAGACGATGTCGTCCTGAACGGTCTCAACGCGGTCTATGCGCTTTCCTGTGCCAATTTCGCGTATGAGAGCAGCAGCCCGTTCAACTTCTACTAATGGTCAGTAAGCCCTGAGAAACGCCGCTCATTGTTGTCTTACCTGGGAGTTCTGGCATTAAACAAGTATCCAAGTATCCAAGAAAGTTGAGCAATGGTCAGAACTTGGCGACGGCAGATCACGTGATACGTGGTTAACTCAGACTACTCGGACACAGAACCGTAAGTAAATTCTTCTCAAGAGATAATTGCAATTGTCTTATCGCCCAGTAATTTCATCATTTCTTACGAGGACATGGAGGACAGGAAGATATTTGACGTTATACATGGCATTATACATGGCGGGTAGCAACATTGGAAGAAAGTCGCTAACTTCTTAAAAGTTGCGATGTTATTCCCGAGCCTGATGTCACGCGGAGGTCAACGCGAACGGCATGAACTTCTGCTCGTTGTCAGCATTTCGCAGCCCATAGGCCGTACAGATAATCATGACGACTCGGGTACTCACCGGTCACCCTTCGCCTACGCAGACTCACATTGTCTGCTACAGGAACGTCGATTGAAACTCTCCTCGTGGAGAGGAAGGGCCAAACAGCCGTGTAGTTAGCATACGGTCTGGATTATCACGAATGAGCGACGTACCGGGGACAACGGTCCCCCGAGCATTCTCCCCAACTTCTCCCCCCGCCGCGGTCGCGCTTAGTCTTGACGTCTTGGAATCGAGGCTCGAGGCCCTGTGGAGGTCGACACGAAGAGCACATCCCTGCTCGTCGTCAGCATCCCGCAGCATCCAGGAACAATCACGACTCACCCGTCCTCCCGACATATCCTACAAACGCTACCCCCGCGCAAACTCACACTGACTGCTACTGACACGCCGAATGAACCTCCCCAACGCAAGGCAAGGCCAAACAGTGATGCACGGTAGGCCAAAATGTACCCGAAGGCCACGCCCGCTGCTGGTACGTGCCGGTACATGGGAGCCACCTCGCATCCTCAGGATACGATCAGCGAAGCGCGAAGGCGGTGACAACGTCGCCCTCCTGAAGGCGGAACACTAGTCAGCATGGAATCTGGATAACAGCGGTTGGACGACTTACTGCGTACGAAGCCACCCGAGCTACGACCACCCGCGCACCCTCCGAAACCGTTGACAATCCACGCCGGGGAACGCACCACATAGTGGACGAACCGAAGCGCAGACGACAAAGGCGGGAGGTGGTTGCTTGGCCCCATCCCCAGGCAGTACCCAAAGGCGGGGTGGTGGAATAGAACCGCAACCCTCTCCACACGACGTGCTCAATTCGCGGCCGCCTCCACCCTAGAGAAATTTCAGTTGTCTTCTCATCCTCCCGCCGAGCTATGGACAAGACGTAAGCTATGGCGAGGACGATGAGACAGGCGTGTACTCACCGATGAGCGAGAGTGGGCGAGCTAGAGGGAAGGGGAAAGGCGTCAGTGCTTGGGTGGAAAGGAATGGATGGTGGGGGTTACCTGCAAAGACCTGCTGAGGAAGGATGGTGAAGCAGCGAGGTATTTATATGTTGTCGCTGGCGGGAATCAAAACAGACCATCACAATGGCTCGCCATGCCAGCCTCCCCATGGTTGGACGGAAGGAAATCATTCGACGTCATTAAGTCGTCCCCGAGTAGCCATCGGTAATCCGAGGCTGACCAACTCCCAAGGTCTCCTCGTCTATGGCATCTAGCTACTCAGGCGGGCTGTATAAGTGTGAAATGCTTGTCCCGCCTTGCAGAAGACTTGCTGCATGTATCAACTACAACGTCAAATGATTCCGCCTTTTGTACGCTGTTCTCGATTTTCCTGACGAACGCAATGTTTACTTCCCGGAATTCCTTTATTGACAGGAGTTCTGTTAGGAGGACAGGGGGTGAATAATTGAATGCTCAAACCCTCACAATTCATCAGTGCCTCAATTAGATCCGGTTTCTCAGACATATTGATACGGTACTGGTGCTCCTCCCCTTTGTCGCACTCTACAATTTTGCCTCTCCCACCAAGTACCAGTAGCTCCCTTAAGGGGCTCGAATGACTGATGGATCGGATCGGAGTTTCAATCATCACTACATAATGAACTCGCAAGACACGCTCAATCATTACAACCATGTTCAACGAGTACCAGCACCAAGATTTCGACGTCGTGAGCACGGTCGATAAATTCGGCGGCGTCGAGGAGCTCGCTCCCAAAGATAACAACTTGACCGTGAGCTTATCCCCTTCAATCCCTATATTGTTTCACCATTATTCGAGGATCTAACGGTCGACCCAGCAGACTCGTTTCTTCAGAAAGTCTTTGAGCCCCGGAGATGAGGAAGAGTTCTCCAAACTGTAAGGCATTATGTGTCCTCTCCTTGCTCTGCGTATTTTCTAACTACCGGATAAAAGGATGGAGTTTCAGGAATTCATTATGAAGGACGGGTGCCACGGCACTATTCACCCCATGTATGAGCACGACGGCCTCAAGTGGGTACTGATGTCTGTACCCTCAGAGAACTTTGAAGCTAGCGGCCTATCTGGACTCTTCTGATCGGCTGTTACACATGTCTGTCGATGCGATTACAAGGTCATTATGTGGTGTATGTTGCATAAACGTCAAACGTGCGAACATTTATCCTGCCAGACGGCGAAGCTGGAGCGTATCAGCCAAAGGAAGTGGCTAACCTACGCATCGAGGATCATACGCACGGAGGAGTGTGTGTCCGTGCGTCACCCTGACCCGAAGAACGTCAATACGCAGCGAAGTTGTTTCTATGTATGTGCCCAAAGCGTCGAGAATTATTAGTAACTACAGTGCCCATGTGGGTATCTGACGAGACATCTAGACTGGGGACTTGACTTGATACTGGAGGTGTGCTTCTGGATGGGAATACAGCATTCCGTTACCCCTTTGTCCAAGTTCCGCCGCGGTGGAATCAACTTCTGGTAAATTCTACCTTCCATCAATTTCTATCTTCCATTCTCCAACCCTTATATAACTCCAAGGAAGAGAAGACAACGTCACGAAACTGCCGGTACTCCTTTGCACCTCAAGGCATCATCGGTGAGAGCACCTCGCAACTCACCTCGCTTTGACTGGCAGTAACGCGTTCTCTCTCATGCATCTAGTTATGTCGGATGTCACCTTCAGATACAATTCGGGTGGCCCAAAGACTCAGATACTGCTCGCGAAGGACAGGATCAAGAGCAACGAGGGCCTGGGAATCTGGCATGTTGGGATTTATGCGTGGAAGGTCTACTCCACCACCAGCCAGCTCCAGAAGTTGAAGGATGACTATCAGAGGGCGGACGTGAAGGGCTTGCCCATGGGCAAGCCGCGTTTCACTCAAGGGACTGTCCAGCAGGGCACCGGGAGGGCCACTGAGGGCTTTGCACTCATCGTCGATTGGGTGGATGGCTCTCCGTTCGATTTCCATCAACCACCAAGACCCTTCAGGAAGGCACTTGAGACACAAAATATCCCCCATAGCAAATCCGACAGGGATTATACCAGGTGCGTAACTTATCTTTCTTCTTTCTCTGTTGCTGATGAATATTGGCGTGGCGCGCTGATGTGTATATGTCTATGCACAGAGTAAAGGGTGGATGCCAGAGTGCAGAGAATATCGGCTTGCAGGACTGTCAGGGGTTCGTGAAGCAGGGAGCAGGGGAACCCCTCATATTCATTGATGTCCATACATCGTGGAATCCCCAAACCCAGAAATACGGCTCCAGCCGGCAGGCGGCCGATATGGTCAGTGACATTACAAACTGGGGTACTAGTCCTTGACATTCGCCCGAACATGTAATGATATGAGATCGTCTACTTAATTACAACAACAACCGAACTTGCGATGCATTACTTTGCTAAGGAGATATCGACGTCCGCGAATAATGCTATCCGATCCTTCTTCTGCTTTGGTAGCTCCTCAACCCCCAACGATGCTGTATTGAACAGCTCCACCTCCATCTCTTTCAGCTGCCTGAGAAACCCAGCATTAGGCGAAATCTGCGGTCGAACGCGAACAATGCGCCCGAGTGCCTCCTTCAAAGACATGCCTTGTCTCTTCATCAAGTACGCAGCAACTACGGTGGGGGAGCGTGAGATGCCCGCTGAACAATGTACAAGGATCTTTCCCGGGCCCCCATTCGGATTCTTGGAGGCCAATGCAGAGTCAATGATGTCGCAGGCAGAGTCGACTATCTTCTCTATTGAAGACGTCGCCGAGTCGGTTAAGGAGAGGCGATGGTATGCGACAGATTCGACTGTGGCTGCGGGGGTGGTACCGATGCTCAGGACGTGTGTGATGGCGTTGGATGTGAGGAAGGGCTTTGACGAAGCTGCTGAACACGGGCCGAGATAGAGAGATGGGGATAGGACAAGGGAAACAGCATCTGAAGAGGCTGTGGAAGTTTGCCGTTTGCCCATTGCAATCAGTATACAGTGAATACCAGCGGCGCAGGGTGTTGATTCATTCGGAATTCCCAGTTTCAAGTCACAAAGTCAGTTTCAGCTCCAGTCACAGAGGGGATGCGAGAAGTCAAGGTCGGGTCAGCGTTGACGTTGCGGCCGTAAGAAAGCGACTCAACGATCTCGTCGTTGTGTACCGAACGATCTTTAGCTTGACTTGTGAACAAGTACGGAGTTCATTCTCCGCGCTAGTTGGCTCTGGACAAACAGGGGCAAACAATACCGCTGAAGCGCCTCAAACAATATTTCGTCAGACTTTCTACTTTCTTTAAGGTTCAACAATACGGACTTCAGTTAGGTTTTGGTGCGTGTCACGTCCTCGGCACGCTACTCAAATGTTATGCAGCTCGTGTACCCTACCCTTCTATCTCTCCAGCATACACCCTCAATAGCAATACAGCATTAGACCTCTGCCTTGCCAGGAAATTGGCATGTAAATGACTGATTCTGCAAGGGCCTCCTTTGTTTGTTGGCTACGGTGTGGCAAAGTGAGGCGTTCGACGGTTCGACCAGCACAACACTTGTCTCCGTTTGGTAACAACCGTAGTATGCAGTGTGGATCACAGTTGCTAGCATAATTCGACTCCGTGAGGCGCGACCTTTTTGTTTTATTTGGCGCTACGATATATCTTTTCTTGGGGCGTTCGTGCGTGCCATATGAACCTGCGTACCTAAAGTATGCTTAGTGACAGATTGCTTGATCCTTTTGTCATGGACATCTCACGCCAAAGTTTTCTGTTTCGGTGGTTTAGACATCGATATTAACCCACAGATTCCAAGATCGCCGCCTCTGTAGTTGGAATCCGATGTGCCCGCCGTTGGCTATGACTCTCGTTGACTTGCCTGCATACTCGACTGCGGTTCCGCTTGAGACATCGGTGCATCAAAACGTCAATAATCACTTAGTTTTACATGGAGCTCCACGATTGAGACTGGCGGAATGGTGAATTTTCGACAAATCAGAATTCTTGAGTATATTGCCTAATACGGAAGTTTATATATAATTGTGTCGTTCAGTTAGTGGGCGTAGTCGCCTTCCGTTATTCTTCTCCAGCAAGACAATCGCAACGCAGAGGTATATAACAGCGTTGCTTCAACCCGCCTTCCAAACTCTTTATCTTACCCCTTCTTATCATGGCCCAGCGTGAAGAAAGAATGAATTATATACAAGTGCGTCTCTTCACAATCTCCGTGCTCCGTGCGGGGCGCTGATATTGTTCCACAGCTAGAGAAACTCGGTACGTGCTTGCACATCGTAGGGCGCCGTCTCGGAGGACTGACTTCTCGTTGCTTTAGGCGAGGGCACCTATGCAACCGTCTACAAGGTGCGTATCTGCTATGCCGAGATCGCCCAAGTCGCATCGCTGACCCTGGCGTAGGGGAGGTCGCGGACGACGAACGAGATCGTCGCCCTCAAGGAGATTCACCTCGATGCAGAAGAGGGCACACCATCCACCGCCATCCGCGAAATCTCGCTGATGAAGGAACTCAAGCACGTCAACATCGTCCGCCTATACGACGTCATACACACAGAAACCAAACTCACTCTCATCTTCGAATACGCCGACCAGGACTTGAAGAAATACATGGACCAGCACGGCGACCGCGGCGCGCTCGACCCGAACACTGTTCGCAGCTTTATGTTTCAATTACTCAAAGGAACAGCATTCTGTCACGAAAACCAAGTTCTGCATCGAGATCTGAAGCCGCAGAATCTGCTCATCAACCGAAAAGGAGAGCTGAAGTTGGGCGATTTCGGTTTGGCGAGGGCTTTCGGTGTACCTGTCAATACTTTCTCCAACGAAGTGAGTAAACCGATGCTGTTCATCTACCGCGGTTCGCCGCTGTTTTATTCACCGCTCATGCACTAGGTCGTCACCCTTTGGTACCGTGCTCCAGACGTACTGCTTGGTTCCCGTACCTATAGCACTTCGATCGATGTATGGTCCTGTGGTTGCATTTTCGCCGAGATGATCTCTGGGACGCCTCTCTTCCGAGGCAGAGACAACCAAGACCAGCTTCTCCATATCATGAGGGTCATTGGCACCCCAAGCGAAGCAACCCTACGCAAGATCGCGCAGGACTCAGTAAGCCTACATCGTTCGCCTCGTTCTGACAGTAGTTAATCATGCCCAAAGCCTGAGGTTACGTTGAAGCAATTCCCTCGATACCCTAAGATGCCTTTCCAACAAATCCTTCCCAAGGCGTCACCACAAGGTACTTTGAATCACCTCATACTTTGAATAGGTCTGATAGGTAATGCTAGCTATCGATCTCCTGGAGCGTCTGCTCAAATTCGACCCTGCTGAGCGTATTAGCGCTTCGGAGGCCCTTTCTCATCCCTACTTCACCTCTACTACCAGTCAAATACCTTACAGCCTTAACACCGCCCCAGGAGCCATGGCGCCTCCCAGCTTCAACTACGTCCATCCCCATCCACAGCAGCAGCAACAGCAACAGCAGCAGCAGCACATACACCAGCAACCACAACAAATCCCCCAGCAGATTCCTCAGCACCAACAACAACGAGCAGCGGCAATCCCAGTGGCTACGATATACCCCCAACAGGCCCAGATGCAGGCCCAGATGCAAAATGCGCAAGCAACTCAGCAGCAAGCCGCGCTAGCCCATGCGCAACAGATGCAGGCTCAGGCTCAGGCGCAGCAACAACAAGCCTACCAAGCCTACCCACCACAATATGCTCACCCCGGTCGGTAGTGTGCTGTCATGCATGGAGATTGTCGGATAAAGGACTCTTTTGTTCAGGGAATAGTACATATTATTTGCCAGTTTTATAGTGTATTTTCTTCCAGAGAACGAAGCCAGCAGCACTCTCTTTTGTGAATGTACTTCGTGTAATCTTACTACAGGCTACGGTCCACTACTGCATTCGGTACCAAATTTGTTGTGGTTAGCAGTCGTGCGAGGGTGAACTTCGGCGTTTCAAACGATCAAGAGTGGACATTCAGAAGGCTATAACTATATGTAAAAGCTAAAACTATTAGATCTGACATCGCTAAGTGCGCAGACGAAAAACAAGAAACACAACAAGACCAAAGACCAGCCACCTCCGATATACAGCAGTTGCAGCTCCAGTTCTTCGAAGTATCGAAGCAAGAAAAGATAGATAGTCAAGATAGTGAATGTACTTTTGCGTCATCGAATCAGATCGAGGAGATCAAGGTCGTCGATAATCAACTTCGCGGCCTCGAGAAGGTGGGTAGTCTCGCGAGCCAGCGCGCGGAGGAGCCCCATAGCCGGCAGCATATGGATCCCGAGGAGGGCCAGTTGGATACGGAGGTTCGTACGCTCCACGAGGAGGGGGACTCTCCGAGCGGCGTCTACAACAAGAGCGTCAGAGCCTATCATCAGAGAAGAATTGGCGCCATCATACCTATACCGAGTACTAACCTCCACGCTACCAGTCCTTGCATAGTCAGGAGGGTAACGCGGAGGTGGAGGAGTGATTGGTCGACCACGATACTCAGGGTAGTCCCTAAAAGTTTCGTGTAACTAAAAGAGCCTTCGCCAGAAGCAAATGTACATACCTTGGAGGAGGGGGTCGGTCATAATCGTCCCGAGCATGGCGAGGGGGAGTACGCGGGCGTCCTACTGGAGTAAGAGGAGGAGCAGGAGGCCCTACATAGCGATCCACAGATCTTCTCTCATATCGGTCATAAGGGTAGGATGCTGGAGGAGCAGCATAGCCACGGTAACTGTCAGGCGGAGGAGGATATCGGCTGCCACGATAGTCAGAAGGGGGAGGGGGAGGATATCTATCACGATCATGTACAGGAGGAGCACGTCGATAGTCGTCGTAGTCCCTACCGCGGCTAGACGGGGGAGGCGGTGGATAGTCTCGATAGTCCCTTGCAGGTGACACTGGCCTACGGTAGTCCCTCGAAGGAGGAGGAGGATAGTCATAGTACCTAGAGTCCCTTGGAGGAGGTGGAAGTCGTCCAGATGGTCCATAGTCATCACGATATGAGGGATGGTCTCTAGGAGGCGGATAGTCCCTTTGAATCCGGTCAATAAGAGGAGGCTCAGAGCGACGGCTATGAGATTCTCTTGCGTCGCTAGATGCCATGCATAAGGATAAGGAACATAGGGATCGATATCGGCTACTCACGGAGGCGGGGCATTGGGACACTCCCTGTGACTGAACGGTCAGATCGGGATGAAAATCGTATAAACGAACATGTTACCTTGCCCAATGGCCATTGTCACCGCAGCGGAAGCACGTTCCGGCTTCAGCGGTTGAACGTGTGGCCCTGCCGCCATGGGATATTTCAACACGAATTTTGTTACCCATGAAGTAGCCTTCGTTGTACTTCGCAACGCTTTCTTCTGCGGCTTCGGTGCTATCGAATTCCTACATCAATCTATGTTAGCAAGGGGACTAATGTATCATGTTAAGCATGGACACTCACAACGAAGCCATAACCAATCCTATTATCAATATATAAGCTGCAAAATTTAATGAGAAATCTAGTAACTTACTTCAGTTCAATTTGAACTATTGTCCCTATTTTGCCAAAGCAAGAACGCAGATCCTCGATTCGGGTATTCGTAGGTAGGCCACCAATGTAGACCTTGTTGGGCTGTAGGCGAAACGATGAACACCCCGAAAACTTCGGACAGTCATAAAATAGTAGCGAAGTGTCAAGCCGTTAAATCAGCTGGAGAGATCGCCGTCCAGACCAGCATGGGTGATGGGAAAAGATCGAAGAAAACTTCGCAAGACCCCTTTCAAGCAAAAGCTGCGCGAACTTCAGATCTTGGTTGAGAACGCGCTTTTCTGCTTGCGCTGGCAGCGAGGGCACCCCGGCTCGACGCATAGAACTATATAGACGACTCCATGTAGGCACAGCGACTTGGACGAGACAAGAACAAGAATAGGAAACAATAAGAAGAGACCGAGTAAGCACCTTGGCCTGTCTGTCGCGAAAAGAGTCGCCTTTGCCGGCACCACTGGAGTCAGCAACACTACCGCCTCGAGCATTGGACTCTTTGGACTCTGGCTCCTGGACAGTCGGAGAAGGAGATGCAGTAGTGGGTGGGCGTTCGTTGTCAGCAGCCCGAGCATCAGCACTAGACCCATTCAACGCAGAGTCGGCAGAGATCTTGAAGTTTGGGGTTGCGTCAACAGTCAAAGGTTCCTGCTTGATAGATGGAGGCGATCCTGGCGCCCGAATAGCGAGCGTTGGAGAAGCAGCCATGGTGTAGTGAGGGTTCGAGCAGAGGATATGAAGTTTCCAACAGGGGTAGGTGCAAGCGGAAATTTGCAGCATGCAGCTCCGACTGAATTTCACTGACCGAGCGGCGTACCGTGCTGGGAGAGGTGCTTCCGATTATCTTGTTCTACCATCAATATATCTATCTGTTTGTTGACATTACAACGACTATACACTGTGTGGCGCACGATGCCATGGTCCTGCTGCGTTGGCCTCTGCTTCCAGGTTGGCGATCTCCCGAATGATCTCTTCATCCTGGCTTACATCCAATGGCAACATGTCCCGCTGGTACACTGTTCCAAACAACTTCACCAACGCAGGTATTTCGCCTGCCACCGTTACTTCCTGCCCTTTTGCACTTTCAATGCTTCCAGCCTTCACGTCCGTGAGCCCGCACGCCACGACTTGGTTGAACCATGCCAAAGGCTCATTGGTCACATTGAACGCGAACCCATGATTCGTCAATCGATGCCGGACTTGCACGCCAATACTTGCGATCTTGGTGTGTGCGTCGAGAAACACACCCGTGTGGTCTGATGGGACATGTTGTACGCCGTGGCTCTCTAGGAAGTGACCTTCCATTGTTTTTTGCATGCGGCAGATATAGTCGCGAATGCCCATCGCTGGCGAGTAACGCGAGAGATCGAGAAGGGGATATCCCACTATTTGGCCTGGTCCATGGTACGTCGTCTCCCCTCCGCGCTGGATCAACTGGAAATCAGCCCCAAGCTGGGTGAGGCGAGCTCGGTCAGATGCTGTCTGCTCGGATGTCTGCCGTCGGCCGCCAGTGTATACTGGACGATGTTCCAGAAGGAGCAGGAGGTCTTTATGCGACGGAGGTGAGTTTTTGCGATTTCGAAGCTGGATGGCGTGGAGGCGCTCCTGCAATGCGAGTGTCTGGGCGTACGGCAGGGGTTTGCGAAAGTGGTGGTAGAAAATGGGAGGAAGAGACATGGTCGCCAATTTGAACGCTGAAGACGGTAAAAAAGGTTCCTAGTAGCCCACCGCGAGGGTCGAACTCGCAGCCTTCAGATGATCCCGCCTAATGTAAGAGTCTGACGCTCTATCCGATTGAGCTAGGCGGGCTTGCAGGCAATCAATACTTCAGACATTGTGAATGTTTTTTGCGAGCGCTAAATTAGTGCGGCCTGGTTACCCCTTTTTTCTCACGGCCGACCTGGGCGATGGCTGGGCGGCGATGCCCTATTTCTTTCTTTCCTAACTCTCAACTATCTCCCACTCCTTTCACTTTAATCCTCTTCTTCCTCTAATTCAGCACCCATCATGCTGGGTTCTTTCCGGGCTTTTACTGCCCTCGCCACAGTCGCATCTATCCTTGTCTCTCGCGTCGATGCGATAGCAAAAATCTCCCGCTCAGGCAGGTACCTCTACCAGGACGACGGAACAAGATTCTACATCAAGGGCATTGCCTATCAGGAGCAGGGTATGCCTTGTTTTCCGGTTGAGTTGTGGCCGCTAAATTCATGGGCGCAGGTGCTGTTGTCGAGAGCGCTGACAACGCATTCGGAGAGCCGTCGACCTTCATCGACCCATTGGCCCTGCCGGATGCCTGTAGGCGTGACTTGCCCTTCTTACAACAGCTTGGGGTCAACACAGTCCGGGTCTACAGTGTAAACTCGTCGCTCAATCATGACGATTGCATGCAGACCTTCAGCGCCGCTGGCATCTACACCATGTACGTTGCTTTTCCTCTGACGATGTCTGCCAACTCATGCTCGACTTTTAGCATCGACTTGGCACTCCCTCTCAATGGCTCCATCGACCGCGTGTCTCCTTCATGGTCAACAAATATTCTCGATCAGTATATCAGGACGATTGATACGTTTTCCAAGTACGACAACGTCCTGGCTTTCAACGTCGGAAACGAGGTCGTTGTCCAAGAAGCAACCGGTGTCTCCCCCTACGTCAAAGCCGCTGCTCGTGACATCAGGGCTTACCTGTAAGTAAAGTGCATCGTGGTAGCATTGCCTCCAGACTTATGTCATCCGCAGCTCGTCCAAGTCTTCCTCGGCACTTGTTGGCTATGCAGCTATTAATGGCGCGTCTACATGGCGCGATGCGTTAGCCAGTTATCTCACTTGTGATGCCTCCGGTGGCAACTCTGATGCTACGGCTATCGATCTTTATGGCTTGAACGACTACGAATGGTGTGGGGACTCTTCTTTCGAAAGCTCATACGCCGGTACAACTAGGAACTTTGCCAACTTCAATGTCGCTGCTTACTTCAGCGAGTTCGGTTGCATCACCTCGCCCCCACGTCTCTGGACAGAAACCCAGGCCATCTTCAGTTCCCAGATGTCGGACGTTTGGTCCGGTGGTGTCGCTTTCTCATACTTCCCGGCTTCCAGTGTTCAAGGGCAATTCGGCATGGTCACGGTCGACGGCAATACCGTTACCACGAGCGATGATTTCGACCGCTTGAGGACTCAATACAATCAAGCCAGCGGGCCCAACTCCCCGGCTCGCAGCAGTGCCGCCACGACTTTCGGCTCTTGCCCCGCCGAGAGCGATACTTTCGCCGCTTCAACCACGATTCCGCCAACCCCAAATGAAGCTGCTTGCGGTTGCTTGCAAAGTACTCTTAGCTGCCGTTTCACTCCTCAAACATCCAACTACAGCGCCATCGCTGGTGAACTCATTGGCACGGCCTGCAGTCTCCTTGGTCAACAAGGAGGTAACTGCAACGACATTGGTGGAAATGGCACCACGGGCACTTACGGCCGTCTCTCCGGTTGCGACCCTAGTAAGACCACCAACCCCTTTCCGCTCACCATTGCCCGTTACTGATTTTTTATTCAATCAGCCGTCAAACTCTCCTTCGTGATGAGCCAATACTATGAAATCAACAACCGCAACCCACAGTCATGTAGTTTCAGCGGCAACGCGACTGTCAACAGCGCTGCTCCGTCGTCAGCGTCCGCTGCCAACGCCGCTGCTTCCTCGTGTATCTCCAACCCTTCGGCTACATTCACGCCCAGTGCCCCCGCCACAACAGGAGGCTCTGGTGGAAGCTCCGGGGGAGGAGGCAGCAGCAACGGTGGCTCGAGCGGCGGCAATAATAACTCCAATGGCGCTGTTCCTTTGATCACCGATGCCCGTGCGCTTCTGGGCCTGGGATCTATGGCTGCCGTTGGTTTCGCCAGTGCCTTCTGGGTCTTGGTCTAATGCCTCCACCGACATCCGAGCACACTACGCGCTATATCTATCGCTCTTGCTAACTCCGGGCTATTGCATAAAATTGGACTCATCTATGTATGTACGAAGGAAGTGGAGTGGCTTTGTTCGCAGCGAATGAAATCGGACACTACTTAGTGCAGCTATTTCTTTTCGTTGTTACGTGGGGAGTATGGAGCTCGAGAATCAGACTATCTACGTTAAATATATATACCACCATCCTATTCATTTCAATCTTATCCACGCTCCTATATATTGCATGCAGTACCATTTCTGATGATGATACTACGTATCTTGTTTAGGTTAGGAAAGGTTCATTTACGATAACGCTCATTATTTAAAGTGTTCATGTACACATCAACCTTCGGTGTGTGATTGTAAAGATCTAGGTGATGAGCATCATCCACAGTGTAGACAGCCTGAAAGTTGTTGTAGTAGAGCCCGTTTGCACTTATCCGAGCCGGCAGATAGTATCTCTCTCACTTGGGCATCGATTAGAGTGGACGCAAACAGCCATTGAATATTAGGGTACTATGACAGAAAGGCCTACCTGGGTATAGTCGAAGCGACGCTAGACTCGAGGGAAGGCGTCGGATTAGACGCAAGATGCCGGACATGAAACAAACCGTACATTATCTAAACCGCTCAGTGGCGACGCGTCGAGGGTCCCCCTAGACCCCTAATAAGGCTACAGGTGCCGGGAAATCACAGAACATCGAAGGCAACAAGAGGTCGCGGAGAAGAGGCACGCTGAGAGTGCGTGGAACACAACTTAAAGGCAACATTCAATTATTCCAAAATGCGATGTTCTAGAGAGTCTCAAAAATTCCCTTTCGGTGATAATGTATGGCTCCCCTAACTCCTGTCGATCTTCCAGGAAGTAAACCATTGCAGAGCAAATGTCTGGAAAGGCGGGACCAATTTAAAATTATAGATGCCACACGCCGCAATTCTCTACAAGGCGGGGACAAACTGGAAGATACATGAAGATTTTTCCAATAGCCAGGACGCTACAAACTTCGAGGTGCGGCGGTAAACTACCGGTGGCTGGGATCAATGACGTCGAATGATTTCCTTCCGTCCAACCATGGGGAGGCTGGCATGGCGAGCCATTGTGATGGTTTGTTTTGATTCCCGCCAGCGACAACATATAAATACCTCGCTGCTTCACCATCCTTCCTCAGCAGCTCTTTGCAGGTAACCCCCACCATCCCTTCCTTTCCACCCAAGCACTGACGCCTTTCCTTTTCCCTCTAGCTCGCCCAGTCTCGCTCATCGGTGAGTACACGCCTGTCTCATCGTCCTCGCCATAGCTTACGTCTTGTCCATAGCTCGGCGGGAGGATGAGAAGACAACTGACATTTCTCTAGGGTGGAGGCGGCCGCGGATTGAGCACGTCGTGTGGAGAGGGTTGCGGTTCTATTCCACCATCCCGCCTTTGGGTACTGCCTGGGGATGGGGCCAAGCAACCACCTCCCGCCTTTGTCGTCTGCGCTTCGGTTCGTCCACTATGTGGTGCGTTCCCCGGCGTGGATTGTCAACGGTTGGGGAGGGTGCGCGGGAGGTCGTAGCTCGGGTGGCTTCGTACGCAGTAAGTCGCCCAACCGCTGTTATCCAGATTCCATGCTGACTAGTGTTCCGCCTTCAGGAGGGCGACGTTGTCACCGCCTTCGCGCTTCGCTGATCGTGTCCTGAGGATGCGAGGTGGCTCCCATGTACCGGCACGTACCAGCAGCGGGCGTGGCCTTCGGGTACATTTTGGCCTACCGTGCATCACTGTTTGGCCTTGCCTTGCGTTGGGGAGGTTCATTCGGCGTGTCAGTAGCAGTCAGTGTGAGTTTGCGCGGGGGTAGCGTTTGTAGGATATGTCGGGAGGACGGGTGAGTCGTGATTCTTCCTGGATGCTGCGGGATGCTGACGACAAGCAGGGATGTGCTCTTCGTGTCGACCTCCACAGGACCTCGAGCCTCGATTCCCAGACGTCAAGACCAAGCGCGACCGCCGCGGGGGGAGAAGTTGGAGAGAATGCTCGGGGGACCGTTGTCCCCGGTACGTCGCTCATTCGTGATAATCCAGACCGTATGCTAACTACACGATTGTTTGACCTTGCTCGTCCTGGGGAGTGTTTCATCCGGTCCGTAGCAGTCAGTGCAAGTGCAGTGTTCGGAGGATGCGTTCATGTAGGAATTTTGTACTCTTCTCTCTACAGACCGAAGACCGTCCTATTTCTTCGCATGTTGCTTGCTGCCATGTACCATGTGTATCGCCTCTTATATTCTCGCAATCACCTGTTATCTGGGCGATTGTAATACCAAATGCAATCATCTAGTTCTGAAATATTCAGCCTTGAGACGGCGATACATTCATTCAATGTTGGCTACTGAAAAAATCAATCTACGCACCTTCTACTTCAGCCCCAGTCATAGTTTGCTAGAGATTTGCTTGTTAGTTATCGGATATGAAGGTGTAGGCTTAGAATCTAGACGCCCCGTATCACAAAAGCGCACACATTGGGTCTAGTCAACAAGCAGAGAACATGTTCCACAAGCAAGATATACAGCTATTCTGCGAATTCAAAAATACACAGGCGTGCGGGTGATACATTGAGCATGACGAACAGATAAAAACAGATTACAGCACTCAGGCGAGTTCGACGAAATTGGCAGGGAATATGCCCTGTTTCCCGCCAGCCTTCCCCGTCCACCTAGACGCAATATCGAAGTATCAATATCGCCCCCATGACGAAAAGAAAACAGAAAGAAAGGCAAGAGGCGACGTACCAATCATCGCTGCTATCGCTCTTTTTGATCACCGTTATAATATCTCCTTTAGCAAATGACAAATCCCCTGCCTCCACCGCGTTGAAATCATACAGTGCAATGGCCCTCGCTACGCCTTCCCCTGGTAGCAAAGGCCTCATCAGCTCTGGCTTTGGTTGAATGTACGGCTTCGGGGACGTAGTGCTGAAAATGTCTTGTTCATTCTCGCCGTAATCGTCGCCCGAGTCGCTGGAGGGGAAGAAAGGACCCGAGGAAGGGGGGACATGGGAGAAGCTCCTCGAGTGGGATTTGGATGTCGGGCTAAAAGACGGAGAGGAGATGGGGTTCTTGACGCTAGTTGATCGATTGTGGCCGAGGTTAGGGGTAGGCATACCCTGTCCGAAGTCGTAAGCGTTACTAGAGGAGAATGAGAGTCTTGGGTGTTTCATTGGCGGCGACTCGACTGTGTAATCCGAGTCGAAGCGCGTTTCGAAGCGTGCGGTAGGGTTCGTCACTGGCGACTCTGCGAAGGGGTCTGTTGCTTTCCGCTGCTGAGAGGTCGGCGAAGTATGTTCGAATTCAGACGAGAAATAGGACCCCTCGTCTTTCGATGAGCCCCATGCGGCAGGCGGGAACGCCGGCTTCGTGGGTTTCTTTTTCGACAAGATGGATGGGCTCCTCGAACCGATAGAAGGACTGCCCATCGAGCCGAATGCGTAGCCACTGTCGCCGCGCGGCGTGTTGCCCTCCTCGACCCACTTTCTGTTCCCAGGCAGCCCCGTGCACGATTCCAGCGTCTTTACCAGGTTGTTCGCCCAGTGCGGGGGGTCGACGGACCCCGACAGAAGCTGCTTCGCCGTGACGGACGACCCGTACGCCTGGGCGTTCGCGTCCTGCCGCTCGACGATGACGGACCCTTCGACCGAGACGCCCCCAAACAGGCCTCGGGTTTTGGAGTAGCTGTACCTGGGGGAGGGGTGAGTACGCACGTTGCGGGAACATGTAGTAGGCGGGTGGGACATACATGGCGGCGACTTTCCCCTTTGTGTTTAGGGATCCTGAGGCTTCACCGTTGCGGCCTAGGGGCCCCAGTGCTATGCTCATATTGCCACCTAATGTTAGCGAGCCAGCGGCCATGAACGAAGCCTATCAGTGTTATCAGTGCCGTGCACTTGCAACGAACGATCGAACATACTATAGCCTTGATGCCACGAGTGATTAGCTTGTGCTGCTAGTGATAGTGCTGCTAGTGACTCACCGAACGTGAATTCAACACCACCAGAAAGTCGGTGACTTCTGCCCCTGCTTGACCCCCTACACCTACACCCGCAGTACCGATGGCACTTGGTGCCGACCACGCTAAAGTTGGGATTCAGTACGCTCCAGCTGCACGCAGACCAACGGGCTACGCACTTCCATCATCTAGCTTTGCAATCACTATCCCACTCCCTGCTCGCGCAGAGAACAGGAACCCCGCTTTGAATATCGTGAATATCGCAAAGCCCTTCGCATTCTCGAGGATGTGTCGAGGTATAACTCCATCCAGCCCGTTATTGCCGCTATCGACAAAGGATTTAACTGGATCGTTGAGTCGTTAGTCGCAATAGCTGCGAGCCGACCTGATGCGACTCACATATCTTCGCGGCCTTCTCGCATTCCTTCGGAAGTGGTTGTGGTAAAGGACTGTTCAGCTTCATGAATGCAAATGAGCAACGGGAGGGGGTGCTGCTGCGAACTCGGCAGGCTTATGTATTGGACCATCCGGACAAGACGAGGCAGTACAATGATCTTCCCATCCGATTCCGCCTCCGGAGTCGGCCCCGTTTCTCCGTGATCAAGCTTCCTCCGAGTCACCTCCTAACCCACGCTTTGCTCCTTGTGTACTGAACTTGTATGGGCTCAAAATGCAATGGTGAAATATTTCACTGGAATTTCAGTTGATTATTTAGCTGCGCAAACATACGCGTCGCGTCAGCCGTGAACTTCCTATCAACCCGCCAAGGCCGACGGGGAGGAAGGGCTCAGTAATCATACATTCGTCATACTCCTCACAAGCGGCGCAGGCGTAGCATAAGCACGAGAACGTCAACGGAATGTATGGCAAGGGGGTGCACAATCCGACTGTATGAATTGTGGTGGCAGACCGTCGCTTGAGGCAATGTGGTTTTGGAATGCTATTAATATATTAAATATATTATACACAATATAATGAGGAATCATATCTATACATGATGGGGTGATGAGAAAGAAGTAAATGAGAAATAGATGAGAAGGTCCGTGGTTTTGAGTCTACGCCTCTACTTCCGACCATTCGCTTGCAGATTCAACGTCAACTACACTGTCTGCTTTGCTTGTGGCCGGTGATGCAGGCTGAGCAGGGAGTAGAAATGTATCAATGGGCGCTGCCTTCTCCTCTTGATCATGGGCGGGCTTGATAGTAGCGGTAGAAGAGTCGGCGGTAGGTGTTGCAGATGGAGGCGCAATGTCTTCACTAGTTTCGGTCTCGATTACAGGGGCTGGTTCAGGCGAAAGGGGAGCCTCCGAAGGCGAAGGCGCAGGAAGTTCCTGCGACTCGGCAACACGTTCGTCGACCTGGGAAAGGATAGAGGGGATAATATCCTCTGCAGAGACGTCAGCGACTTGCTTCACGTCTAATTCCACAGGTGGCAGCAGCGAGTTGTCGTCTGGGGTGTTGAAAGGCTGAGTCGAAGGAGAGGAGGGAGGTACTACGACGAGAGAAGGTGGCGTTTCGGTCTGTGAGTCTTCAGTTGTCGCGGTAGTTGCCTCGACAACGTCTACCGGAGGTTCCGCCTTATTAGGAGCACTAGCATCCTCTGATGCTTGTTCTTGTTCCTTCGCTAGCTTCTTCTGTCTGATCTGCCATCGGGCGTCGACCTCTCTCTCAAGTTCTTCCAGCGCCCTCTCCACCCTGCCCACAACCTCCTTGCGCCTTGCCCTCAATTCTTCGTTGCCGAAGCTGTCGATGCGATCGAGCTGCGACAGGAGTTCGCCGAGAGCATGCTCATAAAAACGCAAAGGTTGGTTGCGAGCAGTAAAAGCAAGATGATGGATCGCAGAATCGCTAACAGTGGTGCTCTCTGTGCCAGGGAGAGGGGAAACCAGGGTGGATGGCGAGGAGGGAGGGGTGAAGTCCAACTGAGCGGGGAAGACGAATTCGTTCTCGAGGGTAGAGAAAGCGGTCTCGATGCTGTGAACGGTTTGAATGGACTTTGCAACATCAGACACGGTTGGGTCTGGTGTTGCCTCGCTAGCCACTTCCTTTCCTTTTCCCTTGCCATGGCGAGGCCCAGTGTCGGAAAGAGAAGCAAGAAGCGCTTGAATGGTGTCTTTCACTTCGGTGGCGTATTCGTTGTTCAAACGGGCTTCAAGTTGTTCCTTCAGCGACTGCGTTGTAGGCTTGGGAGTCGCATCTTGCACTGGGGTGTGCGTCCGAGGTTGCTCCTTGGTCTGGAGAATCGCGATGTAAGTATCCGACAACGAAATGACATCGCTGATGCTTACCTGTTCGGGCTTCGTAGGAGGCTCGGAGGGGCCAGCAGCGTAAAACTGCGCCTGCGCGGAGGGCTGAACTGGCTTCTGGAATAGGAGGTTGAATAGGTCGGGGAGGCTCTCGACCCGAGTGCGCTCGTTACTGTCAGCCTTGGGTTCGACAGCAGGCTTGTTTGCTGGATGTTCTGCCGGAAGGTTGGACGTCTCGTGCTGGGCGCCCTTTGAGGACGCCGAGGGGGCAGCGGCATAGAACTGAGCCTGCGCGGATGGCTGAGCCGGTTGGAAAAGGTGATTCAGAAGCTCGGGGAGGCTCTGAACCTGGGGACGTTGCTTGTCATCGACTTTGGGCTCTGAGGAAGGCTTGGCCTGAGTGGTTGACGCGGCCGGCTTTTGAAAGAGGATGTTCAAGAGATCTGGCAAGCTCTGGACCTCACGATGCTGAGCTTCGGGTGCAGGACGTTCGACAGGCATAGCAAGGGGCGTGAACGCGGACTTGGGAGGCTCCGAAGCGCTACTCTTAGTAGCATTGTCGATAAGTTGCGTGAGTAGGTCCACGAAAGGGACTCCAGTGGATGCGGCCGCGGTTGGAACTTCGGGCTGGTCACTGCCAGTAGCGCATGGGGCAGTGGTGGGAGCGGCGGGAACCAGGCGACGAGAAGCGTCCGGGGCCTGAGCGTCGAGCAGAGCGGTAAGGAGTGAATGGAGATCAAAGCTTCCGCCACTCGACTGGAGGGATGGTCTCGCAAGGGACCCACATTCGTCGGATGGCAGTGCTAGTCGATATCCGCACTGGCGTGGGACCGGCGCATGATGCACCTGGTGGTGATACCGGAGATGAGGATGTCGCTTGAACTCATGATGTCCGGCGCAAACGCAAGTTGAGTGATTCTGAAGTGGGTGTAAGTGGTGTGCCTTGCAGATGTGATTCATTATGCGTACCTTCGCCAGCCTTTGAGGGGTAAGTTCAGCTAAGGCTCGCCTACGTTCTTCGTCATGAAGGGCAGCAAGTCGATGTTCTTCGGCTTCTTTGTCGAGTCTTTGCTTGAGAGCAAGTGCAGCAAGTAGTTCCTCTTTCTGTCGGAGGAGCTCTTGCTCTTGAGCCCTCGCTCGGGCAGCTTGAGCCAATTGAGCATCTAACGCTGCCTGAAGCCTGGCAGACTCTTCTTCATAGCCGAGATAGGCCACTCGAGGATGGTCAGGATAAGGAGCAGCGTGAGCAGTTGGCTCATATGGACCGTGAAGGCGCTGCGAAGCGGCCTCTGCTGCCAGATACTGGGCTTCGGCCAACTTGGCCTCCGCCGCCGCCGCCAGGTAGCGATCCCGTAATGTTGATGGGTCGGTGCGACGAGTGCTGCCGAAGAAGTCGACCTGAGGGTGCCGGTAGGAGGCATAAGGAGAGGGGTGGTATGGGTATTGGTGAAACATTATTGTTTAGGAGTTGAGTTGATTGGTTTGTTAAAAGTAGTGTTCTGCCCCTCGCCCTCGGAAGGAAGCCTTTTATACATATCCGCTGCTGTGGGATGAGTCATGGGGGGACGGGACGCGCGTATTATTTGACCACGCAATCGCGACCAGGACGTTCGAGAAGCTGAGCAGCTGACGGATTGGCTTGGACGCGCGGCGCACAGCCCATAATGTTCTAGCTGACGCGTCGGGATGCGCGTATGTTCTAGCACGTTCCAGCGCTTTCTCCGCTTTCCCCGCCTTGTGCTGACCAAACTAGATTAGTCATGTCGACTGTCAACTTACTTCCTGGATGAGAGAATGGGAGGACGATAAATGAAAAAATAGTTTAGAGATGGATAGCAATGCAAGGACAGAGTACTGAGATAGCGAGCCTAGACAAAGTGGAGATTCTACAAGATGCTGTTGTATACATATTGTCACAGGGAAACATAGTCCGTGTATGTGCGCGGCATGGAGGATTGTATCGCGTCGTGTATAAAGCGTAAGATGGTTTGTCTGCGGGTTAGCTTGGGCCAGCGACGGGACCTGGTGACGGGAACATAGAAAGCAGGGAAAGCAGATCGTCTGAAAAAGTATAAATCAGCACTCCAAGCGTGGTAGAATAGCGTGCGGAATTTCTGACTTTTGCGTAGAGGTTTGCTAAAGAAGGCGTTCATACCGGCACTCAGGCACAGCTGCTTCGTCGATTCCTGGCAATCTGCGCTGAGTGCTACGACTAGTGAACAGAGTTAGATACGAGGGTCTATCAAGTCAGGTTCGTAACTTACTGGGCAACATCGTCGGTACGTCCCGTTTATTTTCCAGGAAGCGCAGTCGTTTCGCTGCTTCTACACCATCACAAACGGGCATGTCTAGAAACAGAGATGAGTGCGCAATCGACAAGCTGACCAAACAGACGAACGGTGGTCAAATAGAGCGACGCTAAAGAAACCAGGCGGGTGCGCCTGCCATTCTAGATAGGAACGTCAGAAGTGTGAATATACTACGACGTGCGCAGATATCGATATCTACCATTCAAGGCTTCCTCGCCGTTGCTCGTCGGGTAAACGATCAGATCGTATCGTTGAAGTTGTTTGACAATCAGATTTTGCGCAATTGGATTATCTACTTTTTGTCAGCGTCGATGCTATGTCAAGATCAGAAGTAGACGAACCTTCCGCAACCAGTACATTGCCATACAACGTCCGCGGAGCACTAGCAAGTTCGGGCACAGGCTTGGGGTTCGGTTGTACAGGGCTTCCCCCTTCTTTCAAACTCGCGAGGATCTGATACAACCGCGCCTTCCGGGGTGGCTTCGTCATTTTATGGACACCTGGAGTATTGCTGCTGAATATCGACTCTCCAGGTTGACTTGTGGTCGGGGTATACATATGGATGACCTTCGTATTCTGCAAGGTCCTACTTTTTATTGAGTGGAGTAATCGAACGAATTCGTCCACGCGGGTCTCCGATTGGTCGTCTAGGATAACGAAATCCAAAGGCGGAAAATCAAAATTATCAATATTGCGTATCTGTGCCTCGGATTCATGTACTGAGTTAGCGGAGATGATGTTGAAACCTTGGAAAATATTCTTGAAAAATGACAGTGTGGCTTCCGAAGCCGATGAGAGTAGAATGCGAGGTGGCTGTGGCTTCACTAATGACGCGCGCAATTCCTCGAGCTCGAGATTCGCCTGCCACGCATCAGCCAAGTAGCTGGAGGTGGGATTGATGAATGCTTACCATACGCGATTCGTCAGCATTATATATTTTAACCGGAATAGTAAACCAAAACGTCGAGCCAACATTGAGTTCGGATTGCACGCCAATAGCGCCACCCATGAGCTTCACCAATTGTCTTGATATAGACAGGCCCAACCCGGTGCCTCCGAAGCGACGGGTGGAAGAATTATCCGCTTGCTGGAAAGGCACGAAGAGTAATTCTACGTCACTTGATGACAAGCCAATGCCAGTATCCCTGAGGTGTAACCGTGAGATGGATGGACGAAAGAAAGTTACAGAAAGATGGACGGACTGAATAGAAAATCTCAAATGAGCCTCTTCTGTTGTCGACGGATGCGTGTGATCAACCGAGCATATGACCTTCACTGATCCTCCCGAGGTGAACTTGACAGCGTTTCCAATCAGGTTCATCAAGACTACAGACATGTGAGATGTTGTGCGCCAGTGATTGCAGCGTGTACCCACCTTGTCTGATACGAGCATAGTCAGCGTACACCCCTACATGAATAGGAGTAAGTCCGAGTTCATGAGCCAGGGAAAAGATCATACAGGTTGGGACATCGAGCTCGATATTGAATGAGAGGTCTAGTTTCCTGGCCGCCATAGGAAGGAGAAGCTCCATACAGTCCTGAGACGATTAAATATACAAAGGCGCAGAAGACAGAGAAATCGCTTACTGCAATAATATTCTAGGGGAAGGTTTAGTTATTAGTTGTGACGTCACAGTCGTGTTTCGCATACCTCAACCATGAATCCACTGGGCTCCAGTTTCAACGCTTTGTGTGGTTTAGTAGAATTGAATTATGAGAGGACGTCGATCCTTACCAGACGCTTCCAGTTTGCTATAATCCAGAATGGAGTCGATTATCTACATTGAGATCGCTTCAGACATGTCGTACGCAAAGTTGTTGCTACTCACCTTGAGGAGAAGTTCACAAGACTGTTTCGCCGTTTGAACTGTGTATATAATTAGAGCAAGGGAACGATTGCCCGACAAGTATACACATACCGATTTCTCCTTGCCCTGGGTTCAACTCCGTACCGCTCAGCAGATCCAAGAGGCCGTAGAACGAACTGTACATATTTTTAAGTAAACTACTTCGACAGTGATGCGGACACGCACCTGAAAGGCGTCCTAAGTTCATGGCTCATCGAAGCCAAAAAGTTGCTCTTGATCTAGCAAGAGATAAGCTCGGTATTTGCGGGTCCGCGCTGGGATTCCTCACCTTTGTCGCCTTCAAAGCATCTTCTCTGCTCCGCCGCGCGGCTTCAAGAGCGTCTCGCTGCGCCGCGATCATCTTGAGGTTCTCCCTTGTGCCCGCTTGCACCGACTTGAATAGCAAGGCGTTGGAGATACTAACGCTCGCTTGCTGACAGAGCAGCGTCAGTATAGTCAGGGTGTTCTTGGAGAATGGATATTTTGAGGAGAAGTAGATAACACCGAACGTCTGCCCACGATTTCCGAAGATAGGAATGCAGATGACAGAACGTTGCGGCGTTTGACTGGCCTCCGCAGAGAAACGGGGATCTGTAGAGGCGTCCTCCAAATATATTTGATCCTTAGTATTGAGCGCTATGGTGATTGAATAAGATTGTCGTGTAGCGACTTCAACAGCGGACTCACTGTGCTGAATGATAGCTCGTTGGAGTGGATCAGCGATAGTTCTGAGGGGTCGAGCGTTTCTGCTGATTGTGAGTTGTCTAATGATGTATCCTGTTCTATCAGACTCACTCATGAACTTGGCAAGGTTGAGGGGGTGACATGCTCGTGGCCACCGTGTAGTCCCCAGCCTCCCTCGCCATAACAACACAAGTATTCTGAGAAACGGAGGCCTCTACCGATCGCCTGTTAGTTAGCGCTGACATATTCGTAAATAGTGTACATGCCTGTTGCTATCTCGGTGAGCCGCTGTAGAGCTGCGAAAAAATCAGACAAGCGTTTGCAAATTTAGAAAAGAGCTAACCGGAGGAAAGCTGAATGTCTCTAGAAATATCCTGACTCCACTTGAGAATGGACGAAAGATCAGCCTCGCTGAGGGTTGGTTCTTGCTCGTCGCCGTAGTCGGGCTTCGGGTTGCCATAGATAACCAATGGTTGATTTATGATCCCGGCCGCGATGTTTTCAGTTTGGACAGCAACCTCCGACGAGAATATCGGCCGCTTCAGTGGGTACTGCGAGCGAGCGCCGACAACGGAGTTCAGGTAGTTCCTTTCAGCCAAAGATAAGGTCCCAGAGCCCAATCTATGATAAAAATACCAACACAATACCCTGAGCTCCCCATTGAGCTTGGCGTGATATGCCGCGGCGTTGCAATTCGCTCCCCAGTCCTTCTACACCACACCTGACAAAGTGGCAACCTTGCTAAAGGAAACGTGAGAGAAGGTTCAAGAAGATATGATGGACTAACCAAGTACAATGCCCATCCTTCTTCGTGCAACCATTCATTGCTGACAGCTAGTCTGATTCAAGCCGAAAGAGTCAGTGTGCTGTGTAGATCTAAGTATCAGAAGACTAACTTCACTGCAATGTCGTAAAGCTTGAACGCGTCCGCGTATCCACGAATGGCGGCCATCTCTGCATCCTGACGATAAATATACATTTCAGTAGTGAATAGTAGTGAATGATGTCAGGCTCGGGGGGTTCGGGAACGTACTACTATTGCGACCCAGGTACTAGTGTTGACCGGACTTGGCGACAGCCACCTGTGCATCTGGTTGAGTCAAACTTGGAACGATACACACGCTTGTAACGAACTTTCGAATATATTGCTGATTGAGCTCTACTTGCTTGAAGTAAGTGGCGCGATCGTCCTGATCTAACTGGCCGCCTCTAATGCAAGCAATCATGGCCAAGCTGTGAAAGAAGAGGGAGTATCGCACGTGGCGGTGACTTTGGCTAACTTTTAGCGCGATGTAAAGGAGATGAGATGTTTGCGCCTACTTTGGGTGCTTGTCACGGGTACGGTAAACTTCGAATCCCAAGGCGGCACTTTCTCTAATAAAGCCTACACAGTAGAAAGCGACTACCTGATGCCGGTGTTAGTGTTTCACAGGAGAAGGAATGAGTTTGAATATACCTTGAAGGCGTTATACCTACATGCGCCCGTCAACGGCAGGAAAAAAAATAGAAGATAAGGACTAACCAGGACAAAGAAATGGCAACGTTGCCAGAAGTCGTAGAGATGGAGGCAGCATACTCGCTTTCTTTGAAATTCTCAGTATCGAAGACAGTATCTATGGATTGAGAGTATGTGTAACCCCCAAGGACGCGAATACAGTTCAGAATGCCTACGCATATAAGACGTTATCATTGAATAGAAGGTGGAGATGGTTCGACCTACCCTTGGCTAAGATATTCTGGTCGCTGCCGGGAGTCAATAATTTGACATCGGTGACACACTGACGTAAAAGGAACCACGTCAGACACCAGTTCTCGAAACTAGACGAGGCGCCTACCTCTTCAGCAGCTATAACAAGCTCGGATACTAGGAACAATATCAGTATAACCAACATCTGCATGGAAATGCAAGGCGTACGCTGTTCGCAAATATACAGGCGAGTTAAGATAGAGTGAATAGTGGCAAATCCCGTATACACCCTATTTGACGTAAGCTGCGAAACGGATATGGTGAATTGTTGAGACGTACCTATCGCCAGCGCTATTGCCTAAACGGATAGCTTCGTCCATAACGGCGACATTTGCTCGGATATGGCAGCTATCGAAGCCCGACACCATGGAGCAATAAAGCACTTGCGCTCGGCTAGCACATATACATGACCTCCAAATCTGGCCCACAAATTGATAACCACTCACCACCGTTCGCCGCTGGTTCCGTGGCGGTCCGCAATTCGTAGGGCTAATTTAGCCATATCGGACGAAAATCGATATAATTCGCGCTGTTCAGCTGCAGCTGAACAAATTGAGTACACCCGAAGAAGAGATATGCAACGACCTTACCTCCCAAGGCCCAGAAGAATCCGAGTGCCGTGCCGGGGGACATACCAAACCTGAGCATAATTCAGAGAAAACAGTAATGAATGCCGAAGGACGAGGCTACCTAAGCGCCAATTGAATGGTCTGTTGCTGATCATCAACTTCTGATAGCAGCCTAAGCATAATTCAACATACCGTCAGGCCGATTATATCCATGAATGCATGCTGGGACGGATGCCAATAGGCGTTGATCCCTGCAAGCCTAGTATTGAGAAATGAGTCAACGATGTCACAGTGCAAGACATACCAGCGTCATTCAAGAGCGCAATAGCTAGCTCGGTTTTAGCATCCGTGGCACGAGGTATGTTCAAGATCTCATCAAATCCAACCGCGAGTATCTCGTTTTTTACCTTCTCAAACATGGTGTCTGCTTCTCTTTTAGTAGGAGTTGGATTAACTTCCACTCCAAGCAGCTTTAGGGCTTGCAGGGTATCAGTTAGCGCGTCCGCGAACCGACTTCCTAGGAAACTGTTGCGAGATCGTATTCGTAATACGTTCGCTTTGTCTTCATTGCTCTGGCAACGGCCGAGGCATTCTTCTATAATCTTCGTAGATGCCTCGTAGTCCCCTTTCCATGTCGAAAGCCTATCGGATTATCAGTGTGGAGGTGAGCATCGTCGGGTACGCACGCACGCGGCTATTCGTATGAGTAGTAAAAACGTCCGCTGATAATTGTCCTCCCATGAGTTGGGCCTCAACAATGACCGTGCGTTGGTGAACGAGTGGTAGGCAAGCTAACAGTGGGCGAGGTGAGGAAAAGAATTCTTCCATCGTGGGTAACATACCTCATGTGCGCCGCGTGCCCACGCTGATTCGGCTGCATCGATCAAGACATCCAGAAGTTCGTCCCGCTTAGGGTTTTCATGGAGGAGGGGTAAACAACTGAATCGAGGTTAACATACATACACAATCAAGTGGGTGGACCGCTACATACCGTTTTGCGTGCTCCGCTATACGATAGACGTCTATGGGACTTTCATGGAGCATCATGAGGATGATCTAAAACAGAATGAGTATCGCACCATAACCAAAGGCAAGCTGGCGCCCACCCGTAATGACATCATAGCTACGGTGTGAGGATCTAACTTTTCCACCTCTGCCTGCGTAGCCTGTCTGTATCGATCATGTGCAAAGCTGCACATATCTCTAGCTCGCTGTATTAGCCAACCTTCCGTGAGAGCAAGGTTCAGACCCTTCATGGACCCTCTCAGGCCATCGTTCAATCCTTTATCACGAACTTTGGATACAGCCTTGTGAGGGTTCCACTTATGTTCAGCCTCGGAGTCACTGCCACTGCTCCCACTAGAATCCTCCCAATCCATCATGAGAGCGACCTCGGTGACTTTGAAACTGCTATTCCGTCAACGAAACTCCAGACAAAGAAGACAACCAAACGAACGTTTCGCCGAAGAAGGCCGCCCAGTGTAGATACTTCTTCGCCTCTTCCGGTAGTTCTTGGAATTGTGAGGTAAGGAAAGTCAAATCGGTAGGATCAGATATCTTCTGATCGGCGAGACTGGCTTCAATAGATTCCATGTCGTATCTAGGATAAGGACTTAGTTTCAAGACATCAATGACCGTAGCCGACAACATACTTCCAATAGTTGTGCTCCCAGTCAAACTCAATCTACAACGATTGCGTCAGAATGAGAAATGGTCTAAGCCGAAAGTGACCCACACGATGTTGCCGCTGTAATGTTGTAAGGATGCTTCGCGCAGAGAATGCATTACCAGATGAAGCCGAGTATACGAAAGTGGCCAATGGCGCACAATCATCCTTTTCTCGGTGCAATGTTTTGGAGACCAAGGAGAGGACTGAAGAGTAATTCAGTGGTTCGAGGTGAATCCATGTCGGTTTAGCACGACTATGAAACATCGACTTCACTTTGGCCACGATGTCGCTGAACTAACGTATAAGGACACGGTAGCAAAGGTATGATCTGGCTTACTCTTTATCTGATCGTAATGTTGCAAGCACCAGCTAGGATGACATCAGACGAGGCTATGCGACATTAGAGTCTTCACTTACCATCCTGCTCCTTGAATTGACTAGCGTCGAGATGAGGTCCAATGTCCTATATGTACGCATCAGTGCGCCGGGAAATGAAGTGAAACCTATGAGGACATACGAATCATCAGCCTCATGAAGATCGTCCAGAAAGAGAGCAAATAATCGTGTCTCGGCAATCACGCTGAAAACGTTCTCTACGAGGGATTGAAACCGTGCCCGCAGCTCAGCCGTCAAGAGGGACTCGTTCGGCGTCTCAATCGATATGTCGTACTGGGCAAGCAAATCATGCAGCTCTGGGACTCCATGGTATAAGAGGGGAATATTCTGCAGCTGGGGACCTAAGCGCTCTTTGAGCGAAGAAACGAAGCGATGTAAATCGGTATGGAAAACCATCAGCTGTCGCAACACTGATGATAAACAGCTAAGCTATCATGACAGAAAAATATAGGTGAGCAGATATAACAAAAGCATGGGCCATTCACTGACCAGCGCTGCGAAAGGGGCCGACTCAGCACTTTGGAATTTCGCTTGACCCCAGAGGCCGTGGGCTACAAGTGGCTATTGAGCGGATGAAAATCAAAGGACGTATACCCCCGCGTACCTCTCCACTTTGCTTGGTTGGCCAGAATCATGGAGCTCTTTCCAATCCTGGATGACACAGTGAGCATGACAACATGCGTGAACCCTGAAACCCTACCCTGGGGGCCCCACGATCACGACCGTCTGAACCCTGGGGACACGGTGTTTAGTCGATATCCCGACCCGCCGTAAGCCAGATCCGTCGCTGGGCCCCAAGCTGGGACTCAAGCTTGTCGACAGTGAACTGTCGTGTGCTGCGGACCCATCTAAGTTGGCTGTCTGGGGCCTGCCATCAGCAGGACGTTGCGTCGACGACTCACTTGATGACACGGATTCGTTGCTATCGACACCAGTCCCCAGTCCAGTCCCTAGGCCAGTCCCTGTATCTAAGCTACCAGTGGAAGAAATCTGTATTAGACCTCTTGAAGCTGCATGATATCTAGAAAAGCTCGTCGAGGCATTGCGGACTAGAGGCTTATGAACTAGAGCGAAGTCGAAAGTCAACGATGTTACTCACTGACGTTCCTGATCGTTTCAAGATCTTTGTCTCTTCCGAACTGTGAACGTTGAGTCAGGGAAAAGTGATTATTGCAGAGGATTTCCCCACCAGTGTGATCGGCATCGTGAAATCCTACGGACTCGTTCAGAGTGTATCCACTTGTGATTGCTGCAAGTACGTACCATGAATCGGTCACTGATAGCAATGTCGAACGAGGGAATGAGCTGAAACCACTGGGTCGGAAAAACGCCGCAGAGAGATGGACCAAAGCTTACTTCCGAAGCCTCTTCCGAAGCCATTGAGACTGTAGCGAGTAGCCTTCTTTGGCATTCGAGAAGGTCTACCTTGAGCCCGTATGCGCTTTGATATCGATTATCTGGGTTTTTGGCCAATAGCTATCTTGAAATTTAGACATCTTGTCGGGGGTGTCAGACGTCTCTGACACTGACCTTGTCTACAATGGAAGCCAGCACTTCAGGAACGTCTCTTCTTACTTCGTGCACCGGCATGGCTCGCTTCTGAACTATAGCATGCAGCAACTCGAGGGGGCCACCCTCAAAAGGCATCTGACCTCGGCCCACAAGCAACGTCCAGAACATTATACCTAAAGAATATAAATCCGTCCTATGGTCCTGTGTCATAGTCTCGATACTGCCAGTTTGTTCGGGCGCCAGATAACAAAGAGCTTCCTTGACCTTAAGCTTCTCTCGTTCATCGAAGGCGCGAAGGACTAGTGATGAAGGGGAACCGAAATTCTCCAAGGAAATCGCGCGATTGCCAAAGTGCACGAAACGCACAAGACCGGAATGTGAATTGAGATGGAAAGCATTGGCGCGCACTGTAAAGCAACGTAAAACAACAAATTCAATAAAGGTACCGCCACAGCTCACCTTCCCTATGTGTGATACCGACTTTGTGCATGGTCTCAAGACAGTGAGTAGCCTGTATCGCAAACCTGTTGACAAACGACAATTAGATGTTAGTGAGCAGAGGGTGACCGACGCACTCGAGGAATGTAGCCAAATCCATGATATCGAATGCCTCAATTTCTTCGAATACATCTGGCTCTTCTACGCCCATCATATACACGTCGGCATGAGATGAAGTTGGACGTATTCTGTCCACGTCAGCGAGGAGGAGGTCGTTAACTTTAGGGGGCGGTAAATAGCGTCCAAGGACGTTGAGACCGGGGTGTGCAAGGAGGAGTACAACGTGATCTCCGCCACTGGGCGGTATCTTGAGGTAGTCTATCATACGCAGAGTGACAGCATGCCCGTCTGGCGACGCCGCAACCTTGGACAATCTGTTTCATGCCGTTTAATGAGGTCTAACAATGGGGCAAAGCTCAAGAAACGCACATATGGGCTTCCCGCTCCAGACACATGGAACCATTCGAGTGGGCCGGTGATATCTTCGCAATGATACTTGATCCATCCTTGAGACTGCTTCCCTCAGCGAGGAGCGTCATGCTTCCTGTGTCCTCCCATGGCGTAGCCTGAATGAGCTGTAAACTGCGTGCGTTCCGTAAGTGAGGAGTTTAGATCCCAGACCTTCTCGAAAGTGTAGCCAGGAATTGAAAGGACATTGTCACGAAAGTAAAGCGTAGGAAGAGTGGTTGCGAACTTCCTCTTCATGGATCCCGAGCCAGAGCCAGAGGGGTAAGAGGGAACCTAGGAAGTAAAGCAAAGCGGCGGAACGATATGCACACTGTAAGTAACTTTCAAAGCTATTTGACCTTGTGTACCGTGGCAAACAACCGCCGTCATTGTCTCATTGTCAAGCATCAACTCATGATCAGGAATGCCCAAGTGTAAAATTTTCAAAGGTTAACAATCGATGTACGAGTACACAAATCAGCAATAGCAATATAGAAACACGGATATCAGTCTCCTCAAGACGTCACTACACCAGGAATCAGCCAATGCCATGACAGAAATAAGAAAACACATACTGTAGCTCGCAGGATCGATGTGATCCGGCAGTTCTGGTACAGCGACTGTGAATCGCGATTGGATCGCAGCCATGACTTGTTGATCACTATCGGAAGTCACAAATGTAATTGCAAGACCCTTTGTTCCGAACCGGCCAGCACGGCTGTGAAAGGTGTCAGCGACCCCATGAGGAGAGCAGGGTTCAAAAGCCTCACCCAACACGATGCAAGTAACTGTCAGCATCAGGAGGACAGTCATAGTTGATCACGATATTGACACGCTCAACATCGATACCACGGCCGAAGATATCAGTGGCAACTAGTATACGCTTCTCGAACGCCTTGAACGCAGTGTACCGACTGATACTAAAGTAGAAAAATAGTTCAATGCTGGATAATGAATGAGCACCTAAAAGTTGCCTACCGTTCGTCTTGCTGCAGACCTGAATGAATAGCGATACTAGGGAAGTTGCAAGAAACAAGCAATTTGTCCAGCTCAATGGCACGAGCAACAGACTTGACGAAAATGACAACCTTGATGAATGTTAGACGTTTCGAGCTACCTCACTTCATGGCAACATACCTGATTGAATTCCAAGTTATCCAATAGGTCGTTTAACTTCCTGTTTTTCCCACTCTCATCCAACTTCACGTAATGCTGTTGCAGACCGTGCAGCGTGAGCTTCGTTTCGTCGTCTACAAAGATCTCTAGAGGCTACATACTTCATTATTTCAGGAACGCAAATAATGTTGTTGATCACTTACATTGGCCATGAATTTCTTGCATGTTACACGGATGTCTTTCGCGAGAGTGGCGCTGAACATCATGACTTGTTTGTGGTGAGGGGTCATCCGGAAGATTTCTTGGACGTCGCGGCGCATGTCTATTGGGAGGTGGTCGTTATCAGATATTTGCTTCGACACGGATTGGGGCAAGCAGAAAATAAAACAAGCAAAACGACAGGTGGGATAATCGTGGAAAACGGAACGTAAAAGTCGAATCCCTGAGCGAATTCGGTCGCGGTCTTCCTCGGTTGTTTTCCGATACGCAGACTTGCTTCGGTGGTCTCCAGGTCCCGCCAAAACAGCCTCGTTGTTGAAGTTTGTCGGAATGGACTCCCAACCCCAATCAGAACACACCCCTCTCCCGTGCAGACTGGTGTCCAACCAAAGAGATCCGCAGCCAGTGGTCGCTCAAACAGGCGTAACAATCGAGCAATCATGTCGTCGGACGAAGAGCCATGAACTTAAATGGTGGAGGGTATTGGACAGGGTCGAAATCGCATGACTAACCAAGCTGTTCCAGCATTTTGTCACACTCGTCCAGGACGAAGTGCTTCACGTTTTTGGCGTCCAAAACTTTGTCTCTGGCGAGGGCATTGAGACGACCAGGGGTGGCGACGACGATGTGAGGACATTTTGTCTTGTCGCGGAGGAGATCGGCATCCTTTGAAACCGGTGTGCCGCCAAAGAAGGTGCTGACACGAACATCTGGCATGTACTTGGCGAAGCGAGTGTACTCATTCTTAATCTGGAAGGCCAGTTCACGAGTATGACAGAGGACGAGAACGGAAACTTCGCCGTTGACTGGTTCGAGTTGCTGGAGCGTGGCCAAGACGAAAACAGCCGTCTTTCCATGTCCAGATTTGGCCTGGCACAAGACGTCCATTCCGAGGACAGCTTGAGGGATACATTCTTGCTGGACTAAGTAAACGCGTTTAAATCATCGTTCTGATCAAGATAGGTTGCGACAAACCTTCAGAGGGATGTTCAAAACCAAGGTCACTGATAGCGCGGAGAAGCTCAGGTTTCAGGAGGAAGTCCCTTTGAACAAACGATATATACGCGTTTTACACCAACTCAAAAAGATGAGAGTACCTGAACCCCGTTGAATGGATCCCAGAGAAATTCTTCTTCTCTTTACCCTCGCCATCTGTTGCTCCAGCCCCGTTTGTGGCGGAACCAGAACCAGCACCGTTGGTGACGATATCGTGCTCATCCTCGTAGTCAATTAGATCCTCGTTGTCGTTGGCGCTCATTTTGCAAAGAAGTGGGGAGTGGATGAGTTGAACGGGACACAGAAAAGAAGAAAGAGTGAAGGTTGTGGAGGCACGAGTCAAAAAGCGCTGAGCCTGTGGCGTGGTTCAAATTGGCGACCGCGACGGGCGCACGGACCAGTTACGTGATCGTGCGAGCTAGATCACCTACCTTTGAACTTGAAATCCACAACGGCCAGAGCTAGGAGCATTCATCAATACATATGCAGGCTGATATATGCTAATAGACACTGTTTCTAATCTATCCCAATGCCTCAATCGCTCTAGCGAGAATGTGCTCTGATCCCGAATACCTGCGTAAAAATTCTAAAGGCTTGGTCCACAATTCCGTATGGCCGAAGGCATGTTTCTTCAAGAATGCTGCAGCGAGCGCAGTGGCCCATACTACGGGCTCAACACCTTGTCCTCTAGCGTCATTCACTGCCTCTTCTCCCACGATTTGGCGGAGCTGCTCGCTCGAGAAAGAGCCATCAAAGGATTGTACGTGAATCAAGTTTACGACTTCGGTCTTGAGTTGTGACGTTGGTGGAACCGGGGCTGAGGCCGGAGGGGGCTGAACCTGTGTAGAAGCGTCGAATGCCGGAGAAGGACTACGTTGCATGCGTTTATCTGCCTCAGATAAAGGAGGGGGTGTAGAAGGTCGACTTTCGCTCCAGTCGCTCGAGATCCAATCGGAGCGCGACTCCAATGAACTCATGGTTGAGAAAGTCTGGTAAGACTCGTAGCCATCGTCGTGGTCTCCATGTCCATCCTCGTTCTGGTGTTGAGGCGGCTGATCCGGAGAGATCCCCTGTCCAGCGGATAGAAGGGATAGGGGAATAAAAGACCATCTTCTGAACATATCACTGAAAATCGATGTGATGGTCCTCTTGGGCTGCAAATCTCCTGTCGGGATATGAGCAGCTGCGTTCACCGTCGTATTGTGTCTATGGCTTGTCTGGGGGAACCCCTTCGTTCGTATTGGTTGCTCGAACTTGTCCACATCCCCGTCTTGGACTGCGACGAAGGACGTATAGCGGCTCGCAATGTGATACTTCTCGCCTAGCCTGATTATAGCCGCCTTTCGTAAAGCATCGTGAGGTACACCAGGAGTCTCTGATAAAGGAAGTGGTGCACGTCCTTCGATGTGATCCTGCACTAACTTGCGAGCAGCGAGGGTATGAATTGGTGGCTGACCTGGGTCAGCATCTGCAATCTGCGCAACGCGTACGGGGACAACCATCTCGAACGGTTCCCCCGTGTCACTGAGTCGACCCTCGATCCGGACCGTATCCGGGATGGAGATACTTTCTACAGTGAGGATAGCGGTTATGCTGATCCTCGTACCAGCGTGCAAATTCTCGATGGTTGGAGGCGATTGTTGCAATGTCGGAGGGGCACGGAGTTGGACCATTCCCTTGAGGTCGTCGGATGCAAATTTGACAGTAGGCGAGCGTAGACCTTCGGGAGGAATGCCCCAATCGACCGTGACATCTTCAATAAACTGGGTTCGTCCGGCCTGAAAGAGGCGTGCACACCTCCCATAGATGTCTTCGTTATGTGTCGCGAATAAGCAAACCCCGTTGCCTGCACGGGCAATTCCTTCACAAAGAGCACTAGATACACCATCGCCTATGCCCAGCGTAAATACGCGCAGGGGAGCTTGAGTCGTTGCTGCATGCACTGCGTCTCCGACGTCTTGAATCACTATCTGCGTATTGTGGACCTAATGGTAGAATTAGGGCAAGCAGTGAAAATGAACGACGTTGAAACTTACCTCTCCATCAGTGAGCACGAAGACTGCGGTAGGCATTGTCCGGTTACGGGTCTGGAACACTTCTTTGAGAGCCGAACGAATTTCCGTGCCCCCAAAGGACGCATCCATGCCACGTACTTCGGTGACCTGACAAGCCAACGAACGTCAAGTGACAATCGATCTTGAAATGTGTGAAGTGGGTGCTCACTGCCGTGGTCATCGTTGCTTGATCATATGTCAAACTCTGAGGATAAGATCTACGCACTGTACTCCCAAAGCTATACAGGTTGAACTGCGTGCCCTGAGCAGGGAGGAGTTTTAAAAGCGTGACAAGTGTCTCTTTCGCTGTCTCCACGCGGTTACCAGTCATGCTCCCACTTCGATCAATCAAGAATAGGTACTCTTGGCAAGGCAACGGAGGTAACATGGACTTTGGTACCATTGTGAGATGGAAAGCGATCGTATCTGAGCCCAGCCTGGACGTTTTCCTAGCCACCTCTACGAAACAGCGGGGAGCGCCAAGTCCTTCTGCGTGAATAATGAGTAGAAAGTCCTTGCTGAGATACATCTTGGATCTGTATGTCACAGTCGTTCTGCGTCGGGATGTGCGGTTTCGATGTGTCGGGTATCTTTTTTCTTTGATATCATGTCCGTGACTAGGGCTAATAACGCTGTGGAGGCGACCTGACGTTTGGATGTCAATGCTGATGCGAATGCGGGTAGATGTGGAAGTTCCAGCCGCATCGTTAAGGGCGGCGGGTGGCGTCCCATAACGGTCGCCGACATGTTGAGGAAGTTGGAAGCGGATTTCATCGACATTGTCATCATTCAGCAGGGTCATCACATACTGTTCCTAAGTGAGTATTTATGATACTTTGAGCCGCCTCAAGGTCACTTACGACGACCTTGACTTCTATACGTTCTTGGGCAGGGATAGACCCCACGGAGATGGTGAAGACTGGTGAGGCGTCGGGTAAGTGCGACATTGCGAGATATTCCAAAGGAGAAACTGACCATCATCAGTCACTGTTTCGAGTAGGCCCGTAAACTTCCCATCACGGATAGCACGCTCATGTCTCTCCGCCGCTAGGTCTTTGTCCATGCATTTACTAACGATAACTGTGCCATCTGATTTACGCGCTTCGAACGCACATATAGCTGCGCTTGCTGGGACAGGGAACAGATATTTCGCTCGACTCGTAGCGGTGTCGGATGGGTTCGAATAGACTTGGTCAATTGTGACCTTCGCGGAAACTGTTCCATCATGGAAGTTAGTGATAACGTTGAGCGAGAGTTCTTTCAAGCTCACCGTCGAGGAGAAGGGCGTGAACACGGACTTCTTCGAGGGGGAGGTAAACCTTAGTTCCGTCTGTACGGCCAGCATTATGCACGATACCACTGTAGCGATCCATGTCGGGAATCGAATGGTTTGGTCGCGGGGAGGCATCTCTTTATATGCATGCCTCGTGTAGAAAAACAGCATTGCACTGCCAGGTGAGGTACTTGAGCTTGAGGTATCAAAGGACGCCATACTTGGGATGCTGTAGGTCAAGAATGACAAGAATATCAGAATTAAGCTAAAGAACATCACCAGCGACCAAATACAGATACTTTGCGCATCGCCGCAGCAGAAGGAGTCGCCTTCTTGCCTCGAGCAGTGAATCACCCCAGGAATCAATGCGGCGTGGGTCCACGATATACAATGCTGGCCTGTTACAACGACCTTGTTGTACGTAGTCCTAGGACAAGCGAAGTTCAGCGGCCCGACAAGCATTATTGATCTTATCTGATAGTAGTGCCTAATCAACCGATCACACCAACGAAAGCGTAGTCCACATTCTTCTTCTTGAACTGCCGAGTTGGCGCCGTCTATGGGCTGAGACGTAGTCATCCTGAATACATTATGGAAATATGACCATCTCGTATACCTATTGGCTGTTACTTTATGCCGATCGCTGTCTTCATCCCCAGAACCGTTCGTGACGGTAGATGCCACAGCTTCAGTTGCTATTCGGACTCCTCGTACGTTGTCCCAAGACTCTGACCTAAGATATGTTCTGACCTTCAGTTGTACCGTATATATGTTTTTCTATCCTTCTCAAGGAACATGTATTATCCAACGGACCGTCTACGTGGTCATAACATCACCCGCAACAGACCGCGTCGTCGCTCCGCGCGGTGGGGAAAACAGATAAGCGTGTGGCGACACATGTCGCGCGGGAATATGACTTCTCTCATGATCCATGATATCACCGATGGGATGTGATTTGCAAAAACTGAACAGAATTCCACGCGCTTTTCCCGGTCCGCACAGATATTGTGCTTCTCAACGCTACATTTGAATTGGATATCGCTGCTGGTTAGAGACCCTCGTGACTCTTATTCACCACCCCCGCCAAGCTCGTCGCTGGTATCAACCGGAGTCCTTCCATCTTCGTTCCGGTGGCACCAGACACTTCTACCGACCCCGCGCACGCATATAAAGTATGTGCTTAAGTCTGACCTTGTACGTCCCTCAGCTACATGATGGTTCTCTCCTCTTATGTGCTGTTAGCTGTCGCATCTCTCTTACCGTTGGCGCACTCGGCTGTCATCGTTCCTGGTGCTACTTGGACGGATACCAGTGGCAACGTTATTCAAGCCCACGGAGGCGGATTCCTTAAGGTTGGCTCAACCTGGTACTGGCACGGGGAAGACAAGGCCCACAACAGTGCTCTATTCAGAGCTGTTTCGTGCTACACGGTACCATACTCCCTACTAACCCGGCTTTAGATCAAACCTCACTGATTGTCAACAGTCCAGCGATCTCGTCAACTGGTCCAGACAAAATGACGCTCTCACACCCGTCAGCGGGACCATGATATCCACCTCCAACATCGTGGAACGTCCCAAAGGTAAAGACAACCCTTTGTGAGGCGTGGAACTTTCTGACAAGTACTTGGAAGTTATTTTCAATCAGAAGGTTTGGACCATGTAGCTGAACATTTTTAACGAGTTGACCGAGACTGAGTTACCACCAGAACAATGAATATGTAATGTGGTTTCATTCGGATTCTTCCAAGTGATCAACATTCTTCCATGACGGTTGACCACCGCTTAATCCCTTATCTCTAGCTATGGAGCCGCACAAGTCGGTGTAGCGACAGCAAAGTCGCCCTGCGGCCCGTTCACTTTTCGTTCCAGTTTCAAGCCTCTCGGAGCTGAATCCCGAGACATGGGGTTATTCCAAGACGGTACGTTCTTTATCATCAGTTCCATTCTTTCGCTACTTATCCAACTTGTTAATAGATGATAGTGGGTGTGGAATCCGCACCTATACTTCATGATCTTATTCTATGGACATCAGGCGCTCGTACAGCATATCTTTTGTACGCATCAGACAACAACCAGAACTTCAAGATCTCTAGGTTGGACGCGGATTATTACAACATCGCCGCTCAGGTGAACACCATTCCAGGATCCACTCTCGAGGCACCTGGTATTATCAAACGCAACGGTGTATATTATCTGTTCGCCTCTCACACGTCTGGATGGGATCCCAATCCTAACAAGTTCTTCACCGCTAATGTCAGCTACGAAATCCCTATCAACGCACGAATCAGCTAACACCTAGGTTAGTCACTTTCTGGAACGTGGTCCTCTCAAGCGGATATCGGCCCGCAAGCCGTTCGCACATACTTCTCCCAGAATACATTTGATCTACCACTGGGTCAAAATGGTATATACATGGGCGATCGCTGGCGCCCTTCTTTGCTTGGCAGCAGTCGATACATCTGGCTACCACTCACTTGGGCGAGTGGGAAGCCTCAGCTCGTGCAAGCAGACGTCTGGAGTTTGGACTTGAATGCGGGTAAGTATACGTTTCAACGACATGTTGGTCTTACCTTACTGATAAGTAATAACCTAGGGACATATTCAGTTGCCTCTGGAACCTCTTACGAGGCTGAGAACGGGGCCATCAGCGGTTCCGCGAGTATTCTTTCAAGCAGCTCGTTCTCCGGCGGACGTGCAGTCGGATGGCTAGGTAAATTTCTAGCTCGATGATATATTGTGATATCTGACACTTAGAACGAAAGGGAACGGAGGGTCTATCACCATCAACAATGTTCAGGGCATTGGTGCGAACCAATGGGTTGCACTTTACTACGCAAATGGTAAGTGCACTCTTTCCCCCACAGGACACAATCCTTACTCGGCTGTCCAACCAGGTGACTCTAGCTGGCGCAACACCACCGTGAGGTGAATAAATTGTGTAGTGTGCCTTTCGCTGTACTAACATGACTTGCCAGCGTCAACGGAGGCGCTGCAGGTACGTGGAGTCATCTAATTCCGGAGTGCTGGCCGCCTACTGATACGTTGAAATCTGCAGTATCGGTTGACCAGCCAAACACGGGTGGTGGTAACGTCATCTTGTCTGTCCCCGTCAAGCTTAACCTTCGCAGCGGTGCGAATTCGATTACGTTCAGCGCCGGACAAAGCAGTAAGTATCAAACCGTGGCTCGTTCTCTACGATTGACCCATCGATTTCGTGATACGCAGACTACGCTGCTGACTTGGACAAGATCATTGTCTACACTCAGACGTGAACGATCCGCCCAGACCACGAAAGTGTTATAAAAGGGATCTATCTGGATATGGCCAGCACGGTTGGAAGGCTGATCGATGATCAATCATTTCTTTCCATGTACATTGTAATATTAATACGATGTGATATCTAAGCCACTACAGATTGGGCTGATGAGTGAACAAAGTGTGCGTGGTATGTAGGTATGGATATACTCTGCGAAATCTAGAGATCGAAATCTATAAAGTTATGTAAAGCAAGACAACAGGAGACAAAAGGCGGTCGAGTTATAACATTTTCTTCCAGCCCGCTTTCAGTTGCTAAAAGACATCTGTCATTGACCAGAGAATGGGCGCTGAGGTGATAATGCTGACCTCGAAGAAGACGAATAGGAGGACAGTGTTCGGGCCTAATCGGATAAACGCTGGAGTCCAGCCCTTGAACAAAAACCGTGGTCCTTCTTCATGAAGGGATGTCTTCAGAACCTCTAAGAAAGTCGCATTGCCGGACTGATAAATAGGTGTTAGCTTGGTAAGAGCATCTCCAATATCGGTAGACGAACAGCAGCCATAAGTCGTGACCGAAGTACGTCCGCAGGCGAGCAGACGGCTGCAGTCGACTCGTGTCAACTTCCTCAATCATAGTTTAATAGAAGGCTCACTGGTCGCTACCGTACCAGCAAGGCAGCTGGCTACGGAATGCAAAAGCAGTCCATCGTGAAACTGGTAGTCGAGCATCGGGATAGGTCGACTCAACAACGTGCTCTTGAAATAATCATACCTGAAAATGCTCTGGGTGGCATACCAGTAAAATAGAATGCTGAGTCTGCTTACGATCCAACTTGGGATGCCTGGTTATATGTTGTTCAGGGGTAGGCTGGGACAAGATAATCATCTGACTTACAGTCATCAATGTAGCTCTTGCCACATTGGTACCGAGACCTCTTCCCAAACCCTTGATACCCTCTTCTTTTACAAGTGTCACTAGACCCGTGAGTGCGTTTGAATAGCCATACCGTTGCTCAGGCGGTCTGACGGAGTCGCTCGTCATTCGGACTAATACTATGTCTGGATGGGGTGGAATAAGAAGCGTCGATCAGCAAGCAATACCAACGTACCGGCTGGGTTCCCTGCGATGCCTCCGAGTGCACCCGCTAAACACCCCGCGGCGAGAAGCTGTGGTGTCGAAGGCTTGCCGCGTTGGGAGATGCGACGTTTCATTTCCTCATAGCTCCCAAGACGAACGAGAGAGTAGGTCATCTGTCTCAAGAGAGAAGCCGACAGACCGGTGTAGAGGCTTCGGATACCGGATTTCTTAATAGATGTCCGAAGCACCACGAGTGCGGAGGGATGTTTGGTTCCTGTAGAATCCAGAGTCTGCATTCGACTAGATCAGGCAGGATTTAAGGTGGAGAAGTGGTCACAGAGTACGAAGAACCTACACTTTAGTCAGATCCAGTGGGTGTGTGCAACTGGCAGCCACTATCGCGGTAAATGAGCATCCTCTTTAGGCAACGGACATAGTGTGCATACTTGAAGCCGCCACGCCTAGTAGCATGGTAGTCGGGTTAGGTCAGGTTCTTTTCCCGTAATATTGAGCGCGTGCTAACCTCCAAACCTACATAAGGACAACCATGAGGAGAAGAACACTGCAGAGAAAATTTGTCACTCACCAGAAAGGAACATTGCCACCCATTGCCTTCGACTACGCGCAGGAGCACGATTGGAGTCTGGCAGAGCTATGTTATGGGGGTAGATGGGAGTCGTGAGCAGGTTGGCCAGCCTCTGCGATGCGCGTAAGTATTCGGCACGTTGGTGAGCGACAAATGCCAGTGACTGGCGGCAATTTGCGGACCGGAAGGGTCGCGGAACCATCGGCACCATAAATCCGTGGACATGCTCCACACATCGCAGGCATGTACTTTCCAGTTCGACGCGACTGCGGAATATTGAAATTCAAGTCAAATACGTGATTCCGAGTCTGGTTCTAACTTAGTCTTCTGCAGATGCCACGGCTGGCCTTGAGGCTTCCCATGAGGCCTGTTCAGCGCCTCGGCGCCTTGTACAGCTACGATGTAGGCCCCTTCTCATAAAAACAGCCCAGAGCATCAGATGTGAAGGTGAGTGAACCCCAAAATACGGTTGATCTGGTTCTCTATTCTACTGTCTTGCAGGTGCACTGCTGCTTCCCTCATGAATTTCACAATCGACGACACGTACGGGGATCCGACGACCAACCGAAACATCACATACTTTCCTAAGGGTGCTTGGAGAGACGGAGTGAAGTGTAGAAATTGCACCGCACATCTAGAGGCAAGTAATGTATACAACGTGAGTTTCAATCGTGTAATCGATCGCACTAGAGCTTCGAAACTGACTACGAGTTAGAGATCTTGGACTGAGTCTCTCTTTGACCCATTGGCTGATTGTGGTGATGATGCTACAATCATACCGTCCGCCTCGGTCGTTTTCAATGGTTCGTATCTGGTTCGATCTTCCCATCCCTCATCTTACTTAGTACCTACGAAGGGACGGCGGTGTACGTCTTGTGTGCAATCGCCCAGCTCGGCTGGAGTCATACTACGAATTCCAACATGACGTTCCTTCTCGATGGACAAGTTTCCGGTTTTTTTTCTCGTGCTTCTTCAGGGCCTGCGGGCTATGAATACAACGTAACTGTATTTTCTCAAACAAACCTAATGCCCGGCGCACACAACCTTACCATACAAAATGGGCACGTCAATGGCACTCGCTCTCTAGTTTTACTGGACGCGGTCTTATATACGTGGGCTCATGGTTGCTCATACTTCGTCCGCGTGTATTCACTGCCTTCTTTAGACAAGATATTGGACAACCCATCGCGGGTCCACCTGGACTAACACCACCTAACGTGATACCACCTAGTACAACGCCAACGCCTCCCAGCAGAACTCCAACAATAGTAGGAGGCGTTCTAGGAGGTGTTGGTGCTCTGCTTTTGCTAGCTATCACTATGTTCCTCTGGCGCTACTATCGCCGCCGCCATCTCGTCGCAGGACCTAGGGTCAGCCGCGACAAAACGACGTGGCAACGGAATATCCCAATCCCAATAACAGGACACAGCTTGTTCCAGACATCATCCCCTTGCACGCCGTTTCTCGCCACTAGCTCGAACCACACCGCCGCTCATCCGGCCGCTGACACTACTGTTGCTACATTACCCCTCAGTCCGCCATTGCCGAAACATTCTCCATCAATATCTCGATCCGGCATACTTATAATGAGCACAGACTTTCTAAATGATCAGACAACTCCAAATAGTGTTGGTCCTGCGTATAGAACGGGGTTGCTCTCAGATGGACGTCCGCCCCCTAGACGTGCCTCTATATCGTTGCCGAGAATAACCTCTGATCAATCTCCTGCTTCAGTGCCGCGAGCCGACGTTCATCCGGAGGTCGACTCAGGCGTCAGTGCACCACTGGGGAGACGCCCAAGATCGGTATCCCACTCTGGCGTACCCGTGTCACGAACTCCCTATCAAAGTGATATGACGCCTCTCAATGCTGTAGGCCCAGGACCTACACCCATGATTGCCGGGGTCTTCTCAGATAGTTATCCTCCTACTAGACATGCCTCTATCTCCTCTCCGCAGCCTATTGCCACAACGCGACCCCTCAACTACGCCAAGAAAATTCCCCGGATTACTCCTGCGATGTCGACGTCGCCCAACCCACCCGAGACGAGCATATTGGGTAGTAGGGTAAGAGAGCCACGACCTTCAGCTACGGCCCACTTGCCCAATCACGTTGCCGACATCCATGGTCGGCCAACAGCCAGAAGTTTGGTGGCTCAAGATATTCCCCGCAGACTCCATGTCCCACCCAAAACCTCTCCCCCACAAGCTGTCGTATGGCCACGATCCACACATAGTCGCCTCCCCGTCAGCCAGGTTGTGTTTAGTGAAGATCTTCAAACCAACTCATTCGCGTGGCTCCCTCTGATCGACGCCCAGATAAATGCTATGGTTTTAGACGGTAAGGTGCCATTCTGAACTAGCTGTGCGAGGTGATCGACGTTTGCCTTTTGTAGTTTCCTCACGAGTATCTATCACTCAAAGCTACTGCAACGAGACTTCATCAGGTACGGGTCCAGCAAAGTTTATGTTCTCGGTTCCGCAAAATGCGACTATATGTGCCTTCGAAACACGAAAAAGCAATGGCGAAGTTACCACTTGGAAATCCCAGGCCTCGGAAGAGGGTCCCCACGAACACAGAATTGAAGGCCAAAATAGTTAGTTTTTAGCGTCCTTTCTCCACGTATATTAATCAGTTTTGTCCAGCATTTATCATGCCTGTTGGATCAATACCTTCTAACGGAACCATCGAAGTCAAATTAAACGTACGTTGATATTCCATTGGTTCCAACCCTATCGCTACTCAGTGCATCCAGTATGTCGAGTCTCTCTTTAGTGATAACATTGCGAATCTCGATGATATTCGATTCATCATCCCTGAGCATGTTGGAAAACCTTCTAGCTCTCATAGGCATTCCACCCAAGCTGAAGGAAGGCAAGCTGAAGGAAGGCCTATTCTCCGCATTCGCGTTGACATTCAAACGGCCGGCCACCTCATTCAAGTTATCAGCCCCAGCCACAGATTGGAGACAAGCGAACAACCATATACCGCCAGCGATCAAGATAACACTTTCTGCCGTCAAAGGACAAGAATCGTATTTGAGTCCACAAAATCCCTCAGCAAGGATTTTGTATTGGACATTCAAGCCGAAGGGCTGGATGCGCCGCGCTGCTTTGCAGAACCCTTGGTCAGAGACGAGCACTCCCACCGTGGTATGGACACGGTCGCGTTTTGCCTAACTGTGGTGCCGAAATCTGTTATCCCGCGCCTGCCGTCGCAAGAATACTTGTTTGTCATCGACCGTAGCACCAGCATGCGTGGATCTCGCATTGAGACAGCAAAAGAGACTTTGTGCAAGTTATTGCGGTCTCTTCCGACCGAAGGGACAAAGTTCAACGTACTCTCCTTCGCCCAACACGTTGATCAGCATCGCCCGCAGAGCGTTGTCTTTAAGCCACAGGCATTGTCTAACGCAGTAAGCATCCGATTGCGCTGTTACTGGTACCTTTTATAACTACTGGAAACCGGCAGCTCACGTATGTGCGAGGTTTGACCACCTATCAGAGTGGTACGAACATCCGAGGCGCGCTTCAAGCTGCGTTCAGACGCGCAAACAGAGCTATGCCAACGTCAATATTTCTCCTTACGGATGGGGAGGTATGCTATGATGTGTCCATGCGTTGATCTCAATGTCACTAAGTCCTACAGGCTAAGGTTGCGGACAGGGAAGCGACACTCGAAGATGTGCGAATTGCAATGCAGGCAGCGCCTACGTCAGCCCCAATACGTGTCTTCACCCTTGGGATAGGTGTCACTGTAGCCAAGGACTTGTGCATGGCCATAGCGAAGACTGGTAACGGCGTCTGCCTATTGGCGCCCCACGCGGATGGTATATGGACTCAATGCACCCGCCTCTTCCACGCCGGTAGAGCTCCAATTATAACAGGCGTAACTATCAACTGGGGAATCCCCCTCGAGAACCTACAATCCAAGTCCCTAGCATGTAGCATGGCAAGCGTTCGACAGGATATTGCGGGAAGCGCTCTTCAGCAATCGCCTTCGTTGATATGCGATCTGCATGCTGGCTCGAGGTTCTGTGTATATGCCATCGTCTCCGTCAAGGAAATCTCCATCCCGCAAGGAGTCACCATCACAGGACAGCTAGGCGAACACGGCGAACACTTCGAAGTCGTAGTCCCCGTTCATATTTCGGGCCTGGAAGATACGGACCCAGGAACCCCACCCATACACACATTGGCCGCGCGGGAATTGATTCGCGAGTACGACGAGCAGCCAATGCGTAACAAAGATAGCATTACACAGTTAGGGGGGATGTACACCATTGAAAGCCGGCACACTTCCTTCGTCCCAACAGCTAAATTGAACATGGTCAACAAGGATACGGAGGAGGTCGCACTTCGGTGCTCTCGATCCAGCGTTGGAAGCTATGAAACCGCCGACACCGCATTCCCAGACACGCGCTCACCTTGGTTTGGACTAGTTGAGCTTCCTCCTGAGGCGTGAATTACTGTAGCACCGAACCTCACTCATTCTGGAGCCTTATATACGCGAGGAACCGTCGGACGTACCCAGGCAAACCATTTTCTTGACATGTTCCCATGGGTTCAATTTTGCAAAGTAGGAATATAATTCATAATTACCACATACGCCCATTCATCTTGTAACTGCATATACAATGCTCGCACCAAATAAGCCTTCTAGCTCCATTAACTCGCTCTTGAACGGAGGGTCTAGGAGTAGAAGAGGGGCGATAAAGGGGAGCTGGACTTAGGCGCTCATTTCTGTCCACTTCATTGAGCTGTCCACGATGTTCCGGTCACTCCGTCTTTGTTCCCGACCTCTTACCCACTACTCGCGACGGCGTATACACGTTGACACAACTGCATTCGAATCTAAATATGCAGAGAAATTACGCCAGCGCGCGTCGGAGTGAGTAATGAATCATAATTCAAGCTGGCGGGAAGCTGATGTTCGCCTTGCTATCTTTCACTATGCGCTGGAGGATAGACGCGGTCTGAGTGTATCTGAACTAAAGCTCAAGGCGAAGGAGAAGCAGGAAGCGGAGCGACTGCAGCTCAGGAAAAAGCTAGAAGAAGAACGCGCTGCCCAAAAATCGGCGCAGGGGTCGGGGTCGACCGCTTCTGCGAGTTCCTCAAAGACCTTGGGGGCGACTAAGCCCGGCAGCTCGGAACGAAAGGATAAATCTCCGATCAAGGTACGATATCCTTGGTTATAGGGAAACGAACGACGAAGCTGACATAGGGGATCATCCAGCCACTGAATTCATTCCTGAATTTGGAGAAGCTACTTTCGTCTCCTCATAAACCCGAGCAAATAGCCTCTCTATGGACTGCGTACCATGCATCACGGTCGGGGGGTACCGGCCGTGGCTATGTCTGTGCGTCGGTACCATTGGATCTGTACCAGAAAATGGCCGACGTAGGTTCTAGATACCCTTCGTTCGTTGTGCCAATACGCCGCCCTAGCACTGGAACAACCACAGAACCGGGAGCTGAGGACCAAAGCGCGTACGAGTTCTACTACCTCCAATGGGCTTTCCACGACGCTCCTCCCCATCCTGCCGTGGCCATCGACCCATTTGCCGGGAAACTCTCAGATGCCACGCCGCCTGCAAACCCCCCAATTTCAACGGTCCTCTTCACGCCGTTGCAAGAATACAAGCTTCGCCAGTCGTTTGCCACTCCGTACTTGATTGCCACGAATTATACGGACCTGGCTGGATCCCACGGGACTGTACTCCTTCGGGGTGAAGTCACGCCAGCTGGCTCTGGCTCGGGGAACTTCATGATCTCACAGGAAGATGCGCATCTGCTGCTAATGGCATTGCAGCGCTTCTACCTATGGGGAGGTGCGAGTGGCTCTCGGGAGAGCGAACCCCAACGCTTGCTCAAACTGTTTCATGAAAACCCAGAACAGTTCAAATGGGAGGATCTATTGAAAACGGTTGATTGGATGCCAGGCTCGCATTAATCTGCTCAGTATCTCATTCTTAATATAATTCATCTGCAATGATCATATGCGTTCTGAGGGCCGAATCTACACGTTGTACAACTACTAATGGGTGAACTGCGAAACGTACCATTCATACCGAGGCTATCATAGGAGCCTTTCTGACCCATTCCCTCCTCTCAATCTCGTCAACGACAAATGCAGCGTACGCAGCTCGAGACAAGAAAGTTCCAATGTTTGAGGCCCCAATGTAACCCGCAGCATATTCCTTCGATTCCCCCGACGTCAAGATAGCGACCCTCATTAGCGTCCACTCCAAGTCATCCTCTTTGCGAATCAATTCCCCCCATGCAACCACATCCTTGTAGGCGTTTCTTGCAAAGGTGGCGACGCCTGCCACGAGAGTGGAGAACTTGAGGCTGAATTTATCGGCGGGGTCTGCGTTCGACGCAGTCCCAAGAGCGAGAAGTCGCTTGATGGATTTCTTCTTCATCATACCAATGATTCGTTCGTACGCCTTAGCTAAGGGCGTTCCCGAAGGATGGAAGGGGCCTTTGGTCACGATTGGTCCCAATACTGAGACGACCACGTCGCTGCCTTCGAGCGCTTTGTCTAGTCCATCTTCATCATCCAATTCGCCTTTGATGACTATAACCTGAGGGTTGGTAGCTATGTCTTCAGGAAGCTTTTCGGGCGAGCGTGCGTAGATGACAACGGTTGGTGACTGCAGTTTGGCGAGGAGCTCGCGAACAATGAGGATGCCCGACGCTCCGGTGGCTCCGAAAACAAGAATCCGCATGACTGTGATGATCCGAGTTGGGACTTGAGATTGGACAGAAATAAGCTCGAAACCCAGCCTATATACGAGATAATGGTGAGTTGATCCTCTTTAGTCAGAAGCTCGACGGATCACATCAGCGCGCTTGCGCAATGCACGATTATTAGTGGGACACCACTGCAGAACAGGGTTGATATACTAATGAACACTATGTCAACTATCAGCCATTGCCCATGTTCTGTCTGAGGGTCAGAGTGTCGATGAACAGGTAGGAAGACTGAATGGCGTCTGACGTTCGGGTGGCGTCGCTGGCACACTATCAGTTTGACTACATGAACCCTCGCGGGGTATACGCCATGTGCTGGGACGGTGGTGGTCTGTAGTATTTACTCGCTTCTGTTGGAGCCATACACCTTCTTGAACGTCAATTTACAGAGCAGAGAGTGACTCCAATAGAACTCTTAAGTATAGGATGTCTCGGACGTTGTGGCTGTGCTGGCGCCTAACCTCCAACGCTTGTCAGTCAGTGTAACAATTCACGGATACAGCGACAACTGCCACGGTACATCAGCTTGCACCGACTGCGTGGATTCAATTACTCACAACTGACAAGGGCACACAACTTCGGACTCTCACTTGGAATTTGAACCAATTTTGAACATTGACGAACGCGTATCCCCGTCAAATTCAAGATTGAAAATTCCAACAATTCTACATTACCAAATCCAACTCGACCGCTCTACGCAACATAGACATATCGACCCCGTTTAACCCCTACTATCCCTCTTGATCTTCGAAATTCCTCTGGCTTCTGACGGCCGCCTGTCTCCTCACGATCTCACTCCAGCGGTATACTTGGTAACATCAAACTTGAACAGCGCCCGTCATGTAAGTATCACTTTGATCGCAGTTCGGTCCATTGTAATTGATGTCAAAGTCTTCTATAGCTCGTTGAACGTTCCATCGACCCTCACCGGATCTGGCCCAAATCAAAATGGCCCCCAATCAGAAGAGTCACCCAGGTATTTATTATGTCCCTTGCCCCGTTTATTTCAGAACGATGTGATACTGACATTGCCTCTAGAACCAGCATTTTATTCGTCTGATGCCGGTAGACCGGAAATCGACGAGTACGATCAGGACCTGGTTATCAGCGGAGAAGAACCACCTGAACCCGGTGCGACTGATAAACCAGTCCGCTTTCTCACCTACTTCTCGGTCTTCGATCCAAGACACCATTCCGAAATGGTGTCGATCGCGGAATTGGAGGAAGTAGACGCGACAAAAGACCGGGATTTCGTCGCTACTGGATTCGTTAGCGCCTTCGTGGAGGGGGATGATGAAGATGAAGGAGAGGACGAAGAGAAGGAGGCGGGAATGCCATTCGTGAGGCTGGGGTCCCTCTTCAGGTATTATCTTGATGCCGAAAACGAGTAAGTAGTCCGGAGTTTCAACACTATAACCCCCACTAACAAATATCTCAGCGCTGTTTGGCTAGAGACGGCGCAGGCATGGTATATTCTCCAGGAACCTTCACCTGGATATGGCCCTTTTTTTCAGCATTTCCGCCACTATACGGCCGCTCAGCCAGCAGGATCGTCTCCACCCCCCTCTCGTTCCGCGAAAGCTCGAGCTCTCAATATTGATTCTTTCGTACTGCTATCAGAGAATCAAACCCCCACTCATGTTACCCCTCTCATCGCACAACTAGCCGGAACTAGTTTTGGTGACGGCCTTGTCGTAATCGGTCCTCGGCTCCCGCCCCCGTCAAAGGAAGAAGAAGACTGGCGCCAAAGGAAGGAATTGGCTAAGGTCAGGTCTCTGATAAGAAAGGCACATCAGATTGATGAGCGACGGCGTAAGAAAAGCATGTACCGGATGGACAAGGACAATAGCTGGTTGAGTGCTATTGATCTTGACGGTGATTCATTCAAGGTAAGTGCCAATCAATAATTGGAGACAGATCAAATCACTGACATCCCTTTCAACAAGGTTGGCGATATTGTTCTTGTAGTACCAGGTGAAGGAAAAGAGGTGAAAACACTTCCATTACCACTGGATGTCCAGGATGTACCACTCGACGCAACTATTGCAACCTATTTCTGGTATGTTTTCAGTAATGATTCATTGTTTCTAACTCTATGCTAAGCAATCACTGTTTAGGTTTGCACGAATCATCTCCCTTAGTGCCGAAGATGACCTTGCACATCTTCGGTGGTTTGAACATGGTTCCTATACAGTCATGGAGGAATTTGCAAACCCCCAGCAATTGTACCTCAATGATTTGTGCAGCTCAGTTGACATTAACTGTCTGATTGAGACTGTCAATGTTCACTACCAGCCTTCCAGCCGAATACCACCACAGGATTATTTCTATAGGTCATACTGATTCTAATTCTTTTTGTATGCTGTTCTCACTGTTTTCTTCATAGTTCAAAATACCAACATGAGACAGCAACAGTTATTGCTGTTGATAACTTGGCTGAAGACACTGCAGCTGCACAACTACCACCTGAAAACTGTTTTGTGTGCATGATGGCAAGAGAGAAGGAAGATGGGAAGGAGATTCGACGCCTTGAAACACCACCTGGTGTTGCATACTTGGGGCATACATATCATGAAGGTGACTTCGTTGAAGTTCTTTCAGAAGGTCCATCTGGCCTCTGTGATATTGGGCAAGTTGTCAGCTTTTTCGAGAAAAGCAATCAAGTTTTTGCATGTATACGCTGCTTTGGGCGTATTTCCAGCCTTGTTCACATTCAAGATTTTCCACCGAACTATGTCAAGGATGAGGTAAGTCAATCCATAATTTTCTATCTTAACTTTGACAAACTGATTTGAGTTAGAAGGAACTTTTTGCCAGTGATGAGAAAAAGGATGTCTCTGTAACATCCTTCATTCAGCCATGTATTGTCCTTCCGCCACATGAAGGGTTTGCCATACTCAAGTGGCACGACTTCATCAGCAATTCCCCTCATCGCTTTTATGTCCGCTACTGCTTCTCATCCCTTCATCCTGCGTCATGGACAGAGGGCCAGATAGATAACTGGTGGGAACGTCGGGTATGTCCACAATGCCCAAATGATCTGGTACAGCTTGAGGGAGGAGCTGTGCGAAGTGACTTGTACTCCAATTTTGTGGATGCACAACTTCAAACTCAATTACGAACCTTGGATCTTTTTGGAGGATGTGGTGCATTCAGTGCTGGCATGACCCAGGGGGCCGCCTTCATTGAAGTGACACATGCAGTAGAGATTTCTCCAAGTGCAGCCCAAACATTCATGTAAGTTTATTTTATGTGATATGGTACTATCTCATCTCATTTCTTACTAGGGGACATTCCTCTGAAGTGAAGATGTACAACAATTGCGCCAATCTCATCTTACACTACTTCATCAAAGACAGTGAGGGGCATGGGTTGGAGACACCAACCCAGCTTTTTGATGGCAAAACACCAGTTCCTGCTCCTCTCAAGCCCGAAGATATTGACATGATGACCATTGGGTTTCCCTGGTATGTTGGTCATATTTCTTCAATTACAGTGTGTATTGATAGTTCCTACAGTCAGTCACATTCTGGGCTTAACAAGTTCAAGAAAGTGAATGACCCCCGAAGTAATTTGATTTTGACTGCATTGTCTTATATTGACTTTCTGCGGCCAAAATACTGTTACTTTGAAAATGTTCGGGGGTTTCTCCAGTTCAACATCAAAGCAGAGCAGGCAGGCAAGCACGCTGTAGCAGGTGGCATTGACATGGGTGGGCTCAAGTTTTTGCTTAGAGCATTGGATGAACTTGGGTGAGCAATTCATTCAGTTATTTTTGATGGAATCCAATGCTTAATTTTCAAATTGTCATAAAGATACCAATATCATTTTGCTTTACTTCAAGCAGCTCATTATGGAACACCACAGCAACGAGTCCGCTTCTTCATCATTGCTGCTCAAATGGGTAATCCTTTACCAGGCTTTCCTCAACCTTCTCATTATTTCCCTTCCAACGACTCTCTCACCATCAATTGTCCAATTGGAATCAAGATATCTCCAATTATACAAACTGTAGGCTCATATGTACATCCATTCGTCACTGTTGGTGATGCAATCTCTGATCTACCACGCTTTGACTGGTATGTCTTCATTTCTCTTTCTCTTCTAAAGAGCTTCTTAGACAAGGAATATAGGAAACACCCTGATCCTGACAAGATTACTGCTGAAGATCATGAACGAAGGCGGTTAGGTATTCCTGCCTTACCATGCTGGAAAACAGAGCCATGGTGTGGACCAACTGGACATGAAGCTGCCTACTTTCATCCTGCAAGGACCACATTCCAAGTTCAGTGTCGCCTCAATGAACCGTCAAACCTTCAGCAGTATACAAAGGTATTCATTCCAGCTACTGTTGCACGGTACGTTCATCATGGTCAAGGTTTCACCTCTCTCATTTCTAATGCCACTTAGAGTGATAAGTATACCATTATGGGCCAAAGCTGATTACCGAGGTAAGCATGCCTTTTACTCTGGCTTTCTGTGCTGCATTCTGGCTGGTATACCCTTGTAGATTTGCCTGTGGATATGCATGAATGGCAAACCTCAAATCCAGTATCAGCCATTGCAAAGAGTGGCTATAAAGCAGGTACTTAATTCAATTCAGCCTTGCCTGCAATCCTATAGTTCAAGGCACTATATTAATCTTACTCTAGGCTTATATGGCCGTTTAGATCAAGACAGATGGTTTTCCACAACCATAACAAACATCAATCCCACAGCAAAACAAAGCAAAGTGCTAAATCCCTATGTGAGGAGCTTATTTAACTCCTACTTGTTTGCAGATATTGACTCCTCTGTAAATACACTAGTGTAAGCGGATGGTCACTGTCCGGGAGCTCGCAAGATCCCAAGGATTTCCTGATGACTTTGAATTCCAGGCCATTGGCAATAACATCATCACTGTTAGCTATAACATGATATTTTGACTCACAAATACTGATATCTCCAATGTAGATGCACCGACAAATTGGCAATGCTGTTCCGTGGCCACTATCAAGAGCATTAGGGCAGGAGTTGGGCAAGGCACTGTATAACAAATGGCTTGCGGATAGACGAAATGCCATCATAGTATCCCTTGACTCTCCCTAGCAGTGTCTTAGAAAGCCATAATACTATACACAACAGCAAACTTGTATGTGGTATATAAAAAAGTGGAAACAGTTCAATAAGTTTATAACTTGTACAAGACTCCTTGCTTCACTCGCAAATTATATAAAATGCTACAATGATACTCCCAACACACTAATGAAGAATTACAACCACCAAAGAGAAACACGAATATTGAATCAATGGTGCTGTGAAGGCCAACTTTCATACACATCATCCATGTCACCAGTGTTGTCAACAGCCGATATCCACGAGCCGTCCGAATCCGCTGAGGGAGACCGCTCTGGTGGCAGTTCGGGGTTGTAATCTGTCCTAGGCGTCACCGCCGAAGGAGGCCGTGCCCCCATTGGGTGTGTTTCGGGAGGAGTCCTGTTGGTATCACCAACATGCTCGATGGCGGGGGCGGTATCCTGCAAACTTCGACGCTGAATAGATACTCGGTGCGGAGTAGGGGATGGAGGGGCGTCAACTGTCCTGGGGAACGCAATAGAACCTTGGGTAGCGGTGGAAGATGTGGATACGGCGGAGTCAATGCCCAAGGGAGCCGAAATACCTGCAGGCGGTGCCGTCGTCAATAATGAAGGTGTTGGCGTGACCTGCGACTGTGACTGCGTTGAAGGATTCCTTGAGTGTGTACGAGGCGGCCTAGCAGGCAAGGCAGGCGGCACATCGGCATTACTACCACCGTTCTCTCCGCGCCCACTGCGAGCGGAAGGATGTATGCTACCAGCGGGTCTATTAGGTACCTTTGGTGTAAAATCCTCCGAACCCGATGTATTCGTATTGGCTTTCTGAGGTGTCGAGAGAGGTTCTTCAACACGCGCTGTGCTTGTACTCGCTGTCTTTCGGTGAGATTTCTGTGGAGTCGAAGGGGCCAGTTGTGAAAGGACTCTCGTTGTCTTTGACCCGTACGCGATAGGTTCTGGATCACCAAGGGGGGTAGGAGGGAGGGGTGCATCGTTCACTGTATTCGGCGAGGGTTGTGAAGATGGAGTAGAAGTAGAAGGGTAGGGATTTGGTAATGAATCATATGGATCTTGGGTAACCGCAGCTGGGAGAGGCGGCATGAGATTCGCTGGCTCCATCCTCGGTGTGCGCGGTTGACTGTGTTCATCTGAGCATAATATATGCGCATGGGTGATCATGTCTTCCATGAGTGTATCCTGCGAACGGGTCAATATTGAGCCTCGAGGCAGGATGAATAGCCTACCTTCCAGGAAGACATGTCTAGCAGCATTTGTCCCATGGCTTTGCTGTCCATCGGTACGGTAGGTCCTCCCCCAGGTCCGTCGTCCTTGGACCCATCTCCAACCCCCATGTTCTCGTCCTCACCAAAGACCACTGCACCGAATACGATGGCGAGATTCTTTGGGCCCATCTTATTCTTCTCTTGCCTCGCCGCAACCCGAGCGAGATGTTCCAAGAGGGCCTTCAGTGTAGCCTGGTGCACAGGAGGAAGTCGCCTCAGTTTTGATCTCAGAAGGGGGAAGTTGTTTGATTTATGCGCGGCTGAAGGGGGAAAGAATGAAGAATAAGTAGCGTGAGGTTGGTCGGGTACGAACCAAGGGACTCAGTATGTTGAATGCGGTCTTGCAGAGGGAATTTGAAAAGAGGTTCAGGCAGCTCTCTCAGGTAGAGTTTGAGTAGCGAAGCAACCGCGTAGATATCGTCACGCGGATTCCTCTTGGCGAAGTCAAAGGAAGCTTCATCCTTCTCGATGGTATGTTGAAGCTTCGCGGAGTGTGTCAGAATGACAAATACACATGAATGGTCTCGACACTCACGTCCTTTATCACTGCTACTCGCCCGCTAACGCGGTATATACCCTCCATTTCCAATCCACGTTGATCCACCTCTTCAATACACATCCGAACAATCTTGGGCACTTCGCCATCACGTAAGCCCTTAGCCGTCGCGTAATCCGAAAGGCTGAAGCCAAACAGAAGGTCCTTGCATTCACCGACTTGACCATGCTAGAATAGAGTTCCATCAAATGTACACCGTGATGGTGTAAGGAAATACCTCGTAGAGAATCGGTTCGGGCACGATGTCTTCGATGGGAGGAATCCTTGTAGCTATTCGTTTGACATCTGTCTCTGGGGACACCTTGTCGACAACCATTCGCAAATGGGTGTACAACTGAGTCTGAGTGGTAGTTGTGGCGCTGGAAGAAGTGAGTTGACGGCGCGAGACAATTGTAGATGCCTTACATGACATTGTCCGCGTAGCGGCCAAGTACGTTCTTCACGATCTGCGCTTCTTCTTCCACAAAAGTGATCAGGCTCTGGTATCCTGCTTCCATCGTCTTTTGCTTTCGTAGCCTCAGCGTTTCGAGCCAATGGACGCCCTTGCGATATTCTCTATCAGCCTCTTCGGCTTCGCGCTTCGCTTTGACTAACTTCAAAGCCCCTGCTTCAGAAGAGACATTCATGGAGCGGACAGCGGTTAGTCCGTCTTTGAGTGTGTCTTTAAACTGGTCCTTGAAATTGACTTCTTCGCCTTTGTTGGAGCCTTTCATCGATTTATCGCGATCGAGAAATGTGATGAAGTGCCCAAGCTGTTTTTTGCCTTGTTGGGCGAGATCTGCAAAGGGAGTAGACGTACTTGGAGATCTATTGCGAGGCCCGCCCGCGCTTGGTCGTGTGGAACCCGAGGGGCGTCTATCTAGAGCACGGAGGGGCTGGGGTGAGGTGACTGTCGGACGACCGCCGTTGGCTGCGAAGGATTGCTGAGGTAGTGATGTAGTGGGGGACACAGGGAAGGAACCAGTATACGCAGGGGCGGTTGTTGGAGGAACGACGCTCAGATTTGCATAGGGATTCGACAAACCTTGCCCGTTCAGATTCCCAGGTTTCCGACCGTCCCCTCGAATTTCTTCAACTTCTGCGAATCGCTTCACGTATCGTCCTCTGAGCTTCGGTAAAACATTCTCCGCGTATTCTTGGTACTTGATCGACGAGTCCTTGAGATCTTCTTTAATCCGCTTTCGTGTTCGCTCTTGAGATTCCCTCAGAGAGACAAGTGGATTGAGACAGTCTATGTTCAAGGTATTCAGAAAGGCATGTCGAGTTTGCGCTTCGCGCTCGACACTATCTCGAGCCTCCGACCATGCTGAACGCGCCGTGGTCAACTGGTCGTGATATACTGAATGAGACTGTGGGGACACAGGAGAGTTGGGGGACCGATCATCGAGGAACGCATCAAGTGATTTCGCCTTCCTATGCAGTCTCATAAGAGAGTCGACGCTAAACCACGAGTTAGCCAGCTTGCGCACAATCGCAGCGTTGCGTGTAGCACCCACTAAGCTTCTTCGATACGTTTGCTTCATAGCTGAGATCAACGCCGGCATTTTGATAAGTTCAATAGAGACACACCGTTCTAGGAAGAAAGCGACATATGAATCTGCAAGAAATTTCAAGTGCAGATCGAAGAGCGGTATTGGTCCTTGATTATTTGTTAATGGGGCATGCGAATCAGAAGAGGGCCTTGACGCTGGGATGTTATCCATGGTGAACCTTAAGTCCTGGACTTCGTGATAGTTAATGCGCAAATCATCCAGGACGCGATTTGTGTGGCATACCTTTCAGGTTACACCGACGATAAAGTATAAGTTGCACCAATGTGCACTGTCGTTGAAGTTCGTGTCCTGTTGAAGGTCACGTGACCAACTTACTGACAGGGGATGCTCGACGATATCTGAACTCCTCTCATGATTCGAAGCTGGTAGGCACAAGAAGTATAAAGCGAAGTATTAGTATATACGGTTAAAGATCTATATCACGTCCTCAAATGGTTGATTTCCCTTCCGCCATGGCGATCAAGGTTTCCCTATCCCCTGACTCATCTACCAAAGCCCGCAACTTGCCACTCGGATTTTTCAAAAGCTCTTGAGGTGAATCAAATTCAACAACCCTTCCAGCGTCGAGGACCATCTAGTTTCACGTTGAGTAGTCTCCACCACTGAGGACGCGAGCTGTGGCTTACAATTTTGTCGGCATCCATGATAGTCTGGAGACGATGAGCAATGGTGATTAATGTGATGTTGCCAAGCTCGTGGCGAAGGGATGATTGGATAACTGAGTCGGTCTTATAGTCGATGGCGGATGTAGCTAGAGAATCGCACTTAGGTAAGTCTTGTATGGGCAACATCTGAGGCTCTCTCTCACCTTCATCAAGGATAAGAAGCTTACTACCACGGACGATAGCCCGAGCGAGTGCCAATATCTGGCGTTGACCAACAGACAAATTACTGCCTCCACTGGCGATCGGGCTGTCCAATGTGATGCGACCTTCGTCATCATCAGTCTGGAGAGAGAAGAGTCCAGCGGCGCGGAGGGCGCTGTTCAATGTTGCATCATCAAATTGCGAGAAGGGATCGAGATTCTGTCGCAGGGTGCCGCTCAAAAGTTCGGGCTGTGCGTATCAAAATGAGCCAACAGATCCTGAAGTCGAGATATATAACTTACAACTTGAGGGATGATTGTTATGTTGGTACGCAAAGCATCAAGGTTTATGGAACCCGTTGGCATTCCATCTAAGTACACCTCCCCATTGGTGGGTATACAACGGAGAAGAGACAATGTCAAGGAGCTCTGAAAGACTAGTCAGTTCCGAGGGCAGAAAGGTGATGAGTCCCTACCTTTCCGGAGCCCGTTCTTCCGACTACCCCGACTCTCTCTCCTGACTTGATGTGGAAAGATACATCGTGCAGGACTTCGGGACCATCTGCCGAGTACTTCGCCGATAGTTTTTCAACCCGTAGATCTCCACTAGCAGGCCAATACGCTGGAGGTGTGCCGTTCTGCGTTGGCTTGGGTTCCTGGTCGATGTTGGTGTACCCTTGGATCCGCTCCAAACTATTTCCTAAATATATTTGAGCGTTAATGAGATTCTGTGCATAGCTAGCAATTGCTTAATGTACGTGCCTTGGACTTCGAACTCGTTGTACACGCGTACCCAGTACAAGATCATGCTACTGAATCCCACTGAAGAGAGCCTAAGCCTGGAGTAGAGTGATGGGCACGAACGACCTACCAGCCATATTGAGCGAGAAGCCCGTATTGCTTGCCCCTTGACGAACGCCGTAAAGTAGGTAGGCAGCCAGGGCCACAGCGAACAAATTGCCGAAAGCGTCGATGCGGATACATATCCAACTATCGTTCGTTGGGCACAGGGATATGATTATGATACTGATATACTCACCGATTGAGATTATAGAACGTCCTGGACGCACGGGTGTACTTGTCGATACGGACTAGGGATTCGGCCTTGAAGGCCTCTTGCACCCCGTAGGCACGAATGGATGCTTTGGTGAATGTAAGACATAATCTCGCTAAAAACAAAACGAAACATACTTATGCCCGCCATGGCTGCTCCGAAGCTTGCGAGGGGAAAATTCAGTCAGGTGGCTCTGAATGATCAGGAGATCAGAGTACGCACTGTCCTATTACGGGGGCCTTGGCATTGGACATCCCTCGCTTGACCGACAGTTGAGACGCAATATACACTTGTCCCAGCCAACCGCCTAGAACGGCGACGAGAATGCCAGGTCCAATGAAAATAGGAGTGAACAGGAGCACGGCGCCAAACTTGATAAGCATCCCAACGGTTAGCTCGGTTAACCAGTCCAAATTCTGGGAGATACGATCATCGACTGGGAGAAGTGAAATCATCGGAAACATGAGCCCGGGGGGACGTGGGACTTTGTGGGACGCGCTTACCAGCTCGTATGTCTTGAGTGCATCTAGTCACGATACGGGATGTTGGAGTTATATCGAGCCACCTGGGTCTCGAATTCAAGGTGTGTCCACAAAACAAGAATCTCAGAACCTACCTGAGCGTAGTTCCGAGGACCGATTCTATAAGTTGCTTGTGGATGGTTCGCGAAGCCCTCAAGGTACCATAAATGTATGCAAGGATTGTTAAGGTGTAAAAGGTCATTGAGACGAGGGTGATGCAGCCTGATCAGGAAAAGTGATGAGACCGCTGTTTTCGGAAGGAGCAAAGGACGAACCATATACACCAAGATAGCTTCGAGCAAATATCAGATTTTGGAGGAACAGTAGGCCACGAGCCACTCACTAGCTTGTCGAGACTTCAGAGGGGTCGTGCGTTTCGTATTGGGTCGCCCAGTGACCCAAGAACCACGTCAAAAACGAGAACGTGCCCTCCGTCATGAGCAAGCCGCCGAGAACTGTAACAAAGAAAATGAATGGATGGTTACCGCCCAGACCAACCAAGTACATTTTGACTAAGTGATAGCGATGTCAATTCAGGCGCAGGGAGCATAGATTGTCCCACATACTCGCAGGCCACCCGACATGTCCAAGCTCGACCTCTTCGGCGGCGATTAACTTGCCTCCAGCGATTTTTGCATCTTCCGGATCTACTTGCGCGTCATCGATAGTTTCTTCAGCCTTTGCCAAAGCCGCTTGCTCTACAGCGACCTCTTGCTTGAGAGCGTCGCTGTCGGCCAGTACTTCGGCCACACCACCTTTGCTGACGATTCGTCCATCAGACCCAAGAGAGACAACAAATCCAGCCACGGGGGTTGCCAATGCCACGTTGTGTGTCTAGAATCTATCAGACACGACGTACAAGAGGAGCGGACGAGGTACGAACGACAAGGATGACGGTGCGATTGTTGATGAGGTCACCCCGGAAGCATTTATCAACAATCCATTTAGACGTGTGGACGCTAGAGGAGGGTTAAGTCAGGCGGAAAGGGACGAAAACAAGTCACGGACTCCAGAGCTGCCAGGACATCGTCCAACAAGATGATCTCCGCGTGCGAGTAGATAGCCCGGGCCAAAGTGATGCGAGCCTTCGCAACTCATTAGCACACTGGTGTTTATACCTTACCGATCGCCTCACCTTCTGCCCACCACTGATCGACGGTATCGAGGTCAAGACGCTTGGTCTCTGTAGAATAGGGAAGGACGAACGCACCTCAGCGTAAGACCCTTCTCGCCTACTTCAGTTTGATCGCCAGCATCGAAGAGTTGGAGATCCCGCTCTAGGCAACATTGATATAGAACCTTTTTGTATCTTTCTTCGTCCAATGGCGCGCCGAACAGAATATTGTCCTGCGCAACGCAGTCAACATATGTCTACAGGCATGTAAAGGGGCGACTCAACTCGAATTGTTTCATTCTGGACCCAGGATTCTTGCGCAGCGTAGGACACACCTCCATCTCTAGGAAGGTTGTACCACGAACTCGGACCAGACGGCATGAAGTGCATCTCGCCTATCGCCCACATGAGATACAGGGGTATACAGGGGGTAAGGAGAAAAACGCACTGAGCAAGGCCATCAACATGGAGGTTTTACCAGAGCCAGTTGGCCCAATGATGATGTTGATCGCGTTCCGCTTGAAGATCAACTCTCCGTCAACCCTTAGGACAAACTTACGCCTCGAGGGAGTCGCAGCTCCGTCATTGATCCTCTTGTCGTCCACAGACCAAGCGAACATAGCGTCACTGAAACCGATATCCTGAGAACGTTCTGCGGGGGGTCGCGAGAGGTACGAAACATCCGAATTGCCGATCGCCATCGCGTTGTTCGTAGACGAAGTACCATCATCACCTGAGGATTCTTCAGCGAACTCGTCAAGAAGCTCGGTCTGCAAGGAAGTTGTCATTTTGACGTCTGACTGTCGATATAAGGACGCACATTCTGCAAGAAGTCATTGATTCGGTCCAGAGAGACTTTGCCTTGTACAGCCGTAGACAAGGTCCAGATCGACATGTGCAACTGTTCTCGCAAAATGTCGAAGACTACCATGGAACTGAATACGACGGAAGCGGTGAGGATTTCTTTCATTATGACCGTCTAAATGAAAGTTAAGTCTCATTGAGTGCTAACGATCATAAGGTGAAGACACCCACACTGAAGGGGGTGGGCAGTATATGAATTAGCAAGGAGCGATGCCGTTGTACGCGACAAACCACTCACTAGGTTCCGTAGGTGGCGACCATGATGGCGACCGGGATAGCATTGCTAACGCACTTTCTTAGAAACTCGTAGATACATATAGCGGGACGAGAACCTACTTGATGCTATTGTTCAGCAGTTCAAGGATCTGCTTCTTCCAGATCCAGGTGAGTTCCGCCTCACGGAACTCGGCGATCTTCTCGTTCACTTTGCGCTCCCAGCCAAAGAGTTTTATCATGCGGATTACGTTCATTGCTAATCAACCAGGGTTATAGATGTTCGGAGTAGAAGGTGACACGAAACAGCTTACTCTCAGTAACGTTCTGAACTCGCGCATCAGTGCGTTTCATTCTCTGTTGCTGATATTTCTGCATGATTTGGGCAACATATCCCGGGGCCGGGAAAAGAAGAAGCATGACAGCGAGACCGACGAATGCACTGGATCCTCGTCAGTCAAATAGACCTTGCTAACTCGCCGTCTGAATGACACTTACCTCCACCCTAGAATCACATACAAGAAGGTTATACCAAGAACCACCTGGATGGGGACGTAGATGAGGAGGAAGATGAAGTCTCGAGCATCGGTGATATTGCTCAGATCGGTGGAGACCAAATTGTTGAGCTTTCCAACTAGATTCCCATCGCCGCTTTCGCTCGAATCAGTGGCGGCTTCTGGTGCCTTTGCAGCGGTTTTGCTAGGCTCCTTCTTTCCATTCTTGTCTTTTGAGAAGCGGGAACGAAGTTTGGATTTGATGCTTCCGACTAGAGTCTTCGCACCGACGCTATCCCTCGTGCTCGGTGTAGGAGATCCGTCTTCATTGGAAGCGATCAAAGTACTTGTGACCGAAACGTCACGTTCCTCATGCCCGGGCTCCGTCCACTCTTGTGCAGGTAGGGCGGGTGTTGACGCAGCAGGTGTAGAAGAGCCTGAGTTGCTCGATGACGAGGCGACTGAAGCATCCTTCACGGACCCCTCGGAGCTGCTTGAGCTCGTTTCGGCCTTGACTCTGATTCGTAGAGCGTGTTCGAAAAGTAGTTGCGTGAGCATGGCCTCTACTCGAACAAGGTTACGCGTCTAGGTCCCATAAATCAGACGCACACCTTCAAGAAAGGTGATTTTATTCATACCGCGACGAAGATATAAGCCTGCCAAGAGACAGACTGTATCATGGGACCGAGGAATAACCAAAGTAACCATGTCCATGGTCGAACGAAGGCGTCCTCTCCCCTCTTTTCCATGTAGCTACGCGAGGTGTTAGATCAGCGAGCGGAGAGAAGTATAACCCGTACTGAAGCAGTCTGTTCACACCGATCGGAGCCGCAAACCCAGCAAGGGCGTATAAAAGGAGCAAGCTTGAAAGCAACGCATACTCCTTGCGAAGAGTCTTCATCAGCTTCCAGAAGAGATGGCGCTTCCTGAGCTTCTTGTCAGCTTGAGGGGAGAAGGGATCGATATTCTATACGTTAGATTAGCGATCGTTGAAGCGGCTAGTGTGTATAGTGCTATACATACCTTAAAGCTCCTGATCCTAAGGTAACTAGACGCGTCATAGTCCGCTAATGGGGGTAATTTCTCGACGGGGAGATGGGGCATCTTGTATCCAAGGAAGATAACCTCATCCAAGAAACCGAACAGAATGAAGGATAGCGGCGAGCATGTTTGCTCTGGTGAAGGATTCGTGCTTGGATTCTTCGGGTCCACAGGAATATACGTCCGGGGCATGATTAACGGAATCACTATGGCGGTCACGAAAAGAACAGCGATCTTGGCCCACAGTAGGTTAACGAGGACCGCGTTCTCTTTGATAAAACCCGCAGGCAAGTCGACTGGGGAGAGTGTGTAGGTGCATAGGGGATATAAATCACGGTATGTGTAGACCCCGAAAGTGACCAGGAGTAAGAGGATGAGGTTGGTAGGAAGCCACGAAATGAGGGGGGTTAAACCGGACTTGACTCTTTGGAATGGTTTCGTAGTTAAGCACAATAAAGCCAGCAGAGATGCGTATAGCTAGTCGACATAAGGGTCTGTGCCACTTTATATTTCGAAATATAACTCACATATGCCATGCACATGGCAAACTGAAGCCATTCGTTATATGTGAGCTGTTCGACTTCCTTTCTCCTTCGATGCCTGCGCTTCTTCCCTCCCCACTTCGCTAGCGTTCCCAACCACCCGAGGGGTACCTGGTCACCATATCCATAGTCTAGCTGCTGTTTGTCTTCCATCTCGTACTCGTCCATGATTAACGTCGCAATGGAAAGACCGAGCAACGACAGGCACCCTACGAGTCGGGCGACCTTATACGCAAAGATGTTCAAGCCTCCGTGCGAAGCTACATGGGCCTTGACCTCTGCAGCAAATCCGGAGGATATTTGCTGTTCGCCGATCTCATTCTGAGCATCATCGTCGGGGCGCGACGAACGCAGTAGTTGCGACACCACCAGATAGCATGTGTGAATTAGCAAGAGTGACGCAGAGAAAGCTGCGAAGTACGCTGGGATGAGAAGTGTATCTTCGTATATTCTGATCGAAATTTGTCAGGCCAAGTTGAGCCGAGGAAAATAAATAACTCGAAAAGGTTACGCACGGATGCTTGGGCTTGAGTAGAAAGTCCTTGAGCATTATCTGGGCGTTCCTGTAATGGGCGACCTGACAGTGGGAGGTTCTACGTTATATGGAACCAACCTTGCTCGGAACCGTCGCGATAACAAGTTTGATACGAGAAGGCGCGATTCCCGAGCGTCGCGGAGTTTTCGAGTCACGATTCCACATGAATACGGCATCACATGACCGCCGCGAGAACACATCCATACGACAACATGAGAAACACCACTGCCATTGACAAACAGTGAGATTTCCAGAGACAAGAATACAACACTTGGAACGACCAGGAACGACGAAGGGTTGTTCGGCGAGTTTCAATATGTTTAGAGGGCCTCACGTGATAGAAAAAGAGGCTTCAAACTATCACACATTGTGGAGTTCAACTCCAGACGTTTGACGACCACATGCACGGCGCTGGGATTCCCTGATTTCCCCAGCAGTCACACAGACATTCCCGCATTGACGCCACAAGAACATGAAACGTCCCCATTCACCATCTCCTGAACTCACGGACACTTTGGAGCCTCCAGAATCCCCGCGTAAATCCAAGAAGCTCAAAGAACTCGACGCGTACTCGAGCACTTCGCCCTTTCCAGACTTTGCGCACCCCACACCGTCTGAGGCCCGGCAGGTCTTTGACGTCCTTGCGGACGCGCACAACGGACGTGATCTCATACGCAAAGCCCCCTCTCCCACCGCTTCGAGCAACTCCGCCAAATCCTGCGGTCACTCCCACAATGTCATCGACGCGCTAATTGGCACCATCCTTTCTCAGAACACCAGTGGCAAGAACTCCTCGACCGCGAAACGGAGCCTAGACACCACCTTCGGGCGTAATAACTTTGCTGCGATCGCCGACGCGCCCAAGTCAGATGTGGTGGAAGCCATCAGGATGGGTGGAATGGCGAACAAGAAAGCTGCGACTATACAAAAGCTTCTGCAGGATATCAAAGCGAAGAGGGGCGAATACTCGCTCCAATACCTAGCGGAAATGGTAGACGGGAAACCCAGGTACTCCGACCCGGAAGTGATGCGCGACCTCGTCTCCTTCGATGGTGTCGGCCCCAAAACTGCGTCTTGCGTCCTGCTTTTCTGCCTCGGTCGGGACTCGTTCGCCGTGGACACTCACGTGTATCGTTTGAGCAAGTTGTTGGGATGGGTGCCCCCAAAGGCCAACCGAGTGCTTGCTCAAGCGCACCTAGACCTGAAAATTCCCGACGAACTCAAGTATGGGCTACACGTTTTAATGATACGACATGGGAGAGCTTGCAAGGGGTGCAATGCAAGCAAAGATGGGCAACAGGGGGGGTGTATCCTCAAGGCTTACCTGAGAGATAGGAATGTCAAAGTAGAACCGAAGTCGGAGGGTAATTTATAATGCGGTCTTTAATATATACGTTGTCTGTGGTAATCTTTATTGTAAATCATGTATAAATACATCCAAGAATCCGGTGGTGGGTTATGCATGGCAGTGCATTGAAGAATGTCGAGCAGTGTGCCATTAAAAGGAATGATATGCCGCAATAGCTTCCTCGTCGTCCATCTCGTCCTCGTCGAACTCATCCACATGAAACGCTTCATGTTTGAGCTCTAGGTCCTGATACCAACTGATAACCCGCGGGTGCGCGACAACCCTACAAGTTACAACAATCAGTGAGTTACTTCCATGTCAACACTCAAACCTCACTTGGACGCGTCGAAGTTCAGCACTTGCAAATGATCCATGTTCGTGGCACGCGATAGCGCGACATACGCTACAAAGGCGTAAGATGATAGCATGAGTCAAGGCAGATATTTATAGCACGGCTCAAGACCTCACCTTGCCCTTTTTCGAAGGTACGCCGTAGGTCAACCTTGACTCTATCCAAGGTCTGGCCTTGCGACTTGTGCACGCTCAGAGCCCAGGCGTGGATAAGGGGAACCTTCCACGAGCCATAAATTAATCCATCAACCATCCCTCCTCAATGACTAACATAATATCTGCGTACCTGCACTCGACTAGCCTCCATCCCCCCTTGCGCGTTGTTCACAGTAAACTCTGCCGGGACACAGAGCATCTCCCGGCCATTCGTGAACCGCACCATGGGCCACAGACGCTCACTTTCAGTCTGTATCTCCGCCTTCGCAGTTTTATCCTCGGGATTGAGGATCGCACCGAGGTTCGTCTTCGCGGTGTCCTTCACCGACGCGAACCGCGTAACTCTGCCCACCGAGCCGTTCACCAGTTCGCCTTGCAGCATGTTCTAGGATGATTACGATCAGGGTGATGGATTCTCGATGGATGAGTGATAAATAAAGAGGTTGAATACCTTAACCAACATTACTTGTGCGTCAACCTTGTAGAGAGTGGGCTAAGGTCTAGTCATCCGCAACATATAGAAAGACCGACCTACCTTGAGAATCACTTCCTTTGGTACGACAAGTCGTTCAAGCAAGCGCGCCATTGCGTCAAAGTGGACCGGCTGTCCATTCGAGTTCGTTCCCGGTATGTCACACGCAGGGTATAGCAGCGGTCGACCGGGCAGCGCGTCCAGACGTGTCCGATTCGCGTTTGACACCTCCGCCCTAGTAGGAAACCTGCATGAACATCAGCATACCGCACCCCTGTGACAACCAGCAATAGCTTTGCGTTACTAACAGTTCAGTAGGCATTATCCCATCGTCATATTCAACAGGTCGCGAAAGTCCCTGAAAGACTTCAACGATCTCCGGTTTGAGGTTCCCAAACCGCATCGCATTCAGCATATTCGCGAATTGCTGGTCTTTCTGCCTGAAAACCTTGGTTAACGTGATCGGGCGGCCGACGCATCTGTCCCAAGACTCCGCTTCGAACGCGAACGCGACGGGCAGCTTCTGTCCATCCTTCCCTGCGTTCGGCACGGGAGGGAGTTGGCAGAAATCGCCGGATAGGATTAGCTGATGATCGTGGTATCAGCGGAGGATCGTCTAGTATGAGGAGTGGTTGAGACTTGTATACCGCCAAACGGTTCGTCGTTCCTCCTCACGAGGCGGGCTATAGTCTCCTGCATGTATACAATCAGAATCCAGACTCCTGTAAATAAATTGGGACCTGGCATACCAGTGTATCAAATAAGGCGCCATCCAGCATCGATACTTCATCACCTCAGCGACCAAAATCGTGTGCAATCAAAGCAAATATGTACGGCACCTTCGTCGATAATGAGATACTTCACCGCGCGCCATCGATCAAGTACCGGCCTAAACTTCCCCTGTCCGAGGAACTTTCCTGCCAGATTCTTCGCTGGCTCGAGACCAAGCCCTATGCCAGCCCACGAGTGCAGAGTTGTGCCACCGATATTGACAGCAGCTATCCCAGTTGACGCTGTTATGGCCAATGAACGTGAATTGTTCCCGCCCAGAGTGCGAATAATCTCGCGCAGGAGGACCGACTTTCCCGTACCTGCGAAAGGTGTCGTAAATTCAAAGTACACATCGCAGTGATGATGACGGGCGAAATTACCAGCAGAACCAGTGAAGAAGATGCTCTTTCCGCTCTTGACCTTGTTCAGCACTGCTGCTTGCTCAGGGGACAGCTTCACATCCGGTGTCTGAGGTTCCAATGGGATCACGTCAGCATCAAAATCAACGCTTTCACCCTCGTCAGGTGCCGTAGAGGGCGTAGCCCTGGGTGGTATGGAACCCAAGTGCCTTCGGCCAGCTGTAATTGGGTGGAATCGCTGTGTACCCGAAAGAGTCTTCGGAGCAGCTTGCGCATCTATCTGAAGGTATTCAATTTCATGGAGTACAGGGGGCGAGGGCAACTTACACGGTACTGGAACCTTTAGCCAGTCCTCCGCCTCTCGTCTTGAGGGAAAGCTTTTGTGTGTGCTTCCCGGAAATCCAGCTGTCTGGGGACACCAATCAGCATCCTCTCATTCGCGCGCTCAACCTCGAGTAACCTACATTAGCTTTGCACTGACGTTGAAACAATAAGGACCCGACATAGTTTGAAATATCCGGCAGAGGAACGCACATCATTCCAAGAATCGTAGATCTTCGGGCCTTCCCTTCCAACTTTGACAGCATAGAACTTTACCTTTGGCATAGAGATTCAGCGTCGTTTCTCGTAGTAGCAGAGGGCTATTGAATGATAAAGCTTTGGAACCTTGAATATTAAGAACGCACTCGGAAGCGCAAGCGGCTGCAAGATGTATGTTAGCATTAAATGTGACTGAAATGTGACAAGTCGCGGTAGTTGCACGTGGCACAGTGGTATCTCGATTCAGTCCTCTCTTTTAAGATAATCGATTGTCATACTCTCGAAGAGAGGCTGGTTTCGGCCAGCCTATCCATGTCCCCTCTGTTGTCATAAAGATACCATTGATACAGATCTACACATAAGCCAGAACTGGTAACATCTGAATGCTAGCCAGCCTCGCCAGTGGCTCGCCCAAATAAAAGACAGAAGATATAGATAAGGTAAGTAAGTATATAGCTACAAAGACAGTACAGGTAAGTATAGTTAGTGATCCAATGAGTGATTGTATGATTGCGCCGAATAATACAAGTGTGCGTATGTAAACGACGGGGTTGTACAACGAAGGGGAAAGAACATCGGCGCATTGTCGCCAGATCGTAAGTCGAAGATATCGATAATAATAAGTCGTAAGTGTTAGTCTAATTCTGTCGCTGGTAAATCTTGACGCTCTGCACTTCCCAGACTGCACGCAATCAGTAACGCCACACATCGATTCCAGGGATCGCACTTACACGCTTGACTAAATGATGCACCGTTCGCTCGTACGAACGCTTCACACGTCGAGAACCCCGTACGCTGCGCACAGCTCTGCTCTTGTCCGGGAATCCCAGCAGCATTCCATACTCCCCCCGCCCAGTCACCACACAATGTCGTGTCGAAGATCAGGTGATGGTTGTTGAAGAACTGCGACGGGTTGCAGCCAGACGCAGGGAACCGCGCTTGAGGCAGCCCCCACAGCGTCGGTTGAGGTGCCCCGGCGGTGATATCGGCGGGCACCGAGCCTCTAGGGAAAAAATATATGGCCACACCATCGCTATCCCATTGCACTACATGATCATCATCAGCAACAAAGACAGGATCAGATATTTGGTATTGTACGCACTAACATAGACGCCGCCGCCGTTCGAGTTGAATCCAGCCCCGAAAGAATTGCTATTCGGCGCGCGGATCCCACACCCTTCGTTGTTCGTGCTGGCAGCAGCACAGTCCTGGCCGGCAATCAGAGACCCCGAGATCTTCAGATTCGAAGTGTCGCTCGATGGGAGACGGCAGCCGGGCGATGTGTGGAGCGTCGCTTGGTTGTTCGTGTAATCGTGCACGCCTTCAACGATGTCGATCTCACCTCCCCTTGGCCAGTCCGGTCCTATCAATCAACGGTCCATTAATTCATCAAAAGTTTAAAATTTGGGAGTTGCTTACCGTTACTCCAGAATGCACTGATCCGACAAGCTTTTGTTAGCTTCGGCCCTCGAGGGAAGAGGGGATGACTCACGGCCAGGTTCCACACCCGGTGGGCATGTGGACGGCATCCATGATGAACAGGCCTCCATTCCAAGTGCTCTGCGTGGTGATGCGAATACTCTTTCTGTTCGCGGCGACAGTGGGAGTAGTTTCGACGCGCATGACGGCGTTACCGTTATTGTTCACCGAGAGGATACCAGCGCTTCGCTGAACAGTACGGTTATGAATGAATATCTCAACGGATTGGAGATGAACTTACGCCATCGGCTTCGTTGATATAGTCAACGATGCCTAAAGTATATCAATAAGTCAATGGGAATGAAGATGAGAGAGGGTCGCGGACCATTCGTGGGGTCTGCGGAGGTGAAGAAGTCCCAGCCGCGGAAGAAATCTGATCCCTCGTGTGACTCGGCCAGCTTCCATGGCGAGGGGGCGACATTCGTGGGGCGAGCAGTAGATGCAGGTCTCGTAGAGGAGCCTCTTGGGTTACCGGAGGACACAGACGTACTATTTCCGTTTCCTACGTTCCCTCCACTGTCTCCCGTGCTCCCCGTACCACTGGAAGTGGGGCCGTGACTCAATCCTGAATTGCCAGGTCCAGCTATGCAATAAACACCCCGTTTCATCAACACCCTCCCTTGACGCTTCTGGGGTGGCACAGCTCCGAATGCCAGGCGAAGATCGCTTGCGAGACCATGGCTGCGACGAAGGGCGAAGCGATGAGCGCGTTCCAGGACGGCACGAGGTCCGGCGAGCGTCAAGGACGCCTGTGCAATGAGAAGAAGTAAATACAGTGGCAGCGATGTGATGTGCATGTCGTAAGTGGCGAAGCTGAAGGTCGTCTATGAAGATGATAGCAGATGGGCGGCGGTAGGTCTTGGCTCAACCAAAGACGAACTCAAGGTCCGAGAGGGGGAGTGACCTTATAAAAGGGAGAAAAGAGATGGGTTTCCGGTTATAAGGGAGGTATCTATAGAACTCAGGCAAAGTCGTTCCGGCCAGCTGCAGGAGGTGAGGCCTCGGATTGGGTGATGCGGAGGTCGTGGAAGAAATAAGTGGCCCACGAGGCGCGTGTAAACGGAACAAATCTAAGAGAATTCGAAACAAGAGCGAAGGGGGGAAGAAATGTCCTAGCAGGCCTCGCCAGCAGCGATTTTGAAGGATTCCGGAGACCACTGGCAGTGGATACCATTGTTCTCGGCAGCCGCGAGCGATTTCCAAACTCCGCAAGCAGCTTGTCCAAAATAAGGTAACGGAAATGCGTTGTCGTATTATACCACAAAATATCATTATTCCTTCTTCTAGGAAACTTCGTCACAAGTGTAGGCGGTACACGGAAAATGTGTTATATCTCTTCCTTCTGCAATGTGAGTCGCAGTCTCACTCTTTCACTTTCAGGCCAAAGCTTGGGCAGAGCCGCCGTGCTTATCTTGGCCATGACACGAGGCATTGTGCAGTGCTGCTGGCTGACTTGCATAAATTCGAAGTATGTTGCTACACTGTCGTCTTGACTATCGTCCTTGCTCTTGTCAGCGAGAACGGATTGTTAGCGGTGTCCGAAGTCAAGAACTTGGCTTCATCTCCAACTCGTGGAAACCACCAGCTCACAGCACTCTTGAGTACGATGCGGTACACATTCCTTCATTTGCTCAGCCTTTTTCTACTTGGCCAAGCATCATGAACTCGTGTTCTCCATAATTATCGCGTCTAATGCACGAGGATATGAAACCAAGTCAAAGCAGCTTTCATCAAACACCCCTTTCAGCAACATAGGGTCAACATTATTGATCGTACAGACACAAAGGGGATAGAGCAAAGAATCCGGATGGCAGCCAGTGTCCCGATATTTCAGTCAAAGTAGTAAATCCTGTCAGCACTGAGGACAACATATGCTCACCGTGGTCTTGATGTAACGGCGGCGATTTATTGTTATATGTATCTAGCCATCGGTGTCTTGTATAGTCCGAACGTGTCTTGTCGCTTTGGCTGACTTGACGGGAATTGAAGACTGAAGCATCAAGCCGAGCACTCTTAACAAAGGTCATGCCAAAAAAAGGGCTTGCCTTCGATGGGTCTTCGCAGATACCCGCTTTGCACCTTGCATGTGCGATGGAGGGCATGGCGAGAATCGTATACATATAAGATGATTGCAAAACCGTAGTAACGGGTAATAGGACATATATATGCAGACGTAAACAGTCTCCAATGCCCCACCAAACCTACCGCCTTCAAGGCGGGCATTGTCCGACTATAAATCAACACAAAAATCGCCAGACACAAGCCGAATTATACAAGAGTACGTGTCCGATCCCACAAGAGACGACTCAGAAGCCACGGCAAGAGAAGAACGAATAGAAGGAGGAGAGGAAGGGATAATAAACAGAACATAATGTGATATGACGGGAAAAAGAGGAGTTACCTAGCAAGATCATCTATGTGAACCGCTAGAGAATGCCTCTCGTACACTCTTCCTGAGTTCTTCGTGTGCCGAGCTCGCGATGGACGACCCGGGCTGCATATGAGAGTGCGAGGCACTTGATGGAATCATAGGATCCGCATCTCCCTCAATGATCTCGATTATCCGTCTTCCAAGGAGCAATATCTCGCTCTGCCCATCACCCGTCTCCGTCTCTTGGAACGACGCAGCACGGGAATGATGTGAGCCGGGCGTGCCGTCGGGGGAGGACGACTGGGAAGGAGTGCGCGCGAGGTTACGTATATTCGGGATGAGGAGGCTGGAACTGCGGATGTTGCTGATAAGTTGAGGGTCTGCCGGTAAAAAGTAAGAGCCGATCAAACAAATAGATCAGGCAAAACCATACCGCCGGATTCCAATAGTTGCACTATTGTCCACACAGCGATGTGCTGGAACGTCACGTCATGACTCGTTAGGAATCTATACAAATATCTATGCATGCCGCCGTCTGGCTTTTCCCAGACGTCGTTGAAGGCGGAGTAGTCGTCATTCGTAATACGACCATCTACCAGCAGTGAGATATAACTCGCATAAAAAGAACTAGAGGACACACCTTTCGAAGAGAGGTTGCCCAATGCTGCTGCGCTGTTGCCCTGAACTTCCGAGCTTGGTGAATTTGTCAGAGGGATGAGCACTTCACAGATGCCCATCTCTAGCAACTGCTGCTTCAATTCATCTGGAAAACATATTAACATGGCTGTTGCGTGGCAAGGACGGCCTGAACTTACCACTGAGCGCCAACACCGCCACACACGCAGTCATTTCACTCTGTACGTTCATCGGGACTTCCAAGACGAGATCTTTGATGGACTGTACAGCCCCTGCTTTCACAATCGCAGTCTTGTTCTTCTCCGAACTAGCCGCTAAGTTACGAAGAGTAGAGATCGCGTGACATTGGACTTCTTCGTTGTCCTTGAAGGACAGGAGGTTGATGAGAGGTTGAAGGAATCCAGACTCGATGATAGGCGACTCGTTCTGGGGATGTATGGACACGTTTCGGACGCAGGCGGCCGCGGAGAGGATAAGGGGAAGGTAGCTTGATTGAAGTAATCGAAGAAGAGACTGTAAACCATCTGCCTTCACGATTTCTAACTGGTACTTCTCATCGCTGGCGAGGTTACGGAGAGCTAACGCCGCTTGGCACTGAACCTTGAGACTCGGACTATCCATAAGAGCGACCAAGCTTGCCACTAGTTTGGGTTCACTTTGGGCGAGCTTCTTCCGATTTGCACCTATTACGATGTGAGTTCCTATCCGCGGACTAAGAAGTGTGGGCGAAGGCCTGCATACCATCTACAGCAATGTTGCTAAGCGCAGTCGTGCAGTAGTATTGGACATCGGTGTCAGGAGAATTAAGAAGGCTGACGAGAACCGGAATAGCTCCTGCGTTCACGAGCTGTTGCCTGTTCTCGTCTAAGAAGATAATAAGACACGCCGGCAACGGAGAAGGTGACTACCATGCGTGCAGACCTACCTGAATGCGTCATATTCAACAGGGCACCGGTTGCGTTTCGCTGAACACGCATATCCTTGGAACGAGCCAAGCGGGTAAGCGGAACCAAGGCCCCAGATTTCGCGATCTTCGTCTTGTTATCATCTCATAAGGGACGGAAATTTATCACCAAAACTCATGGAGAATCAAATAGACGCTTACCATGTGTTGCGAGATTCGTTACGCAGCCCACTGCATTGCACTGGACTTCGACGTTCGGGCTGAGCATTTGTCGGATTAGAGGCTCGAGGCCACCCAATTTGACGATGAGAAGCTTGTTCTCAACTAGAACGCGGGCAAAGTTAGGATGGTGCGAAAAGCCTATTTCCGATATCAGGCCCATGTTTGCCTCACCGTTTACTGCGAGATTGCCTAACGCTGCACTTGCAGCTCGTTGTACTTCCGTGTCATGGCTGCCCAATAAGAATAATATCGGGTCGAGGGTGTCACGACCGACAAGGCGAACCTCCTTCTCCGTTATTTCGGCGAAGGCAAGAGCGGCGCTGCGCTGCAGGTCGACATTGTCGGAGAATGAGAGAGTGGTGAGGGCGTCCAGAGGCGGTCCCTCGAAGAAGTTGGTGGTTGTGCGATCTGCAAGCACGTTGAGCGTGAGCACCTTGAACCAGGAAGATTGGGGTGCAACGCACTCTCAAGGAACTGCAACAGGTCCGCTACGGCCTCTCTTTCGTTCTCGAGCAGTAACGGTTCGTACGACTGGGACTTGCGAGAATGAACTAAACCGAACTCAGCCAAGTGAAGGGCAAGCAACCAAAGGCCTTACAGCAAGACTCGCAGCAACTGCTGACATTACCCATGATACCAGAGTAGTTAGTTGAAAAAGGAAGGTAGATGGATCAAAGGCAAGAGGAGCGAGGTCACGAATTACAGTGGGGGCGAGGAGGACTGCTAAATTCAAGTCGTTCAACGCCGTCGACAAGCGTATGGATTGGTGGAAACTGCCGGTAACCACGTGCCAGTATCACGTGCACAGTTTCCTGAACTTTCTTTAAGTTCTTCTCTGAGTCTCAGTACACGATGGTATCCATTCGTCAACCAACAATGCCAGACAGTCTGATATGTTATGTATACACTGAAATAAAGTATGGCCATTTGGATGAGCATATTATCACCCATTATGCCCATCCTGGCTGGTTGCAATTGACTGAAGCCATCCGCGGCGATGACTTTCCAGTATGGAGGAACTTCCTTTTCTTGGTACGTATGCTTCCTCTGGTCTATTCAATACCGCTCGCTGGATAATATAAGGAAGAAAGCTCAAGGATTGTAGTCAAGCTAAAATTGCTGCGGAGGTGAACAACACTGCACTGCCTTGACAGCCATTTCACGAAGATTACATTACATAGCGTTCAGATCTCGAAACGTCGTGATTTGAGTCATTCGTATCGCAGCACCTCCGCAGTATCCAACCACCGAATTGACGTGCACAACCCACATAGCCTACAGGATACATCGGCTGCGGGAGTCGCGCCCAACGATCTCTTCGGAAGGTCTACCCTTGCATAAGTATGAGCGGCTCTGAAGAAGATGTAGCCAACAAACTCGACCCGTCTACCTAGCCCTACCATGGAAGGCCTACCCCCATTTAAAGTCATTGAACCTCAAGCGAGCCACAGTTCATCCATAATATTTCTGCATGTACGTTTTCGCGACGCGAGGTTGAATGGTTACTGACGGCTTCTACAGGGGCTCGGGCATTCCAACGCTACATGGCATGCTGCTATGCACAAGGCGTTAGCAAGCCAGCTACCGCATACAATGTGGATCTTTCCACAAGCGTAAGTCGCACCACAACCCGAAGATAGCCCGCATACTAACTTTGTTTATCAAAGACCTACTAGATATGTTTCTATGTACCGTTCCGAGCACCCCGCGTGGTTCGATGTGCATCAGCTTCCACCAGGGAACGACGAATTTGACGAGTCGGCAGTCGAACACTCGATAGCACTCGTCGAGCGTTTTATCTTGTGGCAAGTCCATTGCGGGATAGATCCCAAGAGGATTGTACTAGCTGGCTTCTCGCAAGGGGCAGCAACCAGTATGCTAGCTGCCCTTACGTCGCTGCATGATCTCGCCGGGGTAGCAAGTCTATCTGGCTGGCTTCCTACCAAGGCTTTAAGGGTAAGTGAAATATAGTGTCGCAGTCACCTGTGTCGCTTACTCTACTTTTACAGATGCTGCACTCCGCACCGACTACACCGATCCTATGGTGTCACGGAGGAGCTGATAAGGAGATTCCGTTGTCCATGGCTTCTGACGGACTCAATGCGCTGTGCACAGACTTTAAGATGTCGTCTGCCTTAGTAACCTTTAGAGTTTATGATTCCCTCAAGCACAAACTATGTGACGACGAACTCAAGGACTTCGGGATATGGTTGAACTATATTCTGCAATGACACAAACTCATCTGCTCCCTAATAGCTATCCAAGCATGTCTGCGTGTTTATTTATTCTGTGCCTAGTACATTTTTATTTAGTCAATACGAAAACTATCTCGAAGTCTCGACTATGACGCAGTTCCTTGAAGAGCTGGCGCTACACTGGTAGCGCTCAAACCGTCGGACGTAGGAGATGGTGATGACATTGCCCTGAGGTGATCGTGACCGAGTACGAGGGCCAGCTACTGGAGCGTGACGGCCCGCCCATGAGGCAATGCGAATGACACTTAATAGTCCTGAACTAGAAGCCAGAGTCCCGAACCACAATAGATAGATTGGGGGAATAGAACAGTCTCAGAGAGCCCCGCTGCTCGATTGAGGGGATCACTGGGAATATATGAAGCGATAGTGAGGCGATGGACAAGATATTATTTCATGATTGAAGATTATCAGTAAACGTGGACGTGAATTTGTGAAGTGGTGGGCCCATTCAAACTCCGATCCATCTCATGAAATGCCTCCGTCGATCAGGGCAAATCCCTCGAGGTATACCATATCAGGAGTTGACGCGCTGCCTGGGAGAGCGCTCGCCATGAGGCTGCCTTGAGGTGATATTAAAGCGGGGGTCTTGTTTTCTGCTGCTTGAGCTTCGTCGTGGTGAGCAAGGTCAAAAAGGAGGGAGCTGACGATGCGAGACTCTACTCAACTACACAGTTACTTGCATCGTCAGCTCCCCCCCCAACAATCATGCCAGCCACCAGAAACATCCCTGCTCGTCGCTCTCGACGCTTGTCCAAGCAATCTCCCCCTAGCTACAACGGTGATTATATCAAATATTACTCCTTTTCGACCGTCAAACTAATTGATATTTTTTCAACTTAGAAGATGGCTGGGAACAATTTGCTTTTCCTGACTCGCCCCAACCGGGTTGCGTCTCACCCGATATGGTCCTCCGCTACCCTTCACTCTCACCCGTATCACCTCTGATCTCAGAGCCCGACGATACCTCCGTAAGGACCACCCTTCCGCGACCAACCCAGCTTCCCATTCGGCGAGGATCCCACTCCCGAAAGCGCGCGCCGGACCACATCCCCCGCCCTCCGAATGCGTTCATGATGTTCCGCTCTCACTACTGCGTGAAGATCAAGAACGAGAGCTCCCCGGAGAACAATCACGCCATCATCAGCAAACAGGCAGGCGAGGTATGGCGTAGCATGTCTGATGTTGAGAAGTCCGACTTCCATCGTCTCGCTTATGCCGAGAAGATGCTCCACGCCAGTCGCTATCCCGACTATAAGTACGCCCCAAACTTCAAGAAGGCGGCCCCGCCTAAGAGGAGGCCTTCCAAGCGAAAAGATGAAGAAGATCGTTGCATCAAGGTTGCTAGTCTCGTCAGGCAAGGCATCGTTGGTAACGAGTTGGCCAGTGCGATGGTGACCACCGACGAGCCCGATCGAGATGGTCCTGTTGATAGCCCCGCCCAACTCCCTCCCCTCATTCAGATGTCACCAGAGCCCATTAAGAAGGAGTCTCCGGTCGTCGAGCTACCCGACCTTTGTCAATCAACTGACGATTATGTTCCCACCGAGAATATCCCTCCCCTCGACTTGAATGAAAGTATGGCGCAGGTTAGTTTCATCACCTTCTATTCAGTATCCATTTACTGACTTGCACACGGTAGCTTACATTCGAGGAACTTGACACTTTGTTCCCAGTGGAATTCTATACCGCCGAGGCCTTTCCCGGCTTCAAGCCCCTCCCATATCCCCTCAGCAATGGCGGTTCTCAGGGCTCGGGCTTCGACATCCCTCTCCATTTGAGCAATCCATTCTCTGAAGCCTTCCAGCCCGTCACAACTTTCTACAACTATGATACCCCCGCTGCTACCCCGGAGCCCGCAGCGGCCTTCGGTGGCGACTGGTCGCACACCGCCCTCCGTGCACGCGCACCATCCCCCGAGCCTGCCAAATACAAACAGGAGACACCTGCCCCCGAGCATAACCAGCTTGGGAGCGGTGACTCCAGCGCGCCCAGGGCACTTACTCCTTCCCCCGTTTCATACAGCCCTATCACATCCCCAGTCGCGTCTTTTGGAGAGAAGATTGAAGACCTGGGCGCCCTGTTCGACAACGGTTATAACTTTGCCGACTTCTTCTCCTCCAACGAGGCGCCAGTCAACTACAACGACTGGTTCGTCGAGGATGTAACAAACCCTTAAGCCATGTAACATCAATTCATATCCATACTCATACCCGTACTACTTCACGTCCTTTCACATCCTCCACATGTTTTCTATTGTAATATCTATCGTACTTACAAGTGACTCATACCTCATCCGCTTTACCTCTCGTCTATCCCGCATCCCAATGTCTGTACTTCTGTTCCTGTATCTATTAGACTGCATTCTGTACTCTAGTGACTGTATGTAACACGTAACAAGCCGGTTAACAAGCTCCATCGCCATCTGACAGCGTTTTGACAATCACAATCGCCCAGAATCTCGCTATTTAGTCCTTAACTTCTTTGTGACTGGCTCGGAAGGTTGATTGATCTGAACTCTGCCTTCAGCTTTCTGCGTACGTAGCCACGCGACGCAGTCATCCTTTGTTTGATGTGGGTGCCCGAGTTGCCACTCGACCACTTGGGTGAGAACCTGTCCTAGCCAGGGACCAGCACGTTGCGCTCCAAGTGCCGCACTAACTTCGCGACCCTGCACGCAGCAACTGTTGAGCACAAAGCAACGGAGAATGGTAGGTTGAACATACGTCAAGGATTGGCCTAGCGTCTACTGCATCTTGGAGTTTGAGCTCAAGCACACGGTCAACAAAGCAGTTATATATCGCGATAATTTCGGATGCGCGATTAACTTCCACAGGCCATCAACTCGTGGAAGCAAGTTACAGATCGTTGTACGTACCGTCCAAAATATCATTCTCAAGATCGTAATGTGGTAACAGGTCCTGGACGAGTGAGAACAGTAACGACGACGTCCAATGACTACCAGTATTAGGGTTGTGCACGACTTTGTCCCGTAAGCGTAGCCCTACATAAGAGGAGGAAGTCAGTAATTTAAATGTTAGTTTTGCAGTCATATTTAGTACCGATTGCCACGCGATCAGAAGGCAAGGTAAATCTATCGTCATCTAGTCTTGGGAGCCGCAGTATCTCTGCTGCGGCGAACAAAGCAGGGATTCCATCCAAGAAGTGATTTTGTGTTCCAAGCTTCAGCGACTCCCGGATGGCTGCTTCGACTGCTGGATGGGGCTTTTTCTTCCTATCTGAGTAGGTGATGCCCTTGTAAGGCGTGAGCGCTGCGGCAAGGAATAGTCTAGCTGTGCAAGAAGCGTCTTCTGAAGTCGAGAGCATAGTCGGGTGAACGGAGGGTAGTTTGCTGGGGGAAGGGTGGAGGAGGGTATCAAGGAGAACGGCAGCCTTCAGTCCACTGGCGTTATCTTGTACGGGGCTAGATAACGCGGAAGAAATCTCGTTGGGAAGTACTGAGAATACGGAGGCAAATAGCGATAGATCGTGCAGAAGTTGTATGGCATGTCGCGGATTACGACCTTGAGAGATTACTTATAGCTGGCGAATATTTTGATGTCGGACGCGAATGGCTCACCTTTCACCATCTTTGTTAGTTCCTCTCCGACACGTTCCCGACTAACTTTCGTGCGTAAAGCGGCCTGTAGATATGTCAGGCACTGAGAGGAAAAATCGTCTGAGGCATCAAGTCACCTGAATGAGTGGATCCTTCACAGCAGTTTCCAGTTCGGGTTCCATGGCGAAATCAAACCTACTGGCGAACCTTACACATCGAATGACGCGTAGGGGATCGTCGAGGAATGTCTCCCTCGGCGGTAATGGCGTTCGAACAATGCCATTCTTCAGATCATGTATCCCCTACGGGAGTTCAGCTCACTTCAACGAGATGAACCCAATATGGACGGGCCTTTTCAGTAAAGTCCTCTACTAACCGCGTGTGGATATTATAGAAGAGCGCATTGATAGTGATGTCTCTCCTCAGTGCATCCTGCAACGGTGTGCCGAATGTCTAAAGGCAGGAGTTGAACGCAAATGTATACCTTGGGCGAGGGTCAGACGTACTCACAACTTGGTTCGGTATGCGACTGTCCCCAGTGTATTCTTCACTCCGGAGATTGACAACGTCGATGGATCTATCTAAGATGCGGAACGTCGCCGTCTCCAAATGCTTCGACTGGTCGGGGTTCTTCTCGATTTTGGCGACCTCTGAGGCTACGACGCCTTGGGTCCGAGCAAAATTGACTAGATGCTCAGCAAACGGCTCCCCCATCATGTCGGAGAGCGCGATGTCTATGTCATTGCTCTCCGCGCCCAATAACTGCGTCAACAAATGGCTTCACTTCAGCAAGGATTTACAGGTGGGTGACAGATACAGACCTTATCGCGAACCCAGCCTCCCGCGATTCTACACGTCGTCTCAATCCCCTCCTCGGTCTTGAGATGTTTCGTGCATCCGTCTACTAATACGCAGATTTGCTCTTCGATGTCAGTCAAAATGACTTGCAAATGTTCTGGAGGTTTTACTGGGTAGGAATTGCGAGAAAGAAGCGACATTGGCCTCTGTATTCTAAGTCGAGTTGCAAGTCTTCGCCAAGGGAACATTCGCCGTAGCCAAAGCAAGCGCCCATGGAAGAAGCATTTCTTTCACTGACCATGGAAGCTTTTCAATTACTTTCTCGAGGGGGGCTCAATTTTGATAAAAAGAGATTCAAGAACGACGTGAGACTATTCCAGGTGCGCATCCTTGCATAGAAGTCGTCAATACTATTGCTAACATTCCCTCGTAGGGCTCTGCCTCTATCTCAGTCGACAAAGATACCCAAGAAACTGATGGATCTGAACTACCGGCGGAACTAGACTTCTTTAAGTATGCCCAAGGTGGCAGCACTAGTAAAAGAAAAGCACCCAGCAAGGAGACAGCTCAAAGCAAGAAACGCAAGCTCTCGCCAGGACCTGACGAAGCGGCAGCCCAATCTTTGGTAGCCAAGCAGCGCGTCACAGCGAAGGGTTCAGAGGTTCCTCAAGCTGTTGAAACATTTGAGGAACTAGGCGAACGATACGGCCTATCCAATCAACTCCTCTCCAATTTATCAAAGAATGGGTTCTCAACACCGACTGGTATTCAATCCCATGGGGTACCTATTTTGCTTAATGTGAGTACTAGAGTATGCACCTCCCAGTAATCAACAACATAATCCAGTAGTCTCGAGACCTTGCTGCCATATCACCAACTGGTACCGGAAAAACCATCGCCTACTTGCTCCCAATATTAGGAGCTTTGAAAACTCCTAACGGGAAAGCAGATGGAAGTGGTGTTCGTGCTGTGATTGTCGCCCCTACACGAGAACTTGCGCATCAAATCCATAACGAGTGTCTAAAGCTCGCTGAGGGTCGTAAATGGAGGATTGTTTTGTTCAGCAAAGCCACGGCCAGCACATTGGCTGACAAAAGCGTGAGGGATAAAATCGGTGAGTATTATAAGCAAACCTTAATGCACGTCTATTCAGATCCGTTGTCCTCCTTAGACATCATCATCAGCACCCCACTGCGTCTTGTAGTGTCGCTGCAAGCTGGGACCCTCGATCTCAAAAAGTACGTCACTTCGGCGCATTTCGCTATACTCCTCTAACATCTATACATAGTGTTCGACATCTTGTCCTCGACGAAGCCGATCGCCTGCTTGACGCCGAATTCTTGTCGCAAACACAGGAGATCGTCGCCGCATGTTCTCGTACGGATATCCAAAAGGCCGTTTTCAGTGCTACCTTACCTGCGGGCGCGGAAAAAATTGCGATGGAGATGCTCCATAACCCTATACGAGTGGTCGTCGGTCTCAAGTCAGCTTCCTTTTCTCCTTACTCGATCAAATCTCACTGTGCTCCTGCAGAGATACGCCATTGCCCTTGATTACACAAACACTTACATATGTTCGAGACGACCATTCCAAGCTCCCCAGTCTCCTCCAATACCTAGCGCAGCCATACAACCCCCCGCTGCTCGTCTTTACCTCCACTCAGCCTCGAGCATCGTCATTAGCAGAGGAACTCGTATTGAATAACATTCCGAACGTGGACTGCCTCCACGCGGGCATGACGAAGAAGGAACGAGAGGACGCCATGTCTCGTATGCGGAAGGGGGAGAGCTGGGTGATGATCAGTACAGAAGTTATGGCTCGTGGCATGGATTTCAAGGGCGTGCGAGAGGTTATCAACTATGATTTCCCTACTAGTGTGCAAAGTTACGTCCACCGAATAGGTTAGACACGCACCACTCTTTGATTTCTCCGCAACGACTAACTTGTGTGTTTCTCAGGTCGTACTGGGCGAGCTGGCCGCGAAGGAAAGGCCGTCACATATTTCACAGACGACGATGCACCGCACCTGAAAACGTAAGTTGCACGATGCCATACTCAACCCAAATTTAACCTGTGCCGTCTTTAGCATTGCCAACGTACTGCTACAATCGGGTTCAACAGTGCCTGAATGGATGCTCAAGTTACCAAAGCCCTCGAAAATGAAGAGGAAGTCCATGGGGAAAGTCAAACGAGCCGAGGTAGTGAACTCTGCCAGAAAAATAGGACGGAACGATGCAATCAAGAAGAGGTGAGCAACTATAAGTCGACTTCGTTGTGCTCGCCCGTTGATTATGGACCTTCGGCAGGGATATGGTTGCCGGTTCCAAAAGGCGAGCAAAGAAACCCGCTGCAAAGGATGAGTCAAAAGCAGACTAGTTTTGTCTGCTTGTATGGTCCTAAATAACAGTAACAAGTTACGTGACACATGCATGTTATCAGCATCTGGTCAGCTGCGCGATTGGGTCTCCTACTTTGGATCGGAGGTCACTGCGGTTGTTGAACCATTCTAGTGAACATGCATTCTCAAATAGCAAATCAAATAATCTAGGTCTTGCTACATACAACTTTTGTGGTGCGATCTATAGTACAGTGATGTTTCCCTGCTCTGCCCATTCTCCGAATAATAAGCTAATACTTTCCCCGTTGTGGGTCCTGCGAATTGACTCGGCCAAAGTCGGGCTGATATCTATGGTCAATAATTTTGAGCAGGCATTTTGGTGTTGAGTTTGAGGAATGGTGTTGGTGACCTATAGGGGTGGTCGTCAGGGGAGGGGGCAAAATCATACCGAAGACTGTTGGGCATACCACGAGTTGCTCGATAGGTAGTTCCTCTAACACGCTCATGTTTGCTTCAGAGAAAAGACCTAATGCCGTGGATCAGTGGGTCAAGAACAGCTTACACCCTGACGAATGAAATCGCACCATGAGAAACAACGGCATAAACGGCCTTGGCACCTTTTTCTTTTAGAGTCCGGACAGCAAGGATAAGAGTCTTCCCAGTATCAATCATATCATCAACCAAGATGGCGACCTGATTCCGACATGTCATGAGAAACTTTAGGAGAATGACGGGACGCTCGGGCAACTTTACCTTATCCTTGACATCCCCAACAAGAAGTTCCATGCGCTCCGGAGCATCTTCTGACTTCCCGTCCCGCTTCCGGTGGATTAAGGCGAATTCTACATTCAGCTTGTCCGCGATGGCGGTGACTCTGAGACGAGAAGAGGCTGAGATTATGTAGCATCATTGGGGACGAGTATAGCTCACCGTTTTGCACCGCCAGCGTCCGGACTGACGATGATGCCATCCTGCCAGCCAGGTATGCGATGTCTGATATATGAGAGCATCAGGGGCTCCGACCACAGGTTATCAACAGGGATGTCGAAAAATCCCTGGATCTGGCTGGCATGTAGGTCCATGGTAATAACGTGGTCGCATCCGGCTACGACAAGCATATTTGCCACTAGCTTCGCCGTGATTGGTGCCCGAGATTTATCCTTCTTGTCCATTCTTGCGTACGGGTAGCACGGAATGACAGCAGTGATGCGGCGAGCAGAAGCTGTTCTACACGCTGATATGAGGATGAGGAGCTCCATGAGGTTGTCGTTGACGTCCTTGCACCCGGACTGGATGATGAAGACGTCTTCATCTCGAACTGATTCGGTGATTTTGACATCGACCTCCCCGTTGGAGAAGTTCCTGACTGTGGTGGACACAAGGGGGACACCGAGTCTAGGTGAAATGAACTTCAGAGCCCATACGAAAGGCGTCTCGCTCACCGCTCAGCCACAGATTGGGCGAGCTCGGGGTGACTGTTGCCTGCAAGGGGACGAAGCTCGGTGAGCGTACCGCAAAAGAAAAGAAAGAATATGCGCACCAGTCAGGATTCTAATAGAGTTAGCGTGATACATGGATCGTCAAAAGAGTGGACTATCGGGGAGGAAGAATGAATGAGTACATGGAACAAGCGGTATAAATTTGAGTATCACCGGTACTGCTATGGTAAGGCACGTGATATCCGGGTCCAGTATATAAGTATCATTGAGTGCAACAGTTTCTTAGTCCCTTCTTCCCTCTTCTCACATAACGAAATGGCGATACACCTTATCAGCGTCCTTGTTATCTCTAGTACTCTCGCTGTGGCCGCGCAAGAGCGATTTCCTCAGACACCACTGGTTTCAAAGCGCTTCTCGTACCCAACTGGCTTACCCTACCAGGCCGACTCCGAGAACCTTCTCAGAGGCACCCAATTCGGCTACAATTTGTGCAACTCCTCCACTGAATCTCAAGAATCTCTCTGTCAAACATCATTCCTCAACGCCGTCGATGACTTCTGCCTCTGGGCACCCTCCAAAGCAGACTCCCTGATCGCGGACACCGAAGGCGAGGAAGTCGCTTGGTGCTCTCAACCCGGACGAGGAACGCGGCGTATCCCCCCTGGCGCGCTGAAAGGCGTCCAATTCATGCGCACACCCGACTATGTCCAAGTCGTAGGATTCATCGACCAAACGGCTATCGACATTGCTGCGGGCGATTCGGGCGGCGAGCTGGACCCCCATGGCGCGGACCTCCGTGGAAATCCTCTAGGCGGCTTGGTGTACTCCAACGCATGGTCGAAGAACCCAGACATGTACGAGCAAGTCATCGAATGGCACAACTTCATGGGCGGCAACGCCTTTTGCTTCAAGGTGTGCGACCCGTCAGGCCCCCATGCAGCCAATTACTGCCAGCACATATACGACCGCATCGGGTGTGCCTATAACGCGCCCAACAACGCGAAGGAAGGCGTGTTCGAATCGTGCGAAGGCGAGAACCAGGACTTTCCGGGCGTGTACACGCAGGACGGACGGACTCTGACTTACACACAACCACCGGAAGCTCTTGGCCCTATCACTTCCGTCCCTTATCAACCCCGTGTCCCCGCCAGCAGCAATTGCAAGCAATTCTCGAGCAGCGCCCTATACACATATACACCTAGCAGTGTCATGCCCGTTTCATTAGCCGTTACATCGGCATCCTCCACAGCGTCGCCTTCCAGCACAAGCAAAAGCGGCGGCTCGCAGTCGCAAAAAGACGGTGAAAGCAACGACGCAACCTATGTAGTCTTTTCCGCCATCACGTCTATCTTCGGTGTCTTGTTCTCCGCACTTTTCTTGGCTTAATCCCCGCCTTTGCAATGAATCATCCTCGCTTGACAGAACTCAGCTTTCGATCGTAGATAATAGCTATATATACCAATTCTCGATAGATACACAACGTGAAAGTAACCATTACACCAGATAAATAGGCCATGAATATGATAAATGCGAAAGAGTGGATGGGCAAGCGAGTGTGAGCTCAGACTGAGTGACAGATTCTGCGACAGTAGACCACAGTCCTAATAATGGTTACTGTCTATATGCGCTATAGCTATCTGATGGTCCTGGGCTGTACGCTGGAGGAGGGAGCTCTTGATCCTCAGACGGGTTCTGCAACCGCAGCTTCGCCAACTGAGCCTTCTCTGAGAGCGGTGGGTTGGGAGAACCCTGAGCCAGGTATCCCTCTGCAGGCAACTTTGGGACCACCGACGACCCCGCAGACACCGGTCGTCTTGGCCACGTCATAACGGACCCAGTCTCTGTGTTCTCATATTCCGAGGATGGGCTGTGCATCAGGAGATTTTGCGCGGAGGGATGCCGCGAGGGCGGGGGCGTGAAGTCAAGGGGCGTTGGTCGCCACGACGGATCATCCTCCCGTGGTGGCCTGAACTGCTCCGTCAGGTCGAGGGGGAGTTGCCGTGTATGCTTCCCCCGCATTCGGCGCTTGGTGAAGTATACGGCGGCAAATATTATCAGCACCACGACGACGATGGCGGCTGCCGCGCCGGCAATAATCGCCGTTTTGCTGCTTGACTTCTCGGGCGCTGCCTCGTGTCTGCGAGACGCCGGTTAGCTTTGGTAAAATCAAAACGAGGCGGCGACGAACGTGTAAACGACGTAGTCGAGGATGACCAACGATTTTTCCCCAGCGTGGCCGTTCTCTATGGACAGTGTATGGGCGCCGTAGGGAATGGAGGCATTGACGTAGACGGGGACATCGTAGTCCCAGGTGGAACTTCCGTTCGGCTTCTGCTTGAAGGTCCCAACTTGTTGACCATCGAGCAAGAACGTCATATCGGTGTTAGTATTTGGGCCCTCAAAGCTGTGGCCGAGGATACAGTAGACGTACACCGCGCTACCTGATAACGAGTCGTTCGGGCGACACAATTAACGCGATGGAAATGTCATGGGCGAAACACGCACCAGTAAATGGTACTGAGGCTGTAAGTATTGCACCCGGCGTGGGGTTCGTAGCATTCGTCAAGGCGAAAGTCCCATCGTGCCATGTTCCCATGTAGGTTTTACTCTTGTCGAAACGCGCCGTGCACGCCTTGCATGTCGAACCATCGTTCCAACTGAGTGCCGGAGAGTAAGTCACGAGAGCCCCGGTGTCGGGATCGCCGTATTTGTCGTCAATCGTCGTGTTGACAAAGTCCGCTAAGACTATGCTTGCACCAGAAAACCACTGGATGAGCGTCGGTAACCGCATGGGAATGGCAATAAGTGGTTGATTCTAGAGAGTTGAACGAGTGTTGGTCACAAGTAAGTTGCGATGCAGACTAGCAACCGTGTCCCAGCGTTAGTGACATGCAAGACTGATTATCCATAATTATTGGTAGATACCTGAGACTCCGCTTACCCGCCGGGGGAGGAAGACCGATAAGTTGCGCAGTTGTGGCTTGATATAAAAAGGGTGACTAGAAGAAGATAGAGCCAAACGTTGGCCAAACGACTTTCGACGGTCTGTCGCCCAGTGCGGGGCGTTCGGGGCGTTCGGGAAGCTAAAGAGAAGAGAGCGAATGAGCGCCAGCGCCCGCATTATCGGACTTTCTCTTTTGTCAGGGTGTCTTTAGAAAGTGAACTCAAAGTGATCGACATTCGCGGAGTTCATTTTCAGTCCTGCATCATGCATCATGATCGTTGGCAAACGGATTCGATTACTTGGATCAAGGACCCAATAGCACTGCGTGTTGAATGATAATTGAGAACAGACAAAACAGTTGACGTTGTAAATTATTTGTATAATGAGCGACATGCCTAACAATACAGATTTATCTCATATGGTATGATTGTCCTGGTGCACGACACTGCAACATTACTTGCGAACCTCCTTCTCGAAGTCTTTCTTGGCTTCACGAGCTCCAGCGGCAGCCTGGCTTTGTGTGAAGCGAAAACCAGCTGATACACGGAAGATGTACAAACCTGGTTTGTTTTTTGACCAGCCATGTTTGATGCTTTATCCACTTGCTCCTTCGCGGCTTTTGCGTTCGAGCCTGTCGGTGCGTTAATACACGACCATATACCCCAGAACAACACCGACCAATTGCTTCCTTCGTGGCCTGTGTTGCTTGTTCGCCCGTCTCAATGGTACTGGCGAGCGTTTCACCAACTTTCTTGTTCACCTATCAGGTATATCAATATCGTGCAGGTGTATGAAGATACAGTAAACTCACTGTGCTTGCTACTTCTGATACTTTCTCAACCATCGTTTTGGAAGCCGGGAACGATGAATGGAAGAGTCGCGCATTGCGTGCACTGGCGCCGAACGCGCGGGTGGAAAGGCGGGCAGACGTGGTGATTTGTGAGAGCATCTTGGGTGGGTTGGAAGAAAGAATTGTTTCTGGGATTCCGCATCCACCAAACCTTTATATACCGCACCATAGTAGGGATGACGTGAATGACGTCGAGGAAGGAATTCCAGTTTGGAGACGCGGCGGGGACCACGTGATCGAGTCCCACGGCTTCCCATATATAACCAGCCCCTATGCCACAGGGGACTCGGACATTTTATCACATTGCCTCTATCCTCCGTGCGGTCACCATCTGGGCATCAGGACGACCACCATGGCAGAAACAAAATCCACGGCCTCCGTCCACGACGATGGCCTCGTTTCTCCCAGGAAGCTCCAGGTGAGCGCGGTGTACGCACCTCTGTGGATCTTGCCTGACGGTCACCAGAGATCCAGGATCATGCCCAAACCTGAGAGCCTCGGCGAGTCATCCAAGCGTCGTTCGCATCTCTTCTTAGGGTACGGCACTATCGCGCTCAACGGCGATTACGACAAGGAGCACGCTATTGTCCCAGACTTCGACCCCGCTTCTCCGGAATCCGTCTATTCACATCGCTCGCAGTCATCGTCGCCCATGTCTTCGCCGACGCTAACCACGGCAGAGCCACTGTCGCCCACACCACAGTCGAAGCGGAACTCTCTTCAAGCTTATATGCTGAGATCCGAATACAGTGATTCCCGCCGTTCGGCTGCAACGGTTACTGAATCGACGCCGCTAGTCCCCAAACCGCTATTACTCGCCAATAAATATAACGGCATGACGGATACACATATCATTCCAACGACATGGCTAACGCGTCTTTTCGGATTCCTGTGGCACATCCTCGCCTGTCTGAGGAAACGCACCAAGGCTTCGCGTAGACGCAGCGCTGTCAGCCTCAAGCCTTTGATCCTCCCACAACGAATTAATGGCACTGGTAACGAGGATGACGGGTTGATACCGACAGCCGTCATAAAAAGATGGTGGGGCTTGTTTTGAAATTCTCTATGTATGCTGTATTTCTTTGTAGTTTTGTTCGTTCCCTTGCACATATGTATTTCCCTGTGAAATTGCTCTATATATATATCAATGGCATCATGTCGCAGTGGGGCGTACCGGTGGTGAATATCTCGCGAGACCACCGTTTACGCTACAAGCCTCCTCAGCGAAGCAAGTGTTACAACGACGTGCTCCAAAATTATTATTCCTTTAGTGCTTCTATGTGAGGCTAGGAGCTCTTGGTCGCCCTGGTATAAAGCGATCAGTCAAAATTTGACTTCGAAGCAAAGCAAATTTGTCATCGCATGAACTTGGAAGGAATGGCCGAGAGCCCGGTTTCAATTCGAATCGGCGAACAAAGAGACAGACCCGCCGAAGTCACGATCGTCAACGCTAAAAGTTAAACCATGTATCACGGCCATTCTCAGCAAGAAGGAGATACCTACCTCTTCAATGCCACACGGCGGTGAACTTCGTGCTCTATCCGAACGGAAATATATAGCAAGACGGCGATTGAAGCGGGAATTGTTGAAATACGTTATTGCTTACAGGGGGAAGAAATTTCATCCTTTCAAATACATTGTTGCACCACTAGTGCATGCTAGACCGATGGGCGGCACGTCCAGGCCTTGAAATCTACGTCGCGTACGTCTAACGCCAGATATGCTCGGCGCTGTGCCCGAAGGTGGCTGGAGCAGCAGGGAGTACCGTCGCGCTCTAATTGAAGCGAAAACCCCTCCTCGAAAGTCTCTGTGTAGCAACCAACCGGTCAGCTTAGTGACCCTTTGTGCTGAGGAACTCTTACGCCGCTGTATTAATCGGAAGCCCTTCCTACTCCATTCTGAGCGCTGAGCGCCGAGATAGATTGTAAGCTTGATGTCAGCGGGTCGTCCAAACCTGGCTAGTCTGACCGGTTCCGCCACATACTCTGCGATTCAAGAAAAATCTTCAGCAATGGGCAGACTGTCATCGTTCGCGGTGTAGACCAAGTGCTGACAACAGAATTTAGCGTAAGTCCGTCGGCAGAGCCGCCCGGCACACGATATTTTTGGGCACGGCGCGTTCTGATTGGCTGACCATTAATCGCACCATTTTATGTATACTCAATTCCAAGCTCGTTATTTCACGGTTGTGCATCTTCTCTCCTCACCACCACCACCACCACGATGGCCTCTTACGCCGTCAAGGACCACTCCTCCGCCGCGTCGATGCCCTCGTCGACGTCGGCCCAGCAATTCCACAATTTCTCCCCCGTTACCCTGTTCTCGTTTACTTCCAATGGGTCGGCAACATGGATGTATACCACTGTTGCCATCGTCTTGTCGCTCCTCGTGCTGGAGCAGTCCGTCTACCGATACAAGAAGCGGCATTTACCTGGCGATAAATGGACGATACCTATCATCGGCAAGTTCGCCGACTCTATGAAGCCCACCATGGAGGGCTACATGAAGCAATGGAACTCTGGTGCTCTAAGTGCCATCAGCGTCTTCAACATGTTGGTGATAATTCTACGGTCTCCATTTATTTTTTTGACGGATTCCAAAAAGTTTCATCGTCATGGCCTCATCCAACGAATACTCGCGCAAAATCTTGAACTCTCCAATGTATGCTGAGCCATGCTTGGTCCATTCCGCCAAAGCCATCTTGCAGCCTGATAACTGGTGAGTTACCCTGGTTACTCTCACGTTGTTAAAGCTATATTCGTATCTAGGGTTTTCCTCACGGGCAAGGAGCACGTTGAATTCCGCCGCGTCCTTAACACGCTCTTCACGCGTAAAGCACTAGGGTTTGTCTGAATATGCATCGTCGCTGTACGCTGGAACTCATAATTCTATCTCAGCATCTACGTCAACATTCAGGACGCCATCACTCGCAAGCATTTCACTGAATGGCTTGCCGCGGCGGCCAAGGACCCCAATCCCCAGCCCATCATGATGATCTCGCGCCATTTGAACATGGACACTTCCCTTCGTGTATTCTGCGGTAATCACATCCCTGATCAAGCCTCCATTGAAATCAGTGAAAAGTACTGGGCCATTACCCAAGCCCTTGAACTCGTCAATTTCCCACTCGCCATCCCTGGCACCAAGGTCTACAAGGCCATCCAAGCACGGAAGATTGCGATGAACTGGCTCGAACTCGCCGCCCGCAACAGCAAGATCGCTATCGCCAACGGTGCCGAGCCCGAATGTTTGATCGACCACTGGATGTCCACTATATCCGAACCATCGTACAAAGGCCGTAAGGATTTGAGCGACCGCGAGATCGCCATGGTCGTCTTCTCCTTCCTCTTCGCCTCGCAGGATGCCATGAGCAGCGGCTTGATCTATGGATTCCAGCATCTTGCTGACCACCCGGACATCTTAGCCAAGGTTAGGGAAGAGCAGGAGCGCGTCAGACAAGGACACTACGACAACCCAATAACCCTTGAGCAACTCGACCAGATGCCATACCTGCAGGCTTTCGTCAAGGAAAGTCTGAGAGTTAAGCCTCCTGTCACCATGGTCTGTTTCCATTTACACTGTATATATGAAGATACTCATATGCCGGTAGGTTCCCTACAAAACCACTAAGGCCTTCCCCATCTCCGATGACTACGTTGTTCCAAACGGAAGCATGCTCATCCCGTCGTTCTACAATTCCCTCCATGATCCTGAGGTGTTCCCCGAGCCTGACGTCCTGAATCCCGATCGCTGGCTCGACCCCAATAGCAGCGCCAACGCCAACCCGAAGAACTACATGGTTTGGGGTGCTGGCCCACATCGCTGTATCGGTGTGGAGTACGCCACGATGAACATCGCTCTTGTGCTCGCCGTTGCTTGCATGTCGTTCGACTTCGAGCATCACGTTACGGAGAAGAGTGATAAAGTAGAGTGAGTTATCGTCGCCATCTACACGATTCTTAGAGCTAATCCTTTCCCCAGAATCATCGCCACGCTCTTCCCTAAGGACGGGTGTCTTCTCAAACTTACTCCCCGCCCATGACCGAAGTAAACGATAGAGTTTCTGCAAAAGCACAATACTTATTAGACTTCTATTTAATTCGCCCCTGTACTTGTGGCACACGTGATCGTGTTAGTGTTACATATTTAGTAGACGACTGCCCATATCCGGATGCTTGGAATGAATTCATACTATCCCTGCAAATCTTTCCTATTTGACACGAAACTTCTTGCCTTCGTGTTCTGTCCCAGGTCTGAAGATTGCGGAGTCCACCCTGGGATAGGATCTGCACAGCGCTTTGACAGAGAATCGGGGAGTCCCCTTGGGTTGATTCTCGATCTCTTCCTGAAGCTTGTGGCGGAATGTCGAGGGTGGAGAATCATCCTTTGTTGATTTGCGAGCCGTTTCTTCTTGAGAGCCTGGGGGCGTCTGCGATCGGTCACAACTAAGGGAGTGTTGGTTAGCAAGCTATAGCATGGATGTAGGAGAGCGTATGCGAGGCGGTACCATGCGCATGGGTGGGGAATAAATCGAAGCACAGGGAATTTGCTTTTGCGTTTGAAGGTAATAAAAGGCAGGGGATTGTTCTCGAGCAACTTGGAATTAATGCTGAACGCAGGCGCTTGTTCGTCGTTTGCGGTGGCACGGCTGGAGACGGTGGACGTCGTCATATTTGTGCTGGGCCTTGTGGACCTGACGTTGGAAGCATCGTTATCGGTTTGAATTGAAGATTTTTGGGAGTCTTTGAACGTCCGATCCAATTTATGAGCCCTTGACGGCTCTGACTTCTTCAAGCTGAGGGGTAGCTTGAGGTTGACATGAGTAGTGGATTGAGATTGTTCACTGCCGCCGGGTGTATGGTGGGTGGTCACAGTCTTGACACCTTGAACAGCTTTCATAGTCTTTTCGTTAACGCCCTTCTTCGCCATCGTATTCCGCGAGTCGACGTCCCTGTCGTATATGAGATATTGGTCGTGACAATTAAGGACGGGGAGTGGCTTCCGAGGGCGTGTTATAACATTCTCTGTGGTGTCGGCTTTATGTAGGGATGCTGCATTATCATCCATCTTGGGATCCTGAGCCAACTTGACTATGGGTTCGTCAACTTGTATTCGAGGTCTCTTGGAAGGGTGCATGGTAATATCGATGGCGGATAGATCAGCTATGTCATGTCCGCGCTTCCTGCTATGGCTGGGCTCCTCTACCGCCTCGAGCTCGACAGTCGTAACTTCAGGGGGTATGTCCCGTTCAGGGTTCGGATAGTGAGTTGCTTGACGCGGCATGTTGCGCTCGCAGAAGAAATCTACGAGTAGGGTACGGATATATGCACCTGAGATACTTCTTCGGCGTGTATGAAACTTACCATCCAGAACGTACGGCGCCACGCCCACCAATAAATCTGCGTCGACGGATTGTAGTACCCACTCCGCATGTAACACCTCATATTTCTCGTCTTCTAGGGCGATAACAAAGCAGTAACTCAATAAACTCACCACTTTAGATTGTCGCATTAACCTTCCCAAGTCAGCACGCATATACTTGCTATCGCGGGTGAAGTGCTCACTTTTGCACCCATGGATCATCAAGGGCGCTGCAAATGAAGAAATCTGCTTCGTAGAACTCCTCGTGGGTCCGCACTATCGCTCCCCCGTCACGAACTAGATGTGTCCCGATTCGATTAGCCACAGCATGCGGTCAACAACCAATATGATTACGCACTCCAGGCCTTGCGAATATTAAGGCGCACAGAAGGGCTAAAACAGGCTTGGATGGAGTGGTTATTGTCATAACAACGTAGCTGTATTCACCAGAGATCACCTTTCTTGCCGCCGAACAGCATCGTATGTCCGTAATGATTTAAATGGGGTTTCTGTATGTGATCGAGTTGGGGGACCGTGGTGAACGGAATGACCAGAGTGATCGGTGGCGTTACGCGCGCGCCACAGCCACTACAACTAGGAAACATCAGTTCAATCGTCAAATTCCGTGTTACATTTGGTACCATTCGATGCTATGGATAAATTCGAAATACAGTAGATAATACGAGGGAGGAGGAAACGTGATTTAGAGCGGTAGGTTGCTATGCTATTATTTATACTCTACGGACGAGAAGCGGCAATGAACTCGATCCATGTCCTTTGATACGGGGTCTGATAACAAAACTCTGGAAGGCCTCGATATCATAAGGACTAGCAAAGGAAAACTGGCGAGTAAGAGTGATGATCAGAGCCTGCGATCATCGTCAGCACGGAGCCGCGGGAAGTTCGTCGGGGGCACGTACCTTGATTTCAACCATGGCAAACGTCTTGCCAATGCAACTGCGCGGGCTACGGTTTGCATCAGCGTCAGCGCGCGGAGTCTGATAAATATAAGCTTACCCTTCGCTGAAGGCCAAGAGTTCTCTTCGCAACGATGTTTTTTCCTGTGAAGGCTCACCCCACCGCTCAGGTCGGAACATATTGGCGTCAGGTCCCCATATATGTTTGTCTGTGTGAAGAACGTTCACTGGAATTGAAATGATAGTTCCCTTGGGTATGACAAGCTGAGGCACATCGGCTCCTGGCAGCGGTTCGCTGAGGGATACGCTAATTGTCTCGGCGGCCTGTGGCAACGGAGATTGTGTAAGCGTCAAGAAGAGCACCGGAGTGAACATGCTTACCACATGATGGTTTTCCAGGATAGCAGGATGCAAGCGCAGCGTCTCCAGCAGAATAGCATCCAAAAGGGGGAACTTGTTCATCAATTGTTCATATGATGGATCACCCGGGAAAGACACTTCATCCCGCAACTGTTGTTGTACGTCAGGATGCACAGCAAGCTCGTACAGCACCCACTAGAGGATATGAGTATGTTAGTTAAGGAACCGCACGACCAAGGGACACGCTACGCACTGCAATGACAGCAGAGACTGTTTCGTACGCTGCAGATATGATCGTGCGCATCTGAGCTACTACGTATTCTTCTGTCATGTCAGGTCCGGTTGGAGAGCGAACTGTGGCTCGAAGTCAGCAGATAGAAGCCAAGGAAGTAAGTATAACTCTACTTACGCATCATAGCAAGCAGAGTGTTGCTGGCAGGGTCGTCAGCGGCGCGCGTGTCTGCCAAGAGCTGCGAGGAAATCTCCCCTAGCTCGCGCTTCGTCTGCCTGATCATGTTGCCTTTCTTTCCGATCTTGAGAATACTCGGGAACACCCAGAATAGCGCCCGCATGTAGAATGATGAGAGCCTATTTTCGTTGTTGGTCAGACCATCTAACGCCTCAGCTAAGCCATTGGGACCATCGGAGAGTGCCTTAAAGTCGAACGAGAATGCGGCACGCCCAATGGTGTCAAGGCTAGATGGTATGATGTATGAGTTAAACAGTGCTTTAGTGATATTGTTTTGTGAACTTACGCGAAGCGACCAGCCCAGTCGGTTACCTCGATCTCTGCGTAATCGAAGGTTGTTTGATCTAAAGTCTTCGACCAATAGGAAGCTACGATGGCAGAGGTCTCGTAAAAAACTGGAAGAAAATTGCGAACAGATTGCTGGCTATAGAACGGAATGAGCGATCGAGTCACACAGCCGGGGTCACAGTTCGACCCACCTCAATGCCGGGGCAATATGTCTACGATGTATTTCATGGTGGTCTTTGCCTGAAGGATATTGGTCAATAACTAATCAATAATCTTCAATGGCCTAAGCACCTTCAATCCACAATATGCCTTCTCCTACGAGCGCCTTGAACCAAGCACGTACGCCATGAGGTTTGGGGAAATTGTAGGCGGCCTCGCCAAGGATAAATGATATAGCCCGACGGTCGGTGATGGATAGGACGGGGTGCTATTTTCAACATGTCAACATCTGTTGATTGATTCGAGAAAAACAGCCATACCCCAAATGCACCAATAAGTTTCACGATCTTGCCGTAGCGTGCGTGCCAGTCGACATAATGGACACCTGGACTATCGTGATAGAGGAGCCACTCCACCCCCCAGATCGCTGAGGGCGAAGTTGGTCCAGGTACGTGGCGTAGTGCGAGCCGGGTGGCGAAGACATGACAGATGTGCCTCAACAGCGGGTAGGCAATGAGACAGAAGATACCGAAGAGAATACAGTAGGAGGGGGGGATTATGGCGAACATGTTGTTGTTAGGCAATAATCTCTTGAGTTCTGCTGGGTTTTATAGAAAGAAAATGAGTCACGGACTTGGCCATATTCCTGTGCAAGCTGTTAAAGACAGATTCGTACTATCTGGAGTCCAATGATGAGATTTCAGGACCAACACACGTTCCAGGCATATCCATTCGGGGCTTTGTCAGAAACGGACTACTGGGTGAGGCGTACATCGTCGGCAGCTAACAAGTCAAGGCGACACAGTAGGCCGACGTGGTCATTACCTTCCTTGAGTCAAAGAAGGTAACGGAGAAGAAAATCTGGATCGAAAGCGGCGTGACTTCGATCTGAAAATGCTAAGGCAAGGGATGCATGGGGGATACATCAAAAGTCGGCGTTCAACAAAGCAAGGAGATGATGTACAAGCCAGCAGCATCGCGTGTCGCCCCGCGGAAATCGCCAACCTTGGCTTCCGTCCTGTCTAGTGGAGTAGCCTGGCAAATTCCTATCGCGGTAGATGGAACGGATATGTTGAGTTTATCTTACATATTCCTGACGGGTTTTCCACTTGCAATTGACAAAGTTCCGTGCAAGCATTACCTCTGAAACCTTGACATTACGCATTTAGGCGATATATCCGTCGGGTGGCGATGCAACCAGTTCTTGTTCAGAGATAACGATTATTGGTGAGAGAAATTGCACAGGAAGACTGCCCCATCAGTGATACCGGTCGGACGCCCAGAAGAAACCGGGGCCGTGCGTGACTTCGTAGACCTGTAGTGTGATTCTTGACTATCGCAAAAGAAGCAGGACGCGACCAACAAGTAGCGGCGCCGTAATTTGCACGATGCGTAGATCGATTGTGGCAACGGCGCAGTGACGCTGTCGAAGTTGAGTTCAAGATTGGTTATGGGCGCTTGTGGACTTGGATTTTGACTACACGATCAAAATGACCACGTGTACAATTGACTGCTGAAACGATCCGAACTTCATTCACCTCGTCCATAACTTGCCAGCGCAGCTCGAACGACTTCTCCATCACATATAATCTGACGCGGGCGGGTCTGGTGTCCGGATAATTCTCTCCACCTTCCTTTCATTGCATGTCAGCGCGTCGCAAAGGAGCATCGGGCGCGAAGCTGTCCAAAACGGCACTTTCGGATTCCTCTGGGGACATGTTGGATCCAAGGGTCATGACTACCTCATTAGATGAAATACATATATCACCAAGAACACCGAGGATGGATCAGGATGGCGACGACGAGTTGGAGATGAACCTTCTGGGTGACGAAGAGAGACGTCGGGCAGCGCCTGGTTTCAATGGCTCGGCGAGAAGCCATGAGTCAGAAACCAAACGTGCAATATCCGTGCGGGACAAGCAAGGAATGGTCCTCCTGTGTGTTCTATGTCAGTGTACTATGTTTAGTGATTGTGAACCGCTGAAACTGAGACGGGAACGCCAATAGACCTTATTCAGGGAGTTCCGGTAAGTTCTTGGTCAGAACTATCGTATTTACGAGGGCTAAAGAAACACCATTTATTAGCTGGGGCTGGCTCTCGGTACGTTTCTAGGTAACGACCTTGTGCATTCATCTAACTGTTACTTAGGATCTGTCCCGTTTCTGCTCAAGGAGCACTTATCGTATTCCCAGCTTGGCACCTTTGCCTTGTCAAGCTACCCTTATTCGCTCAAATTGCTCTGGTCACCAATAGTTGATTCCGTGTTCTCAACGTCCATTGGCCGCCGAAAATCATGGATCATTCCTATGCAGCTCATCGTCGGTACCCTCATGATGTATATTTCCCTCAATGTGCAGAAACTTTTGGACGACGTAAGAACATAGTAATTCCATCAAGTAGCATAAGTCTAACTGGGGGCCCCGATAGCCCGGCAACTATGTCACCGAGCTGACAGTCGTATTCACCTCCCTCGTCTTCTTCTCGGCTACGCAAGGTGAGCGTACCCATCTTATCACCGAGTGTACGCCGCTCAACATGTTATATCGGTGCCCAGATATCGCCGTTGACGGTGAGCCTTCCTTCATCGTTGTAGTCAAGTCGCCGATTTAATATTTCTCATCCAGGTTGGGCACTTACCCTCCTTTCCCCTGACTGCTTGTCCTACGCGTCCACTTGCCAAACTATTGGTTTGAATACTGGATTCTTTGCCTCATTCACGGTTTTCTTGGCCTTTAATAGTGAAGAGTTCGCGTAAGTCACCCTCTACCAAACTACCCACTAGTGTTCATTTGCCATTAGCAAGAAATGGGGCGTACCACACCTCACTTTGAGCGGATACCTCAAATTCTGGAGCTTGATGTGCTACGCAGTGACGCTATGGCTCATTCTTTTCAAGAGAGAGGTCAGTCGATATGGCTCTTAACCGTATTTACTCATTCTGGACAACTGGGAAGGACAAGGAGGTTGTGACTGAAGCAGACATGAGTATCTCGGGCGTGTACAAGCAAATCTGGGCTATCTGCAAGTTAAAACGTTAGTGGAGCTTACTCGGGTTTCTATCATCCCTGACGCTTGCGTAGATGTGCAATCCCTTATCGTTGTCCATCTCTTTGCCAAAGTCGCTTTTGCCGCACACGAGGCTTCAACTTCTCTGAAGATGGTTGAGAAAGGCTTCAAGCGGGAGGATCTAGCGATAGCCGTCCTAATCGATTTCCCCTTCCAAATCGCTGGCGGTTGGCTTGCGGCCAAATGGTCTCGCGGTGACCGACCACTCCGTCCATGGATATACGCGTTTTGGCCCCGCATCGGCTTAGCTCTCGTAGCCACCGTGCTCATCAACTGGTTCCCTGCGCCGCCGATTTCCATGGGCTTTTTCATGTTCCTGATCCTTCACACCGTCCTCTCGTCTTTCGCTTCGTAGGTGTCTTTTCCTTGGCACACCTCCTGCCGCTGATATCATGTTTGAAAAGTACTGTACAATTTGTGGGAATCTCAGCCTTCCACACGAGGGTTTCTGACCCGTTAATCGGGGGCACCTATATGACGGTACGACAATATCACATCATCGACAGCCTAATCTTAGTTGTAATTGTACTAATCATGCTTTGGTAGCTCCTCAACACGTTCACCAATATGGGTGGTACCTGGCCGAAGTGGTTCGTCCTTAAAGGTGGGGATATTCATACTGCAGTTGTGGATAAACATTCAAACCTGCGTTTGTTGTCAGGAATCGACACTTTCACCATCGCGGAATGTAAACTTCCTGGAAGTAACCTTGAATTAAAATCAAAAGGTCAGTCCTTCCATACGCCTTCGTCTCTATGTTGGTGTAACGCCAGTCTTTAATAGTTCTAGAGTGTGTTACCGAAACTGGCAAAACAACTTGCAAACAGCTTAGTGGCGAGTGTGTTATCCAGCGCGATGGATACTACATAGTATCCGCAATTTGTATGGTGTTCGGTATCACCTTCTTGCTCGCCTACATCATTCCAACAGCTCGGAAGCTCCAAGGTGCGCTGTTTACAGCAGAAAAACACACAGGATACTGATATTGGCCCTACAGCACTTCCGACTTCGAAATGGCGAATCAAAATGCAGTAGATACTTGGGACTCGCGTTGTGTGCTTTGTTTTCTTGTAATGGCCTACATTGCCGTAGATGAGCAGTTGCTGTCTATCAAACCTGCCCTAAGGTCAGGAGGAACTCATTGAATATAATTGCACGTGTGAACTTGGCGCCAAAGCGTTTGTACCGCAAACAGCAGAATTTTCCAAGCACAAAGCTCATTAGCTACCAGCAACTCCACATACTTCTTGAAACCACCAAGTCGTCGCACAGCAGATATGTCTAGCACTACCATGCACTTTGGCCCCGAATGGATGCGCACAAAGCACCAGCCAGCAGCGAGACCACAGCGTCCGCCTTCTCCGACGCCCAATAATCTTCCCATTGCAACCGGCGCGTCGACATACTCTGCCCTGGTATCTCCTGCGGCCCCGCCACAGCCCGACCAACCAGATGAAACACACCCATTTCGATATTCCAGGGAGGAAATGCTTAGGATCTATAAAGAATGTCAAGGTAGAGGCGTCTTGGGTATTGAAGTGGAGAGGTGGGAGGGAGTCGTGAGGGATATTGCAACAGACCCGGTGGCATGCAAAGAAATGGATGAAGCAGAGAAGAAGGTTAGAAAATCCCCTTTGACTTGTCCCCCTCCCATTCATCATACAAGTTTCCTTCTGTAGCTTTTTGCAGCCCCTCTTAACTCTGAAATTCGTAGACGCCAGTCAACTACTGATCACCCGACCTTCTTGTCCACAACAACTACAGGGCTGGAGCGTCCTCGGTTAGGCCACTCTAATACAACAGCTGCAGCAAGCCCTCACAGAGACAGATTCGGGGTGTTAATGGGGCGGAGAAGGGACTCAGGTATTCACGTAGAGACTTTCTCCAAAAACGTGCTCTTTGACGCTTGCGAATTCCTTAGATGCACCATCTTTGACGATACCGGGACGGAAGGTGTCGGGAGCTCTGCCGTCGCCCCGTGATGGAGGCCTCGTGTCCCCTCGTTCTCGCTCTGGATTCGACGGTGTGTTAAGTGGCTCTGGAGAAGGTTGGTTAGCACGTCGCAAGGCATCAGAGAGCAAGCAACTGGATCCTGGCGACGCATCTGCTGAAAAGAAACCCTCTGGGGCAGAAGACTCGACAGCACGTACCGACGAGGGAGGCCTCAAACCAAACGGAAATCATTCATCGTCAACAACAGAACACGGTTCATCAATAAGTGATACCTCCCAGATGACTCAAGCCGAGGATCATGGCCTGAGCAACGGCGTACGCGACTTGTCGCTGGAAGAGACTAATGGTACTAGCGCTATTAGTGCAGTCGAGGGGGGCTCATCTAGTACCTCTGCGCAAGATTCGGTAGATCTTGCCAGCGTAGAGTGGTCATATTTAGATCCTCAAGGTCAAGTTCAAGGTAAGTTTCCAGTCCCTCTTGCTGTTAGTTTCGTATTCAAGATGTTTAACAGGTCCCTTCCGGGCTGATACAATGCAAAAATGGTACGACGATGGCTATTTCACGCCCGACCTTCCTACGAAGCGAACCCAGTCCGATGCAAACTGGATACGTGTCGATGAGCTGGTAATCAAGGCGCGAGGGGGCAAACCATTCTTGTCACCGCCGGAGTCGCCACCACCGCCTCCCCCTGGCCTCATGCGACACGCGGGCGCGCCCCCCAATAGTATTGGCATACCGTTAGCGAACAATTCCTTTAGTCAACCATTCCAACCAGCTCCTTTAGCGAACCTTCGTACCTCAACTCTTGACTCATTCCTGACCAACGGTGCGGGCTTCGCAGAATCTCCTTCGTCTGCTTTCAGCGCTGGCCGATTTGGCAACAATTCCCCTGATGCCATTGGTGGTAGAACATCTAGTAGGGGATCGTATACTATGGGTGACCCCTCGGTGGGCGTGCGGCCTGTAGGTTATGCTACCGTCCCAGAGTCTTCAGTTACGTATCCGCCCGTTCGTCGAGAACTATATGATATAGATCCCACCTATGGTGTGAGATCTCAACAACCTTATGGCAATACCGCGCCTGGACGGCCCGCAGACATGTACGGTTTCAACGGGGGATACCAACCGAATCAATGGTCGACCTCGATAACCGATCCATCCATTGCAAACGGCTATGAAGTATATGGAGTGCGTGCGGGGCCAGAAATGTCTTTGCCAGCCAGTTACTCTGCTCCTGGCGGTATACCGGGTTCGAGCCAGCCTTCAATGATGCACATGCATCCGCCACCACAAGAAAACGGCTTCAACAACATGAACCCCAATGTCCCTTTTGGAAATACCAACTTTGCTTCACCCGCGGTACCCCCGGTCGATTCCAACGGCGTGTCATATACAGGCCACTTACCACCCATACCTTCGCAGATCCCCATATCTACGCCACCTTCCGCCACCGATAACATCCCCGTTCCGGTGCAACCCACTGAACCGAGCAACGAGTCCGCTGTTGCGCCAGCTCCTTGGAAAAAACCCGCAGACTCTACACCTCGCCCGAGTCCATTTGACGCGCTTCATCCAAAAGCTACGAATACCGCCCCCGCTGCACCCGTCCCCGTTTCTCAGCCCTCCGCATGGAAGCGCAATCCACCCCCTTCCCAATCCAACCAGTCAAATTCGCATGTCAATGATCCTTCGCCGTGGTTTGCGGCATCGCATGTTGCTGAAGATGATGCTTGGAAAGAACCCACTGGGCCGAACAGCCTTACCTTTAGTAATATCGTACAACATAATAATCAGCAGCAGCAGCTAGCGGCCGAAAACAACACTCCTTCTGTCACCCAGACGGCGCAACCACCCGTCGCCACACCCAAACCGTCCATGCCCGCCGAAACTCCAGCTGCACCCGCCGCTGCGGTGGCTCCCATCGGTAATGCGAAATCTCGGAGAAAGAGTACCTCTCAACAGGCTCAGAAACCCGCTGCTGCTCCAGCTGCTCCAGTACCCTCTTTACCAACCAAGAGTCCGTCGCCGCCGCCATCCACGCTATCCGCAGGAGCGAAGCAACCTGCTTGGGCAACGGAAGAGGATTCGAAGAAAAGCAAGCCATCGAGTGTATCTTTGAGCTTGAGGGAAATTCAAGAGGCAGAAGCTAAGAAGGCAGAAGCTCGCAAGGCTGCTGAACGCGAGAAGGAACGGGCTGCAAGAGCTATTGCGGTAGTTGACGAGGCTCAACCATTTTCAGCCTCTTGGGGTTTGCCCACGTCTCAAACTGGTTCTCGTAGTAATCTTTTGGGCAAAGAAGTGTTAGCTGGAGCCGCCGCCAGCAGCTCAGCGCCAACTACGCCTCCCGTTTGGACCACTGCAGTGAAGCCTCCTTCGACCAAGAAGACGATGAAGGAAATCCAGGACGAAGAAGAGCGTCGTAAGAAGCTCGCTGTCAAAGAGACGGCCGCGGCAGCCTTGAAAAGAGGGTATGCTGAAAGCACCACTAAGGTTTGATCCTCCCGTAGTTTGCCCGTCTTTCGCTGCTGATGCAACTGGTGTTGATAGGCCACAAGTCCTGCTCAACCGCCAGCCCAAGCGAGCAACGCATGGTCTGTTGTAGGGCCAAGTGGAAAGGCCGTTCCAGGTGCTGCTCCTGCCCGTCCTCCGATCACTCCCGCGGCTTCTCATGCCCCCGCCGCACCTGCGCCTACTCCTCGACCCAATGGCATAACTACTACCAGACCTAGCGCGGCTTCAGTTGCTAAAGCTGCCTCCAAGATTGATGACTACCCTGTGAACCCATCACACGACTTCTTGAAATGGCTGAGCGATTCGCTGAAAGGCCTCAGCAGCACCGTCAATGGTACGGTCACAGTAATCCTTTAACACTGCTTTTTAATTGACGTATTCCCCAGTCGAAGAAATCATGCAAATGCTCTTGTCGTTCCCCCTTGATCCAGATCCCTCGACGACCGAGATCATCTCCGACCTCATCTACGCCCATAGCACCACTCTTGACGGCAGACGCTTTTCAGCCGAGTTCATAAGTAAGCGCAAAGCTGACGTGGCTTCCCGTCCGAAGACCAACGTCAATGGCAACGCCATGAGTAAGCCGGTATCGATTGCAGACGTCGTAAAGGCCCAACCGAAGCCGACCCAGCCCGAGTGGGGAGGCTTCAAGGTCGTCAACAAGAAGAAGAAAGGTGGACGAGCATAATTCATGTATAGTTCCTTGTGCGACTCGACGCGCATCCACAAACTACACATTATCTATCCATAGCGTAATGAAAGTCATATCTTGTACAAGTACACCCTTATCCTTACAAGAACTCGGTGGTAATACCTTCATGAAGTTTGTAAAGTTTGCGAAGGTCGCTGTGTTTTATCGCAAGAGTCGGCAAGACGTATTTACTTTAGTTAATTGCCTACCATTATCAACTCTCACATATCTCGGTTGCAGAGTACTATTTGTGGTGTAGCTTAGTGCCGTCGTTGTTGTCGACTGGTCGTTGAGATCTGGATAACTTCCGATCCGGTCAAAATTCGAATACAACGTCTATCCTTGTATTCGAAACGCTGCATGTTCATAACTACTGGATTTCATGGCTCGGAACATCGAGAGTACGACCTTCTCTGGAGCTTTGATGGGCAAGCTCTACCATCTCTATCACATTCGTTGCGTCTTCCCATTTGATCTTAGGAGCCGCACCATCTCTAATAACGGCCGCAAGGTTCTTAAACAGATCGATATACGCTCCCGGATCAGTGGATGGCCAGCTGCGTATCAAGGGATTAGCATAAAACAATCTTGTGGGCAGGAGTGTACATGCACGCACATATCTGTAGTGATCTGGTCATCGTCTCCGATGGTTTCTACTAAACCCCAAAGAGATTCGGGTTCCTTGCCAAACCCTTCTGCGTGGATCTCAGTGTATGGGTCGTTTAACGTCTTCAGTTGGCTTTCCTGGACGTCCCCTCCGTATTTGGTGTACGAACCCTTTGTCCCACGGACGAGAAAGCGTAGCTGCGTTGAACGGACGGAGAGGATCTGAGCGCGAAGAATAGCAGTCACCGCGGGATAATGCATATACACGGAGAACTACAAACAGGAAGCAAATGTGTGCAAGTGCAATATCCACGCGTTGGGACGCACTGTATCGTCTACATCCGGGTGTCCTATACCTCTTGCATTTTGGACGAATGCTGTCAGCCTCAGCGGGCGGCCGAAAAGGGTGAGAGCTTGATCAATGATGTGGGTCCCTAGGTCATACAGTTGGCCATTGGCTGGAAGGGGGTGATCTTTCCAGGTTCCCTTTAACACCCTTCGATACCGGTCGTAACTTTTGCAAATTTGTTGGATTGACATTAATCCGGCACAAAAGTAAAGGACCACCTACTGGGCCTCAAACTCGACTATTGTCCCTAATGACCTAGGATCAGAACTTGGGAGCTCGAGTAGTTTCTTGAGAGCAAGGAAGTCTGAATTCCACCGGGCGTTCTGGTACGGATAGATGACCAGATTCTGTGACTTGGCTAGGTGTCCTAGCTCACGAGCTTGCTCTGCTGTCGCAGTTACGGGCTTGTCTACAAGGACTGATAGCGCACTGTGTAACGTGCTAAACACAATGTCGCGCAAGCCTTTGCTCACCGTGCTTGCCGCTTTCCAGGATTCGTTGTGCAAATTCATAATGGGTGTGGCTCGGAGTCGCGACGATCACTAGTTCGATCTCAGGGTCGGCCAATACGTCGTCCAAGGATCGGTGTATTTTGGCGGTTACACCGAACCGTTCGTGAACTTTACCGCCAAGAGTGCTTGGGTTGCGCTCAAGTACAGAGTGAAGGGTGAAGAGGTCTCGGAGTGCGAGAATGAAAGGTATATGGAAAGTCAAGCCGCCTAAACCGACCCCGAGGACGCAGGTGTTGATAGGTGTCACGGTCATCGTCGTGGGCGATAATACGAGTAGACACAATGTGGGAGCGTAGAAAGCAGATAAGATAACGATGCGTGATGGAGAAACGGTTTGCTTCCAGGAGCGTTACCAGAATGGAAGTTGCACTCAGAGAAACAGATTACCTGCTGACCAACATCGAATAACAACCACGGTTCTTCTATCCGGAATCGAAGGGTTCACAACTGACCATGATGTAGGCTGTTTTGCGCTGTTTCGTATTCCATACAACATCGAATACATTCAGGTTTTTTTTGCTCCATGTGCTTCCACACGGAGATGCTGGAGCATCACGATGGGGGGCAGTATACACCGATTGGAGTGGGCTTCCATTTACTGCGCTCATCTAGAATCCTCCAACCCGCTGCCGCGTTCGCCGAAGTCGTCCCTTCTTTCACCGGTGCAGCCGTCTGTGCACCGGCGCGCAAGGAAGAAGCACTGCCATCGTATGTGTCGTCGACCGAGGTCAGGGTGTCAAGACGATGCGCCATGACCTCGAGATCATCAGGACGCCACTCCTACGAACATGGGCAGAAATTAGGTTGAAGTTCGCATGAATCCGTGTGTTTTGAATTGCTTTACCGTAAATACATTCGGAGGTAGGCGGGCGCGCTCACTGAGTGCAGAGTACGTGTCTACCAGATCTTGATCACCTTCACACAGAGTTTGGAGAAGTGCGAAAATGCTGGTTCCATACTTTGAGAACAGCGAAGAACAGGATAATTGCCACAGCACTCACGGTTTCGTCGCCCTGTCGGTCCCTGCGCCAGGCATTATGGCCTGAAGCAAAATAGCTATAATGTCTCTTCGCAAACCGGAATCCTGACGGCCATCGGAAGTTCCATTATTATTATCCACGATCCAAGCCGCCCAGCGGGCGAGACACAGGCTATGTGAAGTGCTTGATCTTGTGTCGCCTGAGACGAGAAATGATGCGGTCCTTTCGCACAATACACGGGGCAGATCAGCATGGTACTGGAATAGATGTGCCAATAATGGTGTCCATAGGGAGATGGAAGACACGGGCGGGTAAAATGTATCCTCTGGGAAGACTCTTTTCCTATACACAAGGTTCGTCAGGCTGTACTTCGAAAGTTTTAGAAGATCGAGATTACTTCTTCGAAAGTGGAACGAGCACGCTTTTGAGCAGAAGTACGTCGCTCAGCCTATCCAGTGCCCATTTCTCCCGAGGGTCTTCATCCTCTGCAGTCTCGCTCCAGTCAATTCCTCCGATCGCGATATTCGCTGCAACCTTTGCATCCGCTATCCACCCTTCAATTTCTTTCAGGACGGTCGATAAATTCGCCTTATACCGAGTGCGCAGCGACGCATCGCGCAACGTTGCTTTTACGAGTGTTTTGTAGCGTTTAAGTAGTGGTAGAAGGGGAGGAAGAGTTTTTGGTTGAGGTTCCGCAGATGTCGAGTGGTTCAGTATCGGGAGGAAGTAGTTGTTGAGCAGCCATGTCAAAGACTATTATTCGAGTAAATACACGCCTGACACACGATATGGTACTAACTTCTCTGGAAGCCTGTCGTAAGAGCTCAAGACTTGGTAGATCTTCATGCGTTGCAGCATGCCTCAGCTCTACTAACCATGCGGGCAAGCCCAGCTGCGCAGCTATTGCAGCTATAGACCTGGCGTACACTCCGAGTTGTAGGGGATCCACAAGTCCATTCACAAGTCTAATCAAAGCTGCTGCGTAGCTCTGGCGCAAGGACAGATACGAAGATGAGTTCGTTTGTGAGTTATCTTGCTGTGTCACGGCCAGCAGGGCTAATGTCGAGTCCAATGCGTGCGGTAGGGCGGTCGTGGCCTTCCATGCTGACAGCTGCAAGCCGTTGTTAACAACGCAAATGACTGAAAATACCAATACGCACCGTTTGAATGGCCAAGATTTTCGATTCCTCAGAGTCGTCGTAGTAAATCCAGATGCAAACCTGATTAAGGTCGTCCAGCGAACCCCAGGGTACTCTCCGTGGAAGCCTCATCGTCTTTGAATCGAACAAACTTCATCCGGTGTGAAAACCACTGAGGCGCTTATCTGAGCCTGAAGCGTTCGAGATTAGATTAGATAAAATTATGCGCCATGTGTGATGCAAGTTCAACTTTTCAACCAAGTTCAACTTGAACCCTTCCATTTACCTCCCGCGACACCCCGTCCCATTTACGCCACTTAACGACCCAAAATCTACGAGAAAACGACCCAAACACTTGAATTTACGAGATACCAATATCGGACTATAATCTAACAGAATGCCTCTTGACGAGCGCGGCCAGATTGCGGCGGCAGAAATTGGGTTCTATGTGCCCATTGCCGCGATCACTATTGTTCTGATGGGCCGCTACGCGTTACGACGCGATGCAGGCTGGTTATTCCTGTTTCTGCATTCCCTAGGTATGCACAAATCATATCTTTATTTTTCTGGGCAGCATGAACTGACCTATTCGTCGGGTAGTTCGGATTGCCAATGGAGCGTTACTATTGGCAGGCCAACTGGTGGAACCTACAATGATCACTCTATTCAGGGCAGCGTATGCATTGGATGTTGCGGCACCTGCATTTCTCTCCCTAGCCATCATAGGCTTCCTTGGCCTCGTGTACGTCGTCCTCCACTTCGTCCTTGGTTCACGATCTTCACGGCCCCCCCAGCGGTCAGCACTCTTTCAGCGAGAGCAATCGAACTATACGATCCTTCAGAGTCATTGCCATACTCGCACTCGCCGCACTAGCTATATCCGTAGCTGGAGCTGTTCAATCGAACGACCCCAGCAGCGAAAGCGCTCAAAATATTGGAAAGATCTTACGCGAAGTGGGGGCTATCATATACGCTGCGTTATGGGTTATCCTATTCTTCACGCATCTCGTTTGCTACTCGTATCGCTATACCCTTCGGCCAGAGCGCAGACCGGTGCGTAGGATGTTCCGCACTTCTGATCCATTGATATTGATATTGTTCTCCTTCCTAAAAGCTGCTCCGAGGGATCACGTTGGCGCTTCTGTTCCTTGGCACGCGTGCTGCGTACAGCATCCTCAACGCATGGTCAGCCGACGACGAGCTCGGGCTTCGACCGTCATCAAATCCTACTCTACGACGGTTTAACACTGCAACCGGCGACTGGATTCCATGGCTAGTGATGGACCTGATAATGGAGTATGGGTTAGTTGTGATCTGTCTTCTGGCGAGTACAATCATCCCAAGGCGGTGGTACGGAAAATTTTAATGATACTCACACTGTATCCGCGTGGGGACCATGTACTTGTAGGTAGAATCCGTAGTAAATTATGACGCGAAATCTTTCATGAAGAATGCAAATTTCAAAACGATGATAGCTGTTATCTAGTAGAGAGGGGTATATTATGGATGATACAGATACAGACATGGCTGTGCAAGCGAGGGACTAGGATCAGAATGTAAATATGAAATTACATGATGGTGGAGTACAATGCTGGGAACGCGAGAATTCAGACACAACAAAATGGTCAACGGTCCACAACCAAGATAGCATTCGGGTCTTGGCCATGCTGCCAGGAAAATGAGGATGAGCCGTAACCGGCATCTATCACAACGTAAGGTCAGCAACTTCAAGGCACCAGGCCAGTGAGCACCAACCGGTTGCAGTATGAGATGGGTATGTCATCTGCATAATGGTTGTATCCAATAGAACCTGATCATGCGATGTCGTCCGCCGCATCGAAGGCTGGCGGCTGAAGAGATGGCTCATGCTTAAAATGAGACGAGCACCCTGGATAAGGATGCCTGGTCAGTGGTGTACTTTTCGAACAAGATGAAACACGCACAGCGAATGGAGGAATAGCGATGATCCATCTAAGTTAACCCAATCAACAGCGATCAGTTCGGCATTCTCCTCACGATCATGGAAGCCTTGAGATGAGCGTATGGTACTTACGAGTATGCAACGCTTGCAATAGCTCCTTTGAGTAGGGCCATGCAAAGCGTGTTGACGGTCAAGATGACTATGAATTGAGTTCCATTAGTACAACGCCGAGCAAGCAAGGCTAAGAGGCGAAATGAAAGGGTTAATAGGTACGGCCACTTACCAAAGGGGGCACCAAACGCCCATATGCCGTGACTCATGAACCGGGAGATTACAGGCTGCCTGCCCCATCCATCACGGAGGGCTTGATAGAACTTGACCATTGTAAGGACAAACAGAAGGCTTTCATACAAAATAGGGGGGATTCTGTGAGAATGTAAGAGTTCGTTCGAAGCGGACGCAGGCGGTTGAGTTCGCGGGGAAAGGGATTTGGGAACTGCGCGAGCAAGACTCGAAGAGGAACACGCACAGAAACCCGGTGGCCGTGATCGGAAACCCAGTGATCACGCAATGTACTCCGTAATCCATGCTGCTCAACGAGATACCGAAGAAAACGGTCATCAAAACGACTTCGGCGAGGAAGAGTACGCTGAGAAAGGTGCGAAGCCAACGAACACGATTGTATAGGGCGATGACTGCGAAGAGCAAATGATGGTAGATGGTCTTCGGACGTTGGAAATCACGTACCTCTCAGAACAAGTAAGACCTGTACACCCATCATCAAGGCTTGACTGGAGATGGCTTGGAAAGATAGCAAGAGTAGGCAAACAGAACGACCTGGATACAGTGGCGCAGCTAATCCTAATGTGAGGATCGTGGCAATCCTGTCATAATTAACAAGCACCGAGGAGGAGATAAGTAGGGCAAGATTAGCATGGAAACAAGGAACAAGGTCGCCCACATACACTTGGGCTATGAGAGAAAAGTATCTGAGGAAGATGTACAAGAACTTTAACCTCGTCCATGCGCTCCTGATGACGGGGAGCTGAGTGCAAAAGGGTGTGCGACAGCGAAAGACACTCACAGCCAGATTTGTTCCACCTGAATGAACGTTAGTGTACCACGCAGACTAACCGAGTAGTTTGCGCCTCACCTCGTCCTCGAAGGACACGACTATGTCCCAGACCGTGAATGCAAGTGCTGCCACTGAAAGAGACCATGATAAGAACGAGACTAGGAAAAGGACTTCGACTCACTTGCGCTGTAATTGCAGGACTGCAGCCCCCGCAGTTGGTCATCCTGCACTATTGCAGCAAACACCATCTGCTAAGCACGACTACAGGGCAACCATGGATATCGCAGACAATCGCTCAAAACGTCAATAGGCTTTATATCTCAGTTCCAAGACTGTGTCCGATCAATTCCATGCTCGAACCCTGGCTTTGGAAAAATTTACGAAGATCCCCGGCCCCCCTATCGGCGTTTGTTCATCAGCCCTACCGTGCTTTGAAATGGGGCGATGCAATTAGGCAGTGATCTTAGAGCGAAACATTGTACGGCATCCGAACAACCGCCTGTGAACCACATTGCACACATTAGCTGCATTGCAAAGCGGTGGACGAGCATTGTGTATATATATTAGGAGAGAGGAAACAAACAACAAAGAATGTACTAGCCGCATAGTCAAGCACCTCCCACTCCACCGTCGAAACCCTGGAAGCCGAAAAACAAAGCTGGGAGGCGCTCCGGCTTAATTGAGCTACGAGTTTGTCTTCCCCTCCAGGTATACCCATGTCGTCTGGAATCAAACTGAGTTACCACGTCGAAGCGTTTGCGCTGGCGTAGTGGTGGTCGGGGTGTAAGAGGTCAGAATGACCGAGCGACGCGAAGATGTCCATTGATTACGTCAGGCACTCTCACGATGTCACATGGGTTACGCTATGGGATGCAGTGACGATCGGTAAACCGCCTTCTATAGGTCTATAGGGGGCAGGGTCACAAAATGCCGGACCTCCGGTTCCACTGGTTGACGATCCATGTTATCACGCCTCCGTCTGTTAGCTCACCAACTCAACAAAGCCAAGATGACCACTGCATCAACCACCGTGCACAACACGAACAAGGCTTGCTGCTCGATCCCCCCGGTGATCGACCACGACTACACGCCCAAAGGGAAGTTCACCTCGCACGGAGACTTTCAGAAAGTCTACGTGACCGGTCCTGATGAGAGTGATAACGCCATTGTCTGCGTCTTTGATATCTTCGGGTGAGTATTATATACCGTGCTAATATACTCCAATGCTAACGAACGTAACTTAGATTCTTCCCGCAGACCCAGCAGGGCGCGGATATCATCGCAACGGCACTGAAGACCAAGGTCTACATGCCCGATTTCTTCGAGCCCGATAGCGCGTTTCCGATCGACGGGTTCCCACCAAAGTCTGACGCAGACAAGCAAGCCCTGCAAGACTTCTTTGGTGGCCCCGCCAACCCTCAGAGAACAAAGGAGAAACTTGAAGCTTTCGGTAAGTTGCTCAAGAACGACGGTGCTAAACGACTTGGCGTGTATGGCTTCTGCTGGGGTATGTGCGTGTCGTACTTCCTAACGTATGGCTGTCAAGACTGGTTCCACAGGTGGAAAGGTTGTCGTCATTAGCTCTGGCGAAGGCACACCGTTTGATGCCTCGTCTATCGTCCATCCAGCGTAGGTCGCCTCACACTCCATTTAGCCCCATTCCCACAGGAGTATCTTCAGAATGTTGTCTGCCGACGACGCTTCCAAATTAACGGTCCCCTTGGCCATCTATATCTCTCAAGACGAGCCCGTTGATGAGGTTAGTCCCGAGTTGATGTCTTGCAGTTGGGAAATAATTGTTCTTCCAGTACACCAAAATCGTAGACATTCTAAGCAAAAAGCCGTTCTCAGCTCAATGCGACTCCAAAAACTACGATTATATGTATGTCCAGCATCACCTATGCTCTCACCGTCATGATGACGTCTACTCAGGTTTCACGGGTGGGCCGCAGCACGCGGTAACTTGAAGAACGAAGATAATCGCAAAGCGTATGCCATCACAACTTGCCGTTGCTACGCGAGCCCTAACTTTGCCCCACAGATACGAAGAAGTATATGGCAAACTCGTCAATTACTTCCAGAACACGCTGGGAGCCAAGTCCATGCTCTAGGGCGATATTACATAGTTAATTGTTACATACATCAAGTGTGTTACATAAAGTCGTTAGCTTCGTCGAGCGGTCGTGTAGGTTTCCAGAACCAGAACGGACCTGTGCGAGATATCAGTAACTGACGAACGCCTTCCGGAAATTGCTCACCAGCTGGATCACCTGGATAGATGGCGAGTAGTCAGCGTCTGTAAGTTCAACGCACAAACATCGACAAACCTTCGTCATGGGTATCGGACGTCCATACGCCGACAACGCCCATAGCACTGTTCACATGCCCGATCTGCACACCTTCCGAGCTACAGAAACAAAGTCAGTCCACCCTGCGAAATCGTTGGGAACGAGGGATACAAACACAAACCTCCACTGCGCATGTCCATCGTAGATAGAAACCTTAAGAGTTCAGGTCAAATTAATTAGTACCAAGGGCATAAGGGTAATCAACATGGCGACTGACAAATCTCCAAAGCGGCACCTTGTCGACACCGAGTCTGACATTGCCTTCGATAGTGGCCTCGTTTCCTATGGAGCCTCTAGAAGATCCGGTGAAGTACAATGTGGGGTAGCGTGGGTCGCTGGTCGACGAAACCGATTCCCCACCCTGCTCCTCCGCGATGTCGTACCCCGCATCCATCGACCCTCGAAATTTGAGCTTGTCCGGGGAGGTTAGTTTTAAGTCGAGGCGGATGAGGCGAGTAGCTTCGCGAAAAGACGGGTCGTTGAAGTAGGCTGGGTTGCGGGGACCGCCGTACATTGACGTGAACTACATGAAGAAGGGGGGTTGGACTCGAAGACATCAATAGGAATGGGGCGGCGGCACTAACGTTGAATGCTAGGAATACGGTGAGAAGGGGGGTAGATCAAATGAACAAACGTACACACCAAATAGCTCCCTTGTGGCGGAGGAGACATATACTATTAATCGCCGACCGTTTGGATAACCTCCCAACTCACTCACCTGTAATCCATGAAACAGACATATCTCGCCCATGAACCTACAATATGTGATTGATTAGTCTATCCTACAGGTGTGCAATTAGGGAGTTACCCACCCTCGACTCCTGCCCAATCAACGGGATTATGAGTCTCCGTAGATGATGAATTCGCTCGAAGGAACTCGAGATTCACGGGCGGGGCGACTTCTTGCGCCCACTGATGGGGGATCTCACGTATATTGGATTGGACTACGTTCATCAGCGCCTCAACATGCACCCAATTGACCCTCCGCTTCGGCGAATACAGATACGGGCCGTAATGGTTGCGTTCCTTATAGTGCTCTAAATTATACGTATACGTCCTGCTGCCAGTACGTCTGGCTTCCAGGCGGGAGTAGACCGACCGCAGCTTCGGGCCGTGCGTGGCTGAATCGATTCCCAAAGCTACGTACGCCCGCAGTTGTGCCTCTAGTTGGTACTCGTCGGACCAGTGCTGATGTGTCGTGATGATCTTGGAATTTCGGAGTGTGAGCGAAAGCCAGACGGCGTTCCGAGATGTATCGTCTTCTTTGGGATCAATCAACGGGGGGATGTCCCAAACGACAGATAAGAATGCCTCCAGAACGTCTTTGCGGCTGAGCTGTGGCACATCTTTGCCATGGGCTACTTGTGCAGCTTGATAGCGTCGAATGAGGACCCCTCGCCAATTGTAGACGGCGCTTGTGTCAGCTTTGTCACCGATCCGAAAGGCCTTCCACGGGTCATCGAACTTCGTCAAGAAAAGTCTGCGCCAAAGTTGCGGCGGCGGGGGGTCGTGCACAATTCGATAAGCTCCCCAGCATGTCTCCGAGAACGATACAACATCCTTCACCCGACACATGGAGAGCGCATGCTCTGCAATTTCAGGGGGAATAATGGCGAGGATGCTGAGGCTCGTCGAGGCCATGGAAGCACGTAAGACAGAAGTGGGAACAGGGAATTTCGTGGATCTGTCATGCTATACGGCAATACCGGCCGCTGCTCTCTAAGACATATCATTGATTCAGGGGGCTTTGTCAGCAACCTCAGTAGCAGCGCGCGCGCGACAAAAGTTGCGTGTTGCCGACCCCGTTTCCCTTCAATATGAAGGTATTGACCCATCTTTGTCTGCTCATTGGGGCCTCGAATGCCTTCGAGTTCCCATTTGCCATCCCATTCTTCTCCGCAAAAGTCCCGTCCGTCCAAGTTGATTCTCCTCCGTTAAATGTGACCCCACGAATTGCTATCATCGGGGCAGGAGCAGGGGGATCGTCGGCTGCATTCTGGATATCGAAAGCAAAGGAACGGTTTGGCTTGGACGTGGAGGTTGACGTGTATGAGCAATCGTCGTATATTGGCGGTCGTGAGTGCGCCGCTTACCTCATCTCTTCATCGTGCTTCCCGACGTTCCAGGCAGCACCGTTGTCTACCCTCACGACGACACAAGTCTACCACACATCGAGCTTGGTGCTTCTATCTTCGTAAACGCGAACAAAAACATGTGGAGAGCGTCGGAGGAGTTCAACCTTACACGCGACGACTTCAGCGCGGAGGACAACGACCTAGGAGTTTGGGATGGCGAGAACATACTGCTCTCTGTGAGTACGTGTCACTACCGTAGCGCGAAAACAACTAAACTCTTGTAGTTTGCTGGTGGATGGTGGGACACGCTCAAGCTCATGTGGCGATACGGCGTGCTCTCTCCTAAACGCGCCCAAACTATGTGGGTATTCCAATGATGTATCTGCCTGCCACCGTCCTGACCCTGGTCTAGTGTTGATCGCATGGTTGCCCAATTTCAACGCCTGTATTCGGACAAGACGCTGAATTGGGACAACATTCAAGATATAGCGAGCTCGTTTGGCTGGGATGAGCTAGTCGCGCAGACTGCGAGCGAGTACTTGCAAAGCAAGGGAATAACAAGGAAATACGCGCATGAGTTTGTTGAGGCTACAACACGTGTGAACTATGGCCAAGTGAGATATTAAGCTTTCGAACTAGGTTTTAGTTGACAACTAATGACCTTCTGTTAGAATGCTGACTTCATCCATATGCTCGGAGGTGCTGTCGGTCTTGCCGCTACTGGTGCTGTGGGAATCAAAGGAGGGAATTTCTTGGTCTTTGAGCAGTTTTTGAAAAGGTCAGGCGCCAATGGGCACTTGAATACGACTGTGAGTACGATAGGGCAATGTAGTTGGAGTGCTGACTTGCTGTTTATGCAGGTCCTGAGCATTACCCACCACGATTCATCCCACGACTGGACGGTTGAGACCACGTCTGGCACCAAACGCTATAGAGGCGTAATTCTCGCAGCACCCTACCATTCCTCGAAAATACAACTCCCTTCTACGCTCGCCTCCCAAATCAAACCCCAGCCATATGTCCACCTACACGTTACCCTCCTTACTACCAACTCTTCTACATTCAACCCAACGTACTTTAACTTGCCGCTGTCTTCCAAAGTCCCGGGGATGATGCTCACGACCGATGAAAATAGACGGCAGGGTGGTAGGGGCCCCGAGTTCAACTCGATTTCATATCATGGTAAAGCCGGCGAGAACGAGTGGGCGGTGAAGATATTCTCCAAAGAGAGGGTGTCGGACGAATGGTTGGAGAGAATATTCCCAGGTTCGGTGACCTGGGTGTTTAGAAAAGAGGTGAGCTGCCTGCCCTTTTCTCTCGATGTCGATGACCGCTTAACGATACGATCAAGTGGGATGCTTACCCCGAACTCCCACCCACGGACTCATTCCCGCCTGTAAAACTCGACACTGGTTTCTACTACGTCAATGCTTTCGAACCGTGCGTATTTCCCTTCTCGTTCTACCTCGCATTAACAAACTTGAATTTGACAGGTTAATGTCAACTATGGAAACCGAAACAATCTCAGCACGTAACATTGTCGATTTATTGCTCAACGAGCGATTTGGCTCGAGCATCTGCGGACGCCGACTATCAGCTCATGCCGAGGAGGACTCAGGGACTTCTGCTCAAGCACCGCTTTCATCTTCGAACACCGATACAGACTTCGTCTATGGTTGGGATTGCTGAACAACTTCATCGTGCTTTCGTGTTCTTGCTGTGCGGTGTATATCTTTTGTATTTATCTAACTCGTTGATGACTCGTATATCTTGATGTCGCAGTACTACTGTGACCATGTCTTATTTTGAATACACGATTTTTCCAACCTAGTGATACTGCTGCTACTGCATTGCAGCATGAAAACGAACAAATGAATGATAACGATTATATAGACTCCACTCTCTATGCTACCCGCCCATAAGAAAGAAAGCATGTCTCTCTAGGAGACACCTCAGCCAATTTTCATGCTGCCTCTTTTTCAGCTATCGATGATAGACGACCGTTTCCGTTGGTGAACACTCCATCAAGGTCAGGACGACCGTGACGATCCCCTGCTGTGACATGTTGAACATGTTGATCCACTTCCTCTTTAGTGTCCGTTGAAGGTTGAGGTGTGTACCAGGACAAGTAGTCGCGGCGAGCCTCGACATAATCAGTCGCAAACTCTCCTATCTACATACCAAGCAATGCGTCATAACTCTGTGATAACGCAGAAGCCTAAGCAATTTACGCACCTCAACCTCGTCCATGCCAAGTTCCTCGCCCTTTGCGTCGTTCCTGAGCTTCAACCCAGGGATGATGTCGATTCCCTTTGCGAGGAGGGCCGTCATGACAAACGTATACGCGCAAGTCGCACAGATGTAAGCGACTTGGATGTATAGTTGCTTCCAATTATGGTCGATCCAGCCGCCTGCTACTTCAAGATTGACGCCGTCGAGGGCAATGACTTCCGTATCGGCGAACAGTGCGTTAAACAAGAGACCAAGGATCCCTCCAACGGCGTGCTCAGCGAAAAGATCCAGCGCGTCGTCGATCCCGACCAAGAACTTAACTGCATAGCTGTCAATCGACTGTTTACCGGTGGTATAGATGCTATGGGAACTCACTTTTTGTGGCGAAGTTACATATTGCGCCAGCAACAACACCTAGAATTAACGAAGCCCATGGGTGGATGAACCCAGAAGATGGTGTTGCGGCAACCAGACCGGCAATAGTGCCGGAACAAAATCCAACCATAGTCCATCTCCTGCCAATGCGGTAATCAAGCAAACACCAAGTCATCCCGCCAAAGGCAGCGGCGACCATGGAATTCCAAGTAGCCATGACAGCACGCAGATTTGCGCCGAACGCGCTGCCACCATTGAATGCGATCCAGCCGAACCAGAGGATGAAAGTACCGAGACCGACATTAGTGACGTTGTGTGGGCGGAAGTTGATTAGTTCTTTTTCGGTCCGTCGGCCGAGGGCCCAAGCATACGCTAGACCGCCGATTCCGCTACCGATCTCAACAGGCCCTCCGCCTAGTGATGCGAGTTCGAGATTAGAGGAATAACCAGGATACGTTGATGCGTACCTGCATAGTCCATCACTCCCCACTTAAATGCCCATCCATTGGCTCCCCAAGCCCAGCAAGCAAGCGGGCAATACACGAGTGTCATCCACACGAACGTGAAAACCATCGCAGGGAAAACCCGACCACGCTCCGCTATCCCGCCCATTAGGATCGCCACAGTTACGCAAGCAAACTCCATCTGATAAAACGAGTACAGCAACTCCGGGATGAGGGGGGAACCAGGAGAAGGCTCCGCGAGTACTTTGCGAAGGCCAAAATGGCGCAGGTTTCCTATATAGCCGTTTGTCGCTGACCGAGAGAGCGCAAGGGAGTAGCCCCAGAAGTACCATTGAAAGATGGTGACTGCATTGCTTGCTGCGACCGCCCACACGAGCGTGAGCGCGGACTTTCGTCTGGCCAGTCCCGAGTACAGAAAGGCTGGTAGAAATGAGAACGAGGAAGTAATGCGCGTTGACAACGGAGATATCACTGACCAAGGCCGGGGATCATGAAAGATACCATCGCGCCTGCAATGATGATGAACGCTACATCGCCCCTGTCGAATCTACAAATCCAGCACAGAAGAGTCAGTGTCAATTATAGGCCCGTATCCAGAGATAAGAGGTGATTGGGGATCAAATGAAACTCACTGGCTGGCGTCTCCTGGGAGAGAAGAAGCTTTATCTTATCAGTTTGCGGACACTTTAGCAGATGCAACGTACTGGCCAGCACCCCTGTCTTCGGGTCCATGAACCTTGCTCGTTGAGGGCGAGGGAAGCGTGTGGCGGACGAGCAACGAGCGGCAGCCTGATGGCTGATGGGAGAAGTGGGATCGCATTTGTCTGGGGCGTGGCTTTATATTTCAACTGGGCCGCCCATCCAGCGCTAGCCGTCCAATCACAGTTCTTCCAATTTATACTAGGTTCGATGTGCAGAACGGCGGCCTCATGAATTCCACAGAGATAAGAGTAGTAGAAACCAACAATGCGACGAAGATAAGAAGGCATATTCCGAACATTATTATCACAAGCAGTTCAAGCCCATGGGTGTCACCTTGACGGTGGTTATGGAGTACCCCTTGGTGTCTTACCCATGATTCGGGACCTCACACATACAACCAAAAGGCATAAAGCAGAAACGACATGACAGCATTATAAAAACAAGGCAACTCTTTGGAGGTTTCCGAAAGTAAGTAGGTCATCCAATCGTAAGGTACGTTATAGATATCGTAAGCGCAGACGTCCGCAGCAGCGTAAATAAACATCTAGATGAATACATTCTAGGTGGCATGAGAACGCAAATTTTATTTTGGACATTGCATCAAGCAACTATCCTCGGTATGTGCAGCATCTAGAACAAGACGGCGCGTGAGCATGCCAGCGGGCTGCAATAAAGATGGACGTACACAAGCATGTATGGCACGACTGAGACTAGCAAGACAGCAAAGGCTGCCCAGAGCATGTAAAGTGCAGGACCAATGGAAACGATAATACCCAACGGTGCCGGTGTACTGCCAACCATGACATCGTTTATAGCGTCCGATTTGTTGATTACAACGGTCCAGATAGCTGCACCGATCAACAGCAACAAGCTACCTATTAATGCGAACGCTGTGGAAATGAAGAAAGTCATGCCATGCCGTATGAGGCCTCTATAAATATCGTAAGTCTCGGGATTATCACCGAAAACACGCACACTCACGTAAGGAAGGCGAGGCCAGTGCATATTGTGCCCAAGAGGATCATGTAGTACGCAGCCCTCGTCGAACCGCCGAGGTACGAAGAGTCGCGGAAGGTGGGTTGCTGAGATTGGAAGGCCGTGTCGAACAGGCCGTCGGTGAGAACAGAATAATTAACGGCCATGTCGGATGTAAGGATGGGATACGGTCTGAACTGCATGCCCACAGTCCTATTCGAGCAGGCTCCGGCGGTCTCGTTTGTATAACCGCAGAAAGAGTAGAGTCCGAACAGATATAATTCTCGTAGGCCGGTTCGGGCTTGGAGGGGGGCAGATGCGTTGGTAGCATGGACACCAACGATGGGGTCCAGGGTGATGATTGTTAAAGCATCACTAGCAATATGTTAGCCAAAGGTCTGACCGGGGGTGGAAAGACGAAGAACGTACTCGTAGCCCGAAGTATTCACTTTTACCTGCGCTTGTTCAATTAGCAGTTCAATCCATACTAGAAGCGGACCTACCATGGAAACTCCCTTCCCTACGGACGAAGTATTAATTTGACCGATCTTGAACGGTGATTAGATCGCAAAGCGACGGTTGTGGTGAAGAACCGTACATGTACGAAGATCAGCAGAATAAGTGAGGCCAGTCTGGTTCGAATATTAGTCAATTGCAGTCGAACCATGTCATTTACTTACGAGAGAAACGAAGCTGAGCCGATGCATACTTCCCCTCGCATATTCGAGTGCTGCAGATGTTCGTAAAAGGACGTTCAGGTCAAAGATGTTGGAGGATCGCAAAGAACCAGCCTCATACACAACTCGTGTCCTTTACGCCAATGCAGCGCCAAGTCCGAGAAGCGTGCCGAGCTGCGTGACTGCATTGAGGCCGTTGTTTGTGCCTATTGGGTTCCAACGGCATCGCCGCCTTTTGATGACCTAATCGGGCTTATCCTCTGTCTTTCGAGTAACAAGCGCTAGCGATCTTCCACAGGACCACATTTACAGGACTGCTGCAATTGGGACGCTGCGGATTCAGATATTAGTGCTACGGACACGGTCCAATGTCCAAATCACCATCACAGCCCGCCCCCAGCATGCCCGTTGCACCGGGCGACACTTCGCCTCAAGCTGTCGACGACTCCGCACAGGAGCAGCCAAGAGAGAACTTATCAGCGTCGACAGGGCTTGTGAAACGTGCGGTAGAGAGGACCGTCGATAGATTTGACAAACTTTCCAAGAGTGTCAGCGGGAAACCATCGACTCCAAGTTCTCCAGGTACAAGCCCTACAGCATCAGGACCCAGACGTATATTTAGCCTAAGCCGAAAGGCCAAGGGAAAGCAGAGGCCTGATGATGTCCCTAATGGTGAGCCATGCGCGTTGTTTCTTTCTAAACTACACTGAATTTTCGTGTCGAGTAGCTACCTACGTCGCCGGTGAGGTTACGCGTTCTCCATCGTCGACTCCCAGCGCTTCGCGCCCTACTTCACCCAAACGTTCCTCTTCTACCGTGGTGCCGAAGAAACATGCAGACGATTCCCCCTTCATCACCCCACCGTCGCCTCTGTTGGTACCGACTAGGCCGTCCTTGTCTTCCTTCCGAGGAGACGGTTCTGTGAGTCTGAAGTCGATCGTAAGTCAGTCAGCATGCTGACATATGCACAGATGCGCGCCGGGACACAAACCCTCATTCAGGCCCTTCAGGCCATCCCCTGGACGGACGATCCCGACAATGACGATGACATAATGGAGCACAACTTACCTGCCTTGGATTCCGAGAGCGACGAAGATAGCAAGCAAGGTGCCGTTTACGCTTACGTTCTTGACACGCTCCTCATCAAGCATGCCTAACATCTACAGCCGAACCCATGGCATCCTCGATTCATGCAATATACAGACCGCTTGCTCGCTCTCGACGAGGTGATATTGGAGCTTCGACGAGGAAGCTTCATCGCAGCAGTTCGCGCATTAGCGAAGAGTCAAATTCTGGACCGGAAAGTCCTTCGGACTCGGAGGAAACAGAGGAACAAGAGGATTTCGAGCAGACTACTCCACAGCTCGTAGGCGCCCCCATGCCCCGAGCTTTGGCTTTGGCTCAAGCTGGGGCAACCTCGTCACCCGGGCCGTCAAGGATCGTGCCAATACGAACTGGTAGCATGGCTACGGTCCGACTCCAGAGACGTTCGCTACTCGCGGAGAAGTTGAGGGAAGTCTTTGAACTAGATGGTATAGAGGAAGTTCTAGCTGGTAAGTGCACTCATAACGAAGTATCGAGTCATCAACTGATAGATCCTCGTAGAAATGCCTTGTTGGCTACTCCGCTCAGTTCGTAAGTTATAAAAGTTTATTTTGTAAGGTACATCCTGACAAAGTCGTGCAGTCCTACAAGGCTACATGTATCTCACGAACTCCTACCTTTGTTTCTTCGCGCACATGCCTGCACGAGAGGTTCGTTATCCCTTATATAGTAAGTTTTAAGGTACTGATCAACACCCACAGGACCAAATTCTGAAATCAGGCTCATTGACCAAGAAAGCTCAGCGAACCAAGCGCTGGATTAAGCATTGGTTTGTCTTGAAGAACGATGCATTGTCGTGGTATCAATCCTCTTCGGTAAGCCCCCGTTGTCCCATTCCAGGCCATGATGTAATGTGATTCTCGATCAGGATCCTTACTTCCCGCATGGCATTGCTGACCTTCGCTATGCCATCTCGTGTGAACCGGTAAACGAGAAGGAGATCAAGCTAAGGACCAATCAGAAGACTATCATGCTGTCTGCCGATTCCATCCCAAGTCGAGACGAATGGGTGAAGGCCATTAAGAAGGTTATTTTCAAGGCCCAAAACATGGGAGATAGTGTTAAGGTACTAGTTACCTTTGTTAAGACGATCCTTGCTGAAACTGTTCTAGATTGCTATACCTTATGCAGCAATTCTCGACGTGGAGAAGTCCTCGGCCATGGACTTCAGTGAGACCATAGAGATCAAGGTCTTCGATCAAGAGGGACAATATTCCTTTGACTCTTATTTCTTTGCCTATTTTAATGACCTTCCTGGTGCTCTGGACCAAATTCGCACAGCCGTACGGACTGCTCGCGTATATCCTCATGGAACGGGCTCGCCCAAGGCCGTCATAGATACCACCGCTATCCGTCCTGCCCCTGCCCCTCACGTCAACAGCTTCCCCCCTTCCGATGCTCAGCTACCGCAATCTTCCTCTTCACGATTTAGATTAACGTCACTACTACGACCATTCCAAGACTCGCTTTCTCTCACCCGTGCTACGACCTCACCAGAAATTTCAGACGATAACGAGTTCACTCACGTTTCCCGGAGGCCTAATTCTTTCGTTCCAATTTCCGGGCCTCTGCAGCGCAATTCAAAGACGTCTCCTGATTTGCACCTTCCTCTTCCAGAGCCATCTATCTCAACATCGTCAAGTCCCGCTGCTACCACGCCGAGCGGCGAACATACGTACCCACCTTCTACTTCATCTTCGCGCACATTTCCTAACAATCCTGAATTGAGCAGAGAGCCACCGTCAACTACCTCGAGTGCTTGGAGCGTTGGTGTTCCATCGTGGTTCAGAACCCCACGCAAGGTATTTAGTGGCATCTCAAACTCCATGCCCTCTTCGGCTTTGGATTCGGCGCAAACTATGCCCGGCGTGAGGGAGGTGTATTCATCAAGCATGGCATCTTCTGGTAGTCGATTCGGCGTTGAGAACATGGCGTACAGTATACTGCAAACTCCAGATACAGGCATCGATCCTGAGGTTCAGGAGAAGTTCAGGACTGCGTTTGCTTACGATGAGAAGGAGACCCTGTTGGGGTGTATGTACACCTTGCTGTCCGTTGGGCTTGCCCTAATATTTTTGCTAGACTTCCCTGGCTACATCTTTCGTTTATTGCCAGTGTATGGACGACTCTACGTTTCCACAAACTACTTCTGCTTCAAGTCTAGTGGGCCTTTGGCGGTCAGAACTCGGGTACGTTATGTCCATATATATTCATTTCATATTCTCACTCAGATTCTCAGATGGCGCTTCCTATCCGTGATGTTCTTTCCACAGAAACATCGAAGGCCACGCGCTTCGGTCATCACGGCCTCATAGTCATCGTTAAGGGTCACGAAGAGTTGTTTTTCGAGTTCGGGGCAGAGGACAAACGGGATGCATTCATGGCTCTCCTTGATCGACAGATCGAGGATTGCCAGAGGAGATTGGCGTCTGGTGATGCCCCGTTGCCAACTCAAGGGGAACGCGACGCCCTTATATTGGAGGAATTCGACGCTCGTCCATCTCCTAGTAGTGATCCTGATCCAAGACCTCCCCCAGAGAACATGACTGATTCGTTGCCCGCAGTCATGTTTACCTCAGCATCCTCAACCTTCCTAACATTTAAACCCAAGGAGTCTTTGCACTTTACCTTCCTAACCATTGGGTCACGGGGTGATGTACAACCTTATATAGCACTTGGTAAAGGACTCATGGCCGATGGACACCGCGTGCGCATCGCCACTCACGGCGAGTTCAAGGAATGGGTGGAATCTGTAGGTAACATGCACTCTCTGTTGAAGCCGAAACTAAGATATCCACAGTATGGGCTTGAATTTGGCTACGTGGGGGGTGATCCTGCAGAGTTAATGCGTATTTGCGTGGAGAATGGGATGTTTACACTTTCGTTCATGAAGGAGGCCATGCAGAAGGTGTGATCATATGCTTGTTTTTACCCCATTCTATATCTTACAGATAACGCAGTTCCGGGGGTGGTTGGATGATCTTCTAAAAACCTCGTGGGAAGCGGCGCAAGGAACTGATGTGCTTATCGAGAGCCCAAGCGCTATGGGTGGTTATCACATCGCCGAAGCGCTAGGAATTCCATATTTCCGGGCCTTTACCATGACATGGAGTCGCACTAGGTGCGCATCTGCTATTAATATTCGATGTGTTTACTGTAACTTTATTTTTAGGGCATATCCCCATGCTTTTGCCGTACCAGAGCGAAAGGTTTGTTCATTCATCATTCTAACCGTATCTGCATATGCTGATATTGTTGTGCATCAAGATGGGCGGCAGCTACAACTACATGGTGAGTCCCACCATGCATCTACCTTTACCCTATAGATTGACGGTTACCTCAGTCCTATGTGATTTTCGACCAAGTCTTCTGGCGCGCCACAGCTGGGCAGATAAACCGATGGCGACGCAACCTTCTACACCTCGGGAGCACCAGTCTAGATAGGATGGAACCGCACAAAATACCTTTCCTTTACAATTTTAGCCCCCACGTTGTGCCCCCTCCGCTAGATTGGCCCGAATGGATTCGCGTTACTGGTAATTGATTATCCCCCGCTTTTCGGTCGCCGTGGCTGAGTTATTTGCAGGGTATTGGTTCCTCGATGACGCCGATGTTAGCGCGAAGAAATGGACGCCGCCGCCAGATCTGGTGAAATTCATCGATTCGGCACATCAACAGGGCAAGAAAGTGGTGTACATTGGCTTCGGCAGTATCGTCGTGTCCGATCCGAAAGTCATGACGCAGTGTGTAATCGATGCCGTTGTTCAAAGCGGGGTCTGCGCTGTGTTATCGAAAGGATGGTCGGATCGGCTCCATGTCAAAACATCAGATGCATCAGAACCAGAAGAACCTCTCCCCAGCTCCATATACGCTATCTCTTCAATCCCGCACGATTGGCTGTTCAAGCGGATTGATGCTGCCTGTCACCACGGCGGGGCGGGAACCACTGGGGCTAGTTTGCGAGGTTAGTCTTTTGTTCTATCTATCCAAGCGTCGACTTACCTTTCAATATAGCTGGAATACCGACAATTATAAAACCCTTCTTCGGTGACCAGTATTTCTGGGCTGATAGGGTCGAAGCCTTGGGTGTTGGCTCTGGTGTTCAGAAGCTCACTGTCGAGACTTTGACTGAAGCGTTAGTCACGGCTACTACGGATGTTAAGCAAATCAGTCGCGCGAAGGTATTGGGAGAAAAGATTCGTGGGGTACGTTTATTGACCCCTTTCGGTTTAATGGTATGCTAATGACCCTTGTGCAGGAAAACGGCGTTGCCACAGCCATTGAAGCCATTTACAGAGACTTGGAGTATTCGAGGTCTCTGATCAAGAAGCAGGCCGCCAACGACGCGACCGATGACCTTGAGGAGTCCACCATTCGGGACCAGGCTCATTCGTCCGGTATCGAGCCACCCTCCGGCTATAGCTCCTCTAACTCAGCTCGAGGAGCCCCGAGTGAGGATTGGAGTGTTATATCTGATACAGAGGACCACGATCGTCGCTCTTCCGACAGCTCTCGGCATAGTGAATGCAAATCAGACCGATGTCATAATAAGCGTAATAGCCTCGCTGCAGCCGTGTTGTCTGTTTTACCAGACTCCCTCAATCCAGGTTCTCCACGCCGTCGTTCTCTATCTATTAATTCCCGCTCTTAATGGCGATCACGTTGTATCTATCGTGTAGTATTGTATATTTCGACTATTGCACCTCTACTCCATTACATTGTAGAGTACATCTGCATGTTTATTTAGACATAGAGTCTTCGTTGTAATGTTCATCGAAAACACGCTTGCTAAATTCTCCGAAAGTTTGTGATGGGGAAAGCTGTTGGTTGACTTCTGGTTGCATGAAGAGGGCGAATGTCTCGCGAGAAATCGACTCAGCATTCGCGCTGCCTCCTACCCGGACGCAGTGAGGTGTTGCGCGTAATTTTCCACCAGTGGCAAGCTGGAGCGCCTCTCCAGTTTGGAACGCCAAGCAATCTGGAGGGATGGTGACTTTGGTTAGATCGCCGCCCCTTGTACGGATGTACAGTCCTGACGAAGGAGACGGCGAAGCCACTATTTTGACTGCACCATTCGCGCCTTGTTCTAGGAACATGGCCTGAGATAACATGGTTAGTCTCCGTCATCTAAACATGGAAGGGAAAGAATTACCGAACAAAGCCCTGTGAGGATAGAATGATCGAGATGGAAGCCACACCAACTGTCGACAGGTTCATCTTCCTTCGGAGTCGTACCTGGGGCAGGAGGGAAATAGTGAAGGAGGCGAGCCTTGGTCGTCTGTGAGTTGGCGATGATATCTGGCAATGATACGGACGTGTCGCGGAGATGTGACAACGCTGGGTTTGAGCGTTAATGACAACACTACGACATAGTTAGATGCAGTCTCTTTACCGAAAGGTTGACAAGCGGCAGCCAATGCATAGCCCACTTTGAGTACAAATCTATGTCACTGAAGTCAGTACATCTACCGATGATCGAACTTCAGAACTGCGTCACCCTCCAAGGTCTTTGAAGGCTTCCTCGAAACCTTCTATTCCTTTCTCCCCTTTCTCTGGCCCTAAATTGCATGTTGAGGACAGACATCCTTAGATGATGCGTAGACTCGAAATTTACAAATGTTGTTGCCGTAGTACTCTGGGTACATGGCCCGTAAGGTTGATGACACTGTAGGCCTGTCCGCAACTGGGTTGGCATAATACGAGCCTTTCAGTAGATCTTCAAGCGTATCGGCATGAGAGAAGGAACAAACTGTAGACTGAAGTATCCGCTTACCGGGCTTCCCGTTCATGATTTCCTGAAACCCTCAATGGATTCAAAACTTCCATTCCATTCCTACGAGTTTGGAACGGGTGCTCACCTTGCCATGAGACCACCCGAAACTTCCATGAGGCAATGCCCAACGTTCATCAGATTTCTTTAAATTCAGCATCTGAGTATTGGTGCTTACCTGTATTTTGAGGTTGGATCAGCATACTTTTCTCTGGTAGGCTCTGGGAGCGTTGCAAAACTATGCGCGAGCTTGAGCAGCCTCTCCCTGTACGTCTGGTATTGAGGTGGTAGGTCGCGAACGATGATGATACCGAGAGATTTAGGGTGAGAGCCGAATGCTTCTTCTACAATACACTTTCAGAAAACATCGAAGATCATCAATAACCAAACCCCACCTATCGAAGCACCCAACGATAGAGGCTCAGACGCCAGCGTGGGATACGAAACGGTGACTGCTCCCTCCTTCGTGTACGAGATCGACTGAGGACGTGGGGCGACATGAGTAGCGTAATTAATCGCGCTTCGAGAGAGGTGCCTCGCCATAGCGTTCAATTCTTCACGAATTCGCGGCGGTCCAATGGTTGTGGGCTGTGGGGAAGAGAGAGAACTGCCCCACACCTTCCCATATCATGCTAATGAATTGCCCTGGAGCACATGGGGATGGGCCTCCACATGGTTGTTCGACCCGAGAAACAAACTTTGTACAGTCTAGGGTATGCTCCATCCACCTGCCCCATAATCATACAATCAAGTCTATCGGGAATACGTAACTAGGTGCCAATGTCTTCTGAATAACGTCCATCAGTGCTAAATCAAACCTGTACTCGTAGTTACTTCATAATGTTCATAATCTGATGGTACATATTCGTAGATGCAGCTGAACTACTCGGATCTATTCTATTTTGTGAAGACTACAATTGAATCGTAAGTTGAGAGTAAGCTGCTGATACTGCAGGAGCTGTGGGAGGAAACTCAACTTGAAACGACATCTTCGTCCTGCACTTGATGCGAGAGGCTGACCTTCTGTGCGTGTGGCGAGAACTTACTTGATTTCCCCCAGACCAGAGCATAACGGAAGTTCGCCGCCAAGGACCGATGGATTCCGTTACACACGTTCTTTCAACCCAGTCAGCATCTGCAGTCTGCGTCTCACGTACAAGAGAAATATCTACTTCAATGGTGGCCCCCTTACGGAGGCAGATTGGGTCGGATAGATCAGGATGAGCACCCCGCTTCTTCGTGTATATCTTCACCAACGCGAGTTCGTCCCAGATGCGATCGATGAGGTAGTCAATGCTATACATGTGGGGCGTGAATTAGAGCGCTAACCAGGGAGATAGATACTAACTTCAGGTCCATCTCACAGCTGATCACTACTGAATGAGGTTCGCGAGAGATCTTGTCCAGCTGTTCCAGCGAAATTGCATCCACTTTGTTGTATACATCTAGGGTGTGTTAGAGTCAGAATGAATGGTAGTCTGGAAGGAGACATACAAAGACACGGCATGTATTTTCTTGTACCAATCAGAACGTCTATAAATTCATCGGTGGTGATCTATAAGGCCATTCCTTAGCTGAGAAAGATAGCCATGTAGAAACCTATGTTTACGCACATCCTCCCTGATCATAATATCGCAATTGTGGAGCTTGTCTTCCGGGTTATCGTGAGCACGCATCACCGGAAATCGTGTCCAGAGGAAACGTACAACTCGCCAAGATCAACCTTATTGTCCGTTCGTCTGTTTTAGTGAGTTTGACAGTGGTATTAAACTAGAAAGGCTAATCAGTGACAGAGGGTGGCTATTAGGATTGGATACACACTGTTATCTAAAGGCAAAAAGTTGGGATCAAGGTCAATTCACACTAATTCCACGCGGTGCACTTACTCCTCCTGTCGTTCGTCGCTTGAAGACAACGTCGGGTTTCGACTTGTTAAGCCTGATCCCAACGGCATCCAGTTCTACCTCAAGCAACCGTCGGTGTTCGTCAGATTTAGTAGCATCCATCATAATCAAGATGAGATCGGCCGTTTTGGCGGCTAGAATATAAATAAGATCAGTTTGAATGTCATAGGACGCAAGTAGATGAAGCGAACTTGAGACTACTTGGCGCCCTCTCCCTCTTCCCTGACTAGCCCCTTCAACAATTCCTGGCAAATCCAGTAGCTGGATGCGAGCACCTTTATATTCTATGACACCAGGGATAGCCTACCACCGTTGCGGAGTGGATCTAAGTACAAGTTAAGATGACCATGGAATGTGCACCTACGTACAGTCAATGTGGTAAACTCGTAGGCAGCCGTTTCCGACTGGGTGTGAGTTACTTTGCTTAACAGCGTTGACTAAGAAATTTATCCCTGCATGAGTGTCGAATCTACAGATAATGGTGAGGTATACCTTGCCGACAGACGGAAAGCCAATTAAGGCCACCCGCGCGTCCCCTGATTTCTGCACGTCAAAACCTGTTCCTGCGGGTCCGGATTTAGATGCAGGCTCGAGTAGTTGCGCTCGATATCTTGCCAGCTTGGCTTTAAGTAAGCCAAGATGGTATTCTGTCGCCTGAAGGATATGAGAAGCTTAGAGGCCGCAAGCCAATTGCTGGATGTACCTTATTCTTCTGCGCTACCGTCGATGTCAGTACATGGCCTATATGTGACTGATCTTGAGTGCTCACTCCTCGCCATCTCCTCTAGAAACTTCACGTAAACTCATTTACGGAGAGTGCAAGCAATATAGCGTACCCTCAATCTCTTTGATCTGAGCGCACCACCGTCAGGACAAGTTCAGAGTGCTGTATATAGTTACCTTACCTTCTCGACAATACCCATCGCTGCTTTGTTTCCCGAAGGCTCAGTACAATTTGGTGCTACGGTGTAGATGAAGTTAACTTTAAGATTGGGCGCTTCTTCTCGACTGTCGGCCGGATTTGGCGGCCCGGCGCGTCTCTCTCTGTTCAGAATCGCTATGCCGTCTCGCGGCGGATTCGAGATGCGACGGCATACGCCAACGCTCTACCCACACCCAGAACAAGACCACAGCGACGGAGACGATGCTGCGTGGGATCACCAGTCCTCGACGCGCCTGGCTGTCCCCGCATCTTCCTCCTATCGCTCACACAAATCTCGCACCAAATCTGCTACTACGGCACTTTCACCCAGTACGAACGGTGGTCATCAGCCATCACTGAGGGATGCGTCTGCAGCTCATGCCTCTTCATCAACTCCCGAATTCCCTGATATTTACTCGCAATTTGTTCGACGGTATCGTTCGTCAGAGCTCGGTATAGAAGATGATCCACGAGATGACCCGGACATGCATTACTACCAGCGTGGCCTCGGCCAGCTGGTAGATACAGGAGACAATAGCGACGACGAGGAGAATCCTCTGGCGGCTGATCCTGCAGTGGTCGGTCTTACGATGGAGGGATCGACCAACTCTTCAGGCATAGAACGCGAACGTTTAGAGTGGCAGGTCATGTTAGCCTCAGTACTCGAAGGTGATGTTCTAAGATCCGAGAAAACGCGCATTGCCGTCGCCCTTGAAAGATCCACAGATGAACAGAACGACAGGTTGAATATCTGGCTTGGTATTCGTGCAAAACTCCACGATCGTACCGTCGAGGACGAACGCAAATATCTCAAAGAGCGCCGTCTGCGTGTTTGTAGTGTCCTCGTGGAAGACATACTTTCTTTCCGCGTCGAGCTTCGAGAAGGAGATATACCGGCTGCCGCGGCAATCCAACAAGTTTCTGCTATTTTACACCGACTCGAGGTTGCACACTCGCTATATCCCACCCAGAAGGCCTTCCACACCAATTTTCCTGAAGCCGATACGCCAAACTTCCATGCTCGTTGCGATACTCTGAATACGTGGTCCACAGTCGTCATCACATTACGCCGACATATCGACCTCCTCCGTCGTTGGACAGGGAGTGATGTTTTGGACGTTTCGCAGCCCAACACGAACCACGAGATCCCTATTGGAAAGCATGGTCCCACGGATATTGCGGACGGAACGAGTTTCGTCGAACGCGTCTTGAAAGAAGAATTGACACAACGAAATTTCGAGAAGGGTTTCTTGACCACCATTCATGGCTTCATTGGAGCAGCCCGTGATGCTCAGGTGAACCTAGCAGAACTGTTCGAAGATATGAATCTCCCAACGTTCGAGGATGAACTCGTTCCCCTCATCTCGTTCCCCACGAAGTTAGCTCAGGCTGCGCTTCGCGTCCGCTTGGAGTATATGCAGAAGGTCAAAGATCCAGAAGTCCTCATCATTGACCAGATGATTGAAGACTTAAAGCTCGGCATTGGCGTCGCATGTACAATGAAACGACAATACGAGGCTTTCCTTGCCCCTGACCCACTTGGCAGGTGGAAGCTACCGCAATGCATAAGTGAAGACTACGAAGACACCATTTTGGAGGCGTTAGCGTGGTTCTTCAAGCTCATACACTGGAAGCTCAAATCCGGGACCAAGGCGATATATTTCAAGGAAACAGATGTGCTGGAATCACAATGGGCAACGTTCAATGATGTGAGCATGACTACTGCGGATGGATCGCGTCTCGTCGCAGAGCAACTATGGTATGCCTTCCCGAGCACTTGTATGGTCTACTTTACTTACAAGTACTCAACTGTTCCTAGTGCCCTCACCAATAAGTTGATGGTTCGCGTTACAAACTACTTTGAGACGCAAGTTAGAGTGCCATCATCGCATTCAAAGGGCAAAGCTGTCATTAATGGGACATCTTCGTCCAACCCCATTCAATCAGCCGGCAGGAAGATGACCCAGGAACAAATGGCTAGTTGGTACGGTAAAATCCTGGACGGCGTACGACTGCGGTATAGGAAGCTCCAACGCTTTGCTAGGTAGTACAGATCGCTCCTCGTACTCGTCGCTCGTACTGAACGAATTCGAAGGATGCTTACCCAGCGGTTCAGCAACTCTGCTGAATACAGTCTAGAAGAGGCTACGCTCAATCAGTTCATTGCTACCCTTGTTGCTACAGACCATGTTCTTGTACTTACCACGGTCTACGAAGAGGACGGCATATACATCGTTGTCCCTCGGGCGCTGCGGGAACGACCTGACGACATTCGAAGAATGCTCATCAAAGTGTTCCACGTCGACGAAGAATCCTCAGACGATGGTTACCGGATATTCAATAACGTGGAACATATTTCGGACGACGACGAGACCGAGCCCGAAGAGAGCCTCTACGTACTCCTCCTTTCCCCTTGCTCACACTTCGTTTGGACGGGCCATGTCCACGTTATGCCGCTGCCCAAGTTTGACCTAGAACTCAAGGACAACCGAGTCAGACTGATAGCAGATGGCCCAAGAGCTAGGTTAGCTTTGGCGAAGCAGACATTCACTGACCTGTTCTACCCATACGAGGACGGCGACACCGAAATGGACGGCGAATCTCCTCCCCAAGAGATCGAAATAGACCCTCCTATCTGTGTCATTGAGCAGCAAGCTCACTTGCCCACTGTGAATCGTGAACTACGGAAAATCAGTCGCGTCACCAATCGGTTGGCAGAATCCATCGTGGACTCCGTGCATCATGTCCGCAACTCGTTAAAGGAGACGGCTGGTTGTCAAGAACTTATGGAGAACTGGTATACATTTGCCTCAGACCACGGACAGCAGGCCCAAAAATACATGGAGCGGACCGCGCTGCAGAAGTTCCAACGTCTTTTGATTAAGCTCGCGATATCTTGGGTTTCGTTTATCTGTGATGATTGTGATTCATCAGATCGTAGGACTTTCAGATGGGCTGTCATGGCCTTAGAGTTCACCCATCAACGTACCAAGCGTCATCATATTCTAGCTATACCTGACGAGCAGTTCCAGACGCTGCGTGTCAAGGTCGCAACTTGTATGGGCTTGCTCGTAGGCCACTTTGATGTTCTTGGCGCCCGGCAAGCTCTCGAAGCAAAGAAGAATAAGGAGCGGCAAGAGGAAGACAATCTCCAAGAGGCGGGAACCGTCCAGCCGGGGTCCACATCTGCGGAGGCCACACCAGAAGACGTAGACGTGAAGTGTAACCCCTTGGACAACGACGCTATCTACGCCTACGAGGACCGAAGTGTGCGCGCATACTGGGATAAGCTCGCTGGCACGTTGGGAGAGTTGGAGATGGAAAGAGAGAGCATCGTTTCCCAGCATCGCTTACTCGGGCGCGTCCTTGATGACGAGAAACCGGAAGACCGCTCGCTGGTGTTCCTGGCGAACTCAACGTCAAATATCCCCATTCGTTGGCAACAAGGCCGGTTCATCGGGGCTGGTGCATTTGGATCCGTCTATTTGGCAGTCAACTTAGATTCTGGTTCACTGATGGCTGTCAAAGAAATCAAGTTCCAGGAGCTCTCTGGCCTGCCTAATCTCTACCAGCAGATCGTGGACGAACTCAATGTCATGGAAATGCTCCATCATCCGAACGTCGTCGAGTACTATGGGATCGAGGTGCATCGTGACAAGGTGTACATATTTGAGGAATATTGCCAAGGAGGTAGTTTAGCGGCGTTGTTGGTGCATGGGAGAATCGAGGATGAGGGCATCATTCAGGTATACACGATGCAAATGCTGGAGGGCCTTACATATCTACACTCTCAAAATATCGTACATCGAGACATCAAACCCGATAGTAAGTTGCATTATGCTTGTCTGAGCAGCCACCCGGCTAACTGGCGTCTCCGTCGACAGACATCCTTCTAGACCATATGGGGGTCATCAAACTCGTTGACTTCGGGGCTGCCAAAATTCTGGCAAAGAACCAACGGTCCATTCAACGGTCCAGGCGATCCACGTACGACGGTGCCTCTGCGGCGCCTGTTGTGGCGAACTTGGGCGGCCTGGGCATGAATAGTTTGACAGGAACGCCGATGTATATGTCGCCTGAGGTCATCAAGAACGATAAGCGGGGTCGGCATGGGGCAATGGATATATGGTCTCTGGGATGCGTTGTGCTTGAGTTTGCTACCGGCAAGAAGCCCTGGAGTAATCTCGATAACGAATGGTAGTTCGCATCCTTTCGTTCTAACCATGCCTAACTCATAACAATGTTTGCAGGGCTATTATGTTCCATATAGGAGTTGCCACTCAGCACCCGCCGTTGCCTGAACCAGGCCAGCTGAGCTATCTCGGGATAGACTTCATCAAACAATGCCTGACCATTGATCCAGTGCGGCGGCCTAGTGCCCCAGAGCTGATGGAACATCCCTGGATGCTTGCGTTCCGTGAAGCGCTGCGGTACTACGAAGAAGATACCCTCGCAAGCAATGGAGGCAGCGTTAGCACCGAGAGCATGCCTGATATGGGGTACGACAATGCCTCTGTGGCGCGCCAAGCCGCGCACCTACACGACATGGAAGTAGACGAGATCACTCGAGAATCACCCTCCACCTCTCCAGACGAATGAGAAATACCACTGCCATAACACCGACAGCTAGTTCAACCTCCACCTTTTTCTATGCTTATTTTGGATCTGATTCCCGCGAACGGGGTTTCGGGACGTTCCTGACGACATCTTTGTGAAACATAGACTTTTTACCCTTACGTTGTACGATACTGCCACCGTGTTACTTACAATACATCAAGTTTGTAGCCTAGCCATTTTCCTTGACGATTTTTCACGATATTATACCTACATTCCGCACGTTCAATTGTTACCTAGGACGGAATCAAATTGTTTCGCCGCGCTGGACCTACCACGGGTGCAATTAGTTGTTTGCCGGTGCCACCAATGAAGCTCACCACTTGGCCAGCGCGATCCAACATTTTGACCGGTTTTAAATCGTGAACTATACCGCCGCCTTTACGAGACCGTGACGATGCTCCCAACAATAATGCCACCATCAAGCCGCTATCTCGCAAAAAATTGCATCACGGCTTGCACGTGTTCCCTTGCGTTCGATGGCTATGCTTGCATGTCGACATGATGGCAAGCAGTGGCGAGGCGTGTCAGGCTAGAGAAGGTTGCTTTTTTCGCCTTCCTACCAACCCGTTTCGAGTATTGACTTTTTTAATTGTACTTGGTGCAGTCCTTCTGTTCCATCGTCACGAGAGGCTCATTTAACCTTGAGCAAAGCTGCAGGTTCGATCTAGGAGTTTCAAGATTCCTGTCTAGGTCGTTAAATTCCCCATTTCGTAATTCGTGTCCGTTTATCTGTGCCGAACCTTGGGAATTGCACGAAATTAGCTCAGGTTGTGTGGGATATAAAAGCGACTGGTTAAGCGGCCTTCTCCACACGAAAAAAGCCCGTTCGCGCCGAACTCTATAATAGCTCCCTTGCTATTGGACCTTCGCACGCGCACTTCTTCGCAACCCTCTCGCACCGCCGGTACCACGCATATCGAATCCCCCGTTGACAATCTGACTGTATAATTGCTGTGATGTCATCCCCCACCTTGAAACAAGCAGACGATGGATTGGACTTTATCTTCCTGGGCACTGGGACATCCTCGAGCTTGCCCCATATCGAATGCTTGACTGCGTTGCCAGGAGAGAAACCTTGTCGAACGTGTTTGTCTACCCTGACTCCGGAGGGGAAGAAGAACACTCGCAGAAATACGAGCGGTGTAGTTCGAGTCAGGGGCAAGGATGGTAATATCGTGTACGCTTTGACCGACATGCTTTCTTAAGGCCCCTTTCGCTCACACCACTTTTGCAGGACTATCGTTATAGATGTCGGGAAAAACTTTCAGGCAGCTGCCTTAGAGTGGTTCCCCAAGCACGGGCTGCGCAAGATAGATGCTGTATTAATCACGCATGCACACGCAGATGGTAGCTTATACAATTTCCTGCTTCGTCCTAGCTTTGCTGAACTTCTCTTCTGGCATGGGATAGCAATGAATGGACTAGATGACCTTCGAGGTATTTCTATCATCTTCTACTCCCAGATAACCAGCAGCTAAGACAGTCACTCTATTGTAACTCCCAGGCTGGACTTTAAATTGTCATATACAACCGCACATTGACGTATATGTTTCGGAGGCAACGTTCACGGAAATCCACCGATCGTTTCCGTATCTGGTGATGAAGGAATTCGCTTCTGGCGGAGGTGATGTATGTAGGGATGTATTTGGTACAGTATGGGGACACTGACAGGTGCTTCTAGGTTCCCGAGTTTAAATGGCACATCATCCACGACAAAGTTCCCTTCGAAATACAAGAAACGGGAATAAGTGTTACGCCGTTTTCAGGTAAACCGCTTGCTTGTGCCTAATTTACCGTATCTGACGCGTGTATTGCAGTACATCACGGCCGCCATTTCTCTTCCAGTCCCCCACCTTCATATCTTCCAACACCCAACTCAACCGTGCCGTCCAGCCCATTCTCGACCGTTCCATCGACCCCGACGGCGCTCTCGAGGTCGCTTCCTCTAACCTCGCAACGATCATCAGAGGCCGAGCCTTCGAAGGCTTCATCTAGCAAAATTCATCCCTACCTCTGTTTTGGATTCAAGATACAGGATGCGCTAGTATATCTTTCGGATGTATCACACATTCCGGAGGAGGTTTTCCCTATCATCCAAAAAGGCAAAGGGGGTGCCCCTGTGCCGGTCTGCGTGCTCGATTGCCTGCGGCTACAGGCGCATACGTCGCACATGGGGCTCGCAGAGTCGATCGCGGCTGCTAGAAAGATTGGAGCTTCCAGGACGTATTTGACAGGGTTTGGGCACGAAGTCTCCCATGAAGAATACGTGACCATCACAGAATATGTGGGTATGGGAGAAACAGCGAGCAAGCGACCGCTTAGCGATGTTGAGAAGGAGGGAATTCAGTTGGTCCAAGGAGGACCGCATGGAATCTGGGTGAGGCCCGCCCATGATGGTCTGAAGGTGGTCGTTGCTGGAACTGGAAGTGTGGTCGATACAAGCTATTTTTAGGATAGTCTTTGTAGACAGGGGTACTTTAGTCATGCGACCAGATCGAGCCTAGCCTGGAGCTGACAATTTCCTTTCATAGCCACGAGCGATGATATAAGCACTTCAAAGTCTTTCCGTCTCTTTTACCCCGCATTCTTCATTCCCACTCACAAACCCTCTCTTGTATCGAATCGCACAGATAATATTACTCTAATTCGCAAAATTCCCTTCAGAACGCTCTCAGTGCCCAAAAACCGGGGTCGTTGGCCATGAAGATCTTTACGCAGTCCTTCCTGTACGAGTGAGTGCAAATGAGACCCGGACGTTCCAAGGCAGCCACTGAACACGAATTCAGCGATCCTTGGTCCATCGTTTCGCTTGCCTTTTTCCTGCGATACCCCAACCCATATGCTGCCCACGTAACGTCTTGTGATGTAATTTCAAGGGACTTTACACCTTCGGGAACGCTAGTCACAACACGTCTCATTTTGAAGAGGGGTAGTTTGCCTCGGTGGGCACCTCAAGGCATAATTTCGCGTGCGGAGTCGTGGGTGATTGAGGAGAGCGAGGTTGACCCTTTCGGGCAGGTGGTCAAGTGCAAAACGAAAAATCTTGACCATGTCAAGGTGATGCAGGTCGAGGAGCACGTTCACTTCTGTCAGACCCCCGAAGGGTCAGTTACAGCTTCACGCACATTAGATCCTGCAGCTCAATGGTTCCCGCATCTAGAAACACGCTCCAGACCACAGAGGCAAGGATAGTTTCCGGGTTCGGGTGGGGCTTGACCAAACGGATTGAGAATCACGGCCTGACACGGTTTAAAGCAAATGTGCAAAGGGTCTGTATTTTCATCTTCCTCTCATCTCATCTTGCTCACACAAATTTCAGTCGCGAGAGGGAGTTTCTCTCATACTGAACCTCCTGCGACAGTCCCGTCTACAGCCGATGGCCCTGGGTGAAGCGGATGTTCCGACTCCTTTGCCCCAAGCCCACACTGATGCAGCTAACGCTCATCAACGACAAGCCAGCGCAGAACAGAACCTTCCTCCCGTGGGGACGTGGTCGCGTCTAAAACAATGGCTCAGACCTTAGTTCGTACACGCGTGCTTCTCTCCGCACATCTTTTGATCCACTATTTCCCCGATTCCCCGCCACTCAGTTCGTAATCTGGTACCGCTTCCTTTGGCTACTGACCTTGCTATTTCGTTTATTGTGTGCAACTTGTATTTGTATCATTAGTTGGCATTTGAGTAACCAATATCAGGACATGCTTTTTGCGAACTTTTGCGTGAGAGACAACGTCGCGATCTTGTGGTAATTTAGGACTCTTCCCATATGTCACCATCCGGCCGCCCACGTCGCTGAAAGTATAAGTAGGTCGTGGCATTGCGCTCACTCGGGTGTCTGGCTTACAAGGTAGCTTTCGAGTGTCTTGGACAGGACCATGTACTTTCCCACATCAGCAGCCAGGCAACTCTCCACCGTTCCCGCTCTCCCCAACATCCCACCCGAGGCTCTCATTTGCCTGGCCCCGAGCCCCAGGAAAGCTTTGTTCGCGACATTGACGAGGAATGGTATATCGGTTTGGCGCGTCCGTGTATGTGGATTAATATAGGCGTTATTTGACATCGGAAGGGCTGACCTTAGACTCGACACAGCCCTCTGCAGTCCTTGCGTTCCTCTCGAGGACCCCTTCGTCAATCATTGATCATGGAGAGAACCTGTCAGCCCACTGGTCACCAGATGGCAGACGAATCGTCATACAGGTGTGTATTGTGCGCATATATGCGCATGTCCTACTAATACTGATGGGACCGACATATCATAGACGACAGAGTCCCATCTCGTCCTAATCTCAGTGGAATATAAGCCCCATGAGCTTAGCTACCAGTCGGCATCGTTGATGCAGAGCGCACAACGGACGTTCCTAGACGGGCCCGGCGAGAGTCTACCTCTTCAATCTATATCGCTGCAGTTCGAGGGAGTTATTCATATTAATGGTGGTCTCCTCAGGTACGTAATATGAGCACACCCCGTATCGATTATTTATCGTAGATGTTCCCAGTGTCTCGCCACGAAAGCACTACATCGTGTTCTCAACCAAAAGCCCGCCTGCCGTTCAGCGTATACCTTGGCCAAATTATGACGAAGAGGACGAAGAGGTTGATGCAGAGAATCCGACGCCGAAACGCTTTACGCAGCACGACACATGGGTCATTGACGACCACGAGTTGCCGTGGCTTGTAGACCCTGACGGTACGACCTCCCACTTTGCAGCATATACGCTCCCCCTCACCATTGTTTAGTGTCTGTTGTTAAGATGGCTTACTCGCGGGCGAGTGGCATTGATGCATGGATAACATCTGATGGAAGAGCATACCTCGTTCGTCTGAACGAGAGACAAATACAGCTGGATGATCCCGTTCCATCTGGACTCGCCGGTGGCGAGGAGAGTGAGGTCAGAACTCTTTTCCTACAAGGGTACTGTGATTCGCATTAATTTACGCATCAGAGTCAGGGCAGGTCAGTCTCGCGCTCCTCCCTCGAGGGGACTGTTGGATGGCAAGGAACTTGTACATACGACTTCGAGATGCCCAGGTGGCTGCAGAAGCGTCGACAGCTTGATCCTGATGAGGAGGGCGAATTAAACGAGACCACGTACGAGAACCCAAAGCGTGCCACAGCAATCGCGGTGAATAGCACATTCTCTCTAATAGCGGTTGGGACCCAAGGGTGAGTGTTTTATGCACATACATGCCGTCCGAGTGATATGATTTATCGACCTTTGTCTTTGTTGTAGTGGCGCTTTATTATTCACGAACTTCCAATCTCAAGATGGGGTTCCTTTTGAGTCGGAAAGTATATCTGTACCGAACTATGGCAAGCAGACGGGTGCTGTACGCGCGATGGAGTGGAGTTCGGATGGATATGTGCTCGCTGTTGGTTGGGACCATGGCTGGGGAATATTCAGTGTTGGTGGACGGTGTCTGGCCTGTGGGTTTGGCGTGGATGATCTAGTGGATGAAAATAAGTGCGTACTGAGCCGGTTTCGTTTACTAACGTTCTATCCTGACTATCTACAAGATTCCAAGACACTTTTATGAATGGTGTATTTAATCTGGTAGGTCCTATCGACCGAGAACTGTGTAACATAGTTTCTGACTTGCGGACCATCAGTTCTGGGCGCCAGGTAACTTCGAATTGATGTTGATGGCTCGCCCGTCGCCCAAAAGTAAGTTGGCATGCCTCCCGTTTCCGTATATCCTGACCGGATAAAGAGATCGACGGTCAACTATTCGTGATCCCATTCGCAAAGAGTGCGACTACCGGACAACAGTCGCCTGTATGGTCGTTCGTCCCTCTCATTGGCTTGCTGACATATCCCCTAGATTATTATAGGATAACACACGATATGCCTTTTTGCAGATGGAGGACCGTGCCTTGGTCTACCGAGGGGCCGACCAACCCGACTTGAGTGTGATAAATCCAGAGTCGGACGTTTGGCAACATATCAAGGTAATCATCAGCGGTCTTGTTGCAATTAACGCACACGTCCTTATACATATGGCCTACCCAGATACCGCAGAGCTACTTGTCGACGAATTGGCCTATACGATACTCTGCGCTAAGCAGTGATGGTAGACTCATTGCGATTGCCGGACGCCGAGGCTTGATCCACTACAGCTCGACCTCGGGTCGGTGGAAGACCTATGCCGATGAGCTTCAAGAACAAGCATTCATTGTCAGAGGAGGACTACTGTGGTTCCACCACGTCTTAATCGCCGCTGTTGAAATCGCCTCATCTCATCAGGTACTTCGCTCATCATGTGCCCGCCCGCTGACCTTGCTAATCCGCCAATGATTACGTAGATCCGCCTATACTCCCGAGATCTCGAGTTGAGCAGCCAGAACATCCTCTACCGTGAAACCCTTCCTGCCCACGTTGTGATTCTGTCGCTAGTGGACAATTCCCTGCTGGTGTATTGCGCCGATAATACTCTCTTGCACTACCTAATTGTCCCAACCGCGGACACCATTAAACTCCACCTTTGTGGGAGCATCACTTTCAACGGCATCATTGCGGTCCCTAGTGCAGTACGTATGCTGAGTTGGATGATTCCAACAGCCCAGAAGCGTGTGTGCTTTCGCCACAATCAGATCGCCGTTTATTCACATTTCCGTAGAACTAGGGGATCCTGTTTTCGACCTGTCGGTGGCTACCGTCCTCATGATGGTTGGTGGCCAACTTGTTCTGCTACGCCCGCGAAAAGTAAATCTCTCGCGCCTCAAATCTCTCGTATAGCCTACTAACCGACGCCAAACCTTAGACTGCAGATCATGAAGTGAAATACGATATGCAAATATTCGCCGATCGCATTGAATTCTGCTGGACACATCTTCGAGGTATAGGCGCTCTTGAAAACTCGCTATGGGGCTATGATGGTCAAGGGATGAGGGTGTGGCTAAATGCTTTAGCTATCGAGTCTCGTGTCACAGATAGCCCCAGTACCGCGCCAGCAAGCGTGAAGGAAAGCGTAAATATTCCTTTGGACTTCTACCCCTTGTGTGAGTCCACTTGCCCTTAGCTCGTCATATAGCATACTTAATCCTTACAGCTGTTCTCATGGATAAGGGTATCCTGATAGGGGCCGAGATCGAAGTCGCTACTCGTTCTAACTTGCCCTTCGCCATGTTCCGACATGCAACTAGCGTGAGTACAATTACCGGCACGCGACACAGTTCTTACTCTCGTTTTCGTAGTCTCATCTCTTCCTTCACCATATCCTACTGTACTTCCTAGAAGCTCGACGGCTCAAGGAAGCCGTTTCATTTGCTTCACAATACCAGCACCTGGTATTTTTTGCACACGCCTTGGAAATCCTTCTACACACCGTGGTCGAAGCAGAAGCCTCTGTGGACGATGATGAAGACGATACGGACTCTGGGGAGTCTTCTTCGAGTGCTGTTCTTCCGTTAGCCGTGGAATTCTTGGACCACTTCGACGATGCCTTAGAGGTTGTAGTAGGATGTGCGCGTAAGACCGAGGTGACTCGCTGGAAGCGACTCTTCCATTTTGTTGGGAAACCTAAGGCACTATTTGAGGTATAACTCAACCTTGTCGGACGTTCTTGAGCTCACAGGGCTTCTTTAGACTTGCCTAGAATCGCAACGCCTGAAGACCGCTGGGTCCTATCTCCTGGTGCTTCATAACCTTGAGCAATTAGACGAAGACAACAGCGATGCTGTCCGACTCTTGCAGCGTGCGATCGAAGGAGAAGACTGGCAACTTTGCAGGGAACTATTACGTTTCTTGCACTCCATCGATGAGACGGGGAACGCGCTGCGAAATGCGCTATCGGAAGCCGATATCATCAAAGTTACGAACGGTTCTGGAGAGGCGCGTCCGACAGCAAACGGGGGGCTTCATTAATCATAAATTGGTACTATGGTCGCGACTCACTGTCTGTTTATTCGGCTGTCTGTTTACTCGGTTTAGCTTTCTGTTCTTACCTGTGTATATACCTACAATAGTTAATGTGTATATCATCGTCAATATATCTATACTTTCTTGCCCTTGGGGTTTGCCGTTGGTTAAATAAGATCACGACCCCAGTAAGAACGAAATGTCTGTTGGCGGAGCAGTATCATCTTCCTTCGGCGAATGAAAACGCGCCGTCCATTCACTTTCCATGTGTCGTCGTTTATTACAAGGCTGATCACTGAAGGGTGACCTCAAGTAACCGTGATATTTGATCAGCGTAGTAACTCAGTAACCGCGTACTGGCCATGGAGTAGGTTCATCCTCGTACCTTACCATCAAGCCGCCGTTTCATATATGACCTCTTGACGGTGGCCTGCTTGGACGCCGTTCAATCAAGCCGTTAGCTCCCTTGCTGGGTCATTTCCGCCGCTCATGCCTCAGTCTGGGGACCAACAGGGTAGACGTTGCGGTAGGCGTTGACAGGGACATCGTTTAGATCAGTCGAGCAGTAGATCCTCCATATCTAAGTATGGGTACGGCGAGGTCCAAAAATCAGCCAATAAAGAGTCGGTGTTATCAAATCAAGACACCCCGAGAGAGGTGTCCAGGAGGATAGAAAGCTTCATTCCGTCATCTACGTATTTCCGCCATCGAGAGACCATGCGGAAGAGGTCGCTGGGGAGCGACGGATCGACGGTCTCGTCGGCGGTAGCGGGAGGTGGGAAGAAAGAAGGATCCAGTAATGAGGATATAGTTACCGAAAAGTCGGGAGGCGTGACGTCCGAGACAAACCATGGGATTAAGTTGGGGCCGGGGTAGTTACCATTAGACATATTGCTGTATGCGGGTCGAAAAGATTGAACATACTGAAAGACGACTGACGAAACGAAAGGCGTGCGTGTAACCAAGAAGTCAGCGAACATGAAATCTGTGAAGAGCTGTGTGCGCGAAGATAGTGGTTATGTGCATTGCGTGGTTGTCCGTTGGACGCTGCCTCACCTCGAATCCGGCTACAGGAAAGCTTCCGGCCAGCCTATCAAATACAGCGTCCAGGGACTCTGTGTCCCGTTGTCTGAGGCAAAATCTATTGGCTGTTATGTAGAGTCTCGAGATGTAACCATACCGCTTCTTCGTCATCTCGGATAATGAATTTCTTGAGCACCCTTTCCTACGGTTTGTAGACGCTCACTGCTCGATACCCGAATGTGAACAGTGACGAAGCCTAAGAAACAAGCTTCACTCGACGCATATACATATGCAAGATCAGTTGTTTGACTGACGGTTGCGTGCCCCCTGTGTATTATCAACTCGGGAGTTCGTTCACATCATTCATCAAAGGCGGTGAACTGAGCTTACCACAGACACATCCAGATCGTTCCTTTGAACAGGACGTCAAGTTTTATAGATCTAACTGGATCGTATCATGATCTGCCTCAACCCGACGGGTTTAGTGATCATCAACCTGATGCACAGGACTCTTTGGACATACGAAGGATTGCCACTTGGCTTTGCTTGAACATACCCATCTTTTGATTAAAGAATGGATGATTTCCCGCCAGTGTTGAGTCTTGCCAAATGGACTGCGAAGCAAGTGGTATCTGGTCTACGTTAGGTACCTGCGACACGCATACGAGTATGAGAACAAGCACTTACATGTAGCATCTATACGCATATATTAGCTTGGTGTGTAATGCTCACGCGTAACAAAGACATACTACGCATGCAACCAAAGCAAACCAAGTGTTTTTGCCTTGCTCAGCCAGAAGGTCTGATTCATCGCTATACGTCTCGATCATAGGGTCTGTATCCTCTACCAGCGGTCTAGGATTGGTCAAAGATATGAATGGCGTCCCTCATTACCGTTCACTCACTCCAAGGGGTGTCCCTGCCCATATGGCATTTCAGTTTACTGATCTGCTCGATAATACCTTTGCTTTCCGTGATGTTGGCTTGAATATCAAGCAGGCCTACAGTCAAGGTTTACTGGACAGAGTTTATCAATGGTGCCTGTGATGATTACCGGCCATCGTTTTACCACTGTCTCGTATCTGGTCCGCATATACAGATCATTCAGTGCGGAGCGAGGCAGTGAATGATTCTACTCACGAAAAGGCACATGAATGATCGTCACGGTGAATATGATAGTTTACGCGCTGAATTGCGTTCACACTTACCCAGGTTTGTTGATGGGGTCGTAAGAAGAATATAGACTCTGGAACATTGGCGATATGGTGGTAGTAGTGAACAACTCGATCTGCTTGACTGGCAGCCCTGGCGGGCCGAAAAGGGGTGTCAGTTGCGTTATCCATTCAGATATCAGGTTATCGTGCTAAGCGTTCACTAGGAAATATAAGCTACATGTTGATATATAAAGCAGACCCATGTTGTCAACAACACAGGGCAAAGTAAGTGTATCAAACAAGGGTTGTGAGAAGTAGAACAGAATGCCCAATAGTCGGTACCGTCCGAAGAAGAAATTACATTACTCTATGATCCACCGCTTGCGACCACTCTCAGAGGTTGTTGTGCTAGCCTGGCTAAGCGATCGCTCGAGGGAGTAGTATTGGAGAGTGGTTGGGCTGGAAAGGATAGTTCCGTTCTCTCTTACAGCTCTGTTCATCCCATGGTCGCTATCACTGCCAAACGTGGAGCGAGAATCGTCCCGGGTATGCGCTACTGTTGGATACCTGACAGATGACATGGATGATGCGGTCTCGAATGGTTCGGAAGAGGCGTTCGAGAAGCGTGGTCCCATGCGGGTGCCGTTTCCAGCATATGGAGGCGGGAACATCTGGCGGGGTACAGGAACCTCATTGCCTTGACCGAAAGTGACTGACCATGTCGGGATGGGTTTCTCATTAGACGGAAACTCGACCTTCTCGGGATCACCTCCTGCGAAGCCGGGGCGAATGGGGACAAAGTCATCGCCGGGCAGTGGCTCTTGGTAATTCACTGGAAAGCGAGATCAATGAAGATCCAGGATCAGAAGGCCTGAGAACATACAGTAACGGGGTAAGCCTTTGCCAAAGTTGCAACGGCATACAACGCCCAATATGAAAGTGGCGAGGGTGAGGGCAACAGAAGCAACCGCCATCATACTGAAGAAGCGCCAAGTAACGAAGGTCCACCGGAAAGAGTTTGACATAAACATCACACCCCAACCAACCATGTACATGACGGTCAAGCCCAGAAAGACGAGCATCGGCACGCGGAGTTCTCGGCGAACGGAGAACCAGCCCTATAACAACGATCAATCATGGCGGTATCGGGAGTGAAAATGGGGTCTCACTAGAATTAGCCATGGGAGGATGAGCTATAAATCGGTCGGCATCAAATGGTAAAAACATCAGGATCATAGGACTCACGATCAGGGTGATGATGAACAAAATCTCGTAGAGTTTCTTGTGAGCAGCGAGTTGTCCAATGGCACCATTGAAGAGCTGATCAATCCAGAGGCCAACAGTGACAGCTATGAAAAACAGGGATATTTGGATGGCGATCGACAGGGACAGCACAATCTTGTAGACACGGTTGATGGTCAATGATGCACCGACTCGCTTGAAAGTTTGCCAGCCGAAGAGCTAAACAAGTTCTTGAGCAAAGATGTTGACAGAAGACATGGGTGCTTACCTTGATGAGTCGCCACGTGAGGAAAACAGAGATCAAAAGAGCGACGATGTTAAGGACTAAGCTTGGGACTTCGGAATTATGGCGATCTTGCCAATAGTTGGGTAGCAGTTGTACACCAGAGCAGGCGCCTTTGGTGATGAGCTGATTGAAGCTCGACTGGAAACCGGCCGTATGGGATATCTGGAACGCGGCCCAGCCAGTGGCCAGAACGTGAGTAAGGAGCGATGCAATACTAGGGAGCAGTGAGAAGGTTGTCGCACAACGAGCCAAGTGCGACCCACATATGAGGAATAGATTCATTGAGAATCTAGCAAGGACTTCAGTTGACATAACACATGAGATCTATTCGGCACTTACTGCGACGAGGGACATGCCTAATACCCAAAACTGGAAAGCAATGAACACGATATCTTCCCTCTTTGTGTTGTTGAGGCTATATGTGCGCGTATATGTGAGCAAGCGGAAGAACAACGACGCGCGTGACATACATGGAAACAGGGTAGTTCAGTGCCCACAGACAAGTCTTATCGAGGACCACTTGTCTACCATTATACCCCATGCCACTAAGGGTCACCGATACCATGCCATCAGCATCGACTAGAGCCAAAATCTTCGGTTTGTGTCCGTCGCGTGGATTGAGGCGAACGGCGGGAGTAGCAACCTAATTCCATCTATTTAGCTAACGCTCTCAGAGAACACAAGAGTGACTGACTGTTACCGGCTTGTCATCCTCAGACTCACTGCCAGAATCGTCTGAAGACTCATCGCTCTTGACTGCTGACGAAGTGGGGGCAGTAGCAGGGGCAGAGCGTGTGACGGTGGTGGTGGTAGCACTTGCAAACGAGGGCGTGGTAGATAAGGCAGCGGTAACGGATGACAAGGGTACACGGGTAGGGCTGGTGCTGGGTACACCCGTAGCAAGAGCAGCGGGAAGCGAGACTGGGGATGTGATGGGGGTAGAAGATGTCGGTACGGCATTCTCAAAAGCTAAACTGGTTGCAGCCGGAGTACTTGAATTTCCCGCTTGCGCCTTCCAAAGCAATTGGCAGTCCTTGGTGTCTATCGAGGTAGGAACGGAGTCACAAAGATGGAATTCGGAGCCACGGAAGACAGGGAAAGCGTTGCTGGTGGTCTTCGCTTGTGTGACTATGTCCCAAAGGAATGATGCAGCAGTGGCATTGATAGTGAATGCTTTCGCTTGGATGGCAACTTGAACGACGAAATGAGCGAATGAGAAGAGGAAATATCCCAGCGTGAGCCGGGTGGAAGTGATTCTGTCCGACTGCGAAAGCTAGCTGAGCTATTTCTGCGGTGAAAGCACCACCGATCTGTGCTCACCACTAGCTTCAACTTGGCGGGGATTGGAACATACTCCCAGATTTGTTTGACACGCATTGTATAAGGTTACAGAGCTACAGAGGATGAGAATTATCGGGTACACGAATGGCTCGGTTACTCACATGTTTCCAACAAAAAACAGATTATAATACCCTCCGTTTCGACGATGAGAAGAATGGCAAGCGAGTGAAAGTGCCACTAGGGCGCGGGAAGGTCGTCCACCGAAATTCGTTCGTTGGCGGAGGGAATGGACCAGCCTTGAAATGAAAGGAGGAGGAAGGGGGAAGGGGAGGAATGGGATCAAGATTGGACGTTGTGGCCTTCGAACAGATTAAAGGTCCTTGCCACTAATCTCGACATTCCCACGGTCAGTCCTCCATTTCCGTCTCATGTTGTCATGGCGGTGGCCAGCCTCGACCAACCAGACACATCAAACCGCTCTCCAACACCGTAGCTACCACACATTAGCACACATTGTTTGTATCATATGCGAATACCCTTTGTCCTGGACACTGCCCGCGTCGCCTACATCAGCCTACATCTTGTTGATGGGATCATCGGTTTCTCCATGAAAAACATAATGCCAGGAGCTACCCGGTGAAGGCCACCAATCAAACTGATGCGATTCTGGCTCAACGGCAGGCCGTGTACAAGCTCGCGTGCGTAGACTAGATAAATACAAAATAGATACCCCCACACTCCCCCAAATCAACATACAGATCTTATACCATATACCAATGTTTTGAGCTATTAATGAAACAGTATGTCGAAGCCGCCTCGGTGTCGTCTAAACTGCAGATCGACGACATCGGATGATCGACGCCAAGGACATTGACAAAACCATCTGTTTGTAGGGCCCGGAAGACATCATTGATCTCTTGGCCGTCATATACCGGTCGTAGCCGCCACTTCAATTCAGCCTATGTGAATCAAGTAAGTACCTCGAGGAGAAGTGTACAAGACCCCCACGTACCACTGACAAGCCCGGTCTAAAGTGGATCGCACTTATCACAGCTCGCAGCGCTGCATCCCACCCATCTGTAACTTTGTGCCCCGACATGTCGCGCCATCGTCTGGGCAATACCCTCTTAACTGGATTCTCCGAGACGAGCACCGACCAGGCCTTCAGGTGACGGGGCGACACGAGCACTGGTTTCACGTAACCTGCCCAAAAGGCTAGGGGGACCAACGCATCTGTCATTCCCCCGACAAGCTCCAATATATATTCTGAGGAATGGGAATCATCAAGTTGGCCCTAGACAACGATGAAGTCAGCGACCAGGTAATCACGACATCACATTATCCCCGGACATACCGGACGCGCAAGCCCCCTTTCCCCAGCTTCTTGGAGAGCAGTCAATAATTGATGGACAACACTAGCGTCTGCCTCAGACAAGGTGGAGCTAAATATGTCTGTCGCTTCTGCCAAACATGACTGACAGTCCGTCAGACCAGGATTAACTCTTCCACAGGAAGCAATGCTGCCATCGTATGAAATTCCGTGATGACTTGCACGATCGGTTTCGTTGTTGACATTTAGCATAGGGGCCGAAGGGGATGGCGATGCATTGGTTTCCACGTCCATACCCAAAAAGCGAACTTCGATAGCAGTCTCAATGTCATCATCATCTAGCAGCAAAGGCTGATCAGCGGGTGTATCATTCGTCGACTCAGCCACATACCAGCTTTTTTGCTGTTCCATTCCACCTCAGCCCTGGCAGTCCGAGCAGCGGAGCTATCAATCCTAAAATCGACCTAAACGGAGAGTTGATAATCAGAATTACATTCCAACAGACGAATGAATTTCCCTGCTACCTTATTATCGGATACTTGCTGTAACAGCGACATCAAGTCACCATCAGTCCCCAATAGTGGCCACGTCCGCCAGAAGGACTCCTGTTGCAGATATACATCCTCGTCTAGCGCTACGGCGTCCTGAAAAGTGTCAAATGGAATGGGACCGCCCAGTGCATTTTGATTTCTAGAGCACGGTTAATGACTATTCTAGAGCGAGATCGAGACAGAACATACGCATCAGATATTTTGAGACGTCGTCCAGGTTTCTCCCTTTTCGGATCTCGAATGTGTTTAGACAGGATGCCTCGCTCGAGAAGTCTCTTGGTAGCAGATGAGACGGCGTCTTGACCTATATCCCGAAGCAGGTTCGCAGCCATGTCAGGTTTGTAGCGTTCGTTGGGCGTGCCGAATACCATCTGTTGGACGCGTATTATTAACTTAGATCGTCTGTTCGCTATATACGTACCTTGAGCGCTGCCTCTGCGACAAAGGTAGCTTCTGATCTCTCCTCCGGCGTTGACGGAAGTATGCTTCCTTTGCAGAAAGCCTGCTGATACAATGCTTTCTCTCGACCTTCCTCAGCGTCGCCCTTCCACATGAAGTCGTAGGTGGTGGAAGTTACTGGAGGTCCTACAACATCCCATCCATCCAGGAGTTCATCCACAGATTGGGGTATTATTATCGAGTTTGTCGTATTAGTGAAACCAACACGCCTATTCTCCATGAGTATTTACCATCTTGTTCGGTAAGGAGGACGTACAATGCATTCTTGTCGATATGGCTGCGGAGAAACTCGATGTGTTTGGGTAGATCGAAGTTGGAGGCGCTTTGAGGATCATCATCTGGTAGTATGTCGGTACCTCGGTACCTACTCCAAAGGTCGGACCACTTTTCCTCCAGCCGCTTAAGGTAAGCTTCGTTGCCAGGGGTGTCTCTGATATGGACCAACCGCTGGCGCACGGTGTTGCGAGGAACAGACGGAAAGACTTGATCCAAGGCAGTGAGCTCTAGGCGGGGCAAGTCGCGACATCTGACTTTGATGATGACAGAAGCATCCCGGGCAAGCTCTTCGTAGTCATTATCCCATTGAAAGCGATGCCGTCGATACTTGGTGCCCGGCGGTTCGTCGTCCTCTGTTGAACAATTAGATAAATATAACCACGTTACGCATATAATATATCTACCTCCGTCAGCTTTCTCTTTCTTGGGCTTCTTTCTCTGGCGAGTTCGCTTCGACTCCGGAATGGCGGGACCTTGTTGTGCTATCAATTCTGCCACGGATTTCTCAATTAGGTTGTGAACAACGGGCGGGGATAAGAAGCTTGTTCCCTTGGACGGTCCTGAAGATGTAGCTGGAACACTAGGTAAAGTTTGAGTAAGCCTCTTCGCGTGTTTTGAAAGGATTTTCGACGCTGCTAAAGCCGCTTCTCGTAAGGTCTTTTGGATCTCAGCCTCCCATGACCCCATGTCTTTCACTGACACAGCCTGCAAGAACTTCTTCCGAACGGGTCGCAGTCGAATTTCTGCAGAGCCTTTCAGTGGCTCTGGGTACACTCTTGCCACCATGTCAGCCCATTCAGATTCTCTTTGAGCTCTTGCTTCAGCTGCCATATCTGCCAGCAGTACTTTGTCTGCTTCCGATGCCTCCTTCTCCGCTTCAAGACGTTCTCGCTTGAGGCGAGCTTTGGCGATAATCTTAGCGTATTGACTACGAGTATCGAAGAGGAAGTTTTTCACAACGTTGGCAGGAGCAGATACGATCCATGCTAGCTTTTCTTCGTCGACGTCCAGGGGAGTGTCACCGACTTCTTCGATCCTTGTCCCGCCTTGTAGAGCCCGAGATAGGTACTGTCTTTGGTGCCATGTGAGGAAGTATTCATCGGCCCATGACGAAGGCCTGCGCAGGGACTTCGTCAAAGTATCGTTGAGGGGATGAGACAGCGTCGGGCGGAATACATCATCTTCAACCATCTTTCCTTTCTGCAAACATGCCTCACGCAGTTGCGACCAATACTCCACGGCGCCGTTGCTCGAGGACACGGAGACCGTCTTCAGGAATATGGGAGAGGGATCAGACCGCGACCAAGCGAATACTGGTGCCGTGTCCGTGAACTGCCAATAAGACGGTGCGAGGCTTGGAGTATTCGGAGTCCAGCCCTCGAGAGGAGCCGCATCGAACGCCGTGGGATGCTCGCCGTTCGCAGCGCATTGAATCTGAGGGCTAGGAGAGTCGGTGACTTGTAGAGGTATTACTAGCCGGAGGGACATCAACAATCCCATGAGGTCCAGGAACCGCGATCGAGCTCTTGATCTTCCGATCTGAAGTATGCTATGCAAAGGCGGGGGCAGGTCCTTGACTGCTGTCTCAGGCCCACCCTCACTTCGATAAAATTTGGTCAGATCTTCATTGTAAGACAGCACTGCGCACAGTGACAGGTAAAGTCCAAGAGGGAGATCATGGTTGTAGAACGCTAGGTGAACAATGCGATCATGGCGGGACACAACACTGGGACCACTCTCAGGGCTTTCGAGGGCGGATAAGGTCGCTAGATGCATTTTGCGTAACCTTGCAACCTTCCCAACCACAAAACCGTAGAATTGTCCTACAGTGGTGCGCTCCGTTAAGAGGACTTCGTGGATTGTAGCGTCGTCGTATTGCCAGAGTTGATCAGCTCTGTGTTCATTTTTGCTCCAGCGTTCTTGTGCGTCGCCAGGTTCTCTCTCTTGGAGAAGCTGAAGAGGGAGAACACCCCTTCGCTCGTGCCTTTCGATGGCTCCATATTCTATTGGCTCCTCGATTCGCTTTATGTGCGCCGCCGGGACAATTGGAGCTACGTCAGAAAGGTTGCTCAAATATTCAATCGCCTTGGCGGGATCAACATCAGAAAGGCGGGCAACGGTCGTGGGCCGTGGAACGCCAGTGCGAGTCATGATTTGTGTTTTGATCATCTTGATTCTCCCTTTGGACTCCATACTGTCAAGAGTCGCAAGCACGGTCCTCTTGTCCACCCGCGTCCCAGGGGGAGCGCTAGTGGGTTCTCCAGACTGGGAGAGTACATCAACCAAAGCCGAGTGAGCGTCCGTAAACTCCTTGGAGTTTATGTTGAGGATTCCACCACAGCTGACAAGAACCTGATAGAACTCGTTTTCCCGACGCATATGTGACACATTGGCTTTTGGGACGCGAGACGACGCCGCTGTTTTCAACGCCGGTTCTGAAACCTGTGGTCATTGAGTAAGGTGAACTAAAATAAACAAAAGCGACGTACAACGACAACTGGAGATTGAGAGTCCAGAAGCAGAGGATCGATTGGGATGTTGTGAAACGCCTTGCCTGAACCACCGGCACGGGGGCTTGGTGTATCCTCGATGGGCACATGCGGGGTGTCAACAAGCGGTTCCTTTTCTGGCTGAGCGACGTCAGGAGTTATAGGCGAAAGAGGCCCTCCAAACGGGGTCGTAGCTACTGAAACGGGAACTGTCTCTGAATCATTGGGACGATGCGTAGATTTCATGCTGGCAACATCAACGGTGGTGTCAACGGTGGGTGCGGCACGACTAGATTGATTAGTGGAGATCGACGTAGCATTTTCTTGAGAGGCCAATGCTTTTGCTGTTCTGGTGCGTTGTCTCTTGGGTCGAGCATCGGGCGACGTTGCGTCTCCTCCACCAGCGGCAATACTGTCTTCGCCACGGCGTCGTTTACGAAGCGAAACGGTCTTCTCATCCTTGCCTTGGGAGAGATCAGTGATTGCTGGTGGGTCGCTGGGTTCCTGAGTGTTGGCCTGAGACTTGCGGGGTCTTCCTCGTTTCCGTGGCTGAGAACTTGTGGGTACGCTGGTGGGCAAAGGGTCCACCGCGTCTACGTCCATTGCTACTGCTGCTAGAGCATCCGGCTCCGTGATCGACTGTGGCTGATCTTGTATGCTCTCCTGCAACGCCGCCGAAGGTTTACTCTTCTTCTTTGGTCGAGAGTCGTCTCCTTCGTTATCTTGCTGGCGCTTTCGACCTCTTTTCGGAGGACCCGAGTCCTCAGTTCCGTCGGCATCGCCAACTGCAACGGGCTTCTCTTTGCGCGGCTTGACGACTTTCTTCGGCTTAGGCGGAGTGGACCCTTCTCCATCCACGTCTGCAGTAGCTGCTTTCTTGGATTTCTTCTTTTTCTTCCTCTTATCCTCCACCTTCTCGTCAGTATGAGTCTCTAGGAAGGCATCGTGATATTGAGTTAGTTGCTTTTCGTCTAGGTAAAATTGATCAGAGGTAACTGGCGTAAAATCCCCCGTGTTCGATAGGTCAAGATCCCCATAACCAGCATTCGCGGGGTCGAGGTTTTCGTTCTCGAGCAGTTGACGATACGAAGCAACAGTGAAGTATCTGTTTCGGCGCTCACGTCCATAGTTCTCCATGATGATTGCGACCCCGAGGTCGGCCAAGTGTGTGGGAGGGGTCTGCCTCTCTGCACGGGTGAGCAAAAGATCAATCGTCCGTTTGTCAAAGTGACCAAGCCGCTCGCTCAATTCCTATGTAGTTGCCCTGATGAGACGCAGAAGCATAACAAATTCAACCGTGCCTACATTCATGGTAATTCCGCCTGTCCCGGCCTCTTCGATAAGATCTACCACCTGTTTGTGAAGAGTGGTGTTTGTACGAAGACGGTAGACACGACCTAATTACCGCAGTGAGCGGAATACCTGCTGGTCTCGAATCCCGAACAAACTTACCAAATTCGTCTTCCTCCTCGTCATCGATAGATGCAGCTACTGCGCCACTGGGAGTGGGCGCCGAACCTGGAGTGACCAGGCGGAAGCACTTTATCATCTTCCCTTCTGAGCCCTTTCGAAGACTTGGAACAAGGATCACTTCAATCAACCCAAGTTGAATGAGTTCGCGTATCCTCGTGTTGAAGAATCGTCGGTCGGTCTTGGTAGGATGAGCGAAGCCCTATTTAAGGCTTGAGAATTGCTATTTGCTATCAATTGCGAAATTGGCACGTACGATTTTGAGCAACATATTGTTCGCCGCGTGTATGTGGTTATGCGAAGCTTTAAGTAGTTTCATTACCCGTGCCTGTATGAGTGGTAGGCTAGACAAGTGCCTAGCGTCAATTGGCGTGAACCCAAGGTTTGACAACGTCTGAGGCGCAGCTTCTTCGGCCATGTCCCCTGCGTCGTCTGGTTCTGGAGCTCCGTGAAAGAGTTGCTGTGCTTTCGACTCTTCTTCGCGAACCTCTCTCCATCGCGGGCTGGTGTCGTAGAAATGTTTGTGGAGACACAGATGCGTCCCTACGCCGCCACGACGTACTTTGACTCTTTGAGCTCGTCAGAAAACAGTAGTCACAGCGTGCATTGAGACGTACATGAGATTCAGTTCAATCAGTTGTTTGACAAGATAGAAGCAACTCTTCTGATCATATTTCGTATTTCGACCTAGCTCAACGACGGTAATACCTGTCTCTCTTCCCCGCGTAATGAACTGCAAGGCAGTGTACACCATAGGAGTCATTTTCTGAGGCTGAAAGAAATTCAATATGGGCTTCCCCCAAGGTTGTGATAGGGTTCTACCTTGACATGTGAGCCAGTTATGGCAGCAAAGATTTCTTCTGGATCAACAGCTATTCGGAGGGCTTGTCCAAACTCTGCCTTGAGGTCATTAAAGCTTCGTGTTGCTGCATCCGCAATGACTTCGAGACGCGGTCGGTCCTCCTCAGTGACTTCATTTTTAGCTTTGCCTTGGGCTTTGGCCTTCTTGATCGCACTCGGCTGAGGGGCAACGAATACTTCCGTAGTCAGTCCATTTGGGATGATCCCAACTCTGATAGTTGGTTGCTGGACGACCAGGGACCATACGAAAGCATTGAAGTTATGATCGATATTTTGGGTGTATCCAGGGTGTTTTTCATAGAAGTCCTTGATGAAGACGTCAAGCCGTGAAGGTTCGCTACCTGTTATAAACTATTAGCAAATTTCGGAGGTAAAATCTCGAGGTAGACGAGGTCTACCACGGAGGGAATCGAACTCGCCTCCTCGGAGAGAGAGGACAGGGAGATCGTAGACTCACCCAAATCTCCATCAAACGATATTTCACGAATACAGTGCCGCACAAGTTCGTCCATAGTATGTACAAGGGTTTAGTTGGTTAGTACAGGTTATTCTGTATCGTCTGTGAATCCATGCTAGATCGCTGCGCTCATAAAGGGCGACGTGTAAAGCAGCGTACCTTCCGTAACATATAGAAACACTGACTGTTGCACAAACACACTAGAAAAACATCGAAAATAGTGGAGTTGGGAATCCAAGAAACGTCGGAGAGGTCACTGCGGACGGGCAAGATAACTGAGAAACAAAAGAGATCATGGGCGCTTATCTGTGTGTCAAGAACTCCTAGTCAACGAACTATCGAGCATTGGTATAAGAAAAACTACAGGATATAATATTCGTCCTAATATTATGGCACAAACGGCTCTTTTCGTACTCAGGCAAATATCTAGGGTGACTACCACAAAACAAAGAACAACGAAAACTGACTACCGGGGACATCTATACATGCGCAGCATGCCGCTCTTCCCATAATGTCCTGAGGACATCAGATAGAGCGACCTTCCCAAGCTGCGCGTTCTGCTCAAACCGCTGGACAAGCCATTTTTCTAAGCCATCTGCCGCCATCCGCCATAAGGCCAGCCGAGCCTGGACTTCTGCCGTCTGCGAGAATGCCGTGCGATGTGGTGATGAGGGGAAGTATTGTACTTGCTCTAGACATGTCGCAAATTGGGATAGGGAGAGGTTGACGGAGGTTATAGTGGCTCTTTGAGTAGCGGGGTCTATGAATGATATTTCCCGGACAAAAGCGTCTTCTGAACCGCCGAAGAGCTACGGGGAATCGTGTTGGCAAAAGACCACGTAAAAAAGACTTTGTGCTCACCTTCACTATCCAAGTTGGTGCTTTCTGCTTACAGCCCAGTACTCTCTCCGTCCTCACGATCCCCGTTTTTGGATCTATCGTCCGCGACAGCGTATCGACTGTAACGACGTGCGAGCAATGTGGATTTGGGTATTTGTGCCACATTCCGATGACAACATGAGACCATGGGTGCCTAAGGCGCCGCAAAACGCACATCAGCAACCGAGTAGTATTGCGAAGATGTAGATTACTCACTCGTAGTTGAAAAGCTGGGAGAAGAAGTGCATTTTGGAATAATAGATAGAGTGCTTGGATGTACAATTGAGTTGAGCCAAAAGGAAGTCTATAAAGTCTAGGGCGTAATCTGCGCGGGCAGCAGAGTTTTGTCGTGTGAGATGGCGACGGGAGCAAAGAGAGCCAGGGTGGGGCAGTACAAGACTAAGTGGAAATTTGTAACATTTCCGACGCTCCTGATTGGCCCGACTGACATCATCCTCTCGGCGCGGACGTCTCCGGCCATCTCTGCTGCCGAGTGCGGACTTCCGTTTTGTTATCTGCACGTCAGCCATAGGCTACGTTCTCTGTGCACCATAGCTTGCGGATGAAAGTGTACAAGTAGCTAATTAGGCGCAATGGACAACACGATGATATGATGATACATATGCACGAAGAGACCTCGAGGGCTCATTAATTACCAAGATCCGCTATAACGCCTACGTCCAGCTTTACCAACGATGAGAATCACGGTCTTCCGCCAATGCGCGGAGCTCTTCCAATCGTGCCTTCATCTTGGGCCTAAGAAATAGGTTCAGGTCAACTGATGTGTCCGGCTGCGTGTGTAGCAAAGTCTTACACTTCAAGTAATTTCGCCTCCAGAGCTTGTTTCTCTTCTTGGAGAGCCAGGCGTTTCTCCGCATCTAATTTGGTACTGCCGAGGTTGTTAGGAACCAGCCAATCGATATGGGAAACACCGGAATAGGGCAATGACGTACAAAACATAACCTCCTTGGCCATCATAGTGCAGAATCATAGCATGGTACTTCCAAAGGGAAGGTCGATGGGAGACGGTCAGCAATGTGATCCCAAGCGCGGTTGCATGGTCCATCATCATTCCTTCCACGTCGGGCGGTACAAGAGACGTCGCTTCGTCCAGAACGGCATACTATAAACGACGATACGTTGTCGGCGCAAGGCTCGTCCAACAAGGAGGTAAGACTAACCTTTGGATGGTGATAAAATAGCCTCGCCCACGCGATCTTCTGCTTATCCCCACCACTCAACGCATCTCTCCATTCTTTAGCAGCATCCCATCCCCCTTCCCGCTCAACGATATGATCCATTTGCACTACAGAGAGTATACGGAGTAAGTCAGCATCTGTGATGCCCCCTGTCAATGTATGAGCACGGAAACTTCTAGCCATATGGATGGACACTCACTGGATTCCATCTCAGCCTGAGAATGCGGGTAGATGACTTGGTCCCTTAGAGTTCCGAGGGACAAGTACGGCCGTTGAGGGATTAGAATGAATTCTGATGCCCGTGGCTTTCTGACGATACCGCCATATACTGGCCACAGCCCACCCAAGATACGGAAAAGTGAGGACTTCCCACAACCTGGGCCAAAGGTTAGAACGAACCTTTCATATCTTCTTCAAAAACTTACCGTTCGGACCAACGATCAGTAGGTGTTGCTAATGGCAAATTCAATGAGCAGGGGGAGTCTAGAAGGGAATGAAAGGCGTACGCCATGTTTGATGTGGAAGCTCAAGTGCCGCACTAACACGTCTCCGTTCGGCGTAACGATAGGAACATTCTCGAATTGTATGTCCTCTGACTCAATGACTTGACCACGCCCACGGAGGACTATCCAGAACCATCAGAAACGCCCTTAGGACGAGGAGGAAATTAGAACAACCTACTTTCTGCATTTTCTCCAGTCGTTGCCGTGCTCACAAGACTTTTGTCAAATTTGCCTTGTTTGACGTCCTTCATTGTGTCCAGCAGTTGCGATACACGAGCCGTGTAGCCCGCAAGCTCAGACAAATCCTTGTATGAATACATCACGCGTCCGAATGCATCTAATGCATCTCGGTTATTGGACCGTTACGAGCAGATAAGACGCACTTACCTGAAGCGGAGAGCAATAGTCGTCTGTTGGTGACAAAGCCTAATTTAACAGCGGGCTTAGCACTGCACGAGGGAGAATGCTAGAGATGGCACCAACCTTCTGTGCGACTGCCCAAGTCGATGCTTGACACACCGGGTACCTTGAAGAATACTGGTATAGCACACAGCACAAGCTACAACCAGCTCTTAAGCAAAAACAGAGCTCTGAACGTAGAAGCCATACCCCAAAGCTTCCCCACAGCCACTTGATTACCCCTTCCTCAAGGCACCCAAACCACCATCTCCGTTGTAACACTCTGTTTTCGTGCTTTATCACCGTCGCGAAATCACGCTCAATGAGCATCTTCTCTGTCTGTTCGCCGCCAAAGAACGCAATTTCTTCGGCGAACTCTGCCAGTCGAGAGTGACTGTGACGGAGGTTCCCAGAGAGTTGAGCGGAAAGCGCCGTATACATCCCGAATGGAGGAGTAATGTATCGAACTGGGTCCAGCTCATATTTTAGTAGGTGATGACGGGATGAATAGCAATCACACATACGTAGGGCAGCTGTGCTCTGTACCAAGAGGGTCAAAACAACCAGGCCTTCGGCACCGACATTCTGAGATAGTTGGTAATTATAGAGGATCACGTCAAGTATTGGTTTCGCAAGATTAGAATAGATGGCGGCCAGATGCGTGGAAAATCGTTGTATATCGTTGGTGATCATCCTATTATGGAGAAAATCATTAGCATCATTGAAACAGAGACGAGAGATTGTATTTACTGGTCGGGATTTTTTATGCGGTCATCAAGGTTCGCTTCGGGGTGGTTAGACATATTTATTTACGGGATGAGAATGCGATATCTTACATAGCTTGTAATACACCTTGCCGTCGGGGCCTTCCTTCCTGTCACCGAAGTATTGACCCATGACCTCTTGCGTCAGGCGGGTACGGTAAGCAATGGCTAGCTTGCTCTGTACATAGGTGAGCCAGCTATTGGTCCATGTCGCGGGGATGGCAACAATCAGCCATTTGAGGATATTGAGGAAGAACTGCAATGGTTGGGCTCGAACTAGACTAGCTACAATTCTGTTAAGAAATATTAGACCACGCAATAAACTGCCAGGAAGGACTCAAACCAACCTCCCATCCAATGCGGCGACGTAGAGGGATATCGCCGTCCTGAAGATCAGAAGGCTGGAGTGCATCACAAGTAGCATAGCTTCTTTCGAGCGTATTCCGGGGATTACGATGCGTAGGATAGTAGACAAGCGTTGGTAGAATAACGCATCAACCTATCGAGACCCGATGGTCAGTTCCCCCTTGGTGTGTAACAATACAATGGGAGCTCACTGCTACCCGAGGTGGCTTGCCCGAACTACGATCCTTCTCCGCGGTTTCGGCGGCCTCCTTTGCCTTCTCCTTGCCTTTCTTAGAGTACGATGGCTTCCCAGATAGACTCGTATATGTGGAACCAAGCACATAAACTACAAATCCAAGGGTAAGCAGCTTCTGTACCACCGGCCGGTGCTTGACGTAGGTCTTCGACAGGAGCGCAACATGCTCAGAAAGATTGCTCGGACGGAGTGTCGAATGCGCGGCCATTTACGATAGAGAAAAGTTATCGAACAGAGTCGCGGGGAGGATTGAACATGTAGTACAACTGGCGCGTGGAGATCCTGGTTGTGTGGCGCGATCATAAGAGTTGTTTCATGTGATTGCGATCCTCTAGGCGCCCAGGGTTCCGATAATTATCACGCAAGATAGCCTCCAGGTGCAAAGAGCATTCAAGTTGTATTCATACAGAAAGCTTATAAATGACCCTCTTCTCTACGGTTTCGTATCCAACGCACAACCTCAGCCCAGTCCTTTACTCGATGCAGCGGAGCGCCTTCAGGAACCTCTAGCGTTTCTTCCTTCCAAAATTCCTTACCACCAGCGGCCTTCAGTCGTATATCAAAGGTCATCTCATCTCTATGATCTTGCGGCCCAGAAATCCTGCTGTTCCATTGGTAATCGCCGAAGAGTAATACACGAGTTGGTGGATCGTGAGTGGAACATTGTATCGCGTTCTCCGACGAATCATCAATGAGAAGACAAGCTCCCAAGTCGTTACAGACCTGTGATAATGTGAATGTCAGTTATGGACGATCGTGGTGGACGTAGGCTGCGAGTTACCTGGCCTTTGCTAAGCTTCGTCACGATTTCATGCCCAACCTTGTCAGCATCCTTGAATTGATTGGTGCAGATCAACGTGTCGAATATCCCTACAAGAAGGCATCAGAGAAGGGATTATGATGGAACTATATCCACAATACCGGGGAAGTGCTTATCCACCCATTTCCACGACGGCTCGGCAACGTCTTGTGTCCTCGCCGTCACTATGACCAGTCTGAAACCCATATCTCTCAATGACTGCACCCCTTCACGAGCACCGGGGACTGGTGCAGCCTGGTATATACGGTCCGTCGCGTAGAACCTTTTGACCTTCTCATATGTTTCGGCTGGTGTTCCCCAAAACGGGTTCTAAAGACCAAGATTTCAACATTAAACAACCATGATAGCGAATGAAGATCACTTACACACCTTCCAGTAATAATAATCTATATCGACAATCAGTTCAACTCTCACTGCGGCAAACCCTAACGATCTACTTACAGTAGAAATGGGAGATATCCATATTGGTTCCGTAGTTTTCATTATGGACTTGGATGGTTTTAGCATTGCACTTGGATGAGTATAATAACTGCCTTACATTCTGCCAATACATGATTCGTTTGGCTGAGCACATCGTCTAGATCTACCGCGATGACTGGACCTGATGATCCAGGAGGTGATATAGTGCTTAGCTTCGCCAGGGAAGCTTCTTCCGCTGGGCTTATGGGTGCATCGTCCTGATACTCAGATATATCCAGGCCGTGCGGATTTGGCTGTGGTACTATTGTTGGTTTGGAATCAGACATAGCTTGAACGTTCACGCCAAGTTGGCAGCCGCGCCATCGCAAAGCTTGGATCCACGTGTTAAGGGGCTTACAGGGGGTTTACAGGGGAGCGAGGACAGAGATTGACATAAGAGACTATGAGAGGATGAGAAGAATAATGTACATTGCACGCGTGCTCGTTAAGTATTTAGCTAGCTAAATTACACGACTTGCTGAATCTGAGAAAGAGAATGTGTGTATCAGCGTTGCGTTCCCATAGAGCAGCTCACTATACATCTCACCTTCCCACTGGTGACATCGTACGTCCATCCGGAGATTTTGGTTCCCTCGAGGAGCAATGGGTTCCCCTTGAGAAATTCAACATCACTCTTCACGCTGTTCTCCAGCTCAGAAAACGGCCCGAAATCAATAGCATCCACGGCCGCCGCGACATCAGCGTTACCGGGTTGCGCATCCTTCACGAGCTGCTTGATTTCCGGTGACGTAAAGGTCAGCATCCCACACCCGGTGTGATGGAAGACCGCAATTTCGCGCGTGCCCAGAAGGCGCTGGGAGATGACTACGCTTCGTAAAGCGTCCTTGCTTCATTAATGGATGCTCGTCAGCAACTGGAAAGAGCACCGGCAATCTTGACGACTTACGCAAGGCCACCAGCGTTGCGGATAACGTGTGCTTCACCCAGTCCGATACCAAGTTGTCCTGCAGGTCTGCAAGGAGCAGCTAATTTAGTGGAGCTAAATTTATGAGGATACGAGTATTGCATACTCGACTCTAGCATCCATGCACGTCACTATCAGAGTTCATTTTTAAGTCATTGAGAATAGTGTAGTAGATAAGATAAGCTCACCGACAATAATCTTCTTGGAAGGAGGAAGTGGTAGATGACCCTGTGTGAAGGTTGACGCATACTGTGCATTGTTCGCAGCGAAGTCGATGGAGTGAGACATCTTGAGAATATGTGGGGGAGAGATAATGAATGAGGTAACGTCTTTATATCTTGGATCTCTATCTATTTCAAAGCACCCGATGTTGTGAGAAATATTCAAGGTGAATGATGGCGCAATTGTAGGACATGATGATTACGCATAAGACATTCGTTTTCGGTTATACTATAGATAGATACGTGATCTCCTGCCAAGAATGAGTCTAAACGACTTGAGATGCCTGCGGACCATGTGAGTTGGGTCAACCAAAGTAGGTCCTCTTAGCTTACTTTCTCGGTTTCAACATCCCAAATCCAACCCGTAATTTTCGTGCCCTTTAGGATCAAAGGCGAGTTTTGTAGAAACTGTACATCGTCTCTGACAGACTTCTCCAGATCTGGTCCATATTCAAGGAAGTCTATATTATCAATCTGCTTGCCTGCTTCTGCATTTGTAGGATCAGCATCTTTGACTAGCTTCTGAAGGCCTGGGGTAGTCATTGTGACTAGTCCACAACCCGTGTGATGATATACCGCAATTTCGCGGGTACCAAGCAGCCTCTGGGAAATAATGAGGCTGCGAAGGGCATCGCGACTAAAACTGACTGAGTTTTGAACTGTGACGAAGAGATGACGAACGTACGCCACACCACCTGCATTGCGAATAATGTGAGCTTCGCCAAGGTCTATGCCCAACTGGGAGAAGGGGCTGAAGATAGCGGTTAGTGGAGGCATGTTGCGATCAAGTTATCGTTGTTTCACTTGATTCGTGCATCCATGCAAGTCACTGCAAACGATGTCAAGGCATTGGGGGCAGTTGAGGGAAGAATCTTACCTATCGCCAATCGTTTTGTTGGGGGTAGAGCAATTGGACCTTCTTTTCCTGTGTCACCGTTGACCATCTTAATTGATATTAGCGGCACTGCATTCACGATGAGAAAGCAACGGAACTCACTGATGACTTGTTGGGATTACCAGTTGGTGATGTTTCAAACTTGGAGGTAGATTGCTTATTTTGTCGCCGGCTGGGGTCTAGACTTGAATCCACGGATCCGCTACACCAGCGCTGCAGGTATACGATTGGGGAGGGAGGGGAAAGGAAAGGGCCTGCTATCAAATGCCTGAGGTGTACATACCGCCTGAGCATGGTGGTCAATGGCAAAGGATATAGCTACCTGCTGCCAATAATGTGGAGGGCTGCACGGATAAGAGAGTTAGGGCGAAGAAGTTCAGGTTCGGTAGGGAATAGACGCCGTCCGTGGGAAGGGTAACGGACGTGTGACGCGTGACTTGCATACTTGCACGGTGACTATCATCATCATCTACTCTCCACCAACTCGTCTAGCATCTTGAATTTGCGTTTCACATCACTGAGCGCAGAGGGTGATATATCTGATTTTATAAGGTCTCACATCGACATTATGACTAGAACTTCAACTCAGCGAGCGTACCACCTTGCATGGATCTATATCCATCAAGTTAGATTCTAGATTCCTTTTGTATAAAGTGGGAGGTAATGTCTCTAACATACTGAGTCGCACACGTTATATTAATACCTCGCTAGAGCGAATACGATTCGCGCTACTAAATGCCTAAGATTCTGATACGTGTCGTGTGCATCTTTTCCTTGCCTGGACCACCTTGAACTTGGTGCCGACAAATCGCTCTCATGGTGATGCATTCTGACAATTATGCCCGTCAGTTCTGAGACGCGCGAGCGAGGTATTACTATATGTGTGGACGATCCCATCCTCCCCTTCTATACTACTCACGGTGAATTTCATAGCAATGCCCAAGATGCTTCTAGTCTGGCTCAAGTGGCACCCCCACTGTCCGCAATTATAAGCTGCCCCTCCTAGCAGGGCCGAGATTTGGCTATCCCATCTGCAACAGGGCGTCAGGCGTGTCTAATCTTCGCGAAGGAAGGTATAAAAGACGCCAATGGCGTTAGCTGTATGATCTGATGGATACGGCTTACCTCGTGCAATAGGATTCGAGGTGATCTTCCCATCTCACGCACGGTGCTATCCGGTACTTAAACGCTGACCACGAGGGAGCTGACGACTTACAAGCCCTCTTCCACTTCTCTTCAGTCGAGCATGGATGCCCACAACTCCTCGTCCTTCAAGAAGTTCAACGCGACCGTCGCCAATGACATCTGGCCGGAGGTTCTATTCTTCTCTGCGATTGCCACAAGTAGGTTGGCTTCTAGACTCCTCAGAATGTTGGCTCACCGGAACGACGCACAGTGGTCTACTTAGTGTCGACGATGACTTCGACCGACCTAAGCATAGACAGCAGCTTGTTGACAGTATTGGGTGTGGTCCTCGGTGTGGTCGTATCCTTCCGAACATCGACGGCGTACGAAAGGTGGGCCCCATCCAGTGACAATCGTTGAGATCTATTCCCATTAGGCGCTTGTAGATATCAAGGCGGGAGGGAGATGTGGACTAACATCAACATAGCATCAAGAAACTTGGCGCAATTTGTAAGCGCTCTTCACTTAGGATGGAATCAAGCGTACAATTACTCTTGATCATAGATCTGGATCTACGTCCCCACTGAGGGAAGACAACGCAACGAATTGAAAGCTATCATTGAGAAGAAGACCATGGTCAACTTGGTATGCTGCTCATGAAAAATATTATCTCCTACGTTGATGCGTGAGTACGACTTCGAAGGTACAAGCATTCTCCGTAGCTGTCAAGGTCAGTCTTAGCGCAGACGTTTCGAAGGTTACTTGGATCTAATCACAATATCACAGCATCTACTGCGTGGTGAATCTGGGATATATTACGAGGATCTTTACCCTCTCATCTGCCATTTGCCACGGTATGCGGACACGAAGGCTCCGCGGCAGGTTGAAAACGATATTCTCCCTCTCTTCCGTGAACTTCATGGTTCGGGTAAAATGCCTTATGTGGATGTCAGCGATGCAGGTCGGGGCCGCGAGCCACAGCATACGACTTCCCTTCCTGAACCCAAGGATGACCACGACATCATGGATGATGACAAGTCCACCAACGCCTCCTGGTACCAAACACTGAGTAGAAGGTCGCCGCGCAAGCAGGGACTTGATACATTCGATCCAGAGAAAGTACTACCAACAGTCAAAAGCGAGCAACCATTGAAGCCCGGGCGCAATCCCCCAGAGACATCTATCTACGATTACATCCCTCTCTTCCGTTTCCTCAAATGGCTCGCTTTGATCATCTTCCGCCGCACCGCGTCTCTCACTCGGATGACGGACGAACGTCAGAAGATGGGTAGGGATGCTCTTGGAAGGAAAAGGAAAATGGGCTCAATGGAAAGCAACGTTCCTATGGAAATCTGTCTATATCTCTCGAGGTGAGCTCTGTGTTATACACAAACCCCCAGCGATTCATTTCCGTCTCCCAGTTACTTTGCATGTGAGAACTGGTTTAGCTTTGTTCCAATATTCCTGACGGTCTTGAATCTAAGATCTCATGAGGCAAAATTTGATTAAACCACCAGTCGATTCGGCTCTCACCAACAATTTATCTTCTCTCCAAGAGGCCATGTCCAACTTGGACCGTATCAGGAATACTCCGTTGCCTTTTGCATATCAGGTGCATCTTCGAATGTCACTATGGTCAGTCATCTGTGCACATGATAACACCACAACATATGTTCCCGACTGACTGGATACGTTCAAGGCTTTACCTCTTCTTCCTGCCGGTACGCGTTTATAAATGAATGTGTTGATGGCATGTTTTAATCTTACACCATTGATTTTAGTTCCAAATACTTCCAAAGTTTGGCAACCTGGTGATTCCGGCCACGGCGTTCTCTTCGTTCCTGCTTCTCGGGTTCTTGGAAATCGGCCAAGAAATGTAGAGTCGCTCTCTCTCGAACTGAAAGTGTCTGACTCAACATGCCTTGCAGTGAGGATCCTTTCGGATACGATGCCAATGATCTCGGTAAGCTATTACCCCCTCGCCAACCTACTGAAGCTGGATTGTACTATAGATCTGGACGGTTTCTGCTTGCGCATCCAGCGGGAGATCCATGAAATAACTGCAGTACGTTCTCACTCCCTGGAATTCTGCATGCTAATGTAAACCATCTTACTAGCACCACTGCCCCACCCCTGATATCTTCGTGTTCAGTGCTTGGAATAAGCCATTCGCACCTACTGATGAACGTACCGCCGAGACTTTGCGCGGAATTCTTCCTCATGAGTACATGGTTCCTGGTCGCGATGTGTATGTACAACCCGGGTCGGCAAGCATCAGGCGTACACTGTTGAACAGCTGGCGGACCGTTGATCGTGTCACTCGGCATTCGTGAAGCCTTTTCCGATGCTGGTCTGTGCACTAGCGAGGTGTCGGAGCTCTGCAGTCTCATCTACTTGAATCCATGCTTATTTCTTCATCTTATGTATACGACTCACAATATCTGCCATTATGTTTTCCTACTACTCGTTTTGCCCTAGGTTACGTTGGAAAGTATGTAAGTACGGTAGGATTTGGGTACATAGAGTCACCTCATTCGGTGTCTCGTTTTAAAACAACTACGCTTCTTGTTCTCATTTCTATAATGCTATTATGATTGCGTCTCGCCAACCGTCGAACATCGTAATTTGCAACTTCAACTTGATGTAAAGAAAGCCCTGAGGAAGCCCTGAAATGGTTGGCCGTGGGAAGCACTTCTAGCACTTGTCACAATTCAGTATTCAGACCTTGCAGTTGCACTAGACGGCTTCCTCATGAACCTCACCACCTCTGACCAAATCAAGGTTCTGCTCGCTGCGCCAGATGATGAAATATCAGTCAAAGCGACATTAGAGCTCTTGGATGGTCGGCTCAAAATCATTGATGATTTACGCGACTTGGAGGTCGTTTTGAACGAAGCTCAACAACACCACGACACTCTCGAGTCGAAAGTGCGTCTTGATAACCAGTGAAGCGCCCATCTCATGACCATTGATAGCTCAGCTTGCAAATTCGCAAGTCAATGTCGATTCCACGATAACTGGGACCAGGGCCTTGGCGGCAGCTCACTTGCATACTGCACAGGAGCTCTCCCTCGTTCGACACTCACTTGCCGATGAGTTAGCAGATATAACCGAAGATCTTCTGCCTCATTTCTCAGACGACGGCGAACGGACGTCAACTCTATTAGAAGATATACAATCGTTGCACCGAGACTTGGACGAGCTCAGTAACTTGAAAGAGTATGTTTTGGTAATAGAACGCGCTGTAAAGCTGAGGTCAGTACACTTGTCTTGGACGTTCGAGGTCAAACTTGAACTGCATGTTCTAGCGACGCCTCGGCGCAACAGACGCGCGACTTACCGCTGACGCAGCCGATCTCTATTTCGTCCATATCTCAATACCGTGCCTTACATGACTTTGTTGAGCAAGTTGCAGAGCAATGCTCAACAGCCGCTGATTCTACTGGTACTAAGACGCTTCACCTCATTTCATTTCTACGGACTTTGCGCGACAGGACGTGGCAGAACATAAAAGACATTCTAGCGGAGTACGTTTACACAGTTCATTGTGTATATTTTGCATCATCCAATGTTCACATTGCAGACGTCTTCTCTCGGCGGCGGAGACGCTACAGTGGCCTCGTCCTGTTGAGTACCATGCAGCCTCCCTAGAGCACAGGCAGGCGTTTGAACACGCTTTCGTCAACCTTCTAAGACTACAGGACTTGTAAGTCAAGACTTATTCTGATGTAACCCGTTGATTTCGATCATTTGTATCCAAGGGCTCGTAAGGTGGTCTCCCTGGACGGCTCTGTTCGCGAAGGTTTGTATCCAATTCAATCCCTAGTCCGTCCAATCTCTCTGCGCTTCAAATACCATTTCGAGGGTTCTCGGGACACCAATAAACTTGACAAGGTCTGTCTCTCGCCTTCTTCACTTATATCCGTTGGCTTATTGGCATTAATTAGCCGGAATGGTACTTTACGCACGTCTTGAATGTTGCACACGAACATCGCTCGTTCATGGATACTATCGTTCAAACCCTTTTGGCATCCGAAAAGATACAAGGTATCAACGCATGGGTAATATTTACAGATTACTTCCCATTCCGTCACTCATGTTATTTCAGGATGAGTTCACCTCGTTATTGCTCCCAATTCTTACGAAGAAACTTCGCCGCACGGTACCCGTTCTACTGCCCCACCCTTCCCTCCTAGCCCACACTATATACCAAGCACTTGCGTTTGACGCTGCCTTGAGAGACGAAGGGTTCCAAATATCTTTGACCACGTCAGCGAAGCACGAGCTAGACGAAGATAGGTGGGAAGGGATTAGTGAAGTCATCCTAGGTCAGAAGGATTGGTTCGAAGCTTGGGTGGACGGGGAAAACAAATGTACGAGTTCTCCTCAGAAGGATGCCAGCATTTTGACTTCCGCCCAGTTACGGAGCAACAATACAACGAAATCATATCATCTTCTGATGCCTGGCAAATTGCGGACGACGGCGAGGACGACAAGTCCCGTCATTACGACTTGAAAACGACAAATTCTGCACGGCAGTTAAAGGCCCTAGTCGAGCAAGTTACCGGTATGAATTGTTCCCTTCCACTCCTCAGATTTCTAACCCATCCCTTCGCAGATCGGTATTCGCCTCTGCCCGATTTTGCCCAGCGAACGCGTTTCTTGATTTCCGTTCAACTGCCTCTACTTGAGCATTACCTCGGCCGGATAGCTTCTTCTCTGGACGCTTTCGAAAGTTACTCGTCTGTGTTCTCCCGGGCAGTACCTGGTGCTCTGGGTGTGGCGTTGGGTACCGGCGACGGTGGCGTTAAGATGGATACAAATAGCCTAACGAGCGGCGTTGAAGGCGCTCAGCGACTTTGCAAAGCACTTCTCAGTGCTAAATATATTGAATCCGCTATGGAAGCTTGGGGCGAGGAGTTGGTAAGCATAATGCTCAGTAATACTCAACAGACACGAAATTCTTTGTTAACTTTTGTTTCAGTTCTTCCTGGAGTTATGGACCGAGATCAACCGTCGGGCTTCTCTCAGAGCCCGCGCAACCGAGAATCCTAATCTTCCTGACCCACATGCAAATGAATGGGAGGCCCCGCAAGATACGATATTTGAGGAGCTAGTTCTTCGATACAAGAAGGTAGCCGACCGTGCCCAAGCCATGATTGTTCAGCAAGTCTGTGCAGAGATCGATCATGGATTGAAGGCCCATTTTGTCGTGATTACCTCGTACGTCCCAATCGCTCCATGACTTTGGTTCCGCCTTAGCCCATCCGTTGTAGACGGAACCCCGAGGAGCGAGCCGACGAAATAGCTCTTTCTCAAACACTCCTAGGCCCCGTTGCATTGTTGTCCTCGTATCTGACATATTTGCGTTCGTTGCTTTCGGAGGCGATGCTCACGACTATATATCGGAATATAGCTACACACCTCGCAGAACACATTCTGAGCCGAGGTATACTCTACCGTGGCCGTTTCGACCTGAGCGCTGCAAAAGCTATTTCGGCCGAATGTGAACTCTGGGTAGAGACTTGTCATGCCGGCGTACGAGGGACAATGAGCCGCAGTCGCGTAGAGGCCCCATGGCTTGGCTTGCTTCAAGCGGCTAGGATAGTCAGCACGGAGGGTAGTGTCTGGGAGGAGTTAACAAACACGGTATTCGAGGCGGGAGATGCATGGAGTGCGACAACGTCCAAAGTTGTCGGTGTAAACCAACTTGGGCGAGAGGAAGTTCAGCGAATTCTGCGCTGCCGGCAGGAATGTCCACAGTAGTCGTCTATCACACAGTACAGTGAACATATTATTCTATTCGGAATCCTACATGTCTATTGGTACAGATGCATTCGAAAGCAAAACAAGAAGGCACATACGACAAAGAACGAAGCAAAACCTATAGCAAAAGCCCCTACATATAAATTATGCCGTCGCTGACCATGATATCCTCCTCATCCTGCATGGCCAAGGCTGCTTCTGTAGCTTCCGTGGTCCCGAAAAGTTGATCGTTAGGAAGGCCCTCGTTGATGTACTGAATCAAGTCTGCTACGAAGTATTGTTCCTCCTCTCTGGCTGCATTGACGGCAGCGAATCGGGTTCTGAATAGTTTTAATCTACGGGACAACGGCACGGAGTAAGTCTCGGTAGAGTGACAGACTGTCATGAGAAGTACATACCGTTCCGGATCGATATTCCTAGGCACTTCAGGTTGTTTAGTTGATGCAGATGGTTCAATCTCCATTTGCACATCTTGACTCTCGTCGCCCCAAATGGGATCTTGTGTACCTTGCTTCGCTGGCGCAGCCACTGGCTTCTGGCCAGGGGGCATCGACATACGCTCCGGTATTGGGTTAAGGTCGCCATCTTCGTCCTCGTCTTCGGTTTCGTCGCCGCTTTCTTGAGATCCATCGTCGCCCTGACCCTTGTTGGCATTACCGCTGTTTAGTTTTCTGCGCTTTCTACGCTGGCGTTTGGGAACTTCTTTGAAAAGGGCGAACCGCATTATCGTTTCAGCGGCCTGGGCATCACTCAGTTCCACTTTAGTGGATAGTCGAGCCTTTGCGTGGGCAGTGGCTAGTCGAATGAGAGTTTCCAGCGTTCGCGCTGTGAGCGGGGAGGTCTATAGTATTTATGAGGCGATTGGAGAACATGACTGACTCGCTGACGTACATTTTTCTGGTTCTCCTCCATTCCTTGGTTGCGGAAGTTAGCATAGACCTCTACGATGTGGTTCGCAGCTCCGCTGGATAGGACCGGCGCGACCTTGCTCTTGGCGTATTGAATGTATTTCTTGACGAAAGCAATGCTAAGAATTTCGTGCTTCTTCGTCTTGCTACGGGTGGCCCTCCCGGTGCCCCCAACACCAATGTGCAGAAGAGGGTCGAACTTCTCGAAAGGGCTGGTATCAGCATTTTCGGCCTCAGTGGCACTTGCCGCAGGGCCGTCAATTGACAAAGGTTGTGAGAGATTGTCATTTACAGGTGTACCTTCCTCGACGCCAGGTGGAAGATATCGATGCATTCGAAGGACATGGTCAGCTATCATTCGATCCCGGGTAGCTTCCACATCGTCAGTGACAATGAACAACAAGTCAAAACGTGAGAGCAGCGAGTCGGGTAAAGCAATGTTTTTATGTGGGTCTTTGTGTATGTCATACTGGCAAAAGGTTTAATGATCAGCCAGGAACCTCCATCACAGAAGCATGCTCACTTGACCGTATATCGGATTTGCGGCAGCGACAACACTGCAGCGGGCATTCAAACTTGTATGGATGCCAGCTTTAGCAATTGTGACCGTCTGCTGTTCCATCACTTCGTGGATGGCGACCCGATCGATATCCGACATTTTGTCGAACTCATCGATACACACGACGCCACGGTCAGCAAGCACCATGGCACCAGCTTCGAGTCTTCGTTCGCCCGTTTCACGGTCCGTCGTGACAGCAGCTGTCAGACCCACTCCAGAACTACCCCGACCTGTGGTAGCAATTGCCAGGGGGGCCGTCCCCAGAACAAACCGCAGGAGCTGTGATTTAGCGGTTGAGGGGTCACCGACCATGAGGAGATTGATATCCCCACGGATGTGCGTTCCATTCGGTAGATTCTTCTCTGCGCCTCCTAGGAGTAGAAGCAGAATGGCCTTCTTGATATATTCATGTCCGTATATGGAGGGCGCTAGAGACTCGGAGAGTAAATGAAAGATGTTCTTGCGTTTCGCTAGTTGGTTTATCGTGCGGATATCCGAATCCGTGAGGGGAGTTTGAGCGATTCCTCCACCAATCTTGGTCGATAATAGATTGATGTTGTTCGCCAAAATTAACGATCTTCATAATGTCAGGCACAGAAACATGCGGTATGGTTGAGATAACTCACTTGAACGTACCGCCTGACCCACCACCGACATTGCGATATATACCCACAAGCTGAATCCGGTCGCCAGGTTTACATTTATCCACCAAATCGTCATCTAGGATGATATCTGTGCTCCGAGGTAATTGCCCTGCAGGTGCACGCTCGGGCATTTCCTGGATACTGATTCTTTGATGATCTCTGAATACACAGTGACCGAATTCGGTTTGTAGCTGATGTCCTTCGTCGTCAGTTTGTGGTACGATTGAGCTCGTGGGGGGTAGGTTTGAGGTAGTCGAAGTAGCGTCACGGTATTCGCGTGAATGGAAGAGTCGTGTTTCGGGGCAGAAGTGAACAGACTTGAGCATTTTCGGTCGTACCAGCGAGCAACGTGTGATGATGCCTTCGAGTGAGATCATCTTCCCTAGCATTGAAGCATTGAGCGTTCTTGGGCTGGCATGGTGATCACCGAATGAACCACTGAAACCGACGCGATAGCTCCTGGATTCTATTTCGTGTTTCTCTGGGTCATACACTCGTTGCACAATATTAAGTAGCGCCTCGTCGCAGGCCTGAATGTAGTCGACGGGCTGCTTGAGTAGACCATCTGTAAATTCTCGATTATAGTCGCGCAGGTCGTCGAGGTTGACTATGAGACGCGATTTGTCTGTTCGTAGCATGCGGTGGATTTCATCCTTGTAGTTGTAAACTGGTGAATCAGAGTCTAAGAATTCTTCGAAAAGCCGGCTTCTGTCACGAAGTAGATCATCAGAGAGCACGGGGAAGTCTGGGAACGACATGTTGAAGGGGGAGCAGAGATGAGGAGGCGATACACAGACGCGTCCATTAAACGCCAGAAGACCTGCCCTAAACTTAAGAAACCTCACACGATCACGTCTTTAGCCCCTTGCAACGCAACAGGAGTCGCCTCGGTCAACACCCGCAGTTTCTACCGGGGACAGGCACCATCGACGCAGTGGCTAATACTATATTATTACTCATAAATAGGTTGAAACCATATGTACGTGCAACGCGCTTACTCTGCAACGGCTGGCCCCCTCAAGTTTGTATCCGGTATTTCCATTAGGCGGCCCAGGCGACGGGACCTGACTGCATGCAATTCTGATGTTGGTTGCTTCTCATGCAAGCTTTGCTTATTGTTATATTCTACTCTATTCAACGGGGCTTGTGCGTGGAACGTTGGGAAGCGACAAAAGGAGACCCGAATATGGTGCAGCTCGCCAAGGGACTCCGCAACTTGGCCGCAGACGTTACCGCCAATTGAGCGAAGTCTTAGGGTTTTTATCCCCGAACACCCATGCGGATTTCCAGCTTTCTATGAGCTCACTGCCGGCCTATGCTCGTCTATGTCAACTAAATGGTCTTTACTATGTCCGAGGCCGACCCTAGCGCGCCTGATCACTAGCCAATCACGCTTGAGGAGATATGTAGTGACGTGCGACTTCAAAGGGTTTATTGGGATTAGTGTGTAGGATATACAGCACAATACTCCACTAGTGCACTTTTTGAAAGCTTCGCGCCAAATGACATGATGCAGGATGAATGCTACGTATTGTTTGTGGGTAAAATTAGGATTAAAAGTGACGGTTATACGATGCTGGGAGGGCAGGGGGCTGGGGGAGAGTAATACACTCGTGGTAATAGATAGTAAGTAATACAGAGGAAGTGGGGCACTTGTAAAGTCAGCAAGGATTGTCGGATCAAGGGGGAACACAAATGTATGTATAAAAATATTTGCTGTTGACGCGACAGCGCATCATCATGACATGTAGAATAACGCGACTTGTTTTCAGCGGTAGGTAGACGAGCTTAAAGGATTATCATCAGAGGCGGGATAACAAAGGGAGTGAGGGGACTCACGACTGCAAGTACAGACGAGTGGTCAACTACCAGTCGGGTTGAGTGCCTCCACGACGCCAATCTGGGGAACCACGACGCCAGTCAGGCGAACCGCGTCTCCAATCCGGACTACCACGTTTCCAGGATGGGGGACGTGGTATCCGCGCCTCTAGTGAAGCAGCGTCGATCTATGATATGTATTTAGCAATGGGGCGAAACGTTAGGTGAGGGCAAACTCACAGGTGCGGCAAAAGTTGATGCTGCGAGGAGCACAGTGGCAAAGATTGCAGAGTATTTGGAAAGCATTTTTTCGAAGAGCAAGCGAAATTCAAGGCAGCGATTGAATGAGGGTGAGCAGCAACCGACAGGTAGCTTTTTAAGTATTGCGGAGGAGGTGGGAGATCAGTATCAAGTTAAGGGAGCCGAATCTACATGTGGACTAACATAATCTCGTTCCGAGACCCCGTCCCACGGTACTGGACTTGTCTCACGTGAGTTGGAGCATTCCGACAGCACGCCATTCCAAAGGAATAGGACTGCACCCGTTCGTCCGCCCGTTTCCCCGACAAATAATGGATGATATTCCGTAGCTCATCCCCTGTTGGTGACAGTTCCCCTGTTAACAACCCATCAGCACGGATAACTCTACGGGTCAAGAAGCTGCTGATCGGATATCATACTCCCATGGGCGAGGGTATTTTTGCGTCGACAGTGGGGTTGTGTCGATCCAGCTATCTGGAACCTAACTTGAACTCGATCACCACGCATGCGCTTCCCACTACATACCTGTGCCTGTCGACCGACTATCTTCGGTGTGCCTAGGGTTTGGAGCAGCAATGAGATCCTGCTTAAGCGTACCTTTCCGACGTTGATTATTATTATGGTGACCCACTATGCAAACCTTGCCCGATGAAGCAAAGCCGGATGTGAGCAATCGGTGAGGGAAGCAAACCCCGAGGGCGGAGGTAACGACTACTGCGATCCATTGCGTATCGACTTCGCGTCGCCGATTGAGACGTACCTGGCGTTGCCCGCTTTTACCTCTGCATCACATGTTGGTTACTGGCATGTTTCCAAGAAACCGCTAGGACAGCATGGGCTGTCGATGGGGGATCATGAAGTGACAGCCGCTGCATACTTACGACGGACTATTGTTGGAACGGACGGTTCCAATTCTTGGTCCAGGAGCCACAGCGTGTAATTGCCAGGAAAGGGCTCAATGATGGAGGGGGGAAGGGTATGGTGGTGGTTGATCATGAGGTACGTGTCGGCCGTTTCAGGAAAGAGAAGTACATGTGTGGTTCTGATGGCGAGAGACGCCTGGCTGGCCATAGAACCAGGTAGAACTTCAGCACAGGTGTTGTCATTCGATGAACGCATGGGGTAGTAGATCTATTCTGAGAAGAATCTTCCACTGGGGGCAGACTAGAATGCACAAACCCATGACATCAACATATACTACCTATACTTGGTAGAGCATACGCATGTCGCGAAGGAGTTATGCAAGGGTGATAAGGTAGACCCGCAAAGGAGGTTGATAGAGGTGTGTGTCAAAATGCCAAGCAGTACTGCGTCGAAGGAGTAGACCACAACCCAAGACCGCAAAGGAGGAGCTTGATCAAAGTAGCGGCCGAACATGCGAACCAAGCTCTGAGGGAAAGTGTCGGTATCAATCCTGTGAAGGCATATGCCGTTAGTCTGCATATCACCTGTGGGCATATGGTAGGGTACGTACCCATAACTTGATAAGACCATCCCAGGAAGCTGTTACAACTTTCGACTGAAACAGGTAGGTCGTCAGTAGGAAGTTCAGGGTGAAGACGGGTCACACCGTACCGTTTCGTGTGGCAGCCATTCGTGTGCGATAACGACTTTCGAATGGGCCTTCAACCTCGACTTTATTCGCCCCGTTTTCCAATCCCAGAATACAACATTCCCTTCACCATCCCCGCTACTTATCCATTTTCCGTCTGGCGAAAATCCAACCTGGCATGCATAGCCTGCTACCGAATGTCCTGCAAATCTCTTTTTGCGGTTCTGACGGAAGTTGTCGGCACTGTAAATGAGGATTTGATTGTCAAGCGATTGTGCGGCAAAATATTTCTCTGTAGGTGCTGTTAGCAAGCAAGCATAAACCATCACAAGTGACGCACTAGATGGATGTAGGGTTACAGCTGGCATCGAGTGCATGTGCGGCTCAGCGATATATTTGATGACCACTGGGATGTCGAAGTCCCATGCACGGATCGTCTTGTCATCAGAGGTGGTAACAAATCGGCGGTTCTCATCTACAAAGGTAATGGTGTTCACAGGACCCAGATGTTGATCATACTCCTGGGTAATCTCGCCCGAATTCATATCGTACTGAAAGTCACATGTAAGAAGTTGATCCGTAGGATGGAGTTGGAGATAACGCAGACCTGTATAATTTTCTTATCCGACATGCCAGCAAGGAAGATGTTCTGCTTGTCCTCGTCTGGGTGGAAACGGATGACATACGGGATTTTGCCGTTGCTAAACCGCTGAAGGCACTGCCCCGTTTCCGTGTCCCAGAGCTTCATCTGCCTATCATAACCGCACGAGAGGAATTTGCGACCGTCGTTGGAGAATGAAACATCCTTCACGGCTTTGACATGGCCATGGAAAGTGCGCAAGCAGTTCCCATGCGTATACACATCCCACAACTAGCCAAATATTAAATATGTTTTAGCTGAACGATCGGGCAATCCACGGACGTACCTTGATCTTTGTGTCCATCGAACCACTGAGAAGGAGATGGCCAGACTCGGGGAATAGACGAATGACGGAGACACCTTGGGTGTGCCCTGTCCATGTGTGTATACAAACTTTGGGGATGAAGCAATCTTGCGATCCAGCCTCTCGAAGGATACTGGGGGCCTCCGCAACAGGTGGGGACATGTACGTTCTCCCCTGATAGTCGGTCATAGACTTCCCATGGAACACCGAATGCTCTTGACCAGGGGCACCCCGCTTTGGTTTCGCCTTTTTGAGGACGACCGCCTGCTCTGGTTCGTCTTCCTCGTCTTCGTCTTCCTCATCTTCCGCAGTAACACCCGCCAAGAAGTCTCTCTGGGGTTCGTCGCCTTCCCATGCCGCCCATGGACCGACGTACGATCCCTCTCCATCAACGACGTCTAAATCGCCCTTGTTTTTCCGTTTTCGCTTGAGCTCCTTCTTTTGTGTCCTGGAAGCTCGTAACGTGTCAATTGTTGCAAAGCCATTCTGCTGTGCGCTATCCACTGAGCCTAGTATCGTGGGGGCGTTAGGATCCATTGAAGGATTTGAGGAATAGCCGAGAATGGAATGCGTTAGGTGCTGCGCCCGAAAGGCGTGCTCTGTCATGGACTGTTCTTCGACATGCCCAGCCAACGCATTTTGGTTCAAGAATCGATTGCGGTCGCCGAAGGGGTTTTCTGGGCCCTGAAGTGGTAACATCATGTCATTGTAGGGGATATTGACATTCATTTGAGTGTCCGTAGGTCGTGTAACGAGAGATGTTTGGTTCAAAGGATCCTATATTGCATGCGAAGCCGCATAAGCTACCCACACATAGATGAGAGCGTTCCAAATCGTTACCTCGGCGAGGACATCTGGGGCAGCGTTGGCAGTGATTTTGGGTTGAACAGGTTCGTCCAAACGCACTTTCTTCGTCGATGGGACAGCGGAGAGTCCAAACACATCGTTTCCTTGGAGTTTAGCGTCGTCCTCGTCGGACGAATAGCCCTGAATGAGAGACATTATCGTCGGTGTCCACTGTCTGGAGTCGAATGTCTTGAGTCACGCGTAGGCGCCAATTGCGTGACTTCTTCTGTCACGCCATCACTCGCCGCCTTTCCACCCACAATGCCCAATTGAGATTGTCATCATCCTCAATGCTTGTTGCTGCTCAATGACTGAAAGGAATGTCGGTCGACCATGGAGCGCCGAAGAGGATTCTCTATTGAAGGCTGCTGTCGACGCCCATGGTGAAAACGACAACTGGAAGATCATCGCTCAGGCAGTTCCAGGCCGAAGCAACAAGGCTTGCCGAAAGGTGCTGAAGACAGAGTGCTCAACAATCGTCGCTCGCTAACTCACCTTGAATCGTCAGCGATGGTTACATTCGCTTTCTCCGACAGTCAAGAAAAGCGCGTGGACCCAAGCGGAGGATCAGAAACTCCTGGACTGCTACAACTCACTGGGCCCGCGCTGGAGCGCCATTGCCAGACAGATCCCGGGTAGAACCGACGATGCGTGCTCGAAGCGATATAGGGAGGCCTTGAATCCAAATTTGAGGAAGGACGAATGGACACCTGAGGAGGACAAACAATTGGTCCAAGCCTATGCTCAAATAGGGGGGAAATGGGGTCAGGTTGGGCAAGAACTCAATCGGAGTGGCCTCGCCTGCCGGAACAGGTGGCTTCACTCATGCCGCCGCGTGTTTTCAGTAACTGACGACTCTTTTGTTAGGTGGCGACTTCTTGAAAGAAAGAAGTTAGCTATGTCGGCGAAGCAGAGGGACCATATCCCGTACAGTCAAGCTTTTGCATCGGAACCCTCTTGGTACCAAGACCCGGACTTTTCAGTACCTGTTCCGAGTCCGGTGGACGCAGAAGCGAGTACACCATGGGACTCAGTTTGTTATTCGCAGGATCCCTACTCCTCCATGAACGCTGAACCACATAATTCCCTCCAGTGTAGTCTAATTCACTTGACACCGATGACAATATCCTCCTTCTCAAGTCTCAGCAATGCACTTTCCGACCCACCACCTCCGCCTCGGCCATTGCCAAACGTGACTGACAACACACTCGGGATCGACTCGGAATTGCTAACCCCTACAACAATCTCACCCCAGCCAAGCATAGTTGGACTAATGGACAGTCAAATGACGCTGGTCGATCATTCCGAGTACACACCTACACCATTCATGAGTGAAAGCCAGCTCTCGCCCCACCCTAATGATGCCACCCAAACACTTTCGTACCCTGACGAGGTGGACAACGATGGAAGCCACAGCAGCCCCGATGTGTATAGCCACGAGCCTCCCCAAGCCAGCGCCTTAGTGCAATCCTCAGAGCTCTCTCAGCAGTCCCCGTATTCTTCTGAAGTCGAATTGCTACGTATTGCATTGCCTATGGGTCCAAACGATGCATTTCTCCCCGACGGGAGCCCTGGTAATGTATCTTCCCCAGGCGGGATAACGCCTCTAGGCCTACCATCCCAAACGCCGAGTCCGAGTCTTACCGCCACTACGGAGCTGCCCTCATCATCCCCTATATCTACGACTGCTCCTGCTGGATCGCTCTTATTTTCTACGCCTAGCTTTCAAGTTACGCCACCCGAGTCCTCGCAACCAAGGAAAAGAAAATCGCCCATACAGATGAGAAGAATCATGGAAGACACGAAACCGCATCGTCTATCGTCCAGACTGCGGCTTACTCTAGAGTAAGCCGCAGTTGATTTTGAATTAACTTGCATGCTTACGTGTTGCAGTTCATCTGTGCTACCTTATGCTTGCGGATATGATTGTTGTTGGCCTACTGACTCAAGTAGTAGCAGCTCCTGCTTCGCTATGTCAAAGGATCTGTCTGAACATGTTAAGAATCATGAAAACGAAGAGAGCGATCGACCTTTTAGATGTGGATTATCGGGCTGCGGGAAATCTTGGAAGGTTAGTAATTGATCAGCCAGTGAAGTAGAGCTAACCTACTCCTGCAGAGTATCAACGGGCTTCAGTACCACCTTCAGATGCAAGTCGCCTTTTATAGCGAGCCTGATGGCTTATTCACTTCAGACTTTAGATCTACGGCACATTTTCGTCAAGCATTATCAACGAGATTCTCTACTTCTATAGCCAGTAGTAGCGATGTGACGGACCCAGAACCCGCAGAGGGCGAAGACGCTGGCAAGTCAGCCAGGAAGTTTATATGCAAGCATCCTGGCTGCTTCAAAGCTTACCGTCAACTCAGCGGTCTACGCTATCATCGTAAACATGTATGTCCTTTTTCATCTGTTCGGTGACTGTATGACACTAGTTGTCGTAGGGCCACCCTCAAGACATGCCAGCACAACTAGAAGTTGTACCACCCTCCATAGTGGCTCAGCTTCCCGAAAAGACCAAGAAAATGAGGCGCAAGGATCCTCCAGCACAATCAGCGAAGTAGAGGCTTCGTTGTTGTTCTTGTGGACAAGCATAATCTAGTTCCTCAGTAGCTTGCTGCACACTGGGCCCTCCGCGACTGCCATGCGTACAGGCAGGCAGTTAGCCGCAGAATCGTAGTCCCTCCCTCACCAGGTCGATGGCGAGGAACGTGGTGCGAAACGCACCTCCGAAGGAGTATATACCATCCACTTGCAGAAATACCCGGCAACCTCTAGTGGTATAATGCCTCCATTAATCGTAATCGAATTGCGGCCTATATCTGCAATGTGCAGTAGTTGCGTGCCCTCAGTAATGCTCGAACCGTGATGATCCTATAACGATGCATTCATTAAGTGGATAACTCGCTCCAGGTGACCTTGAGTTCCTTTCTCATAACAAGTATGTTCGCGCCGTGGCATGTTCATTGATCATTGTCCAGGAGGACCCCCGGCTCCTCCAAATTGGCTTGCACTAAGCAAGGAATTTAAGCCCAGGGAAAAGAACGAAATTGTGGTCTTACATGTTGCGTAAGGCAGGGTTTGCCATGATTTCTTCCATGCTGGGCATATTTCCACTTTGCACTCTGTTCATCTGCGAGAAGGGGGAGGGGGGTTATTCATGGTTCGGGAGACGAGGGTTCGACTATACCATATCAGCGACAGCAGGATTCTGCATCAGACCCGCAAGGCCCCCGTTTGCCATCATCTGCTGGGCCATCGCCATCATTTGAGGGTTATTCATGAGGCTGGCGAGGTCAGGCATGCCACCTCCACCTCCGCCCGCACCACCACCCATTCCCCGAAGCATGTCGGCCATGCCAGACATATTTCCAAGGCCACCGGAAGCGGGAGCGGTGTCGGCAGGAGCATCGTCATCATCAGGAACAATCCGAGCTTTAGCATTGGACAAGCCGGATTTGAAGCTGGCATTGGCAGGGTCGAGCTCCAGTCCACGCTCGAAGGCTGATGCAGCAGCTTTGTAGTCAGCCAAGGAATACTGAGCATGCCTGTGACAATGCACATCAGAGGTAGATGACCTCGAAGGCGCACGCCGTTGTAGACTCACCCTAGTCTGTGATAGGCCTTCGTGAATTTTGGATCGACTTCTATCGCTTTCTCCGCATCCCCGACGGCTGAAAGGTGATCACCTTTGCTTGAATGGGCTGCAGCGCGATTGGAGTAATACACCGGATTTGTCGGGTCCAGGTTAACTGCCTTCGTGTACAAGTCTATAGCTTCATCGTACTTCTTGCTAGACATCAGTGAGTTTCCTTCTTGCTTAAATTTCTCGGCTTGCGTCTTATCGGCGGCAGATGGTGTCTTAGAGGTCGGCGCTGCAGCCTCTCCAGAACCAGAGCCAACTTTGTCTTTGGTCTGCAGGAAGACATTGAATATAGATTGAAGTGTTGCTGGCTTCACAGAGAGTTTCTGCACTTGGCTCGCGTCCGATGGATCTACTTGAAAGGAATCGCTGATGCATTGGACTAGTACACGGAAGTAATTAGTGGCAGTGAGATGAAGCGCGATGGAACATGCCTGCAACATCTAAGCTTTCCGCCGCATCTTCGGACACAGAGCCATCCGTCTTGGCTTGGTTGAGAAAGTCGATAATCGCGAGGGCGAGCTTTTGTTTATTCGACATGATTGAGGAGAAGAGTGTCCCGATTCAGGGGCGCCGGCGTGCTTTGTTTCGTGCGCAAGGCCTCAGGCAGAGAAACAAATACGGGCACACAAACTTGCAAGTCAACTTTTGTTGTCTCCCTCGACGTTGACTCCATCCGTTTGCCGTCGCCGCCATGTTTTTCTGCGCAATATCCGGGGAGCCCCCTCAAGAGCCCGTCGTCGTGGCCAAGTCGGGCAAGGTTTACGAAAAACGGTTGATCCTCAAGTACATAAACGAAAATGGTACTGACCCAATCTCGGGGGACAAATTAGAGGAATCCGACCTCATTGTAATTAAAGCTAGTATGTATGATCTACTTTTCATGGGGGATATGGAATTGACCGAGTTGCTAGGCCCCGAGACTGCTGCACCTCGCCCCCCAACACACACCTCCATCCCGGCTATGCTGCAGTCTCTCCAAAACGAGTACGACGCGATTGTTCTCGAGACTTTTGTTCTGAAGCAACAATATAACTCGTTGCGCCAGGAGCTTAGCTACGCTCTGTATCAACAGGATGCCGCTACACGCGTCGTGGCGCGACTCATTCGAGAACGTGATCAGGCTCGAGAGTAAGTGCCATCGTGAAGTCAGCTTCAGTCTCTCTAATCCCGTTTTAGGGCTCTCGCAAATGTGCAAGCAACCATGGGGATTGCGCCCACGGCGCCGGCGGCGGAAGACGTTGAGATGGCTGAGGGCGAAAGCCAACCAGCTGAATCGCTGCCCAAAGAAGTAATGGCACAAATAGACGAGACACACCAAGCTCTGTCCGCTGCCCGCAAGAAGCGCAAGCCGCCAGTTGGTTATTCGACACCCGCTGACGTGAAAACCTTCACCGCCAAACATACCATCCCTTCCCTACACTCTTCCTCCCCAGCTGGCATCACTTGTATTGCTGTATCGCAGTCTCACCCATCCCAATTCTTAACTGGAGGGAACGACAAAATTGTGCAACTCTACGATAGAGACACGGACAAGGTTCTCGAGACACTGAAGGGACACACGAAGAAGGTCAACCACGTCGCATTCCGTGAACGCGATGGTCTGCCCTCATTGTTGATTTCTGCGGGTGCTGACAAGATTGCTAAAATCTGGTCGCACGACTCTGCTTCGGGTGGATACATACCCAAGTCCACCATTCGCACTCACAAGGGCGATCTCACTGGTCTCGTTGTGCATCCAACGAGCACACTCATTGGTCTATCATCTCTTGACAAGACCTATTCGCTCCATGACCTCACCAATTTCGCACAAGTGTTCCGGTCGGCCCCTTCGGACGAGGCATTCACTTCGCTCGCTATCCACCCAGACGGCATGCTTGTTGCTCTTGGCACTCCTACGTCAACCATCCAGATCTACGATATCAGGGATGGTTCAATAGCAGCTACGCTGACCCCAACAGAGAGCTCACCCTTCACCGTCAATACCCTTTCTTTCTCTGAGAACGGCTACCATCTCTGTGCCCCTGATTCGCTCTCATCTGCCGCTATTTGGGATTTAAGAAAGCAGAAGGCTACTGCCTCGATTCCCCTCGGTGACGGCTTTAAAATCAACCGAATTCGTTATGACCCAAGTGCCCAATTCTTTGGTATCGCTGGCTCCGAGGGCTTGAGGATCTTGGCCCACAAGACTTGGGAAGAGTTGGCGAAGTTCGAGGAAGCGGGTGATGTCGCGGACTTGGCATTTGGTGAAAATGGCAAGGAGGTCTGGGGTATCAGCGGCCGTGAAGTGCGGATTTGGGGGGTGCCGTCTGAGTAAATTACGATTACTCTGTGTACGCTACGTTAATACTACTTACGCTTATATGTATCCCTGCTATCCTGCTTTGCAGGCTGCTGTGACATACTTCTCCATCATATATCTTGGGTCCTCACGTTTCCATAACGGCATATGCAGGTTGAACGGTTGGTGCATCTGTATGCTTGATTACAGGCGTGCTCGTAAGTTTTGATACAGGGTGCGACGGGCATATTGAGAATTTAGCAAGTACTCCCTCTGACTGAGCGAAGGAACTACCCAGCAACGTGGACGGAATTGAGTCGAGTTCAGTTGGAATTTGACGTAGATCCAACTGATCTAAGTCAAATCCAATCACTCTTCAGAGTCGAGTATACCTTGTCATTATCTTATGAGTTGTCCGCAGAGGACATGTAAGACTCTCACTAGACTAAGATACATGTACAGGTAGTATGCGTCTCGAACGAAATGTCATTGCAGTCATTTTGGTACATCGTGTACAGGAATGTAAAGAAGCATGCGGCCCATATCGATGGGCAGAAATGTAGGGAATAATATAATGCAACAGAAAGAAAGTTGAAGGAATGGTGCGAATACAAAGGTTGAAGAGGGAAATCCAAAGCCCGAATGATACACGATATATTTGATGGTATAAGTGAGAGTCATCAGTCATGAGAATGTCGAAGGTGTCGCTTATATGTGTTGTACGTGAAGGCATGCTTATCATGCTCTGTTGGAGGGGAACAGAGGGAACCAGGGAGGGTGGAATAGAGGGAGGGGAGGCGAAATGAAACGGTTATGACCATGTTTCTGGTCCGAATGTTTCGCCAGGATTTAGGATGTAGAAGGGTGCTCCCATGGCATCTTTCGTGTTCATCCATACTGTGTTGCCCCACCAGTTGAGATTTATGCCACCCTTCGGGTAGTATAAGCAGAAGAAGATGACCACCATCGACAGCGCGACACCGGCATCCAACCCCGCAGATAGGATGTAATTGAAGCGCATCCACCAGCGGAAGTGGTATCTTCGAACCCAGTAATTGAAGATGAAGCCGGTGAGAGCCCATGACGCGTAGTTGATTCCGGTAGCAGGGGGCATGGCACCGACACCCGCGAAGAAGACGGGTACGTTGATGTAACGCCAGAAAGAAAGAGGATAGCGGCGTGCAAGGAAGTAGAAGGGGATGGGGGCGAGAGCTCCGACGAGGAAGAACCATAGGAGGCCAGAATATCTGTAACGGAAGAGTCAATATGATGAACTAGAAATAAGCTGGTACGCCACTCACGGTTTGCCAACGCTGAAGAGACGAGCTGGTCCAATACCACCCCAGATGAGGGAAGCGGTGGCAAAGGAGTTGGTCGAGGGGCAAATGAAGCCGTTGGTTTGTTGCGGGGTGCAAATGTCGACGACATTAGCAAACATCCAGTCTTGAACACCGGTGACGACGAAGCAGCTGACGACGGCAGCAACGACTTGAATCATGAACATCGTGCGAGGAGGGATCTTCATGTAGTGGCCTAATTTAAGATCTCCTGCGAATCCGACAGCCTGGTTCGTGCCAATGTATGTGATCGTCTTGAAGATGATGTTGGCGACGGGCTTTCCGGGGAGGAGGTATCCAATGATGAGCTCATGCATGACCTGGAGGGCAACGTGCTGATTGGTGATAGCCTGGATCATCGCAACTGGTAACGCGAGAACGGCAGCGAGCACGAAGCCGAGGACAACACCCCAGATGGGAAGTTGAGTGGGGAAGATCTCGACGGCGATGCACAGGAAAGTGAATGAGAGGACTCCAATGATCAAGTACCACCAATGGGGGACCTCTGGGTAAGCCTGCATCAGACGAGAGTGAACATCGCGCTCATCCTTGAGGCTGCTGCGAAGGCGGCGGGCAATGTCGCGACGGAACCAGAGGAATGTATGGACGCAGATGGATGCGAAGGATGCGAATGCAACACCATAGGCAATCGCAAGAGTGGTAGACATGTAAAGCGGGGAATAGCTGAGATACTTCTCTGCGTCGAATTCTCCATTGGTGACGATAGCAGTGGGATCGTAGGGCATGCCGGTGCGGTCGAAGGAGAGGTAAGAGGAAATGGGCATGAACTTAGAGTACCAAGTATTCGTGAAGTAGAGTATGGGGACGAGAACCCAGAAACAGAGAACAAGGGAGGCAGCAGTGTTCATCTCCGACCACCACTGGATGGAAATGCTGAGTTAGCGGAAGCCAGAATAGCCCAAGCCGATCAAGACTCACGGGTGTGACGAGGGGACTACCAATATATGAAATCATAGACCAGTCGAAAGTAAACAATCCCATTCCAAGCCCTGAAGCAGCGCCGAAGAGCGTGTTGACAACACCGTTCTCTGGGGCAATCCAGCATACCCAGTTGAACATGCTTAGGCCGGTGAACAGGTAGCCCGGAACCCAATACCAGACGAAGCTACCGATGAGGACGTAGCAGAAGAATCGCTCCCTGGAAACGTGTCCACGGTCGCTCTTGCCGTAGTTCTTGTGGAGTGTGTTGAACAAGGCAGAGTTGACCAATGCACCTGGCCAAATCATGCTTGAGGGCCACACGACGAATTGGCGAAGGATACCACCAAGGCAGAAACCGAAGCACTGAGTGGAAAGGACAAGGAGGATTTCGTACGCATACGATACTTGGTGGTTGTAGAAGATCTTCTGCGTAGCAATAACGTCTGTGGCATATGCGCCTGCAACGACAACGTTAGCCATGACGGTGATGCAGACGTGCTCCTTGATGTTGAAGGGTCCGGGATTCAACGACCATGAGTAGCCGAAAGTCTTGAATCGGGTGGTAGGGAGGATACGCTCGAGACCCTTGCCGAAAGGCAAAGCGATAAGCTGAGCAACGATGCCAGTAATGTATACGGAGGGATCTGAACAGTCCTTTAGCCACGCGCAGGTGGGGAAATTGGAAACATCACGTACATCGTGTAGAGAAGACCTGGTTCATGCCAGACACGGCGATTGTGAAGAATAGTCCCAAGAACCACATTCGGAATGTATTCACGGGCATGGTTGGGTCATCGATGCTTGCTACGGCAGCCCGAACTTCGGGGTAAGGCGACTCACTGAAGATGAGGTAAGGTCCGATTCAGTCGAGACGATGTCGGAGTACTCACTCATCAAAGTCAATAGCGGTAGAGTTACGAGACTCGGCTCTCTCCGTATAACGATCCGAGAAGCGTTCTGAGTCGTATTGAGACTCTGCGTCGATGTCAGAGCTCGAGATGCGCTTCTTCTGGTCAAGCTCAAATGTGTGCGAGCTGATACCACCGGTTGACTGTGGGCGTTTGGAAAGGTCGAAATTGGGATCGTTCAAATGTTCCATGTAGAAGTCGACGTCTTCGGGAACGTCGGGAACATGACGGGGACGGAACGTGGGGAGCGTCGCGGAGACATGCTCCGTCGAGGAAGAGTAGGCGACTGTCTCCTTCATATCTACCACTGACTAAAGCAGAGGTATGGACAAAGCGGGAAGGGGGATCGGGGGTGAAGAATAGGTGAAGGGAAATACGACGAGACGGGGCACTATTTGAGGACGATTCAGAATAAGGGTAGCATAGGATAGCGTGGCCATTTCAAAAGTGGTTGGCTCGTCTTCGAATGCGGTAGGGGGTTCAATAGTATGCAAGACAATTAGACAATAGGTCGGAAGGTACCCGCGGTCATACTAGAGACAAAAAGCGGTCGTCTCTGACTCGGGTGGCCGAGATCTACATCAATTGTCTTGATTTCCGGCAAGATAAGCAAGTACACTGGGTACAGAAGATAATCTACCTGGTCTGCCTTCGCAATGAGCTCAAAGTCAACGAAAACCGACGACCACTTACATTCCATTCAGCGCTCTCGTTCAATACAAATCCTGAATATCAGGGTTTTGGCGGAGGTAACGGAACTATTTTGAAAGGTGATTAATTCCAAATGGCAGGAGTCCCCAGGTTTATTGTCTTCGCGTATTGTGTAGCCAAAGCTTGTGAGACTTCGGAACGATGCAGGTGGCACGAGAACAAAAAGCATGTTCACCTGTGTATCCGTTTTGGGAGCGGACCCTTTCTTATCAGGCACTTCGTGTCGCCCTCATCGCCCTCAACACCGAGCGAACAGAAGCTTCCATCACGATGGCGAGGAAAGCTATTATCTAGACATCATAGCCGACCAGTGGCCCTCCATAGCCCGCAAACAGGGAGGTGACGGACGAGTCCGACGATCCCGTTGTCTCCGTTTGGGGATAATTTAATTCCAGGAGCTACTAAAGCGCACAGGGGCTACCACCATTTGAACTCCAAGCTTTTTGAAAAGTACATATGTAATACATAGATTTAATTGCTGAGGTCAAGACCATCCAAGGCCGGGATAGGCCTTTCACCTTGAGGCGTAATCCGTGCACCGTGCCTGCGTTCTTTAGATTCTCCATAATCAACGATAGCAGACTAGTGGTTGGACTCGTTGAGCGCGACGCAATGTGCAACAAGAAAGCGACTTACATGTGCTGTGACTCGGTTGTCCCAAAGTACTGTAGACATGGTCAGCAGTGCTATATGGATTGAATGTGAGGGAGAGAACACCAACCAACTGTATTCGGAGTCCATTTAACGCGAGCTTGCAAATCACCAGCTTTGTCGATGTGGCTGTATAGGAATGTCAAGAGCGTTTCTAGTAATAGCTGTAAGCCTCGAGAACAAGACGAGAACAAAAAAACAAAGTACCAGATTCTTCACGCTTGAGGCCGACGATACGTCTTGTAAATTGCCTGTTGACGTAGAGTGCTTCCTCTCCTGTGACGGGGTGTCTTCGAACGACGGGGTGGATATTTTCTACCGGGTCCCTGCGTACAACCCCTCCCCGTTTCCCAGAACGAGAGAAGTCGGCTTGCTCCACGCCAGAATGAACTGCTTTCAAGGTTCGCAAAAACGCAACGAATTGTGGGGAGAGTTTCTTGAGCGTCGATACCTGCGAAGTGAAGAGGGTGTCTCCACCAGTAGTCGGCTGCGCCAGAAGGAAGAAAGTGGTGAGGCCCGGTGGCTGCAATTCATACGAGACGTCCGAGTGCCAGACAGTCGAAGTGATACTGTCGTTGATCTCGAAATTGAAGCTCGTATTGGCGTCCCTAGAAGTATTGTTGTTAGTAAGTGGCGGAGTAATATGATGAAGGGAATTCTTACCGATAGACGAGGTGAATCTCAGGGTAGTTCTGAGGGTGCCCTGATGTCGGATGGATATGTAGGCTAGAAATGTCACGGTGAGAGGGGGAACAAATCTGACGGCTGTATAAATATTTTACCGGCCAAAGTAGCTTCCCCACTCGCGATAGAACTCTGGTCCTCGATCAATGAAGTCCTGTTGGTCCCGGAAGACCATCAATCCTCGGCGCGCAACCTATACATTGCATCAGCGACTTGCGATAACAAGGCAGCAAGGAATTAGGCGACCTCAAGGGCCAACTCGTCACGCTGGTCGTTGTTGAACTCGGCTAGGTTGAGGCCATGAACCTCTGTGCCAAGGTTTGGCGTCAATTCGACAACACTTGTCGCATTGTCAAGGAACGCCCGGGGGTTGGGGTGCTTCAGGGCCCGGAAGCCAGGATCGACATGCTCATAAGGTGTAAGCGGCGGGTATCGATCCTGAGAAAAGTGGGGCAGGAGATGGGCGTAGCGATAATGCTCCTCTGCGGGCTTCCCTTCTTGGGCTGGCTGAAGTTTCAAAGTCCCTGATTGGGACGGTACGATCACAGTTTCTGTGGTAGTCATTACGTTGTTTATGAGTAGTATGGGGTGATTGATGGGCAAACTCACTCACTGGTATGTTTTGCATTGCAAGCCTATAAATATTGGATAAGGGCCTTAGCAATACTTCGTCATGTGGACGGGCGAAGGCGCAATCGTTGGGTAAGTGTAGAACACGTCCTTGGGAATACACACAGCCGGGAGCACTCTCCATGCACACGCTCCAGAGCTCCCAGCCATAATGGCGAAGAGATGGTGGGACTCCTTGCACGATAATGGCAAATTTCTTCCGTCTAGGGGAACAGGGGCTTCGCCATTGATGGGCACTAACGTTTCACTCCGGGCCTAGGCGCTTATAACGGGCCAAGTCACCGTCTTCCATGTCCGTTCCGTTTATCGCATTCTGTGGGTTGTGTATTACAGTTCTCAAAGAACTCAATCATGTAGTCACCGAATCTTACATGGTATGTACTCAAGTGATGTATATATGTACTTTCTCTCAATGTTTCTGCAGGATGAACCGTTCCACGTCCCACAAGCGCAGGCGTATTGTGAGGGCGACTTCGCGACCTGGGATCCGAAGATAACTACGCCTCCTGGCCTGTGAGTACCAGACTATTCGCTGTATAGTCTATATATTCAAATGGGGTCTTACCAACAGATATCTAATGAGCGTGGTCTTGAAGCGTATATTCATGTTCAAATGCACATTGCCAATGCTGCGGCTCACCACAACCTTCACATTGCTGGCCCTTCCCATCATGTTGACCAAGCTTTTGTGCTTTCATCAAAGGGAAAGACCGCCCTCCTCTCTCCTCTCCCCCTCGATCGAAGCGCTCGTGCTTTCCTCTTTCCCCGTAGCTTGGTTCTTCGGATTTCTCTACTACACCGAGGTGCCTAGTGTCTTGACCGTAACCGCAATGATCGTGTTTGCGGCTCAAGGAAAACATTCATTGGCTGCGTTGGTACGTCGTGTATTGCGCGCATGATCTTGTGGGGCTAAGGATGTTAGCTAGGGCTCGTGAGCTGCACGTTCCGACAAACCAATGTGGTTTGGGTACTTTATGCATACGGTATCAGCCAATTAGCAGAGCTCAAATATCGGAAGGGTTCCGAGAAACGGAGTTCTCTTCACGATCCCCCGGCTTTGGATGCGAGCCTTGGTATATGAAATATAGAGTTGACCGATCATGCATGTCGAGCTCATGTCCGTTACTTTTTAGGCGACTTCAGCAAAACTGTTATGAGCTTCCCGTCTGTATTTCCAGAGATTCTACCGTCTTTCCTGCCATATGCAGGCGTGTTTGCAGCGTTTGGAACATTTGTGGCATGGAACGGTGGGATCGTGCTAGGTAAGTCTTTCGTGAGCTCTCCCTGATCTCTGTTGACGTCCTGCAAGGGGATAAGTCAAATCATATACCTTCATTGCATATACCGCAAGTCTACTACTTTGTAGCGTTTTCGACGGCCTTTGGCTGGCCTGTCCTCATAAGCGGTGAAGGCGGTATTTTAGGTTTGCTTTCAGAAGTATGGAACCGCATGTTCGGAAGCGTAAAGTGAGTGTCCGTCCATTCGCCTCGCAGCCGACTTCACCTCGTTTATAGACGGATTGTTTCAACGACACTCATCATGGCCGCAATGTCGGTTACAATTCATTATTTCACGTAGGTTTGATCATTACCTTTCCCCGCTATGATGTGAATGTCTTTTTAGAATTCACCACCCCTTCCTGCTGTCTGACAATCGCCATTATACCTTCTACGTTTGGCGTCGCATCTACATGCTCCATCCTGCTATTCCGCATCTTTTAGTCCCCGTTTACTTAGCTTGTGCATGGGCGTGGTTTTTGCGTGTAGGTGAGTATGCCACATTGACTTCTGCTTCAATCGACCCTTTAACCACACGGCCTTTCAGGAAAGCAGCAGACTATTTTACAGACATTGTTACTCCCGATCTGCGTCTTGCCCACTCTCCTGCCCACCCCTCTTTTGGAGCCTCGGTATTTCTTGATTCCGTATATTCTTTTGAGGGTCCAAATCGTAGACACGCCTTCATGGGGCTTGGCCGTTGAAGGGGCATGGTATACCTTGATCAACGCCGTGACCATGTACGTGTTTCTTTACTTGGAACGCGAAGGAGTAGGTCGCTTTATGTGGTAGTGTACCGTAGTGGTATGTTCGGAAGCAATAGAACTTGATGCCAAACAAATGCAAACAGATCATGTGCCACCCGAGTTTGAACTTGGTCTCGTGAATCTCGTTTTGTATCGAACGCGACGTCTCTGAAACGATTTAACACGAACTCTTCACGAAATTGACGACTCCGACTCGTGGTTCCTCCCACCACACCACATCCTAGCCCCCCTGCCGCGTCGACGACATGCCTGAACCCACTTCAAGCAGTGGCACCCGTTCGAAGCCAGCCACAAGATCATCGCTTCGACACTCATTAAACTTTGCGTCTATGGGCAAGGCACTGGTAGATGTAATTAACAAGGAGGCTCGCGACGGGGAGAAAGCTGCGAAGAAGACAAAAGAGGTTCATTCCCGCCGCTCGAGTGCTATTCACCTTCAACCCCCGTCGGCACCACGTACTTCGTTGGGTGACTCTAAACCCATGTTTCTTTCCAAGAAAGAAGATTCTCCGGAGACGAAAACGATTACTCGGCGCCGGATGTCTATGCAGAAAGCCGTACTCGATGACAGCGCGACATCCTCTGATGTGGCTTCTCCCCCGCAGGCGGGAGTGAAGCGCTCGTCGTCACTGCGCCCACGAATGGGAGGGTCGACGGCTTTGCCGAAGTATCGGCCTAAATCTGCCATTTATGATTCTGGAATCAAGATACCTTCACCTCCTAGGAGCGGCAAGAAGAGACCCGACAGCTCAGACGAGGATAGGCAAGTGGACAACAAGCTAGCCGCCACCGACAAGGACGTTCAACGTATCAGTCCGCTCCCTCGCAAATCGGCCATAAAGGCCAACCTCAGTAACGCCATTCATCTTTCTCCAGCAACCACACCCATTGACACTCGTCCTACTACCCCCAAGTCCTCTAAATCGTCATCGGCAAAGTCTTCACCGTCAAGATTGGCTAAACACACTAAATCTGCGTCTGTTTCCGCCATAAGACCACCATCTGTCTCTTCAACGACTAGCTCGCATACACCCCGTACTCCCAAGACACCCCTCAGCTCGAAGCTCATATCAGGCTCGCGTCGATCAGTGAAAGAAGTGGTCTCGCAGAGCGATAGCTCTCAACGTGGATCACCTTACTCCAGCGCCTCAGAGTCCCCGCTTGCTCGCCATTCGCGCCATCATTCAGCATCTATCACCCCCACTAAGAGTCGTTCCTCTGCTAAGGATGTTCTCAACATGTCCCATATCTCTGAGGTTGACAGTGAGGATAGCTTTGACGCTGACGATGTCGAATTATTGCTTGCACCCGTAACGCACCTTGCAGCACCTACGCCTGCTATGCCCCGCCTCCAAACTCGCCGACAGCGTGAAGAGCCTGAAACCCCCACAAGAGGCTACACTAACAACCTACCGACAAGGGCGAATATGTCCTATTTGTCACCCCTTCCACCCACCTCTGATGATAGTCCACCTTCGCTTCGTCCACCAAAGCAGGGCAGCGCTAAAGCAGCCCGTGGTTCGATCCTCTCTTGGGACCAAATCGCTGAGGAAGCCTCCAGGGTTTTGGAACCTGGAGAAGTTGAGAGTATGATCTCAGATATCCCTGCGCCATTTGCTCCTGGTCTTATCTCTCCAGCTCCCAGTAATTCCTTCCTGCCAGACGTCCCGGAGAGCCCGTGTCTTAGCTCTATCAACTCCCCCAGTGGGTACGGTTCTATATCCCAGGTCCTTCTCCCAGACGTGACTCCTTCTCCCGCTGTACATCATTATTCACCCCCAGCCCGCGACAGAGACCTAGATGGTGCTGCCGACGCGTCACTTGTTACCCTCCTACGCCTACAACTTGCAGCCGCAGAGAACACCGCTAAAGAGCGTTTGTACCAAATGCAGGTTATGGAAAAGGAGATTCATACCGTAAAGAATACACGACGACAGGACGAGGAGAACTTAACCCAACAACTCGATTGCTTGGAGACAAACATGCGAGAGCAGTTGGAAGCGCGAGAACGCACTGAATGCGAGCGTCAAGTCTATATCGCATCTCTGGAACTTCGCCTTCAGCAAACCGATGCTGCTCAATCAGAGGCTGTGGACGACGCAGTGGCAAAAGCTGCAGAGGCTTTGAGACGTTCGCATGCAAGAGCGCTGCGAGTCGAGTCTTGCAAGTGGACGGCTGCATATTCTGCACGAGAAGCTTCGTCGAAATGGTTTTCCATCAGAGATGAGGCTCAAATCCTTCTCGAAGATGTAAACCAGGACCGGGAAGTTCTTGCTATCCTTAAAGCTGAGCTCGATCTCCTAGACGCTGCTGCATGAATTTCTTGTTTGTTTTGTGAGTACGCGTTACATCGCTAAAGACCTTGTATTGACGTTGATTTGTGTGTAGACTTCCCGTCTCTGCATTACTGTATATACCTCGATCTGTACAATACCCGCAACGATTTATCACCTATGTAACTCCTCATGTCTGTTTTGTTCCACCCTCCTTTGATAATGTAATCGCTAATGACCCTCGTTATCCCCGCTCTGACCTTCTACCGTACTGGCAAAGTGTCGCCTTAGTACCGAGTACGAAGATGCAATGCAATTGACGAATGTCGAATGACGCAACTGCGTTCACATACACATGTGACATTTGGTGCGGTTACTCAGCGGGAGTACAGGGACCCGGCCGCCTTATCAGATCAGGAACTTTCCGACAGGGATATAAACTTGGGCACTCTTCGAAAGGTCTCTCCTCATCGTAAGTTACTTCTTGAATCTCAAAACAATGGCCCACACACTCCCACCTCTGCCCTACGCCTACGATGCCCTCGAGCCGTACATCTCGAAGGAAATAATGACGCTTCACCATACGAAGCATCATCAGACCTATGTCAACTCCTTGAACGCGGCTGAGGCCGCCTACGCCAAGGCATCTACTCCAAAGGAGAGAATCGCCCTCCAGGCTGCATTGAAGTTTAACGGAGGAGGTACGCTCCCAAGGCACCGTACTTTGATCTTATCGATGTATTAATCGCTCCGATCCCTAGGCCATATCAACCACTCGCTCTTCTGGACTAACCTTGCTCCTTCCAAGAGCGAGGGCAAAGGCAATGGTGGCGTTCTTGCTGCCGGCCCCCTCAGCGATGCTATCGTCAAGGCTTTCGGCACCCTGGACAACCTGAAGAAGGAGTTCAATGCTACCACAGCCGGCATCCAAGGTTCTGGCTGGGGATGGCTCGTACGTTCTTCGACCGTCCTCCTTCGGCGTCTGAGCTGATCCCATCACGAATACAGGGATACAACCCGAGCACCAAGCTTCTCGAGGTTGTCACCACCGCTAACCAGGATCCTCTCCTTACCCATGTCCCCATCATCGGCGTTGATATCTGGGAGCACGCTTTCTACCTCCAGTACAAGAACGTAAAGGCTGATGTACGTGAACTCCTATTTCCTCCTGAGCTGAATGTTGACTTGATGATTTGACAGTACCTCAACGCCATCTGGAGCGTCATCAACTTTGAGGAAGCCGAGAAGCGCCTGCTTGAGGCCACCTCCACTTCCAAGCTGTAAACCACTCGGCGTTGTATATGACTGATAATCAAGATTGAAAGCAAAATGTAAAGAATATGTTTACAATGTACATCCATTCCTCCCTGAAATGCCATGGAATTCTTGTGGAGTTACGAAGTGAGTTATATCTATTAGACGAAACAAGTGTATGGTTTGCATTAAGGATAGGCATGGCTATTGATATCGAAAGTACAATTACTGAAGGGACAACAGACGGGCTCATCCGAGTCGCCCGGTCAGCCTGCGAATGTTACCATTGGGTTGAAGCCTGTCGACCTTCACAGCAGCCCTTTCTATTTGCTCTTCTGTCAGTACTGGCTTCTTTCCCAGTTTTCTACACATGTGGGCTAAGCACTTTTAGACTCGAAGCAGGTGAATAACATACCGTTTACCCTTCTTCTTCGGAATGTCCTCCTCTTCATCAGAAAGACCTTCATCCAGGCTCTCGATGCGTGGTCTGTATTTCTTGGCGGCTGGGGCAGCAACTAGTTCATCTGGATCCTCGATGGAAAGCGAGTCAATGCTCTCTCGAAGGGCCGAGACCTGGGCGGATTTCCCCTTTGATGCTGAAGGCTTCGTCTGTGGAGACGAACGGATATTCTTGGGCTTTGCTTTTTGGGCCTCCTCCGGCTGCCAATCGTCGCTATCGTCATCATCCTCTTCGTCGCTACCCCCTTCTTCCTCATCCTCCTCGTCATCGTTTTCGCCCTCCCCGCCCTCGTCTCCGTCCTCCGTATTCCCTTCTGTACCCGTCGTGTTACCATCCTCCTCGTCCGAAGGTAATCTCACCGCCGCTGGCCCTTCAGGAGGTGTTTGCACGACTTCTTTGCGACCCATGCTATACCTCACCTTCGCCGCTGGCTTGCTTTGCGCGTTGTTCGCAGACTTGTGCTGTGGCCGGACTGAAGGCGAGGGGGATCTAGAATCGGCAACGTCTGAATCTTCGCTCTCCTCAACTATCTCCTCGCCCGAGCCAACAAGGTCTATCTCCACATCTACTTCCTCGATAATGTTGCTCTGCACAGTGATCATTTCAGGCAAAGCTTCGGTTGGAAGGGGAGATACTGACCAGCTGCTCATCCTCACCGGAGTCCTCGTCAACTGTAGCGAAGGTGCGCTTAACGGGACTGAAGAGTCCGGACTGATGTAGGAATTCAATCTTAGCGTCCGTCTTGGTTTCATTCCGTTCAACCTGGATACAGCCTTTGTCATCGACATATCAACCCTACAAAGGGTGATACACATACCTCGTTCATGATCCTCCGTGCGTACATCTTCTCCATAGTGCGCATGCGCTCTTCCATCTCCTTCATGACTTCTTCCCTCGTCTCGGCCTCGATGACCGCACATTTCAGCTCGCATTCGAATAGCTTCGGGTAGGCTGTAGTCAATAACCAATATGTGCAAGGCCCAAAAACAACTATCACCTGCGCATGGAGAACCTCTATCTCATCGAACAACGCGTCGACCAGAGGGTTCGCGAACTCGGCACTGTCGTTACCTTGGCCTTCATCTGGCTCTTCCTCTGAAAATGTCACCTTTGATGAGTACCTCATCTTGATGTTATGTTGATAGGACTCACCCTCCAAAACCGTGAGTACGGCAGTACTAGACTTCCTTCCTGGCGCGTTCGTCTCGATGGTAACCTTCCTAGTCGTTTGTGATTTCCTCGGAAGGAGTTTCGACGGAGTGGGAGGGACGCGCGGCATTGGTGCGGGCCCTGGCGTCACATAGACTTCCCTGGCCAAAGCTGAAAACTTCATAACATGGGAGTTCTCGTCGTAGCCCGTGTCGTACGGGTTGACATTGACTATCATGACTACCCGTCCATCTCCAACGAAGTAATCCATTAACAGCTCTGTCAGCTTGCTGTGTCTAAATGGTACCAAGGCCAGTCCCTTCTTCACATCTCTGGTGTCCATCCGCGCGTCGCTGCCGAAGCCTTCGTGAGCTAGACTTGCGGCCAAACGCCGCTGGTTCGACCGCATGACCTCCATGCATTGGCCGAGAACCATAAGGGATTTGTTGATATTTCCCGCTTCCTTGAGTCGATCGCCCGTTGTGTGGGTGTGCTTCGTACGCTCTGAACCAGCAAGGTCCACAAGGGTAAGCCGGGATATCTGAAGGGCCGTAGGGTCGTCTCTCTCGCCTCTGTGGCCTCTGACTACTTTCAGAATGACGATACCATGGCTTCGACTACTTTCGCGATTGGCTAAGGTGCCAAAGACGCGTCGGTGCAATTGGCCCATCTTGACTAATGCCTTCGCCTCCGTGGCATTATGTACGCGAAATTGCTTCAGTCCCGAAATGTATTTGCCAGGTGTATCGGAACCTGTGTCATCTGACGGAGATGGTCGAAGATTGAGTGCTGTGCGCGTCAGCAGGAGGGATGAGTTGCTGTTTGAACGGGGAATGTTAGAAGCTGGGGTGGTTTCGTTTGATACAGCATCAAGAAGATCATAGATCTTCTCGTTGTATACTTCTGCATACGAAAGCCAAATAGAATATTCGTAATTTCGGTCGAGCTTGAGGACTGTGGGGTCTCTGTCGGCGTCAACGGAAGAAAGCCCATCATCGAAGTTTTGCCCTAGTACTTGAGTAACTGCCGGAGCTGGTGCTGTCTTCGGTGGTTTAGAATCGCTGGCGTCCGCAGACTCGATGCCATGCAGACGAACAGGTCGAAACTACCTGTTGATGAATAAAGGATACCAAGGATGAATATATAGGCTTACCTTCCCGTCGGCATGCAAGCCATCGATACTGTTGAACATCACGTCGAGAGTTCGCGGGAGAATACCAGCACTCCCTTCGGTATTACCTCCTTGTATCGTGAAGGTCTTCCCAGAGTTGGTAACACCGTATGTAAACAAGAGTCCGTTCTGGCCACTTAATACATCATGCACCATTGGGAGTGTCGTCTTGTTGAAGAAATCAGACTGAGTTACGTCAGGGGGAAATATGTGAGAGAACGTGTAAACCGAGGACGGGGGAACGGTCGATATACGAAAACGACTGCCGGCTTGTCCAGTTGCGTTTGGATCTGACATCCTTACAGACGTATCATTTAGATGGGTGAGATAAGGCTGGGAGGCTGAATCATCGTTGTTCAGATTGGGCCGAATGCGAAGGAATGCCTACTCAAACGTAAGTAAGGTCATTGTGATACAGCAATGTTCAGATCGCACCGTAATAGGTTCTCGCTCGTGTTTATCCTCCTGAGTGATTTTGCTGACGGTCTTCGTCTTCGAGGTGGGTTTCGCGCGTGCCGGGGGTTTAGCGACATCTTCGTCGTTCTTATTCACAAGGGGCTTCCGTGATGTAGCCTTCTTAGGCACAGCGGTCGCAGCTGGAGGTTCAGGAGTACTAGAGCCTGCCTTCGCTGCAGCTCTAGTCGTTCTGGTCGTTGTTGGTATTCCAGTGGCTTTCGTGCGTGTCGAAGCCCTTGTCGCTGTTTTTGGAGGCATTGCTTGAGGTCGGTTCTGATGTTTGATGAAGGTTGAGATCAAAGGAAGACGCCTAGCTGCTAATTGTACATTCGCGTGACCGCGCATCCCGATCACATGACTCTGTGCCACTCGCTCACGTGGTCGTGTTTATGTCAACGATCGCGTTGAGCAAATGTCTGAGTTGAACTCCGTCCTTCATCTACCCGCCACATTCGCGTGGCTTCTGGCACAATGGTATCCTCAAAACGCTCGCCGAGTAACAGACGAAAATCAATAGCAGTCATCAACGATCAGAACAAGCCCGCCTTCATTCAGCGCAACAAACGAAGAGCACATAGTGTTGCTCCTGGCGAGCTCAGTCCGCTTGCAAAGGCCAGACGACTACTTGTGCGTCAACAGAGTAGTACCTCTGTCATCTTGATCTATAACTCAGTGTAGGTCCCACGAAAGAGTATCCTCAAGACTGCGATAAATTTACCGTCACAAAACGCCGAGCAGTCATCCATACTTCCTAGCCAGTCGAATTCAACGTTGGGCGGGGATGCTACGCAATCCATGGATCTGACTCGGGAATTTACCACCAATATTCACGACAATACGTCACGGAAATCGCTAGGACGAAGAGTGAGCTTTGCGCGAACGGCCAAAGTTCGGCTGTTTGAGATCCAGGGAGACCATACAAGCAGTACGAATGCTTCTGGATCGCCACAATCATCACCACAGTCGTCACCTCAGCAGCAGCCGAACGAGGAACAATATGTGAACCAGCCCCCGACGCTGTCCAACGAGAACGCCTATCCTGGCGCAGATGCGAGGAATCGGCGTCGAAGTTCGGGGAGATACTCAATGGCGGGTAGTGAGGACATGGACCTAACTCAAATTGGCCCTCATATCGTTAGCGACGAATTGAACTTCGAGGAGGATAACTTCGACTTCAATACCGACGACGACAGCCACATGATGGATGAGGACGGCGACGCTATGGATATCACCCGAGCGCTGGATGCTAACATCATTCGGCGACGGACACTTTCTATGGGAGGCGTCAATGCTCAAGCAAACCGGCCGCCATTGGCCGAGCTTGCTCACAGCGTCGCGGCTAGCAACAATAATGAGCTATCAGTCGGCTCCGTCGATATGTCCCAAGATATGTCTCGAGATGATTCCAATGTGTCAGGTGGCGACGATACACAGTCCATCCCAATGGAATTCACAGTGCCTATCACCCAAGGTCTTCGTCAGCCAGCACACCAAGATCCAGCGTGGCTCGCCCTTCGAGCCGTTACTCATTCGGGAGATGTGCCGTACGACCCTCCGCCAATGAGCGAAGACGAGGACGCTACCCCCCTAGCTGCGCATGCCCCTGGAGATGACATGAATCTCGACGACGCCATGCAACGTTTAATGAGAGCCAGAGACTCGCTTCCAATGGCCCAGTCTATTCCGCCAGGTACACAGAACGAGGACTCGTTCACTAGCTCTGAAGGAAGCTTCATGGTTGCAGATGGGTTTCGAGGGGAGGAAACGATCAATCTAAGCAAAATCATCGGGAGAGGGAGTCTTGCTGGCTTTAGTGCTCGTCCTAGTCTTGCGTACGACTCAACTATGGAGATTACTTCTGGGTATGGCCATATACAGGCTATCAATGGCTTGCCGGTCGAATCGACGCCAACACACGGTCGCATCCCCCCTCAGCCAGCGCCAGCGCAAGAAATAGCGAGATTGCCGGTCTTCCAACCACCAAGCGTTCCCGCCACACTCCCCATCGACCCACCATCTGGACAGCCGGAAAGCATCCACGCCGCTCCAGCTCCCGTCTTTGCGCCGCCACCCAAGGTCCCGGCGTCAGCATCCAAGTTCAAACCCAAACCTACTTCACCAGTAAAGCCAAAGCCGACATTTACTGCGGCATTTGCACCACCGGCTGGGCGCCCGTCTCCTAAGAAGCATCAGCCGCCAGCTACCAACGCAATTGTTGGAAGCAGTACAAACGCTCGTGCCCCTGCGAAACGAGCTCTCGATGAGACGCCGGAAGAGGACCATGAGGAGGGGCCATCTACGCGTCGTGTAGCGTTGGACTCCAATGACAAACCCAAGCCTGCACCCCTTCCAACATCTCGTGCCTCTGCTAAACCCCATCTCGGATCAGCAATACGGCGGCCATCAGGTTACTTTGCTCGGCGGCAAAGTGTAGGTGCAGCCTTGCAGGGAGGAGCCAACGAAGCGATTAGCCGTCCAGACCAAACCACACAAGGTCCCCGTCCACCTTCACCAAAAAGCTCCGGGAAGGGTAAAGCCAGAGCGAGCTTGGGTTCGGCGGCAGCGGCAGATGCGTGGAAGCGGTTCGACAGAAATGCGGCGTCAGAAATGCCAACGAGACCGAGGGATGAACATCCTCCAGAACAAGACCCAAATTCTGCGAACGACCCAACCTCCGTTACCATAGTTCCTATTAGTGCGCTCCCTCCGGCGTCGCCTGTCAGAGACCCACCCCCAGCGACCCCTGGCGCTCCAAACGATCTAGAAGGACTGTCAACTGCAGACGGTTTTGGGGAGGATGATTATGAGGAGTCTATGGAACTGGACGAAGAAATTCCAGTACGCCAGCCTGATGATCAAGCAAGGCTGCGAGCTAGCACGGCCGCGACAGAGTTGTGGGCAGAAGGGGTTCAAGGCGACGGCCATCCGGACGACAACTTGGTTAGTTCATCAAGTAACGGGATTTGCGCAATAACACTAACGTATAGCTCCTGTTTTGTAGCCGTCTATATCGATCGCGGAATTCTTCCAACTAACGGGTATCAAGTTCATGGAGGAGCTAACCGCGCCACGCCGCTCGATGTCACAACCAGGTCGACCAGAGCGCCAAACTGCTGATATTCCCCTCGCGGAATACGCGATTGCCACCACAGTCGACTTACCACAACTGTCGCTCTACACTCGCGTGGCGAGCGATCTCGATGCATGGATGAAGAAGAGCAAGGTAGTTATGCAGGAGACGGAGGAAGAAGCAGCAAAAGTGGTGCCCGAATTGTTTGCTGAGTATTTGAGTGCTGACGAAGAGGGCAAGGATCAACTGAGGGTGAGTGATTGCGGTTTATGACAGCCGCTTTGCTCTGTTGACACTCGCGGTTGTGTAGCATCAACTTAACCTCATCCGAACAAATGTCAGGGAAATGGCCAAAGGAGAGTGGTACAATTGGAAACTGCAATGGATCGAGGGCCTCAAAGAGATCGCGAGCAGTGGTCTGGAGGACTTGCAAGCGGTGAGTATGTCCGGCAATAGAGAGTGGATGGCACTCATCAGGTCATGCAGGATGCTAGAGTTCTCGGGCAAATTACGTCGCGAGCAGAAGAAATGCTGCCTTCCCTGGAACAGGAATACGAGAAAATCATGGCTGAGCTGGAGCAGGAGCAAGCGGAGGTTGACGAAATCCTGGCGAGTGACCAAGGTTACCTAAACGAGTTGAAAGCTTCCATCGCCGAACAAGAGTACGTTTGCTGACAAGCCATCTATGTCGCGACTAATGCAGATCGTAGAGTGGAAGTCGATGCCCTCCGTGCAGAGCTTAGCGAGAACAAACAGCAGTTGGCTCGCCTTCAGGAGAGGTATGCGGAGACTCAGAAAGAACAACGAGAATCAGAGTCTGCAATTTCTACCGCCAAGCGTCTGCTTCATGTCCAGGAAAGCAGCACGCTCTCAGAGATTATGAGGTTGAAGGGCACGTATTCCTCCTTCGGTACCGACTCTTCCTAGCTCATCCGTCTTTAGACGAACTGGAAGCCATGGAAGATCTGCATATGTTCCACGCGACGAAGGTCTCACACAACCTTTTTGAATACGTTTATGCCTCGCGATACCAGATCTCTATCCCCTGCAACAACCATCTCCCGATAATATCACAGATCGAGCTCAAGAAATTGAATACTGCGAAACTCAAATTCAAGGATAAATACCCTCATCTAAGCGATTTCTTCCTCCGGACAGCGAAGGACATGCTGCTGCAGACGCAGAAAGACTGGACCGTTCGCAAGGTTCGTGATGCGGTCTTCTACAAACAGCAACGATTCGTGAACTTGAACTGACGTACGTTGTCCTCGTACTAGGTCGTTCATTATCTTTCGGACTATTGGTCATCATGCACACAGATTCGCTCCCAATTAGATCTACTCTCCATTAAATACCCTGTGACCGTCGAGATACCCACGTCCACAGACAGCGCTGGCTTCACCGCCAAAGCGCAGCTCCTCTACCCCTCCCTCAAGGCCAAGGTTTTCGTCTCTTTCACGTTTATCCCAGAAATATTTGCTTCGTGGCCGAAGGCGATCAAACAATTACCGTGCAACGTTGAGGTCGTGTATGGTGCTGTTCAGTACGCCCATTTCGTTCACCCTCGCTCAAAGATAGGAAATTGACCGGTGTTTAGGGGAGAGAAAATCTACGAAGCCGTCGTCTCCAGACTTAGTGAGACCAGCGCCGAAGACAATCACGCTTGTTTATTAGATGCCTGCATAGGTGCTCAGGATGTCTACCATTAATCTGTTTGGGTCGTTGGTGTTTTTGTTTGTACGTTGTGTATTACCGTTTTTTCAGCCACATTTACTTCTCAGATCAATTCACTCCGTTATTTACTATTTACGAACCATGTACTCTATACATACTCACTATTCTACAAACTGCAATTACTTGGGCTGCGTTGTGTATATAGGTTCGAACATCGTTGTTGCCGCGCATTGACGTAGAGCGCCGGCAGCAACTCCTTGAGACTCGAGTGATCTCACGCCTTAAAAGTCCTCTACGTTACGGACAGTGTACTGCCAGCCTCGGTCCCCCTCCCTCCACAATGAGTACGTCTGCTTTGCTGTGCTCCGCTGCACTCCCCCTTCGAAGAACGAACATTCGTTCGACGCTGAGACCAACGTCGCGGTGGCAGCCCTTGTTGCTCAGACAGTATGGGACACGATTTCGGCCAACCACTGGCAGGTGGCCACCGTTACGCACAAAGTCCTCCTCGTCATCGCGTACACCATCCTCCCTCGCACGTGCCGGCTTGGTGTTGTCGTCCTTTTCAATGAGATCCTACCTCCGGTTTCTAGGCGTCGGTGTTGGAATCGTGACGCTGGGCACTCTCTATATGAAATATCTGAGTAAGTAATATACTGTTGAAGCGTAGAGGACGTGAACTGAACGAATCTCTCCCATAGGCATCCTACAGATAGTCGAGAACTTCAAAGCCTCAGTGTCCACCGGACTCGCCACAGTAAAAGCGAAAACCGAGGCACTCTTGGGGAGAGTAAGGGACGTTAAAGTCCCAGACGAAGTGAAAAACTCGATTTCAGCCGTATCAGAGGTGGTCAGGACGAAGTCCGGAGAACTTGGCAATACGATTAGGGAGGCCAAAGCTTCCGACGTGGCGGAGGTGGTCGAGTCAGTCAAGGGTACCGCGTCTACTATGGCAGAGGTGGTCAGAGTGAAATCCGAGGAACTGGGTGCTACACTCAGGGATCCCAAAACGGCGGAGTCTGTCAGAAGCTCAGTGTCGGTTGCGTCTGAGGCCGTCAAGGCCAAATCTCAGGAGGTCGGTGCTAGACTATGGGAGTCTGGAGAAGTAAAAGGGATGGAGTCTGTAAAAGCACTGTTTAAGAGAGACAAAGACAAATGAGTTTGAGGTCGAATACTTACTTGTACCTACCCCTGTAATCTCCTGTCTCGTGCGAACCGAAGGATATGTGTGTGCCTGCAGGCTGCAACGATCATTGATGCCAATGCCCGAGACGGCGACCTCAGGGGGGCATCCAGTGGCACGTTGGTCTCCGTTCTTCGTACCTCGAATACAATGTCGTTTTCTTCGGATTCACGGGCTCTCAGTGTCCCATACGTTCTCAACCGCCTGGTTCGTACCCTCGCAGATAACGTCAAATACAACGCCCCTCCGAGCCCCAGTTCATCAAATAGACAAGACGACAACGCCTCGCCAGACGCAGACAACATGTCCGGAAATGGCGATCCCAGCAAATCCAGCGCCTGGGCGAATAAGTTCAAGTTGTGGGGTAAAAAGACCGATGGATGTAGGTTCTCTTTCTTATACAAGAGATAGATAGTGTACTAATAACTTCGCTGTTAGATGAACACCCTGCAGAGCTGGCACCTGAGCCAATAACTGATGCCCCGGAGGCAGAAGCTATTGCACTCCGAATCCAAGCTCTAGTCGACTCCTTGCCAACTCCGGGCACAAAGCCTGATAAACGCATTTCGAAACCCCCCAAACCGATACCTCCTACCCGGGATTCCAAAGGGAGATGTATACCGCCCCCAGGTTCGACCCCGATCAAGGATAACAAGTTGATCGCTTTGCTGTCTTCCCCTCCTGTGATGAACGGGGAAGAGGAGGGCAGGAGCTCGGTCTGGTCCGTCCTGGAGACAATTCATCATCGTACCCATCCACCGAAGGGGGACGACGGAGGGGAGGGCGGGGATGAAGACGAGGAGGAAGATGATCGGTCGTTGATGTTGTATGCCCCGCTTGTACCAACCAAGGACTCTAAATTGGAAGTTGCGGCGACTGCGACATTGCTCCCTGAAGGCGCAGCAACAACAGAAGGCGGGGGCCCGCCGCCAGCAGGCTGGTGGCCATGGGGACCATCCAAGAAGCCAGCCCCCGGCAAGAAAGTGCGGGTGAAAGGGAAGAAAGTCTGGGTCCCCTCCACTACTTCACTCTCTGTGCAGACGATGTGGTGGGGTTACAAGTTGTAAGTATATATATATATCCCAGTTGAGTCCTAATACGGTGCACTCATTCAGAATCAAGGTACCTTCCCCCTCCCGTGTTGGACATACTGAACGACAGGCAGCTTGAGGCCACCAAGCGCGCAGCAATGATCACAACGGCACTGAAGTGGATCGTCGACAATATTCCTACGGCTATGATTCCGCTACCCTTGCAACCCGCGTTGCTAGTCATTCAGCGTATAGTCCCGTTCATTGGGTACATCGGTGGATTTATTGCTTGGAGCTGGAGCACCATCAAGTCTTATGATGAAGGTTTGGGTGTTATCCTCACGGCTACCTGGATTTTGCCAGTCGCTCTTATACCCGGGACTTGGAGAGCATCGGATGTACCTTCAGCAGAACCCGACCCCCCAGCTAGCGATCCCCCTGCCTCCGAGCCAACCCCCACGGATCCACCCCCTACCACTACCCCAGCCGCCAACGCGAAGTCCAAGACCAAGGCCAGACGATAATCCTGCTCCTCCCCAATAATGAACGAACCTATCACGATCAGTCACGCCTTTATTTGATGCCATTCCAGGATTGGGACATTGTAGTACTTGTACATATATTCGATTAGCATCGGTGTACTTTTGGCTTTCTAGGGTTTACGCTCCCGACCACCTAACTCGGAGTAAAGGAGGTTGTTTTGTTCTTGCTTGCGTCCGTCGCGTTCATTCTTGAAGTGATTCGAGATGAGGAAGGCCACATCTGCACATACTATCATTTAGTAACCGGAGACCATCCGCTCGATCTTATTCTTACCCAAGGATTGTTCGAAGTTAAGTCGAGGGTCGCAGAATGACTACAAGATCGAAGATCAGCGAACCATGCCCCACTACCTACAGATTACGTGCATACCTGATATCGTAGCCCCAGCTGCTCCTCGCTCAACTCCATACTCCCGCCCAGGCACTCCGTCACACTGAATCCCTCGTCATTCAACTCCCCGGTAAACTCCAGGCTGACGCCTCCCAAACGGGAATTGCATTCGGCGTGGATGCGAAGACACGATGTCAGCTCGCTGATGATGGTGCCGAAGTTGCGGGTTTTGAGGCCGGTACTGGAGGTAAGGGTACTTTGTAGACAGGGAAAGGAAGGATATCAGTATTGCAAGGTAGAAGAGGGAGAGGGGAGAGGGGAAATGCGTACTTCCCGTGCATGGGGTCACATATCCAGATTACGGGATGACCTGAATCTTGGACGGTTTGTATATGACCGGCGAGGTGATCATCAATCTACGAAAGAAGATGCATTATCATCCTAAGGTCACTCGGTCTATAAGAGCCCCACTACCTTCGTTGCGCCGTAGCGAGTAATCAGAGTAACTCTACCACTTTCTTTGTCGGGGTTGACAACTAGTTGATGCAATTGAGCTGGAGTAGGACGTAAGGGATGGGGCAGAGAGCGTACTATCCAGGAGCCGAACCAACTCATCCTTGACCATGGACGGCCCAACCTTGATTCCAATAGGATTCCGGATCCCGCGGAAATACTCCACATGTGCGCCAGTAAGCTGCCTCGTCCTATCGCCTATCCACAGAAAGTGTGCTCCAGCGTTATAGTAACCCTTCTTCTTATCCTTTGTCGCTAGCGAGGGTGGCAAAGGGAACTCCCGAGTCAGAGCTTGCTCGTAATCTAGCATCAACCCCTCGTGGCTGGTGTAGAAATCGACTTCCCCGACGGCTTCTCGTGCGCCGCCTTGTTCGTAGGGAGGCATGGATTCGATGCCGATGGTTCGACTGAAATCGAGAGCGTCTGAGAGACCTTCGACGATGTGTTCGAATTCTTTGCTAATAGGATGTATAGATGCATTTAGTGGGGTATAAACTTGGGGAGCAATATGCTCACCGTAGGGAAGGAGACCGGACATGATTGAAGGACCAATCTCTCGGGTGATGCAGCGAAGCAAAACCAGAAGACAACAGACCTCGAAGGTAATTGAGAGTAGTGGAAGAATGGAAGTAAGCTCTACAGCAGCTATGGTCAGACAGTAACAATGGAAAATGCGTGACGATAATTTACCGAAGCAGACGGTCAGGATCCGGGGTACGGTCATCTGGATCAAGACTTTACGTGGCTTAACCAGAGGATACGATGCTCGTAGCCTAGACGCACATACCCGTTGACATTGTCGCCTCTGCGACTCGTTTAGTCGATGGAGCATGCAAACGGAACGGAAGCCAACGTACCGGAAACTCGTTACAGTTTTGCCGTTGATGGTCTCGGTACTACTACTTCGCGGTTTCGCATATTGTCCAGCAATTCGACCGATACGTACCTAAGCCTCGGAATTGAATAGCTAGCTGAAGACTGTATATTGTCGACTTACGACAGGCAAGCGTGCGCCCCAGACAACAATCAACGAAAACGAGAGAATCAGACCGATCTTCGAGGATATGTTTTCCTTCATGGGTCATATTAGAGTTTAGCTTCACCAAGGCGCAGATGACATACATGAGTGCAGGCATCGAAACTCTCGGCGCAATCCCCAGCGTGAAGAAGGAAGGCTTCGTTGTTCTGTACGCGACCCAACTGGTATCGCAAGCGTTCGATCTTATGGTGAAAGTCAGTGCTGACCCCACCGAGCGGAGTGGATTGCCACAATACCTCAGAAGGTGTGACCAGAGGCGGCAGGGTGTTGATCTTACTCAGGACCCTAATGCAGGTGTCACTTCGCGTAGTACTAACGATCCACGTCAAACGTACCTCTGGAGCTTCTGTTCATCTGGGTACTCGACGCCCTAATGCCAGCACCATCAATCTCAGTGTGGCGTCAGGCCATGCATGATCAATAAACCATACCTGCGCAACTGGCTTAGATGTCCAAGAAGAAGGTGACCAGGTTGAATCAGCCATCCTAGAGAGAACCGACAGCAAAATTTTGCGCTATGGGGGTTTCCGGAGAGATGGGATTTCAATGTGGCGGAGAACACGAAAGTTTTGAGTGTCCATGTCAGTGACTCGGCGCGACCATCATAAGATTATCGATTTACCTCGAAAAGCCCGACAAATAAGCGCCATCCATGATCCCAACGCCAAACCTCTCCCATCTCACCGCGAAGGACTTCGAACGTGTGTACGAGCCAGCTGGTAATCATATTCCATCCACAAACGTTCTATAAACTATGATTGACGCGAGAATTTGTAGAGGATACATTTCTACTGCTCGATGCATTGGAGAACGATGCAGAGGACCTCAAGAGTTCACGGCCCTTGATATGCTTGGAAATCGGGTAGGAATAAGGAGTTTGCATCCACTGCAACGGTGTCGCGAATCATCGTTTCTCAACGCAGTTCGGGATCAGGTTGTGTCTCGGCTTTTATTGGGACCATACTGGGACCGTCGTCGGCACGTACGTTTCTCCCCGGTGTCGCACACATGGTACAGATATTGATCTTTGATCTAGTGTATCTCTGTACCGATATTAACACACATGCGTGCCAGTGCACTGTTGCAACAGGACGACAAAATAAAGTAGGTCGCGCCATAGGGGCTTTTGACTTAGCCACTGAGGCTTTTCCGTGCAGGTTTGTCTGGAGTCCGTTGGCACATACTTGGATCGTTCGCTGCACACACGTTTGAAGCATCGCGTCGACCTCCTAATCTTCAATCCGCCATATGTACCCACTGATTCTGTGGAAGCAGAATCTGCACAATCCTCACCAGCGATCGCAAGCGCTTGGGCAGGAGGGATCAATGGCATGGAGCTCACGAACACCTTCCTGAAGCTTGCACCTGTAGGTTCATTGGAGGAGATATCCAAGGGTCGTGTTGAACAATGTATACTAGGAACTACTCGCTCCACAAGGACGATTTTATCTGGTCGCGGTCAAAGAGAACAACATTCCAAGAATACTGGCTGCCATGCTGAATGAGCACGACCTAGCAGGCAAGGTTGTTCTCCAACGGCGAGCAGGCCGCGAGCACTTACACATTTTACGATTTGAGAAACAAGGCTCGCAAGTGCAAACATGATCATTGTCGGAAAGCACGGTACTAGTTGTACAGTAATTGCGAACAAGTCCATTATCCCGCTAATAATGAAAGGGATTAATGATGAGTAACATAAGGGATGAGAAGGAAGGTGCGAGACGTTGGTGATATATTGGGTAAATGAAAGAGGAGCGGGCTAATCATCGCTATCAGCGCCAGGCCTTCTACCTCGAAGGCTAAACCTCGACGGAGAAGCAATAGACATTGTCCGTGACATGAGGTTATCACCAGAATGTACAGAAGCACTACTGCTGAGAGGGTTGGTATTTGGGTCGAATTCCAGGCGCAAGCGGAGTAGACCTTGGCCCTCGCGTAGCTCTAATAGTACATCGGCAGCAGACAAGGCATTGGGCTGGATATGTCGCCAGATCTGTTGGAAGGAGAATTTCAGGACGATGAAAATACATATCAATGATAGCACTTACGTCGACCTCGCCATCACCTAGCAGTTTGTCCTTGCCAATCGTTTTGTGATCATGAATCCAAGCGAATAACTTGGGGGTAAATTGTCCCGCCGTGAAAATAAAGGATTCATTCCTGGAAGAGACATCAACGAAGGAACCAGAACTCTGAAGGCATCAACGTACCATTCAGGCGTGGCCGTTTTTCCAGTATGCTTTGTTTTCACTTCCTTGTCCCCGATACGAATGATCGCGTACGGCTTGTAATCGTTCGATGGCAAATCCTTCGCGTCGAGGACGGTCACCCTCAACGTGCCAGGTTCGCCACCGCCGCCGTTGTCAATCGAAGCCCCGGAATCCGATGTCGGGAATGCCGTGAAGTTGCCATTCCCATTCTCTCCGTTGCCGGTTGGGATTGGTTGAGATGCTTGCCCCGAAGGTGCGTCATTCTCTGGCTCCGAGTCATCATCCTTGTTTCGTTTGAAGACACCGGTAACACCGTGGAACACGCCTTTGCCGGCACCAAGAGGTATTGAACCAATCTGTGTCATCGCGCGCCCAGCGGTAGAGAATGTGGATGTGTTCTTCCGAGACTTGGCGATAATTTCTGGTTGGAACATTAGCCGTATGCGGATCTGCCCCTTCTCGCCATGCTTGTTGGACGTCAAGTTGAGCGTTCGTTCGATGGCGGTGAAAGGTTCTATATCCGCAAGGTCGATCTTGGCAATACCCAAGGATTTCGCCTGCTCGATTTGGTTCCAGTCGAATATTTCCACTGTGAAGTCGGCGGCCACTCGTGAAGGCTGGCAAAATGGTTTAGCAACACAGAGTTGGAGAAAGAGGTAAAGTCTAACTTACCACTCCAACGACAAAGTTCTCATTCCATTCCGGAGCAAGCGTCTTCTTTTTCGTCTGAGACTTGTGAACTCGCTGGCCATTGAGAGTGAACACAGCATAGGGGTCGGATTTGCCTGTAAAGCACTATGTGAGTAGGAGACGATGAATACGAGACACTGTACTGACCTCCACGATCGGCAGCCACGATGTCGTGCCCACTCAGGAGCTCGACGCGAAGGTTACCTTGGTCTAAGCAAAATCAGTACCATCACCAACCCATAAGAACTCGAACACGCACTGTTTATGCTCTCGCGAGGATCTAGTTTGACGGGAACAGGCACGTAGCGAGCTTCGACCTCAACCGTGGAGGTATTGCGGCCATTCTCATCCGCGAGAGTGAACTTCGTAGGGCCAACCTATTCCATCATTCGTGTTAGAAATTCTAGTCTTGAATCACGGTTCTGCTGTGCGCTTACAAGTGTTGAATCCAAGAAGTCTTTTGCCTTGCCCTTCCATTCAGCCACAATATCGTCCTTTTCTCCTTCGTCAGCTTCATTCAAGCGGAACAACACCTGCCCGAAGTCGAGCTCCTTTACAAAGCCTTCCCCAACATACTCCCAGGCAGTGTGCGTGCTCCTCGCTCTGACGGTGCTGAAGGCAGGCCAATAGCCATCGTCGAGAAGAACCTCCAAACGACCCTTCTTCGCCAGCTGCCCAGATATCACGTTGAAGATGATGATGCCAGACTCTGCAAGGCGGTCAACGACAAGAAGCAAAGACATGTAAAGTGCACCCACGCTCTTTCAGGAGATCTTCCTTCGACAGCTCAACAACGTCGGTCGATGGGTCTTGGACTTCGGGTGTTGTTACAGCTGTGTCTGTATTGGCGGTACCTCCAGTGCCAGTGGTCCCGGTTGTACCAACGGAGTCGACCGACTTCTTCTGCTTGTGGCGAGAGAGCGTCTCCTTTTTGATCGTAATACCCTCAGGCACTGCCTGCATCTCCTCGTCAGATGAGGACACAGACGACCCATCGTCAATAGAGCCTCCATCCTCGTCATCATCAGTAGCCTGAGTGACACGAGACCGTTCGTCGGTCTTCGTATCGAACTTGACACCCTTCAGCGCCAAAGCAGGGACGAACTGTGCAACGTAGTGGAGATGGCCCTTGAAGATGTTCTTGTCCAAATGAAGAGGATCCTGCCTTTCGACGACGCCAACGGACTCGTAGGGGTAGCGGGGATCTTCTGATGCTTTGGCAAGGTCAGCTACCTTCAACTCGCACCAACCGAGTGAACGATCCCGAGTTACGTGTTGGTAGTCCATGCACTCCAGGAGCAAGTTCTGCGCGTTGAAGTAAATATGTCGCTCTGAATGAATCGGCCACGGTATTGACTTACTTCTCTGAGTGAGTGTACTAATAAAAACATAAGCAATGTGCTGCGCGCAAGTTTCTGGGATCACTCACCTGGTATGTACACGAACTGCTCCCAGACGGGATTCAAGTCTGTGAGGTCATTGTGGGTCAACCTACTCGCCACCAAACATACGGCACCTACTATTGTTGATGACCTCAGTGCGGCCCTTGACGACGCCTTTCACCAAAACGCGTGTGTACGGGTCGCTCTGATCATAAAGTTAATCCGCGAAATTCTAAAATAGCAAATACAACGAACCTTGCCACCCAAAGCTGCCTCAACATTCTTCACATCCGTCGCCTTGTGCAGGAACAGCCTCACAACACCAATCGGCGGCGTGTATTGATCCGCACCATGCAGACTTCCAGCCATATTCAACGGCTTCCACTCCGCACTCATCCTCAGCTTCCCAGACTTGCACCCACTAAGCGGGAACCAATCCCTCCCCGCCTCGCCCTTCATGTCCAACAAATCTTGCAGCCTGATAGACAAGTACCCGACAATAGGATCCTTCAAGAAGTCCCTGTCATCGATGACCTTCACTGTGATCGTAGCGTTGGACTTGTCGGAGCAGAGGTACTCGTGCGCCGACTCCCAAATCGGGTTGACGGTATGTTTGAAGCGAGCAGTGGTGTGCACAGCTGTGGCGTTGCCTCCCACGTACACCTTGGCCAGAGGGTTCAAATCGCCCGATAGCGACTTCGTGGCGTCGAGTTCTTTCGCTTGATGCAGGACCAACCGAACAATGCCAACAGCTACCATGGCCAAACGAAGTTAGTAAATCTCCTGGTTCCGATTACTGGCCAACTCACTCGATTCCGCAGTCTCCTCGTCTTGCTTCAACGCGGGGAAGAAGGATACATCAAACCGGAGGTCTCCCCTGTCCTTCCCATCCTTCAGAATGGGAGCAACGATACCCTCCTGAGTGGCATCCTCGATCAACTTCGACAAATCAAAGTTCGCGACACCCAAGAGTGTATCACGTCTATGATCGTTATAGTCGTAGACATTGAAGCACAGAGTCTCGCCGAGCGACCGAATCAGCAGGAACTTGGTCTCGTTCCAGCTCGGGTTGTACCTGAGACCCATTGATAATTAGCACTTGTGGGTCCAGACGAGCATACGAATTTCTACGCACGTGTTGTGCTTGTACTTGGTATGGGCGAGCTCCTCGCGGGCGTTAATGCTAAGAGAAACGTAAGGATCCGGCGTTCCTCCACCGATCTTGCTTCCCTTGAGACCGCGTGCGGAGTTAACAGTGACCTGGAGGACACCGATAGAAGTATCCAGAGGGGTACCCGACAGCAACTGCTCGAGATTCAAGGTAAAGACATTCGGGTCGTACATCATAGGTCCCAGCGTCGCATGGGTCATTTCGCGGATAAACGATGACAACCCCGGAATCTAAGAATAAACCATGTGTAAGTGCTGTGCTCCCCCGCGTGAAGGAAACACGTACATTGGCGATATCGAAACCGAAAGTCTCGCCGCCAATAGGTTTAAGCACATAGTCGATTACTGGCTTTTCCAAAAAGCAGAAGTCCACGATTTGGACATGCGGGAAATTGGACATCAACTTCAACCTGATGCGCATCAAACCAGAGAAAGCTATATCCTCCAACAGAATAGGCATGGCAGCGGTCGCAATACCTTTTCCAACGCGCACGGAAAGGACAATTTTGGGGTTCACTTTTGCTTCCGCTTGGCGTTTTGTCATATCGGACGTGTCGTTGGGTGTGAACGAGATGCCCCAGTCCATCATGATGATATCATCTGGGGTCTTTGGGAATGTGCGCACTTTGTCTATTCTGGGGGCCTTGGTTCCCAGCGTAAAGGTTGACAGGCGCAGAGAGTCGAGGAATGGCGGGGTGTTCGAACTGAGGACCTGGTCAACGGATGAGACAACCGTAGCAGATAAGACAGGTTCGTAAATAAGCCAGAAACGGTCGAGGAAGTTGTTTATCCAGTCCGCGGATTCATGTTCGGATGCAAGTCGCGTCTTAACGAGTTCGCGCTGGATGTCGTCGCGTGCACGTCGCCGAACACGTTCCAGAGAGGTGCTGTAGTAGGTGTTGCATATAGCCAACGTGATAAGCAACCATCCCCAGCCAAAGTTAAAACGTGTCATGAAATGTGATGCGAAGACAGCCTTGAGAAAAACCATGAGTACGAGTTGGATAAATGACAGAAAAAGATATCCTTACAAAGAAGATGATGGCAGCGTTGTGGTACCAGTCGCCATAATACTGCTCTGAAAGGAACATAGCCAGAACACCTTTATCTTTCTCTTCGCCCTCTTCCAAAGGTAGGTTATCTATCCCCGAGGTTGCCCTCCAACCAACCTTATACCAGTCCGGAATTTCCGGTGCACGTCCTTCTGGCAGAGCCCCAGGTACTTTGCTGCTCTCGTCCTTTGCTACATCTGCTACGGTTGCTGGCGAAACGTCCTTGGCTGTGATTTTTGGTGTCTCCGTGTCGTGATCTTCGATTGTAATCGTTGGTATGACATTGGATTCTCCGGAATCAATGTGAACCTCTGAGAATTAGAGTTTATTAGAAGGTGGCCGCAGAGGCATGGCAGCACGAAGGCAGGCGAGACCGACTCCCGAACATACCTTGTTCGCCTGCCCCTGGTTGGTCGTTGGCACTCTTGAGCTTGTCGCGAGACTTGCCTGCGGAGGCGGCCTTCTCAGCCGGGGTCGCATCTGGGTCAAACTGGTGAACCGCAACGCGTCCGTTGTTCGAATCACGTTCGAGAAGGCCGTTCACCGCAGCCTGTTGGTTGGCATTGCCGTTCGCTGGCACTGCGCCGTTCGACGACATCGAGGAGGACGGGGTGCACGATGAGCTGGCTGCTATGCTACAAATGAGTTAGAATGGTTGGAGTCGGGAGTCGGGGAGGGAAGGGAAGGAGTGGAGGTCGAGGTCAGAGAAGGAGAAGGAACGGCAGGTGAATGGCGAGGCGAGTAATGGCTTGGTCCTGATGTCACTCTGTCCCCCTATTTGCAATACGGCCCTGTCACACGCCTCCAAGAAGGAAAGTTGTCCCTTACGAGGCAACTTCTAGACGCCTGCAAGTGTCCGGCAGGTGCCACAAAACGTCAGTGGAGACTCTGGAGAGTTCCGTGCACAGAGTACAACTGGAGGCGATGGCGTTGGCGATGCAGACCGCAGCGTCGACAACGATAGTGCCCAATTTACTCGAGTCTCTGATCTATACTTGGAGTTTAACTTTGCAATGGGAAGTACTTCTAGTTCGCGAATCTTGTGGTTCGAGACTTCGAGTACAATAAGGGATGAGGCAAGACGCGTCTTCGTCGACTCTACCACAATGGTGGGATTGTGGATGGCAATAGCACAGCGCGGCGAACTTGCGCAGTATCGTGATATTTCTCACAAAAAGTTCAATACATTCGTGCCGATGTGCAGGTGGCTGCGCACTGCTGTGCTTATCGACGTTTGTGTAAAAAATGGAACGACGAATTCTACGGGCGCGATCTCTGCGGAGACCTCGCTACTTCTTAAGCTTGAAGCTTGATCAATCCGTTGATTGGATTGAGTCAAAGTATTGATGGTATCTTCATCGAGGGCTTCGACTGTATGATCATGATTAACGCGCAAACTGTGCATTCTATATTCTGCGACATAGTGTTCGCGCCGAACTTCGGATCAGGTCTACCCAGGATGTGGGCGGCAGTACGTATACGCCGGAGCGCGGAGGTGAGATGAGAGTCTTGCGTTATGATAATAATGTTTTACTATGCCTAGCAAATAATGTGAGTATTTAAAGTTCAGCCCAACCACCGTCCACATCCTCGCCACCGGTGAAGAATGCTAACACGAAGACAATCGCACTCGCACCCAACCTCATCCCGAAGCCACGATACAACTGACCGATACCAGTGTGCCTCAGCCACCCACCCTCATCCTCTTGGTTGGCGTTGATTTCACCATCCTTGTCGGTGGCCGAGGGACCTGACTCCGCTCGAGCCTTCCCTTTCCCTTCTCTGCGCCTGCTCGTGCGCCGAACAGGCAAATCCGACCGCTCCTCAGTCAGAATATGCCAAAACGTGTCGACGACCCCGTTGTACGGCACGGGCCTCAGCTCCACACATCCTTTGATAGGGTTTGCGTTTCCCCTTGACTGTACTTGCAGTCTGCGTCTTACCGTTTCGAAAGGGAGGGTGATAAGGAGGCCCGCGCAGCCTGCGGCCATTTCGAGGGCGTTGAAGGCTATCGGGTTGGATGAGGGGGAGATAAGGCGTGAGGTGGTCGAAGAGAGAATGAGTTGAGGCAAGATGGTAGAGACGAGCGGACGCAGGGTGTTGTCGAGGAGGGCGGGGATGAGGAGGTGCGGGTGGAGGTAGATACCTGACAAACCACCTTCGTCGCGTAGAATTTGCGAAAGTGCATCAAGGGGACCAGAGTATGACCTGTATCGTGGCAGGAACGACTGCACGATCAGACGCGTGCGTATCAAGTCGAGAGGGGAAAGGATGAATCCGGTGATGACATGCGAGGCAAGCGGGAGGAGGAGAGGTGGTTGATCGAAGGAGGAAGACCTCAGTGAAGAATGAAACACTGAGAGCAGGACATTGTGGATAACGGGCTGCATCGTTGTCGAGATAACATCCGAGATACACGATGTCAACAGTCCTGTATTTATTCAATGGTCATCAATTAAGTTAGAAAGAAAAATGAGTGCATTCGAGGGACTTACCCTTCCAGAGAGCGAACCACCCTTCTGCTCTGAATCTCCCGAGACATTTGATCATTTCCCAGACGCCATTGGCGCTGCCAACGGGTATGATGTATTCTGGCCGCGTCGCTTCCTCGAGGATCGAATGCCGGATGATGTACCCCTGTTCGTCTGCTGGACGCGGAGGTGCACGACGGGACGACGGATGGGACGGGTCCGCAAAATATGCCTCATCGTCGTGCGAAGAGTCGCTGAACTTTGAGGAATGAGCATGCCTGGCCTCAGGTACATGGAAAAGAAGGGAGTCTCACATTGTCATCGTCCTCCACCGCTGGGTCTACTTCTTCCTCAGGCTCGTCTACGTTCCGCGGAACCCACTGAACCTGCAGCAACATCTTCCCAACCTCCCATGGCATGGCCATCGCCGAGCTCGCATACTGCAGCAGCGCAGACGCTACGAGTGATCGGAACACCAGCGTAGCGTCGATGGCGACAAAGTCATCCGAAGACGGCGAGAGCGAAGGTGAAAGATCGAAAATGGAGTTATGTGACGGCCGAGTGGACCATTGGTACGCGGAACCTGATACTGCTGGTACGTCTAGTGTGGTGGCATTGAGATTTGACTCTGGAGAGCCTGGTGCGGGGACAAACGTCCAGCCAGAGTTGGAGGTTGGGTCGTTGTAGGAGCCCCGCAACGACGCCATGCGTTAGGGTTGGTCAAATCTTTCCAATATTGAGCACTGTAGCTTGCAGTGGAACGTGAGCCGTATGCTGAGGATTGTTTGAAGGGCGCTAAAGGGCGCTAAATCTCGGCTAAACGATTGTTATGCATGCACTTCGAAAGTATGCCGAAATATGTTACTCGGTTCCTTCATCCTCATCACCTTCGAACTGCTCGTGAAGAGCCCAGGGCGTTGTAAGCAACAGCGATCATGCACATTGATATTCATAATCGTAACAACATCCCGATCTCAACCCCAAGGCAGAGAAAAAGATCCTAAAGAAAGTGACATATCCTCGCGTAGCAAAATAACAGTGGTTGTATGAAGGACAAGGAATAAACAGCGATAGAAAGGTGATAAGTAAAAGTTGCGGAGCTTTGGAGGAAGGTATGCACATTATGCGCAAATGCTACATCTCGAGAAGTTCTAGTTCTGTTCTGTTTGCTCATCGTCCGGGTCGATAATCCAGTTCGTATAATAGCCGAACGGTCTAGGAGTTTGGGATGCGAATGGACGCTCCCCGTGGCCTGGGTGGCATCTACATAAATACCCACCACAGTGTGAACAGGAGAGCTGCCAAGATCCCCAGCGCCCTCGCAGCAATGACGACCACCAGGGCTTTGCGTATCGCCGCGTAGTACGTACTCAAGGCGGACCCGGACCAGTTGATCCTGTGCATCACTCAGCATCAAATAGATTCACGAACATGGAGAAACCCATACCTGCGATCGTTTGTCCCACCCGACCTCACGCTCTCTTCCCATCCTCTTACGACTTCTCTGTACCTCCTTCCAAAGACCCAGATCCAAAAGTTGACATCCGGGTACGAGAACCTAGGGAACACGCTGGCCAAGCTGGGAGCAACCATCTCTACGCGTATGCCATCAACCCCAGTCTCATACGAATAAGGATGTGGGAGGGGAATGGTCTGTGAAAAGAAGGCAGCCTTCTTCCCAACCGTTATGCGACCGTTGGACAGGGAGTTGTCGTTGTAGGAAGGAGAAACAGAAGGTGTCGGGTAGGGGAGGATCATGTAGGACATGAGATCGAGAACCATGCCGAGGGACAATCCCCAGAGTTTAAGCTGGGGTCGTGGGTTGCGATGTCTCATCATCCCCTTCTCCACCACATCTTGCGACGGGGATTTACCATTTCCATTTTCATGCATGTTTCCATTGCTGGAAGGAGTCGAAGAGATGGATTCGCCGGGTTCAATGATGACCGAGGGGAATTCCATGCTTCCCACCAAGCATCTCATCAAGATCCTCAGCATGCTAGAATGCTTGCTCGCCAGCCTCGAAGCTGCATCTACAGTCACAGTGCTCCATCTCGGTGGGTCCTCTTTGGATACTAATGACTCTAGTGGTGTCCAATGCAAAGTGGTGTTTGGTGCAGGGTCGGGTGGCGGAGGGGATAACGATGACGCGGGATGAGATGGCGGGAGGGAAGGTGACAGTTGCAAGAAGACATGGGGAGAAAGGATCATGAGGAGTCGTTTCCCAAGCGACGTCGTGATTTCGCGGTCGTCGAGCTGTCCTACACAAGCGTAGTGTTTCTCCGCGAGGTCAATGCCTATCTCTTCCCAGGTTTGCCGCATAGCTGGAGACCAAGGTGGAGGGGTTCAGCACTGAGCAGAGGATTGACGCATATATGAACGCACCTGTGTAGAGTCCACCTTCGTCCCCTTCCTCTGTCCGCCCTCCGGGAAACGCTACATGTTTCTCAACACTAGTCTTGACCTTCCTGGAGCTCCTAACTCTCTCGTTTGTTGACTCATTCACAGCCGTGTTCTCCCTCTCTAGAAACAGGATTTCGGGAGAGGCTTTGGGGTCATTGACCCATTCAAGATCAAAAAACTCGGAGAGTGTCGTTGGTGCAGTCGACGAGCCCGGCTGCGGAGCAGGGAAAGAAGCATCGGGCGAAGGGACCACACGGATTATGATAGCAACTGCTGCGCGTCGGGGCTCTATATGCGCGAGATATAATCAGTTTCCATACATATTTCAGCGTAAATGATGCATACGAGTTGGTGGAGATGCAATTATTCGTGGAGGCGTCGAACGGATTCGGTGCAAAGCCCGCGATACCAGCGGAATGATAGACGTGGGTTTCTCTGTCACAGCGAAGGATCAATACTCGGTCCAGCTAGATCTCTGGCATCAAACTCACCTTGGGGCGACGAGGAGGACATGAGGGTTCGTAATGGGGAGGAGAGACCCTGGCTGTTTTCTCCCCAACAAGTTGTGTCGGGCTATTTTCAGCCATGGGACGTCGCGTGCCGACTGTCTCCACTTAGGCGCCTAATCCAGCCAATCGGATGTCCCGCCACAAGGCTAATTTACGGATGCCGGGGGTTCGAGGGCAGGATGATTCGGACATGATGGGTTTCTGTCATCATGGATACCAGTCTGGCCCATGTGCCTGGGCAAAACGGTGTACAAAGCGCAGAATAACCTGCAGTAATTTGCAGGGCAAAGTAACAGAGACTGAGGCCGGGATGCGGGGTCCTGGGGTATTGCAAATCGGAAACTAAGCGGAGACGGCACAAGTCAGGGTATTTGAAGTTGGATTTCAGGTAGCCCGCACTTTGAGGCCTATCGTCGCGCTTACATCGCACTAGGGCCAATAGGGCAGGCACTGGCGCTTTGATTTTGGAATTGCTTGGGAATTGTGGACGGAATTGAAGCGACAGGTGGCGTGTACCCGCGTATCCGAATGCACAATCCATGTCATATAAAGTTCGTACGTCTACACTATCTGTCTTCATTTATTTCGTAATCGTTCCCCCCAGCTTACAAAGGCAATCCGCAGACCTCACAATCTCTGCCGCTGTGTTCGTTTTCAAAGGTACAGTGAGGGCAGATTCGTAGGCCGCTGGAACCCGATCCCGAGGGATGGGAAGCAGCTTCCTCAGCAGCAATTTGATCCAATACATCCTGAGGGATGTCATCGTTGCCGGAAGTCACCGTAGGCTGCGGAGGGCGCGACGCTGTACAAAGATCGCATGAGAAATGCACGCTGGGGGTATGAGAGGTAGACCTACGAGCACTTTCACGGACAATCGTCATGAATGTTTGCCAGCCTTCAGTGGCGAATAGTGCATCCAACGACTGGGGTTCCTCTAAAAGCCTTGGCGACGATGTTACCTGCACTAAGATCTTCATGTCCTCCTGTAGATCCTTGAGCGATCGCGAAGTCGCGAAATAATGAAGTACCATACCGCAGAGAACAGTTGGGTAGTTCCCAGGAACGCAACAAGATGCCAATCGCTCAGCCACTTCGCCAACTCAACGCGCTTGTGCAAGTCATTACTTGATCCTGGTTGCATATTCAGAGCGCCGAGATCTCTGAGGGTTTGCATGACTTGCTCGACTTGTTGCTCTTCAATCCCGTGTCGATTCTCGATGCTGAATTTTGTGGACCTGAATGATGGCGATGGGCTTTGCGGGAAACCATGAGTGACCTGATGAAAGAAAGTGAGCAATACTTTGTATATGACAATCGACGCATGAACTCACGTTGACCAGTAGATATTCGACGGGGAAACACGGTTTTGCACTCTTCTTGACCTCGAGACCATATTCATTTTTGTAAGTGAAGAACACGTCTGGAACGTATCTCGCAGATCCCTGCGTCCTGTCTTCTTCTTTTACGCGAACGATACCTGGATCCACGCTGGCCTCGATCATATCGGCCTCCACCATCGCACAAGCTTGCTCTGATACTTGATACGCAGCCACGTCCACCTGTCCGTCTTCCGTCGCAGTCAATACCGCCGTAACTAGTCTGGATTCAAACTTCCCGGTCGGTGAAGAACGCGAAAGAGTTGGGTGCTGTCTCTGCAGAGTTGCGGCGAAGATAGCCTCCAAGGAGGAGAGATAGAAGGAGTTAGCGTGTCGTTTGTAGACGTTCTTTGTGCGATCTTCTGGAGTGGGGTCCAGATCGGTGAAGATATAACCTACGATGGTTAACGGTGGTGAAGCTGATTTGGCAAGGTCGAGTATACGTGGCTCATCCTCCCAAGGCAAGCCCAGCGTAAGCCCGTCTAGTTCGCCTTGCTGTGGGGGCTCGTGGATCGCTTCGACGACGGCTTTCACACCCATAGGGACTTTATCGTACGGCTCGTACCTGCCAATCAACCATCCAAATCGCTGTAAACCTGTTTTGCGCCAAGCTTGGAGGAATCTGTCCACAATATCCATTGAGGCAATTTCCAGATGATCGACCATACGGAATGGCTGGGACTGTAATGTGATCGCCGAGGGTTGGCAACCGGTACAGATACCAGCTGGCCACGGGAGATGCCCGCCACTTGGACATGGCACTTTGACGCGATAATCAAGCGGATTTAGAGGTGGGAGGGCCATCGAGGCAGAGGTGGGATTGCCCTTTGGTGTGCGCTTGCGGAGGTAGGCGTGATATGAAAGGTGCTTTATGGCTTCGGCCTTATGATAGGCCGCGTCATACGGTTCCAGAGGCATGCAGTAGTCACACATACCCTTTGCACCGTGCTTACAGAACGTGGCATCACGTCCTCGGGGGATCATCCCATCTTTGGAGCGCCAGTATGTGTCTACGGGATCCTCCTGCACTGTTTCCCATATCCTACTTCCTTGAGCAACCGTGGTGGTGGCGGGAGGCTGAGCAGTGGATGTAGATGGCTCGGCCGTGGATGGAGTTGACGACGATTTCTCTTTGTACGAGACAAAGATCAGATCCCCATGTCTGTGGAAAGAAGTTAGATGTCTGTTCATCTATAATCCCTCGAGGAAATGAACATACTTCAGACCAAGACTCTGTAACGTTCTACCGCGGATATTAGAGACATTCTGCTCGCCCCCTCGGGGTTGATTCGACATTGTCAGTGTCGAAGGATCTGCATTTGGAGCAGTCTCTAGTATCTATACATTGGTCGCGATGAGCTTTCAGCTTTCACGATCGCAGCATAACTCGTACTTTGGACACCAGCTCTGATATATCGGCAGACGGCTGGAGATCAAACCTGAAGTTGCCATCCTTGGATCGTACTCGTACTAGCTTTTGAAAATAGTTCAATATAACTTCGAACAGAAAACATAGCACTTACCATTGTTGTGTGTGGAAGGTGAGTTTGAGTGCTTTGACTGAGATTGCGTCGAGATCTAAACGCGCGTTGGACGCGTCAGCTGAGTCAGCCTGCTTCACGATCACACTTTTTGGACAGGAGGCCCTCCTATAGTGACCGCCTAATGGTCTCTCATCTGGCCATCAACTCAGCAGAATGACACCATCGCGCCCAACGTAACTTTCAACCTCTCTCGTTGCTAAGAGGGAAGGGGAATCTCTACGCTGCTAATATCTTCCGTGACGATCATTGAGCTACGATGGCCTAGTCTTCGAGACTATTCGCCTGAGGGGTTAACGAAGGGTTTGAATGGTCTGTGAGAGGACTGACGAAGAATTTATACTTCCGACGAAGGCACGGTGTACATGTATCCTCATTTTCGCGCGGGCGAAATGGAGGATATTGAGTGAGCAGCTGGATGCCGGAATGGCGACATCAGGAAACTAAGGGATAGATGTTTGCAAAGTGATCACTACTGTAATTGTTCACATTAAAATCTACACACAAGCGCCTCGCCAGGTTACCCAAATGTATAGTCCAGACCCCTTGTTGAACGTCATTAAGGTCTATGCCGCAGAGTCCATTATGATTCTTTAGCCTTGCCCTTGCCCTTGCTAGACTGCGCTGCGGTGTCATTATCATCGCCCATATCTGATTCATCGCTATCTGATTCATCGTCTTTGTCCTGGCCCCCCGCCTCTGCGGCTTGAGGTTTGCTGCTTGCTGATGGTAACGGAGTCGAGCCTGAGGGGTCTGACTGGCCAGGTGGCGCCTGTGCTAATGCTCGACGGGCGGCGTTCATCTGTGCCACACGAGTGCCCTTCAACATGACGATCTCTTTCAGCCAGGTATTCTCCCTGCGAAGGTCGGCGGCCTCCTTCTCCAGCTCCTCCGCCCTACCAGTGAGATCGGATACCGACCGCTGGAGGTTAAGTGTGCGTTGCTTCTTCTTGATCCTGAACCGCGCTAATTAGGTGTAAGCGGACCGTCAGGAGGTATGAAGCAAGTAGTATCCTTACCTGAGGCCATGGTATTTCTCCGACGCTTGTCTTCCGCCCCCGCCGCTGCGTCGTCATTAGCAGGGGAGGCTGGGGACGGGGACGAATTAAGTGGACTATGCGAAGAAGAGGGGGCCGGCCCCTGCGCGGCGTCCGATTGGGGTTGTGAGTGGGGAAAGGGGGTAACGGGATAGTTTGAGGAGAAAGATGGCGGAAAATTTGGAAGGCTTTGGTTGTGTGGAAGATTATAAGGGGGTGGTAATGGTGGTTGGAATGGTAATTGGCTCCAGGCGACGCCTTGGGGTGGCAGATAGGGTATACTACTTGTGCCACCGGGTGGATAGTATTGTCCAGGCATACCAGTCGACGAATGGAGGTATGCCGCGTATGGATTTCCTTGAGATACTTGAAGAGCTTGCAGAAAGTTATCGTACGGGTTCTCCTGGCTGCCACTGGCTTGATGCGCTGCTGCAGAAGCAAACTGCGCAAGTAATGCGGCATCACTAATATCTGGCTGAACAAATAATTCAACGGTTGAAACCGAGGTGAACAAAGAAACACTCACTACATTGGATCCTGGTACTGGTAATCCGCGCGTCGAAGATCGCGAGCGTGATCGCCCGCGGCTTCGCCCACGACGCGCTGAACGCGAAGCCTTATTAGGATCATCTCTGTCCATATCAAAAGAAAATATTAGGCGTTCCCAGTAGTCTAACTCTGGCTGGAGTGTCCCAGGTATGCTTCCGAGGGATGATTCAGAGTCTGCGCTTGATTCACTTTTGAACGAAAGCATCGAGTTGTACACGAGGAGTGTGCAGGCCCATAAACCAGTAGGCAATGCGCGTAGAAAGGCCTGACATAGTGATTGATAGTATATTCGCCATAGCCGCACGAGATTGCGACAGCCCCAGTGTGGTATTTCACCATCTTCGATCGAACGTAAGTTGCCGAGTATTAGAACGCCGCGAAGGATAACATCGAGCTGTTTCCTGGCGTCGTCGACGCCGACCACCGCGAAAAAAAGAGAATCGGGACGTTCGATTCTGGAAGTACTTCGCCAACAACTTCCGTGGCCCTGAGGGATGGTGCACCCCATGATGACAGGAATTCCGAATTACTGACTGAGTTCTTGGCTTTCTAAACACCGAACCGGCGGCAGCTCAGAACATATTTATACCTCAGTTCGTGCCCAGCGAGGAAGCGTGAATTGGACCGCACTGCCATTGGCCATATCACATCTGAATGTCGACAATTGACGAGGACATGATTTGGCGAGGATTGAGCAGAGGGGAAGCTAGGAGTCATAATCTGTCATCAACGTTCGAAATGAGTGGATCCGATTCAAGTTAATGGCCCCGGGCGTTACCGTGTTAAGCGCTCGATTTCTCACGCTCAAGCATGTTCGCTACCGTGCAGTATCAGGCAGTATCGCATAACGAGGATGGCATCCGTGGCATAGAATTCGTCGCTGAGTTTAGTTGCTACGTCTTTTCTTCTGATTCATAAACAAGAAAATATGGTCTACAGTTCGGGCTCCTAAAGTCCCCCTGAAAACTACCACGTGATCTCTCGGTCGTTAATCGAGACTTTCCTCGTTCACTGCCACCACCTCCGGCCTTTGCAAGTCACTGAGAGTCTTAGCTGCAAAGCCACCAACATGTCTTTCGGTCGACCCCCATCCATAAACGTCGGTTTCACGCCCAACCCCCCGGATCGTGGTTCATTCCCACTCGACCACTATGGTCTGTCTTTCCAGGTAACTTTTCTTCTCATCTGACCTTCCTCTTCCTGGCACTCTTTCAGGCGAATGCAAGAACCAGATGGTCCAATACATGAAGTGTCTGAAGGCAAACGATAGCACTTCAACGGCTTGCCGGGAGCTGGGCAAGACGTATCTAGACTGTCGGATGAACAAGTAAGCTTGATAATATGTGCCCGCGCTAGGGTCGGGCTGATGAATACGCCTCGAAGGGGTCTCATGGAGCGTGACGAGTGGAACAACCTTGGTTTCGCAAATCTTCCCAACACATCGACATCCAAGGACAAGCCAGGTCCAATTGCGAAACCTTCATAATATTATTCCGTTTCACGCCGTGCTATGGCCACCCATCGAATAAACGCAAAAATCAATTGGGTATGCTCGTGAGGTCCCAGTAGTTAGCATGGCGTCAAGCAAAGACTAGGTAGTATGTAGATAAATGTCCTGTGTCAACGCACACGAGGAACGACAGTAGGGTAAATGAAAGAAGCTATATACAAAATATTTTGAAGGTAAATTCTGAGACGGTCCATAAATCGTTTGTCCTTATGAAGGGGAGGTTATCAGGCGAACGCAACCAACAGGAGTCCGGCGGCTGCTACGAATGCCAATGGCGAAGGCGCAAAGCTGACCCCAGAGTTTGTATTAGAGGCTGCACCCGTGGCAGAAGCTGAGCCCGGTGCACCAGAGGCTAGTGTCACAACCGCAGTAGCTAGAGTGACAGGCTCAGCCGGCATGGACGTGCACAATTGCAAATAACTTACTATGACCTGCGCCACCACCAATAGGGGGATTTGTTGCGTTATCGTTTGTCTCGACGTATGCGTCCCCGAGAGGTTTGTTCAAGCAAGAGATGACAGGCTCGATTCTGAAGGCAGGTTGATGCGCCAAAGCATCAGGCAAGATGTAGCCAGTTGCAACTTCGACCGATTGTTGGAAGAGGTCATGCTCCAGAACGATGAAACCGGAGTTCATGGTAGTTGCGTTACCCACGATGTCCTCCCAATTATGGAGCACTTGTTGTACGGAAGCTATTCCTCCTGCAATATTGAAGTCTGTTGAAAATGTATTAATTAACGCGACTCCGGGTATAAGGGAAGTGAGGCTTTACCATCTGTGTCGAAGGTAGCGAGCGGGGAGATACGGGTCCATAGCACGGGGGTCAGGCCCATCGCGACGGAGATAGCGCGGACGCGATCACTGGGTCAACAAGCTACGTCAGAGGCGCACCTCACGGTCGAAATCCCACTCACTCGATGTCTCCGAACGGCGGCCGCATCATGTTTGGAGTCACGCCCAAAACATCCTTGATGGCCTTCCTTGACCAGCCGAGCTCTGCGATAATTTCGTCGTTGGACAGTGTTGTCAGAGGCGGGTGGCTCCAAGTGTGAACAGCAATCTGATGGCCGGTCAAGTACTGCAGTTGGAGAGTCCGGGGGAACGAGATGACTCGACTGCCGACGACGAAGAAAGTGGACTTGAGGTTCGCCTGATCCAAGTATTGGAGGAGGTTGGACGTGTAGTTCGCGGGGCCATCGTCATACGTCAATCCCCAAGTCATTTGATCCGGGCAGTTAGTCACATCTGACTCCCTCGTGCAACCACCGCATGTCCACCAGCACCGTGAAGCATCGGCCACGGGCCCCGGATTGGCAGGACAACCACCCGCGACGGTTGGCTCAAAGCCGGGGATGGTTATGCCCGAATTCGCTACCTCCTGTTTCCATTGCTGCACTTCGGGACTATCAACTGGAGGCGGCCGATCAAGAGGAGGGTAGGCGGCAGGGTTCAGCGTCGCAGCTAGAAATAAATGATAAATGTAATTCGGGTCATCAGAAAATTGAGATCAGCTATAAATAACATACGATCTGGCAAAGGGGGTGCATTGGGAATGGACGAGGGTGTAGCACCAGGAGATGCTGTGGAGGCCAGTGGTTGAGTCGCTGAGAGGGGAGCACCCGACACGATTTCAGAAAGCGGGGCCGCCGTGGGGTTAGTAGACTGCAGCGAGAACGAGAAGGTAGTGGCTGGGGGTGGGAGGGCGGAAGTTACCGCTCCTGAACTCGTTGGCGCAGCAGAACCGACAGCAGAACCAACAGACGACTGTGCAGACGGAGCAGACGATGGCGGAGAGGATTGGGCTCGTACGGTCAAAAGATTGACATAGGCAAGGGCAAGGACAAGGTAGAACATGTTGGTGGTGAAGAAGAAACAAATCCAAAGACCTATATTTAGAGCAGCCGTGTTGCAACGCTTCTATACTTTTCTCTTCTTCGTTCTCGGCTTCTCCAAATCAATCTCTTCGGCATCGTCGTCCTCGCTGTCCTCATCCTCGCTGTCATCCTCCTGACCCTCTGCTGTGCCCAAGAAATACTCGATCGCTTCTGGGAATATCTCATTCGCTATGACCATCCCAGTCTCAAAGGAGTCCTCTTCGTGCTCGAAGTAGTTGAAGAAGCTGCCGGGGTCGGCTGGGATATCATCATCTTCGTCTTTCTCACGAGGATATAACTTGGTCAAATTTTTGGAATCATCCTTCCAGTTGATCTTAATGGCCTGTGTGGGAAGAGTGGAGCATTCTAGGATCAATGTCACGAACAACGTTCCTGCAGCATGGTGAACGCACAGAAATGGAGACATCACGCTGCCATGAGAAGTCCAGGCTAGACTCGGTGATGCCATCTTCATCAGGCGTTTCGTCCGCCGCCGCGGGTGGTGGCACATATTTGTATTCCTTCTTCAGCACAGAGTCACTGAAATAAGGATTTTCCTTGAAATACTGGATAATGGTTCAGCATGATCGTAGTCAACAGGCAGCAATAAATAACCTACAAACTCAATGGTGTAACAACGAGGCTCAGCCTTGTCTCTCTCAACCCACAGATCCTCCAAGTAGCTCAATGCGAGCTGATCGGCGCTGTGTTGGATGTGGACAGCAACCATTTCGTTGTTCATGAGCGCGACCGGCCAAAATTTGGGGATGGACTTGACGATTTCGCGACGCTTGGCGTAAGCCGCGCTAAGTTTTTGCTGAGCCACGCGCTCTAAATTACGCGTTGTCAAATTCACCCTACTAAGGACGCGTTGAAACTGCTCACCAAGGGCCAGTTCAGTCCTGGCGAGGGATTTCTGCATGACAGTCAATTTTTTGGCATCCTCATCGCTGAGCTCAACGTCCTGTAGAGGGCCACCCTTCTCCTCGTCGGCGCCGGAAGAATCGCGCTTGATACCAGCCATGCCGTCTATGGGCGAAGTTTTGAGTTTGCTGGTCGGTGGTAGTACACTGGTACAGTGGAATAGATATGATAAGAGGCTATGGGAAGACGAAATGGAAGTGCAGTGGCCCCAGTCGCAGCGCTAGACAGCTTGCGAAAAATTCAGATTACGTAAACAAATGATCGTGACCGTGCCACCCAAGGCGCGGCGTTGTATTCCTCAGCCAGTGACTGCAAAGCCAACATGCTACTAAGGCGTCCAATAGTCTGTAGGCCTGAAGGACCTGCCCGCAAGCAAACTGACCTGACACTAGTGGCAAACCGTATACACTCCTCTACAACAAGTCAAGGTCATAATTACGCTCATTAATGCAATATGAAACAGAGATGGTACCCATATAATTAAGAAGAAACGATATGCGGACTCCCAGCGCAGGCGAAGCGCACCCGGACTTCGAATAATCGAAGTCCGGGTACGCTCTATTACGCTTTGCCCAAGCTGGGGACCCAAATGGGCCACTTAAACTCAGTCTACGCGCTTCCTCATCGTTCCCATCTCAATCTCTTCGCCTCCATTCAAGCCGCCCCTTCCCCTCGTAGGAATCTTGTCGCCATTCTTGACGCGGATGGGCCACCCTTTGATGCCCTTGCCGTTGTCGGCAGATCGATAGCCTGGGCCATTGTACCAGATGACATCGGTGGGCGGAAGCAGGCGGGGCCACGAAACGTAGTCGATGCCGTAAAGGACAATGAAGATGAGCGCGGCAGATAGAACGGAGATCCAGATGATGAAGTAGTAGGCTAGATTGTAGTCTGTGGGGAGTGTTAGATTAGATTAGAGATATTTTGAGATATCGGACAGAGTTGACGTATCACGGACCTGAGGTTCTAGGCAGTGTCAGGCCAGCACAGATCATGAACAACGCAAAGTAGGCTACCACGGGCATCTGAGAACCAGAACATGAGCACCTGAATGGTGATGCATAGGTGAATAAAGCGAATAGTCTCACCGATCGCGTTACCAGCGGCCTGGAATCCGTGATGAGGTGCAATGCGAGGGAGGGGTTCTTCCGTGGTATCCATGCACCCGTGACTAGGTCAAAGCCGTCTTGTCGCGGCCCATCGAACATGTTGTTCTTCAGGTATCGGAGAACCGACTTGACACCGTCTTCCAGCAAACCCTTCTTTGTACGTTTGTTGGTTCGGGTGAAATCAGACTTCAAAGCTCCCGATCCGCCATACGCTTTGGAAATCAAGTCTGCGTGATCGGCCCACACTGCAAATTCGTTGAGCTATATGAATTATAAGCCACGGGTGACTGGACGCACTTTCTCTAAATTCTTTGCTCAGTGTCTCGTAGTCATCGACGCCCTCGGACTCCTGGATTATCCCTAAAGTGCGAAGCTGCTGGGCCAGGACCCGCTTGGCTAAAGTGGCCTGGACTACATTGGTGCGATCCAGATTGTCCATGCAGTTCGTGCGGACGATGCCTTCTTGGACTTTGATAGGTTTCGAATCTGCCAAATAGAAATACCTTCGTAACTAGCGTCAGAATATATCCCTCTGGATAATACTGTGACGCACCCTTGTCGATCGAGGTCCTCTTGCAACCTTTCAATCAATACACTTATGCGATCCCAACGCATGTGCTTGCACTCCGTGTGGAAGTCGAAGTACTCATACTTCACCTTCGGGAGATTCAACTAAAGGAAGAGTCAACAGGCGGCGACATGCATACGGTAACGAATGACAAACCTCTGAAAGGTAGCGCTCGTAGGCTTCCTTGACGGGCTTTTCGTGACCTTTCTGGTTGATGAGGTTAACCAGCGCCTGTTCCCCATATAACGCGACTTGCTCCTGGAGGTGCAGCCGCATAACATCAAGCTAATATGACAAGTGACTCATTGAGCAAACTATTGAGCCAACAGTAGGAGAGGTTAAGCTCACAGTATCATGAAGGTCCATGATCTGCAGGTCTGGTTTATACCTCAGGGTGTTGACCTCGGCCCAGTACATCGGAATACTTCCACGAATCTGCACGAAGCTCATTTTATACGCGTATTCGTCAGGAGTGCGCGTTGCCGAGGGCGGACCTTCAACGAGAAGAAGCTGCTCAGTCTCGTTGAAGTTGGCGACATGGCCGTCCTGGTCAATTCCACGGCGGAAGTAGCGCGTCCCTGCGCGGAATCTCGAGCGTCTTGAGATAAGGCAAATTTGGAAGTGACGCCCGTTGAGGAAGACGGAGCGAATGTCGAATGCTTGTTGGATATGAGATGAAAGTAGTTGGCTCTAAGGAAGAACTGCGACTTACTGCCATACATGACAGGCAGGATGAAAGGGCTCAGCTATAATCATCTCTTAGCATGGATAGAGGTAGGTGCAGGAGAAGTGCTCACATCTTGTTTCGCCGTTGACGCATCAATAAGTCGTGTTTGCATGTACCTGGAACCATGATAAGAAACGAACTACGAACGTGCGACACACGACCCACCGATTCCAGAAGAAACGGTTGTCGGCCTGCATCCAGTCAGCTCTGTGGTGTCCCAAGGGACATACAAGACGTACAGTTTCCCAAATTGCCTTTGTTGCATCTTCCTCTTGAGCAAACCATTGCGCTTGCAGCCTCCGCGTGATATCCCATTCGTAGCTGAAGAGGAAATGTCCGCCGTGCCAATGCGAGCGCACAAGGGCTATCAAGTGACTTTCGACGGGATGAGGCGGGTTGATGACGGAAATGTTGGGATTCAGAGGTAGAACATCGAAGTCCGTCGCGCGGTATACTTCGTGGCCCATGAGGTGGCCGCGCAGCTCACGGCCAGTTGCAACAACGACATAGTCCGCTAAATTGGTGCAAAGGAAAATTCAGACGAGTTCTAGAGCATGGAACGTCAGACGCACATAGCGATAATGATATTATGCCGATGATTCCGTATATTGTTTTATGGTACCTTTGAGCAGAGGAGGGTATAGTGGTATTGGGTTCTGCATTTCTTCATTTAGTAAATGGCATTGCGTTCAGTAAGTGGCAGTTACATACGGTCCAGATAAATCTCGCCCGTGGCTCGTTGAATTGTCAGCGAATGGGCACCCGCTGACCCGGTTGGAATGAACGTGTAGGCTTCGTCGCCATCTATATACCTGAGAGACGGAGTCAGTAAAAAATAGCTGTATTCGCCGGCCACGGTCGTACAGATTCAGGCTTTGGTGGATGGGCTTCATGGTGGACGTCCAATGCAAGGGGAGGCAACGCGACGGACGGACGTGAAGAGTTTGACACGAAAAATAAGCGCCAGCGCCTTGCCTTGAGTTCGTGCACGATCTTTACTGTTACTGTTACGGCCACAATTGGTGGTCTCCGACGATGAAGCTTACGCCCGAGCTCCTGGCACAGGCCCAGTCGGCTCTCAACCCAATCAAGGAACGGCAGCTCGACCTGCGAGGTGAGCACACCCCCAGTTCGCCGCCCAATCGCACTCATCAACCTGAGAGCAGGTTACAAAATACCCACCATCGAAAATCTTGGTGTCACCAGAGTACGTGCACGTCGCGCCATTTGCAGTGCTGAACCTGACGGAGTGGCCTAGGATCAACACGATGCTATAGATCTCACGGATAATGCCATTAATGTTTTGGGCAATCTCCCATTGCTCAAGCGACTTCAAACTCTGCTGCTCGCCAACAACCGAATAGCAGCAATCTCACCTTCACTCCATCTTTCTGTCCCAAACCTCACCACTCTCGTTCTCACCAACAACAACATCACTGAACTAGGAGACCTCGAACCGCTGAAGGATACCAGGAATCTTCAGTATCTGTCCCTGCTGGGCAATCCCGTCAGGGAGAAAAAATGGTATCGCGAGTGGCTTGTGTGGAGAATACCTGGACTAAGAGTTTTGGATTTCCAGAGAATCCGGGACAAGGTGCGTCCCTCCTTCGATGCGCGCCTCGGTCTGGTCTGGAGAGCTGAAAACATGTTTGGCACGCGCAGGAACGTAAAACTGCAAAGACACTCTTCCTGACGGCCGATAACTTACCAACGGCGTTGGCGACGACGTTATCCACCACCGTCTCGACGCATTCCTCAAAGACCACGCTTACGATCGACGAACCGAAAGCTGCAATGCAAACCGGCAAAGCTGGCCGACTCATGTCGAAAGAGGATGCAGAGAAGGTCAAGGCAGCTATAGCAAAGGCCACATCCGTCGAAGAAATACGGAAGCTGGAGCGAAGTCTGCGGGAAGGCTACATGCCGGAGATGGAGTCTGTAGGGGCATAGGCTTTGCGAACACTGTAAATGTAACAAACTGTGTAACGCGTCTCAGCCTCTCGGGTTTAGTGTTGATGATACTATGTCTAGATTGACACCACAAAAGTTCATTCACAACGATATATTTCATGAAAGCTGTTAGAACATCATCTCTAGAAAGAGCGCTGCATTGCATCGCACTACGTCTAGTATCCTTTGACACCGGCGTTGCCGATCCACAATCCGTGGAAGCCCAGCGCGATGACGGCGGAAAGATTGAGCAATGAGCTCACGCCATGCAGGATTCCGAAACGCCGGTTCAGCGCCTTCATCGCAGGAGAAACCTATAGTTTCCAATCAGCACCAACATTTTGTGAATGAGAGCTCATTACGCACCCCAGCGTCACTGTAGACCTTGCCTTCCTCCTTCTCCAACCTCTGTCTCTGGAACATGGTCCTAAGGGAAGAGGTGTAGTTGTAGCTCATGGAGGCGTGGTAAGAGCGATCCAGGACTCACTTGCTCGTCAAAGGGCCAATGACAAACTTGTTGGCACTCTGGAAGAGGATCACTGAGCCCAAAGCGTAGGCTTGGGCGACATCAGCGACGTTTGGTCGGGAGATGTATGTCAGGACGTCCGGGTGCGTAGATACCCATCGGGTGAGCAAGAACGAGGACAGGGCAATCGACTGGAGGAAGTAGATCGGGAAGGTCTTGTGCTGGAGAGCACCGAAATACTGTCGAGCTACAAGAGCGATGAATACGAAGAGTTCAGCAAGCACAAAGTAGCTGATACGCACGAAGGGCTTTGAAGGCAATAACTCCTGTTATCGATACGCGCATTCAGTACGGCCCAGCTAATCATCCGTCGAGCAACGCACCTCCAAAGAAAGTGACCCAGACCGCTGCCGGGGAACATCATTAGACAGGACGGAAGGAGAGCGGAGCTCAGCGACTCACACGTTCCGAAGAGCCAGCCATATGCAACCACATACAAGCTATTCGGAGAAATAGCAAGACTAGCCAACGACGATAGTGTCAATATCTCAATCTTAGCCATGGATGGTGGTGGTAAATCGTCAAGAGACTCGAGGAGTTGGAACTCGACCGTGGGTTGCGGAGCGCTGACTACTACCGCTTCGTGTCATCAAATCCACGGAATGCCACTGGGGGTCTGGGTCACGCAAAGGTGCTTGAGAAAAGGCCGCGATAAGTCTACGGAGTATCGGTGGATTATACAGCCCAAGTCTATGCTAATTAACCAACACCCTATCCAATGACAAGCTTTCCTTCCAACTCGTTGAATTCGTAGGCAGGAACTTCCAAGTTCAACTACGAAACAGCGTGAGATGTAGAGCGGAATACCCAGCAGGTAACTTACAGGAGCGGGGCCCTTACGGATACGTCCCGAAATATCGTAGTGAGAACCGTGGCAAGGGCAGAACCTTCGGTAGCATAGCGTTTTTAGTATCGAATACACGAAATAGGTTTCCAAGAACTCACCATCCTCCATAGTCACCTGCCTCGCCAATGGGTACACAACCAAGATGGGTGCAGACACCCAGCATGACCAGCCACTCGGGCTTCTTCGTTCGCTCTTCGTCACTCTGCGGGTCTCTGAAGGCCTTCCATTCCGATGTGCGGGCCTCTTCAACCTCTGCTTGAGTCCTGTGTCGGATGAACACGGGCTTGCCGCGCCATTTGATGATGACGTTCTTCCCCTCAGGGATGTTGCCCAGCTCCACCTCGACTTTAGCCAAGGCAAGAACATCAGCAGAGGCCGACATGGTCTTGAGGAACTCCGTGACGGTGGACTTTGCAACGGAAGCGGAGAGGAGGCCTAACGAGCCGACCATGAAATACGAGAATGCACGGTTGTTCGACGTGTTGTCTGCGCGGTACGGAGAGAAATCGGGCACATCCGAAGCGTCTTTGACAACGGCGGAGGTGTGGATGAGACGAGGGGTGTAGTGGGTGGTGGTCGGCGCTATACGGCGAAAATTGTCACCTCCTCCGTTCCAAACTCGACTACGATTCTGTACATACCATTGGCAAAGGTTTTGGAAACAATGCCTATGGGCGAATTGCGGGAGACCCCACTGGCGAAGCGTGCGGGTGCGTCCGAACGAGCTGCAGAGCCATGGCCGTGCTCCGCACTGAGGTCGCGCGCCGCAAGGTTGAGCAGAGGAGCCACTGGGACTCCTGAAGAAAGGGTGCGGACGGTGGGCGCAATGGTGACCGCCTTTTTCACGGCGCGAACGGAGGCCATAGTATTAGTGCGAAGGTAAAGTGGTGTTGGTGTAAATCCAGTCCCTCTGACTGGCGGACGGCGCCGTGCTATATCCGGTCTTTCCCGTCCCGCCCCTTATTTTCGGGTTAGGGTTTAGCTTACTTCCTCAAGCCTCAGTAAGTTTCGACAATCAAAAAATGTATTTGTACAGAACTCAAGATCATATCATAGAGCATTTCGTACTACCAATTCTTCGTGTGCGCCGCCAGGCAGGCAAGCACCTTCTCTTGTGAGAATTTGGGTGCAACTTTGAGACCCTGTTGTTGTGCCCACCGTCGAACGCCATCAGGGAAGTCCGTGATGATCCCATCGACACCCATCTTCACCAACCGCTCCACAAGGTTCAAGGAATCGACCTATAGAGACATAAGCCCCTTCTCAGTCCACTGGCCACCAATTACTGCAGCTGAGTTGCTGCAATCAACGCACCGTCCAAGGCTTGATAGTCAGCCCGAGCTTATGTGCTTCGTCTATCATGGTTTGGTCGGTGAAGGCGACAAAGCCGGGTCGGGCAGGGTCCCCGGGGCTGCCTGCTGCCGTCGCGGAAGACGAGACGATGCCGGCACCGATTGAGTGCGCTGCTTGGGATACTTGGGCGCCGACAGAAGGACCGGGGAAGGAGTCCAGTCTGAGACCGGCTAACCACGGTGAAGTCGTGTTGTTAGGCCCGAATGCGGTGGTGCTGGAGAAATAACCGTCAGTTCGACGCGTTCGCTGGTAGCTAAAGGAAATGGACGCACTCCTGGATCAAGGCCGAGGTCACGAAGCTTGGGTCGAGTTTCTGTTCAGGATTTTCAGACATCAGACAAATCGTTACAAATGCTGCGAGCCAATGATTACCTTCATTGCAATTAGAGATCTCCAGTCGAAGCTTTGGAACTGAATCCTGCATCAGCAATGCACCCACCAATACACTCGGGTCCGTTATCTTACCGTAATGGAGCGACGGTACGGGCTGGCGACGAACAAAGCGTGCTGCCTTTGCACAAAGTCCTGAACGCCTCGCGTCAGATTCGGGAACTGCGCATCAATCTTCGACTCTATGTTCCACAGAATCTTGTGCTGAGGGTCAGCGCATTCCACGAAGTCAAACGTCTCCTTGAGGGTGGAAATACGTGTCTTCGGGTAGGTTAATTGGAAAGCTGGATAAATAAAGAGTCAATCTAATAATAAGCTGTTTGTAATTGATGGTGTGACATACGGAAGTCGACGAGGCGCTCTGAACCACAATCGAGTGTCTTGACTTGCGCGAGCGTAAGGTTGGCGATGAACTTCCCGACATAAGGGAATAAGGGGTCCCCAGGAAACTAGCCAACTGCGTTAACGTCGACACAATCAAACTGAAATCGTCCTGCATACCGCAGGCTTGGTATCAACACACTTGGCTGGCTCGATATCCTCGTCGTGCCACACGACAACAACACCATCCTATGACATTATCTATCAGCCAACTGTCAATCTGGAAGTAATCAACATTTACCTTGGTGACCCCGTTGTCGAGCTCCAAGGTCTCAGCACCGTTGATGAGTCCCCTGCACGCGTTCAGATCATCATTGGTTTGTTCCCTAGCCGTCGGACATACCAGGCGAAACTTGGTAGGGTGTTCTCAACAGTGTTTCCTCTCCCACCGCGATGCCCCTTCGGAAAATCACGAAGTTAATGATCATTCTGTGATGGCTGAAAGTGTACATCGTCCTTACTTGTATGTCAACATGTCTGTGGTGGGTGGAGGGGGCGGCGGAGACCCACTGCGAAGATGCGAACGCAACGATGAACCCCAGAAGAGTTGACCAGATCATGATCTTGGAACGAGGGTACTCGAGGGAGCAAAGAAGTTGATTTGGACATCGAGGGCTTTTATACTCGTACTGTACAGCGAATTATAGCCCGACGACGGCCACCGTTCCTTTCAGAACCGTGGTGGTGTGATCGAAGCGTGGAGGATGAAATCCGAAATAGTCAAGCGAACTCCCATGAAGAACGAACCATGTGGCGGCGATATCCTTAAGTTGATGTTAGCGACCCCGGCTTGCAGCTATACCTACGAGACCCCAGTTGAAGCGTAGCGCTGCTGCAAAGGCTGCATTTAATCTTGGATAACATGAACCCAAGTACGAGCACTGAGAAATGGATATCGAGATTCGAGAGGCCGACTATCTATGACCATACCCACATCAACGCCAATGGTGCACGCGCTACGGGACGAACGTGCACGCCGAGGAATTCAATCAACGGACTCGGCAGTCACACGAGTTAAATTCACCTTCAGGGGAACGATAGGAGCCTCCTGTCCATTACTTGCCAGCTATCCCTTCATGTCGCCCAAAGTAACATCGCCTAGCGTCCCTCCAGAAATACTGCATTTACCACCAACTACCGGTCCTATCAACCACTCAACTACCTCGACTACTGGGAGCTTTGGCACCACCCTCAGACCCCCAGTAACGATACACCTCAGGCCCCTCACAATGGGGAACCATCCACAATCTTGAAGAAGACATATGCACGACGAGGAATCCGACCAACAGACTCGGAGTTGAATTGACTCCTGTGAGACGACAGGAGCCTCCTACCTGTCGCAACTGCCGAAGATGCACCGCTCTCTCACATATACTGAAGAACAATCTGCGCAACGATGGACTAAAGAGTGCACTCGGAGAGAACTAACGACAATGATGATACAAAACGTAGCAACAATCAGCAAAAGAGCCACCTGCATCGTCCGCCAGATGGAACTTTGTTGAGGTTTGTTCTTGCATGCAGCCTATAAATAGACGCAGGCATAAATAGATGGTCGGGCGTTCCTCACGTTTCTTTCAAACGGCCAACACGAACCGTGTTTTTTCGACATTTTTCTTTTCAGACGATACCCGCCATGAAATTCGCAACAACCACACTCCTTTTTGCCCCTTTGCTCGTTGCTGCCCACAGTGCCCACGAGGATCTGCGCTTGGCCCGCCACGCCAAGATTGCTCGCCAAGCACCCACCCCTGCATCTGCCCCGCCGCCGAGCCCACCAGCGACCACAACCCCGCCGGTAGTAGCACCCCCTCCACCCGCGGTGTCGCTCTTGTCGACGAACCCAACAGCCGTACCACTTACGCAGATCGTCTCGGGACAACCGTCACCCGCTACCGTCCCACTTGCCACGACTTATACTGCAGGCACTGTACCCTCCGGCTTGCCTGAGGCGCCTGGCCTACCCAGTCGTAAGTGATCATAATTGATATTTGGTGGATCTGGCATTGACCGGCCTATCAGTCTCTTCAATCGTTCCCTCCAACTACCCCCCGCTCGACAAGCTTCCACCTACTGACAGTCCTGAGGTCAAGGCATGGATCGCAGAAGTAGCTGCATCTGGCATCCAAATTCCCAATATCCTGCCTACCCTCCCTGGTGGATGCGGTGCGAACGCTCAGGCGGCTTCGAATGCCACCAACTGCTGGTGGACCTGTGGAGGTTGCACGCGGGATGATGACATTACCAGTTGCCCTGACAAGATGACTTGGGGACTGACCTACGATGATGGACCCGCATTCTACACCCCAAACCTACTCCAATACCTCGCTGAACAAAAGATCAAATCGACGTTCTTCACCGTTGGCTCCCGCGTAATATCGGCCCCCGCAACACTTCAAGCTATGCATATCGAAGGTCACCAAATTTCAGCACACACGTGGGCCCATCCCCCGCTGACGACGTTGACCAACGACGAGATCATTGCCGAGCTCGGTTGGTCAAGAAAGGCCATCAAGGATGTGTTAGGCGTGACTCCCAATACGTTCAGGCCACCTTATGGCGACATCGAGTCAGTATCCCTTCTTGTATGGCTCCACGCGTTCACTGACCTTCTGCAGCGACCGTGTCCGCGCTATCGCCAAGGCCATGGGAATGGTTCCTGTCCTCTGGACGCGCATCGGTCCTTACGCAACGTTTGATACTGATGGTTAGAATTCCCGGGTTTCCTCCGTAGACCTAAGCTCATGAGTGTCACTAGACTTCAACATCAATGGAGGAATTACCACTGTGCAACAAGTCTTGGTCAACTGGAAGAACATTCTTGGAAACGCTACCACGATGAATACTGGTTTCATCGTCCTTGAGCACGACCTATTCCCCCAAGCTGTCGAGGCTGCCACAGGCTACATCCTCCCTGATGCCATTGCGCACCAACCGCCGTTCAAGATTGAGCCTGTCATCACTTGCTTGAACAAGCCACTGAGAGACGCGTATGTGGAGACGAACGACAACAAGACGAATCCGCCGGTTGCTTCTGGTGAGTTTTTCCATTCAAGCCGTGTCTCTGCTGGCATTATATACCTGGCCGTCTATTTCTGCTCCACTTCTTGAGAATTGAAGTTCCAGAATCTGATATATTTGTACTTCTATAGGAGGTGCCGTAGCGACCTTATCGTCCGGCGCTCCCGGCTCAGCTCAAGTCACTGGCGCGGCGGATACGGTGAAAGGTTCCAGTGGCACGAATTCTGCCACTGGTGTCTTTACCCCCTTGGGTGTTATTGCTGCCATCACTGCAGTAACTGGTTTCTTCGTTCAAGTCGCTCTGTAACTCACCCCTCCCGATGCTTCGTTCTTTCCCACGGGAGAACTTCTTTCGCGGCCGTTCATACCACACGTTACAATGTTCCATCACATCTTTGTCCACGTCGGCAGTCGGCAGACAATTCTCACACAGCAACATAACATCAAGGACCCCCGCCTTTGTACAAGGCTTCCATGTATCCCATGCCCCCACTCGTTTTGTCATATGCCTGGCCGTTTTCTTATTAAATTACTACTATATATACCTTCACCTTCGTCATTCTTTCTTTGTTACGCTCACTAGACAGGTTGAATGCGTGGTCATCACATACGAGAGGGTATAGCCGGTGACTGGTGCATACGGCCGTACTCTCTGCACAAGTTGGTTCGCAAGTATATGCATCTTAGATATACTTACCACTGTTATGCGTAATGTACCCTCTAAACCGCCCTAATCAACAAATTTCGTTGCTACATCCGAGTACTGACTCACATCGACGTTCGCGTGCCAAGGCGTTGATTTGTTAGTGTCAACGCACGAAAACCTGCTCCCTTGACACGGCGATGAGAACGAATGACTCTCTCGCAGCTGTGTACAATGTTTCAATAACGATAGCGATGCTACTAAATAAATACACAAATAGATGTCCATCGATGATATCAGTCCGACATTCTACATTCGTCCTTTACTTGCGGTATCATTCAGGGGATCTTCCTCTACCAGAGTCTTCGTCTCGTCCTTCACGCTCATCCCATCCCCCAACTTCAACACGATCTCCTCGTTCACCCCAATCAACGAGAAGTCTACACCATGACGAACAGTCGGCATAGGCTCGCCGTAGGAGTACGGAAACAGGGAATCGGCATCCGAGACATGGGTCACCGTGCTGACACCCGTGGTGCTGTAGCTGTCGGAACGGTCATGTTGGGCTTGACCTCTGAAAGGCACGTCGTCCCTCAGATTGGCGCTGCCGGACTCGATGTCCTGCTTTTTCTCGTCTTCTGCTGGCGTGGGTTTGAAGGGGCCCTTGTCGGTGGCCTCCTGAGCGGGGCCTGGCGGTCCTCTGTGCCCAACGATGCCGACACCAGGAAGGAAGATAAGCGCAAGAATGATTGCTGCGATCACATAGAGGCGGCGAACATCAATATTTGGGCGTGCGTATGTGTATGAAGAGCGACTGACCTAGACAACCAAAAGCAAAGGCGCACCACTGGGCGGCACGGTATCCTGCTAGCATGGCCGGGCGAGGTGCGTTGCTAGCCATTGGGTTTAGCCTCCATCGCATCTCCCTCGATCGCTGTTGGACGACGCGATTGTAGACAATAGTTGTAATTGGTACCCCAAGTGTGGTGCCCAACTAGAACGCATCAGTTAGCTTGTTCCACTATAGCCTTTAGTCACAGCGTTTCAAGCTAGTATAGGGACGTCATCTCGTTAGGTAGTCCGATCGAGAACACCATACTAGCGCCGGCCCGCCCGGGGCTGAGCAAAGGAAATGGTGTCTACTCACCTGAGTCATCGTCTGCATCACCCCGCCAGCTAGACTCTGCTCGTGCTGAGCGACTGTTTTCGCGACGAACAATGTGCCCGAGGAAAACACGAAGTCGGCGCCCCAGACTGAGAAGATGGTCGCGGGAAACCCGAAGGCCCAGTACGGTGCAGTGGGATCAATCATTGCAAAAAGGAGAGCTGCCGTGCTGGTGATAGCGGCCCCCGCAGCTGAGATGTTTCCATGGTAAGTAAAACAAGGAGACGGGGAGGATATAGGCAGCGAATTTACCGACGATATAGACAATAGGTACGCGGCTGATGACTTGGGCCATGAAGAAGTTGCACAGAATACCCATGATGAACATGGGCAGTACGCGGACCATGGTTTCGACGGGTGACAGCCTTTCATAATTCTGGTAATAGAGCTATCGCAAACTTGAGGTTCGTTTCAAGAGGCGGACAACAGGGATACGTACCTGAACCCAGTATTGCCACGAGCGGAAGACGCAGAATGTCAACGCCGCTATCCACAGGACAGCTGCCAGCCGTCCTTTGGCTCGCGTCCAGAAGGACACCTTCATGAGAGGCGGCGGCGTAAGCCACGATCGTGGGTAGTTAAGATCATTCTGTATTCTCTCCAACCGTGCTTGCCACATGAAGAAGGTTACCATGAAAATTACCCCGAATATCATGAGGACAATTATATCTATGAGTGAGGTGTAAGTAGCGGGGGAGGGGGCGGCGAAGGGGCGGCGCACACGGAGTTGCCCATTGTTTGGGAGCTGCCTCGCCTTGGCTGAGTACAACCGTTAAGAGGGTCAGGCCGGAGGTAACAAGGAAAGCTCCAATCCAATCCACCCGTCCATTCTTTTCGGTCGTCGGCTTGTCCGCGTCGATGAAGAAATACCCCCCGACAATGCAAATACATGAGATGCCAGCGAATACGAAGAAGCTAGATCTCCACCCGGCACTGATGGTCGTCGTTACGGCAAGTCGATAGAGCGAAGAACGGCGTGGCTTACGGGGAGAACTCCGTCAGAACACCGCCTAGAGTCATACCCAAACCACCGCCAAGAGGGTTCCCTGTCGAGAAGGTCGTAAATGCGAGAGCGCGAGCCTTTGATGGAGGGAATGAATGGGCCAAGATCCCCAGCTAGCGAAACGCTTGAGTGCCAAGGCCGCCAGAATATGAAGTAACTTGCCGCTGCAGGGATCGTCGCCGCAGCACCGATGCCTTGAAAGGCTCGAAGGACGAACATGCTTTCCTTCGTTTGGACCAACCCACAGGCTATGGTGAATATGATGGAGAATGCGGAGCCCGCCATAAAGACACGCTTTCTTCCATATAGATCTGCTATTCGCCCGATCATCAGTAAGAAACATCCCTTCGGTGAAGTCAGCACTAGGGGGGATATGAGACACTGAGTTGACTCACTGATGTGAGAGCATAGGCGGTCATCACCCATTGCAGTTCATCCAGTGGTACAGAAAGGTCTTTGGAAATAGCGGGTAGCGCAATAGATACATACGCGAGGTTGGCAGACTACGGAATGATCTTAGGAAAGAAACGCGGCGGCTATAGTGGCTACCACTCACGTTGATGACCATGGCGGCGGTACATGTCATGACCAGACATATGGCCGACCATCTACTCCTCCCGTTTGCATCCCTCTTTGGCACTTCTACACGGACGTTGAAAACCTCCACAACGGCGTCAGAAGCTACCGAGCGCACAGATGGATGCCTCTCTGACATGGGGAGTCAGTGAAGAAGGAAACCGAGGAATCACTAGGTCATTCATGGTCCATATTATATCGACGTGTCGAGCAACATGCGAAGGTCCCGAGGCCGGCACAGATTAGTTCGGCAGGATACAGTTAGGTTCTTAGTCCGAGGCGGGTCCCGCGCTAGAAGTGCCACTAGCGGTTGCAAAGGGGCGGTTGCCCGACTGCTGTCCTGCATTGGCCGGTGGAGTCCATCGGGAGCCTGTTCGATACAGTCCCGGATGTTGTGAGTCGTTCTGTTGGAAGGGATCACCAGTAGTTTCAGGCCCTAGTTCGAATCAACACTTGCAAGCGATATCTTGTCGTTTCGATAAATTGAGTGCAGGCTAGATTTGAGAAACCTTTGCCAGCGCAGCTGTGTCTCGAAGAATGTTCCTGAACGACATGGGACATTTACAATTCTGATATCCCCGCCGCGTGAGATATCAATGCGTAATGGAATCCTGGATTGTGTAGACTCCCTCGAAGGGTAGAAGCAATGTTCAAGTTGAACAACCTTTACTTTGAGACTCATATGAGCTGTTTCGATACCGTGGGAAAGAAGGCCGACGCCTCTAATGTTGCGAACGTCTATAATTCTCTTCCTAAATTTGTCAATAGCAATAATTGATTGAGGGTATCATCTATGTGTCTACAAAGTATTTATTAAAAGTACAAGCTGATAAGTTACCGAGGACATTAGTGATGATGATTTGCCATCTTCATTGGCATTAGATTCCGAACGTTGGGGTGGCCGTGAGAGGTAGGTGTGCCCATCATTCCATTCGGATGGGCACCCACCGTTCGCCGAACTGCGTCTTTAGAAGACTCTCGATGCTCATAAGCTCTTTCATCGGGCATACGCTTTCATCGCCTCCGCCGCTATCCTTGCGCGTTGGTTCCATCCGCATCGACGAAGGAAGGCTAGCGATGTTCCACCCCCTGCGCCCCCACCATGCCCCCCTCATCCTGCTATCCCTTATATTCCCCCAAAGTGCCAGCATAGAGCTCCGTTCGGATGGGGAGGCAAGGAAGAATTCGTAGTGGTACCATTCAGGGCCACAGTACGTCTGCGGCACCGACAGTAGAGGTAAAAAGATACGCGAGAGTGGTGGGTAGATTCGCGGGCGTTGGAGGGGAGTCATAGCTGTGGAGGTGTCAGAATCCGACGCCAACGGTGGTGAGGGTGAACTCGGCGGGGGTAGCGAAGGGTGCGGATCGAGGAGATAGGGAGGTTGCCCAACCCAAACCGAAACGAACTTATTAGCGTGTAGGAACATGATCGCATTGATTACCGTTTGGTCTTTTCCTACGAAGATCCCATTCGCGAGATATTTATCGTGCTGTGCGTAGAACGTCTGCGCGTACCACGATATCGCCTTCGGTGACCCGCCAAAAAACGATCCTAGAATACAAGTGTCGGTGGGCTCAGAGAGAATGAATAATGGTTAAGGTACGTACCTTCACTAAAGTCAAAATCGACGGGCCCGTCGCTTTCTCGCCACCGTTTCCATCCTCTCTCGGGTATCGTGCATATTGGGAAAAAAATCAGTTCGTCTTGTGGCGTCCCCGTGAGTTGGCTGCCCTCTTCGAACACTTCTTGGACGCGTTGGGCATCAGGCCAGCGCTGATAGAAGTGCTCTTGTCGGAACGATCCTGCGTCCACCCAGAACCCATAGTTGTACGTGGGCAGAGAAGGGGCATTCTGAGCAAAAGGATCAAGAGAGTTCACGTTCCTCACTGCCTCGTCGAGGAAATACGGCTTTGCGTTCCAAACAGAATACAGCTCGGGCGAGTGTCGGAATCCCTCTCTATCCTTCGCCTGCATCTTCTCGTATTCGCCCTCCAATCCATGTAGCGGCGGCACATCAAAGGCTCTTTCGAACGTCGTGTTGATGTATATGGGGTGGTTTGCCCGACAACCGCGAATAAGGCCTTCCATTGCTGGGGTGGTGAAGAAGTACACCGGGCTTTCGATGTTTTGCAGAAAGCGGTTGAGCCATGCCTTGTAGTTTTCAATTGGATGCTTGGATTTTGAGAGTGGGTAGAACGCAGAAACTATGAGGACTTTTGCAGGATGTGATGACTGCGCATGATGGGTGTCAACGTCGGATGACTGTACGTAATTCTGGGCGTCGTCGCTGATCCCTGTGAGGCCCAGCGTCCGCCATTCGTGATGGTGGTAAAAGAAGATGAGAGTGAAGAATACGGTGACAGAGCAGAAAATCAAAATCCAGGCAATGGCGAACCGGCGGATTGTCGGGGGCATGCGGTCGCGAAGTAATTGTGGGAGTTTTCCAGTAGTCGATAAACCTTTCGTCACAGTAAGCCTCTACGACGACGAGGGGCCTCTTAACGTCGTCCGAGTCGTCGCGAGCGCCGTGATACTGATTCGTGTGATTGATTTGTTGGATACGCGAGCTGAAACTGAACTAGCCTTAAGGGTGGCTGGTTCGGCGGTGGTCGCAACTGCGCAGCGCCTGTGCAGCTTGATGGAGACAACTTCCATACATGATCCAGTAGACTAAATCCCAACGAATCAAGGATGGCCATCTCATAAGTTATCTCCTAAGATTGGTCGTCTCTAAAATTATGCTTTATAAATATAGAACTGACAGGTCGCTTAACAGAACAAGAGAGACATCTATCGTAGTTTCGTTGAGTTGGGGTACGTCGGCGATAATCTGAGTTGAATTCTCGCAGCACCGGCCAACCACCAAACCACCAATCACCATACCATCTTGAAAAAACTCGGGGTTTGCGGGCGCGTTCGCGATGCAACTTGTAGACTTGTTGAAGGCACGGTACTCAACCCAACCCCACCACTCATGCCAATCGTCCAACCAAGCATAGTACACGATCGTGATATCGCCAAAAACAGGTATTTTTGTTATAGTTCGGCTCGAAGCACTGTTCGACCCACTGGAGGGTTGGTACTTACTAGAGATGAATGCCACCCATTGGAGCGGCTGTACCCCAGATCGGGGATGTCCGTGCACCAAAAACAGCATGACGGAGCGGGCCTCCTGCTCAGGTGAAGAAGACCGAGGTCAACGTTAATTGAGACTAGACACATGGTGTATTAGGGAGGAACTCGGTATACGACAAAGGCAGGCATCATTCCCGATGGTTTGATGTTGGGTAATTGAGGCGCCTCGGTTTCATAACCTACCAATCAAGGACACGGATGGTAATACCCCCAGCAAATGGAAGATGTTAGAGCTGACGATATGCGGACAGAGGGGGAGGATTTCGGACAGTCCCTCGAGTGCAGCCAGAAGACGAAGACGAACGTCGTGCGCGATGGCATAAGAAACGGTGCTGAAGAGGATCGGGTCGGGGATGGCGTGGGTCTTTGCAAGTGCATCCTCTGATATGGACGTACGAAAAGTGGCCGTTGACAGATCGTGTTGATCCCAGCTGTCGCCTGTCGCAGCAGTCTTTGAATTCATAAAATCGAGGGCCACAAGCTCAAGTGGCAAGAAAGCGAGCTGGCACTAGCATTAGTAGCTTATCCCGGTTCTCAACACCAGCGTTTGCGAGTTACTTCCTAGATCGATATCCATTCATCGGGTAATTCCACTCACTAAAAATATGGCATCTTCCAGGTTTCCTCCATGGTACTTTTGTTCAGATTCGTCACAATAACTCATATTGAGGTAGACTCCATCCTAAGCGGTATCCCGATTCCCATCCACCTAGGTCAACCGAATCCAAAGTCTGACTGATGATCACCGAATCCAAGTGGCCGAGCCATGATATTGACGCTTGAACTGAAACTTGACACGTTTGTGACGACCGCGTGGGACGTGCTAACGGTATTCTTATCGCCTCCTTCATAGAGTCTGCGTTGAGTAGGGCTACGAACACGTTGCATGATCGGTCCATCGTAATGGTGTTGAGTGCTAGTCGTGTGTCGTGCCCCTCGATTTGAACTCGATCCCATTCCGCGGGACCAGCTGAACGAATGAGTAACCGAGTGACGGGAGGAACGAAGCTACTCAGCCATTCGTCGTGTTATCCATAGCTCCGGATTGAACTCTACCACGAATCATGCACTTCGCCGGTGATAACGAGGCTCACATACCACGCTCGTCGTCGTCGTCGTCGCTCTGTGTGAGTTTTATTGGTGTCTAAATGGAGGATGCGAAGCGTAGGACGAAGGGAAATGAGACGAAACGCGTCGCGAAAAGAACGAGAAGCTGGTATGTCGATGTCGATGTCCAGTGCTGGTGGTACGTATTAGCGTTGATGTGGGCGAGTGAGTTTTCGTTCCGTATGAATGCCTCTTTCTACTTGTCTCTCCACCACCACACCCTTTGGCTTCATCCTTACTTGAAACGACGACGTGGGCCCGTTAAGATTGCTGTTAGTGTTTGCATCGCGTCCGGCCTGACCGCAGCTATTTGATGTCTGAGAGTGTCTTCCTCTCGTTGCCCCTCATCATTTGACCTATTTGTCGTCTTTCATCACTTGCATCTATTCTATTTTCTCCCCCAGAATTCTTGCTCGCTTGTAGATTTCGAGACGATGAGTATCGAAGTATTCACTGTGGCGGACGATTTGAGCGGAGGTTTGGGCGCGAGAAGGAGTAACACGTCGTATAGAATGGGGGTCGGCGAGAGGAATTAGTAGCAGGTGTGTCTTAGTGACTCGAAATAGGAGAGCAAGGATAATCGGTATCCTATTTCGAGTAGATTATTGGGCGCTTGTATAGAAACACTGTACTCACTGTGACCGTCACCGACGATGAGCACTATGATGGAAACCGACGAGGAATCTGTAGTTCTCCCTTCGACAACTACTTCTGGCCTCTCTTTATCACTGTGAGTATCGTCTGTCGCGCTGTTCGAGACTACGGCCTGAAGTTCATCAACGCCCAGACATCCACTTCCCATCCTCAATATCTCTGAACATTTGACTCGGCGGAAGCTTCAAACCAACTCCAATTCACCATTTGGTCTGTGTGGATCGAAGTCAACCGCGATACAGAAGGCTAACTGCGTGTCCAGTTCTTGGGGCGCTCCTTGGCACGCAAAGTGGTCGCGAAGTCGAGATTGTGAATACCTTCGAATTGGCGGTGGATCAAGAAACGCTGCAGGTCGATCATGAATTCCTGGTGTCGAGAAGGGATCAATGTAAGCATTCACCAAATCTAGCTCACTACGAGACGCGGAATCTAATCTCATGTGCTTGTAGACAAGCAAGTGTTTCCCTCACTCGAATTCATTGGCTGGTACACCGTCGCGGCCTTCCCTACCGCAAAGCACATCACACTACATGAACAAGTTAGCTCTCCTCCGTATCATCACCTATCTATTGAGTATTGATCTCCAGTGGATATTTGTAGTTTATGACCTACTGCTCAACCCCACTGCTCCTAATCCTCCAACCCACGTTGGCATATGTTTCCTCGGATGTCAACGCGCAGACGCTGCCTTTCAAGGCGTACGAGCCGTCGATAGAGATCAAAGACCGCAAGTCGCGTTCGGTATTTATCGAGGCTGCGTACAATGTCGAGACGGGCGAGGCGGAGCGTATCGCTGTAGATTGGACAGCGCGCGGAGGCGGAGGTGGCACAAGTCGTGAGTTTTCAATTGCTTTCACATGCAGCGTGGTGTTGATACTTGATCAACTTGCGCAGTGGAATCGCATCTCACTACACAGCGCGCGGCAGTCAAGATGTTGCACGATCGAATAGGTGTTCTCGTAGATTATGTGCAGAACGTTCTTTCAGGTACGGCATCCGTTTCGGGAACATAATGTCGTTAATACCTTCGTAGGGCAAGCACCAAAGGATCACACGACACTCCGCTCGCTCTCGGCGCTGATCGCTTCATTGCCAGCAACGGAAAACAAGAACTTCCGGGAGGAGTTTGATACTGTACGTTATCCAATTTCCTTACCAATATGCATTCGTACAAAGAAACTGATCCTGTGTATTTTAAGGAATACGAAGATGTTCAGTTGACTGCTTTCTTGTCTACGATGACGAAGGGGCTGAATTCCCTGAACGACGTACGCATTTCGCTCTATTTACTTTGTCTGCCTGCTGCTGATCCGTATTCTTGGCAGTTGGTCGATAAACACACTGTGCTCACATCTGGCAGAGATGAACGAGGATTCGGTGGACCCCGACGACGGGGTACAGGTCGCGCAGGGCCCATGGGAGACTGGGATCGAATGCATTGAATACTACATAGAATGTCGATGTCGATGCTTGCACTGTACACAATACACATAAAGATGCATTATGCCAGAAAGATGTCGGTACTACATGGTCCATATTAAATAAATAGATACTAAATACTAGAATGCACAAATGTACACCAAGGGTTACATACATGGCATGAACTACACAATTACTACACGTGTAGGTATTAGATGATGCAAGTAACAACATATACAAGGTGCACACGTATTGGTGCAATAGATTAAGATGGTTCCACTACTTCATCAGGCCTGAATAAAGAGTAGATTAGCTGATATTGAGAAGAGGCGGTACTGAGCAGTTTAATTTACTCACCAACTGCCTGGGCGGTTCGCGCCGTTGCTCCCGCTAAGGCACTCTTCCCAGCACTTGCCTTCCTCACAAACCGGCTCCCCAACTTCTTCTCCTTCGGCGCATCCGGGCCAACAGCTTCCTTCCCCTTCTTCTCAGACAAGTTCTCTGAGCCACCCCGGGATGATGGCCGCCGAACGCCTTTCAGCTTACCCCAGAGTCCTGTCGGTTGAGTGCTCGGAAGTGCTACAGCTGGTGCCAGCGACGATGGCTGCTTCTCGTCACGGGGGCCTGATAATTGAGAGCTACTTGACGACGAAGGCAGCGATTCTTCTCGTAAAGAGGATGATCGAAGATTTGATCTACTCGTTATGGAACTGACCGGTATGGGTATGGGCATGGGCGCTGTGGATGGCATTACCTTCTCTGCATCGTCCGGTTCGTTGGTAGCATGGGGTACGTGCTTCGCATCGAGCGAATCCACAGACGAGGAAGTCGAAGGCGCCTCTTCCTCCGTGAACACTCGTTCAGATGTCGATTCACCAGAAGGCGACGTGCCTGGCGCCGAATCGACATCTTCCTCTGGATCTTCCTCGACTACCTCAGTGTCGTCATGCCACGAAACCCCTTTGTTGTGCGCACGGGATGACAGACTGCTATGGCTTCTGTGCTGATCCATGTCGATCAGGCTGACGTCCTCGTCCGAGCCCAGGTGGTGCGAGTGATCGGAGTCATCTTGGAGGCGCCGTCGGTACACAGATGTGGTGGGCGTGTGGATTGTCGTCGCGAAGTCCCAGGACTCGACTGTACGATGGGTTTGGGCTGAGGCTATGGCTTGACGCTCTTGGCGCTGGGTAAGGGGAGGTAATGCCTCTAAAACGCTTGTAAATAAGCAAAAGTACGTATCGTAAGGTGACGAAGAACGCACTCAGGATCGCCGCGACAAGATAGGAAGGTTTCTTCGCCGATTTGAAGAACGGGGTTTGAAGAAGCTGCTCGGCCGTGGGCCGCTTCGACGGGTCTTTGATCAGGCAGCTATCGATTACTTCCTTAAACGCTCGCGAATACTTGAACGTGCCCCCATCCCGATCTAGCGTCGGGGGATCCTCCTGAATGCTTTGGAGGGTATGACTTAGCTCCGTGGGTAAGTGTGACGATGCTGATTTGCTCACATGTTTAGAAGCACTTTCTGGGAGGGCTCACGCGCTCTGGGTGGTCTTCCTTGCGTGAGTTCTAGAGCTGTTATTCCGAAGCTCCAGATATCAGCGGAAGCATCATATTGCCGCCCTTGTATAAGCTCAGGTGCCATCCAACACGGCTACGTTATGTATCAGATATGCTAAAACCGGAGAAGTATGGTTCCGCCACGTACAGTACCGACAAACGACTTCCGTTTGCCCATCTTAGGCCGCTGTGGGACATGTGAGTCGACAAGTACGACACGTTTGCCGGCAACATGCTGTTGGTCATTGATGAGACTCGAGGCTCGACTGTCGCCTGCCAGCGCTGCCGAGGCCGTCGTAATGTTCCTGCGCTTGGAACCCGCGCCGCTGGGCAAATGTGAGAACGAAGAATCCTCGGAGAGGTCAGCTGCGACCCCCAGATCACCGAGCAGCACGGTGCCATCATCGTCTATTAATAGATTGGCTGCTTTAATATCGCGATGGATGAATCCATTTACGTGCAAGTAGCTAGAGATTGATTAATGTTGATGAACGTCAGCGCACTCAATAAAGGTGTGGGTCGGACTCGGGCGGGCTCACTTGAGGCCTTGTAGTGCCTGTCGAAGGATGCATTTGACGACCTCTTCCTCCATGCCTCCGGGCCAGCCGTAACGCATGACATCTGCAGCGCTACCCTTGTTCATGAGACGCATGGCAATGTAAAGTTTGTGTCCTTCCGTCCAGGTTCCACGAACTCGGATGACGTTAGGATGTTTGGATAGAGACATTAATGTGGTTTCTCGTTGCAGAAGGGACAGCGGATGTGGCGCAAGGGAGTCGAGGTCGAGCACTTTGAGTGCACATGGAATGGGTTCGGGCTTGGGTGAAGACGGGTCCGCCGGGGGGTGGAAGAGCGCTGTGTACACTATCGAGGAGGCTCCGAATCCTATCGTGGAACCCAAAGTATAGTCTTCAGAGCGATCACTGTGAATTCAATTCGTCAGAAGGTTCTAACCCTATTAGACAAATAGCACATGCCTATAAAGCTGCCATTCATCTTCAACGGCTCCAATAAATGCCCTAGATATGCTCTGCAATCCGGCGCTGCTTGTCGGTCTGATAGTACTGGGGGGCATGCTAGTTGTGGTGCAAGGTGTCGTGAAAGGTTGAAACCCGAATTGCGGTGTATGAAGTGACCCCTGGCGCAGACGAAACTACAAAAATTCAAAAATTTAGAGAAGTGAGCTACAGGTTGTCGCAGTCCAGGTGAGAATATTATGATGGGCTGAGGCAGAAGGTCAGCTTGGCTGACATGGTCGCGTTCAAGAGACGGCTTAGAGTCGAGTCTCGCCAACTTAGGTCATCCCCGATCCGATTGCACAGCCACCTTACGTAAGCATTACTGCGAGATTGATCATGCAGAGATTGCCTTTTCGATATGTTGCTGTTCCGGCACGTGGCACGAGACCACCAAAGTACCATACTTGTTGGGATTAACTGCGGAACATCATATATAGCTTGAAAGGTACTCGTATACGCCTAATAATGCCCTCTGCTACCAGTAGTTTCGCCGGCATCGAGTCCAAGCCGCCTCTCAAGCAGCGGGAATGGGCGTTTGTCAGCACGAGTGTTATCGTCGGACGATGATTGGCTAGGAGCCTGGCGATAAGATGTATGTGACAGCGTGACGGGTGCCGAAAGCAGCGATAGGGCTCTGTTCATCGCTCTTCCTATCTCTTCCCTCCTCCGTCAGTGACTCGACCAAGGCCTGCTATTTCGCCAGCAACCAGCTTATGGCCCCGAAGCCTCCGTGCGCAAAATACCAATACGTCGTGACCACCGCAGGCCCAAAAATCCTCCCTGTCGATGAACCAGCGTGCAAGGACGAGGAGAGCCCGGCAGATTACAACGCGGGGGGATATCTTCCCGTTAAAGTAAACGACTCCTTTAAACAAGGTCGATATCGGGTCGTGAGGAAGCTTGGGTGCGTTCTGACCCTTTGCGCTTTATATGCCATTGCTCACCGCACGTAATGATGTCGCCATCCATAGATGGGGTCATTTCTCGACTGTTTGGCTGGTCAAAGACGCTGAGTACGTGTGCACTTTATGCTGGCGCCAATTCAGATCCCTAAAATGCAATCTCTCCCATCTTTGTAGGTCTGAACGACATTCTGCTCTCAAAGTCGTCAAGTCAGCTGGTCGATACGCCGAGACAGCCCGAGACGAGATTAAACTTCTATCACGAGTAGAGTCATTTTCGCCTGATCACCCAGGACGCCCCCATGTCGTCTCTTTTCTCGACTCATTCACACATACTACCCCGGAGGCATCGCACATTTGCATTGTCTTCGAGCCTCTCGGAGAGAACTTACTTGCTTTGATTGAGCGACACAAGAAAAAAGGCGTTCCGCGTGCTTTGGTCAGGGTAATTGCAAAGCAAGTTCTTCTTGGTCTTCAATATCTCCATGATGAATGCGACCTTGTCCACACTGATATAAAGCCGGAGAATATATGTGCGTGCCAAATTTCATATGCTTCAACTGATACTTGACTTTGAAATATAGTAATTTCTATTCCCGACGTCGAGTCTCACATTCATCATGAACTCTCACAATCGCCTCTACCTACTTCTCGTAGGGTCGGCGTACCCCTCCCCACTAAATTCCGACACGGCGTTTCGATTCCGCAGAACCAACAACGCCCCAGACGTCAGGTGCAGATATTCAATTCTCAACCTCTAGCGAGCCCCGTTCGCAGCGCTGGTAAGAGTGGGAATGGAAGCTTGAGCAACGGAGGCAGTGGCGTCAATAGCGTGAGTGGCAGCTACGTGGCCCAGATGCAGATATCGCGCCTCGGTTCCAGCGGTGTTATAGGCTTCGCTAGTGGGACAGTAGCGAGTCTTAGTTCCAGTGCACCGAAGGGTTTAGGCGCCATGTCTAATTCCTCGAGACCAAAGCCCCCTGTGAGTGGTGACGCCAATCCCTCTTCTCCCTCGACGTCCTCTTCTTCCTCCTCCATTTCCTCTACACTTGTATCGACGGCACCTGGTCTTAGCAGCGTCGCTAGCACGCCGGCTACATCATTGCCACAGTCGCTCGGCAGTGCTCTTATCTCCTTTGCCTCGATCGGCAAACCTTTGTCAAGTAAGGAGAGGCTCTCTAGCCTGTCAGAAGGTTCACCGAATGTGACTCGAGAGAAAGCGGGGTCAGCGGGGGTCCGTCAACGGATCAACAAACACGAAAGCGAGTCAGGATTGTCCTCTTCATGGAAAGACAGACTTGCCTCCAGCCTAGGTACATCCCTATCATGGAGAGACAGGTTGCCGATTTCATTGTCATCTTCGCCGAAGTCTGCGTCCAATATATCCCCGAGTGGTAGCAAAGTCAAGAACGGACGCTCCCATCTGGAAGATTTGCGTCATGCGTCTTCGGGTCTATCAGTCGCTAGTGCATGGAAGGATCCTGGCACAGCTGCGCTAGCGCCTGCTCTTGTTGTTTCAGCGTCAGTGCGCGCAGACGGCGAAGAGGCTGGAAACTTCTTCCACATGACCAGCGCTTCTTCGACTACAGGAAGTAGCGAACGACCGTATACAAGCGGGACACATGTAGTATCCACTAGCTCATCGGCGACTGTGACTGGTGCTAGGCCCTCTCCGAGCGGTACGCCATACCCACCGGAAGGCGCTCAGTATCACAAAGTCCAGTCACCCAAGCTGAATGGTGAATCGAGTTCACAAACCCCGAACCAACCGGCTTCCCTCCTTACGCAGACGGCTCCCCGTTCAACGGCTCCAGTGTCTGTTCCACTTGCCCTTCGACATAAACCATATACACGACCATCCCCGAACCATCATTTCTCACATCTATCCGCCCACCTGCTCGATAAACCTAGTCCCAATCATAATAGTTGCGCTAATAGTGTAATATGTCCCAATCCTCAATCGTTTGGCTCGATGTCACCCGCATCTCTTACCCCCACTCCCATGACACCTGCACTACAAGCCCCGCCTCCCACTCCCGCTGCCTCCTCTCTTGATTTACCTGCGACATCACCCCTTTCTGCGCCTTTACCGCCAATAGATACGAACGTCACGTCGCTTCCCCCCGTACACCCGGTGTGGATCAAGATCGCTGATCTAGGAAACGCCACACCATCTCAGAAACACTTCACAGAGGACATCCAGACACGGCAGTACCGGGCGCCAGAGGCTATCCTTGGGCGAAAAGACTGGGGCACACGAGTGGATATCTGGAGTGTGGCATGCGTGGTAAGCTTTCCTTACGCTCGAAACTGGCCAAACTGTTTATGTTAACATCCTTCTGTTAGATCTTCGAGCTTCTGACGGCTGAATACCTTTTTGATCCTCAAGGACAGGGGGAGATGTTTACCAAGGATGATGATCATATGGCACAGATCATCGAACTCATGGGTGACTTCTCTGTCGATGCCAAGATGGGCGGTAAATACAGCAGGGAATTGTTCGATGCCACCGGTGAGTTCTGTGTTGTTGGCTCCCTGCTACCATATGCTTACACGTTAAGCAGGCGCTCTACGGTATATCCGTACACTCAAGCCCTGGCCATTAAAGCGGGTGATGATGGAGAAGTACCTCTACACCGACGCCGATGCCACAGGGCTGTGCGACTTTTTGGAACCGATGCTTGCTCCCGATATGAAAGATCGCAAGGATGCTAAAGATATGCTCGATCACACTTGGATGCGAGCTTGCGCAGAAGATGAGCCGGTGGATCAGTGGTAGACACCTTACCGTGCTACTGCTGTACACGTCAACGGTCCCCAACACAGCTCTTCCCTTTTTTGGGCTCCCCTCCCACACAGCGATAGACACGACTGCACTCTCCCGACACTACGACAGGCACTTCGGGCAATTGGCGATACACTAGACTCTCTAGAAAGGGTATAATCCCCTCCCCCCATTTTTCCACTCGGGAACACTGATGTTATTGGGTATCTATCTCCTCCTTGTCATCACCATGTCTACATTCTTCACACTGTATTTCTTTTTCTGTACATGGACTTCAGTCTTCATCTTCTCACTTTTCCATCTCGAATTTCTCTCGCCTGTTCCATTTCCTCGGTGTATAAACTCGTGCTTGCATCAGTCATACCCCCTAGATGTTACGACACCCCATTTCCTTTCATGTGTTGCATTACCCGTTCTTAGTTTATTGAATACCTACCCCCAGTTTCCGGTGTACCACCCCTTGCCCTCCTGCCCTTGCCCACCCTCTCTTTCAACGTTCATACCAAACTTACTGTTCATGATACTCTACTTACGCTTGTACAGCCTATTAGACCTCGCGACACACAATTCATCCTTCCTTGTCCATCTTCTCATGTCCCGCTAAATGCCGCCAACGATCAATCCATGTGAAGTGATAGGAGAATGGAACATCGGTGCGTAGTAAGTACCTTTTACCGACCGTCACCTGAGAGCTTACTAGTAACTGGTAACGATAAGACCATACCGGGGCCGACGCGCACGCGCACGCGCCAGCTATCTGGCTTGATTTCGCGCTAATTGTTATACTTAGCAGCACCATCCCACTCAAGCCAACAGACTCAACATATGAGGGTAAATGACAAGTCTCGAGCTCAGACTCGGGGCCGCATTGCACGCCTTCCTCGACTTCTAAGCACTAAACCGGTAACTCGCTGACAGTGCTGTATGATGGTGCGGTACGACGGTGCTGCATCTCTACCGCTGTCTCATCATGCCTAGGACCGATACTCGGCAGCGTAAGAGTCTGGTAAGCTTAGAAGACGGTGTATGGCGGGTGAGTATAAAAGACCTCTGCTGGAGCCGCGAAAGTAATCAGTCGCAACTGACCTTCAAAGCTTTACTTACCTCAGGTGAGTAGAAATGGCTCGACTTACCTGTTCTCAGAGCTGATTACGATTACGGCGTAGAAACACCGAAACCATGTCTTCTCTCAACATCCACCAGCAAGTTTTCGGCCTCTCGCTCGCCTCCAACTTACTGACGGTGAGCAAGGGAACGGAGGCCGAATTGCAGAGCGAGTTGGACTCGACTTTGCAACCCATCATTGCAAATAACATCGGCAATTGGAACGTCGTTTGGGGACCTAGAGTGTGGAAGACCGCTCCCAGTGACCCAAACTCGGGACCCGACCGCGTCTGGTACATTGCGCACAACCCATCTGCGAGTTTCGTGGATGGTATCTACGATGCTTACGTCCTGGCCGTCGCTGGGACCGCGAATAATTCGACGGAGAACCTGGTAATCGACGCCTACGTGAACGAAGTCGTCGACTTCAATGACTGGGTGCAGACTGGGATAACCAATCCTCCCGAGCAAGCTGCAACTGTTGACCAGGCGAAGCCGTACATTGCCTATGGAACAGCATCCGGTATCTCCACCCTCTTGACCGTACCCAGCCCTGCTGGGCAGACCATCATCGAGTTTCTGGCCACCATCCCTCCTACATCTCGACTCGTATTCACAGGACACAGCCTCGGAGGTGCTCTGTCGCCAACAGTCGCGCTGGCACTGTTGAGAGCGGGGCTCCTGAAGAACGCACCAGGAAATGTCTTTGCTTACCCCACCGCCGGTCCATCGCCAGGGAATGGACCGTTCGCTGCCCTGTTCGCGCAGAACTTCCCTCTGATTACTGATGGTCCTGCGGCCTATCAGATGTGGAATGGAAATCTCGCAAATACGAAAGACATCGTTCCCCATGCATGGAATATTGAGTCTTTGAAAGCTATCCCGACACTCTACGGCACCTTACCATTTCTTCTTAATGTGATAGTCGTGGCCATAGTCAATGGCGCCATTGACCTAGCCAACGCGTCGGGCTTGGTGTACGTCCCGCTTCAGGGACAGACATTCCCTACACCTGCTCTTGATACGCCTCAGACTCTACAGTCATTCCTCGAAACGGCGTTACAAGAACACATGGGAGCTTACGAATCATTCATTGCGGCTCCAAGCATCCTGCCTTCGCACGAACCGGCTTCATCGACGGAGCAGGCTAGAGGTCTGCCCATTCTAGGAGGAATTTATCAAGCACATCGTGAGGCGAAGGAAATGGAAAGGTTGGAAAAAGAGGGAAAATAAATTCGCATTATCTCAGTGCGCACCAAGTAGTGTTTTGCAACTGTCCTCATGTCGCTACGATGTACTTTGAATGCATGGATCCATAGTGTCCGACTACCCCTCACTACGTCACGGGCGAGAATGAGCCTGTTTCCAAGTTATCATTATTCCTTCTTGTACGATAATTTGTCCGCCCATTTAGAATCTGAACGGATTGACAGGAACTCGAGAGGTATATCGTCGCTCTGTACAATCCCGCCGACATAGACTGTAAGAGTGCACATATTGATTGGCATTAAAACATGCCATACCACTGGACGTACGATACCCACTCATTTACTGCATTGAACCCTCTTTCACGGTTCGTTGAACACCGAATACCTACCCGGAGTTTCTGGCGTTGTCACCCCCTGAGCCCCTTTCTAACTTCATCATGATAGAACTTATGGAATTTACCGCTTACGATACTCCACTTAGGCTCACAAGGCCTTGCGCCGACACACAGTCTTATCCTTCCTCCTCCAACTCCTTATATCCTATTAAATGTCACCAGCGATTACTGGACTAATTGACATGAAATGGAACACCGCGAGTTGCGAGTACCTTCCTCCTGGAGGCTAGACTAGTAACGTTAAGTTCACCACCCTACCGACGCCATCGCTTGCGCTCATGCCCCAGCTGCCTGGCTTGATTACACGCCTATCGCTATACTTAGAAGCATCATCTCACTCGAGCCAAAGACTCGTGAGCCGTTCAACATATAGGGTATATATAAAAACTCAAGCTTCACGACCAAGGCCACATTGCGCGCCTTCTTAGACTTCGAAGAACTAGACTGGTAACTCGTTGATAGTGCTGTATTGACAGTGCTGTATGGTTGTGCTGTATGATCGTGCCGTACGACGATGCTGCATGACCTAGTGCTGTATCGTCGTCGCTAGTTCCGATACTTGGCAATGTAAGAACCGCCGAGCAGCGTAGTAATGGGTGAGTATAAAAGACCTCTGCCAAAGGACGTTCAAGGCAGTCACAACTGACCTTCAAAGCTTCACCGCAGGTGGGTAGAGCTCCTTATATCTCTATGCTCCCAGAGCTAATTGCTGAATAGAAATCGAAACACCAGAACCATGTCTTCTTTCAACATCCACCAACAAGTCTTCGGCCTCTCGCTCGCCTCCAACTTGTTAACGGCGGACAAGGGAACGGAGGCCGAATTGCAGAAAAAGTTAGACTCGAAGTTGCAACCCCTTACTGATATAATCGGGAATTGGGAAGTCGTATGGGGGCCCAGAGTATGGAAGTCCAAGCCCACTGATGCAGGCACTCCGCCCGATCGTGTTTGGTACATCGCGCACAATCCATCTGCAAATTTTGGCGACAGGTCCTACGATACCTACGTTCTGGCTATCGCTGGGGCTGCACCAGATTCGGAGGAGAACTACACCATTGCCACCATGGTGAACAAAGTTGTCGATTTTAACCAATGGGTGCAGGCCGGGATAACCACTGTTCCTCTGGAAGCTATAGGAGTCGATCAGGCGAAGCCGTACCTTTCGTACGGAGCAGCGCTCGGAATGTCTACCCTTGTGACCGTCCCTAGCCCTGGTGGGCAGACCATCATCGAGTTCCTGGCCACCATCCCTCCTACATCTCGACTCGTATTCACAGGACACAGCCTTGGGGGTGTTTTGTCGCCAATTGTCGCGTTGGCGCTGCTGAGAGGTGGGCTCCTGAGGAACGCGCCAGCGAATGTCTTCACATACCCAACCGCGGGTCCCTCGCCAGGAAACGGACCGTTTGCTACTATGTTTGCAGAGAATTTCCCTCTGATTTCCAATGGCCCTGCTGCCTATCAGATGTGGAATGGAAATCTCGCGAATACACACGACGTTGTTCCGTATTCATGGAACATCGACTCGTTGAGAGCGATCCCAACGCTCTATGGCACACTACCACCCGAACTCAATGATAAGGTCGTGGGTCTTGTCAACGATGCCATTGACCAGGCCAACGCCTCGGGTTTGGTGTACGTCCCGCTCCAGGGGCAGAAATTCTCTACAGCTGCTCCAGATACACCTCAGACTAAGGATGAGCTCCTCCAAATAATCACGCAAGAGCATATAGCAGCTTACGAATTGCTCATCGTGTCACCAAGTATCACGCCTCTTCACGAAATAGCTTCAGCGATGGCGCAGGCTCGAGGTCTGCCAATTTTCGGAGAACTTTACCAAGCACATCTCGAAGGGAACGGAAGGGGAAAGTTGGAAAAGGAGGGGGCATAGAAATCTTTTCATTTCCATCCACAGCGAACAGTGTTTTGCAACTGTCCTCATGTCGCCATGTTATTTCTTGAATCTATGACTTACTTCCCCTGTACCCCTGGCTACGCGTGTCCACCTACCCCCAACTCTATTCACTCATGGCGTAAGTGTTCTACTTGTGCTGGTAGCAATATTCCATCTCCTTGTTCCTTTCCTATTATAATGTAATGCCGCCAGCGATAATCTAGGATCGACAAGGGGGTTGAAAGGGACACTATCGCGCTGTGCCTTCCGCCGACATTCGCCTTCAAGGTGCGTGTGTTCGTGTCCTGTTAAGGCCGAGTTGTCGATCTAGACCTGGGGACATCTAGTAACTCCAAGGACTGCCCTGGTTGATGACGGTCTCTCACCACACAACTTTCCGGTGTTGAGGCAACGCCGGTCGCTATATCTGAAGGCACCGTTTGACACAAGCCATCGATGGGCTCTCTCCGCAGCATAAATGTCCGGGCTGATCTTACTCCGATTGATATATAGAGGTAAACGTCAATCCTGAAGGCCTCTCGCGCTCAATGGAAGTTGTATGGAAGCTTCTACTCAATGTAGCGCTACTGGTGCTGTCACTCGTGTGCTTTGCGTAAGTGATTATTGCTCCATGGCCCGATCTATGGTAAGACGGTGCAATTCTTGGGCATAAAAGCCTCTGTAAAGGGATGTACTAGTACAAGCCCACGCATCCCCCCTTCTGTGAGTCAAGGTACTTCCATCTGCGTGGATTGAAATATTAATTACTGATTAGAAATTGAAGCACTGAAAGCATGTCTTACAATATTCATCAGCAAGTATTCGTCCTCTCAAATGCGTCCAATCTGCTGTCGGCGTGCAAGGGTACGCAGGCCGATCTACAGGGCAAGATAGATGCGGCTCTGCAATCTACCATTACAAACGTCAAAATCGGCGATTGGAGCGTCGTCTGGGGACCCAAAGTATGGAAGTTCAACCCCAGCAATGCCAACTCAGGACCCGACCGTGTCTGGTACATCGCACACAATCCATCTGCAAATTTTGGAGACGGGGCTCACGATACCTACGTTTTGGCCGTCGCTGGAACTGCAGATAGTTCATTCGAGAACCTGGTCATCGATGCGTATGTGAACAAAGTTGTCGATTTCAATAGCTGGGTGCAAACCGGGATTACCACTGCTCCTGAGCAAGCAACCTCGGTAGATCAGGCAAAGCCGTACATTGCATATGGAACAGCTACCGGGATATCCACTCTCTTGACTGTGGCGAGCCCCGCTGGGCAGACCATCATCGAGTTTCTGTCCACCATTCCCTCTACGTCCCGACTCGTATTTACTGGGCACAGTCTCGGGGGTGCCTTATCACCATCCGTCGCGTTGGCTCTATTGAAGGCCGGGCTCCTAAAGAACGCGCCGGGGAACGTCTTCACATACCCAACTGCGGGTCCGTCCCCAGGAAATGGACCATTTGCTGCCCTTTTCTCAGGGGAATTTCCTCTGACCACCTCAGGACCCGCACCATACCAGGTGTGGAATGGAAACCTCACAAACACATACGACATCGTCCCTCATGCGTGGGGTATTGATACCTTGAACGAGATCCCAACACTCTACGGGAAATTGCCATTCGTTCCAGCCGTTCTCGTCAGGACCATTGTAAACGGTGCCATTGATAAGGCCAAATCGTCAGGGCTAGGGTATGTCTCGCTTCAGGGACAGACATTCTCTGCAGCCACCCCCACTACTCCCAAGACTTTGAAGGCCTTCCTTCAAACTGCTTTACAGGAACATATATCGGCATACGGCGTGCTCCTCGAGACGCCAAGCATTCCGTCACTGTGCAAACCAGCGTCTTCGACGGAGCAGGCTAGAGGTCTACCAATTCTGGGAGGTATTTATCAGGCTCATCTCGAAGCAAAGGAAATGGAGAGGTTGGAAAAAGAGGCAGAGTGAATGTACTACTTACGCTACGTATATGTACTCTGCGTGAGGTTTGGTAGCTGCCCTTGTGTCCACTATTGTGAATTTATGTGCGATTGCCCCTGTATTCCCTCTATACGCGTGACGACCTGCCCTAAATCAAACCCAATTAGCTGCCAATCTCGTGGCACGCGTTTCAGTCTCTCAGATCTCACTATGTCTGGCTTCGACGCGAATAACGTCTATACAGTCTCGGTACATGACTTACCAGCGGCATCCTCCCCCGATTCACCCGCTGAAACCGAGAAACTACTCCTTGAGTTCCTTGTTCAATACCGTGTCGGAGGGGAGTTCATTTATCGGTCGGTGACTACCTTTTACTCGTCGCGAATGATTCTCATTTTTGGCGAAACATAGCGATAAGCTAAGGGCGAACTTGCTCCTCAAGCAATATGTCCTTGAAGTGGATCTACGACACATCAGCTTGTTCAATGATGAGCTTGCCCACGCCATACAAGACCGTCCAGCGGATATACTGCCACTGGTGCGTGTTCTATACGGTAACCTGGACTATCTTGACCTCTAGCTCAGTTCGAAAATGCTGCTGCCAGAGCGGCGCGTACAATACTCTTTCCTTTGGCTGGTACATCGGAGGAGCGAACGGAGAGAGCGGCTGAAACAATACCAAAGGTCCAGATAACATTGCGTTCTGGGCTGAACTTGCTGCCATTCCGCGATCTTACCGCCAATCTCATGAACAAACTCGTACGTGTCCCAGGCATCGTCATCTCCGCTTCGGTATTATCGTCACGCGCTACCAAGCTGCACCTTCAATGTCGAGCATGTCATTCAGTGCGAATGATATACCCCTCGGGCGGCATGGGTGGTGTGGGCTCGGGCTCCGATAGAGGACTCCCCAGAATCTGCGACGCGCCAGAAGTTGACGGGCAGAAGAAAGACTGCCCACTTGATCCATACCTCATTATCCACTCCAAATCAACATTCGCCGACCAGCAAACACTCAAACTCCAGGAGGCCCCAGATATGGTCCCTGTTGGAGAGCTTCCTCGTCATCTACTGCTATCTGCCGATCGTTATTTGACAGGAAAAGTTGTTCCCGGGTCGCGTGTGATCGCCACTGGAATCTACTCCACCTTTCAATCAGCTAAAACTGTGAGATTGATCGCAACCACTTTCACGTCCTGTTGACCTCTGAACATTTTATCAGAAAGGCTCTGGCCCCGCGGCGACGCGGCAACCTTATATTCGAGTAGTCCATTTGGAGCTTTCATCACAGGCCGCGGGAGGGGGATCAAATCCATTCGGCGTTCAGTTCACAGCGGAAGAGGAAGAGGAATTCGGCGAGATGGCTCGAAGCGAAGGCTTTTACGAGAGATTCGCTAAGAGCGTCGCCCCCAGTATATTTGGTAGCCTCGGTAAGCACGCGTCGCGATCGTCTTGGTACCTCGTCATAACAATGTATGGCATCAGACATTAAGAAGGCCATTGCGTGTCTTCTGTTCGGCGGCTCGCGAAAGGTGCTTCCGGACGGCATGAGACTTCGGGGGGACATCAATGTCTTGCTTTTGGGTGATCCGGGTACTGCCAAGAGTCAGCTTCTCAAGTTCGTAGAGAAGGTAACGCCATAATCGAGCTACGACTGGACTTGAACTGACGCGCGTTGTCTAGGTCGCGCCAATCGCTGTGTATACGTCGGGTAAGGGATCTAGCGCTGCAGGTCTTACCGCCTCCGTCCAACGGGACTCGATATCAGTGCGTACGAACCTTGGAGCATTTTCTACCAGTAGTACTTATGGATCAAACAGAGGGAGTTCTATTTGGAAGGTGGCGCAATGGTGTTAGCAGACACAGGTGTTGTTTGCATCGATGAGTTCGACAAGATGCGGGACGAAGATCGCGTTGCTATCCACGAAGCTATGGAACAGCAAACGATATCCATCGCGAAGGCAGGAATCACCACCGTTCTCAACTCCCGGACGAGCGTTCTCGCCGCAGCCAATCCCGTCTTTGGTCGATATGATGAGGGCCGTAGTCCAGGCGAGGTAAGATCCCGCCCCAGGCCACCGTCAGGTCGGTGCTAACCTGTGTGTTAGAACATCGACTTCCAAACGACTATTCTCTCGCGTTTCGATATGATCTTCATCGTGAAGGATGAACACAACGAGCAACGCGATAGAGTGAGTTCAGTACCTTACCGTTTCATTGAATATTTCTGATGGTAACCTTTCGAAACACAGATGATCGCGAAGCACGTTATGAACATCCACATGAACCGGCAGAATGCTGAAGATGGGCAAGCGGAAGGAGAAATTGATTTGGACAAGATGAAGCGGTACATCGCGTATTGCAAAGGGTACTTGGGATCTTATTTCATGCTGAAACTGCAACTCATATCACGAATTAATAGCAAATGCGCGCCTCGTCTATCCCCCGATGCCCAGGAAATGCTGAGCAGTCATTTCGTCAATCTGCGACAAGAAGTGCAGAAAGTTGAACGGGATAATGACGAACGGAGTTCCATTCCGATTACCGTTCGGTAGGTCTATTCTATGATATGCCCCTTCGAAACGTGAGCTCATATGCACCATTCCTACTACGATCACAGTCAACTGGAAGCGATCATCCGGATATCCGAGTCTCTCGCAAAGATGACGCTGTCCCCCGTTGTTCAAAATCATCACGTCGAGGAGGCGATACGGCTGTTCAAGTTCTCTACCATGGATGCAGTTTCTGCTGGGGCTGCGGATGGGTTGTCGCGCGGGGAGGTAAATGAGGAGATGACAAGGATTGAGCGGGAGCTGAGGAGGAGGCTGCCGGTTGGATGGAGCACGAGCTATCAGAGTTTGGTTAAGGAGTTTGTGACCCAGCAGGGGTACTCGAGCCATGCCTTGGAGAGAACGTTGTTCGTATTGGAGAAGAGGGAAGTTATACGGTTCTCCGGACAGGTACGTGGTTTTGCATAATCTGTGACGGACGAGTATTCTGACTAACATCCCGTTCTATAGAAAAAAGTGGTACACAGAGTCGGTGTCTAGCACGGTTGCTATCTTCCTTCTTCTTTTCTTCCTTTTTGTCTTACACAAATTGTCGTCTCCACCATTGCTTTGCTTATACCCGTTTGAATCTCACTGTTGTTGTACACTACATTATCCCTTGGTTGTAGTCCTTAGAAACGGTCCCCATAACTGATGGTCAGGATATATGCAGATTTTGATGTCATAGTACCTCAACGGAAGTAATAAACATCCGCCCGCCTAGCTCAATCGGATAGAGCGTCAGACTTTTACGGTCAGTCAATTGGCTAGGCGATCTGAAGGCTGCGAGTTCGACCCTCGCGGTGGGCTAAAGGATCTCTTTTTGCATCCTTCCTGCAGGGATGCAAACACTCAAAGCAAACGCTCGGAGTACATCACGACGTCGCAGGTCCACTTTTCTTTACCCGGTTTGCCCACCGACATCAAGTTGTATATTACCCTAAGGCCTGACACATGGGCTTACCCCGTTTTCTAACAACAAACTTCTGAGTGTTCTAGATCCCTTGCATCTCTGGTTGTGATTGTTGGAGATGCATGCTGCATTGTTGTCTGTTTCAGCGTTGAATATATAGGGGTCCATGATACTTCGCACCTACACTGAGCGTTAGATATCAAACATTCATCACATATAGAGGTACATCGGGTTTTTGGGGCATCGTACATCATGGATGCCCCCAGGCGTTACGTTGATTCCAGTGACGCCTTGCACCGCTTTCGAAGAGGTGAGTGATATGACCCACACAGGCACAACGAGACCCACTATCGTCAATGTGAAATGGGTCATGGTTTTTGCGGACGGTACACCGCCCATCTCGGATAACCATCTTGTGAGAGTCTTAGTATATCTGTCTGGTCGTCAAGTTGAATCTTTAGAGCTTTATTCTGGGTACGTACGCGAATCGAGCAAAAAGGTGCTTATTAGCCCACCGCGAGGGTCGAACTCGCAGCCTTCAGATCGCCTAAGCAGACTTAAGTAAGAGTCTGACGCTCTATCCGATTGAGCTAGGCGGGCTGATGGAAACAGTATGACCGATACTACCAAGTTCGAGACGCCTGCTGGACAAAGCATGCTTCGTGATTCGAATGTGATTCCATCATGGAGGTTGCACTGCTTTAATATTAGCTTTCGCGGCGACCAAGTCCAATGGAAGACCCACTCATACCACATAAACTATATCGGGTCAGTCTACAGCATGCAGTAAGACACCTGAGTCAGATTTGGCTCAGATTAGGTCCAGATTTGAGTCAAAGCCAGGATGTCACAAGGCTTCCGTGTGCCGAACTTGCGTGTCCTGGCCAGAGACTACGTGTCGTGCGTGTCCGACCTCCGCTGTACCGTCCGCAGTAGCGTGAAAGCTGTGCAAAAAGAACTGGGACGTGAGAGCTGATGAATTGATTCGGCCCAAGAACTCCATTTCCTAGTCCAAGAGCTTGTCGATGGGCACCGCCGGCTGTTCCTACATGGTTCCTATAGCAAATCAGCGCGGGAGATAAACCGAGAAGGCGCGCCCAAGGCACAAGGCGAGGCAAAGCCGGGGTATTACGTAAGGCGAAATGCGCAGTCATAATACAAACAGGGGACAACTGTTCTTTCTTCCGTACCATCACCATCTCCTCTGACTCCCTACAACAGCAGTATTTGAGCATCCAACCGCAGTCAAATTCAATCGCAATGTCCCAACAGCAATCCCCCAACTACGAGGCTTTCAACAGCCACGAGTATTCGAAACATACTGCCCTTGACTTCCTTTCATTCACCTCTCCATTGGACATTGTCGCCCCCTCCCCTGATCTGTTTGAGACCGAACTCGATTCAAACCTCGAGGGCTTAGACGATTCCCAGATCCCTTTCTTCACCGTCAATTCCAGCGACGCCTTCAGTATCTTGAGGTCCGAAAACCCCACGTGCGGTCCTCCCTCCACTATCACCGTATCCAGCGAATCGGCGTATGACTCGCCGCACTCGACCTACTCGGATCCGTACTACAATAACTACGCTGGATCCAATTACTGTGGCTCAGCATATTCCCTAGCTGACTTCAACGAAGTTGACATGCAGCGAATCAATCTCAACGCCTACGACTTCGCCCCCAGCCCAGCGACTGTGGATCCCACTTCGTTTGGGACTCTGCCCTTGACGCCGCCCACCAGTCCTCCAGCGCCGGGTCGGGTGACTAAGGCAACATACGAGAAATACATCCCCCGTAGTTTTTCAGACTACACACCAAGCACCCGTGATGCGGCAGATTTCTACCCTTCGCCCTACCGTACCCAGTCGACGGTGTCACCGACCCATATCTCTGCCCAGCTGCCCACTCTTCCCGACAAGGCTGAGGAAGCGGGCAAGGGAGATGACCCCCGCCGCAAATACAAATGCAATGTTTGCTCTCGTGGTATGTCTCTGCTACGCCATTGAATGCTCTCGTCGCTGACACAGGTTTCTATCTAGCTTTCGCCCGAGCCTTTAACTTGAAGACCCACATGTCTACTCATGACCCGAACAGGTCTAAGCCATACACCTGCTCTCATCGGTCTTGCGGTCGGTCATTCAGCAGGAAGCATGATTTAGGGCGTCACCTCATCAGTATCCACCGAGATGCCTCCGTACTCCCTTCTCATCCCTCCGCCACTAAAAAGGCAGTCGGAGTGACGAGGACTGCGAGAGCTTGGTGCGAGACATGCGGAAAGAGTTACTTTGACAAAGAGGCATCCTGCGGATGCCACAGCGGGAAGTGAAACTTGGATGACGCCTTTGTTCGATGTTAACGTATTTGGCTCTTTGTAAGTTCATCTTGTCCCTGTCGTCGTAGACTTTTTCTTACTTCCCTCGCAGGCTACATGCTTGTTGTCTTGGCCCTAGCGTCGTCTGTCTCGTATGCTATGTTTTCTCGACATATTGGACTTCGCGTCGGGCCTCTACATATGTGTCACGTATCGTACCGCCTCGTATACTTGGCCCCGAGACGAACGTGACCTATGAATTGTCCCTATCATCATCGTTGCCGCTCATTCCCCGTTCTATCTACCTCCCGTATTTCCTTGAATATATTCTCCTCTCGTCGTGGACTAATCTATCGTTGTTATCTTCCTCTCTTTCATGTTTTTTCTCTTTCTTTCTGTTTTTGTTTTTGTCTTGTACACACAGCTTCGCAGTTAGTGCGGTGAATGTGTTATCGTTTCAAAAATATATAAATAAAATCAATATTGCAATAGCTCAAATACAACGTTTGGAAACAATGTTTGAAGTCTATGGAGGTAATGGTACATGAATAACGAATAATCTGCGTTACGTTCTACCCAGCGCCAACTCAACGATGGCGTAGGTGTTAGCCAATAACACTATGAACCATATCCCGTATGATACTAGCATCAATGGCCATCCGTTACTATAGTCTACGTACTCGGGAATCTGAATAGACTCCTCCGTCTTCTCATGATACTCCACAACACTCTCCTTCTCCGTACCCACCTTGTCGCGGTCACTAACGATGATTGAGCTAGATTCAATCACCTGGAGCTGGCTCGCGGTGTACGCCCCAATCCCAACAGATGAAACCGATTGATCATCACTCTCCGAGGGTGGGGACGGGGGTACGGGTTTCCGCACGCGCATCACCACCTTGGATGATGTCAAATATATCAATGGGAATACGATGAACGGAAGGACGACGGAGAGCGCGACTTGCGAGGCAACGAGGAGTGTGTTGATGCCTTCTCGGCCGGCTGAAACGGCGACTATCACAGATGGAATCAAGCTGATGAGACGGGTAATCAAACGACGAAAGAACGGCTGTGATACAACGAATCATGATGGGGTATGTGAATTAGCGTTTTGACATGGTTTCCACGGAGGTGGGGTGAATGGAGCTTACCGATATGCGCCATTCTATGAAGCCCTCGGAGACAACCTGCCCGGCTAGTGTTGCAGTGATACTAGCCGCTTGGCCGGCACAAATGAGCGCCAACGCAAAGACAATGGCAGCACCTGGAGCAGAACAAACAACTATGAGCTCTTGTATAGAAACGTTATTACGAAAATGTGATTGACCATTGCCAATAAACTGCTTAATTAGATCATGGGCGTCGAAAAGCCCCGCTGGGCCTCCATCCCTAGATTGGTAGAATACCGTGGCAGCGAGAATTAGAATTCTAAATCAGTGGTACAAAGGTTAACCTCTCGGTGGTCTTGGAAACAGAATGAATACAATAAATACACTCACGCTGAATTTATGGGCACGGCGATGCCAAGGAGGCTTGTTATGATATCTATGACACCATGTGGGAGGTGTTGGCGAATGAACGCGAGAGAGTTATTCTCTCTTTCGCCATATTTTGTCCTGTAGTCCCGTGCTGCTGCCGCACGTTCTGCGCGGGAAACAGCGAACAGGGGGACGACGAAGTCCTTGACACGGGACTTGAGTGTGCGATGAGTAATGGGCTGCGAAGACGGAAGAACTGGGGGATGTAGCGGCGGGGGTGGAGCCAGAGCCACGCGATCCTGAGTCGCAAGTGACGAACCCAAGAATAGCGCGTGAGGCATGATGGTGGCACCCAGTATCCCGACGGCCGTGTATATCGCGTTTGGCTCAGACTTGAAAAGGTCCTTCGAGGGAATGTATCCCATAAAGACAGCGGGCCAGTCAGGGCGCGATTTCACCATCAAGACGATGAAGCAGGCCAGGACGGCGAGTACCTTGGATCAAAGATAAGACGCCCGCTGCCAATCGGTGGAAATAATGGACTCAACTAATAGAATGATGGTGTATTCAAATGCTTTCGCCGGTCTTCCCTGTGCCGTGGATGGGTTGCTGATGGCGAGAAATACGAGAACATCTGCGGCGGTCAGGGCGACGGCTCCCCATAGTGGTAGGTTAGGGATTATAATCACTAGTCCAATGGCTGAACCTAGCAATTCAGCTAGGTCTGTCGATATGATCGCTATTTCCGAGAGCACGTAAAGAGGATAGAGAACGCCGTAGCGAATCAGCCGGGTATGCTTCGGGCGATCGTGCAGGAGTAACCGGCAGTGAGAAGCCAGGTCTGGTGGAACAAGTTGTTTAGTTTCGCGTACACGATCCGTGTGTAAATAGACTAACCGATCCCGGTAACACACCCCAATTTGCACGATAGAGTCTAATCCACGAGATTCCTCCGTTTGTCAATGGTTTATTGGGGCAGCATTTCATTTACCTGCAATACTATTGCGCCTAGCCCCGTCATGAGTATGACAAAAAGCATAGGTCGATAGTGGAAGTCAGAGCCTGCTTGCAGGTCTACGCTCCAGTTACCCCTGTGACCCTGCTGGTCAGCATGCAGTATAGACAATCGTTAACCACATCCTATAACTTACGGGTCAAAATATGCGACAGCGCATACGATACCGACACCTATGTGGTTCTTGACATGGTGGAGGACTCGGCGTACGGCTGAGGAGCTGCTTGACCGCAGCGTTCGTTTGAGGGCCACAGACATGACCTGCTGCTCGGGGGGCGATGAAGGAGAGGTGGCAGTTGATGGTAGAGGGCCATTTCCTCAGAATAAAGTAGGAAATCCCGAAACCAGCGTAGCGGAATGGAAACAGTAGATTGGTAGAGGTCTTGAGGGCACCTGCCACAAGAAGCCACATATTTACCCACCGTTCTGGTGGTTTGATGTCCGTCCGTTATGTTCCCAGTCCCTATCCCCTTCTTTCTCTGGAACTGCCGTGACTGTCGCCATGGACATCAATGACCTACACCCGCAAGATGACCATGGTCACCGATTCTTTATATGGCATGAATGGCTACAAGTAATTCTATACTCACCTTCGATAATTGCTCCCGACTGATGCGCATCACAGGCGTATGGCCCGTTGACCGCAGAGAATGCGTTCGACTACTTCACCTCAAGCATGTTCTACGATAAGCAGAGCAACAACCAGGTGCTTCGAATGCAAACGATGCACACTGGGATGCCCCTGTTGAACGAAGCTGAGGAACTGAGGTGAGTGCAACTTGGAACCCCGCGTGAACGCGTGAACGGTGCAGTGGCTCACCCGTTCCTCGTCCAGACGATTCACCGGCGTGGAATTTGCGTTGGTCCATGCCGAGCCTCCTTCGCTATTCATAATTCACAAACGCGAGCGGCTCTCTCCGGACGAAGGTGAGCTTTCTGAATCAGAATTTGCACTTGACGGCTAATATAGTAACACTGTCCCAGTTCGACCGCTAGCCGCATATTTTATCGCGAATAACCGGATATACCAGGCCCCTGACATCTATACAGTACTGTCGAACCGATTGGTAGGTCGAGGAATGCTTCGATGAGATAATTCTGCCCATATTCTACTACACAGCTCGCGACACTTCATTCTCTTCAAAATTCTCTCAACATCTTGCGCAGACACCGGCCTGATTACACGCCAAGGACGGGATTTATATGGCCTATCGCGGACCCCTCGATCCCAGATGACTCTAATCCAAAACCTACCGTTGATGCGGACGGAGACCAAGAAATGGGCACAGCGGAGTCAGACTCCCAGAAGGTCACAGGGAAAAAAGCACTCACGGAAGTCTCTGCTGGACCAAAAAAACAACAGAACACGATGCTACTCTTCAACGCCATGCGAACGACAGCAGCGCACTCCAAGGTCACCCCTCCGTCGGTCCCAGCTGCAGCCGAAAACGTGGAGATGGGTACACCCGCGCCATTCCCCGGATTTCGCGCACCCGCCACCCCTGTCACCCCTGCCTCGGACACGATACCGAGCGTCCCCCAGAAAGACTCAGGATTGGCGGAGCAGCCTAAAGGTATTCCTGGCGCCGGGAAAAAGAAGAGAAAGAGTGAGTGAGCACACCGCAAATTCTTACCAGGCAGCACTCATTTCATCTTCGTTAGGAACATTGAACTCACAACCCCAACCCTGATTCCTGGTGCTATCCTTTATACTGGCTCGAGGAGGACCGCCTCAGTAATGATAACAATAGTTAGGCATTCTCAAGGTCATACGTGCGCCCCACGCCGGCTGGGAAAGTTTCGCCTTGGTCCCATATTTATGGTGCGCTGATTCAGTACCCATTTTAAGTTGGCCAATAGCCGGAAGGCTTGTCGTATGAATCAGTATGATAAAACATGTGCACGGTGCCATTCTCGACATTGACAGATAGGATTATACAGCTCTGATAAGATACTAATAGACCCCGCTGTATCATCTCGCCCCGACGCCGGTTAGCTTTCCTGTGAGCCATCCGAGAGGCGTCTGGTTGACACCACGGACACCTAAGCCTCCAACACCGAGTGCAAGGGGATTTGCCGAGGCAAAAGAGTCCTTTCTTGCCTTGGTAGCTTGATGTACTAGGTATTGTAAGATTAACATACGAACATCACGGTACGACTACTTGACCGAACGTACCTGACGCGTCAATCTCCTCGATATTTGTTTCCAATACGAGACCACCTTGTATTATTTCAGCTAAGATGTGGTGGGCCTTAATCGTGGCCGTGAGCGGTCACATCCAACGCGTTATGAGAGACTCGCGAACCTCGTCGAAGTGGAACACAAGATCCAACTCGCAGACGTTTTCGAACGTCCGGTCAAGGGACTCCACAAACACCTAGAAGTTCACCGCTGGTTTAGTCAATTTCAAGAAGCTTACCAGAGTGGTATATTGGATGAATCCTCACCTGAATCAAGTCCAAGATCCCAAGCTCACTTTCCGCCCCATCGACTACAAATACGAAGTGCAGAGTTGCGTAGCTGCGGTATACCACGCGCCATCTCTCGTCGTCTTTCTTCTTGGGTCCCAAGAACGCTTCAAGTTCGGGCGCATCAAGGAAGTTGCATAGTCCTGGCGGGCGAGAGCTGACCAGCGAGAATATCTTCTGGACGAGTGTTTGTGGTGATTGATGCAGAGGTGTATAGAACTTGGTCAGTCGGGCAACTCCCGAAGTATTGACTAAATGGATGGGCAGCAATTCGGCTATTAGCAATGGCACCAAGTCTACTGAGATGTACAGCTTACAGATGAGCACGCCATGGATCATTTTGCAGCTTAACGTCTAATGTTCATTGGAAACTTTGACTAGTGCGAAGCGGTATCCAGCACGTGGCCCAATTGGGACCACGTAAATTCTAATAACAAATCTAACATACAGACTGTAGACAATGCACTGGTATCTCATTTCCTGAGTACATATATTGAATATTCACGCATCTGAGGAAGGTTAAGCTCTGGGTAGTGACAATCAAAGTGGGACACTCACAGTACGATGTACCAACAAGCATTGACGACAAGCTCTGGAGTTGATCTTCGTCAAACGCTAACTGATCTTTATGCCAAGTATCCTGAGTAAGGAAGTTAGTCTATGATCAGAAGTAACAATCACGATGAGAATTACCTGGTGAGTCTGTGGACGAAACATGAGGAAGTCAGCGGTCACACGATGGATAAAGGGTAATATTAGACTGACCTTCTTGAATTCTGACGCGCACTGTCGAATTGTAGTTGAGATAGGAGGAGGGTCGGTAGAATGTGGAGCCAGTACTATGGGGACGGCATGAAGTGAAGAAAGAATAGGAAAGCAATTATGAATGACCTTCTGCCAAGGGAGGCATCCAAGACTCCACCGAGTATGGGAAACTCTCAATTAGGGCACATACTCCAAGGATAGCTGAGTGGAGAGTTCGAAGAGAATCTGCAAATTCAGGGCTCTGTCTATCAGGTAGCTTGATCTTCCTGATTTGCCGAATGAAGCGATTCTGCAAGTACCAGTGTTCATTTGTGCAATGACCACACCGTGAGCGAAGACGAACCTTGAGCGGCACAATACTCTGCCGTTGAGAACAGCGCACTATTCCTGATAGAGCCTTTGATGCCATGCCTCGGACTTCTACGTTTTCATCTGCCAGACATGCAAGCAAACAATCCATGATCTTCGAGACATTCTCGAAGGAAATCGACAATAGATTCCGGTAGAAGAATACGACCATTGCGGGAAGGGCATGGAGGCGGATTCGCCACGACTGCGCAAGATGTCAGTCCCAAAAGCTGTTCGAGGGTGCGTACACTCACTGCGGATGACTTGATAGCATCAACGAAGTAGTTCAGTATAACTTCCACATACTCGGACGGGGGCGTAATCGCCGATATCACATAAAGCACAGCAGTACTATAGCGTTGTAGATCAGGACTATCACTGAGCTCAGCCATGCGCAGTATCTCAGGCCTTTGAGAATGTTGATATATGTGAGCCTTCTGTGACGTAGATTCGAGGGTATGACTCACAATAAGCGAATGGCGTATGGGAAGATCAAGGATGCCTGAGCACCATGCGCAGAGGTCCATATCCACTGAAGAACTATATGACTCGTTGATGTGATGCTCTCTGCTATCACTGATAAGAAGCTTACGAGTCAATCCAACTTTGTCGTACTGCGCGAAAAGTATCAGAATTGATTGTTTACTGCAGACGTTTGGGCGACTTACTTGTGATTGGCTCACACGCGGCGGAGGGAAGCGTTCTGTCCGCCATTGAGGCATTTTGTCCACGATGGCATTAAAGGCTACTGCGTAAGTGGGTTGTCTATGCTTTATTTAGCTAGCACTAAGAACGAAACTTGGTCAACTTACCGGATTTGCAATGGATCCTTTGAGGTCTGACAAGCCTGCAAGAATGCCTGAGTCGAAGGGTAGCAAGGCTCCCATAAATTGCGATTCATCATGTGTAGCTGCTCCGCAATGTATGCTCTGATCTGCAATGCTCTGTTAGTAAAGAACACGGCATGAAGGCAATCAGCATACCTCAGCATATCCGATGTCTAGATTGTCCATGAATAGAGTAATGTATTTATCTGACAACGAGTTGAAACGGGAACCCAAACAATCAACAATTGCTGAGAAGAGCGTTATTTGTTTCGTCACTGGGTCATTTCAATGTTAGGTAGTATTTCGTCGAAACAGGAGGACACCCACTCTCAAATGCTGATTCGCGACTGAAATCCAAAGGTTGATCGAGGACCCATTTTATCAACGGCGTACTTCGTCGGGGATCTCGGTCCTGTAATTGGTACTAAAGAGACACTTAAGCACCAGCGCGACAGTATGTCTCGTCAACATACGCTAAAAAGGGACTCCCAGAGGACCAACGTATCTGGTTTGATCTGAGCGTAAATTCTATCTAAGCGAGACATGAACCAGGTCCAAAGGCGATCACTGGATGAAGGGAGCCAGTGTTTAGATCCTGGTAAAGACATGAGGACCTTTGCTTGAACGTTCAGATGGGTAGGAAACACGTACCTCGCAAGAGGCCGGCAAGGAATTCCACTCCCGCTCGCTGTTTGAAGCGATCCGGGTCGAAGATCAGTGGTTCAATGACATCCAGGAGACCATCGAGGCATTCACGTTCCAACATTATGGCTACCTGGAGGTGAGCATGGGCGAGAGGGGACAGCGCGACACCGTACCCAAAGCTTTGATGAGCGTCACATTTTCTATACGCAACTCTGTAATACCGCTTGTCCTGCCCGACTCCTGACCCCAAAGCGTTGCTAGATTAACGAAGAATTTACCCTCCACCACCACGGCCCTCGTCGCATCAAGGCACGGCTGGCAGTCGGCGCTCCACAAAAGGGGGGACGAGTTCCCTGTGGTGATAGCATATCCCTTTACACTGGGCGTCCACGAGACAAAGCCGGTGGGGACTCTGTCGACAAGGATCTCACTAAACGACAGTTAGGTCGGACCGATTGCAAGGGGTGAAACGTCTCGCCTTCCTTGGCCTCGCAAAGGTTGGTCTAAGCCGGCAAGGAATGCTTGCGGGTCTTTGATGAGCACCGTTCTCCGTAAGGGACTCGACCAGTTGTCTGTCCACAATTCTTCATTAGACTTAGAATAAGTTCGGATCTTCACCATTGCCAACATCTTGTTGACCGCCCTACGGAGCATGTTAGGTTTAAGGTTATGTTATGATCTAAAACAACATGCCGTACCTCTGGGCGGTGGCCCTAATGGATGGCTGAGGGTTCGTGCAGAGCTCCATGAAAACTTTGGCCAGGTCGGCCGAGGTGGGAACATCTCGACGCACAAGACCAACTAGAAATCTAAGAGCCATTTGCACGTATCTCCACTTGAGATCCAAAGTGTCAGTGGATACCACACACGGTGCCACACCACGACACTTACATGCGTTTGAGGGCTCAACACCACATTGAGGATCGAAGTGACCTGAAAACACCGTCAAATGAATGAAAACACCCGAAGCTAATGCAACCTACGGTGCTTTGATACAACACCGCTCGTTTAGCAACCCGGATGGAGGATTTAGCCGTCGCTTCCGATAGAAGTTGTTGATTCACAAAAGAAGCAGAAAACTCAGCAGCTAACTCGAGGAGCACGTCATTCAGGCGTGGAGTATTGAGCGTGTATGCCTCGGTGTGAAATGCCTCTTCGGAAAGGTGTGCTAATAATTCCTGAGACAGGCTACTAACTAGCTTCTGCACGGAGGGCTATGATTCATGTTGAGTTAATATTTAGCCGTATGACAAAGGGTGCACAACACCTTCTCCTCGTGTTGGCATTCAAGCAAGGTTAGCAGATGCTTTTGGCGATACTTGTAGTCTGCGTGAAATGAGTGTGAGGGCCTATAGGAGGATTACGACACTAACCAGCCAGAGAGTAGGCAGCTGGCAATGTACGTCAGTGAGTTCGCCATCAAAAGGTGGAGTCATCATACCAATGCCTTTGTTACCAAGAACGTAGAGGGCTCCTTTCATGCGGTCAGGATCATTGCCCTTAGCGAGTGCGTTGAATAGATGGGGTAGAATCATTCTTGTAGAACGAACGTAGTACTAATACGAGTAGATGTCAGTCGCAGCATTTCGTGTTGCAGATCCGTTAACCTACGCCGCAGACATTATGAAGCACGGACTGTGCTTGGCTGAGAAGTCAATCAGGTCAAACGAAGAATATTCTTGTGCGACTAGACGCACCGGCGGATTCTGGTATACGGTGATAGAGAAAGTTCGACAAGCTCTTCAATAAGACCATTGTCTACAGACGACCGTTTCCGATAGAGCGAGTGCATGTATACTCGGCCACTATGGTAAACTTGTGCTCGCTTCACGAAGACAAGCCTGGAATTTTCTTTCTGCTTCGGCCAAGTGCGGTGAAGGCTGGACATAGATTTAGAACATGTAGTGATAGATGACGTAATGGGCACTTACTCTCTTGCCTGGGAGTAACTTGTAGAAAGGGATTCGTAGGTACCTCTGGTTAGGCCATAATCAAGCAGGTAAGAATCGATAGCTTTGACGACGCCGATGACTGCATCCGTATGATCTTCGCCTTCTGTTCTCTGACGCAAAGCAGATGAGGCTTTCTTAATAATGGTGGCGAAGCGCCCTCTAAGCGCAGAGACATGTCGATATCGAGGATCCTTAGGATCCGTTAGGACAAACCCTGCGTTCAAGGATAGAGGCGTCATGGAAAGTTCCATTGATTCGACCTCATCGTATAAGCCAGAGTTTGCAACCTCTTTCTGGCCCTCCTCGAGGAGTGTAGGTAGGCCGTTCCACATAGCTTTGCATGCATGGAGGTACCTGTATACAGTTGGCGTTAGGATCAGTGCGAAAGATGCGTAAATTCCCATACCGGCAGAAGTCATTGCGCTCGATGCTATCCCAACGTGGTGCGCTGTCGATAAGCACTTCGACTTTGTCCATAGCGGGGGAGAGGACCGTATCCAAAATTTCAATGGCGAAGGCGATCTCCTCGGGAGAAGGGACTAGACGGACATGAAGCTACAGACAAGAATGACGCGGACCTTTAACATACCATGCCATTCTATGCGCACTTCGTTAGCTTCGTATAGTTTGCCCCAACTCTTGTAATGTTCCGTGTCAAAGTCTGCGTCAGAGTTTAGAGGGAAGTGATAGCTTCAGTAATGGCAATGAACGTACTTTGGTCTTCCCACTCGTCTGTATTGATGAATCGGCTGTTCAGAGGATAGGTGCCAACTAAAGTATGCAAAGAACGCATTATAAGACGTCCAACTCCACTGTAGCCCCTTTCGCCTTTGGTCTTGTCGACGAGAAGCGCGAAGAGCTGGAGGATTCGAGGCTTATAGCGTAACAACTAAAAGACAGGAGGATGAAGGTTAGTAACTTCTAATTGTTATGCAGACGACCTTACTAACCTCTGGTCCTCCGTACCCGAGACAGCCACGGAGGATTGTCAAGTCTGAGAGTGAGATCAATATATAAGGTGTGCTGCACGGTCGAATATTCGCTCACTCCAATGGAAAGTAGTATCGGATGGTACCGCGGTGTGACTTGAAGTCGTGCGAACACTCGAGGCGCCATGCTTCAACTCTTCTTCAATCTGCATATTACAATGCGAAAAGAATTTGGCTATTGTCTCCTTCGGTTTTACCCGTGCTAAACAGGCAACGAGTTGACCGAACGCCCTTACAGCATTGGACTTCGCGTTGGTGGTCGCGTAGTTATAAACGAGATTCAAGACGAGATCGAACAGCTTGTCGGAGAGGTGGAGGCACACGACGTCGAGCATGCTCTTGATGGATTTCAGGACGCTTTCTTCTTGCTTGCCGCCAGTGGTATTCCTTCTACCACCTTCTTCGGGGAGGTTTTCGAAGAGAGCAAAGACGCGGCGGAAGAGGGATGCGACCCAGTCTGTCAAAAGGCCGTAAGCAACGTGGTCGCGGTTGAGTAGTGAAACGGCGACATACCGGCAAAGCCAGCGGTGCTATCGATAGTCAAAGACCTTTCCTCGCTTCTGCTCAACTTCTGCACCTCGCCTATGTCGACCCCATCTGGGAGCGGAGGGGCATCCGCATCGATCTCCATCGCATCTGCCGGATCCTCACTGTCTACAGGTAGGCCAGAGTGATAGGAAAGTTCTCCAATCCTGACATGCTGAACGGCTGAAATGATGAACATAGTAGCACACACTGTCTTGACTGGGTCGTTCTGAAGAAAATGAGCATCAATATGCGCGAACTGTCACGGTGGCTAGTTGACCGACCAAGTCAATGCCTGGAATGCATAGTTCGAGAAGGGGTACGAGGTGCTTCTGACCGCCCAACCAAACGCGCTCCTTTGTAAGAGGGACGCAAATCCCAGAAAGCATCCCTAGAACAGCTGTCGTCCTATGAGTCTCGTTGACCACTTCGAGGCCGCCATAGGCGCGCTCGAGTAACTCAGGCATGATTAAATCTGGATCGAGCAAAGCCATTGTGCGCAACGAGCCTTGCGCATATGACGCAGCGACGGGGTCCTTCGAGAACATGGCGATGAGTGCTGGCGTGCGGAGAATTCTGACGAAGTTCCTTCGGATGGCAGGCGTCAAACGTTGTGCCTCAAGGGAGTATTAGCTACAAACGCGAGAACAGAAATACACACGCCTACCCGTGGTATGATGCAAGACGGCTGTTCTTCCTCCTTTACCCTTCGTATGAATTCGGCAGTCAAACGATGCAGGAAAGTTGTTAACTAACAAGGTACATAAGCCTCAGGATCCATTAAAAATGAACCCAACCTACTGAGAGTGACCAAGCCCCAGAGTTGGAGGGATGGAAAAAGGACTCGGTGCACGTAATCAACTTCTCCAAGGAGTCTAGGGCCTTGGATCCTGCTAAATACCCGATTGCATGAGAAGGCAATGATCGACTGTCGCCAGCGGGGGTCGCAGAGGCGGTAGTACGTTCAGGCCCATCCACTGACATAGAGTAGACGATGATCTTCGCAAGAGCGCCTGCATAAATGTTCAGATTTGAAGCACAAAGAGAAATGATTGGCCGTACTTTGTCGATTCACAGACTTCTTGATGCGTAATGACTGCATGTCACCGTGTATATCTGCCATAGCGCTTGTGTTAGATCCCTGTGTGAGCATATTAATAGGTGATCTGGTTTATCTTCATAAAAGGTAAAGTTACTCCAATGGCACCGACGGGAACATCTTGGGTATACTGGTTAGACCTGTTCGACGAGTAAGGAGGATGGACAAACTCATTGATCCTAAACCTTTGCCTATCAGGGTAGTCCATTCACTCTCTGACCAGATCCCAACATCCCTCCACTCAGCACCATCTTTCTTCGCCGTGCCTGCGATGTGCTCCTCCGAAAGGTCTCCCGCCAATTCAATGAGCCTATCGTCTACCGTGAACGAATTAAAGGCCTCCCAGAGAACGAAGATTGTTGGAAGGTAGAGGTCCACACGACCAGGCGGTAAAAAAGATGTCATTACAGGGACCATAGTCATTATCGACTGAGAAGAATCATTAGGATTTTCCCAGCGTCGAGGCCAAAAATACATACCTCTTTGGTAATCCTTGGTACAAATGTGGAGAGCATCTCTGGTATTTCGGTGACAGGGTAGTATCCCTTACATTGCTCAGCAACATATAGAAGAATATTGACCACGTTTCGACTAATTATTGGGCGTAAGTGCCATAGATAAGAGTACGCAGGGATGGTGAGCTCACGTGGGTTCTTGAATGCGTTTCTTTGGCCAAAGCTCCTTCTGAAGGGCATCCCATAGAGGCTTCCACGGCAGCTCAAGGTCAGTGGACTCCAATTTGCGCGTCACCCCTGATTTATTCGCCAGTAGCCGAGAAAGCATATCCGCCCAGCTTCGAATGACACGGCTTTCAATCCCGGGTAATATACATAGTTCGTAATACAATCGCACGAGCTTTGCCCTTGTCGACTTGGGCAGGGGATAACGCATCAAAAGCCAGCTATACAAGATGCATGACGAACCGATTACATGGCAAACAAAGCAACAACGACGTACCATTGCAACATGCCATCCCAAGTCGTCAAGACGAGCCAATTTTGAGCTTTGGCAGAGACAAATATCTTGCCCACGATCTCTTCCAGACGCGTCTGCATATATTCGACCGATTCGCATTCGTACGGCAGCGCATTCAAGTATGTCTGGAGCGTCGCACGTTGTTTGTCCATATCTGACAACCCGGCCTGATCGTCCAGTGAGGTAGGGAAGTCGTCGTCCTCCATGGTGGGGTACGAAGGGCCAACCTGCGCGAAGGAAAGATCTATGCCAAGCGCCTCTGAGGCGGCTTTCAGTAGTGATTCGAAGTCCATTATGTGTGATGAAGGCCTACTGATGAAGATGCAGCTATATAAGCTACTTTCCAGAGATGACGCGTCCTTGACCTGAGTCACGATACTCACTTTGTGAATAATCCGTTTGATATTCTGCGCAGTGGATCAGTGATCTTGAAGAAAGGACGCGTCACGGTAGTGAACGGTATAGATCTAAACGCCACGTGCCAACATCGGCATATCACCCCGCTTTAGGAAACCTTCGTTACTTGCAATATGTCGTTCAATTTCCTGAGGCCCTTCGTTCGACAAGCTGCAGGCTGCAAACGGCGCACCTTCTTCACATCGTCAGCGCGGAATGCCCCAACGAATTTCGCTCGGGCAACGCGAATTAGGCCCCTTCTCTGCGGAGCGGGCCTCTTCGCCACTGCGTTTGCGTTGCAGCCCAAGGTCCATTTAGATACTGAAAGCCAGGTGCCAGAGCCTCCGAAGACAGTGGAAACTACAAGTAGGTCTCTAATTTATGTTGCTGGAGACCCTTACACTTACCACCCGTTTCTAGCCGACCCCGCGACCGGGATTCAGTTCCCTAACTCCCTTCAAGTGCCTTCTAAAATCAAGCTACCAGAACTCACTCTCCTAGGAGTAGGAGTTAGAACAGTCTCATTTCTTGGAATCAAAGTATACTCTGTTGGATTTTACGCAGACTTAGAAAACCCAGATCTCAAGGTCAATGTCTTTCTTGGTATTACTCAGGAGACAAATCAACCAACACATCCATAGATCCCTAAGGACCTTGATCCAGAGCAGAAAGCAGAGCACATCGTCCGAAATACGGCATGCGTAGTACGAATTGGTAATGGCATTGTATCACATTACTTGCTCAGCAAAAGTAACTTATATTCCATTCAGTTCCTACCAGAAACACTAACTACACACATCTTCGGGACGCCTTCATGAGGTCACTACAAGCCAGAATGGTCACTGGACGTCAGAACGGAAGCATATCGGAGGAAGTAGAAGTGGCCGCGGGCTCCCCCCTGCGAAAGTTGAAGTCCCTCTTCCCAAATTCAGCGTTAACCAAGAACACGCCGCTGGACGTCTTCCTTTCGGCACCTACCCCTGGTCGTCCCCGCGCACTCGTATTCCGCGATATGGGTGCTATAGAGAACGACTGGGTAGCCACGGAGCTGGTACTCCACTACTTTACAGGGGAAGGACCCAGCCCTCCGGTATGTCCTCCGTCTTAATTTATTAACGAGATTATATCACGACTAATTGTCCCTATCAGCTCAAGAAGGCAGTGCTGGAACGCCTGAGTTCCCTAGAAAAATGACATGTATTTATAGGATAGAATCGCGGCTTGACTCTGCTGGAAATATACACTGCTTTCAAATCATGGTCGCTTGAACATTTGTCGCAAAGGCCCCACCGATATATCCCCGGCTATATCGAGTCCCCACACTCACGCTTGATTGATTGTAAGGACCCCCTTCTCACTACTCACCATGGCCGAGTACAAATATCTTAGCCGTTCGTCTGTTCTTATTAACAGTGGCTCGTCTACTTATTATAGCCCGCAACAGCCGAGCAAGTGGATAAGTTTCTTGAGGACGGGTACATTGTGATCAAGAATGCTTTTACGAAGGAGAAAGCCGCTGAATGGACTAAATCTATGTGGACTCGCCTAGGCATCGATCCTGACGATAAGACTACGTGGTACAAGGAAAGAATCCACATGCCTTGGCACAAAAGAGAGCAAGTGGCCAAGTTTGCGCCTAAGGTATGGGACATTGTTATCTGAGGCGTCTCCAGCCATCACCCAATTATCCAGGCCTGGGGTGCCATCGTTGATCTATTAGGTGGCGAAGACAGAATCGACGAAGAAAGTAGCGCCTGGGGCGATAGCTTTATCGTCAACCTCGGTACCGATGCCTTAGAACAAGCGAAAGAAGACAAGCGTCCAACCGATCTTGATAACTGGCATGTCGATGGCGATTTCTTCGTTAGTATAGCCAGTGGTATCTGCCATCATCGATAATCGTTTTAACTTCTACCAGGTTCATTTCCTTGACTCTCCCGAGCAAGGTCTCCTTGTAATTCCGATTTTCTCTGACATACAACCTCGCGGCGGCGGGACTTTCATCTGCACAGATGGTTTGGACAAGATAGCCAAGTACTTGTCCGAGCACCCAGAGGGTGTTCTGCCCACTGGCTTATCGTTCACCCCATCCACGACGAAATACAGCACCGGAGAATACGACCAAGATCCCCACTATTGGTCGCACCTGAAGGAAATCAAAACGTGTAACAAGTTCATCGAGATGACAGGAGAGATTGGAGATGTTGTGTTACTTCACCCGTTGATGATGCACTCCGCGTCGAAGAACTACCTGCGAATCCCAAGAGTCATCACTAACCCTCCCGTCTCTCTCAAGGAGCCGTTCAACTTTGCTCGGGAAAGTCCTAACGAATACAGCCTTGTAGAGAGGAAGACTCTCAAGGCCCTCGGCGTAGAGCGACTCGAGTTCAAGCCAACAACAGAGAGAAGGAGGATCGTGCCGAAGCGAGTCCTCGACCAGAACAAGATGCTTGAAGAAGAGAAAAGACGGTTAGCGGCAACTCCTATGCAGCACTAGCTATATTTTTTCAAACGGCTGTATTTCCGAGCTAAATTGAGACTTCCTGTAGAAGAACTACGGGGACTACCGCTGACAACCGGTTAGGGGCTTAGATCACGCTGCCTCAATCGACCCTGCTAAACGCGACCGATCACATGATTGCAAATGTGATCAACAAAGACGCGTATTTCGGAGATTAGAAATTGTATAAAAGGGGTGGACTCGCGTTCCACTGAATTTGCATCCTCTTGCTTTCTGACCACCACCTCACAAGTACATTCAAGCAAATCGCCTAAGCATATCAGACTACCAATGGCCCGCACCAAGCAAACCGCCCGCAAATCTACTGGAGGTACATCCGTTCTCGAGCAAGTATCTTCTTCATGAATTCTAAAGTATCCTGTCTCTAGGCAAAGCGCCCCGTAAGCAACTAGCTGCGAAGTCAGCCCGCAAGACCGCCACCGCTGTACGTCCCCCTGCATCCCCAGCGACGGCGGCTTTTGCTTACTCTCATTTAATAGAATGCCACTGGTGGTGTCAAGAAGCCCCATCGCTTCAGACCAGGAACAGTAGCCCTTCGTGAAATCAGGCGGTACCAGAAGTCCACTGAGCTCCTCATCCGCAAGCTGCCCTTCCAGCGCCTCGTCCGTGAAATTGCTCAGGATTTCAAGGTTCGTGAAGCCTCCGGACCGACATTGGCGTCATACTGATCCACCCTTGCCTATTTTGTAGACTGATCTTCGTTTCCAATCATCCGCCGTCATGGCCCTCCAAGAAGCTGCCGAGGCGTATCTTGTGTCGCTGTTTGAAGACACCAACCTTGCCGCCATCCACGCTAAGCGTGTAACCATTCAACCCAAGGATCTTGCTTTGGCCCGACGCCTTAGAGGCGAGAGGTCTTGAGTCCGTTTATATGGCTCCTGCCTTCATGTTTGGTTGATCACTGTGCCAGTATTATTTATGTCTGTACAATTACCTATGTGTCATGCAGTAATGTTTAGGGGAAATGAACATGATTCCGTACTCGGACTCACTGTCTGTATAAGTGGAGCAGTATAACGCGCATCGCGTTGTGGCACAATACCGTGTTGTTGTCGCTTGTTTGGGTTTTCAGCTCGCTTCATTTGGAATATGGGGTAAGCCAATCTCACCCAGTACCATGAACATATCCTTCCTCCATACCTGTCCTCATTTTGCGAGGTCAAGCGGCATTCGAGCCACGAAATGGTTGTCGGGTGCTTTCGCTAGCAGACATTACGCGACCCACCGTGATCCTACAATTGCTTCTTCACCGCTTTCCCAGTCGCTCGACACAGGACGACGGAGTACATCTCGACTCGAGTCTGCGGGCCCGTTTCAACTCGGAGTCTCGCCAAATCGTGGACAGCCCGCCAAGAAATGGTCTGAGCTCAGTGCCGGAGGCAAAGGTGCGTCCCCTCGAGTTTTCGTTCTTGAATCATTCTTCACAGCCTAACACCGTTTTAGTCATACGCACAGGTGCTCGCACGACGAATCTGACCGTGATTTTGCTCGGAGCCGGGTTCTCGGCCTTGCTGGTCTACTCCTTAACTACTGAGCTCTTTTCGAAGAACTCACCAACGGTGCTGTACGGTGATGCTTGCAAACGAATCACGGCTTCTCCTCAGGTTTGACTTCCCTTTTCCCATCACGATCGAATGTTGTAAAATTGAATGTTGCACAGGTCGCAAAATATATGAACGGTCCATTCACCTTCCACAATAACCCGCCCTCGGCTATCCGTCCTCGGCACCGCAATCGACATGTCTCGTCCCAAATTATGGTTGACTCAACAGGCCGAGAACACATGATCATGAACTTTTACATACAGGGCAAGCCACCGGGTTCACAGCATACATCTGACGAATCATACTTTGACTCGATGTCAACTTGGAGCAAGGAGACTCTTGAGTCATTCTCAAAGATGACAACAGATGATGGTATCGTTTGGGTGAAAGACACAGCTGCGGACATATCGGAACGAGCTAAGAGACTTTTCAAATATCTGAGCGGCTCGCCTATGCCTCCACCGCCGTTACCTACTCCATCACTGTCACCCGAGGGAAAGGATATGTCCAGAAGGCAGGATAGCGGGGTATGGAGTCTAACGGGGATGTTCTCCTCTCTGAAAGGCACGAAATCAGCATATTCTGAGGCCGCTACATCCGAACCAGACGGCAGAATATGGACCGAGGGCGAAGTACACGCTGATTTGATCAAGGTATGCATCTTCATCTGAGGCAAACAGCATCCCACTGATAGCTATTGACATCATCACCAGAATAACGATGGTTACTTCGTGTTCCGCTATCTGTTGATCGACATCCCGAGTGAGTTTACATGTACATCCGTCAGAGCCATGAAACTTATGACGAATCAGGTTCGCGGTCCAGGGACTCGGTACGCGTTTTCGTTGAGCGCGCCCCGACTGTGAGGATAGACGAGCCGGTCATACGATGGAATTCATAGGACATTATCATCATCATCATCCCCTTCACACTTAGTGTAATGTATCATGATTTGTTAACTGACGAGATCTGCCGCGCCAATTACATTATTTGTAGGGTATGGAAAGTGCTGGACGTAGAGGTGAATTGGATTGAATTTGTAGTATGCCAGGTTAATCGCCAAACAGTTTCTGAACGCGTTTGAGTACGGAGTCCTTCGAAGGATCTGGAAATGCACGTCGTGATTGCTCGGATACAATGATTTTGGGAGTCCCTGCCACAGCTCACCGTAAGGATGGTCCTTTGAAGGAATCTCCAATAATGCTGGGAATGCTTGCTGGTATTTGTCTACAGTAGGTCGTATCTTCTCAGCGACCTGTTAATCAAGGTCAGCGGTGGAAAGAGGTCTCAAATGGATCCAACAGACATGTTGGTTGATCAGGAGGATGGCGATGTCTTTCCGTTCGGTGAACTCCTGGAACGCAGCTTCAATCGTGGACACTTGAGTTTCTGATAACAACCAGGCTACATTTGGATCGGTCATCTGCGAGTGATTCTGAACAACGTACTAGCGTCCACGATCAAGAAATTCTTCTTCTGCTGCTCGTTTATGTGGCCAACGCCCGCTAGCAGTAGGCCCGTGATGGAGTCCTGGGCAGCAATTCATTCAAGGAAACCCAACAAGGCATCCCGTAGAGACTCTCACCTCGTCTCCGATGACCGCTATCAGATTCCGTTCCTTCGCACTTGTCGCCATGAGCGGTGACGGAGGAGAGAAACAAAAAAGGCAATCTCAGGATGCTAGCTCTGATCCAAGTCTAGTCAGGGGTTGGAACTTTGCAGGCTTCTCCACATTTGTGCACTCGCAAAGTTCTGCCCTCTACACGACAGAGAGAAAGTATACGATGGATATTTTTAATCGCCCCCCAACGATCTCGGACGATACTTTGCAGTACACGCTCTACCCTCCCGCCGAGCTTGCGGACCATGTTTCTGTGACCTCTTTTGCAGCATGCATCCCATCCTTCGTAGAAACTCTGCTTCCGCCCAGTTTTATCTGGCACAAGGATTCATTCGAACTCAGGGCAGTCCCCGATCCTGACGTCGCGAACCGATGGCGTCTGAAGGGCAGGATGCGCGTCGGAGACTGCGTTGACGATGAGTGGTGTGTAGTTTGGCTATTCAAAGAGATCAGTGCGAAGTGGGATCTAGCAATTAGGTCAGTCATTTTCCCCACAATGTATTTCACTGTCTGATGGAGGGTCTCATAGCGTCTTTGATTCTGATGGTGAATTCCTGCTAATTGAAGCAGCTGAAGGCCTGCCGAAATGGGTAACCCCAGGCAACTCAGAAAACAGGGTGCGCCCCCTCTCTTTCGATGGTAAGATGCATAATGGATTTACGCGTATGACTATACAGGTCTGGATCTACGGCTCACGCCTTCATCTTATTCCTCTCTCACACATCTCCCCGCCTTTTAGACCGCGCAAGCGCAGACGTTCGCACGACAGGGACGACGAGGGGACCGCAGGCATTGCTGGAAGCGATGATGAAGGGTGGATCGCCGTCGAAGATGCGCTCAAGTTGATCTTTGACCGTAACGTCAATACCCTAGCACCTCCAGAGGTTGAGAGACTTGTCTGGAAAAGGATATCAAGGTGAGTTCCCTCTGCTCTACCGTTCAGTAAGAAGAATCTAATGCAACGCAGTTATCCAGCCGCAGCCAAGAACCATATGCATACGACAAAGGCGTGGATACCTGTAGACATTGCTAGAGCTCTTTCTGTTGATGCGTCCCTCGTTCAGAAGGCGGTAGAAGCTTTCTATACCAGAGACGCTACGCAGTTGCGTGTAAGCATTGATTGTTTTCCTCGTAGTCTCCCTAATAACCTGCCCTACAGGCTGCACACAAAATGAGCCGCTTCCCTCCAGAATCCTCGGTGCTCACTTTGGTGAAAATGACTCGAACGGCATATGCCCAGCTAGTGGGACAAAAATTCTATCCACCGAAAATATTCGGTCGGTGGAACGAGAAGGAAGGGACACCGGAACGAAGGTGGCGCGAGGTCGGCATGAAACTGGTAAGGTTTTCGACTGCTCAGGTGGATCTACATTCCTCATTTTGCGTTAGGCCTGCGGTTTCGAAATGCTCTACCAGGAGACTAAGAAAATTCTTCCGTTTGATGATTCTTCGGTAAGATCTCGCAGAACCCAGAGAACGAAGTACTCAAGGTTTGCGTCAGGTCGAAGCGTATAAGTCAACGTTGGATGGCAACCCGGCCTACATGAAGTACATCGACAACCTCAAGAATAGCTCGTACTTCAGAGGCGAAGCAAAAGGCTCGGCGCTGTGGAAAGAACTTGAGAAGAAGGCTGCCGATGTCTACGTCCTGACATTCCGATTAGAGTACGTCCACGTTTCCTTGAAACGTGTCCATACATAAATCCTGACTACCAACAGGCCCTCCAGGCCGACCTTCGCTTCTTCTTTGACAAAAGCCCTATCGCAGTCATCGGACACGGTGCCAGCTGTACAATCAGGCGAAGATCTAGATGACTGGCTGATTATCGACTCGGATAGCTTTGATCAGATACTTGAGCGTTCCATGAGTGGCAACAAGGCCAAGGATGACACCGCTATGGATGTCGATTCAGGTGGCATTACCGCCGAAGATCAACTAGCAAACGAACAAGCGGCGAAATTACGTAGTCTAGCCACGAGGGTGGAGGAATTTGTCGAGGGCCAAGGCGACCTCGAGGGAGCTCGCTTTGCAGAGTATGTTGTCGATTTGCTCCCTTGACCATCCACTAACAATAACCTCTCCATCCGCTCGGTTACAGCGAGGCATCCGATGACGAAGAATTCAGCGATGGAATGCCGTCAACTGACTCGGGTGATTCTGACGATGAATCCGATATTAACGTTAATGATCGCAGCGATAAAGTCAGAGATACGGATAATCGTGAAGATGCTGCACACAGGCAGGCTGCGATGGATAATCTGGTACCTGGGATCCTTCCTTCGGAATACGGAAAAATGCCAGCGTCCTTTCATAGCAACTCACAGAGGGTCGCGCGGGCATCGCATGATGGAGATACAGAGGGAGATACGGACCCACGGGGTGCTGCAGGACGGACGCCGGAAGGCAGGCAGACGGTAGGCGACGATAACATCGACAAGCTTGATGCGGATTCGCGTATGGACAAGGGTGCTACCGGCCAAGCTTCCGTGTCTTCTAGCGAGAAGCCCATACGACAACCTATCATACCTCGCGACCAGTACGATGGGGTCGTAGATTCGGATGATGAAACCGACGAAGAGGAAGAAGAGGAAGATGAAGAGGATCAGCCGCAGCTGGTGGGCGACATCGAAGTCGACATGGACGAGGAGGAAGAGGAGTTCCTCGAATTCGCTAGACAAACCCTAGGAATCAACGATGAACAATGGGAGAGTATAATTAAGGATAGGACTGATCGGGGCGGTAAGCCATTTCCATCCTCAGACAGCCTCGCTCTGATATAGTTCTAGCCTTCGTTCCCACCAGCGCGAGAGATTTACCGACCGTTAATAAATCGAGTCAGACGACCCCCCGGACTGTGAAGGAGGGGAATGGAAGGACGTCAACCTCGGAACAGCGCCCAAACTCGAAGCTCGACTCCTTCGACGCTGTAATGCAGGCGCTCGACGTAGAACTTTCTCGCTCCGGCAATAAATCAACCGCATTGCCTCCTAGACAGCACACAGCAGCTGAAAAGGGGAAAGGAAAGGAGCGTACTGAATTCTCGCCAGCGTCTGGGCTTGATAAAATAATGGAAGGCGCCGAAAGCGAGTATGAGAATGAAGACATCGAGAAGGCGATGGAAGCGGAACTCAAGGCTGCCCTAGAAAAAGAGGGTGATGGCGAGGGAGATGGTGACTCTGAAGGCGACGGTGGCATGGACTACAATTTAATCAAGAATTTCTTGGAGAGCTTCAAGAGTCAGGCGGGGCTCTCGGGCCCTGTGGGGAATCTCGCGGGGCGACTACAGCATGGGTGGCTGCCCAGGGACGAGACATAGTAAATTTATTCCATTGTAATGAGTACAATATATTCCCAATCTAAACAAGTGTCAGTGGCCATCGTCAGAAGCGCATGAGTATAATCAACATCTATCGATGGAACAGGTGCCTCATGTCTTCCATCAGCATGTTGTCCAGAAGACATGAGGCATAAGAGTTGTTGAGATGTGACTAGGGGAGTGACTAGGGGAGTGGTGGAACGGAAGCAAAATGTTCAGGGGTTTCCATCACACATAAGCTTCAATACCTGGCGCAGAAACACTAGAAAATGTTGTACAGGAAGTGGCATTGTTGGCAAAGATTTCCCGTCAAAACATCACGGCGGAGCCGTATGGCAGAGCGAGGCTGTACGATTTGTGCGCAAAGTCAGTTGTTTTGATTTCGCCCTTGATTGTAACGTCCAAAAAAGGCAAGGGACAATTCTGGCGTTTCGCACTTTAGGCTGGGGTTGAGCTTGTTCGCATCCAACCACCTTGACCTCCCTTCTCATCTTAATTGCAGTTGGTCGTCGTCGCCAACGTCGAGCACGACCAGCACCTTACAAGTCTCAGTTACGACCTGCGAGCGCAGGCATCTGGATTGCCATAGACGCCCAGGAATTAATTATTTGGAAAAGGCCGCGAGAAGGGCACGTTGTCTGGAGATCAAAAACCTTGAAGTGTGCCTCCCCTTCGCCTCGCCTCCTTCCTTCTTTCTAACATCATCTTTAGGACCCCATTTCTGTCAGCTCAACCATAATCCTCACGACCTCCTCACGTCTTTTTATACTTACCCATCTGGCTGCTTGAACGGCTCTCGGACGCCCCCAACTTCTCTGGGCTCCTCATTGAAATCGTCAAGCCTGTATCTAGCAACGGAACCGACAGATAATTGCCTTCTTGGTGAGTGATGTTGCCGCAGCTTCTCCTCGTTGCAATTCATCCGACGAACATGCGGCGCTAGGTTTAAATGCACGACATTGTCACGAAATCTTTAACAACGACCAGCAACTTGCACCCATCGTCCGACGAATCGACCCCAACCCTCACAAAGCAGCGGAAGAATACGGACCCTCGTTGGTCTCAGCCCCAGGAACTACCTAACATTAATACAGAAGTACTAGAGGTACGTTCCGCCTGTCTGTCAGACCCATATGCGAGTTGTCGACATCTCTCTTATTACTCTTATTACTGCAGAATTGGCAAATGAGGCTCCCAAACGACCACACGCCTATCCAATCGTCTGCACCGCGCAGGCCAACACCAGCAGGAGGTCTCCAAAAGCGCAGCTACCCCACCCGCCCCGACTCTGAGGCATCCATTCAGATGGACAAATCTGCCCCCGCTTCGAACAACCGTTGGCTGTCCAATGGCAATGGACAATTTGTTGACTCGGATGCGACGAACTGGGACCTCTCCGACAGTCTCGTCAAGTTGAACATCGGAGACGTCAGTGGTGCCGATGACCACGTTCACGGGCAGATGTCAACACCACCCAAATCGACGATAGGGTCATCAGCTGTAGTCCCGCTAAGTGAAACTAGTCCGCTCGAAACGTCTTCCAATCCAAGCATCGACTCTTCTCCTCATCCCTCCGATCATCAAATCAGCATCTCCCACTCCCGTGGTTCATCAACAGACTCGACCGTTTCGAGTTCCCACGAGTCGACTATGTCGGGAGTAGGCAATACGCTTCTGGCGCCCGCTCATGTCTCTGCAAAGTCCGGGGCAGACACAAAGGAACGTCCCCACTCATTTAGTGGCGGCCTATCGGCTGCAGACCTTCGCCGCCTTCAGCAAGCGGGTGAAGTTGACGACCATTTCTCGCAGCAGCAACAATGGCCGGGAGCTGCTTACCGCGACAGCGGAGCGGTCAACGACAGACAGTACGAACAGCTACCGTATCCTACGCTGGTTCATCCCAGCGCAATAAATCGCCCTCAGCCACTCCAGCCACCTTTCGATTACCAATTAGCCCAATCGCAGGACAACTTTGCCTCAGTTCACAACCGTGACGACCTTCAGATTGATTACGCTTTGCAACAAAGAAACTACAATCCGATCCAACCGTCTGTGTTGGGCGGTCATGCTGCTGCTTATGCACCTCCTCGCCCAGCAAATCTGCAATCGCTTCCTTATCGCCAGACTCACCGCGGCTTCAACCAACCCGGACTGATGCCCAGCCCATCGTTCCCTACGCACACAACACACCTTTCATTAGGGAATACGCAACAGCTTTACGACATGATGATCCCCCCTCACGATCCTGCAGTGGCGCGCGTCCAACAGCAGCACAACGTCTTCCGTGCTACTCATCATCACTCAGCGTCGGACCCATCTGCTATCAGAGATGCCGCCGTTTTGGCTGCTTTGGGAGGCAACATGCAAGGGTTCCCCTTCCCCGCTGGTATGGCACCTCCAGCTACAATGGGGATGTATCCGAACCAATATTACGGAGCTCAAGATGCTTACCAACGCAACGATCTCGCAACGGCCCAGGCTCTGGTTGCTGCCAGGCTTCAGTCTCAATATACTGGTCCTTATTCAGTCCTACCTCCCGCCGTAGAGCCGGCTTTATCGAGCCCCGCCTCTCCGAGCAATGCATCAGGTGGACCGAGCGCCAACAACAGGAAATTGGGATTGTACAAGACGGAGCTTTGCCGTAGCTGGGAAGAAAAGGGTTCTTGTAGGTATGGCACAAAGTGCCAGTTTGCGCACGGCGAAGACGAGATTCGTCTCGTATCCAGACACCCGAAGGTTGGTGATTTTATTGAGATTTACTGCATCTATAACGCTGAGTTTAACCTCTTCTCATAGTACAAGACTGAAATTTGTCGAGTAAGCCTTCATTCAATTGGCCTGACAATGTCTGCCCATACTGACTTACGATACTTAGACGTTCTGGGTATCTGGCTCTTGTCCATATGGCAAGCGTTGCTGCTTCATACACACGGAAGTTCCAAACAACCAGACCGGTGCCGCGGGCGGCACTCCCACCGCCGATTCTGGACAGCAGCCCTCTCGTCCAGACGGCCGGGAACGTTCGGCCAGTACTAACAGCGATCCCAACGATGGATCGGTGTCACTTCTTGCCCGTCTCACTGCGAAGCGCAGCCAAGAGAACAACAATCCTTCTACTCCAGTAGAAATGAACCCGCCCAGCAACCTCCAGTACTCTCGTCCCCCAACAGGTAGCCTGCGTGTGGACACGACGCAGCTCGACGGTCCGTCGCTGTCGAAGCAGAACAAATCCGCTTATCCGACATTCACGAGCAACGGGATTCTCATGCCCGCTGGTGACCACTCCGGTAACAAGAGCCCTGCGCCCGTGACTGCAGGACCTGATCTGGGACGCCATAACCTCGCCTCGAGGCTTGAGATTGTGGGCTACCCTCATGTAAGTTCCTGGTTTCAATTCAATCAAATGGAATTATGTTACTGACAGCGTCTGTAGCAGTTGCGCGGGGGCATCAAAGCTGTGTCGAACAGTTCAAGCGTACGACGCTCGCTGGGTGGCAGCGATGTCGATGGCAGTTTCAGTCCTTCCCCTCCCATCTCAGGCGGACAGTCCTCTTTCGGGCTTGCCTCCGCCGTCGAGCCATCGACCGGCAGCAGCCACCCTTCTCGCATCGGCGGTCACGTCCGCGCTGGCAGCGCCGGAAACTGGGGGGTTTGGTCATCCTCCGACCTCGCTGTGGGCTCCTCTAGACTCAACGAAAAGGCATGGGCATGATCATTTCTAATCCAACAACGGAGTTGCACAAGCGGATACTTCCTTTCATTCACTACATTCTCGACCTTCCTGCAATCCATGTTCTTTTGCTTTCCCCTTTTCTTATTACCTTGCATTAACGAATTTATTCACTTTCTGCATTTTCTTGGCCAGTCCATTTGCTACAAGCCTGTCCTCGCATTCCCTTGCTGTCTTACTCCCAAGCATATCATCCTGTGATTGATCGCCCCCGCTCTGTCTTGCGTACCAAAATCTAGTACTCGGAGCTCTATGTTTCCCCCATCTCTTCTCACAATTACTGTCTCCACTCACGATGCGCACTCTCCGACATTAGGTCCTTCGTCTGCATTGCATTTACGAACATCACCCGCATATGTTTTTATTGATCTCACTCAATATAGTTCTTGTACATTGCATATCTACCCCCACTGATTGTCTCTATACACCGGATGTCCGATAATCAATCTGTAGTTCATTCGCTGATGAAGTAAAGGATCTCAGTGAGGCATTATATTATCCATAAACACTAGAGTACGTACACGACAGGTAGAAAGAGAGAAAGAAAAGAGGACAATATCACTCGAGAGAATGTCCAATTCCAAGGTCCTGTAGTTCCTTGCGGAAGCTACCCATCCGACATATCGCATAGCCCAGATAATCGAACTCGGGCTCTGTCACGTTGTTGCGAAGATCCTCTTCCGCCTGGACTATGCCCCATACCGCCCACATGCCATGGGAAGCTGGACTCCAAGCTCGAACCTGGTTCTCGACCTTAGCTATCTCGTTCGCAGCCCCGGGTGGGGTGATCAGGGGGTGCCCAGCGAATGTCGAGTGCTGCAGATAGGAAGCGTAGAAGTTCCGACGTTCTTCTGGGGTAGGGTACTTCGAAGGATCGAGGATATGTGGTGTCGAGGAATGGTAATTGGCTGTCCACTCGTGGAAGTGGTTCGCAATATCGAAGGCTGCAGGGTTTGGAGAAGCGTACTCAAAGTCGACGACAATAATCTAAGCGATTGGACAATTGGTTAGCCATGGTAAGGAGGGAACGAGGGTAGAAACGTACCTGACGATGCCCCGGGAGTCCTTCTTTGGGCTTTGCTAACCTGAGTAGATTGCCGTATTGCGCGTCATTATGAGCGAATACTCGTCTACTACCACCGTTAAGGTCCTCTACGGCGGAGAGCCAGTGCATGTATCGCTGCCATTCTACACAGAATCGCTCTATGTCTAGCTCAGTGCGAACATCTTCGGGCATGTTGGGGAGTGCGAGGACGTTTCTAGCTGGGCCCACCCACTTTTGGACGTTTCGCTTCACGCCTATCTCCCATCCTTTGCCTTCACCTCGGTTCTTGGGCGAGGTGCCTTCAAGGAGCTCGATATCGACTGAATGAAGTTCAGCCATGCGAGCTGCTATCCACCCACTTACAGTGGGATCCTTCATTTCGTCCGCAGTGAGGGTGGTGGAGTCAAAATATTCTTCCAGGCGCCCATTCTCAAACGTCCCATACACACGAGGCCCAAAGTGATAGCGGGAGGAGAGGATGTGGAGCGTCTGGAGCTCCTTGGGTCGCGAAATCAGGGCACCTGAAGATGCACCATAAATTCGTAGCAGCATTATTCGGATGTGGGCTACTGTAGGACATGATACGAAGAAGACTGCGTTCGTCAAGGAACCTGAGACTTTCCGGATCTGCACTTTGTCTGCTGTGATATCTGGGTTCGTCCATGATGGAGCTTGGAGCGAACGAAATAGTTGTAGCAGCTCTTCGGCAAAGGCTGGTGCCTTGTAGCGTCTAATATTAACGAATAACGCAATCAGTGACGGGAAGCTTAGGTATGGATAAACCCAGACCATGCTCAGAATCGTCTGTAGGCAAGTCAGTTTGCGGGGGTTTTGCCATTGGCAGTATTTGAATTTGAGACGAGAAACAATGGCTCACCTGGCATCAAGCTTCATGGGGACGTGACGCAATTCCTCTTCCTTAACAACTTCTGCCGGCTCCTCCGACAATAAAATTGACGACGAAGATGCAACATTCGTTATCATCTCGGTCAAACTTGATATCGAGCTCGTCGAAAGGCGTCTTTCAAGCATATTCAGCGAGGGACTCCTGCTGGAGGCCATGGAGATGCTTGGGGAAATGACGGGCGACGTTTCAACCATTTTGCTCAAAAGGTTCGAATTTGCTGGGGTGGTTGAGATAAAGGACTGGGAAACGAAACGGTGCGCTGAACGAAGAACTTTATATTCTGTTCGGAGCTTGCTTATCATATGAGAGAGGACCGATAACGCGGCCAAGAGATGATGGTGGTCAGTGTGGAAGGAGCAAAATGCGCTCGACACTCTGGTCGTGTGCCGCTTTGGCTGTGCATCGCTCCAGGTTCCAACTGGGTCATACCAAGCCAAAGTCCTCATAGGGGCCAAATTTCATCAGGCAGCGCGCCGCAGAGCACAACGATAACGATAAATATTATTCCATTGAGGCTGATAACCGCCTGCGCCATTCTGAAGGACAGTGATGGGCATTTCATCTGGGTGGGACGGTTCCCTGCAAGACCCTTAGATATAAACAACTGCAAATGTTAGCGATAACACGAAGTAAATCATTCACTTCGTCGTTCAACTTGCCAGAAGAACTCGAGTTTCTACCGTCAAGTTCGCATGAGGGGTCGGGTGATGAACCATGGGGGCTAGCTTGAGTCGGATGTGGAACCCCCCTGCCGTCACTGCTTCTAGACGCACGGCTTTTGTTCGACTACTAACTCTCAGATGATAGATCACGAACCTGCCCCATTGTCGAACGGACTTACGGTGCAATTCCAAGGAGCTACAATCACCCCGGAGGCCATCTCAGGCTGCTCGCAGCCGTCCCCTAGGTACGGTTTTGTCCCTGCAGCTGTATGTATGAGGCTTTGCTGACGCTCAGTCAACCTCTCCATTCTTATGCTATCCTGTTTTGGAACAGCCGTAAAGGCCCTCAGCAGGCAAACAACCAGGCAAGGCCAGCAGAGGGAACAATGCTCACGATCTTGCGACGGGATCTAATCCCATTTCTTGAAGGCCCATGCAACAAGTTGCGACGTTCTCCTGGGTATGCTGGCACAAAATACGAGGACGTTATGACATAAAACACACTGTAAGTGAAAGATGCCGAGAGATCGGATGCAATAGTGGTTCTTCGACGTAGTGGACCCTACCACATTCAAGGTTAAGTTTATATCTTGCTCTCAAGTGGGTGCGTATTTACAGGTGACGCACCCCGGAATAGCGCCTAATCAGCTGTTGCGAAAGCAATCACACCTGGCTGATCATAGAAGACATACATCAGGAACAATCCAGACTAACCACATTCTGCATTGTGCTGATCAAAGTCTCGCAGGCCGATATCTTCAATGCGCCTCATCTCCCAGCGATGATCGTTAACGCGTACGTAAATCGACTGTCCGTTTTGTTCCTGATGCTAGCCGCTCAGCATGCCGCAATCACTTGCCATTGCCTCGAGTCTGTCACAAGACGTAGATTTCGATAGGTGCAGCCGTATTTTCCTCCGTGGAAGTCTATCTAATTCCATCGACTATTCTACACTAGGTCATATGGCGTTGTCGGGTAAGATATCTGTCCAAACACTATGTGCTATCTCGTCGTCTTGGCCTGTAGCGAGGGACTGTAAAGACCTAAATGGCAAGGCCTGTTCTGCCGCTCAGGTTTGATGAAAACTCGGAGTTAAAGCCTGCAGAGACTGCAGAAATATGGCAACTTTGACCATGCACAGCTGAGTCCTGGTCGATTTGCTATCTCCGGTACCGTCTTCTTTGGCCTGTACTCGGCGCAGCGTGCTGGTCATGAGATAGTCCGGAGGTAGAGGGCCGCCTTGACCCACTGACCGCACTCAAACAGCCCTTCATTAATGGTGAAGTAGGTGGCACCAATTTAATCTCATCGTATTTCAGATTGATATTCTAGTACGCAATATCCATCTTAGGTTGTCGATCTCTGTGGGCACTTTGGTAATCCTGGTCAGCCTTCATTAAGGAGGAATGCAGACCCTTCGTGGGGTATGGGAACGCGGAGTTTTCTGGAAAGGTAAATATGGAGAAGACAACACTCGGATTCACACTGAGGATGTGGCGTAGGGGTCTCCTTCTCTCGTGCAAGCCTGGGGCTTCAGCCCTTGAATGATGTACCGAAGGCCGACGTTTCTTGTTCGACTTCCCACTATCCTCTCAAGCACCGGTTCCTCATTCTCCTGCGAAGCGAAGCCAGCCCAATTACACGACCAAGTGGAAGATCCGTAGTCGGAGTGCACGTTGGTTATATGATATATCCGACTGTAAACCCTGATGGAAAGAACAAGGCAAGCACATACGTTCTCGCCAACCAGGGATGTCTTTGGTGCGCTTGGGAGTGCGCAGCAAAATGGTACATGTTACATATCAATTAATCTGTCAATAATAGGTAACATCTCTATGTATCGAATGTGTTCAGTATAGGTATATAAATCGTTAGTGTCGTGACCCATGCGAATATTTTACATCTTGGTTTGAATCTTTAATGGGCCGTTCTATTGGTCTTTTCCTCTGTTACAACGTCCTCACCTAGGTCGATGGGTAGTTTCGGCAGGAGTAACGATATCTTCACAAGGCCATCAGCCGCATGGTGAGAAAGAATGCAAGAAAAGACCCACCAGTGCAGCCGTTCCTAGCGATGGTGTACACACTGTCCAGATAGTCTACAGCACGTCAGGCATCCGACGGCTTCGAACGGACCGTGTAACGTACCTGTATTGAAGATGCTACTATACTTAGCACCTGGTTTCTCAATTCCATTGGCTGTATTGAATTCAAGCTGCTGAAGTCTATTGTAGACCCTAAGCCATGGAGTGAGATTTCTGCTGGAAAGCGACTGGTTGTTCGGTCCTGGAAAACGGCACCCGCGACGGCCTACACCCGCGCACGCGCGCGATAAGGGTCAGCCAGCGGTCGAATAACCGAATATATGATGCCCACCAAGCCAACGGTAGCTCCTGTGAACCGAACTAAAAAGAAAGCACTTGTAGCAGAAGCCAGTTCAGAAGGTTTGAGAGCTCTCGTAAACACTTGATATGGAGCGTGGAATAGCATCCCAAGACCGATTCCTGCGAGTAAAGGAAACGTCACATAGGTGGACAGTTTCGAATGCTCGTCCAACAAGGTCATCAGGCCTATAAACACTTAAGGGATGCCTACGGCGCCGACAAGGTCTAGACGTACCGAATCCAACCGTGGCAATGATGAGGCCAAGAGAAATCACCATGTTCTGGCCACTGGTGGTCTTGGACTTAAGTTGCCAGTAACCGATAAACCACGCCGCAGGCATGGAAGCTAACGAGGACCCAAGGGAATACGGGAGAAGTTTCCAGCCAGCTTCTAATGGTGAGGCCCCCGTAACTGCCTATGACCTTGTGATAAGAAAGGGCATATAATGAAGAGGTTGACACTAACTTGGAAATATAGAGCCAAGTAGAAGGTACCTGCATTGAATGCGACGTTGTGCAGGAACGATAGGATGAAAACGATGACTAAAGGGAGGTTGAAATGAATCAGCTTTACGTTAGGGCTAGACAAGCTTCAAGTTTGGACCCACTGGCAGTGCTATTGCAAAACACTTGCTTTGGGAAAAGGGCTTCGCGTGTAGTGAAAACCTCGTATACTCCACCAATGACCAGTATGGCCAATCCCAGGATAATGAGAAGTAACGTGGATGGTGACGTCCCTGCCAATTATCAAAGCCAATTAGTAATGGAATCGACGCGACAGACGCCCATATTCAACTTACATCCGTTGTCAGTCCCAAAACTAAATCCAACGATGATACAACTGGTACCAGCGACCAGGGTTACTCTGGGATTCCAATCGTCACAAAAATGGGCGCAGAAGATTATCTTCGTTACTCACAACCCTATAAAGTCGAACTTTCGCAAGAATTGACCGAAGGAGGCGTGCGACGGCGACTGTAGCTTGACACCGTGCAAGGACAGAAATAAGATAACGGCCCCAAATAAGCAGACTGGCAGGTTTAGATAGACTAGCAGTACTGATAAGCTGGATGGCGTGCTGTATGACGATTATGCAACTCACAAGCCCATCTCCAGCTAAGTGGGTTCGTAGCATCACCGCCGGCTAATTTTGCGAACGCGTAAATATAATCGAAGTGATCGAATTGGCTGGACTTACAGCTAAACACCCCGCCCAAGATAGGTCCTGCAACCGCTGAACAGCTCCAGGTCACGCTTAGCGCTTGAGACCACTTGGCACGATTGCGGACCTCGACTATTTCGGATGTAATAACCCAGACGGAAGCTACGATGCCTCCGCCACCGATACCAGCTATTCCTCTTGCGACAATGAGCCATAGAATGTTCTGTCGGTAGGCAATGAGTAAGACGCGTCGGAACGAAAGTCACGCGCGAACTCACTTGTGCAGCCCCGCAAAGTAAAGAACCAAGAGCAAAAACGAACATGCTCGAGAAAAGTATAGCCTATTAATACGCCTTGAGCGCGCCGTGCTGTAGACTAATAAAAGAAGTTACCTTTCGTCCAACGATATCGGATAGACGTCCATAAAAGGGCTGACATGCTGTTTGTGTCAACATATACGCGACGCCGACCCAAGTGTATTCAGTTTGTGTTGCCTTGAGGTCGCTTGCAATAGTAGGAAGACATGTTGACACGATGGTCTAGCGAGGATTGAGGACATAGCGTTGACTGGGGTAGACGACGAGCTTACCGCGTCTGTCGTTGCAAGAAAGAGAGTCAACGCGGCCCTGCCGAGCATCTGCTATCAATGAACGCGACCGGTGATTAGAAAAAGTGACGAACCCAATGTGTGCAGCGAGAAGCCTGAACGTGGTCAAAGACGGAAGCTGAGAGTCTTCGAGGATGGTAGATGTAGTGGACTCGAGGGTATGTACAGATGAACGATGTGATTTGGTACTAGACAATGGGTTCGTCGCGATCGTAGTCGATGGGGAAGGGGGGCTTGGGTCATGGGAGGATAGTGTCGGGGGCGGAGGAGCCCACTCCGGTGAAATAAAGGGTACGCCTTTGGACATGGTAGGAGGTGGGGGATGAAGGGGTCGCGTTCTACTGGTAGTGCGTCCGGGGGATGACCGCAGGCGGTCCGTTGTCGAACTCGAAGGTCATGGTGACGCCGGGCATTTATAGGATAGAGAGAAAGAGGCAAGGCGACTCAGGTAAAAAAATAATATTTAGTGCTCGACCAAGAAGTCCTCGGCCTCAAAAGCCCCATGTAAATGTGCAATATCGGAGTGCAGTGAGATCCAATCCTCCGATTTTAGGCTTTAGATATATTTTGAGATTTGCGATTGGTCTTTGTGGCAGGATTGGAAGTTGGGTCGATGAAAGGGCCAAGGCAAAGAGAGTGCCTTTCGAGCGTGAATGCCCCCGAAAGCCCCAGGTGAGAGTAGGAACAGTCAGGCCAGAAGCATCGACTCGAGCTGGTGCAGCTGCCTCTGGATTGTTCATGAAAAGGACTGTTTGAGAACGCCTCGTTGCAGTTCAGTCCACCGGTTCGACTGATAGATCTCTTCGAATTAGATCGCCGCGAGCCTCACAAAAAGAAGGGTTGAGAAGGGACCAACACAATATCATATCAAATTTACCGATCGAACTACTCACCGTTGCTGGCGTACCACTGCAAAGCTCGGCGCTTATGTGTTATTCCGTTTGTCATTTTTTGTGGCATTAAAAAGGCTTCTATTTATCAAAGTCATAACATATATTATGCGGTTGCGCGCTTCCCCCTCTCCTCTTCCGACTGGTCTGCTGACGGGTCTTCGTCTTCATGGATGGGTCCCTTATCTAGAATTGTCGACGTGGTTCGATCATGGTGAGAATGCGAATGTACCGTCAAAGTGGATGAAGCCAATAAAAAATTAAATCCCAATGAGCCTTCTGAACTTTTGCCATGCGCGAGTCGTCCATCCCCCAGATGAGGGTGACGAGTGGGTAAAAGAAGTCGTACCGTTATCATGATCAACCGGATCCTTGGAAGACGAACTGGGAGGGTCTACCACAGTCTCCTTGCGCGGAACACGACCCTCTACATCGTCAGCATACGCTTGTAATAGTTCCCGCTGTCGCGGAGTGAGTGACCTTTACTGCAGTTAGCCATCAACTCAGCACAGGTTGGCAGCCGTCTCCTACCTGGGAAGTTGGACCGAAAAGGCAATAAAGAGATCCCCTTTATCGCCACCATACACAGAAGCAACCCCGCGTTCTTTGAGCACCATTTCTTCGCCCTGTTGAGTGCCCCCCGGAACGCGGACATCCACGTCCCCGTCTATAGTTGGAACGCGAACTCGGCCTCCGAGCAGGGCTGTGTGCAAGGGAATTTTGGCTTTGTGATATAGGTTCGCCCCTTGCCTGACGAAGACTTTTGAAGGCGCGACATTGACGCGAACCAATAGATCGCCGGTGCCGCTACCCCGTATTGAGGCATCACCCGCTTTTGGAATCCGTATCGTCATGCCGTCTTCAACACCTGTACTAGAGTGTTTAACCAAACGTAGTAAAGAGAATGTCTAGCAACGTACCTGCGGGGATATCGACTTGCACGGATTTTTTCATCCGCAACTTACCAACACCGTGGCAGACGGTACATTCTCCACCAAGAGGAACGCTGCTCCCAGCCCCACTACACTCTGGACATGTACTGGCCATCCTGAAGCCGCTATCTATGACGAAAGTGCGAGTTCCCGTGCCGTTACAAGTACGACATGTTGTCCGTTTGGCACCCTTCTTCAGGCCAGTACCCGTGCACGTATTGCAATTGACAACGGGGGACACGTTAACCTTCCGCACAGTTCCCTTGCAAGCCTCGAGGAAACTTATCCCGATAGTAGCCTCCAGGTCAGCTCCGCGCGTTGACGCCTCGCCGAAACCAGGTCCTGCGTTCCCAAACGCGCCAAATAGCTGGCTGAACAAGTCTGACGCCCCACCGCCTCCGCCTCCAAACGCAGCGCCGAAGTCCTGGAATCCCCCTGCGCGTCCCCCAAAGCCACTGAACGCATTTGGATCGAAGCCTGGTTGCTGCGAAGCTGCGCCGTATTTATCGTAGCTTGCTCGTTTCTGCTCATCTTTCAGGATCTATACATGTCTAATCAGATCTCCGCTAGGGAAAGTCAAGTACAGGCTAACGTCATAAGCTTCTTGTATTTCGAGAAATTTCGCCTGAGCACTTTTGTCTGGGTTGGTGTCGGGGTGATATTTCCGAGCCAGCTTGATGGTGGAACCAACATTTAGGCAAGGTTTCCGTGAATAGTGGTAGAAGAACGCACTGAGAAGTAGGTCTTCTTGATTTCCGCCTGACTTGCATCCTTTTTCACTCCCAGGACTTGGTATGGATCCTTTGCGGCCCCGAGGGGACTTGTAGAATGTAATGAACGCTGAGGTGCGCATCAGTACAAAGGTGACCTGATTAAAACAAAGTAGCGACCTTGTCTCCAATACGCTTCACGAGCGGTATTTTGTGGCGCCTTGTGCCTTCTTCATGCTGGGTACACCTCGGCCAATGAGAAAAGAACCTGAGTGAGTTCGTTGGCCGCGAGCGAAGGCAGGAGTTGAAAGCAAGATATGAGAAACCCTGAGGAGGCACACGAGGCAGCATGAACAAAGGCAAATGTCGAGTCTTAGCTTTTCGATTCGGGACTGTCGAAATCTTGCAGACTATTTGGCTGTGTTTGGACGGCATGCGCTCACGTGGTTGCAGCACCTCGCCCCTTTCAAGTTCAACGACGCTGACCCTTGTCCTGGTTCGCCAATCTGACCATACCTAATCTCAACCTTACGAAATGGACGCCTCTTATCAGCTGTGGACGCGACTTTTCCGCTATTGAACACTATCCCTTCCTCGATGTATCCATACACGCCGTTCCAGACGCGTCTTCTAGCTTCAAACCGATCTTATATTAGAGCACTCGATCCGAACATGGGCCCGGTCGCGCTGGTCGGCCGCCACCTAGCTGGTTCGACAGCGTTTCAAGTCGCCGAAATATGAAAGGGTTTTGGTAACTTTTTTCGCTCTTTCTTTTCTCCAAACTCACTAAAAATTCCACCCTGAGGATGAACGGTGCCTAACGGGACAGTGCAATATTTCTTAGGCCCTTATCGACGTCATGTTACCAGGATCTGTGCTAGCGAAATTGAATTTCAGAATATGACGTGCCTCAGCCGCCAGCTGCCTGAGTTAGGGCATGTTCGTTGGGTCGACGGAAGCTTTGTGCCGGGTCGCGCGCGGTGAGCAGCCTTTTAGTCTTCCATATCCGAAGGTTGGTCCCTGCTTTGACAATCCGTTCATTAGCAAGACAAGATAGCACTCGGAATCAAGAATGTTACTCCATATTATTCGCATTATCAGATCGTGCCCTCCACCACGCTTTGCCGTACGACACGAGAACCTCATCCCCCCGTTTTATTACATCCTTTGAACTCCATATGCTCATGCGTAATTCTCCATCCCCATTCCTCTTCTCTGTGAAGACGGCGTTTGGCCTGGGCTGGACTCCGCGAAAATCGTTGATGAATCGAGCCTCGTTGCCTACCACACTTGCATCTATGCCGACACTCAGGCCGTCCGGATATCGATAGAGAGACAGGTCGTAGTTAGAGTTGGGGCGATCGTCGCAATGTATTTCTCCGATGTAATCCATGATATGAGTGTCAGGGGGGATTTTTTTGGCTGCAAACAAGCCAAACTGCCCGTTTGCAGGGTGCGAAGGGGATGCAATGGCTCGGATGACCACCGGTGGTCGAGAAGCATTTGTTTGGCGAGTACGGTCTCCTTGGACGAAACTACGCACAGTTTGGGGTACGGACTTGTGATAGTGGTATTTGTCAATAAACTGGACATTCTCTGGCCAGTGGCGGGGCTTTGAAGTCATCTGGTCGTCAGGTATGTTACTGCGCTGAGCAACAGTTGTGATGTCCTGATTGATACAGAGGGCAATGCGTGGGAAAAGCACCAAGGCCATGAGGATCACGTCCTTTCATCGCCTCTCCTAGTCACTTCCACCTTTGCGCTCTAATTCTCTAATGGGCCGGTCCTCAACAAAATCGGTGGCCCGTGTGTACTGCGATGTTAACTCGAGACTTGGTCCTTCCTGGTATGAATATGGTTCGTCGTCCTATTTCTGGTAAGCGTGAATTGAGGGCGTTAACGTGTGTGCTGTGCTTCAGACAATCTGCAGGTTCAGTGGGGATCGCAGGATCATTATGAGATCGTTCGCAAAGTCGGCCGTGGAAAGTACTCGGAGGTACGTTTAGAACGTTAACCAACATTTGTCGCGTTGACCGTGAAACCTTTGTAGGTTTTCGAAGGGGTGAACATCGTGACCGAAGAAAAGTGTATAATCAAGGTCCTCAAGCCCGTCAAGAAAAAGAAAATCAAGCGAGAGATTAAGATCCTGCAAAATCTCGCCGGTGGACCCAATATTGTCGCACTACTAGACGTAGTTCGCGATCCGGCGTCAAAGATCCCAAGTCTTATCACTGAATACGTTCACAATGTCGACTTCAAAGTCCTCTACCCAAGGTTCAGTGATCTAGACGTCCGTTTTTACATGTTCGAGCTATTGAAGGTAATGTCCATTTTCGGTGGCTTTGCATACCGCTAACGTTTCAGCAAGGCTCTGGACTTCTGCCACTCAAAGGGGATCATGCACAGAGATGTCAAGCCCCACAACGTTATGATAGATCATGAACATCGCAAGGTACGTTCCTTAATCTCTGTGCTCCTGTTTGTCGTTTCCTGAGGTTTATCCAGCTCCGACTTATCGATTGGGGTCTTGCTGAATTCTACCACCCGAAAACGGAGTACAACGTTCGCGTTGCTTCTCGTTACTTCAAGGGTCCTGAACTCCTTGTTGACTTCCAAGAATATGACTACAGCCTTGATATGTGGAGTTTCGGCTGCATGTTTGCATCTATGGTATGTGGCCTACCAAGCAAATTTCCTGAAATATTCTCATAATCGGGGTCAAACCCTTTAGATATTCCGCAAGGAGCCCTTCTTCCACGGCCACGACAACTACGACCAATTGGTCAAAATTGCGAAAGTCCTTGGCACGGACGATCTATACCTGTATATTGAGAAATATACCATTCGTCTTGACCCCCACTATAGCGAACTAATCACCAGGTTAATGATACTCGCTATCGTTGCAGTCCTCGTGTTGACATCTCTTCCTAGATTTCCCCGCAAGCCATGGACGCGTTTCATCACCTCGGAAAACCAACGATACATATCCAATGAAGCCATTGACCTCCTAGACAAGCTCCTCAAATACGATCACCAGGCTCGTTTGACTGCGCGCGAGGCACAGGCACAACCGTACTTTGGTTAGTTCAGCATTTGCCCGCTCAAGATCATCTACTAATCTCTTCCCAGATCCTGTGCGCACGACCAGCGTGAATGTCGCTAATGGAGAAAGCGATTCCGCATCATCTGCATGATTTGTCAATGTCTATCCATTATTTCTACTTCTCGCGGGCTCGACTTGCTCACCTTGTATATGGATTACACATATAGATGATGTTTAATTACTTTCACTGCTCTGCCAGCATTAGGCGCAACTCCTGTCTGAGATGCAAGAACATCTAATTTCGGGCACATCGTACGTAGTTCATTGCTTCGACATAGTTCACGTGATGATCTTTATTCCACGCGCGTGTGCTTTATCTTCTATCACAGACCATGGCGACGATAGGAAGACTTACCCCGCTTGTTTTAGCTATATTAGCCTTGTCTCTTTTTGACGAGAACTTTTCTCCGTAAGACCCTCGTGCACGTTGGAACAGCCGTTCCGTCAACGTCTCTGCGATATGAGACCGACCAATATGGTACCCTTGGATACGTGTACTCGCGAAGATCCTACACTCAATTCCTCATGGCACCTATGGTTCTTTTATCCTTCATCATGACGGGGCACATCGAAGGGGAAATTAGGTCTCCTACAAAAGCGGGACGGCTTGCGTTGTGCTCACCAGTTCGCGATGGTTTTGTCCTTACTCCTTTTTCTCTGCCTTTCAGCATTGAAATCTACGGCCTTTGATAACAGCCGATTTGACAATGTAAGCCAAATTGCTCGCACTCAATAGGGCTGAACTTGACTGATTTCCGTTCATAAGGTGGCAGTGTGAGTTTGTGTAGCATGTATTACTCCAATACTTCTAAGAACGACACAGTTATTGGGGTCAGAATTCCTATGGAGCTACTCATTCCGATGTCGCGAACTTCCAGAAACCAATATCCTTCTACTGCCAGGCTCGTTATCTTTCTTCTTGCTCGCTGTTCATGAGACGATTCTGGAGCTCTAGGACGATTCCATCGATGTATTTCCTATCTCGTTCTTGAACGTGTTCTTCGGTACTGGTGGCGCACCCTCGATCAATCTCGCGAACGTATGTTCCGGCAGGTGCTCTAGTTTTATCTTTAATTATCATTGTACCGCCAGACCTGCAACAACGTTGATAATGCTACATTCCCTGGGACCTCGCTGCCAAATTGCGCGTCCCTTGCCGTAGATATCGCAACTTGTCAATCCAAGGGGAAGATCATCACTCTCAGTCTAGGCGGAGCGACGGGCTCCGTTGGTTTCCAAACCGACTCACAGGCCACCACCTTCGCGCAAACGATCTGGGATATGTTTTTAGGAGGAAACTCCGCTACACGGCCATTCGGTAGTGCGGTGTTAGACGGGTATGCAGTTCTCTATCACATCACAACTGGAGATGACAATCATGATCGACCAGAATTGATCTTGACATCGAGGGTGGCAATTCGGCCGGTTATGCGGCCTTTATCAACAAAATCCGTTCCCTGTCTAGTGGCTCTAGCAAGAAGTAGGTGTCGAGTCGATCATAGGGATGCACGATGCTGGAGGATTATCTGATAGGTACTATATTACCGCTGCACCACAATGCGTCTTCCCAGATGCTGCATTAGGAGGGGTACTGAACAGTGCCAGCTTCGATGCTGTCTACGGTAGCTATCATTGCTTTGATCTCAATTCATCTCAGCTAACCATCTATCTAGTTCAATTCTACAACAATCCGTGTGGTTTGCAAGCCTTTGACTCTGCATCAGTAAGCTACTACTTATTTTTCATTTCCCGACTACTCTGACCGTACGTTAGAATTGGAATTTCGGCATTTGGTGAGCCTGCGCGCACTTTTTTCGTTAGTCCTACTCATTTCCGTGTTAGGGACAACTGGGCACGAACTGTCAGTCCGAATAAGAATGTCAAAATCTATATTGGCGCCCCGGCCTCCACTTCGGCGGCTGGGTCTGGCTACCAAAGCCCCGACAGAATCAGCTCTATTGCAGTACAAATGCGCAAGAGCTTTCCCTCTTTCGGAGGTATCATGCTTTGGGATGCTTCTCAGGCCTACGGTACTACACTCACAATGGAAATGCGGCGGTCTGTTCTGACTACCTTTCTCTTATAGCGAATAATCGATACGACAAAGCCGTAAAGTCAGCGCTTGTTGGCGCAGGTGGCACTGGTTTCCAGTTCCCGTCTTGTTCGGCCCCTACCTTCGCCTCAGGGACAAACTATCCTGGTGGATCGAAAGTATCTTTCGGAGGGTGTGTGTGCAAGTTCAACTATCACCTCTATACTACTAAATCACTATTGCCTCCGCTGCAGCTACATTTGGCAGGTACATACCCATCTATCTCATCTAGTATCGATTTTACGGTGATGGTATGTGTAGGCGAAGTGGTTTGCTTCTTCCCAACCGGCAAACAATCCGAACGGCGATTGGAGTGCAAGTGAGTACTCTGTGGTATATTGACTTCTCATTCTCATTTCAATCTAGTCAGTGCGTGTTCAGGTACAGGTAGCACGCCACCATCGACGACAATCGGTACTTCTCCTACTTCTACTCCGACATCCCCTGGCGGAAGTTGTGGTGGTGTTCAAGCTTGGTCTAGCACCTTAGTCTACACTGGTGGCCTACAAGTCTCTTTCGGGTACGTTACAGGAGCTTGCCCTTGCCCTGGAAATGCATCTGAGTATATTTCAGTGGTCATCTTTGGACCGCTAAATGGTGGACGCAAGGAGATACCCCTGGTGGTTCGTATATAATCCTTTATTTACTCCCCGCTAACACATTTTACAGGTTCAGCTGATGTCTGGACTGACAACGGTCTTTGTAGTGGCTCGAGGCGGGAGTCTCAGCCAACAGCTCCTACCAAGAGCTCTCGGGTCTTCTCGCCTCGTTAGACCACTCCTCCCTTTCGCCATGCAGTTGTACAGGTACTTCGATGAGACATGTGAACCCTAGCTGATCATCGATGTATTGTTGACACGTATGAGTTCCATGAATAACAAGAAGCGAAGATTGCGCTATTGATTATAGTGGATGACTGCGTGGGTCGGCCGAGTCGAGCCATCTGTACGTGGAGCATATGGCTGCCGTGAACACCTGCCGTCACAGCAACACATGGGAGAGTTGATGGGGAAGCAGGGATCGCTTCGAATAGGGGACACTTACCAGCGCATACTAAGAAGTAACCGGCGCCTACAGGTGACCCATTTCTCGCGAGTCCAAATTTACTCCACTGAGTGTGGGTACCTATGTCTGCCGTTAACGTTTGCGCCTCAGGTGATCCCGGTACCGTCAGAATTCTATGCGCGCTGACACTAGACTTTCCGGACATTGGCTGCTACGTGTCCATCGCCGCAGTTAGTTCTCAGTGCATCTCCGAGGTTTAACGTTATAAAGCCACTCGGCGATATGAGCACGCTGGTTCAGCCCTCCTTCTGGCGCTCCCCCGGTCATGGCTTTGATGACAGCTGCAAGGTGGTTTGCGCTGCTTAGCTTTGTATGTGTCTTGGCCACGGTATCTGCGTTTTCTAATGACAGGTCGGATAACGTAAGTAACAGCGTTGAACTCATTAAACTGCTGGTTTAACAAAACGCCATTCATAGCTTGCCGTGTGAGTGGTGGATCCGGTCAACTGCCTTGGTAAAATGAAGTAATGAACTCTTGCTATGTAGTTACTGGGGCCAGGACTCCGGAGGTAACCAACAGCGGTATGTTCATTTCTAGTTCCGGCTATGTGAGTTATCTGAAGAAACACTCTGCTAGCCTATCCTTCTACTGTGACGACGATACGATAGATGCCTTCCCCCTTGCGTTCCTTTACGTGTTCTTCGGCAAGGGGGGTAAACCCATGTTGGATCTTTCGAATGTGAGCCCAAGCTAAGTGGTGACACATGATGGTATCAAACCTCATACGAACAGATATGCAGCCAATCTGGCAGTGGTTCGTTCAAGGGCACCAACCTCGCGGACTGCTCCTTCCTCGCTTCGGACATCCGGACTTGTCAGGCTAAAGGCAAAATTGTTACTTTGAGCCTTGGGGGTGCCACTGGGAAAGTTGGTTTCAATAGTGATTCACAGGCTAGGGGTTTTGCTAGGGATATTTGGGATTTGTGGCGGTGGTCCGTTCCTTGTCTCAGTATCCGTGATCTGTTCTTCGTGCTTACGATGTGATCCTAGACAGCAACACGCGTCCGTTTGGAAGTGCAGTTTTGGATGGGTAATGATCATTCATTGGTGTTCTGTCGCCTCTTCTTGATTCTGATGCTTGATCAGGATCGACCTAGATATCGAATCAGGCTCATCAGCCCATTATGCTGCATTTGTGAACGAGTTACGAAGTTTCATGAATGGTAGTGGGAAGCGGTTCGTTCGTTCACGATCATTACAATGCGGCGATAGTAACGAAGTTAACATTCAACGCCAGCTACTACATTACAGCAGCCCCTCAGTGCCCGTTCCCTGACCAAGCCATTGGTGCTGCTCTTAATGGGTTCGCACTCCCCGCACTATAGCACTACTGGATATTAATCTACTTTTGACAGAGCATCCTTTGACGCAGTTTACGTCCAGTTTTGTGAGTATCGACTCATTTTACTACCGCCGGAATTAACTCACTCCAATGCTAGACAACAATTTCTGTGAATCATCTAGACCGAAGGTGTGTTATCAGTGACTTCGCGCCTCGTGTATCGGTCTGACTCACCATCGATGGCAGGATTTCAATTTTGATACGTGGTATGAAAGACGTGTTCCGTGGTGATTTAATGAAGATGCTTACTCCTCACTTCTCCCGGCAGGGACAACTGGGCACGCAAGCAATCGCCTAACAAAAATGTTAAAGTGTATTTGGGCGCACCTGGGGCACCCAGTGCTGCCGGCGATGGTTACGTGAACATCAACACGCTCATCAATTTAGCGAAAGACGCCCAGAAACGTTACCCTTCATTTGGTGGCGTCATGCTTTGGGATGCCTCGGAGGCACGATGTCAGCATAACAAATTCATTCACCTATGCCGCTTTTGTCTAACTGGCGTTTTGTTCTTCTAGCCAATAATCGTTACGACAGAGCTATTAAGCAGGCACTGGTGCAGGACCAACCGTCTCGGCCTCCCACTACCACCGTACCTTCGCGTCAACCCGGAACTACGAGGGAGCCAGCTACGACCCGTGCACCTGCCACAACCCTTGCACCTGCCCCCGCTCCTTCCCCTACGACCACATCGTTTGCCGAACCGGAAATCCTTCGTCCCCAGCGCGGTAGGGTAATGCCTCAGACGGTCATCCACCCCAACCTAAACTCCCGCTTCTTCCGATTATGATAACTCAAAAAGACGACATCAACTTCTCACCCGGCGGAGACGACACATGCTTCAATACCTTATTCGCCATAGATGTACTTCAGTTTCCCGACTGAAGTTGTGCTTTTTCGTATGTATTTTGTTTAATCCTCATTGGTTCTCTTCGTGTAACTTGTGATATCTATGTATGTAAAGTGTACAAGAGTGGTCGCCGTTCGATTGATTCGAGGCGTTTATCGCGTTTATCTGTCCATCTAACGCAATTGATCGTCCGGATATGATCAAGCTTTCAGTAGGACAAAGCTAGAACGTTGAGAAACCGGCAGGAGAACTAACAAATGGCCACCCGACCTCTGCCTAGACCGGCAACAATACCTGTCAAACACGCTTAAGCTGGGCATGGGCATAGATGGGTACCCGCTCCCAAAATAACCCCAGCTTCCATGTAGGCAACTTGAAACTTCCGCGTACCACGTCGCCAATTAAATCTATCTTTGATTCCCTCGCTGACCGATAGCTATCATATCATATGTACGCGGGCAAACCTCGCTGTTGCCGAGAGAAGAAGGACAAGTGAATGGCGACGTGAGGAACGTGCATACTGGGTTATGGTCCACATGCTGGCGTGCGCTATGTTTAGCAGTGGTGGTAACATACCAAGAGAACTCGGAGAAATAGATGGGAGAGAAGCCCGGTGAGGGGGGCTTTAGCCCTGTGGGTGCGGTGTGTAAGTACCATGCATTGTATACGATGAGCGTTTGGGGCGCGTGGTAGAAGGAAGAACCGTCGTAAGGATACCCAACTCTAGGTCTACACTATAGATATATACTGGGTACATGCATGGCATAAGTCTTGTGCACCTGGGGCGGGTCTGCCTGCATCGGCCCCCGGTAGCCGGCTACGCATCTGGTTGGGAATGGGGAACTTGGGTTCGCGCTTGGCCTCTTCCTCTTCCTCTGCCACGCCTTCCTCGTTCCTCGAATCGCCTAGGAGTAGGGGAGTAGGGTGCATGCCCACGATCATCGGAGCGATTAGACCACAGATTATGTTGGACAGGAATGGGCATAGCTTCGCCCTGTGGTGCCGCTGGACCAAGTCTTTGGCGTCGCGGCAGGTATGGAGCATTGCTGTTACCAGAACTTGAATTTTGGTGAGACCTGAAGCTATTTTGAGCTCTATCACTGTAATGGTGGGTTCCGTATCCACCCGATCTACTCGCCTTCGTAAAGTTATTCACGTTAGCAGGCGTGTGGCTATTTGTGTTTGTGCTCACGATGGTCGTATTCGTGGAAGATGGACCAGAAATAGGGTGGGCGGAGCTTGGTGATGATGATGATGATAATGTCAAAGGTGATGGAGATGTGATTGTTGTGGTATTTGTGGCAAGAGGGAATTCCTTTATTTTCGGAGGCTTGGGCGGTCTTGGGGGAGGTGGTGGTCCGGGATCGTAGTTTGGGTTCCACGCGTACCATTGTGCGCCAGATGGTTCACATAGTCGGCCTCTAACGCAATCGAAAGTGTAATAGACCGGCTTTAGGGTATCAATGCCTCGAGCCATAGCCCCGAGGCGGTTATAAAGAGTCAGCCCTGCGTGCGCATCATTCGCTGCGTCTGAGTAAAACATAAATCATGATTATGATGCAGCACGAAACGATGGCGTGAATATATCACTGACAGATTTGTTGCGCTGGGCTAAGGACAGCTTCCCAGTTACTTCGGGTAATTCTACCCTTTTGCAGCGTTTCGTCCTCGTATTCCTCGATGAGGCGGGATAGTCCGATCGATGAGCTGTATTTGCCTTTCCATCGAGGGTTATCTGCCGACCGGGCCAGTAAGGAGAGATCTACGCAATTCTTTACGTCGACCTTGTGATCTTTGTATAGTTTATGGACGTCTCCTGGAGTGAAAACACTTTAGCAGCATCCAACCATGAAGCAGAGATGCTCTGACCCTGTATACCAACGCCGGCTTTGACAATATCCGGGTTCTCAAGAATTTGAATAAGTTTCTCAGGTATTTCTACATGCATCCACGCGGGTGAGAGATGACTTATTTATTGCGAGCGAATTAGAAATAGGCGTTTGAATCCGCACCGTTCATCGCACTGACTTGTATCAACAGAACGAGCTCATCGGAGGCGAGCTGTATGAGGGATACAGGATTCTCTGGCAGGCCTTTGATGAAAGTAGGTTTCCATTCCTGATCGAAACCTATAGCTGGGAGAGTGGACATGCGGTCAAGCTCGAGATTAGCAATGTCAACGTCGCGGATGTACAGTAATTTTGCGTCTGGGTTTCTAGCACGCCAGGAATACAGCTTCGTCGGCTTTGGACGCGGGGGTGGGGCGTCTGGGTTCGGGGACTCGGTCACGGCGCTGGCCCCAGCTTCAGAAGCAAGTTCGGTAACGGTTTGAGCTTCCGAAAATGAATCCGACATAGTCAGGCGAGCGGTCGAGTAGTAGGCAAGTCGGCGTCGGGTCTGCGACCGCGGGTGTTGCAGGGGGATCAGTGGGATCTGAATGGGTTTGTGGCTACAGGTGCCTAGCAGCGATGTAACAGTCGACGTCCGAGAACGAAGGGGCACGCTGCGGGGGTCCCCTCTGAGCCCTTTTAAGAGGCTTCGGGGTACGACGAGGAGGGGGCGTGGAACTGCAATAGCTGCTGCGAGCTGTATTATTACTGCCAACGCCACGCTGGTTGCAGGTGGTGACTCCAGTCGCAAGGGGGACGCTATTTTTGAACGAGTCGCACGGAAAATCACTGATTGCTGTATCAGATAGAGTCTATTTTTAGCAGAGCCAAGCATTAACGTTGCCTCATGACAAATAGGAGGACCGCCGCCAGCACCAGCTATAACTCAAACATTTCCTGGAGTAGAGAGCAGAGAAGAGAAGACGGCCGTATGTTTTATTTTATTTTTGTATTTTGTGGTAATTCCCGAGCTGAGAACGACGGAGAGAGTGGCAGGTCGTTTGTGCGCTTTTGAACGTGATTGGATGCTATTTGGGTCCACGGTTCCGCCAGTCAGCCACGGGAACACAAATCCAAGCCCATACCAAGTCCTTTTCCGTCCTCCCAAGTGCGCCGACGCTGGGTGGACTACGGGGGTCGCCAGTCGTTTGCCCGCCCGTACCAGCATCCGCCAGCAATGCGCCAGGAATCCTCTTTAGACGCCATCGCCGCGTTCCATTGCATTCAATGGGAATAATCATCGAAGGCGAGTTATTCCTGGACCAAAATGCCAAGCCAAAGATCAAATTAGGATTTCTTGGCCTTCACCTCACCTTTAAGAAATCCCGGAGGAATGAGTCCTTCCCTACTCTACCCCAATCTGGTCCCCGCTAAATGGCACCTCTCTCATCCCACATCCTCGATACCGACGACAAGTCCCAAGTAAAACACTTGGTCTCTTCCGCGTCGACCGTGCTCAACCAGGTAATGCCTTCTCTGAGACCTAGACCGGACCACAGCCCGCTCAATGTGCCATACATCTAGCCCCCGCCGCCAACTCTCCGAGAAATACTCGGGGCCTACAATTCTCGCGGTGATGGCGACCGCGACATGCTTCTGGCGATGCTCAACGCAAAGACCGCCGAAGACCAGGTCAGTTTCTGTGACTTGGCAGTAGTTCCGTGTACTGAACTTCTGAATTTCTGCAGCGGCTAGCTTCTGTTGCCTCCCTCCACCGGACCATGCTCGAAGTTTGCTCGACCGCTGCCTCCGAACAGCTTCCCCCTCCTCACAACTTTTACCCTACCCCAAATTTCACGAATTCCCCCCCTCTCCATGACGAGAAACCATACTTGTCACCTTCACAACGAAGCCGCTCGCCCTATCCCCCGTCCCGGCATTCTATTCGTGACCTGCCTAATCACAACTCGCATTCGTCTCCCCGGAAACGCCATCGACTGTCATCACCCAGCCCACCTCCCAACCACCATACGCACCCTTCGCCTTATGATCCGCAGCTACTATCTCAACCATCCCATCATCCGCAACCCCAGGACCGCCTGCCGCCATCACCCTACTCCTCCTCTCGCAGCGACTCTGCAGAGTACTCCCCCCGCTCACGTGCCTCTATGGCCATCGGCTCCTTATTATCTTCTAGTGGGCCTCGCGGGGAACACGCCGGCGACGATCCCTCGGTAAATGGACACTCTTCAAATTCCGAGATGAGCCATCAAAACCAAGCGATTCCGGCAGCCATCTCTGTATAGCGTCGCTGGCTCTCTCTTCTCAAAGGCCTAGGCATCTTACTAAACCACGTCTAATCATCGCATGTATTTACGTGTATGTTGTACTTGTACTTACCTCCACCACTCATCCGCCAGCAAGCTAATCTTGCTCTTCCATGCGCTGTCACCAAGCTTATTCTTGGTGCTTGTGCATTGGGTCCAAGACCTTCCTCCACCCCTCCATAGTGCCTAACCGCATGACCGCTCCTTTGCGTATATTTATTTGACAATTTTCACTGCTTCCCTTGTATGTAGTCATGTAAAACTTCCAGGTTGAATTTATTCCTGGTCTGGAGGTTTTCTGGGTGACAGCTGTGCCATACGTATTTGCCGTTATCAAGAGGTAAGCCGTCCAATAAGCGCCTTTGCCAAGACACTTCGCCACACCTATTTTTAGACGATTCCCACGCAACGCGATAACCTTCTCACGCCTTCTCGGATTTTTCGGGATATGCCTCTTCCTGCTCCCCTGAACAGGCCCCTGGGTGTACACGCCCGGTCGAAGTACTGTCGGTGTGGGTCAGGCAGCGAACGACATCCCGTATATCCCAAGAATATGCAAATTAATCAGTCAGGCGGGACCCGCGCCGGTGGGACCAGCGTCCATGATGGTAACTCGTCTAAGAAAAGCCTGACATGATCATTTCTTAATTCTGTGTCCTCTCTCCTCTCTTCTCGGGGCCCGGGCACCTTCGCTCGAACGAATTTAGCATCACATAGACTTGTTGCTGATGCAAATATCCATTCTGACATGCCTCCATCGTGATGCTCGCTATATACATCATGATCATACGCATCACTGATCCTGGGCCTGGATGCTGGACGGATGCATCATGGCTGCATTTTGAGTTAGCTCCATAACGGGAGGATGCAGGCTGGAGTGGCTTCGGAAGGAGTGTATTTAGAACGATTGCTGCCGGCTGGAGACTGGTGCATACTAAACATATCTAGTGGCTATAGGCTATAGAAGCAGCCTGGAACTCTGGAACCTTGAATGTCACCGTTAGGGTGAGACTAATCCCGGGCTTCGATGGAAAGAGCCGGTATGGAATCCGGATATGCATTCGGAAGAATATACATTGACATAATGCACAGTGTTGTCCGACGAGGTTGGGTCCTGTCATCGGCGAGAAAGCGACACGGAGGACAGCACGAGACAGGAGTGGACAGGAGAAGACAGGAGCTCAAGCGCTTAAGCTCAGTGTGGCAACGCTGGAACCACGTGACTCATTAGCCTAATTTGGCATGTAAGTGATTGACAGTCGCGACAGGAGCAACTTCAATTGAACCACAACATAACGTTATCCTCGTCGTTCTACCATGTCCGACGACGAGTTCGACGAGTTCGGAGGACTTCCTGACTTATTCGATAATATCGACTGGAACACCATTCCAGAACTCTCCGATGCCATCGCTGCCCAACCATCCCAAGGTATACCAGATGTCCAGGCCGAGGCTGCAGTGGGATTAGAAGGGCTGAATCAAGAGGTTGGGTCTCCGGACTCGTCGCAATACTCTTGCGATGAGATTCGGTTTGATGAGACGGTGTTGGGCTTGCTGGATGCGTTGGAAGAACGTGGTATGCAAGGAAATGGTGAGTGTATGTGTGTGGTTCTATATTCGTCCCATGGTGAACAGCTTAGTAGCTGTAGCGTCCACGTCGTTGCAGCAGCAACCTGCCGCGACCACCGGACACTCTGTGACTGCAGGTCGGTAGAGACTTCCATGACATAGATCGAGATAGCTATAATGCTCATTGCGACATACATAGCGCCGCCGCCCATAGTTCCTGCACCAATAATTAGCGGTCGTTCGTTATGTCACTTCATTACGACGCTCAGACCCTAATCAGCGGCGATAGATCTACAACCCAACTCCTGCAAGCCCGAGAAACGCGCGAAGCGATCTGGATCGCCTCTTATGTACGGCTCGCCGCGGAAGAAGGGCAAGCATCAAGAAACTTTCGAGGATTCCAGCACAGAGACGCAAGTGCGGGAGCGCATGGATGCATATCTCGCGTCGTTCCAGGAGGAACTGACCTGTCCAATGTGCGTGCACGCTTTCTATATTCAGCAGGCTGTGAATGGGGTGTAAACTAACTATGCGGTTTGGTGTGCCTTTACGTTGTCATAGATGTTGCGACATCTTGTGAGTGGTCACGCATATATAGGGTGGAAGGCCCAATCAACGAAGCTAATCACCGGCATACAGTGCTGCTAGCCATGTAGGGAATCCGTGTGGGCATTCCTTTTGCGGGGAGTGCGGCTGGCAGTGGATAGAACGATGCGGCGTGAGTGCAACTTCCGTAAAACTTTGTACGCGTAAACGTCGAGCCGGTCTCCTGACATCCGTGTGTGCTTGTTTTCAGAACAACGCACCATCGTGTCCAGTATGTCGGACGGTCCTCTCATTGGATGTACCCATGCTGCCAAATATTACCGTCGACAATAATGTACAAAAGCACATCGAAGCGCTCCAGACGAACGGATACGACGACTGGAAACCAGGGGGTGTAAGGCATGCCGATTGGCACGCCCGTAAAGAGTGCGTCGTCTCCTTGTCCCACCGTTTATAGCTAGTCCATGCTGAGCACCATCTCCCAGACGGTGGAAGAAAGGCGGTGCTATCTGCATGAAGCAGAAGATGGAGCAAATCAGGAAGGCCAATAGCATTATCTATCTCGACGTCGATGACAACGAGGGCGACTACGAGGTCGACGAAGATGCAGAACGTTTCTTCGCCGCAGTGGCGGATCTCCTGCCTGCTGTCCCCGCACAGAATAGTAGGCATAGTAGACGGCGTCTAATTTAGAGGAGTATAATTGTTGTAACAGTATATTGTATTGCTTGTCGCGTGTAAAATTACCCAAGTTGAATGACATCATGAATGAGTATAGGGGCGCTCGCTTGAAGCGTCTAGCCCGTTGCAACTTGGCACGCTGCTGCCTGCCTGCACGACAACCCGCTGTTCTCAACAACGACTGTGACCATGGCGCTCACGTCCCCCAGCTTCTTCCCCGCCCTTGGACGAAAGACTTCAGTGCTCGTGCCTGTCAATAACGGCGGCGTCGTGCACCTTCGATTCACGGTCACTGTAGACCCTGAAGAGTATCGCGAACTTGAACGGCAGAATGCACAACTTCAACTCTGGTCTGATATTCCGGCGCTGGGCGCTGGGCGGCCTGCTGGTCAATGGGGCGAGATCAGTTTCCAGCGGGAGGAAGGAGTGCCAACAGGAACGGTGGAGGGTTCGGAGGGCGTCGTTCGTTTCAACGCGAAATCTTCCGGTACTTCTACGGCGGGCGAGACGAGCAACAACAAAACGGTGACATTATCACTGAACACCACCATTTAGCTATCTGGCGCTTCTACGCTGGACGTTGCGGGGACCTGGCAGTATTCATTCACATATCGCCTGGCGAGTTCTTCAGGTGAGGTGACTTGGCTGGGAGGGTACGGTCAGGATGGTGTGCTTGTCCTCAGCTCGAATCCAAGGCTTGCGGCACAGTCAGACGGTACGCTGCTGCAAGTGTCGGGAAGTTGGAGTGCTTTGGATGGCACAGACGACTCGGCGAGCTCTCGAACGTTCGCCCGCGATATTGGTACAGGTGAACAGCACAATGACCTAGAAGTTTTGAGGCTGGGTAAGGCGTCGACGTACTCACTCTTGGGCATCTCAAAGAATGGGTGCGGTCATTCATGTTGATTTGGCAAAGCTAGCGGCTAATAATGAGACGTCTAGGTCGCTAAACTCTGCGAGAAACATCGAGGATGCCGCTATATTGTTAGCTATCCCTCACCCGGCGCCCGAAATTCTTGTAACCCCGACCCTCCTGCTAGCTGCATCTACGGATGCCCATCTCTCTATGATAAGTGCCGACAATATCGTCTCAGCCTCTGGTTCAGGGACTATCCGCCTCGCTTTCATCGACACCCATTGCCCCAATGCCTCCATCAACCAAGCTATACAAGACGCTATCGCATGGGGTTCCTCGAGTGCTCGAATCTTGAGCCCAGAAAGTGACCGTGTGACCTCGTTGATATTGGCGTCTGGGGAATCCACCACTCCTGCTCAAGTTGCCACCATTCCTCGTTCTGGCGTACCGGAAGACGTCGCCATACCCGTCCAGACGTTGACTTCACTTCTGCCCAAAGACACGCAGCAATTTGCCATCGTCTCTGTCGAAGCGCGAACCGCCGGCATATATTCTGCCGCTAGCGGTGGTATCCATACAGTCGTGGTTTCCACGGGCCCAGAGGGTGCTGAGTTGGTTCTATCACCCTCCTATGATTTACTCGGCCCAGCCGAAACACCACACGATCCATCGTTGCTGGTTTCGTTCTTAACGGCACACTCGCTCGCCTTCAGTGCTCCCAGCGAAGACGGCGCAGACGTACTCCCCACGCCCCCTCCATCGCCCCCGCACCGCGCAGTGAATACATCAGATCCCGTGGATCCCTTGACGCCGTCGACCTCGGGATCTACGCAGTTTTCCGACTTGACGACGTCAATATCGAATTCATCAGATGTTTCCTGTACTACGGCATCCTCGGGATCTACTATCCCCCGCTCGAATTCAAGTTCGAATTCGGAGAGAGCGTTGATTCCGCAGTTGGGGATGAGGAGAAATCGGGGCATGGTGATTGCGTGCATGGGCCTGTTCGTGCATATGGCGAAGGTGTTCATTGGGAGTATATTTTGTAGGGTGTTTTATTTGTTGTTTGGGTCTGGGGCGGGAGCGAGGGCGGGGAAGACGCAAAAGATGGGAAATGGGAGATCGAAACTCACAGAGAAAGCTGATGAAAGGACTGCGCTACTTCCCAAAGAAACTGGCACGCCGTCACCGGTGACCCTGCGTATGGAAAAGGAGAAACCTGTGGTTTCTGAACCACCAGCTGTCGAAGAACACATCGTCGGCAATACATCGACCAAGACGGTCTCTACCGCGCGGAGCAGGTTCGAGTATACTTTCGATCTACCCGCCGGCAAAGCGACTCTCCTGATTCAGGACAAATCTCTTGCTCTGCAATTATGGAAGGATGTTTCTATCTTGGTTGACGGGAAGACGGCGGTTCCCAACGTCGAGGCGACCCTCGATGATAGTGCGAGTGCAGGGGACTTGAAAATCATGACGTTCGAGCTGGAGAGGAGTGCTCGCGTCAAGGTGTATATGAACTGCTGATTTCAAGTTAGCTTCTGTGGTATGTGGTAGATCGTTCGAGCGTCATTTACATCTGGCGTGTGTGTGTTGTAGTTTGTAGCACCGTAGTAGTTGTTTTGTTGATGTATGCCGCATTTGTAACTGTACATAGTTGTTGTATCTTTCTTGTTGTACGACTCGTGGACCGAGTTTATTACCGAATGCTCGTTGAATACCATTACAATTTGGGTGACATTTATTTGTCTGATAGCTTTATACGGCGATCTCCTCGCCGTGATCCAGGCCGAAGTCATGCCGCTTCTGAGCGATGGTACTAGCAACGATATCGTCGAGCATTTCAGGAGGTAAGTCGTACTCGGAACCGCGAAGAACGATGGCATAGGCAGCTACCCCATCAAGTTGTGAGCAAATCATGTTGTCGGCAATAGAAGACTCGGTGCTAACCATCTTCTATCTTCTCCAAGGAGCTGGACGTTACGGCTTGCTTCTTCGAGAGCTCTCGGACATGGGGCGTAAATCCCTCGAAGTCGGCTTTGCAGTTCCGAACGAAGGTGCATATTTCCATTGCTTGCTTGCGCCCGCCGCGCTGGGCGATCCCGGAAATTGCGAGGCGCATGAGCTCGCCTGTGAGGTCGGACAGGCCTAGCAGGTAGTCTGAGGTCGTCAGAGGGAGATACTACTTGGGAGGATCGACAGTTAGTTCGTGCACCAAATGTGATTGAAACAGGGGTAGTTTACTTACTGGAACACGATCTGCATCGCTTAACGAGCGCTGCACCGTTTCGAAGGGAATGAGCGAGCGGTGTTCCAGGAAATGGGTGAAGCTCAGGGCCTCGATGTATTCCTGCAAGCCAGGAGACACTTGTTGGTGATATCGCCAAAACCGATCGCCAGCAAGTTCGTTTCGCAAGCTAGCGTAGAGTGACTGGACTTCGCAAAGGTTGGCGTACCCCTTCGCGGCTGCAGATGTGCGCCGGCCGTCGTCGGCGTCAGCGAGCGATTCGAGTGCCAGGCGATGCAGCAGGAAGATTGTCTTTTTGGAGAGATTCGTTATGTCTCTGCTGGCCTGAAGAAATACAGTAGGATTTGCAAAATGATCTCAGGACGGTGATAGCGGCGTATCCAGGGGAAGATACGACCTTGATGAGACGCTCTCTCCTGTCGTGATGGACATCTAGTTCTTCTCTAAAAGCGTTGAAGGCAGACGATATCGATATCATTGGAGGCCGACTCCCGACTCGACGGACTTGCGCAGTCATATCAAGGGACTAGGATTGGCGGCAGGGGTCACGTGCGTGAGTTACTGTTGTCAGTTGTTCGTCGGGAAGCTTCTGTCACTCGTTCCTCTTCCTCAAACCTCATCTCGCCCTCAACGATGGCATTCGCGCCCAGGCCTGGATGCCCAATGTGCGGCATCGTGACGACCGCCCTCCACGCGCCCTCAAACTCACCCCGCTCGCCGTCGTTTCCAGTGGGATCCACCCAACCAGAAGTCCTCTGGCGGGACGACAACTTCACGGCATACAGAGAGAAGGCGAACCCTGTGTCGAGCAAGGGCCACATTATCATCGCATTCAAGTCAGTTTTCCGTCTTCGCACCGCTCATGGACTGCTGATTGACTTTGTGCGACAGTTTGCATGTACCATCAATATACACGCTGGTGCGTCAGAGATTCTTCGGGCTTCTCTTACGGAAGGGCTAATGTTTTTCCCAGTCCTCGACAGACCTACCTCTCCTCGTCAATGTCAGAAACCTCGCAACTCGCCTCCTGACTTCGTTTTTACCCCCCAGTTCGCCTACGACGAACCCTCGATCCAGCGAGCAATACCCAGAGGCATCACCCCCGAACGCCTCGATGCCATCACCTTCGGCAGCCGCTTTTCTGACGCCTACGTCGTCCTATGCACGCAGGTCACATGAAACACTCAATTCACCAGCTGTACCCCCACAGACCCCCCTTCACTCTCATCCAGACTTCCATATCGGCTTCATCACTCCGCCTTTCAAGGACACGAAGATACCAGTCACAGACCACCTCCACGCCCACGCCTACATCGGACCAGGCGACCTGATGGGCTGGTGGCGTGGGGTCGCTTACTCTTCAATTGCTTGGTACGACATCGACGATTTGATTGCTGAAATACGGTGAGTGCCCCTTTGTGTCTTTGTTCTGCAAACCTGACACTCCCTCGTGGACAGAGAATCGGTGTCAAATAATCGTATCAAATCAGGGTACGAGAACCGTGGAATGGCACCGATCGACATGGTTCCTGGGGCGGGTGCACGGTGTGGCACCGCCGATGGCACTGAAACCTCGGAGCCTGGTCTCGCCTTACCCGACGCTTACCTCGAAGAAGGAGAAAGTACACCTGCCCCGGCGATTATGAGGAGGCCTATCACCCCGAGCACGCTTGAACCTCAGAACCGTATACCAAGTTTGACAGTATAACATCATCCGGGCACCTCCAAGCAGCGACCTAGGATTGAGTGGGGCGGAGGACGAGAGTAGTTCATTTGCTGAATCGACTCTGTTTTCACCGCGGGGTGATACTCATAATGAGGACTTTGCGCCTTGCTGGCACTAGGCGTTTGCACTATACCATAAACATTCACTCATTTGTCCTCGTTGGCCATCGTTGTAGTCAGCTCAGCTAAGGCAGGAAATACCTTTCATTGTTCATAATACAATGCATAAAACTCAATCCGATATAATTAAATTCTGCTCGGGGGGTGCTTTCTTACTCGGCACAATCTATAGGCATTACGTTGGATATACACGACATTCCAACCCTACCTCTACATTATCAGAATGAATACAGTACGTTCCAGAGAATTGCAGTACTATTCGGTCCATGTCCAGGGTCAGTCTGTTGCACTCTGTGGTCCTTGGGCCTCATGCGCGGCCATTAAGCATCTATCACATCAGTGAGAGTGGGCACCAATAGGTTTTTGAGCGAACTGACAATATGATGATCCGGTGAGTAATGTTGACAGCGCTATGAGCTGGTCTTCATTGAACTTCTTCGAATCTTCATGCCACGTATCTTGATGGGTCTTCTTGAAATTACTAGCACACTTTCGAACCGTCGTGGAAATTGGGATCTGGAGTTGGAAGAAGGGGACGTGATGAGATAGAAGGCAGTAACATAACGATAAACTGGGGGTAAGAAGCTTACTGGGTCATAGGTATGTTCCGCGAGAACATTGGCCAGAAGATCGGGCATCCACTTCTCCACCGTGTAGGGGTAGCTGTCCACTAATGCACAGATTCCTAGAATCGCCGCATGACGCTGACGCAAAGCTTTGTTGTAGTCTGGTGACTGGCGTTCGGGAATATGGCTGTTTTTGGCTAGACGGACGAAGCGGTCCTACGAACGTGAATACGGGTTAGCAAGTCGGTTCAGTTGAGCATCGCGTAAGTGGTTCAATGAGCGGGGAACTGTGTGTGCTGCCATGAAGTGCCACGAGGTGGCAGCACGGTCCGTCCGCATGATGAGGCGCAATGGAGAAGGAAGGAAGGTTTATGAAGCCAATGACAGGTTCGGGAAGGCCGCGGCATGAGAAGATTCATGATGCAGCCGACGATAAGCAGATAGAAGATGCGTAACACATCGACTGTGATGCAAGGCTTACCTTCAATGTGATCACACTGCGTCTGGGGGACAATCGAAGGATTCCAGACAATGTGCTAGAGGAACACCAATCAATGTCAATTTAACGCAGCGGGTGAATGAAAGAGGGCGTACGTGGCGGCCATTTCCCTCACTTCAACGATCTCATCGTCCAAACAACGGCAGAGCACCTTTGAGCGGAGTCAGCGGCAGATGTGTGTCATGTAGGCCCACTACCAACCTCCAAGATCTCCACTACTTTGATTTCGCTAATCAATGGGACTTGACGGAAGTAGAAAACTAAATATACGATTGATCGGTAAGGTCGTTATCTGGTCCAGAACCAACGTGGACGTACCTTGAACCAAAGGCAGAGCCTTAAGTCGCACCCTCCATGACTTGAATAAGGGCATAAGCATACGACATACTTCAACAGGCGTGTGACACATACTGGTGATGTTTGGATCGCGTCGAACATAGCATCCAGGATGGGATTGATCAGTGGCCGAGGTGGGGTTACACCGCACATCCTGACCAGTAACATCCCAGCTCGCGAAGCCAGTTCATCGTTGTCGCTGACTGCACGTTTAGTATGATGAGCTTGGAGTGTGCAAGAAAACTATTCAACTGTCACTCGCCTTCTGCGAATCGGAAGGTCTCTGGCTGAAATGTACCTATCAGAATTGGGCCAAGACAAATCAAAACGGCTGACTTACCAATAAAGGAAGTATGTAATCGAAGACAGAGATGGCATGCGTATCATGAAGTGATTGATAGAGCCACTTGCAGACTGTGATCCCAACGCTGTGCCGGATTAGACGATTATGATAATCTTACAAACGAAGGCTTACCGATCGTAAGTCGACTGAAATGCACGAGCACCCGAGAGTCGTTGCCCGCGCCACACGGCGAATTTCTCCACCAAATCAGCTACTCTGTGTTTGTGATAATACCCTCGCATTCCCATCATGTCGAATTCGATTGGAAGAATACGGCATTCCTTCACGAAGGTCTCTACATTCGGTATGGTTGGTTTTGGACTCCACTGGAAGGCCGTCAGTTTGAGTATTCATGAATAGGAGATAACGTGCCTTGATCTTCGCCGAAAATGCCAACATCTCGCCCACATATGCACGAACCTAATTGGTGTTTATCAGAGGTTCGCGGATAGGTAAATCCAACGGACGCACATCATCATGTTCACTACTGATTTCTTTCCAAAAGCGATCCATGATCTCGTCCGCCCAAGCAGAGAACTTCCAGTTCAACTCCGAATAGAACGCTCGGAAGGGCGAAAGGATTTTGATAGCGTCAAAGGATGACTCTCCATTGTAATCCTGAGATTTGACTTCACTAATTAAGAAATCTACCAAAGGTTGCACGCGGCGTGGGTCCTTATTGTAGAACATATACTGATGGTGATATCAGTATCAGATAAAGCGAAAAGAATGGTCCGATCGAACCTCAAGGAAAGATACCCAAACTGTCAAGGTATCTGAGAGTATGTTTTGTCTGAAGATCTTCGTGATGTACGGAGTGAACCACTTCCATAATTGTTCTTGTTTACTTGTCGGCCAATGCTTGGATCCTGAAGACGGTAAATATAATACGAAACGTGGATCGGCTACTCTTACCATTGAGTACGCCAGCCAGGAGCTCCGCAGCTGCCCTCTGTTTGTTCTGGTCTTTGTCCTGAATGAGGGCGACTAACTGCGGTTTCAGCGTCTCCAATGGCTCATCCTCTAGAACTTGGACTGGCAAGAAAGTATGTCATCAACATGTTACGAGCACACTAACTGCGGGAACTCACATATAGATTTCACAATGGAGACATTATCTTGAGTGAGGGAGACCTCGTCGGTCTCTTCTGCGTAGTAAGTAATCAGATTCTCCCAGAATTCGGGGTCCATCGCCACCGTTCGCAGAGTAGCAACAGCAGCTTCGCTGGTTCGATCCCAAGGCTGAAAAGTTGACTTCGTCTGATGCGGTAATGCTAGCAGGCTAAACTTGGAAGGCCAGGCTAACCATCCGGGTGGATCGTGTTCGTAGAAAATACTATTTGGCTAGGTTCAGCAATTGTACGTCCACAGCAAGCTATGGGATGCTGACCCTTCTTGTGACGAGCGGTCCAGACTCACGGGCTCCTTGTAAGCCTCTAGGTATTTGGAGGTCAACTGGTGAGATGGTTGGACTGTAACTGTTCGCTTCAATGGGTTGTGATTGCGCGCTAGCACCAGGTCGACTGGATCCGAACAGAAAGTTCGCAACTTGAGGTTTCTCAGTGTTTTCATGACCGCACGCTGGGCGTACTGAGGGGGTGATCAGAAGGTAGAACGTATCCAACGGAAAGTGTGGCCTACATAGCGCTGGACGGACGTGTATTAGCTTTAACAATGACGGATAAGGCCTATTGACTCACAACGCTGGGATGCTCGTCGTACGTGTTTTCCAGGAAGAATTTCAGGAGCGAATGGTTGAGAGGTACATCACGTCGACTAAGCGTACGCAGACATCTGACCGCTGCGATCGCGTACTTCCAATGCGTGTCTTCTGACTCACCCACCTCTTGGATAATGGAGATCTGCAAAGGGTAAGAATTGATAGTCGCGTACGGAATAGCGACGAACAGTTTGTCTGGCGGCTTCATTCGCCATCGAGATCCGCTTTATGCGCTGAACTCTGCAACGGTTGACAATGGCTTTTGACGAAGGATCGTGTGGCAACAGGTCTCGCATCTCTGCGACTGCCTTGTCCAACCCCGGATTCGGTATGTCATACACCAGATAGGATGGTTCTGAAAAGCTTCCGATGCCTATAGAGCGTCTGCATTAATACAATAACAATTCTTCCTTGAATGGAGGTATCGCACAGTTATCTGCCACGGAGGAGACAGCATCTTGGATGGAAGGCTACAGGCTGTAAGTTGCGTGCACGTCTGTCGCACATCCTTGACGCACCTTTTCGTTATGTTGCGAGGCGAACAGCTTCTTGAACAACTCTGGACAAAGCGTTGGCTCTGGAGAATCATTTAGTAGATGGAGACAAAAACCTTCGGTGTGTCGGCTTACCGGAGACGGCATATTTACCGAAGGACGAGTAATGGAGGGTCCAAAGGGCACCCTTCATACGATCATCATCTGTCCCCGGGTCCAAAGATTTATACAAGCGAGGCAATGTGCGACGTCGGACGCCGTCGTAATACTGTTAACAATCCTTCAGTAACTGCGCTTTGTCGATGAAGCAACCCGCTTACTGTGCACAATGCGTCTAAGAGGGACTGACTAGATCTATCCAACGGTCAACAGATGTGCACATCGTAATGTGATCATCACTAACTGTCGAATTGTTGCATAATGCCACATGCACCATTCAACCACATCGTCGATAAGCTTGTCCTCCAATGCACCTCGGGCACGTTCAATGGAGTTCCAACGCAACCTTGAAGAGTTGTAATACCTAAAGGACGTTCAATAATCAATACGAATTGTCAGAAGATGTACCAACCGCGCTCTGCGAACCCAGATGGCTCGGGGCCATATCTTCTGTCCGCCGTACTGGCGGGCAACGTTCATCTCGCTGGTGTACTGGTCGTGATTTATATAGTAGCTGCAAAACATGTGAGTACGAACCAAAAGGGATGATACCGAGCATACGAACCTGTCTCGGCTATCGCCATATTCAAGCATGTATACCCTGATCGACCGTACCTTGATAACATGGTTATGTGAGGGGACGATAGGAGGGCGAGCCGTCCTACTCACAAGTGCATTAACGGCATCTACGGTGTTCTCTTCCCCTTGCTTGAGCAGAGAGAGCGAAGCGTTGTGTAGGAACCAACCGAAGCGGCGCCTTAAGGTGGTGATGTACCTATGACGAGAGTCCGAAGTATCTGCTAATGCGAAGCCAGCGTTGACCGGGTCCACAAGCGCTATCATCTCTGGTATCTCGTCGCTAGGTGAGGAATAAGATATGTAACAATGCCAACAATAGAGGCGGCAAGGCTCACAGTATATCACTCTCGGCTGCTTTACTGCGTATGTCTCCAGTGGTGAGGGGTTCCTCCCTCGCAAGCGTAGGGATACCAGCAAATGCGTTCCGCACAAAGCACAAAAGCCTGGAGAAAAGTCTATATTATGCTGAACGATATACGATGCGTCACTCACCGACAGAAGTCATTCCTCCAAACTGCATCTCTTGGTATGCCTAACGATGGCGTTCCTTAAGTGGGAGTCTGGATTTGTATTCAAGAACGTACCTGGAGCCAGAAGTCCTTCCAAACGGGCTAGTGTAGGTTCTATCAACTCTCGAAATAGTCTAAGAATAAAATCGATCTCTTCTTTCGACGGAACATGCCAGGAGAACTGTATTGCACCAATTGATTTCGTTACTTGGTGCAAACCGACGATCTGAGACTTGCCTTGACTTCATCCATTGTGTAAAGCTTGCCCCAGTATTTATGATGATTGCGACGAAAGTCTGATGCTGCGTCTCAGCACAGCAGGATCAGAGACAGTAAACCCCGCACCTTCACTTGTCCATTCATCAGGATTGACGAATCTGTTTTCCAGAGGGTATGTATGCGACAATGTGAGCAACATGCTACAGAGCAATTTACCACTCCATGAATATCCCCGCTTGGAGAAAGTTTTGTCGCGCAGTAAACGCAATAACGTCATGAACTTGTCTTGATATTTCAATACCTGAAGTAACAACGTTACTGAACTGACAGAGGATATATATTTGCGATGAAGGGAAACGTACAGCACGGCCGTCGCTAGAAGTTTATGAGTTCAATGGACATGAATGCAACCAATAGATTCTCACTTGTAAACTGTGCCACGCATGATGGCCAAGTCTGATTTACACCAATCAGGGACGTTACTAATGGTCTGAGGAAAGACGACTTACTCCAATGCAAAGTGGCATCGGAGGGGAGAGGGGACGAGGCAGCGGTCGTTCTTAACGAACTGGCTCCATGCTCTAGCTCGACTTGAATATTGTTGTAACACATGTCGAAGAACTTGGCGAGGGTCTTCTCGGGATCAGCATTCGCAACACACTCCACAAGTTGGTGGATCGCTCGGACGGCGTTCGACCGGACTGTTGTACTCGCATAGTTAAACACCATGTTTAAGACAAGGTCATAAAGTGGTTCTGAGAGATGAACACAAATTTGGCGGCAAGCGCCAGCTACCGCGTCTACTACTTGGACTGTAAATCTTGTCAGTGCGTAGCATACAATGTTAGAGACTGAATTGTAACCTTCGGACACGCCACCGCTTGAACCATTCATTCCCTCTTCGGGAAGATTTTCAAGCAATTGTATGACCCGGCGAACAAAGTTAGTAATCCATTCGGCAAATTCACCAGTGGTTGTCTATCGGGAGTTAGGCTAATGGACATTCGGGCCATTCAAACATACCTTAAGCAATGCATCCTCCTCTGCCATAGATAGTCTCGGTTCTTCCGAATCGAGTCCCTCCAGGTCAGAAAGGTCCAGGCTCGGGGGAGAAGGAGAACTATCTTGGGGGAGGGTGGGCTCTGTATCGAGGAGTTTGCTTGGATATTCGCCAGCAGTCAGGTCACCGAAGCAAATGTATTGCGATACTTCCGCTAGGAAGGCCGTTGTACATAACTACGATGCCGTTAGAGAAGGCAGGGAAATGGATCCAGTCACATACTGTTTTCGTTGGATCGTTCTGCGACATTTAGGTATTGAGCTGCGCGAGCAAGCGAACGAACGGGCACTCACTAAGTCAATGCCGGGGACTAGTAGGTGCATGATGTTGACGAGATGCTTCGCCCCACCATAATACACTTGCCGGGATGCAAGTGAGGGAACGACTGCCCCTAGAGCCTTGATTATGGCCATCGTGCGCTGAGTCTAGGAAGGCTTTTAGCGGGCATTGGGTGCCTCTGGAAAGGCTAGACCATACCTCTACTAACGCTTCCAACGAGGGCACGGCCCTCTCCAATATTGGCAGCAGGATCAAATCAGGCTCCATGAGACTCATAGATTTCATACAACTTTGTATGTTGGACACGGTGTCAGGATCTTGAGAAAATATAGCAAGGAGCGCTACCGTCCGGAGAGACTTCACGAGCTCTCTTCGCATTGATCGTGTCAAGCGCCGATTCTGCAAGTGACGAAGTTGTCAACGAATAGACATGTCTGATAATTGCCCTTACCATCGGCGTTTTGCAGTCAGCCTTCTCTTCTTCGTGCCACCCTACACAAAGGATTGAGACGGTCAACGATTCCAACATTGGACAGGCTTACGCTTATTGAAATCGAATACAATACACTTGATAAACGCGCAGAGCTACATGATCCGTCAAATCTCCGGGCAAGAACTAGTCAAAAGTTTGAATAAACGCACATCTGCCGTCCAAGCACCTGAGTTTGATGGGTGAAAGAAACTTTCTGTCGAAGCAATCATTCTAACTAAAGAGTCCAGAGCCTTGGAGCCAGCCAAGTAAGACTTGCTGGACTTCTTCCCGAGTGGTGCAGCGAGAAATTCTCCCAATGTACTCGTCTGGATTTGAGGCGTGCTTGAACCTGAGGCTGAGGGCGTATAAAACGGTGTAGGCATATTTGATGCGGGTGTCGGTACACCATCAGTGGCCATTGAGTACACGATAATGCGAGCCAGAGAAGCTATGTGGGAAGATGATATGTGGGAAGATGATATCAATGATCAGAGGAGTTTGCGATCAGACGGCTATCCCAACATACATATTCTCCAACTTGGCTTTGGCAAGCGACCAATTTCAAATCCAACTTGTGCATCAGCAGAAGGGCCGGTGGTCAGGGAGCCACCGTCAGCTAGCGGTAACTCTTCAAATGCATATGCATTAATGGGTACCCAACCTTAGGCCTGAACTGAGAGCTCACCCATGGACGATAAACATTTACACATGAGAAGGCTCCACTCGTATTCACTGAATATTCCGACGTCTTTGTAGATCCCTGGCCAGTGTGCTTCCTTGCTGGGCTCTTCATTGTTGCCACTCCATTTCGGACGTCCCTCTCCCTCTGATCGTGAATCGTCTGGGATCTCTAAGATTCGGCGAGGGTCACTGATAGAAGGGTCTACATGTAGCTCCGCCAGAGTGGAGAGGAATTGCAGCATTCTGTTGTCATACTTGTAGGAATTCACTGATTCCCAAAGGCGAGAAAGCATGGGTAGGTATGACTGTGGGTGGGAGACGGGCAAGAAGGTAAGAAGATAATATTGCGCGGACAAAACGCTCTGTATGGTCAAGGTTTAGCGGGCGACCGTACCGAATGTGGTGTGACCTTACGTCAAGGTCTGTCCCATTTATGAGGGGAACGAAGGTCGACAGCATCTCTTCAATGGCAGCAGGATGAAAGAACCGCCGAGAATTCTCTGCTATGTAACCTAGACACCAGGATAGTTGCCTGGATGGGAACAATATGAAGACGATGGTGAAGTGAGACAAGGAGAACACGTACGTATACTCAAATTGCCTCCTGCTTAAGAAGAGGTCCTCCTTGAGGAGAGTGTATATAGGCATCCACGGCAGCCTCATGTCTTCAATACTCAGCTTGTTCTTTGATCGCGTAAAGGTCTTGAAAGCGTCCGCGCAGACAGCAACTATTTGCGTGGGCATCCCGGGGGTAACGCTCAAATGGAAGAATATCTTCGCTAGCTTGATCCTTCTTTCCTTCGGTATAGGATACTTCAACATCGTCCAGCTGCGAACCTGGTTAGGGGTAGTTCGGGGTGCTCGCGTGCAGTAACTCACTAGCCTATCATGCTCTCCCATTGAAGCAAGCCCACATCATAGTCCTTGGCCTCGACGCATTCCGTTAGGCGCAACAGCATGATGTCAAAGATTTCTAAGGCTGTAGAGTATGGCTCTATGTCGTACGGAAGCGACTGTGCGTAGAGCTTCAATTTCCGCATGTAGGGGTCTTCTTCATTTCCATTTACGCCGTTCGGAGGGGGCGGGTCGTGTCCGTTCGCGCCGTTTAGGGTGGGCGTACGAGTATGTTCCTTCAGTAGACCGTTGGTCTTATTGTCGTCATTTGGATAAGCATGATCCTGTATCCTGAGTTTGGAGATATCAGGATAAGACATGAATGGAAGTAAATCGGCAATGTGATCTTGTAATGAATTGGATATAGGTTGATGGGTATTGGAGGCGTCAATGATGAGGTCGGGGGGAACAGCGTTTGAAGTACGGCCCTGATTGGAGAACGTTTGTTTAAAAGCGCCTATGACAATGTGGCGCGGTGGAGTTCAAGTGGTGTTACTAGGAGGCGACTAGGAGGGTGCTCTTTTGTACCCTGGGCGGACAGTCCCCTCAAGGTGGCCACAAAGCTGAACGAATCAAGGATACACAATTTTCAACAACAGCGCTGGCGTGTTACGTACAGGGTTCATTACAATATCGACACACACACGCCGAGAACAAGCAATTAAGAAAGCATAAATAGGCTGGACGGTGGCGTCGCACCGAACAATTATGTAGCTGTGCTCGAGGCAACCTCCTGTAGCTCTCGAATGGCGCGCTCGCGGACCATATCCCAAATTACATTCCTGTCTGCACGGACATCACCAAGGCCTTCTCGGATTTCTTGCAGGCGTTCAACATACTCCCTGCCGTCGTCTTGAAGGTCGCGTAAAGTTGCCAGGGATTTTTCCAGGCTCTCTAGCTGAGATTCGGGTGATGAAAAATGAGACGGCTCGTGCAATGGGGGTACTCCGTTGGGATGAGATGGAGCAATAAAGATTTTGTGGGCAGCAGGAGTGAGGTCAGGCGCTCGGGCTAACCTTCGAGCGTGATCGTCTTGCTCATCTGCGTTCTCGTCGCCGTCCTCGCGCTTCGGCACCAGGGGCTCATGATTTGCCTTGTCTTCTGAGTCTTCATTGATGACCTGCCAGAGTCTTCCCAAGGCGCGGCGCATGGTCGTTTCGCCTTCGATAAGGCTGTTCGTCGATTGCTCGAGCTCGTCCAGTAGATTCGAACGAAATGTATGGATAACAGCTTTGTCAAGAACGAATCCAGTGTAACTGAGGTGCTGGACCGTCGGACCGGGGTATGGGGGCCCTATGGGAGGCGACGGTGATCGGAGGTGTGGAAGAGCGGGCGGGGAAGGGGATCTCTTGTCTTGCGGCATTAGCGCTTTCAGACGCTTTCGTGCTCGGTCTTCGGTCTACACAGCTTCAAAATGGATAGTATACGCCAATAACGCGTGTACTCACCTCCCATTCGTCCATGGCAGGCCCCCAATTCACAATCTTGCCTCTGCGCACCCATCTGGCGCCTCTCGATGCCTTCTTTCCCCAATTTCCTTGACGCCATCCAGCTTGAACCTCTTCGTCGTCTGACTGATATCCGTGCGAAGGATAGTACCACGAGTTTTGGTCGCTCAAGGGCAATGAACTACACGTCCAGGGGTATGTCATCAAGGACGTCAAGAAGCAAGAAAACAGCTTGGCTTACAGCCCGTCATCGTATGGCAATGGAGGTCCAAACGATGAGTACCGTTGGGTGCTTGTCGAGGGTTGTCCCGGAACCATAAAGTCCGTGGCCATGTTGGCTGCAAGGTTAGAAATGAAGTCAGTCTTTGCATTGTCGTTTTAGGAAACCAGTCAATTCGGCATTTCCCGCAGTCAATGTGTGATTTCAGGGGCGCGTCCGACATTACAAGGTACTTCTCGAGTACATAAAGTTACAGAGTGTTAGCGATATGATATGAATAAGTTAACATAGGTTTCTAAGTAAAATACTCTGCGTAAGAGACAGGGGGGAGGTCGCAGGGCCATGCACCTGTTCTGATCACGTCCTCGAAGACTTCTTCACAGGACCGGAAGAGGTCAATAGCTGCGCGGGCCATTTCAAGCTGTAATGAAGCCTCAAATGTCAGCAAGCAGTCACTTATAAACACACAGTTCACTTACCGGGTCTTCGTAATCTAGTCCAACGTTACGCCCCATGAAATGATGGACGAGTATGGATAAATCCACGGCCTTCGAAGTCTTTAGTCTTCGTCGCAGAGGGAGGAACAAGGCCAAATCGCGGGTATGTATGGTTGGATGCTTGAGTCCTAGCACCTGTAAAATGTCTGCTCAATTATCTCCCCTCCTTTTGATAGTAGAAATGCCCACCGATAGGAACACCCATAGGGAATGTCCGACTAGCACCTTGTTCTTTATGAGACCATAGACCCGCCGCTGAACATCCTCGAATGCAGGAGCTACCGAAATTGGAATCGCCATGAGACACAATATTACTGAAAGAGGCAAGGAACAAACCTGTTGCTAGGTGCTCGCATTGTAATCCAGTTGCCGACGACCTATACTCAGTGACGACATGGCTGGGTTCAGCCGGCCACGCTCAGCGATACACATGAAAGATAATGGGTGCGACATACGTGGGTCGGACATAGGTATCCAAGAGAATATTTCCTCGATAATCGGTCATCGAGACGCGCCTGTGGTCATGATGAGCTTGGCGACGATGGAGACGTATTGGGAAAGAAAACACGTACGCCACCATGGGTATTGGTTTGTGTGTTTCTGCATGGACACCAATATATACAACCTGCGCCGCGACCGAGACATATCTATTGTGTCGATTGTCATCATGAGTGGAAGGCTTGGGAGCACTAGTCACAAAACACACCTTGATGGGGAAAGTCCGTTCGGTGGAGAAGGTAGGAAATGCAACGGCGAGGGGGGGTGCAGCCCGTTGCCAGCGGTAGTGTAATAACCAACGGAATTGTGATGGACATCGTCCTTGTCGTACATGCTGTGCCGCGACCGTGTACTAGCAGATGTGCATCTGAGGGACGTTCAAGCGACGACGCCTCTGCGCCACATATAATCATCAGGCGACTTCCTTCGAAAGTCACTTGGAAGACAGTCAAATTCTTCACCATGACGGCGTCTGAACTACAATATTAACTGTCCGCCAAACCTATTTTTGCTGGGTAAGATTCAGGTCCTGCGTTGGACGTAAAAACGTACATATGTTATCTGTTTGGCTGGCTTCTATAGGGAAAAATCCTCCGATTCCCATCCGCAGTGACGTCCGTAAGCTGGGATATGGGGCCTTTGCCCCCATGCAGAGACGTGTCAATTAGAGGTTTGGCGTATCGCGTAGAAGACCGTCCGATACAGCAGTCCTTGCAGTAAATCAAGCAAGTTGCCGGCGAGAAGCACCGGATAAGATTGATATTGCCGACCGCTCCCGCGAACACTCTGACCCAGCAATGAAAAAGGCAACACGCCGGCTGATCAGCTCAACAGGCACAGCGAGGACGGTTAAATTCATCTATATTCAAAGCGTACACGTATTTTCTACACTTGGTATGCCGACTCCTAAGAAAATGTCTCCAACATCATCTTGACACTTCCAAGTCAGCTCGTTAGCGACAAAAGAAGTAGCATGTCCACTCACATGTGGGGTAAGTAGATTTTGTTGTCTGTTATAGCTGAATGCCAGCTTCTTGAGGTTGGGGTTCAGTTTCTAGTCTAGGACCTTCCTTACGAGCGACATTCGGTTGCTCGAAGCTACGCATGCCCTCTAATCCCCACCGACTCATCATGGCCTTGTCCTATAAAGAGAGTCAGTGTACAGCAATGTCATGGAAGCACCTATGGATATATACCTCGTCCCAGGGTGCGCCTGATGACAGAACGTCAGTTAGCCTTGTGCTCATTTGGACATGTTGATTGACTTACACGGAGTGGTCAGCATGTGATCACCCGTAAAGACAGCATTGGCGCCTGCCATAAAGCATAGGACTTGTTGGGATTCATCAAGTTTGTTTCGCCCAGCTGCCAACCGAATTATGGTGTTTGGCATCGCGATGCGAGCAGTGGCGATGGTTCGGACAAGTGTTTGATGGGGAACAGGCTAATGAGTCGCAAGTCGATTAATTGAACATCTAAAGTGATGGTTATTGCACGACTTACATCGTTGCCCTCTAATGGTGTCCCAGGGATTGGTACCAAAGCGTTGACCGGGAACGACTCGGGATGCTCAGGCATACTTTACGTCGAAGATAAATGACAACCCCCGACCATAATGTTGCGGAGATTGTACTTACTTTGAAACTTCCCATATCAAGCCAACTCGGTCCCCGTCTGATTCACCCAAACCGAGTATCCCGCCGGAGCATACGCTGATGCCTGCATCGCGCACAGCGGTGATGGTGTCTAACCGCTCGTCGTAGGACCTCGTCGTAATTACCTAGATCACGCTTGGTGAATCAATTGAGGAGGTTCAAGCTAAAGGATCACATACCTGAGGGTAAAATTCCCGAGATGTATCAAGGTTATGGTTGTAAGCCGTCAAGCCACTGTACAATACTTTGTGAGACTCGTGTTGATGGCAACATCGGGGTTACTTACGCCTCTTTGAGTCTCTTGGCCTGTTCTGGGGAAAGCATGCCGAGTGTGGTGCACACCTCCATTCCCATGCCACGAACCTCGGTAACCATCTCGAGGATCCTCTCGAAGCCTCTTTTACGACCGGCAAGATCTCTCCAAGCAGCACCCATACAGAACCTCGTGCTGCCATTTTCCTTTGCCTTTCTTGCTGCTTCTAGGACGGGCTTAATATCGACAAGCCGACCGGCTTCCGTCGGCGTAGAGTAGCGGGACGATTGAGAACAGTAGGAACCTTAAACCGAGAAACTCGGGTGAAACGCCAGCGATCAAGCATCAGCAACAGTACTTACAATCCTCGGTACAACCACCAGCTGGTTAGGCCATCCATCAGTTGGCACGAGCCGGGTAATAGAGCGGACGAAACACTCACTCTTAATATTCATCAGAGTACATAGCTGGATTTTCTGGCCATCATTGTGCTTCCTGTGCACCGAAGCAGCCCTATACACCAGGTCCAGTAGCGGAGTATCATAGATCTCCTGGATCTCGCGACGCGACCAATCGTGTCTAAGTCCCGAGCTCGCCTTCGGAGGCTGAGGTGGCGACGCATGCGTCGCGAGCTGCCGAGCCAGCTTCAATGATCGAGTGCTACCGCGAAGAGATTGCAACATTTTGGAAGGCGGCAGGCGGAAAGTGTGCTCGGTGAGACGTCGACGGGTTGGATCGAAAGAAAACAGATAAAAGAACGAGGGGGTGGAGTTAAGGGCAAAATGTAAAGGACTCAGGGGGACGAAGTGCGGGATTTCGGGCTTGGCGCATATGCTATTGCCGGCGGTTATTACAATTGAACGCCTCTTGATTCATCGGTTCCCCAAAAAGTGTCTGCTGATCCAGAGTCCAGACTCTGCGCCGCCACTGTTTACTTTCAAGAACGCTGACGGACATTTCCCCTCAAATTCGGTTCGTTTGCACGACCATTATCTCTTCCCCTTTTCCCCTGCAAGAGGACTTAGAAGTTACTAAGTAGTAGCGTCCTTGAGGCTGCAGAACGGCGTTAAGATACTGTTATTGACGTGATCGCCTCGCGGACAGTTGACCATATCCACGCTTTAACAGCCAACATGAGTACATTAGCTGGAGATCGATGACCTCAGTCCATCGTTGCCCAGGGGCCAGGGCCGGGCCCTAGAGGATGGGCTAATGGAGTTACAAGCCTAGGATTGGGAATAATCCGGTCGCCAACGAGGTATGATTATGATACAGCACTAATACAATCTCACAAGTACGATAGACGCTACACTGGCTGAAGGAAGCGAAAAAATATCCGGGTCGGTTTGGTCCATATTCGACAGTCACGCTTAGTTGGTTATTGTACCTGTTCCGATGAACTGTGAGACTAATGGTAGCACGTATACACAAATAACTCACATCGAGATTCCGTTCAGCTCATGGGTGACGCTCTGTGCTTACGATATCCACCTACTCGCTTGGGCGACGATTGAGCGTAGTCGATTACCTGGATACCTTGAGCATCGTGATGAGCTCACATACAGTTTCCTTTGGGATCCTCTCTCACCACTTGTCGTAGGAGCGCCGGTATGTCCCACCTCTCCTGCGGGGGCAGATTCGTTCCGAGGCTGTTTCTTTTCCATGGACACCTTCGCATTGAGCCACTGCTTTTTGGTGTGCGCCGCCATATCCCGTGAATACGAAATCCGTTTTTGTTCCGTCGTAGTGCTTGTCATGGCGTCCGCAGTGGTCTATCTTTCCTAACTAGTTGACTGAGAGATCAGGTTGGAAGGGCAACTTCGTTCCGGTATGTTTGATATGGGTGGGTCGAAAGTATATTTTTCGGGGGGGAGGGGGGTTGAGGAACTTCGCCCAGGCTATTATATATGATTTTTACCTCTGGCTGACTTATTATAAACTCGATAGGGGGACCCCGCCCCACGATTCTTACTCCTTCGTCAGCCAATCATGACGTCGGGGAGTAGGCGCAACTACGAAAGAAGTGGCATGCCGCTGAGCCTGAAATAGTGTCGGGCCATAATCGGAGCTCAAACGTTGACATTGTGGCAAGCCTGCGCGGCGCGCCCGTGACATTCACATTGCAGCGGCCTCATAAGCCTGCCTGATTAGGGACGCCCGAGCCTTACCCCGTACTTCTATATTACAGGTGAAAGGCTTCAGCGCAAATTCCAGTCCAGGCTAACATATAATACAGTACATCAGACATAGGTAATGAACTAGAAGGGAAACTCGCACAAGGTAGTTCTTCAAGTCCATACTACATAATCCTGACGTGTCTTTGCTGAATCTGAACGCCCATAGAAGGTTGATTGCATTCATTGCCTTTGGTAGATGAAATCAGCACTTGGCATCCACTATAGGGCAGATTACTCACAATGTTTCTTGAAGCCATGTCCATTCCTGGACAGATACGCTGTGTAGTAGAACGTAAGAAGTTACAAAAGTTACGATGCATGACCGCTACTCACCCTGCCAGCGCCAAAGGGCAAACTATCACGGAAACCTTCAGTGTTTGCTCCGGCCTTCGTCCCGAACTCAGAAAGTAGATATCTTTCAGGATTGAAAGATTCCGGGTCGTCAAATAGTTCTGAATGTACCATCAGTACAGCACACTGGTTATCCATGAGCGGGACTTGCCAGGATCATGGAAGACACCCCCTATTTACGGTGATTGCGTTGACATTGAAGCCTACCACTCTAAGCGGTCACTCACATGTATTCATGAAGATAATTGAGCCTTCGGGAATCAAAAAACCATTATACTGTTGGAACATCAGAAATCTGAATCATATCTATTCAGAAACAAAAGAAGCATACTTGAGTATCCTGTGATGCTGCATGTGGTATCCCTGTGGGAGTTATAGGTCTGAATCGATGGAGCTGCGGTAATTGGAAACCATGTAGGAGCGGTGACTAGACCGATGGAAGTTACTCGCCTCTTTGATAAGCGCTTGAAGATATGGAAGGTCGTCGTAATCTTCTAATAAAGGAAGCTGATCATTGCGGAGCACTTGATCTATTTCAGCTTGTGCCTTAGACTGAACTTCCGGATAGCATGCCATCGCCATAACGAATGAATGAAGAAACGAGGCAGAAGTCTCGGTGCCAGCATCCAGCAGAACTCGGCCCATTGCTCTGTCCAAATGCTCAATTTCCTGACCAGATCATCCCAAAGGCAAGCGGTATCATACGCACCTGACCTCATCACGATTCACTCCAAGCTCAACTTTCGTTTCTAGTACATTCTCCACAAAACACCCTGCCCGCTTGCCCGCTTGGACGGCCTCTTCACATTGGAGGAATATGTCTTGGTCAAATGCATCACGGATTCGCTTTGTCTTCTTGCTTAGCATCTTCCATGGGGCCCAACGCTCCGGAACGTGCCTCAAGATGGGGAAGAAATCAAGAGGTGGATGGTCAAAAGGCGCAAGCAATTCATTGATGCATTTTGTTCCTTCGAAGAATAATTCCGCTTTACTGCCTGCGTAATGGGGAATGGATTTGCCGTAGATCAGGGTTGTCATTATGGATGCGGTGGTGCGCTTGATGTGGGTAAAGATGTCCTGGCATGGGTGTGGGTATGTCATGGATATATACATCTTCAGCGAAAACGTACCTCAGGCGATTCAAGGACATCGTGGAGTAATCGTAAATACTCAGTTTGTTGGGAACCCCAATAGCTTCGCAGTGCCTCAGGTGCTAGGAGCGTGTGTGTTGCTTTACGCATTGCTTTCCACCGATGTGAACCTTTTGCACACTACGCTCTCAGCATGTAGCATCTCAAGACTGATACACTTACTAGCGGGGTCAAATATTTGGTATATCCCCTCTGCATGAAGAAGGGTATACGGCTGGAAACGATCACTGGTTGCGAGGCCGTTTTTATCCAAGACGTCCTTGATAGCCCGACCGCTGCTCAGAACCACCATGGTCTGATTAAGAACTTTCAGCTAGGAGGAACCAAGGAAGAACACGATCAACGTCGATGATTTGGAGCTCGCGAGTCTCCCTACCGAGTAAATGTCACCATATTTAGCTGCCCACTGGCTGAATCTAATTTCTGTTCAATAAGATATGATCACAACATGCTAAAACTCACTGGAGGAAAGGAAATAATCTAGGAAACTGCAGAACATTTCCTAGGATGGGAGCTGTTGGTGGCCCAGGGGGAAGGCCAGGTTCTCGGTGACCATAATTCCGAAGCCTAAAAGCAAGGAACACGGTCATTAACACGAATGTACCAACTAATGTACCGGTCATCATGGAAGGTCGTGGTTGTATTATGAGGAGTAGGGCGCAGGCGAGCACCCTTGCGAGCCCTTTAAACCACGATCCTTTGATTAGCACACGGTAACCTCTCGAAATGATCGAATTTCTCTCATGTCATTGAATACTTCGAGTGGGCATTGAATCGATTCCCATAGGATGTTATCTAAGCGCCTCGAGTTGTAGATGTATCCCAGTAATTCAATGAACACGCGCCTATGTCCCTTGTCTTCTGCGAGAAACCTGCAGAGCAGTGGAAACTAACGGTTTCTGATAACCCCATGTATGACACTTAGTATCCGCCGAGGAAGTACTGCAGGACTCCGAGCGCATGCCATGGTGTAAAGGCTGTTCGTTACAATGCTAGATGGCGAGCATATCATTGGTCTCAGCGTGACATGCAGGCTACTTAGCTTCAGCGGACACACCACAGTCCATCCACCTCATGATGGGAAGGTAGCGAAGGTGGCCTTCCTGACAATTCAAACTCAGACTTACGGACTCATTGCAGTGACTCAAGCAATACTTGCTACTTCCAAGTTCCCCGGAAAAGTCGTTCCTACCCTTGTCACGGTGGCTCCACTCATGGTTCCATCGCCGGGTCGACATACAATCATGTTCTGGGCCTGTTTGAAGGGTGTCAGGACCGTCTCCGGCGCTCCAGAGTCCAGACGCGCATCTTGATAGAGACGCCATGTATAATGGTTACTGTGTTCAATCGTCTTCCTCGAAACGACTGGATTGGCCCGGCGCGAGGCTGCTACGAGATAAGACTGCATCTTGGCTGCATCATACGATCATCACGACGACATGCCGCTTCAACTTACACGCTGATTATCGAGGCGTACAATGGGGATGATCTCCTTTCGCAAACCTAAACATTCAAACGCCACTGCGGATTTTGAGCATGCAAGACAAATGCAAGAGATCCCTTTGCTCGTTCCTGGTAGGTTAGCGAACACTATTGGCAGACCCAGACTTCACTTGTCGATGCGATGCGTATCATGGCCCGGGCCCAGGACTCTCCCCCCAAGCTTTGTGACTCGACTAGAGGAATCTTTTGCATTATCATTAGCATTGGCGCCGTCTCCTGTCGCAGTTGCAGTTGCACCACCTCAACCCGCTCGTCTACGACCCAGACATCCAAATGCCAGTGCCCAGCGTATCAGCATTCATTGGTGCACTCGCACTGATGGCGGGCGCATTCATTGTTTATGCCTTTCAGTTCCGGAAATACGGCCGTCGCGAGGGCAGCCTCCCCCGGACCGCCAACAACCCCAATCCCAGGAAACATCCCGCAATCCCCTAGGTCGTTTCCATTCCTCCAGTAAGCTCATAACCACAGCGTGTTCGTGGTGATGGGGTATCTTTACTGAGCAGATTTTATGTAGATCCAGCCAATGGGCGGCTGAATATGGAGACGTCTGCTCAGTTGAGTGAATTCGGATGTATAATCATTGGTTGTTGATGAATGCGTACACCCGTCTGACAGCTCAAAGTCCTTGACCAAACTACAGTGGTCCTGAGCAGCGGACGTGCAATCAAGGAGGTTCTAGACAAGAACGGCCTCTCGACAGGAGATCGTTTCCGGCCGTATACAATCCTTCCCAGAACGATGGGCCCCGTGGAAAACACTGAGCAAGGAGACGAGGGGGATTAGGAACAAGGTGGATGGGGATTTGTTCCTGCAGTGTGAGGAGGCGGTGAGAGGTGGGGTGCTATCTGGAGAGTGTCATCGAGGCGCGGGATGAGTTCGGCTTGATTCGTGAGGAGGTCAGGCGTGTGCTATTTTATACCCTTATCTGGAGGTACCTTCGTGACGCTTAATCCTCGAGTCGAATACTTACCGGTTGATTGGCCATTTTGACAGAGCGATAGGCCGAGTTCTGCTAGACGCTGGCACCAAAACATCTGCTTCGTTCCTTCATTCGTCATGGTGATGGCTTGCTACCCGGATGTCCAGGCGAAGGCGCAAGCGGAAATCTACCAAGTTCTCCGGGACGATCAACTCCCTGTCTTGGAAGATAACGGCAATCTTCCGTATCTACACTCATCAAAGAGGTATCCCAATTCTATTTCCCTCGTACATACAATTTTTGAGAAGTTTGCCTGCTGCAGCTCCATCGATTCAGACCTATCGCTCCGTCCGGGATACCGTGTAGCCTCGCGAGATACTCAAGTACGTCACACACATATTTTTGCTTCTGCGCCAAACGATTCTAACTGTCCCCTCTATATCAAACAGTACAATGGATTCGTGATCCCTCGAGGCTCGATTATCTTCATGAACATATGTGAGTCGTCCTTCAAGTGGTTACTACATCGACCTTTGAAATGAGGTCACTTCCGGGGGTGTATACGTGAGTCGGTATAGTTTTTGTCTCACCTAGAGGCTGATGGGGCATGGGCGCAGAGATATTCGACAATCCGGAAGCCTTCAAACCTGAACGATGTCTTCTTTCCGAATTCGGGACGAAGCCCAGGGCGAGTACTGAAGGCTTGCGAGATAGCCTGCCATTCGGTGCTGGTAGGGTAAGCATTTATTTACATAGGATCTATGCCTAGCATATCTGCCCTGGGGCGGAGATAGCGTCAAGAAACATAGTGAGAAGACTACCCTATGTTGGGCGCTGAGCGCTGATCCTCATGCCTAGGCTATGGACACCATCAACCTCCTCTGGACGTCCAACTTCAGCCAGTACATGTCCGGGACCTGTACGATGGATTTAGAGAACTACCTTGCGCGTATTTCCATTCTCTTGCTTGCCCCCTCCCTGCTCTGCCGCCTGGAATGGAGTTCGCGCTGAAACCCTTCACCTGTAATATTAAAGCACGGAGCGAGGCTCGCGCATCCTTGATTCGGCGGGCGTACGACGCAGCGGCACTGATTAATACTCGAGAATCTCGAGAAAGAGGTGTCAATAGAATGGCGTCGATATATAGTATCATAGTGTTGATTTTAATGTTCATCTCCGTTCCGTGAAGTCCAGATCTTGAGACTTGAATGCCGCTATGTCCAATATCTGAGATATAAGAAGGCGCAAGGAGAAATCTGGATGTATTCGGAGGTCTAAACGTCTGCTTACGATAATGGTAGTGACCCCACCGGGGAAAGCAGAAGCGTATTCAATCTTAGCTGAGTGAGGCGACTGATTATCGAGTAGTCTGAAGGAGAGTTCAGAAGTCACATACAGTTTTGATCGTGCCCCTGCGCACCAGTTTGTTCTGCAGCTGATCCCGTTTTGATGTAGTTTGCGAGTGTGTCGTTGACACGATTTTGAACGGTGTAAAAATGTGCGGGTGCTCGGAAGGAAGAAGCGAGTTATCCATTGCATCTTTTCATTGACTGATTCACCGCTTGTAAGCTGCGAAGTCGGCCAATGTGAGATATTAGAGAAGTGCCGCCCGAGGACTGATCCATGGCGGATGTGTGGAAAGGGTGGTCAAACGTTGGCGGGGTTTGGTTTCAACGGTTCGCCACGGGTGGACGTCGCCAAATTGGAAATTCAGTGACTGTGACCACAACCACCATCTTCCACCTACAACTATGCGACAATCGCCCAATTTCACTGGACTAAGGAAACCAGCACAAATGTCCTGACCTCCTTCTCCGAGACTGGCGGTTGGCGGCCTCGACTAGCCTTCTTGCTTGCCGAGTTACCTCTGTTCCAAATCCTGGTGTTCGCCGAACCTGGTCGCTTCTCCTAGCACTCGAAGCTTGGGGATCGAGGGGACTGGGGTGTTGGGTTTCAGGTCGTTCATGCACACTCATAGCCCACCGTGCAATATGCAAACTTGATCTCTCATACCGCAACGGCATTCTTGCGCTCACGAACCATAAACCTGGATAAACTCCCGCGGGCTGGGTCCTATATCAAGCAAACGTCCAAGGTCTGGGATTTCTGCCTTTGGACACCGAGTCTACGAGGTGCACAGGGTTTTGAAGTTCTTCAAGCCAATCCATTCCTTAGGGGCCGAGATCGACAAGAACGACCAAGGGAGTCGTCTGGAGAGAGCAGGATTCCGGGCGTCCAGCTGCGACAGTGACTCGGCAACATAAATCGGGATCTCTAAGGGTGGCATGTCCAGTCGTTAGCCAGATGGAACCCCCGCTCCAAAGCAGTTATGCATGCGTGGGGCGTTTCATGGGGTGCGTCGACACATATCCTTGCAAAACCCATAAACTCGGCTCTGCTGAATCGGCAGATTTGGCCATTATCACTCGTCGTAAGCAAGGGTATTGCAATTGATCCTGCGGTCCGAGTTGCTGACTTCTACAATATAGCTTGCTGCGTTTGGATGCCTTCAAACTTGGAAGTAACAATTACGAATTCTTGATCTCCTGCCTCGAAATGGAAGCCGCACAATACTTGATGATCTTGACGGATTGAAGCACACGATCTGTCACAATATCCAATCATCATGTTGGTGGTGGTGGAAAAGGAACGTCGAACTCACGCTGACTCGATCTTTTCGTTTGTGACGCGCCTGGGTCACGTGGACGGAGGCAGTCTATGTTGGGGACTTACGTCGGGTGACACGCGTTGGGGCTCAGTGGCTGTCGCTGCTAGAGGGCACGGACGATTGCACTTGTAAGGCATCCCAGGCATCGTGGCGTTGTTGAGGGCTAGACTTCAACAAGATTTACAGCAGCGTTGGGAGTCGCTACTGCCTCATCAGGCGGCGTAGTTCATTGGCCTTTTTTGCGAAGATGGTCACTCTTTCCAACACTTGGGAGCCAGACTGCCATCGGGGTGAATACTTCCGGTAGATGTTCCTTTACCTCAGTCATCGAGATCTTCTGCAATTCGTGGCCGATCTCGAGGCTATCCGGAGGATTGGATCTAGCAATTGGCCACGTCTATGTTCTATTGGAGTCGCGGCGTTCAGTCACGATTGTGCCTTCCGAGCGTACTGAACCGTGGAGCTAGCAGGAGGAATCTTCGGCAGGGGATTCACATATTCTGTGCGTGGAGAGAGATAAAGTCGAGATGTGATCCCATGAACGGGCTTCCAGCGTTACCTAAAGTTGGTTTTGGAAGTCGTCAAGCTCAGAATGTGGTCACAGTCCAGATACGCCGCTTTCTCGCCCCTTAAAACGCATGGCCTGAAAAATCCTTCCTAGTCTCCTACTCTGACAACAAACACCCCGGCCACATCTCAGCTTCCCTCATCGAAGATGAAAGACCATCATTTCCGCCCTCGTCAAACCTCCGCGTCTCACCAGCCTTGCTCGACAGAGCGGATGGTCAACCCTTGGTACTTCACCCAGCTGCGTCTACCGGTCTACAAACACGGCTACATGAGAAGATTCCATCCATACCCATGCTCCAAACGCCGACGAGACGAAACGGATCCTTGGATGGTTCTAGCATAGCTCATTGCTACTATTTTACAGGTCTGACACTTTTCACGCAGGATGGGTTCCTCCAAGAGTCAACAATTCGCCCTACAGACGTGAGTCCTCTGTCCGGTGCCCCGGGCAGCTCCTCACCCTTTTCTCATCTGTCAGAACACAAATTATGAGGATGAGAATGAGGAAAGTGACGCGCGCCAGGAAAAGGGTACAATTTTTCTGCTCGTCGTGGACGTACGTTTTCTATTTGATTCTTTTGTCCGCTTTTTACGAGGCAACAACCACCAGAACTTGAATGTCTCAGCAGAGCGAATTTTGATGTCTGGTCGCAAGATGTGATGTCGTTCTTCACTCCAATGTTTGTAAACAGTCTCCGCATGTATGGTCCCTTCTGACGGCTGTTATCCAGATGCCCTCCACTAAGCACTCAGGCCGCCTTCTTGACACAGTATCTGTATAATGGCTGCGCGAATGAATATGTACATACTAATTTGCATAAAATGAACTTTGAACTCGCCGTACTTCTTGACGTTTTCGACTCGATCACACGTTGCGAGCTTTGACTGGTACCACCACGTTCGAACGAATATGGCCCACTCGACGACCACAACCGCTTCGCACATTCTCACTAAATATTCAAAATGCTACATCTCATGTAGTTCTACACAATCATCGCAAGTGGATGGAGGTGGGGAATGGCAACACTTTGTCAATCCCGTCCTGGAACTCGTGCTGGACATCAGAAAGTCGCGTCTGAACAACGAACTGGAGTCTGTCCGGCTTCGCATACTATGGAATATGGATACCAGCGGGATCAAGAATGAAGTACCGTTTGTATGTGGGGTCTTCACGACGCGTCAAATATATGTGCTGACATGAGTATGCGCGAAGGAGGACCTGGATCTCCTTGCCTACTCTGACATTCCTGCGTCGGCTCAGCCCATGCCGAGTCTTCCTCTCAAGGCCGTCTATCGGGATGCTGTCGTTGGCATCCGCTATCTATACCCGATTATCGCGACACCTGACGCACAGCCGGTACTTCGTCCTCTCTGGATCTGTTGCTCGATTTTGACGCGTTTCTTTTTGTCTACTACAGGCTTTCCGCCGATTTCAGATCACTTTCGCCTCGTCTAACTCTGCCCTCGAGTTCATCAACTCGATACGCAACGTCTGCCCCTGCAAGGTAAATCCCTTGCCCAGCAACGCGAACACTGTGACTTCGATCCGTGCAAGGCCAACTCAGGTAGGAAGACAGTCATTTGCTGGCTCTGCCCCGCGTCGTGGAGTTGGCTCTCGAATGCAAGCTTCATTCAGGCCTTTGTCACCGAACACCGCTGAAAGCGCACGTGTGGCTACCTCTGGCACAAGGAACAACATGGCTTCATCTTCTAACCTGCCTTCGGAGGATTCACAATCGCAAAATCTACGTGACCCTCCGCTTCAAGATTCTGCACCACCAGCGTCGTCCCCTGTGCGCGTGCCTTCCAGCGACGACCCTCGGGGGAGCTCAAGCACTCTCAGTTCCACCCCGGACTTCGGTGGCATTCGGCCCACCCATCTGCCTAGTTCCACTTCCCAGGTGACCACAGTCCAACCGCTGCCCTCCCGTAACAACTCGAGCGACGATATGAGAAGTCAAGACTCAGCTCGCCCTGCCTGCGTCGGATGGGCAAACGACACTAGCTCGTCATTGGGGGAGCCACGAGCTATGGCAACCACGAGTCTTCGAGCCAACAGTAGTGATCTTCCTGGATCCACGCCCCCTTCTTCTAGTGCTGGCGATACTTCTATGCCTCCACCGCGTCTTCCCTGGCAGACACCTACGCCTGACGCGAGTTCACTTCTCTCATCTGTCCGAGACTCCACGAAGCTTTACGACCTCTCATCTAGCGAATTAGAGGATCTGGTCAGTCGAGTGGTGTGCGAGGAAGGGTTCTCTAAACTGGTGTGTGTTTTTCGATTGCCTTCTGTCGGATTGATTGATTGCAGTTGCGGTGGGTGCTCAAAGTTGCAGCAAGTGGAATCGATGTGGCGGATAAAGGGCTTATTGCAGTAGAAATTATACCGTGGCAGAACCATGGGCCGTTCGCTGTGTTGTTAGAGGATCGAGGATGGGAAAAAAGCGAGACGATGACACAATCGGGCTTTGTTACATTTCAGCCAGGCGAGGCAATGAACATAAATCATTCAATCTGCCCTTTCAGCGACTCTGCTACATGTCGAGCAGTAGTGCACCGTTCTGTATGCTGCCCCAGGGTTTTCGACTAAGTTGCGGCGGATTTGAGGGTGTGGAAGCGAAGTCGCAAGAAACTGGGAGTGATGCTTGACGCTTCCAATATGGCACCAGGGCGTGTGCGGCCACTGAAGGGGACTGAAAGGTTGCTGATTTGAGCTCCTGATCGCCAACCCAAAATTGCTGTGGTATTTCCTTTCCAAGCGAGCATCAAGCATTCTTTTTCTCTTCCGGCATGGAATATTTCTCCGCCGCAACGACAGCGGGCTGGCGAATGTCCAAACGATGAGATAGCGATGTACGGCTGAGGACGAGGAGACGCGAGGTGTGTGAAAGAAGTTCAAGTCGGTGGAGATGACTTGCGGGTCTCGTGCACACTTCTGGAATCTGCCACATTTCCGACGGTTCCCAATTTGAACGTCGCTTGCTATCATTCGCAACGACCGACGCGACGATCCTCCTGCCGTCAGCTCTCGCGATTGTGGTCCAGACGAGATAGTTTGGTCCTGGAGCTTCTTGTTCTTATTGTTTTCATCGGTCGCGAAACTCAAAGCCTCAAGGATTGAAAAATCTCAAGTAAGAGGCGAGCGCGCTGCCGAACATGCTTGCGGATAATCCATCCAATACGTCGGATCGTATTTTTCCTCGCCGCAAACTACGGTTTGTAGAGCCTATCTTCGTCTTCGTCTTCGTCTTCTGGCACCGCCCGGCTACACTAGTCGCATTGCACCAATGCCCGGACTTTCACGCATTGCAGCCAAGGATTCAAGGAGCGGAAATTGACGCGATTCAACCTCAAGGCTTCGCGCGCCTGACCGAACGTCGCGTCCAGGTTCTTCACGTAGCGAATGTGATATCGAGAAGTTCTTTCACATCTCTCCAATTCGTCGATGGCTTTGATTGTGCAACACGGAGCACGGTTTCCACGTTGCGGACGAAGTCGAGCCCCCTGCAGTGGACATAGCATTCCTTGTGGCGGAAATAGAACTCAGACCCTCTGGTGCAATCTCTGAAGACTCGCAACCTCGGATTGGCAGGCGTCTACAAGGACCAGGAGATTTGTTCTTCATGTTTGAATGTTCCAAAGTGAGTTCTTCGATGCGGTCCCGTGTTCTTCAGCTTCATATACGTCGACTTCATTGCCCATTCCACTTCGTGTTTGAGGCGATCCACCTTGAGAGAATACTCATTGCTGGTGTTATCTATCTTGCTCGGTCGGCCTCAATGTTCCCGCTTCCCTTATCCTGTGACTTGATATGCATGTTCCTGCCGTCTCACACTCAGTAGTAAAGTCGCACCAATGTGGTGGTCATGCTCAACGAACTTACCGACTCGGGTTTTGTTCCTGCAGAGCCATATTTGGTAATACCGACGTCACGCTGTGACGTCGTGACGCTCAGTGCGGGAGTCGGGAAACGTCCAAGTGATGCGGCATCTCGCAAGGCGATGTCTCCATCTGCCACTGCCATTTTCCTCGTAATAGGATCCCTTTTCTGTATACCGTCACATTCGCTGCTGCAAACGGTAATGTTTTGTACGCTGCAAACCAACCACGCGTCAATGAATAGCCTCATGCAAAGCACAAGGCGACTTTGGTGCTATTCCAGGGACGGCGGACCCTCTCTACTTCTTCGACTTGGGATTGAAGCTGAGGGAAGCGGCTGAACGAGGCTAGTGCCTGGAGGATGGAAGTGGGACGCGACGAGCAGGAAGCCAGTGCCCGGAGGATAGACAGCTGAGCTGTTTCCAAGAGTATGTCGTCCTCTAGCAGCTGTCGAATGCATTTCTACCGTAGATGGCTCCGAACTGCGACATTAGGACCCAGCATTGGTGGAAACTCCACGTTCTGACTCGCTGTTCAACGAGAGTATGCAATGTAGTGTTTGAGGCTGCTAATGCATACCTCGCCTCCCGTCTGTTCTGGTGCCGCTGCTTCGCATCTGGGGAGGGATCTTTGCCTGAACTCACAAACCATGGAAATGGATTTCGTGCAAGGTGGTAAGTGTGTACAGTCTAGCGCCCGTTCAGAAACTACCCTTTCCTGACAACTATCAGGAAACCTATTTTGAACATTTAATCGAGGCCTCAATCTTGATTTCCTCATCAAGAACTCTCACGCGGGAAAATTCAACGGCCTCAAAACGCGTGGTTTCGCGCGGAAAGGTTGCTCTCACTTTTCCCTTCACCATCTTGCCATTGGCCTAATTAACAATGACCCCAAACTTTCGTCCGCGTTTTATGAGTGCCACCCACGTTCCATCCTCGACGGAGCGCCTCATGAATCCGTTCTACCACTCTCAAGTGCGGCTACCACCGTATCGAGCTCGTTACCTACAACGCTTTCACCCATATCCGCGAGACCAGTCATCCGGCTGGGCTCGCGATGTTGGAGATTCCGATTTTGAATGGGACGATTTCCTGGAGGCACGTCTATTCATTCACGGTGTGAACATGGAGTTGGGGCAAAGCCTCTTTGCCATGGTTGTACAAACTCAGCGGCTTATGTTTACATCCTCACAGATGGTGGACGCGTTTCAACGGCTTGACATTAATTCTGTTCCACGCCCCGACAATGTGTACGCGTTTCCCACTCATGCAGCGAGTGAAGAGCAGGTAGAAATTCAGCAACATGATGGACATCGAGCGGCTGATTCCAGCACGGCCAGCCTTGTATCTGCCGGGGTCGAGGTATGTTCATCGTGGTCCTTCGGGGGGCTATCCTCACTGCCTCGTTGTAGACGCAGACTATAGATGCCGTGGCTCCACATCGTAGCAGCGATTCAAACAGGGTGCCCGGGGTCGAGGACTCGGACATTGTGACACCCACGGGTGAGGAAGACAACCAGGGAGATCGCTTAGACGTCAGCATCATCCTCTTCATCCCTGCTTCCCCTTGACCTGAACCTCCTGCTCGCTGTATACCATAGACGGGAAATGCCGTTTCCCATGTGCTTCAAGAAGCTTCTTCATCAACCCACCCCATGATCGCACTAGCCCATGACTGTCGCAGTGTGAGCCTAGTCGAGGTTTGACGCCGCGTAAAACTAAAAGTGGAAGGCCAAAAAGGTACGACAACACGGCCGTCGGCCTATCCCTGGGGAAAGCACTGACGGTCCTCACCTCAGAATTGTAGAACTCGTTGCCCTGTTCCGGCCGACGTCTTGTGTATATATTCCTGGTGACGCGTTCCCACTCTCGCTGGCGTGGCCGATTATCATTAGAAAGGCTGTGCTAAACCGACAAATTCAACATGCTCTCAACTTGTATATGACATTTCAACCATCCATCCCCACGCAACCCTCCCTCTTTGACCGACCCACTCGTTACACAGGCGACCATCCCCTCCCATCGTTCGGCAACATCACTGCCCAGTACAAATGAGCAATCGTAACGATGTCTACAAGAGGGAATTAGTCCCGAACCTCCGCGGGAAGGGCCATCGATCTTAATAAACCACCGCGTTTACTTCTCGGTTCACGCATTCAGACACATCCTCCATTTCAAATAGTCTCTGGCTCGTCTTTGGCTATCTCGACCCAATATTTCACTATACTGTTTCGTTGATTCGGCCACTTGATCCCACTCTCCGACTCCCTCTCTTCTTTACCATAACATCATTCTTTCTCTTCATTTGTAGTGTTCATACCCATTCATTTCTCTGCCATGCTCTCTCCCGGTCGTCGCCGGCATTTCTCCCCCTATTGTTTATGTCTCGTAATTCGCTTCGGCTGTATTGATATCCTGCGAGCACGAGCGCGTGTTTGTAGGCATTGGGTGGCTCTATAGACCCGCCGAGAATGCATGTACAATGTTGCCGATATGTTAGTACCCTGTTTGTGTGTAGAGTCCACGTTGAAGCCACCAAGTCTATATTTTCCCAGGTAAGTGCCGATAGGTAATTCTGGTAGCGCCTACAACTACGACTTGATGGTATCAATGGGGGAAGAAGACCTCGATATGGTCTCCGCGCATTCAAGATTGGGGCTGGAAACGATGCTGGGAGAAGCTCGCGCCCGCAACGTTCACAGTGCAGCGGCGTCGTAAGCCCGCCTGATTAGCGACGCCCGAGCCTCACTCCGTACTTCCATATTGCAAGTGAAAGGCTTCAGTGCAAATTCCACTCCAGGCTGTAGGGGATTAGACGTCAGCCGAGCTAGACGTGTGAGAGAAGAGGCATCCGTACATGGTAGTTCTCCAGGCCCATGCTACATGTTCCAGACGCGTCCTTGCCAAAGTTGAACGCCCATAGAAGGTTGATCGCATTCATTGCCTAGGTAAGGATCTTAGCGCTCAGCCTCCACCGAGACGTACGTGGTTTACTCACGATGTTTCTTGACGCCATCTCCGCGCCTGGGCAGATACGCTGTGCATAGTCACGCCCGTGTAAGAATAAGCCGCAAAAGTATCGATGCTAAGACATTGCGCACCCTGCCGGCGCCGAAATGCAGATTATCACGCAGACCTTCGGTGTTCGCTCCAGGTTTTGTCCCGAATTCGGAGAGTAAGTATCTTTCAGGAATGAAGGATTCCGGGTCATCAAAGAGTTCTAAAGGACCCGTCAGCAGAGCACATTGGTCATAGCTGAGACGCACCGGGATCGTGGTATATCCCCCCTGTTAAAGCAAGGGGTTTTAGAGGGAGTATGGGCAATAAATGTGAAGCGCGACTCACATGTATTCATGAAAATAATTGAACCTTGAGGAATCACGAAGCCATTGTACTAAAGAAACATGAGAATCAAATCACTCAGAAGCAAAAACATTCATACTTGAGTGTCCCGTGATGCTACATGAGGTATCCCGGTAGGGATGATAGGCCTGAATCTATGGAGCTGCAACATTGATACTTATCAGAAACTGTATAGAACGGGCCAGTTGGGTTTACTTGCCTCTTTGATGAGCGCGTTGAGATAAGGAAGACTGCTGTAATCTTCCAACACGGGGAGTTGGTCGCCGCCGAGCACTTGGTCGATTTCAGCCTGTGCCTTCAACTGAACCTCGGGGTAGCAAACCATCGCCATAACGAACGAGTGAAGAAACGAGGCTGAAGTTTCTGTGCCTGCATCTAACAGAACGCGCCCCATTGCTCTGCCGAAACGATCAATTGATCTGTCCCCAAGTCTCGCAAAGGCTCCACTCGCCTGACTTCGTCACGATTCAACCCAAGTTCAGCTTGCGATTCTATCACGCTCTCGAGAGAACAGCCCGTCCGCTTGCCGGATCGGACGGCCTCTTCGCATCGGAGGAACAAATCTTGATCGAATGCATTCCGGATTTGCTTCGCCTTCTTGCTCAACCGCTTCCATGGTGCCCAGCGCTCCGGGACGTGCCTCAAGATCGGAAAGAAGTCAAGAGGCGGGTGGTCGAATGGGGCCGCCAGCTCGCTAATGCACACTGTTCCTTCGAAATACAGTTCTGCTTTGCTGCCTGCGAAGCGGGGAATGGATTTGCCGTAGACGAGGGTTGTCATGACGGATGCAGTGGTGCGCTTGATGTGAGTGCATATCTCCTGGCATGGGTGTGAGCATGTTTTCTTATTTCAAGATTGTTAATGAGCTGCGTACCTTCGGCGATTCAAGAACATCGTGGAGTAACCGTAGATATTCCGTTTGCTGGACAGCCCAATAGCTTTGTAGTGCCTCAGGTGCTAGCAGCGTGTGCGTCGCTTTGCGCATAGCTTTCCACCTATGCGAACCTTGTGCACACTCCAGCATTCAGTCTCGGAAGTACGAAATGGCACTCACTGGCATTGTCAAAGATTTGATATATCCCCTCCGTATGAAGAATGGTATACGGCATAAACCGATCGCTGGTCGAGAGGCCGTTCTTGTCCAAGATGCCCTTGACCGCCCGACCGCTAGTTAAAACCACCATGGTTTGGTCCAAAACCTTGAGCTAGAAGGGGCAACGTCAAAAGCAGTCATTTGGGACGCAAAGGACGGCACTCTACTGAGTAAATCTCCCCGTATTCAGCGGCCCACTGGCTGAACCTAGAAAGTCCGTTCAGTAGAGCAGTATATCATGATTCATGATGCGCCTCGGGCTTACTGAAGGAAAGGAAATTCCCTAGGAAACTGGGGGATGTTTCCCAGAATGGGGGTTGTTGGTGGGCCAGGGGGGAGGCCCCGCTCTCGACGGCCATAATTCCGAAGCTTGAACGCAATGAACACGGTCGTCGCCACGAGTATACCAACGAACGCGCTGGGCATCGTATCGTAGAACAAGGTGCTCCTTTAGTTATTCAGTTATGGGGATGGATCTGCCGCCGTTTTTATCCCATGCGGCCGGTTTGACACACACGGAGAAGTGAGATATTTGTTATTCGCAATCTCTGGAAGCGAGCAATGTATACAGGGTCCGTCTCACGCGAGTTCCACTGTCATTGTCATTGAGTGGTCAACTCCGCATAGTGTTAGATCGCGTCTCGATCTGCGGACGCGTTCCCATGCGTATGTCCAAGTTCTTTGCTATACCATGTGGCATAGCGGCTGTTTCCTGAAAATCACTGTACGAGTGCTGCGTGTTCACTTGGCGTGTAAGTCGACCCGTGTGTGCAGAGGCCGCAGCAGCGCCGCGCATGCTACTTTGGGTAGCTGGTATATCGATAACCAGGGAACATTCCGTTTAGCCGTGCAGGACACAATTCGTTCATTATATGGGTCCTGTTCGCACAGTTCGGCATTGGTCGCGACATAGAGCCAAATTGCTCACTACGCCGTTCCTTCAGCTTCAGCTTCAGTGAACACGCCAACAGTCAGAGCAAATAATTCTCTCACCGAGACGCTCTGTGTTTCGGGTGGATGTTCATGTTCCCAGATCGAGCCACCACTGGCATAATATTGCACGAATCCGGAGTCCGAACGGATCCCGAACAAGTCTGCGGCGACGTTGTATCCCCGTCTCGGAGGTTCATTCGAGATGGTTGGCCTGGAGGATCCAAGTCAAAGCGATCGGAGTATGTTGACTCCGTGACTTCCCTTCTCGGCCAATCAACTAATCAACTTACCTCTTCGTTCAGGCCCCTTAAATTTAGCTCCGGCGCTTCAGCCTTCAGTCCTTCCCGGCATAAAACAGAACCAGAAATCAGAAATCAGAACAGGGCTGTATATTCTATTCTATTCTCTACGTGTTGCGTACACCGTATACGTATACTCCGATTCCAAGTCCAATTCGCCCGGTAACAAGAGCACGCCCGATGCTCATAAAAGGATTGGACATCCACGAATTAACATTAACATTAACTAGCGATTCACAGGGCCTCCGCCTCGTACGCCCGCGCCTCGCTCCGTGCTTCGACGTTGCAGGTGAACGGCTTCAGCGCGAACTCCACTCCGGGCTGTGCGCGTATAAACGGTGTCAGTTATATGGGTGGCGGTTAGACGCGGGGGATAGAGGGGGCGAAGGGGGAGGGGGGCGACGCCGTGGGCATGGTTGTGAGTGAGATGCGTACCTCGGGCGATTCGAGGACGTCGTGGAGGCCGTCTGCTGGACTACCCAGTAGCTCCGCAGCGCTTCGGGCGCGAGGAACGTGTGCGTCGCTTTGCGCATCGCCCTCCACCTATTCGTGCCTGCATTCAACCGCCATACCATATATTATATATCATACATCATATACCATATAACATATAACATATATCAGCATTCACCATCACCACGCAATCCACCTCAACACGGCCGCCCCGCCTCGGGGCCGAAGCACAGACGACTTGGACGCCGTAACTCACTCGCATTATCATTATCGAAGATCTGGTATATGCCCTCTGCGTCCAGGACCCAGGACCGCGTACGGCTGGAAGCGGTCGCTCGTCGCTCGTCGCGCGCCCGCTGCTCAGGACGATCATCGTCTGGTCGAGCACTTTCAACTATACATAAACACAACGTAAGCATGGTTTTGCAAGAAGGAAGGAAGGAAGGAAGGCGAACCGCACCGAGTATATATCCCCATACTCCACCGCCCACTCGCTTTAAAGCCCAAGCCCTGCTCAGTAACCCATCTCCTCGTCGATCGAGCACGCCCGTACGCAGCGCTGTACACTTACTGCAAGAACGGAAACTCCCTCGGAAACTGCGGCACGTTCCCCAGGATGGGGGTGGTCGGCGGGGCGGGCCGGGGGGCAGCGCGCGCTCTCTGCGGCCGTACTTGCGCAGTGTCAGCACGACGAGCGCGGCTGCTGTCGTTAGGGCGAACGCGCTGATGAGTGCGCTGCTGCTGCTGCTGCTGGGGTTGGGCTGGGGATGGGCATCGCTGCGTATGCTCGATGCTAACAGTAACAGCAGAAGATTGACTATTGACTATTGACTATCGACTATTGAATATAGACAGAGTGTTGGCCGCGACTGCGACGGGTTGAACGACGGGATGATTGGGGGATGAAGCTTGAAGCTTGAAGCCAAAGCCACTAACGCAAGTGTCGCGGCGGCCAGAGCCTGCTTTTAGGCCGCAGGCCTGTGTGGTGTGCGAGAGTGATATACGATACACATCGACGCGCCGAGTCGTCGGTCGGCAAGATTGGTGTGGTGCTCGCGAGGTCGATAACCGGGGTTCGGGGAGGGATCGGCGCGTATGTTAGGCGAGTATTTGGTATTTGAGATCGCTGAGAGGTGCGAGGGAGGAGGGGGCTCAGCGCTCAGCGCTCAGCGCTCAAACCCCGCATTATTGCCTGGCCACGCGTTCGGGTGAGGATATGCGGATCTTCGTTCGGATGTGCAAAGGTGCTATTGCCATTCGTCGGCTCGTCGTTGATCAATCGAATCGAAAGTACTAGGAGGATATCCATCGCGTCCGTCAACGTCCCGCGATCAATCCGCGTATATAGAGCACCGCGGGATTCATAATGGCAACGATGGTCTGAGCAGGTTTTTGTCTTGATAACGATCGTGCAGCCGCCGCGGGAGGACTCGAGTGCGGACCTCACGCTGAGCATGGCCAGAATCAATAGAGCAGGAGCCGGGAACGAGCAGGCGGGTGTCGATGACGTTGATTGCACCCGCGGGGACTTTCCGCCAACCTCGATATACGCCATAGCACCCGTACTATAGTAAGACTCAGCGTCGGCGAACCCAGAAAGGCAACCGAGTCGGCTTCTCGTTACGTCACCAACCTCCTACTAAGTAGTGTCCAATATCAATGTCCACTCATCGATCATCCGTCATGCATCATATCAACTCCCAAGCAGTGTCACCCTCCTCACCTCCTCACCTCGACAGTGCATCAACTCACCTCAGGCTCATTCCTACGGATGCATCGACTCGGATGACTCGGATGACTCGGATGACTCGGAAGCATCATTTCCGAACGTGCAGTGTGCCACAGCGTTCTACCTGCCCCGTGCCCCGCGTGACAGCGCTCAGCGTCGGTAGGGTTGCCGTACATAGTTGGTTGGTTGGTCAATATCAACGGTCGGTCGGTGCAATCCACACGTCCCAACATACATAAACACACACCTATTGCCCTATTACCCCGCATCACGTCTCACGGTCTCAGTCAACGATCGAGGTGTACCAAGCATTCCAGATGTCGTCCAACTCACCCACTGTGACTATGACTACTTATGCAGTAATGTCCCGGTGTCTACTGTAGTAACAAGCCTTGGCACTGATACTGTGATGCATGATGCATGATGCATTGATGACTTGTGAACTTAAGCTTGTGACTGAAGCTTGTGACGCACGACGCACGACTTGGCTAATGGACGATGCATCGAATATCTCAATTGAGTATATTGAGTATATTGAATATTGACGCATGATGCCTTGCACGGTCGGGCGAGCTGATCACTGGCAAGTGAATTCAATCAGTCCATGCTTGATGCTTGATGCGTGGTTACTAGTCTCCTAGCACTTGCCACTACTAGCAGTGGAATTACCAAGTACCAGCACTACAGCACTATAGCACTCCAGCACTCCAGCAGTGCAATTTCCCAGTAACTTGAAGGTCACGCTGCGCATGCTATGCTACTAGTAGTTTCTCCCCATACCCATACCAATTCCAATTCCAAGGCCAAGTGCAATTGCAACTAGTCCCACTGGTATTTCCAGACCAACTAGTCCCACTAGTCTCATTAGTCTAAGAAGTCTCATTCTCATTAGCAGCACTACCACTAGCACCACTAGTACCCGCACACCCGGACTATCAGTGCTAAGTGCTAAGTATCCAGCCCAAAGCCAGCTAGTGAGCCACCCGAAGAATCACGCAAGTGACTCAATACGCGTACGTTGATACGTTGATATGTTGATCACTTCCCTTCAGCTCCCTTCAGCTCAGTCTCAGTTATTCGCTATGCGCTACGCGCTATGGATAGAGATGACAGAATCAGACGATCAATTCGTAGTAATACAATCAGAGGGCAGCAGTCAACAGTCAACGATCACAAACAAAGGCAAAGACAACAGAGGGGGGGGAAGGAGTCGTACACCGTCCAGCGGAAATATGGTGTACAGTAAGTAATGAAATGCCGAACAAATTGAAAAAAAATGAAAATGAAAATGAAAATGAAAACGATGCGTGAGCGTGAGCGTGAAGGGAAGGGAAATGGGGAAGGGGGATTATGCATATGCGCTACAAAGTACGGGTGTGTATATAGATGTATAGATGCTACAGTGTGATTAAACGATGGCGATGCTAATGATATATGTATGTACGTATGTCGTGGTGGTGTCAAGTCCAAGTGGAAAGCAAAGTGAAAGCTGAGTGGTTCGTTATATGGTGTTTGTGTTTTTCGTGTTCGTGTTCGTCGTCGTCAATGTGCAATGTGTACGTGGAATGAAGGTTGAAGAATGAAGGTTGAAGCGGATAAAATGGGGGAAGCGAATGAACGTGGTGATGCATTGATGTTGTACCGAAGGCGTGATTCGCTGTAATCGCAATCGCATGAACGCCCGTCGCAGAACGGGTAGTGGGGCGCGTCGCTCCGTCATCGGAAGCCTGAAGGGGAAGTGCGCGTGAATGGTGAATGGCAAATGGTGATTGGTGAACGGTGAATAGTAACATGGAAGGCGAAGCCTCAAAGACGGCGCCAGTTCGCAGCGTTGACACGGGGGCGGAAGTTGAAGTGGCTAACACGGGGCGTCCTGTCCGTCTCCACCTTGGCGGCAGGGGCGGCGGCGGCCTGCGCAGATGGGGACGGGGAAGCGGTGGTGGTGGTGGTGGTGGTGGTGGTAGGGGAGGCAGAGGAGGCCTTGGGGCCGCCGAGCATGACGCCGCCGGTGAGGACGGTGGTCTTGCCGCCGTCGTAGGGCGTGACCTCCTTCTTGGTGGTATCGACGTACACCCGCGCCTGGCGCGCGCGCTCCCTGCGGGACTGCTTGAACGGCACCGCGTTCGCATTCAGCTTCGAGGCCGCGGCGGGGGACGCCGAAGCGGGGGCCGCCGCGACCGGGGACGCGTTCTTGGACGAGAACGAGAGCGAGAACGCGGAGACGGAGGTGGCTGCGGTGCTGCGCGAGGAGTTGGAGGCGCGCGAGGAGCAGCGCGAGTGGAAGAGGGAGCCGTCGAGGGACTCGGGCTCGGAGTCTGAGGAGGAGGAGAAGGTGGAGAGCGGGGACGCGGAGCGCTCGAGCATGGAGGGGACGGGGAACTGGTCGAGGATGGGGGTCATCCACGTGGGGGCTGCGACCTCGTCTGCGATCATGGTGAAGATGTTGTCGTCCTCTTCCGTGTCCTGTTCGAGGAGCTGCTGCGCGAGGGTCTTTTTGTCGACTGCCGCCGGGGCTGGAGCCGGGACGGGGGAGAAGGGCGCGAAGGCGGTGGGCGAGGGGAGCTCGTCTGACCAGATGGTGATGAGCTGGGACGGGGACTGGCCGGCGACGCGGATGGAGACGCAGCCGGGGTCGACGAAGAGGTCGAACTCTGCTGCGCCGAGGAGGGAGATCCAGTCGAACCACTGGACGGCGGCGGCGATGCAGGCGTTGTAGACGGGGCGCGGGGGGAGGCAGGTGGGGGCGAGGGAGAGGCAGCGGCGGCCGGAGCCGCGGAGGGGCTGAGCGGGGACCCAGGAGGGGGCGAAGGCGGCGATGAGGTTCGCCTCGAGGACGAGCTGGAGGCGGATGATGGAGGTGGCGGGGTAGGCGAGGATGAGGGGGCGGGTGAGGAAGGAGACGGCGTGGGCGACGGCGATGGTGAGCGAAGAGGCGGCGGCGGAAGACATTATGTGTGTGGGTGTGTGGGTGCTGTTATTATGTGAAGTGGAAGATCGTGAATGGGAACGTAAATGCAAAGGAGCTGGGAATGGTCGAATCGGCCTGCGATAGAGCGAAGAGGGCGGGGAGGTTATAAAGGAGTCAAGTGACGTGGATGGGTAGCAACGAAAGCGGGCTAATGGGTGGTGAGCAGGCTAATGCGGTATTAGCAGACAAGTGGAATGCAACCAGAAGAGGACAGAATCTAAAACGAATTGGTCGTGATGTCTTCTGGCCACCCAGCTCTCTCTTTATACACCACAATCAGGCATTGTTCCTTTTGTTCGTGAATACAACAATAGCACGCGCATCCATTGTTGTCCTTGTTGTTGTTGCTTTGCCGTCCCCATATGGTCACCGTCCCATTGAGACTCCGATGGAGGGGCTTGAACTCTATTTGTGCTTACTCTAGCCGCAAGTACACAAACACCAAAAATCCGCAAGCTAGCCCCTCGCACATCGTCCTCGTCGCTACCAAACAATGGCAAGTCCCTCTGAACACTTGTTGATGCCTGCATCACAGAGCTGATCTCCTTGACAGCCTCTCGCCATCGACCTCCTGAACCCGTCCGCCGACTACGAGCGCAAGCAGCACAAGCTCAAGCGTCTCGTACAGTCCCCCAACTCGTACTTCATGGACGTAAAGTGCTCTGGTGCGCCATCCCCCCTCTCTCCCTAATCCTGTTGACTGGACATTAACATTGCACGCAGGGTGCTTCGCCATCACCACCGTCTTCTCACACGCACAGACCGTCGTCCTCTGCGGATCGTGCTCCAGCGTCCTCTGCCAGCCCACAGGCGGAAAGGCCCGTCTCACAGAGGGTGCGTACTCTTCCCTCCCTCCTACCTCCATCTTATGCCCACTATACCATATACGCTTATACTCACCCATCCATCTTCCAGGCTCCTCGTACAGAAGGAAGAACTAAGCGCACCACCGCATCGCCAAAATCGTCCTTCGCATACGTACACGCATTTCTTCTTCTCTCTTGTGCTGTATACAGTTACACGTGTGGTATAAAATACAATCATATCACTCTCTGTGCCATCCATCGCTCCATCGCCCTTGTGTGCATTCTACATACATACGTCTCACCGTCCACCTCAAGATACTCCTAAACGTGAACGCACTTGAACGTCTGCGTGCATCTGCATCTGCGTACACCGAGTCCATCTTGATTTTGAGTCAGTGGGACAGATGGTGTAATCGCATCCGGATCCGAGATTGTAAACTCCGTGACTCGAGACCCACTCTCCCCCTATACTCGTGTTCGTCCCTACGCAGAGTCGTATTCGCTTCCGTGCAAGTACCTCACGCACTCACACACGCTCTTCACGCCAGTCACACCCCAATATCAATACCCACAATAACAGTGCACACAATTGTCAATTATCGAGGAACCATCGCTCCTCCGTCCCTCCTTAGCATCCGTCAAAGTTGTGCCAATGCAATGAGCTACACAGCGTAGCGTCGCTTCCATTCCCTTATTCTACTATCCTATCCTACACACGTACTTGCCGGTGCCTGCCGCTACCCGCCCGCCCCCTCATCGACTGTCTGTGCGCTATGTAGTACATATAGTACATAGCGGATGTTCGTGCCCGTAGCTCGCGCAGTTGACGATCGTACCTACGTCGCAAGCTTTTTGCGCAAGTCTGTGGAACCCACGCAGTTACCCTCCATATGCGACCTCTTCACCTCAGTCACCTCACAATAACGGAATCAAAGTATCAACGTACGTACATGTTCTCCGAGGGCCGAGCCTCTCTAAATACACAATTACGATTACGACTACGTATACGATTGCAGTGATGGAGGAACGACCCGCCCGTCTGCCAGTGCTCGTCCCTAGCATCCGTCACTCAATCACTTAATCAGTTAATCAGCTAATCAGCTAATCAGTTAATCACTTCGACCCGTCTACCCTTCCTACCCTTCCTACCCTTCTACCCTTCCTGCCCGCGCACCATGCAATGCAATGCATACTCCGTGCTTATTGTGATGCCATGCTGCCATGCGCAGACGAGCGCAGGCGAGCGCCCTCCGGCCAAGCAAAAATATTAAAATACTAAAATATTCCCATACCAACTCCCATCCCACGCTTCGATCTACCAACCCTTCAGCGCTTCAGCCGGGATGCTCATTGTCTTTTGTTTTGTCTTTCTCCTCGACTAGTGACGCCTTGTTCCCTATTCGCGCGTCTGCCCCATCCCCCATCCCCTATCCTACCCCATCCCATCCCGACGTCCCTCGACTATCGACTGCGCGTTCATTGTTCCTCGTTAACGTTCCTCGTTCATTGTATTTCCCTGCACACGCGACATTGCCCCATCAATCTTATCCTCCTAATACCTAATACCTAATGTACTTATGTACTTATGTAGAGTGGGGATATACTTCCGTCACGGTCCCCACATGCTGCTCCACTGGCATATACCGCAAAATACCGCAAAATACCGCAAAATGTATCCATGTTCCATGATCGATGATCCATGTACGAGCTCTTGACAAGCTCATTGACAAGGGTACATACATACTAGACGACAGTCCCCTACCATGATCCTGGATAGCTATGCAACTTGAATATGGACGGATTATAATTTATAGTCGCGTAAATAGTCGCGTAATTGTTACTTGTTACTTGTTACTTATTACTTGTTTGTTGTACTCGGCTCGAACGAAAGACGTCGAACGGACTATAGCTACAACGCCGCTACAATGCAATGTCCGTCGTCTCCTCCTCCTTATCTACTCTACTCCCGCCCCGTTTTGTTTGAATGTTTGTCGTCGTCGTGCAGTAACAGCAACCTCGTATAGCAAGGCGTCGCCGCCAACTCGTGCACCCAATACACTATACACCATACACCGCACGGCACCGCGCAGAGGCCGCGATCGCCGCCGCGGGAGCCCATAGCCCCTACCTCCCCTAGCCCCACAGCCCCACACCCCACAGCCCATTCTATCAGTCTATCAGTTCTATTTAATATATTAGTATATTAGCACGATCGCCGTTCCGTGACCGCAGTGGCGACCCAAACCAATAAACATCCCGGTATACCCCAACGGTCCCAACGGTCGGTGTACGCTGTGACTGTGAGTCGCGACGTACGGACTGAGATGATGAGACGATGAGACGGAACGGCGGGGAAGGCGGGACGATCGGGCGGTTTTGGGGACGATGGGGATGGCGGGGACGGCGGGCGGTTTGGCCACATTCGCCCCGCCTCCATATTTGCCTCCGCCTCCCGCGGGTGTTTTCGTTCTTGTTTTCGTTTTCCGTGTTCGTTTCGTTTTGTTTTCCGTGTTCGTTTTTGTTTTGTTTTGTTTTCCGGTGTTCGTTTCGTTTTGTTTTCCGTGTTCGTTTGAAGATTCATTGAAATGAAATGGAATGGAACTGAAAAGTATAGCAACGTTGTTCTCCTTGCTCGCCCTTGCTCGCCCTTCCTCGCTCTATTCGGGTTGTATTTGGGTTGTATTCGGGCGGGCGAGAGGCTGTGAGCATTGAGATGGCGATGGCGATGGCGATGGTTCCTTAAGGCCTTACTGTACCACTAAACTACCAAACCCACCAAACTACTAAACACCTAACTCATCACGCCCAACCCACTAAATTTCTAAACGTCAAACACCGAACCCACGAACACCGAACACCTAACCTTACCAACCTTACCAACCCATCCCGCCGATCCCGCTCAACCCGCCGATCCCGCTCAACCCGCCGATCCCGCCCAACCCGACCAACCCGCCCCAGGATCGCAAGATCGCACGTACACCATGCATAGTGACCATACCCCGTTACGCACAGCGCAGCTCAATCACTTGGGCAATGCGGTACACTATCGGCAGCCCCCTGCAAAACGTGCAAAACTATGATGCAGATGCATGATGTAGGATGGGGATGTGCTACTGGGTGTAGTATAACGAGAACGAGATACTATGCGCATACAATTCCCAATAAGCTACTAGTCACTACGAACTCGAAGAGCATGCACATGTACACGGCGGCCACCCGTCCCCGGTCCCCGGTCAAATCACTCTAAAGTATAAAGCATAAACTACAAGGACCATGCGTATCTATCTGCAAGAACGCGCTCCGCTCTTCAAAATGTCTCTGAAATCCCCGGCTGCGAGGATCCATCCACTGTCCAGGGCCAACGAGTGCGTGGTAGTGTGGTCGTAGTAGTACGATAGTACTCTCTACTCATCGTCAATGTCAATACTCCTCAAGGCTTGCGTCATTAATTGCCGTTGCTGCGGTAAGAGCGACGACGATAGCCGAAGCTGACCCCAGCCGCACTCTCCGGGCTTGCACCCCGAGCCCGCCCCCGTCCTCCCCCGTCCTCCCTCAGCGCGCCTTCGCAACGGGTTCCATCGAGATCCAATCGACGTTCGTTTCGTTTCGTATTTGTATTCGTATTCGTATTCGTCGGGCTCGGCCATGAAGACGACGTACACGGGTACTTGCTACTTGCTACTTGCTACTCGAGTATCCACGAAGCGTCCAATGCTGTCGGGGACGGCAGTGGGGAACACCTTCGAATGCGGGGAACCACGCGTCAACCAAATTGGCAACGCCGCTCGTTGCGGAGAGTCTCTGGGCTTGGGCTTGGGCTTGCAAGGGCTTGAAGCTTGAGCTTAAGGACGGGGCGGCCGCGTCAGTAATCAGCGAGGAGTATCTTCATCTTCGCAGTGCAGATGCACCGCAAACGGAATCTTCCATGGGGTGCCGGTGATGGCGTGAATGAACCTCGTAAATGCCTGCGGGGGTTCAACGTCAACGTTCAACGACCCACGGATCCAAAGACCCCAAACGCAAAGATGGGGGGTCACCGGTCAGAAGGTGGGGTAAGGGGTACGCGAATCCGTACGAAAGATTGGAAGGGGGAGATGCGTGGAAGGGAAGCGAACAGCGAAAGGGGAACCAAGCGAGCCTAACCCGGCGATCGAGAAGCCTAACGGAAACGGCATCGATTCGGTTGGAGCTTCTGGAGGAGATGGTGGTGCCTCGTAAATCAATAGATCATACTCCAAGGCCTCGCGCACGCCTTACGTCCTCTGGATGGCATTACGTTGCACGCATAGCTTGGATTAGGGCAGAGATCCAAAGATAAGCGAAAGGATGGGGTGCGGAGGACGTGGGGAAGAAGGGAGAGGGAAAGGAAATTGCTGGCCCTGACGAAGACGAGATACAACGGCCGAATTTGATATCTGGAGGGGAAGGATCGAGGGTAGATGATCGCTGCCGACTTGCATTTACTTCCTTGTAAGTTGTAACGTACGTTGACGTTGCCAATATTCAAACTTCTCATCGATCATCTCACCCTCCCCGTCCACGTCCAGTAATAAACCTCGGAGGCTGGAAGTGAATAGGGCGACTTCTTCCTGACAGCATAGAAGGTTGGCTAAGATCTGAAACGTCGATAAATTGGCCTCGCCGCGGCCTCGCTCCCCCATCTGCATTACCTCTGGTGACCTGGTATTTCAAATCCATCTTCTCCGGGCTTTTTCAACCGCGGATAGCAAGGTCGGGGGAGCCCAGGTGAAGTAGGTCCACAGGCTTGGAACAAGTACTAGGGTACAGGTATGCCCAAACCGACCTATAGGATGATCAGTATACAGCAACCAAAGCTTGATCTGGGCGAGGGACTTACTTTCTAGCGTGCGTTCACGTCAACATCCGTAACCTCTCATTGTCAATCTCATCCCCTTCCCCGCCCGACGGCATTTGATCACACGTCCGAACAACTTTCGAAGCCGGAACAGAAAGTGGTCTTCCTGCCTGAAGGCCTTGACGCAGCGCGCCCCCTAATCGATAATCTCCTGATCGTCCCCCTGATCGACTCAGATCCCCCCAATCTCCTCGAGAGCTTCTCCGAGTCTCAAAGCCCCGGCTTCTGCGATCATTTGCTGGACGCCACGATGCACATATACGTATGAAACCAAGAATATAGGTGTCCGCGCTTCGATAAGGTACTGAATATTGAGTGCTGGGAACTGCTTGCGGATTAACAAAGAAGGGGTACTGCCGTGATATTTGATACTGGGGTACACCAGCATGGTTTCTAGTGGAAAGGGAGAAGCGAGGCATGATGAGCGAGCAAGCAATGATGCGCTTGAATGCATCGGTGTAGAGATAGAGGTGCGATTAGATCAAGATAACGACAGACCCCCTGCCAGGCAAGATACATAGCCCGGGACGGCCACCTGTAGTGCCAGAACTAATGGCAGCTTAACTCTGTTTACATCCCGACAGCATCATATCCATATCGCAAGTATCCGCACGACTGGCCCAGGTCGAAAGAGGTTGGAGATACTACTTCGTGTGTATTTCACCTAGCATCGACCTGTTTGAAAGTGATGTGAATGAAGACTTGTGTTTTCTGGTTCCCGTGATAGTCACTATTAGAGCTGATGGTCAGGTTGATATACCACAACAGAAGCAAAGCCGGTACCCAATAGAATCAGTTGACGCGCCCGTAGCCGTCGCGATGTTCAAGTCCGTGCGTCCGAGTCTCTGACCCATAAGCGAGTTACAATATGTTGCGTTGATGGACTACGCGGACCCCCGTACCTAGTAGAGTTGGTCAACATAAGCACGCCTCGTAGATCAAGTAACAACACCAGACTTACAGACTAACGCGCGAAGTTGTCGCTAAGCAAACATGCTTGCGGCCGTTGCGGGGTCACCGTTAAGGCTGCCAGGAAGTAGAGCGGTGATCGATCCACTTTTTTGGGTCTCAGTTAGCCGCAGCGCGTCGATGTTCAACTGCATGAATACCTCGTACAGTTGGGTGTTGCATTCTATTGTCTCCCACTAGCAAGTGAACGACGCATCAATATCTGGGCGGTGTTGGTGACCGGTGATTCACTGAGTGACCTTGCAAGGGTGTTGACAGGACATGGAAGTTGCGGTCAAGCAGTCACTAGATAGTATAACCGGTAACGTCGGCACATCAGGTGCTCGTCACCCCGTACAGAAACGGTCTGCTTGTGCAGTGCAGCTTGCAGCTTGCAGCGGGAAACCACTGCCTAAAGCCCTCCGTTGCTGTGAGAGACGCTCTACGTGCGTGGCATGAGGTCGACGAGCGCGTAGTGATGTTGCTCCGACCAAGTACAGCTTCGACAGCGTCTTTTCTCAGCGCCTTGAACTGAGCGTTCCTTCAGGTTGCTATTGACTAATCGCAAAATCCAATGGCCGACGAAGTAACGAGGCTACTGGACAAGATACTTGGATCGTTGGCCGGAATGTCAGTCGTACGACCAACGCCGTTTCCAAGTACTAGCTGTCACTGACGAGCGTCGAAAGCGTAGATCAGGACGCCAGCTTGCTATTGAAGATGTGAGCGATCATTCATGTTCTCATTGGACTTCTACACTACAGGCCTAACAGAGGTTTTCTATAGTGCGACAAACTCGAAAGCAAAGCCAACATGGGTGTATCCGCCATTCGGCTGCTTCGAAACTTGTCAACGCCCATTCACAAGCTTCCCATCGAGGTTCTAGCCGTCATCTTCACTCATGTTACTGGATCAGAAGCTCCCCAGGACTTCTTACCCGATATCATTGGCCCCGCGTATCTGCGCTCGACATCGAGTTCTGGCGTGGAAAGGCTGGTGCGTGTGTGCAGGAAATGGAGGGATGCAGCGTTTGCTTTCCCTACCCTGTGGTCAACCGTCTACTTCGCTGCCCCGAATGAAGGCTGGCAGACCACAGCCGCCAGTGCTTCGTTAACAACGAGGCTCCTGCAAGTCCAGCAATCTACCCCCTTGAAGGTATTCGCACTCTCCTGCGCCCAGGGCCAGTATGAGGATAGCATCTTGCTTCCGAACGGCGTACCAGACGAGTCGGAATCGACACGTTTCTTTCGTCTCATAGCCCCTCGTGCATCCCACACCGAGGAACTCCACATCATCAACTTCAACCACGATGCCCTCAAAAAAACCTCGCTCCTCTACCTCGTTCCCTAATCTCCAGTCCCTCACTTTGCTGATGGACTCGCAAAGACGATGGTATACTGAATCGTGGGTTCCAGATGCGCTATTTAGTGGCGACGCACCACGACTGCGCAAATTGACTTTGTGCTACTGCTCATGGTTTTCCGTTCAAACGCTTGCAGGTCTCACTCATCTCTGCATTGCCAACAACCGCTACTCTCCGCAATTCACCTTGGGCCGCTTTCTCGACTTCCTTCGCGCATGCCCTCAACTCGAAGACCTTACATTAGTGAGCTGTAATATAGTTGCGACGCTGCCCGATACCACCAACAAAGTATTCCTGCGCGATCTTCGCACTCTTTGTCTTGGATACTGGGAACCTCCTTCTCCTCCAATCGACATCTTCCTATCGTATCTCGTCATCTCCCAACCCATACACTTTTTTATGTGGGGTGTCCTCGAGGGGCAATGACAGGTCTTGCTAACATCATACCGTCACACATCAAAGACGAGGGCCGTCTGAAGGAGCTGCGATTCACTCGGGCTCAGACCCGCAGCTATGGGCGTTGGCGAAGAGGGCTCTACAATGCAATTATGTCTACTCCCGATACGCTTCAGGTTGACGGCAGATTCCTTTCTTCACTTCTCCTCGATGCCCCTGCAATGATGGATCTTGGAGGCGTACAAGGATTGTGGCTGGGGGACTCCTGTTGCAATGAACCCTCCATAGCGGAGTGGAGGACATTTTTCTCCGCATTTCCGTCCCTCGATACGCTAGTTGTCAGCCACCGCCCTTCCCTCAACATCATAACAGCCCTCACCCTCCCTAAAGAGACTCCCGATGCCACCTTTGTGGCTCCAAATCTCTCCACACTCCGTATATATGGTAATCAAATCCCATCTGTCCTCTGTTTGTCTATTTTCGCCGAACAGCGAGACCGACGCAACAACCGACTGAGGCTCCTCGAGATCATCTCGGCTAGCACATCCCCTCCTTCATCGGGGTGGGGTACTCCCACAGTGAACGCCCACCCCAGCCCCAATACTCACGTGGATAACTACAACCAGCAGGACCAGCAAGCATTCGACAATGGCAGCAGCGATCACAATGGTGGTGGCCAAGGTGGCACAGGGAATCGTGAACTTGAGGTTCATCCTCGATGGCCGAGCGTTCTCGTAGCAGATCTAATTACTATGGGCGATTATGTGGAAACAGTGGACCGTACGAAGGTTGAGATGGGTGCTGCGTTTGATATTGTGCCGCAGTGGCCTCCCAGAGCCTTCACTTGGTTAGCCCAAATGATGTTCTAATGAGACGAGAATATGTAGAAGGCCGTACTCCTTTCCTCAGTCTCTGTACAGAATTGCCTGGGGTACTGTCACAGAGGTATTGATATATGCCATGAAATCTGTCGTGTTGTGTTGACGATAGTCTACAGTTTGAAACACTCTCAGGCGTGGCTCACCGCCCGCGTGACAATGGGGCCTTCTTACTTCTTAGTTTGCGCATGTTGTCTTTCTGGAACACATTTTCTGACCTATCCTTTACTTGCTGGGCGCACTTCCATTTTGCTATTATATTGTGCATTGAACTAACCTTTCAGCCAGGAACAACGCCAGACAGTTCTTTCCCAGTCATTCCCAAATCACCTTTGGGGGTGGACAGAATCTAACCCCGTCGTCGGTTTACGTCCAATCCGGAGGAATACGGCCTGTACAGGGATTGATATGACCTACTATACACGCTTGCGTACATAGTATATGTATCGTAATAGGTACAACAATACACAACAAGATGTGAGGAGTGAAAGCAGAAATGACAGGGACAACAAGAGGGAGAGCTTGGCAAAAATGACAAATGAATGCATATGAACACTGCGAAGGGGGCTTACGAAAATGAGGGAAACGCAAGGTGAGAACCAGGGTGGGAGGGCTGGTTCGGTATAACAGTAGGTAAGTTCGTGCTGCGGGCAGGTCACGAAAAAGAGACCAAATATTTGTGATCAAGACATGGGAAAGGGGAAGTAAATGAAATGCGGGAGTTTAACAAACTCAGCGACCCTTCCCCGCTGAGGTTCAGTGGATCGGCGACAGATGGGAAGGACTAACAATGTATCCGCGCTCTCGTAGAACGCATGTGCTTGTTTGTACTATCAGCGGCATTTCTGCAACGACAAGGGATGATGGTAGCCTGCATTGAGGGGCTTGATCGAGAAGCGTTTGAACAACAGTGGGGAGAGGGCGGCGACAGAGGCTTGAAAAATTGCATACAGGTTGAGAGCATGTGGAATTTGTCTTTTCGTCACAGATTTTCTTTGATGACAGCCGGCCACGCCAGCGAGAGCCGGAACGCGGTACCAGGAATAGATCTACGCGGGAAGATACACAAGACATCGGCGGGAACAGGGAACGAATTCCCACAATTCTGAGATGAGCACCGTCAGTACTCCTCGTAGGGATAGATAGACGACCGTTTCTGACCATACGTGACCTCTAGCTTTACGCAGCATCAGACCTTGACTAAACCCACGTTGCGACAGTCGCGGGCTAGTGTGATCATAGGTTGGATTGACGAAGAAGCTTCCTGGAGCACATGGGGCACGGCATTTCCCGTCTAAGAATTGACGGAAGGCAGGAGGTTCAGATCAAGGAGCAGGGATTAGAAGAAAAGCGTTGACCTCGAGTGAACGATCTTCCTGGTTGTCTTCCCCGGCCATGAGTGTTCCAAGGACTGAACCTTCGGCCTCGACCACCCGAGTCGAATCGCTCTGCTGTTGTGGATCCATGGCGTCTATTATCTGCGTCTACAACGAGGCAGTGAGGATGAGCTCCTTTGATATAAAATGACGAACATACTTCGACCCCGACAGGTACAACGTCGGCCGCGCCGGAATCGGCCCCTTGGTGTCCATCGTGTTGCTGAGATTCTACCTGCTCTCCACTTGCTGCGTGAGCGGGAAACGCGTACACACTGTTGGAACGGGGAACAGAGTCGATGTCAAGCCGTTGAAACGCGTCCACCATCTGTGAGGATGTAAATATAAGCCGCTGAGTTCGTAAAGGCATGGCAAAGATGCATTGCCCCAACTCCATGTTCACACTGTGAATGAATAGACGTGCCTCCGGGAAATCGTCCCATTCAAAATCAGAATCTCCTGCATCGCGAGCCCAGCCGGATCCCTGGTCTCGCGGATATGGGTGAAAGCGTTGTGGGTAACGAGCTCGATACGGCGGTAGCCGCAGTTGAGAGTGGTAGAACGGATTCATGAGGCGCTCTGTCGAGGACGGAACGTGGGTAGCACTCATAAAACGCGGACGAAAGTTTGGGGTCATTGTGAATTAGGCCAATGGCAAGATGGTGAAGGGAAAGGTAAGAGCAACCTTTCCACGAAACCACGCGTTTTGAGGCCGTTGAATTTTCCCGTGTGAGAGTTCTTGATGAGGAAATCGAGATTGAGGCCTCGATTAAATGTTCAAAATAGGTTTCCTGATAGTTGTCAGGAAAGGGTAGTTTTTGAACGGGCGCCAGACTGTACACACTTACCACCTTGCACGAAATCTATTTCCATGGTTTGTGAGTTCAGGCAAAGATCCTTCCCCAGATGCGAAGCAGCGGCACTAGAACACCAGTTGACAGGCGGAAAGCGAGGTATGCATTAGCAGCCTCAAACACTAAATTGCATACTCTCGTTGAACAGCGATTCAGAACCTGGAGTTTCCACCAATGCTGGGTCCTAATGTCGCAGTTCGGAGCCATCTACGGTAGAAATGCATTCGACAGCTGCTAGAGGACGACATACTCTTGGAAACAGCTCAGCTGTCTATCCTCCGGGCACTGGCTTCCTGCTCGTCGCGTCCCACTTCCATCCTCCAGGCACTAGCCTCGTTCAGCCGCTTCCCTCAGCTTCAGTCCCAAGTCGAAGAAATAGAGAGGGATCGCCGTCCCTGGAATAGCACCAAAGTCGCCTTGTGCTATGCATGAGGCTATTCATTGACGCATGGTTGGTTTGCAGCGTACAAAACATTACCTTTGGCAGCGGCGGATCTGACGGAATGCAGGAAAGGGATCCTATTACGAGGAAGATGGCAGCGGCAGATGGAGACATCGCCTTGCGAGATGCCGCATCACTTGGACGTTTCCCGACTCCCGCACTAAGCGTCACGACGTCACAGCGTGACGTCGGTATTACCAAATATGGCTCTACAAGAACAAAACCCGAGTCAGTAAGTTCGTTGATCAGCATGACCACCACATTGGTGCGACTTTACTACTGAGTGTGAGACGGCAGGAACATGCACATCAAGTCACAGGATAAGGGAAGCGGGAACATTGAGGCCGACCGAGCAAGATAGATAACACCAGCAATGAGTATTCTCTCGAGGTGGATCGCCTCAAACACGAAGTGGAATGGGCGATGAAGTCGACCTATACGAAGCTGGGGAAAGTGGGACCGCATCGAAGAACTCACTTTGGAACATTCAAACATTCAAACAAATCTCCTGGTCCTTCTAGACGCCTGCCAATCCGAGGTTGCGAGTCTTCAGAGATTGCACCAGAGGGTCTGAGTTCTATTTCCACCACAAGGAATGCTATGTCAACTGCAGGGGGCTCGACTTCGTCCGCAACGTGGAAAAACCGTGCTCCGTGTTGCACAATCAAAGCCATCGACGAACTGGAGAGATGTGAAAGAACTTCTCGATATCACATTCGGTACGTGAAGAACCTGGACGCGACGTTCGGCCAGGCGCGCGAAGCCTTGAGGTTGAATCGCGTCACTTTCCGCTCCTTGAATCCTTGGTTGCAATGCGTGAAAGTGCATTGGTGCAATGCTAATAGCGTAGCCGGGAAGACGCAGACGAAGATAGGCTCTACAAACCGTAGTTTCCAGCGAGGAAAAATATGATCCGACGTATTGGATGGATTATCCGCAAGCATGTTCGGCAGCGCGCTCGCCTCTTGCTTGAGATTTTTCAATCCTTGAGGCTTTGAGTTTCGCGACCGATGAAAACAATAAGAACAAGAAGCTCCAGGACCAAACTATCTCGTCTGGGGCACAATCGCGAGAGCTGACGGCAGGAGGATCGTCGCGTCGGTCGTTGCGAATGATGGCAAGCAACGTTCGGATTGAGAGCCGTCGGAAATGTGGCAGATTCCAGAAGTGTGCACGAGACCCGCAAGTCATCTCCACCGACTTGAACTTCTTTCACACACCTCGCGTCTCCTCGTCCTCAGCCGTACATCGCTATCTCATCGTTTGGACATTCGCCAGCCCGCTGTCATTGCGGCGGAGAAATATTCTATGCCGGAAGAGAAAAAGAATGCTCGATGCTCGATGCTCGCTTGGAAAGGAAATACCACAGCAATTTTGGGTTCGCGATCAGGAGCTCAATTCAACAACCTTTCAGTCCCCTTCAGTGGGCATACACATACTGGTGCCATACTGGAAGCGTCAAGCATCACTCCCAGTTTCTGGCGACTTCGCTTCCACACCCTCAAATCCGCCGCAACTTAGTCGAAAACCCTGGGGCAGCATACAGAACCGTTCACTCTTCCTCCCTGGCATGCACTACTGCTCGACATGTAGCAGAGTCGCCGAAAGGGCAGTCTGAATGATTTATGTTCATTGCCTCGCATGGCGGAAGTGTAACAAAGCCCGGTTGTGTCATCGTCTCGCTTTTTTCGCATCCTCGATCCTCTAACAACACAGCGAACGGCCCATGGTTCTGCCACGGTATATTTTCTACTGCAATAAACCCTTTATCCGCCACATCGAATCAACTCGCTGCAACTTTGAGCACCCGCCGCAACCGCAATCAATCAACCCGACAGAAGGCAATCGAAAAACACATACCAGTTTAGAAAACCCTTCCTCGCACACCACTCGACTGACCAGATCCTCTAATTCGCTAGATGAGAGGTCGTAAAGCTTCGTGGAGTCTCGGACACCAGAGAGAAGTGCACTCGCGTCAGGCGCAGGTGTCTGCCAGGGAAGACGCGGTGGAGGCATAGAAGTATCGCCAGCACTAGAAGAAGGGGGCGTGGATCCAAGAAGATCACTACTGTTGGCTCGAAGACTCGTGGTTGCCATAGCTCGTGGCTCCCCCAATGACGAGCTAGTGTCGTTTGCCCATCCGACGCAGGCAGGGCGAGCTGAGTCTTGACTTCTCATATCGTCGCTCGAGTTGTTACGGGAGGGCAGCGGTTGGACTGTGGTCACCTGGGAAGTGGAACTAGGCAGATGGATGGGCCGGATGCCAGCGAAGTCCGGAGTGGAACCGAGAGTGCTTGAGCTCCCTCGAACGTCGTCGCTAGAAGGCACGCGCACAGGGGGCGACGGTGGACGCGCAGAGTTTTGAAGCGGAGGGTCACGTAGATTTTTCGATTGTGAATCCTCCGAAGGCAGGTTAGAAGATGAAGCCATGTTGTTCCTTGTGCCAGAGGTAGCCACACGTGCGCTTTCATCGGTATCCGGTAACAAAGGCCTGAAGGAAGCTTGCATTCCAGAGCGTGGGGCAGAACCAGCAAATGACTGTCTTGCTACCTCAGTCGGTCTTGCGCGGATAGGAGTCACAGTGTTCGCGTTGCGGGGCAAAGGATTTACCTTGCAGGGGCAGACGTTGCGTATCGAGTTGATGAACTCGAGGGCAGAGTTAGACGAGGCAAAAGTGATCTGAAATCGGCGGAAAGCCTGTAGTAGACAAAAAGAAACGCGTCAAAATCGAGCAACAGATCCAGAGAGGACGAAGTACCGGCTGTGCGTCAGGTGTCGCGATAATCGGGTATAGATAGCGGATGCCGACGACAGCATCCCGATAGACGGCCTTGAGAGGAAGACTCGGCATGGGTTGAGCCGACGCAGGAATGTCAGAGTAGGCGAGGAGATCCAGGTCCTCCTTCGCGCATACTCATGTCAGCACATATATGTGACGCGTCGTGAAGACCCCACATACAAACAGTACTTCATTCTTGATCCCGCTGGTATCCATATTCCATAGTATGCGAAGCCGGACAGACTCCAGTTCGTTGTTCAGACGCGACTTTCTGATGTCCAGCACGAGTTCCAGGACGGGATTGACAAAGTGTTGCCATTCCCCACCTCCAGCCACTTGCGACGATTGTGTAGAACTACCTGAGATGTAGCATTTTGAATATTTAGTGAGAATGTGCGAAGCGGTTGTGGTCGTCGAGTGAGCCATGTTGGTTCGAACGTGGTGGTACCAGTCAAAGCTCGCAACGTGTGATCGAGTCGAAGACGTCAAGAAGTACGGCGAGTCAAAAGTTCATTTTATGCAAAATAGTATGTACATATTCATTCGCGCAGCCATTATACAGATACTGTGTCAAGAAGGCGGCCTGAGTGCTTAGTGGAGGGCATCTGGATAACAGCCGTCAGAAGGGAGCGTACATGCGGAGACTGTTCACAAACATCGGAGTGAAGAACGACATCACATCTTGCGACCAGACATCAAAACTCGCTCTGCTGAGACATTCAAGTTCTGGTGGTTGTTGCCTCGTAAAAAGCGGACAAAAGAATCAAATAGAAAACGTACGTCCACGACGAGCAGAAAAATTGTACCCTTTTCCTGGCGCGCGTCACTTTCCTCATTCTCATCCTCATAATTTGTGTTCTGGCAGATGAGAAAAGGGTGAGGAGCTGCCCGGGGCACCGGACAGAGGACTCACGTCTGTAAGGCGAATTGTTGACTCTTGGAGGAACCCATCCTGCGTGAAAAGTGTCAGACCTGTAAAATAGTAGCAATGAGCTATGGTAGAACCATCCAAGGATCCGTTTCGTCTCGTCGGCGTTTGGAGCATGGGTATGGATGGAATCTTCTCATGTAGCCGTGTTTGTAGACCGGTAGACGCAGCTGGGTGAAGTACCAAGGGTTGACCATCCGCTCTGTCGAGCAAGGCTGGTGAGACGCGGAGGTTTGACGAGGGCGGAAATGATGGTCATTCATCTTCGATGAGAGAAGCTGAGATGTGGCCGGGGTGTTTGTTGTCAGAGTAGGAGACTAGGAAGGATTTTTCAGGCCATGGGTTTTAAGGGGCGTGAAAGCGGCGTATCTGGACTGTGACCAAATATTGAGCTTGAAGACTTCCAAAACCAACTTTAGGTAACGCTGGAAGCCCGTCCATGGGATCATATCCCTGCTTTATCTCTCGCCGCGCACAAAATAGGTGAATCCGCTGCCGAAAGTCTCCTAGCGCCACGATCCAACATGGTCCATCGGCGGATACGTGATTGAAGGCCACGACCCAAACAGAACATTGACGAGGCCAATTACTCGATCCAACCCGCCAGATAGCCTCGAGATTGTCCAAGAATACCAGACGATCTTCGTGGCTTAAGCAAAGGCATACATGACGGAGAGCTTCACCCCAACGGCAGTCTGGTCCCACAGTCGTAGCGAGGGTGACCAATTCTCGCAGAGGGTCAGTGAGCTACGCCATTGATCAGGCAATATAGACCCCCGGCGCTGTTGCATGTCCTGTACAGCGACACTCGACGTAAGCACTATGCTTTGGAAACCTTGAGATTGCCCTCGTCCAGACCCTCCAGCAGCGACGGCCACTGCGCCCCGACGCGTGTTGCCCGACACAATTCCAGAAATAGACTGCCTCCGTCCACGTGACTCAATCGCGTCACAAACATAAAAGAACGAGTCAACTTGAGTTCGTCGTTCCTTTTCTACCACCACGAACATGATGACTGGATGTTGTGACAGACCGTGTGCTTCAATGGTTCAAGAATATCAAGGATTGTTGTGGCTCCCGTTTCGACGTGGGAGATCAAGCATTCGCTACTTCCTAGGTTCAAGGCATTCCAACACGGCAAACTACGAAGAAGTCAGCAAGTCGGCCCAGAAGATTTAAAACGACAATCCTACTTACAACGAGTGATAATGGCCAAACTTAGCGATTCACCAAATCCGATATCTTGCAAGGGAATAAGTATAACGCGCCCCAGGAAACACCCAATCCGTCGCTCCTTTCGAACGGGGTCTTCCATCCGGCTAGCGACGGGCGGTGCTATCCGTGAACCTCTGGGCTCAAGTTGCTGAGGCACTGTCTTAGCTGGACGCTAAGAATCCGGCTCTCTCCAAGGCTGTCCTTTGCAAAATCCAACAAATAGTTTAGCTCACAAGGCTTCATCCTACTCGTGGACCCGGGATCCAAGTCGGCAGCCGTGAGGGCGTTTTCTAGACATAGGAGCCAGTCCGCGGTTGTGTCCTCGAGGTTTACGATCCGTGAGCACAAGAATGTCGGTATGATATGGCAGACCAACTCTGTGTTTTGCACGGTGACGGATATGAGTGTGCATGAACGATCTGGACTCAACACCTCAATCCCCAAGCTTCAAGTGGCAGAAGAAGTGGCGACATCTAGCGGGCACCAGGCTTTGGAATAGAGGCGATTCGGCAAGCAAGAAGACTCGGTGAGGCCGCTGGCCACCGCCTTCCACAGAGAAGGAGGCCATCATATTCGTGCAGGATTCCTGAGTCCAGTGAATCGGGCAATTGTCGCATAGTCGTAGGCGGAAGATGGTGGTTGCAGTCACAGTCACTGAATTTCCAATTTGGCGACATCCAATCGTGGCGAAACCAAACCCCGCCCAATGTTTTTGGACCCCTTCCACGCGTCCCCGGGCCTCGCTTCTCGTATACTTCAGACTGGCCAACTTCGCAGCTTACAAGGGATAAATCAGCCAGTGCAGAGCTGTAATGGATACCTTGCTTCTTCCTTCCGGGGCCAACATGCACTTACACGTTTTTCCACCGTCTAAAATCGCGTCAACCACACACTCGAAAGTCTGGCTGAAGCTGTACAAGTAGCAGAGTAAACCGGTGCGTGCAGAGCACAATTATATTTGATCCTGAAGCCTGCACTCTCCTTAAGACTCGATAATTCGATTGCCTCGCTAAGCCAAGATCAAGTACTTTCCCTGGGACCTCTACCGTTAACACACGCAAAGATCTAGCACTCCGAATATACCCATATTTCCCCTACGCCTTCTTATATCTTAAATGTTCTACATAGTGACATCCGACATTCAATATCACAGTTTCACCAACCCCGGCATCAACTGTACCCCGCGGTTCCCTTGAAGTCCACGCTTGGGTCGGCCATCTTCTTGAAGGACGTCTTAAATATCGTCATCGGAACACCCTATGATTCGTTGGCTTTGGAGCAGAGAACAATAGTATAAGCAATGGAGGGAGACACCGTGTTTACACCCTACTTCCTAGGCCACCTACTTCCGGACGAATGCGATGAAAAAGAGACTGCGGCGGCTAGCAATTCGTTCGCAGTGTTCGGAGAGATATTTCCAAGGTCACCTCATGGGTGGATCTGCAGTGCCCTGCATATGGGAAATGCACGCGACGTAGGTATAAATCGTAAACGGATGATTGCTAGGATCCAGCCACGCGGGCATGCACCTTCGAGGCGCTTTTGCAACGACGCATGGGAACCATCCGAAGATTCGAACACATTGGCATCCAGTCATGAGGGAATTCCCGTGAGACCGACATCACCTATAGAGGTTGGCGAATACAGCACTTATCAAGCCCAGGTCTATCGAGCAAAGACGGAGAATGTTCACATAGCCTCCACTCATACAAGCATGTTTTCCTACATGCCCAGCGTATTGATCGGCGCATTGGCTTTGACGAGCGCGTTGCTTGCTTATAGAGTTTGGAACTATGGCCGTCGAGAGCTTGGCCTTCCACCTGGGCCGCCAACAACCCCCATCCTTGGAAACATCCCACACTTTCCTAGGCTATTCCCTTTCCTTCAGTGAGTGCAGAGTGTGCAACGAGAGATATCAGATTACTGAGCAAAGTTCAGATTCAGCCGATGGGCGGCGGAATATGGCGATATCTACTCGGTAGAGTGACTGTACCTTCAAACCCCATAGTATGGTCGGTTTTAATTGTGTTTCTTCCAGCTCAAAGTTCTTGATCGAACCATGGTGATTCTGAGCAGCGGCCAGGCTATTAAGGACATATTGGACAAGAATGGTACCTCCACCAGCGATCGTTTCCAGCCATACACTCTTCTTCATGCAGAAGGAATATACCAGATTTTCGACCACGCCAGTGAGTGTTTTTTCGGCGACTTCGAGCTAATCTGAGCTGAGTCCCGAATGTCCCAAAGGTTCGCACAGGTGGAGAGCGATGCGCAAAGCAACACATACCTTCCTAGCTCCCGAGGCATTACAAGGCCACTGGGGAGTCCAACAAATCGAATATACACGATTACTCTACGACATCGTTGAATCGCCTAAGGTACGTCGTCCGTGAATTGATACACGGTGTATTTAAATCTGCCCCAGGACATATATACCCACATCAAGCGCACTACTGCGTCAGTGATGACCACCCTTATCTACGGCAAATCTATTCCACATTACGCCGGCAGCAAAGCGGAACTATTCTTTGAAGGAACAAAGTGCATCAACGAGTTGGCTGCTCCCTTCGACCATCCACCCCTTGACTTCTTTCCTATCTTGAGGCATGTCCCGGAGCGTTGGGCACCATGGAAGACGTTAAGCAAAAAGACGAAGCAAATTCGTAACGCATTCGATCAAGATTTGTTTCACCAATGCGAAGAGGCGGTTCGGTCTGGCAAACGGACGGGATGTTATCTCGAGAACGTAATAGAAACACAAGTTGAGCTTGGTTCGAATCGCAATGAGGTCAGGTGCGTAAAAACGTGTCTCCATGATGTTGGGGTTCAATCTAAATTCAATGTCTTTGACAGAGCAATGGGCCGAGTTCTGCTAGACGCTGGCACAGAAACATCAGCATCATTTCTCCATTCATTCATCATGGCCATGACATGCCACCCAGAGGTTCAGTCTAAGGCGCAAGCGGAAATTGACGAAGTGCTCGGCAACGACCAACTCCCTGTGTTAGAGGATTACGGCAATCTTCCGTATCTCAATGCACTCATCAAAGAGGCGAGCGAATTCTGTTTCCCAGTTCATATAGTTCTGATAAGCCCAACTACTGCAGCTCCATCGATTCAGACCTATCATTCCTGTGGGTGTGCCACATGTTGCGTCACGAGAGACTCATGTACGTACACCCTACTTCTGAACGAAGCGCGTTTTCAGGGCTGGTTCCATTAGTACAATGGCTTCGTGATCCCTCAAGGCTCGGTCATCTTCATGAATATATGTGAGTGGTCTTCAGTTCGAAGGGCATGCAGTAACCACTAGCTAGGGGGTGTATTCCACGATCCTGGTGGGTATCGGCTACAGACAAACGATGTGCTCCATTAATTTATGAAAGATATATACTTACTGAATTCGGGACGAAGCCAGGAGCGAATACCGAAGGTTTGCGTGATAACTTGCCTTTCGGCGCTGGTAGGGTGAGCAATATCTGGTGACCTGACATCAGTGTCTTGTGGGTATCTTACACGGGACTGCCCTAATACATAGCGTATCTGCCCTGGAGCAGAGTTGGCGTCCCGAAATATCGTGAGTGGCAAATTTTGGTCCAGCCGATGCCAAGTGTTGAGTTCCTTTCTCCTAGGCGATGAATGCAATCAACCTCCTTTGGGCTTTCAACTTTAACGAAGACACGTCTGGATCCTGCACCATGGACTTGGAGAACTATCTTGTGTGCATTTTCTTTCTACATACCGGCCAGTGCGCTGATCACCCGTACTATACAGCCTGGAATGGAACTCGCGTTAAAACCGTTCACATGCAACATCGAAGTTCGGAGTGAAGCCCGGGCGGCTCTTATCAAGAGGGCTTACGACATCGCTGCACTGTGAATGTTGCAGACGTCCTGGCACCACCAACGGTGTACCTACTTTTACTCGCGACTAGTGTGCCAATGGCAACTTGATACACGTGGTTTATTAGGCCTGCCGTGTGTATACGGATACATGCTCCGTCAATGCACACATGAGTTACATGGCTCAATGTGTTGCGATGTAGGCACGTCAGTGGCGAGAGCGTCACAAAAACAGTGGCAATAAGAGATTCCTGACAAAAACATGGGTGGTATATCAACACAACAAAGAGGAGAAATCAAGACGAAGCGGCAAAGCGAGGACAGCAGGACATGAGTGGGGAGACTGGGAGAGTAACATTTGGCCACAATAGCTAGCGTGGCAAAAACATGATAGCGTGGTGATATTTCCAAGAGCAAGTGAAAGATAAAGCATCTAGATGCGTGAACCAAGAAGTAGATACGGAGATCCTTCAAGTCTGTGTCACACCGAGTGACCCTTGCCCGCGAAGGCCCGGCAGATCAGCGGCGACTGCCTCCCCGTAGACACGAGACAATAGAATCGAGGGGACCGAGGGATGCGTAGATCGTCTGCAAGGTCCGACCAACGGAGTGCATTCCAAAGCTTCGACATTGGCTTCCACTTTCCGATGCTTCTCGTGGCTATACCCTCTTTCAGCATCCGCTCTTCCTCTTATAAATAGAGCTGGAGGACGATCGCATACTACCGATATAAATGTTACGGAACGCGTGGGGGTGATAGCCCGGAAGAACCGGTTGACGAGTGCGGGGAGGGTGTGGTGGAGGTGGTGGTGGAGGGGGGACACAGGTCGAGACTTTCAAGGGCGTCGGTTGTATTGTTTAGTTGCTGATTCTGTTGATGATGCCAATGATGCAAGCGCCTGCGCCAGCAAGAACACGCCACCAGGAATAGATCTATGCGGAGTTATAGACGAGAAATCGGCCGTTATATGAGGGATGAGGGCAACAAATCATGCGAGTCTGAAATCGATGCTAGTCTGAAATCGGGACGTTCAATGCTTTCACAGGATAGATCAGCAACCACGTTCACGTACCATATCTGTAACTTTTTGGTCCTGCTTAGCCCCCTAGCTTTGTGCTACATTAGACCCCGATGACACCCACGCGCTGGGATAATCCGGGACTCTGTTCGCGAAGCATCCCCACAGGCGGCGATGATGAAGCCGCTTCCTGGAGCACATGGGAGGTGGAACTTCCTGCCTGGATTGGGATCGAGGAAATGTTCAGATTACAGAAAACGCGAAGAAAAAGAAGCAGAATGACCTCGAGTGGACCGTCTCCCTGATTCTCTCCTCCGTCTCCACCTGTGGGTATGACAATGAACGAGTCCTCGATCACCCCGTTTGAATCTCTTTGGCGTTGTACATCTACGGCGCCTATTGTCTGCGTCTGCGAACTGGTAGTGACAACAGGCTCCGCGAAAGATAATGATGATGACCAAACATACCTCCGCAGATACTGTGTCAACTGCGTTGGGAGCAACTGCTCGGAGATCGTCAGTTTCTTGGGGTTCTTCCTGTTCACCGTTCGCTGCATGGTCAGGAAACGTGTACGCGTTGTTGTGACGGGGAATAGAGTCCATATTCAGTCGTTGGAACGCATCCGCCATCTAAAAGGGAGTCAGTATAGGCCGTTTAAGCTGGCACAAGTACGCCAAAAAACTTCATCCCGGTTCCATCGTTCACATTGTGAATTGTTGGAAGTACCTCTAAGAACTCGTCCCATTCGAGATCAAAATCCCTGTCATCGCGAGCCCACCCGGGAAGACGGGACGGCGAGCCTCGTGGATACGGATGGAAGCGTTGTAAATAGCGGGCCCGATACGGTGGCAACTTCACTTGCGAGTGGTAGAAGGGATTCATGAGGCGCTCCGTCGAGGATGGAACGTGGGTCGCACTCATATAGCGAGGGCGAAAATATGGAGCCATCCTTGGAGGGGCACGCAAGATGATGATGGAGCCTAAGGTAGGAGTGCTTTTGCTGCCCACGCGTCTTTTGAGGGGAGAGACCTGGCGGAGATCTTGAGTTGAGTAGGAAAATGAAATTTGGGGTTCTCGCTTGAACGGTTTGGATAAGGTTTGAAAGTATCGGCAGAAAAAAAGGGCACGCATATACATCAAAGGCCTTCAGGCGAGCGCCAGATTGTAATTTGACACACACCCATCTTGCCACACGACTGGTACATGTTACGTGCTTCCAAGGTTCCTAATTTGAAGCTCCTGAACATCCAAAGGAAGGACAGACAGCCGAGGCAACAGGATAGTTGACATGACACAAGAAGGCGGGATACACTGGCAGCATTGAACATAGAATGGATTCGACATTCCGACGGACAGAAACACGAAACTCGACGCTCTCTGCCAAAATTGAGTCGCAAAGACCTGATCTTGGAGCTACTTGACGGAGATATCTTCGACAGCTCTTCTCATGGGACCGCGCTCTTGGGGACTGTCCAACTGCGTTGATCTCTCTTTGGCATTGCCCATTCCTACCCTCTGCGCACCGACCAGCTGCGTTGGTAATTGTGCCATTCCAAAAAGCAGTACAAGGTTCGAGTGACGAACTCGCCTCGAGCAACAGCCAGGTTCTCCATGCTCTTCCTCGCAACGTCTCCTCAGTATCGGCACATCTAGCTGCAGAAAGGAATCAAGCATTATCCTGAAGGAGATGAAGGTCTTTACTAAGTCAAAGACTCGGATACTTCCCGCTCGGCGACGCTAGGATGCATGTCACGGACTGTTACAACGTGACGTCGGTGTTACCAGATATGGATCTACAAGAACAGAACCGAGTCAGTACGTTCCCACCGTTCAATCAAGCACCACCAAGGGAAACTAACTGCTCCACTGCGTGTGACCACAGATATTTTCATGTCAAGACACAGTATACAAAGAGGAGTGATAATCAAGGGGATCAAGCCAGAAGACGAGCGACGGACACATTGAAACCACAGAGAGGCAAGGTGGAGGCAAGGGCAAGAGGAACAACATCAAAAAACTCACTTTCAGCTGTCTGAACTACGAAAGGCCCATCTTGTGACCCTCCTAACCATATTCTGCGTGTGCGAGATCGCAAGATTAAGATGCAAGAGACTACTCGAGTGCCTGATTTGCGCGAAGGATGGCCAAGTCAACTTCGGAAAGGCACCGGCTCTACTGCATGCCCAGCTCGGCGAAGCAGTTCGACAAAGTGGAACGACGGAAAACACTTCTGGCGCGACGTTTGCTAGGAGAAGAGAGCCTTTCGTGTCGACCGTGGTCAAAAAAATGCAAGCTTTAGGCCTAGGATACGGAGCGTGTTTGTGAGGCCTCTAAGCTGTAACGCGTTCTTCTGCCTTGAATCTTGGAGTCGATACTCGTTCTCCAGCGATCCAAATGACTTCGTGGGATCATCGGATGCGACTGACGGCTGGCCCTAAGATTTGATACCCTCGACAAGAAGATGTTGCTCCAGTCTTCGAAATCTTGCTATGATTCTTCCGCCAAAGATGTTGCGGGTGCTTGGGCCAAATTGGTATTTTCTGCTTGAAACTTTGAGTCTCTTCGAGGACGCGCGACAATAGGCAGCAAAGAATGAGTCCAACGGGACTGGAGCAAAGTCGACGGTGGCAGACAAGGAAATCGCGACGTGGATTTAGACAAGCGTGGCTGTGGCGTTAGAAGCCGTAGAAATTGTGGCAAAAGTATGAGTACAAAGACAACCTGCACAACTCCACAGTCCGAATCCTCCTGAATCCTCTCCGCTTTCTGCACAACCTTGTGCTCTCTTATCTCTCGAAGGGCCGCCCTCCGAATGAACAGCGATTCGTCTTCCATGGTTTCCCTGGACAAGTTTCACGGCGAAGAAAAAATAGGAGGTGACTGTTGGTGGATGGGAAGAAGTTACCGACGCGATGTCTTGAAAAGGAAACCGTCGGGTCTACCTAATCACTGAATAGAATATTCAAGGGCCACCAACTCTGATAGGGCCAACGACTTAGCGGTTAATGAGCGGCTCCAGTCAATACTTCTTTGTGAAGGATTAGCAAGGAGCCGTCGAATTAACGACATTCCGCGGTCGGGATCTTCTCAGTTCATGCTGGAGCGTAACGGAATAGATCAAGAGTTGACAATGTCATTCAGAAGTCTCTTCGCCTCGTTGGAAGCTGAGAAATGACGTCCGTCTGTAGGCTGATAGAAACCAGCCTCTCTACGAGACCTAGTCCGTCCGATGCATTGTAGCAGTACATCATCGGCCCTTGGTTTTGATGCCACTTCACTGGCACGAACCAAAGAAACCATCCTAATACTCAGAGTCTTCTATTGTAAGAAGCCCCTACTTCTCTCCATAGAACGTAGGTGGCATTCTTTGCAAAACACCTGATTGAGTAGAGATATTGCCATCGCCGCCGCTCGAAAATGGGCCAAAAGAATGTCGAGATCGCTCAGTGGCTGGAATTACGCAGACACATGGTGATGGCAGTCGCAGTGTACATGTGCAAGCAAGTCGTCCCCATACGACGCGCTCATAGTGGGCAGTTGCAGTTGATGATTATATTCTGTGAATAGCCTGCGGCCTGAGGCCTGACTCGGAGGACTGAAGCTCCCACAGAGACAGTCAAGAGTCGCCGCTACGGTAGTTGTTTGTTTTGCCATGCGAGAAGGACGCATTGGGATCGGGAGAAGAAATGTAGGCTCGAATTGTGACCAGTGTCGCAATAATCGGGCATAGATACTCGATCAGAAGGGTAACAGTACCCAAGTATACAACTTTGAGTTTTTGAGACAGACACCCGACTGGCCCGACGCAAGAATCCCAGACTATGCCAGGAGGTCCAAATCCTGTGTCTTTCCGTGAATCCTCCCAGATTCCAGCTCGTTATTGAGCAAGACAGGATTGAGTCTGTATCGTCGTCGGAGATGTAGAATTTCGGGCGTTGATTGAGAACATCCGAAGAAGTCACGGTGGTTGAGTGTACGGGACTTCCGGCTTGCGACAGTACTGTACTAGTCAAAGTTCAAGTTTCAAATCCCAAAAGCCTATGATCAGATCAAGTGGGAGAGAAAACATCCTTGTATGCAAAATATTATGTACAGATAGGCATACGCGCGTCGCCGCCATTATACAGATACTAGTTCAAGTGTGAAGCCCGTGCTCTCCGAGCCGACCTGAACAACGAGCGGACAGACGCGAGAATACACAGCCTGAGGGAGTGAGGATCCACAAACGCCGCGGAGAAAAATACTGTCACATCTTGCGACCAGACATCAAGATTCGCTCAACTGAGACATTCAAATTCTGATCGAGGCATGTCATCGTGGATGGTAGCACAGATGGCAGGATAGAGTACACACCTCAACAACGAGCAGATAGATGATACCCTTGTCCTTGTGCGCGTCACTTTGGTCACTCTCGTCTTCATCCTCGTCCTCAACATACATCTCCTGGTGGACGAATGAAGTTGGTTGATGGGGAATGAATTGTTTTCAAATAAGAGCTTACCTCCGTAGGACGGACTGTCGACTCTTGGAGGAATCCATCCTGAGAGAAAAGTGTCAGACTTCGAGGATGGACAAAGGAAACACGTCGCAGAACCATCCAGGGATCGGTGAATTTTCGTCGACGTTTGGAACACGGGTATGGATGGAACCTTCTCATGTAGCCATGCTTATAAACTGGAAGGCGTAGCTGTGTGAAGTACCAAGGGTTGACCATCCGCTCCGTTGGGCAAGGCTGATGAGATGCAGAGGTTCGACGAGGGGAAAAACAGCGGTCTCTCATCTTGGTAGTTGAGAGAAGAGACGAGGGAGAAAAGCGTATGGGTTGAGTTATTTATTGTCAGAATGAGACAGACATGGAGCGAATTTTCGGGCCACGCGATTTAAGTTTTAAGGGACATGCGGCGTATTTGAACGGTGACCAAATTCAGAGGTTGAAGACTTCTAAAACGAACCTCAGACACCGCTGGAAGCCGGTCCATGGGAGAAAATCTCTACTTCATCACCTACTCCTCACAGAATTGGTGGATCCACCGCCGAAGATGTTCACAGGTAACCACACGGCGCGGTAGGGTCCAACGGCGTCTTCACGATTACACGGCACGACCCCAAAAGAACATCGGAAACATGACCAATGGCGAGATGCTTGAATGTTGCAAATAGTCCCGACATCGACCACGAGTATCAGGCAGCCTCCGTGATTGGATACAAGTCCATGGCTTCTTGGTGACTCTCGCTTCAATCGCGATGAAGAGGGCAGCCTGCCATCATCGCACAAAGTTGCCAATCCACGTCGAAGGAATAGGTCTCGACCCCGTTGGTGCAGACAGTGAGCCTCGGCTACTTGGCGACACCTCGACGTTCTGGCCTCGCGCTCCTTCGTAGCAACGACGACCGCGTACCGACGCGTGTTGCCCGACTACTTGAAATCCCAAATACCGGGATTGCCTCCGTCCACGTGATGCCGGCGCGTCACAAACCTAAAAGATCGAGTCACTACAAGTTCCTCGCTCTTTTGGACCATCACCAACATGTTGATTTCTGTGACAGAACGTGTGCTTCAATCCGCCAAAGAACTTCAAGCTTCAAGTGCTGTCAAAGCTTCCATTCCAACGCGGGAGATCTAGAAGAATTCGCTGCTTCCAAGTTCGAATGCGCTTCCAACACAGCAAGCTACGGTGAAGATGGAGTCAGCCAAGTCAGCCTGCACGTAGACAACCGCCGCCCTACCTACGAGAGTGAATATGCACAAATCTGCCAGTCCATCAAGTCCGACGTCCTAATATTTGGAAGACGAGATGCCGCGACGCACCTTAAGCACCCCTGCTTGAGATCTGTCTCCTCCAATGTGTCTAGAGACTGGCCGGATCGCCCAAGAAACGTTCGGTTCCTTACTGAGTTGTAGTCTTCGCTGGTCGCTCGGAATCTGGCTCTCTGCCCTTCTCCTCTGGTCCTTTCTAGTAAAGGTGGTCAAGACCAACGACGCAAGGAATGCTTTGGTCGAAGGGTTCCGCGAAATTATGTATTTCGCCATGCCCGAATCCGAAGACAGACAGTGCGATTGATTGCGCCTTCTCGTCGTAGGTGCCAGTCTGCTCTAGTGGAATTGACTGGACGTGAGTGCAAGATAGCCATCAAGATATACCAGAGGAAGAGTGCATACCGCAACAATGACTATGACCAGTGTGCTTCAACATCCTGATCCCCAGCCCTCGGATCCACTTGCCCCAAGCTTCAAGTTCGAGAAGTATGCATAATATTCGGCGGCGAGCACCAGGACAAGAGATATTGCGGCAAACAAGAACTAGCTCAAGCCGCTGGCCGTAGTCGCAGGCCAGAATTTCCGATGTTCGTTATCCCGGAAAATATGGGGACATTGGTTGGACATTGCTAGGCGGAAGATGATGGTCACGATTTTGAAATTCGAAATTTACCGGCGTTCCCTTCATGGCCAAACCAAACCCCGCCCTGAAGTTGTTCCTCCAAATTCAATCTTTGCGCGGGACTATCTTGTAGCCTGCTTGGAGCTTTTGTAGGCGGATCCAGAGGCCTCTCTTCCACGGATGCGATAAATCAGCAATACCCCATTTTTCTCAGCCTTCTAAAGCCTCGCAAATGGCTCCCTGAAAGTTTCCTCGAGATGGTGTACGCTCTGTCGTATTTTTCACCGTTCGAAATAGCTGAAATTCTCCCACAGAAAAATCGGCAGTGCTTGGAAGCTTCACGGACGATATGGCGCAAGGCAAGATTCTATGAAGATTTAGCTTCATCGCGCTTTGCACCAGCTCTTGCATTCTAATTTCTATTGCGAAAACTACCACATTTCAGGAATCCTACGGCGGGCTCCAGGCCATACTTGAGGCGAGGACGTCTGGTGAGTAAACGACCGCGTTTCACTTAGCTTATACATATATTGTTAGGTGCATTTATGCCTCCCTTAGCGTTAGACCTGCTCGGCGGGGCTTGTCAATACCTGTCTTTGAAGGAATCGAGCTATCATCGATAGCACTGGCTTCTCCGCAGCGGCCCAGCAGGCCCAAAACGCACCAAGACCTACCGAGAGTCGATATTTCGGTTTGGGAGTTACTTGCCCAGCGGCCCTCACCTTTCTGGATTGGTTCTAGTCCCCCTTGGATCACCGATGGACTCTTTCTCCAGAAATCTCACAACCCACATCCAATCAACACTGTATCGCCGCTCCTCCAGACGTCATTGTCTGAGCCGCCATGACACCGATGCACTCGCAGGCGTGCTTTTCGGTCCCACCCAAGCGTTGACTTCCGACAAGGGCATGCTCGTTGCAAGTCCGCCGTGTCCCATAGTTCTACCCATGTTGTTCAGCTAGTTAGAATCCAATATATCGCCATTAAACCAAGAATATAAGTAATATGTTTCTAAATATCAGGCCCGACTATATTCGAGATCTATAACTTCGCCGACCGAGTAGGCGCACCGGGTTCTCGTATGTCGGCGCGAACTACGCCTTCCTGCGATGTAACCGCTACGAGTTTGCCGGAGCGTGAATATAACTGAAGCCCATAAGTTCCGAGCATCGGTGGAAAGGAAGGCAGACGTACGCGACCATGCATGATACCACGACCAGAGCCAATTCTCGGAGAGTCCATCTAAAGTTAAGAAGCTGAGAGTGGTAGAGGAGCGATTTGTCAGTGAGACCTACTACGTATAACAACCAGTCTCCACAATCGAAGTCGTTGCTGGGAACGAAACATGTTAGGCCACAGGATATCCGGGGCTGTCAGGACTTACTCATAGAAATAGATGGAATGGTCCAAGCTTGACTATAGACGTTGCAGCGTGAGTGAGTGGTTCCAACATGTTTGATACGGATACTCACGAGCATAGCCAGTCCTGTTGGGCCCTTGCCGAATCTCTTCAACCCAAGTATCCGAGGAGCTGTGGAAATGCTACGGCCGGCTTCTGTCAGTCTTATTGATAACTATCGATCGTAAGGGAAGCCACGGACAAGTGGAAGTCGGACAAATAACCCAAGATACACTGTAGGATGATCGTCAACCATTATCGTTGTCGGTAGAATCAAAACCAACCTTTTGAAATGGAGCATCGTAGTGCGGGATGTTCCTTGCTTGCATCCAATACATATGCACCTCCACGCCCTGGTGATCACGAGCAATTCTTATGTCTATCGGGCTCTTCGCTCGTTCCTGTGACAAGAGTCAGTCCCTCTACCTTCCAAATTCAATTAAATCGCACCGTGGCACAGGAGATGTAATATTGTTTCAGCCTGGGGTGAATACCCTCCCGCGCTGCCAGCCGTTCGTACCGCACTTCCTCTGATTCGCATTTCAGCGGTTCCGGGACGATAGGCATTGGCAACTGGTAAGAGGGTTGCCATGGCTCTGGCTTCTGGAACGAACAGACGAGTATGAAGATTGTCTGGCCAGTTTGAACTGCCTTGACCAGCCGCGAGGCATACGAACGGCCAGTACGCATGTCTTCGACATGGTACAGAATTGGTGTAGAGGGGGATGCGCTGGCAAGGAAGTAGCACTATATCCATATGCTTTGAGTGGACCTATACGATACTAGAGGAGCGTGTGCGTACATGCATTGACTACGAACGAGTATCAGTATATACCAAGTCACAATTGTGGAGATAGGAGCTACACACATGAAGAGCATATTCCGGGCCCACACAATTCGTCGCGGAGACTAATGCCTGAGATATGACTTGTCTGAGAAGTCATAGTGAGTTAAAACTTATTCTAAAGCCACGCGCTTGGAGTGGAGATACTCACCCTCCAAAAACACCGCGACTCAGCGGGGGAAGCCAGAGATTCTTGGACCGGAATAGGTTGACATCCAGTGTCTCTACCTCAAGTGATGTTGAGATACGTTCGTGTTCAACCTGCTTGAGATCTTCCATTGTTAGAGCAGAGAATTAAAGTGCATGAAGAGCTTTATTATGATCGCTCAAGTAACCGCCCGTGATATTTACATTCCCCGGACAACCGGAAGCTCATACGTTGCCGAATTGCTAAGTCCTAAGTCCTATCCTATCATGTTATTACGATTACCGTAGGTACAGTACACCTCTTTCTCCATGTCATATCAACTCTACGTCTATGGAAAAGCCACACTCATGGCATATCTGCTTGGCGATTCCGTCGGGTCCTTTTTCGAGGGGACCGAAGGAATGCCGATGCTCGTTGTCCTTCCGTTTTTGCCAAATGCCTTCTTTCGTCCGCTTTCGGAGTTGCCGTAGATTGTCCTCGAACTTCTTGTTCTTTTTCTTCTTTTTCTCGGCAGTCCGCCTCTCGTATTCGGCGTCAAGTGCTTCCGGCGAACCCCACTTCTTCCAAGCGAATTCCTCGACCTGGTACCGCAGGAAGAGCATCATGTTAGCGAAAGTGGATTTGTGGGGATTCGCTTTAAGAAGGTGGGGCATGAGCTCATGATCGCGTAGCTCGGCTGTATACTGTGTCAGTACTTGCAGGCTGGGAGATCTGGTGACATACGATCCGTCAACAAATAATCCTGTGGTGAGATGAGAACAGAAGGATGATCTAGAGCGTAGCCTACATACCTCCTTACACTCTGTCTTCGTTAGGAGACCATACTTTTCCGGTTTATCATTCTTGCATTTATTACAGACCAGACAACCAAAGACTTTCTTATACGTTTGATCAATATCAATTGACTGGCATTCCTGACACTTGGGATTTAGGTTCGGATCAAGGTATACAGCTAAATCGTCGTGTCAGAACACGCAAATAAGCTAGCATCCTTGAACTATGACTTACGAGGCTCAAGATTTTGCATTGCACGCTGCTTCTCGCGCTCCTTCTCTTTTCGTATGAGGTTCTCATCGACCTCCTTCCCGTCCTCCACAAGGAATCCACCCTTCGTGTTGATCATACTCGACAAATCATACTCGAAGTAATTTCCGAGTCGCGAGTCGCGTTTGAGTGGCTTCTCCTTCCCTGAGGTAGGAGACGAGGTCGTTGTGAGCGGACGCTTATTGTTAGCGTTATGAGATGAGGACGACGCGAATGCTTCCTGCTCCCGTTGCCGCTGGTTGGCCTTTGCTTTTGAGAATTGGCACAGACAGAACGCGATACCACGGGCGGTGAAAGCTTACCTTTCAGTCGATTGAGCTGAAATTGCTTGGATTGCTCAGAAGTGAGTGGATCTGCCGCAGAGGTTGCTTGCAGTGGAGGAGTGACCGGTGTGTTGGTATTGCTTTCAGACATCTTGTGTCTAGGATAGTGGTTTGGTGTAAGGTGTAAAGTAGCTGACTCAGGGGCTCCCAGTCTGCCTCCGATGATGACTCATGTCCGGCGCGTAGATCAATTGTGATTGAGATAAGACAACATGCACGAAGCGCACACGTTGGATCGTGATAGCAAATGATACTTAGAATGAAGATAGCTCGATCAACGATATTATGCCCACCAGTCGTACGGCGCATCTATATCCCACAACCACTCCAAAAACAAATAGATATTCACGAAACACTCTCAACAAGTACATTACAAACTACCGAAGCGTGCTGGCCCCATTTTCCGTCGGAGGGGGAGAGTCGACGTCCATCTCATGGGCACCCGATGAATGGATACGAGCAGATTTCTGACCGCTGGGACCAGCTCCGTGAGAAGCTCCAGTCTGAGCAGAGGCCATTATACCAGTAAGGACGCCATATTTGCGACCAGGTGCACCACCGTTTCCGTTAGAACCATTCGAGAGTCCACTGTCGTGGTGGCTGGCATGGTCCCTTCGCCCTCCTTCGCCTTCATCATCCGAATCCGAGAGCTCTCCATCAGCTTGCCGCCTAGAGTCCAGAAGTCTTCGGGGCCGACGTTGGTCGGGCTCAACGAGGTCGTCTTCATCTTGATTGGGATCATCCATCAGACTATCGATAGGATGACTTGGTATATCTAGAGCGGATAATTAAGGCTATTGCATTCCTGGGCAAAGCAGAACACTCACCAGACATCTGGACTCCGGGCGGGCCGCCTATCTGCCTGAGATTCTCGAATACGATGCGTTTCACTCGATCTAGATATGACCGTGTGTTCATATCGTCCGTATTCGATGATTTCACGTCCAATTCGTAGTCCGGTCCAAAGTATTCGTAGTATTCGTTCATTGGGATCTCTAAAGCAGCCGTAAGCCACCCCACCGATGTAGACAACGCCACCACGTACCTGGGCCAAGCTCAACGCCAGCTGCTAAACCAGTTTCATACGCCCACGCCCGACTGACGTTACGCATTGTATATCCTCCGCCTCCTAGAAGAAGTAGCGGCTTATTGAACGATTTGACGAACTTCACACAATTTGCGTGTCCTAAAAATACGTCCAGCCTGACATAGCGGATAGGCGGAAAGAAATACCTCGCATAGACAAGTTCAAGCAACCTAGCTTGTCGCCGGATAAGGAGTCTGTACCACATTGCAGCACGATAGCCGAAGGATCGTATGTCTCCATTACTTGTCGTATAACCTACCGCCTCTGTCAGATGCTTGGACATGGGGAAAAAATTGTGTGAATACCGGTTCGAAGACAGATTTGTAGTTTTCGTCGGATATACCATCGCGTAATGGAAAGTTTAACGCGTAATTCTTACCCTTCATCGCTCCGACATCCTGAGTGATCATGAGGGCTGCAACCTTCCACCATGAATGCAGGTACTTACTCTCAGCTCTCCCGTCCCAGGAAAGTATTCCCCGTATTTGTGGAAACTAACGGTCATTACCCGATCCGTGGTGTAGAAAGCCTCCTCAACGCCATCTCCATGATGCACATCGATATCGATGTAAAGTACCCGCTGGTGATATCTGCGGAGGAACATCGGCCCTGAATAAGGTGTAAACATTACCAGTCGCCTAGGTGGCGTACCGTAGAAGTTCAAGAATTCCAAGAACGATATCTGAAAGAACACAACGATTAGAAGGGAGTCTCCGGGTAAGGTATGTATGCCTACCGTTCACGTAGCAGAAGCCACTCGCTTCGCTTTTCTTCGCGTGGTGCAGACCTCCTGCCCAATTTACAGCAATGTCGCATTTATCACGGCTCAAGCGTGCTGCCCCCTCTATAAGAACAGAGCCAATGGTTACAATGGACATTCTAGTCTTAAAAGCGTATGGCGTACCCATTGAACCCCCTGCTGATATTGAGCAATACTCGAACAGACCATCAAAAACAGGACAATCATCCCCAACATTGTCTGACGAGGGCGTTGAATACAGTGATGCAGAGGAACGAGAGGCCACAATACGCACATTTGTGCTGTTCTTTGATAAAACTATTCATATTGCTGGGTGTTATTCGATTCAAGAAGTCAACATATTCATCTGAATGAAATTGTGTCATTTCGCGCTTCGTAGCTGGCTTCGCTCTCTAACATGGGTTGTAAGTGATATTCATGATAATAGGGAGGCGGCGCACGAAGATTTCCATTTTCTTGTATAAGCCATAGTTCATAACCAACGAGTGGCACATCCGTATACGAGTCGGCTTCATTCTATGAAATAAAATGGTTATGGCCCATTTACGAAGGGGGGTGACGAGACGAGAAAGCGTACGGATGCCCGGGTCCATAGTGAAATCCCCCAATGTCAGAGTCGAAAAAGTAGCACTGTGGTGAGTAAGATATGTCAACACGATGAAGGCGAGGAGTAGTTTGATTCGTGTCTGCGTACCACACGCTTCTTGGCCTCTCCCTCTATAGGTGCCATTCTTGCGGTCATGTTGAGTGAGCCTTGAGGATCAGTATCGGTCACGGAAGAGTTTACTTCCTTGTGGCCGAGCTAGGAGGCCGTGCTCAGAGTCTAAATATACGATCGTTCAATGTACTTGAGCGCCTAATATGTTCACTTGAGACAACCCTCACGAGTCGCTGCCATTCTAATTTCTCAATGTCACGAACACTCTACGAGGTTCAAGAGCCAATATATGTAGACGTCTGGCCATCCTATTATATTGGAGAATACATAAAGTATGCCTAGATTTTTGCTTTTCCCAAAGGGGCTTCCTTGCCTTGATGTACCAACGTGGATGGGGCAAACCCGAAGTCGTCTGTCAGTGTGATATCCTGCATAGAAGATGAATATCGATTGTGGTTGGATGAATTTAGACGTACTAGTTCTCCAGCAATGACTCGAACCTTATAAACTGAGAACCGGTGTTGCAACGATATTATAAGGGAACTCACCATTGACCAGTGATGTATGCAATGAAGTGCAGCAAACCAGAGCTGTTCGAATCATTCGTAAGTTGCTCAATAAAAGGGTAGCATGGTGAACCCACCTCCCTACCGAAGGTCGTCTCCAGTGTTTGCGGGTACGGTGTAATGGCGTTCAAAGCCATGCGTTGATGAATATCCACCTGGGGGACTACCTTCTCCAGCCGAGTGATGGCATCGATGAGCGCCACTCTGGCCTCGCTAAGACTACTCTCCATTGGTGTATTGCGGCTTCGGACATCGTAGTTCAACACGTATTCTGAAGAAACGCTCTCGACAAGGAGTATGAAGTGATCGCGGGCATGTCGTAGATGCTTGCCTGTACACAATAGGGGTCAGATAGGTGTAGATGGATAGAGAGTTCACTGGTTACCAATGGTTGACCCGGGCAATGATTTGGAATGCACCGTGAGCTGGTCGTCCGAGGTCAAATAATTGTCCACCAGATCGACGGCTTGCTCTAGGACAGTCCTTGCAACAGCCAGAAGCTGTTGAGATTGCAGTTCATGTTCAGTGTTACCGTTCGCATTCCCGTTCGGGGCCATGGTGGTGGTTTCTGTCTGAAGAGCTGCAATCATGGCAGTAATGTGTCGATGTGGGATATCAGCGGACCGCAAAAAGGGGGGGGAAAGTTGTGGCTACGCTGTTTCTGCTTTTTCAATGGTCCGGTAGGCGAGCAACGCGGTCAAGGCGAGGCAGTCGTATGTCTCGGATCCAGTGTCCTTCCGCATCAAAGGTTCGGATTATTGAGAACGTAGGGTAAGAATACATGTGTGCGGTAGGTTACCTAACAAAAGATGTTCCTCGACCTAATTTCGAACTGCCCAAAGGACTAGAAGTCGCGGGATGCCCGAACTCAAGGCGAGGATGGGAGCTTCAATATACAAGAGCTTCTCCCAAAAATGGGGTGAAGAGACTGGAAGATTTTTCTGAGCAGAGTCGTCGACCGTCGTCGTCGTTCTTGGAGTTGAAGGAAAAATGAGCCAACAACAGATGCCTAGGTTTGGAAGTGATTATGTAATCATATGCCTGTTTCGGAGTGACGGTGCTCCGGAGTGCGGTCGTTACAATTTTGTCCAGCAAGTCCTTTCCTTATTACCACCACGCAATGCTATCAGCCTCGTTCAGAAAAGCAGGTTCTTTGACTCGGGTGAGCCTCCACTCTCTTGAAATACAGCACTTTCTCATTTCTGGTAGGCCGTGTCTGCAGGTCAGAGGCGCTTCCTCTCCATCCACGAATACCAATCCGTCAACCTTCTGAACTCGGTGGGTTAACTGCTTCGTACCATCGAATGTTTCTGAGTTGAAGTAGTATGGGATACCCACACCGAAAAGTATACCCGCGAAGACTCCCGAGGAAGCTTATGAAGTAGCAAAGAATTTTGGTAGGACGCGTCCACAATCTTACCGCGCCGGATGGTAACAAATTCTGCCCCCAGGTCATGATAGGCTCGTGATCAAGGCGCAAGTGCTTGCTGGCGGACGAGGGAAGGGGAAATTTGATAACGGCTTCCAGGGGGGTGTACATATGGTTGGATCGTGAGTGCCCCAGGTGGTTACTGAGCTGGCCGGTTGCTAATCGTCGGTTCACAAGGCCTGAGCAAGCCAAAGAGCTAGCAGGCAAGATGCTCGGAGCAAGTCTCATCACAAAACAAACTGGTGCAGGAGGTCGTGTCTGCAACGCTGTCGGTACTCTTCCAATTACTTTGTCCACCCTCTAAATTTCCTCTCCCAGGTCATGCTTGCGGAACGCCGTGATCCCACACACGAATACTATGTTGCAGTTCTCAATGACCGAGTAACTCAAGGCGTCGTTCTGGTCGCGTCTAACCAAGGTGGTATGAATATTGAGGAAGTCGCTGCGAAGGACCCGGATGCTATCATCACCACCCCAATCGACTACGAGAAGGGATTGAGCAAGGAACAGGCTCTCGGTGTCGCGAAGAAGCTCGGCTTCAAGACCGCTCAAGCACAAGACGAAGCTGCCGATATATTCATCAACCTCTACCGCATCTTCAAAGACAAGGATGCTACTCAAATTGAAATCAACCCGATGGCGGAAACTGCTGAGGGCCAAGTCCTCTGGTGCGTCGATTTCCTGTATTCTAAATCCGCCTGTACTCACATAAAGCCGCAGCATGGATGCCAAGTTCGGGTTTGACGACAACGCGGAATTCCGTCAACAAGATGTTTTCAATCTCCGGGACATCTCTCAGGAGGAACCCTCCGAAGTTGAGGCCCAGAAAGCCAACTTGAACTTTATCAAGTTGGATGGGAACATCGGGTGTCTCGTGAATGGTGCCGGTCTGGCCATGGCGACAATGGATGTCCTTTCCCTCCATGGTGGGAACCCCGCCAACTTCTTGGACTGTGGAGGGTGAGTCCAGGTCTTTTAGGGCTCTATAGTCCATGTTTAAGTGTTTCCGCATCCTCAGAGGTGCTACTCCGGACACCGTCAAGAAGGCGTTCGAGATTCTGTTGTCTGACCCCAAGGTCAAGAGCATCTTCATCAACATCTTTGGTGGTGCGTCTTGACTTTCGTCTTGCGCATTTTTATCCTTTAACTCGTTCACAGGTATCATGAGATGCGACTACATCGCCGAGGGTGTTATCAAAGCTACTAAGGAACTCTCGCTCACTATTCCTCTCGTAGTCAGGCTCAAAGGTACCAAGGAGGCCGAGGCCAAGCAGTGAGTTCCAGAATGCCGTCTTCTGAACGTTGTTGACACCAATATTCGCCAGAATGATCAAGGACTCTGGTCTCAAGATCATCGCCTTCGACAGTCTCGATGAAGCCGCTGAACGGGCAGTCCACTTGGCCCATGCTTAAACATAGATACGGCTTATAATTTATGTCATTCCCATAGAATGGTCAAGGATTGGAGATGATGTAGCTGATCATATTATAAGTGCGTAAGGGAACCATATAATAACAATCTGGACAAGCAATTTGTAACAATGTTCATGAAAAGTTCACCAAGGACGAGAAGGAAAGGGTGTTGATGGTGTCTGTCCGTAGCTTGGGGCGGGATGGCGTTGCATTGGTGGGTGACCGTTGTCGTGCCGCATGTGTCCGCGGTTCTGGTCAGTAATGTATGCATGATTTTGGGGATGGGGGATTGGGGATTGCATCATCATATGACTTCCAGCATAGTACGGGTGGGCAGCAGCAGGTGCGACAACGGGACTACCTATAGGTGCGTTCCGAGAGCGGGGTTGAGCAATACCTGCCTGTTGCATTTGGGGTGACATAGCCGCCGTGTTGTAAAGTGTTGGAGTCCCTGGGGGAGGATAGGCTACCATCTGAACAGGAAATGGGGACGATGGCGTCATCTGCCTCACCATACCTTGACCAGGAGTTGGGGGAGCAGGGATCCAAGCAGCGTAGGCTGCTTGTCCATTCATAGGCATTCGCCCAGGTACTGGGCTCGGAGGGTACATCCCGTGAGGCATCATAGGGTAGTTATATTGAGGCATGGCTTGCCAATTTGCATTTGAAGGGCTTGCAACAGGGTAACCATAAGACGAGGGTCGAGCGATGGGAGCAGAAGGGGTAGCAGGGGGTAGCGATGGCCGCTGGCTCGTGGATGAGGTCGAAGGCGGCACTTGTTGGAAACCACGCGTAACGTCGAATGAGGATATTCGTGAACTTGTGCTGGCTTGAGGCGGCGGCGTTTCTCCTCCCTCGGATTTGACGTCTTGCAATGTGAGTGGTAGAGCAGGCAAGTCGTCCTCAATCTTCTCCAGCGAGTTGATGGTAGGAAGACTTGGATTCGCCGAGATATTTGTCCAGAGCTCCTTGATATGTGGGTGGTCTACTCCTTCGCGTGCCGGACTCTCCTTCACAGGGAAGCTGCCCATGCCTGGGCTGGCCCATAGATTAGACGTATTACTTGACGGCGTCCTTGGTACATGATCAATCTATGCAACAAAACGTCAGTATATTCAAAGCTGACAATCATGGAGGACTACACACCGATGCCTTGCTGTCGTTGGTGTTGGTGCTGGACGCCAGGGACGAAGTCTCGGGGGCCCGAGTGATGTCACCATTTGTCTCTTTGTGAGATGCCTCGACTGGAGCGGTTTTTGGTTCCTCTGGACTAGTATTTGAAGGGCCGTCTAGTTCACTTCCAACAATGAAGTTCACCGCAGGCTTCGCCTCGATGTTAACGACGCGTGAATCACGATAGACTGCAACCGCGGCCCCGTTGGGCATTTTCCGTTGAACCTTCTGGCGAACGGGATGATCCGCTTGCTTTGAAAGATCGGCCTCAGGTTTGGAGGGAGCGGGATCAAGTGTGACGGCCGTGCTAGGCGGGGGAGATCGGCTAGTAGTCTCAAGTTCCTCCTTGATGGCGGGAGGTGGCGAAGATAAGAGAGTAACGGGTTTCCTCCAGGACGAGGAGGTATCTGCACTTGGAGGCTTACCAAAGGCGCCGACATTATTGTTGAGACCGCTGGGACCGTTGGGCCGGGATGCTGAGAGTCGTGGTACGTACACCCGATATCGGGGTTTCCCTTTGAAACCAGGGATCCAGAACAAGATATCGTTAAGAGAGAAATCACGGCGATTAGCTGCGTTGACGGGTGGGTCAATGGAGAGGGTTTCAACGGAACGATATGACGGGCCTCGGTGGAACTGGGATAGCTGTTGCTTGTGGACAGGCGGGCGCGCCACAGATACTTTGGGTAGTCGTACGTGGTACGTATTCCAGGCAGGTCGTGGGGACAGAGGTGGTTCGCAACGAGTGGAAAGCGACTCCGTATGAGCAGAGTCTTCGTGGTTGATCCGCAGAGCTGGAGGTACCCAACGATGACTCTTACCCACTGTTGGAGGGTGATCTTGATGACTGTGCCCATGTTGACCTTCTGTCATTACCTCTGAACGCGTATCCTTCTGCGACTCGTGCATACCATCAATGGCACCTTTTATCCTGGAGATAGCATCGTCGAGGGCTGACATTGTTGCCTCCTTGGGAAAGGTCTGCGAGCGTGGGGTACGCTGTTGCCCGTGGCCTGCAGTATGGGGGACTGTCACCACTTGACCGTGTCCATTGGGCCGAACTGGGCTTGAAGGTTCTTTGTCTGACATCCCAGACGATTCGAAAGTGGTATGCCTAGGGGAGGATAAACTATTCCGTGGTCCTGAATCGGTAGCAGCATTGTCGTCAGCATGGGCTTCTGGCTGATGCAAGCTGGGCTTTCGCTTCCAAGTATCAGATTGGGCGGCAGAGTTCGGTGAATCGGAATGGTCCTGGAAGAAGTCGATAGCTAAGGGCCTGTTAGGCTTGCTCCGCGTGGCCTCGACTTCCTTGGGTGCAGCTGACTCTTGAGAGTCGGAGACGCCGACAAATTTCCCAAGGTCTGAGAAATCAACAACTTCCAAATTCTCTTCTGCGTTTTGGGTGAAAGAAGAGTCTGCCTGTTCTTGAGCCGTCGGTCCGGAAAACAATGGGGCAGGAGGCATAGAAGTTGCAGCTGGCTCTTGGGCGGATACCGGATTGGCCTTGTTCCGCCATGAGTTAGCTTGGGCCGCTGGGGTTGTGGCTGAAGTAGGCGTTATAGGAGCATTAGAATTGCGCCTAGCAAACCCAGGTCGGGGCAAATCAGTGGGCGGACGTTGGATACCTCTGAGAGAAGGGGGTCGCTTCAATGGAGGCTTCGCAGCAGTAGGAGGGACAGAGCCTGGAGCATCTTGAATAGAAGATGCTGCCGATGGATCGACAGTCGCGATTGCTTCTTCAATGACAGAGATGACCTCTGATTCCTTCACAAGAGGCTTGGTCTCTTTCGCCGCTTGGGATGCCATCTCAGCAGCCTTCTGACGAGCACGTTCACGCTCCTTCTCCCTTTCGGCCTCTTCGGCTTGTCGCCTCTGTTTAGCCCGCTCAGCAGCATCGTGCATCAAATCCTTACGTAGACTGTCTATCTCTGGGGGTGCGAGGCTTGGTGGAAGGATTGCAGCGCCTGACGCAGATGCAGGAGATGCATGCGATAGGACCGGAGATTGTGCTGGTAATGATGGAGGACGTTTCGCCGACGTTGGGGGCTGAGGGTACCTATCTCGAGAAGGCAATCGCTGAATTGGTGCTTTAGGTGACGCTTGGGATAGATGAGGAGGTAGTTGTCGCCCTTCAGAATCTCTCGCGTGTAGAGGCACAGGAGGCGGGCCCATGTTCGAGAGGCGACGACCTCGTTCTGGCGGAGTGTCACGCTCCCTCATCTGAGAACCAGAGAAGCTGTCAGAAATCCGAGGGCTGCGTAATGGAGGGTGGCTAGATGACGTAGGATCCCTGATAGTACTATCCCTGCGAGCGAAATTGCGATTGCCAACAGCGGAATGATAGTCAGCACCTTGTTTCTGAAGTAGTTGCACGTTGCCCGAAGCATGAGGGGGAAGGTCCCGCCCTCGTCGAAAGTCTGAGGGTGAGGTAGAGTAGTCGGATCGCTTGCTGCTATGAGGCTGGTCATGTGTGGGCCGGAAGCCACTGTTGCCCGCTGAGTATGGCTCAAGCCTATTCGAACGTTCGTTGAAGAGGACCCGCGAGGACTCCGTTGGTGAATGGTGATGTTGAGACAAAATTGGGGAAGCCAGGGCCGAAGGCGGGGCGTGGTGAGTGGTGGATGGTAGCCCTCGACTGGAATTGCTGGGCGATGGTTTAGATCGTGGCCAACTACGGTCGAAGTCTTCGGCAAAACGCTCTTCCTTAGTAACAGGTACTTCGGCAGAGGGCTTGCGAGAGTGCCAGTTCCCACTTGATTCGCGAGACGCAGGGCGAGGAGGTGAACTTGCTGACGCAGAGGCTTCAATCTTGTATTGTCGACCATCGTTGAATTCGATGACACCGTCCAAGAAGTTGTCATCGTCTTCCTCCATCTTGAGGATGATATCAGTTCGACGATCCTTGCTTTCATAACAAAGAACACACCTCATCCCAGTGGTGGGCATTTGGGTCCAAGTGGACACCACGAAATGATTCAGCCTCTTCGTTGCGAACTGCTTTATTCGCCATGTTGACCTCTTCAGCGCCTTTAGACTCTGCTGCCTTCGACTTTTGTGTCAACGATGCGCCTACGGCGCTGGTGTCAGTATACGCCTATTTTCGTAGCCTGAGAGAGCACTACACACCTTGTGCAACTTCAGCAGCAGTAGGGAAATCGTTTTGTACAGTCTCATCTGACTTCGCAGAAGCTGCGGCGCCCTTCACGTTCCCCCACACGGGCTTAGGGCTACCTTTCGGTGTGACAGTAGAAATTTGCAGAAGTGCAGACCGCGGCTGCGGCTGTATAACCTTCCCAACATGAGGAAGTTGAGCTGCTGATGAAGACACAACGGCCGCTCCAGTGGATCCAACTATGGATGAACCTGGGGGAAGGGGGGAAGTTCCGTTGGGCGTTGAGCCCAGTATAGGACTGGCATTCGAAGCAACGGTCGGTGTAGCAGACGACGGCCGTGACCACCCCGGGCCTGGGCTTGAGGATTGTGGCGTAGCGGTGAGTTTCGTCGTTACTAACCGCGAATGTGAGGTGGCCAAAGCTGCAGTTGGTCGTGCTGTTGTATGAAAGACATGAGTTACATGCCAATACTGACTTTTCTCCATCCGTTGTACAACTGTAACAACGAATAAAGATGTGGGGGAAAGATATAAGGATACGCACAAGTGGGTCCGTTGACTTTGTGACCGGAAGCATTCGAAGTATTTGCTGCAGATCCTGACGCCGAGGTCTTCTCCAAGAATTTCTTGTTGATGTTACTGGCGCTGAATTTCTTGTGTTGTGCGGTGGGTGTCGTCGAACTGGAGTTTCCGAGTTGAACGAGGGTAGGCCGTGGATTGTTGGCTGCAACCGCCGGTGATGGCGCGGGGCTTTGCGCTTTCGGGTCCTGCAATCCTTCATTTACTGCAGCTGCGTCCTTGGTGCCTTCTGTAGGAGACGGAGTGCTACCCGAGCCCGCAGCCTGCCCCTCCTCCGCACCCTCCAACCCCCGCTTCTCTACCCTGTCCAATTCAGACTTCTCTTCAGATTGAAACAGTGATTGGTTCTCGTCGATATGAGCCATAGACGCGTCGCAAGACGCCTCTGACGCTATGTGTTGGGCCGTAGGTTATTTCTCTGGAAGGGCCAATGAAGAAGTTCGGAATGCACAATGAAAGCGTACAGCATTGTATTTCAGAGTTAAAATTGGGAGACCAGTCGATGTTATGGAAATCAGTAAGCTAGCAAGTTGCTCAGCTGCGAAGAAACGAACCTTGGTGATCACACCGGCCTCAGTTGGTGGTTGAGGGAAATTTGAAATACCAAACAGCAGGTGTTGGAAGCCAGTCGGCGGGTCCGAGAGACGGGCGCTAACAAGGCTACCACTTCGCAAATGCGACTGGACCCTCAGTTTGATTTTGGCAAAAAAAAGACATAAAAGAATACAAATTAGAGGGGCGTAATCTACATAGCAGCCAAGTCTGCCTCTTTTTTGTTGAGTCGGTCAATGTCTATATCTAACGCGACGTTTGCCATCTCGATTTGCAGGATATTGGAAATAAGTTCAGTCCACCGCGTTTCCAGCGCAGTGAGTTGTGCTCCCAAGCGTGTCTACGAAGAGTTGTTATTCTTGTGAATTCAAACTGAACATAAACGGGACCCTAACCTGCGAGTTTTTACGTTCACGATTCAAGTCAACAGTCAGCTGCTTGAGATCCTCGAGAGCCTTCTCAATCTGTTGAGAATTCGCTTCTAACAAATAGTTATGTATCCTCCAAGCATTTGAGCCGTAAGTCTGCAATAACGTCGCGTTCGATTGCCTACGAACAATAAGAACCACTTGTTCGTGATGAAGTAGAAGAACGTACCGTAAACGCTGATGTTCAAGTTGCGCTTGTGCATTCCTGACGGCTGCCTGCCACTCTTCGTCTGTACCTGGCACGGATGTGGGTCCTGGTAGCTGATACCGAATCTGATCAACTTGAGGGAATGGTTGGTGTGATTCAACGCGCTCCAGCTCAGCCTGTAGCAAGGGGTTCTTCTGTATATCATCGCTAGTTAATATTCATCAACTCATTGGCATAAAACTATGAGCCTGTGTACTTACAGCAAACAGTGTGATTGGAGGCGGCACGCGAGGATGTAATGTCGTCGGGGGTTTACCAGCTCGCGCCAACTCTTGCTCAACTTTCTGCCTCAGTTCTGGGTGCGTATCAAGATCATTATCATAGTACGGCAGTGAATCCAGGAGTTCAGTTTGTTGTGTGGAGGACATGGTTGGGTGGAACGAAGGGAGCGGAGTTTAAACAGACTCTTTCCGTACGACGATGTTGCACCGCGCCGTGGCTCGGGCTCTGGCTGGCTCCAAGTTGGCAAGCAGACAATATAGGTCAATACACTCCTCGACTTGTCGGAAAGGTATATAGTTCCTCCACTCTATATCCAAATCACATCTCAAGCACTTTGGCAGCCTCCACATCCCCCTTCACTGAGCCAACTTCACCCAACCCAGCGCTCACGAAGCATGCTGAGACCACCGAGTCGCTGCACACCTACGGCTCTTATCTCACTCAATGCTTACCGAAATTCATCCAGCAGTTCTCGGTACTCAAGGACGAGCTCACGCTCTACGTCGCACCGTCCGCTATCGTTCCGGTTCTCACCTTTCTCCGCGATCACTCTCAGTGCCAATTCAAGAGCGTTGTAGACATTAGTGGCGCAGATTATCCGGAGCGGGAGAAACGGTTCGAAGCCGTCTATCACTTGCTTAGTGTAAAGCACGCAGGAAGGATTAGAGTGAAGACCTATGCTGGGGAAGCGGACGGCATACCTAGCGCCGCCGACGTGTTCAATGGTGCAAACTGGTAAGGTGTTGTGTCCGACCAAAGCCTCCAACCGCTGACGAATGTGTGATATAAGGTATGAGCGAGAAGCATGGGACCTGTACGGCATTTTCTTCACCGGCCACCCCGACCTGTAAGTTCCACTAAAATTGACCTTAACATGGTATGCTTAATGCACTCCCTCTCAAGCCGCCGTATATTAACGGACTACGGTGAATATGCCATTTCTCTTCCTTGATCTAGTCTTAATGGTTTCTATAGGGTTTGAGGGTCACCCTCTTCGCAAGGATTTCCCTTTGACGGCAAGTATTAATGAAAGCCTGACGTCGCCCTACTTATTCTGAATACTTTCGCAGGGGTATACGGAAGTTCGATACGACGAGGAAAGCAAACGCGTAGTGTACGAGCCACTACAGTTAACTCAGGCATTCCGGTACAGTGATCTACCTTAGGCTAAAAATCTCCCTAACCGTATATTTGTAGCAATTTCGAGTCTTTGTCACCGTGGGAGCAGGTTGGCGACGGCGCAACACCTCCCCGTCCAGCTGAGCTCAAACACCTGCCTCCACCTCCGCCCGAAGAAGCGAAGAAACAGTAGATTAGATAGACCTTCCATTGCAACTAGGACGGCACCATGTCAGATTTATAGTGATACGTCGCAACACTTTCCAAAACCCTATCCGTGTTCCTAAGCTACCACGTAGACGTACATGTTAAAGAAAGTATAACTAGACCTCTGTTGGCTTGCTGCCAGCTTCACCGCCTTGAATCTCGTCGTTTGTCTGAGCTTTCTTGCCTTTAGCCCATCCCATCCGCTTAACAAGATATTCTTGACCAATGACTTCCAACCCTACTCGTAGTGATTCGGCTACGGAGTCTTCCACCCAATCGTACTGATCCCACAGCTCCAACCAATGACCTGGAACAGTTTGAGTGACCGTCGCGCAGACCAGTAAATGTTCGGGGTCCGATAGATGCAGTAGGTACTGAAGCTGGCTGTGAGTCTCCGGTTCTGATTGGGGAGATTCAGTCCCATCCTCAGCTGCCGGAAGCTTAGTAGATGGTATTGTGAGGGAGCTAAGGAAGGGCTGAATGCGCAAGTAAACGTGAGAATACGTCGTTGGCGTTTGGGTTGACGATGGGTCAGATTTGGCAGTTTTGGCTACATTGACCTTGATAATCTCGTCGATATTGGCCTACCAACGAGGATGAGTGCTTGAGATCAATGTTCGATGAGACACTCGAGCGATGCCCTACCTGAGCGAGCTTCGAGGCAGCTTCATAACCTTCAACAGCATTAAGTTCTCGACCCTCGTCACCAGTCGTCTTTGGTTTCGACTCATCGCCGCGATTCACAATGAGATCGCCGCCCTCAACTTGCTCCAGAACCTGTGCAGATTATGAAGTGGATAACCAGTATAAGGGGGGGACCACATACCCTACTCAGCGAACGGTATACCAAAGATTCAACGCCGTCGTAGCCACGCATGTCGTGGCTCAGCCAGATTTGTATGACTTCATGTTCTGATATGGGCGGAGCGACGACGTTCAATATGTCGGTGAGTGTAGACAACCCTAATTGCTTGAAGTCCTTGCCTGTGATATGCTCAATTGCATTCTGCGTTGAATACTGAGATACGCATACCGAGCTTGTCCAATTGCGCTGTCTTTGCATACTCCATGACGCCTTCACTCCATTTACGAGCTTGCTCGTTATTCGGTAGGTTCTTGACTTGCTCGTCTACAGCCGTTTTTGCTTGCTGGATAGCAGCAGACGCGGTGGTCCAAACACTACCCCATCCCCATCCTCCTTTGCTAGCAGTTGATGCAGAAGGCTCAGGAGATTTGCCCTTCTCAGCGGCCCCAGTCCCGCCGGCCGTAGTAGATGGCGTGGCTGGGCCACTTGAGGCGGGTAGCAACGGGGATGATGAACCAACGCGAACCCGTTCAGTCGGCTTCCTCAACGACGGCGTGCCAGCGCGCGAACTAGGTCGTTCCGTAAGACTTATGCCAGGTGTACGGTGGGTAGGCTCGGCGGACTTCTGAGTGATTTCGTCAAGAAAAGCTAAGACTTCAGCCTCGCCACCAGGTTTACCCTGAGCGTTGGGGTTTGGAACAGTAGGGGATGGATTTCCGAAGCCTTGGGCGGACAAGCTAGAAGGACTACCCTCTGACCCAGTCGGTTTCTCTACCGGTGTGAAGGAGTCAAGATCGTCAAGGAATTGGAGGACTTCCTCTTGATGCTTTGATTTCGACATAGTGAACGTATTGAAAGTGCTACTCGCTCACGTGAGTATTCGTCTAGCTTTAGCCGCACCGCAACATTCTGAGCCCTGAGGAATTCGAGTGCTAACTTCAAGCTTCAGCTCGGCCCACCCGAGGTCTAACGCCAGAGGCAAGTCTTGTGGCGATGGGTAAGAAGAAGAGTAAGCAACCTCAACCCGAAGAATATCACGTCGGTGAGCAAATCATGCTAAGTCTGACCGCGACACTCACTGACGGAGTTGACATCGCGGATTGCAGAAGTGATAACTGCAGCCAGAGTGCTAGACACACTCGAATGGGTACGCTCGTTTCCAGTGCTGTTGAGACATGGTACTGATTTGTTCTCTCTAGGAATACCATGTGAAGGTACTGCAACGAGTCCTCCTAGCACTTGACTAGCCTGACCTCAACGAACTTCTTTCATTTTAGTGGGCCGGCTACGACTCGGAATCAGACAGGTACGTACGCTACCTCGCTGGGGTACTGGTGTCTAATCCTATATAAATATTAGCTGGGAACCACAAGCAAACGTCGAAAGTTGCACCGAACTCCTGAAACGCTTCTGGAAACATATAGGGCTTGATGATGAAGATTATCCAGCCGGACATGTGTGCGAAGCTAAGCCATCCTGGATTAGTATGCATCCCATTCACCACCGCCTGTTATACCCTCTGAGCCCCATTTCGGCAGGGAAGGAGAAGAAAATGTTTGCGAATAATTTCCCCGAAGTACTCCAGAATCAGAAGCAGCGAGCAAAGGCAGAGAAGGCAGCACAGGTCAGGGTCACTGTATGTTTGAATCTGTATTCTCGACATTATGCATAAGTTTATCTACTTGCTTCAAGGCTGTAGGAGAAGCGTCCCCCGCGGCTTCGTCGTCGTCGAAGACCAAAGGAAAGCGAAAACGTTCGAAGGTAAGAGCTATTATGATTCGATAATGTCGGCCAACCTTCACACTCTCGTTCTGGCAGGGAGTCTCGAGTGTTATAGACGACGAGGTAAGCTGTTGCACATACGAACAATTGTACCGAACTACAAAAACTGCATAAGAGTTCAGATGGCGAGCCCCTTGCGAAGAAAGCGAAATCTACCATCGATCAGACAATGCCCATTACTCGCGATAAGGTATGACCCATTGGCTTATACTATTTCCATAATATTAATTCAACGAACAGGGCAAACAAAAGGCGACAGATTCCCCTTCATCGCCAGTATATTTTGGAGGCGACGTGGCGGATCTCTTCACGCCTCCCGATTCTCCATCAAAGGAGAGTCCTACTCGTCCAGCTGAACCGTCGTCTCCCGAAATTCCAACGGCCTCTTCTTCGAGTTTCCCTATTCCATCTGAACAAAATTGGCGACGAAAGCTTCAAACTCAAGCTACGGCTCCTCAGACAACGATCGTTGGTAGTTCTCTATCCACTAAACAGCGTCTCTCTCAAAATGCGTTGTCTGTCACTGTACCTAACACGAAAATAGCCAAGAAAACCTCCTTGGCTGGGCTCAGTTTCAAGAAAAGGCCTGACCCTGGTATTGCTCCACTAGGTGTCGCAACAAGCTCTACTCCGGGTAGCATGCCATTGCCCCGTCGGAAAACTACTGGGGCGGAACCTACCATCACCGTGCCCGACAGTCCAGTCGCACCTCGGGAAGCTTCATATTCAATGTTTCTCCCCGGGGTCACGCAACCTTCGCCCCCGGTGCAATCGCCTGTTGACTTCTTCCAAACCACATTGCCTGCTGAAGAGACGCCTCACTATGAAGACTATAATCCCCATATAGAAGACTTGTAAGTGGATTCTTTCCCTAAATTATACAAACAAGCTTAGACACGCTCAGCATATCGGAATTGCACTTTCCAAGCCCAAAGAACCAGTTACTAGATCAAGCTGAACAATTCTTGCAAGCTGCCATGCCGTTAGAGTAAGTGATTGAACAGCACTCGCCAGCTCACGATACGTTTTCACATATATGCCTACCGTTTAGACTTGCTGCTCCACTCCCGCCTGAACCATTGGCCAAGTAAACTGATTTCTCGTCCTCTCCACTTTTACACGTATCTGAGCGCTGTTTTACCGCATTACAGGCAACAGACGCAAACCAAAGACATCGTGCAGGAACCCGAGATTCCAGCACCCGTAGCAACGATACTTCGTCCGAAATTACCGCCAAAGTAAGTCATTATGCATCCGACCGTGGCAGCCATCAGAACATCCCCTTTCAGAGCGCAAACCAAATACAGTTGGAAGGGACCTCTTTGGTCTGAGGATGGGGACAAGTCTGAGCACTTATGTGACATTTGTCTCACCGATGTGTCAGATCCTCTTCCTGATGGTCTGCGCTTGAACATTTTGCTCCAAACGGTTGACTCCTTCCGCTGCAAAGGACTGTATGACCAAATGGACGTTGTACAAATACTCCTTGCCTGCAAAAAGACCCCTCAGCAATTCGCGCGCGTAACCCCCAAGGAGCCCAAAGACACAGAGGCTTTGACAGCGCTCACACGCAGCATTAATCGTCTCCGCCAGGTAAGTGTGTTTCCAGGAACACTCTAGATCTATGGACTCAGTTACCGTTGAGGCCATCGTACTCCCCTTATGTCTAGACAACAAGATTGTCTCTTTGCTACTTGTCTTCTCTGCGATCGGGTCAAAGCCACTCGCTCGAAAACTGAGCCTTCCATCCAATTACCAACAATCCAAGACGCCTGTCGCAGTCCTGCTTGCATGGTCGCTACCCAGCTACGAGCGACAGGAATGGCGCCACCTCGTGAATAAAGCAATATACCATAGTCTCCCCTACGAGCCACCTTCGATATCGAGAGCCCAATACCGAAAAATACGTCATCTATGCACGATGATGAGGGTGCTCCGCTTTCCCCAGGATCTTTACGAATTCTTGAACAGGGCGACTAGATCTTATTGTGTATGGTGGGAAGGTGGCGACGGCGCATCCAAGCAACAGGGATGGGAGACAGACACATTGCAGACAGTGCTGGAGGCTTGCGGTGCTGAGGATGGCGGCTACAGAAAAAGCGTCCGTGTAGTCTTCGTTCATGTGGCGTCCATCCTTACGTTGCATCGCTTGCCCGATTTCTTGGAACGAAGGTCAAAACGTCTGGATGTGTGTTTCTATACGTACGGTACCCATCACAGGGTCCCTCCCTCCCTTTGGGGCATTCGCCCCATATACCCAGCCGGTAGGCCTTAATCATTGCATCCTTCGTTGGTCATTACCTCGGCGACTTACCTGAGTGCATTAGGTGGCATTGTCACATTCACTCCTCAAGCTCTTCTAGGCAACCCAGACGTATTGCGCATGAGAATCAAACAAATTGTTGCCCATACCTTCTGGGACTGTTATGTACTCCCGACAACGGTCGCGATAGCATCCTTGTTATCTGCTGGAAAGAATGATCCTTTAGACCTATTCGATCGGTAGGTGGCCGCGTTGGTTGTTCATCAGGGCAGATGGCTTACCGGTCTACAGGGGTAAACTGTTCACCGAATATTATCTCCAGATGATCGAAGAAGGAGATATAGCCATGATGGAAGCTCCTCCATTAGAACCATATTTCACAAACCCTAGGGCTCTCGAATGGCGGGCCGCGACTGAAGCTCAACGTGATTTTACTCGACGCGATTATCTTGAATATGCATTGAAGGAGTTCAATGCGTCTTACTCTAATGTACCAGAGTCAGATTGGCTCACAACGGCTGAGGGTGCTATAACCAAGGATCTACATATGATGCAAACTCAACCATGCTTCATGTCTGAATATCGACGGTTCGTTGTCATCCGCGGCTCTCAAGAATCCTATGAACCGGATGTGCTCAAAGATAGCGTAAGTCACCGCTTATTTTTCAACTGCCGAGTTCTGAATGTTAAAGGTCTTGCAGTTTGAATGGGTGTCCGCCGAACGCTTTGATTTCAACGACCAACTTTTTGATAAGTGGAGCCGTAGCCAACTCGAGAAATTTGACGAGTGGGACTTTCCTATCTTCTAATTTTCTGATACATACACCACTTGCTGTACTACTAGTATATATCTACTTGATCTTAGCCCCAAGGTTACGTCTTGAGTGGTTTGAACGGATTGCCGGCATCCGAACCGGGACCACCGGCACTTCACTCCTGACATGTGGCATGTGATTTCAAATATCTTGTGCCATACATAACTCTGCCTTCCGCCTCTGCTCTCGAGCTACTAGACGAGCAATGTCGAGCCTCCTCCACGATATCATCACTAACCCGGAGTACCATGACTACCTTGCTATTCTCAAGGGCGCACGCAACGGGTTCGTGTACGGTGTCAAAGTGCGGTTTCCTCATGCCTTGATCATGGCTATACTATTTGGGCGGGGCAGGTGAGCGTCTTCGACCGCACTCGCCCCTTCATGGTGGGCCAATTATTGATGTTAAAACGCAGCTGGGAAGCCCGCATGCGTGTCATATATCGCGCGACCAAGCAACATGCGTTCAATTTAGCGAAATTTGTAACCTTGTACAAGTCGTTCCTTCTCGTGCAGAAGAAGGTCAATGGGGGCAAGGCGAGGAGTGCGGATACATTCATTGCAGGTCTGCTGGGCGGATACCTGGTGTTTGGTGAACGGACAGCCATCAATGAGCAGGTATGTGGTCTCCATGATGTCCTCCATGCTACCGGCTCATTGGGGCCTTGTCCAGATCGTGTTGTACGTCGTATCGAGGGTCGTCGCTTCGTTTATCCCAAGAGCTGGCGCGCCGTACTCTAAATCAACTTCCCCCTCCGACGTGGTCAAGCCACTACCGCCTGATTCACGCTATTTCACTGTGTTCGCCGCTCTGTCCTGGGGCGCCGTCATGTGGCTGTTCACCAATCGGGGAGAGTCAATTCAACCGGGCATGTTCAACTCCATGCAATATATGTACAGAGATTCGGAGATCTGGAAAGACTTGAGGACACTCCTCTGGCACAATACATGAACATCACCATACCCCACAATGCATATTCCCCGCATCACAACATTTATGACGAGTAGACGTGTTATTATACTTATGTTATAGAACGTAACATTGTTAATGGCGATCTATCACTTGGGACTACATCAGACCGGGGGCGCTTTCAGTTTGATACCCTTGGTTACCCTGCTGCATTTATACTTTATTGACGCATCAGTTATAGTAGAGGCCAAGAAAAAACCGGTACGGCTCACGCACAGAGAGCATTTCTACAGCGGCGGTGCAGGCTTTACTACAAGCATCACATGAATCAAACGATTCTGATACATATGCCATCTCACCTCCGACGTCCGTGTCTTGGATCTATCAGCTTCGGATCCTTGGGCTGGCGATATAGCAGCAACATGCTTACCGGTCTCAATACGCCCAATGAGTCTCCTTCGAGCCTTGTCCCAAAGTGCCCTCGCCTCCTCGTGGTGAGGTAGACATATCCCATAGTTAAATGGGAACATGTCTTCCTCAAGCAAGATCTTGCGCATTGCCTTGACACGGTTGTCTTGCAATTGCACAAGCCTATGATAAGCTTCCACCGTTGGTATGACCTTGATTTCTTGGATGCTAAATCCAGCAACTGGTCGTATATATTTGCTTGCTTTGGTGGCTATCCGATCTAGACCATGTTGACAAGCAAAACCGTAGACCTCCAGGGGGTAGACGGGGGCATGAGCCAGGAGATGTTCATGAAGGGAATCTACCAAGTGCTGCGAGAGCATATATTTATCGGCCAGATGTAGCAGCGCTGGTAGCAACGGCCAAGGTATCATAGAATCTGATTCATGCGTCCTCGTACGGATTTGGGAAATCTCTGATTCGTTCTTGATGTGGATTTGAATGGGCGCCGGGGGTGGTGAATGCAGCAACTGGAGCAGGAGATGGAGTGTCTCAGCCTTCTCGTCAATTTTCAGTTGATCCAGAGGGGTATCAGTTGACCCCCCGGACGAGCAACATGCGAACATATCATCTAGAAGGAAAATTCGTCAGCGCGTGCTTGGTGTGCACATGGAGCAACGTACTGAAGACCTGGCTCCCGTTTAAAATGTCGCGACGGACAAGGAACTGTTCGTTGTCAGGTATAGAATAAATGGCGAAATCTGGGCTGTCGCATTCAAATGTTTTGCTTGAGAATAGCATGGCGCTTAGAAGGAACTTGATGTCGATGAGATAAATTGGTTCCACGAGCATCGTCCTGATATGATTGTCAGCGCAGCAACCACACGTTGGCAGGCGTGTTGCTGATGTGGATGTTAGAGGAAATCTCAATGAAGTTTAAACTGATGGTGCTGCTCATCAAGGGGCAAAGATGCACAGCAAGGACCGACTGCCCACGACATACATGTGTACATTATATGTGGTGAATGGGGAAACATGGGTTCCATGGAAGTAATACAATTGGAGGCGCCAGCCAGATAATCCCAGCTGGAGAGCATAGGTCAACAGCGATAACGGTCCTCCATAAAAGAATGAGGTACGGGAAAACGGAAGAGCAGACGACGTGGTAAATGAACCGGAGAAATGAAAATGGTCGCAATGGTATCATCAAATGAGGTAAAAGCGAGGCGATCTAAACAGCCCAAAGCCCGTAGAAAAACCCTCTCCTACATGATTACACACTTGATCCGCCTGCCACCGGGCTTGTCGTCTTTCACTGGTTTCGTCGGACCTGGGCCGGGTTCTATGTTTCGTGTCTTTCGTAGTGCACGGACGAGGTTCATGAATAGATGTTGGACATTCTCGGCTGTTTTTGCGGATGTCTCGATGAACTCGCACCCAAACTGCCGTGCGAGGGCAGCGCCCTCCTCTTTTGATACTTCGCGCTCGTAGCCCTTGTCGCATTTGTTGCCGACCAACATGAATATTGGATCGCCACGTTTCACACGCCGCATTGACTGGCGGAAGATCTCGAGTCGTTCAAAGGTCTGCCGCGATGCAATCGAGTAGACAAGAATGAAGCCCTGCCCTTCTCTGGAAGATCGGATGAAGGGAATGAGCGGATATCAGTGGATCAACGTCTGGTACTTACCGCACCCATTGGTCACGGAGTGTGGCATATTCCTCTTTTCCTTCCATCAGTGGGAATGAACTGGATCTTGAGTAGATAGCGCACCTTGGCCAGCAGTATCGATGACTTCCACAAAACACATCCGGTTGTCCACCACAAGCTGCTTGCGGTAGGCATCTTCTATCGTCGGGTCGTATGTCTAATCCAGGTTAATTAGCCTCATGAAGGGCGTAGATAACATGTCTGCACACCTCTATTCGAATGGAAAGTAAGCATTAGTCACAGAGGACATCAGGAAGGTAAGCTTGCTTACCGACAAAGCAGTTCAAGGTAAACTTCACGAACGGTCATTCTCCCGGGCCTAGTGAAATGCTACAGAGGGTGCGTACCTGCACTGCTAGAGCCGTTTTGCCCACACCACCATCGCCGAGAACTGCTACTCTCCAGTTGTCCATTGCTACTTGGAATCAGCACAGTGGAATTACACGGGCGTCAGCAGAGAGAGCGCAGCTGTTGTGCTTCGAGAATGTCGAGTAAGTCGTAAAGGAACGTCCTTGGGGAGGATAGTCGGTTCCGTATGAGGCTTGAAGTGAATGTCAGAGCAGTCGAGCGTCGTCGAGATAGGAGAATGGAAATGAGTCGAGAAAATTTGAGTGGAAAGGGATGAAGAAAGTGAAAAGAAAAGGTAGGACTTGGTCGTGCGATTCGTGGAGAGGTCGTAAACGAGAAGGCTTTGGGAGAGCCTTGGAGATCTTGAGAGTCGAGAGGAGACGTATGGGCCAACAACACTTTGGTTTCCGGCTCAAAGGTCCTATTGCTACCAAAACACTGCCATACAATATCTTAAAAAGCACTCTTTTCACACGATTTAATTATTCCTCCGTCTTGCACACCCGAGTTTCCCAGATTCTTGTAGAAACGTTTCGACGAAACCAGGCGTACAGCTTTCCGAACATGCGGTACAACGAGGCAGAATTCAAACAGCACCGAAATCGACCGAAGTCACACGCATCCCGTTCAGGAGCTTGCACAGGGGACAGGGGATCGCCTCGTTGCTAGCCCGCGCCCTCCTTTTGTAGACATCTCACCAAGAGCTGTAGCTCAATAATCGATGTCGCCGCATCTCAATCGCCGGCGTTCTCATGCATCCATGCTAGTCCTCAAAGTCTTTCCCACATACGCTTGGCAGAGATAAGTGCTTAGCCGCATACCGGCAGGCAAGATACTTCCAACATCAACTCTTGCTAGAATAGGCGAAATTAGGTGACGTTCTTCCGGGCACGAAAGTCACTCAAGTTTCCAGAAATCACGATTTGCGTGTTAAGCATTCCACCATACACCCCCGATAATCTATGAAAGATAAAAAGAGTAGGAGCAGGTAAAGAACTAAAGGATGGAGCAGGGACACGCTGCGTACGCGGGCATTAACGTGTATGGAACTAACAGGCAAGAACGGCGCCGGGTGGCGTAGCGTACAAGTAGGAAAAGGAACAACAAACGTCTGTACAGTGATACATGTGGAACAGCCCAGAACTCTCTTTGACTTCGTCTCGATTCGGCGCGGGGAAAAGGTGCGGGGAAGGGGGTGGGGGTGGGTGCAGACAGATGACTTCTATAGTACTCGGTGTACGGAGAAAGGAGAAGACTGAAAGGTATCGGGGGATGAAAGGGGAATGGCAAAGGAAGTGTAGAGAGTAAAACAAACACCCCGGGCTCGGTGACAAGACGTGAGCGCGTGTGTATGGATACGACGCCAGATGCGGTAGTCTTTCGGATTTTGAGAAGCTCGAAATGCCTGATTGTGCGCTCTCCGCCGTGTTGGACCCATTTCGCCCACACCCACACAATACACCGCAGTTCCATGCACGGCCACTAATTCCCAGCCGAGCGCGGGGAGGGTTGCCTTAGTCCTGCCTGCTGAACTCTGCCTGCGTGAGGTCAAGGACAAAGGTGCCTATTTGGTTTTTCGGCGGCTCTATCAGCTTGACGGCTTTCTTTGCGCCTGGTGCTGCTGGCTTCCCTGGTTGTTGAATTGAGTTCGAAATGGAGGGGAATGGTCGGAGGGCGCGTGATGACGGGAATGAAGTGTTCCGTCGCGGTATGACACGCTGGGTGGCGGCGGTACGTGACGACGAGGAGTCTGCGAGAGGCGAGGACACGAGAGGTCGCGACATTGTGAGGGTGGCTAGCGGAGAAGACAAAGTCAGTCCAAGCGGTCGGCTCCGGAAGCGAGAAACTGACCCATTGTACCAGCAGCAGAGAGGAGGATTGCGGGGAGAGGGCGGGGAGGAGAACAGGTAAAGAACGTGTTGGGGTAGGGAGCGTTGAAAGGAATTATATAGATTTTGTCGTTGGGGCTAAGGGAATAGTTGGGGATTCGGCATTGGCTGACAAACGTCCAAAAAGGGAAATCAATGATGGCATTGCCATTTTCTCACTGCGCCTTGTTGGTTTTACTCGCCTTAACGGAGCGGAGACACTCTGACCGCAGAAGTCTGATATACAGAGTACAGAAATACTTCTCCGAGTGACCACATGCTATTCTCAGTCTGACCCACCGCCTTCACCACCGAGTCCGTTTTTTCTACAAATAACAAAATGCCGAGCACGGGCGCCCGCGACATCTATCTGGAGAGTTCCCGCCATATCTTCCCTGAATTGATTAGACGCCCGCCTCGGCCCGAGCAGTTAACGTGGCACCCCAGTGAAGCTATCTAAAGCCTATGTCCTCACTAAACCGTCATGGCAAAGTGAGCTTGGGTGTACAAGTACCACTCGTAGCATGACACGATGCATTGACAGGTACTCGATGTCCCCCCAAATCAAATATCAGTGGCTCACCTGCCGCTGACATGTGTCGTACGGCCTGATCGTAATTACGGACATGATGATGAGATGCTCGGATTCCGCTTCGTCCAATTAATATAAATGTTTCTCATCTTCATTCACGGTAATTATATAGTTAGGTTTACATTCGGCGCGTATGTGTACAATTGGGTTTCGAGGAGAGGGGAATAGGGGGTGGATGCCGGATGATATGAGTACACAACGGTAAGAAGAGTACGCAAACAAAAGGCACCAATCTACAGGCTGCAGGAGGTAGAGTGGGAAGGCGTACTGGAGGAAGGGGTGTGGGGGGATTGGGGTGAGAGACACGTTGACTTCTATACGTCGGATCGGGGAAGGATGGCCAAGAGCCAGGCGATTTCCTTGTGTTGGCGTCATCCGTCTTGAGTCTCTCTTCTAATGTACAAGGGCCGCAGGGGCACAATACATTGACCTGCAAGAAATGCGGCGATGATGGTTTAGATCATGCCGGGACCAATTGGGTGTAAACGGCTCGGACGGATGCCAGCCGAATATGGATGAATTGGTGGATAGGAGGGCGACTCGGGCGCTCGGCGCTTGTAGCCGACTACTGGACGTCGACGAGGAGATTGCGCTCGAGGATGTACTTGCCCTCTTTGTACTTCTGGCTGGTTTCGTAGGCTCGGTCCTATCACTATGTCAGCACTCCCGTTGATGAAGGGTAAATGTGATTTCACAGCGTACATATTTCCATCCTAATGTGGTACCGCATTTGACGCAGTAGATGTCGCGGACGGTGTGATTGCCCGTTGTCATGGGCCGGTCGCAGGGCTCGCCCTCATCGACATTAACACTGGGCATGTCAGCAAGGGGCCGGAACTAGGAGATGGTACGCTACTTACACACCGTCGAATAGGTAAGCTCTGCCGTGCTGGCCATTGAATGCCTGTCGGGCATCATTAGCATGTTGCTTCATAAATGATGATGACTTGGCATACTCTTGAGATCATAGAGTGGATGGTCGCGAGATGGGTCTTGCATGTCGAGCAGCCGTAGATGCGCTCGCCGGTGAGGTAACGACGGTAGGACATGCCCATCTTGAAAGGTGAAGGTATTTAGAGAGAGGGGCACTGGGGAGGACGATGGAGGCAGTGGGGGGGAAGCAGGCTAGATGACGCTGAAAGACAGATGTCTTTATATATCGCCAAGGTCGTGTGAAGGGGTAGTCAGATAACAATATTCAGCTCGGAGTCCGTGAAGGGAGGACGGCATTCCTATTGCAGTGATCACTGTCACGCTTGCCCCTAACCCTAGCACCCGGCGACTCAGTTGACCTGCTACAACCCCTAAAGCAAGGCCCTCTCGTGTTCTGCTGCACCCTCATTTACGTTCAAAAGCCTTTCAAGTGAGCAGGCTCAGAAACAGGCACGCTGCTCAGGCATTGATTAGAATGATAATATTTCTGCCAAGCCCAACCCGGTGTCATTCCTGGCTTCGAGGAATCGCGAAGAAGCGAGCGTTCTCGTCGCCTATCACCTCAGAGCTTCACACACCACCGCTGCGAGCATCTGCCGACAGAGCGCAAATCCTCCCTTTCCTGCGATCTATGTCCGCCATCCCAGCGACCCGCCAACAGGCGACCGCCAATTTAGGATGACGGCGGTCCTCCATATTCCTGCCTTACCGCATTAGTACACCGATGGCTAGCCTTTTGATTATAAAAGACGTTATCGGAGACAACTGGGTGACATGTCGGGTGTATGTCTGGCGTTATCATGGAAATCTTTATCTGCCTCCCATGGTGCACGAAGGACTTCTATTATTCGATTATCCGTCACAACCAATCCACCTCCGACGCGAAAGGGTGATGTGACTGGGCATCTATAGGATCTGTGGTTCAGTCTGGTGCACGCATGCGCGTGATAGCTGCTTCCACTGGAACGGGGCGGAGTCTGTGTCCAGTCCCCAGGTACGGACCGTACTGCAAGCTCAGCGTACACACCGACCTTCCTGCACAAGTAGGCTAGATTAATCGATAACTCGATAGCCTGACCTAATGACCACCCTCAAGACCTTATTCGTGTACGGAACTCGTCCAGACTATTTTACGTTCATGGTAAGCAACATCCCTTGGAGTGTGCGTGTGTGCACCCATGCTTGTGGGATTCCCTCGGATTGTCAAGTGCGTTCGCATCCGCGGGTGTTGGTGAATTCACATAATATAGGATGTAGTTATGTTCACCACAGCCGGAGAGTTGGTGTGCACGAGGCGTTGCTATTCTTGACTCTATGTTGGATGTAAATGATGCTTTGAATAGCCCTGTGACTTCATCATGAAAATTTAGCAATAAATGGACGGGGACGTGGCTTTGGCACTTCATCCTAGATAATGGCACCGAGAGAGATCAAGTTAAATAGTTGCCCGAAGGACAAGTAGACCCATTGTCGACCCCTCAGACCCCTCGCGGGAAAGTGGGATAATGGGTGTGGGAAGTGCGATACCGTGTTCAGTGATGATCTTGTCTTCGAATTATCCTCTGGCGACGGCCTGGCTGCGTTGGACCCTTCGCTGCTCGCAGTCGACCCGCTTCATCTCCTTCTCCACGTAGCCGACATACAAAGCTGCGTCTGCAGCAGCCTTCATGGCTCCATCCCACCCTCGATCCTCGACATCCTCGAACAAGCGTCCTGCCCCAGAACCACTTGAGCGCCCTGCGAAGCACCGACGCACGACGCGCCGTCCGGGCATGGAGCAGCGCACCCAGAACGCGAGCAAAACTCTGTCCCAGCGCTGGATATCATACACAATCGACGGGTTCAGGCTGCTGCTCGAGACGGTCTCACACTTCTTGCCAGGTGCGTTTGTGCCTACGGGGTGAAGTATAATTATAGCAGCAAGGACGAGGCTCTTACCTTTCGTTCTAGGCGATCAGCAGAACGACCTTGCCCGCCCGCAGGAATCACCACAGCCATCGCCTTTGTCCTCACCTCCACCACCCGTACTAGCGAAACCTCTACCTCCCCCTTCTTCCGCCCGTGTTTCTAACGACGTTCCACTAACACCACGCACATACTTGAACAAATTGAAGCAGAAAAATGCTGAATTTGCCCTGTGTACCTCGCGCGACCCGCGTTCAATACCCCTTCCGCCATCCCCTCCACCACCAATCGAGCGCCAAAGTAAACGAAAGTCATACATGAACGACACGCCGGAGACGGGTAACTCGCGAACCCAGCGACCAAATGGACATGTCAATATGGTTGCAAGTAGCTCGAAGATGCCCTTGGTCAATGGGTTTAGTAGACCAACAGCAACGTCATCCAATTCATCAGGCTCGAAGCGCCTACGCAAGTCCCAGGATTCGTCGCCCTCCCTTGAAATTATCGACTCTTCAATGCCGCCCCCACCTGTCCCTCAGAGGGATCAAACAAGCGGTTCTTTCGAATTTACTTTCCGTGATCACGCATCAACACAACCTATACCCGTACGACGATACCAGACGCGGGAACACATATTCGCGAAAAGAGTAAGATATCATCCCCCCCCCCGAGTTTTGCTATTGAAATTAATCATATCTGCTTCAGCATAAGCAACGGGTGCAAGAAGAGAGGATAGCAGATCGGATAGAGATGGAAAAAGAGTTATACAGTTACGAGCGTCGGAACGGTGCGTCGCGTGTATTCTCTATTCATTCACTATGCTCAGTTCATCTCATTTCAGGGTACCAATCAAGTCTGTCAGACTTCAAGGGCCTGCTTAGCTATCGCGCTGCGTTGGAGAAAGTACAGTTCCGGGAGGCCTTGTCTCGTATGTCAATCCTGTTTGTGAGGCGTTTCTCCATTCGTTAAACATCTTCATAGCTTCCGCCTCCCTTACCGATCTGAGAGAGTTAGCCCCATCCTCAAATCGAAATCGACGGTATTCGTTTGCGGATGTGAGATGAAAAGTCATCTTCTCGCTTTGGCTGCTACTAAATACTTCTAGGCCGACGGAATCTTCCTCCAACGAGCCCTCGACAAGGCGCGTGCAACGTTCAATAGTCCCAAACCGCCGAAGCCATTCATCCCAACATGGGAGCAAATGCAACTTCGCAATAAAACGCGGGATCAAGAGATCGAGGACCGTCTCCGCCCCAAACGAGCACCCTTACCGACGCAGTTACCACCGGCGGACGATGCTAAGGTTACGGGGATCCTGCAGAAGCGTGGTGCTTTGTTCAAGTTCGCTAGGGAACAGGTGACTAGCGAGGATATTGCGCGTTTGCGGCCGTGTCAGTGGCTGAACGACGAGATCATCAACTTCTATGGGTCTATGATCCTTGCACGCTCGGAGTCATCGAAGGAGAACCCCGGGGGGAAGGCGTCGAAGCCGTTGAAAGTGCATTATTTCAGTACGTTCTTTTGGCCGAAGGTGTTGGATGGGTACGATAAGTCGAGGTTGGCAAAGTGGACCAAGAAGGTGTGTGTGTCGGTTTTAAGACGTGGTTTGATATTGAAGAATGTGGTGTAGTTCGACATCTTCGAAAAGGACGTCGTTCTTCTGGCGGTCAATCATGGGAACACGCATTGGACGTCGGCAGCAATCAACTTCCGTCAAAAACGGATTGAAGCCTACGATAGCATGAATGGTGATCAGTCCTACGTGCTGAAGGTATGCCACTTTTATATGAGAATCGTTGTTTCCATGTGTTCACTGGACTTCTCGTTTTCTCAAGCACCTCCGGGCGTATGTGGACGCTGAACACCGCAATAAAAAGAAAAAGCCGTTTGACTTTACTGGATGGGAAGATTATTCACCTAAGGTTCGCCTTATTGCGTCTTACTGGGCCGCAGCATCTCTATCTCACACATCCTTTGTCCCCGTTCCGCAGGATATCCCACAGCAAGAAAATGCCTACGATTGCGGGGTTTTTACCTGTACAATTTTGGAATACCTGTCAAGAGGTGAGGAAGTGTTCAACTTCACGCAGAAGCACATGCCGTATATCCGAAGGAAGATGATTCTGGAGATTGCGACGAGTCAGCTGCGCGAGCCCTCGTAGCATCCGCATTCCAGGCAGCGTAACACCATATCATACGCCTCCATATATTATTTTTATGTTTGCTCGCTATAATATTCGCTTTGATTTATGCGTTCGTTCATGGTTGTAACATAGACGCTTTTGATGTCGAGTTAAATGTGTATTTTCGCGTCCGAGATGGTTCTGAAGTGGTCCGCGGCGAGGAAAGAGAGATTGAGGAGGAGCAAGTGAAGAGGCATGGATTATCGTCGAAACCACCATACAACAATGAAGAACCAAAACACGAGAATTAGGAAGACAATGTACCAGAGCCACCGACAGCCTTGTCGTTCGGCCATATTGTTCATTCGTCGGAAAGTACCAGATAGTATACCAGATGTTTCCGCGAATGCATCGTTCTACATCAGCAGTAGATGGTCTGAGCCTCATAGGGTCCTCTTGGGAGTGTTGTTGTGCTCACCATTTGACTTAGTTGGACAGCAGATTCTCGTACCTCGTTGCCAATACCAATGGTTAGCTGGGAAGTTGAGACGTGTTCATTCATTGACAGTTGCTCAGAGTATGACAAACTCACTCACATCCTTGAGTAGCTTGACTTTTGAGTTGAGGCCTTCCAGGGCTTCGTCGTTCTGACCTTCAAGGTCATCGGCATAGCGTTGGCCATTGTGTAGTGGTAATTCGCGGTATGGTGACGAGCGGCCTGACGGGGGAGGTGTTACACCCAGCAATGAGGAGCGGTCGCGTAGAGACGCCTGGGACCTCACACTATCTACATAGTCAGCTAAATTCTCGTCGCAGATATAAACCAGCCTCACCGTTGGGCCATTAGTTGAAGTAAGTAGTAGAAGGAGGACCGATCACCGAGCGTGGCGTGTCACCGACACAGTTGTTTGGTTCCGAGGGGATGGCCAAATAAGCCGACCCTCAATCCGGGGTGATATTGTTCAATTGGCGTTGGCCACCCCTTCAACTCGAACCACCACCGCCTCCTCGTTCTCCGTCGCCACCGGCGCGCGCGCAATCCGCTAGGGATATTGACGCGTGAAGGACACGAAAATGAGCGAGATTTACACCAATCTTCAAGTCTCCCCGCGGAAGAAGCGTTGTCTACCGGGGTCGGACGATGAGAGTGTACTCACCCCCAAGAAACTTCGGAGAGCGTGCGTAACAGATAAAAGCAATGTAGAAATATGTCTGACATGTTAAACGCGTAGCCCCCCAACACCACCTCCAACTGTCACCCGGAAGACAGTATCTGAAACCTCGCCGGCTTTACCTGCTCATCTGAGCAGGTTACATTCAATACAAACAAGACTACAACATGCTATCTCACATGCGCTTGCTACCTGCGCAGTCTCTCCTACTTCAGATACAGGGATTGTCCGGAACGTGCTGAACCACCTATCGCTGTCAACCTACGCTGGTTTGACCACGCAATTCGACATCGATGACCTTCGCCGACTGTGTTGGCTCTGGGAATGGGATGGCGAGGAGGTGAAACCTCCGGTTGCGAAGAAGAAGAAGGATGATGATGATGTGTTTAATGAGGAAGAAGACAATCCCTTCTTAGAGTCCGAGGCTGCGCCAGCACCAAAAGAGTGGACTAGAGGAGCGATGGGGTTCGTTATCAGCACGACCACCCACCATTCCAGGCGGGAAGGGAAACGAGTGCCTGCATATGGCATTGGTATAGAAGTTGAAATGGATATTGATAAAGATATGGGTGGTGGAATGGCAGCAGTAGCCCGGTGGACAGCAGCCAGCGAGAAACGACGCGCTGACTTCCTCCAGAAACTAAAACGCTGGGTAGAGGTAATGGATTCATCCCGCTGGACATATAAATATTCGCTAAATCACGTTTTCGTAGTTGCACCCCGGTGCCGACCCAGTCCCAACCATCCCCTTAGCAGATTTACCTGAACTACCTGCAGCGCCAAAGACTACGACGCTAACCAGGCTCTTCGCTGCTGTTTCTCCTAAGGCGTCATCTTCTTCATCCCCTTCGAAACTGCCTATCGCACCGCCCTCACCTTCTCGATCCTCTACGAAGTCCCCAACTAAATCCAACATACTATTCCCGTTATTATCTCCAAGGAAGAAAACTACGGACAATCGTCCTTTCCCCGTTCCCTCGTTTCCTGTAACTCCCTCGTCACGAGCGGAGAAAAAGAACTCTATTTTGTTTCCTGTCACACCCTCTTCCCATCACGGAAGTGCAAGCTCGGTGAAAGCTTTACTCACTCCGCGCACACCTACCACGTCGTTCTCCGATTCTGGTTCTGAATGCTCTACACCTACACGTCAACGTACCTCAAGTACGACGACGACACCTACTCAAACGCCTTCAACGTTGCGCAGGCAGGCTCTTTACGAGCGTGTCCGGCAAAAATCGCTGACCTCCTCGCCTACCAAAACGCCCTCTAAGAGCGCAGATGGGACCACCTTAACCCGGGACCAGATGCTGAAGCTCAGTCAAGACGAGATGAGGCGACGTTGTTTACTCGGCCGGCTCGACGGAGTAGCAGATAGCGTGTGGATGTAAGTCTGTTCGGCTGCTCAGTTGCGGATTGACCTCTGATTGTTGTCTCCCCAGGTTATTTTCTAACCCCACAGGATCCATGTCCACGCCATCGCGGAAACGGAAGGCGTTGCGGACCTCTGAGGTCGCCACGGCGATTGTCAAGTCTTCCCCCGTTCCTATCTCAGCCAGTGAAGCCAACGAATCAATCACCATGCTCACTACTCTGTGCCCTTTCTTCCTTCGAAAGATGAACATCGGGAAGGAAGAGTGGCTAGAGATGCCTGCGCCTACTAGTAGTTCTGATAGCGGTGGTGGGGACGCTTCATCGAAGTCACCTACGAAGTCACCCGCGAAATCGCCAACGAAGGCCGCTCCTCCGAGCCCCGGAGGAAAAGACAGTGTTCAAGAGCTGTTGACTCGAAGCCCGCGCCGCGTAAAACGCGAAACTGGTGGCCTCAGAGAGGTCCGCCAGATCATCAGACGCGAGCTGTCTCTTGCAGATTGATTTATTATTTGCTATATATCTACCGTCTGCGTGTATCGTTCTCACTTATCCATCGATTTGTCACTTGCGATTTGTACCCATAGTCTCCAGCTTAGCAGTTGACAATGCAATGATAGCAATTTACCTCCACGGTTCCGATCCGCATGGTTAGTCTGCAATTGTGCAACACCGAGATATACATGTTGTCTAGGATGAAAGATAAATAGACAAATCGAAAAGGAGTAGTTACACCCCGGATCCACGGGATACTAGCTACTAAATGAAACGCACGCCAATGAAGGGATGCAAATATTGTTAAAAGAATAATGTATGTAATACTTGTGTTGCGGGAACGATGAGGAGTGGGCGGGAGGTAGCGGGTAGAAGGTAGCGGTGGAGACGGAGACGGAGATAGAGAGAAGAGACTATCGGGATCGGGCGTAGGAATACTGTGATGCAATGTCCATTATCTCAAATAGTTATCATGTACAAACGATGGAGCCGGTAATGCGAGGCGGGGAGTAAATCAGTACAAGTGTTGTGACATGCTGTGGCTGGGTTGTGTTGGAGCACGGGCTCGGAGAAGTTGAGGAGATGTAGGCGTAGGATGTAGGAAAATACTCGTAGGGATCTAGTCGATGCTCATGCGGTTCAAGTTCGTGCTCGCGGCGCGGCGGTGTGGATCCACAGAACCACCTATCTTCGTGGTCTTCTTGCGCTTTACTACTCGTAGGTCTCCGTTAGTCATAGTTCGTAGACACGCAAGTGGAAAAAGGCTCCTTACTTGAAGTCTTGAGGCCACGGCCGAAGTTGCGCATGACAATGATAGCAAACGCAAATGTCGCCAGCAGTAGAACGATGGCAATCATAGCTATCGAGACTTTAGGCGTATTCGTTCCCGATGGGTATCAATCAACTCACAAAACACCGACAAAGTCTTGTAGATGGCGAGGAACTGATCAGTGTTCCTGTATATGAGCACTTTCACGAGCTACAGTATTATGTTTAGCGTGAAGATAGTATGATGCCAGTAGGGTTTCACCTTGTAGACGAAGTACACCATCGCTCCAACGCATCCTGCCATGAATGTAGCCATCATCCACTTGTTCTCATGTCTCGCCGCCAGATGGCCTTCTACCAGCAAAACAATGGAGAGCGGCAACGCTGCACACGTAACATAGTACTCCCAGTCATTCTTGTTCAATACCAGCCAGATAAATTGCACCGAAAAGCCAATCCAGAAGAAGACGTCGAACTTGATGAGACATTCGAACACCTGGTAATTGGCGTACATCTTCTTGACCCGCCTGTCAGCGCCGAGTTCCTTGTATAGTTTCCACCCGAACTCGTGGTAGATCTTCCATCCGAGGGCGATGTAACATATTTCGGCAACAGAGATGACGATGGGGATGATGGTCGTGAGGACATTGATAGGGATGTCGGATATGCCCGTGACGTCGGGAAGCAGCTCAGAGGATGTACGGATTTCAAATATTTGGATGATGGCGTAGAGAAGGAAGAGGGCGTTGAAGATGCTAGAGACAAGATGAGATGAGTACCAAACCTTAGATATGAACGCACGTGAGGGCAATGAATTGAAGTGTGTTTCGGGCATAGACCGCATCTATCGCTAGCACCAGCTGGAAAACACTAGGCAATGGCTCAACTGTTAGTGAATGAACTAAAGGCTGGACGACGCACTGTGCTAGGGCGAAAATGCTCAGGTAGACGGGCATTTTCTGCGAGGGTATCTTGCCATCCACGCCCGCCAAGTCATTCTGCCGATTGATTCGCACCAGCAGCTCCCCCTCAATGGCCAGATCTACTGTTGTTTCTATGAGAACTGTAAACACATACAGTCTGCACGCTATTGACTCTGGCAGCCACTGCAGATACCAGTATGTATTAGCAATTTACACATGAGAACTTGAATCGGCACACCTTCTGCCAGAAAGTCCGAGTGTCGATCTCCTTCAGAGGTACTGGCGGTGGATAGCCCACGTACGGCGCACCGAAGTCCGTTTCTTCTGATTGCTTGGAAGAGAATTGTGTTGGCTTCTGGAGTCCCGAAATTGTTGGGCCTCGACGCAGATCGCTTGTTAGCGGCGTTTCGACGTTGAATGTCTTGTGGCCCGACGTCGCGCCGTACGGCGTTGCATATTCGTCGATGAGGTCGTCGTATGAGGCCTTGTACTCTTGTTGATAGGGCGCGTGCTGGCGATGTTGCTGGTAAGGAGCTGAGTCGTTAGGATATGGCCCAGACATGATTCTGGGTCACGGAGTTGGGTTAAAGGTGGTAGGGCAAAGAATGGGAACGAATCGTCCAGCGAAGGGGTTGGTTTTCGTTAAATGAGAGTTGTGAAGGACTGGAAGGGCGCCTGCGTTGCGGTTGCTGTGCTCTGACCAAACGAACGCTGTTGGTGACCGAGTGACCAGTGAATCACACACTGATCCTTCTTCCTCCTGTTTGCGCTTGTTGATTCTCCACGCCCAGCTCTTCTCCCGGGCCCGTTCCCACAAATTTCAAAGCTTCACTGTCGTCTTGAATGTTGCTGCTGCTGAGGGCGGCTTACGATGCCCTTTCCTTTTCCCTTGACACCCCAGACACTTGGCGCGGTCCTGTTACACCGCTCGCTGCCGCAATCACCAACGGAGTTCTCGGTTCTGGCAATGCTATACAATATCTCCTCTTAGAGAGTTCAACTCCACGCATCTACGTCAAATGAAACACGCTGATCAAGTGAAGACGCGATGAGTGGATGCAACTTTAGATATGTTTCCCATAGGAAGGCCACCCAAAGGCCACCAACAGGCAACGGATTCTATGTAAGATACAAGGAAACTTCTGTAGCTTGATCATGATGTTGATATGGAATGAAAATGTGTTCTCGTCCCCAAGTTACTTATGATATGATGTTCTGAGGGGCGCCCGTGTGCGTTTCATAGAAGCCTTAGTTTTCCTGTGACCTGGTTGATCAGCCTTGTGGGCCCAACGATTCCAAGCACGGTCCTGGAGCCTGCCGCGATTTGAGTCCTGCCGCTGATTAAAATAAGGATAAGTGCTGATAGCAAGAGAGCCAGCTCTATATTATCACTCACGCGTCCCGGATGGAATGTGCACATAACCTGAGGCTTTTGGCCTGCCCTTGTAGAAGGAGCAACTGTTCCTCGTCGTCACATTGTAGTGCTACCTTTGTCTGCCTGCAAGCGGTAACGCCCAAAATTAGCTGGTTGGCAACAGTGGATACTACGGCCACGAACCCTGTGCGTTCCCATCGTCGGAGGAGCTATATCATCGCACAGGAACATTAATGAGGTACGACTGTAATGCGGTCTCGCAATACCCACCGCCGGGTTGGAAGCAGCGAGATCCCGGTAACATGCTAATGCGGCATGGCTGGGCAATGAGCGGAGAGAGCGCCTCAAGATTCAGCCTCGCTTGGCTGCTAGGATGAAGCGTGGAACGTACGAGCACCTGCAAGTCCCGGAGGGTATGGTCAGCCGACTGTAATATAGCTATAAGAAAGCATTCTCACTGAGCAGCAACCTTTCCAGCTGACATCCTCAAGTCTTTCCGCACTACTAGAACCTACAAAGCCTCTCGGATCATTATGCTTTGCTCGTTGTCACTTTTAACTGAATGGAATGCTCAAGCACCATTTTGCATGTGTCCGTCGGACCGAGTGGATCGCCCTTCGAATCATTTTTTGGGTCGAGGCAGCGGGGACGCTGTGAACGAGTACCAGCCCAGTAACCTAACGCAAGGGAAGTGGTGGTCAGAAGTGCAAGATATGGCGCCACTAAAATTCATGTAATTTGTGGAAAAATAAGTTGATGGTAGTTTTGTAAGAGGCGGGACACACCACAGTCCGTGAAGGGCATCAATCGCGTGTATGTATCGTAAGTCGCGTCGCGTCGCAAGAACGGAACCAGAACGGAACCCAGTGGAGAAAGCTTGGAGTACCTGACCCTGGCGCTTAGAACTTGTATATGGTCTGCCCTTGACGCCCGCCGGCAACGAGCCTTAGACTTCTTCACGCGATACTTCAGTCGTTCGCGTCGAACGCTTCTTCAAATTAACTCTTCAGTTAGATCTCTGGCTAACCCATGCTCGCGGATATGCTTTGAACTTCTCCGGGTGTGTCCCCATCCCCACCCCGGATCTCCCTCGCCAGCAGTTTGTGTAGTATCGCGCAGTCACGTCCACGTAAAAGGAACATCTAGTTAGAAACGAGGGATCGTCAAAAAAAATTGCATCAACACATCGACAACCTGGCTATCATGGGGCGTGTCTTACGTTGCCGGATCTAGAGTATCGACGAGATACATCGGCTCATAATTACTCTATCGCGACCCTCTCTTCCCTGCTGTGAATTCATCGCAAAGCTCGTGTCGTCGGGATCCATGGCCGACCTGTTGGCTACCATACACTAGCGCTGGGGAATACTTTGTCGCCTTACAACTCGTTACCGCATCATACATTCTCGATTCCTCTGCTGGCCCCGATGGGACGTCTTAACATCTTACCGAAGGCTTCTGGTCGTTCCACTCGCTTCTCAAACCCACCTCCTCGTCGTAAACATGACATGTTCTGGCGGCCTTCCTTCGATTTTCCGAACGGTTCCTATTACGCTCGCTTCATCTTGGAGGACACCGGACCGATTCTACGTTGGCTCTAACTGGAACGTCTTTTGTCGTGGTGCGGATGGGGAAAGACCCTTGAACACACTGCACGCATCTACCTAGCGATGTTCGAACTTGGAAAGTCGCCGCCACCCTAAAAATTGGGTATATCATGGCCTTGAGACGAAAGTAGACCGCACAGAGACCATGTCTTCTATCCATCTTCAGCTTCAGCCCTTTGCTCTCGATTCTTGTAGTCCTAACTCCCTCCGAGAACGCCGTCGCAGCTCTATCCGTCCTCGAGCCCTCTTTCCTAAATTGTTCCAAGGCACTAACGCGAACATCCATGGGGGTGACGAGGATAGTGCCGTCGACGACGAGGTCCATGAGCCGATCGCACAGGCTACCCGAGAAGGACATCTTCCAATACAATATCCTTCTCCCCTTGTAAATGCACATCTCTCTGGTTATTCAACCAACGCCGAACCTACGCGCCATCAAGACACTTTACCTCGCTTGCACTACACATCGGAGCCACAGACGCCCTCGCAAACAAGCCCAACTGCTAGCAGTAAAAATTCCATCGTGGATATACCCCCTGTTGTTCCTGTATCTCCTCCAGAACGTTTAGCGATCCGACTCGCGGCTGGGTACTTTATGTATTTTATGTGTGGTTGGGGTGATGGTGGTAAGGTCGTCAATCGCTTGTTGGTGAAAATCGCTCACTTTCTTTCATACAGTTACTGGCGCTGTTATACCTTGTAAGAGTTCCTGAAACAAGTCCGATCACTTGATCTCATCCATGATTAGATTTTGAACGCGACTTCCATCTAACACCCTTAACGTCATCTTTGTTGTTTGCAAGCAGCACCGTCGGGTGAGCTTCATTCATTGTATGTATCGGAACTTAGGACTTCACGAGCGATAATAGGTTCGCTGCTGCGACCGTCCTCGTAGAATGGATCTCAAAAGTGTTGAGCAATGCCCGCACATCATCCCGAAGCCGATCATTCTTCCCTGCTAACCCATGGTTCTCTCGAACCAATCTAAAAGGTGACATCGGCACGTCACCAACACAAGGGCGCTATTTTGCAATCGTCTACTTCAGCGTCCTTCATGCTTCATTTTTCGTGCTGATGGGCTCGAGAGGCGGTTATCCCGTCTTGCTTCTTGCCTATGCATTCGCTGCGTATGCTCGTGGAATCATCACTGGTGAGCCATATCTCTTCCTCCATAGACGTTTAATTTGACACTCTCCCGCTAGCCCAATTGTACGCTTGTACCCTGTTTCACCAAATCAGTTGCTTAATTGTTTTATAGGAACCTCTACTTTTCTACATTCTCGCGCCCATCCCTGGGCTACGCTTATGCGACATGGAGTTGGTCTTCTCTTCCTGAACCGCGGGCTTCAATGAAATAGTGACCATATTTTCTAGGTTTTGGTGGAGCCATTTCACCTCTCATCTGCCAGACGATCGTCGCGAAAGGGGTTCCTTGGAATCACTTCTACTATGGATCATTGGTTTTGTCGGCGTTCAACACCTGCTTTCTGGCCTATTCATTCAGGCCTACATTAAAAGAATTCGCTGACGATAGGCAGACTGCGCTGGGCTCCATCTCTGATTCGGAAGTAAAGCAGTCGCAGAGTAGCCTGCCTTCCATTTCAAGGCAGACTTCTGGGATAGTATCAGACAAAGCTGCCTCGCCAAATGGTAAGTGCTGGACGTGGATGCTACCGTAATCACAGGGCTCACGATTGCTTGCAGCTTTTACTCAGGCAGTCAAGCTTCCTTACCTATGGGCTGTCTGTGTATTCTCTTGGTTGTACTGTGGAAGGTTCGTATTTCCTTCGTTCAGCCAACAATGTTATTCAAGTCACTCATGTAGTGAAACCACGACACAAGGATTTGTGAGTACACCGTACCACCTTCATAACTGAAATTTATTCCCTCTTCTAGATCGTGTCGTATTTATTGGCTGTACGAGTATGTGTATTTCCTTCGGACGTCGTATACCTTGAGCTGACTATCGCCCCAGTCCGCGGACCGTAACACTGCTGGCTACGTGACTTCCGGCTTCTGGGGAGGCATCACGGTCGGTCGCCTTCTTTGGGGAAGATACAATTACAAGTACGCAATTTCTCACCTTGAAAGGATTCGTCAACTCAATATTATCTGCCTTCCAGGATTACTTTCACCCGTCGCAAATACATCATTCTGGCATTATTGTATGTACCCCATCTTGTTGTCACTCAACCATTTGCTTACACGACTTGGAACCCAGATGTTCGTCAGAGCCTCTGATTCCTCCTGCTAACGATCTAATCGCGCTTTGCCACCAGTGGTCGCTCTTGTGATGCAGCTGCTCATCTGGTTTGTCAACTCGAACGCCGGGAACGCGTTCTCCGCCAGCATGATCGGCGTTGTGTACGGACCCATGTTCCCCGCTTGCCTCGCCCTCGCCAACGATCTGCTCCCACATGAAGTCCACATGGTGTCCATGGGCATAATGTAAGGCTTTATTCTTGCTCGATCAACGAATCTAAATTGTCTCCCTAGATCCGCGTTTGCTAGCCTTGGCGCATGTACGTATCTAATCTCCACTGAATTGCGGGCCTGCTGATCTGAATGCTACCGTTCTCGCTAGCTCTGTTCCCGTTCTTCACGGGCACGATAGCGACGGTCAAGGGAATGCAGACCCTATCCTACATGACCGTGGCCCAGGGCGTCGTACTCATTGGTATTTGGTACCTCTTCCCTTCCCTGGCACCCAGGCGTACTTGAATTATTTCATGACCGGGCTGTGCTGTTTATTTTTGGTTTATAGATTGTCGGTGGGGGGGGGTATGTATATAAATAAATGCTTATAGCAGCCTATAGATAGGAAGAAGATTGTCCTGTGTTAGTTTAGAACGGATACAAAGCATACGATAGCTATCTATGAGCTATCAGTATCTGTCGAAGATCCGGTCTCGTCTCCTTCGACGTCTGAGTGGATGAATTGGGGTCATTTTAATGAAGCCGCGTTAAGGGGTTCCACTCGCCTATTGCATAGTCTAATGGCACCGCCGGCGGTGGAGGTGGCCTAGGAGGACTCAGTCTCCTTGGCGGGCCGGTCCCAGTAACTTTCTTCGGTGGTTTATTGAATATGCCCTTACTGGAAAAGCCTGGACTCCGAGGGCCAGAGAAAGATGATGATGTGGCAATTGTAGCTACAGATGCCACATCTGGAGAAGACGACCGAGACGATGAAGGAGATCGATCTAAAAAAGTTGAAGTAGATGAAGCACGGAGCTTGGAAGGGACTCGGGATATCGAATTCGTCGATGGTAGTTGAGGAATTTGCTGTTGAATGTGAGGATATGGGACATAGACGAGGCACCCTAACACGTACGTTGGATGGTAGACCATTGTTATCCAAATCCGACTTCAGGCGTGACACAGGTGACGCTACATCCATGCTATTGTAAAACGCGCAAGTAAATATTTGGGGAAAGGGCCCACCTGTAGCCTTCTTCTTTGGTTTCTTAACGGGGGAGGTTTGAGGTGAATTGGGCTGCGGAACAACTCAATATAGGGCGTATGGGCGTACATTAGTTGTATACTTACTCGCTTTCTTTTAAGGTCGAATTCCGCTTCATCTAACCAAAGAAACGGCATGAGAAGTGAAGTGAAATGGAAGTTAATAGACGGTTACCGCGCTTGCCTTTCGTCTTCACTGTACGTTTGTTCCCGCCCTTCTTAGCATCATCCGAGATATTCCCAAAGTCTGAAGCAGGGGACATTGATCGGGATGGTTCCCCGAGAGCTCTTAGTAACAACATCACTACACGGTGAAAGGGTGAGATGTATAGTAGACTTCACGTACTTTGATTTGGAGGTATTGCTACCAGCTCTCGACAACCCCCTTCGCGAGCTCCCGTTCACGCCCATGCATTGGCTCAGATGATTGGCGTAGCGGTTGAACGCAACCTAACCATTCGATTGTCATTGTTTCTATCAGATGCCGCATAAGCAATGAACGTACCTGTCTATCACAGTTCATGCACTCTAGATTGACGACACCCTCAGACTTCGAGTTGCCCGGCGTGTATGCCCCACTGTCAGAACCGTTGCCAACTGACATCGGCGTACCAGCTCTCGATGAGCCCGCAGTTGTTTGTGTCTGGATATTAGAAGGACCAGGTACATGGACTTCCCACATGAAAGCTTCAGCTCCTCGACGCGGGGTGGGGTGACAAGGCTCTCACCTGCTGCACATCTACATACACGTCAGGCTTGACCGACTGCGCCAGCACCAGAACTACTCACCGGGTATGACACACCGAGCAGATCGCCCTACTCCGCGCAATTTCTTGATGCGCTTGTATGGTCGCGTCGAGCACCAGATCGTCCACCATAGACGACATCAACCTGCTCGCCTGTGGTTACATTGAACACCCATGAGCCAACTTGAACCAGGGGCTCGGAAATGAAGCGTTACCAATTCATTAACCAGTTCCTCCCTTTCTGACTTGCGCATCGTCTTGATGGTTTGTCGTATGTCGCAGGCTGCACGGCGAGAAGTTCAACTCTCTGGAAGGAACACTAAGGTCGCGTCACTGGCAGTGGCGAACACGGAAGCTCGCGGGCTTTGAACTTATCGCCCTGACAGCCGGTGATTATGCACATGGGGCATTCAAGGTCATTCAATTGTGCATGATCATTAGCAGACGACATCGTGAAGAATAACTAGATTATCATAGCAAGTTTCGTAAAAGCTCTAATGCGAAGCAGTGGAAAGGGAGTGTGAGTTATTACGAGAACGAAATTTCCGAATGCGCAGACAAAGAAATATACTGTAATATCATAAAACTCAATATCTTGACCCCGTCATTCTGGAGACGGCGAATACGCCGATAATAACAACAGCTAGTGCGCCAATGCTGGCGGGCAACAGAAGGTCTTTGGGGATCCCAAGGACCTCCTGGGGTGGAGGGGGAGGGACGTGGACGTGTGCCGGAGGCGTAAGAGTTACGGGTTCAGGCAAGACTGATTCTTGTTTCTCGACTTCTTGTGTTTCTATCTGCGCAGCAGCGGCTGCCTCAGCCGCCTTTGCTTCTCCCTTATCCGCGCCAGCCCAGCCCTTGCCACCTTGCACGAACAATACCACGCGGTCGGTCCCAGCGGCACGAGCGATTTTGACTGCGTCTGTGACGTCGTGGTCGGATGTAATGAGGACCGTGTCGCCGTCAGCGTCCGTGTACGACAGGATGAAGTCAATTGGGTCAGGGTGATCGGTCGAACCGTCACTTGGCCTGAACTCAGTGAAGAAGGGATCCGTGGCGAGCTTTCCGGCAACAATCTCGCGGAGGTGTTCCACGTCATCGTGTCGAGATTGGAATCGGTGGGTCCTGCCACTGGGTGTGCGGAATTTGAAGACGTAGGTGCCATCATCGACAGGGAGCGCCTCAGTCGTAGGGGGAATGACCAAGCCCTTTTGGCGAGTGAAGCTGTCCAAAACGGAAGTTGGCTCATCGTCAACCACTGACGCAGAGTCGTTGGGGTGAACTTCAGACATTGGTGATTGCTGAAGGTGGGAGAGGTGGTGCATAGACGAGAGCGACTTCATGTGACGGAGGTCTGGAGTGTGCGGTGTATGAGCTGAGCCAGATACGGCGGAATCGCCGTCGTCATGGCCAATGGAGTCGAAGAACCGTCCCCACATTGGACCTCCCTCGGCTTCTGTGGGCTCTTCAGTAGCCATAGAATTCATCTTGATAGGTGAGATCAGAGTCTGATGACATAAAATATGGGGGGCGAACTTACTTGCTCAAGTGTGGCATACGTGAGCTTCAGCACGTCAACAATAGCGACGAGTCGACCATCTTCCTCGACCACAGGAAGATTGAGATAATGCCCAGCTGTAAACAAGATATCAGGCAAGTACAAATTAGTTAGAAGTTGTGACGTACTGTGCATCTTCTTCAGTGCATCGTGCACCGTCATCGTGGGCGGAGCAGTGTCTGGGTGAGGCGTCATTACGCGAACAACGCTACATCTGCCAGCGTCCAGACCAGCAGCGATGACTCGTAGAACGACATCCTTGCTAGTGAAGATGCCGGCAATCTTAGCAGGTTCCATGGACGAAACGGGGGCTTCCATGACGCAGACAGCCGTAGTACGTCTCTCCTTCATGAGCTTCGCAACCTCACGAACAGTGGCCTTCGGTCCGACGGTAGCTGGGTGTGTGCGGGAGTCCATGACGGTGGTCAAATCTGGAAGTGCAGTCTTCTCTTTCAGACTTTCGGCCCACGCCAACATGGCAGCGGCTTGTGGATTCGCAGAAATCCCGCCTCCAAGCTCTGACTGTACGCCAGCCATCGCGCTGAACAATTGTTCAGAGGCAGCAGAACTGCGTTCAACTTTCGCAAGGGCTTCATGGAAGACCTTGGTAATATCCAGGAGGCCAACTACGTTGCCCTCTTCGTTACATACAGGCTATAGGCTAGGTGAGATACGTATTCATCGCGAAGCTGCAAGGAACCTACCAAATGCCTGAAATGCTTCGAGACCATCAATTGCAGGGCCTCAGTAGCACTTGTGGTATCACGGGTGACCATGGGATTTCTGGTCATAATTTGATGGACTTGAGTGGTATGGGGTTCGAGACCATCCGCGGTCACCTGCGAATGCCGTATTAATATGGAGTTATTCAAAAAGCTGCTTTACACTCACCCGGTAGGCCAAGTCCTTCGCGGTGAAGATGCCACTGAGCCCTTCTTCGTCGTCCACGACGAGTACACAATCTGTGCGTTTGGCCGCACATAGCTGACTGGCTTCAGCAACCGTGATATTCTCGGGGACAGTCAACGCCGGGGTGGGCTTTAGTGCCGCAACAGTGCCCTTCGCCGGTGCACTTTTACTCCCCCGCTTGCCACGCGAACCGTTATAGTTCGTAGTCGAGATGGTTCGTTTCCTGGAGAGTTCCGACTCTATCTTCTTCCTGATAGCCTATGCATCGACAAGACACGGTCAGTCCTCACCCAAAACACTGCACGACAGTGCCCTGCGGGTTCAAACGGCAGCAGGGCCTCACCTCGTCGCGTTTTGACTGCTTCTTCCGAATCTCGGAGAGAGAGCCCTGGTATCCGGATATTGAAGACATGGACGTGGTGGTGGCCGAGCGTTTTGGACCCAAGGGCGAAGCGGCTCTCTCTGGGAATGGGATGGGGGTCGGAGAGGTAGCACCTAAACCACGATGATGTGAAGGGGAGGAAGTAGGCACAGGTATGCGGGACATCAACGATGGCGAGTCTCGCTCACCCGCTAGAAATCAACTCGGCCTAAATTGTCTCGTCACTGTCACGTTCGTTCTGCCGAAGAATTTATTTGACCGTGTTTATGCCCCTAGAGGCCCCTGTCAACTGCAACTGCTCTGCCTTGGTCTGGGGAAAGATCATATCGAACTTGAAGCGCGCAACAGTATCCCAATAGATATTGTCTGAGTCCATACAATGATGCATAAAAAACGTGCATAATAAGTGTCCATGTAAAGAGTCGAAACGAAGCAGGGGGCAGATAAACAAAGAGTGATCAATAGAATTCGACCAGTGTCATGGTTTGGACTTCCAAAAGCTCAAGCTCAGGCGCCTTCTCCGCACTGCCTTGTATACCTTGTAGCATCTAATCTGAACGGCGACATCAACATCCCTCAAGTCACACCTCATCTTCTCCAGCCGTGACTTCTTCGCTGGTGAATACTGTTCCTCAAGCTGCTCTCGCATATTGCGTACGATCCTGTCAAGCAACGATTGACTTCGCTGGTTGTCGGCGCCGTCTGTTTCGTTATGAGGATGGTGTGGTTGCTCTAACTCCCAGTCGAAGGCGTATGCACCAAGGTGTATAGCTGACCCGCTGCCTCCCCATTCTGATGGGTCAAGGGCGATTGGGTGTGGTCCTGAATCATAGTCGGGGTGTTCGGTGGTGGTATGCGAGAGCAGGGACGGTGACTGGAAAATAGTAGTAGAAATATCTGGTGGTGGTGTGCGTGTGGATGACATGGTGGAAAGTAGTTGAAGGTTTGATGCCCTCTGCTGGCACTTTATACAATCCTAGGACTGTCGTTGAAGGAGCGGATCGACATAGTCGCCATAGCATAGCGTAAGTTCTATTTGACGAACGACAAGGTGCTCCACGACGATATGAGGTAGAGGATGAAGGGGTTGAGGAGTGTGACCTCCTGAAAGCTGTTTGACCTCTTCACGGACCCACCTGTCAAAGTGTTCAAAACGACTTCCGTCTTCCGTCTTTGTCAACCCGACTCCAGTGACTATTGCACTATGTCCCTCTTGATGCCTTGTAGTTTGGGAGGACCTCGAAGTACCAGGGGACCTCTTAGTGTAGGTCGTCGAGCGGAAGTTGAACATCTCTGGGGCATAACATACCATCAAATTCTTGTGTTCTATATCTACATGGGTACTATTCCGAGCCTTCTGACGGAAGCATTTATCCCTCGGATACGTCACTTATTTTGCGCGAACGGAACCATTTTTTGGATCGAATTGACCGCCATCGCCAAAATGCCTCAACCCCTATCCTTGACCCCTTTTGACCGCCACGTTCTTGGAGGTAACTTGCCTCGTCCTCGCCTTCCCTGATCAACGTTCTAGGCTGTCCACTACAGTGTAGCCTGATAGCGCACCAAACTTGCTGTAAGTACACGATGTTCCCATACACATATTCTCATTCGGACAATTATTCGTTTTCTTGCGAATTCGGATTCACCCCAAAGGCTGTGTTTGTGCTTACGCTCACCCGACGGTTCCATGTAAAGGAGCCGTCGTCGATGCATTCCCGAAGTGAAATTGCCTCCCGCTGTCGAAGTCCTACGTTCCGCCGTACAGCCCCCAATTCTTGTATAAATGCTGGCCTACCCTCACACATCTTTCCCAAGTTTCTTCAACTTACCACTACAAAACCAACCCAACCAATTCAACGCTCATAACCATCATGCTCTACACATCGTACGGCACCCCCATATCATACGAAACAGCTGCAACGCGCTACGAAGTCGGCGTCTCGGCAGCCCAGTACACATCCTTCCCATCCTCGCGCACCCGCGTTGAGGATCACACCGCGTGGACCCCTGAGATGGGAACCGCGTTCATTACCCCCTTCGACCCGCCAGAGGTTCGCGCACTTAAATATGGTGCCGATCCTTTTGCCACTGGCACATTATCCCGGCCCGACTCGTTCTACCTCCGCGACTCGGAGTTCATCAGAGAAGCGTTGGGGCAGGGAAAGGCGAAGAAAGCTACGCCCTCTCCAAAGAGGAAGCAGAGTTTCCGCCGCTTGCTGAAGAACGCCATCAAGCAGTCGTGCAGAGAGATCATGAAGGATTTGAAGGAAAAGCGTCGAGGCACTTCTCAATCAGCATAACATATCCGTCTCATTCTGTAACATATCCCAACGTCTTTATGGCCTCTTGTTTATCTCTTTTGATGCGATTCTGGTCCCAACATATATGTTACAATTGGAGGCGTCAAACGTCCAGTCCTTGTATAGGGCGTTTATGATCTCAGTGATAAATAAAAGCAAAGTGAAATGCTCTATGACTTTATGCTCCTTGTCTGAGCCCTATTCCCTTGTCTTGACTGGTACACGAAGTACGCGCCAATGAGTACGGCGATGATAATGAAGTTGCCTATAGGACGGTGACCAAAACTCAGCATCATCAACGCATAACAATACGAAGTGAACTCACCAGCGACGAAGCCCGCTAATCCTTGGAATACATCCAGAACAAGCTTGACCAAGCTATTGCCCAGGCTAAACAGCCCAAGGATAGCGCCCTGGCATAGAGCGAGTATTGCCGTGAATACTGCGATTATCGAGTTCGCCAATGACCCAGCGATGGCGGTCAGCGAATGCAGGAACTCGGAGAATGCGCTTGTCAATGTGGGTGCCATGGTTCGAGAGTCGATATGGGTTTTGTTGTCGTTCCTCTTCGAGCATGCCGCTTTATATACGACATGCCAAGACTCCTTGCCCCACAACAGGTACGTCAGTCGATACCTCATCGAATCCTGAACATACGGCAATCTAAATCGGATTGTGCTCCATGGAGTACGTAGTATGCTCAATCAAGTACAAAATAAAAAGACTCGATTATTTTAGAAAGCCATACATAGCTGTAGCAAAGGAATCACGTAAATGCCAGTCCCAACTCATTCTAATCGGAGACACTGTATCAACTCAATGACATATGTCCAGTTTGCACCCATCGATTTATCCACGTCGCGGGGCACCTCCTGCAGCGGCGGCAGGTTCGATAACGCTGCCCGCCCATCGAGAGGCCAAACCTTGCACTTGAGTCCAGATGGTGACGAGAACCGGGGGGTTGCCGGGCTTGCGGACGAAACCGTCGATGCGTCCATTGGTGAATGCGAACGCCTCACGGGTGAAGGCAGATTGATAATAACGTTGGCGGAGGAAGTGCGCATAGATAAGAGGCGACAGGAGGGAATTGCGGAAGGTGATAGCTCCCAAGAAAACACGAACGAAAATCAGGAGTTCGGTATAGGCAACGACGCGCATGGCTCCATCGTAGTTTGCTGTCAGATGTGTCAGAAATGACGTAACAAACGAACAAAAGTAAAATTTATCGCCACATACCTTTGACCCAAGCTTGCAACTGCTTCGCGAGAGGATGGGGTTGGGGCGCACCACCTTGAGTTGCGGCGGGGCTGGGAGGCAGGAAGCGGGGCATCAAGGTCGTACGAGTGAAGGTGAGAGCATGGAACAGGGAGAAGATCGTGTAGGGAAGGAGGGCCACTAGCAAAGCGGGGGATGGTGAACACCGAGCATACTGGGAACTCGTAGACAGCACATACATGCAACGGGTTTTGAGCTCCACCAGAAAAATGCGACCGCGAAATATTGAACATTCTGTCAGAGAAGTGTTGAGTTTTGTTGTCGCGCCATAGTAGTGGAGAATCCCTCTACCTCATCAGGAAGAGCACGACGGAAATACGCAAGGTTGGGTTGAGGTGGCTGCAATATCTAATCAGACCGACGGTTCATTTCGGAGTAACGGTGCACGCTTACACCTAGTGCTTTGCTAGCAAAACAACCCAGTTAAGCTTCACATTCCGCGACATACAGCGAGAAAACTCACTAGCAGACGATAGCGTAACTTATGAGCGCGCCAGTAAACCCGGCTATACACATGTGCCCGTCAGTTCAATTTCCACGCCTTCGACGCATTTCGACTAGTAACCGACCTTTATACCACCAATCAGAGATGCTCCGGAACAACAGCGTCGCTAGGAAGTAGCGAAACGCAGCCGCTAGGAGCAGAAAGTGGCCTGTCGCCCAAACCCAATGCTAGACGTCGAGCACGCGTAATCAGCCCATTTTGTCGCCCGCCGGAGAGGAGGCTCGGGAAAACGCCCACCTGCGTAGTGACCATTTTCTGCGTTTTCGCGATAAGAGAGATTCAGAGAGGCGGCGGGGGCGTTGGGTGGAGTGAGATTATGGCGAGAGCAGGTGCAAGAGGCGAACGTCGTTCATAAGTGTGACGCAGCGTGGACATTTAGGGCAGGTTCAACGTGCTTTCCACGTGCACGCAGCTGGGCGCTTGCACTCAACTGCACCGCACCAGCAATGTGGATCACTGTACGCGATGGGCGTTGGCTGCGCGTGTCGGGCACGTATGTGTTTCAAGCTCACGACACGTAAATAGCGCAGTAAAATAGAAAACATACACGCGGCACAATACTACATACTACCTGCTCCATTGCGCTGATTTAGCCATCTGTTTACGTTCTTTTCCTTTGCGGTACACCTCCTTGTCAACCTTTTTCTGCCCCAGTGCTTCTATCCTGCGCCCCTTGTTATTTCTCTTGAGTTTCCGTGACGTTTCTTCGAGATCGTCGTCAGCGTCCTTCTCAGCACCGGCACCGACCTCCATCTCCTCTAGCACCTCGTCCTCATTCTCGTCCTCATCTCTGGGCCGCTTTCGAGCTCCTTTCGACGTCGTCGATGTCCCCTTCCCAGGCGCCATGTTGATGTTCACTCTCGGCGGTACCGAGAAACCGAACGCCTTGCCAACCTTCGCCAGATCAAGAGCATTCACATCGAATATCTTCTTTAATGAATACGATGCGTAGGCCTGCAGGTACGATCTGAAGCCATCCTTTGCGGACTGGTGCAGGAAGAAGTTCTTTTGTAAGAGTTTCTCGAGCTAGCAGTCGGCGTAAAGCTATGCATATAGCGTGAATAGAACACGAGTGCCTACCTGGCTTTGTACATTTGCAATCCGATCTGCCGGGAAGCTGAACTCATTGAGAGGTACCTTTGCCTCTTTCAGATACCGCAGGAATCCTAGCTCACTCGGAAGCAAGAACATAAGACTCTTCCCAACTTTTCCAGCACGAGCCGTTCGCCCAACACGATGGATATAATCACGGGGATCGTCTGGGGGATCAAATTGAATGATCCAGTCGACGCGCGGGATGTCGAGTCCTCTGGCGGCGACGTCGGTGCACAGGAGAATACCAGATTCGGCGTTCATGAACTCGAAAAATGTATTCGTTCGCTTTTGTTGCTTTTGTTTACCCTACACCGTACAAAAGCAATCGGTCTGTCAGCACAGGTGTATAAAGGGAGATAGACGCAACGCACATGCAGATCCAACACAGGAACATCAATATAGTTCAATAATTCAGAGTGATATTTCACCGAATTACAACTCGAGAAGAAAACAATAACTTTCTTCTTGAGGTTCTTTTTTAGGAAGGTGTATAGGAGGAGGAACCGTCTTTCGGACGGGCAGACGACGTAGCCCTGCGATAATGTGGCGACGGTGCTTGTTGTTTCCTCCTTGTCGACGTCGACGTGTACGGGGCCGGGACGTAGTGATATACGTGCGAGATCCTGCACTTTTGTGGTTTGGGTGGCGGAGAAGAGCATAGACTGACGGTTGTCTAGACATCAATGAGTTTGTGATATATCTTTCGGAAATAACTTGGGACGTACCATTCGGGAGGTATGATATAATTTTCTTCATTTCCTCTTCGAATCCAATCTCTAATATTCGGTCGGCCTCGTCGATGACAAGTGCTTTCATATTGCGGTATACAAACCCTTTTGTGTTCTGCACAAATAAATATAACTTCGATAATGAGACCAAGGTGCAGAAAGTACTCACCATTATGTGATCCAAGAGTCGCCCAGGCGTCGCGACCAGCAGATTCACACCCTTCGTTAGCTTATCGGCTTCCGCACTTCGATTCGCCCCACCAATCACAATACCAAATGTCTGTGAATGATGTGCCATCAAGTCCTTCGCTACGCCAAATATCTGCAGTGCCAATTCGCGTGTAGGCGATACAATAATGATACCCGTCCCTGTTATAACACTGTATTAGCCTTACAAATTCGTCTATGAAGCGTAGACCCGCACCATTCATTGGCTTGAACTTCAGCCGATGCAGCATCTCCACTGCGGGTATCAAGAACGCCAGTGTTTTCCCAGATCCCGTTCGTGCAGCGCCCAGCACATCCTTGCCAGCCAGCAATATCGGTATCGTCTTCGCCTGGATCGGCGTCATGGTAGAGAACCCCATCTCCTCCAAAGCCCTCGTCGTTTGCGCAGACAGGTCTAGCGTAGAGAACGGAAGCCGTCCTTGTGGATTGGCACTGGGGCCTGCGGCCGATGTCTCCTCGGCTGTCATTTTTTAGAGATGTTGAAGGCGGCGTAGTATACGGCTTGATGAGACCTTGGAGGGTAGAAGGTACGGGTTACAGGGGTAGGAAATTAGATGTGTTACTGAAGTAATCGAAGACTGCAAACAAAAAGTCACGAATGGGCTCGGCAATTGCCGCCGATCACAAAATGTCTTCCTCACCTTCGACACTGTGTAAGTCACTGGAGACATAATTGAACCTCATGGTTACTTAGCTTCTCCTAGTCCTCGCATCATCCTGCGCTGCAGTTGCAGCATTCGCACTCGGATACACGGTTGGATCTCGCGGGCCTTTAAACGCATCTCTTCCTCGGCCAGGGCCTGACAAAACACCCTTAGTACCTGACTCGTCCGAGGCACACGTCGATGACGAGAAACATAGCGAAAGCGACGACTCGGAAGAGGAAGACGAAAGCCTTGCTGACGGTGATCTCTCCGTAATCCAAGCCGGATTCATGGAACCATGTAAAATGGTAAATGATAACACAATTCGCGATCGCCCTATAATCGACGTTGTCCCAGGTTCTTGTCGTGCGAGTGGACCTGAACATGACGCCAGGCAAAGTAGCAGCTCAGTAAGTTATACCACCGCGATTCAAGATATTGCCTGACTCGTTTCCGTATCATTAGGTGTGGGTCAGTGAGTCTTGGACTCGAAGCATCTTTTTGCCCCATCTTGACTATGCGGTATAATTAGACACGCCACTCTTGCATGCTACAAAGCCCTCGTGAAGAAAAACCCTCGAGTAAGCCATTTCATGCAATGCTTCGCACAAGGTCATCCTTCTAAATCCCATGAATAGCTTATTAAACATTGGGAAAGAACAGGGTAATACGCTTTCATACGACACCTGTATGTGCTGATGTCGATCTACCAGGCAAGCCAAAATCGCGCTTAAAGCCAAGTCTGAAGACCAGCTCCTGGAATTGGAGGCTATCGCTAAGAGTCTAAATCTCTGCGCACGGTCAATACAGGACGCGTGAGTAGACGTGTATCCATACCGTCACCGTGTATATCGATGATACTGACTTGCTGTTTCACAGCGGACATACTCAGGTCGATCCAGGGACCCGCACGGTTCTTGCCATCGGACCAGCTCCAGTCGAGTTGATCAACCAAGTAACTGGGAAACTCAGGCTATTCTGACACCCTCGGAGTTTGTTCTATACTATACGATGAATCGTGTTGTGGTGGTCTAGGAATACAGTGTGTTGCTACATCAGACGCTCAACGTCTACCTCGAGGACCTAAACTTATAGAAAATGAGAGGCGGAATCTAACCGCTCTTACTATCACCACTCTGCGAGCCGCCGCCACTCCCAGCATTGCCTATATATGCGTCAATATCTGTTCGTAGCGGGCTTTGTAAGGTTTAAACTTACCGGACCCGACCTGCAAGAGGGCCGGCGGGGCGTTGTGGACTGACCCTCCTGTCGAGTCCCCACCTACTCCGGTGTACGCGTTTTTAACGCCGGCTCCCTCAACTCGACTGGCAGCCCCCGAAGACCCAGGACCGGCACCCGACACGCCAGAATTAGCTCGACCGCCATCTCCCGCGTTATCTAGGCGGGTGTGTTAGCTGGAACGCCTTTATACACAATGCGCTTAGACGTACTGGCATTCATTTGCAACAGGCTACCGCCTATGAGAGACATGAGCCCGGTGCCCTGGAAGCGCTCGTTGCTCGGGCGACTGCTCTCTACGCTTCCGCCTGTGGCGTTCCCACCCGCTCCAGAGAAGGAGTTGCTCTCCTTGTTTGCATTTGGCTTGTTGTGAGGTGCAGCCAGGGCGAGAGTGGCAATGAGGGAGAGTGTGGCAAAGGCGATGAAAGTACGCATGGTGGATGATATGGTAGTGTAGGTGTGTATGTAGGTTGGGCTGTGTGATGGTGGTTGCGGAAAGAAAGACGATGGTGCTGCTTTCTGCTTGCACGCCCATTTATAATCCCCCAAAATCTGTACCAGTCCAGCTCGTTGTGGTGCTCTGTTTGCTGCTGAATTACTTCCCAGAAAGTTCGCGATACATCACGTGTGTGCTATCTGACGTCACGGGCGATCTGGAAAGTCCCTATTTTTCGGCAATGGGGTCAGCGGGGTCTCCAACGTCTGCGGTGCCAGACGCGTCACAACAACGCCTATACCCAGCTGTGGCGCATATATAAAGGCACGACGTGCGGGATCCAGCGCCCCCCCCTCCCTTGACCCCCAATGGCAACCATCGCCATTGCCAGAGCCTATCAACAGTCCTTCGATGCACGTCCACACACAACGCTCGCCATCACAGGCGGTCTCTTCAATGCACTGGGGGATTTTGTAGCCCAGGTTTACCAGAACACGGTGCGCTGCCCTTTTCCTGATCTCTAGGACTACGAGCTCATCATTGCTTCGCTAGATTGGATTGAAACCTCGAGAACGGCCTCGAACATATGATATAGCGCGCACATTGCGCTTTTTCTGCTTTGGATTCGCGATGAGTACGTTCTCCGAGCTTTGGACTCCACGCTGGTCTGAGTGTGGTTGCAGGCCCTCTGTTGGGACGGTGGAACCAATTTCTGGAACACACGTTTCCCCTACGAAGCAATGGTCCTGCATCGAAAGTCAGTTGGGTGGCATTAGGGAAAAGAGTAGCTTGCGATCAAATAGTCTTGGCTCCTTTTGGTGTGAGTTCTGCTTGTCTCTTAATCGTTGCACTGTGAGCTTGACGCGATGGTCAGCTCGCTCTTTTCCTTGGCACAATGGGAATCATGGAAGGACGTAACCGACGCCAAATTCAGCAGAAGTACTCCGACATTTACGTCCCGGCACTCCTTACCAATTGGAAGGTTTGGCCAGCCGCTCAGGTATGAAATGACCTGCTTATCTGAGATTGCATCTTCATGCTTAATATAACATTTTAGCTCATAAACTTCCGGTATATGCCCCTTCCATACAGGATACCATTCCAATCCACATGCGGCGTATTTTGGACGTTATATTTATCTATGCTTAACTCCCGGTACGTTTTTAACTGTCTGTAAAGAATCCGTACTTACGTCGGCGCAGAGAGGACGCGAAACAAGATAGAGAGGCCGCAATGCATCGTATACTTGGGTAGACTCTTTCAGTACACCATCCACACTTCATCCGTATTACCGCAACCACTCGTATACTGGAAATCACTGTTAATCTGCAATTTTGATGTAGCATGTAGTTCTTAATCCCCTCTTCGCTGTATGTATATAGACAGATACAATCATACATTTCCTGGCATTATGATGCGCCATATTTTGGTTTGAAGTAAGCAGGTGGTAATGTTGCCAACACATCTACCAGAGGTCGCTCCACGACTACCAATTCCCCAGATGCCACGAAGTCGACATAGAGTATCGGTCTATACTGCGTGATCATTTTAAAGTGCCGGGCAGTCTGAGTCTGGCTTTCAGAGGTTTCGGCATTGGTCTCGCGGTGGCGTTTCTTGCTCACCCTCCCACCCAAAGGGTTGTAGTTTAGTTTACATATCCAAGTCGAGCCCCAAAGGAGAACGAAGCGTTGCGGCGCAGGCGCAGGCGAGTCAACGACCATATCCGACGCCGCGGGGGCTATCGAATCAAAAGCGATACCCAGCACCGGGTCATGGGCATGCGTGAACCGTTTCGGCAGCGAATTGCAGAAATCCTGCGCCCAAATGGGGGACTGCTTCGCCTCGACATCGTAGATCTGCATCGTGTTGTTCGGGAACGCCATGATGAGGATATTCGGCTGCTTGGGGTCGAATGACATCGTCTGGACGGGCAGCGGGGAGGAGGGGAGGATGCAGTGGTGTTGTATCGAGTCCATGTTGAATATATGAGTCCGGGATAGGTCGTCAGAAGTGGCTAACCATTGGCCATCAGCGCTGATGACCATCCTCGTTATACGAGCGAGGATTGGTTTCTGTTCTTCGATCTCTTCCTCGTCTTTTTCATCCTCTTCGGCTTCTGAACCCGAGGATAGGTCCGCGTCGACTGCACGGCGTCCCCGCACGACGCGATTGCCAATATATCCATTGCTTTTCCGGTGCTGGTTAAACCGACGGAGGACAGTTGGCTTTTCGTCATGAGAGTGGAGGTCGATGATCAAGATGTAGCCGGAGAGGGCTACCGACATGGCTAGTTTCGATGAGTCTGGCGTGAAGGCGAAAGCTAGCGCTCCGGTCGTAGCATTTGCTTCAGGGAGCTGTGCCTTTATCGTGGATGAGAAGTCTCGTATCCTTGACGGAATAATGTCGCCATCCACCTGCAGAATCAATCAGCGACTGTGAGCTGCATGGTATATCGTTGTAAATGGCTTACTTCGTTCAACGAGAACAATTTTGTTTCGTACAGATCTGAAACCACTAACCAGCGAGCATCGTCGGATATTCGACATGCGACGAGGTTGGTATTGACGTTAAGTTCCATGTCCAACACTTTATCCCACCCTCTTCCTTCGACGGGTGTGACACCTTCAGCATCTTCCTCGTCTACCGCCGACGCCTTCGGATGTATTCTCCATATGCTCAGGCTGCGTTCGCGCATACACGTCAACAACCGCGTCGCTTTCGCTATACACAAACCAGACGTCGATGACGGGCCGGTGGTGTAGGCTATCTTCCTATGATACGCGTCGTCGAAGGTGGCATGCGAACTAGTGTTGAGCGGGTTGATCACTTTCACGATGGTGTTCGTAGAGAGGGCAGCGGGGGTCAATACCACCGTCATGTCCAAGCCACCGGAGGCTAGAATGGGCGCGACGTCGATAGGATACCGGCGCCTGTGGGAAGAGGGAAGGATGGTGTACGGTGGCCACATAGCTAAGGCTCGGACATCGTGAGCGTGTAGTCGGCGGGAGGCAGACTGGACCCAGCGACTCGCGGGAGATTTTGTTGTAGTCGAGTTGCCCTGTTGTGCTTTGATGAATGAGAACTGAGTGACTTTCTGATCGACGCCAGACGTATAGACGGTTCCGCCATCCTAGTAAACATTGTTGGATAACGGACAGCTTTTAGGGGGCAATGTTGCGACTTACAGGTCCGCAGATCAAACAGAGGACGTCTGCTCCGTGTGCCGGGAAGCTTTGGATCTGGGTGCACGTCCGTGAATCCCAGAATTTGACGTTTCCCAGCGAGTCGCCGGAGATTATCGTACCATCGCTGCGAAGTGAATCAGCAATGCCTTAGCCTGAATGTATGCCAATAAACTTCACCCTAGAGCCCCGACTGTCCATACAAGCGTCCGTTCCCCTCTGGTCTTGTCCACCATCAATCTGTCAACAACTCTGCCAGTAGAGACATCCCACTTCCGCAAACTACTATCCGAGCCTCCCGTTACTATCCATGAATCCGTCCAATCCTCTTCTTCGTCTTCGCTAGAGTCATCATCGTCTTTCTGCGTAGATGTCTGAGTTGCGCGAGGAATCGGTGGGCCCCACGCGAGGCTCAGAATGCGGCATTTTACTTTGTCGAATTTCCGGAGGTGCGTTAATGTATCGTGGACCAGTGATATCAGTCTGACCGTGCCGTCTTCACAACCGAGTGCAAGGGTGCTAGATGCCGGATTAGCAGCCATACACCATATCGAACCCCCTTGTGAGCCAAGGGTACGCTTTGGAATGGATCTTCAGCGAGACATAAAACTTCTCTGAATCTGTTCACATACGCGGACGCAATCCTTCTCGAGATCCCATTCCAACAGGTCGCTTCCTCCGCCAGAACTGAATAACCGAAGATCAGAGCATGATGGGACACTCTCAGACGGTAGTCGTTCCGGGTGTCTTATCACGAATACGAGGGAGTCGACTTTCGAGGGGTAGGGTGCAGATAGGGTCTGTAAATAATATTTTAATCGATGAATGTCGTAACGAAGAAGATAACAAATACCTGACGCGTTACCCAAGCTTGGGACGACTGCAGCTGCCTCGGCGACCATTCACAGAGGTCGATATTGCCGTTAGCATGGCCCACGGCCAAAGTCCCGAATTTCGGAGCCTCCTTCGACGGTGCTGGATTTTTCCCCTTTGGAGACGGCAGAGGGAGCGGTGGCAGCGCCAAGGCCGTTATTGCTGACGGCGCAAAATCAACGAATCTGCATCGATGCACCGACAACGTTGTTGGTTCGGCCATTTTCAGGACTTAGGAGGTCGTCGCGTAGGATCTATCTAAATTTTCGAGACCTGACCGAAATAACGTGACCAAAGCCCTTTCCTTCCGTTCCACCACCAACCTCCAGTCAAAATACACCATGTCGTTTCTCGGACGGGGACCTGGAGGACCTTCTAATGGCGTCAACCCAGAACGCATAGAAATGGCCATTACCGAGTGAGTACATTCGCAAAAGTTGCTGTTGCTGTTTGCTCATCCAAGACAGGTTGGACACGGTCACAGATTTTTTCAACCGCATGGTCTCGTTCGTGTTTCTCGTCTGCGTCGTGACTGTTCCAGTATACTCAAGAGCCTCATGTAGTTCATGCCACGCAAAGTGCATTAGCACGCGGTATGCCGATCAAGACCTCAACAAGGGTGAAAGCGTATGCATAGACAGATGCGTCGCCAAATTTAACGAAGTGCAGAAGAAAGTCGGTGAAAAGCTCCAGAGTCGGGGTGCAGCGGCGTCGGGAGGAGGAGCGGGTTCGTTCACTGGTCTGTAAACCGTTACATTATACCCCATCATCTATATGCCATCGTAGATATGTCTAATCTAATCCATTCGGCGCAAAGAGCACAATAGATGTGAATTCAGAAATCATCTCGACACGAACGAGCTAAGCCAATGAGTCCGAAGCCTAAGCTTTAACGCCTGGGAAGCAGTCAGCCATCGTCTTGGAGTGCTTGTTCTGCGCATGCTCCTCCAATCTGTGCAACGTGAATCAGACGTTGGTCCCGAGGTCAACTTCTATAAGACTTACGCTGGTGCGCGGGTGGTGATAAACTACATCAACGACAGGTGAGTTAAACTTCGACCGAAGTGCACGACGACTTACAAATGATTGCCTGCACGTAGAGCAAATGATGGACTTGGCAGCCTCGTTCACCTTGCTTTGGCTTTTCGAGCCTTTTGCAGCTCCTTTCTCGGCATTGCGCTCTCTCTTCTGCTGAGCCTTAGCACCCTAGAAGACAAGATCGAATCAATTCCCTCGATACTCGACCATCTGCTTTGCAGAGAGAAGCCGAGCTAACATTACCCATTTCGAGGCCGATAAAGAAGAGGCGAAGTGTAGATCGTGAGTGGTCGTTCAATGAAGTTGCTCAAGCAAGAGACGAAAAACTGGCGGTGAGCACGCATTTTATTACGTAACCCTGTATACCTACTTGAACCGGACCGAGAACGTTCAGATGTTCCCCGATCCCGACCTCTTGCATATTCATAGACGGGGCCACACGGACACGGAGCTCGCAATCCAATCTGTATATGTTGAGCTTCTTTTGTGCACGCTCACATCTTCGTGTATTTGTCACGCAGATACGAAACCCCCCTTCGTTTGCCTCCCTTTCCCCATCGTTCTCGACGATGGCTTCGAACATAGACGCAGCTCGCGCAAAGATTGCTGAACAAGTCAAGATAGATATCTTATCAAAGGACCCTGTCAAAGATAATGAATTAAAGTGCAAGGAAATCGGCCGTACCTTTATCTGTGCGTCCCTTCTTCGTTATGCTGATTAACCTGACTCGAGCCCCAACATGAAGCCGACACCATAACAGGTCACGAACAATCGCTTTCGTGATTTAAATGCGTCTGAATATATTAATCAGTTCCTACCAAGGAGATGTATCAATACGCGGTTCTCTCTACTTTGGGTGATGATGTTTATCACGAACCATCTACAGTGTCTGCACTCCTTAATCTACTTCTTGAGACTCGCTCGACTAAACTGACTAATTCAGTGCCCTTGAAGCACATCTAGCGCAGCTCCTTGGCAAAGAGGCAGCTCTATTCGTCGCGTCTGGGACGGCATCCAACCAAATCGCGTTGAGGTCGCATTTAAAGCAACCTCCGCATTCTGTGCTATGTGATCACCGTGCACATATTTATAAGTACGGCTGACACTCGAATTGAAAGCCTATACTGACCTATTGGAAGGTATGAAGCAGGAGGTGTTGGCTTTCACTCCCAAGCTGCTGTCACTCCCGTAATTCCTGCAAACGGTCTGTGGTTTTCTATCTCGTGCTTCATGACAATCGGCTTAATTGTGATAAAGGGCATCATCTGACACTTTCGGATGTCGAAGCAAACACTATCATCAGTTCTGATGTCCATTTGTACGATGGTCTACTATATCCTCATCCTCCTTTCTCACCACCTTGTAGCGCACCAACGGAAGTCATCGCTCTAGAGAATACCCTCAATGGAACCATCATCCCGCAGGATGAAGTTATCGCCATCTCTGACTTTGCCCACTCCAACAATATCAAGATGCATCTCGACGGAGCTCGGCTCTGGCATGTCGCAGCAGAGACTGGTGTGTCGCTCAAGGAGCTTTCTGACCCATTCGACTCTGTCAGCGTCTGCTTTAGTAAAGGATTGGGTACACACCTTCGCATACCCCATCTGCTAGACTTTTAGACTGACATTCCTTCGCAAAGGTGCTCCAATAGGCTCGTGCTTGGTCGGCAGCAAGGAGTTGATCAAGAAGGCCCGTTGGTTCCGCAAACTCTTTGGAGGCGGCATGAGGCAGACTGGTGTCCTCGCTGGATGCGCTGCATATGCATTATCTCATAATTTCCCTCTCCTCCCAAGAGTACACGAACTCACCAGAAAGCTCGAAACTGGCCTTGAGAAGATCGGTGCAGAAATAACTAGTAGAGCAGAGACTTGTATGGTAAGTGAATTGTTTTCGGGTTTGCCGATGTATTATCCTCATGCATGATCTTATAGGTGTTCTATGATCCGTCGCCAATCGGCGTGGACTACGGCGAGATCGCTGATAGGGCAAGTTTACTTCCTGAACCCCTCTTCCTGGGGGGATCACGCTTGGTCGTCCACATTCAAACCACCGAGCAAGCTATAGACGACTTCCTTTCGCTTGTTGCGCAGTTAGCCGAGGAGAAAAAGAAAGCAGGATTTGTTCCCCAGCCCGTAGAAAAGAAAACGGGGAGGTACCACGATGTGTATGTCAGGCGGCCTCCCAAGCAGGCGTGATAAGAGGATAGAAAGTGGCTAAAATGCTATATGATTGATTAAGATATAGATGTTTACAAGTTATTGCTAGCTGAGTCCAAGTTGCGTCAATCAAAGGAAGGTCCATCTGAGTAAATAATCTCGGCACTATCATCGACGACGAAGCTCCCGAACTGGTATTCGTCAGGACTTTCGTTACCACGCTCTGGGGAGCTGGATATGATATATTGTTTCGCAGCTCTTTTGGGACCGAAGACTCCTGTTCTCACAGGTTTGTCCTTGAAAGCAGGACCGGCCCGTCCAGGATACTGCGACAATAGACTTTGTCGATAAATCAGGGATTGGTCATAACTTGGCGAAACTTGCGTTGCAAGATCTTTGATAAAGGCACGATCGGTTTCATCTTCAACGTCATCTTCGCTATGAGAAGAGCCTGCGCTGACTTCATCTCCCGAATGTTCAGCAGCGACGTCGAAAAGCGGGTTGAGATGCTGACGTCCTAGGGTTTCGCGGGCCTTCCCCTTCCCCTTGCTGACTTTGGGTACATTAGATGAAGATGTCTTACGCTTCAATCGCCGCTGAGATGGAGGCGGCATCTCGACGGACGGAGAGTCGAGCTCGATATCTGGGAGAGCTCGTTTGCGTTGTAATCTCCCAACAGGGCGTACAGGGAATGTCGTAGGTGGGCATTGAAAGGTCTTGCTTCGGCTTGATTCGCCAACCTTGCCTACTGGAGGAGACAGAAAATTCGGAGACCGTAGATTCGCGCTGTGGTTGGGGGGCGAACCCCATGCCTGGGCAACAATGGGTGAAAGTGGTTTTCTTGGGGAACTCCATAGTGGTGAACTTGGGCGGGAGAGGGGATCGAGGGGAGGCGTTGATCTTGGACCACTATCATGGCAAGTTACTGGCATCGGTTCGCCAACCTCCATAGAATCGTCCAGCGAGAATGCGCCTGGCGGTGGAGGGCTGGAGCTGATAATTTGGATACTGGGGTCGTCATCTGATCCGTCCACCAGCCACGCCATACTATCTACAACGGCGTTGTTCGAGCCAGATGCTGAAGCGGGCTGAAACTGAGATCGTTCCTTGCTGCGTGGTGACTCGATATCTTGGCGACCCTCGTCCTCATCCCAGGAAAGCTCTAGGACGTCTGGCAACCGCTTTGTTGGTGGGGATGGCGGTATAGGACTGACAGGTGGAATTGAAGGAGCCTTCTTGCGCTTCTTAGGCGCGGATTTTGGGATTGTCTTGTGTATGGGCGATCCCAATGCTTCCTTCTCATCACTAGGGTATTTCTCTGGAGAGGGACTGCGCGCGGGCTCTGGCGACTGAGCAACTTTACCCTTCTTCGTACTCTTCTTCTTTTTGGCGATGTTGGTAGTGGCGGAACGCTTGAGAGTGGATTTGGCCTCGCGTGTGGAAGTAGAAGCCGCTGTCGATGATTGGGTCCGCCGAGGGGGAGGAGGGTAAAAAAGTTCGGTTTCAATCTCCCGATCGGAAGAATTATCGACCCCCGCAGCCTCCAGTTCTTTGTCGGAAATCTTGATCTTTCGTTTCTTCGTTAACTTCGAGGCGGCTACGAAGCCACTTATTGCACCATAAGGCATGTTTCGATCTGGGGCTTCGTTGCGTTTGCGCTTCGGAACTCGAGGCTCTTTTTCTGGATTTTTCCCAGCAGATTTGGTGCGGCCAACTCTTCTGTATTCGTCGCTACGAACGTATTCAACGATGTCCATCGCTTTCTCCAGACACTCAGGCTTGATGTGGCTAGGGAGGAGGCGCTCGACGTCACCATATAACTCCAGGTCTTCGCCGCTGCATATTGATTTCTGGACATGAGAATAGGCGTCTTTAGCCTTGTCGAAATTCTGTTCCTCGCGGCCTTCTGCAAGTAGGACATGAACAACGCCCGAACGCTTGCGACCAGTGCGGCCAACGCGTTGCAACTGGAAAGTAATCAGAAGCAATTTCAGGGAATGCAAAGCGACCTACCATCCGAATAGGTGTCTTCTGAGCATCATAGCAAATGATCAGGTCCACTTCGCCGATGTCCAACCCTTCTTCGCCAATGGAAGTCGCTACTAAAACGTTGTATTCGCCGGCTTTGAATTTCTTGATGAGCTAATGTCTTTGTGTTAGGGCAGAGCCGCCTTGGGACGGAGGAAATGCAAACCTCAAGCTGCTCCTTCTGCGCAAGTCCCTTCTTCCCATCCTTATCAGTGCCTTGCCCAATGAACGCAGCCGCTCGGAGCATGGGGCGATCGAAATTGAGAGCTTCTACTATCTCCTCGACGCACTCCCGGAAAGTCACAAATACCATGGCTCGGGTTTCTTCGGGTGCTTCAGCTTCGTCCGCTGCATCAGCCAAAAGACCACCGAAATGCTGGACCAAGAAGGTCCTGAGACGATCCAGCTTGGGATGCATGGTAAACTTTCGGGCCTTCTGAGCCTCGAACTCTTGTATGACAGCTTTGTACAGAGGATCATTTCGGAATTTCTTTGCATTCGAGACAGCCGTAGCCTTCTTTTGTGTGCCATCCCCGATACTATCTTCGGCCAGACTGAGAAGACATTTGTAGCACATCGAAACACTGGCCTCTTGCTGTACCAGGATGTGAATAAGATGAGCATATCATACAGATTGGAACGACGAACCAAGTACCCCATGGCTCGAGCTAACCCAGAGAGTCGAAAGAGAGGCTGATATGCCCATTTCTGGTTAGGACCCAGTTGCTGACACTGTTTCTGGAAGTAAAAAGGGTGCGCATTGTAGACGTTCATGAGATGGAGGACTCCCCGCGAGGCGAGCGGTTGCAAGACAGACTGAGGGGGAGAGGCTCAACGGCGAGTAAATGGGAGAGAATGAGCTTACCTCCATCAGTTTCGCTAATGGAGCCATGACTCGGTTTATGTCGTCGTTCATTTTGATGATATGTTGTTCAATACGCTGTAAATTGTTGAGCCAAGGGCAGGGGTCTTAAAGGCAGGTCCTCTACCTTTTCGTGAATGAAAGGCTTGAGATCTAAGCTGTGTTCATCTCGTATCTCAATGTGACTAATATGAAGAGCGTCTACGAGATCTTGCACTTTCTCTGGGGTACCACCAGGAGTGGCGGTCAGAGCAAGTATGCGAAAATGAGGATTCTTCGCCATGAGATACCGAACGGCTTGTGAGTATGCGTACTGTCCCGTGGCTCTGTGGGCTTCGTCTAGAAAGAGGTCACACATACGAACGCAAAAGGGCGCAACCAACCTTACCGATGACGAGTAGGACAATGTCCATCGGATCGCAGGTTTCCTTCGTGAGGTCGTTAACTAGAGTCTGAGGTGTCATGTAGATCACCCGTTTGTCATGCCACTGACGAGCTAATAATGACGAATGCACTTGAGAAGATTGGCGGAATACTCACCGCTTTGGCCCTGAGGGCCCTTACATTATCGCCGGTTAGCTCGATGGCATCATTGCCAGGAATACCGCACACTTGATGGCATGCATCGATTTGTTGAGACACAAGTGGCTTCGTCGGGGCTACAAATACTACCTTGCCTTCTGGAAACCAGCGATAGTCTGAGGAATTATGGTCGTCAAGAACCAGCTGAAGAATGAAGAAAATGTCATACAATTCAGCATCACAACACCAGCAACGAAGGTCTTCCCAAGACCAGTAGGGAGGGCAACGAGAGTATTCTCAAAGAGCGAATGTTTTACAATGTTGAATTGATAGTCACGTTTAGGACGGTTGAGAGGATATATCCAATGCCTTGCCTCTAGAAGATCTGGCTCGAGTTTCATTGGTGGAGGCTAGATGAGCAAATATGTTCAACGATCTGTTCAGACGCTACGACAACGAAGAACATACTGGGCTATGATAAGGAATATAATTGGGACCTTCAGCAGAAGATATGTTATGAGATATCGACTTACCCAACTGAAGAGAACGATAACCGTAATTACGTCAGAAACATCCGAGCTAAGATTGTCTGTGGCCTCACCTGGAACAAACGGAGCGGGGAATTGTTCGAATTCTTCACCTTCCTCGTCACTGTCGTGCGCATCCTGTCCGTCCTTGTTCTTGGACTTTGGGAGTGGCTTACGAAGCCCAGTCTTAGCGAACGCAGTATGATCCCATTTCTTTGTCTTAGGGGCTGGCCGTCCAAAAGGTGTCTTCGGGTTTGATTTCGTTCTTTGTATCGGATTGGCCGGTTTTGGCCGACTTGAGCTTGCTTGTGGCTGAAGTACATCTCCGAACAAAGTTGTCTGAAGCGTCGCGCGAGACGTGGATCGCGAAAGCGTACTGGAGCTCGCTGAAGGTTGAGCATCTACATCAATGACTTCTGCAATATATGCGTCGAGTCGCGCCGCATCTGCGGAGTCGAGGGCCAGAGAAAGGTCGCCAAACGAGTCATCGTAGTCCGACTGTGGAACGTTGTCGACGGCGAGGGCGGCAGCTTCTATGGCATCCAGTTGTCCGAGGGCCTCCGCGTCGAAGTCGATAGGGTCGTCGTCAAAATATCCCTCCGAGTCGCTCATCTGAGGAGCAATAAATACGATCCTGAGTCCGTGGTGGTATGCTTTGAAGTGATTACAAAGTTGACGCGCTTTTACGCGCCACCTCAATCGAGCACGTGACCACGACATGGATGTAGTCACCAACGACGTTCCCACAGGTCGAGCGTACCGATATTGGTACTGACTGCCATGTCCGCCAAGTCGGTCGCCCTGTGGAATGCATTACCAATGCAGCCCAACGAAGAGTCGCATGCTATCCTGAAGGTACTCATATAATGCTCTCTCAGTGGTTCATACTTCCCTTCTTTCCTCGGCCTTCCTTTACCAGCGCTCAAGAGATGACTACGAGGCCTCCCACGACGACGACGACGACGACGTTTCCATCGCATCTCGCACACCTTCACCCTCACCAGGGGACGCCATGGATGTAGACCTGGCTTCGTCATATAAATATGACGAGTATGTACGCGGGCCCGCTCGGGAGGTTATTACCGTTGAAACGAAGATCAAATCCACAAATAAAGGCTTTGCCATGCTTGCAAGTATGGGATGGACAGAAGGCCAACCCCTGGGATTATCTGGTGAAGGTACTGTTTCCCCGTAACCTATCACATTCGTTGATTTGACACTCGGTCCTCAAACGGTAGGCCGCACGGAACCAATTCCGTTTCAAGTGAAGAACGACTCAACGGGGCTTGGTAAAATTAACCAAGACGTTCGCATGATTGAGACGACAGTTTCCCAGCGGCGGGGCTTAGACTCCGAGCGCCAGCACAAGGAAAGCGAAGAGCAGCGGCGGATTCGAGAGGTTATAGTTCTGGTTCTAGCTCCTGCGGCCCGCTAATATCTACTTCGTATACAGGAAGCAGTAGCTAAAGAAACCGCCCGCAGTGTTGAAATTTCTGACACGCTGAAGGCATTCTATTGCAGCCTCTGCGACAAGCAGTTCAAGAATGTAGCTCAATACGACGAGCATACTAACTCCTATGCCCATCATCACAAGGCCCGCTATAGGGACATGCAAGCCAATGCTCGCATTATTCCCAAGGAAGAACTCGACCGGAGAAAGGAGAAGGAACGTAAACGAGAAGAGAAGGAGTTACGAAAGATGGCCGCCGCCATTGGGATCAAGATGTCGAAGCCTGCTGAAGGTGGTCTGTTAGCAGTACCTACTCCCGGTGACTCCATCTCCAATGGTGAATCGTCCCCCTCAGTTCCAGAACAAAAGCCAACAGGCTTCAAAAAGTCTGGATGGGCCACCGTTTCTTCCCCCGCCGCGCCCACGTCTGGCTTCTCCAGGGGGAGTGGGAACCCGCCCGCTGAACCCGCCCATCTACAGCAACCCTCGGGTAGCTGGACGAAGGTACCGGCACCTCCCCCGCAACCGTCCACGTACGAAAGCCCCCATTTCCGAACTGGCGGCTGGAGTTCGCTCGATCCTGGACCACAAAATATACCGAGACCACCACCAACAACAGATGGTTTGTCTTCCTTTAATTTCATAGTTGGTAGCATTCATGTCGCCGTCAAATACTTGGCATTACAGATACTCCTATACCCCCTCAGCCTCAACCGCCGACCTCAGCACCAGCAGCCCCTACGAAAGACACCCGATCTAGCTGGCAACAGTTCCAGAAGTTTGGCAAGGCCCGACGATAGTCAACATTTTATGATTTCGATGTTCGTAAGCTCAAGCTCAAGAAGACAGAATTGGATATCGACAACTAATTAGCTACACTGATCATTCTCTTGGGGATATACCTATTGTTGTATAAAGTGAATATACTTCGAATGTATGTACGAGTGAGTAACGACTGAAGAGAAACGCTTTTGGGCAAAAGGACCAAGAAGAATACAAAACTACGAAAACGTGAGTTGTTAAGTCCATCACTCAGAGTCACTTCCTGAGCTATCGGAACCTGAGCTCGAGTCCGACGAATGTTCGCTGTGGTCGTCTCTGGCCATAGCGCGCGGTGCTGCTGAGGGGTCTCCTTGGTCGAAAAGGGCCATGCGACGCTCAAGCTGCCGAATCTTCTCCGCTTCAACATCCTCGTCCATGCTTTTCCGCTTCAGACCTCCAGTTCCTGTACCTTTGCCAGGTCTGCTGCGCTTCGGAGCGCTGGTCCGCAGTGGACGTAACACAAAGTTATAAAGTTTCGTCAACACTGGTGCTGGGAGCATGTCAATCTCGAGTTCAATTTCATCCGTGCTCTACGAGGGCAGTATCAATCATTAGTCATCAGCAGAGTGATGATTGAGGCTGAGACTTACATCTCGTATTTCTGGGACACCTTCGTGGATTATTTGAATGACCTTCTCCAGTTTCGGGCCATCCAATTTGCCAATTGCCTCGCTAAGATCTTTCTTCTGCTCGAACGTGAGGACGTCGTCATCAGCGACAGGCTTCTTCGAGCGCTTCTTCGAAGGAACTTTGGCCGGTTTGGAGGTCTTGGAGGTCGAGGCGACTGGAAGCTTTTCCTTCTTCTTTTCCTTCTTCTTCTCCTTGGGCTTAGATTTCAGAGCCGCAATACTGCCTCTCATTGTCTCTATCTGAGACTCCATCATTGCAATGGCGCCTAGCAAAAGATAGTCAGCTCGGAGATATAAATAGAGCTGTAGTAATCACTTACGAGCACGATCATCTTCCTCATCCTCCTCCTCATCTTCCTCGTCGTCATCAGAGACACTATGAAGTGGCGGAAGGGACTTCCACTTGTCATCGAACAATCGCTGGAGCTCTATCCCGGCTTGATTCACGGGCGTTCCCGCAGGATTGAATGCAAAACAGTTGCGAATCATGAGCTTGAAGTCGTCAAAGAACTTGTGAGCATTGGGATATTCGTGGACGTCGAGTTTGCGTCGCATCGTAGACAAATCCATGGGTTTTTTCACGATCTTGGGATAAGAAGGAATCTCAAGCTTAACCCAGTCTGCGGATGCTGCATAAGTGCCATGATCCAGGACAGATATGGTCTGTTACCTACCGACGGGCTCGTAAAAGGGATGTGCGATTGCGTAGTGTTGCTTACGATGGAGTTCCTGAAGGATTTTCCCGCAAAATTTGAGTTGTTCGTTGGTGCCGTCATCTTTCGTGCGCTTGATTTTACGCTGCTTTTTGGGAGCGTCGGCATACGGAAGATCCTTCGGGGGAGGCGGATGGATCTCTCGTTTGGGTCTGGTAGTGCCTTCTTCGTTGCGTCGTATGACAGGAACGGAAGTAGAAGGACGACGGGCGGTACTCGTCTTCTTCGGTGGGGCAACAACTGGCGGGGGGGGGAGGGGGAGGAGTGGGTTGTTTCTTGGGAGGAGGGGGCTTGTGCTAGAGAAAGAGGTTGGAGACAGTTATAAGTATGTGAGAAACGGAAGCGTACCTCTAGGGCGGGGGGCATATGCTTGATCTGCTTATCGAACACTTCCTCAATCCGCTTCCCCATGGCCGTGATAGGGTGGTCTGGCCCGTTGAAAGTAATGCAGTTCGTAAAAATGAGTCGCACATCCGCGATGAACTCGTCCACATTGAAGTAGCGAGGGTTCTGAGGGTTGGGGTCAGGCTTCGCTGGATTCGAGGACGCAAGCTTGTGTTCAATGGTAGTGAAATCCATTGGGTGCTTTATGATGGACGGATAGTGTGGGACTTGGAGTGCTACAGGATCAACAGGGCGAAGGAAAGGCCCGGAATCTTTATTCTTCTTCAGTTGGCGGATGGTAGAACCACAAAAGCGGTACTGAAGAGTGCTGAACGTTGACGCTCCTGGTGAGGGCGGAGATATGGTAGAAGCTGAGGGCGGAGGTGGTGTGCCAGTCGGCGGAGGTGCCGGAGTAGGACCATCGGAAGCTCCAGGGGTCGAGGCTGGGGGTGGAGTTGCGGACTTCAGGACACGGGGGATTAGCACGCCTATAGCGGCGCACAAGATAATTGAAACACTCACTGCGATCGCGCGCGACGCTTTATCCGCGTCCGAGTACATCCTCTGCCTCTTTGCTGGGGGAGGTTTCGTATCTTCCTCCATCACTACTGATTCCGAATACGATATGCCATTGGTATGCACAGAACTCATTGAAGAGTCGAAGGGAATATTGGGGCTGTCTGTGGGAGTTGGACCTGACATATCAACGTCAACGGAAGCGCCATTGGTAGATGGGGCGTTTTCTTCTATCATGCTGATATCTTCCTGCGGCTGTGCCTGTGGCGGGGGTGTAGAGGAAGGCGGGGCGGGCGGGTTCGAGACTTTGCGTTGCTGACGCTTCAGACATCCTCCAAAACAAAGGTAAAAATGGGCACAAACCTAGATCAACAGGGGTTTCCGCTAAAAGTTGTGTCGACGCGTCTTGGACCATAGCCACGGGCTCAATGATTTTGACGGGGATGGGCTCGTGTCGGACATCACTCTCTTGCTCCTGGTAGTCGATGTCTATCTTGACATCCGGGATTGCTGAAGAGGATACGGGCGTCGTTGGAGAATCAACATTAGGCGAGTCGACGCCGTTAACGCCATTGGGCTTTTCGTTGTCGGCGCCGTTGAGGACGACATCAACGACCGCCTTGTCGTCGTGGTGGGTGTTGCCGCCGTTTAGAGTTGTCGGCGCGCTGCTCATGATAAAAATACGCGTGACGGTCACGGCGTGACAGTGGGCAGATGAACAAGGGAAGATTTGGGAGTTAGGGGGATCCGAAGCTGACTAGGTCTTTATAGCCTACAGGAATTAAGGTTCGATCTCCCGCGCAGGGGCCACCCTCTCAAATCCCCATTTCCCTGTCCCCTTTCCCCCATCTCTTTGTCTCACTGGACCGCGCATGTACATGCCAATGTACAACCTCATCATTTTACTTCTCTTCATCGTCCTCTTCCTGAGGCACTTCTGCGAAAACGGGCTTGGGTTGGTTTGCTCGCCAGGCTGAGAATCCGGAAAAAACCGCCACGTCAGTCCGCCATCAAAACAAATAAGACCAAAGCGCAGTTTTATCGTGTCACGTGCACAGATGACACAATCGGCGTCGCGAAACGGACATTGTGATAATCGCGAAGCCAGAAACGTCAACTCACCGCCTGTCCATTGCGGATCCTGCTCTGCAGCATTCGCATACTTGAGCAGCGCCTCGCGGGGCTACAGACCGCAAGAAAGATAAGTCAGTAAACGCAATTACCTACAGTCTCCATGAAAACAAGAAAACGTGAGAGCCGCAAACGGCACCATTGCAACCGTCAAGGCGCCAATCAATCTACCCAAAATGCTCCTCCCAGCCTAGAAGATAAAGGGACGATGAAAGAAAAGCTGATCCCCAATATCAAAGCAGTACCGTGTTTCCCTCTCCGAAAATTGATAGGACAAAATGGGAAGATAGAAAGACGTACATCTTCGTCTCGCGTCGTGTCTCTGACCAGATTTTGAACGACATGCTGGGTAGCACTCGCTCCCACCCTGCCACCTCTCCCTGGTCCGGTCACAGGGAGTTCTGGCCGTCTGCTCTTCCTCGGGTCCAATCTGTCCTTTTCTCTTTTTCTCTTACTTCCACGCGCTATTCCATCACCATCGCGGAACATCGGAAGTGCGTGAGGCGTGATGATGGTGGGCGCAGCGAGGGCGTCCGACATGTCTTCAATTGTAACCTTCCTCGGCGGCCCTTTGCTGAGTAGCAACTTCGCTCCGTTAAGTGAGGTTTGTGGTGAGTATAGCACACATATTTGACCGCTCGAGAGGCCAGTGACAATCTACGAAGGCACGAGTTAGACTGGGAATCCATCTGAAAGCTGATGTATCAATACATGCCTGATTGATCTTACTGTGCCAAAAGACCTTAACGGGCGTAGAATCGACGTCCAGCGTCTTTACGACATCCAACGTGTCCTTCTCCATGAACAACAAACGTCCCTTCCCACCTTTCGTAGTCGCAGCAGCGCCGGTGATAACGTACTTATCATCTGGGCTAAACATAGCATTGGTGTTGGGATACAGAGTCCCAACATCAGATCGTACAGCCAAAGGCTTTTTGAACGCCCTCAGATCCCAAACTATTTCCATTGAAGACGTTACGGTTTCGTTGGCAATATGGAATTCAGAACTCACTTTTGACCGTGTCATCTCCGCCTCTGGTAAGAACGGTTCTTCCGTCAACAGAGAACACAACGGAACCTGTTTCAGTGCCCTTCGTATGTGCGCCTTCTATGGTCATGTTTGGTCGAACAAAATTGGAATTCGCTTGCCACATGTGGAGCGCTCCGTCCACGCAAGCTGAATGGTTTGGAAACTTTGAGCGAGTCGCAGAAAGAATGACCATGTTACTCACCTCCGCTGATGATATTACCATCCGGAGAGTACGCACAAGACGTGACTTTGGTTCTGGCTCCTCGTTCCTTTGACTTGACTACAATCACCGATTTCTGCTTCCGTTTGTTCTCGACTTCCCAAATGCTGTTTGGAGTGGTTCAGAAACGGCGAGCTTACGTATATGTACGACATACCGAATAGTGGAGTCGGCAGCACCAGTGATGAACGTCTCAGGATTCTTCGGGTGCCATGCGCAAGAAGACAGCTCGAAAACATGGCCGCTGTAAAAAGACCGTTAGACTCTCGCTTGAATGCTGAAGCGACGAACCCACGCAGTGTGCTTCATATCGCGAATATACATGTCACCTTTGATGAAAGTGGCCCTGCCAGTCAGTTGAAGCCATCCAATCTATACTGAAATTACCGCACGTACTCCTCTTCTCCGTCTCGGTCATACAATTTGGCCTGAGTCGTTCCCGACACTACCAAGAACCTTTGCCCGTCTATCGAGTACTTAACGTCATGAATCTTCAGATGAATGTGAGTTGAGCTAAAACTCCTGCAAGACGAGTGGGAACATACGTGATACGTCCCAGACGGTTCCCAGGTCTTGAATGGTTTACACCGGTAGTCCATACCACCAAAGTCCCATAGTTTACAGTCGTAATCATGCGAGCCGGAAAGAACTCGTGCGCCAGACGGATCGAGGGCTAATGCTGAGATAACTTTAGTATGATCCTTCATGACAATTTCATGGGTGATTGGAAATTGAGGTAGTTGACTGTCTTCGTCGTCATACTCAGGATCTGAGGGGTCGAACTCCGGCTCTTCGTCGTCGTCCTTGTCTCCGTCTTCATCCTCCTCTTGTCGTGTCGGCGGAAGCGAGGGTCCAGGCTCGTCAGAATCCGACCCAGGATGCGCCGTCGGTTTTAGTGCAGACTGTTTAGACGACGAAGGCAGTGACACTCCGGTATTCACCTCCGCTGTCGACGAGGAAGCTACCTCCTTTGCCTATCTTGAGTTTCCAACAAGGCAAACATACAAGTCAAGACATACCTCCGACCGTTTGTTCTTTTCGAACCTGTTGGGGTCGAGCTGGCGCTTCTTCGTCGCCTTCCCAAATTCTGCGATGCCCATAGCCGCGAATACATCTTTGTCGTCCATGGCGAAGGTGAACAATTCTGTGAACAACCTTGAGTCAATATTCAGTTGCCACGCGCTGACTATGCCGACCCTTAACATGAGCGCACGTGACTTGTGGCTTAGTGCGCGTCGGCACCGCACTCCTTGAATGCTTCTCAGCATCGCGTCGATTCTCTCGCAGCCCCTAGACCTCCGCCAAGCCTACCAGAATCGAGGATGCTGAAACGACAGAGACCTTCATCCCCGTTTCCCTCTTCGTCAGATTCACCGATAGCTTGCGACCCGTACAACGACCTTCAACTCCCTCCCGCAACGAAACGGCAGCGAATTGCGCCACCGAGCCTCGATGGCCCTTCTCGCGGGTGGGGGGGATCTCACACGACTCAGACATCAGACAACGCAGACGACGGGGAGGAGGACTTAGAGTATGAAGACGACCATGACGCCATGTGCGATGCGAGCAGCACAGAAGCGCACCTGATACGAGAGAAATACAAGTCCACGAATACCATGCTCTCTGAGCTGCATATTCTCCATCAACATCAACATCGCCTACTCTTTGCGCCATCAGCGCTGCAGACACGCAGTAAACCGCTCGCATCGGCTTCAGAGGGTAAACGGATAAATGCACCTATCTCATCGTCAAGTCTGCCTGGGCACTCGAGTGGTCCAAATCGCGTAGACCATTCTCTCCGCATAGCAACAAAGAGCGAGGGAAATAAGGCTCCGTTAGAGGATCAGGATGTCTCTGAGAAGTACAAGCAAACGAACAAGTGAGTTACATGTCTTCATGACAAGAACAGTATCTAAAGGTTACTTCTCCTGCAGGTTGCTGGGCGATCTAGTTCTCTCAAGGAGGCGCCAAATAGGCAGCTCATCATAACAGAGCTTCTCGCTTCTCGTTGCGATCGTTGTGTGTTTCCTCTCCTTATCGCGAGACAACGCTTTCCCCTCGCCTTTGTACTCCGCGCGTGCATCTCATTTGCTGTACTAACACATTATATCCATGCTCATTTGCATCCTATCGCATCGCATTCACCATTTCTTCATTTGCATATTCATTGGCATGTAAATTATATTGGTCTTTTTGTGGACGGCGTACGACCGCACCTACACTTCATCACTATCATGCTCACGCGATATCTGCTATATACTGGGTGATATCGTCGAGCCCTACATTCACGTCCCTCCCAAAGACTTCGCCAATCTCCCGATTGAGTAGGTCCCCCATAGAACTGTCGTCTCGAGCGTACCGCCAGTCGTCGTGCTTCGGTGAGTAGTCATATCGTTTAGGCCCGCTAGTATTCCGGGGGTGAGGCCAAGACATGAAAACACATTGAGAATAGGACTCACCTGAAAGGACTAGAAAGCCATATCTGCTTGTTGGGCGGTTGCTTGTTTATCACGTACGTGCCCTTGTCTCCGAGGGAGAGAGTAAGGACACCACTCTAGCATAGGCAAAATTTGGGACATTGATCTCTCGCGAAAGTCAACTGACAGTCTGACACTCACCAAGTATTCTATCTCGTACCCCGGTTTTCCCTCCTCGTCCAGCAAGATCTCAAAATTTTCTAACAGAACCTCCATGGTCGCATCCGCAAGTTCATGGTATATCTCTTCCGAAAGGGGAATTGGGCGACTGAGATAGTAGATATTGAGTCATGAATGAGTTTTAGGGTTCGTTTAGTCGAATTCTGGGTCGGTTGGGGGAATCCTGACCTTGGGCTGCTCTGGGCGGCCGCAGTGCTCATCAGGCGGTGTCTCAGAGCAGAGGGAGGGGCCAGCATCGGACGTGTGTTGGCATGGCGAAAGAACTGGTTGGCGGCCGACCAGCTACGTCTACGAGCAACACAGAGCACTTCAGAAGCAAGCCTACGAGGTATCATGGATGGAAGTTGGAGTAGTCGCCCCGGTTAGGGTCGTATGTTTGGCTAGCAGAATTAGGTTATCTCCGAAGACGCCATTGGTTGGCACAAATCACACCAACTCAGATATTCGAATCCAGAAAGTAAGTAACTCTTCGCAATGGAAACACTGTCGATATGCATAGGCCATTTGGTTGCTCTGAGTTCCTCAGGGAGAATAATGATTTCCGGCTATGTGCCTGCCAAACGACATCGAAGATATGCGATATGGCTAAGATAACTTAGGTTGCCTTCTTGCCTTCCCTCTCTATCCAATCTAGCCATGACCCTTCGTAGTTATACAGACTAGACGAACATCAATAGATTGACAATGCATAGCTTTAAGGACTTACTTGGTATATCCGTTCCTTTTTGCAATATCGCAGGCTGACGCGCTGCGTTTGCCGCTTCTGCAGTAGAATATAATCTCTTGGTCTCTCTTTGGCTTCGTAAAGCCATGCTTCTCCTGAAACGCTGCTGCAGGCAGGTGGAGGGAGTTCCCAAGTACAGACAAGGGTAGATTCACGGCCGAGGGGATTGAACCTTGGATCACTTCGTCGGGTTCACGAACGTCTATGATGTACGCGTCCTAAGGGCCACTTTAGTCAGCACGCGAAATATTGCGAGTCAATACGGATGGCTGACCGGCGTCGGGCTCTGTGTTTTGGGCTTCATTTGTTCGTATGTGAGCAGCCGAGCATCCCAATCCCGTTGTAGATCATCATTGTGTTTCAAAGCTTCCTTCACTTTATCCTTGTCTGTTGGCGTCTGGGTTGATTGGGAACGAAGCTGCAGAGGTGACCGTCCAGCTGCAAGACGGCTTGCTACAGACAAGCGAGGCATCCTGGCTACCCTCGAACGAGACAATGCGACTCGAAACATCCTGGCTGGATATTATATGTTTGAGGAAAGTCGAAGTCAACGTCAACCGGAAGAAGAGGTGGATGTCGCACGCGAAGACCATAATGTCGACATATACGTTACATAAGCCCCTGACAATCACCAGTTTCCGGGGTCCTCAGGGTAGATTGAGGCAAATTTGCTGCAGTCGTCTGCGGTTGTTGCTTGAACCCAATCCACCATGTCGCGCCCCCATATCGCTTCATATTCTCGTATTTCGGCCAGTACGCCTACTTCAAGAGCGAGCTGGAGCGTAGTTCTCAGAAAGGCTAGCTTCTTGACGTAGGGTACTGTAGTCAGAATGCGCCAGCACCTTCCCCAAATCAGTCCTACTAGTCTCAAGACGCAGCAGCTGTCTCTCCACCTGTCGCCGAACTCCGTTGATTCGCTTTCTTCGTCCTCTATGCCATGCTGGAGCAATACTCTTCCTCTAAATCGCTTTGCGTTTCGCGTACAGCCTTTACGATTCCGAAGCGGAGTGGTCCACAGGGATGGTCCACAGATGCTCGGGTCACGCCGACACTCGGGTTTTGTGCTGGTCACATGCCGGTCGCTGGTCCTTCGAAAAAGTTTTTGTCTCCTTCCATTTCTGCCAGCTCTGCGACTTGAGACTCCGCTCGGATTTCGCCCTGAAGATATTCTCAACGACGGTCGTCTTGTCTGTCACTGACTATCGTCTTTCTTCCCGCTCTGTGGATTTTCTTCGGAACGGGTTCCTCGTCACTCGCCTCATCCTGCTGCACATCCTATTCAAACGGCTGCGATGTCTCACGGTGACATGGATATGTCGGGTTCAAGCTCAAGCTCAAGCATGTCTCATGGCTCGGGCATGATGATTCCGTGGCTTCATTTCGCCGGCGGCGACAACCTTTTCTTCGAGTCGTGGCGGCCTACCTCGCCAGGCGCCATTGCCGGAGCCTGTATCGGTTTATTCATCCTCGCAATTATCGACCGTTGGATGGCTGCTGTTCGTCGATTGATGGAAGCGTACTGGCGACGAAGGTGATTTACACATATACCACTTTTCCATCTTTCACGAACGTCATTCTAATATACGGACAATGATCAGGGCATTGCTTGTGACTGCCGAGCGAACGCAAGCGCCTTTGCTAGCAGGCGACGCTAAAGACGATGCCTTCGCATCTGTTGAAGCGGCGCCAGCTACTCAAGAACTATCCTCACGCTCCCGACATCTTCGTGTCAGGAGGACTATCGCACCGTTCATCGCCATGCATGACCTTCCACGCGGTGCTCTATTTGCCATACAGTCCCTTCTGATGTATACGCTGATGCTGGCGGTGATGTAAGCATTCTAACCCGGTAAAGGCGTTTGCTTAGGGCTGACCTGGATTGCTCAGGACTTTCCATGCTGGCTATCTCATCGCCATTATAGTCGGCCTTGCCATCGGAGAAGTACTCTTTGGCCGACTGGGCGATGTCCATGGCTTTCACTAGTACTTTGACTATGACGACTACACATCTTCCCAAGTCACTACATTATATATAAACTCTTTATGACATGAAGCATTGTACTTATACCACGATACTCTCTTTGCTCAATACGCATCACAAGTCTACACTTCTCAATCATCGACCGATTCCCAACCCTCAATACCTCCGTGTCGTGGTCGACGGTCGCTTTCAAGTTGGATGTTGACGTTGCCTGAGCCAGGGGACCGTCGCGGTGGCAGGTAGGCCTTGGCATTCTCCTCTAGGGTTGCGAGTCTTGGCGAACGGTGAAAAAGTTTTTTCTACTTACCTCCTCCCTAGTATGCTCGAGCCCGACGAGTATAAAATGCTGGACTAACGCCGTCTATTGCTTCAAGGACTAACGCCCTCCCTTAGTCTCTCGACGATCACGACCAACCTCCACACGTCCCATTACCACTACGCCTCAGCCATGTTCAAGCTTTACGCTCTTGCATTAATCGCTTCGTTTGCGGGTGTAGCTAATGCTCACTTCCGTCTTCTCTACCCGGAACCTCGTGGCCCGTTCGTCTCTGATCAAGAGCCCAACTTCTGTGGTAGGTCGATTTTTAGTTGAAGTCTGTTCAGCTACTGATTGGTTCTTGAATAGGGGGCTACACTAATGTTACACCCAACCGTACCGCATTCCCGATTAGCGGCGGTTTCTACAGCATCCGTACTGGACATGGGGGAACCAGTAAGGATACACATCTATATCCTAATAGAACTGTCCACTCACGACGTTATTCTTACAGTTGGTGTCATGGTCTCAACCGTACAGAACCCCAACAACTTCGACAACTTCTCGTCTGCTTCCGGGGAACCACAATTCGTGAATGCGTTCCAGAGTTCACCTGATGCGGGAGTGCTATGCTTCCCCTTGGACTTCTCGCAATCGAATATCACCGGTGTTCGCGATGGTGCCAACGTCACCGTGCAAGTGGTTGTCGCCGGTTCGGACGGTAGCTTGTACCAGGTGATTTACACATCTTCTACCGTTGTGGTGGCATTTATTGACCCGATTACTTGTGATGTAGTGCGCTGATCTGACATTGTCGAGCAATGCCACCACCAGCTTCACTTGCGCGAACGAGACCACCAGTAGTCATGATTCAGGATCTAATAGCTCCAGTACCACCGGCGGCTCAAGCGACAGTTCCAACAACAACTCGGGCTTAGGACGTGCAAGTACGTTGTCTGCATACGCAGCTGGCGTCATGGCCGTTGTTGGGATCATGGCCGGTGCTCTATGAGTGCTGAGCTAGAACGCTGTTCCTTCTGTTTGTTACGCGCAAAAGCGACGTCCTGGAGGATTTCTTGGATACCATATCATTGTCGCGTCTTCGTTGCATTCATTTCGAACTTCATGACCACCGGTGCATGTATTTATCACGACTCTTCATTGCAAACACATTTATGATGCCACACCCGTGCGAGAGTGCTCGTCCATTGGATTCCAAGGACCAATGGTAACCTTCGTTTCCATTGAATAGGCATGCGACCGCGGCAGTGCGCGCGAGTCGCATCATCAATCTCTTTGGCTGTGGGTCTATTCATAGCACGACCTATATGGTCCTCCTATGCGCAAATTAGGCATCTAGTAGAAAAAACTTTTTCACTCGAGCATAACGAAAGCATATAAAATAGTCGCTGAACTCGATGGACTAAATATTCCAAGCCACAACTAAACACAATGCGCCTCGCCCTCCAAACGCTCCTGTTCGCCGCGCTCGCCGGACTCGTGAGTGCACACTTCCAGTTGCAGTTCCCCGCACCCCGAGGCGCCTTCGTCGAAGACCAAGAGCCAACTTTCTGTGGTATGCTGTGCCATTGCATGATATGTTCAAGTTTTTGATTCTTGCTATAGATGGATATAACACTGCGTCGAGCAATCGCACAGCGTTCCCGCTAAGCGGGGGATTTTACTCGCTGAACTCTGAACACCCGAGGTGGACAGGTAAGCGTCCACACTGGTGTGAGAAGGAGTTGCTTCTCATGTGGGTCGCCTACTAGTTGGTGTTTTAGTGTCCACGGCTGCGAACCCTACATCATTCGACAACTTTTCCCAAGCCCTGCCGTTCACACAGTTGACGGGAGAAGGGGCCTTCTGCTTACCCTTGAACTTCGCGACTTCCAATGTCACAGGGCTCAGTGAAGGCCAGAACGTTACAATTCAGATCCAGTTCGATGGCGGGGACAGCCCTCTCTTCCAGGTAAAATTAATTTCCATTGAGCAACGAATTAACTGTTACTAACTTGAAAATGCAAATTAGTGCGCCGACGTTACGTTGACGAATAATGCATCTCTAAGCAGCGTTTCGTGCACGAATGCGACTCAGCAGGGTACCAATGGTGGACTATCGGCGCACTATGATACCCTTGGAATCATGCCCATGCTTCTGGCTGTCTTCCTCATGATATCTGGATGGATATTATAGTCGTTCGGTCTGTCATGTCTTATGTCCGAGATATTGAATCATTTGAATGTCATCGTATATGAGTCAGGCCAATAGGCGTGGGCTGCCGACCATGGTCGTGCTCCCGTCCTCCGTAGGACGTGCCGGATTTGAGTCACTCGGGTGAAACGCTTCACAAGTTTTGCCTGCGCTCGACGACACGCAGTAAGCGCAGATTTGTGGCACTCAGTTCCGGAACAGCCGCTGGGCTAGTTCGTCTCGGCTCGCTTGGTGATCGCTATCATGATGCATCCTCTATGGCTGCGATCCATTTCTGTGGCAATGCCAAAAGGGCCGGAGTTTATCAAGCAGCCCTTCCGCCAATATACATATATAATACGGTTGTTCTGCGGCTGCGGCTTTTCTTCCAAGTATATGTAACTGCCCACACATTATCTCGCTAACAGCGGCGAGCACTACCACCCTACGCCATTCCTTCCCTACGTTTCTGGCTAAACATGCTATTCACTTTTCGACGTCGCGAAGTGCCATGGGAGGTCGTCGATAGCAAGTCGGTCCATCCTGTTCCCATGTACTATGAGGATGAAGGTTCGTAAAAATTTGTCTCCTTTCCTATTGTGATTGCTGACATTTGACCCCTTGGCTGTTTAGACATTGACATTGTCACTGTCGCGGAGGCGGACACGTGCGGGACGTATGTCTTTGACGTGAAGAACTGGAAACGAGGCAATGAGCTTCGGAATGCTGTCTTGTTCGCTCAGAAGCAGCTCCTGAAGAACGTATCGAATAATGGGTATAATGTGCTGCTGCTGGAAAGGTAAGCTTCTTCGTGTCCGGGACCAAAGGACTCCCCTTATTAACTCGATGTCGGCAGCTGGCAATTAACTGTACTGCGGAGAGGCAAACATCATCGAGTGGAAGTACGATATAATGGCAGACGTGAGTTGGTCTTTTGCTTTGCTATTGTCTACGGTACTCATTCTTATCCCCCAACAGCTGCCAGAGCTGTCGGCAAGCAGCCATCAAGGCGCCCACCACCGTTTATCGGTGTTTTAGGTGGCGACCCTCAAACTGCATAAACTGTATATCAATACATTCGGACTCTGTAGTTGTTTGATCTAGCATCCCACCTCACTGCATTGTAGTATAGCTGTAGAGACATGTTGTAAACCCTTCCCTCTCTCATAATCGTAGTGTATAATCCAAATGACATCTTTTTGCATAGGCATGCCGCTGAAAGATAAGATTTGATTTAGAGTTGAAATCTAGATCATGTCGACGTCTCGATTTTACTGGACGATCGCAAGGCATATCCTGTCCATGACTGCGAAGTTCGAAACTTAACACCCTACTGATAATGATCGAAGTCAAACGCAGCGACGCACCTCATCATACAACGCCACTGCTTTCGCGCCCAATAATTCAAGTCCCAACCAAAGCACGCCGGCGGTCATTCCGCTACCACAACTTGTGATAATCCTTTTATCCCCGTTGATAATCGATTCGGCGACTGCGGGGCCAACAGCATTTAGCAGCGCTCGGTGTAAATCGGGGGTCGGTAACATGGTAGTATATGTATCTCCATTGGGAGAACGGTGTTCCCTCAGGAACGTTGTAAACGGTAGGGAGAACGATCCAGGGATATGACCAGAGGGAAGACCAGGTCGGGGTTCGGGTGCTGTTCCGTCGAACCTAGAGAACGAGGAAGATAAGCTGGTTCTTGGTTCACAGGTTGCGTTAGAACGGCCCTACGTACCTAGCTCGCGCACGGGCATCAAGGATGAGGCTCTGGGCCGTGTCACTTGGGGACATCTGGCTGTTCTTTACGATCTGGTCATAAGCTGCCAGTCGTAAAATTAGAAACATGAACGGTGCCAGTCAAGTAGAAGGCCAAACATTGTATTAATGACGTCTTTAATTCGGGAACTGGGTAGGTAGTCTGCTCGTGAGTGGGTTGGGGTTCGCCTTGTTCGATGGGAAATCCCTCTGCCAGCCAACGAGGAATCCCACCGTCGATCACGCTTGAGTTAGTGTGCCCAAATGTCCTGAACATGAAGAGTGCGCGAGGCGAAGAGAACACCCCGTGACCATCGTAGCTTAATATGTAACCATCGAATCAACTCCGTGATGAGTAGTCGGCAAGAGAACACTTACAGGATGACATGGGTACTCGGGGTTATACCAAACCGTTCTAAGTAGGCCATTCCTTACTCAACGGCGCGAAAATTTGCATCGAGATGAAAACGTAACGAACCGCATGCGTTAGCGAAGATGCGTTCGCTGGGCATCATATGCATGAGACCCAGTTCACTGGGAGTGGCGACTTCATCAAGGTCAAGATACTGAGCCCGTGGTATGCGCCGTGTCGCAAACTCTTTCCTGGCATTACGCGTCGAGTTCGGCATGAACCAGGTGGCATCGAGAATCTTGACATCGCGTGTCGTAGGAAGCTTGTTGACTGCGTCGGGCGGCAACAACAAAGGGGCCACCGCAGTGGTGGATGACATCGGTCGAGCATTCCTGGACGCCAGTGCCACAAAAGAGCCTCGAAATCTAGCAGATAAGATCCTCGAAAGAGACATCCTGGATGTACCACGTTGGCGGAAGGCAAGCTGGAAAGCAGTGAGAAACGAGGTCACCTAGCGGGGATATGTCAATCTCACATAATAGGTATTCACATCTACATGCCTGAGTTTTCCTACGACCAGCAGGGCTGGCACGCGAGTCTGTCAATCGTTGAATGTTCTGGTTTATAGTGAACTTCTTGAAGCAGCTTTGCAGCCTTTGCTTAAATTGCTAAAGTGCTATGGGCGCTCGGTCTTATTAGCGCTCATCACCTTGACCCCAACCGCCATGCCTTCAGATCAGAGTACTTGGCTCATAGCAGTCCCGCTGGATGGCGACTCAGAGGGTCTGATCCCAGAGTTGGGGACGAAGCTCTCCCAACAATCAAAATCGTTTCCCCGGAACCACATCGCACAGATAGATATCCCGTCATTCAAGGTATACTCGCCGGTCATTCTATAGTCTGCGATGAAGTCTATAAAATAGCCAGACAGGGACACTTGATACGCTTATAGGGCTATCGGAGGATATACCCAAGCAGGAGACGTTCTTCACGGCCACTGTCGCGAAAACGGTCGACACGCTACGCAGCTTGTTGAACAATGACCCAACGAAGCTGGCTCAGCACGTCTTGGTTGATGAGCAGAGCGTCGATGAATACCTCTTGAAGGGGTGGAAGTGGAATGAAAGTCGGTATGGTGTGCAACGAGGGCTACGTGATATGGTAGATCTCTTGAATAAGGTATGTAAGTATATCGCGGTCAGTTGCGGATCTGATCTCGCTGCTTGTCATCAGGAAATGGTTTCAATCGACAACGCTATGAAAGCAAAACTCAACAATTACAATCTCGTGAAGGGCTCATTAGTTCAGATGCAACGCAAGAAGCTGTATGTCTCTTGTCTCCCGTGTACAATTGATGTTCTTACATCGTCACCAGAGGGAATCTGTCAGTACGCTCACTGGCGGAGGTTGTTTCGAAAGACGACTTCATCCCGGATTCTGAGCACATGGAAACGCTGTTGGTCGCCGTGCCAAAGTAAGGTCCATCTTGTCCGTTACCCTTATGTATTAAACATCAGTAGGAGCCAAGTTAAAGAGTGGAATTCAACGTATGAACGGCTAACAGCTATGATAGTGCCAAGATCGTCAAAGTAAGCGAATGCATACCTCGTTGTCGTCATCTTCCTGACTCTAGGGTAGGTTGATCGCTTCAGACGACGAGTACTCGCTGTTCGCCCTCGTAGCTTTCAAGAAAGTCCACGACGAATTTATACAGAAATGCAGAGAGCATAAGTACGCGTCTTATTCATTGAATATAAGCACCTTCGAGGTTCTAACCTCAACATAGATTCATCGTGCGCGACTTCATTTACTCCGAGGAAGAGGTCGCGAAACAACAGCAAGAACTCGAGGACGCGGACACAACAGAGAAAGAATTATGGACGGAACTACTTCGTCTCTCGAGGACGAACTTCTCGGAGGCCTTCCAAATTCTAGTACATCTGAAGATTGTCCGTTTGTTTGTGGAGAGTGTCCTCCGCTATGGCTTGCCCGCGAATTACCTCGGAATCATTATCAAAGTGAGCAAAAGCCGTTGCGGCGCTACTGCTTATTATTGACAATGTACTAGCCTGAACCCAAAACCACGAAGAGAATATTCCACGTCTTGCAAACCCAGTTCACCTACCTCCGTCCGCGAGCGAACAGCGCCCAGGGCAAGGTCAGCTCAAACGATGAATTCGTTGGTGAATACCAAACACTCATGGATCAAGACTTCTTCGACTTCGTCCTCTACGAAGTTCCTTGGATTGTCTTCTAATTTAAGCAGCCTCGTAATTCAACACATGTTCTCTCCTTGCATCCATATCACATAATTTTATTAGTGGAGCGATAAGAATATTTTAAGCCAGCCCCGTCACGAGGAAAACAAGTAGTGTACAGGTATAAAAGCATGAGATATCTGACAGAAATTCCTTTAAGAAAGGGAAGATACGATAGATGTTTTTGGAGGAAGCTAAACAAGGGAAGGCATTTTGATAGCAATTGTCCGCCACTCCTGTGTACACCAGTTGGATAGCGTTATAGACATCCGAATCAACGTAATCTAGGTTGACATTTAGAGACCCAAGTTTGAAATTACCCGAGAGACTTCTTGAATAGTCTCGTCGTCCAGGATGTGACCTGTCCGCTGAGCAGACGAGCCCACGACAGTTCCTCTAGAACCGTAAACACTGGGGAAGGAAGGCGCGGAAGCCGACGTCGGACTTGAATTACCACCAGTGTCACCCGTCGAATTTGTTGGGGATTCGGGTGGAGGCAAATAGGAGGGCGACTCGGTAATGCGGGATAGGGAGTAAGTCAGATCCAGAGATTGCGCGCGGTTATTCAGCGAGCGTGGCTTGGATATCTGTTCCTTCAGTTTAGCCTCGAGGAGGGAGTCGGAGCCACGCTTGAGCGCATCATCGGTATGTCGAGTGCGATTGGTAAGTCCGGACCCCTGGAAAATGTTGGCTTACTGACTAGTACGAGCGGCATGGGTAAGGACTTACTATAGGTGCCAAGGGTGTCCAGTAATCCTGAGAACTACCGGACATGTAGCTCGCTTGTGAGTCATCATGGGTTTCCAAGTTGTAGATGTAAGAGGGTGAATTGAATAGGGCCTTTACATCCGGAGACGAGCTGGCGAGCCGAAGTCGTCGTTCAACCATGCCATCGGACCGACCCAAATCGATGGATTCTGTCAGCACAACTTGGTCAGCATACCACGGCTTCCGCAACAATAGAAATTTGACTGACGTTGACCGCGCGTCCTAGCGGCGGACAAAACTTTACTATCGAAATGAGGGAAGGCTTCCGCGAATGAATCTCCCCTCTTGTGGGTGTGTGCGGTAGGAGAGGGGTACACGTGAATGTTATGATTGATGAGGAATTGTTCTAGCATCTCTCGGGCCGTGACAAGGAAATCACTATTGCTGCGTTGGCATCTGAACTTGAAGGAATAGTCGGATGGTGTGTCCGCGCCAGAGCCATTGCCGTTGCCAATGTGGGACTTGATGTTGGGAGTTATCGCCACTTGGAGCTCACGTTTAACCCGCTCGACGAAAGCGATGAAGTCGGCGGAAGCGCAGACCCGCGGTAGATCCGGCGAGGATGGTACGACCATATCTGCCTCGAAGGGAACATGTTCCTGCAGAGCATTGTTAACCAGGAAGTAAGTAGTGCGAAGTGGTGCAGCTCACGAGAAGCATAGTCACGGCAATCTGAACCTGGCTCTCAGGACCGAAGATCGTGACGACATCCGAAGCAGTTTCTTTATCAGGGAAGCGGACATGCGAGTTTGTCTTGGTCTCGATGTCGCGAATGAATATGCTCTTCTCGCCAAGAAGAGTCCTATGGTACCGACGGGGAATCGAGACGGTCTCGTTTACGTAGTCTTTATCCTAGAAGTAAAGTTAAGAAGGCACGTTTATAACAACGGAGACGTCTTCGCACCTTAGGGTTCACAAGCTCCATAACGGATTGCTTCAAGTTATCAAGGTTGATTGCATTCTTAGCTGGGGTCCTCGCGATGACATTATCGTCATTGTCATTGTAACCTCCCAAAGAAGCAAACTCTTCGGCGTTGGAGAACTTGACATACACGCCATATTTCTTCATGATCCTTTGGATGCTCCTTCCACCGACGCCGATGATGCGCTTATGGTACGCTTCGGGAACATGGAACGACATTTCCGCAGGCAATTCTTCCTGGAGTAATGACAACCCCTGGAGAACTGAGCCATCAGGACCGGCGATGTCAATGAGGAAATTGTGATCATTGAAGGTCTCGAACTTGATCTTCACATTGGTGGTCTGCATGATCTTGTTGATCTTGCCGTTCTTCTTCCCACTGATGAACTCGCGGTGTTCGTTGGCAAGCTCGATTTGGAAACGAATCTCATGGTGGAAGTTCTAATCGAGAGTCAGATACTTCACATTGTGAACATGGATTCACGCACCTTGATGACATCGAGTTCAAGGATCATGCCTACGGCGGCGCGAACTTCTTGCTCCAGACCATGCATCTCGAAGCACATGCTCTTGAAGACAACCTCAGCGCCGGTGCTGATGGAGATCTGCTTTAGCAAGGTCGAGACTTGCGATGCGTTGAGGGTTGTAGGTGGAAGTAGGACATTATACTGGACTGGAAGCAGCCAGAAAGAAGCGACATAAAATTGGCAAGCCTGTATGTAACTGTCTATAAGCTCCCGTGCTTCATAGAGAAGATGATACTCTACCAGTTGCATGATGGACCGGATGGTCCTTTGAACATTAACCCTGTGGTCACCGAACACTGTGATCAGGCTGGTGGAGCTGCCTAGCGGCGGGAATTGTATAAAAGTCGCGTTGTCACTCATGATGGTCTTGAGATCATCGGCCCTGTCAGTCACCATCCAGTCGAGCTTGCGCGGAAGTATTGCAGTATCACGAGAGATCACAGACTTCGTCTAGAAACACGTTGAGCAGACGCCGTAAATATGACGTGGAGGGTTTACCTTATTGGTAGAAACTTGAAACAGCATATCGCGAGCACGCTGGACGCCAAAGAACTCGCCGGTGATCCAAATGACGTTCGGTGTACGAGGAGGGCCGCTCGAGGAAACCGTGACATCAATGTCCGGGCCAACAAGCCCTTGAAGTGGCGACGGGTAATAGATGTTGGTCCCGGTCTCTTCTTGGATAGATTGGAGCATGCTGCGCTTCTTGCCTGCCACGATTGCATGCAGCTTTTGATCAATTTCGCAGTATTCGGCGTGAAGGCCGCTCTTTAGATAAGAGGAGTAAATGTCTTGTAAACTAATTATAGAGCGCGAAGACTCACGAGCTCATCCAACATGACAAGGAGGCGGACGCGAGCAAGATCAACGGAGTCACCCTGACCGGTGACAACCAATTCGCAGACACGCTCGGTCTCCAAGCCCGTCCACCCAGCATTGCTACTGATGCCATCCGGGGGTGTACGATTGGAGAGTGACAGGGGACTGTTCACGACTGCAATGTGCGCCAATGTTTCGGAAGCAATCTCATCTAGGCGGCGGCGCACGTCAGGCTTCAAAGAAGGCGCCGACAGAGGAGAATCCAGGATCTCAGAGCGCATGACCTTGATAGCTGCACGATGCTGGAGTGGCTCTCATCGGCTTCCGTGCAGTTTTGGAATCGAGAGCAAAGACTCACCTGAATTGGGCATTCCTTCAGTATGGTTCCTCTAGTTTGCATAACCTGCTGATACGGCCCAGTAACATGAAAATTCCACCCTCTTCCCTGGTCAGCCATAAGATAGGATACATGGCAGCCGTGTATTGACATTGCGTTCATGGCTAGCTTTTGGATGGCCTCGCTATCTGACGCCGTAATCGAGGCCTCTGAGAGATTGCTCCTGACATGGCGAAGGTGGCGGGCAGGGAAGGGGTCGTTCTGACGAAAGTCATTGCCTGCGATGTCGAAGGAAGAAGCTGGAGAATGAATATGGCGCGACCTGCGTGGGTAAGTAAAGGAGGTAGTATAAACATCCATAGTGGTTGTGTTTGAAATACAGTTGTCGTCGTCGTGGCGGACGGTGTCGAAGGGGTATGTGGTCGCTGCCGAGGGTATTGTCGCAATGAAGAGGTATCAGAGTCGCAGTCGCCCTCGCCAAAGCCCGGTATACGCAATCGCAGGGGACAGGAGGCGTACGACTGAAGACAGAGCCGAAGAATTCAAATATATAGGAGCCAAGATCAAATTTATTGACTCTCTTTGCTCTCACCCGCTAACTGCGTCGGCACTTCAATTTTCGCTGACATATTTGCGCTTGCGGCTCCTTGCGGTGACAGAATGTGCGTTTATCTTTTTGCCTCTCTAGGTAAGTAATGCACGCCCTCGTAACCACGGCAACCCTAGACCGCCCCAAATGCCCGCTCAAAGTTATCAAGAACCTCCCACTCTTCCTCTTCAGCATTAAAGTCAAACAGCTTGTTGTAACACGAGATCCCCAGCGTCGAGAAGTGCTTGTATGGATTGCTGGGATCCAGTTTCTGCCCGCATCGGTAGCAGAAGTGCTGTTGGCATTTCACGCACGTCATCTAATGTAGAAATCATCGATTAATTCAATGCCCAGTCTGCGAGGTGTGAACTTGAAGCATACGTGATTACATCCCAGTGACTTCTCCACATGCACGTTGCATCTCGGACACGCCATGGTGGAAGCCTCGAGCCACTTCATATTCAGCAGCTCTTCTTCATACTTCGCGATCAGCTTCGTGAACATTTTCTTGCCGATCCGCTGTTCTAATTCGTCTCGTTTACGATCGCCCTCTGGTAAGGCGCGGTATTCCAATATCATCGATTCAATGGCTGAAATTGGGCAACTCGACAAAGGACCATGCCTGCAGGTGCCCGATGAGCGGATAGATTCGCATCGGCAGCTTGACTACGCACCAGGAGCGTTTGCAGAAGTTACAAAAAGAGAAACCGCATTTCGGACACGTCCTCAGCTTTACCCAACCAGAGTCTTCGTCCATCGATGGAGGAGATGGAATAAGTGCTTGGCAGCAAGGGATCGGACAAGATACCGCGCCAGGATCTAGCAAATGGTTGTGAACGTCTCTCGCAGCCACGCAGCCGATGTCGCCGTACCGTTCTCTAGAGCCCGCTTTTCTCGTAACCATCTCCATCTCGTAAGTTGATCCTCCGTCACAATTCGGCAGACCTCATCTTCTGTGGCCGCGCGACCCGCTTTAACACACTCGGGGTCGGGGCAACCTACTCTGACTACATCACCCTCGGTGATGCACAAACCCCAGAAATCTTCTAGGCAGGATCGACAGAAGGTATGGTTGCATGAAAGCTGGACGCATTTGGTTCCCTTGTATTCCGTTAAGCAAACTGAACAAGAGTAGGTAGATTGCATGAAATTCGCCGAGACTATCTGTTTCTGATGCGAAGCGAGGAGGTCTGCAAGGAATTTCGGGACGGGATTGGGGATTCTGACATTCCTAGTTTGCATCAATTAAAAGCCAGAGGTGAGTACTGCTTACCGAAAGGCGCCCTTGTCTATCATGTCTACCGACTCAAAGAAATCGCCCGTTCTTATATATTCTATCCAATTATAAAGGACGGTGCATCCTGGGGTCCACATCCGAAGCAAGAGGGTCCGCAGACAAGATAATCGAGGTAGCCACGACTGGCTGGAATTGATATGGACGATGTCCGGTGGAGCATCCGTTGGGTAGCTTTTGGGTAGAACGAGATGGAGCAGTAGCGGTGGCAGTACCGTGAGCGATAGTCTCTGGATTCCTTCAAGGGTGCCGTCCCGATTACATGGGTCGTGTATCACTACCTCCTGAGGTGAATCGAACTCTATCGGGATCTCGAGTTCAACAGTAGCGTCGTTCGCCCCCCTGTGAACGTACTCTGGATATATGGACTCAAAGTAGGTCGTATAAATAATCTTAACAGCATTGCATAAGCTGAACGTAGACTTACCTCCAGGACCTGCAGCTCATCCTGCTGGAGCAGTTCACATTCGTGCACCGTGTCCTGCATAGATCACCAGCAGATGTGGCCGATAGTGGAGGGAATAGAAAAACTCGAGGCAAAGTCTTCTATATTCCATCGAGTAAATGGCAGTGTCCGACGAAGGGGTATTTATAAGCCGGATGATCGAAAGCCACAGGCGCCTAAATATTTCGCTTTCTTCACGCCGATCAGTATGGCCACTTCCAAGTCAGGATTGGATCTCATCCATGCCTTGAAAGCCTCATCGGACCCTCCAGTTCACGGAGAAAAATCAAAAATCGACATTGCGACAGAAGCATGGAATGACCAGTCATTTTACCTCCCGGGCAAGGCTGAACTTCTAGGGGATTTTATTCTGACGCGCTTCGCGAAGGATAAGGAAAACGATTCGTGAGTTATAATCGTCTGCTGCGAAGATGATTCACAGATGAATGGAACATACTTTGCAGAGCAACGAGCTCCCTGTTAGACATACGTTACTGGACGCTTCTTCTTGCTCTCTTCTCGTCGGCTGGATCACACCCGTCTTCGACAAAATCATGGCTATCTTCGAGTATCAACAGCTTTCCTGTTGCTTCGGTCCTCGCCAAGTTCTTGAAACACTATACTACCAGACCGTTACCCTCGCCGGACTTAATCTCCGTGTCTTCCAAATGTTTTTCCACGCTGTGGTCACTAGCAGGGCCCAAACTCCCTATGGACGCCATCCTCGACTGCTTTACCAGTTTCCTCGAGTTCACAACACGTATTGAATACGAGGGAAATGTTGTGCGGCTTGGTTTCGCCATTGTGTCTACCCTGCGGGGGACATTTGGGAATTTGGCAAACAAGAAGAAGGTGTGGTCCCTCCGCGGAAGAGAAGACGAAAAATTTGATAACATTGTATTATGTATAGTGGTACATCACCTATATCCATCACAATCTACACCCCTGGTTAGAATACTGCCAAGAAGTGCAGGAAACTCGATACTCCGCCCTTAGAGACGCGGTGTACGGCGTCGGCACAGATATTATATTCAACGTCGAATCCATGAAGGCTTCCCTGGATCGTGACGACGACACTCTGTTCTCGGCGCTGAAGGACGTCATTGTGCAAGCACCGTTGATGATGCAAGTATTGCCTCGTCTTTATCGGTCTTATATCCAGGCTCTCAAGACAAATAAACATGCTCTGTTTGATCAAGGCTCCAGTCGTTTGACCCCAAGCGTTACACAGAAAGTGGCTGCAGAAGCCCTGGCCTTCTATGCTTGGTGTCGATCGTTACTGGACCCGCTTGATGTTGATCGAGTAAACGCGTCGACAAGAGTTGCTTTGCTTTCTCTGATTCAAGAGGATAAATTGTACCTCCCTTCGCAATTTGACGCAGAAATCACCCTAAAAAAGGACGTGGAAATCGCTATAGCCCAGCTCCAGACTGGTGAGTACCACCCGTATATGTATATCAGATTTTCACTAAATATCGTTTCCCAGGCGTGGAAGAGGAAATACAGCGATCTGCCATCGAATGCCTGAATACTCTGACGCGTATCGATTATGAGTTAGTCAGCTTTGCATTGTCGCCGCTACTGACGCGGTTGCTTCTGGTTTGTCTCACTTCTATCTCAGCGTACGTGATTGCTGATTTGCACCCTAGTTGTCCACCTCGCCAGCCTTCAAACTCCTCGATCTCCTGATTGATTATCACGCGAAGTCACGGTCGATAGACGTCTACGTACACAACGTCTTCGAGGTCTTAGACCCCACGCACATCACCGCACTTGGAAACGACGGTCCGAAATTATACCAGGCTTCTTCCTCCGGAGCGTTATTACATTCAACGCATTTGGACCACCTGGGGAGAAGCATCCGGAGTTTTGCAACCCCCAATCAGACAAAAGGACTCGTAAAATATATTGTTACCCACCTGCAGGACGCCTGGAGCAGATACGAAGAGGCTGCAGCTTCATCCAGTAATGGTGGTAGCGGCAAGAAAGCTAGAGTCTCGGAATGGGACATAGCGTCTACCATTTACACCCACTCAGCCAGACTCTCGGCCATCGTCCTCTCGTCTCTGTCTATCAACTCGGTACCCTCTGAGCAACGTAGCGAAATCGTCAAAGACGTGGATGAAGCCAGCGAGCTCTTAGTCAAGACTGTCCTTGGCAAATTACTGAAGGTATCTAGGTGGCAGAAGTCTCCCACCGCTTGGTCTGCGCAGATTGTGGCCGCAGCTGCTTTGCGTCTACACTACTCTTTACGCATAGATCCTAAGTGGATTCTGACGCGCTCCCCCACCAAGTTACTCTCCAAGGCAGCCGACGCTTTCCAGAAGCAATACTTGCTTCCGGAATTGAGTTTCGAACTGGTAAGTCTGTATGTATTGGCAATTGCTCCATGTGCTCATGTTGACCTATCAGTTCCGCACGTTGATGTTCTTCGGCGTTGACCCGCCTGAAATTCGTCAAGATGCATTAGATCGTGCTCTGACTTATATCGTTGCCCAGCCCAATGATACCACCGCTATTTGGAATGGACAGACTCATTTCCTGACCCAAACTGAGGAAGGCAGCCGGCAACTATCCCTTGCTTTTCTCCACTTAATCATTCAACGTTGGCTTCCATCGATCGAGTAAGTGCCGTCGCATACGCTGAAGCATTGGCTTACCCCAGTAGTTCACCTCAGTTTGAACCACAATTGAGAAAGCTTGCGGATATCACCCTCTCGACGGATGTCAGCGTTCCCATTGGGCACGGACTGTCCGTCACGGCGATCATAACGCAGGAGCTGCAGTCAGCGCAGACATGGGAATTACCAAATTTTCGCAGTACGTTGACTGTCATAGTTACTTATGTATGTGCTAATATCGGAGGTATAGAGGTGTTGATAGCGTCGGTCATGGAGGGGACATCGACGAAAGAATCGCCGCAATCAGATTTGGTGTTTCAAATTCTCCTCCTTTTCCCGACAGATTATCTCCCTAAATCCTCTCGCATCGAATTGATCAAGCGAGCGCAGAATCTCGACTTCGACGCCAACAATGAGCTAACACGTCTAATATTACGCACTTTCCTGGCCAAGGAATTAGTACAGCCTGACTCCCTCGTACGTTTCTGGGCCTCACGTCTGTTCGAAACTAACACCGCGATATCCAAGCTTCATGATGCATCAGAATTCGTCTACCATTTACTTCATTGTCAAGGGATGTATAACCAACTGCGAACAGTCACAATGGATCTGGTTGGGCTTTACTTACGGTACGCTCTTCAAGCCTGTACTATAGCTTGGACTCAAACCGTTACATAGGAATGCTATGAGGGACAACAAATCTGCTACCCTCTCCAAAATTCTGGAGCTATTATCACACTTTGATTTGGTTCGAACTTCCGTCGGTCGCGACCTTGGGAAGCAATTGGTGGATGCATTGAGCGAGTATCAAAGAGAGAGGTGGGTGAATGCTCTCAGGACGAATGCTAAAGCTGATTTGAATCCATCAGTCTATCAAAAGAGACACAAGGCGACCTTTTGTCGTTCCATCAACGATGGCTTGCGGCTGTCTCTTACCACTTGGAAACGTTCATCGAGAACAATAACGGGACTTTGCCTGAGATATCAATATTGCTTACCTGGGTCCACGTGCTGTCTCTGGGACGATGGTTAGAATCACCGAGTAGGTGACGTTTCTTCCTGCCGATGTCATGATTGACTCCAAATTTCACAGCGACTGGCCGGTTTGTGAAGCTGGGTCAATTGTTGGTAAAGAAGCTTCAGCGAGAGGAAGCGACAAGCGAGCACTGCACAGCCTGCCTTGCTATCCTCATCGGAGAGCTAGATTACTATGAAGAAACCGAACTTCCAAACCAATTAGAGACGCTTCTAGCCACATACGTTGTGTTCCATCCCAGAATCAGTTCCACAGGTACGTTGATTGCCGACTCTTTGTATCAACAACTAACATCAAGATGATAGACAACACATTGATAGACTCACGGCTAGCTGGGTACATTCGCACTTCATCGACTGCACTATTCTCCCATGTCCTGGATCAGCTTGCTTCTCTGTTCACCGCTGAGGTGCTCCAGAGTAGCCGCGGTACATCGTTGCTGCATCTTGCTAGCGTTCTTCTTCACGACCCTCCACAAGGCGAGCAGTTATCATATTGTGCGACTTCTTATTAAACCTCCTTTAGGAAGTCTGAAAGCCACACAAAAGTTTAGTTCGGAGTGCTTCAGAGTCTTTGCTGACGCCATAACGAATACGCCTCGGTCGAGGCAACAACAAGTATTAGCGTTCATCTCGATTTGTTGCTCCGAAAGAGTGAGTGCTCTCAACCCGTCGTAGGAGAAATATTAACGTTTCCTAGCCTGCTGTCCTACGACCGACGGATACTGGGAATCTTTGGTCTACTCTGGCGAAGATGGTCGCAAATTCCAAACTGCACGATGGGCACACTTCGTATCCCATGTTCCAGCAAATTATTGCCATCATCAGTACAATTGTGCGACTTCGTCGGGATCTGTTGGTCAATAACCTCCCGCAACTGGGGCACACCCTTGCCCGACTTTTATTATGTCTGAGAACGACTCGACATAATCTTGGGGCCATGCAGAAATCGATGGTGCTGGATACATTCCCCCAATGGATCACGGCCGATGAACCTCTGACTGTCCGGGAAGCCAAAGCACTCGCGAGACTGCTAGAAAATATCAACGCGAAGACGGTTGTGCGCAACAACGCAGCACATCAGGAGCTCCAGAAAGCAGAGTCACTAGCGAAGCCGTTTTCAAAACATGCATCCTACATTCTTAAGGCTTACGTTACCGTCATGAACGACCCCCTTTGCCTACTTCCCCTACCGATACGGAAGGAACTACGTTCAGGCCTCTTTGTTCTCTGTGGCATGGTCAACGACCATTCCAGAGATGCCATCATGGTTTCCCTTGATGTAGGTGGAAAATTGACTTTGAAGTCGTTGTGGCAGGAGTACGAAAAGCAACGATATCATGGTCAAGGGTAGAGTCGAAGGGTGCCGTGTTAATAATGTCTTTGGAATATATATTAACAATGAAAGCGGTTCGCCTATCTCTTCCGTTCGAATGAGTCGCAAAGCGAAGGACTTGATTCCTATGCAGATGTAGTTCTTCCGTCCTATTGTCGCCCATTCGCGCGCTCATCTCATCTCCATTGCCCATTAACCTGTCAATCATTGATGCGTACCTTCTGTACTTTAGGTTGGTGATCTGGAAAACATTTTGGGTGCCGAGGCGCTTCAGAAATAGCAGAACAATAAAGTATCGAAGAATGCAGCCGGCCGCATACACTGGCATTTATAAGTCAATTTGCGACAGATTGAATGCCTAGTCTAGCAACGTCGTTGACGAAGATACATCAGTTACAATTGAAGGTGGTTGGTTCCCTCATTGCAACAAGTACATTGCCTGGACGGGGAGTCAATCGCGCTGATATGTAATTGTGTGAGCGGCGCGCGGGGGACTGAAAGCCCCGTAGAAAGTCAGAGTTGCGAGAAGGGTGAATACTACAAATATATATATACGATCCAGCATTTTACAGCATGCCCATGCCATCGTCGCCACCACCCCATCCACTGGCAACGACTTCCTCTTCTTCTGGAAGATGAAGGGATGTCAGACTGCTTGGCTCAGGTGAATGTGCACGCTCATCATCCTTTTGATCTGATGAAGGAGCTGTGGCTTTCGTCGTGGGCAACGTATACCAAGAAATCTGGATGGGATCTGGTATTGTCGGTATCTTCGTTCCCTTTGCCAGCCCCTGGAGTAACGAAGTGAGTAATCTGACACGAAGTCGACAAGATAGACCAACCTGTTCTGCAGCGGCTCGGCTTCGGAAACTGACAGTAACATCACCACTTTCCGATATTTCGGCAGATTCAAGTTGCCCGGTCGTCTATGGAAGGAATGATGAGCGTTCTTGGCAAATGGACGACAATTGCATTACACACCTCATACCAGTCACGCACTGCTTGTAAATCGCGCTCTGTGACACCTTTGACTAGCAACTTTTTAGGCCTATTATCGAGTTTGAGATTCGTACGAGGACCACCGCCACGGATGGCACCGCGGTAGTAGCTTCTTGGAGCTCCCCGGCCACGACCACGATATGGCCTATAGCCGCCATATGAAGGCGGGTGGTTGCCATGTTCTGAGATGCCCAAACTAGCTGCCTGTAAATATGGGTTAGGATCAAGCCCTAAGATAGATACAATGTAGGTGCTCACCTCAGCTTTGAGCTGTTCTAATTTGGCCTTAAGGTCCTCCGTTGTCTCACTGCTGGTACCTGGTGGCCCAGAGTTCAGCGCTTCGAGCTCCTTATCGAGTCGTTCTTTCTCCAGATCTTCGGGCGCGGTGGTCGGGGGTTTGGGAGGTGCAAGGGAGGCAGCGGGCTTCGAGGACATTTCCTCGCCTAGTTTTCGCAGACGAGTCATTATCGTCTTCTTTTCTTCTGCGGACGCGGAGGCAAGCGAAGCCATCAAGGATTTTTGCTCTGCTATTTGCCGCTCCAACAGCTGTTGTTTGGCTGCCAGTGCGCTGGTGGTAGATGATTTTCTGGAAGTAGAAGCAACTGGTGTAGGGGTGGCGGGAGCTTGCGCCGGCGCGGGTGGTTTGTGAGGTGTATTCGTAACCAAGTGAGCGGACGCCGCCAACATGCGTGTTCCAACCTGTCCCTGTCCCTCCATCGGTCGATGCCAAAACACTTTCACGAATCGGTTACCGAAGACAGCTTCCTCTGCCTTCCAAGCGGCATGTGCCTCTTCATGAGTGGAGAAGCTGACGAGAGCCTTGCCTCCCGAGACATCAACAGCAACATTTGTCACAGTGCCGAATTGCTTGAACCATCCATTGACTTGGTCGAGGGTAAGCTGATCAGCTGGTATTTTTTCGACAACCAGTGTTTTATCTTTCCTTCGCTCTGGTCTCTGGAAATTGTGAACCTCGCCACCGAATACCCCGCCTCGCCCTCTGCCCACATAACCTCGTCCACGGAAACCGTTCCCTCGGGCTGGCATCGAAGGACCTACGTCAACTTCCATGGCAGAATTCGACATGTCGAGAAATTGAGGTTGTGAATATTCGCCATTAACGTGCGCGAAGGTATCGGGAGTGCCGTTCTGGCGGAAGGGAGGAGCATGAGACTGTATTGGCCGCGGTGCATTATCTGACTCAGTGGGTGTTGTTGTCGACTCGGTTTGGGGAATTTGAGGAGTGAGGTCTTGGATGACGGGTAATTCGCCTGTGGCCTGCACTGGATGCACAACCTTCCCATCTTCTTGTTGTATCCGAGGAAGCAGCGGTGCGCGCATATGTCGACTACCGTTCACTGGCGGCCGCATATCCATACGGGCTTGATTGGGGTCATATGTACCTCCACCCATGTCAAACTGCATACCGGGAAACATAGGCATAAATGGCATTCCTGCCATGGGTCCGCCATTCATCGGAAAAAATTGACCCGGAACGACAGCATCGTCACCATGGCTATATTTGCAGAGTGCGCCTCTCGCGCAATATCCGTTGTCTACTCCAATGAGCCAAAGGAAGGGGAGGAAACGACTGTGGGCTTACTGTGATAGTCTCTGCATACGCCCCGCCGCAGATCGGGAGGTCGATACGCTTGAGAGCGACGTCCGTTCATGTACGCCATGCCTCCAGCTCCGTCCATATCCATGCCCATGCCCATCATCCCTGTCCCAATGTGCCCTTCATTTACCGGCCCATCCCCTCTGCCCTGCCAACCACGCCCGTCCCCTCTACCATTCATGTAGCGTGATTGGCCGTCCCCACTCAGCCTTGGGCCTTTAGAGGGTGGTCGCCCGTCGTGTTCATCGTGTTCCATGCTTCGTTTTCGTGTTCGTTCGGATTGTGTCGGTATAGAGGGCGAAATCAGACCATCCAACGGTATGGGGATTCCGTTGTCGACGCTGGGTGTGGTAGTCGGGAATATTGGGGTTGACGTGGTAGCATAAGGAAGATATGATTTAGTTCTGAGAACGGTGAATAATGTATCGATAAATGAAGGGCATTCTACAGTGACGCGGGTCAAAAGGTGAAGCCAGACGGGAGCGAAAGCCACCCGGGCGCACCTTTTTCGAGGAACTCCTCCAGTTGGACTGATAGTTCCTTTCGCATTTCACTTTCAGCGACATTGTGCTTTAGTAACGCCAATATATAGTCTGCCAACGCGCCCGGTTCTGCATCACATCTGTTACAATTACGAAGTCAGTTCTTGTCATTGGACGAGTCACAAGCTGGGCGTACATGGGCTCTAGGGTTCTGACCAGCCATGGTTTGAGTTGGGGGGTCGTTGATGGATCAAAAATCATAAAAATAACGGATATGGGGTCAGCGTTGGTGACCTAGGAGAGGGAGGAGAAGTGTCGCTCGAGAAATGTGTCAAGGCATTTTTGGAACTTCAGGCTTACGTAACAATTCGAGCGCTTAAAACTCCTGTCCCGCCGGCATCTTTGTGCAGCCACGGTCAGCGAGCCAGAGTTCTGCGGTCAACCGATGACGGTCAACCGCGCACATTCCTCAACTCATCTAGAACGTTTCTTGCGTTTTGGGTGGATACTGAATCCAATGCCTTGCAATACCCCATAGACGAGTACTCGATCTCCATTGATTCTCACTGATAAGCCTTCGGTCAAGACACCGAACGAAGTTGTTCGAGAGATCAGAGAGATCGGATATGTACTTGATACGATAGTATCGACAAGGACGATGGTCTAGACGACATTCGACTTGAGATAGACGCGGATAGAGAAATATCCAATACCGAAGTCAGCAATTCAGCGTCTGCTTCAACCGTTGCGCTCGAACTAGGAAGAACGATTTCATGGGATGCGTCCGAGTTTGACGTAAAGGATGTGGGAAATATGAGATTTATTCAAAGTGATCACATGTATAATCTGGTCTAAGTGTATACAAAAGTTTACCAAACAGCAATGTGGCGTCAATGATCATAGAAGGTCCACGGACCATGACATTGAAGCCATAGACACGGCATAGACACCTTCCCGAAACAATGGTATCGGTTGCCGTTCCCCGAGTCATCACCATGTGCGCACTGAACGTCCATCAGAATATGTCGAAATGATAATTGGTTGGCGACGTTCCCCGAGTCAAAGGCTGGCTCGGGAACTCTGCCCCATGCGGAACGGTAACAGCAAGATCCGAGGATGATACCAGGTGAGGGCGACGTGGAGGAGCAAAGCGGCCCGTTGTTCGTACCGATGAGGATCACATGAATGATTGTCGACGACGTACAATCACATGTCCCATAGAGGGTGAGAGAACCTGCGGAGGCTGCGGCGACGTGGAAGAGGAGAGCACGATACGTAGCGGAAGACGGTAAGCGAGCGCGCACAAGCATAGACGAACCACGTTGATAGACAGATGAGCACCGAGATTCACCACTGAAGTTGCCATTGTTGAGCATAGAGAAGGGCGCAGCTGAAGAGGCTACGCGCGGCTCGTTGATAGGAAAGAAAGTGTTGATGAGGGCAGTTGCCCGGAAGTTTAGAGTGGTTTCTGGTAAGCGGGGAGGAGGAGGGAAAGTGAACGGAACAGCAGAACGCATTAACCTTTGAGGGATTTATATACGGGGCGGTGAGTCATTTTCGCTTTCCGCAATTATGCGATTGGTTGATTGGCTATCAAGGACCCCAGGAACTTAGATTACCGTCATGTGATGTATTGATCTGATGATCGTCGATGATCAGTAGATCACTACTACTTGCAGCAACAGGCGTTTCGTTCCACCGAATGACTTCTGCATATAAGTTCAAGGGGAAAATAGCTCTAGAGCATCGCACAAAATGGCTGAGGAAGTCCAAGATACGTCCGGGATAGGTGAAGCTCCCCAGACGAGCCTTGATATCCCCGAACCAAGTATCCTACTATACATCGACCGTCTTAGACCACCCATTGGGACATCCTACTTCAAGAGGTACGCTATACGTCAGCCGCACGATGTCTTATCGCTGCTGACGACTATCCGCTAGAGATACCGTTACGCTGCTCGACAATGTGGCTATTCAGAAAGACGGACAGACTTACGCCAACGTAACCTGGTCTTTCAACTACTACCTGTATGTCACAGGAGCGAGACCGGACGACCCGGACTTCCCGAAGCGTGGCCAGGTTTATATTGTCTTCGTACACACTGGGTCCATCGACGTCAAATCGTCAGCGTTCGACACGCTATCGCTCACCCTCACGGCTACGTCTGAACACTGTACGGCGAGTTCGCAATTGCCAGAGACAGGCTCTGGCGAGCAAGTTGGAACTTCAAATGACTACAAATGTGAGTCGTACGAATTTTCGACATCTGCCATGTTGAGTAACGAGCATTCAGACCTCATGGATTTTGATCAGACGATGAATATGTTCAAGAACAATGGGAATGAGGCCATGGACCCGCCGTTCGACGCACGATATCAGCAGGATTTCATTGCCAAGGACAGCAAGCAGCGGGGGACTACGCGAGAGAAGAGCGTTGAATTTGGTGCTTCCAACGGTGTAAGTGCTATGTAAACACCGTAGAGTCAGTGGCTAATAATGTATTGTGCCTATCCATGTAGTGGTTCTACAAACAAAGCGTTCCGATATACGGTCTTTCTGTCTTCCAGAGCGATTCTGTGTCAGGCGTCCCATATAAATTCAGTAAGTCTTCCATAACTTCGATTATACGGCAAGTGCTGATTGCCACGCAAGGTGGAAGTGGAACGATTTCTGAAGTAAGTCTTGTCCCCAATATCATGTTCGATGTACTGATGTAGTCAACCGTAGGGGAGTAGTACCAAGTATTCCACACCCGATCCGCAGGCAACGCTCAGCATAGATCTCAAGTTCGATTGAATTCTGAACCGGAGGGTTACTATATATCGACGCAAGATTGAATCAACGTTTGAATTGTCTTGATATCCCAACAGTGATGATGCAATAAGTCATGGCTGCCAAGAAGGTTGGACTCTAGTAGGAAGGTATGCATTAAGTAGAATCCACATAATATCCTATGTATGAAATATAGCAAAGGGGTATGCGCAAGTGGTCCCGACAACAATATGTAAAATATTCAACCCTCTTCATCGTCGTCCACGATTAGCCATTCGGAGTCAGATCCAGGTCCTTTGACGCTGGAGATGGTATCCCATCCTTCGTCAGCATCGTGCCATTGCTCCCCTCCGCCTCCCCGTTTCCCGACTGCATAGATACCTGCGACGATGTTTCCGCGCCGTTCGGAGCGGCATTAGGGTCCTGCGAGGACGCATTGTCTCTCCAGTTGATCACGGCTTGATGTTGGGATCGCAGGTCCTCATAGAATTGGTTCGCCTCGTTCATCTTATTGGCTTCTACTTGTTTGGCATCTAGCCAACGCTGCAGGAGTTTCGCGTTATCCTTGTTGAGGGTTTGATTGCGTTCCTCAATTTGACCCAGCTCGAGCTGCAACGTGCTGATCTCGTCGTGTAGGATCTGGTAACGTATTCAAGATACAGGGCCTCGTCAGACTTAAAGTCGCGTGAACACACCTGTATCGTTCTATCCTTCTCGGCCATAAGCTCGCTATGCTGGTCCACCTTTCGCCGCAGAGCAGACACTTCATCTCTTGTTTTCCGGAGATTTTCAGAGTCGATTCGCGAGAGTTCCTCCTTTTCTCTGAGCGTCTCGTTCATTGATAGCAGACGTTGGGCATTCTGGCCTTGCGTCTTATAGACAGTGGCTAGTTCGTCGCGCAGAGAAGATATCTGCGACTCTAAGGATGCCATGTACGCCGCACGAACTGGACTCCTGAAGAGCATGACCTGCAATTGAGCATCCCGATCATCAAGAATATAATCTACTCACTCTTCATTGGTCCCCGGTACGAAAACGGTAGAACTGCTTGGATTTGCCTTGACAGAATTGACCGCCCGCAGTAGCGACGCATTACGTTCCTTCAGCAATTTCGTCTGCTGAGCCAATCTGCGATCTTGAAATAGTGAGCACCTGATGAGCATTTTGGCAGGGCAACTTACATTGCTCGATAATTCCAGCATAAGCCCCATCCTTTGCATCCCGTTCGACTAGTCGCAGACGCAGCGTTTCTTGCCATGACGGTTCCGCCATTCCTCTGCTGCCCACAGGCGTAGCGGCTACAAGGGAGTGATGGAAAGGGAATATATTTGAAACTCAGCCCGTTGCTGCTGTGCCGGAAGCGGCTTCCCCAAACTTGCCTCCTTCCTCCTCGACTTGTAGACCTTTGCTTAGACACCGCGTGTTTGCTCCTTTCCCGCCACTTCACTTTCAGATCCTCCTCGGCTGCAGTTCTTCTCGCAATGGGCAGAGTCCTTCTCAAGGTACCTCATTCCGGCCTCAACAGCTATCGTGACTCGCGCTGACGAATGCCTTGTTTGTAGGTTATCATCCTGGGTGATAGTGGGTTCGTTGCTAGATCCGTTTCGCTGCAATGGCGCGACCAATAACCCTCCTCTCGTAGTGTCGGAAAGACCTCGCTCATGAACCAGTATGTGAACAAGCGCTTCAGCAACCAATACAAGGCCACCATTGGAGCCGACTTGTGAGCCGTTCGACTTTTCGGGAGCTCGCAGCGATCTAATTCTTTGAAAGTTTGACTAAGGAGCTTATGGTGGACGACCGGCTGGTCACCATGCAGGTGTGTTCGCTTATCTCTGCTCACGACGCCGAAGGTTGACCGCGTATCATTTGCGTAGTTGTGGGATACCGCCGGCCAGGAGCGCTTCCAATCACTCGGTGTGGCTTTCTATAGAGGCGCCGACTGCTGCGTACTAGTCTATGACGTGAACAGCGCAAAGTCTTTCGAAACTCTCGATAGCTGGAGGGACGAGTTCCTCATCCAGGCCAGCCCTCATGACCCCGAGAACTTCCCCTTCGTTGTATTGGGCAACAAGATTGATGTCGAAGAGAACAAGCGACAGGTGAGGGCGATTCATGAATGCCATTCTTATTCTGACCATTCTGCAGGTGACCCAGAAGCGTGCAATGACGTGGTGCCAGTCGAAAGGGAACATCCCGTATTTCGAGACTTCCGCCAAGGAGGCTATCAATGTGGAGCAAGCATTCCAGACAGTGGCTAAGAATGCCCTGCAGCAGGAAGCTGAGGAACAGATGTGCGTGCCATCTCTATGCGAAATCGCTCAATCCTCACCCTCGCTTAGGTATGGTGATTATCCAGACCCAATCACCCTCGACCCGGAGACGAACCAAAGTTACGGATGCAATTGTTAACTGTCTTCGCCACGCCAGCATCTCCCCTGTATTTTCCTTGTTTACTCTTCATTGGATATGCGTGCATGATCTTCTCAGCAGTTCAGTCTGGACCTTGGACTATTCATGCATCATATGGTTACCCCTTTCAGCAGTATGATACTTTACGATGCCTCTGTCACAGTACTAATGACAACTCTATATCTATTTGTTGTCCGTATTGCTTGACCTCCCGAATTTCATTAGTGGTGCTAAATGGAACGCCACTTGAGTCATTTAGTGCCCCTTTCCCGATTTGTGTTGGCCCACCTTGCTGATAGTCCTTATCATGGGCGATGAGTTTACCACTCTACCTCAACTTCAGCCGCCATGGCTCATCACGCACCGCACGCACCGATTCTCTTTTCGTTTCGCAATGTAGATGGCATTGTCGGAGGCCTTGCCTCCTTTATCACCAAGGCACAGAAAGAATCCTTAGACAAGAAGGGCAGGTTCACCATTGCGCTTTCTGGTGGCTCCCTGCCGAAGATGCTCAGCGGCCTTATTGGTAACCCTGCTGTGAAATGGGATAAATGGTAAGCAACAATGTCCTCTCCCAAAGAGACTATGGTGCCAATTCAATTTCTCCGTAGGCACGTATATTATGCGGACGAAAGGGTTGTCCCCCTCGATCACCCGGATTCGAACCACCTTGCCTGCACAAACGAACTCTTCTCCAAAGTCCCCATCCCAGTTTCGCAGATACACACAATCGACACAGATTTGTTGAACGACATCGAGGAGCTATGTGATGCCTACGAGAAGGAGCTCATCCGTGAGTTCGCACAGAAAGACGCCGCTCGATTCCCCGTATTCGACCTCATCCTCCTCGGCATGGGGCCAGACGGGCACACCGTGTCGCTGTTCCCCGGCCACGAGCTCCTCGCAGAGGACGACCGATGGGTTGCGTACATCGAAGACTCGCCCAAACCCCCTGCTAAACGAATAACCTTTACCTTTCCCGTGATCAACCACGCTGCCCGAGTTGCTTTCGTAGCCCACGGAGAGGAGAAGCAGGATGTCTTGAGCGAGGTCTTGGATGATCCAGAGACAGGGCTACCAGCTGCTAGGGTCCGCCCAGCCCACCCGGGGCAGCTGTATTGGTTCGTCGACGATGCTGCCGCCGCCAAAGTCAAATACCCTCGCACCCCAACCAAAGTGTAATGCCATACGTGTGTATGCTACATGCCATCGGACGTTATCAGGTCGTACGTTGTTTTGTAACTTGCTATGTATTAATCTAGCTCTTCGTTACCGCGGCGAGCATGCCCTTTCACGTAGTCTCTGTTCGTACGGCTGGTCAAAGGGATACAATGTCTAGAATAATTGAATCGATCCGTATAGATGTCAGTGCTCTGGAATCAACGGGTACAGAATTCCAGACCTACTAAGTTACATGGCCCCAAAATAAGTGTTCGACGCCAAGCGGTACATCGGGATTAGAGTGGCCTGCTACTGAGAAACATCATCCGAAGTGGTATCTTCAGAATGTACCCCAAGCTCCGGGAACAACGCTAAAATGACACGGTCCAATATTAGCACAACTAAGTGCGCATTACACGCAGCATTCGTGAGAGGGTCGAGCGCCGCGGCTAAGGTTGCCGGATGATCTCGACCCAGGACCAGCTGGAACATATGGACTACGGGATGTCAGCGATAGGTCAACGGACGAGAACACGGTGAACATACCCAGGGAGCCCTTGGGCTTCCATGAGACGAGGCGCGCTCGTATGATGGCTTGCTCTTCGGGTGTCGGGTCTGGTGGTGCTGGGGCGGGGTATCCATTGGGGAAAAGTGTGCGCTTCGCTATGCGTACAATATTGGTAACAAATTGCGGGGAGAGATTATTATCCAATGTATATGGGAGAAGCCTGGAAGCAATAAGTACAAAGGCGAATATCGCATAATTGATGCCCACCGGTCGAGGAATTTCATAAGTAGAGTCGTTAGGAGCGTCATTGTAGTCGTGATCATATTTGAAGCTAGGCGTTCACGGGTGCAGAATATCTCGTTAAACATAAGAAGAGGACCAAGCGCGTAATTGTCCGGCCGCGAGATGAAAGGATCCGCGGTAATGATAGTCTGTATGGGGTTTATTGAGCTGTGTATTGACGAGGTCGACGAGGTCGTTGATATGGGGGGAGTTAGAGGTGTCGGCGGCATCGTCAGTTCCACTACGGGTATTGGTGGGGACGGGGATGGTGATCGTCCTTTGGGCGTTGATTTATTCACAAGTTTAATTGTGGATACAGCTTGCTTGTATGTATTGATGAGGACTAGGCAGAAACCTGATAGAGATTGTACCGCTGACAAGAAGAAGACAGCGATATTGTGAAAAGAAAACGACGGCGATGACGGTGGAACCGTTGTTAAGGTCGATTCGGGGGCCTAGAACAGATGAGTACTGTGCACCGGCGAACATATTAAGGTCAAACATACTTTCAGTGGTACGAAGTCCTCCGAAGGGTCCAAGAGGTCCAGGATCACTTTCTGTATAAACCAAGGTTGTATGATCTTGGGTATCACATCCTGGAGGAGCACTTTCAGCACAACCTCTCGGACTATATATCGCTCCGCCTCCGCATCGTAGTTCGCCGCAGGTAAGCACGACTTGAGAACGTGGTCTATGACCTGACGAAAGTATTCGGGTTCCAGTCGGCCGTCGGCCGCTAGCGCCATATGAGGTTGGAGCTGGTGAAAGAGATGTGCGGTGTTCAGTGCGCCGCCCCCGGCATAAGAGGTGGAGCGTTTGGAAGCTGCGTTGCGATAGTCTTGGTAGTGTTGGGTTATTATCGCTGGCAAGTCCTGGAATACGAGTGGGGAGAGGTCAGCCGCAAGCACGCGACTCTCCAGGGACTGCAGCACGACGGTTGATACAGCGGTGATTTCAGGCAAGAAATCTTTGTCGTAGCGGGTAATCTTCGTCCACCATGGGTTCACGAAAGCACGCAATGCTAGTGCGATGAAGTCGTAGAGCTCTGCAGTCAGCTCGGGCGGAACGGTCGCGGTCTTAAGCAGTGGCGGAAGATCATTTGTGGGGAGGGCGGGGAAGAGCAGGCGTTTGGCGAGGGTGACGGGCGGCTGGCGTGGCTTGGGCGGGGTGGATGTGTCTACGGAATTGATGGACTGTGCTGGCTGTGGGGAACGATGGCGAGAGGATGTGGCCATCGTTCAGGACGACTCCGACGAGCCGAAGAGTACCTGGTGAATTGACATTACGTAACGCATAACGAGGCACGGGTTCCGAGAATGGACAACAGCGCAATGACAGCTGCTTACGTGACGGTCAGCAATTCATGCGAGTTTCCAATTTCCCTGTTTCTGCGCCAGACTTATCAGAGAGCGGCCAAGGGCGACGGTGTGTTTTCTCCTTCTCTCTTCGCGACGTCGCTGAATGTCCTTGTCGACCGTCGCGATCAGCGCGTCCGCCCGAGGCCATCTCAAGAATCACCGACTTCAAGAGCTTAACCTAATAGACCCTTGCTGGTCTCAGCCCTTCCTTAGAAACAGTCATTCCTTTGCCAACTAGCTGCACAATGCCCTACTATCCACATACCCGTAATGCGCCGCACCCCCGCCGCCTTCAGCGCAGAGCGACCGACGACAGCAAGCAGACAACCATCATCATCGCCGTCTGCGTGGGCGTCGGCACAGCGCTCATCCTCCTTTTTCTTATTCGCGTCATCTGCAGAATGCACGCCCGGCGACCGTCGAATACGGCGCCATTGCCGCCGGTGCAGCCGCTTGCTCATGACCGTGAACGACGTCTAGCCCAGTTAGACGCTTGGCGGGATTCATCGTATCCTCTCGCCGTTCCGGTCACATTCGGTAGCGCGGCTGGGGGCAGTAAAACCTCTTTGCTGACCAAAGAAGCGGAGAGCGGGTTTCAAGAGCCTTCTCGTCATGCAAGTTTCATCCACAGCGAGCAGGGAGTCGACGATATCACCGTTCTTGCATCTACCCGCCCAATGGATCCCTCACTGCCACTACCGAATCCTTCATTTCATCACGATAGCGCGAGTTCTAGCTCTCTTGGACTCAGTAGTGAAAGCGACCTTGGATCAGGTTCACCAACCCCACCTCTCACGCCTTCGCTCTCCCATGCCTCCTTCGTACAGCCTACCAATTCTGGTTCGCGATCGGGTTCACCTTCTACACCACCTCCCACCCGTACGACATCACGAAGGCGCCCAGTGTCATCAGTCTCTGCAGCAAGTATCCGCACGACACGCTCGACACGCAACACCATCCGTGGCACACCTCATAGCCCTCATAGCAACGTCCAGATCATCCTTCCAGCGCCTCTCGCCCCGGAGGTGTTCCATTACGCGACGAATGATGATCACAGCGTGTATGGACGTCGGAGTATCCATTCTGATCCGTCGAACCATATCAGGCGGATGAGCCTCGCTGACAAGTGGGCGCCAGGCTCTCTCAGCACCGGTAAGCCTTCTCAATTGATGGCGGATGTTCATCGTTGACCAACCTTACACAGCTGCGCGTCAATCAACCATTTCAAATAGCGGCGAGCGACCTCCGCCCATCCCCAGGCCTCCTCGTCGTTCCTCTTCTACTCCCCACGGCCTGGCCTCCCGATCCTCTCCTCCCTCTGCGTTCCATGCCTATGTCAACTCGGTTCCTCCCGTACCTCCGATACCCTCTGTTCGCGATGCCCACAGTGCAATTGACCTTCCTATGCGTGCCGTTACTCGACCGCCGAACATGCCTTGATTTGAGGCTTGAGGAAAAATTTAGACCCGACCATCAATTGCATAAAGGGAAGCATATCACATTTTCAGAGAGTTGACTCGCGTGGCCGCCCTCTATCTTATATTCCCAGCCTACATTTTTCCATGTCCTGATGCCATGTGTAGATATAACGCCATCATATTAGTCCCAGTCTCTGGAACACTGAGTGCTCATTGGTTCTATCATCGGGGAATTGGATTGTATATCTTTACTATCATCATAGACAATGCCACTGTAGCCACACCATTATTTATGTAGGATTTTTGAATACCAAGATCCGTGTGTTGCAAGCAATGATTTCTCTGAAGGTCCTTCCAAGTTCCGAGCGACTGAAGTATATAAAGAGGACGCGGGCTTATATAACAAGTAGACGATCAAGCATCCCTGACTCGACTACATAGTGACTCGAGCGAAGTTGGATTTCTTTCTCTAAACCACCACAGACTACTGCTCCAGCCCCGGTTTATCTCCCCAGGTTTCGCGCAGGTGCACCACATTCGTTGGCGCGGGACAATGTCGACCATGCTTCGCTCAATACACACTGTAGGGAATGTCGCGCGGCGCGCGTTCTGGCCGATCCATGGCACTCGTCTCATGAGTGCCTATGTCGATCCGCTCTCGGGACAGCCTGCTGAACTACCGGATATTCAGGTGAGGGGATGTTCAAATTTTTATCTCTGCAGCGGAGAGCGTTATGCTGGTCGGCCGAATATACCCTGGGCACCGAACGCGACAACGCTGGCTATCTGGTCGAGAATATCAGGCTAAAATACGTCGTCGCTGCAGCACGGGAGACTTATCATCGACAAGAATGAACAACCTACCCCTCCACCTCCTTCAGAAACACTCGTTTTCGGAAGAACATTCGTATGTCATCAACCTGTCAATTCCTGAATACTGCCATACTCACATCCGGAGTAATAGACCGACCACATGCTGACTATCGAATGGAGCGCGACGAATGGCTGGGAAGCACCGCACATTAAGCCATGTTCGTCTACCCCCCGTTTGAAGTGTTTGAGGCCGCAATGTCTGACTTCGCGCAGATGGCCCCCTCAACCTGGCGCCGAGTTCGAGTGTGCTGCATTATGCGCAGACACTGTTCGAAGGCATGAAGGCGTACAGAACAGATGACGATCGTATCCAGCTGTTCCGCCCCGACATGAACATGAAACGGATGAATAACAGTGCAAGGCGTATAGCGCTTCCCGTAGGACATACCCCCATCATTTAACAGCTTGCAGTCTCATGAGACGGCTCGTAGACATTCAACAGCGATTCATTACTGGAGCTCATCAAGAAGCTCATTCGCATGGACAGACACTGGGTACCGAAGGAGCCAGGACACAGTTTGTACATTCGACCAACACTCAGTAAGTCTTCCCCGTTTTCCTTGAATGTCAGCGTTTCCTAATCGCCTCAACTTGAATAGTCGCAAGTCAGCAGGCCATCCAGGTATCCCCTCCAACCGAAGCAATTCTGTTCGTTATCTGCAGTCCCGTCGGGCCATACTTCCCCAAACCAGTCTCATTATATGCGACGACTGAATATATCCGTGCTGCACCTGGCGGTAAGCTCACAGACTCCCTTCATTCCAGCATTGTATATCAATGATGATTTGCGTAACAAGGAACTGGCGCGTTCAAGTTGGGTGTCAACTACGCTCCAGCCGTAATGCCCCAGAAAATGGTTGCTGAGAAGGGTTATTCGCAAAATCTCTGGCTACACGGCCCAGAACATTATCTGACCGAGGTGTGTGGCATGCTCTTCTGTTCAGATGATGCCGTCTCAATAATATCTCGAATTCGTAGGTCGGAACCATGAACATGTTTGTTGTCCTTAAGAAAGACGACGGAGGCAAGTTTTTCATGTACTTCCATCGACTAACTCGCTCCTGATCTCTTCTCATAGGTCTTGAGATCGTCACACCTCCCCTCGACGGGATGATCCTCCCTGGTATCACTCGCGACTCTGTATTGCAACTACTGAGAGACCATATTTCCGGCACACGCCCTATCCAAGGCCTCGACAAAGGGGAGAAGCTCACCGTCTCCGAGCGCGGCATCACGATGAAAGAGGTCAAAGACGCGTCGCAGTCAGGAAAACTCGTTGAGCTCTTCGGCGCTGGTACGCTTCTCATTCACGCTTCACCCGCGCTACCGAACGCTGATGTTTGTGATATTGTTCGGTAGGTACTGCTGCCATCATCAGCCCCGTCCACAAGATTGGTTACCTGAACGAAGATATTGAAGTCCCAACAGGGCCTGACGGCATGGGACGAATCGCTCGAGCGATAAGGAAGGAATTGTCTGACATCCAGTGGGGCAAGATCTCCCACCCTTGGTCCGTCCCGGTAGACGAGTAAATGGTAGCACAATGTGATAGACAACTAGAACGCCCTGTTCACGTATATTGCCTAATTATTTCTTTGTCTTGATTCATTACTCCAACTATTAGCAGTTGACTATATGATGCTGCACCGTGTGTGCAGAAGACTGGAGGAACGTCAAGGTTATTCTTATTCGTTGGCAGAGGACGATATTTGTGTGGTTCGTGTAACATTTCGGGGTTTGGTAAGGTGCGAAGTGGTGGAAAAGAGGACGGATACATACTTAATAGCAATAGACTGAGACTGAGAAGAAAGAGGAAAGAACTATCATATCGGTGGGGTGAGTGTGAGCAAGAAATGTATGAGCGTGGTTGATACAGATGGGCAGAATCACGATGATAGTTTTAAAAAATCAGTCTGCAAGGGGTGAATAAGGGAGTGGATGAACATAAGAGGCGGGGAGGGGGAAGGGGTAGGAAGTAAGAAGTTGTCATAAAATCAATTTGAATGAAACGAGGAGTTGAGTTGCAGATGAGGGACGGGGAAGACGTCTTCATGCAACGGGAGGCTGCATCTGCGTGTCACCACCAGGTTGTCCAGCGGCTTGGCCGTAGTACCCTACGACACGATGAGTATACGGCTCATTATAGGAGGAATCAGCCGACTTACCGCCCCAGTAGTTATTATAGTACGAAGACGGATCAGCTCCACCCCATTGGGCTTGTCCTGCCTGTCCACCAGCGACGGCACTAGGATCTGCGTTAGGCTGCTGCCCAGCGGTCAATCCGAGTCCTGCACCTGGCGCAGCAGCGGGTTGAGGCATGCCAGGCGATCCTGCACCAGCAGCCCCAGGGGTACCAGCGGTTTGACCAGGGAAACTACCGTATGTCCCGAACCCAGGATAGGCATACCCAGCCGGTTGTGGCATGTTGTACATCGGCTGAAGGAGATCGGTGAGTCAATGCTTTACAATCTGAGGAAACAATCCACATACCATGCTAGCATACGCTGTTGTTGCTGCGGTGGGGCTGAGAGGCGTTCCTGGCTGCGCAGCTCCTCCATCGGCCCTGTCCTTACCCCAGCTGCACTTGATAGGCCGTCCGTGAACCATCTGACCTTGCAATTGCACAATAGCCATTGCAGCATGCTCGTGGGTGTCGAGTTTGACGAAGGCAAAGCCACGATCAGCTTGCATACGGATCTCAGAGAGATAGCCAATGGATTGGAACAGAGGGATGAGATCGGCCTGCGTGCAGTATGGAACGAGATTTCCGACATAGACAGTCGTGTTGTACGCGGGCGTCTGCTGAACGACTGATTCGTACGACAGGGGTCCACCCTGGAAGTTGATGGGGGCGGGGGCACTGCCAGGATTGCCAGCTGGACGACTAGTGTTGGCACTACTGGGGGCAGGCGGAGCACCTTGGGTCTTTTGGTTGGCCCAGTTGACACGAATGGCCCGAGACCCAAGCCATTCGCCGTTCATGGTAGCGATAGCTTGTTCAGCATCTGTTTTGTCCCTGAACGCAAGGAAACCGTAACCGCGAGACTTTCCAGAGTTCATGTCCCACATGACACGAGCGTCAGACAGGGTGCCGAAAGCACTGAAGGCTTTGCCGAGGACTTCATCGTTAACTTCAGGACTGAGGTCTCCTACGAACACATGGAAATGTCCACTGGTATCCTCCTTGTTTTGTTGACCTTGGTAGGCCCAGTTGACGCGGATCTCGGTATCGAAGATTTTACGTCCATTGAGAGTCTGAAGGGCAGTCTCAGCCGCACGCATGTCCAAGTACTCCACGAAACCGTAGTTCAAGCCTCCGTGCTGGTAGTTACGGTCCGGGATGATCTTGACGTGCTGAACTGGTCCAGCTACAGCGAAGATCTCGGCGAGCATGTACTCAGTGACACGGGGGCTCAAATTCCCGACATAGAGATGGGCTCGTCGCTATGATATCGAACGAACGTATGTTGAGATAACCGAGTGATCACACGCGAGATGAACATAGATATGAGCAGTCGTTTGCGATAAGATGCAAACTACATACCGGAGCCTCCGCAGGGTTCCCCATTCCAAGAGCATTCATGATTTTTTCGGTTTACAAAAGAAAAATGCAGAACCTGGTCATTTGGGGTCGGTAAAATGTCAGTTCATACAGAGAGCAGCGAGAGCATTAGTGGGCCTTACCAAAGACTGGAATAACAGACAAATGACGAAGTCGGCCTGAAATATGAGATACGAGAGGAGAGAGAGAGGAGAGGAGGAAACGATAAGAAACAGAGGGAAAAGAGACGAGAGAGTACAGACAGTCGAGGAACTCAGACGGTGGTTGAGGAAGAGAACAGAGGCGCTCCGCCGTGCGAAACACTCCCAGAGGCTGCAGCCAAGCATACGCACACAAAAGAGACTTAAGCATGATATTTACCTACTTGCTACGCTACTTTGAAGGTACGTTTAACAACACATTACCTCCACTGCTGGGGATGTATGAGACGTTGGGGTTGTTGGCCAGCGACTGGACGATGGCCTTGCTGGCCTCGATTTTTCTCAGAGCGACGAAGGCCTCGCCAGCTTTCTCCAGTGACCGCGAGATCACTACGGCAGCCTCAGCCTCTCCTTCGGCGCGTATGACAGCTGCTTGGCGTTCTTGTTCAGCCTAGGGAACACAGTTTAGTAGTGTCTAAAGCATAGCAATAAGGACGCATACTTTTTCAACGATGAACTTGGCACGCTCCGCATCTAAAGTCGATCCGTCAGTACCTGTGCTTCGAATGATAGTTCCTTTATGAATGATACCAACCTTGTTGAGCAATCTGCTTAGCTTCGACAGCTTGGGTAAATTCCTAGGGTGATGCTTAGCATTGAGTATACAAAACGCTACGGCATGACACACCTTTCCGAATGTCAGATGTGTGATGGAGACATCCTCTAACTTGATGTGGAATTCGCCTGCCCGCTGGAGGAGATCTTCACGTATTCTTGACGACACCTAATGAAGTTGGCGTAAGGGTTTAACGACATGCGAGGGATATAGTTCGCATACAACTTCACGCTGGGTAATCAGCTCAGCAGCGTCGAATTGTGCTACGATGCTTTTCAAAACTTCGTTTCCAATCGAGGGGAGGACACGCTCGTCATAGTCCATGCCGAGACTTTGGTAAATTTTGGGGAGGTGGTCGACGTTAGGTCGGGACAGAACACGAAGCGTAATTGAAACCATTTGCAGATCCTTGGAGCCGGTCGTAGTTGAGATATTCTGATAAGTATGAATCAACGGAGGTTCAAGTGAGGGAACGTCTTGACGCGACACGCACTCTAGGTTTTATACGGCAGTCGTACAGAATCGCTCTTTGAAGCCAAGGAACCAGGAAGTGGGTACCTTCTTTGGTCGCCTAGCACAGGTATTAGCAAGCCATATGCAAGGCTTAACTGACAGAGCTCACTTGATCCTTTACTCCAGAAAAGCGGTCGAACATGACTGCTCGATATCCCCCCGGGACATCGTAGATGCTCGCCTGCCCTACGGCGAACAAGATACCAAGTGGAACTAATGCAAGAGTTAATAAGGTACATCTGGGCAGCGAACTCGACGCACCAATGAGACGATTTGCTGCCTGCAACGCCATGGTCAATGAGATGCAGTTGTCTTAGGCGTCTGAACGGCACTCACGCCGACACACGAAGCCGCAGACAAACAACAGACAACGCGTTCCGAATGGCAGGGGCAAGATAGGAGGGAGTTACTTCTAAGTCTATTCCAAGGGTACATCGCCTTTCTTCTCCCCATGCATCCGAGCTGAGTAACTACCGAACTGCATAGCTCTCTTCTTCCGTTGGCTAGCTTCCATCAGGCCCAACTTTCTTGCAGCCAACCGCAGAAGCATCTTATCTCCCATGCCAGTCTCCAAGCGTGGATCCAACTTGAAATGAACAGGAAGCGAGGCCAAGAAATTCACGACGCTGAGCGACAAGAAGGGATACCGTGTTTCTTTTCCGTGAGACGAGATAATTCTGTCGTCGCGGCCGAGATTGCGCGTCGGAATTCGGTCGATTTCTAGTTGCAGCTAGGACCGCAGGTCAGCAAATATTTACATTAATAAACTCTGTTCATGTCACCTCGTCTACCAGAGCTTTCCATCCATGGGTGAATGCAGTCCTGTGACGACTATACCCACCTAGCAATTCGTCCGCTCCCAGTCCGCTGAGAATGACCCGCGCAGGACTGATGTACGGCTCTGGCTCGTTATCTTTCTGTCGACGTACCTGGCCGATGCCCCTTGAAGCAAAATATAGAGCCATTGCGAGACTCTGACGTGGTGGCACATTACTCCACAGGGATCATAGAAAGAAAAGAGCACTTATACCAAGTCCATGACGGTATTTGATGGGAACATCAAGGCTTCAATAGTCGGCCTTGCTGCTTGAGATTCGGCGTATGGAACATTGATTTCTACCTTCAGCGCCCAAACATCAGAGATATAAGTTAGTGGCTTGGACTCAAACCCACGAAATTCCATTGACGATCAGGGCACAACCTGCGTAACTCTTGCAATTCCTCCAGACCCGACATCCTGTCGGGGACCTTATACACAGGTCGCCGCGGTTGCTCGGGTTTCCCAGAATTTTTGTGCTTTGCATGCTCGGTGTCTTGGTCTTGTAGCTTGCGAGGATTCTCGAAAGCTACGTTAAGAAGGTCGATGGGTTCTTCTAATGGGATGTTCCTGCTATCAATCAATTCAATGTGTCACATACAGGAGGGCAAAACCCAACCGGTGAGCGAGATAGGTGAGAACAGTACAGTCTATGCCGCCGCTGAATAGTATCGCCACCTTCGAAGGATTGATGCTGCAACAACTGAGCTATCCGTAAATGGTATCACCCAAGTAACTCACAGGTTACAGTCAATTGAGGGGATGTCCAGTACGCGTAATCTCGTACTTCTGTTCAGTTGGTTAATGAGATCGTCGACTGCTTGTGAGAGGTGTGGAGGAATAACGTCCAAAGTTGTGAGCTTTGGGAAGTCGTCTGGGGGTAATACTGGATTTACTCGTGATGGAATCGCCTGGGTACAGTATTTGCATAGTGCGATAAGCCGTTGAAAGTGCATAGTGCGATAAGCCGTTGAAAGCTTAAGAGAATCGTAGGAACTTACGAAGGGAGTTGGAGCTTTTGTTTCGGCGTTCTGTCGAGGTATGGTCGACAAGCAGACCTCGTCTACGAAACAAGAGAAGTCGATATAGTGAAGAAACTCTGTCGATAGCTCCTCGATGTCGTAACCAGGCGAGGGCCCGCATGTCGCTGATGAAAGTAACAGATGAGGCTGCAACGGGGTTGGTCTATGAATCAGTAAGGATCGACGGCCTAGTGGATCCCTCCCGAGAAATACATGCTGGGATGCTGCCTGTACGCATTTGATGAGGATGTTGAGGGCATCTTGAAATGGCGCCCGCTCACATGGAAAAACACAAACGCATACCTTCAACGCCATGAATATAGATACAGAACGAGCAAAGGACAACCTTACGGGCCTTCTATACTCCCAAATAGCGCGGCTATTTCTGAAGGTGACTGAAGCTTGCAGAGCTCTTGGAACAAGATAGCACCGTCATTTTGATCGGGCTTTATCTTTGCTCAAACACAAGAGATTAGTTTGTAAGTCCACTGCGTCTCATGCAACGTACATCCAATCCTTCAAACACCTATATATTGCTCGGAGAGTGTCCATTGTGCGATGTGTCTGGACTCACTTCTCCGTTCCAACATAAGATATTATTATTCGATTCGTGCGGTTGTACGATAGGTGCTGTGCCTCGTAACCTTAACTCAGACGAGAAGAATTCTAAATGGACGATGGGAGGTTTCGTTATGTCGGTGTATCCCGAAGGGGAAGCTGGTATGGTGAGGCTAACGGTGCGCTGGGCATCAGGACCTGTCAGTATTGAAGTAGCATCAGCCTCCCAGCCACCTTCAAGCACCTAATCTTTCAAGGGGAAACTCGCGTACCACGCTGTGCATTGATGGTCTTCAAAGTGGCGCGTATGTCATGAATTGAAGGTGCTTCAGACTCAGGATCCGGCGACAAGTTCCTTTCTTGATGCAAACAGAAGAATATTCCACACATGAGAGTGAAGAGAAGAAAGATCGATCACATTCTCAGGGGCTTTAGTAGGAGCCATAGGGGCGCCGACAGAATTATTGCCAGCCACCCTAGCGTATTCAAGCACATTTCAGCAATCGTCCACACAAGCGAACGATGGCTTCCGACGGTCCTACAAATACTTCCACTACTACTCAGTCTAAGATAGCCACACTCGCCTTGCGTAAAGTCCGCAAATTGAACTCACAAGTCAAAGAGCTTGCTCAGCGATGCGCGGACCTGGAGCACGTCGTCGCACAAGCGGAAGCAGAAGGACGCCTATCAGATTATCGGCCCACAATTCCAACCCAACTGTCCCCTCGCAATAAATTGAGCAAGAAGCGGAAAGTATCTGGTGCAGAACGGCGAGCGTCACGAACGGATAACGACAGGCGGTTAGCGTTATTGGGCGCATATGTCGCCTCTCTACGTGTTGAACGAGCTTCTCGATTGATGAATACCCTTGCGAAAAGGCGGGCGTCTGACGCTATTGTCATTGCTTCCAGGAAAGAAGACGCAGATGAAACGCGTACCACCGAAGGCGGCGTCGGAAGCCATTCTGGTCAGTATTGCCTACAATGCACTCCGCGACCCTTGCTCATGAGTATTTTTGGAAGTAACAGGTAACGTACCTACCACTGGCGCAGAGGGCTACACAATGGGTTGCGAGCTGAAACGAAGTGTGTGTAAGTGCCTTTCGCCTGCGTGACGACCCCATCTTGAATTTAATCTCAATTTTCCAACAGTCCTAGACAGAGAAAGTACAAGCGGCATAAGATCTTGAGTTGCTTCCCGAAGCGTTTCAGCACACGCACACAACTGGAGAGCATACAATTCGAAAGCCCTTGTTGAAAGTCACAAATATCATCTATAAGTGTAGTTTAAAATGAAGAACGTCCCAAGGGCTCTATTCTACAGCAAGCAACTGCTACCAGCCATGCAAAGGTTATGAGTGTGGCCTGAAAGCCCGGAGTCTCCTAGTACTCGAATAGGGGAAATCACGCGTTTCGTTGCTTTGGACCACTGATGGCAGGGCTGCCATCCCTTCAAATAGTGAGCCTGCGGGCCTGCACCATGGATCCAAGCAGAGCATGATCTCGCGCACATTTGAATCCCCTTCACGACTTTCACATATATATAGCTAAGACCCTCAGCAATGTCCTCAAATACCCAACCACAACCTCCGAGTCGAACCCGCGCGTCGATTGCTGTGGCACCACCGAATATGTCGACCGGGGCACACGTACCAGGGATCTCTATCATCTTCGAAGGATGGGTTCTAAAGAAACGAAGGAAGAAGATGCAAGGTTGAGCCACCTACGTGTTCCTCCAAACCTACCCTAACGCGATCATATGTGTAGGCTTTGCCCGACGCTACTTCACCTTGTTTCACACTGGAATCCTATCGTACGCGTTTGAGCCTGGGCAGCCCATCCGAGACCAGGTCTCCTTGCACCACGCAGCCATATCCACCGCGCCTGGCCGAAAGGACATACATATTGACTCCAATAACGCAACTTTCCATCTTAAATGCCTGAGCACCGAAGACTTTGACCATTGGATGACCGCTTTGAGGTAATTGCGTTGAATCCCTGTTGTCTGTGTCGTCGCGTTACCTGACCGTATACAGGACATTCATGCCCAATACTCCTGACGGGAGGAAATCAGTCAATTTCAGGCATTCGCGTCAAGGAAGTCTAGGATACGTTCGTCCGACAGTGGCAATCGAGGAAATGGGATCGGTCAGTCCAAGTAACCCTTCTCTAGGTCCTTCCTGATCCGGGACTCTTTAGGCTATAGCAGAATTAGACAGTGCAGTGCACGCGCTGATCAACGAAGTCGCCCATATCAAGACCAGCAGCTCCTATAAGGCAAAGCACGACGTTTTCGGATTATTCAAAAAGAGTGAATATTGTATTGTACTAAAGATTAATGGTAGTAAGCTGACACCGTCGTTTGAGATCCCCATCATCCAACGGCGAATGAACCTACAGCAATGCCCGATCCTGCAGCTCAGCTAGTCGTGCAGCAACGAGTTGAAGAAGCGTTAGACGCGATGAAGATACACTACGCCCTGCTACTCAGATCTGCGAACCACCACCCTCATACCCCCTTTGATCAATCACAATCAAGCCTATCCTCCCCCCTTCCAACCACAGCCGAAGAGGACGAAACCTATGCAACTAGGCGACCCCGTAGTCGAACTTCGGTTCGTGCAGCTAGCAGGGCCATGAAGCGCGCGTCAACTGGCACGAGTATAAGCGATGCTGAGTGGTTCGACGCGATGGAAGGCGACGGGCCCGAAGAATACGTCCTGGATTCTCAAGGCGCGGACGGTACTAGCACCGAGCCTCCTAGCAGGATTCTGACGAACGATAGCCGAAGTAGTTTGGACCAAGACCATTCTTCGAATGGGGATACCGACTTTGGCGAACCCGAGCCTGGCACGCCGCACCCTTCCGACGCAGACAAGCCATACAACCTTCATGTGGTCCGACGTGCGGTGTTGCCTTCGCCTGTCGTAGGGGATGAAGGCAGCTTGTTCGCCGTTCTGAAAAAGAACGTCGGGAAGGTGCGCTCACCCGCATCTTCGAGACTGAAATACTTAATTAATGTCATACAAGGATCTTTCATCTATTGTGATGCCAGTGACCTTCAATGAACCTCTTACCCTATTGCAGCGTACAGCAGAGGAGTTGGAGTATCACGACCTTCTCAGCCAGGCAGCAGCTACATCAGACCCGGTTGAACGATTGTGCTTTGTTGCTGCTTTCGCCGTGTCAGGGTACGCCCATACGCGCCATCGCAGTGGCCGGAAGGGTTTGTAAGTGTTGCTTTCGCCAATTGTACGTGCACGTACCGATTCTATGCATAGTAATCCTATGCTCGCTGAAACCTTCGAGGATGTACGTATGAAGTTGATAGCGGAGAAAGTCCGACATCAACCAGTAGTAATGGCTTATCACGCCGAAGGACAAGGTTGGGAACTCAATGCGACTTCGTCAGGCCGGACCAAGTTCTGGGGTCAGTGAGCGCAATCTCACCCCGATGTTCGCCCGGTATGCTTACGTCGGACAATCTAGGTAAAAGTTTGGAGATTATCCCTCTTGGCATTACTCGCGTCACGATAGGAGACGACAGCTTTGAATGGTAAGTCTTTCCTCTTCCGGGAAATAAGCACTGAACGACCATCGACCATATAAAGGAAAAAGCCATCGTCATTCCTGCGAAACATGATGGTGGGAACGAAGTACCTTGAGCATTGTGGTAAGATGACCATCGAGAATACCACGACTGGCGCTCGATGCGTACTTGATTTCAAGCAAAGCGGTTACTGGGGCGCAACTAACCTCGTTTCCGGTGTTGTGCATTCTCCATCGGGCGCCGTTGTCTCGCAGCTGGACGGCAAATGGGATGATCAGCTCGCGCAGACATTTGACTCCGAGCACTTCCGCATGCTCTGGCGAGTGTCGCCATATCCGAAGAATATCCACGAGTACTACGGGTTCACTTCTTTCGGCATAACATTAAACGAGATTACCAGCGACATCGAGGGAAAGCTCCCTCCCACGGATTCTCGATTTAGGCCTGATGTCCGAGCCTTGGAGGAGGGCGATTTAGATAGGGCGGAGGATGAAAAGTTGAGAGTGGAAGAGATGCAGCGTGAGCGGCGGAGGAGAGGGAAGGATCGGCAGCCAAGGTGGTTCAGAGAGGAGGGTGAAGAGTGGGTTTACACAGGAGGATATTGGGAAGCTCGCGCGGCTGGGTGGAAGGGATCCAACGCCGATCCCTTATGGTAACATTCCGTTCATATTCATCAACAACTCTTATTCCTTCGGATTAACGCATTTAACCTACGAACCCATATATTTCCTATTCCAACGACTCGCCAGCATGATCATGTGGAAGCCATAAATGCCGGATGCCATCAGTATCACCACTTCGAGCTACGTATACGAACGCATCAGCTTCTCAGACGTGAGTTCATGCATACTGACCAGTTTTTCCGTGGTACGCCATCGTCAAGACTTCTTGGAATGGAGATCGAAATCCCTTGACTTCGAGTATATCTCGGACATAGTCGTTTCGAAGCGACGTCGGATGCGTATAAAGGCGCGGTTCTGGCAGGTCAGCTGGAGACTCTAGTCGGGAACCCACAGGATAAGGCCAGGAAAAAATGTGGTTTGCTTTGACACTTGCCCTTGGGCTGGCGTTGCTCGCCGTTGCACAACAAGCAGTGTATCAACAATGCGGCGGCATTGGCTGGTCAGTGTATTCAAATATCGTCATAATAATTGACTACATGTGCCTCCTATTGCAGGACTGGAGGAACCACATGTGCTTCCGGATCCGTCTGCACAGTTCTCAACGATTGTGCGTTTTGCGATACCGGGCGATCCTGAGGTCCACTAACTCGGAAGCCTGCGTAGATTATTCTCAATGTCTCCCGGGCACAGCGCCTCCGAGCTCTTCATCTTCTACACGTCCTGCAAGTTCGTCATCATCACCAACCTCGACGTCCCCTACTAGTACAACCTCGGGTTCTGCCCCATCGAGCACACCGCCTGGTATGTTCCCAATGTATGGTTTCAACGACATTAGAGATCCTCACTGTTACATTCAAGCTAACCTCTCGCCGGCATGGCAAGCCGCGTACACAAAGGTCGGGAATTGTACATAATCCTAGAAGTTCACTTCCTGAATCGACGTCCTTCAGGCACGCGCGAAATTGACTGGCGTGTCCCTCCAAGACAAAGTATCTCTGGCTACTGGTGCGTCCAATATTATGATCTCCTTGCAGTGCACCACTTTAAGCAATATACAGGTGTCGGCTGGATGAATGGTGAGAATGCTGCATACGCGTCAACAAAGACCTGTGCTTATCTTGATTCACCAAGGAAACTGCGTGGGGAATATTCCAAGTATTTCGTCCATAAACTTCCCTGGCTTGTGTCTACAAGGTATGGCAATAGTGTTTTTTCCTGCGAGTTAATATTTATTCCTTTGTAGATAGTCCTCTTGGTGTTAGATTTGGCGACCTAGTCTCTGTGTTCCCAGCGTGAGTCAATGTGTAGCGAATAAACCCTGCGAAACTTCTTACACTGTCCGACAGTGGCATCAATACCGCCGCGACCTTCAATCGCACGTTGATGAGACAGAGAGGCGCAGCTCTGGGCACTGAATTCCACGGAAAGGGTGTTCATGTCGCGTTAGGACCTGCCATGTATGTGAACTACTTTCTTCTCGCAAGAAAGGGGACCCCTGATGTCCGTCCAGGAATCTAGCACGAGCTCCGGCGGCAGGCCGAAATTGGGAAGGGTACGAGTAAACTCGCGCTGCTGTTGGAACCCCACAACTTATCATCAATGCTTGGGTCCATAGTTTTGGAGGCGACCCATACCTTTCTGGAGAGGGTGCATTCGAGACTGTCACTGGTATCCAATCTGTGGGCGTTCAAGGTACCCCGGCTTCTAGTCTTCGGTAAATACCCTTGCTTAATGACTGCTAGCATGCGCGAAGCATCTCATCAACAACGAACAAGAGCATTTCCGGGAGACGAGTTCTTCGAATGTTGATGATAGGTATGCTCAAATTCATTGTTCTCTTCAAGGGACAACGCTCATGGGTTACACGCAGAACTGTAAGCTTTCAGGTGGAGTTACTTTCTGTCTTCAGCGAATACTGACATCGAATAAGCAACACGAACTCTACGCCCTTCCAGTAAGTTATCACAGAATCACCTGAGCTCATCCTGAATGCCTTGTGTAGTTCCTTCGCAGTATCCAAGCAGGTGTGGCGTCAGTGATGTGCAGTTACAGTAAGTTCGACGTGCCTTATTTAAGATACACCATTGACATTCCATCCTAGATCAAAGTGGGATATTTCCTTTGCAATGGTATTCGTTCCCTAACAGATGAACAGTCAACGGGTCGTTTGCATGCGAGAATGACAAGGTTCTCAACGGAATTATCAAGGGCGAATTTGGGTTCCCTGGCTGTAAGTTGTACCTTATCAACGGCGTGGTAATTGATACCGATGTTGCGTCCTAGATATTATGTCGGGTTGGTCATTTTTGTGCTGGCTCAAGCGACTAAGTTGCTCAAACTTGAATAGACTGGGCTGCCACACACTCCACTGGATCAGTCAACCAAGGCCTCGATATGACCATGCCTGGAGACATCACCTTTAGTTCGGGCACTACGTAGGGGTTCCATTCTCACGGCTTTTCCAGAGGCTGACGTCCTCCCAGGTATTTCGGCCAGAATCTGGTTAATGCTGTTCAATCTGGTAGTGTTCCGCAATCTCGAATTGATGTATGTCGTCCCCGAGTCACTATCTTTTGGATCGAGCAGATGACATATGCCTCATAGGACATGGCTACCAGAATCCTAGCTGCATGGTAAATCATCTTTCCTCTATGGAAGGCTAACATGTGCATTGAACACGTCTGCTGCAAGGTATCTACTAGGCCAAGACTCTGGGTATCCAGCGGTCAACTTCAACAGCTGGAATGTCAACGGTCCTGGCAGCACTCACGTCAATGTACAAGGAAACCACAAAGAGTATGTAGTCAGCTTTCAGTCTTGTCGATCAGCCGTGGTTTACGTCCTCGCCACTAGCCTCATTCGTACCATCGGTGCTGCGTCAACTGTATTGTTGAAGAACACAGGCAAGGCACTCCCGCTGAACAAGCCACGAACGATAGGCATAATTGGCAATGGTGCAGGTAAACTATCTGTGTTCATTTCAGACACTATTCACTCAATGTCGTGTCAAGGTGCGGGTTCCAGGGGCATAAATGGGCAAGTACATCGACAATTTATCTATTATATCTGTTGAACGTATTGTTTACTGTAGATATACCGACCGAGGCGGACTAGATGGTGTTCTTGCACAAGGTATTGAGCTTTCCCCCTCGCTCCATTATTACCCGTCTGACAAGCGCTCAGGATGGGGAAGTGGCACAGCGGATTATCCATACCTTATCACTGTGAGTTTAGACGACTCCCTTGCAAGTAATCAATCAATGACCTAATGTGAATAGCCCTTGGCTGCTATCACCTCCCGGGCGAGTACCGATGGTTCCACTGTTTCTTCTTCTCTGAGTGATACGGACCTCAATGCCGCTGGGACGACCGCGACCGGAAAAGACGTTGCCCTTGTGTTCATTGCAGCTAACAGTGGCGAAGGATACATCACAGTAGAGGGCAATGCTGGGGACAGAAATGATCTGAAGGCTTGGCACAGCGGAGTAAGATTCTCATCTCGATCAAATGTGTTGCGCAATACTCATGTAGTCTATTAGGATGCTTTAGTAGCTAGAGTTGCTGGCGCCAACGCTAACACTATTGTCGTTGTGAACAGCGTTGGGCCCATCGAGGTGGAAGCATGGATCAACCACCCTAATGGTGAGATATTTTGCGGCTCAGCGTCCTTCATTCTAATTTGACTCCATGATAGTTACCGCTGTGGTGCGCCTTAAAGCTCATCTTCCCATTATTTCTCCCTAAGATTTACTGCGTTGATTAGGTTTGGAGCGGTCTTCCAGGACAAGAAGCAGGTAGGTTGTAGTCGCATAAACGTCGACCCGTACCTTAGTATCTTCTTTTTAGGTAACGCCCTAGTGGATGTTCTGTACGGAGCATACAATCCTAGGTCAGTCCGGATGCTAGGCAAAGCCTTATACTCTAGTTGACGAGCTGGGTCCAGTGGCCGGCTACCTTACACAATTGGCAAGAGTATCAACGACTACTCCGCGAAGGTCATATACAATTCGAACGCCAACATTCTACCAATACCATATTCCGAAGGGTTGTTCATTGATTACCGCCATTTCGATCAAGCCAATATCGCGCCGCGCTTTGAATTCGGCTTCGGATTATCGTACACGACGTTCTCTTACGCATCCTTATCTATCTCTGGATCCATTGGTACGGGTACCGCACCAACAGGACCTGGCTCTTCTCTAGACCCATGGTAGATCCTGCACCAGCATGTTCACCCCAACCAGTTTCTGACGTTGCAACCACAGGCTCCACGAGAAAGTCATCACGGTTACCTTCTCGCTCACAAACAGCGGCAGTGTTGCCGGTCATGAGGTTAGAAAAATCATACTTCACGATTCCATTTTCTCATTTGTTGCAACAGATCCCGCAGCTATACATTACTCTTCCAACATCGGCCCAGTCGGCTCCGCTGAGCCTGAAGGGATTCGACAGTATCTTCCTGGCGCCCAACCAAAGCAAAACCGTAACGATACAGTTGTCGAGATTCGACCTTTCGATCTGGAACGTTGCTGCCCAACGATGGCAGATTCCTTCCGGCTCGATTGGAGTCTCAGTCGGCGCAAGCAGCCGTGACATCCGACTCACTGGTACCATCTAAACCATAATATGTGTAGCACATGCACGACTTCAGATTTTGTCGTGTTAATCAGGTCTATGTATATCATGTACTCGTGGGCGTGAACGTACGCCGATGCTTTACAAAAATGAGCCGCCTCATTGGTTGAAGGATCAAATGAGGGTCGAACCGCGACGCGTTCCGTTACATGCCACGTGGAGTGGCTACTCTCCGCTCCGTGGTGTCTTTCAGTTTGTCGGCCGAAAATGAAGTTCGTAATTCTCCCGTTCCCTTGTCCAAAACTTTGTGACGAAGTACCGTATTCTTCAACCAGCTTCGCCTGGCCCACCCGCGAGCCATGAAACTGGCCGGACGACGCCTTCAACAACCCATCAAATGTCTACGACGCTCGCTCGCTACACATATTAGTTCAACTGGCTCGGTTCAGAAAGATTGCTCCTCGGTCACGCCGCCATATTCGTCGTTAATTAGAAACCTCAAGACTGTGCGAGATATACTCGGAGATCGGCCCCTCACCCTAGCGGAGAAGATCCTCTACAGCCACATCCATGCTCCTCAGAAAAGTTTGGTTAATGGGAGACTCGTCAGGGGTGAAACATACCTCCAGCTCAGTCCGGAAAGGGTTGCTATGCAGGATGCATCAGCTCAGTGAGTCTTCGACGTTACATCGGGAGTGTGATTTAGGCTTATCCATGGGCCCGTTTCTAGGATGGCGTTGTAAGAATTATCGTGTTCTGCCTCGGAGGCCAAGTAGTGATGATATTAATAGGTTGCAGTTCATGAGTGCTGGTCTCGCGAAATGTGCAGTGCCTGTAAGCATTCATTGCGACCACTTGATACAAGCAGTAAATGGGGCAGCTTCCGATCTTGAGGTATGTCGCGTGATATCGTGCTCAACTACTCATGTGTGACGTTCTTGATCATTAGCGGTCAATAATTTCAAACAAGGAGGTATTCGACTTCCTAGAAAGTGCTGCTCGGAAGTATGGGATTGAATTCTGGCGTCCGGGTTCTGGCATCATACATCAAATAGTCTTGGAGAACTATGCCGCACCGGGGATGCTGATGTTTGTACTCTTCAACTCACGAATGATTTGCTGACGCTGACTTTCAAGGAATAGGTTGGGTACAGGTGTGTACTAGTTTCACAGAACACTTCATTCCGTCTGACTTCGTCCTTGAGATTCCCATACACCGAACGCTGGAGGCCTTGGCATGTTGGCTATTGGTGTTGGAGGAGCAGATGCGGTCGATGCGATGACGGGGACACCTTGGGAGCTGAAGGCACCTGAGGTAGTCGGTAGGTTCATCTCCGTCCAAATAATTCTCCATGCAGTTTCTCTAACGAATTGCGTATTCTAGGTATCCATCTAACAGGCAAATTGAATGGTTGGGCAACACCCAAGGACCTCATCTTGCATCTTGCTGGAAAGCTGACCGTCAGGGTGCGCCGTCACAATATGCGCTTGTTTATACTCTCCCCCAACGTGATGTACAGGGTGGAACAGGTAGAATACTGGAATACTTTGGGCCCGGTGTCGCCGACCAGTCATGTACCGGTATGCTAAAGCCAGTCACCGTTCTGCTTCATTCTGATTGCAAGTAGGTCTTGCGACTATCGCGAACATGGGTGCTGAAGTTGGAGCTACAACATCGACGTTCCCCTACTCAGCAAATATGCGTGCGTATCTAGAGAAAACAGGTCGTGCACCCGTCGCCCGGGCGGCAGACGAAGCGGCCGCACAGGGCTTCCTGAGTGCGGACAAGGACGCCGAATATGACGAAGTGATCGAAATTGTAGGTCTCCCAGTTGACTCGGTGTCGTGGCTGTAATCTAATGGGTGAATGCTATAAACAGAACTTATCTGAGCTAGAACCCACTATCAATGGACCATTTACACCAGATCTAGCTACCCCGATCTCCGCTTTTGGCAAGTTTATCGAAAAAGAAGGCTGGAAGGACGAGTTTTCTGCAGGCCTCATTGGATCGTGTACTAATAGTTCCTACCAAGACATGGTATGCCATATGTACGATTCTTCTTGTTCCCCTTACTGACACGATGACCACGTTAGACGAGCGTGGCGGACCTGGCGCGCCAGGCAAAAGCAGCTGGGCTTACCACTAAGGTACCTTTCCTCTGCACACCGGGATCAGAGCAAATACGGGCTACCATGGAGCGAGACAATTTGACCTCTGCCCTGGAAGAGGTAGGGGCCACCGTACTTGCGAACGCTTGTGGCCCTTGTATTGGTCAAGTAACGATCTTTCCTCCCTGCGAAGGCATCATTCTCACAGCTTGTACAGTGGAAGCGTGAAGACCAGACTGATTCAGAAAATGGCATGCCTCTTCTAACTCTTTCTACTTTATTCTGACGGTTGCTTGTAGCTATCCTAACGTCCTTCAACCGGAATTTCAAGTCACGGAATGACGGAAATCGTCTCACAATGAACTTCCTTGCCTCCCCTACTATCGTAACGGCAATGTCTTTCTCCGGAAAGCTATCGTTCAACCCGATCACGGATTCAATACCACTACCTTCCGGCGAGCTATTTAAGTTCTCGCCGCCTACGTCACAAGATTTACCTTCTGCTGGGTTCGCCGCGGGGGACTTGTCGTATTATCCCGCACCATCGCCTGCTCCTCAGCCTGACACTGAGATTGTGGTGCGGAAGGATTCTCAGCGACTGGAACTTCTGGAGCCGTTTGGTAGCCATTTTGGACCAGATTCGGGCAACCCAAGAGGGTTAGAACTTCCAGAGCTAAGAGTTCTACTGAGAGTTCGGGGAAAGTGCACTACCGACCACATATCTGCAGCGGTGCGTTCATTCCTGTCCCATAAAGGTCATCTTATTTAGGCACGGCATTCCTAGGGCCCCTGGCTGAAATACAAAGGCCATCTAACCAATATATCGGAGAACCTTTGTGAGTAGCCTGCTCACCTTATTCTTTGGATGGAGCACTTAGGTGTCGTACTCTTTAGTGATCACAGTATGGTTTTCTCTTTCTTATTTGCCCAAAGTAAACTTAGTAAGGATCCTGTAGGCGGTCAACGACGAGGGTGGTGAAGTGAACATTGCCTTCGACCACGACCATGATGCGTCTCAATCCAGCACGGATACCATTCCTGGTGTAGCCAAGCGCTTCAAGGCTCGAAAGCAGCCTTGGGCACTGATTGTCGACGACAATTATGGTGAAGGCAGCGCCAGGGAACACGCGGCCCTTCAGCCAAGATTCTATGGTGTGCATTCTCAATACTCAGACGACTCTGGTGTTCTAATTCCCTGGTCAAGGATGTTCTATGATTATCGCGCGCTCTTTTGCTCGTATTCACGAGACAAACCTCAAGGTACCTTGGCTATTTCCTTGATTTGCGCATTAGCTAACTCGTCTACCCAAATAGAAACAAGGCGTGCTGCCGTTATGGTTTGTGGATAAATCGGACTACAACCGAATTGGTTCAGGGGATAAACTAGAGACGATCGGCCTCGAGGATTTACTGAACGGTGTCCCTGATGCAGGAATCCGTGTCAAGGTGACGAAGCTCGACGGAGAGGTGTTTGAGATTCCAACAAGGCACACCATGTCTACCGACCAGCTCCACTGGCTTCGCTATGGTTCTGCGTTGAATTACATTCGTAGACAGCTTTCGTAGCCGGATTGCCCCTAACTATGAATTCCCACGTGGCTGCACATACCGAGGCTTCCGTATTTGGATGAGCAGCGCATTCCGTCGAGTTGAACAGTTCCTTCTTTCCGTTTCACCACCAATGCAATGTCCTCGAAGCCTGTTGCCCAGGTCTCACGAAAGTCGCTCGCCATAAAGCGCGCAGACGGCGAGCCCCTCACACGCTGCGACATCCAGTACGACCTCCTCAAAGCCATCTTCGACGACACCCATGCTGTATTCACCGACCCTCACGAGACCCTCCACGGCGACCCAGCAGGCTCCAAGGTCTCGTTCCATGACCTGTACATAAACTCAATAATGCGGTCGTCCAAGGCGACCAAGGTCCTTAGAGAGAAGATGCAGGACGTACCAAACTTTGCCACTGACTTTGCAATGCTTGCACTGTTAACCAATGTGGGCAGAATCAATACGACCATGAGCTGTGAGTCTGCTGAATTGTTTACCATATAACTTGCGCACGAGCCCTTGACAGTCTTCCCGGAGATGAAGACCACCATCCGGACGTATCACCCAATCCCTGCTCTGCAGCGGACCAACGGCAATCTCCAAGACGCCCCGAGAATCAAGCACATCCTCAAGGCCTGTACACTCGATGATGGCGACAACAAGAACCCCCCTTCGACCCCTTCCGATATCTTGGCGCGTGCTGTGAGCAACTTTCTGCATTATTCCCTTCAATTAATATTAAGCCCCTGTTTGCAGAGAGCCGGGCAGATCCCTTCAACCACCGTGACGAATTTAATATTCGTGATGGCCAACCACTCCGTCGTAAGTGTGTTGCCGTCTTCTGGAAGCATCGCAATTTAACTCTGCTTAGCCACTCGGACAAACTTACTTCGCGGATGACCTCGAATTCCTGGATGTTTTCCTCGCCATGCAAATATCCTCAGCCTCTCGAGCTCGCGCGTTTCTCTGGCTGTGCTATCACTATCTAGAGTCGCCGAACATTGACGCGGATGATGACTACGATACAGAGGGCTCGACGCCACCCAACCCATTCGCTGACCACCACCGAGAACCCGGGAAGCTGCCATTATTGATCAGACTTTCCCCTGAAGAAGCGGCAGAGGAAAATCAGGACACGGAGGCTGAGAAGCTTTTGGCCGAGAAGTTTGTCCGCCAGCGCTCTGAGATCGTCAAGACGCACGGACCCAAAGCTGTGACTAGTGACATAGTTCCTGATGAAGACGACCAAGCCAGCGCTGTCTCCGATGTCAAACCTAAAGAAAAGCGGACCACAAGCACTGCCGGGGCTTTGGCTAGGACAGCAGCTGCGAAAGAGAAGAAGGCAGCCGCAGACAAGATGCGTAGAGAACGAATGAAGCAAGCGAAGCGCGAACGGGCGTCTGCAGCATCGTTCGATGAACAGTTCGATAGCATCCTACCAGAAAGTATGACTCTACATCCTAAAAGAACTATACTACTCTGCTGATTTATGTCCTCAGGTCTCCAGCAGCACATGCAACCCCGCCCACCACAGGTAGATGCGCAACCTACGCCCCGCAGAATCTTATCACCGCCGTCCCAAACCCGCAATCCTCAGTGGACGGGGAAAGTAAGTACAAACCGACGGCGATCAAATCGAATGTCGCCCCTCCCGACTCGAGTCCCTCGTGCTCCTCCTGCGCCTCAACGCTCCATATTACAACGTATGTCACAACCGTCTCTGCGTTGAAAGCCAATCATTCAATAGATTATTCTCTAGAAACCTGGCATGTTTTGACGCACGGGGATCCCCTCATCGACTCTGACGAAGAGTTCGCGGATGAACACGTCAGGCATGATTATCGTAAGTCCTGGTCGCAAACTTCTAGACTTCTCGGCTAACGATATTCCAAGTCCAACGCTTGGATGTCCTATCTCGCATCCAGCCCATGCGAACCGAAGAAGACTACCTCCTTCCAAAGATTTCAGACTCCCGATCGCGTGTAATTCCGCACTGATTTTGCTCTTCATGGTCGCTCGGAATACAACCCATGTATCGGAGAACTACGTATTTATTTCGCATTACCCATATGATGGACGGATTGTTTATTCACTATGTTATCTCTTTCGGATCCACCAGATACTTTATTTCAGTTTATTTCTATAGCATCCGCCTCGAATTCGAGCATATGTCTGTAAAGTAGTATCACTGCACATAGAACCCCTTAATCCAATGATGTTCCTTTCAAGAGCTTGTATGCTTAGTCCAAATGGCAAGTGGTGAGTGGAATCTTGGTTGTCTCATTATCCTACAACTACACAGACGTTATGAATGTGCTACTCTGAAGATAACCAATATGTAAACGTAGAAAACGTAGAAGTGAGTACTGAATGCTGTTATAGACAGGTATGAGATGGTTCCGCAGCGCAAGAGGAATAGCAAATATTGGACAGATATAGTACGGGGTTGGGGAGGAAGAAAAGCGGATATTGTAGAGAAACAGCGCAATGTTATGGTCCCAGGTTCCGCAGGAGCACGTATTCTATGAATGTGGATGCTATGAATACATTAAAAATACTGAGGTTTCCCTCCCCGAAGACTGCAAAACAAGCACTTCCCTTCGAATATAAGATAACAGCAATTAATCCACAATTAGTACCTTGTGAAGATGGAGGTCCTGAATTATGAGCACAGCGTCCCTCATTCCTCTAGCCACTTTTCGCATCTCTTCGCATACTTGTCTAGAAGTTGTGCCAGATCACGTATAACGAAGGTAAGGATAACGCTGGCAAAGAATTCAGAAGACCGTCTGAGTTTCGCTTCTGCTGCAGACCGTAGATCGGAGGGAAGAGCGGCGTATGAAGGTGCCACAGGCTGCGACAATACAGCTTTTGCGTGCTCGTCCAGGAGTTGTACATGCTGAAATAGTTGCTTAAGGCCTTGAACATACGCAGCAGGAGAGTCGAGGCTGGCGTGAAGACATGAGTTACAAACTCAGACTGTATCCATATGTCGAACTCACTTCTTTCCATTGGTGAAACCGCCAAAACGACGTGATATCTTGTTACCCCATGTTGAGACCTAGAACAATTGTCAATTCAATGGGCGATGCTAATAGAGGGGAAAACATACCCCGGTGGTCTTCTTTACAACAAAACCCTCACCAACTCCGAGTTTCTTGCCGAAATTTGCCACAACATTATCACAGCACAGAGAAAATTCTTCTAGCTTGCCGATCCAAGCTTCGCCTTCCTTCCTCCCAATGCTCCCTATGCCCAGGGCCATCCCGCTGCTGACATTACCCGCGCCAAATGAGTCGGCGCTGGTAATCTGGAGCTCCTCTAAGGACGAGCAGAGGATTTCCACAACTCGAATCTTTTCTGCTACATTGGCCAATTTCACCCCACCCTGAGTCCAAACCTCCTGGGGGACATGTAAACGACGGGTGATGTAGCCACCGGTAGGGGACGACATTGTTGTCATGAGCAAGTGCATCATATAGAATGGCTTTCGCAGTGATTCGCTTGGAGCAATGGGTGGCAGCGGCGATGGAGGCGTAGTTGGCAATGTACCCGATATTGAATGAGGTGGGGGGACCAACGAAGCTGCGGTAGGCAAACCGGCAGACATAGGTATATCAGTTTGAACAGTTAAAGGTGGGGGATGACCTGGATGTTTCGAAGAAAAGGATAGCTGTCGAGGGAAAGGCCCGTTAACGCCAGCGGAGACGGGGATGGGGGGAGGATCAGGAGACGAGCGACCATTCATTCTCCTATCAGGCTGAGAGAGAGCGCGGCTCCTCGTAGTAACTTGTACGGGCGCGAGTGAGGGTAAGGATGATGTCGCTGGTCTTGAGAGAATGGCGGATTTGGACGGAGGAAGTGACCCGACAGATGCGGTTGATCCGGAAGGTGAAGAAGATCGTGGGGTGGAGGCGGTCGAAGGCTTAGATCGCCGTTGATGGATAGTCCCTTGGCTGGTAGAGACATTGATAAGGCTTGCAGCAGATTCTGACCGCACAGGCTGCGAAACACCACGCTGGCGGTTGACATTGGCAGAGGGTCTTGGTGATGGTGGGCCTTGGTCGTATGCAGTGGGTGTGTCGACGTCGGTCGCGGGAAGAGGAGGGAGGGGATGTGATTCTCTTCTCGCCGTCTTCGGGGTATCTAACAAGAGCGATTTACGGTAGTCTTGCTCGTCTACACGTTCATTCTCTTCTTGCAAAGGCCCAAGTCGCCCCCCGGAACCGGTGCGTCTATGGCCTACAGATTCGCCTCGTTGTCGGATATCAAGGCGGGGTTTCCCCCCTTGGAGGGACGCGTCGGGGTAGGGATCGGTAGAGTTAGGTCCAGGTGCAGGAGGAGGGGGTGGAAGGGTTGATGGGGGTGGAGCTGGAGGGGGGAGACTCGTCGAACCTGAACGTGAGCGTCTACCTGCTGTTCGACTGGGTGAAGAGTGACTAGAAGGGGGAGCTGTGGTGGGTGAGACTACATCGTAGTCCGTATGTGTGGCGTAGGGATGGGCTATAGGCGTTGTCTGATTTGATGATGTATCTACGCTGGTGGTAACACTGCCAAAAGAGTCAGCGCGATCTCGATCATGACCGGTATGATATTCGATCTCGTATCCTTCGGAAGGGTTGAACGATGAAGCCTGAGTCGTTTCGGACGTAGGCGATGTGGAAGTAGGAGATGGTGATTGTGTGGTTGAGCCCGTGGAGGCAGACATAGAATCATCGAAGGCTGCCGCGGAATGAGGCATCGGTGGAATACTGTAAATTAGACTTAGAATATTCATTCTGTCGGCGTACGTATCGTGCTAAAGGTGAGGCGATGAGCATCAGATACACTCACAGGGAAAGAAAAACGTGTATGGTATTACTCACGATTGACTTCAGCCTCCTTACTTCCTCCTCCTGGGCGACCAAACTTCTCCTACGACTGCCTTTCTTCCGATGCGAATCCGTACTGTCTTCACCTCGCCTTACACGCTCCATTACCTCACTTAACAGGGCCACGCTTCTGCCGTACGCCTTGACAGCGGCTATGGGGTCATCATTGGTAGAGTCCAATTCTACTGCTTCACGCGCAAGCTCGAGCGCCTTCATTAGGGTTCGACGCGAGGATGGCTTGCTTTCGCGGGCAGAGCGTGGTTCAGGTGGCGTCAAGAGGTAGTTATCGTTGTAAGCGTGATTGGATACCTCCGGCGAGCGCCGCGACGGCGGGAGGGAAGACGGTGGGGGAGGATCAGTCAAGTTCTCCATCGATGATGAGGCAGATAATTGAGGACTTTGAGAAGAAGAAATGGACGTCGAGGGCTGCCTAGAGGAAAAAGAGGCAACGGCGACAAGGTTTGCTGATGCACTCGGTCTGGGGTACGAAGTCGAGGGATAACCGCCCGAAACACCATTGGCATGATTTTGCATATGATGGGCCCGCTCCGGAGGATCCGGCGTCGTAGGGTGGGTTCTTGGGGGGCTAGAGGGCTGGGAAGGAATGCTCGGTATGGGGTGATTTGGGGGAGGCGCCGCTGGTCTCGTATGTGCGGCAGAAGATCTCCGTCGCTGCGAAGACAATGAAGGGGTATTCATGTATGTCGCCGAGGTCACTGAAGGCCGTGAAGGTCCGGGATCTGCTGTCTGCTCTGACCAGCGCGGCGCTATTGATATGGGTCGCGCATCCAATTCCATTTCTCTTAGTGATGAGAACAATAACAGCTGCGTCTGAGCAACTTCCAATGATAGTCGCTGGCGCAGATGATCGTTGCGCGTTGCCCGATGGTACTTTCAGCGCCTTCCGTGGGTTGGGAGTAGCAACGGCTGGTTCTGGAGATGGCTACGAATTGTGGTCAAGTTGTGGAATGGGAGAGAACCGCCGGATTGAGGGTAGAGCACAGGGTCGGTGGTGGGGAGAACGAGAGCAGCAGCGAGCAAAAGGAGCGGGAATCAGGCGGACGATGGGCTGGCGGGCATCAGTCGTCTGAGGGAAAGGAGCATGAAGTGAAGGATGTCCACAACAGTGGGCGGGCAATCAGTTGTCTTCCAAATTAGGAATGCGTTCTCACGCCACTAAGACCTGGAAACAAACATTCCTTCTACTCTCACAGGGCCAATTTCAACATCACGCAGGCAGATCACAAGCGTTATTTAGCGAAATTTTGTCAAAAAAGCCATCAATGATACGGTGCCGAGCGACTAGAAGACCAAAAGACAATCTGAAAAAAGATTGATACGTAGGTAACGACAGACGTTTCATTATCCGAGGTGTAAGGACGCAAGAAAACAAAACAAGAAACGAGCGTCTGGGGTAAACAGGGTATATACTTCCGTGGCAGAGAAGTCCGGGACAAATGTTTTAGGTCCTACATCGAACGACCTTCCATCAATCATCCGTCTAGTCGCGGAATTCCGACTGCGACCCTTGGGCAGCAAGGCGACTCTCCAGGTTCCTGTATTAAAATGTGATGTCAAATCCACTGACTGTGAAAAACAGAATGATGCACCAACCTGAGGGATTCTTCCTTCGCCAACAGCTCTTGTCTCTTCTCGTTGATCTCACGTTGCACCTTCAATTCGATTTCGCGGAGCTAATGGGAAAAGGATTTAGTATGTGGTCATCGACATAGGGGGCGTGAAACTGACCTTCTCTTCTTCACGACGTAGTTGCTCTTCCTTGAGTCGCACGCTCTGGCTAGCAAGCTCTTCGGGATGAATGGAAGAGTCGCTGCGAACATCGGGCTCGGTTATTTGGGTGCGAGAAGAAAAATAAGGGTAAACATACTGTGAGTCGGCGTGGACGGTCCTTGAGAGCTTCTCAGTACGGTAGGTTTCGTAAAGCACATCATGAATGAGCGATTTCAAGTCGCCTAGGTGAGAGCTGTGCAGGGTCAGGGTTAGCTCACGATCGAACGAATTGATGATGAAAATCCGACCCGAGCAAAGCACTTCGTAGGCGGCTAAAGTCTGAGTGCTTTGGGTTGTCGACCTCTGCAATCCCCCAAGGGTATATTCTTGCACGAACGAGTTGGCCGTCAATCTCAACTTCCTCCTCAGAGCCAATGATGGCGAAGGGCAAGAGTGCCTGGAAAAAAGTGATGAGAGTTCACACAAACAGGAAATCGCAAGAAACATACGCGAAGCTCGCTGTTGTCCTGGATTGTCTCTTCGTCATCTTCCTCGACGTCATACGGGAAGTTGTAGACAGGGATATCGTAATGTTCAATGTCTTCCATGATCTACCGACGCGTCGTTTCAATTTCTGTCATATACTGTGGCATAAATATCCACTTACCCTCTTCTTGAAGCCCTTAAGCTCACTTGGAGTCAAAGAATCCGCCTTACCAATGACGGGAATGACGTTGACTCTGGGCGACAGGCGGCGCATCAACTCGATGTCCATTTCTCTCAAGCTAGAAAATGAAATTGTGAGGCGAAAATGCAAATACGTGTAGGATTATAGAAGGCTTACGAGTGGCCGGTAGGGGGGATAAAGTACAGGAGCGCGTGTACCCTGTTGTCGCGGAAGCGAGGGTTACGCTTGATGCGGGACTCTTCCGCGAGAATGTCGTCGTATTGGCGTTCCAAGTAGCCAACTATTTCTTGGAAGCTAGAACGGCATGTTACATTCGGCTCGTCCATTCTGATGTTGGCACATACGCGAATTCATTGTCAATGTTGTCGCCAAAACCCGGGGTATCGACAATAGTCAATGCGATGCGCACACCGTCTTCCTCAAGCTCTGTTCGGGTTACGTGTTTAGCGAAGCCCTGCCTACCAACAGTGATCAAAACCCACCAATGTTCACAGGCTTGATCCTGATGCCCTCCTCAACCTGAGCCGTCTCCGGGTTGTCGCAGATTTTGTGGGGCAAGACCTCAGACTCGCAGAGGGTGTTCACGAAAGTGGTACGGCCAGTGCCTGAAGCACCTACATGTCCCAAAAACCACGCTTTACAAAACCTGCCGAGCCGCAAAATCACAGTAAATCACGCACCAACAACCATGACGGTGAACTGGACACCCTTCTTGGCTTTGTTTCCTCGTCGGCGTGGAATCATGGTGAGGGAGATGAGTTGTGCGTTGGTTGGAAGGGAAGTTGGGGGAGTTGAATTTTGTAGGGGAAGCAAAAGTCAGTTCGACTTTGGCTTGAAACTCCGACTAGGTTGCCTTCCTTTTTCGGCGCCTCGCCCAAGGGCCAGATTGAAATTCCTGGCGACCAACTTCAGCTCTGGTGAACCGGCGGGACGACATATGCTGTATGCATGCTAGCGATTCTACAAACCTTGCGAAATGCCGCCTCCCACTGTATAAATAACAAGCCGGCCTCTCTTGGGCAGCGCATATGTTGCAGAGCCCTTACCGGTGCTGCTTCCATCGAGTCTAGCACACCAGGGACCATCCAGGTTAAGCGTAGGACTCGCAAGAAAGCGGAAGAGTTACCTACGACTTTTGTCCTTGCAGATGGCACAAAAGCGAAGCCGCTGCCGGAGTTCAAAGGTGGTATCGAAAAGCCCATCAGACCACGGAAATGTACGCTCATTTGAAGCATGTCATCTAGGTTGGGGAAATAATGATATTTCTTGCAGTAAAGTCCCCGTCCACTTCTCTTGAGGATGGGCCCAAACCAGTCAAGAAAGCCAGGAAAAAGCGTCAAACCAAAGTCGTCGCATCAATAACGACCGGCGCGTCTCCAGCGGCTGTCTCCGTGGAAGAACGTGATGGTATTTGAGTTCCTGTCGCGCCTATAGGCCACAATCTGAAGCATCACATTGCCAGACTCTGAACTACAACCACGGAACCAACTCGCGCGCGAGATACTCGATAATCTTAATAAATTTCCCCATTGTATCCTTCTTACTCGTGTGGGGCAATTTTATGAAGTAAGTCTTGGCCCTCAACATGCGAATGGACATCGCTGATTGTACGGTGTATAGTCTTACTTCGAGCAGGCTGTTGAAGTGGCTGCTCTCCTCGACATCAAACTTACTACGCGCAAATGGGACGGTCAACGCATACATATGTGTGGTTTCCCTCTAATGCATTTTGACAAGCATATGAAGACCCTTATACAACACCACAAACGATTTGTGGCCATGTGTGAGGAGTTCCCCAAGTTTGTCGCGGGAGCGAGATACTTCGAGCGACGTGTTGTACGCGTCATTACTCCCGGCACTCTCATTGACGAGAGCTTCTTGAACCCATACGAAAACAACTATCTGCTCGCCGTTCATAGTGATGCAGACGTGATCGACGCCAACGGAATCGGTGTACTCGGTCAGAAGAAAATTGGTCTTGCTTGGATTGATATCTCGACTGGGGACTTCCTTTCTAAGTTGTCTTCCCTTGACACACTGCGGGACGACCTCGTACGAATTAATCCTCGAGAAATTGTGCTTGACCATCGACTGCAAGGGTTACCGTCGCATCCAGTACGAACGATCCTAGAGGAGGAAGATAGCTTCGTATCCTACGCTCATTTGCCTGCTACCTCAAAGGAACCGCCCCTCGATGAAGACCATCCAAATGCTGGACATGATGCCACCGCATCGGACGATATCACGGAGCAGACAGACGATAACAACTCTACTGCGCCTACCATCTCCTACACCCCCCAAGAAGAGAACGCGTTCAACTTGGTCACTGCATACCTTCATGCGAACCTTCTCGAGAATATGCCAACACTCAACCTACCCAATAGGGAAGGCAATGACGGTCGAATGCGCATCGACGCTCATACCATCAAAGCACTTGAAATCCGCGAAAGCATGAAGGAGGGAGGCGTGAAAGGCAGCTTGCTGAGCACCGTAAAGCGAACCGTGACGAGCAGCGGTAGCCGCCTCCTCGGTAGATGGTTATGTATGTACTTCATACACCCTAACGTCATAGTCCTGATATCATCCATTTCCTATCAAAGGTTCTCCAAGCACATCACTACATGAGATAAATGCCCGTCAAACCTTGGTTGCATTCTTCCATGCAAGGCCTCATTTTTGTACCAGTTTACGTGTGGCCTTGAAAGACATCGAAGATGCTGGAAGAATTGTTCAGAGATTCTTACTGGGTAAGGGGGGGCCTAACGATCTTCTGGCCCTCGGCAATACCATAAAAGCATGGGGAAGCGTTCGGCAACTCGTCGAAGATGAACGGCGGTTCGAAATGCAAGAGGTTCCTCACCTCAGCAGTCAAGATTGGGCTAGCATCGATGCTTTAATGTCTCGCCTCTCGGAGCTTAGCAGTATACAACAACGCATAGACCTTGCTTTTCGTAAAGAGATCAGCGACTCAGAATCGGGCTCAGAAGGTGCGAGCGATGAAGAACTTGTGGAGCCAGGAGATGCCAGAAACCGGACGGCTTGGAAGTTCGGCCATGACAAGTGGCTCATTAATCCAGCGTGAGATGGATTCACCCTTGCTCGTGTCGCTCGCTGAATGATGTTTCTCTCTTCAGATTCTCTGAGGAATTGACAACGTTGCACGAAAACCTTAAGAACTTTCTCCAGCAACGTGAGCAGAAGGAGCTTGAATTACAACGACGTTTCAGTGAGTGCCGTCGTCCCACTCAATCACTATCCGACTCACATAACCTAGATGCCCCTTCTTTGACCCTAAGAACGTCCCCCGCGTATGGCATGCATGTTCATCTTGCCAAAAAGCGCGAACAGGGGGAGCTGAACAAAGCGGAGGCGTTCATCAGCATCGCAGAAAGTGGAACAACTAAGAGTTACTTTAATCAGGTAAGTCGATTACCACATACAATCTTTACAAAGAGCTTCATTTGCTCTAGGAATGGTCCCACCTAGGGGCTCGAATCGTTGAGACGGCGCAGGCCCTGGAGATAGCAGAAAGAGATGCTTGTGAGTTGTTGAGAAATGAGGTAAACTCCTGTCAATCATTGAGCGCATTGACTGAGAACAATCCGAACACAAGGTCAATGAACACGCACCGCAACTCAGGCGCAACGCGCGTATTGTAGACGAACTCGATGTTACGCTGGGATTTGCCCAGCTAGCTAAAGAGATGAACTTTGTACGGCCAAAGATTCGGGACGAGTCCGTGGTCATCTTATGGTTCATCGGCAACAACTAACCTTGTTTTAGCCATTCCTATTATGTTGAGAATGGCAGGCATCCAACCGTAGAGCTAGGCCTCCTCACCTCGGGAAGAGTTTTCACCCCAAACACTACTCAAATGACACCACAGTCCCGCCTCCATATTATCACTGGTCCTAACATGGCCGGGAAATCAACCCTTTTACGCCAAACAGCTCTCATAGCGATTCTTGCGCAGACAGGGTCGTTCGTCCCAGCTGATAGCGCAACAATTGGCCTCGTAGACCAACTCTTCTCCCGAGTGGGCGCCAAGGATGACTTGTTCCATGGAAGGAGTACATTTATGGTGGAGATGATGGAAACAGCAGAAATTCTCCGCAAGGCAACGCCCCGCAGCCTCGTAAGTTGCCCTGCTAAATGTGTACTGAATGTACATTGATCATTGATGGCAGGTTATCATGGATGAAGTAGGTAGAGGGACGACAGTAAAAGATGGTCTGGCCATTGCCTTTGCCACTATCCATCACCTCCTGACCGTCAACCGATGTCGTGCATTATTCGCAACACATTTCCACGAATTAGCGGACATGGTTGGGTATACAGAACAACAGGAGAATCCTGCCGGCAGTGGTGTCTTTAAGGATGTCACCTTCTTTCACAGTGATGTCCAGGACATAGGGGTGAGCGACATCTCGCCAATATACTTCGCAGCAGACTTACACGTTGTGATGTCCCTAGGATGACAGATTTGCATACTCTTACCGGCTCAAACCAGGTATTAATCGAGATAGCCATGGTCTGAAGGTCGCGCAACTTGCAGGATTGCCTTCAAAATGTCTGACCATTGCTTCGGCGACACTGGACTGTCTAAAGCACGGGGAGAAAAGCACCCGTCAAGAGGAGAGTATGGTCCATTCCGAGTTCTGGACAACGACGTGAGAACAATGCTGCCGAACATGCGGCGTTGAGGAGTAATTACGGTATACTTGCAATCGTTGTGCGATAAAGCCCGCAATCTAATACACGTTGTTCATAGTCATTTTGAGAAGGAATTATGTCGCGACCGTGAAAGTCTGAACACGATGGCCGATGTTCGACACATACCAAGATATACGTGGTGTTGAACTGTTGGCAACGGGCGCATGTGGGTACATTGTCACTGTAGACGTTGCTCTGATGGTCCAGGCCAGTATCATCGCAGTATGATATCGCGACAAGTGGCCGTTGTCACATGACTAAGCACTGTTGGAGCGATCGAGTGATCGGTGTATATTTCGCCCAATATTCCCTCTTCTTTCTCACTCATTCACCTTCCCCACCCGGCGGCGTCGCATGTAGCCCGCATTTTCCTTTCCTTGCTCTCCAGAGTCAAGGCCACTAATGCTACACCCTCACTTTCTTCCATGGATCGTCTTCGCTCTGGTCGCCCTCGTCACTCCTTCATCTGCTGCCACAACAACGTTCAAAGCGGGCGATCCTGGATTACAGTTCTCAGCAGGCTGGACCAACAGCACGTTCAATGGTGTCCCCTTTGTAAATTTGAATGGAGAGGGGAATCTAACCGCGCGTCTGCCTGGTATGTTTGCCTATACCACATTCTGGCTACTCCCAGAGCTCATGTCTGTTCCCCGCAACGCATTTTCATTTTAGTTGGTGTAACACAAGTACAGTATACCGGGTTCAAGCTACCAATACTCTCGCTATACCATGTCTGCCTTGACGGTATTTGCTCGACGATTAATGTCACTGACTCTACGGCGAACTTCCCCCCTCCAGTATGTGACGACCGCCACGACTCGGGCGTGTGGCATGAACTGATATCCGACAGTCCGTGCTCTTCACATTATCCGTAGATCCGACTTCGCCTCACACACTTGCCATCGTCAACGGCCTTTCCACGTCGACAATTACATTCATATCACTTGTCGTCACTACTTCCGATAGCAATAGTGAGCAAATCAGCGCAAGTAATGCTAATAACACTGCTAACTTAACGTTATTTTCACAGCTACTTCAACCAGCTCATCGGCGTCATCGGTAGCCACTGCCACTGCTTCTGCTAGTCCGACATCAACAAGTTTGTATCAGCAATCCCTTGACCGAGTGATCATCACTGATACTGTTTTGTTCATCAGACGGGAACCAGCAAAACAACTCGGAAGGAGGGCCTGGGAACCGCGCCTTGTCGACGACAATCATCCTATTGGTTCTCTTGGGCTCCATTTCAATACTTGTCGGCCTCGTCGTATTCTTGCAACGCGTGAGGCAACGTAGACTGGAGCTCATCAGGAATGGTGGCGACGATAGAACTGGCAACCAAAAGGCGGACCCTCCAAATCCGTCGTCTGCTCCCCCAGAAGTATCCATGCCCTCTATCAATCGTCTCAGCACCTTCATCGCTTCAAATACATCACAATCACGATTTGAAAATGGGTTGAATTCGTCATCTCGATACAAGTCACTACCCCCAGCGCCAGCGCCAGCGCCCTCGCGTCCGCCGACACTAGGTCAACCCTCTACAAGCAGGGTGGCGCAACTCAATGAAGTCGGGCGTCCTCCTCACCCAGGTCATCCCACCCTTTTTCTACCTAGTTTCTTGGACTTTGAAGAGCCATCAGTCTCACATTTCTCCACGTCAGCCACAGATCACAGTTAGATATGCACATATTTTTATTATAGCTATAGATAGCTTCAATTATTTACTTACGCATCTTTCATCATGCATATTGGATACCATTCATACATACTATCAGACACGACAACGGACGAATGCAAAGTATTATATACATTCACCCATACGAATCTACAGGGAAACTACAACACAAAACGACACAAGCTGGTTGCTGGTGTGCGTTGCGTCGTGGTAGGAAGTAATATAAGGATAGAACTGAATAGTAGACCCAGAATATGGCCATTTGATCAGGGGCAAAGGGGACTAATTTACGAGCGATATAAAATACATAGCCAACGTATGAACTGAGGAAAGAAACGACTGGATGGAGTGAAGACTATGCAAATCCGCGAATGACTGATAACAACGAAACAAGTGAATAATGCAGGGAAATAATGTGCCGTAGAGTATAAGATGATAATAATGGACACTTGCACCTGAAATCCTGTTGCCAGCAAACCTCGAAGGCACCCACAAGAAATCATACAGCCTCGGAACGTACCGAGCACGCACTACGACCACTGCCCTCTGATTCGTTCCAGAATCTCCACTACGACCGAGCTTTTGTACATTAAAGCATGGTCTGCGCCCTTGACAACTTTGACAACGCATCGGTCGCCCATATTGCGTTCCATCCATCTGACGGCGTTCTCTGCGATCCTCTCGTCCTTATCACCGTACCATATCCCGACCTGGTGGGGATAAGAAGAATACGAGAAACCCCACGAGTGGTTCTCATGATTCAAGATTTGCAACAAGTCGCTATGGGTGCCTTTTGCAGATTCGGCATGGGATGCGGCGATCAATGCATTCCCAAGAGCGGCCTGGTAGCTATTACCGCTACCATTGACTAGGGAATATGTGGAGTCGGGCGTAGGGGAGGAGGGGAGGGATGTCGGTCCGCGTGATGAAGTGAACGATATCGATCGTTGGCCGACAGAACGTGAGTAGATACCATCGTACCCATTTGTCCTCCCAAATTGATCGGGAGAAGAGGTTTGGCCACCAGAGTTCGGGAATGACGTATCCATACCAGCCTTCGGCCAGTAAATCTCATCTAAACCAAGACCAATTTCCGTCGGTAAAGGCAGCGGAACGGTCGGTGTCGAAGGCTCTGATCGGCGAGGAGACGAGGATTGCTTGCTCTTCAAGGATCCCACTGAGCGCAATGACTTTAGCCTCTTTCCGAGCGGAGGTTTGTCATCGGGAGGAGTTTGCGGACTGGGAGAATTACCCTTGAGCTTATTAAGAAAGCCCTTCGACGGTTTCCTCTTCGATTTCTTCTCGCCGCCAGCCTGAGCACCCAGCGTACTTTTACTCTCAAATCTACCGTCAAAATCCCCCAGGTCATCATATTCGCTAAACGAACTCGAACCTAGACTCGGGCGAGAGTTGGCAGGAGAGGAAAGATATATGGTATTGGGAGCGGTGACCGATCTAGTGGGTGGCCTGCTACCCTTGGATGTTGGAGGCGCTGATTGAGCGGTGTAACCAATGCCTTGATACGACAAAGAGGGGGGTTTCCCTATCATCCATGCTTGGAGTTTCCACTCCGCAGCTTGAGCGGTCTTCAAGATGCCATTCGGTACGTACTTCAACCATTTGTAGCCACCTGCTTGCAACGACTCAGTGCTTACTCACGCAGGAACTATGCATTCAACGTACCTCCCTCACTGCCTCCAACCCAAGGGGCCATCAAGCAAATATCGCCCACGATCCTGTCCGGAAGCTTGTTGGCGAAAGAGAGAGCGTAAGGAGCGCCTGCGGAATGTGCCATGATACTGCATTTGTCGATATGCATCAAGTCAAGGACCTCTTCGACGATGGACGCCCATTGCATGATGCCTTTCGCAGTCTTCGGTCTTTGATCCGTGCGACCTAGGCCCCAGCTGCAAACGAGTGAGTCTATGGACTTTGCAAATAAGGTTCGCACATACCGATCAATTGTGATCAGTCTCAATCCTAAGCATTCTGCCATCTCATCATACAGTCCCATGATATGGCGAACACAGCCCAGACCCAGAAACACGACGATGGGAATGCCATTTTGGCTGCCGAGGTCGGAGAGGCTTACTGTGAGCGGTTGATCTTGTGAGGCATGGGGGGAGCGTGTTAACCGCAGCAGCGTGGTTAATCGTGTCGAACGGAGGTATTGGGCGACGGCTTGCGATGGTGAGGGTTGAGGGATGGATAAAAACGAGGGAATATCGGATACCTGATGGGAAGGAATACTTGAGGCGGCGGACGAAGAGTAAACCGAAGATGCCGCGGCATGTTCAGAGCGAGGGGAGGAAATGCTCAACGTGTCGGAGTAGGAGGAATGTCGTTTGGCGAATGATTGTGAGCGCTGCAGGGCGGGCGCAGGTGAAGATGCAGGTTTAAGGTTACGCTGGTTTCGAATGGTTTGTCTGATCTCATCAGCTATACTGTCAATTGAAGACCGGGAAACTATATCGACTTCTTCCTCTGCAAGAGGATCAGGCTCAGACTCTGGTTCTTCGCGAAGTGGTTGATGACTTTGCTGGGAATGTATAGAGGAACCACGGGTAGGAGGCCGAGACCGAACTTGCCCTTCTCGGGGAGCATGTGTCCGAATGATGTCAGATATTGAAGGGACGACACTTTTACGTCTATTGCCGTTGGGGAAAGGAAATGAAGAAGGTGGAGGTGGAGGTGGAGGCGCTGGGGGTACTGGGATCTTTTCTTGGATGGGGATTGGAGAAGGGGGAGGCGTATCGCCTTCGCTGGGTGTGGTAGGGGAGGAGGATGGTAGGGTAATGGTGGAAGCCGATCCACCCTGTGAACCAGCACCATGTTTGTGTCTTCGCCGGCGCGGGCGTGGAATCGACAGGGATCTAGGCGATGTTTCTTCGTCTTCACTGGACTGGTTGGCGGGTGGCTTCTTAACTGGCGTTCGGCGAGTCTTGCTAGCACCACCTAAAATCACACCGGGTGGTGGTGTAGGAAGAGGCGGCTGGTAAAGTGGGTGATGATTGGGAATGCCGAACCTGGCTCGGCTATTGAAACTCGCAGCGCCGAGAACATCTCCAGTCCCATTCATCCCATCCACCAACGCATCCATCGTTTCGACACCAGCTACGGGCGCTGCAACTAAAACAGGGAGATATTCGAATGAGCTTCCGTACGGAGTAGAGTCTACGGGCGTTTGTGGCGGCGTCTCCGTGTGTTGGGTAGACGACGAGCCAGAAAATCTGAGTGCTGGTACAGCTGTCGAAGCTGATGGATCAGTTCTCGTCCGGGGGCGTGGTTGAGCTTTAGGTGTCGTGGGCGTCGTGCTGTATGCTGTGTCGTAACCTGTATCAGATATTGGAAATGTATAACATGGCTTGACAAAAGAATTGGATGTACTAGTTTCCCCAAATCCACTATACGCCCTCGCATGTTCTTGAAGCGCAGGGTCGCTGCGACTCGGTTTTCTACTATGGTCCTTCGGCCTGAGCTTGTATTGACGGGAATGTGGGTGTGTTTTAGGTCTGGGATAGACGTCGAAATACGAATCTGCCTCTGAAACTGATGGGACCACAGAAGTATCAATTTGTGGGAAATCAGTTGGAGAGCGGGTCTTGTCCTTTTCGCGTCGTAATGATAGAAACGAAGGTGTCTTGCGGGGAGCTCGCTGAGAAGGGGCAGGAGAACCGACCATGGTTCGCGATACGACAGATTGCATGGAAGAAGTGAAGAAAGCGGGATGGTGCGCTGTGGCCCTGGATTGTGGTGGTCGCTGTGAGAGCCAGAATCGCTCTGGTCTAAAGGTGGGACGCTGTCGAGCACCGTGGCGGAGAGGGAGGAAGCAGAGAGCGGACGGACCAGGTCGACACGGTCCTCTGGAGACAGTATGAAGGAAAGCCTATATTTTTCGGAGTTGATCTTCTCAGGGCGGCAACCACGGCCAATATGATTATGCATGAATATAATAGGCAATTCTGCCCACAAAGTCACATACGCAGTACAGCATCGTACCAAGAAGCAGCAAAAGAAGAGAAGGTACAAGAGCGTGATAAGGACACTAAGTGCACTATCGTAGCAAAATAGGGCATAAGAAACTGGATATACCGGACGTAATGGCGACTCCCCGCGATTCACAAGCTTCGCGGATTTGGGAAGCATTGGCATCTGTCCACGGTACTACCGGTGGCTGATAGGTATACGAGGGTAAACCGAGTGATAGAAGGCGGGGGAGAGCACCAGACGAAATGAGGTCTGTCCATTGGCCCGCCGAAACACGAACGACGCGTCCAAATATTCCCAGCGTTTGTAGGCGAGGGCATTGTTCCGAGATGGACATGAGGTTGTCGACATCCAAATATACATCATCGATAATCAGAGTTTGCAGGGAAGGACACGGAGGCAAGTTTTCGTCGAAGAAACCCTGCCATTGTGAAGTAATGCCACGGGCCTCGAGGCGGAAGCTTTCCAATGTACAATGTTCCAAGACTGAGTGGATTTCGTCAGGGGCCCAGTCCCAGTCCGCGCTCATGCGGATAGAGAGGTGAAGTGGTGTTGAAGAGTCAAGAAGAGGGATGATGGATTCGCCGACAACGTGCACGTTGTCAAGCACCAATTTCCGTAAGCGAAACGGCGGTGGTGAGGCATCCAAAACGTCCAGCTCAAGGTGCGATAACCTCAAGGTTTGGAGTTTAGGAAATCTCATCGCTATGAAGTCATCCCACTCGAGCGATGCTGGGAAGTTGAGCTTGTCCGCAAGTAAAGTGCCGTCGACATTTAGCTCTGTGACCGACTCGGAACTGGACAACAGCCGGAAGAACCTCCCCGCCTCGTAAGCTAATTCCCCTCCGAATGAAAGTTTCTGCAAGCCCGGGAGAGATAGCAGATATCTGAGGGCGGAAAGATCTTCCGACGTAGTTGTCTTGGAGGGATACGGGCTAAGTTCTAGCCCACGCACTAGCGCACGTAGGCAGGGAGTGCATTGCAGAGTCTGTGAGAGCTGGCGACACCCTTTAAAAGAGTATAAGGATGGGTGGGAGTACAGTCGCCTCTGAGCCAGGTGAAGCCATGCACGCGACACCCGCGCGAGTCGGCACAAGTCCCGGGGCCACCAGTGATCGTCGCTTTCGAGGATGAGTGCCACAATGTCGTCGAAAAAGTAGTTTTGAGGTGTGCTGGTGGTGGGAGTGGGCGACATGGTTATGGTCAAGGTCTGGGAAGCCTCGCTGTGTTAGGCGACTGTCAGTGTCAGTGTGAAGTATGATTGATCGCGCACGTGATGAAATGCGCGCCAGCGGCGGCCACACCCTGCATACCTCCACTCAGATACTAGTTCCTCGATTCAATATGTAATCCCCACGGCTTTGGTTTTTCCCAGTGCCTCTCGGCGATAAGGACCATGTGCAGCACTCAGAGTATCGGACATATAACCAATTGATATAGGTTTTCGATATCTCTGCCATATCTATAAGAAGAGGACATGTAGACAATGTCTTTGGCACCGTTCTCAAAAATGGCATACCTACAAGAAAAATCCAACGATAAGCTAGACATCGAACGGGACTCTAGCCGCAACGGCTCGGAGAAACCGCCAGTTGTGGCGGACGTCTTCGAGGAAAGCCCGGATAATGATTTCCACTACAAGACGCTTAGTTGGCAAGTAAGTCGCCAAAGCCGCTCCTAGCATGCACTCTCCTGATAACTTTGTCTAGTTTGTTGCCCTGTTGATGATAGCTGAGATCGTCAGCAACGGGATGCTGTCGCTGCCCTCCTCACTGGCGGTCGTTGGTAAGATGCCACGCGCTATGGACCGCCGGTGTTCATTGACTGATCGAAAATCCTTGCAGGGATCGTGCCCGCGCTCATCTTGATCATCTTTCTTGGCGTCTTTGGCTTGTTTACAGCCAAACTGTTGGTTGACTTCAAGTTGAACCATCCCAATGTTCACAACATGTAAGTCTACCCGGTAACCAACTCATAACCCACTCGCTCATCAGCGCTCTAGGGGCGATGCTGGCTACATTCTCGGCGGTCCAGTCGTTCGGGAGATTCTTGGCCTAGGAACTATCATCTTCGCCATTTGCGGCACAGTAAGCATCGATGCATGTTCGACTTTACCTCTACAGTTTGACTGACGTGACTACGTATCAGGGGTCTGAAATATTATCTGGCCAGCAAGCATTATCCGTCTTATCGAATAACGGCCTTTGCGCGATGTACCTTGTCCTCATCTTCTCCGCGGCAGTGCTCGTTGTTGCCTTGCCTCGTACTTTGGATCGACTGAGCAACTTAGGGCTCGTTAGTGCCTGCTTCATCACTCTTGCGGGCCTCCTAGCGATGATTGCTGCTGGACGGAACCCAGTACCTGGCCGTGTAATCAGTGCAACAATACAGTCTAATTTCTTCACGGCGTTTCTAGCCATCACCAATCCGGTCAGTTCATCTATGATATATGTTCGGGCTTTATCTTCTGATGCTTCGTGCCCTGATCCAAGGTCTTCTCTTATGCTGGTAAGTAGGATGTTCTTCAGCCCACAGTATCGTTAAACTAAATGAATGCTACCAGGTCACTTCATGTGAGCAAATTCAGCGCCACTTACCGTGTAACAACTGTTGACAGTCAACAGGTTCTTTATCCTAATATCGGAAATGAGAAGGCCACAGGACGCCATGAAGGTATTCTCAGCATCCATTTCCTTGACATCTTACTGATCCGGTCATTTAAGGCCGCTTGGTGCCTTCAAGGCTTCGCAACGGTCTTCTATTGCATCTTCGCCATCGTAATGTAAGGATTGAAGTGGGTCCACTCTGACGAGATACTAACGCACATATCTAGTTATGTGTACGTAGGCAATACGGTGGCCTCGCCGGCTTTCCTCTCCTTACCACCGGTGTGGGCAAAGATAACTTTTGGTGTCGCTTTGGGTAATTTCTTGATGTATGTTGTATCGCACTCTTGATCCCTGATGGACACTTGCTGAAATTGTTCTAGCGCGGGAGGCCTCTATTCTCATACCGCCGCCAAGTTAGTTTTCGTTCGATTCTTCCGGGGTACCCGACACATGTATAAGCATACCGTTGTCGGATGGTCCGTCTGGGTGGTACTTTGCTTCTTGGCAGTTGCCATCGCCTTCGTCATGGCCATCGCTGTTCCGGTATTCTCCTACCTGATTGGAATATCGGCTGCCCTGTTTGCATCCTGGTACACATACGGGCTGGCTGGATTCTTCTGGTTGCACGACGCGTACCATCTAGAAGGCGGTTTCCCCGCATGGAGACGGATGAAATTCCAGACTACTCTGGCCGTGTTGACCATCGTTGCTGGTGCATTTATATGCGTCGCTGGAACATATGTTTCGATCAAGGTGACGCCCCCTTTGTGAAATTACGGGATATTTCTATACTCACTGTCTGGCTTGTATAGTTGATAAGTGATGCCTATCGTGATGGACTTGTGGGGAAGCCGTTCACATGCTAACGCGCCGGCCCCGCCGCTCTGCGTGCGATAAAAGATTGTAAACTACTTATGCATACTGTGTTTTAAACAGTGTGCCCGCGTCTCTTTTAGATGGAGCGTCCACTCGACCCTTCTCCTTGAATCACATTCTGCTCCAACTTCCCCGTGGGTGAAGAGGCACACGTCTCAAGGAAGCGTTATGATGTCGACCAAGTGTAACATGTCGAGTCCGCATCAATCCCGCTATGACGTTGATAAAGCTGTGCAGGTATCTCCCATGCCTGCCCCAAGTGATAGATCTCAGCAATATATAATAACGGTGATAGCTGCCAGTTGGATTGACTTGACACCCGCGCCTCGCTGGCTGCATCAGCCCCGCGCTCTTTTATGCACTAAGTTGCTCCCGCATTGCTTCCATTCTTCCCTCCTTCCTCCCTCCGGCACGATGACTACCCCATTCGAACGCCGCGCCATGCTTCTCAAAGCGTTGGACTATGCTCACGAGGCCGTAAATCTTGATACTACCAAAGATGGCCGGGGCGCGGTCGTTGCGTACCGAAAATGCACTGCATTGCTCGACGAGGTGATTGTTGCGGCAGCTCCGTTGGACGAGAAGAGCACTACCAAACAATCCTTGTCCGATGTTCGCCACTGGGTGGGTGTTGCTACGTTTCAATCATCGGGTGCATTAGACGCTGATGAATGTTGTATACCAGCACGACCGATATGCCAAGCGTGCGGAGAGATTAATGCAGAAATACAAAATCTCGCCTCTATCTATAGAGGTCGTGTCGAGTGCCTGACGTTAGACTTTGTATCATCTCCCAAATGTGAGATGCTTTTCAACAGCCCTGCAATGATTTACTTACCCAGTCCAGACCTTTAGTTTAGTGGCTTGTTTAATCTCCCGTTCACCTGTAAACTCTATCTACTCGCTTTCATAACATTAACCTTGTGCTATCTTATCATTACACACTTTACTGTTGGAAGCTCTACATACTTACTAGGTGTTTTTGTTTATAATCTCAATGTAAACTTTGTGAATCGATCCCTGAAGCAGAGTCTGACCTTTGGTTGAATCGAGAAAGTAGTCTCCAAATTTCTCTCAATCTCTTGCGCCGTCCTCTCTCCTCGCGGCGCTCAGTAAATCATTCCTCCTCGATCTCTGCCTGTATTTCAACCGGTTGACAGCTGCATTCTCAAGCGTATCGGACTCTCGTAATGATCTCTTCAACTATTCATCAGGAGGCTGGCTGTAAGTCTTATGCATAGTGTTCGTGTCACGTATATGTCTAGTCCGTAATCTCGCACTGTCAACAATGATCTTCGCCTCGCAAAGCGCAGACGTGCGTTCGACATTGACGAACTCTGCCGACTTGCAGTGCAGTCTGTTGGCCGCACATCGCGGGATATCTACACGTTTGTAAAGCTCGCCGGGGCGGCTTCAACCGGACTTTCCTGATCACTATGCATGACGGCTTCGAGATGGAGGCTTTCGGGCATCCCGATCTCCAGCCGAGTAACGTGATCGTGTCGACCTGCTTGACTGGCATCCTATGTTTCTCCTCGCTAGTATTACTACTAAGTATACCGAGCTGGACCAATCCGAGCAGGATCACGCGATGGGACTCTACCGCTGCCGTCTCGTCCACTTCCATTACGTCCAGAATACTGAGTGCTGCAACAAGCTCCACCACCAGGCGCTGTCGGACCCCGTGGCTATGTTCATCTACCGTCTTTTCGACCAAGCCCGTGCTCCATGGGAAGGTGAGACTCGTGCGCTGAAGACTACGCTGATAGAGGCCATGGAGAAATGAGGGAGGCTTGCAGTAGAAGGAACATCTTGTCCAGTCGCTTTTGAACTCGAAGACCTACGCAAAATGCAGGAGCTGAGCGTAAAGCTGCAACTAGCGGACGAGAATTATGAGGGGTGCCCTGGCTTCGAGACGGAGACATGGGTGTCCAACGAACACTACGAGATAGCCGTGGCCCTCGCCGGGCTCCTAAAGCTAAGGCTGTTGACAGAGGTACCGGGGGAAGTCCGGGCTAGGACTGAGGCGAACTGGTTCTTGAACGATATAGACGAAGAGCATTACATGTAGTGAATCGACTAGATATTCCACGATACATGCATGTCCAGTGGACCGTTCATCAAATCCGATACATTCATCGACTCCACCGTCCTTTAGCTTCCGAACAAATCGCGTTCACTTTTAATTTTTATATGTTTTATCATCATTCACGCTGGCTGTAGTGCCCGTCATGAAAACAGGTTGTAAGAGCAACTTCATTCTCTCGTCTTAGGAGCTACTCATTGAGTCTCAGTCTCCTGCCCAGACCTATCCTATCCGGTCCCTCAGTACTCAGTAGCTGATCACACGCTTTCTAGGTTGCCAGCCCCACAAATTCGAGGCCATGGCAACTTGGTCTGGAGAGACGCGTACTGTGTTACATAGATCTCTCAGGCTACGAGCGTACTCTCGGCTCTGGAACCTTCCATGGCGTGCTTATATTGATTTTGGGCGTTTTAACTCCTACTACGGTCGTCTGCTGCATGTTTTTAGAACGTTCTTCGTAGACTCCTCAAATGTATGGAAAGCTGCCCCACTGGCACGCGGACGAGGTAGCCGTGGTCTGAGACTCAGCCAGCGTTGCTTACTTGGCTCGAACCCAATCTCTGATTTAGCATTTCTTGTGAAGCACCAGCCGGAAGCAGTGTGGGTGCTGCAGCTCTCGCCATCCTCCATAAAACTGCATGGAGCATTCACTGGCACACCACGCCGGGTCTTCCGGTCGTTCCTCGAAACTATGTAGAGGTACGTAATTTGTCGTTAGGCGCGCCCGAGGAGACAGTCATGGGAAGTTCCCGATATTAGCCCTCCCCGTCGCTAGGCACCCCGCCGCCGTTCCGATGCAGTCGAAAATGAACCCGGCAATTTTTAATTCTTACCTTTTAGATAATGAAAAAACAGGTTTCAAACATCAGCGGCGTATATAATAAGCCGTTGATGATTTGAACTACGGTCTATCTCCTGACAACTCGAGATACACTTATAACTCCTCTGCAACCATGCACGGCGCCGAGAAAGGGACTCTTCAGCAGGCGCTATCGATGGCACAGGAGGCCGTGAAGCTGGATACGGCGAAAGACAGTCATGGCGCCGTCCGTGCTTATATCCAGAGTATAAAAACTTTGGATACAGTTGTCCAGCGGTTGACCTCGTCCAGCCAGCCAGATGAGTTGCAGCGGGTCACAAGCATAGTGAGTCGCGATTCGCTTACTTGCCTTCATTTTACTGAACCCCATTTCTTCTAGCGGGACACGTACATCGAACGGGTGAAGCTCCTGAGCCAGAGATACTCTATCCCCAACGAGTTCAATCCACAAAGTCAGTCATAGGTGCGATTGTATCGCATTTTTTGCTGTCTTGAGCTAAAGATGCGATTTGCTGCACTAGTGCAAACGCCACACAAGTAATAGACGTGTACCATCAGTTGTATCATATATTGCATTGCAACCACTCCCGCGAGGTCCTTGATGTTAGACTCCAGAAGTCTTGGCGTACCCAGAACTGTAGATATTTGAAGCTTGTAGTCAGCCATCTTTTCAAAACATCAATGTCTTGCCAAGTCGCCATCTTGACAGTGTCGGATAGGCTTCCTGAGCTGTAGTAGCACGTGGTCGTCGGAGCCGCTGCTATAGTTAGTCGTCTGCCGAAGTCGTGTCTTGCGTGTGCGGTCGAAGCTGTTATCTCACCACCGCCACGTCCAAGAGTCCTCCAGCATGGCAAGCACGAATCTCCAGCTTCACGAGGTCCCAGTAGCTGACAGACCGCCCACCCCATGGCTGCGAAGGCTCAAGGCCATCCAGTTCATCCTCATATTCGATCTCGGATGTCTTCTCAATAACGCATGCCATTTCATGCTGTTGCCCATCCGAATTCTTCCTTTTCGGTGTACAAGGGGATTGTACGACGAAGGGATACGGTATACCAAGGGTGCATTTGGGTGCCTCCTGAGTGCGTTCAATGTCCCTATCGCATGGAACAACACTAAACGTCTAAGCAGTATTGGCATGTCAATGGTTTGCCCCTACTACCCTCAGCATAACCTTTGAAGAGCAAGGTCAAGGACGTCTTACCAAGGATGAAATAGACCAGATCGTGTCCCGCGACGAAAGTGGCAAGGTCATCGGACTTAAACTGCCCAAGAAGTCAGTTCTAATAGCCAACCACCAAGTTAATTGCCTTCCCTTGAAGTCCCCGGTCCGTGCTCTAATGAATATCGTGTCTGTAGATGTATGCCGACTGGTGGTACGCGTGGTGCCTCGCTTATTTCATGGATGCACAGAAGGACGTCTTTATCGTCCTCAAGAAGAGCCTGAAGTGGCTTCCAATTGTTGGCTGGGTATGAGTCATTTAGTCTAGAACTTCGGATGGCCGTTAACAAGGATCACAAGGGCATGCAATTCTTTAGGTTCATTTTCTTGGCCCGCTCTTGGGCATCCGACAGAGTAGCACTTGCAAGACAGTTGTCAAGACTTGGCAAGCAAGCTCAAGAAGAGGATAAACCGTTTCTATTCTTGCTCTATCCTGAGGGGACGCTTGTCAGCAAAGACACAAGACCGATCAGTAAGAAGTTCGCTGAGAAACAAGGGATAGTCAGTCAGAAAGTTACTCCCCTTTCGTGCAGTCTAACTGTTACATGTGGCAGTCTGACATGAAGCATACACTTTTACCGCGGTCAACGGGCCTGCATCACAGCCTGCGGTCATTAGTTCCCCGTATACCGCGCTTGAAACTTATCGACGCCACGGTTGTTTACCCTGGTAAGGCTACATTTCTTGAGACAAGACACAGGGCTCACTCCATTGCCAGGTATTCCACCAATGGGATACGGGCAAACTTATTATACTCTGCGTTCCATCTTCATGAACGGTGTCCCACCTCCGGTGATTCACATCCATCTCCGGGTATTTGACGTGGGCGAGGAGGTCCCTATCGGAGACTTGTCGAATAGTAACCCTTCAGCATTGCCAAATCTTTCAAGTAGTAAGAAGATCGCGGAGACGGATATTCCGGAAGCTGAGAAGAACGAGTTCGACTTATGGCTCAGAAATCTATGGCGGGAGAAGGACCTGATGTTTGACGCGTACCACTCCGCGAAACGGTTTGCTTCGGGGGGAACAACTGTGCCAGTGGAGATTCCCGTTCGGCTACGGAGCTCTCGCGAAGTTTGGGACGCATTTTGTTTCTTCCTGCCCGTGGTGTTAGTGACATATGTATGGCGTAGGTTCGTGTAGGGGCTGTTTCATCTAGTTTTGTTATTATAGTGTAGAGCGAAGATGTATGCAGTGGTAGAATTATGATGATGCGCCGGCCTGGTTTCTCTGCTCCTCAAGCCGTCCGACGAGATAGATACTCGTGTCCAAGAATCGTTCCACGCAGTTTGCGAGGCAGCTTTCTTCCCCGCGAGAGAACCGCGTCGAAGGGGTACCTGTGATGCATCTTCGAGGGTGTTAACATCGAGAAAAGAAGTTGAAGAGCAGATTTTTACTTGTCCCAGCATGTACTCGTCAACGTAGAAATAGTGGACTGGAGACGCGCCTGCGCCTGCGCAGTCTCCAAGAATGTGTTGAGCTCCTTCTATAGTAGACTGTGAGCACCCCGACGGAATGGGGGAGCGGGGGACGTACCTGGGTAGCCTCGTCGAATTTGTCTGCCATGGTCGGAAGGAAGAGTATTTTGCTTACCTCAGCAGATATCAGCCCAAATATGGTTTGTTGTTGATTTTTCTGGTCGCGGAGGCAAATCGGCGACGGTCGCCTAAAATCATGTTCTTCGCCGTTGACCACGACGACCACGTCGGCCACGATAAAAAATAATCTGCACGGCCGTAATGCTGCTCTTCTGACCCCGTCCCCATTTCTTCGAAATCAACATATCACCCCAAATCGCTTCGCTTCGTCCCTGGTATTCCTTCTTTCGACAGGAATATCTGCCGTGTCGTAAACGTTGTCATTTGCAGCCCATTCGGAGCAATTCTAGGAGCGAACTTGCTCTGAATTTCCCGCAAACTGCGCTACACGTGAGATTCTTTGACAGTCTCACCCTTTGGTATATAGTTCTGTTCGTTTAAGGGCATGGAGGCTCTCTCGCCTCGTGTTCGTACAGTGCCTCGTGTCCCCATAGCCCAAGTCCTTCAAGTCGATGGCTTCTGCGCAGACGGGCTCGTCCTCCCAAGTCCTTCCGTCGCCATGGCCGGCAGACACAATGGCTCCGTGGGTTCTCTTCCTTGGAAGCTGGCGATCAGCATGGCTCATCCACATCCACATCTAGAGTGGGCTATCTCAGTCGCAAGGCACTCCCCATAAAACGCGCAGATGCAGAACCATTGACTCGAGAAGATGTACAGTATGATCTCCTGCACCACATATTCTCAAACCCCAAAGCCGTCTTCACCAGCGCAACATCGGGCAAGACGAAGAAGGTTACATTCTCCGAGCTCTATGTGGCCGCCCTATCCAACTCCAACAAGTGCTCCAAGGTGCTCAAGGATAAAATGAAGGAGACTCCGGCGTTTGCACTGGAACTGGCGAAGATCTCGCTCCTGACCAATGTCGGGCGAATTAATACAACCATGGCTTGTGAGATCGTTCATTATCAACTATGGCGTGGGGATCAATCTGATGTCAGCGAGACCAGTTTTCCCGGAAATGAAGACGGCATTGAGAACATACCACCCAGTTCCCTCCCTCCAGAAAACAGACGGCAACGCTCAGGACGCTCCGAGGATTAAGAATTGTTTAAAGGCTGCGCTGTTGCCTTCGGAGATAAGAAACATGCCTCCCTCCACTCCTGAGGAAATCCTCAACAAACTTGTGGGCCCCTGTCCATGTTGCGTGCGCTGGAGCGATCGCTAATTTACTTCCTCGTAAAGCGTGCAGGCCAGAAACCGCCGACGAGCGTAGTAAATCTGGTGTTCGTTTTGGCTACTCACTCCGCCGTGCGTTCTACCTTTCACTATTATTTTACCTCTTGTCATTATTGATCGCGACTGACACATACGCTCTAGCCCTTAGCCAGTGTACACTTCGATGGTTCCTTCAATTTCTTGGATCTTTTTCTTCCACGGAATCTATCCTCCTCAGATCGCGCACGGACATTTCTTTGGCTTATATATTACTACTTAGAAGACCCGGATCCACCCAACCCCTTCGATGACGACTACTCCCGCGACAACCCCGACAAGGCCCCACTGCCCCGGGTACTCTCTGAGGAGGAGATGAACGAAGAAAACATCGACTCCCCAGAGGAGATCGCCTGGGGCAACATGATGTCGACGCAACGTAACGCCTTCCTCCAAAAATTAGTATCGACAATGGAACACGACAAGAAGGTCAGGTCTTCTGCGCCGCACTTCGTCCCAGGTAAGTCAAAATTCACCGCCACCATTCACATTCTGGATGGCTTCCACAGAACCAGAAGCAGAGACTAGCGTGGTCACAAGGCGATCTCGTACAAGACATGGGCTAGAAACCCCGAAGGACGAAGCGTCCTTCATGTATTATGTCCCTAGCAGAGAATCAGCCCCTCCGGGACCTCTACAAAAAGGTTTTATCGTTTATCACCGCGTAACACCAGGTCTGATGGATCTTTTTTCCAGATCCTTCGCCCAAGCTATTGCCACGAGGCCCTCGTGAAGATCGTTCGATGCTTCAACGTTAGCGCTACCTTCGTACACGTTCCATCGAAACTAACGCCCCTCTAGATGCTTGGCATATTATGAAAAACGCTGACCCCTTAGTGGACTCCGACGAAGAATTCGCTGATGAGCACACACGAACTGATTATAGTGCGTTCACCTCACCCTAGCATAATGACCTACTAATTAACTTCTTGTCTTCCAGCCCGGCGCCTAGATGTGCTTGCGACGGTTCAGAGGACCCTCCCGTCCCCGAGGTCCTTTCTCCTGGCCCCGGACAAGCACCGAGCCAACAACGCATTGCGATGACCCGGGTGGTAACTCACTTTCTAGGGGGTCCATCTTGTAAAATTGGGGAGGATATAGCTTCACACTATCTTAACGTGATAATGAGGTTCATGTAGTATAAAATTTGTGTGCATACTAGAAGAGGGCCCAGCCCTCTGCATATAGCTAGGTTGTCGGAATGGATGAATACACAGGGCGTCCTACAATGAGTGTTGTGGTATGGGAGTGTGTCTACCTAAAATGTATGTACTAAAGAACGAATTCCAGATTCCAATTGTCAAAAAACCATCCCCTTGAAGAAAAGAAAAGAACGCTACAAATATCAAAATCTCCCACCGATCTATCGTACAAACCTCACTAAATAAAGAGCTACCTATTGTTAATCAGAAAGCACCAGGAAGCGAGAGGATGTAGTGCTCAAATCCAGCTCGCTCAGCCGTTTGGAGTTCAGCGGGAGCGCTACGTCTCTTCCAATGCTTGTTCTTCAGCGAGTCTTCCTCATCATGACCAGTATGCCCGTACTCAGAGGGGCGCGTGCGGCGTCTGAGAGTGGAGATCATGTCGGAAGATCTTCGAGATCGAGAGTCCAAAGCAAGCAAGTTGGTTTTGGACAATTGGATTGGTGATGTTGTGGCTGAACGTGGGACGACGAGGGTTGTTACCTCCAAATTTGGAGTTAGAGGCGAACAGGGTGAGACCGGCGGAATTATGGGAGCTGGAGTGGCCTTAGCAGGCTGAGGAGCCCGCAGCGGCATCTGTAACCTGCCCACGCCGACTACGAGTCTTGGCCGTTCAGGGGCGCTGGCAGGTTGAGGGCGGGACTGGTTGAGGAAAAGCGGGAGACGGCTGGAATGGTCGGACTCTATGCTAGTGCTGCGAACGTGTTTCTGGTAACGCATGCGAGCAGAGATTTGGTCCAGGGAGGGCAAGTGGTTGTATTGGGATGGCTCCTTGGGACGCTTGGGTTCAACGACGCCAGCGCGTACGCGGAAATCCACTTGTTCGACCCAGGACTCCTGCGAAGATATACCGCTGCTAGGGCTGGAGCCCAAATTCTCGAAAAAGGCCAGAGGTGAGACCAAGCCTGGTGAAGGTAGGGAGCAGTGGAAAATGGCAGGCGATTCGGGAGGGGTCTTGGGCATGGCGGTCGCAGTGGGAGAAGGCGGCGCCATGACCTTAGAAAGGAACAAGGCACGACGCTCAACTGGCACGCAAAGTCAATTCCACAAGTAGATAGTGGTAAAATGGGCATGTACGAACCTTGCTTGTGCTTGTGCGCCTTCAATGCTACCTCTTTACGCAAATCGCTCTCCCTCTTCGCCTGGTTTCTTTCCCGTGTTGCCTGCAATAGCGCCTCGAATCTGTTGGTATCAAGACCCTTGTTCTGAGGAGCATCGGCGGGGCGCAATGGCGAGGATTGATGGACGAAACGAGGCGAGCCTGTTGGCGGCGGAGTGAGATGGCTAGGCCTGAAGCCGTCGCTATCGTTCGCGGCGAATGAGGACTTTGCGAAGGGAGAATACGGTTCTGCCTCTGGTTCGAGGGGCGGGGCGGGGGAGATAGAAATCTGCGGGAGACAGGTAGCGAGCATGGCGATTATTACAGGAATGAAGGGACAGGTTTAGATGACAAGGAATGTAGGTGAATTCTGGAGTACAACGAGGAGGTCGACGTGGCCAGCCACCTAAATTGTAGTATACGGACTGATGGTGGTAGAAAAGAAAGAAGAGAAATGCCGAATCTCAGGCGAACGCTCAGCGTCTACGGTTGAGGTTGAGTGAGAAATGGCAGGCTAGCTGTGAGAAAGTGACCAGCTACGGAATACGGGACTACTTATCACAATTCCGCCAGTCGCTCGTGGCTTGGCCCTCGCGACCGTCTCCACAGCGGCCAACACTGTTTACTGAGAAATTGTCCATGAGAATGACAGCAATCCCACTAGAACCCCATAGCCTTGGATAGCCCACGTCCCGACTCGACTCGACCTTCAACAATCATCATTTCAGTCGCCAACGTCCACAGCGTTCCCCAGTCTGCCGTGTTCTCTCATCAATTTCATTTCTGATGGTTGTTTCCGACCACCGCACGGCTGCGCTCGAGATTTGATTCCAGCCGCTTATCTGTTCAATTCCTCATGTTTTCTATCTAGTTGGTCTGTGATACATTTTGGAGCCTATTTCTTTGCGCTCTGTTCCTGGGCGGCCTCCGCAAGTTTTTCTTTAAATAGCTTCTCTGCGTCCGTCCACACGCGCGCTTCACTGCGCTTGGGGAATTCCAACAGCGAGGGGAGTAGGTCTGCACTGAACTGTTCTGATGCCTCCCGCGGAAGCAAAGTGGGCAGATGGTCAATGGAAATAACCGACAAGGGCGGATTGACACTCCTGAGAGGCATGTAGCAATCAGCAGATCAGCCACTGGGAACGTATCATTCCACGTACCCGACATCAACACCGACCGTGGGTTCGGAGAAAGTAGTGTTAATGTTGTATATTGGTATGGGATTGAAAGGGTTCGTCGTGTCGCAGCTCACATCCACAACAACGGACAGCTTGCGGCTGGGCCCCGCTGCGATGATCTGGTCCCGAGTAAGGAAAGGTGGAATTGAGGACGACAGGTAAATGCAGTTGACGAAGATATCGACATCAAGGATCTCTTGGAATGGGCCACCTTTTGCCGTTTCAGCGAGGTCCCACTTGACGATATCATCTCTGTCGACGGAATGATCAGGATCCATTGATGACCGTGCAGCAAGACCTCAAAACAACGCACTCTTCCAGACCGATCTTCCTGAATAGGTCAACGGCACCCCTACCACATCTCCCGAGTGCACCAATTACAAGGGCGCGGACGCCCTTGCCACTGCCTCCGAGAGCCTCCTTGACTCCACTAACCATAGCATCCTCATTCGGATAGGGTTCCAGCAGGCCCAGTTTCTCTCCCTTCTTCTGCGCCGCCAAAGCCAGTGCTCCAGCTGCGGCACCGGCAAACCCAGCGTGGAAACCAAATGCCGCTACCCTCCTGCCGTTTGCATCATTGAGGAATTCCAGATCGTACAAGGTACCTCCACCGCGATGGAATCTCCCCAGCACATCGTCCCAGCCCGCCTGTCTCTTGAAACAATGCGCGAATTGGATATGTGTATGGGGGAGGGGCTCGTCCGACTCAGGGAGCTCCTTTAATCCGATGATCGGGACGTCTGTCGGTGCAGATGTCCATGTACTGTTGTCGACCAACTTGCACCCGACCCTGCAGTTACCAAGTGTTGGAAACTCATATACGGGGATGAGGAGGAAACACGCACGCCTCATACTCGGAATCATCAAAGATTCGCTGATCATCACGCTCGACATAGATGTCAAAGCCTGCATCGATTAGCTTCTTTGAGGTTGTGGGGGTGAGTGCTGCACGCCTCTCAAAGGCTTTCTTCTCGCAGCGCAACCAAAGGGTGGGCTTGGACATCGTGGACAGTGGAGAAATGGCAGCTCACTGCTAGCTGTCCTCAAAATTTAGCTGATCGCGATCATGACTCGATTATTAGGGTCTTCAAATTTATGGGGACAGGGGCTTCGTTCCAGGATGTAACTCGTCCAATAGTCCGCCACGTTGCCAGTACACCGTTCTTGCTAGGAGACTTAGGGGCAAACTTCCATGAATTCCATGCGTCCATCCAAGTATTTACTATTTTACCAGCTTTTCCGAACCTCCAACCCCTTCATCACCACCTCCTCCTTGCCTGTTTCAAACCTGTTCAAACCCGCGAGTGAGACTCCAGATGAAATCTGAAAATCCCCTTTGGTCAGTCCGTCCATAGTAACCGGGATATATTCCTCCAGAGGCATCCATTTGTTTGTCAGCATCTTTGTAGTATCCTCAGCTACAGGATGTATCAAGAATAGATATATTTAGATACAAAGAACAGCAATGAGTTCTTGTACGCACCATCGTGGAGCTCGGATTCTACCAGCGGCGGGATGATCTCCATTATATGGACGTTGGTTCCTTGCAGGTGCGCGTGAAGAGAATAACAGAGCGAATGCAACGCAGCCTTTGAGGCTGAGTAGTTGGCAACCCAAGCCCCTGGGGTAATTCCCTGCGGATCATCATTACTTTCCACGAACGTCACAACATACATGGCAGACTTACCAACCCTGCTGTAACTGGACAAATGAAGCATGGCCGCCCATCCGCCTGGAGATCAGACGTTGGAACGCGGTAAAAGCAACAAATGCGTAACATACGGCTAATTTCAATAGATGGGGCAGGAAATAAGTGATAGTGGTCAGGATGGAGGTGTAGTTGACGTTCAGCTCGCTCAAAAGTTCTGCAAACGACGGATAAGCGATAATATCTATGAATTATGGTGTTGTAGGTGAAATTCACTGTCAAGATCAATGGTTTCTGGTTTCTGGAACCAAGTTTCATACTGTACGCCTGCAGAGAGTACAAGCGTATCAAGCTAAATTACATAGTCACCAGTGTAAGTGGTGCTTCCAATTATAATCATCAATGCAACGTACATCAGGGTACTTGGCGATCGTATCGTCAACAAACTTCTTGATCGTCTCCTTATCTGTCTCAAAGTCGATTTGAATGGTATCCATCTTGGAAGCCAGCTCGTCCAAACGGTCCTGTCGTCTGCCTGCAGCAATTACGCGGGGCTTGCTGGGAAGATCGCTAATTGCGTAGGCTAAAGCTCGGCCGATACCCGCTGTGGCACCGGTAACCAAGACACATCTGCTATCGTTGATGGACGGCATATTCTTTGCAAGCCTCAGTTGATGGTGTCTACGTCGATGTCGAAGAATGCGGCTGAACAAGCCCAACCCCGTAGATTAGATAACCTAAACCCTTCAGCTCGATCATTGTTTGTGGGCGCCTTTTAACAATGGCTGAAAGTGAGTTGCCACCACCCGAAGCAACGAACTCACAACCTCAAGACGATGATCTCGTCCCTGGAAACGAGAATTCGCCAACAGAAGTAGTAATGCCCACATCGCTGGCGCGTTCCGTACTGATAAGATGGCCCAATCTTCAGGATCTTCTAGATATCGCAGAACAGCTGAAGGTCAAGGGCAACGATCATTTCCGTACAGCAGAATGGGGGGCGGCTTTATCTATCTACCAGGAAGCATTGGATAAATTACCGAAGAGGAAGGTCCAGAAACCGGATGATCCTACCCCGGAGCCCTTCGAGGACGACCTCGAAGGGCACCCCACAGCACCTTTCACATCTACTCCCAGTCCCCCACCTTCTGAGGATATTAGCCCTTCAGGATTCGACATCACATGCGCGAAGCTTAGGTCCGTTCTCAATGCGAACATCGGTGCTTGCCATGTTAAACTGGTAAGTTTGAGTCAGCTTCCGTTTCTTGTACCTGCTGATGCACCACTTCGACAGAGAAGTTACAAGGAGGCTGCGGATGCATGTACCCAAGGTCGGGGGCTTGTGCCTATGTAATATCCTTGACACGGGACCTTAATGCACGTTCAATTAGCGATTCTGGACGATCCCGAATACGTTAAGGCTCTGCAGCGGCGGGCAGCGGCAAACGAACAGCTGAACACTTGGTCATCACTAAGCAGCGCACAAGAAGGTGAACCGTGGGTTTTCTTCGTATTGTGCCTGTTACCAACGCCTGTCGACTTAGATTATAAGAAGTTGTTGACGTTGCTTCCGCAAGGATCATCACAAGGCCGAGATGTCGAGCGATCGCTGCGAGCAATAGGTCCTCGAGTTGAGGCAGCCCAAAAGGCCGAGACTGCTGAGATGCTGGGTAAGCTTAAGGGACTAGGAAATAGCATTCTAGGTACGTCGCTGATTCTCTAACGTGATGATGGCGACTCAACGAGAGATAGGCAACTTTGGATTGTCCACTGACAATTTCAAGTTTGAGCCTAATGGTCAAGGGGGTTACTCAATGCAATTTTCTCAATGATTCGAGCTTCACACACCCTACCGCCGGCAGGACCATGTGTTGGCTGCGATGACTGCGACGACGCTTAATTAACCTGGCGGAATAGAGTACTTAGTCTAGATATGTAATGGGGTTCCTGAATATAGTGATATCTGGGTATATCTAGATATGCAAGGTGAGTTACAGTTCAGGTTCTATCGAGGAAACGCACCCTAGCTCGTAGCTTCGCCCGGACAAGGGACATTGAAACTGGTCCATAATCACGAGAATCTCTTGACATGGCAGCATTATCGCCGCTTATCCATAGGTGTCCTTTGGGAACGACAATGTGTTCAGTGGAGGGGGCCTTCTGGCCGGTTGGGTCAACGCATACGACGTCCCCAGGCAGCCCTATGACTCTTTTGCAAATGATTCGCGAGGGGTCAAGGGGTGAGTAAAGCGTAATAAGATCCCCCCGAGCTATTCCAGTGGGATTCCAGCGTATGGATAGTCGGTCTTCTACGACTATCTCACCAGAGTCCGCAAGAGTAGGCATCATAGAGAGTCCACTCATCTATCAAAAGTATCAGTGGAAGGCACCATCACTGTAGGCAGAGCGCACCAGAGAAACGGTCCCAACGTATTCAGCAAATATGTGCAAGGCGCAAGCCATGTTGGCGAGCTGACTTACTATTCAATGGCTCGTTTACAAGGCGCACTGGGTGTACTCACCTTGAAAGCGGATTTTCCTACGACTTTGGCTTTATATACGCATGGCTTCGACCAGAATTCGCGAGCGCGTCCTATCCTCACCTGCGCCGAGCGCCTCAACGCCTGTGTGGCGAATACGAACGGGTGCATAGAGACATAGAACGCGCGGAGAAGAGGCTCGGCTCAGAGGTTCGCACTGAACCACGTGACCGATTGGCCATGATCGATTTCTCTCAGACGGACTGCCATCTTCAAATTCAAGGGTTTCCAGTTCCTTGACTCTGCTAAGGATAAGCGGTGGCGAGGATCTACCCATTCCCCCCCAACGAATCACAATGTCGTCCTTCAAACGCAAAGTTTCTGCGAAGCAGGCCGCACCATTTCCTGGCACGCGTACATATCTTTCCTCTACGATCACATCGACTGGCATACCCTCGCTCGATGACATTCTAGGAGGCGGATTGCCTCTATCATGTTCATCAGTTATCCTGGCGCCCGATCCCCACTCTGCGTATGGGGAGCTTGTCCAGAAGTACGCGATCGCTCAAGGACTTGCTTGGGATCACCGCGTCTGCGTGGTGGATGGCGACCCCGACGCGTTTGTGCGCGGATGCATGTGGTTACCTCCCACGTACGAATATGCCAAGCCTACAAGCGCAGATACTGACGAGGGGGACGATGCCGGGAACGATGGACAAGATACTATAAAAATCGCCTGGAGATACAAGCAAATGAAGCAGTTCTCGACCACTGTCCCGGCTGATGTCAAGTACGTACGTGAATTTGTCTTGTCCTGCGAAAATTCGGCTCATTCGTCGCTATCGCGCAGGGATTCTGAACAGTTCTGCCATACGATGGACCTGACGCACAGAATTCCCGAATCTATCGTGGCAAAGGCAACAAAAAATGGCACGCTCTCATTCGTTGATATGAATACAGCGGACTCAAAGGGGCCCTCGACGACAAGGGTGATAGACCAATTATCTGCTTTACTACAAGGCACTCCAGTAAACCCTCCCGCGGCAACTACTCGGCCTTTACGCATCGTGATCCCAGCGTTCGGTGCCTTCCAATGGGGCGATATAACCAGCGAGGTAACCTCATCCATCAAATCCAGTGTCCTATTGCTCATGCCTACCGTAAACGTCTAAAAGGATGTTTTGGTATTCCTACACTCCCTCCGTGCCTTACTCAGGCACTATCCGTTCGCATGCGCCTCAATAACGTTGTCTCCCCACGCATCTACAGACGCATGGGGTGGCGCAGGATGGATTCAGAAAATCGGTTGGTTTTCGGATGCTGCGATCACCCTTTCGGCATTTACGGGTATGTGAATACTTTGCTGTTCAGAGGACCCATCATAGGTGGTCCCTTGTATTATTATACCGCGGAGGCCAATCAATCGTCTTACTCCAATCTCCACAGGTGATCCCGCATTGTCGGCGGCATTCCCATCCCACCATGGGTTACTCCATATCCACACTCTGCCTGCGCCACACACACTCCTTCCGCCGAGTGACAAATTATCAGTTCTTCGAGGACTATCTCCTTCTGCAGTGTCTGCCGGAGGTGGAAGCGGCGAGAACAATCTCGCCTTCAAATGTACGCGCAAACGCCTTATATTCGAGACCCTCCATCTGGACGTAGAAGGCGGGATTGGAGAGCGCCGGACGACACCTTCGACCCCCATGGACATTGGAACCCATGTCCATGAGCATAGCCCCAATCAGACAGCGCCAATCCCAAGTGCGTCCATTGCCGCGGTGTCAGTGACGTTGGAGGCCAGCCCTGTTCCAGCCATGCCCGGTGCGACGTCTCCAGAAGTTGATGTCCCTTCCGTAACGATTGAGAAGCCCAAGAAGCCCAAGAAGCGGGTGGCTTTTCATTCAGACAAGCCGGATCTCTATGATTTTTGAGGGGACATGTTGATTGACTTTGTTATCGGGCCTTTCATTCAGCGAGGGTGAGGGCATGACACCCTGGACATTTGGAGATCGAGCGAAGTTTCTGGTGCGCGGAGTAGACTGATCGGATGCTTAGGCAATACGGCCTCAGACGACGAGCGGTCAGCAGCGACAGAGAACTTTGATGGAGGGTATACATAGCTGCGGTAGGACGCGAATGCTCTCGTTCCTTTTGGATGACTTCATGCGAAGCGTATCCATACTCCTGAAGATCGATCAGCTTGTATATATAGGCCTGCTACGGCCGTGGAGAGAAGGATGATGCTACTGTGATGCTGTATGTCGAAACCTTGGAAACGACGCGCAGAAATTAAGAGGGGATTTACTGTGGTGTAGACCTGCTCTGGGCGGGACCGTGTTCACGCATCTGTCCATGCTAACTGCCAATCGGAGCTGCTGATATTGTGTAGCGTACATAAAAAACATCCATCTTTTAATGAATGACATAACAACAAGCGAGGCACGCCAAGCGAGCAGGCGGCATTCGCTCTCCTTGTCCTTCCCATTCTCTGTTCATCGCCAGCAGTAGGTGTCGAGGGTGTGCAGAGGTTTCGCCGACGTCTCTAACGACGAGCCATACGTGTGCATTGGAAACCGGAAGAAAGAGATCACGAGGAAGATTTCGCGATCCATCAGTTGATTGATTGGAGTTGGGAAAAATATGGATGGCCTTCGGGAACCTGCGACAGCTCTGTGAGTGGATGGAGATTGCTCCCAAGCCCTGCCCTGCTGCGTCTCAGACTCATTCTTGCCCGGAAACAGGGGAAACGGGCTTGCTTCTGCACCTCCACCTCGGGCCCAGCCACACCTGCGCACGCCTTCAAACGTGGACAAGCCGTTGCCTCCCATGCCATCGAAGCTGCTGGGGGCTTCTCTTCAGGAAGACGCCAGGGGAGATCGGGAGTCGTGGGCGTCTGTCGCAGAGTCGAGCGAGGAAGGTGAGCAGCTGAGCATTTTGAGGAGAAGCTTCACGTCGACCGTCGGCGGATTGCAGTCGCGTGTTTGGCGCTGTTTGACCTCTTGACACTGTCTCGTCTGCTTCTTAGTCTCGTACAAGGCTAATGCACTTGACCCTTATACAGACAGCGCCCTCCACTATCTGCGCGACCAGCCCTCTCCCTCTCTTCCACTAACCCCCATCTCCTCCTCGTACCCCGCGCCCTTCGCCTCACGAGACACGCATATCATGGACCCGCCGTCGCCAGATTCGCATCCTGCCTGGCATCAGAGCCCCGTAGCCCAGGGCCAGTCTTCTCAGATCCACCACTTCTCTTCGCATTCTCCTTTGCTGCGTTCGGTGTCAGAGGGCGAATCCACTCTCATGGCCGACTCACCACCTCAACAGCATATACTTGCCAGGCCACCCAAGTTTTCTCTTCCCCTGCCAGACCCGTCCCATTTTCCTGAGCCTTACCTTTTTCGCCCTCGTCTGACATCGACAACCCCAGCCCTCTCTTCGGCTGGTTCTTCCTCGGAATCTACGCGATCGTCCGCGTATACTAGCTCTGGGAGCGCGATAGCCTCGGGCGACTACAACCACGTGCACGTCGTGTCGGGGGAGGATGACACCACCCCAGGTGTGGGAATTACTTCAGATGCAGTTAAGCAATTTCTTGCAAAGGATTCAAACGCCCCAGTGCCTCGAGGTCCTTCGCAGATGCCTTTTGATCAATCGAGATGGTCGGATGCATACTCTGCAAGCGTTAGATCACGATCATCTTCGACGGGCGGCAATTCGAACGAGAACGCGCCTCCTGTCCCCCCTTTGCGACAACAGGCGAGCTACGACCTGAGTTGGCAGGCAGTGGACGAAAAGGATGAGATGGGCGCAAGCGAAGATGATACCGACTTCGAACAAGGTCTGGATGACGACGACATGGACGACCCAGACTTGGAACGAACTTCGGCTGCCGTAATAGCAGAAGAAGGACGTGGCTTGATCGTGCAAGGCGAGGGTGTGCAATTATCAGATCTTCATATTCAGCCTGGTATGTTCTTAATTTCGCCTCTTCCACGGTCACAAACCGACTTCTTTCGTGCAGGGACCACTCATCTTATTGTGGGCTCTTCGAACACGCCAAATATAATGCCTGCCTTCCTCTCCAACACTGTGCCTCAGATATGCAACACCCTTCTTGCGCTTGACATATCCGCGAACTTCTTGGGTGCGCTTCCTCCGTGCCTGGCAATGTGCTCTCAGCTAGAAGAACTCAACATTGCATCGAATCCTCTTCGCGTTCTCCCCGCCTTCCTCTGTGAACTTCACAACCTCCAAGTACTCATTTCGGACTGCACTGGTATTGCAACCCTTCCGGACTGTTTAGCCGAACTTGAGCGACTTCACACCATCAGCATTCGCCGGAATAAGCTTCACTCTCTTCCCAGTTGGCTCTGTCTACTACCCGCCCTGCAGACCCTCTGTGTGGATGGCAACCCCTTCCAAGGTCCCTGGAAGGCATTGGTCGAACCACTCTTAGCCAAGGTCCCAATGACGCCAATGTACCCGCCTTCCACGCCTTCCTATCCCTTGCTCTCTGCCAGTATACGTACATCGCAGGCTAGCACCGATATTGAAAATACCGATACGGATGAGTCTTCCGATCCGCCGAGCCCAGATATTAATGGCCCACAAAGTGATTCCCCTGACGAAGAATCCACGATTACGCCTGACCGTGCACCGTTTTTGAATCGCATCCCACAACCCCAGGAGTTACCCCCGCCTCCCCCATCTCTCCCCAGGTCTTTGCAACGCACTCGGACGACACCGAACCGTGCGTTTCATCAGAATCGCCTGAAGGCGCAACTTGCGTCTACTCCAGAAGCTCAGAATGCGATCGCAGGCCCCTCAAACGCTGGAGAAACGAGGAAACTACCGGGTGATCGCGAGCTGCGCAAGATGAAGAGCGCTGGGGACATTCGACGTGCGAAAGCCCTTGGGCCCTCCACTCCTGATTTGACTGTCACCACTCCCCCAAGGCCCTCGCTAGCTCAGATCGGGACTTCACAGTCTAGCTCGACGCTATTACGCACAAGTCCACCCGCTTCGGAGCGGCCGGCAATGTCGAAGCGATTTGCAAGTCTTGGCCCATCATCGAGTATGGGAACACCTTCTCGTCCTGGAACTGGCTCCCGAACGGCTTTGACGCGCTCGCTTTGGGACGGGCCTTCAGAGCAGGAAATGGAGACGCAGCACAATCGAAACACGGTTGCCGGGGATAATGGCGCACCGCCTATGAGGATGTTCATTCCACAATCTCCTCCCTCTAATGTTTCTCCTCACGAACAATCAGCTGCCAGACCCCGAACTTCAGGTGCAAGTGATGGTGGCAAGGAGATGAAGGAGAGAGGAAGTCGTTGGGGCTTCCTCAAGAAAATGTCAATGGGCAAGATGAAGTCAGACGTGCCTTCTCGTCCTGGAACTTCACAGGGACGTCCCCCAATGTCGCGGCCGTACACATCTACAGGTAGTTCAAGGATGAGTACATCACCTCGCATTGACGTGCGGTTGTCAACCAATGGAACGCTTGATGCCTTTGGTCCCTCCACTACTCCCGCGTCATCCCCTCATCTCCCTTCCATGCAACCCTCATCCGACTCACTACAAGCACCTTCTCCAAATCTTCTCGTCCCATCCTCCCCGTCACCTATGTCGCGAGCCTCCAAACGCCGTAGTTTCCTGCCTCTCGATGGTCCGACGCCATTGCAAATCCCGATTCCTGACTCTTCGCCATTCGTACAGGGTGTCACAGCTAACAACGATGATGAGGAAGACCACAGAAATACTACTCCCAGTCCTGTCGATTTGGAAACACAACTTCGGCGCGAAGAGGTACGAGCGAAGGATGCATATATGCGTGCCCTCCGTTCCGTTATGGCTTACCTTCGAGATATGAATGACTTGGGACTATCGCAAGCGCAACCGAACCCGATGAGCATGTATGGGGCACCTTCCGAGGAAGCTTTGTCTACTGCTCGTTCAAGACGGCCGACAGTTTCAGAGGGCTCCCGCGACGTGTCGATGATTGCTGGTTCGAGTGATTATCCGAATCATTTAAGGTCTGCTGAAGCAATGGCTGGTTTGCGGAGTGGTACTGCATCGCAGACTATGAGCGTCGCTACGGACAGTAGTGCTGGGTCGTCGGATGAAAGGAAGTTCAAGGATGACAAGGGCAAACGCGCGATGATCATCCGTGAAATAGTAGCGTATGTTATCTCTCCTTCGTTTGCCTTCTGGCCGTCTAATGTCCCTTTTCTACAGGACGGAACGGACATATGTCAAGGGTCTCGAGGAACTCGTCGAAATATATATCAAACCAGCTTCTGTCCAGGCTAATCTACTGACCGGCGTTGGCTCATCTAAAGACACCATTGTGCCTCTGGCGGAACGCAAGATCGTATTTAATGGAATCGACGCGCTATATTCTTTCCACAAGGACAGCTTCCTTCCCGCCCTCGAAATGGCCGCCGATCCACTTATGCGCCCCGCTGCTGAGCTGCAGGCTGCGGACGCGGACGGTCAACTTTCACAAAGCGTCGCAAAAGCTGTAGGAAATATGTTCATAAAACATGCTGCATTCATGAGGATGTATTCAAGTTATATCAAGTGAGTCTTTACCCGCATATATGCACGTGCTATACTCACTCAACGATTCCAGTAATTTCGATAACTCTGTTCAGCGCGTCAAGCACTGGTCGTCAGATCGAAGCCCTGCAGGCCCCACAGGCAGCGCACTGTCGCCTTCCTCAAGTGCTGTACAGCTAGCTGGCCTAGGCCTAGCAATGGCGGTTACAAACCCCGGTGCTTTACCCGATGCCGGTTCTTCCTTGGCCGTTCCCAACCTCTCCACCAGCCAACGGAAACGGATTCGTTCCTATCTCAAGCGATGCCGAGTACACCCCCGTCATTCGCAATTGAATCTCGAAGGTTACTTGCTACTTCCCGTGCAACGTGTACCCCGGTATCGCCTACTTGTAAGTCTTCGTTATTTTGGAAATGCAATCCTGTCTGACAATATCCTAGTTGGGAGAGTTGCTACGCAGCACACCGCCTTCACTTGACTTCATAGAAGACCCGCTGGACCGAGCATTTGCAGAAATATCGTCGCTAGCTAATAATATGAACGAAGGCAAGCGGGAAGCCGAGTCCCGACGGAAACTCGTTCAATGGCAGAGTCGGATACGAGGGAAATTCCCCAGTCCTCTGGTCCAGCCTCATCGGTACGTACTCATCAGTTACTCATCTCGTGCCGTATTTGTTTACCTTGCTTGCTCCAGCCGCCTTATCATGGATGGTCGACTCCTGCTTACACGCGTGGTTCGTAAGACCGCAGTGGATTTCGAAGCCATCAACGCACATGGGGATGCTACATCTGTAAAAGTGGATTGTCTAGCCCCTGAACTCACACCAAGACCTCTCGTCGGGATCCTTTGCAATGATCTTCTCGTCTTATGCCGGGATCCTACGGATGGCAATGACCCTGTGTCAGTGGTAGACTTGTGGGCTGTTCTTCGCATGCAAACTTTACCTCAGCCTGCCAGTATTGTACATGGCAACGGTAAGCAATGCTCTCAAATGGAACTGCGTATAAATACTAATCAACTTTGTCTTGCAGTTCTTCGTCTTGTTGATAATAAAGCTATCTTATATTTTGATGCTCCCTCACCTTCTGACGCATTAAACTGGTATCGAGGTATGTTGACAGCTCTTCTAGACAAATATCGTTGACTGACATCGACGTCGTAGCCATCAATCTGCATATTCCTGCCTCTAAAACATAGACTATGACCCTGTTGCATATTCATTCCTTATACATTTGATTATCTTATTATCACCATTCTACAGGGTTTTTTTTCTGCTTCTATGATATGTGACAATCTCTTCGCCGACCATTTCATTCGGCTGGATGCCGTCCTGTTCCTTACACTCTTTCTGCGCACCTCGGTTTCTGACAAGCTTTCATGTATTCGTTCATTATCAGCCGCATCATAAATAACCTATTATCAAGGCTCCACATGCATGGTTCATTCCTTAATTCATTGTAAGCGATCCTTAAATAAATAACAATATAGAGCCTTTTATCCCTTGGATGATGTATGACTTGTTCTACGTAGGAGGATGGGATGGCGAAGTCTTCAGCATCTCTGTAATATCGCAGTCACGTTCGTCGGAAGTTGGAGATGATGGGGGACGCCTCCAAAACACCCAGACGGAAAGGAGGTCCTAAATTAAAACAGTGTTAGAAACGTTCAATGGAAACGGACGCTCTTTGCATAATGACTTGCCTTTTGGCTTCCGAACACAAGAAAAGCGGCGACTGGTGCTGCCGACGCAAACGCAGGTCAGTAGATTACTACAATGGACAAACAATGAGTACTAATTTTGGGTTCAACTTACTGAGTGCAATGACAAGATTGGGTATCGGAGCCATCACCGCAGATAAATAAACAGGAGCCACCCTAACGTTAGTAGTCAATAATAGACTCGGGCATGATGTTCCGCGACTTACGCTATGGATAGAATAGAGAACAGAGAAAATATCCCCACCCTCACAGACGTTTTCATGGAATGCATGATATGCCCATCGAGACTCTTCAGTAGACGCCAATTACGATACAGGGTCACAGCAATGAAAACTTCGAAGCCAACTGATTCAAGTAATGAAGACAGGTACGTGAAAGATGCACTCACCTTCTAGAAATACAGCAACTCCCATACTGACCGCAACAAGTATTGCCGATACTTGGCCGGGCAGTCGGATGTTCATCCCGCAATACATGCTACTTTTCGCCCTATTGACGCACCCAGGCCAATGCGATGCAACCTGAAGGTGTTTAAACGTCGGAGCGGGAAAATGGGGGTGATAATTCCGAGCTCACCATCAAGGATGCAACGAGGGTGACGACAGCGACTGCGTAGGGTACAACAAGAAGCTGTATGTCACTGGTTCCTATCATAATCTAATGATGATGTGGGATTATAGACTTACGATTAGAGTGACCAGGCCACTAACACGGTGCCGCGGAGAAGTATTACCTATTGGCACTGAGTGCACATTGAGCCACAACTGAATCCCACGTAAATAAAGAAATTACTAAGGAAGAGATGTAATACCTGTATGACCAGAGCAAGTGTAGCGAACGCGGTGCTAGCATCATGGTTAGCCTTCGAATGACTCGTGAACTCTACAGCGAGAAACACACAGATTAGGAGCTGCATAAATCAGGCTCGCCTGTGTGAGGCAGAGGACGTGATTGGGAGCAGGTCCTGTTTGTTGGCCAGCGAACGAGAGCAGGAGATAGGAGATACAGGAAAGGATCCAGGCTATACAGAAGTTATACCACGTAAGATCCCGCCGTATGCGCTTCGAGGATAGTGCGGTGAGTAATAGTATACTCAGTCCTATCGCGCCGGTAGCTTGCAAGGCCACGAATGCTCGTATGAAGGGTCCATCGTCGACCTCTTCGCTAGCTGCGGAATATATCAGCGGAGTCTGATGGAGATAGTATTCAATACGCTTGTCTTACCCATAGAAAGAGAAAGATCGCGGTACCTCGGCCAGCCGTGGGCAGTGAGCTCTGAGAGGGCGACCGATGCTTGCACGGAGCGTTGGAGGAGAGTAGTCCCTCCGTCGTAAGTGCTCCTACAGTGATGGCAGAAAGCTGAAGGCTGGTGAGCCTACCATCAAATACCACGGAGCATATCTCGGTAGCCATTATCACTGCGTCAGGTTACTGATCCCCAGTGGACTAGTCGAGAGTGAGCGTCTCACAGTGAACCTCCGAGCCATAAATGATGATCAAGGGATCGCGTGCAACGCGCCACCCGTTTCCAGAGTATCCCCACTGGCTCCTCATTCCATGCTGTCAGTTTATGTCAATTTTCGAATGTCTCGGACATTCGAATCATGCGATACGTACTAAAGCATCGCTGGATCTATTCATATATGTACAAAGTCATCTGTTAGATCCGAGTTACTATTGATTCATTATCCACTATACCGAAGAGGAGTTATACAGTACTACATTGTAACGAAGAGAAGCGCGACCATTTACATCTGCATAGACGGGTGAGCTACACACGGTCGATGTAGAATGAATCAACTTACCAGCCATGCCCAGAAGGCTTCCCATTTATTCCTTGGTGGGGGGTCGTCATAGCTGCGACAAGACCCAATAAGAAATAGCGAACAAAACGACAGATGTTTACTCACGTATCGGCTTCGATTTGATCTATGTCCGTTATGAAGTCCATCTCAGAGGCCTTCTTCCATGGTTGGCGATACATGAATTTAGCCCCGATGTACAGAACGGGGAACAGCATGAGGGGGAAGTAGTTGGTGACGAAGATCGCTTGGTCCCAATTTCCCTCGAGGAAGACCGACCAACCACTGAACTATAAAAGGGTTAGTTGCGAGAATTGCACGCATATATACGAAATACTCACGAAACAGACGACCAAGCAGAATATAAGACCGTACCAAGCCGCGTACGGTTGCAATACCGTAGCGTATGGTAGATCACGTCTATCGAAGCCTTGCGCCTTGAGACCGGCGTAGAATCGAAGATAGGTAACGCAGATGCCGAACCACGTCATCAAACCAGCGACAGAAGTCATATTGGCAAACCACCCAAACACCTTGCCTGAGTCTCCGTTGACACCCATGTATGCTAACCCCGCGAACAATGCGCAGAAAATGACCGAAACGTATGGCAACCCAGACTTCGAGGTCCCTAACAAGCCTCGTATAAGTATGTGAACTGTCGAAACCTCTACAACAACGTACTGAGGAAAATCTTGGGGGCATTGCCTGCCGTAGCCAGGCCGTCTGAAGGGAAATTTTTATTGTGAGCAAAGTGTGGATACGAAGATGTAAAGAACTACCCACAGAGCGCACGGGAACTCGTGTATAGGTCGCTGGAAGCGGCTGACCAGGCGGAGGTCAAGAGACATGCATTGATGATCTAGAGATTTTTTCAGTGTCTTGCGTAATTAAGGTTAGTCGGCATTCATACTGAGGGGAGTGCCTTGATGCCGGCATTTTGGATGGCAATGACGAAGGGGGAGGAAGCAGCGTCTCCGGAGCCCAAGTCAAGCCCCTCAGCATTAGAAGGAACCAGGAGACCGATGATAAGGGTACCTAATAGAGCTGAGTGAGTACTACTAAAAGAGCACTGAGACTAGTACCAACCGCCTATGTAGAACAAGAGAATACGGATATAGACGCGCTTAATTGCCTTGGGTAAGTTTCTGCGGGGATTTTTAGCCTCTCCCGCTGCGATCTGTATATGGGTCAGCGCAGGATATTGATGACAGTAAGGACATAGCACGCACAGCAACGATTTCCGTTCCAATAAACGAGAACGCAGCCTGTGTCATGACAGCCCACCAGCCCAAAAACTGGCCCTTTGAGCCAGCAATACCATTGTATTGAACGAAGGGGCCAGGGTTTTTCCAATAACGGAAGCCAAGGCGATCATGATTTGGTCCACCTAAGAGTTCGCAATTTCGGTTTTGTGGTTACACAAGTAGGTTCCTTGAACTTACCTCCCAGATCGAGGACAATGCCAAGAATGATTAAACCCGTGATTGTGATCACCTTGATAGACCTAGAGATTTCATGTTATGAATATCATGCAACTCCACCACAGAAACGGGCTTACGCAAAGATAAATTCAGCTTCTCCGTACACCCCTAAGAAAATTTATGTTAAATCATGCTCATAACGTTCACGTTTGGGGCTAACATACCTGCGCCACACATATTAATCACCACCGTGACCACTAGACATATGGATATCCACGCCGACGGGTTGATTTCCTTGTTCCAGTAACCAATGAGGACTGCGGCAGCGCTGAGTTCAGCAGGCAAGATGATCGTCCAGTTGTACCAGTAATTCCAGCCCATGGTAAAGGAAAACGCGGGATCCACGAAACGTTCCGCCAACTTGATGTGACCGCCCGGGATGGGTAGGTAGGCAATCATTTCCCCGAGAGAGATCATAACAGAGTAACATATAGATCCAACCGCCATATAACCAAGCAGAAGACCTATGATGTCAATGAGCCACTGCCTCTTTGGTTCAGCCGCAGTGGACGTACCAATAGGTCCACCATTTCGTAATGATGTAGCCGTCCCGAGAAAAAGACCCGTGCCGATGACACCTGGGGAAATACCAATCAACGGTGCATCACAGGGCACCACAAGCAGACTCACCCCCGATACTGATCATGGCAATATGCCTGTTCTTCAGCTGTCTAACGAGCTTCTCGTCATGAGGCCCCGAGACTACAGAGGCTCTGAGAGACTCTGCGTCCGAGGCCGAATTGGCCAACGATTTCTGCGGCGCAACGTCCGAGGCTGCCTTTTCGTCATAATGGGGCGTCGCCATCGTAAGAGAGAATGGCGAAGTAGGGGAATTTCCAAGTCGAATCCGGGGGATCGAAGCTTCTGATAAGCGGCTAGACCAGTTTTTATACGAGCGGGCGACTAGCCCGAGTGGGGTGGAGACAGGCGGGGATGGTATTGAGATTTCAGGAATCCAAAGATAACCCGGGAGAAGCCTGGACATGGAGTCGTTTCGCCCGTTTGGCATATCTCATGGATCTTGATGGCCATGAGGGCGTGAAAATGAAATCCTGTGGAATCCAGTCTTACCGACTAGCGCCTAGTTCGCCAATCAGACATCATGCGGGGAAACATCTGAAGCTCGAACTTGAAAAGCGAGCAAGAGCATGAAAGGGACGAAACCGCGATCATGGCGGTCGAAAGCAAGAGGTAAATCCAATCCAAGCAAGCCAAGGTCGACACTTTCAGCGATCACGTGAGCTTCACTGAGTGCGGAATTCGTGGAATTCGTGGAAACCCTATGTTATTCTTAGAACTGTCCATGTGGAAAAAATCATATAGCTGACTTTGAGCGGTCTATATGCAGGCCCGCTGCGCGACTAATATTACAACAGATAGTCTACATTCTACAATCTACACAGGCACAATCAGTCGTGACAGCGAAACAGCGTTCCTAATAACCCTTTTAGCGAGCGGGTGAAATGTGGATGGTTCTGAGGCTCTGCCACGGATTGGGCGATAGCATTATCACCCGCGGTTGAAGGCGCCAATGCGCCCGATAGTTCGTCGCCTACTAGACCCTCCTTGGAGTATTCGTTCAAATCAATGGCCGTCCCTAAATCTTGTTTGCCTTGGGCTTGGCACAGGTTGGGCAACAATGTTTCCGTGGGTTCGTCCCGCGCCGCGATAGGCGGGATTTTGGTAATGACAGTGGACACAACAGCCGAGGCAGCATGTTCTCCAGATGAAGAAGTATCGATGCCAAGCTCGTGTGACTCAAGGTTGGCACTAGGATAACCGTTGAGGAAGTTGTCATCTGAGTCCAGTGCGTCAATTAGCATGTCGAGATCGTCGTCGAGCTCCTCGTCGAGGTCTTTCGACCCGTCGTTGATCCTATCGACATCTTCCACCGTGACCACACCACACTGAATGACAATATCCTCGTCTTCGTCGTCCGTGAGCTCTGCTATTCGACTCATTTCTATCGATCTGATCGCCGGAGGGTTATGCTTCTTTAAGATACTTCGGATCCTCCGTGGTTTTGAAGGGCTCGGATTGTTCGTCTCCGGTGCCTCAGACCATTTAAGAACCTTTTGGGCTCGACGCGTGCTATCCTCAGAACTGGGGCAGTCCGGTGTTTCGTCACGTTTCCTTTTTCCAATAGCAATGGCTGATTGGGTTATCGGGGCTGTACCACTATCCACCCCGTCGTCATGCGAGTCAAGTATAAGTTGAGGCAATGATGGACGATTCTGATGGCTGACACTGCCTGGTTTGAATTTGGGGATATTTCGCTGACCTGCAAGAGCGACTAATTGGGCATAGTTGTTGTGTCCCCTTGATTGGCAGTAAGGATCCCCGCTCCACGGAAGAACGGTGCTTTGAATAGGTGGGCTAGGAGATAGAAGCCTGGACCCGGAGGCCACTGGCTGAGATGATGGTGGCGGAGCTGTCAGCAGTAGTGGGTCGGGTGAGGGTGTTGCAGGGGAAGGAGTGAGAGGGTCAAGGGAAAGTAATCGCTCGGGTATGAGGAGGCCAGGGTGGCGGTGCCGGCCTGGTTTCGAGCTTGAAGCGCGGGCAGACAGTACCTTGCATTCTTTCTTCGAAGCTCCAGAATTAGATTCAGAGCATGGAGCAACCCCACGACGGGAACGTTTAGGCGCAGGTGACGGCGCAGCACTGATTGGGGCGCCCTTTCGTTTCCGCAAATGGTACGTGCGAAGGCCTCGTTCTTCCTGGGATACGTGGTCTTGATATGGTTGAAGGGGAGGGGGAGGTTCAGGGGAACGTTCACGCAGCGCAGGTGGAGAGTGTGATACAGTATCGCCTTTGGGTCCATCGGTATCGGGCGGAAGACGACTCTGAGTAGGTTCATCTGACGGTGAGCCTGCTTCAGCCAACCCGTCAACAAGGAAGAGGAAACGCTGAATCGCGCCCTGAAGTTGTGCAGGGGTTTGTCCAGGCATTACAAAACGATGTGGTCCAGCACCTTCGTGAGTTGGAATATCAAATACTGGAATGGACTCTGCATCGGGAGCGCCGCCATATTTCAGCAGGGCCATCGCTCGCTTCATCTCTTTATCTAAATCCTCCGCACTCGCCTTCCCCACTTTTACCGCCTCGTTAGGGAGGATCGCCCTACCACCGTCGAAGTCAACGATGGATACCTTGGCATTTCCACCAATGAGCATGTGCCGTAGTTGAATGTCGCCGTGGAGGACACCTTGGTCGTGAATTCGCTGGATTGCGGCTATACAACGCTGTTTGAGGACGTTGGGCATATCAGAAGACGCTTCCATCCAAAACGACGGATGCGGGGGTTCGATAGCTACGTCGATGCCCGTTGCAGATGAATGAACGCCAATTATTGAGGGCACGACGGAGCCCTGTAGTGGCTTTAGTTGGCACTTGTACAGGGCAAGCTACCAAGAGAGGGTGAGTGCAGAAAGAAAACAGCAGGACAAAGACCGCACCTCTGTGAAGAAGCCTTTGTCGTTTATTTGGGTACCAGCCCAACTAAAGTTCGGACGTCAACAAAGGCAACGCGACAATGAAAAGGAAGACGCACGATTTACATACATATCGAATATCACGACCACCTAGAGACCCACTGTTGATGGTCAAGGAGTAGGCCGAGCTACCTAGTTGTGAACTTCGTTTGCCTCCTCCCGACCCGAACGACGGAGAACTTACATCTAGATAGGAAAGCTTCTTCTTTTGGGCCATCGATAGGTTTGCCTTCCGCCCACGCCCATTTTCCATGAGGAGTGTAAATGCTCTTGGGTAAGATACTTGGCCAGTATCCTCGGGGGAGGTCAGGGCCTGCCGCAGGTTCATGCTCATCCCCGGCAGTCACACTCAGGTCGCGCTCTTCAGTCCATGACAAGTCGACACGAGTGCTATCGGGAGAATAATCACTTGAAGGGTCGAGAAAAGGCTCATGCCACGGTTCCGAGTGCTGAGAAGAGGCTAACGGGGCCGTGAGGCTCCTAAAGAAAGTCGAAGAGCGATCGACACATGTTGTACGATATCCCCCCGGGGGACTGTGGCTCCTGCTACTTGGAGAAGGTGCTGCTGCACTGCAGGAGGGTCCTGGCAATATTTGTGAAGTGCTATCTGATGCTGCAGCGTCAATGCAATGCTCTGGGGCCGGCATGAGGAATGGAAGGAGGAAATGGGCAAGTGCGTCCTGCAGGTAATATGGTAAGAGTTGAAAACGAGGCATGGCTGATGCGGCTGGGGCACGGGGGAAGACGAAGCGCAGTCTGTACTTGAGGCAGCCATGCTGGAACCGCTCGTTTTCAAGGTGTTCTTGTCGTTGAGCGCCTTGTATTGGCAACTTTGATGGACCCATACTAGGCACAAGAAGGGGTTGTTAGGGGGCCCATAGGAGTTTAATAATCGATATATAAAAATACAAAGCAATGCTATACTGGTATCAATGAGTGTGGGTTGGTATTTAGGATACAGTGAGTGTGAGTGTTCAGTGGAATATACAGTAAATGACGGGATGGAAGGTTAGCATTCCAATGATCTGCGCGTGCAGGGTGGCGGGAGAGATGAAGAAAGATTCGGTAATGAAAGCGTATGGTCCGAAGCAGGTGGAGGTCTACATACAGGGACACCAGTAGTTAGCCCCAGTTCATCGAGTTGCTGTAACGTCCATAGGACGCTGGCTCGGCCGTCAGAAGAGGCCGTGATATTGCCCCCAAAAGTCGTCAGGCCGGGCGAGAAAGCATCGTAAATCGTGATAGGGATTTCATCTACAGAACATTCGCTGCTATCGTCTCCGGAGTCGTGTATCCAGCTCCCCATGCGCTCGTACTCTGCAAGAGTCATTCGTCGATCCTGAAGGTCATCGTGCTCCAAGGATTGACGTCGTCTTTCAGCTAGCCACGTAGCAAGAGAATTCGTTTCGACAGACGCAACTGAGCTTCGCCGGGGAGAAGTGGAACGAGAACCTGGGATCGGAGGGGATACCTGCTCCCACTCAGGCTCTAAAGAAGGCTGTGGTGAGCTGGTTCTCCGGGAGTGCGAAAAGCAGCCTATTCGCTTCACGACGCGTCGAACGCTCTTCTTGACGACCTGTTGAACACTTCTCCAGCTCCGACGCACCAGGTTTACGCGTCGTGAGTCAGCTTCAGGGCAGTGCGTCGGTTCAGGTGCTCTGGCACCACTTCGAGAGTACGGGCGAGAGTAAGCACTAACAAACCCAGAAGAGGGGGAACTTGGTGTGGTTGGTACCGGCTGCAGCACTTCCTCTCGATCCGACGGAGCCCAAGGGACATAAGGGCTATTAGGATGCGAGAAAGCCGGGAGGAGATTACGAGGATTTGTTCGCCGATTCGCGTCTTCTGACCGCGTTGCGTCGTTCGGTGAATTACCTCTCTGGAGTTGTAAGGAGAGGTGATCGAGATGAAGAGACAATTCCAAGAATGTTGGTAATAGAAGAGATGATGTTGATGGCACATGGGGCAAAGACGTGAATGATGGTACAGCTGGGATGATAGTATGCGGAGGGGGCGCTGGTTCAACGTGCTTGAGCTCTGGTGGTGTATTCCGTTGGACAAGACCCTTCCGTTTCGGAGAAAACGGAGTATTCGAAACATCCTTCAGTCGATAGAATGAATGGTTGCTACCACAAGAATACAGCCGTGCGTACCGTATTCATGTCACGCGCTTTAGGCGACAATGGCGAGCGGGCCGTCCGCTCAGCGAAGTCCCGTTTATCTCCCGCTGGGATATTCAGAATAGACACAACATCTACTGCACCATTTGTACAGGGCGAGAAAGTAGGGGAGTCGAAGTCGAAATGAAATAGCATCGCGTCGAGGCCAGCTAGACGTTGCAGTTCGTGAAGGCGTTCAGACATGGTGCAGCATGCAGAAGTTAAACGAAGGTGGGGGGCGAAAGGAGAGCTGTTCGCGTAAGGGGCCCTCGCCACCAGGCGGCCTAGATTAAAGGTTTCAGCACTCTGGAATACAATAGAGCCTCGTTGCAGAACAAATACAATGAACTGTCTCCTAAGCGCGCGTATTGTGCAGCACACCACGTGATGATCGACGGTGGCGCGAACGGGCGCGAACCCCCGCGACTCGCCCACAAACTACAGTGGACTTGGATTTTGAAGACAAAAGCACAGCCGGAGCCAGCGGACGAAAAATATGACATGCCAGCTCACCCTTATTTCGTAATGTGAGCCAACGGCCACCTGCCAGTCACCCACATGTTATGCATCATCACAATACGCCGAAAATCAACCCACCGCGACGTCGCGTCGGTTAATACGCTATATGTTCCTGAATACGTTCTATCCCACTTGATCAACCGCAGGGAGAGTTGACTACGCCTACTTTTGCGTCCAAGCCCTCTTGTTCATCGATGCACGCCGGCTCCAGTATGGTCCTGTATTGATCCATGCCACCACTTCCGATGGGTGGGGAAGATCATCCGTCGTTTCTTTCGGTGATACTTCATCACTGTTTTATAACCCGGACCTTCTATGATCGCTTTACTACTAACTTTCGGTCGTCACTGGCGGCTGTAGTGAATTGCATACCATATACTTACCATCGTTTCGCATACCCAGTTCCGCAATATATCCGGCTTGCTGAACGGCTTGGCGTATTTCTCCGCTGCCGTACCTCGATTACGGAGGGAGATGAAAGGTATAAATTCTGGTCGAAAGCAAAATCGCAGGATACTTGTGCACCGTCCCGAAAGCATCATATTGCTTGGAAAATGTTCAAGCTCCATATCATCGCGGTTCTCGCCGCGGCAGCGATCTCCCCGTTAGTACATGCAGTCAGCTCGCAAGCGTACACGTGGAAGAATGTCAAGGTCTGTGGAGCTACCGATTTGCCTGAACCTCTCTTCCTAACGAGGGATCGTAGATCGGTGGGGGCGGAGGCTTTGTCCCCGGTATCGTGTTCAATCCGAAAGAAAAGGTTTGTCGATACATCGTTCGAACAAGCGGGATCAGTATGCTAACTGATTCTTAGGGCCTGGCCTATGCCCGTACTGACATCGGTGGTGCATACCGGCTAAACTCGGACAACTCCTGGACGCCGCTCCTCGACTTCGCAGATGACGCCCGGTGGAACTACTGGGGCGCCGATGCACTTGCTACCGACCCTGTCGATCCTAAACGACTCTACATTGTTGGTTCTTTGTTGCAAAGTCCACCGATCTTGTAATAATCACTTCCAATTAGGCCACTGGCATGTACACCAACTCCTGGGATCCCAACAACGGACAAATCCTCATCTCGACTGATTATGGTGCTTCTTTCACCGCTTCTCCGTTGCCATTCAAAGTCGGAGGGAACATGCCCGGACGTGGAATGTAAGCATTGCTGCATCTATCTTTCGCGGAAGCTCTAACATATGTGTAACCTGTCAGGGGAGAGGTGCGTTAAAATTCTGCGGAGGGGGAGTTGGATTGACAGATGCGTGTACAGCGCCTTGCTGTTGACCCCCACAGCAACAATATCCTCTTCTTCGGCGCTCGTAGTGGCAACGGTCTGTGGAAGTCGACTAATTTCGGCGCAACCTGGACAAAGGTTACCAGCTTCACAAACACTGGTACTTTCATCCCAGATTCAAGTGACTCCAGCGGCTATAATTCCGACAAAATTGGTCAGTTTCCACTTATTGTCCAAAAAGACATCAGCTAACTCGTTCACTTTGTGTCCTTAGGCATTGCATGGGTCACCTTTGATTCAACTACTGGTTCATCTGGCTCACCAACTCCCCGCATTTTTGTTGGTGTTGCTAGCAAAGGCGCTTCGAACGTCTTCACTTCTACCGATGCCGGTGCAACATGTATGTGCACAATATCTGGTACCGTATTCTGCCTAACCTTGCGCAGGGTCTGCTGTCGCCGGCCAGGACACAACTTTCCTCCCTCACAAGGGTGTCCTCTCACCGGCAGAGAGTGCCTTGTATGTCACCTACAGTGACGGGGCAGGTCCCTACGATGGTACAAGCGGTGCCATCTACAAATACAGCCTGACATCTTCTACATGTAAGGTTTACACCCAAGCTATTCTTACCGTATTTTCATTCCATATCTTTCAGGGACAAATATCACGCCAGTGTCTGGTAGTGACCTCTATTTCGGATTCGGCGGTCTCACAGTCGACCCGCAGAAACCTGGAACAGTTATGGTGGCCGCACTTAACTCGTGGTGGCCCGAGGGACAAATCTTCCGTTCGACTAATGGTGGTACCACCTGGACCCCGCTCTGGGCATGGGCTAACTATCCCGAGATGAACAAGTACTATACATACTCAGACTCCCTTGCACCTTGGCTAGGCCCTAACTACGTCGATGGTACTGCTGGGAACTTACAAGTTGGTTGGATGATGGAAGGTAGGCGTTAAGCAACGTATGTCTTCGACGTGCGCCCACTCATTTTGTGTTTCACTCGCAGCATTGGTAATCGACCCCTTCGACTCCAACCATTGGTTGTATGGTACTGGTGCAACTATCTATGGTGGACACGATCTTTTGAAGTGGGACGCGGCCACGGGACGCAACGTCTCGATCAGTTCGCTCGCCGACGGTATCGAAGAGACGGCTATCCTTGGCTTGATCTCACCCCCATCGGGACCTACACTGATCTCTGCCGTGGGTGACATCCAGGGTGCCTCTGATATTTTATGGCAATTACCTCGTTGAACTGACGAGTACGACTACGTAGGTTTCGTACACAATAGCTTGACCGCTGCCCCTGCCCACTCATGGACCAATCCTGAATGGAGTACCACCTCTGATATCGACTTCGCGGGCAATGCACCAAGCAAGCTGGTGCGAATTGGCACTGGTGACAGGTACCTCCACTGACACTCATTCAAGAGGATCGAGCTCAGTAGAATTTCTATAGCTCTCAAGGCAAGCAGGTTGCATTCTCCAACGACGCTGGGGCGACTTGGTGCGTCAAAGTCCTCTGACCAAAAGAGGGAAGCTGATTGAAGTGTCTTTGCAGGGCACAACATTATGGAGCTGCCGACAATGTCAACGGCAACAAGGTAGCCATCTCTGCCGACGGCACCGCGATTCTCTGGCGTACGACCTCGAACGGTATCCAAATCTCAAACAATCAAGCGACCTTCACCCAAGTCAGCTCCCTTCCCGCTGGCGCCACCATCGCCTCTGATAAGAAGACCAACGCGGTCTTCTACGCTGCCAATGGCAACACGTTCTACCGATCAAGCGACACTGGCGCAACTTTCACTGCGCAGGGCACCTTAGGCTCCTCGACTAGTCCCCGAAAGATCGTCGTACACCCTACTGTTACCGGCGATGTATGGGTTTCGACTGACAAGGGCCTCTTCCATTCAACGAACAACGGAGCGTCCTTCTCTGCCATTAGCGGTGTTACGCAAGCTTGGGCTATTGCTCTCGGTGCTCCCGCTACATCTGGCGGGTACCCTGCCCTTTTCGCTGCCGCCGACATTGGTGGCATCGGTATTTTCCGATCTAACGACGCCGGTGTAAATTGGGTCAAGATCAACGACGCTGCCCATGGATTCGGTTCAGCAGCTTCTGCTATCATTTCCGGAGATCCAAGAACATACGGACGGTGAGTACCCGTCTCTAGCCGCAAAATCAACTACTAAGAGATGGCGATTGTAGTGTCTACATTGGAACGAACGGTCGCGGAATCTTCTATGGTGATGTTGCAGGCTCACAACCCCCCAACACCGCAACTGCTACTTCAACTGCTACTAGCGTGAGCTCCACCCCAAGCTCCAGCATCCCAGTTACCTCTACACGCTCCTCGACTACTACGACCGCGCCCAGCACACCTACAGGCGGCACCGGGACGGCACCCCAATACGGTCAATGCGGAGGTAAGCAGTTATAATTTGGCGTTGTGTCACAGAGTCTAACTCATTGTATCTATAGGCAACGGTTGGACGGGGCCGACCGCCTGCCCATCTGGCTTCACTTGCACCGTTGGAAATGAATGTACGTATCTAGACTCTATTGAACAACGCGCCGTCTAACAAGGGAACTTCTTCAGGGTACTCACAATGTATCCCCACTTAGAGGGTGATAGAGGAATGGGCGATACTAGTGTCACGGAATGTAGAATAACAATACACATAGTATTATGATGAACCGTCGGCTCTTTCTTCTTTCCAGACCTTCCAGCCGGTGATGAGGCTGAGCATCTGGCTATGGTATCTATAGGTGCTTGGTGGCTGCTTACCTCGAAAAAGCGCCGCCGGTCGCGAACGCGCACTCCCCGGCAACTCGTCAAGTCTATAACAGTTAGTATGGTAGGTGATATGGCCTAAGGCATTTAACATACCCAGTCGTGCAAGCCTAGTACAAGCATCGATGATTGTGAATAGTCCATCACCTGTGGGACGTCAGCGACGCGGTATCATATTAGGAATGGTTGAGATGAAACGTACTTGTGAACTTTGTTCCTTGGACCTCCAAAGTGTGAAGGTATGGGCATGTCGAGATGAAGATTGCGGCCTGATCATCCACCGCAGTGTTGTTGAGGTTCAAAACCTCCAGAGATGACGGTTCTTCGTCATCATCTGGCATTAAGCCTGCCAAATCTGAGGAACGAAGATACATCACGCCCGAGAGGTTCAGTTTCTAAGCGTGAATGTTAACAATCGCAACACAACTATCGATACCGGGGGATCAGTGACCTTGCATTTTCTACCCACTCGTCTGATGAACACTTCCAGACTTCGCTCGAATTTACCTGTAGTGCCTAACTTCGCATTGCCCACCAAATTGATGTGTTCCAACTCCGTGAAGCCCGATAGACTGTCCACGAGCACACGCAATATGGTATCAGTCATCGTCAGGCCGGAGGAATTGCCCATAGTCGCGTTCGTCGCCTGCCCACCACCCAAGGCACCTATAGACAGCGTCTTCAGGTGCGGGTGGCACGGTATAGTAGCTATCAAAGTTGTCCAGGACATAGGTGTCGAGGTCAGTGACAGCTTTTCCAAAGGTGGCGCTGTTTCAGGATCAGAGAGGATGGCAGGGTGTTTGACGAGGGTGAAGGAGATGTCGAGATGTCGTAGGGAAGGACACATTGAGATGATTGGATTCAGTGACATATCTGTGAGTGACGTCCCCCTAAGCTTCAGGGTGTGCAAGGACGGTAGCCGTGTATCAGCGCCCAAGCCTGCCAGCAGTTTTGCGAAGGCTGTATCCGTCTCCAGAGTCGTTAAATCAGATGCAGAAATTTGCATAATGGTACGACGAGCTAACCCAGTTAGGTATTCCTGCGACCTTCAGCACTTCGAGTTGTTGCCCGCACGCTTGGATGAGTGGGACCAAGGACAGAGGGGTCACGGATGTGTAGTTCACATTGAGTGAGCGCAGTTCTGTACATTTATTCGCCGCTGCCTGCATCGTCAATGTGCCCACTTTATGGCATCCTCTGCCACGCGTAGTGTCAGGGTTATTGGAGGAAGCACACGCTGAAGAAACATTACCGCAGCACCAGCGACCGCAATCCTGGTAGGGTAGACACCACAGACGCGAAGAGCGAATCGGGGAATGTCTCAAACCCAGAGAGCTCAAGTTCACGAAGTTTATCGCCGAACTTCTGTACCTCAGAGATAGTCTGTTTGCCGACGCCAGGCAGGTCACTGGTCAAAATCATGACTGAGCCGTTGAAGAAGAACTACGAGTCAACGACTGTAAGACATGAGATGTATAGCATTGAGTTAAAAACACACAGAGGTTATGAATGCTGCGTTCAAGACCGTGGGCGCGGTTGCCTTGAGTAGCGTAAATATTCGCGTCAGAATGGCGTCCGGCAGAATCTTTAGATACTGCCTAGTCTCTTCCCAGGCATCATGTTCGCGAGCTAGCGTCCTGATATTACCTGCGAATACGCGGATACACAACGAAACCAGTGTTGGAACAGATGCATCGACGTGAAGTTTCCTCTCTGAGTACGCGGAGGAAGAGGGGGCAAACGCCCGGGCGGAGGGAAGATCGTCTTCTGTCGGTGCCCCGAGTGCGAGCGAGCTTGGGCCACTTTGACTATTCGCGGTGGTCTTCGCTTTCTTATGAGCTGGTTGGGACTTCGGAGGCATCAAAATCCTGGAAAGAGTTCACTCATGGCGGGCGTCTATCAGCGATCTAGGTTGCCATTCGGACAGAAAATCTCAAAAAGACACATATCTTGCAGTACGCCTCCAGTAATCCTCAGGCACTACCTACAAAATGAGTACTCGCAGAGGTCGGCCCTTGCCATCGTGTTTTACGGGCCTGGCATATAATTTACACAAGAATAATGCTACGACGACCGTCTTGGCGACGTGTGGTCCATGTATGCTTGACTTCTCCCACTTGATTGCGAACATGGCGCGTAGCTACGGTGCAGTCGTATTGCTAGGATAGTCGAGTGCGCGTCGTAGAACGGCATTTCTGTGTCGAAGATGAGCGGGAAATCAGAGTGGTTACAAATGAAACCAAAACCTCTGTTTGAACTGTGCTAGAACGGTTGGGGGGGAGACGCGTTCGCCCTGCGACGGGTCGACCGCAGGCCTGGTGAAGTCAGTACTAGCAGTATGCCAATCATTCGAGGAGGAGCACACCTGTCCTCCTTCAAAGTGGTTTCAATGATGTACATCCGGTCGTTCCTTGGAGGGCCGCCTTCTTCCGCTGCAGCAGCAGCACCGGGGGCCTCGGCGACCTTGAGCCCCGTCACCACCATCTCGTGAGACGCGCTCCTCACAACAGGCAACTGCGACGATGGGTCGTAGTCGAGAATCAGAACATGTTCATCTGGCGACTGGGGCAACAGCGAGAGGGGGGAATCATCTGCGTATTGATACTGAATGACTGGATGCGCCAGAGTATTCGACTGATTTGCCGCCAAGCTCGTCGCCGCCACCGATGAATGTGAGAACAGGATATAGTATGGTGGTGGCTGGTTGGACATATTGCTGACACGATCAATTTCAGGAAATTTCAGAGCGCTACCATCAAATAGCGACCATCATACAGGCCATGGCGCATATGTTCGCCTCGACACAATACGAGCTCGACGTGCACTGCGTCGACAGCAGACCCAGTACCGCCGCGTCTATATAGCCCTGCGTTTGGACAATGGCTGCAATAATGCTCCGGACTATTGTCCTTGGCGGTTCCGACGACACAGCGTGGTCTCTCCATGCTCTCTCAGGCACCTAACGACCGCACGCGACGCTATAGCAACTCATAATTCAACTTCCCAAAGCAGTGGGAGTATATAACGCACCAGGGGAAGCCATCCCGACGATCCAACTTCCACCTCGTCGGGCCCCTACCCGACGTTTCACGCTTCTCTCGGTTCTCTGAGACTCCTTATATTAATTCACGCATCAACGCAAGGGTACCTTTGGACCCGTTCACTCCTTTCGTTCTACATTCTTTTGTGTTTTTCTCCGATATGTTGCGTTCAGTCGTCGCTTTCGCCGTCATCCTCTCCCTCTCCCTCTTCCCCGGCGTTCTCTCAGGACCAGCGTGCGCGAGGAAGCATCGTCAAGCTGCAGACTGCGTTCAAAGGTGCAAAACAAAATGGGGCTTCCCCGGTCGTATGATGGGCACCAACTCCTGGGGAGTTGTGATGCAGAAAGATGTAAAACAGTCTAGCGAGGTCTGGGACCAAGCAGTGGCAGCAGCGTGCGGCACTAACGCGTCAGTCCCCCCTTACCTCATCTAAGCGTGGCTGACACTTGACTCAAGTGCGAAAGCTACCACATCTGGAGGGCCCGTCAAGGCCGATGGCGCTCTACCCATTGGACCTCCGTCGCCCTCTACCAGCTCTGTTATCTTGAGCGTATCCACCCCGGTTGTACAAACTTCGTCATCCATTGCGACTACTTCTAGCTCATCAGCTGCTACTACCACCACGGCGGCGGCGGCCCCGAACAAGGCTATCGTTAAAGGTGGTTTGGGCGGGGCGGCTCCGACGACAACGACGACGAGTAGCAGCAGTACTGTAGCACCATCTAGCTCAGCTCCTCCGCCTCCTTTACCGCCACCTCCACCACCTCCCAAAGAGACACCCCCTCCACCACCTCCTCAAACCACCCAACAGCCTCAACCAAAGCCTTCCCCACAGCCGAAGCCAGCACCCGCGCCTGCTCCAGCGCCAGCGCCCGCTCCCCCTTCAAGTGGCAACGGCGGTGGTTCTTCTAGCGGCGGCGATATCGATGTCTACTTGTCTGCCCACAACTCCTTCCGAAGCCAGCACGGCGCTGCACCATTAACTTGGAGTGACAATCTCGCGAGCAAGGCCCAGCAATGGGCTAACAACTGCGTATTCCAACACTCGAAGGGTGCGCTTGGAGCGTTTGGAGGTAAATCACTTCTTGCCTCCCGTGAGCGACGATCTAACAGATCGTTGTTATCAGAAAACTTGGCGGCCGGTACTGGGAGCGCTTATGACATCCAGTCTGCCATCAAGTCGTGGACGGACGAAGTTAGTGAGTATTGTTTGTCGCTCCAACTACCTAAGAACGTGCTTACCTCAATGCGTAGAGGACTACAACCCTAACAACCCTGTTCCATCCCATTTCACCCAAGTCGTCTGGAAAGGGAGCAGTCAAGTCGGATGTGCTGAAGCGCTTTGCGACGGCATTTTCGATGCTAAGTTTGGGGTGAGTACACGTCTTGTCGGCTCGTCCGTAATAATTACTGACCGCGCGCTCTGTTGTGCCGCAGAAAGCGAAATATTTCGTTTGTGAATACTCGGCCCAGGGAAATATCATTGGCCAATTTGCGTACGTCTTCTCCCATGGATTCCCGTTCAATTCTCAAAGCTTACGCAATGAATTCATAGTCAAAACGTTCAAGCTTGAAAATGTTTTCGTCCTTTGTTGTGTATATTTTCGCTATCAATGAACTACATAAACTTACTGTATCTTTATCGTTTCCTTTCCTTTTTTTTGTTTCATTGTATCATTGCATCTGGATGCAATCTCTGCCTCTCCTTGTTTACGTAGAACGTGGTCCCAATACACTCCCGATTAAGTGGTATAGCTTGTTTGATGAATTGTACAGCAAGTCAGAAAGCTAAATTTGTCGAATTGATTCCTCGCGGCGCTTCAACTTCCTCACACTCAGCGAGCGACCACTTTGCCTTTCAACGTTTCAACATTCACACATACCACCTCCACCTTCCTTTCATGATCTCCCCTGCTGTTAAGAAAACACTCTCCGGGCTAGGCTACATCTTTCTCGTCCTGGTGACCATATGCGCGACCAGTCTGTCGAGCGTAGCACTCCTGACACAAGCTGTTCGCGCATCGCCTCGTCGATCATGGACCAACAACTTCGACGCCGTTGTTATAGGAGCCTCATACGTTATTGTGGTGAGCACCTGCTCTACTTGGGTTGCTGCTTGCGACGCGGCCCCCGTTGGCCGCGTTCCCAGCGCAGGATACCCGTTCATAATGTCGCAGAAATGTGTTCATTCAACCGCTTTAAACAGCTTGTCGCCTCCTTGTTACTATGCATCAAGCGCAGAGTCGCTGTGCGAATGAGGCTGCAGCGCATTTCGAAAGTGTATCGGACAATAGGGCGCAATGATGTCCCGAAGGTGCCGTGCCCAGTTCCCACCTAACCTCTGACATTGTATTTACATCGCGAGTGACGCGTGCCTCTAGTCCGTACACCGATACATTGAACAGGAGTACGCCCGTACGTGTTTCGTCGCCTACGAGTCGTTACCGAAGGACGCTTTCCACGAGGGATGGGGCAGGCCGGGTACGTTTCGCTCCATGGACAGCATGCAGGGATAATGAATAGTGTCCAAACTCTAGGAACCAAATATGAAGGCATCCGATTCAGGCGTGTGCTCCTCGACACCATCCCGCAGATCGGTACGTCTCCTTATCCCCTTCTAACCGCGTTCCGGTACTCAGGCTCGCGCCATGTTTGCGTCCCCCCGATTGTTCATGAATATGAATTCCACGACATGGCAAACAAACAGACGAATTAGCTCGTGCAGTCATTCCATCTCACCCCGCGATGAAGCCTCATGCTCGCATGCTCCACCACTTTCGCTTCATCTTGCCGCTTCTTCCAAGTATTACATCCGAGGAAGAAAACATTTCCTTCCTTCACTACTACGACTCCGCCATCCAGATCGTAAGGAATTCATCAAGAGAACCTACGGAAGCCGAGTTTGAACTAGGCATGCAAGCTGCCCAAGAAATCATAAACTGGTCAGTGTTCTGTCTCAAGATGTCGTGGCCAATGTCTTCTGAAGACTGATATGAATATCCCTAGCCTCACCGAGTGCCAGTTGGACTTGATGGAAAGCTCACAAACGCAATTGGATGGAGACTCCTCCGTTGAATTGACATAACAACCCCAACCCAGACCAAAGACAAACATAAAAAACATAATCTACGCGATGCCGGAATCCGCCCGTCTATGGGTGGTTGGTGGACATATTTGACGACCACATGTCGCGAACTCAATGCAACCCTTCCCCATATACGTCCTTCCAACTATCTCTGGAGCTCCACGCCTTCCAGTACCCAGCTACTTGCTCGGGGACTTCCGCGCCAAATGCATCCTTCAGAGCCGTTAAACCTTCCTCGCTCTTGATTGCGCCGACGGTAGCAGCGATCCTTGCCAACCACGCGCCCAGATGGAAATCGTCTTCTCCGGGAATATCTCCACCCAAGAAAGCCGTAGCCTCAGGCAGACGCTGGGGAAGACTCTTCAAGATGTATGCACCGACATTGGCAAAGTGGTCCTGCGATTGTTGGAAGAAGCCATCCTTCGTTGCTTCAAGAGCGTTGCCCCGATAGATATCTAGGAGCCCACCGTTCCCAGCTATCTTATCCGCGTAGAATTCTTCAAACTCTTTGCCCTCGATAGACGCAGCGACCTTCGCCAACGTATCTTGTCCTAGATCGAGATATGTCAATACCGTCGATAAAAATCTGAGACCAAACTTACTGTTGGACAAGAAAACACCTGGTAACCCTGCAGCTTTCGCTGCAAGTTCTTCTTGGTTCCTCTATGTTCGTGTCAGAAAGGCAGCGGGATATGTATAGTAGATACTTACGGCGAGGAGCAGGGCAAAGTTAGGATCAATGCTATCTTCGTGGATCTCCTTGATGAAGTCCGCGTCCCCTGCTTTCACTTTCTTAGGCGCGTTTTGCACGAGATATGCAGTGACGTCGGTCGTGCTGGTGTACGCTTTCCCGTCGGCCTCAAGCGTCGGCAACGTTGCGTTAGGGTTCTGCGTCAGGCAAGTAATCAGTCTCTATAGTATCCATAAAGTGGAATTGTACTTACAATCTTGATGAAGTCGGGTTTGAAGTTCTCGCCCAATACGAGGTTGACCGTTTGCTTGGATATGGTGTCGGAAGAGTAACCTAGCTCTCGCCTTCGGGGAAATTGCGAGTATACGCGTCAGTGCTGTTTCATCACTAACCGAAACGTCTACTCACAGAGCTAGCTCTGGGACTGCTGCCCAAACCGAGCCACCAAACGTATAGAGTACCGGTGTAGAAGATTGAGACATCTGTGTGGTAACTTGTAAGGCGATTCTTGTTTAAAAAGAGGTAGAAGTTTCTTCGGATGACGTCTGGAGCTCAGCGCGTCGTTGTAGCTCGAGGAGTTCTGGGAGGAGTGATTTCTTATGATACTGACTATACTTCCCAGATTGCAGCTTTAATACTGAGCGCTCACGTGACCGCAGTAGCGATGTTCGTCAGCCGTCGGTGAGGAGCAGTAATCATCGTCGACGAAAACTATCATGTTGTTGTATCCCGGCGCAGGGAGCTACCGACTCTCAGTCAGCTCGGGGGCGTGATAGTGCGTGATACATTGATGCTGTACTAATCGTATCAGTTTCGGTCATGCGTTTTCCAATCAATCATCACTGTTCACTGTACACGGCCGTGTTATATGCGGTGGGTAAGGTACACGCATTTATGATGTCGAAGGGCGAATATAGGATCGCATCATCTTTCCCTCCGGGATGTAAGTATAGACACGGAGGGAGCCATGCACGTCGGATAAGCTTCCATCCAAGAACAAGTTACACAGGGGCTAGGGGGTAATCCTGAAACACTCAGCAGATCGCTTGATCGAATTCGAATACATCCTTCTCAAAGGCTTCTTCGATACACCTGGAGGACACGAGCCGTTCATATGATGGCAAGGATCGCGGATGTGTGTAATGAAACATGTACGATTGGGACACGTTGCTGGGTCTTTCCGAGAGCCAACTTCCGAAGGCAACGTGTTTGGGTTAGGCGCTGCATTGATATCTATCTAATTCTGGACTTCTTCGATTGCCTGGGCGCGCGGCCAGTCAGCGCTTCGCTGAAGAGTAATGTATATGAAGGAGGAACGCTGACACGATCGTACATTGTCGACGGAGCTGTAACCAGTACAATTCTATTCTGGCGGTAAGGTGGAGGCGCGCAAAGCTCCGAAGCCTTTGGATTTCGGATTGTTAGCCAACACGGGGTTGATCTGGTACCCTGTTGGTAGTAGGGTTCCGATATGCAGACCGCACTGCACTTGAGCCCCGTCGATCAAGAGGCCGTTCCATGTAGATCGTGGATACACATCCTGTACAGATGTTCATCAGTAGTTGAGAGAACACCGTCAAATCTCCACGATGTGCACACACGTAGATCAGAAACAGATCTAATTTTAAGCCGAGCCGTCTGTGACAGTGCGCAGTAGCTCACGCATGCCATTCACCCCAAAGGACTGATCATCACCGAGATTGCGACAGGAGTAGAGGCTCTAAATGTATTGCCTATATCGCAAATCAATTATCGTAAATCACCCAAGTGGGATACTACCGCACTATCGCCTATGAAGATCCCATAGATATCTGATGTTAAGAAGGTGCGCAGCCGCTTAGAAGAGGAAGACCTGAGTAGAATGTCGCATAAGAAGTATGTTTTAAATTTGGTGTAGTAAAGAGCTTTACCTGGTCCACAAGTTTACTAACGGTTCTTGGGGCAGGGTACTTGAGTTCTTCAAGATGCTTTTTCATGGCGTTCATCATTGGTGGTGGGCCACACATGAGAATCTTAACGTCATCCGCGGTTGGCGGAAGATAGGTCTGGATTTGGTCCTTGGCGACGAAGCCAACACCTCCCTTCCAGCCCTCAGGAGCGTTGTTGAGTACGTAGTAGACCGTAAATCTGTCCGGATTAACATCGACAAGCTCGTCGAGTTCCTTCTTCAGTAGGATATCCTCGAAATTAACATTAGCGTAGATGAGTGAGAGTTTAGTCTTGTCCATGGGGTTTTTCAAGGAAGCTCGAATGATCTGGAGCATGGGCGTTATGCCGGTACCGCCGGCGATCATGCCAATTGATGTGGCGAGGGTCGGAGAGTAGTTGAATTGGCCTTTAGGTCCCTTGATGCGGACTTTGTCGCCCAACTTGAGGAGGGAAAACATGCGGGAGATATTACCCTTCTCATACGACTTGATGAGCAAGTCGAAGTGACCGAGATCATCGTCTGACGACGTAGGGGTATAAGATCGCATGATGTCCTTGCCATTTATTTCGGCAGACACGGATATGTGCTGGCCAATTGGGAGGCCCAATACATCCTGGGGATGGGGAAGGGCAAATCGGTAACTGAACGCGCAGCGTCAGTTTAGACGTCAAGGAGAGCAGCGTGGAGAGACAATTACATGGCAGTGTTTGGGGAAATGACAATCTTCTCTTTGAGGGGAAACTCTTGCCATGCCTGTGGGTTGAGCACGGGTTTTCGGCCTAAGAAGGGATATTAGTTGGGAAGCGTGTCGCAGATACATTAATTGAACACACGTCTATGTGCTACCTTGACGTAGAGAAACACGGTGGTGATGACAGCAAGGGTGAGAGCGAAGGCCTGGGGAGTGAGAATGTGTTTGAGGTCGTCCATGAGGCCCCAGGAAGATTCTCCGGTTACTTCGTCCGCTCGATTGTAGTCTGTGGTGTTGAGGCCGTAGAGGATAATATCTGAGATATGATATCCTGCGTCTGCGAGCTGCTTGCGCACAAACTGCGAGAGGGTGAAGAGGATGATGGAGGTCGAGAAGAAAGAGACGACGAACGCGACTTGGGATCGGTTCATGGCTACAAAAAGACGTGACCTGCGTGACCCTGGGGTGTGACAGACTCTGGGTAGTTGAAACAACCATCAACGGGTCACGTGCGCCGTTATATGGGCACTGCATGGGCGAGTCGAAACTTGTGCTTGTTCCATCCTGTTGACCGCCAAAATCTCCCTTTTCTTCTTCTTTTCCCTTTATTTTTCATTTCTCATCTTTTCGACCGCCTTCTCTTCGCTCGTTCATATCATTTCAGCTTCAATCTACCCGTTGCACAAAAAAATCCAGGCCGAATCCTTGCCCAAACGCTGGCGTAGCAATTTTGAACCGCATGCCGCAGCCGATGCCTCATCCACAGAAACAAAGAAAGCGTCCCCCCTCCACCCTGCGCATCGACACGCCGGCTCAGAATCCTCATATAGCCCATGTCGTTCAGGATAGCCTAACGTCCGCCTCAGCAACAGACTCTGCTGCTTCAGATTACTTTTCTTCCCCATTCAACTCAATGTCTAGGTCTTCAAGGAACAAGTTATCCCTCACCCTCTCCTCTGCCCGCTCGTCGACGAACTCGCTCACCCTCGACCGTTCAGACGAGCCACCACCCACGGCAGACCCAGTAAACCGTCCGATCCGACCGCGTAGGCCCTCAGTTATCTCCCTTCCTCCCCCGACAAATCCTACATCGTTGCTACAGCGGAGGGAAGAGGAAGAAGGCTCTCCAGGCTCGCCTACAGCCCCCTACCGCGATGGACCGATTCAGATCATCCCCAACATCTGGCTGGGCTCAGAGGACAATGCCCGAGATTGGAAGACCCTCCATACCCTCGGCATAAAGTGTATATTAAACGTCGCGAAGGAGATATCCTCGCCATTCGAATCCGTTGCCTCTGGCGCCCCTCGCCCGCTCAGACCAGTGGCATCTACACCTAATCTCGGTCATAAGGACGAGACTAAGGGTACGTATTATCCACCCCATGTTCCCAGTGGCAGGCCAGGGATCCACTATCTCAAGCTTCAATGGTCACACGGCCAGCAAAACCTTGTTGAAGAGGGGTTCCCTGCTGCAATGCTGTTTTGCGACGCGGCGTTGGAGCGAGGCGAAGGCGTCTTGATTCAGTACGTGTATCCCCTGTCTTCCTGTACCGACTAACACAAGTGACCATCAATCATTCCAATAGCTGTCAATGCGGTATCTCTCGCTCCGCAACGATGGTGATTGCCTTGGTTATGCGGGCAGCAGCCGAGAATTCCCCTCTTGTTCCCCCGGAGATTTGGGAACTAAAAGGTATGCAAGGAGCATATTCTTTCGTTAAGGAGAAGAGCAAATGGGTCGGCCCGAATATGTCGTGAGTTCTGATTCCTATCAATTCGAACTTGTTGTCTCTGCAACAAATGAACCAGTTTCCATCAACGAATGTCACATGAGCGCTGACTTGTTCTTTTCTCCATAGGCTCATCTATCAGCTTATTGAATATGAGCGTAAGCTTAAAGGCAACTTGTCTCCGGCGTCTTCGGAGCGGTCTTCTGCCATCGCCGAGGAAGAGGAGGAATGGGGCCGTCGTCGTAAGCTGTTGGATGAAGCTGAAGAGGGAGGCAAAGGTGCTTCTGAGGAACAACAGGAGAGTAAGGCTGTCCTAGCGGAGGCTCAAGCACTTGACAGGGCTATGGAAGAGCGCATCATAGCGAGGAGGTCGTCTGCATCGTCGTTGGCCTCCAATTCGTCGCTAAACGGATTCGGCAATGGTGTTGGTATGGGGCAAGCGTGGCGCAGTCGCTATGCGACTACCCGCAAGCGCACAGGTTCTATCGCATCAAATCACACAAACTACAGCATCCTCAGTGAGGAGCTCGTTGAGGAAGATGAAGAGCAAGCCCTGCTCGGCGTCGGCGGAGGATTCGATGATGACCGACCTCGGTTATCCATTGCTTCGTCAACCGATTCTTCCAATACCAGCGCGACGTCGGCCACCAGTTCAGCGGACCATTCCCCAGATGACGAGAGCAACCCACCGGCTAGGAAACCCAGCATGGATGATGTGTTCACGCCATCAACAGCCCGTCCCCTGTCTTCGAGACCTGCTTTCCCTTTGCCCCCGCCTTCTGCCCCTGTGTGGAAAACGTCCTTTGGCTCTTCGACATACGGTGTGCCTCAGACGAGTACTCGTGCAACCTTTGACCTTCCAGTCGATCCATTCACATCGCAAGACCTCAGTCAAGCGATGTCCACTACACCAAAGGCGACGAAGCCCACAAAAATGCGGCGGCGACCTGTGCCTCTTGGACTCAACATCTTGCCTCCCGTGCCATCGTCTCCAATAACTATTGTTGCAGACGAATCGGACTCAGGAGCAGAATCCTCAGCCCGGGCAAGTCAGTCATCCTCTGTCGACGCACTCTCCGAAGCTTCTACTTCTGTTCCGCGGGGGCAACCTTCTACGCAAACCTCGTTGCCTATTGTTCCCCTTCGTGTTCGCACCCAGTCTCGTAAACCCTTGCCTCCCCCATTGCATTTGCGCAATGCTACACCCCCGAAGACAATCTGTACCGCACGTCCCATGGAGTCTCTTCGTCAATCACATCATCGCAATTCCTCCTTGTCCTTGTCATCCACTTCCTCTTCTTCCTCTTTCTCGTCGCATTCTTCCGGTGCCACCCACTCTCGCCATCCCTCGTCTTCCTCCATCCAGGATATGCTTTCGCGACCCCACATGCAACCCCGCGGAGCATCCCAACCCATACAACCCCACACTCCCAGAAGACCGACGCTTCCCCGCTCACAGTCTTCTCTCAACACCCCATCACAAACCCTCTTCGTATTCCCTCCGTCACCAACATTGAACGCCCGCACGCCGTCCACGATGACGCTTACTATGTCTGGCCCCACAAATCCCGACCCGCATCCTGATCTGGCAACTGCTGTCCCTTTCCCGACTTTGTCGACGCCAAGGGTAGAGACGTTCAAGGGCAAGCATGGCCGGACAAGGAGCTTCATTGGTCTAGGAGCGCCGCCCACCCCGACTACGGCGTGTTCCCGAGTCGATGCCAAAGGTTGGGTCGCATACAGCTGAGGATCATAGGAAGGGATGGTCCAATCGTCTTGGCCGTTTCATCCCCAAATTATGCCAGCCACGTCGCCAGCACCCCTGCATGCTTAACCAAATATGACACCCTTCTCACTGCATTCACCACTATGACTTATTGGCCTAGTGATCCTTCAACCATGGTCTGGACCCCCACTTGTATATATCTATGTCAGCTTCGACGCCTCGCATGGTTTTTATGTTCCTCTGATTGGGACATTTCCGCAAGAGACGCCTATGCCCATGTCATCGAGTTCTTGGAAGCGACGGATCGTTTCATACTTCTTTGTTTCGCCGGACATCACTGACTGATTGTATTTTGTTATTTTATTGTTTACCTCCTCTTGGGCAGATCTGGCATCAACGTAACGTCCTCCTGTATACATACATACGCATCGCGTTCTTGTCTTCATTCACACATTTGGCATTATTGGCATTTTCCATTTTATTGAACAACTAACCTCCAACGTTGACTCTGCAATGCATGATGTTACGTAGACCGTCTTATATATCGAACTTCGTTTTATGAATCTCTCATGTCATTTTAATTTCGAATGTGAAGTCTCATTAGGTACGTACTACTACACTAACTGAATATCTTCCCAACGCTTCTTGAGATAGCAGAAGAAACGAGCTGGCCGCCAATGCCACTAATTCCCCAGCCGCCGACGGCGCTATTCGCCCATCGTTGCTTCGCATCTCGGTCACTGAGTCGAGTCTGTCAATGTCTAACATATATGGTGCAATTAGACTTACGCGTAAGTGAAACCTATAGCATTTGCGAAGTTGAAGACGAGGGAAAGGATTACGATTGGTACATAGCTAGATAGAAGATTAGATGAACCGAGGCTGGGAAGCCATATGTTTCACTCACGAAAAGTTGAGTTTGACTATAGAAACTATAAGCAGAGCTACCCAAAGCAGAGGGAAAGAGTAGACTGCGGTCTAAGGGAACAGTTAGAATAAGGGAGGGGATAGGCACGGGTTATCATGTACCCAGAACATTCTGAGTGCGCGTCGTTAATACCGATTACGATTAGACAGTCAAGAGAATTTCTTACTTCGAATCCACAGGATTTGCTGGTCGAGACGGCTGTATTGGAGGGATATGTGAGTTCCGTGAACCAAAAACATGAAGCAGCAGGCTCACATCTCGGCTCTCAAACACCCAATAACTGTCCCCGTCTTCGTCCACCTGCAGACAGTTGGCGTATAGTCCATTAAGTGAAAGGTCATGACGTACCTGATTCCAGAACCGCAGTCCGACCAGAGTTCTCCCTGAGACGTTCTGCAGCAGTCTGAGTTCTGACATATGAATTAATGAACGAAATGAGCGCGTACTCTGCAATTCCAGAAATCCATTGCAAGCAACACGACCACTACAACTGTCTGTGTGCTGTCAGTCAGCAAATACGTGGAATCACTCTGTCTCAAGTACGTACCGAAAGCACGTAGTTGTCGGTAACCCATCCACACATAATATAGACCACGATTGCAGCAATGCGGAATATATAAAGGAAAAATAGAGCTAAAGGGTGTGCCGACTATATGTGTGTCATGAGTTGAAGCATGTCCGCCGATATGCGACTGACTCATACTTGACGGAATATGCCCGCAATCCCTGTTCCCTATCGCGTTAGCCGAGGGGTGCAGCAAGACACATTGCGGACGCACCTGACTCGGCATCGCTCTGTGTCGTGGCCAGTCCAGACGTGTGATTCGAAGGAGTGAGGACCACGGGGGTGCGAGTATTTTGGGCCGCATGGATACTGCCTGCCAGCTTTGGTTGCTCGTCGACGTCCGGCTCTATCGTATCGTACGCGCTCATCGTGGAGGAGGTGGTGGTTTGAAGCAAGAGAGTAACTGGTCACGCTTTCCGGAATGATGAGCGGTACGTGTAAAGGCTCTGGTCAACAAAGCCAAACAGCTCATGTCTGCTCGCCGTTATGAACGGTGATCGACCGACAGAAGTAACTGCACTTCTTGACCGCGTACGCTCACCAGACCTCCCGCTCGTTCCCTCAATTGCCCCGACGCTCGCTCATGTCTCCACCCTCGACGTACAGCACATCACCGCTGACGACCTCTGCCCTCACGACCTCGCAGACGCTCCCCCAGAGGTCAGAGTCGCTTACACGCTCATTGTCCTCCTCAGACTACGCCAACTCAGGCTGCACAAGCGGCCCAGAACGAACAACTTGTGGGAATTATGGAAGGAATTAGAAGAGAATGCAAATGATGTCGAACTTCTTGATGCACACATCGCCAGTGCCTGGAGTCTCTTCGTTTCCGAGTATCACAATGCGGTTGAGGTAGAGGACGCTCTCTGGATAGCTTTCCCTGAGGACCATTCCAAAGACTCTCGCCGTCTCAGAGGTATGATCAGGGCCTCTCGTGACTGGGCTCAGAACTGACTCGACCCAACAGTCGTCGACTTTCTTTACGGCGAGGACAGCCCCAGGGCGCTAGTCACCCACCGACTGGTGCAGCTGAGTCTGCTCAGACGATGGAAGCAAGGCGCATTCCCCGAGGATACATTCGCCAGTATCTCTCCACGAATCATCTTAGACCGATACGACAACCTTGGCACGCCTCGGTAAGTAGAATCCTGACATCGCCACCGCCATCTATAATTAATGCTTCGAACGCCACAGGATATATCATATCCTTGACAACGTCTGCGGCGCTATCCAATTGTTTCTTTTGGCCTCGTATCTCCTATACCCCCCAATCGTCAGTATCGTCGACGCTCCTCACGTTAGCTCAGACTACGGTCTCCGCGAGATATTCATCGTTATCTTGTCACTGTCCCTCGCCATTCGATCATGGTCTATGGTGGCCATACCCCCTCTCCTTGCCTTTTGTGCATTCATGTTATCTCTTCCGGCAGTTCCAATTCCAGGCTCTACCGCGTTCTTCATTCTACTTCTCGCATTCGCGCTTCAAATCCTTGCGCTGCACCTACCCATCCCCACGAGCCCCCTCCTTTTCCTAGACCCCGAGAATCCCCTCCCTCTCGCCTCCCTCTTCAGCCTCGCAATAGCGAAGACTGCAGCCCCCGCATTCCGGTTCTTCCTCCCTGTTTTCACAATTTGCTTCGTTCTACTTTCGTATTCACTAGCGGACACATTTTCCTTAAAGATCATGTCCAACCTGGAATTTCCTATCCCCACTTTCTCAGTCATTCCAATCCCCATCGAGACTCGTTCCGCCTTCCTTTTCATCCTGGCGATCATCTTCATTTCGTTCCTCTCGTCTCTGGCGATCCTTATGAATGTTTTACCCAAAAATTGTGCTTCCCCTACTCTCGAGAGGTGGGATCGGTATACCAAGCCTGTTGGCCTTGAAGCCCGCCGAGCTTTCATTTATGCTGTGGTTTATCACAGCTCCCCTTATATGTTTCCTCCTCCGTTCAATCTTTTACATCTCGTTTTCGTTCGTCTTCCCAAGACTGTGGCTCGAATGATACACATCGATGACCGATATATAGAGGATTGGAACAAGTATCTATGGCGGGTTATTGTAGGACCGCTTGTAGCTGCCATGACAGTCGTTGTGTGGACACTTCGACAGACTGAATAGGACATCACTACCGTAGAGGATTGTAGCGTTTTAGCGACAATACTTACTGCATATATATGACAGATACACGACCTAACCCCAACTCACTATAACTCTCAGTTTTCGTTCGGCATAGAATGATATCTAACGTTGGACTGTATTGTCATGTGATAAGATGTACAAAGTAAGCGAGCTAACACTACAACGACCAAATCAGTTGCCGCCGCGGAGACGAAGGACTGTCATTGTATCAGTGCAACACAGTTGTGACAATATCAGTGCGGCTCACCAAGGTGCAGAGTGGACTCCTTCTGAATGTTGTAATCAGAGAGCGTCCTGCCATCCTCCAACTGTTTGCCAGCAAAGATCAAGCGTTGTTGGTCAGGTGGGATCCCCTCCTTATCCTGAATCTTCGCCTTGACATTGTCGATGGTATCCGACGATTCAACTTCGAGGGTAATGGTCTTGCCCGTCAAAGTCTTCACGAAAATTTGCATACCACCACGCAGACGAAGGACAAGATGGAGAGTGGATTCCTTCTGAATGTTATAGTCCGATAATGTGCGACCATCCTCCAACTGCTTTCCAGCGAAAATCAGACGTTGTTGGTCAGGCGGAATTCCTTCCTTGTCTTGGATCTTCGCCTTCACGTTGTCGATTGTGTCGGAAGACTCCACCTCGAGGGTAATCGTCTTGCCGGTGAGTGTTTTGACAAAGATCTGCATGCCTCCTCGGAGGCGGAGAACAAGGTGGAGAGTAGACTCCTTCTGAATGTTGTAATCGGAAAGAGTGCGGCCGTCTTCGAGTTGCTTGCCGGCGAAGATCAGGCGCTGTTGATCGGGAGGAATTCCTTCCTTGTCCTGAATCTTGGCTTTCACGTTATCGATGGTGTCGGAAGACTCGACTTCGAGAGTGATCGTCTTGCCAGTCAACGTCTTCACGAAAATCTGCATACCACCACGAAGGCGGAGGACAAGATGAAGGGTGGATTCCTTCTGGATGTTGTAATCCGAGAGAGTGCGACCATCCTCAAGCTGCTTGCCAGCGAAGATGAGGCGCTGTTGGTCGGGAGGAATACTGCGGAAAGGTTAATACAGGAGAACGCTCACTGTGATGGTACTCACCCTTCCTTGTCCTGAATCTTGGCCTTCACGTTGTCAATCGTGTCAGAGGACTCGACTTCGAGGGTAATCGTCTTTCCGGTAAGAGTCTTGACGAAAATCTGCATTCCACCACGGAGGCGGAGCACGAGATGGAGAGTCGACTCTTTCTGGATGTTGTAGTCGGACAAGGTGCGACCGTCCTCGAGCTGCTTGCCGGCGAAGATCAAACGTTGTTGGTCGGGTGGGATACTAGTCCATCAATCAGCTTTCGCTCAAAAACATTGCAAAAATGGTTACTCACCCTTCCTTGTCTTGAATCTTGGCCTTAACATTGTCGATGGTATCGGAAGATTCCACCTCGAGGGTGATGGTCTTTCCGGTGAGCGTCTTAACGAAGATTTGCATACTGTAGCAAGTTAGTGGGCGGACGGCAACAGACAGGGCGGTGGCTCACGTTGAGCTGGCGGTGGAGGTGATGAACAGAGAGATAAGGATGACCGCTCAACTGAGCCCCTTTATAATGGTGCGCAGGTCGGAGTTTGAACCCCCACAGCCCCGGACGGTCGGAGCTGAGTCATTCGGCTTCTCGGAGGCTGTGGACTGCTGTGGAACACCCTAGGTTACTACTTGCATAATTAGAGAGCTTGCGAAAGCCGTCAACGGCTGACAAATCAGCCGATATCGGCTTTTTTCGCGTGCGCCCGGTACGCGCGCTTGGTTTCGTGTCTATTTCGTGGTCGACCGTGTTTCCTCACTGGGACGCTTGTCTGTCATGCCTAAAGCCTCTCAAGTGATCGACCACCCTCACAAGAAGCATGTGCTCTTGAAACTCCCGAAGAGTCCCCCAATCAGGCTTGCATCCCCTTCCGAGAATCTCTCTGCGCGACGCTCTCCCACTTGGCAATGTGAAGACGGGTCGCTCCCTATGGCATCAGACGAGGCGCCCCAAGAGCTGGGGAACTTGGTCCAATCGCACAATGCGAAGAGCCCTCACTGGGACCCCTGGCAGGACCGACATCTCATAGACATAGTCTACAAGCTGCAGCCATTTGACGCTCCACCGAACACTGTCATCGACGCATGGGATCAAACAGCTCAGCAGCTCAGAGAGGTAACAACAGCCGAGGGACCTCGCTCAATTACCATTAGGTCGGGAAGCGCGTGTCATAACCGGTTTAATGAGCTAGTGAAGAAACATAGGGTGCGTTCCTGCTAGCTTTACCACAGCCTGATTCATGGACCATATACAGCAAGCAGAAACGCGGTCTCTCCAGGCTACGGGTAAGGATGAAGAAATCAACCTGTTTATAAAAGTGAGTGCTGAGTCTCGTGCCCATTCCCCTACTTAGCACCCATCATTGTAGATGATGACTGACATCGTAGCCTTGCTCGATGACCAGGCGGCGGCTCGTGCTGTGAAATCCGGCCAGAAGCAGATGAAGGAAATTGTCGAGAACACCGCGTCTTCACAGATCCGTATCGCATCCATGAAAGGTCTCGTTCGTGGGGAATCCATGGTAGATGTATCATCGCTGCCTGGGGCCAGTGTACGTGAAAAGCAGGCTCAACGGGGTGTCAAGTAAGTGATCTTTTGAACTTTATTCATTGTAGTCTTACTTATACACTATGAGGCGTCGCGCAGTCTCTCTTTCCAATGGTGACAAGGAGAATCATGCTCCTGGAGTTCTCCCACGCAAGCGACGCCATAGTGAATACCAGAGGTTGCTCATGGAACAGATTGAACATGAGAAGCAGGAGTTGGACGATCTCCGTGCTCGTGATGAGCAGCGTCATAACGAAATGGTGGCACTACAGCAGCAGACAATTGAAACTCTTAGCAATGTCACGTCGCTCTTGGAGGCCCAGCAGCAGCATGAGATTGAGCGCCGTAATGAACAGGTTGCTCGAAATCTCCAGGAGAAGGAGCAACAGGCAGCATTGACAGCAGCTATACTTACTCTTTCTCTCAATCTCTCGAAATCTAAGTAGTATTGTTTCCATAGAGTCAGCCGTATCTATAATGGTGCCTTGCTTTCGCTACACTAATCTTCAAATATATCTTCATTGTCCTCCTCTCCCTCTACCTCGTTGTCCTCCTGTACCTCTACCTCAGTCCATGGTGATGTCATACACCATTCATCAAGGTCTGTGTCATCAATGGTGTTGCCGTGGAAGTATTCATCGAGACTTGGTGGTGGGCAGTGAAAGTATTGCGGGGTTTGTGGTTGATGAAGGATGGTGTGGGCATTGCATAAAAGTATCCCGACCAAGTAGTAGAGCGCACATGGCTGTAATAGTAACTTTTGGTTACGACTGAAATCGAGAAATGGAAATTGCTTGGTGATCTCTCCGAATACCCACTCGACTGGCTCCCGAACTTTACTCATCGACTCATTCCACATCTGCTCTTCTTCAGAAAGCTGCCCTTTGAACGGCGATAAAACCTGTCCCTTGCATACATATCCACTATCGCCGAAGATGTATAGAGGCCGGCCATCTTCAGTTCGGAAATGGCGGTCAAGAAGGTCTGCAAGACCACTCTCCTTGTAGACTGTTTGGTCATGACGCCGTCCTTCTACGGGACCATACACATGGATTGCGATTCCGTCCGGGCTGAGAAGAACATGATACTTGAGGCAGTGGATTCGCTTCCATCCATTGAATACCATCCGTTGGTTCCGAATGGGTCGAGCATTCTTTCGAAGAGTTCCGTCAAGAAAGGCAACAACCGTTGATAAAGGTGCACCTTTTTCGTGGACGAATTCACCGAACGATGAGAGTTTCGAGGGGGATAAGCGTATAGGGTCAAAGCGAAGCAAGTGCTTCCATCTTTGCCAAAGGAAAGCGGCTGTGGCTCTCGATATGCGAGAGAATCGTGATCGTTCCCACCCAAAGAACAGTTCGACATCTGCTAAACGGATAGGGTATGCAAGTCGTCGGAGAAGCATGCACAGCGCTGTGACGCGATCCTCGACAATCCCGTTCAACGGGCATTGGATGTGTTCAGGCATGTCAAGAGCACGAACAAGACGGTAAACCTCTGATTGAGTAAAGCTATAACAAGCTGTAAATTACTGGGCACTTCGGTGTGATATTTGGGAGTTACCGAAACTGTTGTATCCATACATTGTCCCCCAGCTCCTGAAGACGCAATCGCTCCCCCAATCTCCCTGCGTTCTTATCCTCCTCCTCTTGTTCCTGCATCTCCAGCATCAAAACCAATTTCTTATGAAATTCGTATTTTTTGGCCAAATACTGTAGCTCCATTATACCTGTGAGTGTAGTCAAACGACGCGTGGGGTGGGGTGTTGTCAGTTCGACGATGCGCCCTCTCAAGTCGCCAATTCCAAGAAGCGCCCGTGAGCCTATAGAGCACAGCCACCGTGCTGGCGCACGAACCGGGAGCAGCCGATGACGGCTTTCGCAACCTCTCTATTATGGCACAATTACAAACGAGAATTGTTCTACAATAGATCGATAGGTACAAAGGCAAGCACAAGCTCATCAAGATGTCGGTTGTGAATCACGCCACAATCGAATGGTAAGGTCTTTGTCCATCCCAGCAGAAGCGATGATGTTGTGGGTCGGATGTGTCTGGTCAACGGTCCGATGAGACGAGCAGGTGAAAAGAAGAGTGATGGACTTACCGCCACAGCGAGCACAACATCTACAGCATTTGCTTTCATCAGTAAAACTTCTCTTGACTCAGAGGAAAGTAACTCACCCCGATGCCCTTCCAGAATCTGCAGAACCTCACGAGTTTGCAGGTCCCAAATATAGATTTTGGCGTCTTCGCTGCCTGATACGATGCATTTACTGCCCACGTTCGTGAAGCATGCTGGTATACAGAATGTGCGATTGACGTGACCGCTGTACGTCTTAACACAGCGTGAGGTCTGGTGATTCCACAAACGAATGGTAGAATCTTGTGTGGATACCAGTACGAATCGTGAGTTCGGAGACCACTTGACGTGCGAGCTAATGTATTATTGTATTGATGAGCAGAAACGCGTATCTGGGTGGCATAGACATACCATATTGGATTGTCGTCGTCTACCAGTGTTTTTAGACACTGCCCAGATTCTGCATCCCATATTCGACTTATGCGCAGTAAGTTTAGCATCGCTATGAGGTGTTCATAAGGAAGACTCACATGAGACCATCCATCGCACTCGACACAACAAGCGTGCCATCGTGATTGAACCCCACCGCTGTGACAGGGTCGGAGTGGGCTGGAAGCACCTTCAGACACCTCCCTGTACCAAAGTCAGTAAAGGAACGGGCATCTCTCTCATGACATACCTCTGGCGACGTCCCAAACGCGTACTGTCTCGTCAAACCCACCAGAGACGAGCAAGTTGGAATTCGGGTTGTAATTCACGCAGAATACGAAGCTCGTATGGCCATTAAGCGTCATGGCGGTCGAACCCTAGTAACATCTTGTTCAACCAGTGCCCGAAATAAGATGGTACTATTGCTCACTGTCTCGAGGCTCCATATCCGGATAGTCTTGTCGTCGGACGCGGACGCGATATAGTCACTGTCGCCTGACCACGCAACGTCTGAGATACCGAGCGTATGCCCTTCAAATGTACGCATGAATTCTCCGGTAAAAGCATTCCAAAGCTTCACGAGCTTGTCGGCGGCTTCGCTTCATGCATCACCTCAGTCAGTGTATACAGGGGAGGGCTAGTAATTGTGACCCACCTGCCGACACGAGCATTGTCCCATCCGGGCTGAATTTGAGAGACGAGACCGACATGGTGTGCCCGCTCAAACTGTATTGCAGCTTATAATTTGGTTTCTGTGGGGTTGCTTGCTTTACTTCGTCTGGCACTTTCATTTCGACGTCTGGGGCAACGCTTGGTTGAGCTTCTTGGGGTTGTTCTTGCTCAGTTTTTGTCTTCTGATCCTCGGTGGGCTCTTCGTTAATCATCGTATCAGAGATAACTGGATTGACGGTTCGTTCAGAACTTGAACATTTGGAGATTGAGTGTAGCCGTACTTCACGTGACCACACGCTCTCAAAAATTCTGTTGCAGTGTCTCACCGCCAGCAACGACGATGGCCTCAGCTTGGATTTCACCCCCAGAACGACCAGAACTCATAGAGGCCTTGGTCTCAGGTGTCGGTGAGCGATTCCATAGTTCCCCGTCTCTTCATAAGTCTGACCACAGGAAAATCGCAGACAGATACAATCCATCGAACGTCGGCATCCTCGAGGACTACTTGTACCACCAAATTCGCAGCCAGGAATACGACTGTCTAGCAAACCTCGCAATCTTGAAGCTGTAATTGTCCTACTAATGCGAGGCAGTGATAGCTGACCGTAACTTGTATACCAGCTACCAATTCAACCCAGATCTCTACAACCCAGATGTAGTCATAAACATCCTCATCAAATCCCTCTCCGCCTCCCCTCTTCCAGACTTCAACCTCTGCATGTCACTCCTCGAAGAACGCCCGATAAACGCGACGCTCGACGAGCCCGACCCCCTCCCAACCCTTCTGCCCGTCTTGCGACACCTCCACAACCTCTTGTTCCGATGCCGCTTCCCCGCGTTCTGGGCGACGTACAAGTCGGAGCAGCTGGAGAATCTGCGGGATAACTACACTGTCGAGTGCGCTGGGTTCGAGGATTCGATAAGAGATGTTGCAATCCGGGCGGTGAAAGCAGCGTTCACGCGCATCAGTCCGCAGAGGTTGGGCTCGTACCTCGATCTGCAAGGTAAACAGCCTCCTTGGGGTAGCATTTGACAGACTCATCGACACAAACACAGGTGCTGAGCTTGATGCGTACGTCCAAAGGCTAGGCTGGGCCGCTGATGCATCTACGTCAATGATCACCATCCCTCCCAACCCCGACAACCAGATCGAAGCCACCGTGGTGCAAGAAAACATCAAGCTACCGCGTACGTCTCCCCATATGCCCTTGGTGCCCCACACTGACATTACATCGTGTACAGAGGTTACAAAAATCATCTCGTTCGCAGCAACGAAGGCGTAGTCATCTACATAGAGGTGTACTGCATTCTCTGTAAATCATATACATGCCTGGGAAGATCATCAAGAAGTCCATGAAATCAAAACATAATCTAAGTAAAAAAGCAATAAACAACGAAATATGCAATCGTGTAAGTAGGTACATTACGAAGACCACACAGCTGCCACTGTGCCCCAGATAGCCATAACGCTCGCCCCAATAAGAATAATAGCATCGAACCACTGGCATTTCCCCGCTAGACTTATTTTGGCACCGATAGGCCCAATTACACACAAGACGAACGCTGAAAAGGCACCAAGGAAGGCCATAACTGCGCTGAACTCGGGCACATATATCGAGACAGCAACAGACGCGACAGTTAACCCCGCTCTCTGCAAAACGTGCAAGATCTTCTTGAGGGGTATGTACGACCCTCGCGGAGAAGTCTTTCCTGAGAATTCCTCCGGAGCAGTGACTTGTGAGTCAAGGCCCATCAGGATTTCGAGAGTCGTATTGAGCTGTCGAAAAATCAGTTAATCTTTGATCGGACACGACCAAGTAAGAAATAGTACTGGTTGAGTGGCCAGAGCAAACTTTGAGCTGTTGGTATGCATCAGTCAGTGCGAGTACCTAATCAGTCCTAGACTACATTAGACACGTACAGAGGACTGATCACAAGCATCCAAAGAACGGCTTGATTCAACACGGCACTGTATCCGGGCGTATTAAGTAGATCTATACTTATCTGGGTCTCGAATGAGCGGTAGTGTGCGTTGAACTGGTTTTGTTACTTGCCTCTTCACTGACATTATTGCCGAACATTAAGTATCCGGCGCTTCCGATTATAGCATACACAGACGTCGCAATTACCTTGGGGCGTTTCAGTTGTATTACTAGAAGGACTGCAATAGAGGACTTACGAAAGCCCAGTTGATCATGGAATCGAATTGCGATGGGTCAACCATGTCTCTGGCGAGAGAAGGAATGACTGCATGGCCCGAAAACTAGTCAATATCATAAATGAGCATCTTACTTCACTGGGAACCTGTAAAGAACTTACGCCAGCCATGAACAACCCGAAGGCTACGCCTAGTTTTCCATACCCCTCTGGCCCCCAAGAGGTTTCAGCGGGTGTCCACAGCGATCCTGGAGCGTCGGTCTTTGACAAACCGTCAATCAACATGACGCCAATCAGAAATATGATGCTGAGGATGCCCATAATGGACGCGTAGGATAGGAGCGACAGGGGCAAGAACACGGTAGGAAGCAATCTATATGCGTGGTTAGCCAACGGGTTCAGAAACAAGACGCGTCGCAAGACTTACAGAGCGAGGCCCCATATTTTGTAGGTGTCTGGAGAGTATTGGGGGATGATGGTATATAAAGAGTCGGCGTATAGCGTAACAAGGACGACACTGGATGGCGAAGTCAGCAAGCAAACGCGTGTATCCTGGAACAGATACCCACCTGACGGTGAACAATTCCAAACAGAACAAGAGGCTAATTGGAAGAGTTGCTCGCGATCCAAACGCCTTGCGTCCAATGTCTGAATACGACCGTAGGCGATGATCTGACATGATTATATGCGCCAAGATCTTCGCTCTGTAATTAGGTTAGAAACTTAAATCGACGAAGCAGTGGAGCACGTACGTGTAACAGGAGATGAATCCGTAGGAGATGATGATAAGCGTTCCACAGATCCATCCCGAGTACGCGTAGGCGAGAGGTTCCGATAGCATACCAATACCAAGAAGAATGGCGATTGAGTTGAAGAGCTAAACGAACGTGAGCGATCTGCAGTACTTTGAAGACGCTGAAAGCCTTACGGTCTGTCCATAGGTGCTCTTTCCAATATGAACATGAACAGGCTGCTTCTGCAGCAGAGATGTGCGTGACGAAACATGGACCAAGGCAGGAGTTTGCTCTGTCGCGGCGTAAGTCTGGTGGTGGGTGGGCAGAACGGGTATCCTTGATTCCTGGGTGATTTGGCGAGTACTAGGAGACGACGGTCTTGCGAGGAGAGGCGCACGCTCGCCAGACTTCATAATCCGGGGAGATGCACCAGGAGAGGCAGGCAGGACCGGGCGGTAATGAGGAGTGGCTGGCGCGGAAGCAGGAATCGCGAAGGCTGGCTGCTCTTCAATATCGTCCCACTCAAATTGGCCAGTCGTCAGCTCATCGGCCCTAGTGTCGTCTGTTCTTCCCTCATATGCCGTAAATTCGTCCTCCGTGAACTCATTTCGCGGCCTGATGATAGCCTCCTCGACGTCCTCATCAAACGACTCGTAGCCATCTGACGCGGAACACACCGCAGAACCAGCTATCAAAAACTGGGTTCGTCGATCTGCACATTGTGGGTATAGTCAGGAACCAGTGTTCTCGTTCAGTCCGGGAGTATGGATCACATACAGGAGGCGATGGCATCTCGAACACTCTGCGCGCTCGATGCAGAGCCAAACGCGAACCCAGTGGGTATAGAAGTCATCTCGCAGTCGTCGTGGGTCGTGAAGAAAAGTCGTTACAGTTACTGGAGCAGCGCAAGGGGCTCCAATCTGAAATTTGTCGTGATGATAAGCCTCGGAGGAAGGGTCCCAATGGGCCGGTCAAGCGATATGGCCTTTGCATTTCTCCCATAAATTTTTACCTCCAAGTAAGATCCGAGAGGGGGACCACCAACAGAATGCAAGAAGTTTCTCGAAGTGGAGGAGAGTTCGGCGTGTACGAGAGCAAAAGAACCATTCGGTATCTATTGAGCGTTCGCATCTCGACACGCGCCCCTGGTTCTCCTCAAGAACAGCGATTACGAATTATGTACTTTTACAACATTATATACTCATGCGGTGATCTATGGGTGGGCAATACGCTTTAGATGATTGACGACGGAACAAAGGGGAAAAGAGCGTGGTGATGCAGTGGGAAGAATGGCGGAAGAATACATCTATGATGAATTGATAGCACGTCGATTGACCCACATCATGTAGGGTTCTCTTGAAATGTCGTTTCCTGAGGCCTTTGTTCTCATACTACGGCGGGCTTCAGGAAGTTTCGCGTTGATACTAAGGTCCTGCATATGGCAACACGCTCAATACATTGTCTATACCACCAGAAGGAAGGCACTTGCCGCTGTTCGCTTCTTTACACCTGCGGTGATGTGCACCCACCATTTGCTTAGAGCCGTCTTCACAGCGAGCTCTCGATGACCTTTAGGGTTGAGCCAGGCTACGAATTCATCGATCTGCGGGGGCAAACAATCTAGTTAACAACGAAAAAAGCAAGCAGGCCTAGCTACTCACTTCCTCGAGATCAGAATAAACTGCCCATTCACCAGGACCTAGCATGCCATCTTCTCCCTCTTCATCCTTCCTTCGCTCCTCGATCTCCTCCGGCGGCCGTTGCCCCAACAGCTCGAGGTCGAACTCACTGGGTCCTTGTATGAAAAGTCGTCCAGTTCCATACTGCGCAACACCGCCACTACCGACCAGCGATGCGGAGCCCAACCCATCGAACCACCAAATGCGATTATAAAACCGATCACGGCCTAAAGGCTTCACCCTCACAGAACCCAACAGCTTCCTGAACTCCCGTTCGATACCCTCCAGGCGGCGTTCGATTTTGTTCATTTCCTCATCCAACCGTCGATGCTCCGCGGCGGCCTGCTTAATCGACGCAGCCTTTTGTCTGGCAGCCTCCCGTTGTTTAGCATGAGCTTGTGTCTGGGCCTTGATGCGCATCTCGTTAGCTTTGACAGCCTTCTGTCTCGCACTGAGATTGGCAGATTCAGACCCGCCTTCGGAGGCAGAGGCGTCTGATAGCTCGCTCATGTCCTGCATTGTAACATCTTCGTCGACTCCGTTCGGAGCGGGAGGCAGGCCGTCATCCTTGTCTTCTTCCTTGACTTCAGCAAGCGTTGACATTTTCTCCTGGCTGGAAAGATTATGGTTAGGCCATAAGCCAATTCAACAGCGAGGTAAAAGGTACTCACAATGACTTTTTCTGTCGATTAACCTCGATCTTCTCCTTCCGTAGCGCTGTTAGTTGTTCCTCGCAGCTCTCCATATGGACATGTATGGCTTTACTCGAAATAGCCAGGTTGCACATGAAGCTGAGGATAGCTATACGGTCAGCTGGGCAGAGATACGCATATTGTTGATCGGCGGATGACTGCTGAAGTGGAGCGGGTTCTTCGTCTTCTGTCTGGGAGTAGACGTTAAACAGAAGCCTCGTCATCACCTCCTGCAACCTTGGGAAAGATTGCACAGTAGCGTGCTACGTTCATTAGAATTTGCCGGTGTGGAAGTCAATCAGAAGACGTACATCTACCAAGCAACTCAGCATACAATTCTCCCACCCCAGTCGCCCTTCTGATGACCTTAATGGTTGTCGCTCCCAATTTCCGCTGAGACTGTACATAGTCGAAACTAGCGTTTGGCGATCCACACCATGCATACTCTCCAGGCCACTGCTCTCTAGAGAGTTTACGGCGGCATACTTGACAAAGGGGACACTGCGTAGGTTGTAGATCAGGGTAGAGTGTACCTCGCCCAGCAGGGGGCACGCTGGGTCGACAACATTATGGCGAATGGCGTGTTCGAACTCGTCGAGTGTGAAATTAGAGAGATGAAGCGGCTGGCTGTGTAGGCGGGCCTTTAGTTTGTACTCGTATGCGTATGAATTCGAAGCACGTACCCGTAGACGTTGAGGAAATTCCATACCAGAAGGAAAGACTCGAACGTTCCCGGTTGCTCATTAAAGGGCAGCGCCGTCTGACTCGGAACAGGTCGCTGTATCTTCATACCCGCCTTCTTGTCTTTGTCAGTGAGTCGAACATCGAGATCCTCCGTTGGGTAGCGTATAGGCTTCTTTTTCTTCTTCTCTGCGGCGAGTCTCTCTGCTTCGATTTTCGCCAACCTCTGCCTCTCAGCTTTTTCACGGTTCTCCCGATCCTTCTTGTGAGACACAGGAAGCCCAGCTTTCACTGTGTTGTTGTCAGTAACAGCAATGATATGAGAGATAATTGCCTAACTTTTTGCCTCCTCCGCAGGTGACAGACTCTTCTTTTGGTTGAGTTTCTGCTTCTTCGTCGGTGGCCCTCCCTCTTCGTTCTGGTAAGTCTTCCTTCGTTTATCAATTTCTCCCTTCTTGATATCCGCAACACCCTTCCGAGTCTCCTCTGGCATAACAGTATCAACGCCATATCGCTGCGCAATTGCAGGCTTGACCGTCCAGGGTGAAGCAACTGCAGCATCCCTATCGACGCAATCACGTATAAAACGACGCAGTATGGATTTTGAGAAACATAGACGATCGCGACTGTGAAGTATATGTTAGCATAGGGCATAGGATGCTCAAGTAGACGTACCTCATCATCTGGCACTTAACCTCCATGAGACTTCCGATTATCCCTACGTCCTTCTCATGCTGTTGAGCCGACCTGTTCTTATCAGGTTTATCCTTTTCCAGTTCCAGAATATGGACCCAATAATAATACAGGGTGGGGTCGTCGCGCTGGTTGGCCTCTTTGATAGGCAGGTTGAGATCCCCAGCAATGACGTGTGGCGGCTCGTCGTCGACCGCCATGATGGCGTTTGAAGTCAGATCGGTGGGCTTAAATGCGTCCCGAGCATCCACGTCATGGTAGTACTTCGGAGGGTATACTCGCTCAACGCGTGCGTAATACCTGGAAGGGAAGGGTGAGATCATTGGTAAGGCGCCATAAGACGGCGAAGTACTTAGGATGTAAATCTACAATCACTCCTACTTGGGGTCAGTATTGCGACATGCAATGGAGATGAAAGCACGTACTCTCGTGTTGGAAGTAACGGTCTTTAAACCGATCGTAGACAGCTTCAACTAGATGGTCCAGGCGGCCCATGACCTCTGTGCATAGGTTCAGACGACAGTACAGAGAGTTGAGGAATAGAATTGAAACATACGCCATTGTACCGCCTTCAGCACGACGGGTTTTAGAGGCTCGGAGAAGCGGGTGTGCAGCGTCGTAGCTTCGTGTTTTTCACTCTCGACGGCTTGGAAGTAATCCAGTCCGCTCTTGCCTGTCAACTCGCATTGGAATTGTTTGAGTCTGTAAAAGGACATGCGCGCGGCGTATTCTCTGCAGCAAAGCGCGGTACGATGAGGAGAACATGAAGTGAGTTGTTGCCGAACAACAGGGTGACGCGGGCTTACTCGTAGGTTTCGAAAATCTCCCCTGTTTGCTCCAGGTAGAAGACCTCCTTGTGCGGGTCGTTCTTTACTGCATCGAGGAGCTCGTCTGAGGGCTGAGTGAGGACGACTCTTTTCCGTCTGCAGGTCGGCATTAGGAATGGGGGTTGTGGTTAAAGAAAAGGTAAATGAAGCCCGCCGCTGCGCAGATGGGACGAGATAGCCGTGGGGGGACGCTAAGGAGGGCAAATGGGCAGGAGAGGGTACGAGGAGGACGTTGGCGATCACGACGATGAGGGTTGAGGGCGAGGGAGGGAGGGAAAGGGAGGATGATGGGAGAGCGGCAAAGAAAGGGACACGGCCACGGGTTGGCTCGAAGGGAGATGTTTGCGTTCGGTCACTTTCAATCAGTCGTGTCCCTCCGACCGCCTCTGCTCGTCTATTGCGGAATTTCACGATTTTATATTCTCTGCTTCACCTCTGCTCCCCGTATTTCTAATTCTCCTCCTCAATCTTGCCCATCGGGAGCCGCAGTGCCATGCCCGCCATTTTGCCCAGTCAGTGTGGCCCGGTCGTGTCCAATTTGGTCTCCCAGATGTTCCGTGTTGGCTGCAAACCTGTGAACTCCGCATTCCCCTCTAAATGTCCGCCGTGTAGCCAAAAAATTAGCATTCTCGTACACGAATTCTCCAGCTTCCTTGGCGAATTTATCTCGCATCAGAACTGCCTTGCAGTTTGCCAGCATTCAGCTCGCCTCTCTTGTCTCCGAGACTGCATTCCATACACTCACGTGACCAGGTACAGGGGGGAACAATACAGATTTCTACCAGCAAAGCAACATTATGAGATAGTGTGTATGGTATTAGAGCAGCAGAGTAGATTGAGTATATCCAAGACGAGAGAAAAAAGTCTAGACCCAATACATAAATGCCCTCAAAGTCAAAGATCCATGCTTCGTCGCTTGTCGTTATTCCTAGATGCTTCCGGCGTGTTGGCAAACCTGAACTTGGACCGCAGAACGCCCCGAGTCCTCGGTTTAGTCTGGGTCCTCGTTTCTATCACTTGTGCCGTGGCTTCTATATCCTTAGCCCTTCCAGCTAATCCATCTGTCGAATCGCCGGCCTTGCCCTTGCCCTTGTTCTATACAGCAATGACGGATTACCGCTTGATTGACGGGTTTGAATGTCAAGAGGACTCACTGAATTCCCCCTAGTCAAAGAAAACAGACGACGGACAGCAGATGAACTTTCCTCACCATGTTTGGACTTGCTGCTGGCCTCGACGGCATCAAGTGCTACGATTGCTTGCGCAGGTGCGGGTGGTGGGCTCTGCTCGCTATGCCGGGGAAATTCAGAGATACCTCGGGACCCAGGAGACTCCGGTGCGCTTTGATATTGCAGGGAAGACTGACTCCGAGACTCGCTCGTCCGATGAAGACTGTTGGGTACGCGATGCAGCGGCGGCGACTGGGCATGTGCATCTTTATCCACGTTGACAAGAACCCAGCCTTGTCCGCTGCTTGAACTAGCGTGGTTAGACGTTTCCCTTCCCTTCCCCTTGTCTAGTCGCGGCACAGGCGGAGATTGGTGAGGGGCGGGGTCTGCAATCAATCCTACGACACCGGCCTCGCTCTTCCGCGATCTGTGGTCGCCCTGCTTATACTCCGGCGATTCCACGCGAGACTTCACCTCCTGCAGCACACGTTCCGGACTCGGGTCGTTGTGCTGGCCGAATGTATGGGCCGGAGCGACAACTTCTTCCTCGTCCTTCTCTTCGACCGGCGTTGGTCTCCAGCCCCCAGGAAAGTTTGGGCCAGAAGACATACGATCTACCTGGGCGGCGGGGGCCAGCATCTGCCCCTGAGGTTGGATGGTAGACCCTACCCATTTAATAGGTACAGCATCGTAGCTCGTTTCCGCAGACGAGACAGCCGAGTCTCTAAATACACCCGGGCTCAGGAGGGCGCCAGTACTAATAGTCTGCGTAGCTCTGGGCGTTGAGTCTGACGGTTGGATGACATGGGTGGTGACGGGGGCGGAGGAGTGTGAGGAATGACCATCGGACACCAGCGCGGGCGGTGTCTTAGTTCGTGGTGGCCGAGAGTGACCAGAGGGCGGGGGCGACTCGGTGGTGATGGCCCGGGGAGACCCATGGGACGAGGTATCGTCACTCCACGCCGTCCCCGGTTGATACAATTCAGGCGTCCCTCCCCTAGATCCTACGCCAGTCATATCAGGTGTGCCATTACTGATCGTACTAGGCAAATTAGTCCTGAAGAATTCACGCGGCTGCGGTTGGGGCTCAGTATCGTACAGAGCAGACACCGGCACCTGCGCTCGGGGTGCGGGTTTGCGTGATATGGACTTCCGGTTGGGACTGAGAATTGACAACGAGTCGACGTCACTCGACTGGTCGGTTTGCTGATCGAGAGGTTGGGTGATGCCGCCTTCAGTTGCTGCCCTGACGTGGGCGGACGGGGCCATAGGCATGGCGGGCGAACTTGCTGGAGAGCTGGTGAAGCGGCGATGTTGGAAAGGCGGGTTCACAAGGGGAGAGTGCGATAGATCTTGGAGGCGGACCAGCCTCTTGAGGTCTGGTAGAGAACCATCGAGGATAGAGGGTGGAGGAGATTCACGGATGATCTCGTCGCCTGAGGAAGACGGAGGCCCAGCGAAAATCCACAAATCCTTCACGCGAGACCGATTTCCCAAAGACAAAGACGTGATAAGACTGAAGTCGTAAACATCAAGTGATGTCAGAAGGGTGAGTATGTGTCGAAGGGAATCAGTGGCGAATGTATCCTCCTGGAACCCTGGGCACATAGAGATAGAAAGAACTTATCAGCGTAATTTTGGTTTTGTCTTTATGACAAAAAACGCACATTTATACCCTTTCAATTTGAATTCAAACGCGTTCGTGCCGATCTTCTTTTCCGATACTACACCTCGGGGCCAAGCTCCCCTCACAGCTTGCAAAATGGCTGGGGTGATACTGAGTGGTGGTGATATTACTCGCAGGACGCTCGCAGAGGCGAAAGAGACGCCAAAGAAAGTGCGCCGACCTCCCATTTTGTCGTGCAAGTTACTCATCGAAATATTGGGCGTAGGAGGAACAGGGGAACCTCTGCCGAATTGTTGGACGGCACAAGGTTTGTAGAAAGTGAGGGCGAGGCGGTCGTCATGCTCGCGCCCATAGTCTATAGAGGATAGAAAATTCCATCCATGCGAGGATAACACAGTCAAGAGGTCGAGCAGCAGCTTCTCGGTGTAGACATTCTTTGGCATTGTCCAGGGTTTCCCCTCCATCGAGAACTCACAGCAGTTCTGCGTGGAGTCTTCTCTGACGAAGCTCAACAGCTCCCGGTTCTCGAACATCATACGGAGTGCTTTGACGACAACGACCGGGAAGGAGTAGAGTCTGATGAGATTCGAGCCAGAGATGGACATCAGGGCAAATACATTCGCAGTTGCTCGATGCTCGCGTAGGAATTCCCTCCGAGGGACAAAGCCCTCGGGGGGAGATGGTGCCACGATGTTGCCAGGAGGGCTGGCTGCTATTTGCGACATGGAGTCTTGGACCGCGATTGTTCGATCCCTGGCTGTGTTGTGCCTCAAGATGGATGTGGATGAGTCGTATAAGCTTCGTCGTGGGCTAGTGGTCGTTGCTGGCTAGAGAGAGAAGGGCGTGAAGGGATGAATGTTGGAGCAGGGCCTGCCAGTCGTCCATGGTCCAAGAATGGAACAACTCAAAGACGTCACGTTTGCCACGCTGCGCGCCTCGTGGATTCAGGCATGGTGGCAGTGCTACTTCTTAATCTTATTTCTTGATCGTCGATACTCCTTCACCTAGCTCATACTTCCAGGAAGACTCATTAGCGCAAGCTACTACGTCAAAGTGCAACTTACAAGTGAGCAGAGTATTGTACCGTCCGATAATTACGAAATTTGCAGGTATCTTTGCGTGTTTCCAGTCCTGTTAGCCTATTCGCAATCATGACTGCGTCTTTAGAGAGCTCGGCTCGGCGCCTACAGTAGAGAGCCGTAGCCATATAGTATCCGAGACGGAGAGGAAGAGACAACGTGCATGAACGTCTTATGTAGATCAACCAGCCACGCCAAGTTGTCATCTTATGTGTGACCCCGGAAACAAGGCCACACGATAAACATACTTATGTCTTCGCATGGGTTGTCAACACTCGTCCGATTTACGGCTGCATTACCTGTGCACACGCATGGGTGAAAGCGCCGATAGCGCACCATGCGGCGGCGCAGGCACAATAACGAGACGTTGGACACCCACATCTATCTTGATAGTATCTGACCGGGAACACTGGGGAGGCATGAGAATCGTGGCGCAAACAACATGAGGCAAAGAAATCACTACAATTCTTCATCAGAAACTTATTCTACACGGCCATCAGGTGTATCCACCGCTGCAGACTTTCTCCGTCGTTTGCGCTTGCGCCCATTTGATGATCGCCCGTCTGGACCATCTTCGTTGTTATCAATTGAATCACTTGGTCTCTTTCGGTTTTCGACACCCTCGTGTTGTTCACCATCGCTACCACTGACAGCGCCCGCGTTCGTCGTGCTCCGCCGTTTCCCTTTCCCCAGGGCTCCGCCATCTAGATCGCGTTTTGGGTCCGGTTTTGTAGGCGCAGGTTTTCGCTTCTTCATACTCAGCGGATTAGGTGCTTTCGGACCTTGCTTTCTCCGAGGAGGCTCAGATTGGGGTTGTTTTGAACTTGACTGTACCAAAGCAATATCAGGAGCAAGTGTGGGTTGAACTGACTGCTGTTCCATCTGCACCTCGTTTAGCTCCCACCAGCGCGTAGCTGAAGGAAGTCAACATACCGCTTTTTTTGCATCCATTGTGGCGTCACTAGGAGGCTCAAGGACCATGACTATTCGATTGATGTGTATAAGCGGGACACCAGGAACTTGTCGGAGCGCCGCACGAAGGGGTTGGGATTGGGATGCAACTACATATCGGTGCTTATTTTTGTCCCCTGGCGGATGGATATGTCTCTGTCAATCAATTATGGAATATTGGTGTCTTACCAATGACGCTGGTCAAACATTCGTCGCCGGGGATGGCCTCTCGATGATTGCATTTTCGCCGTTCGAAAGACTTCGCAAGGTCGACAGCAGGTTGCTGCAATTTTCCTTGCAGATAGAGTTCATGGATACAGCATTGAGTGATCACTAGCAATGAAGACTACGGTTAGAGATTTCAGTTGACGGACAAAACGGGCCACCGAATCACTCACTGGGTTTGACCGATCCCTGAAGGACCACACCGAGTTGTTTCATAATGTCGAGTTTGTGGTCGATGGCTTCTTTGCACATATGCGAATCAACTGTGGACCAGTAAAAACCAGAGTCACACAGCGTAATCTGTACTGACTGAGAACTTGATATGGCTGGCGAAACCCAAATGACATGGAGTACAGGGCCATGAGCCTTTTGTATGTTTTAGCACGCTTGTGTCGCATTTTGACGATCTGAAGAGGTCAATGGACTGTGCAAAGGAGTTCTTGAGAGCAGCAGGATAAATTTGCATCTGTTGATTTCGGAGGCCCCAGCCTCGGAGGGCGTTGCACAACAAGATTCAAACTGCCTCGTCACCCTCCGCATCGTCAGACTAATGGTTCCGTGGATTGCAAGCTTGCTGCTACTGGGATGGTACAAATGACCTCGCTGATTCTCAACTATTCCTGACCCACTCGTTGCGATAGGCTGAGAATAGTTGTCGCCTTCGCGGTCAAAGGCGACATTCTCTGGAACGACATGTGTCCAGGTGTGCAGATCCCTTTGTACCACTCCGGCTTTGAACTGACTGATGATATAGGGCCTGAGAAGCTAGGACGCTCGAAGGTTGTATTAGATGAAGGTAAATACTACGGGGGAATACAGCAGGATGGCAAGTTTACCATGTGAGCTCAACATGTAATTCCTGGTCCCAGTATGTTTGACCGTTCTCAAGTCCGGGTGTTCCTGCGGGTACATACGTTCTCTCCGTCTCGACTCATGATTTCATCTTTGACCAGGTGCGTTTCTGAATCGACTAATTGCTATATTGCTGATTCACAGACAGCTACGCGTCGATATTCTGAACACAACGCCTCCGGCCGTCGAAGTGCGACCGTACATACCTGGAACACCTTTGAATCCTCCGTCTTCAGTGATTCTGCCCCACCCTATCTCTCTCGTCGTTCGGCAAAAGCATGATTATTTCGTTGCCCATGAATCTTTCAGCCTACTGGCGATGTTCAAGAACCCCATGATGATGATAATGCTGCTCACGGCCGTGATGGCGATCGGTACTCCATATCTCATGGTACGTGTCTCTCGTGTACTTCTCGGAGTTATATCGAGTTCGAACAAAAGAAAAACATGGACCCCGAAGCCTTGGAAGAGATGCGAGCCAGTCAGGCGAAGATCGCAAGTGCGCAGTCTGCCTTCGCTACAGGAGATTTCAAGTCAAGGTATGCGGCCTTCCTTCTCCCACAGTCTTAGGTTCTAAAGCACTGTCAGCATCTCTGCTCTCATGTCGGATGAACCTGCTGCCGTGCCACAACCGCAGCCAAAAGCTGGGCCTGCTCAGAATAAGTCACGTAGCAATAAAAACAAACGGCGATAATTCCCAATATCCTAGTATCCTAATGAATATACCGTTTAGAGAGGCCTTGCTTTCAGCCTGAGTCCGCTTGCCAAGTTCGTACCGTGGATCACATGCACTGGAGTGGACTTGGTCGTCGGCCCGGCCCTTCCCGGGCCGCCCGTCTCCGCTCATTAGTCCTCGGTTTCTCCTTGTTGCCTTTTATTGCTGGCAGTCCTGTTATAAACGATGAGAGCTCGTCTCGAACTTCCAATCGACAGCGATACCATCTTCAACCATGGCCAGCCAAGCTAAGCTCAATGTATTGATGTGTAAGTCGTGATCGTTTTGCATACAGTGACATGATTTGACGTGACACTGTAGGCGGTACCGTAAGTCATGTATATTATGCGAATATAAAGAGGCCTTACCAGCAACGCCGTATGTCCGCTAGGGTGAATATACCACAGGATGGACTGGATCTGGTGCATCAAAGTCTGACAAGAAGGTGGGTGATACAATGGCGATATCGCTGCGCGATACGATCCTGATTGCTCAATAGATCGGGGTACGTTACTTCTCGAATATATTGGTTACCTCGACGAGAGCGTATTCACGGCCGTTCAAATATAGGTCGTTGGCCTGACATTATTTGATTTGCGAAGACTGGGAAAGGTACTTGCACGCCATGGTGTCATGCCCTGGTTCTGACCAGAAATTCGAAGGTTGATCATCTTAGTATGGTTGGTGTCAACGGCGGCAAGTTCCCCGCTATTCGCGAACATCTGGCCCAGAACATTGGCAATGTTTATAAGGACATGGATCTCTCGTAAGTCTCCGTGTTGCAACTCGCACTCCATCGACTAACTTATTTACAACGATTCTAGGTTTGACGCGTTCCCCGAGGAGGGCAAGGTTGATCCCGATGCTTGTAAGGAGCATTCTTCGGAGTGGAGTGCATGCTCCTAATGGAAAGCAGACAAGGCCGCTATCGACAAATTGTCCCCCGGCGACGCCGTGATCATTTTCACGCCAGATAGTGAGTTCCTTGCTTGCCATTGGCGATTCTTTGTCTCACCATAGACCACAGGTACGCACTACCCGATCGCTATCTACGCCATCAGGAAGGGTATCCATGTTCTTGTGACGAAACCCGCCACTCAGCTCCTCTCCCACCACAACGAACTCATTGATGCCGCTCGGGAAAATAACGTAGTTTGCTTCGTCGAACATCACAAACGGTGAGGCTATTTATGACTATAACAATTGAATGGTCCGTCACTCGTCGCTAACTTCAATCAACGTGACTAGGTTCGATCCGGTATACAGCGATGCGAAAGCCCGCGCCTCCACTTTAGGAGAATTTAACTTCTTTAATGCGTGGATGAGCCAACCGAAGAGCCAGCTCGAGACTTTCCGCGCTTGGGCTGGCAGGGATTCAGACATTAGGTACGAGGCACCTCCTGTAATGATGGTCGCCTCGTTGTTGAAATACCTGATAGCTATTACTTATCATCCCACCACATCGATATCTGCTGTTGGATCCTGCAGGACATTGCTGTGCCCACGCGAGTAGTGGCAAGCGCTGCCACAGGCATTGCAACAAGCGAGCCGTACAACTGCGTTCCTCAAACTGAAGACACGATTACGCTCCTGGTCGATTGGCAATCGATTAAGAGTCCCAAGCACAAGGGCACAGGAGTGTATACTGCTTCGTGGACCGCACCCCTTAAGGCTGGCATTCACTCCGCGCAGCACTGGTATTACATGGGCGAAAAGGTGGGGGTAAAGCTCATCAGCCAGGCTAGTCTTCTTCTGATGCACATTTATATAGGGCGACATTACTGTGGATCAAGCCCATCGCGGATATGATGTAACAGTAGATGACACTGGCAAGACATGGTACAATCCATTCTAGTATGTGTCTTCTAGTTCCTTCATTTCTACTGATCTAATCAAAGTCTCTGTTAGCATGAAGTATTCACCCTCGGAAAGCGGTCACTTTGATGGCCAGCGTGGCTATGGGTACATTTCTATCGAAAAATTCATCGACGCGGCCCGTAGTGTCAACTCTGGAGCCTCTAAGCCCGCTGAATACGATACACACGGACTTCCTACGATCGCGAACACCGTCCTAACGACCGCGATCCTCAATGCCGGCCGAATCAGCTTGGATGAGAAGCGTCCAGTGGGCATCGCGAAGGACGGTGATCGCTGGATCCTTCAGTAAACGAATGGAGAAAGAAAATACCTCTAGAACATTGAAGTGTTACGTTGGCTGTCATCGGTTCTAGTGGTATTCCTCTTGGGATCCGGAACTCGAAGAACTGGACACCTCTTATGTCAATGTTTTCGTATCATTATCTTGTATGTTTAAACCGGGTATGTGAACTTCCATCTTTTGATGATGGTCTCCTCCATTCGTTCGCCGGCGTATCCCTGCGGCGTCTCCCACAGGCGGCCCATCAAAAAGTACACAGTCTGCAGATGCAATCACACCACTCCACAACGACGCACAAGACCCTCATGGGATTTGGGGGCATTCCTATGGCGTTATCGAATGATCTCAGATGAGCGCTCCCTCAGGTGCTTGGTCTCTCGTTGGGCCAATGGAAGTGGGTTGATTCCACCCTTGTTAAGGGCGTGGTTTCCTTGTAGATCATCCTTGGATTGGTTTGTGTGCGCCGGTTGGCAACCCATAATGAAAGAATACAAGGCTGCATTCCCATGCACGCGCGATGCACCCTCCGAGGTACCTGAACCCTTCGACAGTGTGCGACATAAGACACAAGTACCTGACCGACCAGTAAGTGGGCTGCGTGCAAAGGTAAGGTCCGTGGAGATCGTTGCCAACTACGTAGGGAAATCGTGGGCTGGATCAGGGATTGACCTAGGGTATTTCAAACACACGCCCGGCGGAATTCCTTCCTGCGAACACCTGAAACCCTTGCTGTGTACATTTACATACTTACGTTACTCACCAGGTCGACGATCTTTATCAATTTGCAAGAACGAGAGCGTTTTTCTGTGAAGTGATTGTGTGATTGTACGAGACCTTTGGGTGATGCTTGTATATACGAGTGGTATTGCAACAATGACGAGTGTTCGGGGTGTGCAGGTGAAAATGATATGTGCAGGTGAAGCGAAAAAGGCGGAGGAGAGGCGGATGCGATGTGGGGCGGCAAGGGCAAGGAATGCTGGGAGAGTGGAAGCAAAAAACAATATACTGTAGAACGACGCATCAGACCGCCTTCTGTGCGAAGTCTGAGAAGAGTAGAAGAATATAACATAAAAATGAAATATAATAAGGTAATAGTTAAGAACGAATGCGACTGTCGCTGAGGGGGGATAGGATGTGGCGGGGACTATGGTCGCGAAGGGAAGTGGGGTAGTAATGCAAGAGACAATTGAACAAGGGGAAATGAAAAAGTGCACAGGAGATGAGGGACTGCATAATGACCAAAATTGCATTGAAACGAGTGTAGTTACTTTGTGTTGACAACCAGAGATAAAGGGGATGCGGGTAGGATGGGACGGGACGAGAACAACCCCTTGCGTACAAGAAAGTTATATCGCTGGGTCCGGTGGCAGGCAGAGAAAACAAACTGTCCGTGGAATACAACATCGACGGTGGGCCATCGCGTGGATGCTTGAGAGAGCCGTCCCCATGAAATACATCTTTGTACGCTGTTTAGTTGTGCGGAATAGCTGTATGCCTGCCATTAAAGAGATGCGTGATGCCAGAAGAGATGGAAAGGAGAAACTATTGCAGGGATGGGGGAATCGATGAATGCATGCATATTGCGAGAAAGGAAATATTGCCAATGTGTCTGTTTGACGTGTATGGTGGTACATTTTGCGTTCTTGCTTGACGTTTTGAGCGAGGAAAGAGAGTGATTTTAATCACGGCGAACTATGCTACCATCGCTCGGGGAGACACAACATTTAAGTTGTGAAGCGCGGGACGACCGAATGAGACATAATCGTGAGGGAGGAACTCGTCGGGTGTCGGATCAGCACGTATCGGCTTGATCACAGGTTCCAGCGAGGAGTGCACGTTCTCCTTGTCATCTGAAGAACAATGCGAGCTTGGGAAGAAATCACTCGTCGATAACGGACTCGTCGGCGTGACGGGCATATCGTCTGAAAGGTCCGAGTAGGAGGTGGTGGAGCTCATGGGCGTGCTGACGATGGAGGAGGCGGGAGAGCGGACAGGAGTGACAGGTAGAGAAGGGTACGCGTGGCGCATGAAGTGACCGCCGTTCAAATAGTACTGGACGACGAAGGTGGCGGCCTTGGAATAGAAGGCGTACGAGTATTTACGCACGAGGACTTCCGAAAGGTCGTTCACATGTCGCGCCAGACGATTGTCGAGGTATTCAACGACCTCAATGCACTCATCTGTCTCTTCCCAGACACGGCGAGGCTTGCCGCAAAGGTAACGAGCCAAAGTCAAGGCAGCCAGAGCAATAGTCGAAGGTGAATGCTTTACGAACTCGCGATAGAACAGCGTTATTTCCATCAAAAAGCGGGCCACATGCTGAACTTTGGGCTCCTCCATCACTGGCCCACAACACATAAGCCGTAACCAAGCCTCGGCCGTTGGGTGTCCCAAAGTCCACTGAATGGTAGACAAAACATGACCTTCCATCTGGATGAATGCAGTTTCGTCGTAGGCTTCTTGACATACAGAGGCGAGTTCCTGGACGGTAGGAACACGATCTTTGGCGTCTTCAAACTTTGCAGCGATCCAGAGAGCAGCGCATCCGACAAGTTGGTAGTGCTTCACGTAGACAATGCGGCGAGACACGTAGCGATCAATGATGTTGAGTGTAAGGTAAAGAGTTTCGGGGCGGAGGCGAAATGCGAAGTGAACTTCAACGAGAAAGTCGACCAGACAAGGGCGCATGTGCCACCGAATTTCAGGTTGTTGGTCCATGGACTGCAGCGAACACATTGTGCATTGCTGTAGGTTTGTCCACTCTCAGCAACGCGAAAGGCACGAACAGAGGCCACGGAACGAGACTGACCTCCATGTCAAGCATGTAATAACGAATCTCCTCACGATACTCCTCTTCTATGAGAATGCCTTCCCTGCGAAGAGCAGCTATCTGGGCCTCGCGTTGCCGCTGTTGAATGAGACCGGATTTCGCGGACCTGGGGGTCTTCCGTGGACCATAGGCAGGCAAGAGAGGAGATCGTCGCGGCTTCGACACGCCATTCGGAGACGGACGCTTCTTGGGATAGATAACAGAATTGTTGCGGGCGTGGCGGGTAGATGAAGTCGAGCTTTCCTTCATTGCGAGAGACGATGGAGAGGGATCTTCTGGTTCAAAGTGGTTATCAGAGGTGCTGTGGGCAGCAAAACGCGTATTATGAGCGATCATGGTAAGGCAGAGAGAGGCAGAATCATTCGGGGCGCAAGATATAGGTGTCGACATTGTGGCCAGCGCACAACAAAGGGAGCTCGCTGGTCCACGCAGCGAGCACGAGCACGGCCAAACAAGAGGCCACAAACGCTGGACTGGTCCAAGTGGCTTATGTGAAAGATACTCACATGAAGCAGGCTACTACTGTTCATACGACGAAGGTCGGGGGCGGGGGCGGGTGGCGGTGGGAAACTAGAGAAAGAGATCGTGAGCGTCGCCAGTCGTAATGAACAGAGAGTCGTGCACGCCGTCGAGGGGGATGAGCTCGACGTCGTGATGGGGGAAGAGGAAACAAAAGACAGGTAGAGGATGGGAATTATAAAATAGGCTGAGAAAGGAAAGCACCGGGAGTGACGGGGGTCCACATCCGAAAGCAGCCATATGAAGCACGGGGGAAAACAAGGCTCGAGAGTGAAATGGTCAGTTCACTCTCTGACCTTTCACAATTCGCGTAACCACCATGTCATCGCCCCCGCACTTGTTTTTTATCTCCACAATCTGATGTGTGACTGTGTCACGTCGCCCGGTTCTCTTTGCCCATACTCGGAACCAGCGCCTCGGTGTCGGCCCGATCTCTCCCACGGCCCACGTTTCGCAGTGCCCAAGCCCCAGATCACAAATGAGATTGGGTCGATCGCTCACCTTGGATTATCTGATAGAATGCGAGTCAGCGCGGAGGCCCGACAGGATGCTGGCAGGTGGTGCTCACCTCTGGCAGTGCCCCGGGAGGTATTAAAAAAATAATGAAGGAATTATCTTGCTTTTAAGAATTGGAGTGGAAAAGAACGACTGTAGTGAGTGCAATTTGCTGGCTTCTAGAGGGAGATTGCCGCGAGAGGGACGAGGGGACGAGGGGGACAGAGAATCACAGCACTCGAAGTTAACCGAGCGATTCACGGGCGACGGTAGGCTCGAGGCGTTTTCAGTGAGTATCAGACCGGTGGTGATACTCGTCGAAAGGCAGGCCGACCGAAGAGATGGTGAGTGAGTGAGGAGGAGGAGGAAAAGGAAGAAATGAGTTGAAAAAGCTGTATCGGTTAACGAACAAGCAACTTTTCAAGGGCAAGAGCAGTTCGCTCTTGCTGCAATGCGATGAAGGCGTGGCTGGTTCCCCTTTCTCTCTTTAGGTCGGCTTTCAGGCTCACGCTTTCGGCGATAGTAGCCTCCCTTATTTGCCAACACGTTCCTTGCCTGCAGGCAGAAGAACATCCAGATTCGCCCTCAGGTTGGCTCACTTATGTAATGCCCAAGCCTATTTCGAGCCAAAACTGCTCATCCAATGCGCATCTCTGTCGCTTCAGTGCTTCATGACACGTAAATGGCAAAAAAGCAAGAATTTATGCTTTTTATTGGCGTATAATTGCCATTTTTCCAACGCAAAATCCAGCCAATGACCACCGATATCTGCGCTTTTACCGGCACCTGTTCCTTTGACGCTCACGCACATCATCGCCACTCCCACCAGAGCGCACACCCTCCCATCAGTCACACTTATCTCAACCATCATGCGTGGGCGAACATTTGTAGTCGCATTCACAGGCTAAGAAGATATTACATATACTGCCTGCCTGAAACTGAAACTGCTGTCAACTTGTGTACACTACTTACTTGGGTGCTGCCTTTGTTTCCGAGTCGGCCTCAGCGAAGCACAGAACTCGGCGCAAAGGACAACAACGTCGTAAATGTGGATCCATACGGTAGCCTTAATACATCAACTTTGGGTAATCATTCTGAGAAACTAGGGACCCGAAATAGATCCTGATGTCGTGTGCGTACATGTCAGAAAACATTTGATCTGTCCATTTCGCAGTCAGCTCCCCGCGAATGCAACCCAGCTGCACTTGTTATCCTTACCCAGGCTCACGCTTGCAATTGCAGTTTCGCCGCTTCACAATTTCACCCAGGCACCCCGAGAAAAGCCGACAACAACAGATACGTCAAACTAGCACAAAAAGCGTTGAAAGAATTAGTCTGGGCTGTCGGTAGTGACCTGCAGTGAGCGTGTTGAATGTAATTTCAATCTTAACTGACGTTGGTTCTGAACCAGAGTCGTCCTTCGCGACGCGCTCATGAGAGCGAGAAGACCCACGGTGTGGGAGGACTCGGATGAATAGCAAATGAGTCCGAAGGGTTGTTCTTTTTTCCATTCAGTTTTTTACTACACTGTCTAATGGCCGACGTCAATGGCGACTTGAATGTCTCTGAGACGTGGCAATTATGAATTCTCAAACAAGGGTAACTTGCTGGGCATGTGGGTCGGGTTTCGAAGGTGCATCAGAGCTTCAGCGCTTCAGCGTTGACGTTAGGCCAAGATGTCTGATATGTACGGCACTGCAACCGGGGCATCATCAGTCCACAAGGTCAAGACAATTAAAGCGAGCAGAGCAGCATCATTGCTCATGCTGGCTTCTAGGCGCACAAGATTCACACCGGTAACAGAGTTCATCGCATTGGAGGCCTGCATAAGGGCAGCTGCCGAACGGTGAATTTGGAGTAGAAGGATCGGGAGCAATGGCAATCGGGGCCGCCCAGTGATCTGAGATAAGGTGATCCGGGAGGATGGCGCAAACAAAGTCTCTGTTCCGTTGGTGCGGCGTTTCCATTTCAAGCCCCTTAGATATGTCGGGGCCTCGATGCAAGCGTATCTGACATAGGGTCCCAGTCACAAGTGCCAATCGAGAGCAGTACAACTTGCTTGAATTTGAACGCAGGGGATTTGATACGTCCGGCTTGCAAGGGTTTGCAGCACTCTTCACTTGCTCTTCACCTACATATCCCGCTATCGATCCGCAAAATCGCTCTCAGTAGGGACCCATTATCACATTCCCTATTTTTCCGACCGTTCCACAACGAAATGGCCGGTGCCAAAGCCCCCTTGTCGATCGACACAGTGCCATTATACTTAATGCATCATAGCGCCCGGGTTAGCCCCCGCGAACCGTGCACAGAACCTGGGGTCGGTCACGGCTATATTTCCAGAGCGTAGATTAGTCCAGGAAATGGAGAGAAAAGTGGCAAAACGAAGGTTTTGATTTATATTGAATATCGAACGGCTAGGCTAAGTAGGATATTCATCAGGGAACACCAGTGAGTCCGAAGTCATTAATAGAATGAGATGGTGATGATATAGGTATTCACTCTCGGTGGGGACCACCCATCAGGAGTGCCATAAGATCATGGTTCTGGGGGTTGTTAGGTTGTTGTTGGAGGTGAGCAGGCATGCCACCTTGTGCCATGTGGGGCGGTAGTATAGGTGGTTGTTGACGCATTCCTAATAGAGGCAGCTGGCCAGGACCTTGCTGAGGGTTGAAACCTCGAACGCCTCCACCCGCAAGACCCATCAGCTGGGCTTGACTTGGTATCCGCATATCCATATTGTTAGGATGTCCGAGCCCCACGTTGTTGTGCGGCAGGTTGGCCTGTATCGGCGAATGTCCCGGAGGACCACGCATCGGAGGACCAAAGCCGAGGTTATTCGAATTGGGGAGGTTGTTGAACGTTGGTTGGCCAAGGTGGCTGCCTTGCAATGCGTTCAACAGAGCCGAATTCTGCTGCATATTTCCCATAAACTGGTTGGGCTCATGCGGTGGCCTACCACCCAAGTTCGCCAGGCCGGGAGGCAATCGTTGTCCATGGTTAGGCAGCTGGTTCTGCAGTTGATTCTGCAGCGAAATGGGAGATGGCCCGCCGCGGAACGGTTGTTGTTGTATGGGGATGCCCGCGTTACGACCAGGTTGCTGGGAGAACATAGGAACTTGGCCGGGGAACATTTGTTCAGGTACCCGCTGCTGCAATGGCATGCGCTGCTGCCTGGCGAAGTGGAGCTCGTCCATGGCATCCGGAAACATTCCTCCATTATCATGGCCGCGAGGGAGAGGAGCATTGCGCAGACCAGGAACCATTCCGTCGGGGACGAACGACCGGTCATCCAATCGGCTGTCATACAGGGAGTCAAGGCGAGCGTTTCCGTGCATGAGTGGCTGTTGTTGGTGGGGGTGCTGCTGTCCAAGCATTTGTAGGGGGCTATGCGTGTGTTGTGCGGGTTGACCATACGAGGTGTGGCCACCGTTCATCGCTGACGGCGGTTGGTGGATGCCGTTCAATGATCGGCCCTAAACTAGTTAGTGCAACGTTCTTACAATAGACGGCAAGGGATTCACCTGGGCAGAGTTGCTGAGCATGTTGAATATCTCCGCCATGGCCCGATTATCATTGACGTTTATACCATTGTTACCAACGAGATGATCGTCATGTCGTATACCACCTGAAGGTCCAATCGGACTGCCAGAGGAAGGTTGCGCGCGCGCATTCACGGGGTCACGATTTTTATTGCCGTCAAAGAACTTTGCGAAGCGGCTGCCTTTGCTGGAGGCAAGGGCGACATTAGCTGTATCGTTGGGTAGTGAGGATTCCATATGAAGTCCGTTCTCAGATGGAATAGGGGGCGCACGCTCGCCAGATACGCGGCGCATCGATTGGCCCATCTGGGAGTAACTAGCAAACCCTTCGGAGCCTTGGAGCATTGGGTTGCCGCCAGCAGCTCCCTCTTCGAAGGGTGAGAAGCCTTGTTGAGGACGGAGCTCAGGTTTAGGCATTGCCGCATTTATACCATGAGCTGGAGACGCTGAGTGCGGATTAGCCACCATCGGTGGGTCCAAAGAGGAAGGTGACATAGGTGAATGTGGTTTGGGGACGGGATTGGAGGGTGCACCAAACGCGAGCAGGCGAGAGCCAGGGTGCGGATTGAGTTGATGAGAGGGGAGTGCGGTCGGTTCGGAGGGTTTCGTGGAGGTAGCTTGGGGGATGGGGAAGAGTCTAGACGTCGGCGGCTTGTTCTGGTCGGACAGCCCGGGAGGCGTGGATATCGAGGATTCGAGGACGGTAATTGATTGGGAAGTAGTGGTCGTCTGGGTTAGCATGGTGAGAAGGGTATTAGGGCCATCATTATTCGTGACGCTGATTATTGGACTGGGCTTGACGGACGCGACAGGCTTTTCTGAATCTGAAGCAATCGAGTGAGCAACATTGCAGAATAAAAATTATTAGCCGTACCATTCGTTGGTGGTGGTGGAATAGGCGGGCCAGTCTTCGCATCTACCATATCAGGCGCTTCGACTTGTTTTTTCTTCTCGTCTTCTTTCTTCATGAGCATGCGGAACATCTGAATCTCGTCCAACCCGTTGCTTGCGCCGCCCATCCCATTTGCGGAAGGTGCGGGTGGCAATGAAGGTGCAGGAGCATCGTCGGCAGCTGCTTGAAGGGCTGACTTCTCCTTCTCTTGCTTCTCCTTCATGTCCTTCTTCCAAGCCTGTATCCCATCAATTTCATCGGCATTACCGCCCATGATTCCGCCACTCGATGGAGAGGGAATATATGTGTCCATCCAAGCGGGTTCCTTTTCCTTCTCTCGCTCACGACGGTCATCTCTGTCTTTGTCGTCGCCATTGACCTTGCGATCACGAGGTTTCTTTCCGGGAGTATCGTCGTAGGTGGGACGATAGGAATCATATTCACGAACCGGTCGTTCTCTAGGTCGCTCACGATCTCCAGCACGTCGAGCTAGCCTCTCTTCACGCTTACCATCATCTCTCCAACGCCGAGGGTCGTCGTGTTCTGAATCGCGGTCGTAGTCGCGTCTGTAGTCATCACGATCCCGACGGTCCAATGGACGGTCGTCTCGGTCTCGGGTTTTGTCTCTATCACGACGACCAGTAGATGGATCTCTCCGAGGTCTAGAAGTGTCGCGTACACGCGAGCGAGGCCGCTCACGGTCATCCCGATCTCTGCGAGTAGTATCTGACCCTATACATGTATTGGATGACAATGGAAAGTTTCAAGGGGGGTTGACGGCTTACTGTCATCTCTCGGATTCCTGTCACCTCCTGATACTAAGCTTAGTTTTGTGGCTGTAAGCAAGGAAGAGACATACCTCGCCGCCAGTCATCACCGTCGCCACGCCGCCTCGCACCTTCCCTTCCTTCGGCGCGCCGGGTAGTAGTTGACCCTGCTGTTTGGCCGACCAGTCGAGAGGTACCTGCTGTAAGATGAGGCGCGGCATCTCGATCCTTATTGCGAGCATTAGTCCCAAGGCGATCACGGTCATATTTGTCCGAGAGCTAGGGCACAGTGAGGAAGAAAGAATAGCAAAGCAGAGAAACAAACTTACATTTCTGAGATGTTCATGGCCCTCTTTGTCTCTGAAGTCCCTCGTGTCTCTGTCACGATCTGGTGCACGAAGAGATTGGTGTTTGAAATTACCCATCTGAGAGGGTTGAGTTAACGCGGAACGGAAAGAGGGCCTCGCTGTCGTGTCTACAACCGTCCATCAGCTTCATGAAGAGAAAATACATTCTAGAAGTCGACGCACCATCCTCGGGGTCTCTTCTGTGCCTAGACAAACGTCCTTAGTGATTCCTCGTATTGTCGAGCACAGAACTTGCGTACCGTCTAGCACTGCTAACCGGCAAGATTGTCTCTGACTCTTTCTTATTCATGTTTTGTTCATTCTCAGTGCTGAGGTCAGAGTGAGTGCGTAATCATCGAGAAACGTATGTTTGACACTGACCCAAACCAGTCCTTGAGATCCGGCATTCCATTAGGGACTTGTACAAGGGGAGATTCGTACAAGAAGAGCAGTTGTTGCGGGGTATATATCTTTAATGGACGAGGAGGACTGTCTGGCTTTGGTTTTTCGTCTGAATTGTCGCTTTGGCCACCGTCATTTTGCAAGGTCAGACTTGCGAGTGAATTCGGGAGGCCTTCGAGATTGGATTGCTGGTCTGGGAGAGAAATACCGGAGGCTGTGGTTGCCATGAAAGCTGGAGAGAAGTGAGTAGGGTCGTATATGGTGAAGTCTGCGAGGAAGCCAGCTGGTCACGGTGTGCAGGCGTACTAGCGCGGAATTTGAAATGTCCAGTTGCTATACTCGCCCATCTTTTGATGCCATAACATGAACCAGCAGCTTACTCTCAAACATTTTATCCTCAAACAACGGGTTCTGAACTTGTATCGATATGCTATTCGGGCCACGAAGGGTTTATAGGCTTTTTATTCGCATGCGACCGTTATTGACGCGCTCCCAGGAATTCCAGATCCCACAGCAAGACGAGAAACTATTGAATGGATTCGACAGGATTTCGAAAAGCACAGGCATCTCTCTGACGTGGTGGGTACTTCGTGAGCGCCATTACGGGGTTCTACTTGATTAAAGCGCCCCACAAGGCATTAATAGAGGACAAAATCAACGGCATGCGGAGAGAACTCAAGCAAATATTACCAGGAACTACAACAACTGACAAGCTAGCCAAGATTGCATGAATGCTGGTCTACGCACCTGCCGGCTATTCGGTTTTTGCACAAGCTGAACTCGTGCAGCTCCGTTGGAGCAATTTCGTCAGACACTCGGAATTGGCAGTTCATTTGTCTGATGGCAAGATATACATGCGGAGGCAGCAGCAGTAGTTTGTATGATGTACATACAGAATGACATATATCGAGGGCGAACCTCACGCCAGGCTCCCCCTAAGCTTGATTACGCAGAACTATCCAAGTATTAGTTCTTGAAGGTCAACCTGAAAGTGTCCAACGTACTGAGAATCACGGAGTCACCGCTAAAAACAGAGTACTACATCAGACTCAGGATCTACGAGAGAAGAAGTGATTGAGACGTACCGCAGAAACATCTTGCTGATGAAGCGATCCTTGTTCACAGGCTTCTTGTTCTTACCCTTGGGCAGTTCTGTCCACATCTGAAGGGGGTCTTTGTAAGTGTCAACGTTGAATGCAGACGCGCCATTCACCTCTTTCACGTTTTCGAGAACCTAGATGTTTCTCAAGTGTGAGAAGTGGACTTTGGGAGCATGGAACAACCAGATACCATGTTACTGTGACGATCAAAAGCCTTCACGCGAGCCAGGAGTTTCTTGTTATTTCGCAGCGAGATGAGCACTTGTGTATGGTTCCGGACTGCCTGTTGCAATACTGACAATGGCCCTTGGCTGATCTCATGCTCCTCTAGTTGACGAAGCTGCGCCTCGTCGAGTTCTGATTTTGGTACATGCACGTATTGGCTATTTCCGCGAATATAATAGATCAGTAATCACCCAGTAGCTACGACGATATGCGGACGACTTGCCTCATCTCTGAATAGATCTAGAAAATACGCGGTCAGTGTGCTAGCGCCCAAATCTCAGTTTTGTTATTTGGCACGGCGGGAAGCAAACAAGGGCGCTAGATTTCCAAATCCGGAGCAGGTACTTTTGCTATAAACTTTTTTCACCATGGGTCGTCTACGGCAAAAGGGCAAGGCAGGCGCTGCAAAGGCCTATATCACACGAACTTCGGCCATAAAGAAGCTGCAGTGTTCTTTGGCCGATTTCCGGAGACTATGTATACTAAAAGGTCGGCGAACGGCTGGAAATTCTACACTAGTAACTGACATCTATGAACAGGCATCTTCCCTCGTGAGCCCCGTAGTCGCAAGAAGGCTAACAAGGGATCGTCCGCCCCTACATCGTTCTACTATACGAAAGACATTGCATATCTTGCGCATGAACCTGTTCTGAGGAAGTTAAGAGAGCACAAGGCTTTTGCGAAGAAGCTTTCTCGTGCACTCGGTCGAGGGGAATGGAGCAGCGCCAAAACCCTTGAGGATAACAAGCCCGTGTACAAGCTTGATCATATTATCAAGGAGCGGTAAGTATTCAGATATCTTATCTTTGGTCGCCTAACAATTCCTCTAGATACCCCACCTTCATCGATGCATTGCGAGATATTGATGATGCACTATGTATGGCCTTCTTGTTTGCTTCCCTCCCATCGAACTCCCGCCTCCCCCCCGAACTCATCGAGAACTGCACGCGTCTCGCCTCCGAATGGCAGCTGTATATCATGCACACACGGTGCTTGCGCAAAGTGTTCTTGTCAATAAAGGGTGTATATTATCAAGCTGAAGTCATGGACCAATCCATAACTTGGCTGGTACCTTATCAATTTACCCAAAGCGTACGCAATCCTCCGCAGTCCATGACAAATAGCTAACATCGACTTCAGATACCACCGGATGTGGATGTTCGTGTAATGTTGACATTCTTAGAGCTTTATCAGACATTATTGGGCTTCGTATTTTTCAAACTCTATGCGGATGCTGGCTTTGCATATCCTCCCCCACTAGATACCCAAAAGGATGAAGGAGCAGCTGGTGTCGGGGCCTTCAGCCTACAAACCGTTATGCGGTCTGTGCAGGCGGCTCCATCAAAATCAGAAACGATAGGGAAGAAAGTCTCTGGCAAGGAAGTCAGGCAAACTATCAAAAGCATCGATGCCTCAACAGACCAAGACATGGAGGTTGACCCGAGTCCCACTCAGGACACAGTTGCCGACATCGAGGAAGAATTCGTTGTTCATCCTTCGTCGACAGACCCTCAATCCTCCGCCGCACTCCCCACTCTACATTCCCTGTTTGCCCTCCCCCAGACGGCCCAAACATCATTATTTTCGCCATATACGTTCTGGCTCTCCCGAGAAACCTCCAGGCCTGTGTTCGAGTTCTTGGTTCGGTCGTTTGGCGGTCGAATTGGCTGGCCTGCATCGTCTGGGGGCGGTTCCGCGTTTGGCGAGGACGATGAGAGCATCACGCATGTCATCATCGATCGTCCTCTGATCGAAATGACCCCGGAAGAACGGCAAAGACGGACGAGGCGCAAGTATGTACAGCCTCAATGGATTGTTGATTGCATCAACGCTGGAAAGATTCTGCTCGAGGAACCCTATGCTCAGGGCAAAACGCTTCCTCCTCATCTTAGTCCATTTGGCGAGCGAGCCGGTGCATACGATCCTACGGAGGCTGTACCCGATGTGGCTGAGGCGGAAAGCGAAGCGGAAAGCGAAGAAGAGGAAGCCGTCATTCAAGCAGAGGAGGAAGAAGAGGAAGAAGAGGGGAAGCAAGCGTTGCGCGCAGCAGCCGATGTAGCGGCTGATGACGCAGGTGCTCTCCGTGCTGCGGAACTGGCTGCCGAAGCAGCTGGCGTGGACTATGATGCGTTTGAGAAGGAGGTCAGCAAGTCTCGCAAGAAGGCGAAAAAGGTGGCCGTGGAGGACAAAGACGCCGACGCCGAACAAGACATGAACAAAATGCTAATGAGCAACAAGCAGCGAAAGCTGTACGAGCGCATCAAGCACAGCCAGGGCAAGCGAAATACCGAGGTTCGTTCAGTCTTTTTTGTCCACTACTTGCGCTGACAACACCTCCCGCAGCGTACCAAATTGGAGGAAAGAAAGAAGAATTTGGTCAAGCAGAAAAAGTGTGAAGCTAAAGCTTGATTCTTGGTTCCATTTGTACCTAGTTGTAGTATTTCTGTCATATTAGCGCAATTCATAGAGTTGTCATCAATATTTGTGGTGCGATGATCCCTTTACAGTATTTGTCGGACCGTTGAGAAGAGCCTTACATACTTCCTTTCTTTCCTCACGCGCGCACGCTTCTCGATTGGCCGACACGCTTCAACAATCATCTGAATGGGATATCTTGACTGATTTCCTATCTAGAGTTATCCGTAGCTCCTAGGCGTCGTATGCGAGCATGGTCGGTCTCTTCAACCTTGGTAACAAGAACTCGCCTAGCCGTCCTGCTTCCACAAGCCCTGAACCACTCGGAGCAGGCTCAAACGACTCAATTCAGCTGCTGCCGCCCCCGCCACCCTACAAAGAAGCGACGACCCCTCCCTTGGTTATGACGGAGGTCACAACGACGACAGAAGTCATTACGACCACTCGTACGACAACACACTTCTTTTCGCTGCCTCTATGGCGCAAGCGCGGAGTACCAGCATCGAGCCATGGGCCGATGTACATGAATGCGGACGAGAGCGGCAGCATGAGTAGACCCGGTACGAGCTACAGTATACCTTCAGTGGACAAAGCGCTACCCCCAACTCCACCAACTGATGAACCTTTGCCATTCCCTGCGCGACCTTCAACAGAGCATTCTTTGGTGGAAGGCATCAGCATGCCCGACGAAGAGGGACGGCCATCGTACAATTCAGGCTCGACTCACCGCCCAGCGTTGGAACCACGAAGATCGACTGCAGCGTTGGCGCATGCCGCCCTGGGTATTGGACTACCAGCGATCTTACCGCGAGTTTCCACATCGTCAAAGTCAGACGTCCACCATGTAGCCCTACCCCCCATTCCCAACCACCAACCTCGCACTAGTGTACGTCGGGCGAAGAGTTCCCATAAGGTCCGCTCTACGCGAAAACAACCCGACCTTCCATACGCTTCTGATGGCGAAACCTCCCCCGCTGTGCGGAATAGTTCTTTCACCAGCTCGTCTATCTTTCCATCTACTACAGACGTCAAGGGTAAAGGGAAGGCTCGAGCCACGGAAGAGGAAGTTCCTGTAGCTCAAACGCCGAAGACTATCTCTCGCAGACCCTCATTTTGGTCCCGCAAGAAAAGTGTGGTCAAGGAACCAACGCGTCCTGAAATGTCTATCCCAATTACTCCGCCGTCTTCATCAACATTGCCAGTACTACCTCCTTTGTCACCCTTTGTCATAGGTGGTAGTCGCTTGACTTCCTCCCCTGAACCTCAAGATGCCGTCTTCTCTGCGAGACCCAAAAGCCCTACGCGTAGACGTTCCATCTCTCTCACACCTCCGCCCTTCGAGGGACCCAGACGCGCCCGCTCACCCACCGTAGATCGTTCAAGTCGTCCCATGACCGCTGATCCCACTACTTCTCCAACTCGAGCCTCGTTCTTTATTCCTCCTGCTCCTCTCGTTGTCTCTCCCCTCCCCAGCCCTTCACTCGAATCCGAAGGTAGCTCTGTCCAACTAGAAGGACCTGCCCAGCGCCGTCCTCGGGCACAGACAAATCCACCCATCCTCCATCGTTTATCACTTAATTTATTCGCAATGTCATCATCTGCCTCGTCCCCTATCCAGCCACATTCATCTCCACTCTCAAGCAACAGACCATCTCCGCGTCCTTCCCTTGCTAAACGCCCAGTCGACATCCCGAAGCCACATCAAGACGATGAATCGCCCGAGGCATATCTCTTACGTCTACGAGCCGCTGTGAGCAAGGCCGAACTTGCTAGCATACTTGCGACAAGGTAACTTACCTCATATACGCGAGTTGCTTCGTAATCGCTGATCCTTTCACCACATAATAGTATAGAGCCGTTTCACGTTGCGGCGCTTCGGTCGTACCTAGAAGAATTCAATTTCATAGGCGACCCTCTCGACGTAGCACTTAGAAAGTTGTTAATGGATGTCAGCCTCCCTCGCGAAACGCAACAGATTGATAGAGTAATTGAGGCATTCGCATCGCGATATATGCAATGCAACCCCGATCTATATACATCTAAAGGTATTTGTTATTTTGTCTTCTCCGTGGCAATTCTCTCATTCTCCTTCAGATCACCCATACATCTTGGCTTTCAGTCTAATCATGCTACATACGGATGCGTTCAACAAATCTAATAAGCGAAAAATGACAAAGGCAGACTACATCAAGAACACGAGGCTTCCGGGTGTTCCCTCAGAAGTGCTCGATGTGAGTATCATCCTTGGTGCTCACTCGAATGAAGTCTGATCTCTTTTTAGTGCTTCTACGATAATATCGTCTTCGCACCGTTTATATTTATTGAAGATCCTGTTGATGTCAACGGCCAGCGAGGTCTAGTTCCCAATGGTAACAACAACCGACTCTCTTCGGCGAGTAGTTTGGTAACGACGACCCCTGGAGTTGCAACACCCACAAGTAAATCCAACAAAGTCGATCCTTATTATCTCATTCTTAATGTATGTCGTCCTGCAACGTCTGGCAACCCTTACTCACATCTGTACAGAATTTGCTTGGGCCTCTCCGCATTAATGCTGAATTGTATGTTCCAGCAACGAGTCCATACTCGTGTGAAGGCACTGCTGGTCCATGGGACTCGGAGGATCTTAGGCGGGCTTTTGCCCAAGCCAGTGTTCTGGAAGTCGGTGCAGGCGATCCACTTCGCCCCCATCCATTCTTCGGTCTGAGCGTAGGCAATGCTCCGGGCCCCTTACTCGGAAACATGTCAGCGTTTTCCGACGCGTTCACACCGCCCTCAGACGAAGTTTGGACACTCAAAGTAGCCAAAGTCGCGCTGCTAAACCGGAAGGATGATCTACTCCCGGGTGGCAAGAAGGCGATGAGTCGTAAATGGCGGCCATGGAGCGTCATCCTTACAGGATCGCAGCTCCTTTTCTTCCGGGACACTTCTTGGGCTACTAACTTAGTCGCGCAATTCGAAACATCGGGTGGTCAAGTCATCTTCCCGCATGCAGCTATTTTCAGGCCAGATGAGCTGTATTCTGTGAAGGACGCTATTGCTGTTTATGATAGGTCGTACACGAAGGTTAGAATCGATTACTATATAAGATCCAGCAGACTGCTAACTTCTGATTATAGCATCCAAACACTCTCAGAATTGCCATGCCAGATGCACGTCAGATCCTCTTACAGGCTGACTCGGAACAGGAACGAAACTCCTGGCTGTCACATATCAATTACGCCAGCGCCTTCAAGTCTGCTGGTATTCGTATGCGCCCTCTCGGCATGTCGACTCACGACGTTCAGCTGGCAGGAGTCGCGGCCGCCACATCCCATCTACACGACTTGCAACACCAAAGTTCAACCCCTTCGAGCGATATGCCCTTCCTCCCGAATTCCGAGAACACCGCGGTTTCATCTAGCAGGCGCCCATCCCGAAGTACAACGTTAATGAGCGAACGTTCCGACCTGGACGTGGACGTACCGAGGGCCCCTGAAGTTGAAGGCGCTGATCAACTGAAAGCTACCTTTGATCGGGTCAAAGCTGAGCTCGCATCCAAGAGCTTGGAAGAGCTTGACGTGCCAGAGTCCTCTACCGAGCAGTCCCACATCAACACCATGCATTCTCCTCCAACTGACAACAAACGAATGCTCTCTCGTTCTCAAATCATTCAGGCGAAGCTACGCGATTTAGATGCAAAGATCTCAGCTGTTCAGTCCCAACTTGACGCAGATCTCCGTCTTGTCAGAAACGTCGCCATCCTGGCTCCATTCCAAAAGGCAACCCGAGATCGCCTTGCATTGTGTTTACGGAATGTCATGACGCGTGTGATGAATGCTAGACTCGAGGTCGCGAGGTTTGATTGCCACAGGAACGTACTTGCCAATGATTTGGAAGCCGATCTCATGGATTGGCAACGGACGAAGACCGTTGCAATGAGAGCCGCTACGGACACGCTAAGAAGCAAAAAAGTACCAAGGATGACTCTTTCTCTCTACGACGACGCACCGCCAGCCTCGTCTCCAATCCCTGTTGAGAGGCATGCGAGCTCGTCGTCGACCTGTAAACCTGAATCGTCCGTATCAGAGTCCTTCCATTCTGCTATGGACTTTGGCATCGACTGGCCTTCGTTCGACCCATCCACATCAACTGATTTCCTTGGTACTTCACGGCTCTTCGACTCCCCCAGCCGCAGCAGTTCAGGCTCATTGCAGTTACTCCCCTTCCCAGACTCAGAGTCAACTAACAAGAGTCTTCCGGACCCTCCATCTCCTGCGATCAGTGATCGTAGTTCTCCCAACATTTCGTCACCACGCAGTAGCACCGATACTCATGCTCATGAAAGGTTCTACACTGCTCATGAATCTCTCGAAGAGGCTGAAGATTGGGATAAAACCAAATGCGCACAGCGAGTGTCTTTGGTTCGGCTACCATCCGATATTCGACTTTCTATGTTATTCGACAAACATCATCGCTCTGCCCGACCATCATCATGATCATGACCTGCATTTTGACGTTAACATAATTGGACATCTAATCTTATTGCATTCTACTGTGGCACCGTTGTGTTTTAGCATGCGTGTTATTGGGTAGTATCTTAATTTGCATAGAATTGTATGAGTAGGACCTCTTTCTTTAGAATGGAATTAGCCTCAACCAAATGATCGGATTGTGCCTGTCGCCAGGGTAGCGCGCCCTCGCGTAGTATAGAATACAGGTATGCGCGTCCCTGTCATGGTACTATTTCGTCTTCAAATATTCAGTTTGCTCATACTTATACCTTTTCCCCATAGTATCCATATCCAAAGACAATTGGTTTGCATGCCGCTGGAACGAGTGCACCCTCAAACACTACCCCTTGTAAGTCAATGCGTATCAGCTCTGTGGCATCGCATACTTACTTATAGCCCCAATTAGCCCTGCTGCCAGCACTGGTAGTTAATGATGGACACCCCGCAACAAACTTCTTTCCACAAGCCACGCAACAGCATCTCAATGATGCTGCGAAAGATATCATTCAGCGCTTTCAATTGGTACAGCCCTAACCCAACTCAAATCTCCACAAACGAGGCCACCGCGCTCGGTGGCTTACGAACCCCAACTTCGACCATCAACCCCAGCAACGTCTCTCTCAACTCCAACACGTTTCTACTCTCACAAACTGGCGCAGCAGACACTGACATGTTGCATCACGAAGAGATGATCCCCGAGACCGTCAATGATATGGATGCGGAGGCGAAGGCTAGGGCAGTGAAGAAGGCTAGGAAACTCAGTCGTGTCTTTGGGGATGTTCCTTCAACTGTGCTAGCGGACGAGCTCAGTTCTGGGAATGTCTTGCCTGTTAGGCCAACACCTCAGGTTACGCCAAAACGCAGGGCGTCTCTGGCATTCTTCCAGCTACCCCCAGTGCCAGAACCGTCGATGCAGCGGACGCACAGGCCCGCGACGGCTGGTTCTTCCCGGCCAACTCGGTCTCTACGCTACTTACCCATATGTGAGCACATCTTTCGCCGCGACGGTTTATGCCCAAGTCTCATGCAGCATATCAATAGCTTCCGATTCTACCTCAAGTAAAATTTCACTTGAGATGGATACATATACCGAAGAATTAGAACCCCCACCTGCGCTAACTTTGCGCCAAACGCGTCGACGCTCATTGGCTAAACTATCACGCCACCTAGGCGAGATTATTCCTCCGGAGTTGGTCTCTCCAACACGCCCTGAAGCATCGTTTCATCTGCAAGTCCCGCCTCGAAGGTGGAACGACAGCATGGGGCGCAAGAGCATGGACTCGGTCCTGCCCAATCGGAGGCCTAGCCAACAAACTGAATATCCCGGCGAATCTAATACTAACTTGAAGCGGAGTAAATCCTTGTGGACGCGCAAGCATGGGGAGACGAATGAGTCGATATTGTCTTCTGATGCCGCGTTCCACGAACGCTACAACATCAGCTTTGGGGACGAGGACGCAGTACGAGAACGTTGTCGGGCACTGAAAGTGAAACGCGTCAGGAAGATAACACAAGTAAGGAGCTTGCTGCCTTGGATTAATACTGGGCTCAACTTGGTTTAGGTTTTCGGCCAGGATCCACCACCAGAACTGATGCGTGCCATCGCCGACGAGCCTGAAAGAGCCTTCACCGGGACTGGCTACCGAGACTCCATCGCCTCGTTCTTTTCACTATCTCGGACGTATCTGAGTTCGACCACTCCGAGCTGGACGCCTAGGTCGAGGTCAACTTCGGTGACATCGACAACATCGGAGACAGGGTTTGTCACAGCCCCCGAAGACGAAGGGCGATCGCCTACACCTGATCGCAGCAGGTCGCTGAAACGGACTTCGGCTGAAGATACTTTGGATGCACGCCAAACGCCTCTGGGCCGCGCCGCGACCATATCATCTGTGTACTCTTACACCGAGCAAGCTTTCCGCGAGCGCCGCCTCCGAGCGGCGAAGTTGGCCCACTTTTTCGGCGTCAATTACCAGAACATCTCGAATTCAATAGCGCACAAATCCTCCCAGTCGACTGTGGCGGTAAATATCCAGGTTACGGCACCAAGCCGATTTTGGGGCTGGTTTGATGGGAGGAGAGAGGCCAAAGACGCGGAGATTAATGATGTGATACCCAGGCTGAGGGATTTACGCGCAGGCTAGGTCCTGTGGTTACGGTGTTGCTTGCATTTATAACTTATTTACATACAGCAATGGAAGGATTTAGTTACTTTATACACCTGGGAAGTTTGCTGAGGTGATATAGCGAATACCCGAGATGATGCCACATATCCTCGCTCATTTGCGCATGAGCAGATATACAGGATCACCCAAAACAATGCTTGTCATATGTCGAAATGAACCGGTCAACGACATTAGCAGGCCGCCGAATGATATGTAGGCAGTACTGTTTTAGAGCGGTGAGGTGAAGGTGAAGGATGTACGGATTTCCACTTACACAACTTCGCTGGTTCCGCCGTCAAATTTATAGACCTATTTGCACCGAATATCAGATCGCGGCGAAGAACTAACTGGGGACATGGCGTACCTTGCCGTACATCACATAGTCGTAATCTTCTTCAAGACCTCTCCGTCCTTTGCCATCTGGTCTCCAAACATCGAGATCTTTGTCGCCTCCATCCTCGGCACCTGTGTTTGCAGGTCCTTCTCCGCGGGCCAACGATGAAGACAAAGCAAGGGCAAAGTTCTGTTCTTCACGCAATGGAAAGAGCTCTACGTTGTAATCTAGCGTGAGGTCCATGTCGTAGTTTTTAGAATGGGCATAAAGCCGTGAGACTGCACTATTCATTAGTGAGAGTGACATGCAGCAAAGAGATTAGAGAACCTCTGTCAAATTTCTTCCCTTCTTTATCTATGGCATTGATGGTGAAGATATCGTCAAAAACGATGTTCGATGCTACCGCGGTCATCGTTGCAGGTGAACGACCTCCTGACTGCCACAGAAGCCAAAACTGATACGGTCACATGGACAGTCACGCTTTCTCTTCCATGTCACTACGATTACTTCCTGGTTCAAGGGTTCTGCAGTGCAGCCTTGCGAGAGCACAGGCGAGGCAAACCTGGCCAAAGCGATTTAAATCAACGGTTAATGTCAGCAGACCATCCGCTAGTGCTCCACGAGAGTCCCCCACGCCTCTGGCGTTCGTCTCAGCAAGCCAATGGGATCCAGCATCACAAGAAGGGTTCGTCGTTGCATAGCATGGCAGCTGCACCTGACACAAACACCCTCTTTAGTTTAAAACAACTAGCAGAACGCCTTGCTACAAAAGGCTTTGTGTGCGTTCATTGCGATATCGATCTTCCTAAGCCACATGAAGTTCGCGGAGTCCCCCAACCCTCGGAGTCTTTGATGAAGCATTTCGAGTCTGGTAATGCTGCTACTACTTTTATTTCTACATGTTCGACTAATTGCAACCTAGAATTCGTCTCTTGCTTATCTCAATCACCCTCGCCCTTCCCTCCCGTAATATTCGCCCGAGGGCCAGGCTCTTTGATTGCACAGACATTTATATCGTCCCATCGTGCAGGAGGCATGTTCCTCATCTCACCACCACCTTCCAACGCCGATGTGCCGAAGCACCTTCTTCCTACCCCTCTTCCCGAATTTGACTTTGAGATGAAATTTCCAATTGCTCTCATGGGAACTGCGGAGGAAATCGACAAATTACAACAGCATCGCGACTTAACGAAGACAGGCTACGTGGACACATACATTGTGGATGCAATCGACGAGGACGCTGTCTTGCTCAAGGCAGAAGAATGGTTAGATGAACTAAATATATAAGTAATATACATGATACGACTCGATTCAACAATGGCCTCAGCAAGTGCAACCAGTAACTAGCAACTATACAGTAGGTCCGGGTATCTATATAAATGTCATGCAATGGCGTAATTCCTATTGGCAAAGACAGGGGCATACAAAGCAAGGCAATGCCTAAAACTACCAGGCGTCGTCTTCTGTCTGCTCTTTTTTTATCTCGCGCCTCACTCCTGCCACAGTGGATAGGCCTGGAAGGACGACTTTCCATGTTGCTTTAGATGCGAGGACCCGTCGGACTTGATGTTGTATTAATTCGTGGAGTTTCGGGACGTTAGCGAGTTTTGCGCGACTCCCCATGAGCGACGTTGTCGTGAGGTCTAAAGTGAAGTCAGGAGAGACGGACAATGTGAGGACGGGGGTAGTTGATGAGGGAGGGGGCGGTGATATTACAATCTAAGAGGTTGTTAATGAGGATGACGCTAAGAGTACGAGCGCACTCACTGATGACTTGAATAGGGAAAGGGATATCGTTAGTGTTACAGGGAGTCGGGCGAAAGACGGCATGGGGTAATTGAAGAGATACGACGTCGAAAGCGACACAGAGGCAGTGTCACAATATGTTACGTCGAATTCAGTTTCCTGGCGTTGGTCTCAGTTACAGTCTAGTTACATCGAAAAGACGCGTACCGAGAGTGGGTCTAAGGACTTCTGGCGCTTGATAGCAGAGCCCGTTATCCGTGGAGCAGATACACCAAGATCAACCGAATGGACTCGAATGTGGTCCTATAAGTTCATTGAATGAGGTTGGGGTTCAAAGGGGTCACGTTCAGCGTACCAAGAAGCCGGCGGGCCGTATCTTATTGGCATATTCTTCCACTCTGCGGCGCGCAATCTCGTCGCCCTCAGGACCCGGAAGGTCGTCTCGCAGCTTTGACCGGTATACGTCGGCAATCTACGTAAAGTTTCAGATTCTCGTAACGTGAGAGTTCCGTCTGGTTATACGCACCTGTTGAAGCAGCATATTTAGCCATTCTGCGGACTCCGGGCTACTCTCTGGTACCTCCCCTTCGCTTGGGTGAGCCTTGGTCTGGCTTTTCCGAAGGGAAATGTTGTTGCTGGCGTCGACCCCCGGGTGGTATATCGAGGTTTCAAGTGGATATTCCGTCGAATCCAGAAACAGGTATTTGAGGATGAGGATAAGCAGGACCAAGATAGAGAGTTGCCCGAGAATAAGACCCTGCGTGAACGTCGGCTGCAATGAGAAAACGTAGTTCCCCGCCATTGTGCATGGACGACGTGTGGAGAGGCAACTATGTGAAGGCGGGGAGTAGGAAACGCAAAGTCGCGGCTGATATCAAGAGCACGCGCACCGAAAATCGGTATCCAGGGAAGTTGCCGCCCGAAAGATAAGATTCAAATTTCAATCGCTATCAGACAGATATCTTGAACCATGACCACCACCACCACCACCACCGACACAAAATTGCACGCCTTCGTCTCCTGGCCAAACGCACCGCTCACACGTTCCCTCGTTCTCAAGGCTCTGGAATCTTTGAACCAAAAGGTCGAAATATCGACAGCACTTCCGACTTCCTTTGACAAGCTACTGCAGTGGTCCACCTACGACGATATCGATCACGAATTGGCTCACCACCGTTCGGATACCGTTATTTCCTCTTCGTACACTATTCGAAAGGCTCTGATACGAAAGCACTTTCTCTCGCGATCCATTCACTCGTACTTGGTTAAACACACAGACTCGTCCCTCAAGCTCCATGTTCCACGTACCTGGGATCTCGAAATCTCCTTTGCTGATGAGTTGGATGAACTATGGACCGATGAGCTCTGGGATTTGGGGCAGGAACTGGATGCAGATACGGGTAAATGGTATATTCTCAAGCCTGGCATGGCCGATCGCGGAATGGGAATTCGATTATTCAACAGTAAAGATACGTTGCAACGCATCTTCGAAGGCTTCGAGGAAGCATCGGACGATGAGGTAGAGCTTGAAGAGACGGACAGCACGGCGGTGGTCACTTCGCAGCTTCGGCACTTTGTCATCCAGGTATTCAGAAATCATAATCTGGGTGCGGGCAACGTCGATCCCTTTGTTCGCAGGAGTATCTCCCCTGTCCACTGCTCCTGGATCCTCGCCAAATCCTATTGAATGGTACCTCTCCACCGAGTGAACTACAAGGGCACAAAGTCAGATTTCTTGTCCTCCCTCAGTCCTTATATAGACCGTCATTTCTGCTAGTTCCATCTCAGAGCTTATTGCGTGTGTTCCGGAGCCCTCAAAGTGTTCCTATACACTCGTATCCTCGCCCTATTCTCGTCTAAGCCATACAATTTTCCATCACTAGGAGATGAGGGAGAAACTGAAGATATGGATCTGTCCCCCCACCTAACGAACACGTCGCTACAGCTCCATACGGGCGAAGAGAGCGTTCGATTATTAGAAGAACTTAACGGATGTACGATCCTCTCTGGCTCCAAAGGAAACAGCCGTACTCTCACAGAAGGAGACATCGCCAACATCTTACAGCAGATGGCCACCGCCTTGGCCGGGACGTTCAAGGCAGCTCTCGAGAGCCCGGTTCACTTTCAGGTAGGAGCTTTTTTTTGCCCCGCATGTATATATTTTCACCTGGTCTCTCCTAGCCACTGCCAAACGCTTTTGAACTATACGGCATTGATTTCTTGGTCTCCGATCCCTCCTCGGGCGAGCTCCGAGTTCAGCTTCTTGAGATCAACGCAGAGCCAGCAATAGAACTGACGGGACCACGATTGACATGGATTCTCGAAGACTTGTTCGTCACCATCGCCAAGACGTGTATTGGGCCGTTGGTTTCAGGTGCTCCACAGAAGCAAGACGACTGGGCTGCTGGGCAGTCAAAAGGGACATTTCTAAAGTGTTTAGATCAGGGAATACGGGGGTGTTGGTAACGCATTCTAGCTGGTCTGGGTTTCGCAAGGCTCTCGCCCGCTAATAAATCAGCCAAGTGCGCGTTCCCGTCCAGCTTTGACCTTTTCTTACGTTTTGTCAAAAAATCTTGTCAAGCCCCGCTAGACAGCAAAGGGGCTGAGGAGCCTTTATCCTGTCTCTGAGTTTCCATTTTCTATTCCCATAGGTCTCATCGCTTCCAGAACTAAATCATTCTTAGCAGTGACAGCAGCACTGCCGCTGTTGGGCGCGCGTCGACTGTTCTTTTAGAACGTCAGCGTGGATATCATCCATATCGGTCACGCGAAGCTGTATACTATAAAGTCCGATTCTTTAGCTATAGGCACTGCTTCTGCGTCGATCATATCAACCCCATAACAAGATCCTCAATGTCGCTCGGTCGTCGCCCAACAAAATCAGAGGCAAGTAAGAAGGCATGGCATCGACCTATGGACTGGCCTGCCGAGGAAGACAAGACCAAGAATCTTTGTTCGAGGCACGAATCAATGAACTTGAGCAGGGGATCATTCGCAGCTTGGCCCATTAACAAAGAACTCCCGTTGGATACTCCCTTCGGCATCCTTAGAAGCGTTCGCGAGAGAGCGACATTCTGCGTGCTTTGCCGCCTCATTAGCCAGGCTGCAGAAGATGTCGTAGATGCCGATCGAGCCGATATTATTGGATGCTGGGTTAGGGATGGCCGGCTGGAAGGGAAGGAGACAACTAGCCTTAGACTGAGGGTCACATCTCCTCCGCTTGTGGATGGATATAACACCTATCAAGTCTGCGACATCGTTCCGTATGACCCCGACGGTATGATTTCCGACCTTTTCACCGGGCGCGCAATGAACAAGCAGCAAATTGACTTTACTCTGGCCTGTTCGTGGGTTCGTAAATGCGAGGAGTGGCACGGAAGGGCTTGTCGTCAGAAGGAAGCTTGGACGACTACGGCAATTGGGGTGCCCTTCATCCGGCTGTTGGACCTCAAGCAGAACTGCGTGGTGGAAATGGCTGCTCCCCCTTCATATGTCTGTTTGAGCTATGTTTGGGGATCAGCACCCGTGTTCAAAACGACGCAAGCAAATCTTGCCCAGATGAAATTGGTCAAGTCTCTCAACCGCGCAGGAAATGAGATTCCCCGATCTATCCGGGATGCCATCCGGGTCACCAAGACCCTGGGGGAACGATACCTTTGGGTTGACTCGATGTGCATTGTGCAGGACGACGATGTAGACAAGGGCCAGCAGATTTCAATGATGGGCGAAATCTACAAGCGAGCATCCTTGACACTTGTGATAGCGGGTGGGGATCATGCCAATTGTGGTATCAGCGGGATGAGCAAGGGTGGTCGTAACATCAAACAAAACATCGCTCACCTCTCCAATGACTTGTCACTAGTACAGCTCTTGGCAGATGGCAATCGGGCGGTCAACAAGGCTGCGTGGAATACTCGTGGATGGACTTATCAAGAACGTATCCTATCCCTCCGTTGCCTCTTTTTTACGGACGACACCATTTACTTCCAATGTCAGAAGGCAGCGTGGAGCGAGGACTTCAAAGCTGAGCATCCCGCGATGACCGTCTGCGCTCCAATGCTAAATATCAGGCTGTCTTTGGACGGAAATCCAGCGAAGGTCATTCCTCGGGATGAGTACAATCTTGTGACTCACAGAAGGCCATATTTCTACGAGTATTGCCGCTTGGTGAAGAACTATACTGTGCGCAAGATGTCCTACACCAGTGATCGAATCCCAGGCTTTCAAGCCGTGCTGAACACTTTCGAGCAAGTGTACGGATTGTCATTAATTCAAGGCCTGCCCGAAGAGATGTTCTACGAAAGCCTCCTCTGGCACTCCACCACTGGAAGAGTCAAGCGTGTTGAAGCTTACCCAAGTTGGTCGTGGGCAGGCTGGACGGGTGGAGTGGAGTATCCCGATCTTCAAGACTTCAATGGTCTCCCAGTGTTGAGCGAGAGGTGGCGGAGAACACGGCCAACATCTGAGATGATGATCCAGGACTTGAGCGCTCAGCGTACGCGGCCGGTTCGTACGTGCGATTACCAGAATACTGTATTGCCCGAAGGATGGAAGCCTGAGGAAATGGAAGGTGGGGATATGGTATATTTCCAGATTGATAAACCCAGCATCCTACACTCCATACCTCCTCCCGTTCGATTGGCAGAGGGCGATGCAACTATCTCTCCAGGTGGCCTCCTCATCCGCACACAAATCGCTAAATTTCGATTGACTTCCGAAGCTCGCAGCGATAGGCAGGAAGATAAGAACAAACCCCGCTTCGGGATTTTGCCAGTAAATCCGCCCGAAGCTGGACATCGAGAAACATGGATTGGAGGGATTCGTTTATCTGGGTTTTGGCATCTGAAGTATAAAGGGAACAACCCTACGCCGTTCAGGTTCATCGTCCTATCAGAGGCTTATGGATTCGGTCCCGACGAGGTTGGTCCTGATGTGGCAGGGAAAGTGGAACCGTATAGTGTAGTCAATGTTATGCTTGTCAAAAGGAAACAACCAACTTCAGCGGAGGGTCCAATAGTGGTTGAGAGAGTTGGAGTAGGACGGATGCTGAAGAGCGCTTGGAACGCGAATGGCCATGTAACGGACGTATTAATTGTATAAACATCCAATGGTAAATATCGAGACTTATGTACTCACTTGTCTACGACCGTCGCGGCGAAGATCACGAAGTTGCAGCTGAAAATTTTGGGTATAGATCAAAACCACTACGCACAAGATGATGGAGACTGCTATAAATCTAGGAGCACGACAAGTTATTAGGAAGACGTCCAAACGCGCATGTCGTCCGCGAGTTCATCCGATTCAAGGTTTGGCTGAGAGGGTGGTACTTCATCCTCGCCACGGGCAACAGGAACAATATCATCGTCTTGATGAGATTCGCCGTGCTGAGTTGAGACCGGTTCATAGCCTACGCGCTGTAATGCAATGCACGATATTCCAAGAACTCGGGAAAAGTACATGTCCGCGATCATGTCTTGGTGGAACAGGGACACATAATATGGGTCGGGAAGTGTTTGTTTCTGAATCCTGCACATATCCTGTCTCAATGTTAGCATGATCAACATCGGTCACCGTTCAGAGATACCCACTGCCTCCGATATCAAATAATCAACGGTCAAAGGTTCGAGAGGCACGATATGGCCGCAACGGTATCGGCCTAGATGTAGCCAGCCCTGTTCGGAAACCTTTTGGAATACACTCTTGACTTCACCGAGCCGCCATCCAGTTGGGTACGGGGACCAGCCTCGTCTCTTAGCCTTGGGCCCGGGGTTGTATATATGACTAGGCAAGCAGATTAACAAGCGGCGAGGGACACCTGCCGGTTTAACAACACAATGATCGTCTAGCCAGAAGGAGTCGTGGCCTGCGCTAGGGTTCTTTAAGTAGAGAGGAGATGAGAAAATATGCAATTCTTTGATCGAGCGAAGGTTGGCTCACCGGACTAATTATTTCGGGGCATGTGGGTAATGATGAGTAGTCAATAGGGTCGAGGTTACTCTCGCCAACCCAAGCAATAGGATCAAATGCAATCCGCTTTTAGGGTCAATGGTGGTTAGTCACGTAGAAAAACAACCGGGAGACATCTATACCTGTACCAAAACGTCGCGTTCGCGTTCCATGTTTTCGAGCTTTTCAAGGAGAAAAGTAGACGCCTACATATATGGTATTGGGGAGGGTGTAAAGCATTACTCAGGCACATATACCTTTCTAAGGCTTCGGTTACCCTGCTTCATATTTCGATACTTCTGAAGCAATGTGGTGTGCTCCTGCTGCAAAGATTCCTATATCAAATCCTTGTTAGCATATGCCAGAAATGATGTTCATCAACGCACAAGTGCTGTTGTTGATTCTTGCTGCTTGGTCTTGGCATTAACAAGCCGGACTCCTAGACCGTGCTGGTAGCCTCGTTAATTAAGCATCCGGCATAAATTGCGATTGCATGGACTTACATTCACTTCCTCCTGTGTCTGTTGTGCATTTAGAGCTTGCCCAAGTTGTATTGTAAGATCTTCTACCGTCTGTTGATAACTTAGTCAAGTATAGATTATCGGGTTTTACTTACATCTTGTAGAGCTGCTATTGTAGACGCGATGTCTGGCTCAAGATCTGGGTTAGTGGCGTCTTCCATTTTGACCTCGCGAGGGACCTGGCTTTCCCTAAGAGCTGCTATTTCGTCTTTGAGCTTCTCATTTTCTGCCTTCATCGCTTCCACGGCTAAATCATTTGTGGCGCTCGTAGCGCTGCTTCTGGGCGTGTGGACCATCCTCTCAGCACATCCGGGCTATACGGATATGAGAACAACAGAATTGGAAAAAATCACTTCCTGACCTCTGCAAGCTGTGCCTTGACTGACTTCAGCTCTTGCCCCAAAAGCTTGATCATCTCCTTCATCAACTCGGGGTCCGCTTGGAAATCCATGTCTGAGGTATTGAACTCGGAAGGAGAAGCTGATTTCGACGCGACAGGTCACGAGCCCGTTAAATAACAGTGCACCCAAGCAACAACAAGCACAAATAACTGGATCTTCATTACCATCATGACTTCCACCACATCGAGTATGGGGTCCCTCACGCCTTCTCGCAAACGATCTAAGTGGGAAACGAACGATGAAACTGAATCGCCCATTCATCCACAACCTTCAAAGCGGCGCGCTAAATCGAGACTGGAGGACACCAGGACACCCTCCGTTTCTTTGCCTTCTCACCCGGTATCATGGCCCTTACACAGTAGTTACGTGCCCCCAAGAACGCACCATCCACCGATCATCCCATCCCGCTCCGTTTACTCCTATGAACGCCTCAATCAGATCGAAGAAGGCTCGTATGGCATCGTCTTCCGCGCCAGGGACAAGCAAACCGGGGATATCGTTGCACTGAAGAAACTCAAACTTGATGAGGAGAAGAACGGGTTCCCCATAACTGCCCTTCGAGAGATTAACGCGCTCATGACTTGTCGCCACGATAATGTTGTTGGAATTCGTGAGGTGGTGGTTGGCGATACTCTTACGCAGTACGTAGCTAAAATCCTGTCTTCGCGGATAAATAAGCAACGTAACCGTAATATCATCATTTTTGCATATATCGAAGAGTTTTTGTTGTGATGGACTTCATTGAACACGACCTCAAATCCCTCCTCACGTTGATGCCTGCTCCATTTCTTCAGTCTGAAATCAAGACTCTCATGCTGCAACTGTTATCTGCCGTGCAGCATTGCCATAACAACTGGATTCTTCATAGAGATCTCAAGACAAGTAACCTCTTGATGAACAATCGTGGTACTATCAAAGTTGCAGATTTCGGTCTAGCGCGACGATATGGCGATCCCGTTGGCGTAGGAGGCATGACACAGCTCGTTGTCACACTCTGGTACAGGTATGTATGAACGAATGAGGAGATCTTTTCCGTTGATTGACTAGGTTTTCAGAGCACCAGAAATCTTGCTTGGAGCTAAGACGTATTCTACTGCGATAGACATGTGGTCGGTGGGGTGCATCTTCGCTGAGCTCATCTTGAAGGAGCCCTTGTTTCCGTCCAAGGGCGAACTCGAATTACTGGCCATGATCTTCAAACTGTTAGGGCCTCCGACTAGCGATTCTTGGCCCGACTACTCTTCACTCCCGCTTTCCAAGACAATAGCTCTTCCATCCCCTCAGCCACCGCAATTCAAACAGAAGTTTCCGTACTTAACAACCGCAGGCATAGACTTGATGATGAGTTTGTTGTCGTATGATCCAGAGAGTAGGATTACCGCGGAAGAGGCTTTACAACACCCATACTTCAGGTTACACCTTGGCTGTCCATGATATTCCTTCCCAGTCTGACTTTTTTGGACTGATATAGGGAATCACCGTTACCCAAGCATCCAGACCTCTTCGGTTCCTTCCCATCGGCCGCAGCTGGTGAAAAGTACGTTTCATAACAATGATGAGTGAAACGCGAGACTGACTAAGTGGCTTAAGGAAGCGAAAAGTATTTGATAGTCCTTCTGCCCCCGTAAGAGGGGGAGACTATAAGCTGTTAACAGATTTCGACGTATAAGTAATAGTGGCAATAACATATCCAAAATAGTGTCCGGTTTACAATACATAGTACAACAGGTCGGTTACCCGTAAATATACAGACAGAATCCTATGCGTTAGGCGGAAAAGACTCAGTCAAGAGTTCTCTCATCTTCTGGAATCGGGTGCGGGTTCGCTCCATCTCCCCGACCTTATCATAATATTCCTTGACTTCCTCTACCGTGAACCTGAAATCATCGGCAATATGGAGAAGGCTGCGGTCGACAATATGCATTTGGGGATTCCTGGTGAAATTGTTGTGAGTAAGTGTCTGGAAGCAACAGGTAAACGTACATTTCCCTAGGCCTCTTGGAGGGACTGGCGTCCGGGTGTTCAGCTGATGCCTTTCGCTTGGCCCACGCTGGCGGAGGAGCATTGCCTATCCTGATAGCCCACTCGGGGTCATCCTCGATATCATCCATTTCTTCCTCAGCTGGACTACGCCGGACGGGCACAGGCAATAGGTCATTCTGGATCAACAGGTTTGGCCCAGGAACAGGGACGAAATCAGCCGTGTCTATAACTCCAAGGTCGTTCGTTGGCTCCTCGTTATAGATAGCTGACGTTTCGGCTTCGGCTGAACCTTTGCGCTTGACTGCACGCTTCTTTCGGACTCTCTTCACTTTCTCAACCTGGCGCACGTAGCCATACTGACCCTGCCCACCTTGTGAGGGCTTCTTGAGTTCGACGATTGCTTGAATATGTTTGTCGAGACGGTCTGAATTCTTCTTGTAACGCTCGCGCCATGACTGCCAGGTATGCCGCTTCACCCAAGCAAATTCTGGTTCGTTGCACTGATAATCAAACGTAGGTTGAAAAAGGCTGTTGACATTTGTGTCGTTGCAAGAAACTCACCTTTTCACAGAGTTGTTGGTATAACCGGTTTCCGGTGCGTCCCCCTGTTTGTTTGAAAGGAATCTTTTCGGCTATCCATTGGCAAAGACTTTCTTCATCTTGTTCCGTAAATTGCATCCGCCTGTAGCCACAATTAGTATATGCTCGATTATCAGTGCCGAAGAAATGGGTGTACTCACTCTTCACCGGGCCGCCGTCCGCCAGGATTCTTGTATACAAGTGGTGTATATATTACGGCGTTCTTCTCGACGCATTTCTTCACCCATAGGTATGATTCGACGTATTTGTCGGGGATGCCTTCGTTGGTCTTCACAAGATGTTGGAATGCTTCCGTATTTGGATCTGCCAAGATAACGCGGGCTGATTGCATCGAACCGTTTGGATCCCCACCAGAGTGCTAATTCCGTTCGATGCGTGAATCAATCGCAAAGGGGAATGATAAGCGCAGGAACTCACCATTATCCGCTGGGCGAGAGCCGCACGCGCATTGGGATTTGCTATCATGGAATGGATGTGCATTTTGATAGGTACGCCATTCTCCACGAAGATCTGCTTGAGCAGCATGCCTGCAACTTTACAGGCCTCTACGTAGGTGTACGGCACGAAATGGCGATCCGGCCTATCGAGACTGGTCCAGCATAATCGGAGTCGCTCTGCTTCAGGCGTTCCCGGCTGTATCAGTATGTAGCCTTGGCGAGGGACTTTTGCTTCAACTCTGCCACCAAGGACCTGGCAAGATTATTTGTATTGTGAAGCGCCAAGATATACGTCTGTAGCCCATACCGTAATGGTCTCGCACAAGTCCGCCTGCACCTCTTGAGGCAGATCCTTTTGAATGAAGAACTTGATCGCTAAGCCATTGAGATCCTGGAATATTGGCTGCCAGTCGAGTATCAGTAAGATCAAAGAATCATGAAAGTGACCAAGTATGTTCACCATAACGGAGCCCGAGCTTGGTGCGCTAGGACAGTGGAAACCCGAGATTAAGGTTGAGGTCAAGGAGTGGCTAGGGTTTCCTAAACAAGGGTTAGGGTTGCGTCGAAAGGAGTCATGTGATGAGGTCCTTTGTTTGTCCATGCTGACAGGTTCACATGAACAGGGGGACAAACTGGAAGTACGTGGTAATTTGATTCCGAGAAAAATAGGTACAAGGGGGTGTATCACTACAACTCGATCACTTTCCCTGGATTCATTATGCCCCGAGGGTCGAAAAGTTGTTTAATCTGCTTCATAAGCGCTATGCTGACATCGCTTTTCGAGAAATGCAGAGCATGAGTCTTCATGGCACCAATACCATGCTCGGCGGATATCGAGCCACGGTGAGATGCTGAAATATAGGCACAATTAATGATTACTCCGAACAGGTGATGGGAAGTCAACGTACCAACAAGCTCATATATGAAAGGCTCCAGGGCATCTTGTATTTCGTCCGTATATTGCTCAGCAATCACATTGAGATGGAGGTTGCCTTGAGGGCACGATGAGAGATCGATGATCACGGATGCATATAAAAACCGACTTACCATCACCAACGTGTCCATACCCAATAACGTGCTTCACAGCGCCGTCGTGAAGGAGTCCTTTGCTTCTCAGATGATCTCGTGTTACATCAACGACCTGCTTGAACGTTGATAATGGTACGGAGATGTCATATTTGTAGGCCTTGCCCTCCTTTGAAACGGCCTCAGTTACGCCTTCTCGCAACGACCATAAGGATGAGAACTGAGCAGGTGACTGCGAAAGCACGCCATTTGTGATGAGAGGTTGATCAGCTCCGAGCAATGATTCCAGTAAATCGTTCAATTTCTAAGGATGATCGCTGTTAAAGGTTCGTGCGGGGTAACAGACAGAAGCGAACCTCTTCATCATGATCTCGTCGTCCACCGCTAGTCTCAACGAGGACGAAGCATTGGGCGCCGTCAACTTCTTCCTCGGTCAGCCCCCGTCCTTGGCCATGCTTGACAGCCAAATCATAGGCTGTGCGATCTATGAATTCGAAGGCAGAGAGAATTTCAGATAGTTGTCGTTTCACTTCCTTGTATAATGGAAGAACGTTATCAAAATGAGGGAGAGCCAATATTACGTTGTTGGAAGCTTGCGGTGCTGGAGGAGTAAGGATAGAGACACCGGTGATGATTCCGAGTGTTCCTTCTGCGCCAATGAAGAGCTGCTTCAGGTCGTAACCTGTTATAAGAGTGAATCAATGAATATCTTAACCATGGGGGGGAGTAAACTTACCGGTGTTGTCCTTGCGCAACGAAGTGAGTTGATCGAGGATGGTCCCGTCAGGTAAAACAACTTCGATGCCCAAGACGGAGCCATGTAGTGAGCCGTAACGTAGAAGCCGAAGACCACCAGCATTTGTAGCGACATTCCCTCCTATGTGGCAACTGAACATTCACGTTGTTGAGCTGCACATGCTCAGAACGTGAGGTGCATACCTGCCCTTTGCCCCTAGGTCTAAAGGCATGATGTGGTGATGCGGCGCAATATAATCTGTCAAGGATTGCAAGATGCATCCAGCGTCTGCGACAAGAATACCTGATGAGAGAACGTGTCAGTGGATAGGCACCAGAGAGAACTGGAAGTGGGAATGACCGGATACAGGATCAAATGATCGTACTTTGTTCATGTTCGATAGATTGACGACTACCTCGTCATGAATTGGGACGCTTCCACCGACCAGACCCGTGTTACCACCCTGAGGAACAATACCAACGCGCCGTTCCCAGCACAGTTTGACAATGTCGCTGACTTGTTGTGTTGTCTTGGGCTTGAGTACTGTTGTAGACTTGCCATGATATTTGCCCATCCAATCATTGTTGTATTGGTCTAATTCGGAAGCAGCGGTAGAAGACGGTGGTAAAGTGGAGAGCACGGAGGATGGAGGGAGGATACTGGCGAATTGTTGGACGTCCTGCTCTGTTACAGGGTTGAGATGCTCAAAGGGAGCCTCTGCACTGTGCCATCGACGTGGCACGCAGGCCAGGCGTCGTGGAAGACAGCGACGAGCCAGCAAGAGAGACAGCATTGAAGTGAGTGAGTGCTATATTCAGCGGACGATTTCTCCGAAACGGCAATCCTGATGTGGCGTGGGAGCTCTCGGACGGCCTTGGGTCCAGTACGTCCGCTTGTCACGACTGCTTCACCTTCTCCGACCCAGAATCTTCCCTTTTCGCCAGATGTCCCGTTGAAACGACGTTCAGGCATTTTCTTCGCTCACGACCACGAGTCATCTTTTCGTTACCGGCTTACACGGCTTTTCTCACTTCTTCATTTCACCACCATCTCCATGGTTCACTCTGATGATACTGAAGATCACTGGAGCGATGCCCCAGAGACCCTGGACGACGACCGACCCGACCTTGACGATGCTGTTCATCAGGAAGCTGATATGATTCAGCAACACGACGGAGATACAACAATACGGGCAGTAGCAGTATCTGTCGATGCTGTGGACAAGATTGACCAGAGCGCAGTATCGCATTCTTCTCGAGGAGCTTCCATGTCCACGCCACCCCCGACCGAACCAGTGTCCGACGCTGCAAGTATCCACAGTCTCCCCGCCGTATACGTTACCGAACCAGACACCTCGCCCCGGCGGCCTTCACCCATACTCACCAATCGCGCACCTCCCAACAGTCCAGTGCCTCCCCCTTCGCCCTCGCACAGTAACATCTCGTCCACAGCTTCTGCTCAGCAAAGAAGGCACCGACATCGCTCGGCTGTTGAGGTCGGTTCCATAAGTGTTGGGGGGGTTGATGTACTAACCCGCCAGCACAGGCTCGGTCTTCGAACAGGCTTTCAGGTTTCTTCACTAATCTCATACATCGCCGTGAGCACGCGCAAGCCTCACCAGCCCCGGGAAGTGTGAGAGAAGCGTCAACGTCTTCTCCGGCGCCTCGAAACACATCACATTCCAGCACACCATCTCGATCGTCCTCACCGGCCCCGGCAAGACCGACTACGCCACCACCGCATCTTGCACCTCCAACATTGCAAGAACTTGGCTTGTCTTTGTCCGTCGTAACGCAAGACCTGTCGCCTTCGCACTTTAGTACATCCCCATGGAGTGGTGCTTTCTTAGGACCTCATTATTTACTCCTCTGCCATGCACAAGGTTTGGACATTTTGCCTCTGCAGTCTCCTCCTGCGCCACAGCCGTATGCTCTCGTTCGGCGTGTCAGCTTTAAGAGTGTAGTGGTTATGGAACAGCGTGGGGTGCTTGTAGCCATAGCTGGCAGGAGAGACGGTGTCAGAGTTTATGCTCTGGAGGAAGTGAAAAAGGCTGTTGAGTGGCGCATGGAGGTTGAAATTCGTCGAGAGCGTGAGCGACAACGGCGCGAACAGTCCAGGAAATCCACTTTGGGCACCTTCGAAGTGATTATTCCCGGTCCTACTCGGGACTCGGGAGATAAACTGAGGAAGGCTAGTTTATCCACACCTCCCTTAGGAGACTCCGTTATCAGAGGCAAGCTGGCCCGGAAGAGCTCTATTAGTTCGACTGCCACTGCTCCCCCTATGCCTCCCGCCCCTCCTTCAACACCACCGCTCATTCCCCGTCGACCTACTACACGATCTAAGAAACGACCCCGTACGAATCCCTCAACCCCCGTGACAAACAGCGACATCCCCGAACCTCTCGATCATCCACCTCCATACGTCCATTCACCTGAACCTTCTGTCCATGACACACCGCCTCGGCTCAGGCCGTCGACGTCTGTGATCTCTCTCCAAGCTCGTTCACGGAGCAGTTCTATATCTAACGTTCTCGCCGTTGCACCGTTTTCCCGCCGGAATACGACTGCAAGTCAGCGCTCCCGTGACCCCGACGCAAAACCTGACAGAGAAGAATCCAGTGACGATGAAGCCATCAACATCGTAGCTGCAGGGAGTAGCGGAAGTCAGGCTCTCGACGAGCGTACTAGCGCTATGAATGCTAGTAATTCGTCAGCGTCCGCGAGCGCCCCGTTGCCATCTGGTGATTCATCGATCGCACCTTCGAGCCCACGTCGAGGCCGACCCGCCAACCTTGATCTCAGCCTCGCTCGTAGCGGAAATATCCTTCCACCAGAACCCTCTCCTGCACCAACGTTATTGACTTTGAGACAAGCGCTGTCACACTCTCCATCGACCAGAACCACACGGTTACCTCAAGAACCTGAGCCTGCCACCGCAGTCCCGGAGGAAGAGGATGACGAGGACGATGTAGATGGTGAGATAAGCCTCGCTCAAGCACTGTTTGAAAGTCGAATACCGGAGTTGCCCCCACTTGGTTCAACGCGGCCGCAACAACCAATTATCATTTCATCTTCTCCAAACGTCCCCGCCGAAGAGGAGCCTTCAAGCCCTCGTACATCAGACGCACACTCGTCCGTGACGTCACGCCCGGATCCGGAGCCAACAGCGAACAGAAGACGGCGTTGGTCTCTTATGCTTAGTTCGAACCGTAGCACTCCCTCTTCACACTCTGCAACTGCTCTCACATCCCCTAGTTTAGCACCCTCTCCACCTCTGGTCCCCCGTGCTACCCGACACTCCCCTTCGTCTTCTTCCCTTGATGCCCGTCTCCACCAATCTTCTACCAGCACCCCGTCTGTGACACCTTTGCCGGAAACCCCTCCACTTCCTACCTCTAGCGCAAGTTCACCGCAAATATCTCAACGTTCGAGGTTTATACCCCGGGTAATCAGTAATGCTCTAGCTGGTAGACGGTCAGGCGATCAACCTTCTACTGAATCGAAGCATTCAGAAGCGGAGGTCTTGAGAAAGGCTTCCAACACGCCCATGTCACCGCAGGTACCTCCGCCCAAGTTAGAATACGTCAAGCTGCCGGGGACGAAGGGGGCTTTGATGATTAAGGCTGTGGAGACTGCAAAGAAGAGGTAGGTAATGCACCCACTCTACTACACCGTGATTAATCCTCCCCCGGCAGCTTTCTGGCGATTCTCTGTGGAGACAACGGGGAGAAAGTCGAGCTGTTTGCAGGTACCTACCGAACAGCGCTTGGTTTATCACGCACTTTCATTTTACCCGACTCTCCTCGGTCACTCGAGCTACAGTTGCAAGGTGATGATCTCGTGGAAGTCTTCCTTGTCTTTTCGCAGAATGTCTTCGGCCTGGAGCCGGCAACCGTTCGAGTCAGAGAAGTACGAATTGGGAGAGCTGAACGCAGAGCAGCTAGGAGGAGAGCCAGGGAGCTTAGGAACGGCGACGCAGGATCGAATGAGCCTGATGCGCCTGGGGACGAGGACACTAACGTTAACGTCAATATTGGAGTGTCCGTCTCGGTCCCCAGCAACAATGCAGATGATTCTTCATTGGCGACACCCAGTAGACATCCAGACGACGTGCCCTCGACACCTAATGAGGCAAGCAACGAAGCGACGAGCGCGTCAGCTACTTCTTCAGCCCAGGCTCACGCCGAAGAAGTCGTTGCGCTCGCTACTGCGCATATGGGACCATATACGAGCTTCCAACAATTGTCGTTTACCCCCAAGTTTCCTCTTGCCTCGATTGCGGACGACTACATCATTCCTCCCACATATCCTGATTTCTTGAACTATCGCCAAGAATATGAACCAGGATCGGATGAAATTAGCAACAACACGGATTTGTCCCAGGTCCAGTTCTCGCCTCCCGGACTTCCCGTGCCCGCCCCTGCTGTCCCTTCGAAGTGGTATTATCGGGATCCGAAGGATGTTGTACATGGTAGAGTTGTGTTCGCCGAATCCGTTTATCTAAGCTCACACCGTTTCAGGACCTTGGAAAGCTTCGTTAATGCAAGCTTGGTACAAGGACGGTTTGCTACCTCCAGATCTACCAGTCAGGCGGGAGGACACAGACTTTATGCTTCTGAAGGACTTAAGGCTTCAATGTGTTGACCCGACGCAGCCTTTTCATGCCTCCCGTTCCGCAACGGCATCATCTGCAAGAAATTTAGAGGCGGAGAAACCTCTTCTACCCCCGATATCCTTGTTAGCCCAGCCTCGGCACTTCGGTCCTCCAGCCTTATTTTATTCCTCCCGTGGAGGCCATAGTACTGCGATCGTGGACAATCGCGGACGATCCGTACTGAAGGGACGCTTCGTTTGGAGTGTTGATGAAGAAAATTCTTCAGTTAATTTCTCTGGACGCATGGGTGATATTAAGCGTCTGGAGGCCTTTGACGTTCAAGACCGTTCCGTCTTGATTGCTATGCGACAGGGTGGTTTGGAGGCTGTTGACCTAAGCGATGCCCTTCTAAAACCAGGGGACGAGTCACGAACAACGATACCCAACTTCGACCCACCTCCCTCTAACGTCAATCGACGTGGACCCTTTGTATGGAAAATTGGTACTCCTGTCGCTTCTTCGTCGGACTGCTCGTCGAGTATTCTGTCCTCGAAGATCAAGCCGAGCCATACTATAATTCCCGGAAAGCGACAGACTCTGCAATCACGATCCCCTGCAGGCAGGAGCGAATTTTCTATACATGATGCAGACAACGAACCGCACGAGGAAATGCTTTTTCTGGGCCGGAAAGAGGACGAGATCTACATCTGCGAACGCAATTCAGGCACTTTCCGGATTTTACGACTTTGTCCAGCACATCACGACGCTCCATTTGTTCCGTTTTAGGTTCTAGGTTGCACGGACTGACTCACCTTCTAAAATATGCAGTAGACTAGGATAAAATTAATTAGTTTGTGCTTTTAGCCCTTGCCAACGTTATGTAGAAGACATAATTCGGAAGCGACCAAGTGTACATGTGTTGTATTGCTCAAACCGCTCATTATAACTTTGCCTTCATATTATTAACCCGTTTTCTCAATTCTGTCTTTAAAATCTTCCCAGTAGATGTTTTCTGGGTATAAACGTCATTACATTAAACTAACTTGCGTGGAAAATGTGAAGACGTACGGGTAACTCGGGCACAACTTCTACCCACTCCGGACAAGCGAAGCCCGGCAAACGCTTCTTCGCATGTTCCTTCAGGTCTCTCTCGAATTCCGCATGCCGGCCGGCCCATTTTTCTGCGTGTTGTGGATGAAGGATTACGAATGCCATAGGGCGTTCGCCCCACTTAGGATGTGAGCGAGCTACAACCGACACCTCCAGGATATGAGGGTGGCTTGCAAGTTCTGAGACGACGTAGGTCAGCGGGAATGGATCGAGGACGACCCAACAACCTCTTACCTTGTTCAATGGCCAAACTGGATGCGTTCTACCCGCATTCTTTTAGTAAAAGTACCATGACGCACGGAAGACATACGAACCTCGCCTCCTGAGATGATTATGTCCTTACTGCGATCCATGATCGCAATGGACCCATCGGGGTGCATGACAGCTAAATCGCCAGTATTGAAGTAGCCGCCGCGGAATGCCTTCTTCGTTGCTTCGGGGTCATTGAGATACTACATCGGCGTTACATCAATATCTCATGTTTAGGGACAGAGGGCATGGACCGAAGGACCAACCTCTTTCATGACAATATTTCCCTTGGTAACGATTTCGCCAATGGTCTTACCATCTTTCGGCACATCTACAAGCACGACCTTGTCTAGGGGCAGGTCCGGGTCGGGCTGGTAGACGACACGCGCGACTTCTGCTGTCGCGAAGGTTTGACCCTGGCGAGCCATGAGCTTCGATCTATCTTCTAAGGAAAGAGTTTTCCACTCGGGATACTCGTAGCAGCGGGTGAAAGGACCGTATGTCTAGGTATACGTTCATTTTGTGAGAAGCGTTGTTGATATATGATACTTTCACAGACCTCGCTGCCATCGGAACGAGGTACTATGAGCGATAGCGTTGCGAGGTCTGAAGCAAATAGCTCACGTTAATCCATACACATGGCATGGCTTTATGCCTATCTTCTCAAGTTCGCTGATAAGATGGGCGGTGGGTGCAGAACCAGCGATGATAGCTGTTATACCGCGTTCGAGCCTCTTTGCTTTCGGATGGTTGAATATGCCAATCTGGAAAGGGCATCTGGAAACCAGCTCTGGGAGATCCAATCAAAACGCATACCTGAACTGTCGGTGCACCACAGTAATGCGTGACACCAGAGTGGAGGAAATGATTCCAGATAAGGGAGTAATCTACTGTCCTGAGCGTTATCTTGGACGAGTAATGAACGTCGGTTATTAAACAAGGTACACTGAATGACTCAAGGAGTACCGACCTGCGTCGCAAATGCAAAGACGGTGGCCCATGGATAGGTCCAGCCTGCGGCATGGAACATAGGCAATATCCTGATTTAGATTACTCAGTGTCCTTGTAAAACCTTGTCACGGAAAGACGTCACCAGAGATACGTAGAATCACGATTGATCCTGGAAGTAAGAGCTTCTAAGTAGTTTGACGAAGGGGGGTGACATCACCCACTGGCTTTCGAATGCGTTCCCTATTGCGGCTAGGTACGCTCCTGGAAACCCCAATGCAGTTTGGATCAATACTTCATAGAAATTAGCAAGTACGTACCTCGAAGTGTAGAGACGACACCCTTCGGCTAGTATTACGAATAGGAGCATGAGCTGACGCAATGAAGAAGCGTTTATAGCTTACTCGTCCTGTAGTACCAGACCTAGATAGAAGAAGTAGGAGTTAATCAGGAGAGAAGACCAAGGGTTAAGGTACTCACGTATAGCACAGAGTGGATGCCGCGTTTTCATTTGGTTCCGCTTCTAGTCCTTGCCAGCTTCTTTCGGCACTGAACTCTCTCCCTTTTGCGAGAAACTGCTCATATGGGTCGTCCGGCTTACCAGTGTCGTCGCAAATGATTACTGGTACGCGGACGCCTGCTAGTAGATGCAAGTATTCACGGTCGCATAACACAAGCTTTGATCCGCTGTGTTCAATAATGTATTCGACTTCAGTAGGCTTGAGCCGAATATTGATGGGCGTAAACACGCAACGAGCAGCGAGGAATCCGAAGTGTGCATCTTAAACAAAGGCAGAGCTCAATACCATGGAGGAATAGAGGGAGGAGAGGAGTAACCTGCTATCATTGGCCTACACAACGGGTCAGCAATGCTCTCCGTCAAATTAGCTATAGCTCACGAATTCGGGGCTATCACGGCTACCCGATCCCCAGGTCGTATACCTACGTGAATAAGTGCGTACGCGAGATTCTGTACTCTCTGGCACCTGGTTTCACGACGTTAGGTGTCGCTTTACTTGACCTAAGGATGACCAACCAGACGGAGAACGAATAGAACACGGGGTGCTCAGTGTCTGGGTGGGCAATGGCCAGTTTATTGGGGTATATCTGGGCAGCTCGGAGCAAGAAAGCGAGCGGATTCTGACAGACCCTCAGTATTTGAACTCGAAGTGGATGGAATGGGGCAAGTCTTACAAGGTTGTGCAAGTACACTGGTTTGTCCTTGGGGGTTACTTGCCTCAGTACAACATTGCGGGGTGGTATACTGGCAGGGGTAGGCTGGAAGTTCCTGAAAGCTGGGTGAGATGCTGAGGAGCAGCCATCAGCAATTGGCACCGAGTGTGTCGCTTGCAGGCGTACCGAAGGACATGGTGGTGGTTCACAAGCAAGAGGCGTAGGGTTGACTTCGGGAACTCAAGTACCCCAGATTTCTGCCGAATGGGGATAATTACTAGGATCGGAGAAGCGTGCGGCACCAAGATGTTCCTTCCTAGTTGGGACAAGCCGGGTTGGACCAGTCCACCTCGAAAGTTGGTATATAACGGAATGGCGGAATGGCGTCTCGCTTTATTCTTTTTCCTTTTCTCTCACCACCTAATCCACTTTCCTTCCGATCCACAGCCTAGGCGAAGTCCCAACTTGCTGGTCATTGGGTCACATCACATACTACCGTAATCACACATCATAGAATGGTCAGATGTACGCCATTGGCGTTCGCTTGGGCTTCTATCTTTATCAACGCAGTCGCCGGTATCTACCTCTCCCCGCATATTACGGTACTCGCTTAACGTCGTTTCCTTAGGCGATCCAGTTGATTGGGTGAATGTCAAGTACGTTCAAAGGGCGAGTTCACAAGGTTCTACCACAAAAGACGCAAGAGCCGCCATAGTAAATTCCGCGGACAGCCTGAACAAGAAAGGCCCATGGAGTAGGTGTAAAACACTCCATTTACCATACAGTCGTCCTTATTCTGTAGCTATCATGTCTGGTGACATATTACCACCAAGTAAGGACAAGAGAGATTATCTGAGTTTCGCTCCTTAGTGAGTATTCGCTCCTCCTGATTCATATGTATACATTGTATACTTATGGTTGTAGTCACTGGCCGGATTGTAATTGGTGCGCTACTGGTCGACAGCACCTCGCCCATGGCCCCTCTTCCCCCGACAACAATGAGGACGACGGTGTCGGCGATGACGACGGCCTGAGGGGGCCAGATTACTATGGCTCAAACCCCGCCTACTATGAAGTTAGCAGCGAGGAATCAAATCAGACCCATCCTCAAGCTACGAATGGGCGTATGCAGCGACGAAGACGGTCGTCAATCCTGCAGGAATCGCCCGGCCCTCAGGCCCAGGTGCCGCTTGGAACTTCCGTGGCTTTGCCAATTGCTACCTCAAGTGTCCTAAAGCTCACAACAACCTCGACTAAGACGCAGTCTGTAACTGGCACTCCAGGTCCTGCTGGCGCTGCCGCCAAAACTGGAACCAAAACCAGTAAGCAATCATGTACCCCTTCCCCTACGAAAAGCCTCGCGCCAAGTGCAAGTAAGTACAGCGCCTCCTTGACGAGTTCTTAAGTAGTTAGTGACTTACCCCAATCACAGCGTGGACGAAATGTCCTTACGTTGTCCGTGATGGGAGGGTCAATCCTGATGTCCGCAAACTCAAGGGGCCCCCTTCAATTCAGAGCGTATCTCAAGCTACTCTGTTCAACGCGCTAGCCTCCCAATTTTCCTCATCTGCATCTTTAAGTTCTTCTTATATTCAGAACGTGAATGATCTCATCAATGTCTTCTTCCTCGACTCCAAAACTGCCATGAATCCCAACGTCAACTTTGGTCAAATGGTGCGAGGTCCTGGGGATAACGGGCAAAGAGGAACGTTCACCGGCATCCTCGATATACGGGGGATCGTCAAAATAGTTAATGCCCTCTTAATCTTGAGAACTGGAGTTAGGAAAGGATCAGATGTCAGCCAGAGGGGAGAAGACGACGTACAATCCGTCGATGCTGCTATGCGGAGATGGGTATCTCAGTATGTGCGCTGGTTACAGACAAGTCCACTGGCCGAGAAAGCCGCATCTAGGCCGAAGTGCGTTATTCTATATTGAAACCGTTAAACCGTCTCTGATCTTGTTCGACGCAGTAATCACGGCAGTTTTTTTACAGCACAATTGGCGGCAACGCAGATGTTCCTCGGCGACAAAGCCGGCGCGATTCAGACGTTGACTTCATTCTTTGAAGGTAGCTTTCTTAATCAAATCGCCTCCTCTGGGGAGCAGCCTATGGAATGCGTTCGAACCCGGCCGTGGCACTACCGCAGTTTCAATCTGGAAGCATTAATCGTGAGTTTCATGTTTTTCGACAACGTCTTCTTGGTAACACTGAGCGAACGTAGACAAACGCAAAACTGGGCGATCAACTAGGTGCCAATTTTTGGGCACACAAGTCCAAGTACGGCGCCACAATCCAAACTGCTGTGGATTATACGATGGGCCTTGACCCGGGGAGAGAAGATCCTAGTGAACTGGTTCCACACGTCGCTGCTGTCGCTGCCGCCTATGGGGATCCATCTGGGAAGTATCAGGACTTTATGAAGAAGTACCAACCGGATTACAAGCAAAGGGCATTCTGGTTCTATGATCAAACCAGCGCTCTGCCAAACTCTCCCGCTGGCAAGGCTTCAAGGGGCGAAGGATCAGTGAAGGAAACAGATGTGTCCGGTCACCCCGCAGCCTCCTTTACAGTGCCGCCCTTCGCATGTCCCGAGCAGTTCCTCTATGAACCGTCCGGGGCAACGGAATTCGACGATGGTCTTTTCTTCTCTTGCGCAGAAATTGCTCCTTTCTATTAGCATGAATGTTCGTCGTACATACATAGTTTGGACCGAAGTACTCTTGAAAGAAGTGATCGCGCGAGGTGTTTAGCGCCCTTAAGCGCCAACATTTACCAAACAATGACAAGCGCAGCAGCCTCTCCCTCTCGCCACCAACTCGTTATTCCACTTTGCTCTCACCTCTATCACCCATGGCAGAAGCTGCGTCTGGATCTGCGGACAAATCCGTCCAAGTCAAGCTCGTCCTCCTAGGTATGCTCTACTGCCGTGCTGCTCGAGGAACGTGGTTATCTTGAATGTCTCTGTCTTCGAGCCACGAGATTTTCCTTGTCGTTAGCACTGTACCAGTTTGAGCAGTGCTCATTCATCACATTTATTCTGCAGGTGAAGCCGCCGTTGGCAAATCATCAGTCGTGCTGCGATTTGTGAGGCCTTCCTAAGAACGAATACCTGATTTGTGACTCAATGCTTACTCTTTCTTCCTAGGTTTCGAACGAGTTCCAAGCAAACAAGGAACCTACCATCGGCGCCGCGTTCCTTACGCAGAAGTGCAGGCTTGAGGATCATGTATTGCGCTATGAGATTTGGGATACGGCGGGGCAAGAGCGCTTCCATTCACTTGCTGTGCGTCTTGATGTGTTTCCATGAACACGTCAACTGACAAGCGCAATTAGCCCATGTACTATCGCAACGCCCAGGCGGCCGTGGTTGTTTACGATGTGACGAAAGCCAGCAGTCTGGAGAAGGCGAAGTCTTGGGTGAAGGAGCTGCAACGGCAGGCAAACCCCAACATCGTCATCGCTCTTGCTGGCAACAAAGTTGACCTCGTCCAATCCCCATCCTCCTCCGCTCACCCGGCCTCGTCATCTGAATCTGAGGATGAAGCTGACGATGCTACCGCCACACCAGGAGAGACTCCCGCTTCAAGCGGTGGCGAGCCGGAGGGTCTGCGACAAGTTCCTAGGGAGGAAGCGCAAGCCTATGCTACCGAAGCTGGATTGCTGTTCTTCGAGACTAGTGCCAAGACTGGCGAAGGTATCGTTGAACTCTTCACGGAAATTGGTATGTTGCACAACACTCTTCTCGACCAGCCAGTGAATTTGTTCTGTAGCTAAGAAGATTCCAATTGGGACTATCCTTGCTTCCACTCGCGGTGGTGCTGGGCGCGCTGGCGCCAATGGCGGTCGGGCAGGTACGGGTCAAGAAGGTGTCAATTTGGACGAGAATGCAGCGAAGCCTAAGGATGCATGCAATTGCTGAGCAGACGTTATGTTTGCTTTTCACGCCTATCACGACTCCTTCCTGTTTATCATCCCCCTGATGTCTTTTGCATTGACGCCTCATCTATATACTTGCGTCCTTGGTTGTAATATGCTATGATACTTCTTATTTTGTAAGGACCTATGCCAGTGTTCTAGAGTCAAGTCCTTCCGAAAATCCATTTGTCCGTTCACTTCCTAATCTACATAGGGAGGCGGGCGTGTGACATGTTCTTGTTCTTGAGGAACACCTAGATAAGGAGGAGGGGCGTGTCCATGAGACTGTTCATGTAAGGGGGGAGGTAGAGGGGATTGCAGCCTCGGTATATCTACGGCAATGTAGCCTGGCTGCGTGGGCGGAGAGGAAGGATGAGGCGGAGAGCCTTGACGAGCGACGCTTGGAGACCGGAAATCTGAATCTATGGACGGGGGTGGATCAGACGGATCGTCCATAGCTGGCGGGGGAGGCGGGCGGTCCGCTCGACCAGACATTTCTTCGTGTTGATCTAGAACCAAGCCAAGTACTTCCATGGCGTGTTCGGGCTCACGAATATCAGCTATTTCGGTCAGGTCTGGGTCTCGAGACGCCATAGCCAAGGAAGGAGGAGGCGTTGAAACTCTTTGCATCCCTTCAGAATGCCCATCGAATTGTTGGTCAGACGTAAAGCCAAATTCAGTTCCCTCTCCGACAATCACTGGGGCCATCGAGAGATGGTCGTGGTCAAGGTCGCTGTCAGGTAGGATGATCTCTGTTTCTGATTCTTGAAAGGTTGGAAGTCGATTGGATGTTGATGCTTCTGCTGCAGAAGAGAAAAATGGCGGAGGCGCGTCGCGCTCTTCGAAGGGAGGAGGAGCACCGCTCAATAAACCACTCGGTCCAGCCTCAGCGCCGGTGTCATAGTGGGGTACTGAGTCTACCTCGTCCGCACGAACAGTACGAGCGGGGGGTCGATCGTGCTTCTTTTGATAAGCTTCGTCAACTGAGTGCTCGACCTCCGGCAGACGCGCCGGAGGTGGTAATATCGTGAGTGGAATTGATATCGTGGAGAGGCGCTCCGTCCTGCTAGCCATGTCCACGAATGACACGTTGATATCCAGTCGAAATGATATAGAATGTAGAACAGTTGTCTGGGAGATGGCTGGACACTCTGCATCGCTCTCGAGCAGGCCGGACTCCGTTGGAGGCAAGTCCATCTGGAAATCCGCAGGAGAGCGCGATGGCGACTGATGCAGTATCAAACGCAGTTGGACTGCTCTTGATGAATGGAAACGACAAGATGCTCCTGAGCGACCTATCACCGTACGGTATGATGACCCAAAGAAGAAAGGTAGATTGAGGGGGTTTGAGGACGAGCCTTCTCCGTGGTCTTTGTCGTTGTCCGAGGTTGTCCGAGTAGTTGTTGTATCGACTGGGGGGTCATCAACTTCGGGGTTGGAATCATCGTCGTCGCCCTCCTCTCTGCGCACCTGTACGGTCCGCACTAGCTCTGCCATGACGTTGCGAAGCCGGAGTCCCTCATTGACAATTAGATCTCGAGGTGGTGGTGGCACAGTGATATAAACAGGGATCGGTTCGCCCACTTTGAAGGTTGACCGAGGAATCTCGACTTCGACGCGAGCGGGATCATCAAGGGAATGGAGTTCTGGTGACGCATTCAAAGAGTGCACATGTGAAGAGTACCGCTTCGTGTGGACAATTAAGGACTTGGTTATCGGCTGTCCGGCAGCGTCCAGTGGTTTTAGTTCGACCGTTAATACGTGCGCAAGTGAGGAATGTGATGTACGGATCGACTGAGGCGTATCTGGCGTTAAGGGGATGGCGAAGAGGAAGCTTGATGGCAACGGCGTCGGATTCGAGCGCGAATACGAGTACAGCACGACCTCCGAGAATCCAAGCTCAATATTCCGGCCGTAGGCTGTCTCATTACTGCTCAAGGACACAGATCTGCAAAGGGCGATCAATGCGCGCAGTTGACAAGAATGAGACGCAGGCAGACTCACAGCTTCTCCCAAGCAAACGGTTCAGCACCCTTTATCTGAAGCTCACCTTCGACCGCAGCTCTCTCACCATCGGCACCCAGAAAACCCTTTTGGAAGTTTATGGTGTCGGCTGAAGGAATGATGAGGATCTGTGGACCCGAATCTGTCAGCGGCGGCGGCTGATTGGAGGATGGCTGATTGGCGTCGAGGACATCGTACACGGGCGGGGGCACGTCTGAGGCCATGAAGGTCGGTGGCAAGAGGCAAGCTGAAGGATCATGTTGCACTGGAAAGCAGTTGCAAGGTGAGTCAGCCGGCGGTAATTCACTGCGCGCCACAGAGCTTCCACAAAATCAAGTAAACGATACAAAGCAAATACATAGACCGCATAAATAGAGTAGGCCTGGTTACTCTCATATACAAATCAGATATCACCACAGCCTCACTCGACGCGGGCCAGGCTCTCCAGTTCGTTGAATATTAGCTCGTCCATCGCCACCTCCCGTACCATCAGCATATCCCATGCTATGCCCCGGTAGCCACCAAGCAGACCCGTGCCCTTGTCGGAAGCGTTTTCTCCAGCTTCGCTGAAGCCCATACCAAACGACAGAGGTGGTACGGTGGTTGACTTCGTCGTGTCGAACAGGTCCTCGCCATCGTCGACAATCTTCATTGTCTCGATAATTCGACGCAAGCAGATCACGAATAGCTGGCGGTATTCATGCGACACCATCAAAAACTTTTGAACCATTCTGAACATGACACCGGTGAAACCCAATTTGCGATCGGCCTTTATACGCCTCTTCAGTTCTGGCGGAGAAAGGAAGGCGAGCGAGTAGAGGCCCAGAATGGCTTTCTCCACATAGCTGAGCCAGCTCTCCCCCCGCTGAAGCAATTGGAAATCTGCATCAACCACCGGAAGCCTGTGAACGAGCGACTCTATCAGCCTCCAAAGTCCCACTTGAGACACCGCATGTGCGAAAACTTGACGGTTTCCGTCACTTTGGCTGATGCGAGTCCAAACCTCCAAGGCAACGTCAGGCAATGACGGCGGCCCGAGACGCACATTTGCTGGAGCGCCAGCGACTTGTACACACGCTAAGGGTGACACGGCTTCGGTGGGATCGACGAGATAAGACGAAATAAGGTCGAAGACACGATTAGCCATGCGGAGTGTGGGTTTTGATGGAGGCATCGTCGTTGGAAAGTGTGTCACGTAAGCGGCGGTCTCGAGGGTGTAGAGCGTGTCTTTGCGAATGGCGATAACATCCCCGATAGACAGCACGGGCGATGATGCGCGCAAAGTCCCACCCGCGGACCGCTCAACAGAGCACAATCGGAGCATTATGTCAAATAGTCTGTCTTGACGTGCGATGTATTCCAGGTTATCAGCTATAGTGGTCAGATTCCGAATGATGTTCATGACGGTGATGATGAGGTTGGCCGGGCGGGGTCGAGGACCTAGACTAGAGTCCTTGGCGCCTTGTTTGGGATGCAAGACCGCGAAGGGTTCGGTTTGAACCTCTTGATAAGCATTCACGAGCTGACGATGTGTAATGATGCTGGAATCATCGAGTTCATCTTTAACGCCGTCCATGGCTTCGCCGAACCCAATGTCCTCCATGAGGTCCAGTAACTCTTCGAAGAGGTCGGTACACTGATAGATCGGGAAGCCTGATCCAGGCGCCTGACCTCGCATAGTGGAAAGAAAGGTGAGGGTAGTGAGGGCGTATGACATCTCGGTTGCCAGCCTCGAGCGAATCGACATCGTTAATCCTTCGATATCGACGATACCCCAGTCGTTGATATCGCGCCATGGACGCCGATGGTGCAACGTGGCGTACTCCGCTTCAATTATTCGTAGGTCGCGTCCCCCGCTGGTTTCTATCTCCCGCGCGAGTGGGACATACTCTATCTTTCTCCGCGATGGTTGCGGACGGGCTCGAGGTGGTATGGGCATAGGCGGTGCCTGGGAGGGAGTGGTGGTAGTAGTTCCTGAAGGTCCAACTGAGTTTCGATCCACACCGGGACCCACTGCCGACTATCCCCACGATTTCAGACGTCGAAAGAACAATCCCACAAAGTGAATAGACTTACGGAATTTGCTTCAGGCGGCTCTGACCCTGCACAATGATAGATGATTATCTTTGTATATGCACGGAACATCTAAGTTCAGAAACCTTACCTGTCTTCTGCTTCGCCCGTTTGTTGTCACTGTCTCCGGATTCTAGCTTCCTTTTCAAACCTTGATAGTCACCATCGAGCACGTTGACATCGGGCGCCTGTTGGGAATCTGAAGATGAGTTTGTCGGGAACTTCTGAGGGGTTCCTTGCGTAGGAGTTCGCAAGTTTGAATTCTGAGTTGCGGCCATCGGCGTGTGTGGTGCATTGGGTGTCTGGGGGGCTTGGAGGCGACTGCCCCCAGTGGATCCCTGTGGTTGTGGCCCAGGAGTAGAGGGAGCCATCGGGGTGTTTTGTTGATTTGGGCGAGGAGACATGCCATGGTTTTGTTGTCCGGGTTGACCAGGAGCACCCGTTTGACGAGCGGCGAGTTGTGCCTTGCGCTGCTGGTCTTTCATGTTCATGTTGTAGGCCTCTTCAAAGGGGTACATGATGGCCCCATAGTGCTGCGACAGAAAAGCAGCGACGGAAACGGAGTTGCCTTGAGGTTGGGGTACGAATTCCGGTAGGCCGAGTTGTTGTAGAACCACATTCCACGAGTTGTTGCCATTGACCTGCGTGTTCCCCGTGTTCAACTCGTCAGAAGGAGCTGTTGGATTTTAACGTACCGAACCGAATCCTCCAAGCTGGAGTACCATAGACCATAGCCTCATCAAATCGATGTCCTTTCCTACTATCCTCAGCACTCCCGGCTCACTTATCATTCCCTCAAGAGACTTCCATTGTGTGTTCATGGGGTCATAGGCCGGATTTGTTGTGACACCGGTGAGCTGAGGCGGCAAAGGAGTGCTGCGCTTCTGATGTACACTTGCGAGGCCATTCAGGAACTGCTGCCTAGATTTCAGCATGGCGGCACGCGCTGCAGGATTTGACTGGGCCATGGCGCTGGGAGAATCGAAGAAGGGCGGGTTTCCTGCCGAATTTGGGGTGGCCTGGGGCAGAGCATGATTATTCGTCATATGGAGAGCGTTTTGGCTTTGGATTAGGGAATGATTGTTGGCCAGAGGATCGTGACCCATGGAAGGGGCAGCCGGGATATTAACTTGGGGAGTTCCACCGAGATATGCTCCCGAATTTGTTCCGTTCAAAGGAAGCGACGCTGAGGGGACAGACGAGCGTCCGTTCATCATTCTGGCATGGCTTGCGGCGTTGAGGGCAGCCATTTGCTTGGCAGCCTGAGAAGGATCTAAATTGAAGTATTGGGCGGACTGGTCGAAGGCAGGATTTGGGTTTGACGGGGCGAATGAAGAGATTTGGTGCTGGGCGCTGTTGTGGACGTTGTGGAGGCCATTGGAAGAGTTTTGAGGTCTGCAGCGACGACGCGGATCAGAACGACGGGGCGCACAATCCCCAGAGACAAAAGGGGCTCACAGCATGGGGACCAGCTCAAGCCGAAATTTCAAGTCGAGGTTCAGAGCTACTGTTGGACTGCAGCTGCTGGATATGGAAGGTCCCTGCCACTGGACGCCTCACTGATGGCCCAGCGACGCTAGTTTCCTCATTGTACCGTACATCCATGGACGCTCTCTTCAACGCTCAAACTCAGTCCTTCCAAAATCCATATCATATCAGGCGGCTGAAATTGCTGCCATTTCCTGCGCGTCGAATTGGCTCCGGCAGTTGCACCAGCGGTTCTTCTGTCACACTCACGCCCTTGTGACCGCCGCTTGCTGTCCCGCATGAAATTTTCTTCCACCGCAACCATCATCATGCCCAAATCTGAAATCGACGACATTTTTGCTGGCAAGGGCAAGGCAAAGGCAAATGACCCCACTCCATCACCATCACAGTCTCTTCCAGCTTCCAAGTCATCAAAGAAGAAGAACAAACGGAAATCCAAACCCGAGGTAAACGAACAGCCTCAGGTCTCTTCTTCCAAGAAGCGGCCACTGCCAGAAACCATCGTGGACACCTCTACCACGCTCGGCAAGCGCCCCAAAATTGAGAAACGACCATCAGCAAAAACATCATCGAGTACACCTCGCGATGACATTGACAGGTTTAACGACTCGAGGGGAACCAGCTCGAGCAAGTTATCCCCTTGCTGTGCAATCTAATATTTCTGACTCGCATCTCGTAGGGAAAACGACAGAAGAGGGCTGGGCAATCTTCAAAGAGGACGAACTTGGAATCAATCCCGAAGCCGGAGGTCAGTGTCCATTTCTAGCTCCGTTGCATGCTCTGGGAACACTGATCTAGATACGCCGGAGTGCCCATTTGACTGTAAATGTTGTGAGTGTCCTCACCCCGAAACCTCGCTACGCGCTAACTTGTCCCCTTGCAGGTTATTGAGTTTGAGCTTCCATATATTTGGTCCAAACCTACTTTTCCCTTGCATCCGACCCTATTGCTCTTCGGTCATCCTTGAACCGTATCATGCGCTCGGAGTGAGAGCCTAATCCCCTCAGCCGCTGTTGGCATCGTAACACACGAAGCATTCTTTCATCTCGTTGAGTGTGATCTCGTACGAACCCAAATGAGCTAGCCTACCAAAGTTCAGAGGCAGCGCAATGAAATGTGAGTAACCCCATACCTCTGTTCTTTGCTTACGCTGATTTCTCGGAAAGGTGTCTATAATTTTATGGTTCCAGTTATTCGCGGTGACGTCGGCTCTTTCGAAGCCTCCTCTGTCGCTCTCTGAGTAATGACTTGTGGAGGTCAAAAAGTAGCCAATAGTAATTCTTCCTTGGTATATCTTTACGGCGAACCCTAGCTTGTTGAGATACTGGTTGTTAACCACATAAACTTGGAATACATATTCATTCACACAACCACATGCATTCCTATTCTCGATGCCACGATCCGACAGCATGGTTAAGTGCTTGGCTACCCAACATCGTCCCACCGACAGCTACCTAATCGTCGTCGTCATCATCATAATCCACTAGGGCCTCTTTCTTATGGCCTAACTCTTCAAATGGATCGCCATTCGCCATTGCATTCTGGGATTCCACCGCCTTTTTGTTCCGCTTCTCCTCAGCCTTGCGTTCCTCCTCAGCTTTCTTCGCCAGGTACGCTTTGCTGCCAACGACTTTCTCCGGGTTTTTGCAGATTTTCAACCGTCGATCGATATCACGTACGTCATTCACGTTCGGTGGGTGACCAAAATTGACGATCATGCTCTTGATGGCTTCAACAGTAGCGTCCAGAGCCGCGGGCGGAGTCCCGCTGCCTGATGCTGACAGTTTACTGTGAGACCACCGAGCTGCTAGGTCTGGGGCGACGAGGGATGCAGCGGCCAACGCGATCTGCGATGGCGTGTAAATTAATTCGGCGTCGGTCAGTCGTGATTCGCGTATATGGGCCAGTGCTGCATCATATAGCTGCGACGGGGGAGGATCTTCTGTTTGTGCAGCTGCTGGGGGAAGACTCTGGATGTCCAGGACGATACCCCACAGAGCGCGATGGGCGTGCCATACGGCAAACTCGAACTCCAGGCTTTGAGCGACAAGGAATTCAAGGTCGAGAACGTCCGATGGCGATGTTTTTGGTATATGTGTCGTAAAGGCTTCCAGTGAAATTGGGTTATTGGTAGTTTTGGCCGCCAGAAATAGCGTGGTCAACCTGATAATGCAACGTCAATATTATATCAATCAGTCATGAACTTAGACATCGAGACGCACATAACATTCTTCGGATGCCAGTCCATGACCGTATTCTTGAGATAGAATCGCTTTAGGTAGCTTATTGCAGTCGCCTCGACTTCGTCTGGAAATCGGAAATGACCGCACAGCTGCGATATCTTGGACATATACAGTTTCACGAGCAACTGCTCCTCTTCCCAATTGAGAAACGCGATATTGGCTGACGAGCCTGGCTAAGTCTCCGAGATAGTAAGAATACACGTCCTACACTATCAACATAGAATCGCAACATACCTCGTCCGCCTCGAACGTTGCGCGTATGGCATCTACGGCGGCTTCGTTCATCGAGGCACGCGTCCGTACGAGTTCGTCCACGGAGAATCGCCAGTGCTTGAATTGCGTGCTGGCCTCGTATAAAGGGATCTTAGTTGGCTGCGTGGGCTCCTGCTCTGCCAATGTCGCCGGCGTTGCAGCCATCCTTCCAAGTAGAGAGAGTACGGAGCAGACAAGTAGTCAGTAAATTTTTCCCACGCAGGCCCGACTATCACTCCGACAGGACCGAGCTTGAGGAACGTTCAACGTTGCTACTGCTCCCGTTGATGATTTTCATTGATATACCCAGATACCCAGAATGATGGACTAACGGACAGCAACGCGAAGGACCACCATCCCCTTCATTATAAACCACCACCATTTCGTTCCGTAACTCTTCCATTCCTTCAATTCACCACTCATTTGAACATATGCGATGATGCTGCCAGCGCGCCGTTGGTGGACTGCAGCGCTTGCGCTGTGCCTGGGCAGCGAAATGCGCGCCGTGGAGGCCTTCCAGCTGGTGAATGGCCAGATGGTCACGGACGGGTTCTCGATAATCAATAGTCCACAACCTAACACGTTAGATATTCGCATTTCGCAGGTCTACAGGGAACTTGACTTCGTTATTTCAGGCCCGTTCATGATAATATTGTCATATCAGTGGATGTAAGTGAAATTTCCCCACAATTTATAGAGACCATGTATCTAACTCCATGGTCATAGGTGTCATCAAATGGGAAGCTTCAGGCCCCGTCTGCTATTGACAGCCTAGAGATATACCTTGTCTCTGACGCATTGAACGTGAACGTCACGGTCACCGCTGGTCCTGGTTTCTTGCAAGGGGAACAAGGCAGCACTGTCAAACATCTGAACTTCCGCCCACCACCATGTGCTCGCGATGGAGATTATAATGTGGGTATACGTTGGATTCATGGTCAGCTATCAGGCTTAACAAATAATCGTTACCCCTAGCTCACGTTTTACGAGGCATCGCATAATGCGGACGGCAACTTCTTTGTCATTACAGCGATCCCTGTACGCGTCGACCAGACTCAGAACTCCCCCACTGCCTGTAACGCCAACGACCTACAAGTCCAACCTCAGGCTTCGAGTCCGCCTCCCGGAGGGAATCCATTCCTGGCCTCCAATTCCGGTGGTAATGGAGTGCCTACCGTGACTTCCTTGCCAGGAATTACTACGGTTACAGTATCTGCTGGACAGACGCGTACCCAATTATTCCCTTCGATGACCTACCAAGGACCTTCCGACCCCACTATGACTCTCGTCTTAGTATCACAAGTCGCGACCATTACTGAGCAATCGAATGGACCCGCTACTACGGAGTAGGTACGGCTTTAGTTTCCGAGATCTCCACCTCATCTATTGTTCGCAGGATCGAGGTGTCCACCACCACTATCATGACCTTGACAGACCTCTCGAGGTTCCTACCAGTGAGCGGCGCCCAACCCAACGTACCTTCTTTATCCATGCTTCACTTCGTGCTTGCGGGTGCCGTTGTAGTATACAGATTAATGGACCATCACATGAGGTAGAGTGCACAAAATGTATATACATCAATCTGCTTGATTCTTTTGCCATGCTTTTATCCAATCTACAATTCGCGAGACATTCGATTCGATGTCTTCCATAGTCTCGCTTTTTAGCTCGATCACAATCTCTGCAGGATACGACTGTCTTGCTTCTTCCAAGACAACTTCCATTATCTCTGCTTCGTTGTTTTCTTTTATCTTCTTCACTGGGTACCCTCTGATTGTGAACATTTAACAAACGATCGTGACCAATGCAGAGGGTCTAGATGCGCACCTTTTCTCTAATCGTTCCCATAATTGTGTATGATCGCACCGTAGGACAATAACGAGATCAGCCCATCGCTCGGGGAAGAGCTCGCATGTGTGCCAGTCGAGGATGAGACCACCCGCAGACGCCAATGGCTCGAGCTCGTCCAGAAGCTATTCGTGAATCAACAGATGCAAAGTGTGAATTTTGATGCTGTCACCTACCCGATCTTCGTCTACTGTGTAACTTTGCCACTCTTCATCGTACCCTTCATGTAGGCCCTTTTCTTTTACAAATTCACTGACGTTGATGTTTTTAAGCGGAATCGGGGACGCCTCGGCCAAAAACTGTGCGTGTGTCGACTTCCCAGTTCCAGGTGTCCCTGTAAGGATTATAACTGGTGCCTGTCGTTTGCCTGATGCCATTCTGTATTTTGGTTGATTTTGGTCAACTTCAAGTTGCCGAAACTGATGGGGGTTTGATGAATCTGCTGGCGTGCAGTTGGGAAAAAGATCAACTTGGCTTTGTTTGCCTACTTACCCCTGGCAGCCACTCCTGGAAGCGAACTTTATAGTTACCATCCTGTCCTGGAAAAGACGAAGATCGGTACTTTAATCGCTGGGGAGCGCATATGTTATGGTGCGTCCCGTCGGGAATATCCTGCTATTGCTGAATTTGTAACCGCTGCTTGACGACACAGAATATTCTCCCATTCCACGACATGAGGCGCCTGCATTGGAACCCAGGCCTGACAATAGGCTCGTCAGGTGGACAGTAAGGTGCTAGCCTACTCAGGACGTGTGAAGGCCTACCGTCTACGGCGCGCGATCAACCCACCGGAGTCACCAGAAATGCCGTGTGACCAGAAAATTAATAACTCAATCTATGTTTGACATTCGATGAGCTCTTTCCTTCCGCTCCGCCATCCAAATCCCTTACCATCGCTATGAAGGCCTCCTGGAGAGGACGTCTATGAAATTTGACAGCCTCTAGCGATAACCACAACATCTTCATCTTACTCTCATTTACCCCGCCTTTCTTTTCAATCTCGCAAGTAATGGCATCAGTATCACCCGATAATGGGATACAATCCGGGGACTCGTGTCCCGCACCAACTCCAACATCGAACTCGAATTTGCGACGGCTATTTCCACGTATTACCCCGCCGCCGACACCCTGCACCACCAACGAAGTCGTGATTCATCTAGCTACCACCGTAGTGATTCCAGACTATAACCGCTATTTCGCCCCGACACCTATTGCCTCCTTTCAGCCCTCCTACCTTGCCTTAGCAGATGGTTCCCTCGTCGCCAATCCATTTTTCAAAGATCTCCATGATTCCAATATCTCTCTTCTGGTCACCGGCATGCTCGCGATGTTATTCTTGCGCAACATATTTGTGTCGGGTGACTATATCCACCGAGGAGGAGTGAAGAGGAAGACGCTATTTTACTGGCTTTTTATCAGCCAGTTGCTGGCCCCCATCTGCTTTATACCTGAGATTACAGGCTACCTTGACAAGAGCGTCGATTGCATGATGTGAGCCGCGAAGGGCTACAATAGTAGTTTGCTCTAATCACTCCCGTTGGTCAGGGTATTGTGCATGTCACGGATCGCATCATCGATATCCCTCAGTATATTGGTATGCGCCCATACCAGCAATCGGCGGCTTTAACTGACTCCAAATAGATCAGCGGAATCCTGGGATATAAAGCGTATAAGTGCTTAGAGGACTCCAAGATCGTTCTGACTGGCTTGGTCGTCTTTACGGCCGGTTCTGCGACCTTGACGCTGTTCGATGTCCTCACATTGCGTGCTGTCCGCAGAATATCTGGTATGTTCGGAGATACAGACATTTCAAGCATGCTAAACGTTGCTCAGGCGGATGCACGCGTACACCGAATCTTAAGTATATAAAATACTACTCGATCGTTCAATTTGCTGAATCCCTCTTCATTTGTCTTTCATGTATGTTTTAGTCGATTAATCTGTTCGCTGTGCTAACACAAGGGAAATGTAGTTGTGTATGCAGTCTATAGGGCCTACCAATTGCCCGCTGCTCGTGGCCGTGTTTCCTTAGAGTTCTCGGAGAAACCCCCCAGCGACAAAGCCGACTCTCCTACCGGCTGGCAGACAGCAGCCCGACGAGGGTGGTGGGATTATGTGCCAAATAGCGCGAACTCTCGCTCACCAAACGACAATCCGCCGCCGCTGCCCAATAACCTGAAGTGGTCAGATATATTCTCCCAGCTGCAACCGCAAAGGCAAAGAGCAGGTTCAGAGGCCAAATTATTGCGACTCTCATCAGTCGCCGCTTCACCCTCTATACAGACACCTCGTTCTCCAGCCCTGAGAATCGTCCAGCCCAGCACCCTTGGGCCCAAGCACGTAGAGATCGACAAACCCAGTGAAGGGCGCGGTACTTCGCCGGTTCCTTCATCCCTTAGCCGCATTAGTAAATTTATGCCACGGATGATCTTGTTTCGTACAGTTATGAAGGACGAGGTAAGTACTATCATCAGCCGTCTTTTCAGCCGTCAACTCGCCCCTTTCAGCTTTGCTACACGGCCATCATCACTGGAACATGCGTGCTAGTCGCAATTTTATCCATAATCGGGTTGAATCTTCAAAATGGTTTAACTGTCAACGGTTGGATATTGCTAAATTGTGCGTCTCCGTTCGCTTTGTCACGCTAAACCGTTGCCCATTTCTAATGATGTTTCATTCAAGGGGGCGTCATCTCTGCACTAGCCATACATAGCTTTGGCAGGGTGGTGCGGCGAAACGAAAGAGATGCCATCCTTCAGCATCCTACCACGTGGGATTCAGCTCTCAGTGCAGACAAAGCAACCGCTGAAGCTTATTGCCGAGGTCGGTGTAGACGGCCATGGACGCCTGTTAGCGTGGCATCCCACCGTCGTCAATGGCAAGGCACTCCGCCTCCCAAGGAAGAGTCGGATGCTCCAGACGATCCGTTTGCGGACCCGAGTCATCCGAGATTCTCTCAACACTCTTGGAGCTCGATCCTGGCCGGCGTAGCCGAGCTAAGGACTCCTTCGCCGACCTATTCTGTGGGCTCTCTGACGAGGGAGCCGTTGCAGAGCGACCAAGTTCTTCTGCCATCGGTCGGAGACGATTTCCCTACATCTGGGCGAACAACGCCAGTCGTGCCTCACGATGAGTCAGATGGGACTCTCCTTCAAGATTTGCAGAACACTATATGGTGTGAGCCCCGCGTGGTTCGCGCACGGGACAACCCAATAGATCCAGTGAGCAAGATATAACCAAGACTTGACTTTTCTTCCTTCCTATGTAACACACGTATGTAGCTTTCTCGGACCTAGTTACTAATGCATTAAGTACAAACCAATCAACTTCTTTCAGCTTGCCCGTTTTGTTTGATTTGACTACACATAACCGTTCTCACCAACAGGTGTTCCTTCTTGAAACCCACGACATCCGTTCTGCGATAGTAAGCGCTGATGAGAACATACTTCCCATGAGATTTTCTCACACTCGTACTTCTTCAAGATATCCATCATGGACGATCGTCTCATCGACGTCCTCCCAATTCGGTTTTCGAACGCACTTAGCCCGAAGGTTGTTGTTCACCAGTTCCCACTGCTGACCCGCCCATTGCAAGTACCTCCATCCGCAGCTGCAGTTGGTAAAACGATATCCGCCAGGATCAAACCAAGCGCCCGGCGAACCGAGATCCATGTACCAGCAGATACACGGCCCGAAGTTTGGAACGACGAAAAGGCAAAGCAGCTCGGTGCTGCGAGGGTAACAGATGACCTTGAAAAAAGTAAAGAAACAAAAGCCTCAGAGGAGCAAGAACCACGTCTCGCGGAGGTCCGTCTCAGCAGTGAGCAAATCGCTCACTGGGGTACGCCGATGCTCGGGATGATTAGAAATGGTGCACACCTACGCAATTATAGCAGAGAGTTCCACTTGGTTGACCCTGTGCCTAGGCGAACTACACCTTCACCCCATATCCGAAACACACCAATTCCGACCGACACTCACTTATCTCGATGTCTTCTCGCGTAAGAATCGACGGTCGCGAACCGACGACTCGGACTCAGATGATGGTCCCCCACCTGACCCAGACGAGGCTCCCCCGGTCGTGGCTGCCAAGAAAGAAAAAAAGGGAGCAACGGATGCTAAGGAGATACAAGTTACTGCAAGAAAGACCGATGACAAGGGAGGTCTGCAGGCTCAAAGTGGACTTTCTACGGCTCGCAGAGAGATGCTCGCAATTATACGGGCTGAAGAAGACGAAGATTGGCTTGATCTTAAGTACCATGATACCAACGTAGGTGGCCCTTCAACTTGCTGGAATAAAATCCTGATGCTTAGCACAGACTACGGAGGCTGCGGATATTTTTGAATCTATGTTTTCACAAAATGAGGAAAAACTTGTATGCACTACAGATGCTACCACTTTCTTGAACGCCATAGAGGGGTTGTCACAATAATACATGCGTCACAGACGCGACCTGTAACAACACGCGTCGCGTGACTTACCCCAGGTTCGCTTGCCGACTTACTTCCACCATCGTACTCGCACAATGTACTCCGATAGCGACACCGAGTCTGACTTTGGGGCATCAGACGTCGCTAACACCCAGGAAACCTACTCTTCACTCCCTTGCTTCTCTTCCACGCCGGCTGAGAAGCCATGGGTTGGACGCGACGTTGAAAAGGCAGTGGAGGAACTGGGCGCTCTGGATATAGGTGAATCGGACTCGGTGAGCTACCAGAAATGCTACTCTGCGTTGCAATGTGGCAATACTCATTGGCTTTTCAGGAAACTGAGCTACACGAACTAATATCGTCGGCGTCGACTGCTATTTGCAGTTTCCTGGACAGCGTCAACTCTGGCGAGCAAGATGGATTCGGGCTCAAAGATATCCTTGCACTAGCTGTGATGCTATGTGAGTATAGATTACACACATGCACAGAACTTTAGTGACGCATATATCCGCAGTCGACCCATCATTCCTCGAGACTTTGTTCCAACACCGCCGTCACTTTCATCGAATCGCGACTTTGTCAACGCCTCAGAAGTCATCTATTGTTGTATGCTGGGCAGACTCTGCTCTAGTCAAGCTCAGCGAGTTCGCTGTCTCTGTCGCGTCTGGACTGTCGAACTCATCAAACCAGATTTCGATGCCAAAGGGACTAAGCATTCAGTGGCAGGACGACTCCTTGAGGGGTGCGGCACAGATTCCATGTATGCATTGAAATAAAATAGAATACAAACGTCAGTGCTCAACAAATGTCTTCCCAGATAAGTGGACATTCCTGCCGGGTGTACTGTCCTTGGAGCAGGCCTCCCCGGCTGCGAAACGCATAGTCTCGCGGTTGCTATTTGGGGTATTTGTCATCCGACCCCAGCTACACGAATGCAATCCATGGGACTCTAGAACGTAAGCCGTCCGCCTATACCAAAGATTCATCGCTTCACGCTAACGGGAAACAAGGACAACGCCCTTGCAGATGATGGAAATCATATCCGGCTTTTTAAGACAAATAGACATGAATCGGCCACTCGTGGGATGGTTTGAACTTCAAGAACGAATCACACAATGCATACTTGTCGTCCTCTTCACGGTTTGTCTCTAATCCCTAAGCTTTGAGAATGGGCTGATGCCTTGCGCTAGCTGGCCGACCTGGACAACAGGCGGCAGATATCGCAAAGCGGCGCGCCAGTCTCTCCGTGGAAACCTCGGACACTAGGGATCATGCTCGAGATGATTGAGTGCAATATCCTGCAACCAAAAACTGGGGGTGCCGTGGGACCCGCAGATGAGCTTGACGTCGCACAGACGATCCTCTTGCGGTGGGGCAGTACAATCCCTTGGAGTTGGATGGTATGGCGCGACCTGCGAATAGCGGGAGCTGAATGCATTGTGCAACTTGTATGTGATCACTTTAATGGCCTAAGCTAGGGCTTACATGGGTAGACGTTGGAGTGGCTATGTCGGCTTGAACAGCCGCTTTTCCATGGGGTACCATCGTTGTCACATTGGACATCAGACGTTACACCGCACATAGAAGCCTCACCGCCCGCAGCAAAGGCTATTATGATGGTGAGTTGCGTTTCTTGGGACGCTTGCGAATCTAAACTTACCTATGTTAGCATGTTCTCACTGTGCATATGGCAAATCTATCCCCATCGACAAGCGCCCACAGTAGTCACACTGAAGTTTCGTTGGGAATATTCAAATGTTGCTGGATCCTTCTTCACTTGACAAAGCAGGGCCTTCTAAACTTAGACAGCTCTGATGCCCGTCTCCCATCTGATTTATGCACAATATTTCTCGAATTGTTTGTTTCATCGGGCAATGACGCCCCTCCGAACATTGCTAGTACGTGCGATTTGGCCACTTCGAAGCGACCGCTCACCATCTTTCAGCCAAGGCCCTGATATTGGAAGCATTAGCACTAGCAGACGCCGATACTTGGGCCATATGCATGGAGATAGTCAAAGGCAAAAAGGAGCTGAACTTCATTGCGCGGCTAGATGATCGTATGTGAACCCTCATACTCACGGACCCTCCATTCTGATCGCGGTTTTCATAGAACTTTCACTGACAAGAAGGTGACTTGCGCGATCGGAACTGGGTGCATCGTGTGTTAACGCGTTCCACTATGCTGCAGGGCTATAAAAGGCGCACAGGAGGAATCATTAAATGATGTGGAAATGAATGAGGTCAAGATGCTTCTGACCTTCCTGGGCATTATGTGGCATAACAAATGTAATGGATATGTCCATCGCCAAACTGTATCGCCTTTCCTCTCTACCTTGCTGTCTGCTCGGTGGAGCAGAGAATCGGTACTTCCGGAACTACATGACTCGCTGTTGACTACTTTGTCAATAATGGAATCACGAAGAGCCGAGACAGCTTTCCCGGATGTTGACCCTTATTGGGAGGACGACACCGTCTGGAACTTGGCTCTGGAAGCCGGAAGTTGCAACATCACAGTCACACGTACGCCCTCTCACACCGAAATCTGTTGACGAGTACTCATATCTGATCGGAAGTGGCATTTTCCCAGTACATCTTGTCAACTAAACGCCTCTGCGATCCACTCACTAACGCTGAAGCTTGGAGTCATCTACGGGATTCGATGCTTCTCATTCTGTCCCAGCAATTTCTCCAAGAGGAAGAAGCCCTGGCTCTCATTGCAGCGCCAGTCATCTGCCAGGCATTGTGCCTGATACTATTGAATAATGATCAAGCAGGTGTGTGATTTGGTTTATTTATATTGGTGAGATGTCTTCCTGATTCTCCAACTACATAAGCTAAGCTCCACTCACCGTGGACAACAAACCTGCTCAAAGAGCTGAAGTCGCTTTTGGCCCGCTCGATCGACGATAACGTGAATTACACGAGTCTCCTCAGAGATAGAATGTCCATAGTAGGCCAGCGGCTACTCGATGCTGTGAGATAGCATTTCCTGTTCAATCCACTCGTTCTGACCTCAGGGCAAAATAGATTTCCTCTCCGGGTGCGGGGTCAGGATCACACGTCCGTCTAGCCAGATAACTCTTTGGTGTGAGCTCACGCAAGTTTAGGGCATGCCATTGTTGGAACGCGAACTTCTCTTCTGCGAGGTACATTCATCAAGCCGCCTACTGCTAGTGCCTCGTCTTTGATATACACACGGAATGGCCAAGCTTATATGCTGCATGTGAGACTATTTTTGTCTTTCAATCCGAACAGGCGTAAAGAAGCTCCGTTAGACCCAGAAACAGTCACATGTATATTTACAGATGGACATGTAGCTCGCCCGTGGAACAGCCGACATTTGTCGGACGGAGGTGACGTTGGCTGTTGGGCTAGGCTTACAGCGCGTCGATGGACGAACACGCCCAACGTTTGCTGTGTGAACGCGTCGGAAAAGGGATCAACAGAGCCAATAATGTACGGTGGATACTTGGATGGACCCTTCTGCCATGGTGCATGACAGGATGGTATACGGCATATGCAGAGCCACAATACGAACAGATGATAAGGAATACCAAAGGGGCACACAAAGAGACGTCGAGCGGCTGGAGTAATTCAGCAAGGACTACGATTCACAATCGATAATGCTATGACTAAAGTGGTACCGCACCTGCAGAACGGAGACGAGCTGATCACGGAACTATCTCAAAATTCTGTGGCGGGGGCGGTTAGGCGGCCACATCGCCTGAAAAGCGGTTCCGAATCGTCATCGTCAGTCACGGCCATCTGCGAAGTCGATGATCCACCGAATCCGCCAGATTGCTGACATAAGCACAATACACTACATTCAAAAGGCTTTCGGGTCGATTCTTTCCAAGTCCCACCGCGAAGAGCTAATCGTTGGTGGTACCGCCAAATCCCGCCATTTCAGGCCTCACCGCTACATCTGATGGTGTCGAAGCGAGGATCTTCTCAGCGCCGCAGATCCCAGACAACGACCGCAATCACTTCTCATGCACCCCGCCGCACCATCGACGATGCTTACCGTGCCGCGACTAAAAGAGCTCATCGGCCTCGAGCCAGCAGCCCATCATCGTTCTCCGATGATTCATCCTCATCCAATTGGGACTTCGATATCTGGAGGCAGGCCAAGAGACGCCGTCGGGATTCTCTGGTAAGCAGGATTCATACGGCATCCACATATCATTCTGACGAATCACCACTCTCAAAGCCTTCAGCTCGGAACGGATCTCATATGGACATCGACCAATTTACGACCATGCCATCGACCAGCTCGGGCGCGACAGCGCGGCGGACTACATTACCGTCGACGTCCATAGCGTTTCAGCTATTTCCAATGGCTGGACGTCGATCAACTAAGACACGACGCTCTAGTTGTCAAAGCGATTCCGGGGATATCGCTCTCAATGACCGTGATGCTGACATCAGAGGTCTGCGTACCAACGCGTTTTGGGAGCTACATCGCAGCGTCGCCGAGAGTGGTGAGGGATTCGTTCGGCGAATGCAGGATTTGGAGAATTCTCTGAGCCGGCCAGATATGAGGGAATCAACGTTAATTGGGAAGAGGCGGTCGTCCATAATTCCATCGCCGCCTTGTTCGGTACGAATGGACCAGATGAGCGACTGCTCCGACGATGGCGAAGATGACGTGCAGATACTAGATGGTGAAATGGGTGTGAACCAGTGGTCACAACTTTCCAGCTCGTTTCGGGATTCCTCACAAGTTCCTCTTGCATATCGCACAGACGACGAAGAAGCCACATCGTCTTCCATTTCGGTTCATTCATCCCCTTCAACGACATCCATACCATTCCCCTCGTCAGATTCCTCTGGTTCGCTGCCGTACTCTGCCGATCCGTCCGCGCTAGAATATCCCTCTTCGCGCAGTGATAAAGCTCTCGCCGCTCTCACCCTCGCCCTAGCGAACGGCGCCGCCGGACTAACCGACTTCGCCGCTCTCCAAGCCCTTCATGTACCTCTCGCTATGGACGAATGTCAAGTTGGCGACATGTGGGATTAGACGTAATCCCAAAGAACCGCCATTACTCGTGACCGCATGCGTGCATGCCTGTCATACATTCATCAAATTCCTTCTTGCTTATTGTCTAAGACGAGATACCTGCGCATTCCTCGGACCCATCCACCTCACCCCAGGACAGTTGTGTTTATTTTGTCAATTATCTCCTCCAATGCAGGTTATCACTAAAAGCAACCATAGTGTATTCATAATATCTCGTTGTCAATGTATATTATTACAAACAGTCAATTGTAGTCTGGCTAGAGCGTAGTGTACCAAAGAAGCAAGTCAGCTTCCCACTTAGGAAGTGAAGCTAAGCGCCGGTGCTAGTTAGTAACAAACGGCCTACTTGGGACCTGTCAAAAGTATTGGTTGAGGAGACCAAGTGTACTCAAAGCGCTTCTGGGGGAGGAGTCTTCAGCCCCACTGACCCCAGGGTGATACAGCGTCGAAGCCGAGCTAGCTCGTTCTCCAAAGCAATGCGCTTGTGCATTTCTTGTAAATATCTCTCTTCCAGTTTGCGTCGAGCCTTCTCGACGCTGTCTAGAGAACGCTTCATGCCTACGCCACAGAAACGTTAGCAGGAATCCAGTGCATGGACAAGTATCATTGCAATCACGCACTGGTGATCAACTCTTGCGCGCCGGGCGGAACGTACATGGCAGGGGCACCCGTGCCTGCAGGTACCCACGCTGGGGTCGTAACTTCGTCCAGCCTGAGCATTTGGAAGTCGATCTCAAAGTCATCTTCGAAAGGTTCATCGCGAGCATCACTCATGATCACATCCCCTTCGTCATCATCGAAAGGGTCCCGCGTAGACGCCACAGTGGATTTGGGTTCGCCTGTCGCCGCATCGATGAGCAGGCGTTGCCGCTTCTTCGTTGCCGTGCGAGTGGCCTTGGTTGCGTTCTTGGGAGTCTGGGTGGCCGCCGATTTGGCAGAGGACGTGGACGCTGAGGCGGGGAGTGAGACTACCTCCGTCTCCGTGGATTCTCCTGGCGAGGGGTGGCGTTTACGTCCGTTGCTACCTTTGAGCGTCGATATAGAAGAAGGAGAGCCCTTGTGGCTCGAGGGTTTCGGCGCCGTGGTCCTTTTCGACGAGGATATCACTTGGGGCGCGCCGTCCGCGACGACTGTGGTGTTGGAAACCGGGTTCCTGTGACCTTTGGAGGACGAGCTCTTGGAGCTACGGTGGGACTTTGTGTCAGTATCGCCCAGCATGTCTCTAGGTGCAACGTGAGACGCTAAACGTAAAACCGTCGGTCTTGGAAAACGCGGGTTATTTACAGTTTCGACTCACTGGCTCCGTGCGAAACGGCATGGGGGTCATTGGTGAGAGGTTCGGGAAGTGGTTGAGGGAAGGGTGATTCGGCTAAGACGCCCCCACCAGAACGAGCTAGAGGGTTTTCTCGTCACTGATGTGGACGAGTAAGGTGCCTGACATAGAATGCCTACTTCGTTCCGCTTTCAAGGGAGGCACGAGAACACCATCTAGGACGTGACCCGAACAGTTAGTAAGAAGGGGAGATTTACTGGAAAGGATGCCGAGGACTAACCGAATACCAACTTTCTGCCTTTCTTGAATGGAGCGCTGTTAGTCCGAGGTCGAGTTCCTGGAAGTAAGCAAGTAGATTAGAGCTTATGACTTTATAGCGGCAATGAGTCAACCGACCATTGGGAAACTGGGCGTTCAACACAGGCTGGGGCATATCTACGCCTTTACTAGCACTCAAAACAACAATTTGGGATGACTTCCAAAGTTCACAACGTCAAATGGCTCGCGAATTGTTGATGGTTCTGTTGAAGCGGTATCAACGTAGGGCGCTTCTTGGATGATGTTCAACCGTCCACGTGAAAGCAGTCATATTATTACACTACATGCAAATATTACTGATAGGGTACACAGATATACTAGCAAATGAGTCCCAAAGAAAGAATTGTGATAGGAACATATCATCAAAATGCAGACCCAAGGACCTTCATTGCTAATGCTCGCAAAATCTGGACGCGATATGTTAGAACTGGGAAACAGTTAGATATGAAAAGCTCATCATTGCTTACCTCGGCCTTCTGCTCGCCGCCCAACTGGGTGAAGACTGCAGCTACACTCTTGCCCTTGGCGTCCCTTATAGCACCCAGCCTATTGCCAGCAAAAGCCCCAACCATTAGACCGGGGACATTCGCTACAATGAAGCCCAGTCCAGCGCCAGAGAATGCGCCGACATATGTCCACCATGGAATTACTCGGTTAACTTCCGGACGCAGCATCTAATCGCTACATGAGCGAATAGGGATGTGACTAACGTAGGAGGGAACACACCTCTTCGAAGACGTCTGCGAAGACACCCTCTGCATTGGGCTGCCCACCAGGTCCTGCCTGACCCTCAGCGGAACTTCCTCCCGCTCCTGAACCAGCAAACATATTTGCGAACTGTGCAAAGAAGCTGGTGGAAGATCCTGGATCCGTTGTTCTGTCCTTGCTTGCTCGTGTGGAGTATAACTCGTCGTACTCTCTTCGGCGAGTAACATCGGAAAGGACATAGTACGCATCAGCTACGGCCTATACCGTTCCACTCAGCCATCAGACCATCGAGGGCAAGAAGAGTGCCTACCTGGAAACGCTCCGTCGCACCCTGCCTCTCTGCTGGTGTCGCATTGACAAGCCTGTCTGGATGTGTCCTGAAGGCGGTCTCAGAATATATTCGCCATTAATCGTATATTATTTACCTCAAAGACTCCTTCTTGTACGCCTGGCGGATTTCGTCCTGAGTGGCCGACTTTGAGACATTGAGGAGTTTGTAGTAGTCGGGAAATTGGGACATGGCGGCTCTGGTTCAAGCAGCAGCGCAGACTCAGACTCCGAAATTGGTGCATTGCATTGAACACGATCGCGTGACGTCACCAAAGTCACACTCCCAGTCTATAGGAGCACTTCCGATAATATTTATTATAGAATAAAAATACATAGCAACCGTGGATTGGATTCGGGGCACGAAATACGAATGTCTATATACAGGATCAACTGTTCTCTCTAGAAGGTGGTTTGAGTGATGGTTGTCGGGGTATTGAATCCTTTGCCTGCGATGGACGCGGTCCAGTGGGCCCACTGATAGCAATACGAGGTCTTGGCGGCAAGCCAGTTCTGACAGGTCGAGGTAGCGAAGTACTAGGGGGTTGCGACGTGATCGTTGCGCCGGGGAGGCTGTTGTACACGATCGCAGATTGCGCCGCTACCATAGAATCGGCGGAGGGCGCCAGGAGTAGTGGCCGTAGCACTGGTCTCCGTACTTCTCGAGCGTCGAGTTGGGCAGGTGTACTCGAAGAAGGGTTGGGGGTGCCCGTGAGCGGCATAGTACCACTTGGTGGCAACCATTCTGATGAGTTGGTTAGATCAATGCCATCTTTTCATGGACAAAAAATCTTACCTCCGAGAAACGAGGTCACGTCGACTTGCGTTCCTGCTGACCCATACCACGGCGTTGAAGGCGCACGCTCCGGTGAACTAGAATCAGGTGATTCACGAGAAGGAATCCCAATTGGCGGGACTTTTGGCGGTGGGAGCTGCGTTGTAGCTTTAAGCCTACGAGATGAACGTACAGTACGATTCGAACGAACCGTACCGGTTCTCGATCGGGGCCTTGGATTCGCCAAGTCCTCTTCCTCCGGAGGATCAGGGAAATGGCTCAAAGAGAACTCGCTGGCAGCAGCGGATTCAGCTCTGTAGCTGCCGTCTGAACCCAGTGTATTTCCTGAATTTCTTGTTCGTGCCATTGATTGTCTGAAGCTTGAGGTCAGGAGGTTTGGTGGGGGAGTTGTTGATTGAGGGGAGAAAAGGCGTAGAGTGGCAATACTTTTGTCGAGGTCACTTTGTTGGCGGCGCAATTCACCGATGGATACGTCACTCGAGGCGCCAGAAGACAATCGGTTCAGTAGAGGAAGTAACCGAGGAGGCGGTAGTGACGGTGAACCTCCGAGCCCATAATAGGATGAGATGGACACACGACTATCGTCGTCAAGCGGTACGGTATTTGCCCTCTCCCTCTGCACAACGGCCCCATCCAAAGGAGCGGTTGGCCTGGCCTGCACATCAACTACACTGATAGCTCTGAGACCTGTGCGTCTGGACGAGCGTATGGGATAACGGGGACCGAGGGGCGCAGGGGCAGGCGCCGGGGTGCTCTGTTGGTAGGCAAGTGCCTCCTGCACGAGGGGGCTCACCACGTCAGGAGTTTCTTGTCGAGGTACCCCGAGATCTCCATCAGCCATGCCTAGCTCCGCCTGGTCTGCCAGATCTCGATCCCAAAGGTGACCATCGTCACTGGTAGGTCGTCGTGAAGTGCGTCTCGACGCAATCCAATTTGAAAGCATGGATGCTGTGTGAGAATGATGACCCGACCTACTGTTTGGGCCCGTTGGTAACTCTTGCCGAGGAAGCGATGGGCTCTTCGGTACGGGTGACGGCGGTATGGGTGGCATGTCCTTGTTGATTGGTGACCCAAATTCCGCTGGGCGCTGGGGGCCTTTCTCCTGTGCGGATGTGGGCAGCAGTGGCGAGTTGTTCCCAGGTAGAGATTGGCGGTAGAAAGTTGCGATGAGAAGGTATTCCACGAGGATATACATCTCTATCGCCTGTAAGAAGCGACCAAGGGTCCCCTCCGAGAAGCGAACTGGCAGATTGGGATTAGCATGCATTATCACCAACATGCCTATAACTCACAAGAGGAGATGTTACCAATATCCACGCTGACATTGAGTGCCAAACCTACGATTGGGGCGAGATACGAACGAAATTGTAACCACCAAGGCTTCCGGGGAGAGAGATAAACGTTCAAGAGTAATTTCAGAATGAATGTGGTGGACAGGACGATCCCGATCGCCGACTCCGCAATATACGTTGTGCTAAAGGACTGTTGGGGGGACACCCGCCAGACGATTTGCAGAATAGGGATGAGGATGACCAGCAGAAGGGAAATGTACTTCAGGACCAAGCCTTGAATCCCCCAACGATTCCAACTGGCGGAATGAAGGTTGCTATCATCTGATGACGGTGGTGGTTGGGTGTTCCGGTTCCGGGGCTTGCGCTCGCTGCGTGGGCATGTTCCTACCAAGGTCCAGTAGAACATGAAACGGAGACCGACAGAGAACGCGAACACGACCTCTCGGGTATTTATGATTCCCCGAACGGAGTCGGCACCTTGCCCTCGATCGACATTTGCTGTCCCTCGGGTCAAAATTTGGCTGAGATCAAGTATACCACCGCTGAAGCTGAGCAGGATCGAGGCATAGAGGAAGACCGAAAGCCTGCGTGACTGTCAGAATGCGAGTGCACCGAAAGACTACAGTTTGCGCACAAGTTAACCTTCTTCATAGCCAGAAGGAAGGTCATAACGCCGAAACCAAGGAGGCCTACGCTGAAGAACGGGATCTCGCTGAGGATAAGCTCGACCTGGAGACAAGTTAATAAAGTGTAAACTGAGCTAGGAACATCGTAGCTTACTGAGGACCCTCCGGTACTGAGAGATCGTCTACCTATCTCACTGAGGCCATCAGACATGATACGAGGTCGATTGAAGCAGAAGAATCCTGGCCAGCAGTCTTTTACAGGACCCAAGCTGCTGAGACAGATGGGGGCTTGACCAGCAAGAGATCCAGCACAGCTGATGTGATGCCAACGAAATGGAAGGGAAGGAATGAGAATGATGAGGCCGGGGGAACGAAATTACTGAATCTTCGTATGGGACATTGACACCGGCGTTGGCGCTATGGGAGTCGTAGCACGCGGGGGAGAAAAGGAAGGTAGACCACGGTCTCTGAGCAGAATCAATTTCAGATTATGATGGCACCGACATAACCAGCATAGCAACCGATGGGAAGAAACAGCGGAATCAAATCTCCATCCTGCCCGTGCGACAAACTTTGATCAGAACATTACAACATTGTTTCGATTCCTATATACACAAAGCTTGAATTGATGTCCGTATTTTGGGTAGAATTTAGTCCGCTGTCGCCCCGCCTGTCATCTGTCGCACAAGAAACATTCCCCGTCCTTCGTCTACACTCTTCGTGCTACGCATCCCGATGACACTCTTAGGACGAGGTCGGTATGGGGGGTCTACCATTCCAAGTTGCTTCGTAGGGCTCCTCGACCTCGAGAGCTGGCGTGTTGGGCTTATTCCTCCTCCAGTCATTTGCCTTATCAAGCTGACCGTGTCAGCACCACCCATGCCAGTGAATTGCTTTGCGAGCGTTGTGGTCCCAGTCATCTGAGCGGCGATTCTGCCATTACCAGTTGGATTGGCAACCACCGATCGCATAGGCGACGACTGTGGTGACCCACGCATTTCCAGGGGAAGCATGAGCTAAACCAGCGCGGTCAGCATAACATGAGGTGGTTCTGCAATGATCAGACCTACCCAGCATTCCCGGCACCAGACTCGCCCTTCCCCATCTCCTTTAGCAGCGCTGTCAAGCTTCTTCCCGCAACCGGGTTCATTTCGCTTGCATTCTTCAGCGCGTCCTCTCAACCAGGAGTTACTAGGTTTCGCCTCCTTCTTTCCCCCGCAAACCAAACAAGTGGAATGCCATCGCGTGCCCTGGGGCCCGGGAACAACTCCTCTCTCCATGGGTGACACCGTTCCACGACACCCTGGACATGATACGGAACTGCCAAACCTAGGGAACGTGGTTTGCGTAGCTGGAGCCGTCTTCGGTGGGCGCTCATAGCGGCTTGAGCTATAAGATGGGGAAGTAGTAGAAACAGTAGGCCGGACGGCAGGTTTGAGTGGAGGGGTAGGCACAGGAAATGCCGTATTCACTCTTTGAGGCATCTTATAGTTGATTGTTACTTTCTCTGGTGGGGCGCACTAGAAACCAGACCCCCTGTGAGGAGAACCTTATGCATCTAGAGGATGTGCCACCCACCTGTATATGACATGGGCCGCGCTCCCCTTTGACAAAGGTGGCTTGTCCTTTCCCGCTTTCTTGGAAAACTTCATTACAGACATAGCACCTGAAGCAATCAGTATGGTATGCCTTGGTTTCTGAGCCCAGAACACCCGGATCATCAGGCACGGTCACATATCGTCCACCAGCTCGCACTGAGAAAAGGGCCTGATTGCATCGAGCACATTGTTGTGTTTCACTCATGGAGGATACGGGGGTAACTTCTTTCGGCGGCGGAGATTTGCTGTTGACGGTGGACGACACTGACTTCCGTAAAGGCTGAGTGGGTGCCGGATCGTACACAAGGCGTTTGATTGGTGTATGCGACGGAGTCCCCTCATCATCCTCTTGTATCTGACCAATGGATCGTCGAGTTCGTCCCCGCTGTTCGTCTTCATCCAGGAAATCCCCTCGACTGTACGTCGTTGGGTCGTTGTAACTGACCGGCTTACTATTGAACACATCATCCCGAATATTAGCTTGTGCCTGAGGTGGGGAGTCTAATCCAGAAGATTGTGTCGTTGTGTCAGAAAACTCTGATCCAAGTTCGGGAGTCGGAGGAACGGAATCGATTTCGGATGGAGAGTCATCCACGTTCTGTACCGTAACGGGTCTCGGAATCTTCGAAGGAGGAACGGGCGACGAACGAGAATTTAGCAAAGAAACTAACCTCAACGGAGCTACCGGAGGTGGGGAGGTGACAGGGGGAGGTGACCTCGAAGCAGAGAGACTAGGTGACACGGAGGTACCCCGTAAGAATCTTTGTTTCATTTCCTCGATTGCTTCTTCGGTTGGCGCTGGACTATTTCGAGTGGGGGTGTATCGAACTGGACTAGGGCTGGAGTTGGCTCGTGCAGGTGACATCTTAGAAGCGTTATCCCAATAGTCCCCTCGCTCTGGGCTTGAGAACCGTTGACTGAGGCTGGGGCTTCCATCACTTGGAAGCATCCTAGGGGAGGCACTGGCCCTAAATGTCTCCGTGCCGTAACCTAGTCGCGGGGAAGGAGCTATGGGACTCCCTATTTCATTTCTCGGAATTGTCGACTTCCGAGCGAGAAGGCTACGAGTTGGTGATTCTCTGCCTTTCGAAAGCATGCTTAGTCGCTGCCCTAGTTCCTCCAAGGCTGGGCTGCTCTCTCGACTCTTGACGATGCCTAATCTCTGTTCTAGCTCATCGATAGTTGGACTACCGCTAGAAACACGCTCGTCTTTCGGAGTGCGCATCATACCTCCAGGGTTGGCAGAGGTTGTATCGGCAGGGAGGGCGGAGCGTTCCTTGGGTGTAGAAGGGGTGCGGTTTAGGCAATTATCGAAACAGTCCGCGCAGGAGGGGCGGCCGAGAAGGTCGACAAGGGGTTTATCACCGAGGTTCTTACCACACCCGTCACAGTTGAAGCATTTCTTGTGCCAGTGGCGCCCTGAAGCGTAAACGAAGCCTCCTTCCGATTTAAGAATGAGCACGGGCCGGGTGCACTGAGGGCAGGTGCCTTTGGAGCCACCGTTTGTGATGAAGCAATTCCGACATAGAAAACGATGGTGTTCCGAAGATGTTTCCGATGGGTCTGGGTATATTGTGGCATCCGGGGGGAAGTCTAGTGAACAAATTGCGCACGAATGGGTTTCGAGTGATTCCTTGGGTTGAAGAACTGAGCCGTAAACTTTGGCTAATGAGGAGGTCTGGGAGGTGAGTGAGTGTATGATGTCGGACTCCGGTGAAGGTAGAATGGTAGACTGTTTGAGCGGCGACGGTGGCCGGCTAGCGGTTGTGGTTGCTATGTGAGTTGATACTCGGTCGGCTAGTCTTGAGGTCGTCGTAGAGTCTGAGCTGGACATCGGTCGGGGGAACTTCTTTGGCGAGGAGTCCCCTCGAGCAGATGAGCTCTTCCACGAACAGGCACCCTTGGCAGCATCGTTCGTTGGTGCAGGAGTCCTAGGTCGGCTCGGAGACCTTTCCTTAGATACATATGTCTGGGACCACTTATCCTGAGGTTCGTCGGTCGCATTGACTTTGTTCCATGATACAACGGGGGCTATAAGTCACATTCTAGCATATGTCTGAATGGTACGAAATCCTCAACTTACCAACAGGCAAGCCACCGCAATGGCAGCGTGGTCCGGAGACGATATCACCGCATCTACGACAAAAGCCCATTGAGTGTGTGTGAGTTCAGTATCCGTTAGTGAGAGTGGTGGAGATGGAGGAGCCTCAAACTGTGAAGGAACGATGGTGGGTTCAGTTCAACATGCACAGGTTGCCTAAAATGGTCGCGTCGCGATCACGTGCGGTCAAAGCGAAGTTTCTTGCGCGCTTCTTGGTACTTCCTGTTTCCGACCAATGGCATGTCTCCTCCTAGTACCCCTAAACGGGGACGCACCAAGGACAACGAGAAACCAGTAGTAGTCTCTCCGTATTTTTCGAAGATAGACTCCTCTCCCGTTGTTTCTCCTTACCGATTCTCCGCAGTCCCTCACGATGGTGAGAAGCCCGCACCATGCTCCCCATTGCGAGACCTCGACGATGAAGATGATGAAGACAATGACCCCGACGAATATGATGAGAACTTAGCCCAGGATCCCTTATTTCTATTTCATTTTCGCACAATGTTCGACCTGTATCAGCGGTTGTACGCAGCTAAGCCTACCATGATCCAAGGTGAGACTAGAGGGCTTGGAACTTGTGTGTCTACGCACAGCTCATCTCTCTTGACAGAAACCGTGGCCGACAACCCGTGGAAGCTTTTGGTTGCTGTAACGCTCCTCAATAAGACAGCGGGGAAACTGGCCATACCCGTCTTCTACACTATTATGAAGGAGTGGCCAACGCCATGGGCACTCTCCCAAGGTTGCTACCCTCGCTTCTCCGATATCAATGCTAATTGTTGAGCGTGGATTTCGTTTGTAGCTCCGCACAGTGTTCTATCGGATCTCTTGCGCCCGCTAGGCTGCTACGACATTCGCGCCAATCGTTTAACATGTCTCTCCTCTGCATGCCTCCTTGATCCGCCCTGCGTCACTGACCTTCGACCTACTAACATACTCATCACCGTACCCAATGCCCATCTGCACTCCCCTGGAACGCAGCGCTCTCGATATCCCCCAACACCCATTTCTCATCTCCCGGGAACCGGGCCGTACGCACTCGATTCCTATCGAATATTCTGTATCCAAGAGTCAGACGAGTGGAAGCGTGTGATGCCTTCCGATAAAGAATTGGCTCGATTCTTGGTGAGCTTCTTGGCCTTGACTCTATTGCTGTTGGCTGAATGAGCCCTCTGCCCACGAAGCGGTGGAAGTGGGCCATGTACGAGCGGAAGCTGTGGTTACCCAACATTGGTGTCGTTCGCCATATTCGTGAGAACGATCTTCGAGCATTAATTAACGACCTAGTCCGCACAACTTTATAGATAAGTAAGGAAGCTAGATATCTATTACCATATACGATGTAGGATTAGAAGGAATACATAAAGCAATGTTGTATTAATCTACAATGACGAGAATGGACAAGCATAAGTGTTTCATAGCCTGGAACGAATCGTGGGCTGCCAGTCCACCCGCTCAACCTGGGAAGCAGAGGGATTGGGATCATTACGAGGCTATACCGTTATTGATATATAATAACAATAACGTACCAATTCTGGCGTCAGATCGGACACGCTGGCAGCGCCAGCCAACTGCATGGCGGTGATAAGCTCGCGTTCCAATATTCGAGCAATCTTAGCGACACCCGCGGCGCCATACGCCTGGAAACGGGGCTGATTAAAACAATTGACCTGCAGATGGACAAGAAGCTTACTGATTGGGCGTAAAGGAATGGCCTCCCAAGGCCCACAGCCTTGGCCCCTAGACACAGAGCTTTCATGATATCTAACAACGAAAAAGATCAGGATGCTCCAGTTGTGTTTCATAAAGGAGGGCTCTAACCTGTGCCACGCTGAATTCCACCTTCAAGCGCATTCGTTCAGGCAAGAAGAGAAGGGAGATGCATCGGTACATACCGTCGATATAGACTAAAGACAGGGTTAAGGTGCAGAAGGTCAACGAATCTTCGTGGAACACTCACCCTCGAGTTTGTCGAATACCTGCGGAGACTGCCGGCGAATTCGATACAGCACCTCAAGAGGTGGCAAGGAGTACTCAAGCTGTCGACCTATTGCAGCGTGAGCATATTTTTATATCAGACGAGTGAGGACATACTAACCGCCATGATTAGAGAGTAAAATACCGTCTACACCAGCGTTGGCAGCAAGTACTGCATCTTCGACACATTGTATGCCTGTTTACCTGATATAAGCATGCGTATCAAGATCGAAAAGCTGAACCTACCCTTGACGACAATTGGAAGTTTGGTAAGACTTCGAAGCCAGGGTATGGTCTAACAGCGAATGTCAGAACCCATTCCAGAATTACAATGAGAATATCTACTGTTTCCCATGTCATATCCCTGTCGTCGTTGACAATCAGCGCCCCTGCAGTTCCAAACGTATTCCCTTCTTCTTCGTCTCTCTCGACGTCTTCGAAACTTCGAGGGGCATCGGTCGACCGGCGCTCAGTGTCTTCCAAAACCCATGGGCTTTTTATATCCCTCTCACGGTTTCCGGGGACGACAGCATCGACGGTGAGGAAGATGGCTTTGTACCCAAGTCTTTCGATTTCACGTACACGCTTCTCAGCGATGGAATTGTTGGCGTGTTTGTAGAGTTGAAAGAAGAGGACTTGGTGGGGGGAGGCCGCGGAGATAATTTGTTCGTATGATAATGATGCGTTGGAGGATACCATTTGGATCAGTGGAGCTGAGGCAACTCCGCGAGTGATGTTTTCCTCGCCAAGTGGATGTCCAAGTTTCGCCAGTGCGGCGCCAGACACGAAGACAGGGATACGAGACTTGTACCCCAGGATTGTGGTGGAGGGATCGCAGCGTGACACTGGACGCATCACTCGTGGTTTGAAGAAGAATCTTGAGAATGCCTTCGCATTTTCGATTTTGGCTGGTAGAGTTCATTACTCTGCGGGAAGCAAGGTAAAGGAAAATCGACACTTACTTATCTCGTCGTCGCTTGCTGAACTGTAGTAGGACCACGCCTTATGCGACAAGACCTTCTTTGCTTCGTCCTAAAAATATGACATTCAGTGGTGTTGAATCACCATGAGGCGAGTGTTGGCGTACTTCCATGTCGGTAAGACTAAGAATTCGATGAAGAGGAAGGCGCTGCTTTAACGCCGCTTCTACCCGCAGTTCATCTTTCGTCTTGGGTCGACTTTCCTGAGCAAGGGCCAAGGCGCCAGCGGCATCATCATTCAATGGTCCCAGGTGTTTCTCCATGGGAAGGTTCTTTTCAAGTGCGTCTGGCGGATGTATCGGATCGTAGACGCCAGTAGCATCTTTTCCTGCATACTTCAGGATAATCTGGGCGCCCCCCGGGTGCTCCTGAGCAAAGGCATCCGCATCAGTATTCAAATGTCGTAAGTCAAGAAATATGGACACGCACGGGTAAGAAATCAGTAACGTCGTAGACCTTGTTATGGATGACGACCCAGCAGGAGCTGGACATTCCAAAGAGAACGGATCCGACCCTGCCGGTTAGAAAACACAAAAGCACCGAGGACTTTAAACGTTTACCTTCTGGTGCTATGTTGAGCAACTTCAGCGAGCGAGTACGATTTCATGGCGACAGAGCTGAGCATGGAGGTAGCAAAAGATGAAAAAGTCTAGCAGCGCATGAGAATCGACAACACGTTTATTAAAGATTGCTTTAGTCGTAGGCTAAATCAAGGCGTCGGTTCACGTTGACCATTAACGGAGCAATTTCAGGCGCCGGCCCGGGCAGAGGCTTATCTACATTTGTGGATCATATGATGCAGCTTCAATATTTCAGCCTCTGGAACAGGAATTCGCATCCGTGTAGCGCTCACGAGTCCCCATCGTGTGCGGTGCGTGTTTCAGTACGTATAGTGGTACTAGGATGAGTACTATAAATAAAAGCATCACGTGAGACACCTCCCTCATCGCGTTGTTTGGCTGTGCTTGTCCCTGAACCACATTTGGGCCAGCTGCATTACACAACGTTCTCGCCGCACACCGTCACCATCGTCCCCCAGCCATGGTCAGGCTGCCCAGCAGGAAGGCCTTGGAGGCCATGAAGCGCACAGATATACAGAAACTGTGCAAGGTGCGCAGTATACCGCCACCATATCTCGAGTTGAACTGAACTAGTGTCCTAGGATTACGGCGTCAAGGCAAATCTCAAGACCGAAGCGCTAATTGATCTACTGCAGAGCATCAAGTACGCGATAAAGTTTACCTTCCAATTGTAAACTAATATTTCCATAGCACTCCACAACCTACTCGAGAACCACCGCAGCCACAACCACGCAAGGTTTCAACCAGAAGGTCGAGTCGTGCGGGACCGAGTCGCACTAGCTCAATCGTTATCCATGATTTTGAAGGAGAGGACGAGGAGGAACAAGGACAAGAAGAATTGCAAGAACAGGAAGAAGTACCACACATTCCAAACCCGCCGCCATCGCGAACGAGGAAGGCCAAGGAAACTCAGCTGAGGCTAGGGGTCGGGCGGCCGAAGGCTGCAGGTGGCTCTGGTGCCAGAGCTGTGACTAAATCCGTGAGTCTGTCGAAGGGAAAGCGTGCAAAGAGCAGCAAGACCATGAAACCGTCCGAAGCTCCTATCCCGGAGGAAGGTGCGTCTTAAGCGCCATGACGTTGTATACTACTTACAGTCGATTTCAGCGGAGGAACAGGATCCCCCAGAGCCCAAGCATTCCAGTCTCGGTCTAGAGCTAGTTACTGCATCGCCAGAACCGACTTTAAAGCCCCGGTCACCTACGCCAGCAGAACCATCAGCGGAATCGGCGGTCATTGCTGAGACTTCCGCCGTAGGTAGTACATCTGCCGTCGCCTCGCAAGTTGACCTTGAAAAATGCATCGCCAATGCTGTACGATTCTTTCATTTACTGTAATCCAGTCTCACTCAGTTAGCTTGTAGGTTCAACCTCTTCGTGAACAGTTGGCGGCTCTTCACAACGAAGTCGAGCGACTGAAAAGAGATCAACAGCAGGTCCACGTTCTACAAGCCACACTCGACATATTAACCACTGAGCTGGATGATCTTCGCGGCCAGACCACAGAGGCACTGTCAATAGCAAACGAACTCAGACAAGCTCTGAAGACCCCTTCGATTCCCAGGACACCCTCCCCACGGAGTCCTCGACAGGAAGTCCCACCAGCGTGAGTTCAGTAAAAGCCATTCTAAGCCATACTCATCGTCCATTAGGCCCCATTCTATAAGTGCAACTACATTTGCCGCCATTGCCGGTCCTTCTTCCAAGAAAGGTGAACCACCTTGCGATCCTCCTTCACCCACATCACGCGCCGCCGAGAGAGGTGGGCTGCAGCATCCGGGCTTCGCATTGACGACTCTAGGCAAGCGACATAGAGATTCGACGACATCAAATATCACCGGTATAATGGAAGGTGAGGACGACGATATCCCGGAGGATGAGCTCCGCACGAAAGTGATACGCCCGATGAAGAAACGGCTAAAAACAACCAGAGACTCGTCCACACCCAACAATGCCACTGCCGGTCCGTCTCGACAACGCGATAGTCCCAGGACTCCCACAAATAGAGATGACGAGCCGCGGATCCCCACTTTCTCTATCTATCGTGATCCTGATCCGTCAGATTATGTAGATCCTCCGCCACCGACTAATCATCTTCCGGACTTCTTTGAAGCCGCAATAGCAGGCTCGTCCCGACAGACAAGCACGAGCTCCGAAGCCACCACAGAAAATCAACACCCATTTAGTTTCTCCTTCCTTCCTTACACCTCGACACCAGCACATCCTAGTCTTGTCCCCCCTCTTCCATACCCTGAAATTGGGCAATCTCCTACTCCAGCGGGACTCAGCCGTCTGGGTCTTGGACGACCAAGCACCTTCCAGCCATTCGGTCGATCACCTCGTGCAGATGCTGATGAACACCAAGATGGTGGGGCATTCGTCAACCCTGCGGCGTTGTCCACTGACAACCATCGGGAGTCCTCAAGCAGTGCTGGTACACCATCAGCGCAGACTCCAGGATCAAGCAGGACTCCGCAAGAACCTCATCCGAAGCCAGTAACTATGTATGGAACTGAGCTCGAAGGTGATACCCGTTTTGGAGATTTTGGTGTCGAAGGTGTTGCGAGCAGCGGACAGATGCTGCCCAACTTCTGGACAGGCGGCAAGTTTTGATTGTGACTTTGATTTGCTTTGCATCTGCGTACGTTAGTTTCCGAATTCTTACTAGTACTGCCCACATCAAATATCGCTTTCGTGGGCATGTCTACCGTTGTAACTATTTATTAGTTGTCGATGTTGTCCGCTTAGTACTGACTTTTGGTTGTATTCTGATCTTTGACGCCATATATCCGTCTGACTGCTTGTCTCTTGCGACGTCGATGTCGCATCTTTTTTGCTGTAGTTGCCAGGTGTTCAAACATCCATGTACGTCCACTGCCACGTTTCCCCACGGAGCCCATAGCTGTGGAATTATAGCTGTCGCTGGCGGTGGCGAATTCTCAATGCTATATCAGTCGATCAGAGAATGATAGAACGACAATAAATAAGTGATATTGGTGAGTTTAACTTCCATGCAAGTACAAATACAAAAACATGTCCGACGGGCTACATAACAGGCGTGAGGCATCATATATATCATATATCATAAATCGTCTTGAGGTGTCCTGGACTTCAAATTGAAGGCTGGAACGACATGACTTCTTCGTACAGAAGTTCCTTCAACTGATCTTTAGTCAAGTCCTCCTTGTGCACTAGAGACAAAAGAGATGTCAGGGTTTGTTGTGCATTGCCTGGAGACAAGTGACGCACTGTCAAAGTCGAAATATGATGGGCTCAGCGGAGTGACGGTTGGCTCATCCTCTGGATCGTGCTGTGTGATTGCGACGGTCAGGAACAGCAGCCGTGCAGGTACGGGAAGGGACTCACGTATGCAGAGAGATATGGATGCTCGAGGGCCTCGTCGACAGTCATGCGCTTCTTGGGATCAAATGTCTGTATAAAATGCAGTATGGTGAGACACCAGCACGATACACCTGTGCATGTCAACCCACCAATGTTTTGGAAAGGAAGTCAATTGCTTCCTTGGATGCATGGGGGAAGAGGGTGGCAAACGGTCTTCGCTTCCTGATGGGGAGTGCACGGATGTAGTCGCGCGACCGTCTCGAAGTAATGGCGTAGAACTCGTCCAAACTTGGTGTACCTATGTCGAATAGCGATTAGTGCGCGGCCCCCTACCAACCCAGCTCCTAACGCACCGATGACATCAAGGATCAGATCAAGTTGATGGCTGTAGTCGCGACCAGGGAAAAGTGGTCGCCCGGTGAGAAGCTCAGCCAAGACACATCCAACTGCCCAGATGTCGATCGCCTGCACGAATGTGATTAGCAATGTGATATCCGGGAGCAACAAGCTCTCGTACCTTGGTGTACATCTTGAACGACAACATGATTTCGGGGGCGCGATACCACCTCGTTGCGACGTATTCAGTCATTATTCCAACCTCTTTGCCTCCGGCAACACTCGTCTTCACGCTCCTCGCCAAGCCAAAGTCGCAAACCTTGAGATCACAGTTCGCGTTAAGCAGTAAGTTCGCAGGCTTGAGGTCGCGGTGGACGATGCCAGCGCTGTGTATTGATTTCAGAGCCCGGAGGGTCTGGTACACGAAGTACTGCAAATGGAGAAGGAGTGATGAGCGGTTGATCGACCGTTAAGTTGGGGAAACTACTTACCTGGCAATGATCGTCAGTGAGGTGTTGCGTCCGAATTACACGATGAAGATCTGTCTGCATCAATTCCTGGATAACTAAGGGGATACTTTAGGTGGGATGTCGATTGGAACAATCAGGAACACCTACAGTAAATCTCCTTGAAGGAGTCAAGTGTTGGGGGCTTGATGATATCCAGGATGGAGATGATCTGCACAGGACCGCGGTCAAAGAGGAGACAACGGCGCGGCTTCAAGATAGTCTTACGTTCTCGTTTACACAAGTCTCGGAAAAGAACTTGAGAAGCTTGAGCTCGCGTAGAGTGCGCAGACAGAAGAGTGTATGGTCAAAAGGAAGGATCTTCTTGATGGCCACTTGACGCCCTGTTGGTTTGTGCAGAGCAGCCGCAACGGTTCCGTACGCGCCTTCCCCAATGGCATGGAGGATCTGATAATCGTTGCCTAGCAGACGCGTTAATGTCGTTGTTGTAGGCGACTCTGTGATTGAACATACCGATTTCGAACTTGGGGAGAGGCTTGGAGGCTTTGCGAGAAGACATGATTACACCAGAGTCCAGCTGGTGAGGGTTACCGTGAAATTGAAGGAAGAGGGAGGTCGAGGGAGAGTGGGGGTGAAGTCCAAACCTGGGATTTAGTATAAGGTGACTTTGCGCTCCTGGTTTATATACGTTCCAACCGGTGCACAGAGGCCTTCATCTATGGCAACCAAACACGCTGAACTCCTTCCGTCGAAGCCAATTCGTTTCAGGAGGGCCAAACGTGATTCCCCAGTTAGTGATGGGACATATAGGTGGTTGCTTGGTACACTTTGGATCCATTATGAATCACGACGCTTGTGCCGCTGTCCAAACGTTCAGATGTCAGGGCGTATCACCTGAATGAATTGACGCGGTGATGGAAATGTGTACTGTGTCAATAATTATGAGAGTTTGCGACAATTGTTATAAGACTATGCTGGCTTACTTCAGGATCTTTGGAATTGCATTCGCCATCGCTGTTTCACTGGGCTGCGGGAGCCCTGAAGGAGTAGCGAGGAGCACAGGCGCTATAGTCGCGTTCTGGGATATATAGTTTCCCACGGTCAGCCTGGATTGAAACTCGAAGCGGCCGACTCTGCGACGCAAAACAGAAGTGTGAGTCTCGTCCCTACGGTCCCTCCGGTGTGCGCACGCGGATGATGGGTTTCACCCAATTTTCCAATGCAAGCTGCGACAGTGCCAGGTGTTTGAACTCCATGTTTCTGGCCCGGCCTTGAGCTGCCCTATCTCCTACAAGCTTCCGGGTCGCTTTTAAGGAGATCTGTATATCAGAGCAGAAGCGAAGGGGTACCCTGTCCATTTGCATGCATGCGTCCATCGTGCAGCTTCCGGTATGTGGCCGACTCGATTCCTGGACATCTCAACTGACGCGCTATTGGCAGCTGGACCGCGGCGTGATGAGATGTTAGCGGCATCAGCCTCGGCTGGCTTGCTGAGTACCGAGTTCTGAGTCCTCAAGGCTTCATGCTCGTGCATCATGTCTGATGGGAACGCAGAAGCTCAAGTTTATTGTTTTGAAGACTATTAATACTTGGTTCAAAAAATACAAGACTGCCAATTCGAAAGAGTGTGTCACCACCTTGTCTCCATCCATTGTCGCCCACATCATTGGCAAGCGCAAATGGCTCTTGAATGGCGTTATTGCTGCCGTTTGCTTATGGTCATTGTTTTTTCTCTTGACAGGACGGATTGATTTCGACCAATAGGAAGAATGATGGCTTTCCCAAGATAACGGAACCCATTGGTTGTCAAGGTTCCCTGAGTGGTACAAAAATGCCTCACCGGCCTTTGTACGACTTCTCACTCTTTCCTCTCCCCTTCGCGTCCATTGCCTGGTGTTTTCTCTTTTACGACTGGTTCTTCTGTTCTTTCGCTCTTTTTCACTGAACAGGCCTCATTCTTCGCCCTGCACAACTTGAAACTCTATCACACTCTTTCTTGCCAATCGCTAGCGATTACTTCAATGTTTGCCAAATTTACTTCTGTTTCCTTGGTGGCTCTGCTCCCCTTTGCTGCTGCTGCAGTATATGACATCCAAGTCGGTGGTGATGGTGGTAAGCTCGAGTTCTCGCCTGAGGCAATTGTGAGTTTCCAGCCTGTCAAGATCTCATTTGCTTGGTTAAATTCTAATTATTCTGAACAGGCTGCCCAACCCGGAGATCAAGTTGTGTTCCACTTCCATCCCAAGAACCACACCGTCACCCAGTCCTCGTTCGCTGACCCGTGTGGTCGCAAGGAGGGTGGCTTTGACTCGGGCTTGTGAGTCTCCGTTGTTCCCACCAAATCTTACGCAAATTGACATCTCCATCAATCACAGCATACCAGTCCCCGCTAACACCACTGATAACTTCCCAACATGGACATTAACCGTGAACAATGTGAGTGATCCCATCGCATGGCACCGCATGGTAGCTTACGTTCTCTCCCACAAAGACCGATCCAACTTGGGTTTACTGTCGTCAAGCCGCAAAGACCGCCGCCAGCCATTGTGGCGCTGGCATGGTCTTCGCTATCAACTGTGGTTTAGACGGTGCCCCAAACTCCTTCACCAATTTCAAGAAGTCTGCTCTCGCCGTTGGCGCTAGCCTCGCCGCTGAAGCTGCTACCCCATCACCTTCCGCCGCTGCCGATCCATATGGTGGATACGGCGGATATGGTTCAGCCTCTGGTAGCAGCGCTAGCGCTGGATCCTACGGCAAGTGGGCTGGTTACGGTGACGCATCTACCACCACCTGGACCGCTGCGTATGGCGATGTCACTCTCCCGCCTGCCCCGATCGTCCAGGTTGTCACCGATACCGTTACTCTTGACAGCGAAGTTTGGACCACAACCTACAGCTCGTACCCCGGTTCCCCTGCTCCTACCCCTGCTTCTGCGGCCGGTAACGTTCACAAGGTCATCGTCGGTGGACCAGGAAAGCTTCTCTTCGATCCCCCTCACATCGCCGCTCAGCCCCGTGATACCATCGTCTTCGAATTGTAAGTTGTGCTGAGTACGCATGTCATTATTGTATTGGATAGCTCATTCCTCCTTAGCCACCAGAAGAACCACACCGTCACCCAATCTTCCTTCGACGATCCCTGCCGTAAACTCGTAAAGGACGGCGTCGAGGGCTTCGACTCTGGCTTGTAAGTATTTCCGTTGTTTCTGTTTATGCAACATACTTATGTGCTCGCAGCATGGCCGTCGCTGATGATGCCACCGAGTTTCCCACTTGGAGCATCACCGTCAACGGTACCGAACCCATCTGGGCATACGTGAGTTACTCCCTACGTCTCGATATTACACGTTGAAACAAATCTCGCCATTTCCAGTGCCGTCAAAAGACCCCCGCCAGCCATTGTGGCGCCGGTATGGTCTTCGCCATCAACTCTGATGAAGGTGGCCCACGCAGCTTCGACTCCTTCAAGAACGTTGCGACCGCCCTGAACGGTACCGCCGCTGCTGCCAATGCACCCTCGGGCACAGGCGCTTCAGGTGCAACAACAACTGATGGTGCCAACAACGGTGCCATGTCTGTCAACATCGGTAGTGCTGGTGCGATGACTCTCGCGCTCGCCGCTGTCTTCTCGCTTCTTCTGTGATCACCGACACTCCTTCATACTTGGACTTGATGTCATTTACGAGCTAGCCATTTGGGATATTTGTCTTGACGACATGTAGCCATTATTGTTTTTACTTGGTCGAGTGTGTAACTCGCTTTTTTGGGTCAGTCGTAATAATATACCACGGTTTCGGATGCGTCTACAGCGAACGTGTGCTGAGTCCAAGACCGAAGTGCTACTGCATAAATAAGAGTATGTAGTATCGTACAGAATATTGAAGTACGCTACGCTTAAGCTACTTCCTTCCATTAACCGAAGCCCATTGCTTCTGCCATCCGAGGACCGACGAGATAACACTAGTGGCGGATTGATCAGAAAGAAACATTGCAGTAGAAAGCAGACAATGTACCCAAGAATACCAAGAACGCCATCGTTCAGATTTACATATTTCAAGTTAGAAACGGGGAGCCAGATGTCAAGCATATCGATATAGAGTTGATGACGCAGGGCATCCCGAGAGCTATGGGAAATATTATTGATTTAGGTTGACACACGGCGAAGGTAGTGCACTCACTTATAAAGAGCGCTAAGTTTGGCTTCTCGCTCAGCTTCCTCCCCAAGATCTTTCTCCCCCCATGGTTTCGTGGACTTCAATGCTTTGATCTGCCCAACGAGGCGGGCGTTCTGCAAGTGATATCGTTAGACACATGCCACGCAAAGTAAGCAATGAGAGTCTCGCCTTCAATGCGGCATGGGCAAGACTGAACAGGATGCCAATAGCCCAGAAACGGTTGGCCAACTTGCCCACTTTCGCTGCTGTCTCGGGCTTGAGTTTCAAAAATTTGATGGAGTGCGCCTGGATGCGATGTCAAAACTCGGACGATACAGGCGTCGGGGAGACTCACCCAAACGAAACTATCAAATGTAAGGTAACCAAAATAGCCAAGTTGGCGACCGATAGTGGTGATCTGCTCTACCGGCGTGCCCGGTGCCAGCGCGGCCTTTGCAGCGGACTGGAGGTGTTCCATCGGTTTTCCGAGACGCATCACTGACAACGGAAGGCCTGAGCATCCCGCACGTAGTTTCGGAGAGCGGAACAACGCCTACATTTCCTGGCTGTGCCGAGGTGGGATTTGAGTGAAGACCATCGGGCGGCTTCATCTTTGTTCCCCCGGGATAATAAGTACCAGGCGTAGAATCTCGCGAAGTATTGGATGGCACGGTACGTCTACGGCATAGTAAGGTCGTGCGCGAGCGCATCTTAGATTGATTGCATACCTTGTCCCGGCCAACCGTTGTGTGCCCCATCTTCAAGCTCTGGGAGACAACGGGGTGTAGCACGACTTGCGATGCGATTGCGGCCATTACGGTACGTTCTCGAGGGATGAGGATGCAGAAAGTGAAAAGCTGAGGCGACCGAGTGGATATTGTTATAGCCTGCCCAGTGATTCACACGTGATATTCCCCTCAATCGCCACAATCGGCAAAGTTGAGACCGTTCAGAATGGCGGGTCTGCAGCCTGTGGGAGAGGCCAAGGCTGATGATTTTTGGGATCGCCTACCGGATGGTGAACGGAATATGATGGTTGCTTGTATCCAATTACCCCCTTCTTGCTGGTGCTTTGGGACCTGGCCTGATGGTTTTCTGTTCGTTCCGCACGGAAGAGAAGCGGAGACCATCCGGGGCGGGTTCTGGGTTCTCGTCAGGCGCCAAGGGGGGGCCCCTCGCAAAGAAACCCGGCCTTGCGCGCGTCGGCGCAACTTTTTCGTGCTCGGGGGACGGGGCCACCGCTGGTCAACTTGGTCGCGATCGAACTTGAAGCGGGGCAAATTGCGGAGGAAACCGGACGGCAAACACCGACCAGTCACAGTCGTTGAGGGACTCGCTTCATTGAAAAGTGATTTCACCACGTCCTCCTCATCATCTCCGCATTTCCCTACTAATTCCCTTACTTCAATATGCTGGCCCTTAGAATTCCAGGCAGAGTGAGTGGGCCGTTCGCGGAATCAGCTGGTACTTACTGCCACTAATACACGTGACGCAGTCTCGATGCCATTATCTTAGAATCCCAAAACAATCATTTAGACTATTCACTACATCTAAACCTTTCATGGTGCGCACTGCTGATGATGATTTGAGATGGCTTATGAGCTGACCTTTTCTTGTAGTCGCAGCAATTCCGTGTTGAGAAGGATACCTTCGGAGAATTGCACGTACCCGCGGATAGATACTGGGGTGCTCAGACGCAACGGTGAGCTTGATTCTTCGATTTATGGCGGAGGGCTCACATAGATCCCTCAGCTCTCTGCAAAATTTCGACATTGGAGGACCAGCAGAACGTCTTCCGCTACCCCTCATCCAAGCCTTCGGCATCCTCAAGAAGGCGGCGTCCGTCGTTAACATTAGCTATGGCATGGATCCAAAGCTTGGGGAAGCTATACAGCAGGCCGCAGATGATGTACGTTCCTCTGCAATATGCTCTCAATCCCCCCTGAGGCCTCCGCTATCTAGGTTATCTCCGGCAAGCTCATAGATCACTTCCCCCTCGTCGTCTTCCAAACTGGCAGCGGGACGCAAAGTAACATGAACGTAAATGAGGTAATTCATTTCCGCCGTGTCCTTAGGACCGTGATTCACTTCCGTAGGTTATCTCCAATCGTGCTATCGAGCTCCTAGGAGGACAACTAGGCTCGAAGACGCCAGTGCATCCCAACGACCATGTCAACAGAAGCCAGAGTAGCAATGACTCGTATGTTCCCTTCTGCCGAAGATCCACCGATGCTGACTTGATTCCAGATTCCCTACAGCAATGCACATCGCCGCAGTTACCGAAATACATCGTTCATTAATCCCTGCTCTCACCGAGTTGCGAGACGCCCTCGACGTGAAGGCCAAATCCTTTGACAGAATCATAAAAATCGGTAGAACACATCTACAAGTGAGCAACTCTAGCAAGCACGTCGCAGAACACTTATTCGGCGGGATTAGGACGCCACACCGTTGACTTTAGGACAGGAATTCAGTGGTTACGTGCAGCAGATCACTAACGGTATCGAGCGCGTGCAAGGGGTCCTACCGCGCCTCAGCTGCCTCGCTCAAGGCGGTACTGCTGTCGGAACGGCGAGTCCACCAATTACAGGGACTGCAATTGTTCGACTAACGTGACGTCACAGGGTCTCAACACGAAAAAAGGCTTTGATGTTAAGATTGCTGTTGAGATTTCGAAGCTTACTGGCATTCCCTTCCAGACCGCGCCCAACAAGGTCAGTAACAGAATAGGCAGATTTCTAGTCGACTAATATGTCTGCAGTTCGAGGCCCTTGCTACGCATGATGCCATGGTCGAGGCACATGGCGCCCTCAATGTGATCGCCTGTTCTTTAATGAAAATCGCCAACGACATCCGTTTCCTAGCATCAGGGCCCCGCTGTGGCTTTGGTGAGCTCAGTCTGCCAGAGAACGAGCCTGGAAGCAGCATCATGCCCGGCAAGGTCAATCCCACTCAATGCGAAGCCATAACTATGGTTGCTGCCCAAGTCATGGGTAACCAAACTACTGTCAGCGTCGCCGGTGCCAGCGGTCAATTTGAGGTGCGTCCCCCCTTGATATGTTCCATTTCATTTAGTTGAACGCCCACAAAGCTGAACGTGTTTAAACCCGTTATCATCAAAAACGTACTCCAAAGCATACGACTGCTTTCTGATGGTGCGATTTGGTGTAAAATTGACTAATGGCTTATTCATCGTCCGCCACAGGTTGCCGTTCATTCACGAAGAATTGTGTTGTCGGAATTCAAGCCAATGAGAAACGCATCAACGCACTGTTGAACGAATCCCTCATGTTGGCAACGATTTTAAATAGCCATCTCGGCTACGACAGTGAGTTGTCCCACGTGCAGTCAACACTCCTTCTAAGCCGTGCCTAGACGTTGCCAAATGCGCGAAGAAAGCTCACAAGGAGGGAACTACATTAAAGGACGCCACGGTCGCCCTTGGCTTCCTGACCCCAGAGGAGTTTGACGACAAAGTTCGACCTGAACTGATGCTGTATCCGGAATCTGACAACACATCACAACCGTGATTCGCTATATATAGTCTTCTGGGGGGAGGATAAGCTATAGATCTCCTGGTATTTAGTTGTTGTATTTCATGGAGCCGATTCCCTCCAGCGGCCTCTCGATGGGTGGAATCGAATTTTCGTAATTTGGATTGACTGAATGTTTTTGAGTTGGGACCCCGAAGAGGGGATGTGGCACCGCCTAGTGCCGAGGCAAACAGAGTTATGAAACTCGCTGGCTTGTCACCTTGGTCAGCAGCTGGTGAAAAAGGACAAAAAGGACACGACGATAGCAAAGTCATAGCGAAAAGTGGGATTGGGCACATGAGCTCTCTGAACTGACCACATTCCCGATATCACATACTGCGCTCTGGGGAACTGTGGATGAGAGAAGAACAGCGAAAGGGACATTTCCTTTTCCGGACAGCGTCGAAACGAAACGAGACCGATGTAAATGCGTAAAAAGGATCAGACTCGACGAAATCCCACCCTACGCCAGCTGACTCTCAACCGCTTCCCTCCTTTCCCTCATTCCACCACCATCCCCCGCCGTCGTCGCCGTCGTCCGCCACCCGTCCTCGTCGTGGCCCCCGATCTCGACGGCTACCCTCATATATCCTTGCTGCGAACCCTTTGTTCGAAAAACCCGGCGTCTCCCTAATCAGCAACTCCACAATGTCCCTCAGCCGCATCCTCAACGACGAGCCCGCAGGCTCGCCCCGTCTCATTCGTCCGTTGCAGATAGGCCCTTCATCGAGTTCGCTGCCCGTGGATCATTCCATGGTATCGCCAACGTCGCCCTCGAATTACTTATCTCCTCGTACGCAACGCTCGAGCCACTTCGACCGCCGCGACGACTTTCCGCAGCCTTCCCGGAGCCACTACTCGCCAAAGTCGTATCAGCCTTCTCCTGGTTGGGATCAGTATTCCAGCGATTATCCTCACGGCAACCCAACATCACCAAGATATGTGCACGGCAGTCGGTACCCGGAACGTGAATCTCGCGAACGTGGTGGTGATTTGCCCCCACCTCCTTACCAGCAAGATTCCGACGATGACGTGCAGCCCAAGAAGCGCAGACGCGGTGACATTAACGACGGAGACTACAAACCTTCGTCTCAAAAGCGAGTCAGTACTACTGGTTGCAACTGCTGTACGTTTTGACTCAGGATTGTGTAGACTACTCGAAGGAGCTCTGCGAGAGGAAAACAACCGCCGCGTCCTCCGTCCCCTATTTCCGACCTCTCCGTACATAACCTGCGCGACAACCCTCATATCATCACAGAGGAGGAGCGGCGACTCGCATCTTCTGACTTAGAAGACTGCGAAGACGTGTGGCTCCATGATCTGGGTGAGTACATCTTTGCAACTCAACGGCGCCAAAGCGCTGTGGAGAAGCAGTTCGAGGCGACTCAGGCAGTACGTGTACACTTTCCTGCAGTCTCTTCAAGCCTTCATATACTTTCTGCCTAGGCCCGTAACGCGCAGACGACACTCCAGCTTTCCGAGTATTACAAGGCGAGATTAGAACGGCTCCCCCTTCCTCCTCCTACTCCCCCTGCTCCTTCCCGCGCCCGCGACATTGGTTTGCACGGGACTTCACCTATAGATGGGTATGCCGACGACCTTCCGTTTGCCGACAATGGCATTTCATATTCACGCCAGGACGGAATCGCCCGTTTCGTCGATGACCCCGTCTCAGACCCAGCTATCCCTGCAAAGAAGAGGAAAAGCAAAGACAAGCGTCAAGATCAACGCTTCGATCTACCAAATGAAAGTGATCTGCTGAATGGATTGCTGGATGGCCCGGTACCGGCCAAGAAACGCAAGCTTAACAGATCCGCTCCTGTACCAATGGAAGATAATGAACCTATGCTGGAGTCTGCGTCGGCTGCACGGGGACTGGCTCGGCTTGGAGACAAGGACAAAGCGAATGCACAATCATCTCGCGAGCTCAGCCAAGATAATGTAGTGGCGACGCCCAAAAGTCGCAAGGGTAAACCACGTAGGAAACTCGCCCCAGACACACTGGATCATCTTGGCATCGCGGATTCGGTGTCTGCTTCTGGAGAAGTCACCCCGGTACTGTCGCGTCCATCTTCTCCTTCCGCTGGCCAGCCATATGCAATCATTTACGACCTCGACGAGGATATTCCTGTCCTCAAAAAAGCCAAGAAGGTCGACGAAAGCCAGATGATGAAGCGTGTCAAAACATTAGAAGAGGCTCAGCGCAAAGTGTGGACTAATATTGCTCGTCGGGACGTCGCAAAAGTACCTTTCATCGCCCACACATTCATTTACATCTCTCTAACACTTCGTCAATAGGTATATAAGTACCACGCTACGGGTTACACAGCTAGGAAGAATCAAGCTGAGCGCCTTGCTCGTCTTGCGTCCGTGCAGGCGCGAAAACCCGTCCAAAAGGCTCCTAAGTCTACCAAGGACATGCAGGCAAAGGCCAGGCGATTGATGCGAGAGATGCAGGTATTCTGGAAGAAGAACGAACGTGAAGAGCGTGATGTACGAAAACGGGAGCAGAAGGAAGCTATTGACAGAGCCAAGGTCGAGGAGGAGAAGAGAGAAGCCGCGAGGCAGGCAAGGAAGCTCGAATTCTTGATCAGTCAAACGGAGTTGTACAGCCATTTCGTTGGCAACAAACTGAAGAGTACGTTCTCGTGTTTTTGTCTGTCATCCATATTCTCATGAGTTTGTGTGTTCAGCGGCTGAGGCTGAAGGTGAAAGCGAGGCTCCTGCAGCCCCGAAGGGCGCGAATCTAGAGCTTGACCCCACCACCTTGGGCGAGATTGATTTCGACGATGGTATGCATATATTTAGACCTCGGAACTGCATTGTGTGCTTATCATGGTTCAGAGGACCAAACCAACCTCTACCGCCATGCCAAACACAACGCCGAAGAAGCTATTGCGCTGGCCAAGGAGCGTGCAGCACAGTTCGACGTACAGGCTGCATTGGATCGTAAGACGAACGAAGCACTCAAGCTGGCCAAGGGTCAGGCCAACGTTCGTGAAGAAACGGAAGAATCCCCAGGATCACCTAAGGGACCGCTGATGGACCGTGAGTGGTCTTTTTCCATCGGCATTATCTAACTAACCGCCTTCTTAGTTGATTCAAACGAACTTAACTTCCAGAATCCCTCGTCTCTGAGCGGACCTCTGACCATTGGTCAGCCCGGAATGCTGATGGCTCAGCTCAAGGAATATCAGCTGAAGGGCTTGAACTGGCTTGCTACGCTCTACGAGCAGGGTATTAATGGCATCCTTGCTGACGAGATGGGTCTTGGAAAGGTTCGTCCGCACTTCACGAGCGAACATGAACACTGACAATGCCTGTAGACCGTCCAATCAATATCTCTACTTGCATATCTCGCAGAAACCCACGACATATGGGGTCCATTCTTAGTCGTTGCACCTGCTTCGACGTTGCACAATTGGCAGCAGGAGCTCACTCGATTCGTTCCCCGGCTCAAAGCATTACCATATTGGGGTAATGTCAAGGACCGTGCTACACTGCGGAAATTCTGGAGTAAGAAGGAAATCAGTTATAACCAAGATGCGCCGTTCCATGTTCTGATCACCAGCTACCAACTTGTTCGTCGGTTCGCTGTTGACAACCGTACAGTCGGCTGACATTCCAACAGGTCACTCAAGATCAGCAGTACTTCCAGCGGGTCAAGTGGCAATACATGATCCTAGACGAAGCGCAGAATATCAAGAACTCGCAGAGTGTGCGATGGAAGACTTTGCTTGGGTTCCATTGCCGCAACCGGCTTCTTCTCACCGGCACACCAATTCAAAATTCCATGCAAGGTACGATTGCACTCGTCAGTCCGATATAAACGTTAGTCATGATTGTTATTAGAACTTTGGGCACTACTCCACTTTATCATGCCAAGTTTGTTTGATTCGCATGACGAGTTCAACGAATGGTTCTCCAAGGATATTGAGAATGTTGCCGAAAACAAAGGGAGCAAGCTTAATGAACATCAGCTGCGACGACTGCATATGATCTTGAAGCCCTTCATGTTGAGACGAGTTAAGCGTCATGTACAGAACGAATTAAGTGAGAAGGTAAGGATTTCCGTTCTCGACAGAAACAACTAGTTAACCATGAATACAGATCGAAAAGGATATCTACGTCGATCTGAGTGCAAGGCAGCGGGCGCTGTACAAGGCCCTTCTTGCAAACGTCTCTGTCACTGATCTCTTAGAGAAAGCTGCGAACATTGGCGACGCTGACTCCGCTCGGTCGCTAATGAACCTCGTCATGCAGTTCCGAAAGGTGATTATTCCACCAGGTCAATATTATCAGTGTCTGACATGCTTTTATGTCAGGTGTGCAACCATCCGGAGCTCTTCGAACGGGCCGACGTCGTTGCTCCATTTTCATTCTGCCATTTTGGACGGCCTGGTCCCTTGTCACGCGAGGGAGATTTTGTCGCGTTGCCGTACTCATCGCGCAGCCCTGTGAATTATACCATTCCCCAGCTATTGTATCAAGAGGGCGGGCTTCTCGATCGACCTTACGAGCTCTCCAAGTCTCCTTCACAATCAAGTATCCTGTCCAAACTCATGAACATATGGTCGACGGATTGGTTGCATAAATCCATCTACGACGATGGTATGTCTCTTGGTCGATTAATCATTGACCGTTGTCTCATGAGATCCCCAAGTTCATGGCTCGTTCTCTTTCCTTCGCTTTGCCGACATTTCTGTGCAAGAAGCGCACGCCCTGCATCTCGCTCCCTTGATCATCCGCCGGCTCTTAGCCACCCAGGATGAAGCCCGAATTTGTGAAAACGGCCCTTACCTCTTGTAGGTGGAAAGATGTGATCAGCTGCAGAACATGCTTCTAATATTATTTCAGCGACTCCGATTTTGCTGCTTCGATTACTCCTAGAACGTCTTTCGCCATCCCTAAACTCACATTCTTGGATTCTTCTGACATTCTTCCCTCATTGCAAAGCATCACATCATCCGCGTGGAGCCAGTCATGTCTATCTCGCCCTGGGCTCAAGTGGTTCGTACCCCCGGTCGTGGCCCCCCCAATAACAATACATTGCTCGGATCGAAGTTTCGTGGAATCACAAACCCGACTAGTGGAAGCACCATTGGAATCTCTATCCCTCTACGGCCTCCCCCCACAATTACAGGAAGTGCAGACCGCTTGTGACATGTACACCGAGCGCCTCCCTGGCCTTCCCGTCAAAGGTTTATTCGGCTCATCGCCAAGGGATCAATTGCCCCCAACCTACATGCAAGTGCCAGAGGCGAAGCGGCTTATCTATGATTCGGCCAAGTTAGCTCGTCTTGATTCCCTCCTACAAGAATTAAAGGCCGGTGACCATCGAGTGCTCGTGTACTTCCAAATGACCCGGATGATGGATCTCATGGAGGAATATCTGATCTACCGTCAGTACAAATATCTACGGTTGGACGGCTCTTCGAAGCTGGAGGACCGACGAGATATGGTGATTGATTGGCAGACGAAGTTAGTGTTGCAGTGAACATTCCTTTTACGAAAACTCATAATCTTTCTTCGCAGGCCTGACATCTTCGTTTTCTTGTTGAGTACGAGGGCCGGTGGTTTGGGCATCAACCTTACGGCTGCAGACACTGTGATATTCTATGACCATGATTGGAATCCCTCCAATGATGCTCAAGCCATGGATCGAGCGCATCGACTTGGTCAAACCCGCCAGGTCACGGTTTACCGATTGATTACCAAAGGAACTATAGATGAACGTATCGTACAACTAGCGCGGGTTAAGAAAGACGTGAGTTCTCCCTTGCCTTCCGCCGTCGTTCTTACTTACCGAACTGGTGGTCAAAGGTGCAAGATATCGTGGTTGGGAACAAGACTCTGACAGATGTCGCCAAACCGAGGGAAATCGTACAGCTGCTACTTAATGATGAGCAGCTGGCCTCTCTGGATCAATCCGCACCCGGGCTATCGGAGCAGCAATCGGATAAACCTCGACAAGGCGAGGGCAACAGCGCAGCTGGTAGGGATTTGTGGAACGATGAAGGAGACGACTTTTTTGGACATTCTGCACCGCAACCTAACGCTGCCGAAATTGCTGATGAAGACGCGTCGACGCCTGTGCCAGTTGCTACGACGCGAGTCAAGAAGCGCAGAGCTACTGGAGCAGCTACGCGTGGTCGTAAAACAGGTGGTGGCCGTAGGTCGGGGACGACGACGGGGCAAGCCACACCAAATGTGCCTTGATTGTTAGGCAAGTATCTTATTTAGTGCGGACATAGCTTTGGGTTTCTGGTACATAATATATCTATACCTGTTCATGATTAGATGCTTTCGTTGTAGCTACCGTATACTCTCCTAGTAGTGTAAATGTATTAATCATATATCCTTCACTGGCAATCTGTTATACCGAGTCAGCATGTTGGTTTCGGCCTGAGTCAGGACTTGTCCCGAGCTCGAATGCCCACTGTCAGACCGTTGCAATGCTTCATCACGCTTCCGACATCGTGTTATTCAGCGCCGACATCCGTTCCATTATCTTTTAGGCCGTAATCGTGTCATCGCCAAACCGTGATCAAATCACTTGTATAGATATACAACCCCGGCCTGGGTGCATAGATGGCAAAGAAAAAGAAAACGCAGCTAAAACCTGTGTCTCGTGGCTTCGCTACTACCTCCGTGGCTAAGAAAGTAGAACCTGTAGAAGAAGAAATTCGACCAGAGGAGACGCCAGCCGACCCAGAGCCTCGAATTGACCCAGCCGACGCCGATGCTGGCCTGCAGGTTAATTCGAACGCGAGTGGAGTGGAAGACGCGAAAGCAATTGCCCTTCAAGCGATTGTCGACTCGAACCAGGACAAAGTAGCCAAGGAGATCAATAGGACCATAAACGTACTTGAGTACCTTGCATTGTCCTCAAACCCGCACCGCTGAACTGTTGCTTTAGCTCATAGAACAGGACCGGCGTTTTACACAAACCCTGCCCGAGCTAGAACTTGACCAAAGTTTCGTTGATTACATTGCCCAGTTGGCAATAGAGTACAAGGTTCTCGAAAGTAGGCTGCTTCGACCCGTGCAATGTCTCGAACAATGACATAGCGGATAATCAGATAAATGGTCCCTGGACGTGTCTCAGGAAAAAGCTTTAACACGACTAGGGATAACCTATGGCGTCCTCAGGCGTCTGGGCTTCTCTGAATCGAGGGTAGAGGAATGCTTGAGGTCAATAGCCGGTATTGGTTTAGAGGAAGCTTATGACTGGGTTCGTGATATAATTCTTGCAAGGGTCATTTAACCTAATTCTTCTCGACAATAGCTCTACCTGCATTGTTCAGAGCAAGAACTTAGCGGTACTTCGTGTGAGCTGTTTTTGCCGAAATGAAGTTCAACGATCATGATGATCATCATCTTGCTGTAGATGACAAGGAAAGCAGCGATGGACTGACCTCAGCCCCTCAAACGCCCTCGAGTTGGACGTCGCAGACCCCATCAACTCCGCGTACACCCTCATCGGCTCAGCTTCTCCTCCCACAGACACCAACGATCCCTATGTCCCCATTGAACCCCAATGCTCCCGTATTCACTCCCTCCTTTCCCGTGTCGGTACGGTAATTGCGGCGTTCATACAACCACCTGCTGAAGTTTGCATGTAGCCTCCACCAAAGGATCTAGGACGAACATCAGATGTCATAGACGTTGAAGATCCAAACTCTGAGCATGCAAAGATACGCGTTCAACTGTTCGAACTAGAACGCATAAAGTCCGGCAAAGACGCTTCCCTGATAAACGAGCTACAAATCAAGTTGAAAAAGTTATCCCAGCATTACTTTTTCGATGCCAGAGATGCGGAAGCTCTGTATCGCGTTGAACGCGAGAATATCTCTGCCTCTGCTCTCCGCGCTAGACTTCAGGGTCTCGCCGAGGTGCCCAGTCTCCCTTCTCCACTTGTGGACAACCCTCCAGTGAAGGTGGCGACACCACAGCCTTCGACCCAACCTGAACGGGATATATTCGACGATGCAGACGAAGGCGGCCTCCTGGAAATTCTCGACGAAATGCCAGCCACGGCAACCGATTCACAGGGAACCACGGTCAAGATATATGACATGAGTTTCCCAAAGCACTGGTCTGGCCGTACCCCCGAAAAGCTTCTGGCCGAGAAGGTTTCCAAACTGGACAAGTATGCGGTCGTATCATATTCTGATCTTGCTGGTGTAAGTCGGGCCAAGCGTGCTTCAGTGAAAGTGCGATGGGTTGGCCAAACCGTTGACGAGTGGTCAATGGTGGATGTTGCATGTTATGATGATGTACAGGCGCGGCACTACGTAGCTACCATGGCCCTGCATTCCCTTTCTCATCCTTCGAAGGAAGGGGGTTTCGTGGTCGACAACGTAACTGCGGCAAGTGTATCTTTCGTCAGATCGTTCCCTGCCTGTCTTAGAGACCTTTGGGACGAACTTGAAGAAGCAAGGAAGGCTGCAGCGAATTCGCATAATCGTAACGTGTGGGATATGCTTCAATCCGTACTCGATACAAAAATCAATTCTAACGAGGTGGGTGCAGTGTTTATTTTGGTGCCATCATGTTGATGACGGATACTAGCTCGACGAGAAAGAAAATCGCCGGGGCTTGGGGGCGGGTACCACAATACCTTCTCGAGTGAAGCCTCGTCGCGAGGTCCAAGATACTTTCTCAGAACAACTGATGCTTGAGTTCCAAGCCCGACAGGCCAGCTCTGCTTACCAGGTTATGCTTGTGGGACACATCATTATCTCACACCTTGCGCCTAGTAATCATCCCAATACAGGAACAAAGGAACACACTCCCCATCGCTGCTCATCGGCAACATATCATCGAAATTCTAGATTCGTCGCAGGTGCTCGTGTTGAGTGGGGAAACGGGATGGTAAATGGCTTTACCTTTCTCCCCTGGTATATAACTGAGGTGTTGCAGCGGAAAATCCACCCAAGTACCGGCCTTCCTTTTGGAGGACCAACTTTCACAAGGAAAGCCCTGTCGAATATTTTGCACTGAACCACGCAGAATATCTGCCATATCCCTGGCGCACCGTAAGTACGCAGACGTGTTGCCGTAGCTAAGTATCTTACCATCCATTTATCTAGGCGTGTCCCAAGAGCTGGGTGATCCCCCGAACGCAGTGGGAACTCTGGCATCGTTGATAGGGTACTCTATACGTCTAGAGAGTAACACAACCCGGAATACGCGGTTGACATTTGTCACCAATGGTATTGCCTTACGCATGCTTGAAGACGGGTCTGGAAGCGGTGGGCAAGGAACTGCTTTTGATGACATTACGGTGAGCTAGGCGTGTATTCCTCTCAGCCTTGATGCTGATACATGTCTCTAGCATATCGTTGTCGACGAAGTTGGTGTTCGCGATGCTCATAATTGTGGTTTTCTCAATGTTCTCATAGGTACATGAGCGGACCATCGAGTCTGACTTCCTGCTCATTGTCCTGAAGTCACTAATTCAGCAACGTCCTAATTTGAAGTGCGCAATCAGTCTATGGCAGCGAAACTTGGCTAACCCTTGCATCCAGGGTTATACTTATGTCCGCGACCATGGAAGCAGACAAAGTGTCAGCATACTTCGATGGCTGCCCCGTATTACAAGTTCCAGGGCGTACATATCCTGTGGAGGTCCGATATCTAGAGGACGCAGTTGAATGGACGAAGTGGCATATAACGGAAGATTCGCCACACGCCCGACGCCGTAAGACCCTTGCATTCACACCTCTAGGATTTATTAACACGTTGTTTAGTGAATGACAATTTCTACAAGGGCAAAGCTCGCGCCGACTGGTCAGAAGATATCACTGAAGGCATCGATAACGACAGTGACGACCCTGACAGCGAAAAGGTCCAACTCGGAAAGCGGTATTCCGCGAAGACCACGAAGACCATCAACCTTTTCGACGAACGGACGATACCGTACGATTTAATCATGCGCTTACTGGAACAAATGTGCACAGACGGAGAAGAGTATAGTCGTTACTCGGCGGCAGTTCTGATATTCATGCCAGGACTGAGGGAAATTCGCCGCATGAACGACCTTCTCATGGAACATCAGTACTTTGGATCATCGAACTTCTGTGTATATCCTCTTCACTCTACTTTGTCAAGCGAGAACCAGAGCGCAGTGTTCGATATACCACCACCTGGTATTCGTAAGATCGTAATAGGTAAGTCGCTCATGATCTCATCGTGGTCTCTCTCAACAATCTGTTTTCAGCAACCAATATTGCTGAGACTGGTATCACTATTCCGGACATCACCTGCGTCATTGATTCAGGGAAGCATCGTGAAATGAGGTATGTAGTCTTCTGCGTCTTGTTGGTTGGTACTCAAATGGATTGTCAGGTTTGACGAGAAACGCCAGATCAGCAGGCTCATCGAGACTTTCATCGCCAGAAGTAATGCTGCCCAAAGAAGGGGCAGAGCTGGCCGCGTACAGGATGGACTGTGCTTTCACCTATTCACAAAGTCTAGACATGATACCAAGGTACTCTCCGTTGTAAATGTTCCAACATTGCCACTGACGCTTATCATCGCTCTAGTTGGCCCCGCAGCCCCTTCCTGAGATGATGCGCCTCAGTCTCTCCGACCTCGCTCTACGCATCAAGATCATGAAGCTTCAACTCGGCAAATCAATAGATGATGTCCTTTCCCGAGCACTTGACCCCCCTGTTGCCATCAACGTTCAGCGGGCGATATCGTCTCTTGTCGAGGCATGTATTTGCCCTTTATGTATGGTCCTTGCCTCTTAATCGGTCTTGTTCAGGTCAAGGCTCTCACTCCTCAAGAAGACATCACCCCAATGGGTGTGCTCTTGAGTAAGTTGCCAACCGACGTTCATCTTGGGAAGTTCCTCCTGGTCGCTACCATTTTCCGTTGCCTGGATCCTGCTTTGACCATCGCCGCTGCTCTCAACTCCAAATCCCCCTTCGTCACACCATTTGGCCTTGAGCAAGAAGCCGATCGTGCTAAGCACTCGTTCCGAACAGGTCAGTTTGCATTCCATTTCTACGTTATGATAGGGACGAACTGACACTGCCTGAATATAGAGAACTCGGACTTTCTGACCGTCCACAATGCCTTCGCCAGCTGGCGTCGTGCATCGGACAATGGAAGCTTTGTACGAAACTTCTGTAAGCGTAATTATCTCAGCCAGCAGGTGAGTTATAGATATAGTTTTGGGTGAATGTAAGCAACCAACAGCCTTTGTAGAATCTTCAACAAATCGAAGAGTTGCGCCAGCAGTTTCTGGGGTATGTTCCGCACAGTGCTAACCATGATCGAAGGTTGTCTTAATCTCTTGAATATAGATATCTAGTCGACTCGCGGTTCATCCAAGTTGACGCATCGTTCGTCCGTGAACTGAATCGGTATGCGTATCATTATCATTTATTCGGAGCTATCCACTGAGACTGCAGACACAGTGCAAGATACAGTCGCGGCCGCACACGCTTCGTGATGGTGCCTCACGACTTGGACTCTAATTCCTCTAACGTTGATCTTCTGAACGCCGCGCTAGTCGCTGGATTGTATCCTAAGATACTCTCCATCGACTCGCAGACTGGGCAAATGCGCACGATCCTGAATAATCAACAGGCATCGTTCCATCCATCCTCCATCAACTTTGGCCGCAAGCCCGCGGATTTTGGTGTGAACTACCTTGCTTATTTCACATTGATGTGAGTGATATGCTGCAACGTCCTTCCGCAAACATTTGATGAATACCGGTGTACTTGATAGGCGTTCCAAGAAGCTATATGCTTGGGAGACTAGTCCAGTCAACGATATTGCCATGGTTCTACTTTGTGGCGAGATGGAGACCAAGGTCAGTTTACAGAGCATACAGCGTCACGTTGACATCTTATGCCTCCTATGTAGCTCGTCGCCGACTCTGTTTTCATCGACCGGAAATTACGATACAAAGTATCCCCCAAGGTCAACATAGCCCTCAAACTCCTCCGCGCGCAATTGGCCAATCTGCTCGCAAAACAATATCGCGGCAAAGTGCTCACAGAGTCACTGATGCTTTGGTACGATATTGCGCTGATGATTTTGGGCAAGGTCAATCCGAATCAGGAGGAACGATCTATACAGGTCGCTGGCTAATCACCCATGTAGTCTATATATAACGAAATCTGTATCCCATAGTATATAGAGTAATGCAGAGTCGTCGCAGACTCGCGTGCAGGACTCGCGAAGCGGTGATCATAGTGTCATAGTGTATGATATCGGACACATGCATCATAATGTTGCTACCGTCGGTCTATATATCTACTCCTCGTCCTCATCATCGCCAGTGCCACTGATAGGTGCATGAGTATGAAGTGGCCAGCACAGGGGATGAGTATCACTTACGCGATGTTGTAGAAGCGGAGCTGGTAGTTGTCTTTTGAAGAGGCAACGACACTGATAAACTGATAAGTCCTTGTTCTCATGCTCAACTCAGAGCACGTACCGAATCCAGTCACGGAGTTGGTTCTTCTTCAAGAACTTTTTGGTCAGGTACTTGAGGTAGCGCTTCGAGAATGCGATGTTCGAAGTGACGGTAAGTTTGTTGGCGTTGCCTGCGTCGAGGTTAGTTTCAAGTGCAGGTTCAAAGGCATCGTAAAACATACCATCACGGGTGATTTTGATGGATTCGCCGAGCTGGCCTGCCTTGCCCTCGACCTTTATGCGGTCGTGGAGGAACTTCTCGAAATCAGCACCGTCGAAGACACCGTCGCTAGCGGGCTTCGAGTAGTCGATGACAAACTTGTGCTTGGTGGCGACTTTGGTGGCGGCGGCTTTGGGCTATACACGAGACAAAAGAAAGGGAGCCGGGGTGAGCCTACTGAGAAGATAACTCAGCAAAGCAGTGCCGGGACTGACCATCTTGAAGGAGGAAGAGTCTTGAGGCGTTCGGGGACGTTGACGACGGTGTGTAGACTACCTTCTTGATTGCCCGATCAACTTTTGGTGGACTGTACAGTTGATCGGGATATAAGGTTTAGCTGGACTCCGCTGACTTTCTATTGAATAGCCGCTTGAAAAGTTAAGCGCTCTTTTGGGCGCCTGCACGGAAAACAGGAGCAGGAACTTTACAAAAATTTGTGAGGCAGGCCATGGCTCCGTCTCTCACCAAGCACCAAGTCGCTTCCGCGCAGATCGAAGGCGAATATGCCATAAAATCAGAGTCCACGACTCCCAAGCTCGATACATCCCAATGGCCCCTTCTCCTCAAAAACTACGACAAACTCCTCGTTCGATCTAGTCATTTTACTCCAATTCCTAATGGATGCAGCCCCTTGAAGCGCGACATCACTAGCTACATCAAGTGGGCATCGTGTTCTTGATTGACTTGAGTACCGTGACTGACCATTTGATCTAGGTCTGGTGTTATTAACTTGGACAAACCTTCTAACCCGTCTTCACATGAAGTCGTTGCGTGGTTGAGGCGCATCTTACGGGTGGAGAAAACGGGACACAGCGGCACGCTTGATCCCAAAGTGACTGGATGTTTGATTGTCTGCATAGATCGTGCAACGAGACTTGTCAAGTCGCAACAAGGCGCAGGTGTGTTTTGTAGGTTTACTCTCACTTGGCGTGTTTTTAACAACACGATTTCCTAGGGAAGGAGTATGTTTGCGTATTACGCCTCCATGCACCCCTGCCCAATCCCGCCACACTTCCTCGCTGCCTCCAGACATTAACCGGTGCTCTATTCCAACGACCCCCTCTCATTTCTGCTGTAAAACGTCAACTCCGGATCCGCACGATACACGAATCGAGGCTCATCGAATTCGACGAAAAACGCAACCTTGGTGTCTTCTGGGTCTCTTGTGAAGCTGGCACATACATCCGTACGCTATGTGTGCATCTTGGATTATTGACGGGAGTGGGTGGACATATGCAAGAACTCAGAAGAGTGCGAAGTGGTGCCATGTCAGAGAATGACGAAATGGTAACGATGCACGATGTGCTGGATGCCCAGTGGGTGTATGATAACACTCGTGATGGTATGTGGTGACTTGATTTATGAACTATAGGCTTGCTCACTGTGATCGGCATGAAGAATCATACCTCAGACGCGTCATTCGCCCTCTCGAGTGCCTATTAGTTGGTTACAAGCGGATCGTAGTCAAAGACAGTGCCGTCAACGCTGTTTGCTATGGCGCGAAGCTCATGATACCCGGCCTCCTACGATATGAAGCCGACATATCGGTGCACGAAGAAGTCGTGTTGATGACCACAAAGGGTAATTATCAATGCCCAACGGGAAGGGCATATTTTTCATTGACATTGTCCATCTCATAGGCGAAGCAATTGCGCTTGCTATTGCCCAAATGTCCACTGTCGAGCTTGCTACTTGCGATCATGGTGTCGTCGCGAAGGTGAAGCGTTGTATCATGGAACGTGATACATACCCTCGCCGATGGGGTTTGGGTCCTGTTGCGCTGCAAAAGAAAAAAATGGTCAAGGAAGGTAAACTTGGCAAGCATGGCGAGAAGGTTGAGGGAGTCACGCCAAAGGAGTGGAGTCGCGACTACGTTGACTATAATCGTGATGAAGTCGTGAGTGCCTCACCGTGCATTGTTGTACATAGCTGATCTTTCTCCCTAGCCAACCGCCGGACCATCGACAACGGCATCCGAGCCCCCAGTTACTGAGGCATCGGTAGAAACTGCGAATACGACTGAGGAAGCGAGCCCAGTTAAAAAGGAGAAAAAGCGCAAGCGCAAATCTGACGTCGACGAGGGTTCTGTGGTGCCAGCTGCTGAGGAGGATGAGGACGCTGCGGCGAAGGCTGAACGCAAACGTTTGAAGAAGGAGAAGAAAGCGAAAGAGGCTGCTGCTGCTGAAGGCGGCGACGAGAAACCCGAGGACGAGGATGCGCGACGTGAACGAAAGCGCCTCAAAAAGGAAAAAAAGGCACGACAGTCGATAGGTGGCGAGGAGTAGGTTGGGCATGCTATTTAGTTGTATCTACTTGTATTGGAGTGGGTGCTGTATTTATACCGTATGGGTACGATGTTTTGGTGTCTACGCGCCTCGGACTGCTGTTACGACTATGAATTTGGAGACGCTTCAGGATTTTGAAGCTGTTGATCTCTCAGACGGAGATATTCCGCGCGAACGCGTTCCATAGGTTCAGGCCCCGTGCTTGTGAAATGTCGTTATTTTCTCTACATAGTGGAATATGAGCAATGCGTACTATTGGACCATGCATTCTTGTACGCTACGCAGCTGTCCTCTGCAAGCCCACGCAACGGAGACGGTGCGCCCCGTAGCACATTCAGCGAACGCTGGAAGCAGATTGTTGAGGGCAGTGAAAACGGAGGGAGGAAGCAAATACGCGTGCCTTTCACCACTGGGTCGCATTCCTTCAGCGCCCTGGCCTTCGTGGCCTTCATGAGAGTATCCTCTTCTCTACGCGACAAAGCATTCATAGTGGATGGAAGGATGTAGTAGGCGCTTGGAAGCAATTTAGGCGCTCGTACCGGAGTATGTGACGAATCGGGAAGTGGTGAGTGGTCCGACACTTTATTTCGTCTTCACCAAGTTCGCCGACATTTCAGCATGAGTTCTTTGGTCCACCGTTTGAAGTTCTCGCCGGCCCAGCTTCAGGCTTTTCGTTACGCGAGATGTCTGGCTACTGCACCACCACCAACCTCGTCTTCGTCTGACAAGCCTGCGTTCTCCGAAACTCTCGCCGCCGGACCTTCGCTGGATGACTTTATTGCAGATGCACCCGACCGCGTTCTTCTAGGGAAAACCAAAGGGTGAGCTCGTACACCTGCTATCGATGTTCCCGTCCTAACACTGCCCTACTAGCCCCCGTTTACCGTCGTATCTTAAGACCTCCATACCGTCAGGAGCGTCATTCAATAAAATCAAGAAAGACCTGAGGGGCCTCGGTTTACATACAGTATGCGAGGAGGCTCGGTGTCCGAACATTGGCGACTGCTGGGGCGGAAAGAAGGGCGCAACAGAGGCTGAGGGCAGGAACTCAGCCACGGCAACTATTATGGTCCGTAGACCTGAATTCCGAATAACGGAGCACACATTTATCTCACTTGACCGCAGTTGATGGGTGATACTTGTACTCGAGGCTGTAGGTTCTGCTCCGTCAAGACCTCACGCACCCCTCCTCCCTTGGATCCGCACGAACCTGAAAATACTGCTGAAGCTATTAGTCGATGGGGTTTGGGTTATATCGTCCTTACTAGCGTGGACCGAGATGGTACGTACGACCATAGACATCTGATCTCTTGTCCGCTCACCTCTCGTAGACCTCATTGATGGTGGTGCTCATCACTTCGCGGAAACAATACGAAAGATAAAGCAAAAGTTTGTCTTTACCCCCTCAGAGGGGTCATATGTTAACGCGCCAATAGGGCTCCCCACATCCTCGTTGAGGCGTTGACCGGTGACTTCGCCGGAAACCTCTCGCTCGTCTCACTGGTGGCGAAATCTGGATTGGATGTCTATGCTCACAACATAGAGACAGTTGAGGCATTAACACCTCAAGTTCGTGACCGTCGGGCGACATTCAGACAAAGTCTCGAAGTCCTTCGGCATGCTAAGAACGAAGGCGTGCGGATCACTAAGACGAGTATAATGCTTGGGGTTGGTGAGACCGCTGATGAGGTGACAGATGCTCTGAAGGGTGAGATTGGCGATCCCTCATGTCAAGTTATTGTTCACCGCTATCCCTAGAGTTACGGAAGGTTGACGTAGACGTCGTGACCTTTGGGCAATACATGCGTCCAACCAAGCGCCATATGAAGGTTGACCGTTACGTCGAGCCAGCCGAATTCGATCGGTGGAAGCAAGTCGCAGAAGACATGGGATTCCTCTACGTTGCGAGTGGGCCGCTAGTTCGCAGTAGCTACAAGGTAATTTCCGTCTCTACCTATTCCGACCACATTTGACTAAAATACACTACTAGGCTGGAGAGTACTACATCGAAAACGTTCTGAGAGGCAAAGGAACCGAGAGGAAGGCAAGGGACATGCTATCTGCCCAACCAGATATGATGTCGCCATCGCCATCGGCCCAAGAGTGATGGGTTCCTCTCCCTAGATATATGATAAATAGTAATAATATTACAATTAATGGCAATCTGCGATCGTCGTGCCTCAGTGCAAGATCCCTCGTGCTGGAAGGTTGCCAACGTACAGAGCAAGAGGCCGACTCGGCGCTATAGCCCACTTCGTCGTGTGCGTGTTGGGCGATTCAAGAAAGTAATGTGCCTTCGAGTATCATCCGTTGATGACACCGGGATTTGAAGATAAGCGACGCTTTCTAGAGGGTACGTGTTCGTCATCCTCACGCGGTCGTTTCGTCGGCGAGAGTACCTTGGTGACTTTGACCCTCTGAGAGAGGGATCTTGCTAGTTCGTCGTTGTAATCGATGCACTGGAGGAGGACACAAGGAACTTCAAGTTTCCCGTTGTCGTAGTCGGCGCGTATTGCTTCTATATCCCGCGAATCTGAGGTCCGTGTTTTCGTCAACGAGGCATATCCGTCCTTGACCTGGGTGCCCGCTTGGATATGAGTATGACAGAAGTGGCGGAGAATACGTACATGATTGGTGAGCACATTCCATTCTTGTATGGGGAGTGGATCGCTCCTGGAGACCTTGTATACGCCCATGTATCTGAAAAGCTTCTGCCTCTTCGGCCCTTCGAACCCAACAAAAAGTTGATGGGTTTCAGGCATCTCGAAAATATTCTTCTCTGTCCCTAGTCCCACAAACATATAACCGTGGTCGCCCGGTACCATGGGACACCAGGGATTCAGATCCAAGTTCGGGCATAGGAACGAGTTTATGTTCAACCTTCTCGCGATTTCTTTGTGGCTATTCGTTATCCTGTGTAGAGCGGAGACGTAAGATGGAGATATTCAAGAATGAGAAATTTGTATTTGAGAAGATTACCTTACGACAAGCGGTTGGCAGCTGCCACCTATGTGCTCCGCAAGGAATTTACGCGAAAACAATGCAGAGTTGTTACAGTCATCATCTATGACCACGCTGGGGAACGAATCAAACTTCGCCCGACGCGTCTTGGGGATCGAGGAAACGTAGACGGATTGATTATAAGTTCCCCTTAAGTCCGCGAAAGAAACGGGATCTTCCGAAGGCTCTTTCTTCTACATTTTCAGTTGTGAGTAAACGCAAGACACAAGCAGGGGAGCGGCAAACCGAAATTACTGGCGCAGACCGACGAGGGGACAACTTCCGGTCTGCGTTCTCTGCAGACCCCGCGAGTGTCGAGCCAAAGTGAGTTTGGGGAAGCTTGCGAACCTGGATTACGAAATGAGTAATATTGTCTCGGTTGAACACGAACCAGTGGTGCTTACGCTAGTCTGCAGGTTTTCTAATGTCGACTGAAACAACGCTCTCTTCTCTTCTTTAGTACGCAGAAGTCGGCTGTCTTCCTTCAACTTTTGGTTCTCCTCTTGCAGCGCAGCCTTCTCTTCCTCAAGCTTCTTTATGGACCCAACCTAAAGAAGTACGGTATGCACCATGAGTCGTTTGGTCAGGGAGTGGTTGAATTGTATAATCCATACCATGTCATCAGAAGCCTTGCCTAGCATCTCATTCGAAATTTCCGCCATTCGTAGTAGCCGCTGGGCTTCGTCCAGTTGTCGTCGCAATGACTGAATGCTATTATCACGACTCTTGATTTCAGCAGTCCTCTCCACGTTCTCCTTCCGGACAGCGTCAATCTCTAGTCGAAGCAGATCACTTTGATCCTGCAATGTCTTCACGTCCGTCTTGACAACCCCGAGCTGGATCAAAGTGAGTTGGGGGACTTGTACTATGTTTGACGCGACGAACCTCGTCAGACAAGAGCTTGTTGACCAAGATGCACGGACTCTTTGGTGTCTTTTCCTCAGCAGGACGCGTTCCCATAAGAGTAGCCGCATGCTCGACAAAAACGCGTGCTTGCGCTTCGTGTTCATCGCGCTAATGATTGTCAACGTCAAAATCTATTCTCGGGAGTGGTTGCGCACCTCGCGCCGTAATGCCGCGATTTCCTGCTTCCACCGCGCCCCCTCCGCTATGCTTTGCGAGAGCTTGGAAAGGACTTCAGACAAGAATCTCTCTCCGTCTGCTGGCGAGTCCATTGCTTGGAAGTAGGTAACGGAACAAGAGTAGTCAAGTGATCGAATAGCGATCGCTCCTTATTTGGAACTTCGAATGGAATTTCCTGAGAGGACCTGACCATGAATTCTAATCGTGAAGACGTGTAATGGATAACGAAAGACAGAAATTAACTCTAACGATAGCAGATATGTAAGGCGATATGAGATTTTAGCTAAGCGCAACTGCTCAGAGCATAAATGTCAGCGGGTTCTCGAGGTAGCCCTTGAACGCCGCCATCCAGCGGGCGGCAACTGCGCCATCAACCGTCCTGTGATCCGAGCTTAGGGTGACCTTCATGATCTGGGCCGTCTTAAATCCACGCTCCTCTTCAGGAGCGGGGACGAGTGTCGCTTGTGTCGAACCGACGGCCAAAATACATGATTGGGGCGGATTGATGATGGCCGTGAAGTGGCTTACGTCGTACATCCCAAGATTCGAGACAGTGAACGTTCCACCCTAGTATACCTTGTTAGACATGGCGGAGGCGTGGACAGATTGGTCAGACTAACCTGGTATTCAGCGGGAGCCAATTTGCCATCCCTAGCCTTCTTCGCAAGAGCTTTGGTCTCCGCAGATATCGAGGCCAAACCCTTGCCACCGACATCACGAACGATGGGAGTAATCAAACCAGTAGGGGTGGCGACGGCAACTGATATGTCAGCCTTCTTATACCTGAACCCGCGAAGTCAGCCCAATGGAATTAGCGTGAGGGCGGGGTACTTACGTTCGAATTACTTCGCCCAACCACGCGGAGTTGGCCTCTGGTACGTCGGCAAGCGCACACGAGACTGCCTTCAAGATGAAGTCGTTGACACTCAGTTTGGCAGACTTGTCCTTGTCACCAAGAGTCTTGTTGAAGACTTCTCTGAGCTTCAGGACCTTGTCCATGTTAATCTCAGACGTGACGTAATAATGCGGCAACTCCTGCTTTGACTGAGTGAGACGTGTGCCAATGGTGCGGCGCATGTTCGATATAGGTGTGTCGACATAATCTGGAGGTAGTTGAGCAGCGGCCGGTTGTGCGGTTGTGGTGGCCGGGGCAGCGGCGGGGGTATAGCTCTCAACATCCTCCCGGATGATGCGACCGTCAGGACCAGTTCCCTTCACCTTGGCCAGAGGAATGCCACGTTCCAGAGCAATTTTCTTGGCTATGGGAGACGCGAAAATGCGGTCACCTGATGGAAGGTCGGATTTCGATGACTCTGCCTTGGGCTCTGGCTTTGACTCTGAAGGTTTGGGTTCTTCAGCTTTCGGCGGTGGCGGCGGGCTGTCATCCTTCGGTGCGGCAGCTTGTGAGGATGCCTTGGAGGCCAACTCCGCAGCGCCCGAGAGGTCGTCGCCTTCTTCAGCGAGGATGGCTATCACTGAACCAACTTGGACATTTTTTGAACCGTCAGGAGCCTGGGTGGTGGTGCGTTTTAACGCCGCTTAGCAAAGTGAGCATGAGAGTCCACATACAATTATCTTGGCCATAATTCCATCATCCTGAGCTTCCACGTCAATGGTAGCCTTGTCCGTTTCCTGCATGACGTATAACGGGGTGGTCAGGACACGGTCTCCGCGCTGGAAAGAGTACGCACAATCTCGAGCAGAACGTCGCCCGTGCTGAAGGATTCACCCTCTTTCTTCTTCCACGACGCTATGCCGCCCTCGGTCATAGTCGGACTCATTGCAGGCATATTGAACTGTGACAGCGCACAGCGCCGAGCGGACACATGGAAGCCTAGAGAAAAAGACTGAGCACGAGAAAACAGAAGCATATACATGAGACCTACGCCTGGAGAAGATACGGACAGCAGCGGAGGCCATTTGGAGAAGATGGAAGCAAAGGGAAGAGAGGGTTGATGTCTACGAAATTTCCGTTGGGGACCAAGTCGACAAAACGCGAGCAGAAACAAGGACAAACAACAACTTCCCACTACACAACTTAGCGCCGCCGCCAATCGTGGTAAGATGGCTGAAGATAGCTTCCACCTTCCTGGCCAGCCAGTAATTCTCCCCAGAGGCCCGGTCCCCCAGCTGGGAGATGGCGTGTATCAAAGGGAAGGCGTGATTCGCGCGAGCCTCGTTGGTATACCGCGACACGAAGCATCCGTTCGTCCCCAGCCTCCATCCATGTCCCAAAAATCAGGCTGGAAACCGTGTCATTGCAGACTCTGACGATTTCTCGTCTCCGACCCCATCCGCCAGCCCCCAATTCGATTGTTCTCGGGTCTGTAACACGGCTTTCCCCGCTACAGGCTTTGTTATCTATATCAGTGGTAGATGGCGTACCACTTCCCCCTGGAGAAGAATTCATCGGTGTTATTCGCACTCAAGATGTTCGAGCAACAGAAAAGGACCGTGTCAAAATAGCCGACTGCTTTCGTGGCGGTGATGTCGTAAAAGGCCTGGTGGTAAAGGAAGATCTGATTTACCCTAGTGTCGTCAGTCTGAATGCCTTCATTCTGCGTAGATCTCGTTAGGTGATGCTCGAAGGTTTGTCCGCCGTAGATGCCGCTTCATCGATGTTGAGCTGGATGTTCTAGCTACTATATAACAACTGCTCGCAATGATCTAGGTGTAACATTTGCGACAAGCGAAGCTGGTATGTGACCCTCTTTGACCTGCGATCTTGGAAGTGGCCTCAACTCAATAGGTGCAACGATGGAACCCGTCTCGTGGCAAGAAATGCGATGTCCCAAGACCGGTAGAATAGAAAAGCGCAAATGTGCCAAACCAGAAGGGCTTTGAGATGTCGTTATTTTTCCGATGCCTGTAATGATAGCGAGACCGTGCTATAAAACATCTGAATATGTCGAAAAATGAACGGCTGCCTCGTGGGACCCGTCCCAAAAAGGAAAGGTTAGGTCACCCTGTTGAAGTGTGGACGTGTGGTCGAAGCATCCAACTTTTGACTCTCTCCTCCTGGTCTCTGCTTCATGACGGCTGTGCTTTCCCCGACGGACCATTTTCGAAGGGACAAAGTCAACTCAATGGACGACAAACAGCTCGAGTGACTACTTTCACGCAAAGTCAGCTTCGAACCCGTTGCTAACCCAATGGTTCTCTAGTTACGCCTCCTCGTCTGTGGACTGGCGGGAGAAGTATAATGAAGTGAGTCACCCCCCTGTGTGCGGTAGATTCAATGATACGACTTTGTCCGGCTCCAGGTCGCGGACATGCTTGCGGAGACCCGTGTTGAACTCGACGAATTCCATGCAGCCAGTAAGGAACTCGAAGCAGAGCTTGAAAACGAGCTGCAACGCACGGAGAAGGCGCACCAGGACCTCAAGATTAAGGTGGCAAAGGCAGAGAACGAGAGAGACGACTGGAAGGTGCGCACAACATGGTCGCTCATCCTCAGCAGCTCAGTTCAGCGCGTAGAGTAAATTCATGACCTTGCAAACGAATTTCAACACGACGACGACATCCCTTCAACGCGAGCTTGACAAACTACGGCAAGAACATCAGCACCTCAAGATTCAACTTCGAGAGCTAGAAATGGGCAACGACGATTTGGAGCGCAACGAACGCGCAGTAACCTCTAGCTTGGCGGATGTGGAGGCCAAGTATTCGAAGGCATTGGAAGAGAAGATTCTATTGGAACATGAACTACTAGATAAGGCTAATGTGGAAGAGGAATTACAGCGGCTTAAGGATGAGCTTCGAGGTGAGTTCTGCGCGTACGCTTACTCTGGATTAATAATTGATCTCGTGTATAAGACGCAAACGTCGAGGTTGCCATACTCAAGGATCAGCTTGAAGTGGCATCCGTTCCTGTCGTCACGCCGCCTACGGAGATTGTACCCACCATTCCATCCAGCACATCTGCCTCTAGTCTGCCATCGAAACCACTATCATGCGGCGACAATCTACCCACGGCAGAGACACCTCGAGCGAAAGTTACACAACGACCCGCTCAGTCTGTGCTATTACAGCGCGCCGGTTTCCCGTCGAGCAAGTCAGAGTTCTCCCCGTCAAGTGGTATTGCGCGCTCAAGCACGCTCCCCGTCTTTGGCTCCCCCTCCGCCAGCCCTCGTACTCCAACCACTCGCCGCTTATCCCCCGTCCGTGTCACCTCCTACGCCTCTACCAACTCTACCACTAGCGCTACTTCCACCGCGACCAGTAGGAGCAAGACCATGCAAATGGCATCTGCTATCCGCGCCAAGATGGAGAACAGCCTACAAAAATCGTTCACTCGGGTACCGCGCCTCCGTAAACCGAGTGTTATGGGTCGCAGCAACGTGTTTGCCGTCCCTTCATTAGACGGACGCTCTTCTGGCAAATCATCCAAGTCCAATAGCATAGACGAGAATGGGGTTTCTACATCAACTGTACACCGAAGCATCGACTCGCGGCGTTCGAACGACAGCGGTAACGAGAAAGGGAAGAATAAGGATTCCACTGGGTGGGTACTCATCATGGAAGACTCTCCTTCGCCTCCGAAAGATAGAAGTCGCGACAGAAGACGAACTTCAAGTCCTTCTGGTCGCGCATATCGCCCCGAAGCCAGCTCAAGCAATAACCCCTCCCCGACTCTCATGAACCGAGGCAATCCACTCACTGTCAGCACTATGAATACGGGTATCAAGAGACCACAATCGCGCTTGTCTGGTGCTAGTCTTAGCACTACCACTAGCACAAGCTCGATCCCCACACCGACATCTCGACCCTCCACCCCCACCTTCTTGCCAGTGCCTATCGGAAGCTTATATTCGCAGTCTACAACACCTGGTTTGGCTGGCCTCAAGCGATCAACAGGGCCAGGACTTAACGGACCTTACTCCAAGCGGTCATCTCTTGGGTCAACGGCAACGCCTCCGGAAACAACGCCACGCGAGAGGCCCTTGACAATGCCAGTCCCTCCACGCTCAAACTCTGGCACACCGTCGTCAATGGCAAGCTCACGCAGTGATAGATCAGATCCTGGTAAGGCTTTGCCGCGCCTTCCTTCCCTACACGCCAACGTGACGATGCGTCAGTCAACAAGGCTTCCCATGACGTCTTCGGGCAACATTCTAGCTCAAAGCCGGATCGGCCGGCCCAGTGGGGGAGGAGGAATTGGTGGGCGGCGTAGTGCAGGAGATTCAGATGGATTGTTGGATTTGAAGAAGGATACACGACCGCGGGCGGGCAGCGCGACTGCGTTGTATGGCAAGTGACTCACTTATTCTTTATCTCTAATATAGTGGTCACGCGCCCACGTATTTGCTTATCCCCTTGCTCTCCCCGCTATCGACGATTGTTATGCAGGATATGGTGTATGCGTATTTATCTTTACTGATGAGTCCAAACCTCCAGTCTCCACAATCCTTGACTCGATGCCCTCTCCTTTCCTGCCTTCGGTGGCAATCTTGACCTGATGTAGATACCTCTATATTATGTAGCCATGTTACTGTACTTCTTAGATGACGGATGTAATGAACTATGATACAAACTCTCCCATACTCATAGACACGTTCGGATGTGTGGTACCTTGGTGAAGATGAGCTGAGCCTGCCGCTGTTATAAGCCAAGCCCTCCCCCGAGCAATTTGCCACAGCTAGCACCAGGAGCATCCCGGCCCATTGTCTTTGCCACCTCCGTTCGTGTAAATGTGGAAGTGGCCATTCAGATCACCTTTATCTCTTTGTCTATATATAACAAGTCCACAAACCATTTGGCCACCAAGGGTGCGCTGATATAAATACCAACTTGGTTCCTTTCCCTCTACAACCCCCCATCTACACTACCTCATTGCATTTACCGATTTATCTACTCTAAGCCATGTCATCCAACTCAAACGCGTCGACTTCTGGCCTTTGCCACCTCCCGCCCCACCTCCGCCTTCGAGACCGCATCGGTGACATAGTCGTCGTTGAAGGGACCCCGCGGCGAAGCGGGATTATCACCTGGATTTTTCAGCAAGATGGGGAGACGAAGTCGCACATCATGCTCAAAGACAACGGCAGGATTATTGGCGCCACACTCCTGGGTGGGCCAGCGAACGGTACTTGGCACGAATGGAACCCCAGTAATTACACTTCCCCGACGTTCTTGGTGTAAACGTGAAGCTTGGTCGTGAGTATTTTCAACCGAAGTGAGAGCCGTCAATGACTCTTGCTTATCGATAATGATGATTACAGAACGCTAAACAAGAAACGGACAGCGGACACAACGGAGCACGTATCAATTTCAGGTTACTAAGATATATATATATTACAAAACTGTTGCACCTGATCATATAAATTGCCTTCTACCGGAGCAAGGCATGATATCAACAGTACTGGTGTTGAACCAGGAGGTAACTCCTAAGCGTCCCTAAAGCCCACACGTTACCTCATCAATTTTCCAAACGAGGCGCAAGGGGTTGCAAAGAGACGTATCCGTGGTAGATGTGTGTTGAGGACGTTACGACACAGTCAATCTGCCGTTCTGACGTCCCAACCCATCAATACCTCAACCTCCTCCGAGTCATCAAACCACCGATGGAGGGCGAAAGCGACGTGCAGGACCTTTTCTTCTAGCAGCGGCCCAAGCCCCAGCTTAAAATTGGCCACCTCTCTCGCTTTGTCGTCTGTCCAATCGGACGTTGCATGAATTTCTGCACCATCTTCGATGGTAATTGTGACCTTCAGGTCAATGCGCTCCAACGCGGCACGTCTACGGAGTTGTTGAAGGACTTGCGACAAACCCTCGTGATCTGCCGTCTGAGGATACCGTACTTCGGACCCAAACAAGAATTTCTGGACATCGATCGTGAGGTGACGGAGGTGATCGGGAAATGGAAGGCGGTTGATGCACCCCTGAATCCAGCTGGTGAACCGATGATATGAGGAAGAGCCAGATAATCTGATCACTAAGTCGGACGGGCGGATATTCTTTCCAAAGTCGGGAATGGCATGACGAGCTGTGGCTAGATTCGCTACTTCAGCAAGGGATCATTTACTTGATAATAGTACGTGCCATATAATGTGAGATCGCGTAATCCACTCGGGACCCATGACGGTAGGACCCAAACTTCGCCAACTTCGACTCGAATGCTTAAAGATTCGAGGTTGGGACATTCGATGATCGGAGTATATTTGGGGGGAAACTTCATGCTGCGTAGCGCACCCATCCGGATAGGCAACGGTGCGATAAATTCAGAGCTTGGCTGGGAGTATAGGAAGGAGACGCCGTCGAACGACAGTTGTTCAAGAGTATTAGAGCATAACACGAGCATGCGATAGAGGCTAGAGACATTTGCAAAGGTCCATGCACGGAAGGTGAGGTCCTTGAGACAAGGAGCAGCGAGTAGAGACGCCGTAACCGAGAAAGGGGACGGCGGGCCATCCGTCAAGCCTCGTGCAATGCCATTCGCTAGGCACAAAGTGCGCAGATTCTTGAATGGTACAAAGGATTCTGAATTCCAGTCGGAGGCAAGGCAGTTTCTGTTATCCCAAGAGATAGACAAGTCGCGGATATGTTCGCTGAGGTGGCTAGCCGTGTGACAGAGAAAGGACAACCGAGGAGCCAGGTTCTTGTTCCCAATGATGATGCGATCGAAGATGTGAACGCGGCAGATATCGTCCCAACCACGGCATACGAGGGAGCAGGCTGCCAGTGTCTTATGCCGATCATGGTCGCTACTGACGAAGGTGATAATAATATGGATCAGCTCTACGGGGAGCTTTGCAACCATGGTGTCCTCGAGATGGGAGGGGTATGAAACTAGACTTGGGTTTTTATTATTAGGAGAAAATGATATACTGCGAGTAACATACGTACCAATCATCTGGATTTCGCGGTCAGAGTGGCCACCGGGACATTGGAAGTCACGTAGTCTATTCTAGTCTATTATTTGTTTTTATTTGCTCGGCATAATGATGATTGCTCGGACTCGGACTGTGTCTTGACTCTATAAAGTATGGCAGATAATCTACCCACTCCAGAACGCTCCCTCAACGGTCAGGCAGTCTTAGAAGAGGACGAGTACACGGCTGCGCTGTCTCACATCATTGCAAGGGACTTCTTTCCCTCTCTCGTTCATCTAGACGCCGCCCACCAATACCTCGATGCCTTGAAGACCGAAGACTCGAGTCTCATCAACCAATCTGTGCGCCGCCTCGAGCAACTCTCTAGCACACCAGCGCTCCCACGAAATGCCGCGACGCCGTCACAGACACCCTACGGACTCGGCGGCGAAACACCCTTGCGCACTCCCCGCACACTCGGCGACGAGCCACCGTCGAAACGCGCGCGCTATGACCTTGATATAAGTTTAGACACGTTCCAGGCACGGTATACGTCTGAAGATAACTCGAGCTTCACGAAGATTTTGGACGACGAGAATCAGAAACGGAGGGATAGATGGGCGTGGGCTTGGGAGGCGCAGCAGAGGGTGGAAGGGCAGAAGGCGAAGGCGATTGAGGGGAGGGAGAGGATGCTGATAGAAGGGCCGAGTGCTACGGGTGTGAGGGAACGGTTTATGATCGATGCACCGAAGCCGGCTGGGTTAATTACTGAAGGGGAGACAGAGGACGGGGAATCGAGTGAGGAACGCAACGAGGAATCAGAGAAGGAGAAGGGCAAGGGTAAAGAGTTGGTACTGCAGTCGGAGGATGACCAGCCCGTAGATGTAATGGCACCCAAGAAGGACACTCGTCCTGCTGGTGTCGATGGGTGGAGATTCAAGGTGCGTCTCTACATATATCTTATCTATAATATAGGTAACACGGAGACATTATTAGGCCCGGAATTCGCTGATGTTTCCTCCCGATGCTAACGAGTCACCATATCATCCATCCACGAGTGCTATCGCGACGCCGAATCCCAAGGTAGTCCTGCACAGCAACACACGGTTACCTGAGCAAGAGGAATCCACAAACTTCTCTCGAAGTTCATCAGCGCCGCCCAGTCCAACAAGAAGTCGCATAGACGCTGCGATATCCGGTACACCATGTACGTATACGGCGGATGCATCGTTTCTACGGACTCTGATATTGATTCTTTGTATGTAGATCGACCCCGTTCGCCTCCTGGTACCTTCTCACTGGTACCAGACCTCCCTTCGCCTACACCTTCAGAAATTGGGCCGAAAGCTGTTAAACAGCTAATGACCTGGGGTACACTGATGGGTACACCGCGAGTCATCTCATCTGGAGACGACATACCTACTCCAAGTACACCCTTCCGGATAGCCGCTCCATCTTCTCGCGAATCCCTCTCTCATCGCCTTTCCAACGATGCATCACGGCGCCTACGAGCTAAGGCTGATCTGATAAATGGTGGTCGAACGCCTAGTCATCCTTCAGGGAAGAAGCCCATGTCGGCGTTGGGAGCGACTGTTAGGAAGGGAGTAATGCCTCCTCCTTCATGGACGCCTCAACGGAATGTTGCAGCGACTCCTGGCTCACTCACCCCCGCTGCCAAACGGCTTCTCGACAGGACAACAATGGGCACCGCTGCCACTAGACGTGCTGAAGCTATGGCTCGTTCGGCTGGCTGGGAAGACAGGCGGCCCGAAAAAGAGAAAGAACTTGATAAAGTCAGATGGACACCCACTCCTAGTCCCGTTACAAGGAGAGTTTTGTAGATGAAGCGGGAATACAGTTGCATTATACATCGTTTGTGACGTACGGAATAAACTATGTGGTGCTATGAGGTGGAGGTTTTACGCCGCTTTGCAGCAGGCGCGTCTTCGTCGTTCTCCGTGACCTTGCCGTTCGATTCGCTAGTTGAATCGGGTGCGGGGGTTGTAGATGGCGGCTCAGCGGCCTTCGCCGGTGCGGGCTTTGCCTTTTTCTTCACGATGACACCCTTCAAGTTTCGCTTCGCGTCCTTCTTGACTGCGGGCGCAACGATGGGCTTGGGAGGTGGTGTGGGTTTGGAGGTAGAAGCGGATGCCGGAGGCTGGTTGATTGCAGTCGCGCGTGCCGCTACAGCTCTACAATATGCCGAGTTAGGATCACCCGGTGGGATGGCAATAGGTCTCTTACTCCTTGAAATTGCGGACCTCTTCTCCATCTTGCTCCTTCCGTTCGCGTTCCTCTGCTTCCTGACGTTCCCTTATCGAGTCGAGAAACAGGACCTCGTCTTCCTCCAAGGCTCGGTATTGGTTAGCTTTCGTATGCCATCAGCAGAAGCCCAGGGATGCATGCGCAGTTCTCATACCGAGCTTGGTCTTTTCCTCCCATTCTTCTTGTTTCGCAATCTATGGGAAGTCAATCGTCAGTGTACACTCTCGCTTGCGAAAGCGCAGTCACGTACCTTATTTGCAGCAAGTTTCTATTGTGCCGACGGATTATAATGTCCGGATCCATAGATTGGAGTTAATATCCCTGCTGCGTGCGTGGTCAAGTGTGGATGTAGCTCACTTCTGCGAGACTGCGGCCGTCGTATGAATCTTCAACCGGTGCTGGGGGTGGCACCTGCCCCAGTCTGAGGGAGCGATTAGTGTCGCGTCAAGAGCACAGCCAAGTGCCAGACATGCCTGGCGTAGGCAGCCTTCCACTGTTCATCCCTGCGGGCCCTTGCCGTTTCTACGTCGTCTTGGGATACAAACCGAGAGCCCACGGCTCCAGATGAAAGCGAGGGGACCATTGACTCTTCCATGATCGTAAGCTGTAAAGGTATTTGACAAGCGCCTCACTGGAGTTCAATCAATACAAGGCGTGTGACACGACTACGTAATCGCTAAGTAGGGCTATGCACTGACTTAGCGGGCATAAGGAACAGAAAATAAATAAGAAAGAAAGATGTGGAGGATGTAACTCCGCCTGCCCCCTTACCACTGCCAGCCCTTGCCTTACCTCTCCTCCAGAGGCTCTGTTGGCTGGATGAACCCTCCCTCCTCGTCCCGCACAAGAGCACCGTCCGCACCGTCAACAGCGAGCTTGAACAAATCGGCCAGTGTTCGAAGCAATGGCTTGAGACCCGCGGCGCCTCCAATATCCACTGTCATCACTTCTCCTCGTGCGTGTCGTGTGACGGAGAATACTGCTTTCAACACTTACCATATCTTCTTTCCACAACAGCATGGGCCAGGGACGAGCCTCCGTCGCCGAAGGAGCGCACATCCTTGAGCGATAGCCAGCAAGCTACAGAATCGCGGCCATCCGATGTGGCATCCCTGCAGTCATCATCATACCCAGGCTCGTACAATACTGCTTCGCGGTGGTGGGCATTTACGCTGCCCCGTCCGAGGGAGATGACCCAGAACGATCTACTCAACCCCGCTGCGAGACTGGAGAGGAAAAGTATCATGGACAGATCGATATCGTGGCTCCCTACGTCAGCCGCTATACGAGAGGCCGCTTCGTCATCACTGCGGAAGGATAGGGATAAAGAAAGGAACAAGGAAAGAGATGCCGAACCGGAATCAGCGCATGATCCATACACTCCGGTGCAGAAGTGGAACCCAACCATCACCTTACCTCCAACCCCAACGGCTCCGTTCACCGCACACCACAGCAAAACGCCTGGATGGGACTCTCCATGGAACGAAAGATCACCAGCCGGACCTTCCGGTATTGACCACACGTACGGCTTGGGCGCGAGCAAGGAGGCGGACGACAAAAATAAATACCTCACTCCGTGGCAAAGGAGAAAGAAACAGATCCGTCGGTTTATCCTGAATAACGTCTATGTCCCCTTGGTAAGAGCCTTAGTCCCCACCTTTCGGCTGACACTTACCCTTCTTGATAGTTGTTTCGTTTCATCAATATCTCACTGACCGCAGCGGCACTTGGCGTGGCGTTGCACATACGTCGCGTGGAACAGCGCTGGCATGTCATGGGTGCTGTGGGTAGTTCCCCGTAAGTTGATTAACACATATTCGGAACCTCCCATTCTCACCCTACCCCAGGACACTGGTGATTATATTCGCGCCCTTGACACTTGTACATGTCATGATTGCTATATATGTAAGCTAGCAGCCCCCCTCATGTGGTTGCGTACTAAAGGTCCGCATAGCTGGAATATTTCGGGCGACCTCTGGGACTGTGGCGTACTTCTGGCAAATTGGCCCACACGTTGTTTGAGGTTACTTTCATATGTGCTTGGTCGGCAGCACTTTCGCTGGCATTCGACAATTTCTTCACGTCACTAATTCCGTGTGCATCTTCCTCCGAGATCTCCTGGTACAGTCAACTACCACGACCAGCCCCGCCCGACCCCCTGGACGACGTCGTTGCCAATGGTGTGGCGAAACAGATATGCCGCGACCAATTATCCCTGATATGTCTTGTCGGCGTCGGACTGATCATGTATTGCACCAATCTCATCATCAGCTTGTTCCGGATATTTGAGAAAGTCAAGTATCATCCCTCCCCGCCCTCTCACACTGTATAGACGCACCACTCCGACTTCTATAAACGCTTCCATCTCGCTGCGACGCCCTTACCCTTTCTCCGCTTTCACATTCAATCTGCACTCGCTATCATTATTCGCCTCGAAAATGCATTCCAGACCTACGTCTTGGATGGCCCCCGCCGTCCAACTCATACCAGGGACATTGTTCTTACGTAGTTCATAATATCCTCTTCTCAGCATACGTTATCGACTGTATTGCTATGTACTTATACTGTAACGCAACGATAGTAGCCAGAGCCTCGCGTATCACGTCTCGGACTTAGATACGACTCACCCACACTCCTTCAATTTTATCGGATTTCTCGTTCAAGTTGTGACTTTGACGTGCTCCGGTCACGCGATAGCATCATTCCTTTGCATGTCGCATTTAGACTCTTCACCTTGCGCGGCCCACTGCCTTCCTTTAACCTCAAAGTTCAGCCACCATCATGTCGTATGAGTGCTGATCCCGCCAGCAACGAAGACCGCTCTGTGAATATTGAAATGACAATGTCGGACTCCGTTAGCGGCCAACCTAGCGACGGGGCCAAATCCTTATCCACTCTGAAGAAGCAGGACTACCTTCTGGGAATCGGCTTATTGCTGGTGGTCGTGTTCTTATGGACGTCGTCGAACTTCATTACCCAGGTCCGTGCTTATCGTTCCGTACCACGACCATGATAGATAGCTAATATCTGCGTAGGACCTCCTTGAGACGGGATACGAAAAGCCATTCATGTATGTTCTGTTTAGTCATCGGGATAGAAAGACTGACCTTATATGACTAGAATAACGTATCTAAACACGAGTGCATTCGTGGTCTATCTCCTCCCATTTCTCTATCGACAGTTTCGTGAATCCCGAAGTTACGGCAAAGCGTGCGTCTTTTTGAGTGGATAAGGCTTCGGAAGTGCTAACAGCACCTCGCAGTCGGACCACAGATGGATACCAATCCCTTGCCGTCGACGCTACCCAAGGGGACAGCGAAGCTGGAATTCAAGTACGCGAACTTTCCAAACTTTATCGCGCGCCGTCCTGACTCCCTTCTGATGAACAGCAACCTGCACCAACGCTGAACAACGAAGATGGTCTGCCACCCCTGACCATACGGGAAACTATTAAACTGGCCTCTATATTCTGTATATTCTGGTTCATCGCAAACTGGTCGGTAAACGCGGCTTTGGAATACACGAGCGTCGCCAGCGCCACCATATTGTCGAGCATGAGCGGTGGGTGAACAAATGACTGAAGGAGGAACATGAGTCTCATACACTTGCATGTACGATAGGCTTCTTCACATTAGCAATCGGGCGAATATTTCGTGTAGAAACATTCACGATGGCCAAGGTGTGTTCTTGTTGGCAGTTCCCAGCCCAACCTCCCCGCTGAAAATATTCTAGATCGCTGCTATTGTGATGAGGTAGCTTCACTATCCCTTCTTTCGAATGAAGCGCTCTAAATACCATCTAGTTTCATCGGCGTCGTTTTCGTGTCTATATCTGATACATCGGAAACACGAACAGAGAACCTCGTCCCCCGCGCAATGATTAATACATCCCCTTCACTAACGTCTCCCTCACGACCGCTGCTAGGGGATTCTCTCGCTCTCCTCTCAGCAGTATTCTATGCGCTCTACGTCATCCTTCTCAAGGTTCGCATCAAGTCTGAATCCCGCATCGATATGCAATTGTTCTTTGGATTCGTTGGCCTCTTCAACATCATAGGCTGCTGGCCCATTGCTGTCATCCTACACTATACTGGTCTCGAGCCTTTCTCTCTGCCACATGGTAGGAAAGCGATAATGGCCATCTTGATGAACGTGAGTCATTCATATTCCTCCATCCGAGTACGCCGAAACCTAGTCTGTGTGTCTCAGATGTTTATCACTTGGTCGAGCGACTACATCTACGTGCTAGCAATGCTCAAGACTACCCCGCTTGTTGTCACAGTTGGCCTTAGTCTGACGATTCCTCTCGCTGTGGTCGGAGACTTCTTCCTGGCCAAGCCGACCAAGGGCCAGGTTATCGTTGGCGCCATTCTTGTTGTGATTGGGTTTATTACAATTGGGGTAGATGGTCCGGGGCATGAGGGCTCTGAGGAAGAACACGTCGCGGCGGGTGCCAGTAGCCACCCGAGACGTTCGCAATCAGTGGCTCCTGAGGAAGTTGAGCTCCTTCCGGATGGTCCAACGAGAAATTAACGACATAGATATATTTATTTTACTTCTTGTTGTCATTGACATACACTACAATTATGGGCGCTAAATTGATAGTACTTCTTCTAAATTTTGACCGGATGGTGTGTCGAATAACTTGAAGACGACGGCGAGCTCGCTCACCCAGCCCTTGATAGCCAAAGGATAGAAGAAAACGCTTGGGTGGTCACTCACCATCAGCCAAAATCGATGTTAGCAAACGTCGCTTCGTTGCTGACGGTCCTACGGAGCAGGTGCTCGTAGGGAGTTTGGCAGCGGAAAATGATACAACGGTAGAGCCACACCCTTTTCAGTCTCGCGAAACCCTAGCTAACTAGACACCCCTCAGGCGAGCGAAATCCTTCAATTGGGGGACGCGACGGACAAACCACCATCGTTCACGAAGCGTGAAAAGCAGCAGCTGAAGCACGAAGCATTCTTACAGCGTACGTCGTCCTTTCTGCCCCTTCGACAGGCTTGTTCTGATTTTGGTACAGGCTTGGAGTCGGCGCAGACCCCTTATTCGAAGTCGCACAACCGTAGAATGAAGCGGAAAGCTAAGGAACAAGTTGCGGGGGGGCTGTCGTCGATGCATGAAGCGATCTCAATCATGGCGGAAGAGGCCGGCCTACCTCAGGACGATCTGAAGGCAGATTCGTTATCAACAGTCCAGCCTGCGCGAGCGAAATCGGGACAGATTGGACAGGGAAAGAGCGTCCCCTTGTCAAACGCGCAACGCAAACGTGCTTTGTGAGTGTCGAGAACGCCTGCCTGCGGAGGTGTATTACTGACATAGACCTTTTCAGAGAACTTGAGAAACTTAGGCAGCCTCTCATTCTCTCAACTCCACAATTCGCAGCCAGTCCATTCCAGACCATACGACAGCACGCCACGAATTCGTTACTAAAACATCAGGTCCCCAGCTAGCTCCAGTGTTGTATGTAAGCCATTGTACTATCTATAAGTCCGTGGTCATTCCTCCATCAAAGAGACCTGAAGAGGCATCTGAGTCCCTTCGCTCATCTTGCCTCTGACCATAGGGACCATGATTCCTGCGGGGAGCCTCATAATTTCCACTCCTTTGGGCAGAACGAATTTGAAATTCTCCACTGCCTCGACTAAGAGTGCTTGCAACTCGATGACGCTGGCTCGGACGTCAATGAGGATAGACAAGACGAAGAACAGTGACTCACGCAAATCGCCAACCGATACATGCTTGGACTCCGCCAGCTACAAAGGGTACGTGGGTCAGACGAGAATATAGAGTCATCAACGTCCAGTAAAAACTCACAAAACGTCATCCTAAACGTTGCATTGCTCAGACATCAGACATACATGAACGGCGTCAATCAGATCAAAGACTTACAGATTTGCGTACACTCCAACGGACGTTTGCTTCTCTTTTGACGTATCAAGGAATCTGCGCGGGTTCCATTCATCGGCATCGCTTCCCCAGACCGACGGCAGGCGATTATATGCGCAGATGGACACGATAAAATCTTGACCCTTTTGGATGGGGAGCTCTGTCAGGGTTTCTCCATCTTTGGTGACGATAGGCAATGCCAGTGGAAGAACGTCATCTCTTTCTGCAGTGCGTACTAGTGCAGGGACGATGGGGTAGAGGCGCAAGACTTCCTGCAGGCGGTAATATGAGTTCCGACTTGGCGGGTGCTAGTTGTGTACCTACCTTCATACAAGCAATGGTAAATGTCAAAGAGTCTAGGTGCAACATGGTGAACTCTGTGCCTCTGGGTAGTTTGGCCCGAAGCTCTCGGATTTCTTCTCGCATCATCTTCTGGTCTTCTGGATGCTTGGAAAGCTCATACAAAAGCCAAGCAAGTGTTAATGCAGTAGTCTCGTACCCCGCTAATATGATGGTCCTAGAGAACGACTCAGATCCTTGCTAAACCAAGATATACCCAAGTAGGACCTACGCCATTTGGGATAAGATCTCATCTTCGTCAAGTTGGCCTTTAGGGTCTTCGGACACGTTGGCTCGGACTACGTCGTAAATGAGGAGGCGAAGGGAGGCGAAGGACTCCAAGAAAAACCTGCTCACCTAGCACGCTCATGACGTCCCGACTGGTTCCATCTCCCATGGAAACGGATGCTCTCTGCTCAATCAACCCCTTGGAAACGCTCTTTGCCAACTTTCTGAAGGCGCGGAACCGGATGTACTCCTTTGTTGGGATGTACTCTACGTATTGGAGGATCGATGTAGGTATGTACTGCCACAATCCTTTAAAGAGAAGGTCCACCCCCGATGGGTAGAGTAACGTATCAGAACTACGAGCGCAGTTTAGATTTATACAGGACAGGACGGAAGTGGGACAGGACATACAAGAGATTTTCCATCGACTTGGACAGGGGGTTCTGGGCACTATCAATCGCGCCAAATCGATAGTCGAACGCCGCTGTGGTCCGTTGTAAGAACGCATGCTGAGCACTCCTCTGCGAGACTCACCTTCTCCGATGGCGTCGAGCGTACTTCGAGCAAGCCAGCGGGATACGTTGAAAGTATGCTCACCGGCTTGGATGAGGTCCTTCCATTTCTGGGTCATCTGCGCCAATGCCGATGGTAAACCTAACGCCCAGGTATACTGTGGGTGAAATGCGCACCCGAGAAGCAGTACTTTGGAAGAGCGGGAGGAAGGCTCGCAATTGCTGGGCTGTGAATGCTGGGTTCATTACTTTCCTATGGCGTTGGTGCGTATCACCTGTTGCCACTCAGAACCACGCCGCGGAGATGTCAAGGAATACTTCCAGGATCGTACCTGATGCCCACATGATACCCCTTCCAAGAATGTTGCGAGTAGCCTGGGCGGCGTCAGCACGCTTGGGATAATGATACCCCTTGGTATGGAAGATATGCTGGAGTGCACGAGGGTCGCAGGTGAAGACAACCCTTTTCTGTAGAGATCATCAATTCAGTCAGGCTGTGCGCTGAGCGAACTCGAGAACATACCCCCCAAGTACCCCTTGTATTGAAGGTGGCCCCGTACTCGCGTACCCACGGAAAATCGAGATCGCCGACCTCACTCTGGTTACGGATTTCTACTTCATTTCCTATAGACCGCGAGCATTAATCAGTCAGAAGAATGGATGGGGCATGATATATCTTACCCAGCAGCCATGAGGGCGAAGGCGGTCCTCTCAACTTTCTAACGTAATCTCGGCTACGCCGAGCGAAGGAACTAACAACCACAAGGAACAGAGCCGCGACAAAGACGTACAAAATGATGCCCATGGTTGTTGATGGTGACACCTTGTTACAGAAGAGAATTTATACGCAGGGCTCGAACAGATGGGAAAGTTCTGCAATGTGCTCTGCGAGTGTTCGGAGGACGGCCAAAACGCATGGGCCGGTAACATCATATAAATTAGTCACTCGGGGGATCTGCAGTATGGCAGAAGCTCACAAGTACCCCACCAACAACGGTGCTGTGTAGGCCACCCAATCCTGATACGTCAAACTCCATGCCATAGACGAATACTCCGCCGGTATGCTTCTTAGATTGCCTTTATCGATAATATGACCGCCGCCCGTGTGAGCCACCCAGAGTCAAGAAGCGGCAAAGTCAGTCTGAAGGGACGACATGTGCATGCGCAAGGTGGCCACCCTCGGCCTTAAGTGGTACATGTACGGACTCAGGGTTGCCTTCTTGGAAGTAAATATCCAAATAGGCAATAGGCGCTAAATCGCCACCAGCACCTTAACTGTTCGTACCAGCTTATGAGAAAAGGCGTGGAGACGCAATACTTCCTATCCGTAGAGTGATACCAAATCGATCTTTACCTTCATGCAGGCGTTGCTGAATGCCATCGAGTCTAGATGTTTCATGGTGAACTCTGTTTCCGGGTAGTTTGGCCCGAAGCTCTCGGATTTCTTCTCGCATCATCTTCTGGTCTTCTGGATGCTTGGAAAGCTCATACAGGAGCCAAGTTGGTATTGATGCCGTAGTCTCGTGTCGGCTAATATAATGGTCCTAGAGAACGCCTCAGATCCTTGCTAAACCGAAATATACGAAAGTAGGACCTATGCCATTTGGGATAAGATCTTGTCTTCATTAAGTTGGCGTTCAGGGATCACGAACACGTTGGCTTGGACTACATCATAAATGAGCAGGTGAAGACTATTAGGGAGAGCCTACTTGCCCAATACGCTCATGATGTCCCGGTTGGTAGCATCCACCAAGAATACGGAGACCTTCTCCTCGACCAAACCCTTTGAGTTCTCGCTAGGCCGCTGAAGGCACGAAATCGGATACACTCCCTTGTCGGAATATACTCTACATATCGAAGAATGGATGTGGATATGTACTGCCATAATCCCCAAAAGAGAAGATCCACCAGAAAAGGGTAAAGTAGGCTATCGGAACTTTGCATCTACTTCATGACTGGCTATCGATCGACGGAGCGGAAGCGCTAGGACAGAATGTACAAGAGATTTTCTAACGACCTGCCAAGGGGGGTCTGAGGGCCCTCTATTGCGTCAAACTGATAGTCGAATGTTGCTGTGGTCCAATGTAAGAATGTGAGGCGAGCACACTACGATTATACTCACCCACTCACATGGCATCTAGGGTACTTCGAGCGAGCCATTGCCATACGTTGAAAGTCCGATCACCAACTTGAATGAGGTCCTTCCATTTCTGGGTCATCTGCGCCATTACAATATTAACACCTAAGTACGATGCACCAGATGAAATGCGTATCTGAGAAGCAGTGCTTTGGAAGAATGGAAGGAAGGAATGTAATTGTTGGGCTGTGAATGCGGGACTCATCACTTTCCTATGGCGTATCACCTGTTTTCATATCAGAGACAGGACGCGGAGATACTAGGGGACCTCTACGACCCTACCAACTGCCGATGCGATACCATCTCCAACCAGCGTTACGAGCAATCTGGTCTGCATCCTTACGTTTGGGATAATGATATCCCGAGGTTTGGAAGATATGCTGAAGTGCATGGGGTCGCAGGTGAAGATGTCAGTCTTCTGTAGATATCATCAAGTTTATCACAGTGGAACAACAGCTGAACTGGAGAGTAGAGGAGTAACCTACCCCCAAGCGGCACCGGTCTTGAAGGTGGCTCCGTACTCGCGGACCCATAGATAATCGAGGTCGCCAACCTCGGCCTGGCTATGAATTTCGAGTTCATTTCCTGTCGACAACGAGCAATAAGCCCAAAGGAAGGACACGACGAGTTGAAAACTAGCAGTCACGAAGATGAGAGTGGCCCCCTTAATCTGCCAACGTAAACTCGCCTACGGCGGGCGAAGGTGCTGGCAACCAGAAGTAGCAGTCAGTACAAAGGAATAGGCAAGGATACCCATCGTTGGTCATTGTGGCATCCAACAGATTCTATATTCAGAGCCTCTAATAGATCAGAACGTGCCAAATCGTACACGACCAAAGCTTGTGGCATGAGCCGCAATCGGGAGATCTGCATCCCAGAGGAAACTCACTCGAAGTACTCCACCAGCAGATGCTAGGTAGGTCAGCCACACGTCCAAATCCATGCCCTACTCTTGCAGTGCTGTTCTTTTCGCTTTTCGATAGCTTCATGTGAAGTCTCGGGACCAAAAAAACTCCGGGCAAGTATCTGAGGGTGCTGGCATGTAACCTCATCCCGCATGGCATCGCTTCCTTCGATGGACCTTCGTACATGACTGAGGCTAGTACGGTATAGTGGAAGACTGATTTGCCGACTCCGGGTTCGCTTCTGCGAAGTAAGCATGCCAATGGGAATGTAATAATTTCCAACTTGATGACGATTAGGTAGTAGGCGTACATCTACAAGAAGGGTATACAACGTACAACATTAAGAACATCATTGAACACGGACCTCATATGTCCAATGTGGCATGCAAGGTTGCCCTGAACCGAAGGAGATGGAGCGTGAAGTAACTCTGTTTACAAGCTCGCGAAGCCTTTGTGCCTTATGAATCATCCCCTTCTTCGCGTCCCATCCCCGCGCTCCAAACGGTGCTGCCGCTTCCACTTCCACCAGCACTTCGACGGCTTCGTCTTCCACTTCGAGGAACTATCTCCGTGAAGCCACCGCTATTTCCACGCGCCATATCTGCACTAAGCTGACGCTCCTGAGCGTCCAAAGCAGCTAAACTGTTAACAGCTTCAGCTTGCTCCAAAGCTTCTTGCGTCAAGTTGGGAGTGTTCCCAATACCGAGACCAACGGATGAAGATGACGGGCCATGCAACGAAGGCGTCGACTTTGCGGATGAGGCATCCGAATTGTCCACAGATGACCCAAAGCCGAACAATGAGAACCTTCGATTAGGATTCGCACTTGCAGTAGCAGGATTTGATGCGGGAGGGAGTACAGGGCTCGGAGGGACAACAGGGGAAGGGGATGGCTGAATCCCCATAAGCTTCATTGTTGCATTCAAACGTTCGCGCTCCTTCCTGTCATCCTCGTCTTCGTGTGTATCAAGCTTTCTTGCCCCAGTCACTGGGCTAGCACCGGGCTTCAAGGTTAGTGGACGCAAAGCGGAATTTTCGGGCTTCTTCTCAGCACTGAAAAGGGAGAAGTTCTTCCAATCGAAAGACATAGAACGCCGTTGCGCTTTCGCACCGGTAGCCGGTGGCTTTGGGTCTAGCTTCGGCACATGAGGGAATGATGGAGAGTGGCCTTCACCGGAGGATGGTGTGGGATTGGAGGACGAGCGGCCGATAATGGCGGACTGGGGCCGAGGCTTAGGTGCGGCTTTGGCCGGAGCAGGCGAGTTTGGTATGGAGGCTGGCATTGTGGTGGCGACGGGAGTAGGCGAAGCTTCATCATAATCAACAGCAAGGACCCGCTCGAAGCCCCCTTGAGAAACGATGCGATCGATGATCTTGGATGCATACAATGAAAGGGCCTTGTTCGCATCCTTGAGAGACTTCACTTCGGTTCGTAGTGACTCAACCTCGCTAGGCGACATCAAGCCGCCGCTCTCTGAGGCGGACACCTTTCTACTATCCGTGCCCTTCTTGTTTCGTTTCGCCTTGCCAAGCGGGCGCTGGTCATCCAGCTGATTGTCTTCCAGCAGGTCCTTGTTCTCAGCGCGGCCAAGTTCGGCGGCAAGATCGAGTCCGGGTCCAGTGATGGGGAGGTCGGCCAGTGATTCGCCGGGTGGGCGTCGATCAGAAGAGTCAGAGGTGCCGCGTCGACGACCTGTGCGGCCTGGTAGACGGCCAGGATGCTGTGCGGTAGATAAGTCCCTGTCGAGGTCGTGTTCGAGCTCCTCTTCTGGTTCCTCGTCGACTGGATTAAGGGTACTTCTACCCGTGCTGTGCAAGCTCCGATCGTCATTGCCTTCAAGTTCTTCGCGGTCATCGTCGTCGTTGCTGTCAGATCCCCCGCCAACTTGGCGCATCAAGTTGAATTGCCCGCTAAGTGTCCTCTCCCGTAGGAGAATCATGTAACCCTCATTGTCCTCCTGCAGTTCGTTATTGACTCGTTTCAAATCAACTAGCTGTGATTGGAGAAGAACTAGAGTGCTCTGGAGAGACGTATACGATGTCGAGAGCGTCGAAAGTTCAAGCCTCATTGAAGTCATCTCTGCTGGCTCTGCCTCCGGATCATTAAAGTCCTGCCTAGGTTCTACTTCTTTGACAGTTGGGATAGATTCTTCCTCCTCTTCCTCGGGTATGGGTTCTGGCTCTGGTTCAGGGTCCGGCCTTTTACGCGCCTGCATCAAGGACTGTATCCGAGATTTGAGATGCTGTTCGTTGTCATAGAACGCCTGGCGCTCGGCCTCAAATGTGGCAGTCTTGTCCACTCATTAGTTTGAGTAAATCCGGAAGCGAAACCCCTCTGACCTGTTCATTATACCGACGCTGCAAATCTCGCTTTTCCTTCTCTAGTTCGCGTACCTGGGCGCGCAATTTCTCTGCAACGTCCATATGCTGAACCAGTTCAGCCTCGGAGCGAGATTGCTCAGCGTACAATTCGTTAAGACGCGTTTCGGCTGCATGCAGTACGGAGGTAAGACTTTCTATCTCTGCGCCTAAATTTGTGATCGTCTGGTCCTTGTCCTGCAATTTCACCAGTAGCTGTGTATGTCGTAGGCCATTAGTGACATGGCTGTACACCCAAAGTGATCGCTGTACGTACCTGTTCTCTCTGCTCAGTCTCTTGCTTCAATGCAGCAGAAAGAGATTCCCTTGTCTCCCCATTCACGACCGGCGATGAGGGTGCTTTGATTGAGGCCCGTCGAGCTGAATTGGAACTCAGAGAAGACGGCGTTCGTGTAGACGCTGCTGAGCGAGCTGTAGCACCCCTAGTGATGTTCGAAGTCGGCGTCGGCGAGGGCGACGAGGGCGTGCGCCGACTCGGGGGACTTCGTGTTGCTACCGTGTTGGCCATGATGAGAGAAACGTGTCAGGTCGTAAAATGTCGTTGATTCGTTTACGGTGGTAAAAGAAAAGAAAAATGGAGAGAGGGCGTTTCGCCGTTGCGCTAGCTGAATGAATTCGTGTCCAAGTCTAAACGGGAGAAACAGAAACAGGTGGCATCAATGCTGCGAAATGCATCATGCATGTGCCACCACTGCAACTGATGATCGGCAGACGGTGTCTCTAAGGGATTGATCACGTGAGCTTCATCAAGCGATGTTGATTAGATGAGATTAGATAAGAATCCAACTTCCTTCTTCCATCCTTCATGTCCAAGGCCGCCCAAACTCTCTTGGAAGAAATCCACTCGGAGTCTTTACAGGTGGTACGGTGTCTCAAGTTTGTTTGATCCCCACCGTTTCACAAATTTACTTGATGAACTAGCTCCTTGCTTCTCTCCGACGTGAGATCTATTTAAAACTATGAAAAATCTTCATCCTGACCTTCCGCGCATCAGCGCATTCCGGACTTTCGGAGGTGGCCCACGCGGACACGATCTCCACGAGTTCCAGTGCTGTTGACACTTCCCCGTCGTCGACCTTCAGACTCGGAAACGTGGTCGAAATACAAGGACCATCGGCCTCAGGCAAATCCCATTTGGTGTACCACCTCGTGTCCCACTGCATCATTCCGCCAGAGTATGAAGACTGCGCCCTGGGCGGGTGGGGTAAGGCTGCAATGGTATTTGACTCCGACAACACTTTCAGCATCGCGAGAGTAAAGCAGATTCTCCTGAAGCGGTTGGAATCAAGATTTGCTACGCAACCCCACCTGTGGACCGCAGAATGGCGCTCCGACATCGTTGAGAAGTGTCTGGACCATTTGCACATATTCAAGCCGTCGTCATCAATCCAACTTGCCGCAACACTTCGTAATCTTCCAGCATATCATACCGACAACTTACCCCACACGGACATCGGTGTCCTTGCTGTAGATTCAATCAATGCCTTCTATTGGATGGATAGATTCATCGTGGAACACCCTAGCTCCTCTGGAAAGGCGTCTAAAGCTACTGTTAACCCCTTCCAACACGTCATATCATCATTGCGCGCTCTTCACGCTGCGTACCGGCCTCTTATCCTCCTCACAAGTTGGCTGATCGGTCCGAACCAGTCTTCGTCCAACTGTACCTCCGACAGACAACATCCATCTATATATGCCGACCCTCGTCATCAACTGCGCTCTACAACGCCAATGCCGTCGGGTACAATCACCCATCGTGTTACGATGTCAGTTATACCTGCGCCGCAACCTTTAACATCTGCGGATCCAAAATGGCCCTCGCCGCAGTTCGTGTGCTCGATCCAGAAGCCAGGGCATGATTCCGTTGGTCGTTTCATGTTGCAAATCAATGATGGCGTAGACTGTAGACTTCCTGAAGGCCAAAAATTTCTGGTATCCGTCTGCTAAGTTTAATCTTTGACGCTGTAACCGCCTCACGTTTGATGTGTTTAAACTTATAGTTGTATCAAGTACTTTTGTTTGTTTATAACCGTGTATATGATTCTGCTCAATGGGCGATCCCAATAAGTGTAGCAACATAGACCACATCAATCACTGGATCATGGATCATAATCAAATCCTGACGTGCGCAGAAAGGTCGGTTTCGAGAGAATCGAAACGTCAGGTAGACGAGCTAAGTCGACTGAATGATTGGCACGGCGCCGCAGCTCGTAGGTGTTCACCATGATGAAATTGTTGTGGTAACTATACATGGAGATGATAACGTAAAAATCTAGGCTACAAGCTGTATGGATGCGGAGGGGGGATGGGGGTAATGCTACTGATGACAACTACTACAAAACAAATATGAATACGCAGTGGTAACTATATCAATTAGTACTATAAAGTAAAATATAGATAATATAGACTCTAGAATGCTTACGCGAAAATAATAAGTTATATAAATGGTCCATTGAAGGCCATAATCCGTCCGACGATTAACGTGAAACACCGAAAATGCTATCAATTTGTGACTGGTAAGCTTCTTCGACTGCCTTACGGCGAATGTTGCCCTTGGTAGCTGTCCTTGGGAGTGCTTTCCGCGGTACGACGACTATCATCTTCGTTGATGTGATACGCTCGTGGAGATATCGCCTGGCGTGGAACTGCCGAGTCTTGCGAATGATCTCTTTTTTGAGCTTTTCGTGATCAATGTCACTTGCAGGCTCCACGAACAAGACAGGCGACGGGCGCCCAGTGCCGACAACAATGCAATCGTCGATTAATGAACCGCACATTGCGCGAACATTATCCTCGATTGCTCTAACGAACAGCGCGTATCAGCATGAGGCACCAAGGTAACGAATTTCATATAGACGTACTTGGTATCACAGCGAAGGCTGTTTTCGGATTTTATCCAGTCGTCGTCACGTCCGCGGAAGACATAGGCACCGGGTATGGGTTCCTGGAACAGATCGCCTGTATGGAAGTGACCGTCTTCGGAGTGTCGTAAAGAGGCATCTGGGCAATCACCCGAATCAGAGTAAATGACCAATTCGTACATGCGACCTGTCGACTGATGCTCTGCTTCTGAAGGGGAGACGGGTGCAATAGGCTCGAAACCGTAGTGAACACCCTCGAGCGGACGCAAGAAAGGAGCTGTGCGGTCACGTCCACCGATAGAGAGGAGCATTGCACCGCATTCAGTGCTACCGAATAGATTCTACAGTGGTCATGAGGTGAAGGAACAATGATTAATTGTCCAAGATGCTCACCCGTATCTTCATGCCATGATTGTAGGCCCATTCCTCCTCCTCACGAGCTAAGGGGAGACCACTGTACAGGATTTCATCAAGGTCGACAAGCTTCGATAGAAGTTTGGGGTCCTGTCGTGATTTCCGGAGGTGATTGGCGAGGAAAGTGGCGAACTGGTTAAGTCGGTTAAGGCCACAGTCCTGGATCATAACATGTAGCTCTTCGGAAGAGAAGTTGATTGCAGTAGGCTGAATGACACAAGAACCATGCTGAAGGGTGCCAAGAAGCACTAAAACACAATATTAGGTGGCGTTCAAAAACTTTCGAACAGCTAGAAAACTTACTGAATGTCTGGCCAATATGGCACATACTTCCCCTGTACCAAAATTAGCAACGAACTTAGTAAAGAAGGCGAAGGTGCTTACATCCATACAGTGACATCTTGCTTGGAAGCATTGATCGGCTTGCTAACTTGATAGGACTTCTTCACCGCCGATTCTAGCCACCTAAAGCTGCAAGGAACGAGCTTGGGGCTTCCTGATGTCGAACCACTGGTGTGGAATATGAACGCAAGATCTTCGGGCCGGTTATCAAGACGTTCGGGTAACGGTTCACGTAGGGGATCGGCTTCGTCGTATTCCATTGCAACATGTATCGGGACGGGTGCTTCAAACAACGTGGATGCGAAGGTTGCGTCGTAGATGAGCGCCTTCGCGCCAGCTTTCCCCAACAGTTCACAGACAACCACAGGGTTTGGTAGTCTCAGACTGAACATTTGAGGGATGTAGCCTGCTCGAGAAAGACCATATATGTGCAGCACATCGGTGTAGGTCATCCCACCAAGCCTACAGATGTTAGAGTGAATATCGGGGATGGGGTCACGTAAGTTGTGAACATACCAAAGACCAACGATCGATCGCCGAGGCACACCGCTACTTCTCAATTTATGTGACCAAGATCGAGCAAAGCGCTCGACGTCGTGTTGAAATTGTGAGTACGTGATCGACTGCCATCCTGCAATGTTGTTACTCTCATCGAGTTGAGGGAGTTTGAAAGCTGAGGCCGAAGGATATACGGAGGCACTCGTCTCGAGGACGGTAAGATGTGAGGAAGACATCCTTGAAAGGGGTGATAGGAAGTAGAATATGATGAGGCATTCAGGGATATGCGTCCGATCTTTATAGCGGTTGCATAGAAAATGCTATATCCGAGTCAATATCGGGAGCGGCTAGGCATAATTGGTAGGCGTGGGTTGTAATCGTTGCTAGGTCCTATCTTTGGTTTCGAATAGCCTTGCCTGTCGAAACGGGATGGGTGAAACACAGAACAGATAGGTACACTTTGAACGGAGCCGTGGATGAATTGATCCATTTGGTGAACCACCGCCGGAATGACATTGGTCACCAAGTACGGTAGTGAGATTCAACACGGTATGGATAAGGAACAAGATCGCTCCTAGGCGATGTTTTCCGAGTCAAAGAGAGGCGATGCGTACTCCGCATACGGCCGCTGCGGTTGATTAGATTTATGGGCGGAAATTTGGCTGAGACTGATGTTGCATCACCGTTAGGCACGGAAGTATAACCAATATATGATCACGTGCCTCGAAGAAATACCTTCACAATATTGGATAGAATTGAGAGTCGGGCTGAGCTTCGTGTCACTGGCGACATTGGATGCCATGGATGGGCTCTGTTGACGGGTCTTGTGAGAGATAACAGCATTTCGTAGATACCCCCCGCATCAGTATGAGTCATAGAAAGTCGAATGGCATGACAAAAAGCAGTGTTAGTGAGCGATGGGCAACCCTGGCGTGGATGATTACTGAGGCTGCTTACATTACTTTGAAGCTGTAAACGGAGACGCGTTCACGTTATGCTCTTGTGCCATGGCACCACGATGCAAAAGAAAACTTGAGGCCGATTACGCGGAGTGCTTCAAGGTTTTTTTTCTGCAGACTAACCTTCCATCGAGCTCGGAAATATGTGGCCGAGGGCATTATTCATCCGTTCAACCGAGCGTTACTTCCCTGATTGGGCGGCCAGGGTTTGCTCTACGAGCGCATGAGCATCCACGCCAACGACAAGGCGATGCGATGCTGTAGATCATCTGACAGGCGGGGAGAGGCCTTCCAGAATCAAGGGCAAACTTTGAATACAAGGCCACTTGCGACCTTCGTGCATCGTGTACACACCAAGAAGACGGGCATACAAAATTGGCGACGAAATCCGGCTTTGAGTGGCCACCATCGTGCCCTGTAACATCTAGGACAGAGCTGAACGGAGTCGGAAGCCGTGATCAAGTTTTGCACCGACACCGCGCTGGTCGCAGAGAGGATCAGAGTTCCCACGGTCAGGTCAGTTGGTCCTACGATCACGAAAAACATATCAAACACACAAAGGTTCATCTGCATCAATAACTGGTCCGGCTGACACTGATTATCCTGCTCTTTACAGTATCCTCAGTTCCTGCAAGAGCTTCATGCTCCAGAGTACCCGCTTCGCTGCCAAACATTTTTGCCGGCTAGGTACGGTGTTGGTCAATCAAGCAGCCTTAACACAATGGGGCCATCACTCGACCTCGCTTGACAAGTCCCCTTCGTTTCACCCCCTTCGAAATCTGCAAACAGACAGTGCCACCAAAGCTTCGGACGCCACAATGCAAGGCCAATCCCTGCCAGGCGAACTGCTGGTGCTGCTAGACTCAATGCTCACCTTCGATGCGGCGTTGCGGATGGTCAAGAGTTCGCCTACGATATCACGTCGTCTCCTTGACGGCAACGCAGCCCGGGGCCTTGCTGTGGAGTTAGCGCGAACCGAACGCCCTCAACGATCATTACTCCTGATACGACTGGCCCACAAGCTAGGATCTCAACTGAAGCAGAACGTCTACGAATGTACAGCTCACGAGTATGCATCAAAGGCTAATTGGGCACAGGTCCTCGACGTGGTTTCCCTCGGTGTCGAGTTGTCTGGTCGAACCACCCTGCGTTTGCTGAATTGGAGGACGAGGGCTCTCATCGAGGAACAAAATTTCTCCGGCTTGGAGGCAATTCTAGGCGAGTTCGAAAAATACAAATTATCTCCCAGTCGACGGACATTCCATCTCCTGTTAACTGGCCACATCCGTAACCACAATCTCCATCAAGCCAAAGCCTGTCTCCAGTACATGTCAGCCGCCGGCTGCCCCCCAGATGCATCGACATATTCGATCTTGGTTACGGTATTCCGACCTTTGGGAGCTGATCCAGAGGTACTCGCACAGGCAATACAATCTCTCCCCGATCTCCAAACGCATGGGAATACAACGACTGCGGTACTCAACAGCCTACTTCAAATATATTTTGACGCGCGCCGACCGCCCGAAGTACTCCGTATATTGTCAATGTTCAAAGGACACGATACAGCTGCGTCCCTTGCTTCCACATATCGAGATCACGCGGTGACCGGCGAGCTGTACGAGAGCGTAGATACCCCGCCTTCGACATATCAGCTTCCAAATCTACCCCCAGTAACACCCGATGCCGCAACATTCAGCATTTTGCTTAATGATGCTGCTAGGCGACATGATATCTCATCTGCATCAAAATATCTTCAAATCATGGCACACGCAAATGTGAAACCCACTTCTGACACTGCGGTATCATTGATTCACGTCTTATTTGCAACCCATAATGAAGCCACCGCTCTGCAATTAGTATCACAGGTGTGTGGAGCCGGAGCCGGAGAACTCAGCTCTCTGCTACAGGACACACCGCCAACTCTCCATCTTCCGATAGCCATCGACCACATCTCACCAACTACACAAATACTCAACGCTCTTCTCAAGGGGCTTCTAAAGTCTCCCAATGGCTTTCGTTGGTGGCATGCGGTACTGAGGCAGATGCATGTGCACGGTCTTCAACCTAATTCAATGACTGCCGAACTCCTCTTGGCATACATGGACAAGGTCGAGGGCGCTCGCCCGCGGGAGTTACTCCGTACACTTAGATTTCTTTCTCATTCCAAAGTGAAGCCAACTCTCCGGCACATGCACATAATACTTCGCTCCATCCTTCGCCGCGAGAAGCAAGTAGTCTACGGCAGTGGATGGAATGCTCTGGCGGCTAGATTCTCCTCCAGCCGACGGGACGAAGCTTCTCCTCATCTAGACCGTATTTCCGATGTCGCAGACATGTTAGACCCGACCGCTGGTATTAGCTTAACAGCTCGCCATCGATACCGTACCCTTGCAAGACCGTTGATTGAAAATCTCACTGAGCGCAAAGTGAGAAGCGACCCAGCCATGTTCGCCATGCGCATCAAACACGATGGAGTAATGCGATCCGACTTAGATTCTGCGAGGGAAGTCTTCCATGCCTACGTTGCACGAGGATTGCGTCCATCGGCGTATCATTTTGCTTCGTTGATGGAAGGACATACGCTCGCCGGTGACATATTGGGCGCGGAAGATGTCATGCAAGCGGCGGTTGATGCTGGGATAGAGCCTAGCGTCGTCATGTATACGACGCTTATCGTTGGCCACGCGCGGAAGGGCAAACCACATCTAGCTCTGCGGACCTTCCAGCGAATGCTGGACGCGGGCGTCAAACCTGACGTTCCTGCTATCGACGCAGTCGCAAGTGCATTTTTCGCGGCAGGAGCTTATAGGATGGCCGCAAGAGTCATTATCAGTCTATGGCCCCGCGTTGGCCGTTTCCCTCCTGAACTGGCTGACGCCTCCCTTCGTGATCTGGCCCGCGAATTTCGCAAACTTCATGGCCCGAATGTACGTAGAACGAGCCCAATGACAAAGCCTCAGAGTCGGACGTTACGTCGCAAAACTGCGAGGCTTCTTTCTTTGTGGGCAAAGGTCAGTAACAATCCCAGTCTTACACGTCCAACTTCGTAGCACTTGTAATTGGCATTAGAGAAGAGATGGGTACATTCATATTTTAAGTTCTCTTTTGAGTGTGTAGTAGTTACATTACTTTAGTCCTTCACATCTGTGACATCTGTCGAATAAGTGATCATACATTGTTCACGATCTAGAATATTTAGCATCGAGAAGGCGCAGGGCGTGTTGAACAGCATTGGTAGATACTTCCCGGATGCGTTGGCGCCCACATTGAATCAAGATCTCTTCTGGTACCAATCGGGGAGGAGGTGACCGCAGGTGCTCCCTTTCACGGTATCGCGCGTGTGGATCTGTCAGAAGGACGGACTGCTGGTCTGCGCCCGCCGCGTCGTTATGCGGGGGGACAGGTGATGGTAGACGCTCAGGAGTGATGCTACCAGGGGCAGGCGATATTACGACTCGAGGTCCCGTGCACTTGGAGCGACGGGCGACTACATCCGCGAGCAGTTCTAGGTCAGAGAACTCGACATTGGGATGGGCCTTGAGCTGCTTCCAGGCATGGTTGGTAGGCATGGTGTCCTCATCAATGGGGTATGGGGATACGGCAGGCCGGGGTAGGGACGCCATCGTGCGATGACTACATGTATGAGACTCTGTCTGAGCTTCGCCAAACGCTGCGGAGGTTTCACCGCAGGGGCAATTGTCACATGGGGCTATCGTAGACGAGCTCTTTCCAACGGCAGCACAAAAAGCCTGACCGAAGGAATCATCAGAACAAGCTGAGCAGTTTGAAGGGTCGCCTGTGCACGTAGCCCGAGAGGTCTGGGAGGCAGGGATAACGGGGAAGATCACTCCTGGGAAGGATTTGGCGGCACGGCGCTTGAGGGGGACTGGTGGCTTGTAAGCGGGGAGGTTGTCTAAGATGGAGAGTTGGTTAGGCGCAGGCGACGGATCAAGACGGATCGTTCCCTCGAGCGGGGCGATAAATCGTGACTGTTCGGCTGCTTCTATTTTGAGGTTCGTTGCATTCATGCGCTCGGCGTCTGCTTGTTGTTGCATAGCCAACTCTCTGCAGACACAAGGCGTGTCCTCGTTGCAGAAGCCGCAATCAAATTGTGGGAACACGGCGGGCTCATAATTAGCCATGGTGATATTCTGCTTTGTGGCAGAAAAGTTAAGCATCCCCGGCAAGGACGAGTCGCCATTCAAGTCGGCAGAGTGGACTTCAAGGGGAAGAGGGGAGAATCGCGTTTCACACGACCCATTTGAGTCCGGGGAAGAGACCATAGATGGAGGGGATGGGAGATAGGCGGCTGATAGTGGCGACACAGTCATAGGATTTGATGCCTCTGCCGTCAATGTTCTAGACCTCTTCCTCGTGGAAAGCGCGGAGGTAGGCGAAGTAGCCCTCGAGCGCTTCTTGTCTATGACTTGATTGCTACCGTCCTGCTCGAGCTTGAGTAACCTCTCTCTAAGAAATGCATTCTCAGAGCGAAGTTTCTCATTTTCCTCCTTTAGCCTCTTAGCAATATTTTGTAGGGCGACATTGCGCTCTATTTCTCCTTGTTCGTAAGAGAGAACCCGAGCCTGGAGCTCGGCAAGCTGGGACTGCTTGCGTTCTCTAAATGCACGTTGTGCTGCCCTATGAAAATGCCATCAGGCGCTACCATTGAGGGTATTTTTATTGAGCACTAACCTATTCTGAACGCGCCTCCCTTTACTTTCCGGCTGTCGATTGAGTCAGTGGCAGGGTCTCTCGTAAAGAATCTATACACTTACATCCTCTTCGGCCTTAGCGGGTGTGGTTGTGTCTTTCTTCGGCTTTCGCCCAGGCTTCGGTTTGGGCTGTATAACCCATTCTTTAGATGCTGGAGGCATATTAGCCGACGATCACAGTAGAGCGCGCTCCGGAGGACGTACGGGTAGCCCAGAGAACGCTTGAGGACGCTTGTGCGGGAGTGGTGGAGGCAGAAGCCATAAAGAGCCCGTCTAAAAGGATGCACGGTTGATACGGGGTCAGAGTGATAAAGTGTGAGAGAAGGCGAACCAATCGAACGGATGGGAGGGCAATCCCAGACTTATACTTGAAAGTGGGAGATGGAAAGTGGGCCGATATCTGATAAGATGGGGAGTCTGTTGACGCCTGTTTGCTGATATCGTGGTCACAGGATTATCGTGAGAACAATTATGGTTTCCTTTCACTAAATTAGGCGAGCGTGCCTGGCGCCGAACGGAACTTCATCCCTATCTCCTCCACTTTGCTGTCTGTAGGAGAAACCTACCAACTCGGATCCGGGTCTTCCTGTGAGAGCTACCAACTCAATATTCCACGACAAGCGGGCATAACTGAGTGACATTAGCCGGGCCGCGATCCAATAGTGTTTGCCGACATTACCGTCTCTCACAGTCCATGAGTAACACGTACAGAGATTCCCAACGCGACTAGATACAGGCGTGGCCAATCACTCGACTACCTCTTCCTCCGTTTGTTCTATCACCTCGTCCACCCAAACTTCAATCTCCTCCTTTTCTTCCTCATCGTGTCGGCTTTCCTTTTGTCCACGCTCCTCCAATAGCTCCTTCTTGCAACGAAGTCGCCAAGCATTCCATTCGTCCACAAGGCGTTTGCGCAGCGCGATCAGTTCGGCAGAGACATTACTCTCTTCTGCAGCATCTTCTTCGTCGAATGCCCGACTGTATTCACGTAAGTTCTTGCGAATCTTACGCTGTTGTTCTCGCGTAAGTAGCGTCCGTGGGCGAGGCCGCCAGATGAACTGCTTGAAGCGGTCTAGAATGTGCTTTTCTAATTCTTGTCCTTTGAAATCCCATATTGCGTAGCCGTTTTCAAGCTGGATAATCACAGTGAGAGAATTGGTTCAGTAAATTTCTCAACGATTCGCAAGGGGGCCAATCGCTTACCGTGTGCCTCCATGCGCTCGCGCTCGTGGCTAAGTAACGGCCACTAGGATCCCACTCCAGATCTGTCACCCCATAATGATCACCAGTGCCGAGGAGTTGAACACTTGTACCCCAGTCGTCTTTAGACGCACTGGCCTCTTTGCGCACTGAGTCCACCGAATTGAAATCGAGGTCCCAGAATTCAAGCTCGGACTTGGTTGACGAGCCGACAGTGGCAAGAACCAGATGCCGTCCTTTAGGAGACCAGCGTATAGCATTACTCGTACGTCCAGTGAGTGTTCCTGAAAAGAGACTGTGAGAAGACACGATTTGCCAAGGAAAGATGGACGTATACTCACGGAGAAGCTTGAAGTCATTTTTGTCGTGATCTAATTGATAGAAGCTAACGTCTGTTTTGATCGTGACACCGGGACCGGGATTCCCAAGGTTGGGATCGTTACTGGACACGATAGCAAAGCGTTCGCCATTAGGTTCCCATGAAAAGTCCGTTACTGTGTCTAGAGTGGGTCGTTAATGTTTATGTGGCGTTGTAGTTCCATGCGTCATATATCGTACCTTTAAGCTCAACTACTTCAACTGGGTAGTCCTTTTCACGGACTCGGAAGATTTCGAGATTGCAGAAAATCGACTTCTTGGTCTTGGTATGACGATCGACCTTCACGCAGAAGAACTCGCCTTGATTTTGCCAGTATAGCTTGCACTAATATTCTAAAGTGTGAGCTCACGTTCGCTTCGGAGAAGATAAAGCTCACCTCTGTCACATTGAACAAGTTCTTTTGCCGCAAGATCGTGCGACTAGGAAAACTCAATAGAGTGACGCGCGCGGGTTGATTTGCCACTTCAGGAGTCCAGTACGCTAACATATTCTCCTTATTCTTCTTCGGAGGTTTGCTTCCAGCTCCATTGACACCGTCATCTATGTCCTTGTCGCCATGTGGGCACCATTCGAAATCTACGACACCTTCTATCTTCAGGCTCTTTTTCTCATGTAGGTACATGCTCGGCAGCTCGTAGACACTGATCATTTGACCAGGGGTGACACGGGCAACGAATTTGTCGTCGGGGCTCCACTTTAACGCGGGCCATTGCATCTGATTTTTTTGTGAAGGAGTTTCGTTTTCGTTGAATGTGGAGAACGTGCGAAGGAGATGGCCAGATTTGACATCCCAAACGGCTAAATTATTGCCTTCGTCATCTGGTGAGAGGTATTGAGGACCTTGAGGGGCGCCGGCAGGCACAACGATAGGCTCGTTGGACCATGTGACGAGGTAGTTTTCGCAAGGAGAGAAGTCGATCAATTTAACCAGCGGATGAGCGAAACGTTGCTGAGGCTTCCATGAGGGACCACCCCAAAGACGTACGCCCTGCCGATGGAGGGTGCCAACATATGTGCCTAAAGGAGACCACGCTACATAGAGGAAATGTTCCCATTTCTACAAGCGGAGACGTAAACAGCTGCAGAAAGGGCATTTCGGAGACGACATACTGGCTTGTGCGCAATTTCGCACTGCGAAGGCTTTCCGTGCCAATGTATTTCAACTTCCTCGCCTCTATGAGTAATGTATTGGTCACGGCCTTGGGAATCAGCTAGCCATGCACGGAGATGTTCCTGCGTCACTAATGAGTAAAGGGAGGGTCCATGGGGAATTCTTGCACCTACCCTAGGAACATACTCCTCAGTTTCTGGCTCTGCGTAAGTTTCGTCCATCTCAGCGTATTTCTCGATGTCAGTGAACCGATTGACTTTGAATGTATGTTTCGCATCGAATGGATGATTGTGCATTGCAACAATGGCCAGCTCGGCCTCATCCGCCGTACGGAAGTCAATGAAAGCGTAACTAAAATCATCAGTCAGAATTCACTGTAGTACTAGGGACACTCACCCTTTGCTCTTCCCCTTGGCGTCGTCCCATGGTACGAAGATATCGTCCACCTTGATTGACGTGCCCTTCTTGTTGAATTCTTTCGCGATTTTAGACAAGAGCTTCTCCAACTTCGATTTGTCGATGACTGGGATTCCATCCACAACAACGGTGTTGTCTAAGCTATCATCGAAATGGACCTCGTATCTGCCGAGGCCAATTGTCATTATCACAATACCGATCGCAACAGGGATTTCCCTACTTCGCTTCGATATCAGAATAGTCGATGTCCTCTGTGGGGTCTCTTGTTAATCCAGGCATTTTGGATTTGGAGGTAGTCAATAGAATAAATGGACCGAGTCTGACCGTGACGAAGTGACGGCCAAAACTTTTTGTTTCCCACGGTAACTCTTACGAACAAGAACGTCGGTGGCGCCGACCGTATTTCTGGCACATACAAACTGGTGGTGTCTTCGTGGAGCGCCTTTTGCCACTTACTGCCGTACTGTTTCATGTGTCGGTATCCCAGGAACAAGCATAAGCATTGCTCCCTATTTCCCGACAAAACGCTACGATTTGATGCACTCAACTTTGCATGACACTATGATGTGGTGCAGTTGAGCAAGAATAGAGCCCACATTCCACTTGTTTGCAATGGAATGACGAAACACTGGAAAGTCTGGCGTCACAACTTACACGCCCTCGGTGCCTGCGCGGAGCCATACTTTCCGGTATATAATCCACTGCTATCCGTATGTCCTACATAACTTCATCGAGCTCAATTACTTACACACTATGACCGACGCTATACACCAGCCTTCCCCCGCACCTCACGAGCAGGTACTTCCCCATGACTCGGTGTCTAATGCTGGAGGGCCGACGAGCAGCAGCGCAGACCGCACCCCTGATGAGGTTAAGGCAGAAAATGCGTTGGCTGAACGCCTATCAGCCATCATAGAGGACGCCAACGAACGCCTACTCCCTCTTTGCAATATGATCCGAAAGGTATATTGAGCTTCAACTGCTGAGCGCCGGCTTTGATGCTTGGTTTAGAATATAGAATCCTTCGAACGACAGAAAGAAGATGATAGAGATGAGGCCGAACTGGTCAAACAAGTCCGACCGCTGATTGAACAAGTGGAAAAGGTCCTCAATGAGACCAACGGCGCTGTCAAAGGAGCGGATCCCGACAATCGCTTGTCAAACAAAGCGAAACGCCGCATGCAGGATCATAAAGCCACACCAGAAGAGCAGAGGCTAGCAGAAGCACTCAAAACGGTGCATTTTGCCCATGTTTTTCTCTACTTCTACCGTACTGAAGCCCATCATGTCCGTAGCTTTTGCAAGAGGTGCAGGGTACCATTGATTGGGCCAAAGACAAACTTGATTCTTTCCCCAAGGCCAAGAAAGACCTTGGACCACTCCTGGATGCTCTAGGGCGTAAGCAAATACACTCACCTCTCCCGCCAGTGTAGATACTTAAATCACTTCATCAGAACCTTTAGCACAGATCGTTGGCGGCGTGGGGTTATTGCTCGCTGGTGTACTGAACTTGTTGGGCAAATTGGTGGGCTGTGCATTGTCATGACAATTCTCATTCTCATCCTAACGACTCCCGTCAGTTGAGTGGATTGGGCTTGGACAGTTTGTTGAAAGGAATCATTTCTGCAACGGTTAGCCTCTGCAATTGTTTCTACTCTTCGCGGCCCTTAAGGCTAACCGTCCTCCAAATGAATTAGGGCCTCGCATCAATTTACAAAGGGCTGGGCTTAGATAAATGGCTTAAATACTAGGCGGTGTGTAGTAAGAGAATACAGCATGTTCATCCGACTTTTGGATCTCGAGTTCACGGCTTGGGCACAACGCTGAGCCAAATTGAACGCAGTCACCCTGGACGCGTATTACGTAAGAGAAATCCCTTCGTTAACCGGAGACGGGAAAGGAAGGGTCGATCGTCTCATGGGTTCGTTAGTCCTGCGAGCAACTCTGCAACGACGGCTGCAAGCTAACATCCTCTACCATTCAAAATGCTGCACCAGAGCACGTCTCAATGCTACTCTTTCATTCGCTCGACCATCCCATGAAGCCACAGAAGCTGGGCCAAGCACCGTCGAAGTGAGTTCTCGTACGCGTTTCTATCTGAGCTGCCTTCAGAACAGCTTCTCGTTAGGAACCTAGCACGTTCGAGATACCATTCGGCAGGAGCTTGCTGGATCAGACCAAAGTGGAGGAGCATCTAAGTGCTATCCAAGCTACACAGGAAGCTCCTTTGGACCTCAAGGATTTGGAATATTATCGACCCAAAGGACCCTGCGACCCGAACTCAGTTCAATATGAACGCCAATACAAGGCCCTGCTCGATGGCCTCCTGCATTCGTTCAGTAAAAAGCAGTTGCGTCGCTGCTGCCAGTTATATGGCATGGACGCCAAATCGACTGCTGCTAGTCGGACGAAAAAAGAGTACGCAAGGGCAATAGTAGAGAAGGAGTGGGGGTGGCCGTCCTTACACCAAGTGAGGCAGAAACAGCAGGCGTGGGTTCAGGAGACTCGGTGTTCGTCCCTTTGCCTCTCCTGTGTCTTGTATCACTAATATACCTTTACAGCGTTCCCACTCGACCCTAGGCAATCTTTTATCATCCTTGGAAAAGATGGTTCCGACCTCCTCTCCCTTTCTGCGAAATATGACGTACATATCACACTGTCGTCAAATCCTCTAAGCTTGAACGCTTCTGGTAGAAGAGGATCGCTGGAGAAGCTCACGGAGCGGATAAATTCAATCACGGCGGTGAGGCCCTCACTTACTTACATTTACTTTCACCTCATTCCCTTGCAGAATGTCCAAGAAAATATATTTGACCTTCCATCTCGGACTCCATTATCCTCAAATCTACTACAGCGAATATCGCGTCTTACTGGTGCTTTCGTGGAAAATTTTGGCAAGCCTGGAACTGTTAGTATCGATATTTACTGGTGATCCTCCTGCTCATGTTTTGCCTAGATTCGAATATCTGCTATAGATGAACGAGCATTAGCAATTGCACGTCGATTAGCTCTGCGGACATCACAAGAGGTATGCACGCACAAAACACATCGCGTGAGCAGCTACTTACCCTAAATTGAGGCTCGCGCCCCCCAGGAAGGATCCTTGCTTGCATACATCCCTCCTACACCACCCAGCGACACTCCTGTCCCGATTTCGTTCCCTTACGCCTACTCAGTGTACCCTTTTCTGGCCTCTCGACCATTGCCATGGAGCATCATTACAAATGGAACGTTTCGTGTGCGGAGGGTATACGAGTGGCTAGCGAAAGGTATCTCACGATCGACAGGACTTTTTCTGTCGGACGGCAATCTAACGACTTTGACGGGGTAAGTCCTGACGTTCTAGTTATGTACTCCCTTTTGACGTTCTCAGGGAGTCTGTCGACATCAAATCTGTGTTATCGAACGCTTTGCCAGTATTATCCAACGGTGAACCCGCTCCAGTCACCGTCACCGCTTCGTGAGTTTAAGCCCATGGTGCTGTCGATCCGTATTAATGAAGTACATTAGATTGGGCCATTTGCTTGTACCGTCGAGTACTGGCGGCCGGGCCAATATCCTCCCTCCTCTCAAAGGCTCCTGGCAATTTTCGAAAATCTTGGATTGGTGGAGGAACCATAGCGTTCAGCCAGCTTTCGTCCCAAGGTAGCCTAACCGTTTTCGCGTCCACTTATATGTCTCTAAAATTCTTTCTCTCAGCCGACCTGACGGTGTGTTCACTGCGTCGCAAAGCGAGCAAAAGGTGCTGCACAGGCTGGTATATCACTCTTTTGATCCAACACAGCAAAATAGCGATACTCGGCGCCAAAAAGCGATTAAATTCGAGGTCCTTCTGAAAGAACACGAAACCACAGGGGGGACAGAAACACACCTATCTTCGAGTGTGCCCATGGCTGAGCCTCCTGAAGAGTTTGTACTCTCCAAAGGACCAGAAGATGCGGAAGGTCTTCAAGCTACCGATGACCCTGCTGAAACGTCCGTCCGCAGAGAAATTGTTTTAGATCCCGAATGCATTATTGACGAAGAAAAGGTCGTAAATGTTATGATTCCTGACAGGCACGTCTAGCGACTTCTTGCAGACCTTCCACTAATCTTTGATTTAGGCCAATGGATGTGCAATTAACGGTGACACTCCCAACAGTTTTACCATCCGATAAGTGGCCAGCGCCCCTCCAGCAATACTTCACTTCACTACGTGACTTGTATGAACTTCATTCATTCTATCAATGTTTCACACTGATCTTCTTCGATAGCTTAACATTAAAAGACCCTAGCGTCGTCCAACCAGACAGTCCATTGACCCTCCTCTTCGAAGGCGACAATTATCTACTCCGGTCCTCCTCGAGTGTCCGACAGACCACAGAATATCTCTCGGAAGCAGCATCCGCGGACGACATTTCCATCCTAACAGAACAAATATTAGACTTAGAAAGTGATCAGCAGTCCACAGTTTGCAAGGTATGTCAAACACCACCACTGCTCAGCTAACAGAACATCAATATCAATATCACTTAGGTCGTGACACGTACCATGGCAGTCGATGCCACTTGGAACACGTTCCTCACCGCCTGCGATCGACTGACAGCCAACAGAAAGGATCTTTCATGAAGTTAATGATGGATGATATCTACTTCGTACATAACTGGGGATGTAATTACAATACACTAGTCGCCGTTAATGCCAGTCTCTAACACAATGCTCTACTGATTTGCCGTGTTCCTGTAGGAATTACCCCTATCCATTCAGCGCGTGTTCCGGTCAGGGTATTCGCTGGTAAGTACCTGATCGGAGACTGCAACAATCTACCACTTGGGTCGAGAATACTAGGCGTCGCTGAAGTAGTGAGTACGTCTATGCACGTTGCCACTGGGCCCTTCGCTTACAGGATTGAATAGTACGATGGGAGACTCAGCCTCTTCAAGAACACCGGGTCCTCCCTACGTCGCCTCGCGGGCGCAGCAAGGAAACATGGTAGGATTCAGGCCGTTCACTATCGTTTGGAGTTTTGAATAATGTGATGTAGTCAGTACGGGCGACTATCGTGCTGACGGACAGCGAGTCTGACGCAGATGAGCTACCTTATCATCCCCAGGCGCCGTCGACGCCGTCGACTGGGCGAACGGCCAAGAGCGCATCCGATCTTTCTACTATTCAGGCCAATTTGTCCTCCTTAACTCCTCGCAAGGCCGACAAAGTCGAGATACCGCCCACCCCAATACCATCCTCGAAGATGCCAATAGCGCAAGCTTCCGCTACTGTCAGTGCAAGATCGCGGCCACCAGGCCCATCAACAACCAGCACCCTCGAAGTTTCCGATGAGGACAACGATTGGTCTTGGCCAAAACCTGCGACGAAGAGTGCAGGTAAAAAGACCTACAAGCCTCTGCCTCGAAGACCGATAGCACCTGCGTCTTCGGCTCCCACACTTTCCGCACCGACATCAGCGTCCCCCTGCGTGCCCTCGTCGCAAGCCTGCTCTACGTCCACAACCCCAGAACATTCCTTCAAACCAAATACACCAGTGATGTCCAAATCGAACGCGATTAGATCTACAACTGCGCAGGCTGCTTCGCCAGGTGCTCTTCGTGGAAAATTATTTCGAACGCTCGAAACAAGGATTGACTCTGACGCGGACGAAGATCCGTCTTGTCCATCACCGTCGAGGAAGTCGGCCCCGAAGACCACCTCATCTTCATCGACAAGTACTCCATCGGCGCCTTCGACTTCCTCGGCATCATCGATCTCTACGACTCTGATCGACACGCCCATTTCAACGTCTGCAACTGACGTGGACATCCAGGACACGACGTGTCCAGAAACTGATATGGGTGCCTCGAAAGTTTCAAAGCATATTTGGGATTTCCTAGATGATAGCGTCCCCACATATACTATTGCTTACGACGAGGAGGTACACGCCCTAGTTCAAAAGCACCGTTTATCTTTTGGTGTTCAGTACGAGCTTGCCAGAGGCGTCGTTTCAGGTCGGTGGACATGGGACGAGGTTAAGTCAAAGCTAGCAGAAGAGAGAGAAGTAGAGGTTGATAGGAACGGGAGGACGGTAGTTTGGTCTATCGACCCACTTCGGCCTCTAAATCACCAAAAGGCAAAGAGGAAAGGTGTTTCTCTACTCGAGGGTGATAACGTCGACGTTGCGTGGCGAGTGGGGGAGATCATGAAGGGCAATCAGAAGAGGAAGCCTGATCTCGAGCTCTGGTCAGTCTTTCCAATTAAAGTGGTTGGCTACTCCTCCGCTTATTGTGGAATTCAGGCGTGAGTTAGATAGAGAGGAGAAAGCAATGCAGGAGGGGAAGGGGCGTGGCCTTGGTCTGATGGGTGATTGGGACTCGTGTCCTAACTGGTACGGCGGACGCGTCCAACTCGTTTTCCGCCTACATAAAGCTACCGAAGGGTTTAAAATTCTCGTCGAACCGCTGGAAAGTAGACGATCTCATTACTTCTCGAGGATGCTTGGCTCGAAACGCCTAGCTCAAATCCGAATCCCTGATGACTACCTCCTCAAGGACATCAAGGCAGTGAGGGCGTTTCTGAGACAGCGCTTTATCTTTATGGGCGCCGTGTACCTCCCATATCATGCAAAAGACGGCAACAGTGTCTACTGCATTGACACAAGTGTTGGTGGAGATGGTCTCGATAGTCTTGGTTCTGTTTGTGAGTGGCATAATCCTATCGAGTTGAACTACCGACAGGTTTGTGTTGTCAGCTATAGTTTCGTCTATTATTGACACTGACGCCCGCTCCTCAGCCAATCGCGAAATACTCCACCCGAAACACGCTTGGCTTCTCCAACTCTGTCCCAGTTTTGGAATTTGCCGAAGAAGACATAGACTTCGACATTCCCGATCTACGTGAGTTCCTCTTTCTCCATGATTCTGTACCTGCTTCTGATTTCAACCGATCACGTAGTAGCCACGGAGGGGTTGAGGCCGGGTGTTGAACCGTTATCCCATCAGTTGATGACTGACGGCTGTGGATTCATGAATCGCGCTGCGCTCCTGACGCTGAGAGCAACGATGGGCCTGGAATCTCCTCCAAGTCGTACGCACTGGGGTCTGAATTTACTCAAATCCATAATGGGGCTAATTGTATCCATCGGCAGTCGTACAAGGTCGTATTGCGGGTGCTAAGGGCGTATGGGCCCTTCATCCCAAGGACACTTGTTCCCGACCACGAATTTGGATTCGTCCTTCTCAAAATAAGATCAAGCTTCCTCGACCCTTGGATCGGGCGCACCGTATTTTCAACCTCCTTCGCACCTCCCGAAAATCTATGCCTTGCTCACTCTCTACACAAATTATCCTGAATCTATCGTATAACGGCGTCCCACATGAAACGCTTGTTGATAAGTTAGGAGAAGGTCTGCGCATGGAACTTCGGCCGCTGATGGATTGGACGCAACCGCGGGCGATGGAGCACCTTTGGCACGCCGTCATGCGATTGGGGCACGTCGGATTGAACAGGGCAGCACGGGTTGCCAGAGTGGAGAGTCGTGCATTGGGGCTGGCTGGTCGTGACCGGGGCGAGGTCGAGATTGAAGCAGAGGATGTCGTCGAAGACATTGACGATGTCGATGAGCCCACGAAACACGCCTACGCTGGCCGAGATACGTGGAGTGGTCTCCCCGTTGAGGCCCATGAGACGATTATAGAAGCTGTTCAAGCTGGATTCAAACCCAACGAATCCCGATTCCTCTACGAAAAGCTTCACAGTGTTTTCAAGTTTGCGATTGATGATGCAACAAGAAATTATCGTCTCCCAGTCATGCAGTCTACCACAGCCATCATGATTCCCGGTACGTTGAACATTCATGAGGCTGCGTCTCAACTGACACTATAACATAGATCCCAAGGGTGTTTTGAGAGAAGGTGAAGTGTACTACAAGCCCTCAAGTCCATTTCGACACCCCATCACAGGAGAACTTCTACACATATTGAAGGGCGATATATTGGTAGGTTCTCTGTATCGAAAGAATCATTACAATTCACCCATGGACAACAATGGCACACAGATTGGTAGGTATGTACTGTGAGGTATGAACGTTTTGTGCAGACATCACCTGCTCTCTACTAGATATCCAATGCGTCTAGCATCAGATGTCCAGAAGGTACGTCGAGTTGCTACGCTGCGGTCTTGTTGAGGTATAATGCTCTGGCTTTAGGTGAAAGCTGTCGAAGTTCATGAACTCCAAAACTACGTCGATGTCCTTATATTACCTACTACCGGGTCACGATCGCTAGCGAGTGTCCTATCTGGCGGTGGTGAGTTTGCCAGTACTTGGGCCGAAACAACACTAATCGGTCCTAGATTATGACGGCGACGAAGATATCATCATCTGGGACCCAGACATCGTCGGGCCGTTCCGTAATCATGAAGTCGTTGATGAGCCCGAAGGCTTCCTGACCGACCACTTCAAGAAGCAAGTTGAGAAAGTCCCTGAATTCTGTTCTAGGCTGTACGCCGTACCCAAAACAGAGGCCCAGCGCTGCATTTTTGATATCTTACTCTTGAATGTATGCGATTCCAAGGTTGGCTTGTATTCGAAGTTCCATGATTGTGCCGTCTGGCAATACGGGCTCAATCATCCCAAGGCCGTTTTGATGGCATACATGTAAGTGCGCAATAATCAATAGCTGTATATTGTTCTGAATTATCTTCAGATTCAACACAGTGCTGGATGCGCCGAAGACTGGATTACAAGTCATGAAACGATCTTTCATTCAGCACCAAAGCCAATTCAACCACACAACACCTTGGGACCCCCCTTCTGACGAGCCTAGCCCACCTCCGCGAAAAGCTCAAGGGGCTTTTGTGCTCCACGATTTAAGGGATGCTGGTCAAGAACTCAAAGATCAATACCTTGAAGAATTCGAACATTTCCCAACTGAGCATGATGCAAAATTGAGTAACATACGTGATGCGTCTTTGCTGGAGACCTACAGAAGTGCTCGAAGGGTTGCATCGATGTTACCAAGGTCATTTCCCGCCTTTCGCGACGAGCTCGACGCTCTTGACGAGCATGTCAAGCGGCACATCGAACTCTATAGCACCGACACCTTCAACGAAATGAAGAGATCACCCTACGAGGGCGACGACAAGAAAAGGAAGGGGAAAGACAAGGGCTCCAGCGGCGACGAGGCTCGATTAGCTCGACTGGTCAAGTCGTTTTATACAACCATGCCAGAGTCGAGATTCACTCCTCGTCCTGAATCCGTCGCTGCATCGTTTGCATATCAACTACATCCTCGATTCGCCTTTACCGTTGCTTTCAAGACGTTGGCCACACTTAAGGCACTCGCTGCAGAGGGCGGTATTGCGCCATGTACTAGGAGCTTTGACGAAGGCAGGGTGATGTCGGCTTCGTTTCTTCGGGCCATTCAGAATGGTGATGATGACGACTAGATGGCGTTCTTTTCTTTTCCTCTTTGCTCTTGTTTTGTGGGTGTATTGTCGCGCTGTGTTTTTTGCTACCTTTAGAAACTTCTATCTCGATTCCAGGCCTCCCCGTGTTGCTCAATGTGAATCATAAGTTTGAGTAAAGATACAAGTATCATTATGCCTGTCAATGCTCTACTCCCCAAGCCCACCAATCTTGAAAAGCCTAGGCCATACTCATTGTTAACTCGCCAAATGCACCCCGCAGGCGCGTCTCGACAATCGGGCACTAGCATCGCTACTAGAGGCCACAATGTTTATCGTGATCTTTTCTTGTTGGCCTTCTCTTTTCTCTTCTTCGCGCGTACCTAGCGCCAGAGGTCAAGTATGTCCCGAGATAAAGATGCAAGAAACGTACTTCTTTCCTCATTCTGGCGTCGACCATCGAGTATCTACCCTTCACACCCTTGGGTCTGCCCTTGATACCCTTATGAACACCTTTCGCAACGACGACCTTGATGTCCTTCTTTGGTGTGTTGCCCGAGGACAGGCCTTTGCGCATGACCTTTTCGATCTGCTGGGCCTTTTCGCGCTCCGTCATATCGGAGGTAGCATTGACACCTTCCGCCTTTCTCAAGGCCTTCTCAAGGCGCTGCTGGGCCCTCATCTTCTTGCGTGCTTTGGCCTCAGCAACCTTCTTAATGGGTCGTGCATCTAGGGCGCGTTGTCTTGCACGCAGCGCGGCCATGCCTTCTTTGGTAACGGGTAGATTGGTCTTGTAGTGCTTCGACTCATCGTCGAGGAACCAGTCGGGTAGTCCGTCTTTGGAGTTGAGGGAATAGCGGTTGAAGCCATCGTTGACGAGCTCCGTCTTCGTCTTCTCTCTGTTGACTAGTTGCTGAGCGAGGGTCATTGCCTCAGGTGTGAGAAGGCCGAATTCTTCAATTTACATTAACGAAAGGGGGCGAGCAGACGCACTTCTGAGACTTACTTTTTATCTTTGCCTGTTTGATTTTGTCTTCGTCCTCGTTCTCAACATCCCACATATCAACGTCGTCGTCGGCCTCCTGTGGGACCACTTCAAACTCGTCATCGTCGCTATCGTCAATCTAAAGGAGCGATTAAATGGACTGCCACTGCTTCCCAGTTTGTGAACCATACCTTATCATCTTGGGCCTCCTCCTCCTCTTCATCCATGGAAACATCAGACTCTTGCTCACTATCGTCACCGATGGTGTCAAGTCCACCTATCTCGCCGAAAATGTCTTGACTGAACCATAGGCGAGAACTTTTTGATTCAGGAGCAGGTGCTACACGTGCTTGCTTCGTGCTACGTTTCGAAGGCTCCTGTTTTGAACGCTTTCGTTTACCACTCGTCTCTGGGGGTGGAGTATCTTCATCTTCATCGTCGCTTTCGTCTGATGATTGGTCTGCTAGGGCCTTTGCTGCCTCCATCTCTTCCCATCCACCTTCTCCGTCACTTTCGTCACTGTCATCATCGTCTCCACCCCCGCCCACCCCCGACCATTCCGTATCCTTCTGCCTTGCCGCCTTCACCCTGACTTTAGCATCTCTATCCCGCAAACGTTCTTGGTATGAATCATATAAACCATCCAGTTGCTCCTCCAGCTCTCTAGTTTTCCTTTCGCGTTCTTCCTCAGAATCCAGAGCCTCATCTTCATCATCGCTAGGTGCACCCTGGCTTGACTCGTCGTCGCTCATGTCCTCTCCATGATGTCCCAGCTTGGACAAGCCACCAGCACGTCGTAAGCCACTCTCAGCATGACCAAGGTCGAACATGTCATCTTGGCCCGTGCCGAGGGTAGGATCAATCTGCTCCATCCCGATGTCCAAAGGCGCGGTCATTTGAAGCTGCATTCTTTGGATAGTCCTGGTTTTGACTTCATTAGCACGCCTTCGCTCACGTTTTGCGCGAGCAGCGGCTTCATCGTTAAGACGTTGAAGCTATGAATGGATGGTTCAGTCAAGGTTTTGGTGGGGGTAGCATGTCGACAAACTTCGTCTTGTATCTCCTGTTCTTCGTCAAACTCCGTAACTTCTGCAGCCTCTTCAAGAGGTTCGTCTGCGCCCGAAGATTTCAAATCCAAGCCTATCTAGAAAGAGAGTAGATTGAGTATGTATCAGTGTCCACCATAAATGATTAACGACTTCTTCACGGAGAGCCAATCGCCATTTTAGCAGCGCCTTGAAGTCGCCTTTCCCCAGCACCTTCAGGTCGTCACAGTTGGCCTTGATGTCGTCTGTGGTAATGGGGAGTGCAGCCCACTGCTTTTCCTCTTCAGTACCGAATTCGATCTTGTTCACCACTCCCAGAACAGATATTGGATCATCGCCCTTCACGAAGTCGGAGACAGGGATCTTGTGGAATAGCGTGTAATCTCCTTCATCGTAACCGTCACGTTTGCGACGTTTCTTTTCTGGGTGGAAAACGTTTGCTTGGGCGTTGTTCGCGGAGGCGCCCTTGTCCGTGCCTGCGGATGCGGCAAGATCCTTGAAGACATGCTTTGGGTCGAGGAATTTGGGATCAATGTGTTTAGGAGCAAGGAAGTCACGGCACACGACGAAGATCTCGGCAGAGACATTCCTAATAACGAATGAGACGTCGCAGACCGTGTAATCTAAGGGATACTCACCTAGATGATGGGGGTTTAGTTGCTTCCACTTTACCAAACAATTGATTGAATACCCAAATGAGATTGTTATAGTCGACGCTACGGAAGACCTTGGTAACGAAGGTACCGCCGCTGACCAGAAATTCGACGGCCAACTTGAGACTCATAAGCACAAGCTCGGCCTGACTGTAAGCGTCTTGAATCCAAGCCGTCCCAACATTTGGGGCACCGTCGTGAAGAACTACATCGGCTTTCCAGTCCTTCAGCTCGCCGCGTATGAGATTCCGACATTGAGGAGTGGTTATGTCGGCAGCAAATGTAACGACGCGAGGTATAGGTTTTATTGGTACGAGGTCAACGCCTGTGAAGATGTGAGCATATGGGACGGCCATATGTCTGGATGTGACGCACTGACCGACGATGACACTATTGACTGGCATGTATTTGCTGGCCACCTGCAGCCAGCCTCCCGGCGCAGCACATAGATCTATACAGCACCTGGCTGACTCGAGAAAGGAGTACTTCTTATTTAGCTGGATTAGCTTGAAAGCAGAACGAGCTCGATAGCCTTGCTCTCTATGTAAAAACTTAGATCATTTGCCATGATTTGAAAGAAGGAACTTACTTTGCGAGCTTGTAGTACTTGTCAAGACGCCCCTTCCCCGTCTTCTTCTGGGCTTTTCCCATCTCTAGAGTAGAACAAGACTGATTTACAGAACTTTGAGATGAACGAAATTTCCTCGATCACCAAAATAGGAGTGCACATGACACTTGAGCGCCTATCACAAACGAGATTTGCCATCACGTGAATGTCGCGTCGTCGCGCGTAGACTACTGTGGGAAATTTGACAGCTCTTCACTCTTTTGACCAGCACTATCACACACAGCTAAGGTCTCGTCTGCCATCTCCTCCCCATTTGTCGCGAATCTGACATTTTTGTTGCAGCAACACCTCTGGAATGTCAGAGCAGCGACCTCCGCTCACCCAATCTCTATCCCTCTCGGAATCCTCGTCTACCAGCACCTTTCCTAGACCCCCGAAGCGTCGTTACACTTCTGTACAGGAGAGCGATTTCTTCACTCAAAGCGCCTCAACTTTCTATCCCCGGCCGTATACCCATGTCGACCGCGAGCGTGGCGACAAGTCTTTTATTGCGCGAAGTGCCCGAGCTATAGATAATCTTGGTCTCAATACTCGAGGCACGGATCCTGATCCCACAGATCCAAGAACCTTTATTATACATCCCCCTTTCACAACCTTCCCCGGTTCTGAACGCTACCCCGAGGGCCTCACGTACCAGTTACTCGCCGACAATCCCGAGTGGTTTCTTGACGCCCTCGACTTTGTCTCTACTACCGCCGATAGCTCCACAGCGACGCCATACCCTCCTTCACTCGAACCCCCGAGAGGATGGTGTCCTGCCAAGAAAAAGGATCTCAAGAACCGTGGGGCCGACGGTTGGCCTGAAGGTGAGGAGCCGAGGCTCCGCTGCACATTTTGTCGCCGCACATATGCTGGAGTAAATGCTCGAAGTATGTGGCGGAGGCATGTCTACGAGAAACACAAGATCGCGATGTCTAATCGTCGTGACGGCGGCGACAAACCCCGGGGACGTGGTTCTAATAGTAGGTCTTTATTTAATTCTTACGGAAGACCATCACTAACAACCTCACAGAAGAAAATCGTGGCGGCAGTCAGAAGGGGCTACTTGATTTCGACGTCATTGCAACGAACGAAACGGCATCACAAGGTTCCTCGTACAAGTCTACGTTTCGCTCCTCGGGACCTGCTCGGCACCGTAGTAGCAGTCCCAGTGCCCAACCCAAATACCGCGCCGCTTCGTCGTCCCAGATATCTCAAGACACATTCATGTCCTCTGACGACAGCGGGCCCGCACCGCCGGTCTCACAACCTATGTTGTCCTCTGTCAGCCCTCCGCCCAGCCCCCCATCGCCTCAACTGGTCGATAGCGACACTTCTTTTGAGACCTCTACCTCCATTCCATCGCCTCTGCCTAACTTGCCTATCATACCTCCTTCACCTTACAACCCACTGCAGACGCCGTCATTCAAGCACTCGCCTCCCCGCCTTCCTTCTGACCAGCCATGGCGATTCCCTAGTCCCAGCCACCCTTTACACTCCGTCACACGCGAGGTGTGTTTGAGCACTCTAGCCGGCAACTTGATAAAGAGTCCATCCGTGAAGTCGTCTCCCTCCGATGGCTCAATACCCGCAACGCCAGATAATTTTGCCAAAGGCTATCGACGATCGCCGAAGACATTGTTTACTAATTCTGACAAGATTTCAAGATTCCCCTTTGCGACCCGGCTACGGTTGCGCTACGAAATCGACTCCTCTCCGTTGCGACAAAGCTCAAAGTTTACGAAACACATTTCGTCATCGCAAGTGCCATCTTCAGATGACTGGCCTTCTGATACTCTTGTGCTTGAAACAATTTCTCCTGAACGCGATCCTTTCACAAGGACTTGGAAATCAACTTCAGGAGGTACCGTGCCAGGGGGTGATTCAGCTCCCCCCTTGTCGATCCCTGATGTGGACAGTCCTGTCGTGCATAAACACATTGGCTCGAAAGCTGCCAGTGGTGGTCCTACCCTCGCTGGACTGGGTGTCGGACTTTTGGAACCGTTCAGACTCCCAGATGATTCAGATTCACCCGTGGACGATATTGATTTCGAAACTGAGGAGAATTCCCCGGTCGACACCACGGCCGTTAAGACTGGAATGGATCTAGGCCATATCTTTACCCCGCCCAGCAAGAGACGAAAGACGTGAATAGGACTATCTTCCCATCATCTCTTCTCCATCTTTCCCGACACTATCCCGGTGATTATTGTTCTCGTATTGCTCTGCGTCCGTATTTCTAGCGTGTACTTCTATGATTTCCTACTATATTCGTTATCTAGCGGACAGCGTTCTACCTTATTTTTTCTGAGGTTTACCAAGTACCAGACTCTCAGCCTAGTTTGCTTCCATCTGTATTCCTGCTTATGCCCAGACTACCTATGTATCCGACCTATGCTCCTATTTTGCCGCGTAGCTCTTGCCTTTGCCTGGAAGTATGTCTTGTTCTGTAACTTTTGATATAGATAAGGTATCCACAACCAATGTGCCGGTCAGAAGCGAGCGGTTCAGATCAATCAAACTGACATGGCTACCGTGGGAACGTTGAGGTTGAGGCGCTTCAGTTCATCATTCAGTTGCTTTTTCTCTGCTGCATAACGTATACAGGTTTTCCAAAGTGCTCTTCCTTTCTCCCTTACAAGCGGACTCGAACAGCATCATCTTGACTATCTATACTCACTCTTGCCCTCGTATCTCCCTTTCATCGCTTGGACTCTCCCAGCTGCTTGTTTCGAACAGTTTCATCGTGCTCGTTTCTCCACGAGGGCAATCCCATATCTAGAAGACCAGTAGAATGCAGGCCATTAAATGTTTGCGCTTTTCTTCGCTTGAGGAGGATATGAACGCTGATTTGAGGCGCAGGTGTGGTGGTGGGCGATGGTGCCGTTGGGAAGGTGAGCACTTTGCCCCGTGTGGGGTGCACGGCAGTGCTGATTGAAACCTCGTTCCAGACGTGTCTGCTCATATCGTATACGACAAACGCTTTCCCCGTACGCATATATCTCTTGTTCTATGGGAATGGAGTACTCAAGGTTCAATGATTGACCATTTAGGGAGAATATATCCCGACGGGTACTTTTTACGTTTCCTCTTCGTTGATGGCCAGCAATTGCTGAATGATGCACAGTGTTTGATAATTACTCCGCTAATGTGATGGTGGATGGCAAGACCATCTCGCTAGGGTTATGGGATACCGCCGGTCAAGAGGATTACGATCGCCTTAGACCCCTCTCCTACCCTCAAACGGACGTCTTCTTGATCTGCTTCTCCCTCGTCAGCCCACCGAGTTACGAGAACGTCCGAACCAAGGTCAGTCTGAGCTATCCTACGACAAGGATTGTCTTGCTGAGATTCATGTTCAGTGGTACCCTGAGATATCTCACCACGCGCCTCAAACATCTATTGTGCTTGTGGGCACTAAATTGGATTTGCGTGAAGACCAGACAACGATTGAGAAGTTAAGGGACCGGTGAGTGTCTATATTTCTGGCCGTCTTCTATTCGACTATATCAGCGCAATAGTCGCATGGCCCCCATCCAATATTCGCAGGGTGTGGCAATGTCTAAGGACATCGGTGCCGTGAAGTATCTCGAATGCTCGGCATTGACGCAGAAGGGATTGAAGACCGTGTTCGATGAAGCTATCAGGGCCGTCTGTGAGTAACACTGATGATGACCCTGTTCTGAACTCCATGCTGATATTCTCCAGTGAACCCTCCCCCTAAGAAGGAGCCAAGGAGATCAAAGGGCTGTATTATTGCATGACCGGCTTTAGTCTTCGATTTACACCACGGGGGATCATGGTCCCCCATACTATATCACGCCATTTATGCCTACTTGACGACTACTTACTTCCAACTTTGCACTGTTCAACGCTCATATATACACATGGATCCTCCTGGAGTTTATACGACTTCTCCTGCTCCCGGCCGCTGCTTCTACTCCTCTTTCTTTTCCTTTTCGTCCGTCCTTTATGTACAATGACAACGTGAATATGCATTTGACATATTCAAATGAACTGCGTTGAAACACCACTCCCGCATCCGGAACATATACATCGCTACGAGATGATCATTCTCAGGGACCGGTCGGTATCAGTGATGCTCGTAAAAATACCCATTTTCGAGCCATCTGTTGTCCCATCACCTTCTATTCATTTCTAGTCATTCGTTTGCATCCCCTTCCATTCTTTTCAAGTCCACAGCCGTTCTTTGTCGACGCTGCCACGGCCGACACCAGCCACAGCGCTTTCGACGAAGAGCCCGCTGGTATGCTTATCAGGACATCGTCAATTTTTCGACAAGTCTTCCCTCTCTGCACGTTGTAAAAGGCTTCGCTTCCCAAGCATCTACAGTACGTGACTCCGCACCCACAGTCCTGCAGCGTACATAACGTCCCATCCCCAGTTCTAACATGTCACGGTACTACGGAAATCGTTACTCAAATAGTCGAACGGGCGCCCCGGTTAGAAGGCAGCCCTCGCTTGTTTCCAATGTATCAGGGATTGCGGACAGTACCATCAGTTTCAATACTTTGGTCACAGGCGAATCGCTGCAACTCTCTCAGTTTCCACAACCACCTCGCTTCACGCCACTGAGCCCAGTGCAATCGGAATCGGGTTCTTTCACCACACGGTCTTCTGGTCGCAGGGACGACGGCAGGAGTATATACAGCATGAGCCCGTCCTTGGTATCAGAACGAGATAGAGGCTCGCCGTTAACCCAGTCCCCGGTCCCCCCAGTCCCCTCACTGCCCTCACACCGAGCCCTCTCTTCACTAAGAGGCGGGGATGCTGCCAGTGCCATTTCCCAGTCATCGAGGACGCTCTCACCGTACGATTGGCATGAGGGGGCATCGAGCATTGATGTCGACGGCGCAGATGAACGTATGCTTCCCACATCCTTCATCACGCAGCTACTCCAAGAGAATCCTGAACCCAGCTCTCGCTTCAATCGACATGTCTCCAACAACAGCGACGGCTTCAGTGCAATCTCCGAGTTGACATATCCCCCTCCGCCCCATCGTCAGCCGTTGCCGCCGCCCCGAGGCCCGCTACCCCGACCCACAGGTGGCCGACCATCCCCCAGCTCCCCTCATCTCCATCGGACTGGCAGCCAAAGTGATTCGGATACATTGATCACATCGATTGGGGATGACCACTCGCGCCCTCTCGGTCGGACACATGGACCACCTGGGACCCGTCAAGCACCTCCGTCCAGTTACCCAATGTCATCCGGGAAAGACCGAGCTTGGGAAGACTTCAGTGAGGCCGATGAAGACCTCAAGGGATACAAATACGCGGACCAGTCGAACAGTGGTCGAGGCAATGGCACTCCCACCTCCCAGCCTAACTTTGATGCTCGCGGCCATACTCAGCACGAGAACAGGAAATCAATATCGGGGAGGAGTTTCGTCTCATCCCTCATTTCCCGGTCCCCCAGTACCTCCTCCCGGTCAGTCCGCTCCTTTCGAAGAGCCTTCGACTGGATGCGCAAACCGTTGCCGCCCGTGCCTGTCATCCCTCCCAAATACACACAACCCACGCAGCCAGTCCCTAGGAATTACGAGGAGGATCTTGCCCTACCCGATCTAATCACCCGCGCTGATACCTTGTCCAATCTTTTGGAAAAGGGCTACCATCCGCACAGAAGTTTGACCTCCAGTTTTTTTACCCAGGGCGACCTAAACTATCAGCATCAAGGCCTGACCTCCGGTTTTGATGACAGTCGTGTTGATGTTATGAACTCGGCGCACCGGAATCAGACGCACCAGAAAGACACCTTGGATTTTAGAAGCGCCGTGCCTGAGAATGATCAGGACCCACCCTCTGGTACCCATTTCTTTACCAGAAAGCGGATATGGTTCCTTGTCGTCCTTGTCTTCGTCGCTTTGGTGGCTGTCGCTGTGACGCTAGGTGTTGTTCTAAGTAGGAAACAGAGCGGAAGCTCACTTCCCAGCTGTTCCGGAAACTTGACTGGTTCTGCCTGCAATCTCGGTACGTGTATTTCCGCGTTCTAGTTTTTGGGGATCATCCTCTAATTTTCGATTCAGATGCTACATGTGTATGTACATCATCATCACAACCATGCCTTCCTCTCGCCCAGCACCTTGTCTCCCTGCATCCAACCATGAATCAACTTTTCAACACCAATTACACCTTAAATTCCTTGGCCCTCTCCCTATGGCTTGCCCAAGGTGACCCCAGAGGGGGTAACTGTGCCTCACAAGCGATGTTAGTAGACGTCTCACCCTCCCTCTCTGATTCGCATCCGAACAGGACGGCATGGGCGCAATCAGCACTGCTTTGGAATGTGGCAGAGTCTGAAGATTTGGATACCGTTGGGGAAATGCGCAACTTCGTCATCAAGGCGCCTTGGAAAGACTTGGAATCCAGCGACGGCCCTATTAGCTCAGCGGGTAGTTCATTCTCGACGACGGGATCCGGTTTCCTCTTTGATTTCGCTGCCCAAACGGTTGCACCAGCCGCTTCTGTGAGCTTCGAGGATGAGGGTCAACCAACTGACGCACAACGTCAACGGGTTGGTACCGTCGCGCAGGCCGTTTTGGATCGCATGTACACGTTCTCGTCAGGTGAGTATAGTCACCGGTTTCTGGATTCCATTCTTGACACCATTCCCAGCTGCATCCACGCAAAAGTCAAGGGCACTCGAAAACTACTGGTTAAGTGTCCTCCAACAGACCCCTTCTGACTTGGCGGTTTTCCTATCGGTACTCAGTACATCCCAAATACTTCTTCCCTTCAATGCCGCAACTTCGGGAGACGGCTCCGTTATCTCCCTCCTCCCCGAAGCTCCTTCATTTCCTCCCCCAATCGCGTGTTATCCACGCCTAACGACCACGCAAATACGAAACATCAATCTTCTTGAAACATCAATATTCAATTTACCACCAGTCACCCCACCTTCGTCATTCCAAAGCTCTTGTTTTCCCGATCGGCCTGTATATGGTGTCCTCGACGTTCTGAGGCTACGCTTGCCATTTATAGACTCCAGAACAGGAGATATTGCTAGGCAAGCTGTTGTCCTCAAACAAGAAGCATCTCCTCGAGTCGTTGCTTATACCAATGAGGCACTGGCTGCTCTTCCCTTCGGTGATGGTGTTTCTCCCAATACCAATCCCCTCAATTACGGCGCCCTTAATAACTTCAAACATGTCGTCTTCCGATATCTTTCCTCTATTCCAGATGTTAATGTTGCGATCGATTTTGCGCGATTTGTGCTGTCGCGCGTAGCAACACCGCCGAGCAACAACACCAGCCCACAGCTTTTGGCGGCCTTGTCTCGCTTGCCTCCTATGGAGGTCGCTGTCTTCGGTGCTGTCACGACTGACGATATCGACTCGGTGCTGTCGTCTTTTGGGAGTCCCTCTGGTTCACTATTCTTCGGCTCGGAGGAGGCTTTGGCGGTTCGTCAATGGATTATCGGCGCTGGGCGGAGTGTCGCTTGGACGGAAACAGCGACGTCTCAGCTGATAGTCCGGGATTCCTCTTTCACAGATTCTGTATTCAACCAAACATGGTCGGCGGCAGCAGCCCGCCTCAACGACGCCAAGGTCGCCGACGTTGTCGCTTCATTCACCTCTACAACTAAATTCACGCCGCAGTGAATGAACTGAGGATTTCCATGTGCATATTCGTTCATATCTAGTACCTATTTTTATTTAGTACACTTATCTTTTTGCGAAATATCTCTCTTCGGATGGGCTGGAGGCACATTTCATGCTGCATATGTATATTTCTTGACAATGCATTGAACATCTCGCTATCATTCAATGAAGTGTGACGACCCCATGCAGGCAGTAAACAATTCCCGCCGCCGGCGCCAATCATGAGTTCAAGCGACACTTGATCCAGCAGCTTCGGACTTGGATGGACAGAATACAGTTGCTCTATTCACACACTCATTGCGCTGCTTCAGTTAAGAGATCCTTCCTCCGTTGGCGCAGCCGTGCAGGCCCTCGACATGCCGAAAGCAGCACAGAGCCCGAGTAGTGTCAACGCCGCCAACCACCCCAATGTTCTGAAACGAAATCAAGTGAGTCGCTAGACACGCAGGGTTTTGATTGCGGTGCCACTACTGACGCCTTTGCCAGGCATGCCACCAAGTAAGTCGTCCGTGGCTCCAATGCATTGCAATGTCCTAACGTCCTCATGATACCGTATTAGTGCCGAAGACGAAAGCTGGTAAGCATGTGCGCATGCCCAATAGCTCGGCGTTGACTTGATAAATCTCTTTACAGAAATGGTTTGGCCTCAGTCAGTCTTTGGTGAAGTGATTTGACCCCCTTGCCCCGTTCTAGTGATGCGAAGAGGCCGTGTTCGACTTGCATTAGGTCTCATGCTCATGCACTTGCTCATGCGCCCGCTGGACACCAATTACCCCCTTATCCCGAGTGCACCTTTGATGATGGTGAGCAACAGCCCAGCGCCCGGTGATATCTTCAAATACAGCCTCGTTATAGTTATTGATAGTGTGGGTCCCGGGGACGGCCCAAAATCCCGATACGAGAAGTTAGAACGGAGAATCAGTATGATATGATTGATTATCTTTGGAACATCTTTTATACTGACATTTTGTAGACGAATTGGAAGCATTGTTACGCCAAAAAGAAATCGCAGAATCCAACAGTCAACTGCCGGAGTCCTCTCCCGGCCCCTCACATTCCGGGCCAATGCTGGTTTCGCCCAGTATCTCTCACAGTGGCATCAGTGTATCATCTCCGTTGTCTACCCCGCCCGTTACGACCATGAATATCAACGCAGACGCTGGAAGTCTGCCCTCCCTTACGGAAGCCTCGACCGCCGCACAAAACGCTTATTTCACCAGGTCGCAAGCCCAAGGCGCCTCGACATCAGCTTCGAGCTTGATTTACTCCACTTGGCCTACCCGCCTTCCCGAACCAGACTTACTGCGTCATCTGTGGGTCCCCTCCTAACTCTTGATTATCTCCCGGGTTCTGATTCATGGCAATAGCGTTGAGCTTTTCTTCGTCTTCCATCCACACAGCAATCGGCTACTACATGCCTCATCTTTCTTAACGACACTATCCTTCCCACCTCATCACCCCAAATTCCCATCAACACCACTTCTACACGCAATATGTGCCATCGGGAGTCTGTACACAGCAATTGTCACTTCACCTCCACTTCCAAATCTCAACGAGGTTGAGCCAGGTATTTGACCCGTTACACTCGTTCCGCTATGTGCTCAAGTCTTCACCTAGACGAACTGTTTTTCCAAAGGCATCGGTTGAAAGAGTCCCGGCCCGATTCCTTTGCAGAGGAGCATGCCAAAATTGCTAAAGAACTTGCAGACCGCCAGGAAAGCCTCGGAGAGGATTTGTTTCGTGTCCTCCAAGGTCGGTGTGATATCTCTGGGTCTAATCAAGCATCCTGAAGTTATTCTAGCCCGCATCGTCCTCACATGGTTCTATTGGTCACATTCGAGGTATGCTTTCGTCCCGCATGTTGGTCTAGCCCGCTTATCCGTACCGGCACCCCACTCAGATGGGTAGAGGTAACATATTTCCAAGACATATGTGTTCGTCTAAGCTCACGGGTGTATTCGAGGTTTTCGTCACGTCTGCCCACGCTCTTCGTCTCGCCGTACCGCTTGGATTAAATATACTGCCTCCCTTTCAATCAATTACAAACGCTCTCCGCCCCGCCTCGATCTTACCACCCGCTCGCACAGTTGTTGAAGAAGAAATGCGCCGCAATGCATTCTGGCTTGCTTATGCGAACGAACGTCTGCATGGATTTGGCAACGGCTGGGCATTATCCATGGATGACAACGATGTTTGCCAATTGCTACCTCTGAGAGGTGACCAGTTTGACCAAGGCGTACGTGTCCGAACCCAAGAGAGATAACTCGCGCACGTATCGCTGATTCTCTTCTTTAGGTCTCGGTGCCGACGGCAGAACGTCAATGGGCCCAGAGCCAAGATCTTCTCTTAGTTCACCTACCAAAGCAAGTTGATTCGTTTATACTATATATCAAAGGGACCATCATGATTTGTACGTCGGATCTGCGACCCGATTTCTATCGTTTAACGGTCAGAAATAGCTCAAGTTAAGACGTTTAATATGAGATTCCGCGCAAGACATCTGGCTGGGGACACATCTGTTACATCACCCTATAAAGACACCTCGCAGCTTTCCGAGCACATTGACCCTCGTGGCTCTCCGGCATTCCTTGCTCTGGACGAAGTTGTGTCTACTTTTCGGGTGTCTTTCCCTCCTCATCTCAGGTCGCCTATAACCGATAGCATTGTTGACCCCGTCCTGTACACCGCTTCATTGATGCCACATTGGCAAGTATCTAACTCGTCCAGCTCGGCGGCGTGTCATTGACCTAGCCTTTCATCATAGTGCAAGCATTACATTACATGACCCACATGCTGATGTGCAACAACGGTGAGCACCACACCTAATCTGTGTTGTTTTCATCCTGAAGGCTCGTCCCAGTGGTTGCATCAGTGCCCTAAAAATCCTCACATCGGCTCGAGCGATTCTTGACCTCATATACAGCGTATCTTCGACCAGCTTCGACATTACGCTACTGGAACCCTTCTGCGTGGTAAGCCTGCTGACTCCAGTGATGTTTACGGTCGTTCTTATACCGCTATAGTTCAGCTGGTTCATAGGTGGAAGGGTCCTCGTCCGATTTCTAAAAGCTGCCCAAGAAGCCAATAGCACAGAGCAAATAGGTACATTACGAGCTGAATTGGAATTCGTTCAGTAAGTGTCGTCTCAAGTGGCCATGCGCTGTGTCTCATCCCCTTCCATCTAGCTATGCGATAGCAAAAGTGGGCGAGCGGATTCCAATGGCTTTCAGATTTGCAAAGATGCTACGCGATCTTATCTCAAATCATTGTGGAGATTTACCACCTGTTCCGTTGACGGACATTACATTCCCTCGGCATTCGCCCGAGATGCTCGCTGGTCCGGGTGCAGAATTGCTGCAGATGTACGACAGACACATTTCGAACGCTGTGCCTCCTGTTAGTCTCAAATCCGACCTGTACGACCCCGTTTCCTACGCATCCTTCACGCCATAGGCGGGTATGTACATATACGTATACCAGCGCTGCGTATTGATAGCTTAATAAGTACGAACGCTATGATAGTCACCACATACCCCATGTAAAGCTTGTAAAGTTGAACCCCTACGCTACGCTTTAACGCCTATGCAACGATCGGGTAACGTCCTAGCTAGTCGGGATATGTGCCAAAAGTGATGCAATTGATGATCTTGACCTGGGCTCATGCCCTCTGGAGCTTTTGTTTCCAACTATTTCCCGGATGCCAGCCATAGGTGTCGCATATCTTGGCCCAGTCGGCACGTATACTCACCAGGTAAAGTGTGGCTGTTGTGCCTTTGAAGATTGGGGCGTTGACTAACGTACAACATAGGCGGCACATCAGAAGTTCGGCCCTTCTGCGAAGTATGTTGGGCAAGACACAATAAAAGGTACGCATGAGTGTCTTCTTCGCCTTCGCCTTCGCTGACACATTTGACGGATTGGCCAGATGTCTTCAATTCATTGTCCCCCACGATTCCATTCGGAGTTGTCCCACAAGAAAACACAATATTCGGCAGCGTGATTGAAACGTACGACCAACTGCGGCACAGTAATGTTGGAAAGGGCCTCTTCGTTGTCGGCGAAGTGACCTTAGGCGTACAGCATTGCTTGTTGGCGCGGAAGGGAATACCCCTTTCAGAAATCAAGGACGTTCTCAGTCATGAGCAGGTGGGCCTCATTCGCCGCGTATTCGAAGTCACCGTCCGAATCCTCAGGCTCACCCACGGTCTGCTGCATAGGCTCTTGGACAATGTCAAGGCTTCCTATCGAAGCATCTCCCTTCTGCCCGTCAAATGAAGATGCCGTCGACGGCCGCCGCAGCGGAAGCTATTGCTACTTCAGAAGAATACGCAACGTCGGCAGCGATTTGCTCCAAGATATGCACTACTGTGTTTCCAGAACTCGATGTTCTGGAAGAAAGCATACAAGCCATGAATGGTAAGCTCTCCCCTCCTGATTCATCATCAAGCCTAACCAGAATGTGTCATATGAGACAATTTCACTCGCTTTTATGTCGTAGGCATTGACACAAATTCGAGTGGCTTAGGAAACCGGGCTCTTATTAGAATACAGCACTCCAACGGAGCACGTACCTCAGATTTATTGCTCCCTCTGAGTGTCATCGATCTAGGAGTTTCCCGGATAGATCGACGACCCTCATTATGTGGTAACCCTTTCGAAGATGTGCTTTTCATCGAAGTATTCCAGCGTTCCGAAGGATCGAAATGGGGCGATGAGGTTAGCGACGCTATGCAGCGGGTGATGAAAGCTGGATGGAAGGCATGTTTATTGGGTATCTGGCATTGCTAGGGGAAGACATGATAGGTCGTGATACATTCCGCGTAAATGATGATAGATGAAATTGAGAAGAGATGAAAGAGTAGATAGATTCTATGCCCGGGTATCCGCCGTCTGCCTGACGAGGCTAACTGCTTTGCTTGAGCGAGGGAGAATCCTGCAGGAGAATGGCTTAGGGTGGCTAGAAATATATCGTCAACACCGTAGGCCTCAAAGAAGTATAAATGAGCAGGTACTTCAGCAGGCCTGTCGTGTATTCTTCCGGAAGTTTGATTTCTTTCCCTTGCTCATCCAACGGTAGGAGAATATCGTAGACCACGAGGATTGAAGCTACAGCAATCCAGATCGACTGGAATGCGAGCCATCGACCCGGGCACATTCTAGAAATGATATCAACGGCCAAGAAGTAAATCTTCATAGATAGATGGTTCATACCTGCGACCGAAGCCAAAAGCTGCATCAGGGGCAGGGTTAATGTGAGCAGCAGCATTCCCCTTAGCATCCGCAAACCTCTCTGGCTTGAACGAGAGTGGTTCTGGGTACACATTTGGGTCGTGTAGTATACCCCTACGCGGCCATTAACCCTCTGCGGATTCACCGTGTAGCGCGCGGACTTACCAGACGTTTGGTAAGAGGGTGGTCCCCTTGGGGATGCGGAAGCCCCGATACTCGTCCTCTTCAGACACCGTGCGCGCCAGGCCCAGCGGGGTTACGGGGTGCCACCGAAGGAGCTAAACATAGTCAGCGTCGTTTACTTATAGGAACGGAGATCAATTACCTCATACACGATACAATCCTGGCAGGCATTGTTATATTTACGGGCCATGAGAAGACAAAGGTACTCACAACATATGGAAGCGAGTCAGAGAACTGCGGAAGACGGTCCCCAACGACACTGTCAATTTCAGCTTGTGCCTTCTTAGCGATGTCGGGATGCAATGCCATGGCGAGGATGAAGGAAAGGACTGATGATACCGTCTAATTGCGTTATGGGTTACATCCATGCTTAAGCTCGTAAATGCTCACCGTATCGGCTCCGGCTGTTAAGGTTAAAGTTTTAGTATAACAATAGATATAGCAGGGAGAGGCATATCGCCCACCTGCGTAGATGGTTGCCCCAACATTCTTAATCATTTCTGCCTTCGTCGGATCGATATCAGGCAACTCGAGCTCCGAAGCCACGAAAGATTGTGCAGCCGTGCTCGCGCCACCCTCTCGCTAGAGAAACTGATATGAGGGATGAACGAAGATAGAAGAGAACGAGCTTACTAGCCACCGTTTGACCATGAGATAAGGTTTAGCGGCCATGTCAACGGTGTCCTTTCTCCATACCTTCGCCTGTCGTTGGAAACCTGCGCCAGGGAACCAGGCCGGGATGTATTTGAGGGCCGGAACGTAGTCCACAAGATATGTTCCAAATATGCCAGCACTTTGGAGGCCGTTGAGCGCTCGATCAGCCAGGGAGACGTAGTCGTCCCCTTTCTCGGCGACCTGGTGTCCGTAGGCGAGGGTCAGGACGATAGCAGCCCCCCAGCTATAACAAAGTCAACGGGGGAAGGGGGACAATGGGCCCGAAGGTACCGTCTAATCCCATATCTAAAGTCATCTGGGGCATTTAACAAGTTCCTCAGTAGCGTGTGCGTTTCCTGGAGCTATGGGTATTATTGTACCAGAGCGAACGAAATATGAGGGACGTATGAATTCTAACCTGGACCGGCCGATACTTGTGGACTAGCTTGGGATGAAAATAACGGTTAAAGATAGCTCTGTGCTGTCGCCACCAAGAGCCATATGGAAAGGATGAGAACAGCCAATCCCAGCCCATGCTACACGTCGATTGAATATTGAGAACGTTGCACACTTCGAATGGACAACTCACAGTTCTACAATCATTGTTCGCACTGGCCGAGATGAATATTTGTTGCTTCGTTTCTCCAAGAGATCGTCCATCACCTCCGCTGAATTGAGTATGAGGAGGGGGCTCCCAAATATGTTAACGTAGATAAGATCGCCTGCCAAAGCACATTCGTTCCATCCAGTCAATACGTAAATTCGGTCAAGAAGTATCACTCACCATAAAGCTTCTTCCATTCGTTCGCGTAGACCTCCCATTGGCGCTGTTTCGGGATGTCTACCCTGCCTGTCCACGATGTGCTGGGGCCTGGGGGCAAGGGAAGCCTGGAACGCCTTGCTCTGGAGTAGACAAGCAGCCCGACAGCGGCACCGACCAGCAGGTAGACGGCTGAGATGGGGGACGACATACAATCCCGGCCGCTGAGGAGAAAGGGGAAAGGCAGAACATGGACAGGGTGAAATTATGCGAGTTTATATATGTGGGCGACATGTCAGGCTATGGGTCCATGATCACCTATTTTGCTTCCGCCACGCCCTGAATGGTTTCCCCTGCTGAGTCAGCTCCGGCGATCTGGCCAGACTCTGCTTTCCTGAGCTCTGTCCTCTACGGCCACTATGGCAATAACCTCAAATCCTCTTGTCGGTCCCTCGTTTCTGCGCGATATCGTTCTCCCCCAGTTCCACCAAAACAACTTTGCCGCAGAAACAATTGTCAAGAACGAGCTCAATGTCAAGCTCGACAAAGGTCTGTTTCTTCACTTCCATAGTAGCCGTAGAAATCCACCTCATATTCTGATAGACGACCAAATATGTAGACTAGCTCTGACACCGGCCGGTTGTCCCCTTGGTCCCCTTCACTGTCCTTTGCGGCATACGGCCCCGTCTGGACAGAACTTCCAACCGCCTAAACTACCACCAACTCATCCTCGCGAAAGAGAACGTTTGTCGACTGTCTGCAAACATTGGCTCAGGGGGCTCTGCAAAAAGGGCGATGCTTGCGAGTTCTTACATGAATACAACCTCCGACGGATGCCAGAATGTTGGTGGTTTGCGAAACATGGGTATTGTTCCGCTGGTGACGAGTGCTTATACGCCCATCCCAAAGAGAGGAAAGTCGAGTGCCCTGATTACAAACGAGGGTTTTGCAAGCTAGGTATGTAATTTTTACGCAACTGTGGATAGTCTGCTGATGGACTACAGGTCCTAATTGCCCCCGGAAACATGTTCGACGCGTGGCTTGCCAGTTATATCTGACGGGATTGTGCCCCCTTGGTCCTGAATGTCCTCGCGGCCAGTAAGTACCTTCGTTATGGACGCCCCGATATGCCTTGAATAGAAATGTTAGCCCGAAACCCGATCTGCCGCTACCGAAAGCGTATGAACCGCCAGAACCATCTTCAACTCGCGAACTCGGGCCACCACCGCCGGGCTATGGCAGATACACCGAATATGGAGGCTTCGGAGGTTCGACGTCAAACCAAGGCAATGTCTCTGGCTTCCAGGGACCTCCTCGAAGGAATATGGATGAAGTAATGTGCTTTAAGGTAAGCTCAATGCCTTATCCATTTTACAGCATTTTAATGTTATACAGTGCGGAGAGAAAGGCCACTATGCCAACCACTGTCGCAATCGCAACGTTCCAGGCAACAGAGGGGGTACGGAACGCATCAGACGCTTTGGAGAGGAATGATCGCGTGCATGTTCCACTTTTGCTGCCTCGCGTCCGCCAAGCTGTAATTGCCATGAGTCCCATCAGTGCCTACTGTAAGGGTTGAACCCTTTCGTTCCGTGCAGTCCGGCTTCCCCTATCCCCTATCCACCCCTCTCCGACTCCTCGGACGCGCTCGCACATGACTCGGACGTCACGAACCCGTACCGGACACACGTGTTAACGGATCAGACACTGCGGATCAATGTTTCGTTCTCTTTTGTTCTCGGACTCTAATACTTGATCATACTAGTCCCATTATTTGTTCCTGGTGCCTTTTCGCCTCGGACATTTCCGATGTTTTCTTAGCTACAAAAACCTACTGCACTCGTAGTTAGAAGAATAAGAATTGTTTCCCCCCCACATCGAGTCAGAGTCTAAGTCGTCCGAGAAGCTTTCCTCCGCCGTTGTCAGAGTTCGCCGTCGTCCGAGTCCGAGTCCGATCCGAAGCCAGTTCTCCCGCCGTCCTTATCATTCTCCTGCCGTCCTCATCGTACTATCCGAAGCCGAAGTTGTTCGCTCCGCGTCCCAGCGCGTCCGAAGCTATCCGAAGCCATCCGAAGCATCCGAAGTTTCCTAGTCATTGTTTTCACTCTCGGACTTACCGTTTATCACACTAGTTCATTCGGGTGTCGCACGGACTTGTCCTGCCGGAGGCGGACCCTCGCATTTCATTTGACTATACTACTAGTCTACGTGTATATTCACTACTACATTCTGGAGCCCACCGCGAGGGTTTAAAGTTCAAGACACCCCCCCGTTCCACCGTCACCTAATCATCCTATTCCGTCATTGAATTCGAATCCCCTCCCGATCCTCTGCACGATATCTTTCCGGAAGGTCCGACGCAACGGGCTATCAACTACCTCTTCCGGAAGACATCCGAATATTTTCCGTTCAAAATAGTCCGCTCTTGGGTGCCCGATCCCAACACCGTCATTTGGCAGTTCGCACTTACCGGACGCCCAGAATCCGAGCATCCGAACATCCTATCACGCCCTAATCCTCCATCCCTCCGGCACAGTCTGTTCTATAATCCCGCCGCGGCTTACCACCGACCCACTCCGGAGTCAAACGACACTACGTCCGGAACACCCTCATCGCTCACCGAGTCGTCCGAAAATCTTCCGCCCACTTCTTCACCTTCCCCTATTCCTCCTCCTACAATGGCCACAACTATGCCCGTCCGCGGTCACCATACCGCTCCGAAATTCAACGGAAAGCCCGAAGGACTCCATCGCTTCTTCTCGGAAGTGGAGTACCTCGCTGCCCGTGCTCAGGTCGAAGGCCGGGATCTCATCCGAGCTACAATCGGATATCTCGACGACTCCGACTGGGAGATCTGGCGCAGCAGTGGCGATGCAGCCGACGGAGACGACTGGGATGCTTTCAAAACATGTATCGGGAAGCTCTACCCCGGATCGGATAACGAACGACGATGGCGTCCGTCGGATCTGTCCACTATTGCCGCTCTCCAGTCCCAGACCCCGATGCTCACAAAGGACGATCTCGGAGTCTATCACCGAAAGTTCCTCGTTCCGGCCAACTGGCTTCTCTCCAAAAATAGCGTCTCCACTCAGGACGTCGGACGAGACTATCTCGCAGGATTCGACCCCATCACCCGTCAAAAGATCAAAGACAGATTGGCGATGGTCCACATGCAGCATCATCCGGACGATCCTTACACGATCACGGAGATCTATACGGAAGCGAACTTTATTCTCGGAACGTCGACTCCGGCGACTCTCACAACGTCTTCGACATCTCCGACAGTGAGTCCGACGGCTCCGGTTACGGTCAAAACCGAATCCGCTGACATCCGTGCCCTGCAAGCTATGATGCAGCAGTTCATGACCATTCAGCAAACGCATCCGCAGTATCCTCCTCCTCCTCCGCAATATCCGTATAATCCGAACTCATTCTATCCGTATCCCCCGCCTCCGACCGCTCAAGCATACGCTTATCAACCCGTCCCGCCCCAACAAAACTATCAGTATCCGCCTCAGCCACCCCCATCTTCCCAGAGTCAGCAATCACGTCCTCCTCCCCCTCCTGCACCACAAGGGACTGATCCGAGACCTCCCCGGAAGTGTCACTTCTGTCATTCCGTCTATCACACGATGGGCTCGTGTCCGGATGCTGCCCGATACGAACGGAGCGGATGGATCGGTCGGAACGAAGAAGGCCGATGGATGGTGCTCCCGACCAGAGAGACTATCAATCGTTCCTTCCCCGGAGACTCGTTCAAAGAACAGATCGACAACTGGATGAGGGCCAACAATAGACCTCAGGATCGCGACGCCCCTCCTCATCCGATCGTCACTCCCGCAGCCACAAGTTCCGGAGTAGCGTCCGCGAATATGGTCGAGGTTAGCACCTACCACTATACGGAGGCCGACGAGTCCGAGTCTCGGGCGTTCATCGAAGAGCTTCCGAGCCCGTTTGATCTGGAGGAAGAAGAGAAAGAGGAGATCTTCTTGCAGGTTCTCATGCAGCGGATGCCCGACGTAGCGAAAAAGTACGCTTCATCTCAGAAGAAGAAGGACGTCCGTTTCTCCGAACCGGTCGAAACGACTCCGAGCGCTCCGGCAAAGGCTCCGTCCGAACCACCCCTTCCGCCTTCGATTCCGGTCCCCTTCCCTTCCACTTCGGCCCGTTCTCAGCTAGCTGAAGCCATCGAGACCGGTCGCACGACGTACCGTCCGAACTATCGGGTCCAGTCGAACATCGAGAATCCGAAGGTGGCCTCGGATGTCCTGGAACGCGCCCTCAACACCACCCTCACCATCACACAACGGGAACTGTTCGCACTCTCGTTTGATGCTCGGAAAGGACTTCGGGATCTTATTTCGTCGAAACGGGTCTCTACGGAGACTAACTACGCGTCCGTCAACATGGCTGCGTGCTACGATGACCCCGAAGACGTCGTAGAAGTTCTGATGTCCGCCACCCGCGATCCGAACAAGGAATGCATTGTCGCAGCTCCGACCCAGTCACTCCGGATCATCCGGCCTATCTTCAACGATAGGTACGAGGTCGAATGCATCCTGGACACCGGATCGCAGATCATCGCCATGCGCCGCGACGTCTTCGACAACCTCGGGCTGCTCATCGACATCGACAAGTTCATCACCATGGAGTCTGCGAACCTATCCTCGAACCAGACCATCGGACTCGCGCACAACGTGAAAATGTCTCTCGGACCCGTCGACCTCTACGTCCAAGCTCAGATCGTGAACGATGCGCCTTATGAGGTACTCCTCGGACGCCCCTTCTTTTGTCTCACCTCCGCTGTCACCCGCGACTACCCCGACGGTCGTCAGGACTTGACCATACACGATCCGAATTCGAGCCGTCGTTTCCTCATCCCTACTTTCAAAAGGGTCCACCGTTCCCGAGAGCCTAAGGAGCATTTTTAGATACCGTCGAGGAACCCCTGCGGCGAGACGAGTCTTTTATACCCCCGTTCTATTGCTCTCTTATGATATCATTACCCGAATCCGCTCCTTGTTCAGTTCCGATCCGCTGCATTACCTATCCGAAAACACTTTTATATCATACATCCCCTTCCGTGTCCGATCCATCGCTTCCTCTTCTGTCTGTCCCCCCTTCCATGAACCGAAAAAGTACATATGATGCTCCGCGTGATTCCGGTCTCGACCCGGTGGCTCCGGTGTATACTTGTGTCCCCCCGCCCGTACCTAATACTCATCATGCTCGCGTGTATGACGATTTGCCGGATGAGCGACGGATCTATTCAGGTCTTGTTGATATCATCGAAGATGGCATTACTCGGAGTGCTTCATATTTGGATATTCCCCTTTCCACCACTACTTCCTACTCTACATTTACATCCTGGTTTATCCACTCCGATGCCGACGCTCCGCCCGCCTCATCCGATGATTCCGCTCCGAACCCGACCGCAGAAGTCTTAGCAGCAACTGCCCGGATGCCAACATACGGAAAGAAGCCCTACCGGAAGGTCGCCAATCGCACAGTACCTGTCTCCACCACCCTTCCCGAACAGTATCGGATTGTCCGACGCGAACCTCCCGACATCTTAGCCGATCTTCTCCCGCTTCCTACTCAACCACCCGACTTCACTCCGGGACTCCGGTACACTCAGGAACGCGCTGACAAACAAGCCGTCGACCCGGACAACTGGCTTTCTCCCGAGGAAATCAAACTCGCGCACTGGTTCATCCGGACGGACGAGGACGCTTTCGCATGGTCCGAGGATGAACGAGGCAAGTTCTCTGACGAATGGTTTGACCCTGTAGTGATGCCGACGATCGAGCACGTTCCCTGGGCACTCCGAAACATTCCCATTCCTCCGGGCATCTACGACGAGGTCGTCCGCGTCATCCGAGACAAGATCAAGTCCGGAGTCTACGAGGAGTCCAGTTCTTCGTACCGGTCCCGCTGGTTCTGCGTTCTCAAGAAGGATGGGAAGTCTCTCCGCCTGGTCCACGATCTTCAGCCTCTCAACGCTGCCACTATCAAGGACGCCTCTATTCCGCCTCGGGTCGAAACTTATGCCGAGACCTTCGGAGGCCGGTCTTGCTACGGTATCTACGACTTGTTCGTCGGATTCGACCAACGGAAGCTCGCGGAAAGCTCGCGCGATCTCACAACATTCCAGACGCCTCTCGGAGCCAAGCGTCTCACCGTCATTCCTATGGGCTTCACCAACTCCGTCCAGATTCAGCACGGCGACCTCACCTTCATTATGCGAGACGAAATTCCCCACGTCACCGATCCGTACATCGACGATTGCCCTGTCAAGGGTCCGCTTACCAGATACGAGCAACCCGACGGCTCCTACGAAACCCTACCCGATAATCCGAACATCCGGCGCTTCGTTTATGAACATATTGCAAACATGCATCGGATCGCGCACCGGATGAAGAAGTTTGGCGGAACGTTCTCCGGAGTCAAGCTACGTGTTTGTGTTCAGCGCGCATCTATTGTCGGACACATGT